CCGTCTTATATCTTCGTCTCTTCGTCTCTATTGCTTCTCATGTTGGCACCGAGCTCCTTTCCGTCGCTGCTTCTTGTGCGCCAACAGTGCTCCACCGCCCTACCCTTTTCCTCTCTTCTCTCGCTCTCAAGTATTCAACCTCGATAACCTGCCCGCTCCGTGGCGCGCACTTCCTGCGCTCGGTGGTGCCTGCATCCGTCGCAACACACCACTGCCACGGAGCTCAGGAAACATTCTGTCCTGATACCGAGTGTGTAATCAACTCTTTCCCATGATAGACCCTGCGGCTGTCCGCGATTCAGGTAGACGCAGGGGTTCAGCCGACGCCGCCTAATGTGCATCGCCCACCCTGACAGACTAAGAGGACCGTGAAGGCTTACCTTTCTTGGTTCCTGGCTGTTCAACTCGATCATCTCCGGCCGTATAGCATATGTGAGAGAGTCAGCGCCATCGTCTCATGTCATGCCGGTTTAGGCGGAGGGGACATTAAGAGTATAGTAGTATTGCTCTTCTACCGACAATCACACTGCGGCCGAAAGATATGCCAGCCAAGGGGTGCGGTGCACCGAGATTGCCGACAGCGCCACGGTCGAGCGGGGATCAAAAGCCCAGTGAAGAGACCCCTATCGTCTTACCAGCCGAAGCACCGTGTCCTTTTCCTTGCTCCGTCTCGCGGCAAGGTCCGCCTCCTGAGGACCCCTGGCCATGTGATATCGCGCCATCTTCTCCAAGATCCCCGCCACCTTGACAGCTTGGGCTTCTGGGTACTTTTGCTGCCTCACGCTGGGTGTCATTGCGTACTCCGACACCGCGTCGTTCATGGGAATTGTAATGGTCTGCAGAAGTTCTCTCCGTCGTCAGTCTCGATGGCAATAATTTTTTTCTTCCAAAGGAAGGTTGTCAACCTACCTGCCTGAGCTCGTTGTACGCCGACTCCATGCCTGGCTCGAGCTTCCTGGCGTGATCGATGAGGTAGGCCACGTCGGTCATGAGCGTTCGGAGGCCGTTGGTGTTGATCTGTGGGTCCTCTTTGCTCAGCACGTTGTCGTTAAGGAGCTGGTCCGCGATGTAGGTAAATGCAGTGCGGTAGTGGAGCATCTTGATATCCCTTGGCAGGATCAAGAGGACACTCTCCATCATTGTCGTCAACCACTGCAGCATCTCGCCGAGGTATTCTGCCGGCTCTCTTCGAACCTGATTCGGCGTCAGATCGATCTCAGCCATGCCAAAGAACTCGACTAGCCGCGAGGCAATGGCGCTGTCAATTCGCTGCTGTGCCAGGTCTAATGTCGTCGTGAAATGGCCCGAGGCATCCAGTCGCAGCCGACCTCCTCGGTGCGGTGCCCTGAGCGCGGCCAAGAGGCCTTCAAGCTCGGTACAAGCCAGCTTGAAGTGTTCGGCGTTGACTACAATCTGCGCAATCTGCGCCAGGTTATTCGTCTTCTGAAAACTGGTCCGGATACTGCTGCTGACTTGCTGGATCAACAGCTCGTCTAATGACCTCTTGAGAATATCATCAATGTCGCGATGATACTGCGAGAACCCGCCTGAAAACGTGTAGTACTGATCGACAAGATTGCGAATGTCCATGCAGCAGAGCGGGTATGTCTGTGAAAAGGGAAGCGAGAGCGGGAATGGCATGCTTCGCAATCGGTCGGCGTCTCCAGGCTTGAGCCAGCATACATTGAGAACCTTGCTCAGTTCGTCTTGATTCTCGACGACCATTGGCTGATGTTCTGTCTCGCGCACGGCCTGCTGGAAGTCGTGTGAGAAGCGGTCGCGGAGCAGCTGTGCGTAGCGTTCAAAAAGGGTGAGGAGGAGCGCATTGAGCTTGGTGACTGTGAAGGAAAAGCCCTCGAGGGTCATGATGAAAGTCTGCACCACGGCCTTTGTCGAGACAAAAACCTTTGTGTCGCGACAGTCACGCAGACCGACGCTGACAATGTCGACGACTCGCTCGCACATGCTGTCCCACAGATCGTCGACCTCCTGCTCGGAGCGGAAGCCTGGCGGTGACGTCTGGAGGACGTGGTGTTCGACGAGAAAGAAGCCGACGACTTCCTGCAGCAGCAAAGGGAAGGTGGCATTGGTAGGGTCAAATGAGAGGCCTTGAGAGAGAAGGAGGTTGGCCTGAGCCCTCCTGTCCTCCTGGTAGCTGGCCTGGAGCTGCTCCCGCATATCGAGGACATCGTAGATGTGTATGCACTGGTATAGTGGCTTGAAGTCAATGCGCACCTGCTCATTGTCGACAAAGTTGTCTATTCATGCATAAATGTGTCAGTGGGCGAGAGAAAGGAAGACGGCAGCATCTCTCAGGGACTCACACTCGACACGCTCGTTGACCACAAGCTCTATGGGGCTATTGACCTTTGCCAAGCTCAAATTGGCGTCCTTGCCGCTCTTGACCTTCCACTTCTTCTGTCGAGCGTCCATGGCATCGAGGGCCAGCTTGCCCACCGTTCTTCCCTTTTCTCGTACCTCGAACAGCCACTCCCTCATCTCGCGCAGCACGGCGGACCGGACCTGCTCACGCATCGCAGGGACGGATTCGAGCATGTGCCGGGCAAATTCGTGGTGGAGCACCGGCTTGAGGTGCACCGTCGAGAGCTCTTCAAGCGAACGGAGGGCCGAGTAGTACTTTTTCCCCTCGATGAGCCCGTCGACGCGATTGGCCATGTCGAGCACTCTGAGGCAGAGCTGCAGAGTCTCGATCGCCTCGTCTACGTTCTGCGCGACGCGCCTGGCCTCGAGCAGACTCCGCTTCTTGCTGCTCAGGCTCTGCCCGCCAGCCTGGACCTCCTCGTTGAGCTCGCTGATGCGGTGCTTGAGGCTCACTGTTCCCGACCGGACCTTGAGCAGCTTGTCCACGGCAGAAACAAAGTCCTAGCGTCATCGCAGCATCCTCGCCATAGTCAGCACTCGTCCCCATCGCCTCGCCTCACTCAATTCGACCGACCACCCCCTTTCTACTCACCGTGTGGTTGGCATTGCACACGCTCTCGATCTCATCTTCTTTTTCCCGGACAAAGTCGCGCAGCCGCCTGAGAAAGGCATCGCTCTGTCCGGCCTCGTCGAGCGACTTGATGATCGGCCCCAGCTGCTCGAGATTCTCCGACTCGGCATCGAGGTCCGAAAAGAGGGTGAGCTGCTGCAGCTGCGCATCGAGCGAGATGTGCGGCCGCGCCCGTGATCGTAGTGCCATGTTCTGCTCTGTACCGCCCCTCTTTGTCCTCGTCGTAGTCGCGACCGAAGAACAGCGAGGTTGCTCGCTCGACTGCCGGCAGCGATAAAAAAAGAAAGCGCGGCTGGCTTGTGCGCATCGACGACGCGCCCTGCTTCCCCCTCTCTCTTCTACAAAAGTCTACCACCGACAAGCGATGGACGACGTCACGCCCGAGACGGCCGCGCGATATCGCCAGGCTGAGGTGCAATTACAATTGTGAGCCGAAGACCCTTATCCCTCTTCCAAAGAGCCTCTCCGGTCTGACTGAACAATCTTCTCCCGGTGCAGCTCGCAGCTGGGCCTGCCGGGCAACTGCCCTTCGGGCGTCTACCTGGCGCCGACGGAGCACGACGACGAGCTCAGCGGCGTTCTCTTTGTCCATCGCGGCTACTATGCCGGTGCAGTTCTGCGCTTCCGGCTTGTGCTGCCCCTCGCCTTTCCCAGTCGAGCGCCCCTCGTCTTTTTTGAGGGCAACCACCTGATACACCCCCTTGTCGACGCGCGAAACTCGAGGATGCTCATCGCCGCCGGCTTCCCCAGCTGGGATCCGAGGCGCGACAGCCTCTCGAGGCTCCTCTGGTTCATCAAGGGCGCTTTCAAGAGGTTCGAGCTCGACAAGCTCAGTGATGGCGTCGTCGCCAACGAGGAGTCATGGAGGTGCAGTGCCGGTCTGCTTGATTTGGTCGCCGCTTTGCTGCTCAGGACTAAATTAAAGATACGCACAGGCTCTACCGGTCCAATCGGCCGCTGTTCGCCAAGCTGGCCTCGCAGTGCGCCACCGTCTCGAGCAATCAGTCGACGCTCTTTGGCCGCCATGTCGACGGCCACGAGCTGGGGAGTGAGGCTGAGGCGCAGCGGCAGACGAGCAAAGAGGCAATCGCCTTTTCCAAGGTCGAGGACCAGGACATGGCAAGAATGCGAAGGCAAATCTTTCAAGAGGGATACCATTAGCTTGAGGACAACAACAGAGCTCAGACATGTAACAGTATTGGAAACGAGAATGACTATAGTATACCGGTGCTTTGCAAGTCTCGATGCTGGAAAATGAGTGCGTCTTTCTTTCTCTCTCTTTATGACTACCTCACGGCTAGCCAACTCTCCTTCGATAGCGGCCATAGAGATCATCCACAAAGGATGGATCAGTCTGATTGTAGGGCAAGTCAGTCAGATGGAAGAAAGAGAAAAGCACTTAGAAGCCGACTCACATGAATCAGCGACAACACCTCTCGAACAAAGTCTCGTCGCTCCAACACTTCGCCGCCCTCCGGCCTGCCCTTTGCCACCATGGCCTCATTGGTGATCTCGCTGGCCAGAGCGGGTGTCAAGAGCACTCCGTCTTTGGCGGTGTCTGACTTGAGATTGGCTTTTTGCATGAGAGCCTCTATGCCATTTGCGCTCGTCTTCGAGCTTGGCTGCTGTGCCGGGGGAGGAGCGGGCTGCGGTGATGCTGACGGACCCAGACCCAGCAGGGCCCTCAGGCCTGCGGCGTCGTCCTTTTGCGCAGGTGCAGAGGGCGCAGGCGCCTCCTGCGGCTGACGATGCGCCACAGGAGGGTTCGGGGACTGCACACTCTGAAACATCGAGTCGAGCAGCGCCAGCCCATTCGGTCTGTTGGAATCAGCCACGGGCGGTGCGGGAGCAGGAGCAGCTGGAGCCGCCTTTGCTACTGCAGGAGAGGGATTAGCTGCCACAGTGCCGAAGAGAGCGTCCAAATTGATCGACTTGCCCGCCTGCTGAGACGGTGCAAGGGACGGTGCAGACATCGAATCATCAACACCCGCAGCGTGGGCCACTGAGATGGCCTGGGCGTTTTCGTCGAGCGGCGTCTGCTGGAGCCTACACACGTACCAAAACGGGTATTAGCCAGGATGCAGGTCCGTCCTGCCTATGAATGCACTGCTCACATCACCATCTGCTCCCCCACGCTGTCCCGCTGGCCAGGCTCAAACACCCAGATGCCGTAGGTGTCATCGTCATCTTCATCGGTTTCGGCAACGGCTCGTAAGCGTCTACCTGTGTATGAGTGAAGACAGAAAGACATTACACACCTGATCGCCCTGATCGATAGATGATGAATTCTGGAGTGAGATCCAGGTCATCGTCGGGCGTTAAGTCGGCTGAAAAGTTCTCGACGCCATTGCGATTGAGGATGAAGAAGCCATATGGAGGTGATGTATTTCTGCAGGTCACGCATAAGTTTGCGCTTTCCAGGCATCGTTAGAGAAGCTGGATTCCCACCTTCGATAGAGGAACATGGGGCCTTCGATGCCAGTCTTTGTCTACCAGTACGACGCGGTGAGCGACAACGAACCCTGGCGGAAAAGAAAGGCTCGACTGCTCACTCACCCACTCGCCATCGTGCGCATACAGAACGACAAAGGACGCAGACTCGATGATGTCGTCGATGTGCGGGTCATGTCGCCGCAACACCTTCATGTTGAAGGCCATCCGAGCTGCAGCGTCCATCGTGGATGCCAATTTTCTCTCGTCGATGGTTTTGCAAAGCCAAAGCGCAGATGGTCCGAGCGGCTTGAAAGAACGGTCGACGCCAAAAGCCAAGCGCGCCACGCGTGGCAAAGTCGAGGCTCACGCCGTCTTTATGTTCTTCATTCATCCCACCGTCATCTCGAATGTTCTGACCTTAGACGCTTTACTTTGTCCCTTTCGTTCGGGCGCTTATCAACATGACGAGATCCATTCCTCCTTTTACTGTGACCTTGGAAGGTTGCTGTGAAGATTTCGACCGGTCCCTCAAGACCATCCAGACGACGAAGGTCAAAGGCCCTCTGTACACTTTCCACAGCTTCTTGTCCAAGTCGTTCTTCGCCGGGGTGAGGAAATGTTCTCTCACCTCACCTCCTCCCCTCTATTTTAGCCCCTTTTCTCTCACTCTGAATCTGAGGTCGTACTCATCTTGGCCTCCACTCACTGCTGCCATTCCTTTTCCATAGGTGCAGGCAGTCTCGGAAAGTAGTCATGTCGGAGCCATCGAGCCTTTGAACAAGCTGGGCAACTTGCTGGTGAAGGAAGAGCAATTTAAGCAGCTATTCTTGACGCAACCCGTCGCGTACACAAACGCATTCCATGCCTTCCAAAAGCTCGCCCTCCTCTTCGTCCTACCGTCTCTGTATGCAGCCTGGAATGATATCGGCAAAGACTCAAGCAAGGCTAAATTGTACTTTCCTGATTCGACCGTGGACGGGCGTCAGAAAGCTGTGGACGTAGCTAGAAGGTGGCAACTCGTCCTTCGCAGCCTCAATGACAGGATCATGGACGGCACAAAGCAGCTGAGGAGTGCAAAGAGGATGGGCGAGTTCAGCGAGGGTCTGTGTCGCTTGAGGCAAGCTGCACAAGGCTGAGGCTGACCACTTATCCTTGCTGAGCTGCAGCTTTCTCTGTCGCATCTGTCATTGTCGAGCTTTACGCTGACAGCATGCAGTGCATTGCCGAAGATCACATAGCCTATCTCGACAACATTCTCGACCCGGACACAAATCTCAGCATGAATGTGAGTCATCTCGACCTCCTTTGAGGCCGTTACATCTGCTGATGATGGCTCCTCGGAAGCTTTCCGAGTTTATTCTCACCTTGTCGAGGATGAGCAAGGAGGTGAAAGGAAGAGCTCCTCGACCGTGAGCTTCATGGGACTCACTCCCTATTTACGCCTAACCAATTCCCCCGTTCAACAGTGAAAGTCTCGGTATTCTGATTGGTAGGACGCAGCGTGAGTGATGCCTACGTCACGGCTTGTGCATTCTTCTAACGATCCGTCATGCAGTGCCGTCGTGTACCTTGGACATGATGGAGGCGGCCTTCCGGTTCCATAAGAACATTGAAAGGAAGGCAGAGAGACGGCAGAGTTACGCCGAGCTCTTCCGAAGCACTGGCCTCTCACACACTGCGGTCGAGGAGTTCGCGCAAAAATTTATGGCCGTCCGCTCTAGAAGTCTCGACAAGCTGCTCTTCAACTTCCTCTCGAGGCTTGTACAGGAAGATGGGGATGCGTGAGTAACGCCTGGATTGCTACTGCGCCACTCTACTGACTTGCTCTTTATGGAAGAGCACAACTTGTCGAGGTTGAGGGCATCTTCTTTGGACCCAACAAAGAGACTCTGGAGCTTGCCGGAACGAGCAATGCAGGGGTTCATGAAATGTGGTTGGCTCGTCGTGCAATCGAGCTCAAGTACCGCCTACCTGTAGGTGTTTCACATCGTGTTTGATGGCACTCTCATATGTTTATGCGCATTTCCCGACCCCAGGACCGCTACTTCGCCAGGCTCGTTCTTCGAATGAGCAATATCGAAACCTTCCATTGCAGTTTCCGTAATAGTACGTTGCTCACAACGGTGCTCTGATCTTTCTCACTGACCTGAAATGACTCTTAGATGAGTTCGTCTTGATGCTCCTGCTGTCGGAGTCGAGCGAGCTGGAGAAGCAGCTCGAAAGAAAGGTCGACAATACGGTCGCAATCAAGTTATGTGGCAAGGCCGCTTTCGACGAAGTCCAGACTGTTCTCAGTGAGAGGGGAGTCCCCGTCACAGTGTCTTCATGGGACGTACTCGACGAAGACGGCGTTCCAAGGGGCATGCAGCTTAGCTCTTCGGGTCGGCCGAAAGGAGCACTCGAGGACTGCTTGATGACCAAAGCATTGAACCGCTATCACAGCACCGCCAGCTCGACTGCCGCCGTCACTGCATCGCTACGTGGCTCTGCGCAAGGATCGGATGATGAGGATGAAGACGTCTCACAGCGCGCTACCAGCTCTCCTGCCCGCTTCACAGACCGCTTTGAAGGCAAGGGTGAGCCTATCAAGATTTCTGTCAAAATTAGATTCTTACTGTCTTGACAGGTGCTAAGACGCCAACAAGCACCAAAGACGCAAACTCTGAAGCAGAAGTGCCTAGCAATATGGACGTTGAATGCCCCAAATTACCGGAGGGAGAAAAGGACGAGTCCACAGGAGGGGAGAAGGGCGAAGCTAAAAGAGAAGACATCCATCCCTTGGCCTCCAAAGAAGTAGCGTATGTTGTTGTGGAGACCGAGGCAGAAGAGATTTCCAACTCGCTTGAGCTTCCGGTATGTGGGCCATCACACACATGCTCGTGCTTATGAAAGCTCAAGAAAGCCTCTCAGGGTCAGTCACGAGGGAGAGATAGGACCACGTATCGCTCGCCAAAGAAGAAGCCAGGAGAAATCAAGAGTGGGAGGGCGCGTGCGGTGAGTGCGAAGAAGCCCATCACGTCCAACGCTGTACACGACGGGAAGGTCGACGCTGCCATCGCGAAGAAAGAGACGCGCGAAGATCTCTCGTCCGATTACTCGGGGCAAGACATCACGTCTCCCCCTACTTCTCCTCTGGCCAGGAAAGAGTGGTCACGACCGAAAGCAGTCCCCCTCGCTCTCAGCAAAGAGCAAAAGAGAAATATACAGTCTGTCCTCGAGCACAGTGATCTTTTCCCACCGGAACTAGGATTACAAGTTAAGGACGTCGTGGATTCTGAAGCTTCTAAACATAACCAGGAGCCGTCATCGAAGCTTCACATTGTCAACAAGTCGGAATTGACACCCAAGAATCGAGCACCAAAGGGCGAACACAATTCAAGGGGGAGGACCGCCAAAGGTAAAGGGGATACTGGGACCCTAGGTAATTCTAGGGTTGCAATACAGCAAACTCTGGTCTCACAAAAAGCCCATGGATCCCAAGACATTTCTTGCACTCGACGCAGGCAAAAGATGTCGACCAAGAGTGATGCTCAAAATGACTCAAAGGCGGCGAACAATATCGCCAGAGCAGGTGACGTCAATCGGAAGAGGGAATCTGCGCGCCAAAAGGGCAAGGTAGCTCCTAGCTACGTCGAAGAACGTGAGGACGCGTTCGACGACGAAGACTCATCCACTGAAGATGAGGCAACCACCAGGACTGAGCGAAAGGAGGTCAATGCCTCTGAGCCGTCTAAGCCTGCGCAGATCAGTGTTGCTGCGGAGGGAAGTAAGTGCAGGTCAAGCCCTCAGAAACCAGCGACAGCATCATGGATGGGAACACGCACTGCGAAAAGTATCGAGAAAAGAAACGAAGATCATGTCGCCTTGGAAGAGCTGAAGTCTATGGCGGATGTCAGTCCCGTAGTGAAGAAGCCCGTGAAGCCCAAACAAGCAACATCACCGAAAGATGCGCAAGGATCAGAGAACTACGTCAGGGACCTCGGCTACAAGCGATCTACAGATGCTGACGAAGCTGATAGCGCCAGAAATGTAGAAATCCCCTCGAGAAAGGTGAAAGTAAACACCAGAGCTCCAGATAAGGAAGCCGAAACTTGTCTAGCCGAAGAAAGGAATGGATTCTGCCGTGTGGACAACTCTGAAGTCAACGAGCAAGTCAGCGACCCTAACTCGAAGATCATATGCGGTATCTCCAGCGTACGTTCCATAAAGGACGAAGCTTTTCAGCGATCAGGCGGTGAGCATTTGCGTCCAGACTAAGCAAGCACCAAGCTGAGATCTCTTTTCAATTGTTTCCCTGAAGAAGGGGAGATCTCCTTTGTCCCGATGGATGTCGACAAAGACTCCAGCATCAAGAGGACCGATGATGGAAAGCATCAAAAGCCGACGGACCGCACTGTCATTGCGGAAAAGGCCGAACGAGCCGAACAATTCGCAAATTCCAGTAATTCCCAGATTGAAGGCCATCCGCACGAGACTGAAATCGTTACGGTCATGGAAGTTGATGGCGTCAATGCAGGCTTGGATGACAATTTTGTCTTTGAGGAGGACCGCCATCTGCAGAAGCCAAAAGACGATATGCTTTCCGCCGGTCAATCGCAACGCATAGCTGTCGAAAGGTTCAAGACGGATGAAAAGTCAGGGAACTCACAGGATATTTCACGAAAAAGAGGTCAACCTGGGACATCGCCCTACCAGCCTTCTGCTCAAAATGAAGAAGAAGAACGTATTGCAATTTCCGAGAAGTCACGCACTACGCCCTTAAACCCAATGCCTCATGCAGTCAAGAGCCTGAACAAGGAAGTTCCCAAGTCTCACAGAAAGGCAAAAGAGTTGACAAAAACAGATCAGCGCCAAGATACAGAGCAGGTTGCTCCTCCAGGCTGGCCCGAAGCCACACAAGCCAGAACTGTTGTGCAAGGTCCCGTCACGCAGAACAAGCAAGCTCGCAATCCACGCGTAGATCAGGAGGAAAGGAGACGGACGAGCTCCTCGTTATGGCTCCCCAGCAGCAGAGGTTCGGCGATCCCTTTTCCTTCTCAGACCGCAGCTCTCGCAAACGGACGCAACATCACGATCGAAGAGGCAGGACGTAGCTTCAGCGAATCACTAATTCCTCTTTTGAAAAGCGCAATTGTGGGCTGGAAGCGAAGTAATGGTGAGAACGATGCCGATGACGGCGGGATCAGTAGATGCAAGAGGAAGAGGGACCCCAAGGGAGATGCTCCACGCGTCAACGAGGGCGAAAGGCTAGAACAACGGAACAATGAGGGGGGAATCAAAGAGCAGATAGTCGACATCGGTAGCGAGCTGATGAAGGTGAGCTTAGCTGCAACCCTTTCGATCTCTTTGGCAAGTCTGACTTTGCGCTCGATCTAACAGGGCTTTGCGGAGTCAATCTGCTCCGAAGATAAAGAGGGACGGTCGAGGCTCGAAAAGGCGATTCGCACGTGGTGGAAGACGCTCTCCCAACAAATCCAAGCGCACGTCGTCAATGGGTAGGTCTATCGTCGTATCTCTCTGCTTGAAGCTGAGATCAAACTTTATCCTCTGGGTGCAGACTCGTCTTTATCCCTGGCATAAGACAGCAAAAGCACGACTTTGTCGACAAACTCGAAGTCGCTATCAGGATCAACGAAGAAGTACAGGAGCAGACGTCGTCTCTCACAGCGCTCGCAACCTTCAATTACAGCAACATCAAAGAAGCGGAAGATTGGCTTCCTAGGTCTCTCTTTTGAACAAAACAAATTCTCACCCTCATGTAAATTCCGTTACAATTCCGAAGACAAGAGGGGAAGCGCCTCTCGACCTTTACTCGTCTCGATAAAGTCCGGTGCACCGTAGCCACCTTCAAACTCAGCCGGTCAGCCAAAACACTCTGAGCTCTTCGCGGAAATGTCCATGAGACTTTGACGTGTGGCGGTGTGCAGCTGTGCAACGACAGCGTCTGTACTTGTGTGACCCACATGATACGCCTAGATCTGGACGGCTTTTGCATCTAAAGTACTTTTGAGTGTCGGTGTATATGCATTGCGTTATTATATTTCCGACTCTCACGTACTGTCTCGTTGCATCAAGTAATGCCGCTCTTGCGCTGGCCACTCTGCAGAAAAAGAATAAGGAGAGTCGTGCGACACCCGCCAAGCAAAGCGGGAGAGGGGCTGTGGTCATCTAAAGATTGTCATAAGTAACTGGACTGACAAGATCGGCTAAATACCAATCGCAAGAGACAAGGGTACGCGGAGCTGATTTGTCACGGTTGTTCCCAACATCGGCCGTCGCTTCATGACCCCACTCGCACTTGACCAGGCAAGAAACCGTCATCGGCCGGATTGACCCTTCCGGGATGGCAGGGACGGGATGATTGGTTTAGCCGAATGTGGCGCGCAGCGCGTCCTCCCCCCTCCCACTTGCTTCAGCGCAGCAAGGAGTGTGCGCCTCTCGAGATAGATGAAGGCAACTCAAAAAAGATCACTTTACTCGTACGAATGCCGGGTGAACTGTCTCCCTCGTCTCTGAGCTGCAGTAGTGGTACGCCGCTTGCTGTCTAGCCACCCCAGAATACTTTGCCCAGGATCAAATTAACACTTGATTGTATCGAGATAGTTGTCCTGCACGTTCCTCCACCCCCGCAATTTCTGCCTGGCTTGGGTGTCATACTACTACTAGCTAGTGCTAACTACTAGCTGTTACGTATAATGTATGTGTTGCGCGCTGAGGCAAGGAAGGTACAGTAGTCGATAAATTAAAGTTGTCCTGCCTACATTTATTTTTTCTTCTTCTGTCTGTCCGTTGTACCCGACCACACTCTCTCTTGGCTTGGCCACCCCTGTGGCATCAGGCGGAGGGTTGGGTACAGGCGCTAATCAATTGCCGCATAGAATTCGTGCCGACACGATCACATGGGGCCCTCTTTTCTCATTCGGTGGTGGCCCCAAAGCCTAAATGAGCTTTGAGATCATGTGTGAATCTGGCTCCGCTCATCATCTTACTGGCCAGTCTCGAAACCTCTTGCCTCCTGCTGCTTCGGGCCGGCCACCAATACGCTAGTTCTGGACGGAGTTGCTTCTCTCCTCTATCGCGTGCTTGGGTGGCAAAGGAGAACAACAACAACAACAACAACAACGACGAAGATAACGACACAGGGGGCGAGCGTTTGTCCGTATCCCCCCGAAGTGGTACTCCTCTCGAGCTAAGCAACGGGTGAAACAGGACAGATTGGTGTCACACTACACACACACTCAATCTTCTCATTCCTCTCCTCCTTCCCTGCTCCAGCAAGGCGAGGCGTGAGGAGGTGGGGGCATGACGGCAGGCGAAGATCCTTACACATCTTTCTCCACAAATAAGAAGGGCAAAAGTGCTGCTCCGCTAAGGATCTATCGAATCACGACCCACTCGCTCGGTGTGCGGCGACTCATCAGACGCTCGACTGGATACTCTTTTCTCTGTCATCTTGACCCAGGCCTTCTTTTGTGTTTGATTGGTTTACCCCACTCGGCCTCCGAAGAGAATACACATCTTTTCTTCGAAGGGGAGACCAGACGATTCCAGAACAACTCGTAGCATACCACTATCGTCCAACAAATGCAGCAGCAAAAGGAAGTCTCGGTGGTCACTAGCAGCCCAGTCATCGGCGGCGAGGAGGAGGAGGAAGAATCGGCCGTCGACAGCTTCAGCAGCGTTGGTGACGGTGTAGGCGCTCGAGACAAGGCCGTTGAAATGGCTTGGCTCCGCTTCGATGCTGAGTCGCCTTTCATCAGCTTCGATTTGCCATCCGGGACGCCGTCAGACGCTCCCCGAGCTTTCTTTAACGATGCCAATAATGGACTTTCGTTTGAGGAACAAGAGTCGTGGCCATCGAATAGTAGCAGCGAAGCCACCCTGAGCAGGCGGCCGACGTCTGCCTCTGCCTCTGCATCTGCCTCTGCCTCTGCCTCTGCCTCGGCTTCAGCGTCAGCTTCTGCTTCCGCTTCAGTGTCGACATCGGAAAGTAACGGTATCTCCCCTAATCCTGCAACCTTCAGTAGCAGAAACGGCAACAATAATGCCAAGAACAAGCGAAAGTCGTCGAGCGGGACACCAAATGAAGAGCCCGAATTGAAAGAGGAGAAAGAGGGCGTCCACAGACAGCAATCTGTAGGGAAGAAAGCGGGGTCGATGTCGAGGAGTCGGTCGAGAAACGCCAAGCAAACGTCTCCAGACAGCGTCCGCTCTTTACTCGCAGACGCCCTTGGGCTGGAGGGTGTTGGAGGAGGGAAGGGAGGTGGATTAGGACAGCAAGGGGGAGGAGGAGGAGGAGGAAAGGTGCCAACAGTGCGGACAAGGCCGAGCAGGAGGGCAACCGTCGGACCTGCCGCTCAAGCAGCGGCGCAAGCCTCCGTTCATCAGCATCTCCGCATTGATGCAAAGGGGGCCGCCGAGGCTGCTGGGCCAACGGGCGCACAATGGTCCGCTGGCCGTGCAAGGTCCTCTTCGAGAGGTGCCGCTCTCTCGCCTTCTTCCGCTCGATCCTTGCCTGCCACTGACGAACGACAACACGCATCTGCTTGGCCGCCACCACCGAGTCCGGCCATTGGTGGGAGCATGAGTCTCCAAGACTACCTCAAGCAACCTCAGGGTATGTTTGACGACCTTTGATCACAGAGAGCTCATCAGCTAATGTATAGGATCTTGCAAAGGGGCGGCTTGGGCTCAGCATTTTCGCCGCCATTTCGAAAATACGCCGGCTTCCTCTCAACGGCACCAGCAACAAGCGTCACAATCCGTGCCGATGACAAGCTCGCCGACTTTTAATTCCGATCCGTGGATGTTGCAACCTTCGCCATGGCCGAGCCCACATATTCAACAGAACCAGCAGCCTATGAATGCTCAGACAGAAGCCAGTCAGCTCGTCGCCCAACTGATGGCCGGTCGTGCAGCTGGATCAGAGACTGAACTCGTCCAGACGCTTCAAGCAGCATTCGTCTTGGGATTGCAGCATCTTGGTTTGACTTCTTCTCCCTCGAGCAGCGTCCGAGAAGCTGCTCCCCCCGAGCCTGCTTCTCTTGCAGCGCAAGCTTCCGTGCCCCCGCCTTCTGCTATGCTGCATACCACCTCCTCGATTCCCGCTTCGTCATCGATGGAGCCGGCGATGGCGCCCGCGATGAGTAATGCAGCAGACTTGAGCCTTGAGCAGTTTCTCAACTCAATTGCCAGCACCCTGACACCTCAAGAGGAAACCCGCCCAATTAATCATGGCAACGCATCCGCGTCCGATAACGGGAATGAGATGGACCGTACCCCTTCTTCCGACCGGCACCATCGTAAGAATACTCTCGAGACGGCCAGGAATCGAACGACATCGATCAGCACTCGTCTCCAGACGACGCACCTCGACGATGTCATGGAGATGTGCTCCGAGGCGGGAAGTGCGAACGGTGACAGTAAAGCCCGAAAAGAGCGAAAAAATGCGTTGAAGCATGCGACAGAGAACGATCTCCCTTCGGCGTCTGTCCTCGGCGATGAGGAAGAAGATTGCGCAGCAGACTCAGCCGACGCCGACGACGAGGAAGCCCCTCTGTCGACTCCGTTTGAGCCAACCACGACTGCTGAAGCTCCCTCATGGGGCAAAGAGGCAGTGACGAGCAAAAGCAACGAGGGCGCCAAGCCGACAAATGCGGAGGCCACGGCCAAAAAACTTGCCGAGAGACGTCGAAAGCGTAGAGAGTCACACAACGCCGTCGAGCGTCGTCGTCGGGATCACATCAACGAACGCATCGCCGAGCTGGCTTCCCTCCTTCCCGAGTCGATGCTCCTCGATGCCATTGCCGCGTCAACGGCCGGTGGTAACTATGCCCACATCGACCTCTCACTTTTTGCTTCCAAGAAGGCACAGGCAAAGAGCGAGGAGACTTCCACGTCGGTAGAAGATCTGAAGCCAAAGACAGAGTTGGAGAGGCAAGCAGAGGCCCTCGCTCCGGTTTCAGCTCACAGTGATACGCTGGCGGCGGCGCAAGCGAAACCAAACAAGGGCATCATCCTCACGAAGGCTTGCGAATACACCAAGATCCTTCACGACTTTTGCGAGCGGCTCAGGAAGCGGAACAAGGAGCTCGAGGAGGAGAATACCAGGTTGAGGGATGAGGCTATGATGATGGGTGTCAGGCACCCAGAACAGCAATCCATGCAGCACACGGTTCCCGACTGGGTCTTTGCGGCGCCAACTCTATCGGTGTCTGGGCAAGGAGAGCAGCAGCAACAGCAACAACCACAACCACAACAGCACCAACATCAGCAACAACAGCCGCAACAACAACAGCAGCAACAACAACAGCAGCAACAACAACAACGACAACAACCGACGCCCTCTTTTATGGAGCTCATTAGTCTTGGCGTCAGCAGCCTTGCTGCCATTGGCCGACAACAGCAACAGCAGCAACAGCAAACGAATCAGCATCCGCCTGTGTTGCCCACAAATCCTCCCACGCTGGCAGATTGGCTGTCCTTTGGCCATGCGAGGAGGGAGTCAGCTACAGCCGCTCCAGCCTCTTCCGGAGGTCCGCCAACAGCACCGGCTCATTTTGACGCCTCCTCTTCCTCATGCGTCAGCTCGACTTCGCGCCCGAATTCCCTCGCTTCTCCACCCCCTTCAACTGCTTCTTCCAACACTTCCGCCGCTTCTACAACGTTGCTACCTCCAGGCTGGGAGGGTAACGCGGCCTTGAAAGTCAAGAAGGAAAATGAGTGTGCCTTTGAAGACGGGGAGACCGGCACACCGATGGAAGAATGATCCTGAAGATGCGCTGCCCTTTCCCATCATGCTACTAATCGTCGTGGCTCATTTCGCTACTGTAAAAATAGTACCGGTATCCAGAACCCTCACATGCATGAGCCTCATTGTCCAATCTCTGATATGTGATGTATTTCTTTTGCAGCAGGCTATGCGTCTGATGAGGTGGACAAGGGAGGACAGTGCCACAATCATTTCTTGAGTTGGTTCCTCTGCCGCTTCTTGAAGCGCTCGACGGCAGCATCGTCGGTTGCCATCTGGAAGTTTGACCTCTTCGCCGGCTCATTGTGCGCCCCGCCTCCTCCCCGAGAGGGAGGCAGAGGTTTCTTGCCTTGCAGACCATCTTCTTCGACTTCGTCCTCGTCATAATCGTAGTCTTCGAGCATGCCCGCTTCGCGACGAGCGGCCTCCAGGGCCTCGGCATCCGTCTGAACTGTGTTTCGATGTCGGAAGAAGCGAGCCGCGGCGTACTGATCATCCTCCTCAAATGGATGGGCGACTCGGTTGCGCCGCGCTTCCTCCATCGCCCGCTTCGCCTTCTCCGTCTCTTGGATGTTCTTGAGTCGATGGGTCATGCCAAGATCGACTTCTGGCACGCTCGTCAGCATCGCCGAGCTCAAGGTGACGTTGCCCTCCTCTTCTTCTGCCTCCTTCTCCTCCTTCTCACGCCTTTGCTCCTTGCCCTCTTCGCCGTGGTGCAAAGTTGGTGGAGCCCTTCCCTTGGCCAATGCAATGGCCTCCTTTGCGCTCTGCTGCAGTGTCCGGTACTTTTCTGCAATCTCGTACAGCTCGTCTTCCGGATTGGAGAGGACCGTCTGCAGAGCGGCTTCGCCGGTCGGCGCACTTGATGATGTGGAAGAATTCGACGCAGCAGCAGCCTCCCGACGTTTGCGCATCTCCTCTTCGATGTAAGCCATCATGTGCTTATCCACATCCACGGTGCCCGTCTCGCCCTGGAAATTATTTTGCTTGACCAAGCGGGGACCGGATGCCTTCTTGCGCTCTTCTTCATCCTCGTCGTCTTCGTCGTCGTCCGAGTCACTCCCTTGTCCTTTCTCATCTTTGGTCGACTTTCCCGACACTTCGCTAAGCATGCCTCTCGTGACGAGGCCACCTCGCTGCATTTGCTCCTGCCATCGGTCCTCTTCTGTCTGTTGCTTTTTAGCAGCCACGTCCTCTTGCTTCTTCTTTTTCTTCTTCTTGGCGTTTTGACCCTTGTTGAGCCTGTCCAGGTCGATTCCGCGCGGTTTCTGGCGGAGGGCATGCAGCGCAACGAGGTCCGAGAGCGACACATCATTGTCTCTGCGGGCTAAGTGGGTCAGCTTTTAAAGATCCCGAGTCCTCCCCTCTCTCTTCCTTACCTCGGATCTTCTTCGTCCTCAGCTTGCCTTAATTCGGATGTAGCGTTCGACTCCTGGGGTTGGGTCTGGTTCGATACTGCATGACGCGGCCTGGATCCTCGCTTCTTGAAGACGGGTACCGTTGATGGACCTGGCTCAGGCCCCTCTTCATCGGACATCTCCGATTTGCCTTTGGCTAATGCTAGTAGTAGTAGTAGTGGAAGAAGTGAGCAAAATAGCAAGTGATGGTGGAGGGGGGGGGGGGGGGAACATCACGTGGCGAAAACCATTCCAAGAGCGACCCGTGCACATCTTCCTCCTCACCAACGAGAGCAAACAACGACGACGAGATGGCACCTGTCGCCACAGCCTCTGCTTCGAATGGCACCACGCCTTCCTCATCGTACACGCCACCGCCGATATTCGACATTGGCGAGCGGCAGAGCAGCGCAGCAGGCGAAGGCATCAGCACAAGAGAGTACGCCGGTAGCTCGTGGAAGGCTCAAGGGGCGCCCTTGATCATTGACAATGGTCAGTCTTTCACCAGGTTGTAGACATCTGAGAAAGAGGGTGAATGCTGACGGCGTGAGTCTGAGCAGGATCATCAGAGCTCCGAGCCGGCTTCGCCACATCCGACACAAAAGGGCCCGCCTTTGCTTTCGACAATGTCATTTCCAAATTCAAGGATCGTAAACGGGGCACCAGCTACCTCCTCGCGGGGTCTGATTGCTACCTCGACGCCTCCAGCCGAAGCTCAATGCGCAGCTCGTTTGATACCGACGTTGTGACAAACTTTGACGTCATGGAAAACGTCTTGGACCACACCTTCGTTAAGCTCGGCATCAACGAGTCGACCGTGGCCCATCCTATACTCATGACCGAGACGCTCTGCAACCCGGCACACAGCCGAACGCTCATGTCGGAGCTTCTCTTTGAGAACTATGGTGTGCCTTCGGTCTGTTATGGCCTCGACTCGCTCTTTTCCGCGTACCAAAACAACGTCAGGGATGGCTTGGTGGTCTCATCGGGGAAGACGAGCACGACTGTGGTTCCGCTGCTAGACGGGCGCGGCTTGATAGACTTCTCAAAGAGGTAAGTGATCCCTCAGAAACCATCTGGATGCTCGGAGACGTTTTGCTTACCGGAGAGCCGAAATCAAAAAAGGCTCAATTGGGGAGGGTCACTCGCTACAGAACACCTACTTCGACTGGTTCAGCTCAAGTATCCTTCCTTTCCAACGCGTGTCACCGCCTCACAGAGCGCATGGATGCTCGAGAACATGTGCTACGTGTATGCGGGCGATGACACATACGAGGAATTCGTTGGTCGACTGGCGCGGCCCTCGGAGCTAGCAAGGGAGGATCGGGTCGTGCAATTTCCCTTTACCGTCGAGGCGAAGGAGGAAAAGACGGCCGAGGAGCTCGAAGCAATCGCTGAGAGGAAGCGAGAGGCGGGCAGGAGGCTGCAGGAGCAGGCTCAGCGGACGCGGCTGGAGAAGATGATGCAAAAAGAGAACGACCTGCAGTACTATGCTAAGCTCAAAGAATGGAGGAACAAGGAGCGCAAAGCAGAGTACCTCAAGCGACTCGAGTCGGAGGGCTTCAAGTCGGAGCAGGACCTCGAGAACACCATCAAGAAGATCGAAGTGGCGCTCAAGAAGGGTAGAGCGAAGCAGCTTGGCGAAGAAGGAGAGGAGGTAGAGGCGGTCGAGGAGCCAACTTTCCCGCTCGTCGATATCCCAGACCACGAACTGGATGAAGAGCGGCTCAAGGAGAAGCGCAAGCAGCGGCTGATGAAGGCCGGCTATGAGGCACGCAAGCGCGCAAAAGCAGAAAAGGCCGAAGAGGAACGCCTTAAGGCAGAAGAGCTTAGACTAGATGAAGAGGAACGCATCAACGATCCGCGGGCGTGGGCAGAAAAGAAGCGCAAGATCTACGAGGAATCTATCAGCCGAATCCGCGACAAGAAGAGAAAAAAGGAGATGCTGTCGGATAGAAAGAGTCTGGCGGCGCAGCAGCGCATGAAGAATATCACCAGCCTCGCCAGCGATCAGCCCACGGGCTCTCGCAAGCGGAGAAAAGGTGGTGACGAGGACACGTTTGGGGCTGACGATGACGACTGGGCCATCTACCGCGAGATCCGAGGCGAGGATGATTCGGAGGAAGAGGAAGATGAAGCGACGGCCATGGCTGCGCTCGAGAAGCGGCTGCTGGAGCACGACTCGACATTTACCGAGGAGGACACGTGGGAAGCTCAACAGGCTCGCAAGAACAAGCTCACCATGACGTTCCTGAGGGGTGAACACCCGAAGTGGGATCCCGAAGATGTCGGGCAGCAGCATCAGATCCACCTAAACATTGAACGGACACGGGTGGCCGAGGTCTTATGGCAGCCGAGCAAGGCCGGTGTCGACCAGGCGGGCATCGACGAGCTGTGTGCATTGATCCTGCGCAACTTTGACCTGGAGCCGAGGCGGAAGCTGGCCACAAACATCTTTGTCACGGGCCAACATACCCAGTATCCCCACTTTGACACCCGGCTCATGCGCTCGATTCAGAGCACGCAGCCCGTGGACATGGGCGTGCGTGTCATCCGTGCAAAGGATGTCCGCTTCGATGCGTGGAGGGGCATGGCCAAATGGGCCTCGAAGGAGGCTGACGAGTTCCGAAGGGTGTCCGTTTCAAAGCAGGAGTGGATGGAAAAGGGCCCCGACTGGTTCAAGGACCATCGCTTCGCCGCGGCTATGCAGCCGTGAGGGTCGGACTGTTCACGCGCGCCTTTTCATTGTCACGCCTGCTGGGAGGTCCTCTGCCATGGAGGAGGCTGGCATTTTGCCTCTTGTACACATAATGTCACAACACATGCTGAGAATCCATCATTACCTGGAGAATACAACGTCTTGTACAAAAGAGGCGGAAGAGACAGCATCTGCGGGTCCTCGACGCCTTGGTGGTGTTACACGACTTAATATACACTGTCCGCACTGGACAACGTTTCTTGATACCTTACCATCTTGAATGCGCCCCGAGGAGGAGAGCAGCTATATCAACCTGGATGACGCCGTCGCATGTGACTCAGGCGTGTTCATCGATTTACGATGCCTGCCAATCAACGCCGGCTTGGAGAGCCTCGCCAAGCGAGTAGGGCTCCGTGAAATTTGTCGAAAGGAATTGAGCGTCGGGGGGCTGCGCTAGGATAGTCTCGAGAAGCGCCTCGTTGGAGAGGTCGCCGTCGGAGAGGCAGACGTCGTAGAGGAGGACCTTCATATTGGCGGCGCGCATGCTGCCGCGCTCCTGCATCAGCGAGAGGAGCGAGATGATCTCCATGAGATTGTTGGTGAGTCTACGCGGAGAGTAAGCCTCCGCCCACGGCCTCGCTGTCGTCGTCGTTCCCAGCCCACTCTCGTTGAGGTCACGGCCGAGGGTGGCAATGGTAAAGACGCGTGCGGCGCTGAAGAGTTGGTTGGTCGTCTTGGCAAGGGAGACGGCCTCCCTGCCATCCTCGACGAGCTGCCGCCTGCACAAGTATGTCAGTCTACAGCGGTGGGGCATTTGAGTCAGACAGGCACGCACAAGGGAGGTACGACCGTGAGAAAGGCTTCGGCAGCCACGAGGCTGGCGTTGCGCAGAGTAAAGCTCGCCGAGGTATCGCGAAGGAAGCGCATACCGACGATGCAGCGCATGTAGAGGAAGCCCGTGGCGATGGAGATGATGCGCAGCAGCCGGCGTGGCTCCAAGTGGCTGTAGCCGCTGCCGTGCTCGAACCCCTCCGACAGGGCCGGGTTTGCGCCTATCGCTGCCAGCGACTGGCGTGCTTGCTCTGAAAGCACAGCGAGCAGCGCTTCGCCCTCTGCATATCGTTCCTGGTTCGAAAAGAGATCGAAGCGATGCAGGTAGGTGTGGCAAGCATCGAGTGTATGCAGCTGGAGCATCATGGGAGTCGAGGGGCTGGGAAAGGTGAGACGGACGGCGGCAGGCGGGACTCCCAAGGGACGCATTTGGTTGAGCGCCATCCACCGATCCATATGGAGGATCTTCCAGGCGAGCAACTGACACCGTGGATCGGAAAATTGAGACTCTGGGGCGCACGCAGGGCGGAACAAGTCCACGGCCGCTCCCTTGCGCAGCGCTCTGCCCGTGGCCTCCCAGCATTCCTCTAAATCCTCATCAGCGGCACAGGAGATTGCGTGCAGCGCTTCGAAACGGATCTCCTCAATCGTCGCTGTGCCCCTCCGCCTCGAGGAAGCGCGGAGGCTGAGAGCGTAGTCGAGCCACAGTTGTCGGCTCTTGGCTAGGTCGAGATACGTGTCTCTGAGATCGTGCCGGCTGGGCACCTCGGCAGCAGCAAGGGACAGAATGAGAAAGTAGTTGGCCACCCACACCGGCGGCATGGACACTCCCTGCGACCACATCGCCTCGATCTCTTGCTCGAGTTGATCCATGTCGACAAATCCTTCGAGAACCTCGACCTGTAGATGAACGATTGAGCAGCTCTTCTTGGGCAGCCTTTGTAGGTAAACAGGGACAACACACAGTCTGGAAGAAGGCCAACAGTCTTCGACAGAGTGGAGGCGGGGGCAAGACATCGCTGAGCTGCGCCCAGGAAATGTCCGCGATCAGCGGTGGTGGCTGCGCTTGCGACCGAGGTTGCGCCCAAGGAAGAGGGCGGGTATGTGGTGAGCGAACATCCACCCATGTTGAGCTAGTGAGCGATGAGTCTGTCGGCCTCATCACAGCGGAGTCATTGCCGCCACCGCCTTGTGCGCTGCTGACAATGCTGCTCAGTCTCTGGTTGCTGCCTACGCTACTGGTACTGCTACTAGCGCTTCTGCTGCTCGCACTGTTATCGGCAAAGCTCCTGTCAAGGCCAGCGATAATGTGACGGCCATCACCCACGTAGAGGCATAGGTGACCGATGTTTCTCAGAACACAGTTGGAGCACGGCTCGTCCCTGCTGCACCTGCTTTTGCGCTTGCGACAAGGCTCGCAGCTCACTCGGATATTAGTCATGGTGTGTGTGTGTGTGGGTGTGCGATGCAAAGCCACCTACGAGAGCCGGCGCTAAGGCCACCTGAGACGCGTCCCTATCGCAAATAGCGCTTTCTTCTGCGTTAGGGTCCTTATCCCCTTATCGGACGCGCTTAGTCCAACTCCTGGCCCCCCTCTCCTTCCCCATATTCAACAACCCTCCTTTCTCTTTGAGAGAGGGACAGATACGCACCACAACCAGCTCGCACGATGGGTTCAGCCTCCTCGCGCCCTCAGCCAACGTCCTCGCTTGCTTCGGCTCCGAGCAGGGCCAGCAGCGGCTTCGAGAAAGCCAGCAGCAGCTCACCCCCGCCCTCCTCTGCAACCTTTTCGCTGCCAACGGGCCACCATGCTGCCGACCGCCTCCACCGCATCTCAGCCGAGGCTTTTGCTGGTACCAGCTCGCGCCGTGGCAGGCCGCTGAGCGACGTCAACGACAGCCTCGAAAAGTCCTCTGGCCGCGCCTATGCCACCGTCGACCTCGGTGCGGTCAAGGCATGGGACGCCGACGCTCTTGCCAAGCCAACGAGCCAGCTTGCCGCCATTACGCTTCACAACGGCGCCATTAATACCAGTCTCCGCAATCGCAGCTCCGAGACGAGCTCGCAGCATGTCTACAGCCACACTCTTAAGCGTGAGCAGCTGTGCCCCTACTTCTCCATGTCCTCTCGCTCACATCTTTTGCTCTCTCTCTCTCTCTCTCTCTCTCTCTCTCTCTCTCTCTCTCTCTCTCTCTCTCTTTTTCCGGCCCCTTTCCCTCTCCTTTCAGGCCAAGGGCTGCCCGTCACCAATCAAAAAAGCTCGGGCCGCTGTTGGCTGTTTGCGACTACGAATGTGAGTGCAAGCAGGCACGAGTGCCTCTCTCTGGTGATCAATCATGCTCAGTAACGAATGGATGCAGGTCGTGCGCGTCGAGGTCATGGAGAAGCTGAACCTCAAGGACTTTGAGCTCAGCCAATCCTACCTCTCTTTCTGGGACAAGGTGAGCCACAGGTATGGTTGCAAGCTTTGCTGGGAGTCGGCCTAATCACTTCTTCCTGCCCACACAAAGCTCGAGAAGAGCAACACTTTCCTCGAGAACAGCATCGAACTGGCCGATGTGCCCCTCGACGACCGCGTCTTTGGCTTCCTCAAGACGGCGCCCACCAACGACGGAGGCCAGTGGGACATGGTGTGCAACCTGATTGAGAAGTACGGCCTCGTTCCCAAGTCGGTCTTTCCAGAGTCGTACAACAGCTCCAACTCGAACAAGGTCAACTGGATCGTCACGCTCAAGCTGCGCGAGTACGCTCTCGAGCTAAGAGAGCTCAAGAAAGCCACCATGTCGAGCCTGTCCCGAGCTGGAGGTCTGACAAAGGAGCAGATGCAGGCCTGCACTGTCAAAGCGCTTCGCATGCGCAAGGACGTGCAGATGCAGGAGGTCTACAGGATCATGGCCATCAGTCTCGGTGTGCCACCCATGCCAAATGACGAGTTTACCTTTGACGTATGTGTCGTCCCTGCTGTCTGGAATCACGCCTTCCCATCTGACCGCTTTGCTCTTCTCTCGCCTAAAGTACTACGATGCAGATGGGAAGTTTAAGAGCCTCAAGACGACGCCCGTCAAGTTTGCAGAGGAGCAGACTGGATCCTTTACGACGCAGGGCGCCTGCTCTCTCGTCAACGATCCTCGGCGCGCCTTCAACAAGCTCATCTCCATTGACCGTCTGCAAAACGTCTGGGGTGGACGCCCGGTTCTCTACGTCAATACCTCAACGACGCAGATGAAGGATAGCGTCGTCGCCAGCATCAAGGCTGGTCTGCCCGTCTTCTTTGGCTGTGATGTGGGCCAATTCAGCGAGACGGCCTCGGGTGTGAGTTTGCACATCCCTTGCTGTGTCGAAAAATCTGGATGCTAACTGTCTCGCTCTTTAGATCATGGACACAGACCTCTTTGGCTACGAGTTGGCGTATGGCATCAAGCTTGGCCTTACAAAGGCCGAGAGGATCGAGCTCGGAGAGAGCTCCATGACCCACGCAATGGTCATCACTGGCGTGCACCTCGACGACAAGGGAAAGCCGGTCCGTTACCGCGTCGAGAACAGCTGGGGCGCCGATGGTGTCGGCAAGGACGGCTATATGTGCATGACTGACGCCTGGTTCGACGAGTTTGTGTACCAGGTCGTGATTCGCAAGGAGCACATGCCAAGCCACCTTTGGAGCATCTTCCAGAAGGGCATTGACGAGGACACCGATGTGCTCCCGCCTTACGACCCCATGGGCTCCCTGGCCAGCAGCATGGCCATCGAAAGCGCTCGAGGCGCAGAGTCCGAGGATGAAGGCGAGGAGACGCCAGAGGACGAGTATGAGATTGATGCGATCCTCAGCCACGATTCAGGACGCTTCAAGAAGGACGAAGTGGCCTACCTTGTCTCGTGGAAGGGCTATGGCCCCGAGCACAACTCGTGGGTTCGCGAAGAGGACGCCGAGAATGCAAAGGATATGCTGTCCGACTACTGGAAGAATGCACCCAAGCTCAAGACGATGACAAAGAGCGTCGGTGGTAGCCGAGCCGCCAAGGGTGGAAAGGCTGCGAGCCGGACAAGCAATGCGAGTAGAAAGGAGAGGAGTAGCTCCCAGACACTGTCCCAAAGCCGCCGTTCATCTGTCCGAGCAACTTCGACGTCGATGGACACGGTCTTGCAGCAAGCGTCTAGAAGGGAGAGGACGGCGTTGAAAGCCATGCACAAGCGACCAGGTTTCGACTCCTTTGAGCCGACAGAAGACGAGGAAGACAACGACGTGCTTAGCGAGGCGCAACTCAAGAGGCTTGATCCCGAGGAGGCGAATCGCCAGCGGAGGAGGATGGACGCAAAGCGGTACCATCGCCTGGGTGACTGGGAACAGGTCGTGAAGCAAATCGAGACGGTGGAGAAGGACGAAAATGGCAAGCTGCTCGTCTTTTGCGTCTTGTGAGGCTTCCTTTTCTTCCTCCTTCTTGAAGGTCATTTCCCAGAGAAGTTGGTACTGACGCTCTTCTTGACCTACTCTCAAAGCGAGAATGGATCGCGAGTTATCTACGAAGCGTCGGTTGTGCACTACCGATGTCCCCAGAAGGTGTGTAAAAGATTCCGTGTATCTTGTCGATGCTCAGCTCTGACGGGCTTCGCTTAGCTATTGAACTTCTACGAATCGAGGCTGCGCTTCAACCCGAAGGCTGCGGATGCCGCCGCCGCCGCCGCTGCTGCTGCTGCCGCTTCAGCTTCCGAAGGAAAGACGAAAGCAGCGCCTGACGGTAGCGAGGAGCAATCAGCCACGTTGCAAGATGATGCACGGGGCAGCGAAGAAACCCAGGGAGATGCAGCCAAGGACACGGCTATGGAAGAAGGCGCTGACGCAGGCGACACCAACAGTGACGAAGACTTTGACGCAGGCGACACCAACACTAACGAAGACTTAGAGGCCCAGGTACAGCACGATGAGCCAACGGCTGAGGAGAGTTAGGTAGGCGCTGGCGAATCTCGCGAAAGAAGCCAGTAGATCAAGATCTCGGCCTTTCCTTGCACGGCCAAAGTATATCTCACGACAACGTGTTGTCATGTAACTTGATGTGATTCATCTCTTGACGTTGTTGGTCTTGCCCATAATGAAATCAGTGAAGCCTTATTTCTGTGCCTGGGATTTTCTCGGATTGGCGTGCGTCTTGGCCCGATTTGGTGAGATTCTTGGCGCCACGCGCCAAGACAAGTACCATTGTCTTGCGCCAACTTTCCGTCCCTTTCGAACGTGGCCTCGCTCGCTTGCTTGGTTGAGGCTCCAGTACTCTTTTAAAGTAGTCAGGCTGCCTGATGAAAGAAAGTCCCTAGCTGCTTGGATCTTGCGCTCTCGACACACTTGCGAAGACTTGGCAATGTAAGCCAAGAAGCAGCAGCAGTAGCATCTGCCACTTATGGTACCACAAATTCACCTGACGACACGGCCTCTTTCGACCTGGCTACCGATAACGGTGCACTCCAATGTGTGTCGGAGACCATGTCCACGTTCGCTCCTCCAACTTCGTTACGTTGTTGCTTCTGGGCGGTTGCTGGTGGAATGGTGCATGGTTTGCGCTTTGAACGATCTGGTCCCTGAATTTACGATGGGTCGTGGGAATTGTCTAGGGAAATAGCAAACATGGAGCTATAAAAAAGGGCAGAACGTTGTTCACAAACGGAGCAAGAAGCAACTTCTTCGCATCTGTCTTACTTTTAAGGGCTCTTTCACAATGGCTTGGACAGAGTACAACTACCTGTTTGCCATTTCCCTTATTGGCGCATTCATCGATGCCTACGGTATCGGTGCAAACGATGTCGCTAGTGAGTCTGCCGTTGTCGCTTTGTTGGCCGAGAAAGAGACAGAAGCTAATACAGTGCAAAAGACAGCTTTGCCACTTCTGTCAGCTCGCGCAGCTTGACTTTCCGACAAGCGATGCTCGCAGCTGCCATTTGCGAGTTTGCAGGTGCCGTGGCGGTCGGTGCTAGAGTGACAAGCACCATCAAGAACGGCATCATCGACTTGGACGAGTTCAACGGCGATGCTGCTGTCCTGTTCCTCGGCTTTACCTGCGTCATCATCGGCAGCTGCACCTGGCTCACTATAGCCACACGAAACGCCATGCCGGTCTCGACGACACACACCGTCGTTGGCGCAATTATTGGCGTAGGAATCGCACTTCACGGTCACGGAGGCTCCGTCAAATGGGGGTGGAACGGCGTAGGCCAGATCTTTGCCTCATGGGGCATCGCACCCGCCGTAGCTGGCTGCCTTGCGGCCATTACCTTTCTCATCACCAAGTACCTCGTTCTCCGCTCCAGCTCACCCGTCAAGATGGGTCTTATTGCTTCGCCAGTCTACTTCTTCATCGTTGCTGGCGTACTCACAACGTCGATCATCGTCAAAGGCTCCCCTTCGCTCAATTTGGATGAACTTCCGCCCAATGTCACGGCCGGGGCTGTCGTGGGAACAGCAGCGGTCGTCTCGATTCTATCGCTCATCTTTTGGTTGCCGTGGGTCTACTGCCAAGTTGTGAGGGGCGACTACACCATTCATTGGTACCACTTGCATGGGTCCTCTCCTATGGAGCAGACAGGCGCCCGAAGATGCTGTTACCGCAGACTCAGCGGTGCCCGACTACTATGCTGGCCATCGCGAGGACGATCACGTACCGGCGTCCATCAACAATGCCGACGACGTCGAAGCGAGCAACAGGAGGCAGCAATCGGAACATGACGAAGACCGGGAATCGAGCAAAGACGGCAACGATGAGAAGCTGGCGATGGACAAAGACCGGCCTGTAACAGACGAACCAACAGTTGAGAAGTCAAAGCTTCAAATGCTCGAGGCCAAGCTCTCTCAACCAGACCGCACCACTGGCCCCGATGGTCGACCGGTCCCACCCAATTACCGTACTTTCGACGGAAGCTGGATCGAGCCTTGGAATCTGTACACGACTCTTCGCTACAATGCTCTTCCCTGGGCTTGGTACACCGTCTCGGCTGGACTGCGCACCGACATCCACAAGTTGCAGATGAATGGATCGGACAAGGAGGTCGCACGTCTCAAGGCCATCCATAAACATTCAGCCCACTACGACAATAAGGCAGAGCATCTCTTTAGCTTCCTCCAGGTCCTCACCGCCTGCACGGCCTCATTTGCACACGGCGCCAATGACGTCAGCAATGCCGTCGGTCCGCTTTCGGTTGTCTACTCTGTGTGGTCGACGCAATTGTTTCCATCGAGCACAGAGCCGACGCCAATCTGGATTCTCGTCTTCGGAGGTGCCGCCATCGTCATTGGTCTAGGCACTTACGGCTGGAAGCTAATGAGCGTGCTTGGAAATCGTCTGACGCTTCATTCGCCCTCTCGTGGCTTTTCGATGGAGTTTGGTGCTTCCATCACTGTCGTCCTTGCGAGCTACTTGGGCTTGCCAGTGAGCACGACCCAGTCCATCACGGGTGCCACCATCGCCGTGTCCCTCTGCGATGGTGGCAGAGCGACCAACTGGAAAGGGGTTCTTTGGATCTTCTTTTCCTGGGTTCTCACATTGCCCATTGCTGGTCTAATCTCTGGGCTGACCTTCGCCGTCGTCCTCAACGCTCCTCGCTGGTCTGTCTAGATCTCGACGGCACTTTGTGTGCAACGTTCGTTACACCTGCAAAGAATTCAATGATTTCCACAACGCTCCACGCGATGGTATGCTTCTATATAGTAAAGTTAGGCGTCGTTGAAGGTCTCCGGCTCGACTGGCTTTTCGCTCGTCGCTGTTAGGCAAGAAGAGAGATGTTCGGTCAGCAAATGCTCTGACCATGGGTCGCATCGAGGAAAGAATTACTCACCATACTTGCTGTACTTCCTGATCCTCGCTCCGTACTTGTAGAAGATGAATGGAAGTGGACAAAGGGCGAGACCGATGCAGCCAAGCAACACGCATCCCCATGCGACCGGAAAGGCGGCGGGCCCGTTGAGCTTTTCTAGGTTCTCAAACATCTGACGAGCGAAGAGGGGAAATGCGGCGCCCATCAGGGATCGGAATAGATCGTTGGAGGCAAGGACTGAGGCGGCGTATTGCGGGTAGGCATCTGCCTCGTAGTTTCTGAATAGGGTGGAGGCGTGGAGAGGCATTAGCGTGTAGACATGCAACTGGGAAGAATGGGGTAGGCTCACAGAATGGCTTGGAACAAAAGAAAAGTGCCAACGCCAAAGAAGCTGCTGAAGATAATGGGCACGATCCAGTGAATCGACGCCGTGCTTGTCCAGCCGAAGCCAAACAGGCACAGAGGAATGAAGCCGCAGCCAAACATGGCGACAAGAAGGCGATCTTCCGGGTCAATCATGCCGCCCTTTTTGTCGAAAAGAGGCTCGAGGTGGAGACGGGAGTAGATGCAGAAGCCCACGTAGCAAAGGACGGAGCCAACGAAGAGACCCAAAAAGGCAAGGCCTTGCTCGCCCGAATTGAAGCCGTACACCTGACCAAAGACGAGCGGAAAGGCTGCAGGAAAGAACACAGTTTAGCATTTTCTCAAACTCGCCTGCCGAAATCTGTGGAACTCACCCTCGAGCCAGGTATAGAGAATACTGTAGACGAATCCGATGTGAAGGTTGAGCAGCCCGACGATGGGCTCCATCTGAAGGATAAAGGGCCTTACCAGCGTCATCTGCACCACGTCGCTTCCTGTCATGTTCTTCATCATGACCTCGCCTTCGCTGTACAAGTCCATGTTGCCTGTCCTTCGTCTTAGACGGTCGGCTCTTCGGTAGAGGATGTTGGTCGAGGACGTTTCGGGAAGGAAGAAGGTGAGCCAGACAAGCGAAGTAGCCGACAGGATCGCCAAGGGCCATATGGTCCAGCGCCAGCCGAGACCATCAAAAGCAAAGCCTTTTGTGAGCCATTATGAGAATCAGTGTCGTGCTATATTGCTCGGAGATATCCTATCCGGCTGACTCACCTCCGATCAGAGGACCGAGAGTGGGACCGCAGACCGCGGAAAGGCCCCACACTCCCATTGCGTAAGCCCTCTTTTTAGGCTCAAATAAGTCCCCAATCGAAGCACCACCTGTAGCCAAGGCTGGCGAGCCAAAGACGCCCGAGAGGAAGCGGAGGATGAAGTAGGTGGCGGGTGTCTTTGCAGTTGCAACGGCTGGCTGCAAGCCGACAAAGATGGCGAGTGTGATGATGTATGGGGCATTCCTTCCAATGGCGGGGATTTCCGAGAGCGGCGCAAGGACCATGGGGCCAACACCGTAGCCAATGACGAAGAGCGTTAGGGAGAGCGTGGCGACGACGGGCGAGACCTCAAAGTAGCTCGCGAGCTCCTGCAGCGAAGGCGTCACGATGGAGCTCCCCATGTAGATGCTGAACGTCAAGATACACAAGTTGAAGGTCACAAAGCATTTCTTCGTGACGGTCCAGTTTCGTGGATTCTCGCGGTCCTCTGGTCCGTACCAGCTGACGAGGTTCGGATCAGGCTTGGCCTTGACGGGCGCATTTGTCTCCTCTTGCGCCTCCTTACCAGCCTCTGTGTGTGTATTCTTCCCTTGTTCTTCACCTACGGTGGTGCCGGTGCCCAATGAGGAAGTCTCAAAGGCTTCTTGACGCTCCTCTCGTGGCGTGTAAAAGCGAGTGTCGCCACTTTGAGCGCTCCGGTTGCTTTGTGCTGTGCGTACCGGTGGTCTTTGTTGGACCTGTTTTTCTTCTGTCGGTGCGACCTCGCTAGTCGGGCTGCCTTTGCTCAAGCCTTTGTAGTACCTTTCTGGAACGCCAAAGGCAGGGTCCTCCTCTTTGTATTGGAGCACCTTGCGTCCACTGAGGCGATAGATGATCTGCCCGGCAAGCGTCTCGTGGAACGAGTCCATCTTTGTCTATGCCAGATGCCGCTTCTGTCTGCTAGGGAGGAGAAGAAGATCCAAAGAACGCAGGAGTAGAGCGGCAGGAAGGAACTTGATGAAAACATTCCTTTCCATGAGGTACACACAGCATACATATATGCAGCCCATAGGTAAGTGCTTGCGTAAGTGCGAAGGGCTTCTTCTTTCCCCAACGTCACCGACGTCAAGATTTACAACCCGCCCGCGCTCCTGTGGTAAGGATGAGATTCACAGTACCTGCTTCGAAATTTTAAGCCGTGGGACCACAGGCCCGCCTCATCGACTTCTCTGCTCGCATGTAGAGTGCTTCTCAGCAGCCTGCTGTGCGCAGAACCTCCATTTTGCCAAGCTTCACGGATACGGCATGCCGCGGTGGAGAGGCTTACTTGATAAAATTGGGCCATGACGCTCTCCTGCGATCTCCTTAGATGTCCGGCATAAATCTCCGAATCTCGATCAAGTCTAAACACGTGAGAAAGAGGCCGATCGCGAGCCAAAATTTAGTGGAGGATCAACTTGGCTCCGGAACAAGGGATGCAACGGCATGGAGGCGAGGGAGAAATACAATGGGGTCAGAAGTGTGCAGATAAAATAGCATGGTGCTGTCTTGATCTCCGCAAGAGCCTTTTCGCATGTGGAAACACCGATGGAGCATCACAGAGACCCAACCTTTCTAGAGAGCATTCTCCCATCGCTTGCAAAGCGACACACGGTACGCCACAGGATGTGCCTTTGGATTCTTCGATCGGCAGTCAAGAAGCGAGGTAACATAGATTTGAGATCACACTGAAGAGTATATTACATCCAACATATTACATCCAAGAAAGAGTCAATCATCGAACAGCATGCACCGCTAAGCCCCAGAGGCGAGCGAAGAAGCGATGCAAGCAGGATAGGGAAGGTATGAGGGAGTCTCATCGCAGGCGGAAGGTTGTCAACCGTCCCTTTCTCTTCTCGGTGTAGCGCTCAAAGATGAGCTGGATGAGGAGCTCGACACAAAGCAGCGCCGCGCAGATTGCCAAGCCACCGTACAATGTAGCGGTGCTTTAGAACGGACCAACATTCAGCAGGTTACTCTCTGACCTGTAGGGCATGCTCCATAAACTCACGTTGGAGGACCGTCACTTTTGATGTAGACGATCTGGATGAGGGCGAGGACAATTGCAAAGACAAAACGGATAGCGAGGCTGTGATGGCAGGAGAGAAGGGCAGAGTTTCAGCAGCAATCCTACGACAGCAAACAATTTTAATCGGAAAAGACTAACTTGCCGATCAGGCCCAAGTCCCGTTCTCGGATCAGCGAGAGACCCTGTATCGCCTTGAGGACGAGGTCGGAGAAGAGATAGATGGCCGCAGAGAGGTAGACATACTTATACTGTGCAGGTTCACAAAGGGTCAGAAAGGTCTCGAGCGAATACGCCCAGATGAGAAAGGAATGCGCACCTGGAAGATTTGTTTGCCGGCATACACATCGAGGCTATCGGTGATGATTGCCTGTTGCTGAATGACTGGAAATTGTCCGAGCTGAGAAGAGATCGACGAGGGGATTGTGACGTTGTTCGAGCTCAAGAGGAGCGTGGCATTGACAATGCCGTCCGCCGTGTCCACCTGTGGGATCTGCGCACCATTCGATCCAATGATGACGCTTAGCATCGAGACGAGTGAACGCTCATAGTAATCGGTGATGTTCGACACGCTTGGAATCGAATCAGCAAAAAGGCCAACGACCTTGTCCGAGGTGAAGGAACTCCAATCGGGCGTCTGCGGCACGTATTCCTGGGGGCTGCTGAGAAAGCGATCGGCAGCTTCGATAGTATTGATGAAGAGGGTGATTTTTCTCATGCCGACGACGATGACAGCGGACGCAAGGTGGAGGATCAGGTGAAGAGTGCCCCAAATGAAGACAACGATGGAGGTGTTTTCGATCTCTGCCGAACGAACCTCACCCCCGACCGCTGTTCCCTTATAGTAGCTGTGGAAAAGGAGAAGAATGATGACAAGTGTTGCAACGGCCTGGATGATGGTGTGCGTTCCCCAGCCGCCAGAGGGGATTCCTCCTCGCTCCCAGTCTCTGCCTCCCGGACTGATGTTGTTGAGGGCTGTGCCAATGCCCTGAAATGCTTCGCCGAAGATGATGAGAAGGAGCAGAGAGACCCGCTCGGCAATCGAGGTGTTCATAAGCGGCGGGAGCATGTCTGTTGCTTCGACAAAGACGCGAACAACCAGCTCGAAGCCAATGCCGGCCATCCACATCCCCAACTGAGCGCCCGAGAGCCCTTCATCCCCGGCTTCGAGTCGGCTCGTGACCCATAGGATCAAGGCGACAATGTTGGCAGTGATACAGAGCCAGTGCGGTGTCGTCTTTTTCCAGAACGTGCGGTATGCTCTTCGGCGGTGCTGGCCTGGCCGTTGGAAGATATCGCAGTCGCGTGCAGTCTCGATGACGATCAAAAGCTCATCAATGGCGAGGACAGCACGGCTGAGGGCGTAGATGGTGGAAAAATTTGTGAAGCTCTGACGGGCGAACTCGGAAGAGGTAGTGCTGAACGCAAGCCAGATGCCCAGCAAAGCAGCCCTGACGATGCGGTGTGCAATCTTGAGCGAGAAGCGCATATCCTTGCCCGTTCGAAAGCGGACATCGTACATGACTTGGGTCCACTACTCGCAAACCATCGAGGAAAGAGAGGGAGAGAGGAGTCATGAGGACTTCGGGTTTACAGCAATCTCTCTCAATGACAGCTCACCCATGACCACCAGAGAAGGGCAAAGATGCCCATGTACCCTGCCACCTGTGAGATTGAGTCGAGCGCGACGTTGGAGTTGTAGACAGAGAGGGCGGCGGCGAAGAGGAGGTCAAAGAAGAGGTCGTCGAGCGTCGGCTTGCGTGCAAGCAGAGCCCGGAGCTCATCTTTTGACAGTGCATCCTTGTGCTTCGTCGTCGCTTCGTCGTCATTCGACTCGGACGTATCCACCCTCGCAGCCTGTCTCGGTGCATCATCGGCGACGCTTGCACCACTAGCCCCTCCGCTGCCATGCTTCATCTCGGCCATCTCGACACTGCCGGGACTATCTCCACGCTCCTGCTTGAGGGTATGGTATCCAGGAGCGCTCATCTCGATCCTCGTCTTCCGGTCCTGCTGGCGGTCCTGTTGGGCTGACGAGAAGGAATCGTGCCTTCCTCTCTTTCCCCCCTTTATGAATTTTGTTTCAGTGCGTTGCACTGCCCTCGACTGTCAAGCGTCTGTCTGGAACCTTTTCGCATGAACGTAATTTTTCCTCATGCTAGATGCGGCGCGTTTCGACAGATTTGACCGGCTAGCTTAAATTCTGGACTTTTCGCGACAAGCTCTCACAAACCCGGCGGCCAGCCCGGCCGAATCCTCTCGATTTGTTCTTTTTGAATATTAGGACCATGGAAGGCCCGAAAACAAAATCTGGCGTATCGCTTCAAATTCACCTCAGGAAACAAGGCTATGACTCGATCTGTTTGTCGTCTGTGTTCCTAGCCCGGCGGCAATGGTCAGAAGGCTGAAGAGCGACTCAGAGGCTTACTGCGGGGCGAACTCGCATAGATTTCGGCTCTGGCTTTGACGCTTGCCTCCATGCCTCGTCATGCTCAGCACGGTTCGTCGATGTCCTGTGTGGGCCTGTGGCAAGAAGCAAGGTCTCGTGTGGCCTGTCTTCTCTACGCTAATGGCTGGGAGGCAGCACGAAATCTGGAAGTTATGAGATTCGTCTCTTCCTTGACCTCCTAGAAAGACACGCCAACTAACGAGGATGCTACTCTATTTCATACGAGCAGTGCCTTGAAGATGGGCTGGCCGGTGCCCCAGTGGCGCTGATATTATTTGGCGCTATCGACGCAATATGGGCGCGCTACGCAGATTGCCCTTTGCTCATCATTACGTCCTCACGACAGCAACTATCGCCGGTCTTTTCAATTCGTCTAAATTCCAGCTCTCAAATCGAGCCGTGCACCTCGTCGAGTTGTGAATCCTAAGGGGTAAAAAAAGGAAAAGGGGCTGGCTGGTGACGTTCGCAAGGAAGCTTATTTTCGACGTGGCAAGACGCGCTACGCGACATCGGCTTGTGCTCGGTCTGCTCGCGTGTTGGTTGGTCTCAGCAAGGCAGCGTGTGACGTGGCGCTTTTTGTGCACTATTCGCCTGCCTTCCGCCTCCCGTAAAACAAAGACAACTGGACATGTCATGTAGGCAGAGACGGCGACGAGTGTCTGAAGAGGCGAGACTCGGTCACCTGCACATTGGCAGACCAGACGATCAATGTTGCCGTGGGCTGCCTTCCTCGGCAATAAGTTTAAGGGCACATTATTCTCCAAGGCAAGAATAAAATTCCCGAAGATCAAAAAAGACGCTTGCTGGATAATTTTAGGTCGGTGACAGGCAGACGCTTGCAAGCAAGCTTGAAAGGCTCGCTCTTTCACCACCGACCATCATTCCGCCACGACAGGCAGGTCCCAGCCCTCATCGGCCTATCTCGTCCTTTTTTCCCCTCCTTATACGGCTTTCTTCCTCTCTGTTTCTCTCTTTCCACGCCTCTTTCGCAGTCGTCGTCGCAAGCATTTCTTCTTCCGTCTTCTCGGCTTCGTTCACTTGTCCTCTCATCGTCTCTCAGGCTCTCTTTCGATCGTCTCCTTGTCCGCTCTCAACTCTCGCTTGTGACAGGTCTGCGCTTCCGATCTCGACGACACCTGCCCTATATCTTTCCCTAGAATTCACTCCATTGCGGCACGTCCTGCGGCGCTCTTGATCGAGGCTTTCGTCACCCCCTCTTCTTCCCGGCGGACATTTTATTATCAGCTCGGGCGTCGGCGAACGCAGATTGAACCAGCATTGTGTCGCACGAACCAGTCCTAACTACATCTCTCCAAGCTGACTGACCGCTAGCTTCACCTGGGCTGATCGACCACCAAGGGCCCAAGATCCCCCCACCCTCGGCCAGTCTCGGACGAATCGCGTCTCTAGTGAGTTGATGGTCGGCCCGCCCTCGCTCGATTGAAGCCGCGCGCGAGTGAGGAGCTCGCCACGTCATTGCTCAACTCTCTGTCCCTCTCTCTCTCTCTTGCGATGTGTGCCCTTTGCTAATGCACCCGCACACAGACACACGCGTACGCACACGCCCCCTCAAATCGACTCGGTTCGACTCCTTGAGCGGAAGAATAGCTCTCAGGGACGATTTCCGTTGTAGTCTGTGAGCAGCTGTGTGAACACTCAACCTGACTACTCGAAGAGGGCTGAGCATCACAACAGCCTTATTTCCCCCCAAAAAAAATAATAGTCCACAGCCTCCAACCGAGTCCGCCTGCACAAAAGGCACGAACGGGACAGCGCGCACTCGCCACAGCCGCCCTCTCCCTCTTTCCCCGTCCCTCGCGCTCTCTCTCTTTCTCTTTTCGTCTCTCTTCAACCATCGCTCGTCGTATCCGTCTACCTCTCTTCGACTGATTTCTTCCTTCGCCTCACATTTCCTCATTCTACTCCCTTCTTCCTCGGCTTCCCAGCACTCTGATTCCTCCTCTCCGTCCTCCCCTGGGCCCCGCTCCTGTCATCCCTGGTTGCGCCCAACGTCACTTCGGCGACTGTATACCACAACAATTCTCGCCTCGTCTCGTCTTTCTTCTCAGCCTCTCTCCAATTGCGACTCGACTCGTATCGCCTCTTCTCCTTTCTCTGTGCTGCTCCTCCCCTCAACTCTTCTCTTTAGGATCTTAGCGTAAAGAGAATCAGTCGGACGATGCAGGCTCCAACTCCTCCTCAGAACATGGGACCCGCAGGCATTGGAGGCCCCGCCACGCCCGGTGCCGGCGAGGCCGGCCGTCGTGCATACCTCTACGTGGGAGGCTTGAGCCCGCAGGTCAACGAGCTCATGATCAAGGAAATCTTCAGCGTCTGTGGCCAGGTCGTCCACGTCAAGATTGTTCCCGATCGGAATCTGCAGCACGGCGGCTTCAACTACGGTTTCGTCGAGTACGCAGACCTTCGAGCGGCCGAGAATGCCATTGCGTCACTCCACGGACGCAAGATTCTCGAGTCGGAGATCAAGGTCGACTGGGCCACTGGCGGTGGTGGCGGTAGCAATGGCCACGTTGGTGCCCAGGTCGGGCAGTATGGCGTCCGCGACACTTCCAACGGCCAGTACCACGTCTTTGTCGGCGATCTTTCTCCTGAGATTACCGACGCCACGCTCCGCCAGGCCTTCCAGTCGTTCCCAAGCCTGGCAGAGGTCCGGGTCATGTGGGACGCAAACTCGGGCAAGTCGCGCGGGTACGGCTTCATCGCATTCAGGGACAAGGCAGATGCAGAGCAGAGCATCGCCACAATGAATGGCGAGTGGCTCGGCTCCCGTGCGATTCGCGTCAACTGGGCCAACCAAAAGAACCCACCGGGGAGCGTGGGAGGCATGCCCGGCATGGGCGGCGCTGGCGGTGGTATGGCCAACATGGGCCTCTTGGGCGCACAGCAGCAGCCAGTCTTTGCGCCTGCCCGCTCGATGGCCGTGGCACAAGCCCTCGGTGGCATGGGTGCTCTCGGCGTTGGCGCAGGCACGAGCATGCCACCTACCGGTGGCGTGGCGTCCGGCACACCCATTACGTACGAGCAAGCCGTCAACGGATCTTCACCGTCCAATACGACCGTCTACGTGGGCAACATCCCTCCCTTTGCGACGCAGAATGACCTCGTGCCCCTCTTTTCGCAGTACGGCTTCGTGCGAGAGGTGCGCATGCAGTCCGAGCGCGGTTTCGCCTTCATCATGCTCGACACGCACGAGAACGCGGCCAATGCGATTGTCAACCTCGCTGGTCACATCGCCTGCGGAAGGCCCATCAAGTGCGGCTGGGGCAAGGACCGAAACGAGAGCGCAATGCTGGGTGCCCTTCGTCAAGGCGTCCACCTGAGCGGCTACGGCAATGTGGCCCCTCAAATGTTCAACATGGCACCCTACGGCTATGCCAATGCTGGCGCTTACGGGTTCCCTCAGGGCGCACCCATGAATGCTCCCCCCATGGATCCGACGACGATGCAGCAGATGCAAGTGGCGCAGGCTCAGGCGCAGGCTCAGGCGCAGGCTCAGGCGCAAGCTCAGGCTCAGGCTCAGGCACAAAACATGCAGGGTCTGGCAGGAGTTGCCAACGGAGCAGGCTCCTCGCAATTACATCAGCAGCAGCAGCAGCAGCAGCAGCAGCAGCAACAACACAGCAACGGAGGCATGGCGATGGAGTATACCACGTCTTGATTGGCGACACACTGAAGAATTTCCGACTCTGCTGCAACATGGGGAACCTCGCCTCTCAACATTGACCTCGACACCACTAGGCGAGCAAGAACTCGTTAGAGCTATGCCTTTTCCAACGCCCCCCTTTCTCAAAAGTCGGCCAGTCCGTCAAAACGTTCGCCTCCTTTTCCTTGCTCATTCCCCTCTCTCCCCGTCTCTTTCCCCTCTCGTTTCTTCTTATCCCCTTCCTAGTCTCGTCTAATGTCAACTATCTTTCCTTCCAAGAATCCTCTTCTCTTTCTTCCCTCTTGCCTGTAAAAAGGTCAAACCACCATTTGTTTCCATTTGTCAGAAGAGAAAAAAAGATGGCCAAGCTACAGACTCAATCGCATATAGTCACACAGACACATTTGCTCAGTCTTCTTGGTCCTCTTCGTGATTTGACTGCATCGCCCTTTTAGTACCAGAACGAGACGGAGAAGCTCTGTGGAGTGGCCGTTGCCAATTGTTAGTCGTGTTGCCAAGGAGCCTATAGGTAGGAAGAAGAAGAGACTCACGCGAGAGAGGCTCTTCATGGCGTGGTACCAACCTGGGGGAAGGACAAGCATGTCACCAGGGCCCAGAACTGCGGTGCGCGCCTTAGGTTCAACGAGCTTGTGGAAGAGCTCGTACCTGTCCCCTTCTTTGGTGTCGCTGGAGTCAGGTGAGAAAATGGGGAACTGTGACGTATTTCCTAGCCCCTCGGTCGAGGAGAGGTACATGCCACCCTGCTCGTTGGATTCTGGAGGGGCGATCCAGACGAGCTTCTGACCGACGACTTGGACTGTGGGATCGAACAAGCGGGGCTTCGAATCAGAAGCAAGGAAGGACGGGAGATCGGAAGAAGTAGTCACTCACCATAGGCGTTGTAGTAGGGGTCAGTGTGTGCCGGACTGGTCGTCTGTGCTGGACCGATCCAGGCGCTCATGATGTATCCCTCGCCTGTCTCTTCGTCCAAAGGGGGGACATAGGGTGTTGCAAGACCGTCTGGAGCGGGTGGGCACGAGTAGACAATATCGGGCACCAGAACGTCGCGGCGTAACCGATCAAACTGGTTGAAAACGTCATGCTGAGCCAGGTAGAAGGTCTCATCTTCTGCGCCTTCTTCTTGCTGCTCCGTGCTTCTTGAAGACCACCCTGCCTTTGAGAGAAAGTCTTCCCACGGAACGATCGACTGGCGCCATCTCTCATGGGTGTACTCTTTCCCGATCTCAACGGGCACGACTCGACAAGGGCCCGTCCGCTCGAGCAGGTACTGCCTGCTTTGCCATTTCTGCAGTCCACGTGCACCTGATCCGTCATGGACTGAGTCGTGCAGCGCTGTCGCCGCCTGGTCCTCGTCCTCGAAGAATGGATCCAACGCAGGCCAATCCTGGGCGAAGCGGCGGACAACAAAGGGTTGGTCGATGTAATGCCGATGGTAGTCCTCCAGACCAGGTATGTCGTCTAGTTCCTTGATCTTTCGCGTGGCTCGGCAGAACGTTTTCTGTTTCTCCTTCTCCATCCCAATGTGCCTATTTGCAGCGTCTTTATTCACTGAAGGCGTCGCGAAGGCCGGTGAAGACGAAGGCGATGCTTTCAGCAACGAGGGTCCTAACCCTTTGCTGTGCTTGATGTAGACTTCTTGCAGGGCACCGACGATGTCTTGAACCAGCTCGTATCGGCTTGGACCGGGTGCGCTGGTCACGATGAGCGCCGTGTCTAGGGCTTTGATGGCGTCTTTGGACATTGAAATTTTCGCTCCATCGTTGACGGTGGCGGGGCCGGAGCTCAGGCTCAGCGCAGCGAGTCCGTGAAGTAGGCAGCAGTCGACGTAGAGCCGACGCCAAGCGCGTGTCACCTGGCTGTGATGAATGCTGTGAAAGTGCTCGGTGCATCGTTCGACGACAGCTTGGCAGGTAGTGATTACCTGTTCGAGATCGACCATGACGTCGCTGCCGCTGCTGCTGCTGCTGCTACAGGCCTTCTCGATGAGCTGGAGGGAGCGCGTGAAGCAGGACTGAAGGCTGTCGGGTAGCGAGCTGAAGTCATCGAGACCATGATCTGCGATGATTCTGACGGCATGCTCGACATACGCCGTCTCGGTCGTCATGGAGAGGGAAGCATCTGCGCTAGGAAGCAGAGGTGGAATCAGCCCAAAAAATAAAATTCTGGCCCTGATCGGCCGAGGCGCGCGACGCGCGCGTAGAGCTCCGAGAGCGCGTCGAAAGTCTCGAAGTAACACTTTCCCTAGCCCTTCTTCTTTTTACGCACCCATCGTCGCTGTACGACAATACTTCGAGACAGCTGCCATGTTTCGGACGGCCCCGCCTTCTGATAGAAAGCCATCGGCGATTGAGAGGGCAGCCAAATTGGGCAGCCCGGCCGTCAAGGCGGGAGGTGGACTGGTGGATCGCCATGCGACAAAGGGTCCCCGTCGGTTTCCCTATCGGCTCAACTTTTACGACAAGCCGCCCATCCATGAGATCACCATTGAGCAGTTTGAGACGTGGGCCATCGATCGGTTGAGGGGTGAGAAGTGACTCCTATCACTCTGCTCTGGGATTAGCTGACTGAATGGAGAATGCAGTCCTGGCCGAGATTGAATCGTCGCATGCGCGCAACCGGTCCTACGCTGAGCTCAAGGATCTTGTCAATGCTCAGAGCAAAAAGTACCTTCCTTTGAGCGCGACAACGGCGGGCTTGATGCGGGGTGGCGTCGACCTCGAAGGGGAGCGGATGAAGGATCATGTCAGCCACTTTGTTCTGCGGCTGGCCTTTTGCAGGACGTGAGTGCAGTGCCGCGAGTGCCTTTCCCTCTTTTCATCATGGATGCTTATCGAAAGTCTCACAGCGAGGACCTGAGAAGACGCTTTGTCAAGGCGGAGACGACGCTCTTCAGACTGCGCTTCGAGTCGGATGATGCGCAGGAGAGGGAGAGGTTCCTGCAGACACTGCAATTCGAGTGGAAGTCGGTCAGCCAAGAGGAAAAGATGAGCAACAAGGAGTCGCTGCTCGCCGCCACACCCTGGCTCTACTCCACGTTTGACAGCGAGAGCTTCTTCAAAGTGCACTGGACGAGAGTCGCCGATCTCGTCGAGAAGCGGAGGGTGTTTCTGCAGGGCGGCACGGCCTGGGTGCCGATGAGGGAGCAGTCCAGCCTCGTCGTGGCCGAATTCCAGTCGAGGCTGATCAAGGAGCTCGAGATGACGGCCCGCGCCCTGCCTCGACTCGACGAGGACGACCGTCTCCTGCCCGTCCTCTCCCACCTCTCCATGGGCTTCCTCGCTGGTGTGTCCTCCGACCTGTCCACATCGGCGATCACGGGCGTCGACGGAGGCCATGTCACTGCCGACATGGTGGATGCGCTTGTGAAGCGCCACGCACCCATGTGCATGCGCAATCTCCACGAGACGCTCCAGGACAAGGGTCACCTCCGACATTACGGCAGGCTGCAGTACAACTCCTTCCTCAAGGACGTTGGCCTGCCCGTCGAAGAGGCGCTCCTCTTCTGGAGGCGGTCGTTCCGGGGCATGTCCGACGACAAGTTCAACAAGGAGTACAAGTACAACATCCGCTACGGCTACGGTCTCGAGGGCAAGCGGATCAACTTTCCAGCCAAGAAGTAAGTGCGCCCCTGCTTGATGCTTCCTGCTCCCCCAAGCGCTGATCCCGATGCCGCTGTCTTCTTCTTTCAGCTGCATCAACATCATTACCCAGGACCAGCCAGGTCCGCAGGACAACCATGGCTGTCCCTTTCGCCACTTCTCACCCGCCAATCTGTCGTCGGCCCTCATCAGCCAGTACGGGCTCAACTTTGCAGAACAGTCGGAGATCCTGCAGGCCGTCAAGAGTGGCCATTACCACGTCGGCTGCACGAGGCTGTTTGAGATCACCCACCGCAAGCAGGGCGTCAAGAAGGGCGACGGCCTGGGCGAGGGCGAGAGCGTGAGCCACCCAAACCGATACTTTGAGCGGAGCTGGTCGCTTGTCAAGGATGCCAAGTCATCATCGACCTCAGCTAGCAGCGGCGGCGGCGGCAACGATGATGAAAAGGACGAGTCGACCACGGATCGAACCGCCTCGGCATCGAGCAAGAGGACCTCAGCAGCTGCTCAAATCGACATCGAAGACGATGGCGACGATGAAGACATGGATCTGCTGCTCCAGGAGGCTCAAAAAGCCGAAGACGACGCCATGGCCGTCGACACATGAACGATGACTCTCACCGACCACTCTGCTGCAGCAACCTCTCGTTTGTCCGTTCCTTCATGCGCTCTCTCTCTCTTGTAATCTATCATTCTATTCGTGCACTCTCACTCGAGCATCTCGTCGCCCGCGTCGTCCCCTACACTGGCAAAGTTGAGCACCTCTACTTTGCCTCTGCCTTTTGTCTCGCTCTCGAGAAGCTCGTTGATGACGCGCAGCGAGCCGGGGTCCATGACGGCGACCTTTTGCACAAAAAGATGGCATCAGCTCTCGTTGTTCCTGCATGAGGCAGCTGGCAGACCAGACTCACCAGCTCCCACTCGTCTACCCAGTCGTCGTCCTCGACCTTGTCGACGAGCTCCTGCACCTTTTCCTTGATCCGCTTTCCGTCCTTTGTCGGCATCGTCACCCTCACGCGCATCCTGGCCCGCTCAATGGGAATCGTCTTGCTGGCCTGGAGCTGGCGAATGACATCGAGGGCCTGCGACTTTGCCGACTTGTTCTGCTTGACGCCAAAGTGGATGTCGTGCATGGCCTTTTCGATGATGCCGACGGTGTAAGGGCGCTGCGAGGCGGGGTCGACGCACTTTTCGCTGACGAGCGTCGCAATCTCGCGCCACGCAGCGCCAATCTCGTGGGAGCGCTCCTTTTCGCCCACTTGCAGCTCGCCACGCTTGAGCACCTCGACGAGAATGTCGTGCATGCTCTTGTCCTCGCCAAACGCCCGCTTGAGGTCCTCCTTGGGCGCCACGGTGCCCTTGGACACGTTCAGAAACACATTTTCAATCTGCACCACCTCGTCCAGGTCCGGCTCGCTGCCGTTGCGCCAGTCCAGCACTTTATTCTTGTAGCACGCCACCTCGAACCGCTTGCCACCCTTGCGCAGCCGCACGACCGACACGTTTGTCAGCTTGATCTGGTTCGACGGCTGGTTGATCGGCATGGTTGTGCGTGTGTGTGCGGAAGTGGACGCTCGCTTCTTCCTTCTCCACCTTGGGACGACAAGTCTCCTCCAAAAAAATTAAAAAAATCTAGATTTCCCGCACGTGTGGCTCAGCGCGCGAGGAAGCTTGCGCGCCTCTCGAGAAGTACTGTAGGTAGTCTCAAGACGAGGGGAGGAGAGAGACAAGACGACGAGGATGGAGTTTCAGAGACAGACAAAGCGGGGGAAGGAGGCCGAGAGCAAGGCGCAGAGAAAAGCAGAAGAGGCAGAGGCCTTTGCTGAGGCCGCTGAGCGCCACGCACAGGCACAGGCGGCAGGAAGGAAGAAGAAGAAGGTGATGAAGAGGGACGGGGACGAGGACGAGGAAGTAGAAAGGAGCAAGCTGGAGGATGAGGCCCGGAAAGCGACGCTGGACGCTGAGCCGCCAGTCCCGCCGCCGTTCATGCACAACCTCGACCGAGCGCAAATAGCGTTGGAATCGGGCAACCCATACGAAGCAGCGGCGGTCCCTCTGCGGCTGGCCGCGATCCGGATAGAGGGCGCCAAGAATCTCCGGCCGTCGTTCCTGTCGGGCCTCTGTCGGCCGTACCTCGATGGGACACTCAAGCCTGATAATCCGCTGCATCGGCTTCTGTACTCGCACCGGCTCCACCACACGCTTCCTGGTCAGCCAACCTCGATCCCGGCCATCCTGGCGCTGACGAATTCGCTCGGCCAGGACCTTACCTCCTTTGACCTCTTTTCCGACATTGCTGCCCAGCTTGCCCCCGCTGCCTCGCCCTCATCGTCGTCGTCTTCGTCGGCCGAGGACGTCGATGTGGTGCTGCGGTGCCAGGAAAAGGGCCGTTTCTTTCTCAAGACGAGCACCGAGGTGGGCAACGGCGAGGGCAACGGCGTGGTGCAAGGCCGGCTGCGAAACGTGCTGGGCGGCGCAGAGAGCCTCGAGGGCAGCGCGTCGATTGGGACAAAGACGCGCAAGTCGTTTGCCCTCGCCCTCGTCTCGCCCCTCTTTGCCTCGCCTGACCACTCGGTCTCGCTGAGCGCCTTTGCGCAGGACCGCGACCTGACGTCGTATGCGAGCTGCGTCGAGGGCCTGCGAGGTGTGCGCGCAGCCCTCAGCGTCAATGCGGGCACATTGGGGCTGCACGAGCTGGCGTACGAGGTGCAGCACCGTCACGTCGGTCGCCTGCTCCCCACGGCGTCCATGAGCATGCGCCGGCTCGCAGGACACACGGTCAAGTCGGCCGTGTCGCACACGGTGACGTCCGATACGCGCGACGATCCCTTCATGGCGACCGAGGGCAGGCTGCTGCGCCTCTATCAGGAGTACGCCGGCCTGGGCGGCGACGCGAGCCACTACAAGGTCGAGGGCGAGGGCCAAGTGTCGCGCGCATTTGGACGCGGCTGGGTGAGTTCTCACGTCTCCTCTTCGCAAGTGAGACTGCTTGCAGGCGATCGGAACTGAACTGACTAGTTCAACACAAAAGGCTGCCTCGCTCTCGGCTCGCGGCGGCGCACTGACGACGCTCAACGGCCTCGCGCCGCGCTTCTCGGATCGCTTCCAGCTCGGCGGGCCCGTGTCGCTGCGCATGTTCCGCTACAACGGACTGGGCCCCCGCGACGGCGCCGACTCGCTGGGCGGCGACGCCTTTTGGGCCGTCGGTGCCTCGCTCCTGGCTCCCATCCCCACGCGGCCCCACTGGCCACTCAAGATTCACACCTTTCTCAACGCCGGACAGCTGGCACAAGTCCACGGCCGCGAAAAAGGGACAGCCTGGCGCGAGCTCGGCCAGCCATCGTCGTCGTTTGGGCTTGGGCTGCTGTACATGCAGAGCGGGCTTAGGGTCGAGCTCAATGCTGGCTTGCCACTGACGGCGAGAAAGGGCGATGGCCACCGCAAGGGCATCCAGCTGGGCATCGGCATCTCCTTTTTGTAGCATCACTATCACACAGAGGGAATAATTATCTCCATGCATGTCCTGTCTTATAAAAGTATATACAGTGGGTATCTTCTTGTTTGGTTTCCCACACTTCCTCTTCCTTCTCCTCCTGCTTTTTCGATGGCACAAGGGACCGAAAGCATCGTCGTCTACGGCAGCTTGTCTGCTGCTGCTGCTCTTGCCGCCGTATCGGCCGCATTGCTCTTCCACTGGCTCGCATCAGCGTCACCCTTGTACACCTCCTTTTTCCAGATCTGCGCCTCGCGCTTGACGAGCTCGAGCGCCCACTCGGCCACTTCGAATGCCTCGCGCCGGTGCGGGCTGCTGACGGCGACGAGGATCGAGGCCTGCTCCACGGGCACGTTTCCGAGCCGGTGGGCTATGTAGACGCGCCGCGAGGCAGGCTGCTTGCCCGCTTGCCCTTCCGTCTTCCTTTCGCTTTCTTGCTCTTCCTTCTTGCTCTCGGTGCTCTGTCCTTCCATCTTGTTGTCAGTGCTGCCTCTGCTACTGAAGCTGGCGAGCGGCTGCGAGAGCGGCCAGGGACCGGCGGCGTGGCAGGCGAGCTCGACGATGCGCTGGAGCGTCTTGATGGCCAGCTCGCTGTATGCCTCGTACTCGAGCTTGACGACTTCTTTGCCTGCATCACCAGTCAGCCTACCACCCTGCACGCACGCTCCTTGTCTGCTCCAAATTCATTCAGCGAAGACGGAGGACACGCACCCTGGAAGTTGTCGCGCGTGGTGCCGACAAAGAGGACCGAGGCGCCCGCGCTCGCGTGCCCGACGAAGCGCAGCGCCGCCCTCTCGTCGAGCGAGTCAAACGTCAGCGCCGCGCTGCCGAGGCCGTCCGGAAGCGAGACGGACGCCTTGTGCGACGCCTCGCCTCCTGTCGAGCTCTTTTTCTTCATCGTGTGTCCTTCTTCAGCCACCGAGGAGGCAAGATCGGGGCAGAGAGGCAAGTGGGGTGCAAGTTCAACAAAAAAAAAAAAAGGTCGCCAAGAGTGGAGGGAAGCTAAGTAAGGGTGCTCGCTCAATTTGAAATCGCTCCCCCCCTCTTTGTTTTTTCAATTTATTACGGCGCCGCCGAAGGGACCAAGGAAATCTTCTCTTTCTCACATCTCTCGAGATCTTGATCAAGCCTGCCACCCTGCTTCGTTTGCTCTTGACCACTTCTACCGAATCGACATCTACAGCGGGTCGACGTATCCCGTCCCCCCATCTCGCGTGTGTTTCTGCCGCTTTTCAACCTGCACCCCTTGCCGCTACGAATGATCGCCATCGGCTGCAGCCTCACCAACGCCTCGTTGGTCCCTCGCCAATAACATTTGCCTGTTCCTTCTTCTCGAAAAGAAGAGCTGCAATTCCCCCTGGTCATCGAGAAGAGATGCCCTCCGACGTCGTCTACACGGACGTGAGCGACGTCTCCAAGGCCTACTCGGTCCTCGGTGGCTTCATTGTCATCTACGGCCTCTTTAGCTATGTGGCCAAGGACCGCCTCTACATGAGCGAGCCCCTCATTGCCGTCACCGTCGGGTGAGTCCCTGCCCGGTCATAGTGGTTGTAGCAAGAAGGAAAGAAAGATTGATGCTGATGCGAGAAATTCGTCCCCTACAGCATCATTGCGGGCCCCTATGTCCTGGGCTGGGTCGACCCGCGCTCGTGGGGAAGCTACGACGACACGAACTACGTCACCTACGAGCTTACGCGCCTCGTCGTCGGTGTCCAAGTCCTCTTCACCGGCATATCGCTCCCCATGGCCTACCTCCGCAAGGAGGCTCTTTCGCTCACCGTGCTGCTGCTGCCCATCATGACGACGGCATGGCTCGTGTGTGGCCTCCTCATCTGGGGCCTGATCCCCTCCATCACCTTTCTCGAGGGCCTCTGCATCGCTGCGGCCATCACGCCGACGGACCCGGTGCTGGCCAACAGCATCACAAAGGGCCGCTTTGCCGACAAGTATGTGCCCGCCAATCTCAAGAACATCATTCTCGCAGAGAGTGGCGCCAACGACGGCCTTGGGTTTCCCTTTCTCTATCTCGCCCTCTACCTCCTCTACCGCAATGGCGAAGACGCAGGCACGAGCGCTGGCACCGAGATCGGGCGCTGGGTGTGAGTGAAGTAAGACTTTTGGCATGAAGCAGCACCCAGAAGCTGACGAGGATCCATCGCAGATACGCCGTCGTCATCTTCAAGATCCTGCTCTCGTGCGTGTACGGTGCCCTGGTCGGTGTCCTGGCCCACAAGACGCTCAAGTGGGCCGAGACGAGGGGCTACGTCGATCGCGACAAGTGAGTTGATAATGACGCCATACTTCGGTCCACATCTGACTGTGTTCGTTATCTCCTCCCTGCAGCTTCTTCGCCTATGGCTTTGGGCTTGCCCTCTTCACCCTTGGCACCACCGGCCTCTTCAACTCCGACGACATTCTCTCGTGCTTTGTCGCCGGCAACGCCTTTACCTGGAAAGACTGGTACCGCGTCCGCACCCAGGTCGAGGAGGAGGACTCGTTCCAGGACATTCTCGACTCGCTCCTCAACACGGCCGTCTTCATCTACATTGGCGCAATCATCCCCTGGGACGCCTACAACTCGGCCGACTCGGCCCTCGGCATCGCGCCCTGGCGCATCGTCGTCCTCGGCCTCCTCGTCCTGCTTGTCCGCAGGCTGCCCTGGGTCGTGGCTCTCTCCAGGTTCATCCCAGCCATCACCAATTTCAAGGAGGCGCTCTTTGCCGGCCACTTTGGACCCATCGGCGTTGGTGCCGTCTTTTACATCGAAGTCGCCTTGCGCGAGATTCCCAATGACGGCAGCAGGGACCGCCTCCGGGCCCTCTACACGCCCGTTGTCCTCTTCATCGTCTTTTCGAGCGTGCTTGCACACGGCGTCACCATTCCCATTGCCAAGCTCGGTCCCAACGTCGTTCGCCGTACGACGTCGCTGTCGGCGCGCCGCACCGTCTCCTTCACTTCGCGGCCCACCTCGTCGCGCGACGTGAGCCCGCCGCAGACGAGCGAAGGCAAGCCTGGCCACCCAGAAGGAGCGCTCGAGCGCGAGGTGTGGAACCCGCTCTGGTCCGCCTGGGTGGGCCTCGGCCATGTCGTCCTCTTTTGGCGCAAGGACAGCTTCTGGAGAAAGGAGAACAAGCACCAGATGCTCGTGCGGCAGCGCGGGAGCGTCATTAGTGCGCCCCAGAATGCCAAGCGGACCTCAGCCATTGAGGAGCGGTCTGCTGCGCCGTCGACGCCCTCGCAGCAGCAGCAGCAGCAGCAGCAGCAGCAGCAGCAGCAAGGAGGGGAGGCGCCGTCGACGCCTACGATGCCGAAACCGGCGCATGTCCCGAGTACGGCGCATCACGCAGGAGGAGACGGACCGGGCTCATGGGGCGCGCAGCTCCAGGACGCGCTCCGGCGCGAGATGTTGGCCGAGAGAAAGGAGGCGAGGGACGAGGAGCAGAAGCGCGTCAGCAGACTCCTGGCTCAGGCTCCTGGCGCTTCGGGCCGGCCGCTCAACGGCGTCGGCGATGCGACTGCTGGTGAACAAGACGGAGGGCCCGCCACGCCCGGCGGCTCCAAGGTCCGCTTCGAGTAATGAAGCGCTTGCTTGCAGGGGAATCGCGAGAGAGAAGGAGAAGAAGAGAAGAAAAGGAAACGTTTGTGCAACGAAGAGGAAATGAGTAGTGATTGGGTTTTATGCTTGTATATACGACCTTGTGGTCCTTGTGCGCATACATGCTACTTCTACATTTACATTGCGGAGAGGACAGGAGGAGAGAAAGAGAGAACGAGAGGGGAAGAGGAAAGAGGAAGAAACATCCATGTGGAAGCAATGCTCTATCCTATGATGCCTCTTGGACAACGCCGACCTGGGCTGCTCGGAGGATCCGGTCCTTGATCTTGAAGCCAGCCTTGCTGCACTCGAGGACGGTGCCTGGCTCCTTTCCAGGGACGGGCGCCTGGTACAGCGCCTCGTGCTCCAGCGGGTTGAACTTCTCGCCCGTGGGGTCAAACTGCGTCACGCCGTGCATCTTGAGCATGTCGAGGATGCTCTTGGACGTGAGCTCGACACCGCCGTAGAGCTCGGCGACGGCCTTTCGCGCGTCCTCGGGCCCCGCCGCCTCGCCGTCCTTTGGCGCTGCGCGCAGGTTCTCAGGGACCGACCTGAGCGCAAGCGCGAGAATGTCGAGCGACGACGTCAGGTCCCGTGCAAACTTTGTGATGGCATAGTCGGACGCCTGCGCCTTTTCCTCGGCGGATCTCCGCTGGAGGTTCTGCATGTCGGCCTTTCCGTACAGGACGGCATCCTGTGTCGCACATTTGCCATCGCGTCAGTCCCTCTTTTTTTTTTGTGCATACATACTCCTTGTTGATGGAAAGACTCACGGTAAGCTCCTTGATCTTTGCGTCCTTTTCCTTGAGCTGCTTTTGCAGCTCTTCTTGGGCCGCACCGCTGGCTCCTCCACCCTCACTGCCCGAGGCGCCGGCGCCCATCGCCTCGCCTGCCGCCTCTGTCTCCTTCTCCTTTGTCTTCTCCGCCTCGGCCTCCTTCTTCGTCTCGCGGAGGATCCCGCTCGTCGAGAATGGCCGTGCCATCGAGCCACGAGCACCAGCCGCCGCCGCTGCGCCGGTCATGACCGTCGGTGATGCTGATGATGATGATGATGCTGACGACGAGTGGAGCAAGGAGCGAGCAGCAAGCAGTCGCGACGAGGGCGCGGTGGCGGACGTCGAGGCCTCGCGCAGGAGCTGGCGGGCCAGGTTGCGCGTGTACTGCATCGTCGTGGCGTGGTTGTGGATGATCATGCAAAGCAACACGGAGCGCAGGGCAGTGTAAGTGGGCCTTGCGGAGAGAGTGGCGTCGGGTGGACCTTTCGTGGAAGAAAAAGAAGAATGCAGGCCTTCCAAAGGCGAAGGAGGCGCAAAATTGCAACGGTCACGTGGGCTGTGCCAAGAGGCCTTGACGGCGCATGGCCGCGACGGGTATTCTTTGGCTTGAGACGAGGGTAGCAGCCGCTCACCGCGATCGCCTCTGGGGTTGCGTTGTTGTCCAAAGGAATAGAATGCCCACCCTCGCAATGGTGGCCATCGCCATCGCCATCAGTGGTGATACCACGTGTCGATCCACGCACGGGCTTTTCCCGTGATTTATTTTTCCTTTTTCGCCGGGCTTGAGAAGATCCAAGGAGAAGAAGTCATTCTTTCACCTCAAGCTCACCAAAGCAAGATGAACACCATGGGCGGCCGCCAGTTGGCGCGATCATTGAGGCTTGTCACGAGGTTGCGGCCGCTTCATACGAGCATTGTGCGCCATGAAGCGCAGCGAAAGCCTGCCATTGGCTCGATTGCGCAGCTCCGCAAGCTCGTCCCGGGCACCTCCATGATCAAGGCCCGCGAGGCACTGACGGCCACCTGGCCCTCTGACGCCGCGTCCGAGGACGTGCAAGCCGCCGTGGCGTGGCTCGAGTCCGATCGACGGGCCAGCGGTGCCAAAAAGGCGGAGAAGGTGGCCGACCGACAGGCAAAGGAGGGTGCCATGGGCGTGTGCGTCCTCAGCGATGGCGCGCCAAACTACTCGGGCGAGGCCAAGGCGCCCGCCCAGTTTACGCCATTGGCCCAGGCGGGCCTCGTGGAACTCAACTGCGAGACAGATTTTGTGGCGAGAAACGAGCTCTTTGGCCAGCTCCTGGCCGATCTCGCACACACGGCCGCCCTCTTCCCCTCGCTCGCCAACGTTCCAAACAGTGAGGCAGCAGCAGCAGCACCGCGGCTCCTTGACATTCCCGTCGAGGAGTTCCTGGAATTCCCTCTCCTTGCCTCATCGCCCCACTCGTCCTCGCCTTCCACCTCCAGCCCCTCGGCCGATGCCGCTGCCGCTCCAAAGACGGTACGGTCGGCCATCGTCGACATTATTGCTCGCGTAGGAGAGCGGATCCACCTGGCCCGCGCGTCGACGCTCGTCAGCGCGCCGCCGCCGTCTCCGCTTGCGCCGCGGCGTTCGTCGCCCGACTCGCCGAGCCCCGCGTGGTTCGTCGCGAGCGCATTCACTCATGGCGCCGCGGCTTCAACATCTTCTTCGTCGACGGCGGCGTCCTTCGGCGAGCTGCGGCCGGGCTACACGCTGTCCTCGGGCAAGGTCGCCAGCCTGCTCATCACGCGCTTCGACCGGTCCGACGAGACGAAGCGGACCGACGAGGCGAGCCTGCGCTCGATGCGCGGCCTCGCCAGGTCCTTGGCGAGGCAGTCCGCAGGCATGCCCACCCGATCCGTGCGGGGAGACGAGGAGACGGCGCTGTATGCGCAGCCGTTTTTGATGAGGCTCAATGCCGCCAAACTCGAGGGCGAGGAAGACGAGGCGGCCGCCGCCGGGGGGTCAGACGAGCCGCCCAGCGTCGAGGCCAGCTTGGAAAAGTGGGCAAGCGTCTGGGCTAGAGGTCAGGCAGCACGTTCAGGGGATCCTGCTGTCCAGGTCCTCGACCTTCGACGGTGGGGGGTGGGAGAGGGAGAGGAGCAGCGATAGTAGTGTTGCAGCAAATACTTGTTCAAAGGATAGATGCAGACTATTGAGATAGATTTGAAAACCCCCTCTAGAGGCTTTACTCGCTAGAGTTGCTGTCTACATTGCCGCTTCGAAGGACAAGCCAGCCGCAGCCCCTTCGGCGATGTTCTGGCCCAGTGCAGCGCCCGCATCGACGCCCTGCCTCGCGAGCGACTCGATGCTGAGGCCAGCAGGGAGCTCAGTGCCGCCCGAGAGGGGCAGGGTGCCCACGCGCCAGCCGGCAAAGAGAATGGTGCAGCCAATGACAAACACGACTATGGCCAAATCGTTGACGAAGCTGTCGACGAGGGGTAAATAGGAAGCCAGTGTCCGGAGAAGGAGGCGCAGCTGAGGGTGGGGCAGGTAGTTGCTGATCTTCAACAGCAAGCCTGGGGGTTGCGGTCGAGACTGGCGTGAACGTCGCTGTGTCAGTACATCCTCCCGTTCGATGGAACAGCACAGCCATGCTTACCCTCTGCAGCATGATGCGGGAGCTCTGGAGGGCGAGCTCGAGCGTGATGAAGAGCCAAAAGACGGGCTGTGTCTAAGTCAGCCACGGTATGTGCTGAGAGAGAGAGAGGCTCATAGAAGACTCACAATTCCATGGATGGGCAGCCCGAAGCTCTCTGGGTCAAAGTACCTGGCTTCCCAGTGCGCCGGCCTCTCGTACCCCAGTCTTGCCCATCGATGCAGGGTGCTCATGTGCGCAAACTTCTCCACGATGCCCGCCTCGTCTTCGGGAACGACGTGCTCGGCGAGCGCGGGGCCGGTCTTGATGGCATTGTAGACGAGGGCAAAGCCAAAGCCGATGAACACGAAAACACGGAGCAGGTTGAAGAGCCGGTCGACAAAGTGCGGTCCAGACGCTTGATCGGCCGGCTGCTGAGAGGGAGGCGTACCCATGCCCATCCCAGGAGGGAAGGGGAAATTCATGTCCGGACCGGCGCCTGGCGCTCCGGGCCCAGGTTGGCCGCCAGCACCCATGGCCTGTTGCATAGCCTGGATCATCCCTTGCAGATCTTGGGGCATCCCCTCGCCACTGCCTCCGAAGAAAGAGGGCATTTGCTGTTGCTGCTGCGCCGCCATCATCGAAGCGCTTGGCTTCGAGATGTCAATGTCGTCCGGGTCATCTGTGTCTGTCCTTGCTGTAGCTCGTTCAATGAGCGGATCATCGTCCCTTCCTGGGGCCTCATCGAGCGGGTCTCTGATCGCCGCCTGGCCTCCAAGTGGTTTGGGCTTGTCGGCGTAGAGAACCTCGGCCTCGCCTCCTCGGCCCGTCTTTGTGATCCTCGCAAGCCGGTCTGTGCCCGAACCCAAAATTCTCGCTTTCCGCGCTTCTCGCCGAGCCTTGGCTGCCTCGCTGGCCGCATCCGACGAGCTGCTTGCCTCTGCCATCCTCGATTGGCTTGTGCTCGAGAAGGAGCCGCCCAAGAAACGAGAACGAGAGGCTTTCGGGAAGAAGAGTGGAGCTGGCGTCGCGCCGACACGTGCGCGTCACGCACACGTGGAGATTCTCGTCTCAGAGCCGCCCTTTTGACAATCGCCCCGGAGGTCGCCGTCTTCTGCGCGCTCTCATTCGCTCGTTCTCCTCTTCCACTGTTCGTCACCCATTCGCCATGAACGCTCGTTTCGTCGCTCGTCCTCTTGCCAGCGCTAGCCGCTCGCTGGCTGCTCGTCAGCTCGCCCAGCCCGTTGCCCGCCGTTTCGCTTCGAGCGAGGCCATGGGCCAGGAGCTTGTTCATGAGAGGGACCACGCCAAGGACCATGCCGGAAGTGAGCACGATTGTCCTACAATGTTGACCTTGACACTTATTCCCTCTCCTCTCTTTTCCTTTTCGTTTTCACAGAGAGCGCCGACATGTGGCGCAAGGTTTCGGTCTACGGCTGCATCCCATTCGGTATGTTGTTGTTGTCCGCTCTGCCATCTCGTTCTCGTTGACTTTTGCTGACTCCGTCGACGTGGACAGCCATCGTCATGGGCGTTTATATCTACCAGATCGAAGCGGCCCACATTCACCACCGTGTGAGTACCTGCTTGCCTGCTCCCGCCCGACCACAGAAAGAGGAGAAACAACAAGCTGACCTTTCGCGCAGGACCACGAGATTGCTGAGAACGGAGGCGAGCTGCCCGAGACAACCAAGTACGAGTACAACGACATTCGCAAGAAGGTGAGAGCTCTGTCATACTCGCCGCAGGCATCGACAGGATCGGAGGCTGACCGATTAACTCGCGAATCTCCAGCCTTTCCCCTGGCACAACAAGGACGAGGGCAAGGACAACTCGTTCTTCTTCAACCCCAAGGCTAACCGCGACGTGGGGATGTAAAGGAGTACCTTTCACTACCAGTGCCATGGGCAATCCATTCAGGGAATAGAAGCATTTTTGTGCTTTGGACTGCAGGTGCTACAGTATGCTGGACCCAGCTCACCAGCCCCAGGTGCCGGGACCACCCTTAAAGCCGCGGTCGCCGCCAGTGATCTCCGGCGTGATCCAAGAGCCATCTTGAATAGAAAGATCCTGAAGCTTAGCTCGCGTGCAGCAAAGAGAGGCTTGATGATGGGACACACTCACAGAAGTCGCCTTCCTGTGCCGCCACCTCGTCCTCATCAACGTACTGCAGAAGAGCGCTCAATGAACAAAGCCGACTCTAGACCGGCGAAAGGAAATACTCACGCATTTCCAATGCCCCACCTTGGCAGCATCTGTGCCACTGGAGGCATAGAAGCACATGTAGTCTTTGATCTTTGCAAAGCCAGGCGTGGGCGAAGGATAGGACCAAATCTTTGCCTTGACGAGAGGTGTGCTTGCTTGCGTCGGCTTCAAGTCGTGGTAGAGAGCCTGGCCTTTCCATTCACACCACGTTCTCCGAGCTGCACTCGGAGCGAGAAGCGCCTGGTTGACATCGCTAGGTGGGAAGTAGTACTGACGGGTCGCAAAATGTCTGCATGAGCGTGACCTCAGCTTTCAAAGAGAGAAGCGGACCCACTCACAGTCGGAGGATGGGAGGTCTCGAGCACACGGTAGCCCTGCGTCGTGTCCGCCACCACCGTCTCCGAGTGATCGGGTGCCCTCCAGACAACACGTAATCGGGCTGTCGTGGGCTGGAGCGCAGGTGGTCTTGGATAGTTCCAGACCTGTCGTGGCAATTGTACCGCTCAGCGGACCATTCCGCCCTGCAAAGACGCCTGCACGCCAACTCACGCTTTCCACGGGTCTTGGTGGCATGCTCTCTTCTCGGCTCTTGCCACTTTGTGACTCTTCAAATTTGTCCAAGACACCGCCGCCGACCACTGGTCTCAAGCAAGTCTTACACCGGTCTCGAAGCTGATGCCGAGGAGATCGTTTGTGGAGAAGGCCAAGGACAACGGGAACAGTGGCTTGCCAAATCTTTGATCTAGACTGAACCGCCTCCTCCCCTAGCCCCTCGGCTTTCAGATTTCGCCTTTCCATAACCTTGCTTGAAATTGAAAAGGGCAAAATCGAAATTGTAAATGTCCGCGTGCAGGGGTGTTGTGCCTGAGGTTCTAGCCCGAGCGGGTGCATGTTTAGGCAAGCAGACTGTCAAAGCCAATTCCTGACGTATACGTGCGGTCTTTGAGGGCAGTAGAACCACTACTACACTTACCCTACTCTACTGATTTGCCTTGTTTAAAACCGCGCTGCTCGCCGAGCGAGGCTGATGCGAGCGTATCTTCAACTCTCACCGCCAACCCCGCTCCCTCGGATTCTCGCTCAATTGGCCGTTCCTCGGGAGAATCTAGATCAGGTCTAGGTACTGCGACGATTATAGGGGCAGGAGCCATCTCTAATTCAAATACGCTCTCCATCTCCCTCTCCTCCACGCGTTGTGCCGCCTCACGCCACTGCCGCTCATTGGATTGGAGCAGTCTCCGCTTGCTACATCACTCGCGGCACATCGCTCTCTAGCACTCAAAGATCAGATCAACAAGCGATCAAAGGAACCTATCTGCTGGCTCGTCTCTAGTCTGATCGAAGTGCGAGAAGTACGACTACTATTAGGTAAGGGCCCTCTGCTGCGACTTGATACCGGGGGGCCCGAAGTGAAACTCATCCTTTCTTAATCCGTTTTCGGGCTACTAGCGTGCAGATAGCACGATTGAGTCGCCGCTCGACACGAGCTTGCGACAGCGACAACGACGGACCACGACAACGACGATGAATGCGCCCATGATCGAAGTGGACGCGAGTGGCGTTCCGCTCGCCCCTCTGAGCAGCAATAAGGCGAGCACCGAGATTAGCGTGCCCACAGTTGGCAACAGTGTGCAGCCAGGGTCGAGGAAGAGCATCACGATCCCAAAGGATAAAGTCAGGCTCGACGTTCTGCTCGTCACTGGGCAACGCCACTTTTTTGATTTCGAGCCCAACGCGAGCGCAAAGGCGGTCCGCGAGCACATCTGGAGCAACTGGCCTGAAGGTGAGCAGCGAGTCTCCTTCCTACCTACCAAAGTAGAGCACACGTTGAAGGTGGCAAACCCTTGCTTGTTGAACAGACTGGCCATCCCGGGCGGCAGCTTCGTCGGCCTTCAAGGTCCTTCACCTTGGCCACATTCTTGACGACAAGACGACATTGTCAACAGCACCGGGCGCGGGGGACAAGGAAGCGGCCAATTCGCGGCGGATGAGCATCGGGAAAACGACAGTGGTGCATCTTCTCGTAAGGCAGCAGCCTTTGCAGGACGCTGGCGATGGTGAGCCAACACATCCTGATGTCTTGAAGAGGTGCCCAGGGAGACTGACCTACCGAGGGAAATAGGTGATTCGATCAAGAAGAGGAAGAAGAAAGGCGATAGAGAAGCGACCGAAGAGGACGACGAATTACAGGACGTACAAACGGGGTGTCGCTGCGTCATCTGCTAGGTGCCCCGTGCGCCCATCACCATCATCACTATATCCAGACCCGTCATCTCGTCATTTTTGGTCGTCAGCGCCTATACAATCGTCACCCTTCAGCACAATTTTCCTCCCTTTCATTCGTCTGCCTTAGTCTCGAGGCACCTGTGTGTGCATGCCAACGTCATTCGCCACTCCCCCCTTCTCTACTGCTAAGCATGCCTTGTCTCAACTCGTGTATTACCTAGTCACATTTGCCAACCTCAACTTGTCTTTTTTTTGTTCCACCCTTACTCGACACATTCTAAAGAGCCAACGTGACCAGCCATCTTTGAATGGCCTCCCGCCTGGCTGTCTTTCCCATCTGAGGTCGCACTGATTAAGCAATCGCCACCTTGTTGAGCCGTTGCTGCAAATCAGCATCTGTACAGTCTTCCATACCTTCAATCTTGTCGTGCCGACGAATTAGGGCTCCGTCAACAGCCAAGCTCACCGCATAAAGCGTTGGTCTGTCATCTTTCTCTGGCGGTCTGTGTCGTCACAATTGGCAAATCGTTTGCTCGCCACAGCTTCATTACACATCCGCTCCCGGCTGCGCAGCGACCCCTGACAGCACAAATCAACTTGGGCGCCGTCCCCCCATTGCTCTTTGTATCATCCACGGACGGTAGATCGCTCTAGGATCAGAGACAGAAGAGAAGCAGGCCCGCCACCGTACTGTCTACAACGCACAAGCGTTCTTCGACATAGTGGATCCGACCTCATTTAAAAAATCGCCTTGGTGGCGGATGCGACTCAGTGTGCCCCTTTTGCTCTTTAGCTCGAGGAACATTACCTCCATCGGCTGTCCTTTGCTGCAGAGTGCGAGCTTCGAACTCACAGAAGGCGCTGGGCCCGACCCATGTTCTCGGCTACAACAGTTGAACGAGCCGTATGTTTCGTGTGCGAGGAAGAGCTTGATTGTGAGGGGCCTCGATCGACCACGCGAGACCCTGCCGTTTATTTTAAAATGACTTGCAGTAAAGTCGAGCTAAAGAAAGCCCATTCGAAGCAACAAGGTGTGAGAGACACAGAGAGGGAGCGAGCGATCGAGGCCGTCAAACCTCTTGATTTCCCAACCTGTCGTTCCCTTCCATACCCATCCACGCAGGCGACGGTCATCTTTTCGTATCTCCCGCTCCCTTATCCACACTGGGACTGCGAGAGACCATTCGACCACTGAACACGAGGTGGAAAGCAAGCTCTCGGTACAAGGCTTCCCGGTCTTTTCTTTTTCCTTTTGATTTTCCCCCCCTCCCCTTTCCCTCCATCGTTCGCTTTCCTTCATTCCCCGCGGTACCTCATACCGCAGGACAGACGGAACGCAGGAAAAGGGCGTGTGCGTCCGTCTTTAGCCTCACCCTTTCATCCTCTTCGCCACTTCGGCACAAACCGACGGCACACCTCATCATCCCTCTTCACAAGCAGGGGACTCGCGCTCTAACGCTTGTTTCTAGGCTCGTCGCCGTGAACATCTTGGGCCGCAGCTCCAATCTGCATTAGATCGGCAGGGAAAGTGATTGTCATAGCCAAGACTGCTTCACGAGCAAGGTGCGCCCGCCAATCCAGCTCCGTCAGCCCAGCAGCCCAACCCAGCACATCTCTGGCGGGAGCAGCATCGACTAGGGCGACGACTTGCAACCTGACAAGTCTCGGTTGCAGTGCCACCGCCCGTACACGACAGTACAGCATCCTTAACGTCAAACATTCTCGCACGACACCCCACGGGCACCCGAAACTAGGGCTGCCTGCCTCATTGGCTCTGCTCCGGCCACTGGCGCGTCGCATCCCTTTCCTCCTGCGGACCGTTGCACTTTCTGTTTTCGTTTTATTTTATTTTTCTGCGCTCGCCTTCGCCTCTCGACATCCAGCGATCTTCACATAACGACTTGCGACAGGGCCATAAGCGTAAATTCAAAAAAGACGGGCGGAGGAGGAGGAGGAGGAAATTAGTCGATTGTCCCCTCCCCAGCACTGCACCGATTCCCACCCTTTTGGAATTCGCTCAACTACCACGGGCAAGACTACAGAGTCTACTCCACGGTGGCGACCTTAGCCTCGGCTTCTAACGACAGTGGCCCTGGAAAGTCGACGAGGAGGGCGTCGTGGCCCCGGTTTCAATTTCCGCACGCCACGCGATTGCGTCCCGGGCGGAACCTTTTCCCCTAGCTAGGCAGGGCGAGGCAAAACAGAGATCCCCTCGCCGTAACGTTTCGGTTTCTTTTTGCCAGGCCTGGCTTCCTTTCTACCGTCCAATTGTCGATCTTTGCCTCTGTACGCTAGAACTTCCCCTCCTTGTTAGTTTCCCTCTTTTCGGTCCCCTTCCCTTTCTTTTCTCCTCCGCATCGCATCCACTCCTCTTTTGCGAGGCGGGGGAGCTTCCAGCGACCCTCTTTCTTTTAAAAGAAAAGAGGCAGCGACGGGGGCTCGTCCAGTTCTTGGGCGTCATTCTTGTTTCACTCCCCCTTCACTACCGTAGCTACCACCCGTTGCATCGTCGTTCCGTCCAGCTGGTCGCCACTCCTGCCTTCACCCCTCGCCATCCGGGTGGTGAAAGGGCTCGACAATGGCTGCGGTTGCGACTTCGGCGACGAGCTCCGCCCTGATTAAGTCGGGCCAGGCAGGGGCCAATCGACCATCAGCACCGAACGTCACCAGGGTGGCGATTCGCGACTCGAAGACGATTGGCATCAATGGTGGGCTCCCTCTTGCTTTCTTCATCCACAGTCTTCCTTGCTCACCATCTCCATTTAGACCACATCTACATCTCGTCGCACTGGACGGCAGGGCCGGGTGAGCCTTATACTATTGCGCGTGTCATGGAGTTTGTTACCGCTTCCTCCTCGCGCAATGGCGCCGCTCCCCTAGCCAGCTCATCGGGCACGCTGCAGGTGCGAGCCAACGTCTATGCACGGCCTCGTGACATCTCGCACCGAGTGGGCAACGACTCGCGTCTCCTCTTTGCCACGATGCACTCCGACGTCTTTGCTCTTGAGTGTGTCCGAGGGCTCTGCGTCGTCCGACACCGCGACCTCATCGGTGATGCTCCCGACGTCTCGGCGTGGAAAAAGAAGGAAGACCACTTTTACTACACTCAGCTCTTTGATCGTTACCTTCATCGATACTACGATGTCATCCCTACCGACAAGGTCAAGAATGCCCCGCAAGAGGTCCTCATCACGCTTCGGAATCGCTACAGCTTCGTCGCGGCCGAGGTCGGCATGACGGCGGACCTCTGTGATTCCCTTCGAGGCTGTGCCACCTGCCACCGTTGGGCTGCCAGGTAGGTTGGCCTATCCTGTTTCTCTAAAAGAAGATGGACAAAAGCTAACCGAACATGAACAAACAGCACGGAATCGGTTCGCTGCGATATCTGCAAAAAGTTCTTTCATATGCGGTGTCTCAATCCTCCGCTCATCTCCAAGCCAGCAAAGGGCTACAGCTGGACCTGCGCACCGTGTTCTCGGAGGCACGAGCAGGATGTTACCCTTGGTGGAGGCAGCACCGCAGGCTCCTCTTCCCCCTTGTATGGCAGCGATACCTCGTCAGATACGGGTAGCTTTGCCCGGCTACCTGGCAGCGTCCGAGGCGGGGCAGCCAATGGTTTAGGGTCTGCACCTGGCCGAGGCAGGGGGAGGGGCGCCTTCAAGGGCATGGGCAGATTCTCGCACTTGAACGCAGGCGAAGATGGCGGCAGCTCGGATCGGTCACGGGAGTCCACGCCTACAGCCAGTGGTCTGACCCTCGAGCCAAGGACGATCGATGACGAACGAGGGACACGTTGCTTCAATCATTGGCCCTACCGATACTTTGGTCAGCATACCGATGCCCTCGACGTGCTGGATCCTCATGATTCCGCCTATCCAAGGGCAACGACGAGGCTAGGTCCCAAATTCCAACTCAACATCATCCCCTGGGAAGATCAGCTGGCTCTCGGCATTGGCGTTCGCAGCGATAAGATGCTAAGCGCCATCAGCAGCGGGCTCGAGTCTCACGAAGGAACTGGCGGGGTGGGGACGCCCACCGATGAAGCAGCAATCCCCCAAATCCAGCCTGCACCGGCACCCACGAGGGGCAGAGGGAGAGGTAGGGGCCGAGGTCGTGGCCGAGGAGGTCGACCGTCTCTACAACAACAGCAGCAACATGATGGTGCGACGAGTAGCCGCGCTGAAACTCCTGTTGGCACCCCGTCCTTGTCCACCGTCGGCCTGCCTGCGGTACTGGATGGATCTTCGCCATTGGACATAGACCAAGAGAAGCTGTGGGATAGAGGAACAGACGAGACTGCCGAGCCCCAATTTCTGCCCAGCATTGGAAAGGAGAAGCTCGTCGAAAAGTATATGAAGATGTGCAAACAACACCTTCATCAGCACGCGACCCTCGTCTCCTTCCTCGATCGCGCCCTGATGCTCCTTGTCAAACATCAAAGCAACCCTGCCGCAGCGCTGAGCGAGCTGTCTTCGAGCTCAAATGAGGACTTTGAGATTGCGCTCTGGACTCCCAAGGAGGTGCGACAGTTCGAAAAGGCAGTGGCTGAGCACGGCTCCAGGCTCAAGCTCCTCAAGAAGGCTGTGCCCACAAAGACGTCAGCTCAGCTTATACGGCGCTTCTACCAGTGGAAGTGCGACCGCATGCAAGAGGTTCTCGACGCGGAGCAAAAAGCGCGAGAAGAAGAATCGGCGGGAGACTCTAAAGCGGGCACAGCTGGCGGCAACAGCAGCGAACTTACGCGTGTCAGGCCGAATCCGGCTTCGCGAGCCGTATCTCCGTCAGCATCCATCTACGGCGACGAAGACGAGGCACCATACCCTGGTGCAAAGACGTGCAAGATGTGCTCGACAGTATCGTCGGCCATCTGGTACAAAGCGCCCTTGCCGTGGCACAATCGCGTCCTCTGCATCAACTGCGGCATCTTTTGGCGCAAATATGCGGCCGAAAACTCAAACCAGGAACTCATTGCTACGTCTACCAAGCGGACAGCCGCTCCAACGGCTGCTGATGCCGCCCTCGGCGTCGCTCCACCAGTCAAGTCCGCCAAGCTTACCAGGAGTGGATCGGTCCGAGGCGCAGCAGGTTCGTCTGCCACCAGCACGCCTCCACCACAAGCCTCGGCAGGAGCAGCGTCGTCGTCGGCCTCGTCGGCCTCAAGACTGGACCCAATCAAGTGTGTTCTCTGTCGAAGGCTGGAGCCGAAGAAGAAGCTGGCCCAGTGTCGCCAATGCTCACTCAGCGTGCATCAAGGTGAGAAATGCTTACGCTGCTATCTTTGTGTTTCCCCATTCTGGAGTTATTGATTTGACACTCTGCCTTCCGTCATCAGGCTGCTACGGTCTTACCGAAGAGGAACTGGCCCTCGAGGTGTGGCAATGCGAAGCCTGCTCTAACGAAAAGACGCTCGATGCATCTTTGAATCCCTGCTGCATTCTCTGCCCTCCTCCAAAGCCCATTCCACTCTCCGTCGCTTCCAGCAATGTGTCGTTGCAGCCGGAGAAGTCTTCGGCGCGCGTCGGTCGGAAGAGCACCAACAATACTCCTATGCTTTCGTCGGCGGCGACAGGACCGGCGGGCGCTCCGCTGAGTGTCATGGAAGCTGTGAAACCGACAGAATGCAACAATTGGACTCACGTGGTCTGCGCGCTCTTTATGCCCGACATCGTTCTTACGGAGCCAGAGCGGATGAAGACGGTCGAAGGGGCAGGCAACTTGCCGCTTTGGCGCTACCAAGCGATGTGCGACCTCTGCCACGAACAATCGGGCGGCGCCTGTGTGACGTGCAATGAGCCATCGTGCAAGCGAGCCTTCCATGTCTCGTGCGCCTGGCAGGCTGCCAATTTTGTCCTTGGCTTCGACATCCAGCCTGTCAAGAGCAGCAGAAGGGACACTGTCCCCACCGCAAGCTTCAGGGGGGAGAGCGGCCACATGTCGGCGGTGGTGTATTGCAACTTGCATCGCGATGTTGGGAAGAACAAGGGGCTACACGACTGGGCCGACATCGATTCGACCACCGGTCTGACGGCAGCGCAGACCTACGCAACGACGCACAAGTCTGTCTCGAACGACCGAGCCGTCAGCACGGGCCTGTCTGCTTCGATAAGCGGCGCGGCAGGTGTTACTTCTTCTCTCTCGGCTTCAGCGGGGGCCCAATCGTCATTGACGACGCCATCGACGAACGCTCAAACATCCTCCTCCACGTCTTTGTCCGAACAGACTTACGGACTCTTGCGACGCGCGAAGAGACTTGATCTAGCCCTTAATCAGCTTCAGCAGAGCCAACAGGGTGTGCCTTTGCAGAGCTACATGCGGGGCTCTTCCTCCAACAAACGCCTCTCGTCCTCCTTCATTAATGCTTCTATATCAGCCACACCTGCTCCTCCGACTGTGGCCATCAGCGGGCAACAAATGACGCTGCTGCACAACCTGAACGATGCAAATGCCAACACCGCCTCATCGATCCATCTCCTTGGCGCAAATGCAGGCGCGGCGGGTCCGAAGTGTTGCGCACGATGCCAGTCGCGCTTCTCGCCCTTCTGGTTCGGTGTTCCTGCCGATGCTCGCGAGCTAGACGAGGAGGAGCAGGAGCAGGGAGAGGAAAGGGATTGGCTAAAGGCTGTCAAGGAAGAGGCAGCGGCGTCTACCGTCTTGTGCCTCCGATGCAGGCATGCCGTCGTTCCACCTCTGCAATAAGCAAGCTGATTATCGCCTTTATTGGAGCCGTTGCTTATTTTTCTGTTTGTGTATTCCTCATTGTCCTTGTACCCTCTTCCATCTCATCAACGCTCAATTCATGATCCCTCAGCTCCTGCCCGATCTGGCTCGTCTTGCTTCTAGTCTTCACCGGCGACTTAGAGCACGTTCTCTAATCAGACACTTGTGATTCTCATCAACCATGAAGTCGAGGGAGGAAGAACAGAAAGAGGAGAGCGGTAAGAGAATACATCCTTCGAAACGATTATGAGGTGAGATGAGAAGTGGAAAAATAGTGAAGAGAGAGAGAGAGGGGAGCAGGGGAATGTGGGAGAAGGGAGGATGGATGTACACATGAAGGCCGCTATTCGTCGTCGTCGTCGTCCATGGCTTCTTCCTTCTTTGGCCTGCCTCTTCCCTTCATGCTCAGCTTGATTTTGGGCCTGCTGCTGCTCTGAACGACGGGCGCCGCAGGCTGCTCCTCTTCATCATCCTGATCCTGTTCGTCTTCTTCGCCCGTGCCATTGCCCTCGTTGTCTGCACCGGGCAATCCGCTGTTTCTCGCCACGGCGTCGTACATGCCGTCAAATGCGTTCATGAGCTCGATTGCGTCGTTGTATACCCACGATCCCTCCTGGTTGTACGTCTTTGCGTTTGCAATCATCAACGCAAAGTCGTCACGGCAGGCCGACACGCTCCTGTACGTCCGATTGTCGATCCTCCGTCGGATCTGGCGCATGCAAATCGGTCGCTGGATGATGACGTGGTAGTCAGGGTACTCTGACTTTTTGGGAATATCCATGAATAGATCCGTCCTCTTCCGTGGCGGACTGCCATCCGAGTACTCTTCATAGCAGTTCTCCACTGCTCGGTAGCATTGCAGCAGGACGTCGTGGATCCGCTCTCGGGTATCGTCGCCTCCCTTCTTTTGGCGCTTTCCGCCCATTGCGCCACCACTCCCTCGCCGCGAGTCGCCGCCATAGGAGTCATTGTCTTCTGGTGAAGGCGACTCGACGAACTGGGAATGTCGCTTCCTCTTCCGTCCACCGCCACCACCCGGTGCTGGTGAGGCCGCCTCGGGCGTCTCGGTAGCTCGAGCAGAATTCTTACCTCGAGCTCCGTGCTTGGACTTTTTGGTCGGCTCCGGAGTTCCCTGCTCAGACGTGTCTCCGCTCTGATTCGCCTGCTGCACCTGCTTGAGCCTCCGCTTCTCTGCCCGCTCCCTTTTCTTCTCCACAACGTCGGCAATGTCGACGTCATCGTCCTCAAGGGCACGCAAGAATTGCTCCTCGGTAAGACCGTCATCGTAATGAACGACGTTGCGTCTCCGAGCGACAGGCGTCTCCTCAACGACGTCTTCCATGACGCTGACTGCTTCAAAGTCTTGCTGGTAGAGCGACGGAAGTTCGCTTTCCTGAATCAACCTCTCGGGCGCCTTGCCCTTCCAGCCTCGAGCGCGCCATTCTGCCTCGTCCTTTTCTTCGCGATCCTTGTCCAACTTCTTGAAAATGTCGAGCTCATCGTCAGCGCGAGCAAGGAGCTGATTGAGCTCGTCGTCGTTGAAGTCGCCTTCCTCGTCGTCTTCCTCCTCCGTGTCAGCTTCGAGCATGGCTCGCAGCAGGTCTTCTCGTTCGGCGGCCGTTGCCTGGTTATCGAATTTACCAGCCTGAATAACCTTGCCGTCGATCTCGAGCTTGCCTCGCGCTCGTTCCAGGATCGTCTCCTCGACCGACTTGGACGTGACCAGACGCAAAATTCTAACCTCCATCTTTTGACCAATACGGTGTGCACGATCTTGGGCCTGCAAATCCTGATGCGGATTCCAGTCCGAGTCGTAGATGATGACGGTGTCGGCAGTCTGCAGGTTGAGACCTAGACCACCGGCCCTCGTCGAGAGAATGAAGATGTCAATGTCCGAGCCCGGCGCATTGAAGGCTGTCAGAAGGTGCGATCGATCTTCAGGCTTGGTACCACCATCGAGACGAAGGTACTTGAAGCCACGGAAGCGAAGGAAGTCCTCCATGATGTCCATGATGGCCGTCATCTGGAAGAAGATGAGGACTCTGTGCCCGGTCGCCTTGAGCTTGGGCAGGATTCTGTCCAATAGCTCAAATTTGCCCGAAACGCGGAACAGGTCGGGTCCGTTTTCCTTTGTCGGATTAATGGCCAGCTCGACCTGCTCGAAGACGTACGGGTGGTTGCAAATCTTTCGCAACTGCATAATGGCATTCTGCAGGCCACGGATGCCCTTGCTCTTCGTTCCTCCAATGGCAGTGTCGTCTCCGGCAAGTAGCATCTTGTGATTCTTCATCTGCTGGTAGAGCTTCCTCTGCAGGCTGCTCATCTTGCATTTTATGACCTTTTCCACCTTGTCGGGAAGCTCCGATTCGACGTCCTTCTTGAGACGACGCAGCAAGAATGGGCGGAGAACCTTGTGAAGACGTTTGATGATGAGCAGCGCTTCTTCTTCGTTGAGCTGCATGCTACCATCGCTTGCACCCGTGTTGGCAAATGGTGTGTTGAACCATTCATCGAATGACTTGACGGAATTGAAGATCTTGGGCAGCACAAAGTTGAGCAAAGCCCAGAGCTCGGGCAGATTGTTTTGCAGGGGGGTACCAGTGAGCAAAAGACGATAACGGCTCGTGTAATGCTGGGTGAGCGTGAGCGTGAGTTTCGACTGAGTATTCTTCATTCGATGTCCCTCGTCGATGATCATGTGGGTCCACTTGATTTTGCCGAGCAAGTGCTTGTCCTTGATGATGTACTCGTACGTCGTGAGGAGGCAATCGTAGTTGCCCATTCTGATGATGTGCGCGAGATTTTTGCGCACATTTGGCACACCCTTGTAGACAACCGTTGTGACTGACGGAGCCCATTTCTCGAATTCGTTGACCCAATTGGTGAGCGTCGAGAGGGGAACAATGACGAGGTAAGGGCCGCGCTGCTTCTTGGTCTCGATGAGGAACGTGATGAGAGAGATTGTCTGGATCGTCTTTCCTAGACCCATCTCGTCGGCCAGAATACCGTTGAGTCGGTTGTTGTAGAGCGAAACCATCCACTGGAGACCTTTGATCTGGTACTCTTTGAGCGTTCCGCCCACGAGAATTCCAGGCTGGGCGGTAATACGCTCGGTGATACGATGGGCAACGGAATAGTAGTCGACCTTTCCCTTGTCCTCGTTTGGATCGTCTTGGCGTTGTGCACCGAACATGGTTTCGTCGACCGCGACGCCCACCTCTTGATTCGCCTTTTCCGCAGCGAGGTCTTCGGCTGAGGGCTGAGCGATACCTGCGCGCTCGGCAGCGATGGCGTCGGCATGGACATCGTCATTCTGCTGGGCCTGCACAGCCTGCGCCAAATTGTCGAGGTAGGCGTCCGTCTGACGGATGAGGTGGGTGATGCGCGTGTCCTTTGCCGTGTCAATCAGCTTAAGATAGGCCTCTTCATCGTCTGCCTTTAGCGCGTTGAGCCTCTCCTTTGCGATTCTCTCGATCCGCTTCTGCTCTTCTCTCTCCACGTCGGCGTGCAATCTCATCACCAATTTGCCCATCTTCTGAATTGTGTTCTGCTGGTGGGCCTTGTGCGCAGCCATGAGTTCGCGACCGTGGTTGCAGATGGTGTTGAGGTAGTCGACGTGGTTCTGCCTTGCTCGCTTCTCTCGATCGACCCGCTGCTTACGCTCGAGCTGCTCTGTGATTCGCGCGTCGCGCAAAGTCTGCTTCTTGAATCTTCGGAACGCGGTCCGATCCAATGCCAATGTCGTAGCCTGAGCCATGCCCTTGGTGACCGACTCGCGCAAAGCTCTCTGCATCGGCAGGAGCTGTAGCGACTTGAGCTCGATGAGAGCCCTAAGCTTGGCATTGTCGCCCTGTTGTCCCTGGAGAGCATCTCCGAACGGATCAAAGTCCTCCTTTCCCTCCTGCTCGTGCTCTTTGCCCTTCAGGGTGGGCCGCTGCGACATGGTAGAGGGGAAGCTCTCCAGCTCCCTGATCCGCTGTTGAATCCGGGTGTTCACGAAACGATCGCGCTCTTGCAACAACATGTGGGCATCCAAGCCAGCAGGCATGAGACTGGGAACCAACAAGCGTTGCGCCTTGCTCTCAGTGAAATCGCCAGGGCCCATCGAAGGCTTGGAAAGGTAGGTGAACGGATGTCGGAAGGCATTGTAGGGATAGATGGAACTTGTCGGATCTTCCTTTGGCGAAGATGGCCTAGGAATGTCTTCGCCTGGCCCGGTCGCTTTCCCTTGGCCGGACCCTGCCCTGTCCATCATGGCCTCAGCGGCCCTGTGCGAGTCGAAACCCGCCTGAGCAACTTTTCCAGCAGCTCCTAGCGCTTCTGCATCAGCATCGAGCTGACTCTTGATATCATCGATGGCCTTGTCAGGATTGAGAAGAGCAGATCTGATGTGATCCGGGATCGGCTTGTTGCGCGCCAGGAGCTTGAATGCGATGATCTGCGTCTTGAGAGAAGACAGTTGCTCCGACGTGAAAGTGGATGTCGCCGTCGTCGACATACCGCTGGCATCCGTCGATGGCCTAGAGGCTTCCACGCCATTTGCGGCGGGCGCGCTGATGCCATTGGACGTCGCTGCAGCAGAGACAGGAGGAACAGGTGCTGCCGATGAAATAGCTGAGTCGGGAGCAGGCACGGTCGCCGGCAAGGAAGCCAAGGAAGTAGAAGGCGTCTTTGCGTCTCCGTTTGCGTGCTGGGGACTGGACGAAGATCGTGCTGTGATCGTGGTCCGCGTCAGCACAAACGTAGTTCATGGAAGCTGGACAGATGAATTCTCACCTTGTTGTTGCTGCTGCCGCCATGCCTGCATCTGCTGAAAGTATCTGAAGGCATTCATGAGGTTGGCGTATTCTACGTTGTTCTGCTCATTCTGCCCAGCCGCCTGCAGGCTCTTCATTCTCTGTCGTTGGAAAGAGATTAGTAATGCTCATTGCCGTATTGAGAGGGGCAGCTTGACGACTCACAGTAATCATTTGAGTCAGCTTCTCCTTGTTCATGCTCAGGAGAAAGGGCATGAGGTGCGGAGGGATGGACAAGACGCCTGCGCTCGGTTGCGTTGGAGCCTGACTGCTGCCAGCAACCGCACCGGCGGAGGCAGCAGCCCCTGATTCACCGGCGCCATTTGACGTCGTGGTGGATGGACCAGCAGCGCCATTTTGGGCCGGCGCGCTTGACGACGAAGGTACGGGCGCCGTCGCAGCTGACATTTCTTCCAAAGTAGCTATCCTGTCGACCTCTGCCAGAGATCGCGTTACAGGCACGCGTTCGTCGGGCGAATTAAAGGGCGCTTGCTTGGCTGCGTCCTCAACCTTCTTGATCACGTCGCGTCGTTGCTGCTGCTGTCGTCTCGCCCGCGACTCGACTGCAGCAGAATGAGAAGACCTCTTCTCAAATCGTCAAGTTGGAACAGCGGGTCGGCGGACCAGACACGTCGACGAAAGGAGAGGGAGAGAGGGCCCTATGAAAAACGGAGAGAGCCTTGCTGTCGTGGATGGGAGTGGTGAGAGATGGCCAGCGGTGAGGCAGCCTAAGCGGATGGATCCGTATGTGACTTCGCTTTGCTGGCTTGCGACCGTGTCCACGCCGTACAGCCTGCGCGGATGCCGTGTCGCAGTCGGACGTCCGTCTATCTCTCGCTCCTGGTCTATGGATGGATCTGTCACCGCGTAGGATCCCTACGTGTTGCTCTTTTTTTTCACCTGCGTGGCTCCCAATTTGGCGACGGTTGCGAAAACAGTGAAGCGCAACGTGCCGTGGCGTGTTTCGATAAGCCTGCGCTTTGCCTGGCCAGTGACAAAGGTCGATCGGGTCCCTTTTTCGGGTTTTTTTTCCACCCTCTGACCTTTTCGCAAAAAGCGGTGGGACGAGATTGTGCATTGCTGTGGCCGACCTCGGTTGGAGATGGGGTGCCCGAAAATGCCACGTGTCAGGAGGAATTTTTCTCTATCTCTTCTATCTTTCAATAGAACAAAGGGTCGCTGCTCATTTGAATCTATTTTCGTATTGATCACGGAAAGCGACCCGGGTGAGCTCAGCGGGATCAGCTGCTCCTTAGCGTCATGCTGGGGCAGTGGCCGGCATGCTGGTGGGTGCAATTGACCGTAGATTGTCTGATGCCTCTTTCCCTATTAAGAAGAGGTGCGCTGGTCTCACCACTTTCTGTCGCCCTCAATCGACCCAATCTGTAGCCACTCGAGGAGGAGTAAGGACACCGCCTTCCGTCCGCCGTGGCCCGTCCCTCCAGCAAATGGCGAGCCCGACGCGCTCCACCTGAAATTTCGAGGAAAGTAAGAAAAGAACGCTTTCGCAATGGCGCTCGATGCAGTCCTGCTCGATGTTTTGAAGCGCCACTGCTCGGCCCTGGGCGACACGTTCACCGCCCAGGGGGGCTCCAAGGTGCTCTGCCGACCATCGAATCGAGTCGTGTTTGCCAAGACGGGTCGTGCAGATCAGGTGCTGGGCGAGGCAGAATCACTCGACGCCATGTATCGCGCCTCACAAGCTGCAGGTCACAAGGAGACGCTCATTCCCACAATTCACGCCTTTGGCAAGACACAAGACGGTTCCAGAGGCTTTCTCGTGACGGACTACAAGGACCTTCAGTCGTCATTGGGCAAGCAAGCTCAGCGAACGTTGGGCAGAAAGTTGGCGGAGATGCACCGGCACGGTACGTCGGACAATGGCATGTACGGGTTCAGCAGGCCGACACACTGCGGCGAAACGGTGAGTCAACTCGGGCCTAATACCTCCGCTGGGTCTCGATCCTGCCTCTCGCCCCAAGTCGTGCACCTCCGTCCCTTTACCTTTCTTTTTTCTCCTCTTGTTGCCCTGCGTTTGCTGGGGGAAAGGGGCTTTGGTTTACGCCCGCCTCTCCCTCCTCTACGGACATGAGACAAGCGGGGTAGGAAATTGTGTCTATTCTGAGAAGAGAAGGAGGATATCCGTGGCACGGCGATGAGCCAAACGAGAGGCGGTGAAGGCCTGTCCTTTGCTTCTCGGTGCTCTGATGGACGAGACCTGTCAAGGTCAAATCCGGCATGACAACCAAAGACAGGAAGGAGCGCGTCTCATATACGCCCTTAAATTCGGCCCAGGCGCTTTCGCGTCCTTGGCAGGAGGCGGCTGGCAGACTGAATTGAGCGGCGACCGCGCCCACACAACAGCTTCCACCTTTGTTGTGTGGGTGTGGGAGAGACCTTTGCGCCCTTCCGCGGTGGCGATCCAATTCACCTCACTATTTTCTTTTTTTTTCCTCCCTCGCCCTGATTTCCACTCCTGGGTGGAAGCCGCGTGCCTATTCGTTAGCCCACACTCTGGTCCGTCTGGAGGGGAGGAAGAGGAGGCCAGGAAGAGGGACGTTGTTGCGAAAAGTGGTCGAGCGGGGCAAGCGGAGTGCATAGATGTTTGCCGCTTCCTCCTTCGTTGGGCTCGAGTGTGAGCCGCAGGCGAGGCGAGACGGCACATCCTTGTCCACGGCGCTCATCTTGTCCCGCCCTCTCTGTCGTCCTTGTGCATCTCCATTCGCGTCCGTTTGCGCCAGGCTGCGCAAACACAAGGCGCTCATTGTCTCTGCCTAGAGCACCCGTGCGCGCGCCCACTGACAGAGTGGGCGGGGAGCAGCGCAAGCCTCTATTGCTGCTCATCAACGAAGTCGGTCTTGGAGGCGACGTGTGTGCGACCACCCATCCTGGCATCTCCTACGCCGTGCCATTTCGACGCCCGCTTTCACATTCGCTTCATCCCCCCTCCTCCTCTTTCTATCCTGTGCCTCCGTGTGCGTGTACGGGACAAAAGGCGGCTCACACAATCCTCTCTCATCTTCCATCATATCGCCCCTATCCTTTCCATACTCTCGTCTTGCCATGATACAGGAGCAAGACAATACCTGGACTGCCTCGTGGCCCGAATTCTGGGCCGATCGTCGCATCGGCGATTTGGTCCGTCGCTCAGGAGACGCCGAGCTCGCCAAGCTCGAGGTTCAACTTAGAGAAAAGTGAGTTCCTATATCTGTTCGGTTCGGTTCGATTCGATGAGCAGTAACAGTAGCAGCAGAGTGTGAAGCATGACATGCTGACACCGCATCCCTCTTGCAAACTCAGGGTGTATCCATTGATCTTTAACGACGAGGCGATGCGCAGCGTTCGACCCTCAATCATCCATGGTGACCTCTGGAGCGGCAATTCGGGCACTGACCACGACACAGGCGAGCCCATCATTTTCGACCCCTCCTCGAGCTACTCGCACAACGAAGCCGAGCTTGGCATCATGCGGATGTTTGGTGGCTATTCTTCAGACTTCTTTGACAGCTACCACGAAGTGGTGAGCGAGACCTTTGAGAAGCTCGCTAGGCACACGATGCTCACCTCTACCACCTCCTCCTTTGCAGATGCCCAAGGCGCAGCCATACTACGCAGAGCGCATCGAGATGTACGAGGCGTACCATCATCTCAACCACTTTGTCATCTTTGGCGGCTCCTACAAGTCGGGCACCGTCAGGATCTTCAAGAAGCTCATCGCATGGGCCGAAAAGGAAGGCAAGAAGAACGGTGGCGGCGGCGGTGGTGGAGGTTCGGGTGGCGGTGGAGGGGATGAGGATGGTGGCAGTTCGGGTGGGCATGGTGGGCCTCGCGGTCTCAGGGGTGGCGGTGCCTCTTCGTCCGAGAGCAAGCAGCACAACACCCAAAGCATTCTCGCTGGTGCACACCATCTCGGCCATCCACCTCCTCCGGGACCAGGCGCATCGGGCACATCGATGCTAGCCTCTCTCGCCCCGCTCCACCAAGCTGAGGCATCGACAAATATCGCAGACCAGTGCAAGACGAAGCTGCCGCCGTCGCCCTCCCAGGTCGCCGACTTCTTCTCGCAGATGGCATGCTACATCTGGTTCAGCAATGGCCACCCGCTGTCGTCTATGCCTGTCACACCGTCAAAGAGCCCCAACACCGCCTATGTGCCCCTGCAATCGTCGCCCTTGGCTCCTCGCCATGGGGCCCACCCTTATGCTTCTCGACCTCAGCGCACCCACACGAAGCATACAAGCTACGGTGGTCCTTCGCATCACCCATCCTATGCCGCTTCTAACGATCTATCGCGCGCCGTGGAGGAGCACCTGAGGTCTCTGGGCAAGCCTCGCGACCCTACGCTACGTCGTCTGCAGCCTCGCAGTCGTTTTCTGCGCTTCACCCGCGAACTTCTCGCCACTACGCAAGTTTCCAATTCAGTGATTCTCTTGGCCTTGTGAGCGTCAATCTTTCTCTCTCCTTTTCCACTTCCCATCTCCCCTGCGCGACACAGAAGGCTCCTTCCTTCGATCCGACGCTTTAGTCGATGTCCAGTAGGCTACTCCTTCTCCTCTCCTCCCTGTTCTCATCTTCAAGCTCTTGTTCTGCCATTCTGACGCTTTCGATCCCCACACCTCTCTCCGGTTTAGAATCTACATCATTCGACTCAAGAGTGGTCACCCTGGCCTGCAAGGCCGAGATGGCAGCGAGTTCCGGCTGGCTGTTTCGTCGTTGATGTTGGCCAACAAGGTAAATTGACCGCTTATCGAGCTGTTCAATGTTAGTCGCTGACCTCTGTTCGTGTCAAGATCCTCGATGACAACACCTATCTTAACAAGACCTGGGCCGAGATCTCGGGCCTCCCTCTCATCGAGCTCGGCAAGGCGGAGCTGGAGTTTTGGCTTGGGCTCAAGATGAGGCTACACGTCACCACTGACGAGTACCAGGCCGGTCTTCAAGAGCTGGAGACACTGGCTGAGCACCGTAGTCAAGCGGTGCGAGAGCGTGATGCTTCGATGAGAAGGGCTGCTCAGCAGCAGCAGGCGAACATGGCACCATATCTCTCCCACCAGCCGTCGATGTCATTTCCCGACATTTTGGCACAGCAACACACCGTTCGTCGCTCGTTGGGCAATATACATGCGCATCACTTCTCGCCAGCGTCGATGGGTACGGCTTTCCCAAGCTCTCCCGAGGGCTTGCGCTCAGCCATTCCCTTTCATGAGCCTGGAGCTTACCCGTACGCTACGTCGCCTGTGGCAGCCCAGCCCCACTTTCATCTCCCTCCGCCGAGCCCACTGTCACAGATCGGTCCTTCGAACGAGTCCTTCGCAAACTTTGCTGGTGCTTCAGACTTTGCGTACTCTACCCCTGCCACGTCGGAGCACAGCATCAACCAGCTCGACGGTACATCAGGATTGGAAAGCACTTGGCAACCGACAGGAATTGCCTCGGCCCAGCTTCAACCGCTCTCGATCAGTCATGAGCCCTGGGGCACGACGCCTCCGAGGACAGCCCACTCTGCCAGCGTGCAATTCGACGGCTCACGTTCTTCGCATACATCAAGCTCCTTCAGTGGACTTAAGCGAGACTTTGAGAGGACAAGCCTGGGAGCAGGATCGCCGGTCGAGTCAAGCAGGACGAACAAGCGCTTTGCCGCTGAGCCCAGCGCCGCCGATGATCTCCATCACTACCGCATCTCTTCCTCGCTCTCGCGCCAATCGCATTCTCCTACCGACAATCGGGGTGCCCATCGCCACTACCGTCATGGCTCGCGCGAGCGCTTCCAGTCGATGCAGCATCACCGCTTGTCGGTCTCGCCTACTGCCTCGAGGCTGTCGAGCGTCTCTTATCAAGCATCGCCGTTGGTCGGTAACGCTGCGACGTCAGCTCGGCAAATTCCGCTTAACGACAGTGCAACTCATACAAATGGCTACCATTCTGCCTTCCAGACCGCTCTTACTCCCGATTTTCTGGCTCAGCCCTTGGACACCATACAGCACCAGCGAAGCGGGCCTTTGCAGTACTACAGCTTGGCTGCTGGACAGCCTTATGGTGTCATTGGAAGCTACATGCCGCCCGAGCTGCCATACCAAATGCAGTCAATGAGCGCAGGCTACCAATTGGACCGGCCCATCGCCGGAGCCCGGAGGGCAAGCAACGCTGGTTTCACCGCAGCTGCCAATGCTGCTGCCAGTGCTGCTGCTGCTGCAACCAACAATGGCGGCGGCTCGGCGTACAGCTCGAGCTACAACGACAGTCTGCTTTCGAGCGGACGTCTTCAGGTCCCCGAGCGCCCAGCAATCCACCAACAGCCGAGTGCACCGGCGCAACTATCTGCCCCACCGCTTGGCATTGCCAGCGATGCGATTAAGACTGATCGCTACACTGTCGACAACAGGCAAGTGCCATACAACGGTACCGCTCCCTTTGTCAGCGATGCGCACGCCTGGCCCCTCACGCACACCTCGTCCAACTTCCTCTATCCCCACCACTTTGCCCATTGAACCGTTTCCTCTTTCACATGTTCCTTTAAAAGCAAGCTTCTCGTCCACCGGCCCATCTTCACGCATCCATCATCAAGGCGAACATCAACTACTCACTCAATCTCAGATGACTTACCATGTACTTGTAATTAGACATCACCTCACCAATACATTTGGCTCTGCACAGTCGCAAGCTCCCCCCACTCTCTCGCTTCTTCTGTGTTCCTAGGCTATGCCCTCATTGGATCGCACTGACCTCGACCTGAGCATTCGACTGGGATATCAATCTGCCTCGTCTGTCTGGAAATGTGTGATTGCTGGTAGCACGATACGGCATGAACAGAGCTTTCTTGTTCGTCTTGAGTGCTTCAGTGATGGCCCTCTTCGTGTCCGTGCCCATGATCATCGTGGCCATGGTGTCCATCCCATGGGTGCTTCAACCCCTGCTCGCAGACAGAGACCCACCATCAGCGCTGCATCCTGACGCTTGCCAACCAAATACCTTGGCAGCCTGAGGTCCTGCACACTCACCAACAAGACAGCGCCGTCCTGCTTTGCGCGGTACAGAATCCAGAACACCATGGTCCCACCGAGCAGCTTGGCGCCGAGCCGATGCCGGAGCGCAGGCGGGTGAGGGTGGAAGCCATTCACCGGTCGGTACCAGCGCGAGCTGCCGGACGAAGGGCTTGGTTGGCCGGGTCCTGCCATTGTGTCGATCGCGGGATGGTACTGCACCTGCTTCCAGACGAAGGTATGGTAAGCTGGGGAGGAAACTCGTGCGAGGAAGGGCGGAAATGGGGAGGCTACTTACGGGGATCTCTCGAGGTTGCAGCCCGTTGCACGAGAAAGAATGGTCTACGATTGCTACTTCCAACGACGACGAATGAGTGAAGTCAGGTTAGCGATGCGAGCCACGTGGTATGCAGTGTGTGTCTCTTGTCTCCCACGTGGTTGCCGATGCTCACTCTTTCTTGATGGTGACGACGACATCCCGGACGCTGCTCAGCATTTTTGGATCGGATCACATTTAAAAGGGTCCGATCACCTCCGAGCGAGCGAGCTGAGACTTTGACTTTGAACCACCATCACTTGAGCTTTTTAGACGACAGCGCCACCAGCGAAAGTCAAGCCGATCGACACGCTCACCCAAGGGCCCAATTTTATTTTTTATTTTTATCCTCGCTCCACGCACGCCGGCCTGTCGCGTCAAGGTCCTCGACGCGCCTCAATTTACGAGTCCAACTTTCATTCGCTTTCCCTTTCACCCTCGCCCTTCTCCCCCTACCTCACTCTTTGCTTCAACACCTAGCGACACATTGACGTGTACAGCTTTCCTAACGCCTCGACTCGTTCCGATTATGGACACCAGCACATCACTTTAGTACCCGCAACACAATATAGACAGAACACGTATAATCATACCGAGATCCATCGAGGCGAGGACACGGCCGTCATGGACTTTGACTGGCATGCACTCGTGTCGGGCGACCTGTCGGCAGCGACTGTCCCTTCTTCTTCGCCTGCGCTAGCGACCACCGCACTACCGCCATCATCGAATCACAGCAACGGCAGCAGCAGCAGCAGTAGCAGCAGCAACGGCGGCGGCTGCGGCAGTAGGGACAATGCAGGGATCAGCGAAGGAGCGAGTGCAAACGGCTTGCACGCGTCGACATCGTCCTCGTCATCCTCGGTACCTTCCTCGTCGCCACAGCCAGGGAACACATCTGCCTCAGCTCCACGCAGGAATGGACACGAGCTCCCGACAAGGCTAAGAGAAAGGAGGGCTTCAATGGATGGTGAGTAGCACTCGAATCGCGGCACCCAAAGAAGAATAAAGCTCTAATGTGACTGTGGGTTGGTGCTTGGCCACAGTCAAGGTCCTGTACACGCTCGAGTCGAGCCCAGACTCGACCATGGTTGCCAGACTTGGAAAGGTCGCGTCCGTCGAGCTCATCCATCCGAGCAAGAGGGACCTGGCGGCTTGGAAAGAAGGGCCAAAGGCGCGGCGCGGCGAAGGGCCACCGCTCTTTGGAAAGGTGACGCTCAAGACGTGTCTGAGTGCTATCTGCACAGCCAGGTGAGCTTGCGAGGTCTTGCGTCCTGATGAACGAGAGTGCTTACCAAGTCGCTACCTTGTACCACCGCAGCCCGGAGCTCATCTTTGATAGAACGCGCGACTATATCCTCTACGCCGTTGACCCAATTGAGTCGCACAGGGCGACGCAAAAGAGACGCGCGCTGGTCGACTCATCGAATTCAAGGATCAATGCTCAAGAGGGGCCGTCTTCAACAAGGGCAAATGACGAGCACCAGCAGAGCCCGTCGAAGGTGGCAGCGCGATCCTCGTTTCTCGTGGGCAAGGGCCTCTTTAGCTGGGCGCTGGCCGAGCAGGGTGATGGGGAGTCAAGCGTTGTGGGACGCGTCTGCTCCGAGCATGCGCACGAGGATGAGGACGAAGACGAGGACAGAGAAAGAGAAGGCGAAGACGACGAAGATGAAGACGAGGGCGGTATCCTCGAGGTCAATATCAGGCTCAAAGAGGCTCCCAGCATCAGCCGCGACCAGTACTTTGACCGCGTTCGAGCATTCCAGAGCGCTACAACGAAGGGCCGCTCAGAGACTCGCAAAGAGGGGCGAAAGGACAAGACAAAAGGCTCCAAGGGTGACACAAACTCTTCAACTCCGTCGATGTCATCTCCACCCCCTTCATCACCATTGGCCTCAACGTCGTCTGCGCTCGAGCAAATGAGAAAGATCGCGTCGAGATCGTCAACGCCGGCTGCTCCAGGCGGTGCTTCTGCTCAACAACAATTACTTCAGCTCCTTCAAGCCCTTCAAGCTCAAGGGCAATCACCTCGAGACGCACCAAAATTTCAAGCGACGCACGCGCCCGCTTCCGCGGCAGCGAGTGTACCTGTGGCGGCCGCGACAGCTGCGGCGGCAGCAGCAGCGACGCCCAATGCACCTCCAAGCCAAGATCTCATGTCTCAGTTGCTGCAGTCCCTGATGGGTGCTGGTTCTTCAAATGCTTCCACGTTTGCACCACCAAGTCAGCAGCAGCAGCCTCCGAGGGAGGCAACGACAACGGTTAAAAAGCACCGGCCACCGGCAGCAGTGCACGCGGCGTCCAGCCCTCAATTAGGCACCGTCTCACTTCCTGCACGCCGAAAAAGCCTGTCCACGGGACCTCCTCGTGCCGCAAGCGTCTCAGATGCTGCTTCGCCAATCTTGGGAGGCCTGACGCCTGGCTATGAGACTGGCTACGTTTCGGGACCTAGCCCTGCCGCCAGCACGAGCGCCATGCCCAAAGTCGAAAAGGCCCCAGAGGTAGCTGTGGCAAAGGAAGGCAGTGAGCGGGAGAGGCAGTGCTGCTACAATTGCGGCTTGCGAGCGCAACCGGTATGGAGAATTGTGATGTTGCCAGACGAAGAAGTGCGCTTCAGGGACGGTTCGGAGCACTGGCACGAGTCATCCAAGTTCTACCGGGCGTGCAACGCTTGCGGCCTCTACTTCAACCGATACAATGGCATCTCGAGGCCCGAACACGTCTGGAAGGAGGCGATAAGAGCTTCGAAGAGAAAAGACAAGAGGAAAGTAGGCGAAGAGGATGGCGAGGAGTCGATGACTTCACCCATTGACGGCGAATTGGACGACGACGAGAGTGCAGATGAGCTCCTCCTGCCTGGAGGCGTGAAAAAGTCGTTTTCTCGAACGTTGAGCGAGGCCTGCCAGCGCGACTCGGAGAGACTTGCGAGTGTCGATGGCGAGACACCTGCGATCCGTGCCGCAAGGAGGAAACAGGTTGAGGCTGTCAAGGCAACGTCATGGGACAAGGCCAGGCTCAAGGACTTTGTCATGGACCAGGATGGGAATTGGAGGACAAAACGAAGCGTCAAGGAGAATCCCGGAGGGCGGCGACCTGGTCGACCAAAAGGATCGAAGACGGGCAAGGGCGCGGGTCGGACTCGGAACCAAATCTATGCGGAAAGGCGAGCGAGACAACAGATGATGATGGCCAACGAAGCGGCCGCGCAAAACGCGATGGCCGAAGCTTCGTCGCGGCCAATGCTTCCTCAGAAGCGCGCGACATTTGCTGCCCAGTCTAGTCCCGTCAGGCCCTCGAAGGCGGCTCGGACTGCTTCGGCCTCTGGCACGGTTCCATCGGCTGGTATGGGCCTTACGCCGGGGACGAGCCCAGGCTACAGGTCGCGCTATGGAGCAGCCGGTTATCTTCTCGACTCGAGCCCGGCCACAGCTTTCCAGACAGTCTTGAGCGAGGCAGAGACTGACTGGAATTCACTGTACGGCATCTTGGGCCAGACACCTCGTCGAAGCCCGAGAAAGAATCCGCATGGAACGATGAGCGGCTTGAACCCTTACGCCAGCACAGCTCAAGCACCTGCGAGCCCCTCGAGCGGCCGAGGCAAAGGACCGACCATGGATCACAGCGCCGGTGTGGCCCCCTTGGACCTCATGGCTATGACTAGCAGCAGCCCTCTGACACGCGGAAGGGTGCGATCTGGCCAATTTACGCTCGGCGATACGGCGCTGTGGACCTCGAGCGACGGATTGCAAGGAGGCAAGACGAGCGGGAACGGCTCCAGCAGCATCACGAGCCCAGGCTCCCCCAGTCCCAGTCCGGCGAGGTTGTATTCGAAGCTCGTCAAGGGCAAGGCTGCTGGCCCTGCCCTGTCTTCGGCATCTAAGAACAGTAGCAGAGGGGTCCCCCACAATCAGTTGATGGCGGGCGCCATGTCAATCGATGATCTGCAGATGCAAGCGAGCTGGGGAGCTGCTTCGTCCCCCTCTAGAGCTCGCAAAGCAGCTCGACAGGCTCGCAACGCACCTCCTGGTTCATCATCAACTTCGCAACAGCAACAGCAGAGCAAGAGCGATGGTGTTCTCGATGCAGGTCCATTCATGGGTCTCAGCGTCCTGGAGACGGAGGATGACGATGGGATCAACAACTTTGTCGGAAATGCCAGCCCTACCCTGGGTCGCTCTCTACGTAGGAAAGGTCACACTTCCAAGATGCCAATCCCCGATCTCGAACTGCCACCGGCGTCAGCGCGTACCTCTCCCACGGTCGACTTTGATTTCTCGACTGGAAGCAGCGGGATTACTGTGCCTTCTTCCACCGAAGCCGCATCTTCAAGCGCAGGTGTCAAAGTGGAAGCATCGTCTGTTATGAACCACAACGACGAATACGACTTTACCGACTGGACACAATCGTCCAGTATGCGAGAGCTCTTTCCCACGCCCAGCCCAGTCAAAGGATGGACCAATGGTGGATCAACAGCGCAAAACGGCGAACAGACCAAGGGCGAAACAAGCCCAGATCCGACGGCTGCCCTTTGGAGCGACAGTCCAAGTGCGAGCGCAGCTGCTGCCATCGCTTCGGCGGCAGCAGCGGCTGCGGCTGCGGTGGCCCCTGACACTCAGATGCCGATGGCGCCGAAGGAAGTCACCGTGACGGCCGAACCAGCTCTTAGCTCTGGTGTCGACAAAGATGAGCAAGATCTCCCGAAGGCAGAAAGCAGTCAAGAGAACGGTGCAAAGACGGAAGAAAAGGCCGAATCTCAGCAGGATCAGCATCTCCAGATCATCCGCCACCGCAAACCCCTTCCAGCGACGGTTGAAGACGCATCTCCGTCTGCATCGTCTGCGATGGGAGCTAATGATGATCCAATGTTTGGAAGTGACGAGGACGACGACGATGAGGAAGACGAGCTGGAGGGAGAGGGCAATCAGGCTACGACGCTGGAGAAGCTCATGGAGATGTTTGAGGATCCATATGGGCTCTTGGCTGCTTCGGGCATCGGAGGCGCAAACCGGATCGAGCAGCAGGGCCAGACGAGCACCGCCATTGAAACTACGACGACGACCGCAGGAGCAGCAGCAGCAGCCTCCACGAGCACGGCGGGAGATCAGGCGCCGGCCCCAGAAGTCAGCTTCGATCATTTGGAGGCCATCGAGCTTTTCCAATCGATGGACTTCGCAAAGCAATTTGACTTCTTCACTCAGGCCGGCAGCACCGGCATCGCGGCGCACCACGTCATCGAGCCCGCAGAGGAGTCTTCTTCGGAAGGGGCAGCAGGTGCATCTTCCTCGGTGAAGCAGGTGACGAGCAGCCACCAAGAAGCAGTCTAGGCGTGGTGGGTAAAGCAGTGGCATTATACAAATTGGACAGAGCCGGATGTACTTGTATCGTATCTCAAATGGGTTAGTGAACCAAGATGGGAGGGAATCAAATCAGTGATAATATACAGCATGATACAAAGATTTACTGGTCTCAGTCGCCCAGAACTGTGAGGTCGACATTGTGTTTGGTCGTGGGAGGCAGTTCTTGGCTCGAAAGACAGTTCTGGTCCGGGACAGCCGTCAGCGCCAAAGTTCGGAGCCCGACGGCGAAGGATAGGAGACTTACAGCAATACAGTCGCTGATCCAGGCCGACTCGATAAAATCCACCTTGTGCGCTTTTTTCCAGCCTTTAAAGGCTTCCGGTGCCCCCTTCTGCTCTTTGTCGAGGTCGAGTGTCTTGACGATCTCTTCGATCCATCCTTTGACGTCACTCTTGCTTGCTCTCTTTTCCGAAGCGAGGCACCCGACGATGTGCGACACCTTTCTCTTTTCTTTCTGCTCATGCTGAGCATCGTAGAGAGCTCCGCCGTGCTTGATGATGAGTCGTTTGTAGCGAGCAACATTTCCCCAGAAGCCAACAACGAGGAAAGTCTGATTGACAAACAGAGGAAGGCCAGCCGGCGCAACTGGGCACTTCCCTTTCTTCTTTGATGCCTTGACTGTGTCTTTGGTGTTGATTGGTGCCGAGGAAGAGGCAGTCGAGATCGCTTCTGGCGCGGTTCCCCTGGAAGCCCTCGACGAGCGAGCGGCGACCGTCGGGTTCTTCTCCGTTGCACCACCTTTTGGTAGACGGCGCCTCTTGGTGCTTACCCGAACTTCTCCTTCATCTCCTTCTTCCCTTGCCATTTGTCCTGAGGCAGAAGCTCTCGTTCGTTTTTGCTTTTTCCTATAGTCAGTACCTCTCCAATTCGTCGTCCAATTCTCACGACCGTCCGGCAACGTGAGAGAATTGACTGGAGCTCCTTCAGCTCTTGTTCTGGACGACGATGGCGACGGCTCAAACAAGAAACGCCGACCCATCTTGCCGACCTGACTGGATGGTGGTGAGAGAAGAATGGTTCCGATGATAGTCGGTTTTGGAGGTACTTCTGTGGTCCTGGAAGCGTCCTCGTCCTCGGTCTCGCTTTCTTCATCGTCTTGTATCCGTGCCGCACCGTTAACGATGTTGGCACTCTTCGCAGCTTCGGACGTGCGAGCTCGAGAAGAGGCTCCACGATAGTCTTCGCCGATATGACGGTCCCGTGGGGCATCGGACTCGTCCGTTGATGTTTCGCTTTCTGTTTCGCTCATGCCTCGACTTGCTTCGCCCACTAAAACCTCCTCTGCCCTCGTTGCAGCTCTGAGTGGCCCGATCCGGCCGTCCTCCACTGCGTTGACGCTAGCATCGGCGCAAGGAAGCGGAGTTGCGGTCGGTCCGACGTCGAGCTGCGCCTTGGCAACTAGCGGAGGCGGAGCAGCGGCTTTGGCTCCCCTGCGTCGCGTCGCAGGACGTTCCGCGGCCGACGGCCGCTTCGCTGCAATTGGTTGTAAAGGAAGTGCCTGCTCTTCCTCTTGCGCACCCTCCTGCTCGTCGCCAAAGCTGGGATCCGTCAATTCTTGTGTGTTGGCGCACTTCCAAGCGGCCTCTTTCTCCTTCTCGGCAATGCCGCTAATATTAGAGGAACGGTCATTGCTAGATGTTATGTCCGATGTGACAGGTTCGTTCGAAGTCTGAGAAGTGCGCTCCTGCAAGACTTGATGTGCGGCAGTTGATGAGCGTCCGATCTCTTTATTTCGAATGTCTGTCTGCACAGGCGACTCATTGACAGGGTGGCTTTCCTTCTCCGCTCTTTGGGATCGACGTCTTGTCATGGGAGGCTCCTTTCGCCTTCTGGCGATGCGGCGGTCCCTCTTTGCTGCCCACTCATACGTTCTCTTCTTCGATGGCGTGCTTGCTTCCGAACCAGGATTCGAAGCAGTCGGCAGACCGTATTGGGGATCCGTCGCCACAGGGACACCGGCGGCATCGATCGTATGCACAAGTGCTTGCTGCGCTTGTCCGGTCGAATCAGTCATTGAAATCTGCTCGTCCTGACCATCTTGAACGCCTTCCTGCGATGCGGAGTTCCCCAGTGCTCTCTTCGCAGTGTGCTCTGGCTCCGTAGCCAGCAGCTGCTCGTGCTCACTGTCGCAAGCCTGGCCACTCGTCATTGCCTCCAACATCAAGCTCGATCCCTCTTCACATCGTGTCTTGAGCACAGCCACCCTCCTCTTTTCCATCTCTTTTGATCGTTGCCTCATCTCGTCCAGGGTCCTTCCGCCAGCCAGGGGCCTGCACAGAGTCAAGGGCGGGTTGCCATCATGTGCCTGCTCCGATCGCCTCGGCGCGGCTCTGAGCGCCGGGGCTTCGCGCGGCACCAGCTCTGCGCGAGCGATACCTTGACTTTCCCCCGTCTCAGCTCTACCTTGACCGGGCGGCGGGGCAAACCTGGCGCTGCGGCTGCCTGAGGCTCGACAATCGAGGCTGCCTGTCGACTGTGAGGCGTCTGTGGATGGGGCGCTCGACCATTCTCCGAGGAGAATCCTGTCGAGCGAAGAGAAGGCCGAAGCGAGCGAATCGCTCACAAAGGCGTCTGTGATCGTGGCTGCCGGGGCTAGAACAGAACCGCCTCCTCCAATGCTGAGGCCTTCCTCCTGTGAGTGTTGGTGAGCCGACGACCTCAAGCTCGGCATCGCGATGCCTCGTCCTGATGATGGTCGTGGAGGCGAAAGGCAGAAAAGTTAAGTGGCGCGTCGCGAAGAAAAAGATCAACACTTCAGGGCGTATCAGAGCTATGACCAAGGACACAAAGAGGAGTGTTGTTGTGTATGAGACTTTAAATACAAGTGGTCCTCTCTAACCGTGTGCTGCGGGCCATCTAGTAGAAGTAGTGATGGATGCCGGCTTATTTGCCAGAAGCCTTTGCTTTGCTCTTTGTCTTCTTTTGCTTGAAGAATTTGTCCTGTTGCGCATTTAGTCAGCATATCATCGTGAGCTGAGCTGCTACCTCAAGACCCACTTTTGAAATGTCGACATCATCGTCGCTTGCGTTGCCTCCCGCCGCATCACCCTCGTCCTCCTCAGGCACCTCATCTTCAGCCTATATCGAAAAGGAACGTCAGCAAGAGTCGGCATGTAGTAGGCGAAGTAAAACTTACTTCAAAGGCCTCTTCGACGTCAGGAGCAGGCTCGCCGGTGAGCTTCTTGGCCTTCGCACCAGTGTCGACGCCCTTGTAGAACGCCACAGGGCTTGAAGGAGGCAGGAGAATTAGTAGGACACCTCAAGAATTGACGAGGGCGCAACTCACTGGTTTGAGCCGTTGTACTTCTTCGTAAAGGCAGCTTTGGTCGCTGTGGGAATCTTTTTGAGGAGCGCCTCTCCGTTCTTCTCGGCACCTAGACCCAGCTCCAAGACTGCCTCGCGGTCTTCCACGCCGAGGTAGTAGTCATCCATGGTAGCAATGACATCGTCGATGCCGTCGGAGCCCGAGTCTAGCAGGGGTTGGATGAGCTTGTCAAAGAGGTATGGCAGGTACTGCTCGCGGATCTCAAAGCGAGACCCAGAGGCGACCATGCGCATACGCGCTTGGAGCTCGACGGCGGACCTCGTCAGACGCTGCTGTTTCGAATTCTGGCCCAGCCATGAAGAAAAGGTAGGGAAGCCCCCCTGACCGTGGACATACGACATGGGCTTCACTGTTGAGATAATGCCGTGAATGGGCATCAGAGACCAATGCTGTTCAGAGCTAGTTGTCGAGCGAAGCAGCGCCATCAGTGTCAGATCTAGCCTTAGGGAAGAAAGGGAGCGCTTACCTGTGGATCATTGAGTCGACGATGTCGCCGTCCGAGATACTGTCGGCAGCCTTTGCCATCAAGCTCAGCGCAGCCTGGTCCTTTTGTTTGCCCGAGTACTTTTGCGCTCTGATCGGATTTTGCGAGATGTAATTCTGCTGCACCATCAAAGGCACAAAGGAATGATCCTGAAAGTAGAGGTCTGCCTTGTCGTTGAGCGACTTCTTGGAGCTCGCCGCCCAGAGCCCATGGCTGGAGAGCATTGAATAGAGAGTAAAGGGCGTGTGCATGCCAGGCTTGGCATTGGCAGCGCCCAGTGCCTTTCCCTCGTCGAACTCCATGGCCTTCTTACTGGTCAAAGCCCACGTCGAGAGCATGTTGATGACCAAGCGAATGTCTGACTGCGCAGACTGCACCAGCTGGTCCATGACTTCGGGAGGAATCTTGAGCTTCTCTCTGAATGCGATCGTCATCATCCTTGTGCGCACTTTCTGTGCATCAGGCCTATTTCGAGGGGGATGTCAGTGCAATCGAATGGGGAGAACCACGATGCTTCCACCCACTTGCTGAATTTGAGCGAGAAAGTCGTTCGTTCAAAAGGCTTCATCTTCGGATTCTTGCTGTCGTTGCAAATGCAGATGATGGGCACCTTTGTCTTCTTGATGAGGTGGTTGATGGCACCAATGCCGCCGCGGTCGCCACCGCTCATGCCGTCAACCTCATCCATGATGAGTACGGTACGGTCACTGATAGTGACGCCATCTGCAGAGAGGGATTTGTCGAGCTTACCACCTCGGTACCATCCATCGAGACTTGTGTTGTTGATGGTGTCCTGCAGGCTCGATTCGATAAGCTTCTTGCTACGAATGTCGCTAGCATTGAGCTCAATGGGCGTGTAACCCTCAAGGCGTGAGACGACATGGGCTGCCGTCGTCTTGCCGATGCCTGGCGGGCCCGAAATGAGGACGGCGCGGAAAATGCCCATGGCGTCCTTGCCTGGCTTCTTGAAGTCACACTTGACGCTCTTCGGCCAGGCCTGGAGCCAGTCTCGGAGCTTAGTGATCGCCCCAGGGTTTCCAACGAGGTCCTTGAGATCTTTCGGGGCGTACCGCACCGTCCACAATGCATTGTCGTACACTGGCTCCCCCTTGCTGGGACCGATTGTCTTGGCCGCCTTTTCAATCTCCTCCTTTTCCTTTGCCAGTTTCTTCTTTGTCGCATCGTCGAGCTTGACTTCACCTTTTGAACGCTCTGCAATCAGATTCAGGAATCCGTCTTCGTTCAGCGTTGGAAGGCCGTGCTTGCTGATTTTGTCCAATTTGGATTTGCCCGGCTCCTCTCCAACAACGACGTACGAGGTCTTGGATGATGGTGCACCTGTAACCTTACTGTAGGAGCAATGTCGAGGTTCTATTAGTTAAAACATGGGAAACATCTTTGCAGCTACTCACGCTCCGTAGCGCTTGGCAAGATCCTGGGCTTCCTCTCGCGAGATGCTCGTCATTTGGCCAGTGAAGACGAAAGTCAGGCCAGCAAAACATCCCGGCTTGCCGACGGGAATGTCTTTGGAGCCTGGTGCCGATGGGCCTGCCGCCAACCGCTTCTGCATCTCCGCATAGCTGCAGCGCCTGGGCGTCAGTCTCGGGGAGTAGGGACAGCAGGAGGCCGGACTCACTTGAATTTTGGTTTTGGCTTGTCTTCCGGCTCGGCCTTTGCCGCCGGTTTGGCTTTGCTCGACCCTGCCTTTGCCTTCGGCTTCTCGTCCTCCAAATCGACGTCCATAAGGTCATCATCAAAGTCGTCATCGTCTCCTGCCTTCTTGGATTTTGCCTTGGCGGTCGCCGCCGGTGTCTTCTTGCCCTTTGCGGGCGATGTCTTCGATGGCGACGCCTTGGCAGCCTTTTTGGCGGGCTTCTCCTCTTCGAACTCCGACTCCTCGGAATCATCGGCTCGAGCCGGTTTCCTCTTGGTCTGCTTGGAAGCCGCCGAGCTCTTTGCCTTTGCCTTGCTTGCCGCGGCTGGCGCCTTGGCTTTTGGCTTGGGCTCCTCAAAGTCATCCTCGTCAGAGTCGTCGCTGAGCGCAATGGCGTCGGACTTGTTCTTGCCCGAGGCCTTGCCTCCGGAAAAGTACTTCGAGGCCATCTCTGAGTCCTCTTCTTGCTCTTCTGTCTCTGCTTGTGCTTGTGCTTGTGCTGCTTGCTTGTTCCCTCGCTCTTCCTCCTCCTCCTCCTCTTCGCCCGTGTAGATCCTCTTGTTCTGCGACTTGGACGGGCTGGGCGTGTATCCAGAGACGGCGATCTTGTCCTTGACCTCTGTGACCTGCTGTGGCGTCTTCTCCCTCGCCTGCTCCTTCTTGTCCTTCTTTCTCGGCGAACCCTTGCTCCCGTTGCTTCCCCCGTCGCCCTTCGTTTGCTGCTGCTGCTGCTGCTGCTGCTTGGCCGCGACTAGTCCGCCACCCGAGAAGAAGTTGGCAAGCGAGCTCTGGCCCTTGATCAAGCTTGGATTCTTGGAAGGGGGCATTCGTCTCTGCGCATGTGCCAAAGAGCGGAGGGGGAAGGTTGATGCCTGCCCGAGGAGGGAAGGACGAGCTGGGCTGCTGCGCTGCTGGCCGGCTGTTGGCTGCTGACGAAGTTAGGCGCACCTCTCTCTCGAGCGCGCGAAAGATCTCCAGGCTGTGGTGGAGCGTGAATGACCGAAAAAGGCGTCATTTCCAATTTCAGACCTTTAGCCTGTCTGTTGCTCGAGCGAAGGCACATCAAGGCTAAAAAGAAGCTCCTACTCGATTCGAACACAATCCTGACCCCCTCTTTTGACGACTTTGCTTTCTTCGCCAGGCGCCCGCCTTTGACGTTGACCGACTGTCACGACCTCCATCGTTTCCATCAGCCAGCACACAATGTCGTCATCAGCACAAGACCCACTGCAAACACCGCGCAGGAAAGAGGGCGAAGCGCAGGTGCTGGCCCCAGCAGGAGGATCGGGAGCGGGCCCCAAGAGCTCCTACTACCAAGGTCCGCCAGCACAGAACAGTGCGTTCGGAACAGCACCGATCGGTGTCATTGGGAGGGATAAGCCAAGGGAGATCATCAGGTCAGTACATGGTGGTGAATGAAGCAACAAGTAGGTACAGGCAGCTGAGAAAGAGCCGATCATCGATCCCTGCAGGGTAGAGCGAGACTATACCGGAGGCGAGCTGTGCCAGTTCCACCCTACCTTTCCACTCGAGCTCGAAGGACGGGTGAGCAGCTTGACCCTCTCTGTCTTCTTTATGGCGGGCTAACGAGACTGATGGACGGCCAGGTCGAGCCGACTGTGTTCTCCGAGACGATGAACGACATCAACGAGCTGCTCATCAAGGCACACGACCCATCATGGGCCTGTTTCGATAACTCGCTGGCCGTGCTGACCCTATATACTTCTCCCTTTCTCCTCAATTCAAAGTACGAACGGGTGAGTGGGGAAGTCGTGACTCTGTAGTAGAAGCAACGTTGTCCCTGATAAACTCTCGGCCTTCTTTCCTCAGGAGATGAAGAGACTCGACAAGATCATCAGCCAAGCCAACGAAAAGAGCTTCAATCCGGCCGGCCTCAACATTCGCAGTCCAGCCGAGAGTGCCTTTCTTTTTTTGGAGGTGAAGTCTTGTCTTGCCGCTTGCTACAAAATGCCTACTCACTTAAGTTCTTACGCGCACTCCTTAGGTCGAGTACTTCTAGCTTTGGGCTTCTCGCCTCTCCTTTCTCACGACAGATACCCTTTCTGGTCCTTCTTCTGAGCTCCTTCATTACTCGTCTCTTGTACCATCAGCATCCTTGGTTGAACATGATCTCCACCCACGTGTCTCTCTCTCCCAAATGTCGCGCTCGGTCCACTTGCTCTGCACTTCATTTTATTAAGCTCGAGCCGCCATCGCTAGAACGCTCATCCGCCATGTCTGCGTCGTCGTCGTCGTCCCAGGGCGCCGTCGTCGCAGCGCCTCCGCAGCGCCTGCTCCGCCTGCTGCACGATGTCCATGCCGTGCAAGTTCCCAGTCTGAAGCGAGCTTCGTCGCTCGGTCCGCGCTCCGAGGGGGCGCCGTCGCTCGACGACGTCGAGTCCGAGCTCACTGCGACGCTCCTCGACGTGGACCGGGCGCTCGAGGCGTTCAAGCTCGAAGCCTTTGATCTCGGCGACACGGAGTCAGAGCGCCGGGAATGGGCAGAGGCAGTGACAAGGGCCTCGCAAGATGTATCGAGGTGGGTGGATCACTTCCCAGCTTGGGCAGGTAGAGAGAGACCATTCCAGCTGAGCTTCATTCTCTGGCCTGGTCTGATCATCATCATTATCCACCAACAGGGCAAGGCGAGAGGCGAACCTGGCCATGGTGCAGGCTCGAAAGGCACAAAGAGCCAATGCGGGCCGTGGAGATCTGTTTGGGGACATGGCATCGAGCGCAGAGGAGCGTCGGCGGAGGCGAGAGGCGGCCGCCGCCGATGATCGAGGGTGGGTGATTTGCTGTGCTGGCAACAGCGACGTCCCACGCTGACACACCCATCCTCGCATTTACGAATGAAACAAATGCAGCGCCGATGACAAGCTCATGACGGCTTCCTCAGACGTCACATCGGCGCTCCAACGGACCGTGGCGCTCATGTCGGCCGAGCTGGAGAAGTCGTCCTACTCGTCGCAGCTCCTCGACGAGTCCTCGACGACGCTGCAGGCAGCCACGGCGCAGTACCAGTCCTTTTCCGACCTCGTCGCCTCGTCGCGCCAGCTGATCAAGAGCATGGAGCGCGCAGACCTGTACGATGCAGCGCTGCTCCTCCTCAGCTTTGCCTTTTTCTGCGCATGCATCCTCTACATTCTCAAGGTCCGCATCTGGGACCGCGGCGTGGGCATCCTGGGCTTCTTCTTTCGCATCGGCGGCATGGCCACGCGCACGAGGAGCATGGGCGACGTCAAGGAGAAGCTCGAGCTGGCCAAGCAGGCCTCGGCTGCCGCTGCTGCTGCTGCTGCTACTTCTTCTTCAGCCTCCTCGGCTTCGGCCTGGTCCAAGAGCGCAATGGAGGCTGCAAAGGAGGCTGCCAAGACGGCCGTCACGACGGCCATTGCCGCGTCCGCCTCGTCTTCCATCGCGGAGCCAGCAGCGCAACCCGACGATGCGGCGCCCGCCGCTGCCACACCAGACGTGCACCACATTGAGCTGTGACACAGACTTGTTCGCTGTACAGTAGACTGCATACAAAATACACTCATGGTGAGAAGAGAGAGGAGAAGAGCAGATACTACAAATCGTCAAAGAAGTCATTTCCCCCTCGCCGCTTCGGCACCACCTCGACCTTGCTCCTTTTGCTGCTGCTCCTCGTTTCTTCTGCATCGCTTTCACTCCCTTCTTCCTCTTCCTCTTCCTCTTCCTCTTCTTCTTCTTCGTCTTCTTTGTCCTCTTCAGCCCTTGCTGCCCTCGAGAGGGGCGCCTCTGCCAAGCCCATGCCCACAGCTCTCAGCCCTCCTCCATCGTCCCTCTCTTCGTCTTCATCATCATCCTCCTCCGATGCCTCCCTGTCATCGTCGTCCTCCCCCTCCTCGTCCTCGCTTCCAGGCTCGAGGAGCTCGCTGATGTCCGTCAGCTTCACCTCTGGCCCATGGCCGATGCTCGCGAGCCAGCTGCCCTTGCGGACGATGCGCTCGACGGGCATCCCGCCGTGGTCCGCCACGATGCCCAGCAGCTTGTGGGGCAGAATCTGGACGACACGAACAAGGCCGTCCGAGGAGCCCGTGAGGATTGTGTCACGGTCCAGCGTGCACAGCGTATCGACGCTCGCAGGGTGGCCGGGAATTCGGTCGACGTGGTCCAGCATGCCGCGCGAGGGCGACCATAGGCTGAGCATGCCCAGCTGCGTGCCAACGACGAGCTTGTTCCCCCTTTGTCAAGTGGTCCCCAGAAAGCGGTCAGCGATGGGTATACACGCGCGCTGGTGCAGGGAACAGTGACTCACCCCTTGACAGAGGCAATCGACAGCAACTCGTCCTCCTGGTCCTCACTCACGTCGACGCCAGCCTTGCCGCCGCTCCGCAGATCAATCACCGACAGCGATCCGTCGCCACTGATATAGGAAACTCTCTCGCATGAACGATCGAGAGAGAAGAGGAAGACATCTTCACCCATGTCGACTCACCTCGTCACCACTAGTCGTTCCCGGTGTCTCTGCGCTCCCCTCTGCTCGTCTTCTTCGTTTCCTTGGCTCCCCAGCTGGCCCCTCTTCCTATCCTTTCTCCGCCTCTTTTTCTCCTTTTTCCGCTTCTCCTCCTCTTCCTCCTCCCGGCTCTTTTTCCTTGTCCGCGGGTCTACCCAGCCTTCGCACCAGAGCATGTCAGTGATCCAGTCGTAGTGGTGCGAGTAGGTGCGGACAGCCGACGACGTCGAAGCGTCCAGCGACGCAGGCTCCGAGACGACCTGGCCCTTGAACGGTCTCCTGGGGTCCCAAATGGCGACGACGCCATCGTCATCGCCCGTCGCCAGCAGCTCGCCGCTGTTGTTGCTCCCGAGGCCGTTTGTTGTTGTGGGGTGGAGGGGCAGCAGCCGCGAGGGAGCGGCCGCATGCGCCTTTTTCCACTCGAGCTTGGCCTGGCCGCCGTGCTCGACATCGAGGCAAACGATGGAGCCGTCCTTGGCAATCGTCCAGAGGTCTCTGCTGTCGCGCGAAAAGGCGACGCCCCGGCACGACTTTTGCGACGGCCGACTGGTCCAGAGCTTCGTGTGGCCCGACGCGCCTCGTCGTGGTGCGCTTGTTCGTGCCCCTTGCTCATCTTCATCGGCGCTTTCCTCTCCTTCTCCGTCTCCGTCCTCGTCGACTAGTCTCGTTCCCGCCTCTGATTCCACGTCATCGTCGTCGTCGTCGTCGTCATCAAGCTCATCTTCCTCGGACCTCTTTAGTGCCCCTCGCTCCCTCTTGGCCTGCAGCTCGCCGTAGTCAACGAGCTGGACCTTGCCCGAGATGAGGCCAGTCGCGAGCAGGAAGCGGTCCTCGGCCGGCGCAAACGCCACGTCGAGCGCGTCCGACGACAGCGGGATGTCCATGCCCGTCCCAATCTCGCTCGGCCGTTATGGTGTTGCCGTTTGCCGCTGGCGTCGAGCACACCCAGAGAGAGGTTGCGTCCGAGTCTGTCTGAGGGGCCTTTGCGGTTGAGAAGGATGCTTTGGGTTGCAACTCAAAATCTGCAACACGTGCCCCGCCCCATCTCCGATTCAACTTTTATTTTTTTAAAAGCGTGTGACGGTGTAGAGCAGAGAGACACATCGTTCTCGACTGCAAAGAAGAACGACAAGGGGCAGGAAAAGCATGTCAAAGCGGACAGTCATCGGTACGCTCGCGCAGCTCCGGTCGGGCCCGGGCGCTCAGCGACTTCCCGTGCCCCCGCTCCGATCAATCGAGGTGCAGGGCATCTCGTCTGCGCACGCCGATCGGGCCCACCGCGCATTTGTCAAGACAGTCATGCCGAGGATCAAGTACTGGAACGACGAGCTGGATGTCAGGTTCAGCTTCGCTGCGCCTGCATCGCCAAAAAGCCCGGGCGAGACAGATTCGGTGTCCGCCAAGGTCAGGCCCAGCATCTTGCTTCACTATGGTGTGTTCCTTGTCTCTGTCTCACACAGTCACCACTCCAGTCACTGATGTCGGCTCTTGCAGACGGCCTTCCGACGCAGGAGCTCAACATCGAAGGAAAGTCAGGTCAGTCAGATGCGTTCTTCCTCTTCCTGCGGTTGGGGAGCACCCTTCACTGACTTGGCCCCCCTGCCACCTTTCAGCGTCCGAGATCGTCCGCGAGCTCCAGGTCCTCGCCAGGACCACAGCAGGCACGCCGTTCGAAGAGGTTTCCGAGGAGCCCATCGACGAGGCTGCAGTGTCGCCGGCGGCGGCGGCGGAAGCGAGCCAGGCGAGCGCACCCACTTCGTCCTGATTGCGTGCCAGAGTGGACTAGACCAAGTGAAATGTATCAGTAGTGCTGTACCTTGCCCTATTCTTCTTGCGCGTGATCTCTGCCTGGCTTTAGACTTTGGACTTTTCTCGCTTTTCATTTTCCCCTTTGACCCGACAGGCCCTAGTGTGTGTACTCAGTCGTCTCCGGCCTGGACGGACGCGTCTCGATCCGATTCATATCCAATCTCTCTTCCCTCGCAGAGACAGAACACGCAGCACACGCAGCAAGCCGTCGGTCGGGCCAGTCGCAGCCACGATGTCAGATCGTCACAGCCACGAGGCAGGCTCGGCAGAGGGAGGGAGAAGATCAGGAGGAGGAGGAGGAGGAGGAGCAGGGGCTGTAGGAGGAGCAGGGGAAGGAGCAGGAGGGAGCGGTGGCTTTCGATACGAGGCCGGTTCGTCGGCATTCAGCGATGCGCTCGCGTCGACGCAGGCCTACTTTTCGCCCTTTCTCGGCTCCTCGAGCGGCAACGACGGCCACGCAGGCATGCCAGAGCACAACCGCCTCCTCGCCGAGGTGGCGCCCCACATTATGCGCCCACGGATCCTGAGTGCCGCTGTCGCCGCCGGCAACACCGTCTCGCAAAACGTCAGCAGCTCCGCCCTCGTGGGCTTCCTCCCGCTGAGCCGGCCCGGTTCGGGCGGCCTGAGCCTCAGCCACCCGGCACGGTCCCTCATCAGGCTCGGCAATTCGCTGCGCCAGGGTCCCGTCACGGCGAGGGACTTACATGCGCTCGAGAGCTCCTACCAGATCCTCGCCACCGCCGCCAACGAGGGCGAGGTCGAGGAGCCGAGGGGCGTTGCACGCGAGGTCTCGCTCCTCCGCGGCTTCCAGGCCACGATGCCGTCGAGCCTCGAGGGCAGGGCGAGGCGACGTAAAGCGCGGGGGCGCGATGGACCGCACCTGGGCCTCAAGGCTATGAGCGACAGCGCCCGGGGTCTCCTCACCAACGGTGGCAGCAGCAGCAGCAGCACCGGCGCCGCTTCCGAAGGCGCCTCTGCCGCGGCGGTGGCGGCGGCGGCAGCGGCAGCGTCTTCTGTGCCCGGCGCCGACTTTGAGCCGAGAGAGGCGAGAAAGGCGAGGCGGAGCGCAGTGTCGAGAAAGGAGGTGCCGCTCAGCCAGACGGAGCTGCAGGCGCAAAAGGACGAGATCGTGCAGGAGACAGAAGACATCAACATCCGCCGGGTGAGTTTGGGCATTCGTCTCCGTCGCTGTGCCATATTCGAACGCTGACCTTGAATCTCTCCCTCTCTGGCCACGCTCAGATGCTCCTCAATGCCGAGATCTCAGAGGTCGAGGCGAGGATGGCGGCGCTGGCGCTGGTGCGCGACAACCTGCAAAAGGACCTGCTCGACCTGCAGGAGGAGGAGCTCGAGCTCAACGACGAGTTCGAGGGCGTGTCGGAGCTGCTGGCCGTGCAGAGGCACCGGAGCAAGATGCCGGGCAATGCAGGTGCAAAGGCTGCCGAGGCCATGGCGCAGCCGTCGGGCGCGACGGGCTCCTCGCGCCGGAAAAAGGCAGCCCTCTTCTTGCCCTCGGAGCATGACGAGCTGCCGCCCGGCGTCGCATTCATGACGCTGGCCAACCACACGGCACCCATCACCTCGCTCGACTTTTCCGAGCCGTACGGCACCCTCGTCTCGTCGGCCCTCGACGACAGCGTCCGCGTCTGGGACCTCTCCTCGGGCGCAGAGGTCGGTCGTCTGCGGGGCCACTCTGGCACCGTCAAGTGTCTCCAGGTCGAGGACGAGCTGTGCATCACCGGCGGTGTCGACTCGTCGGTGCGCCTGTGGGACCTGCACCGCGTCGAGGATTACGAGGCGAGGCTGAGCATCAAGGCCACCAGCGAGAGCAAGGCGGGTGGTGGCATCATCAAGCAAGGGGGTGAGAGCAACGGTGGCGGCGGCGATGACGACGACGACGACGAAGGTGGGCCTTCTGCCAAGGGAAACGGCACCGACGATCGGGACAAGGAGCACGACCCTTGCCTGCGCTCCCTCGAGGGCCACAGCAAGGCCGTGACAAGTCTCTACTTTGACGACACCTGCCTCGTCACTGGTGCGTCGGACAAGACGCTGAGGCAGTGGGACCTCAACACGGGCCAGTGCGTTCTCACCATGGACATTCTCTGGGCCATCTCCAACCCGACGTCGTCGCAGTCGCTCATGCCCGACCCCACCCCGTCGTCCGATGAGATCCTCGGCTCGCCCGTGCGGGACCGCAGCAGTCGCTCCAGCCTGGGAGGGTCCTCGTCCGTGCCCGGGAGTAGGATCTCGTCGGGCGCGGCACCCCTGATGGCCGACAAGAACTTCTCGGGGCCCTTTTCCTACCCCACCCCAGCCTTTGCCGACGGCTCCTGGGAGATGTACCAGGACTTTGTGGGAGGCGTCCAGTTCTGGGGCTATGCACTCGCGAGCGGATCGGGTGACGGCGCTGTACGCATGTGGGACATGAGGACTGGCCAGGCGCACAGGACCCTGCATGGCCACACGGGGCCCGTCACCTCGCTGCAGTTTGACGAGACCCACGTCGTCTCGGCCAGTCTCGACCGGAGCGTACGCATCTGGGACCTACGCACCGGCGCCATTTCCGAAACGATTCGATTCGACTACCCCGTAACGGACGTGCAATTTGACAGTCGAAAGATTGTGGCCGCCACGGGCGAGAACCAGGTCAAGGTGCGTAGAATTTTCTCTTCTTTTCGGGGGATTCCTGTGCTTCTTTGGCTAATGACTATGCTTGGCGCGGCCCCATCTTGCAGATTTTCAACAGGACCTCACTCCAGACGCGGACGCTGGCCACCAATGGCCACACGTCGCCCGTCGAAAAGGTCAGGTACATGGACCGGTACGCCGTCAGCGGTGGCAAGGACCACCTCGTCAAGGTCTGGGCACTGTAGAGACATCTCAAGAAATGCACACTTTGGATCTAGACTCGCATCTTCGTCTGTCTTTTGAACTTGACAAAGCTGGGAACATGTCTTTTGAACTTGACAAAGCTGGGAAGAAGGGGGGGGGGAGCGAAAGAGAGCATCTTCATTTCGCAAAATGGGGCTCGCGCAGAAAGCCACAGACGAAGCTCGATCTGGGCGTGAAGAAGGTGAAGGGGGGAAGGAAAGACATGGGGATGGGGCAAGTGTTCGAAAGGAAAAAGGAAATGTAGGCTTTGGGCTCAGGTGCAGTGGACATGCAGGTCTGTTCCCTTCTTGGAGCCGACGGTGCTGAACTTGTCTTGAGTTTTCTGTGGGCAAGGGATGGTGTCTAAGGGGGTCAGTTCATGCGCGGCATTTACCTCTTCCGCCTCTTTTCTCTTTCAGTGAGCGATAGTAACGGACACTCGCCTCATTGGAAGTCCAGTAGGCCTGCACTTTCTTGTTGCCAGCCTTCTTGTACTCATTCTTTGATTTGTCCATGTCGGGGTCGAGTAAGACGTAGAGCTGACTGTCGGTGTTTGGGCACACGACCGTCAAGGGTCCACCAGAGAACTTGCAACGGCCTGTTGTCGCACCGCGCAGAAACACTGCGATCAGGATCACTTCTCTTTGGGAGAGTGTGTCCGAGTGGACAGACTCACCGCGACCGTGCCCCTCTGAATCTGTCTCTGTGCAGCCAATGAGGTTTTCCGCATCGATGACGTACGACTTGTCGTCGGTGAAGACGCAGCTTGAGTCCGCCTCGGCGCAACTGTATTCGACAACATCCACCGCCACCACGCTCAGCAGGAAAGAAGAGACGAGAAAAAGAGCACTCTGGCAAGCTTGACTCACTCCTGTTCTCCGATCGTGGGGCAAGGCCGCGTGGGCTTCTTGCGTGGGTTCGGGCACTTTTGGCACCACGGCTCGTCGCAGCCGGGATTCTTTCCGCTGCTACCGCCGCCGCCGCCGCCGCCGCCTGTGTCGCACTGCTTGTAAAGGGCACAGATGCATTGTTTGTCGCCTGGGTTGCATTTGGGATATGGATTGACGAGAGGATCTTTGCCGCATTGCTCACCGGTACAGAATGGCGGCATCAAATGGTCGAAGCAGAGGTCCAAAAGGCAGTTACCGCAGCCGTCCGTGCATGGGGGGCATTGGCCTTGCACGCAGGGAGTCCAAGCGACGCAGCTCCAGCCTAACCACACATAGCCGTAGGGACAGTTGCCACAGTTGCCGTTTGGTTCGCCGTACGATGGCCCTCCAGGAGGAGGAGGCGTCTTCACCGACGGCGGTGTCTTGTAAGGCGGGTTCGGAGACACTGTTGGTGGCTTTTTAAACGACGGAGGAGTTCCGTCGTGATTGAATCCGCCAAAGTCGGTGGACTTGCAGCCAAAGGCCCATGGATGATTCTTGCAGTCGAGCGAGGACTTGGTAATACAGTTCTTTTCCGAGGCTTGACACGCTCGCTTGATCATCTTGTTCGGCTGCGATCTTGCGTTGTTGTCCTCTGCGCCGCGCTCAAGAAAGTCGCGCGAGAAGAGCGAGGCGTCGGCGTCCGTCGGACCGTTCACCGACGAGCCAAGGTGGACGGACCTGGCATCGATTTCTCCATGAATGAGGGTGAGGCTGGCTGGTCCACGAGCCTCGAGAGCGACGCCGGCGCAGGTGACGAGCAGCTGCAGCGAGAAGAGGACCGTGAGGACGGACAGGAGACTGGTCGGTATCTTCTTCATCGGAGCCGTGGTGTCACAGTCGAAGCGTGAACGTATGCGTTTGTACCGTGTACGTCTTGTTGACAGTAGCGAGCGTGGTCGGTAAAGGAGGGTGATGTTGAACAAGAGTTGCCCACGGTGCCTGGCTTCCTCGAGACACAAATGAAGCGCGCGAAAGAGGAAAGGAGAGAAGTGTGGGTCTTCCTGGAAGGAGAGGGTGAGGGGATGCAAAAGGCGAATCTTCAGTCGCTCTTTTATAGGAGCGCTCGACGCTTTTCCTCTGGATGCAGCACTCCCTGCTTTGTCTTCCCCTCCGCTGTGTTGCCGCTCTTCTCTGACAAGGACGCAGTCTGCAGGTGCTCCGTGCGAAAGCCAAGGAGAGCGGGCTTCATGAATTGTAAAGCAGCTTAGCGCCGACCGTTTCGCTCTTTGTTCTTTCTCTTCAGCCCAGTCCATTGTTGCTTCCTTATCCTTGTGTAAGAAGCAACGGAGGAACAAACAGTGACGGACTCGTCTGGTGACTTTTCCGTCGGAGATAAACAGTCTTGGCGTGTGTGAGAGAGAGAGAGAGAAGAAAAAACTAGAAGCAAGACGGACCACCTCCTCCGCTCCTTTCTTCCAGCTGAGAAGAAGAATCAGGCCCGACCACCCTCCCAGTTTGGAGCTCTTTGGTTCCGTCTCTGAGCTCCGTGCCAAACCACGGCATGTTCGGCTCGAGGCTGACCTACTTCAAGCGGTCTCAACAATACCGCCGGGAGAAGGGGGAGGAACAATCATACTTATGAAAGAAATCGTGACAAGCAAAGCAAAGCTAAGAAACACTGGAGAGCTTGTGGTAGTCATATAAAAAAGATGACCATTCAATGAAATAACAGAGGCTAGTCAAGGACAAAAGGGGAGGAGGAGTGATCCAGCAGTAGCTTCCTTGAAACGACGAGCCCGCGTCGGGATCTCGCACCTGGGAAAGCTTGCGTTCAAGCTGACTGCCGAACCGGAGTCAGTCTCCTTCCTGTGCGCAAGGAAAAAAAGAAAACAGCCAGGCTTAAAGACGCACTCCGCTCAGATGTAGACCGGTTTGCCAAAGTTTTCTGTCATTTTTAGGCTGTCGAGATATGCCCTCTCCGTCGATTCTTCGACCCGCTTGTGCATTGGAATGTGGGCGGCGTGGACCGCTGTTGTGGCGAGCCCAAGCAGAACGGAAGAGGCGAAGACAAGCGCCATGGCTGTACGGGAGATGAGGGTGACCATCTCTGACGTGACTGCGCTTGTTGAGAAAGAGGGAGATAGAGGAGGGAGTGGCGCTCTTTAATGAGGAACCGAAGGGCAGAGAGGGCGAGAAGAATAGTGGGGAGAGGCTGCCCTTTATAGAGATGAATATTGCCCGATCACGACAAGTCAAGATAGCGAGATACGCCGATCTGAGTACAGGGGTTCAGCCTCCCAATCTTGCCAATGCTTCAATGCTCCAACAAAGAAAATTGAGGTGAGAGCCGCCGTGTGTGCAGTCAGGAACGCGGCCGGCAGAACGGCTGCACACGGTGGCAAAAAAGACAAGCGGCTCGAAATAGAGGAGCGGGCCGCATTCTCATTCGCTCAGCGCTGACGAAGAGAGACCGCTGAGCGCGCTCACGAGAGCGGACTTGCGGCCTTTTTGCTGCCTTTTTGCTGTCGCTGTTTTAAAAGGATGCGGTCCTCCGGGGTCAAGACGAAGAAGCACAAAGGGACTACTGTGAAACGGCGCAGGACTTCAAAGGGGAGGAAAAGCTTTATTTCAAGTGGCGGGCCGGCCCAGTGCGTGAATGGATGGTCACGAGACTAGAGAAGGAAAGGAAAGGAAGAAAGGCGATGCTCTACCATATACTGTTCAATGGTGGAAATGAAAAGAAGGGTGGGTGGGGGGAAAAAGAGACGGGGCGGTGCTATTATGTAACTAGGAGAGGAAGCGACGGTGATACTTGCCACCATAGTCGCTGCTGGCTTGCTTGGGCGACCACTTGCTGGCATCTTCATCGTCATCGTCGTCGTTATCGCCGTCGTCATCGTCATTGTTGGTGTCGTAATGGGGACTGTCACCTTTGACTTCCTTGGGCGAGCTCTTGCCGTTGCCCAGCACAGGTGTACCCTTGATATCCCCCGTGCCGATGGGGTAGGAGCCAACGCCTCCGCTGTTGATACCGTAGCCCTTGTTTTGGTTACCTCCCAAGGCCTTGGAGGGGATTCCATCGCTGATGCTGACGTCGGGCGTGGGCTTGTAGCTGCTCGTGGTGGGCTTGACGACGTGCTTGGCGTCATCGGCACCGGGCACCGGGCTGACCTTGCTCTTGTCCTCGTAGGGGCTACCGCCGGTAGTGCTGACAGGAACATCGCCAAAGGAGACTGTGGGAACACCATCGCTGGCAGTCTTACCCTGGTTCTTTCCATGCAGGTAAAGGTCGGGCAGGTCGACCTTCTTGCCGTCGCTGCCCTTGTAGTAGCACTTGATCACAGTGTTGAACGGGATCACGTTGGCGGCGTCGTAGATGGACTTGTGGCCACCGTCGCCATACGTCGTCGTGGGAGGTGCCGCAGGCGTGGCGTTGAACTTGTCGTTGCCCTTTCCCAGGCCGTAAGCACTGGGTACGTCGCGTGCGACGTGGCGACGACTGCCATGGTCCGTGGACGCGACGCTGATGGCGATCGCGGGTGAAGCCAGCGATGCGGCGATGAGGATTGCGGTTGCGAACTTCATCGTGTCGAGAGACTGTAGTGGACGGAACAGTGTCGAGGGAAAAGAAGAAAAGTTGTAGCAGAAAGAAGGGGAAAGAGGAGGAAGTGGATGGTGGGAAGCGGTTGGGAGTGATGGACAGGCCTCTCTTATACCTGTGCTCTCCAGCTCGTTTCTTCTTGTTTCGCACGTCTTTCCCCATTGTGCTTCGTGCCCCTGCCATTGCGTGCGAAGGGAGGCATCCCTCTCTCGCTTTCCAGCAAAAAAAAGGGCCCGTCCGATGCCGGTGCCACTCGACCAGATGCCCAAAATAGTACGGAGAAGGCTTGGAACCTGTGCGATGTCGCGACTCACAGTCACCCAAGCTTCCCTTTGTGACGATGAGCAGAGTTGTCGCGGGGGTCCCACATCCTTCTCCTGCACTTTCTTCTTCCTCATTGTAGGCCACTCGCCGCCGTCCGGGGGCGGTGCTGCGCTTTCTCCCCGGGCAAACTCGCCTCGGAGACCTCTGTCCTTCGTGCGCACAGACAACTTCATCTCTCGGCTCGGCGTCGGTGCAAGGCTCTCGATACTCCTTCTGGCAGGTAGACTGTGCAGAGAGATAATTCGGTGAGATCATGATGTATCGCATTGCTGCGCACGTCACCGAGAAAGAATGCAGTTACGAGTTACAAGGTATGTCTACGGAAAGAGAGGGTGGGGATGCCAGGGTGCATCACTCTATCTAGTTGGAGTACAAGGAGCTGCTTGCCAATGCGCACGCTACGGCGCTGCCAACGAAGACCAAAACGGGGATGGCGGGCGCTTTAACAAGCACCGCGCTGCTCGCTGCGTTTCTCGGCGAGCCAGACGAGGACGCAGGCGACGACGGAGAACCGCCGCCGCCGCCGCCGCTGCTGCCGTTGCTGCCGCTGCTGGCCTTGCTCGCCGGCTGGGTCAGCACCTTGACGGTCGTGTCCTGGTAGGCTGTGCCGCTCGGCATTCGGTCCGCATTGGCGGGGTCGGGCGCTGTAAATGTGGGATTGACACCGTTTGTGAGGCCGTTTGGTAGCGAAGAGGGTCGCGTCCGCCCTTGTGCGTCGTTTTCGACAAAGAGTCTAAAGATGCCCTCGGAGCTCGCAAACATGGCCGCGTCATCGTGCGTGACATTGGGCACGTAATCGAGTGTGTGGTTCTTTGGATATCCGCCGGGAAGCTGTTCGAGGTAGCCGGCAAAATTTGCACCCCTCGTTCGGTGTGAGTCGCCTTGCACTTGAGCCTGGCAGTGAGTGTCGCCCGGTCCGTCATCGGCCATGCCCAGTGCATAGTGGACCCGACGCTGCTGGTATCGCGCCCAGAGCATGTCCTCGTTTGGCGTCGGCTGGCCGTACGGAAGGTTAGCATCGACGTTGTTGATGCCGTAGTGGTAGTCGTTGTAATCCTGGCAGGAAGACGGCGGCTTGGCGCCTCCCGTCGTGGGACGGCGTTCGTCAAGGTACATGTATGCGCCCGGGTTGCCGACGTAAAAGTGCAGCTCCTGCTCCGTCTCGGGAATGTTGCCCAGGACGGCGTATCTCTGAAGCATCTGTGCACCCATTGAGTGCGAGGCCATGACGATGGTGTCGACATTTGGAAAGAGGGTCCGGTTGGCAAAGTAGGCAACGACATTGTCCAGGACCTCAAACGACGAGACGCTGACGTTGGATGGGTAGATGCTCTTCTGCCCATCCTCCCATCCATTCTCCTCCCAGACAAGAATGTTTGACGTGGCCTTTTGGCCGTCAGGCTTGCTGTCGTCCCAGGGAAAGGCGCCCGTGTCCTTTTGGTTCCAAAACGAGACGGACCAGATGCCCACCTCATCCTCGTTTACGCCCTGGTTGCTCTGCACCGCTGCATCGAGCGCGGCATGCATGTGGTTGTAGTAGTTCCACGGGTCCCTACCCTTGCCGTGACAGACCCAGACGATGCGTTTCAGCTTGGAAAAGTCGGTGTCCGCCTTGAGCCAATGGTAGAGGGCTCCCTAAAAGCGCGCTCGCCTTGCTTTAGAAAAGGGTCGAAAAGACAACAGTGCAACAAGGAGCACGATCGCGTGAAACTCACATCGCCATTCCTGACGGGGATCAGGGCCTCCTCGGCACCGTCTGTGTAATTGACAAAGCTCCAGCCTCCGTCGCCGCGAGCATCGAGCTGGGGTGTGTGCCGTCTCTGTACTTCGAACCGTGGTGCACCGAGCGTGCGCGGTGAGGCCATGGCGCGTGCAACAACATACGAAGAGAAGAGCAACAGTGTCGCGACGAGAATCGCTGACCGCGCCAAAGAAGCCACCGCCATCTCTCTCTGTGTGATTGGCGACGTTGTGAGAGACAAGAATTGAAGTCAAGCGGGAGAGAGGGAAGCACGGTTGCAGATGGTGCGAATAGGGGTGCGACCGGTGCAGCGGGTGAAAACTATAATCGCCTTTTAAGGCAAAGAACCGAGTGCATGGTGCAGGACCACATGATATGAACCAAATTGAGATGTCGAGACATAGATTGCATGCCTTCTTTCCATCGGTGCGCCGACAACCGAGGAATCTGCAGGGCCAAGTCCAGTGATCCCGGTGTGTTGTTCTTCGGTCAATATAGATAAAGCCAAGGAAGCTTCGGCGCATTTCAAAGTTGTACCACTGTAGTTTAAACGCTTCTTCGACCGGTGCGCTAAGCGTTGCTGCAACTCCGGCGCTTGTCGAATCTTTCGATCGGACTATCGCGACGCCGCTTCACTTCAGTCAATGAAGGAGAAATATTGTGTCCGACACGACCGCTTTGTTCGGCTCGCTTTCGGCTCATCGAAACGGACGCATGGGCCTAGACTTGCCTTCGCCGCGCTCGAGGTCCAAGTAGCGACTGGAGCAGCAGCCCAGGCGGGCCTTTGGGCGTCTTTCTTCCGAGCATTTACTGGGCAGTGCCTTGATACACGTTATGAAGCAGGATCTGCTTGCCGTCGCTCTTCGTCACACCGTACACCGTGAGCGTGTAGCGCTGAAATGAAACTGTCTTGGTGTCCCATGGCGGCCGCCTCCAGGCACACCACAAAGTGACCGCCCCGAGGGCTGAAAATTGGGAGGCAGTGTCATCGTTTGATCCCGTGCAAAGGCCAGGAGAGGCGGACGGGGCAACACGGCTCAATCAAAAGTCACGGCAACTCGAAGGTGTTGCTTGTGGCGGCAAGTGAAAAGCACGTCCGTTGCACTGAGATGCGGTAGAGCATTGCCATTCGATACAAGAGATGCCCGAGGCATAGTACAACTTCTGCCACTGATCAATCTCACTCACAAGGAACAACGTAAAACGCTGTGCTTTTCGCTATTCTGATTTCTCAATGCTATTCGTACTCACGAACCTCATCCTCACGAACCTCATCCTGCGATGGTCAAGCCCCACTTCTCCTTTGCGCTGTCTCTCCTCATGTCAGCTCTCTCAACGTTGGCTACACAATCAGAGATCACAGAGATCAGCGAGCCCACTGCAGTCGGTCTGGGAGAGATGACCGCCCCGGCCCCAATGTCCATTACGAGAACACAGTCTCCTCCCTCCTCGTCTGGGGCATTCCCCGATCTAGGGAAAGAGTGGAACAGATACTTTCGCGCCGAATTCAGCAGGCTGACTGCCAGTCTCTTCAAAAAGAAGATGCTGAATTCATCGACCTTCTGGGATTTAGTGGACAATCATGGCGAAGGCACAGCTTGCGAGAGCCTCTTCGGACAAGAGCAGTGCACCGACAAAGCTCGAGAATTTTTCGAGAATGGGGTGTTTAAGGGGCACCTTAGAAAGAGGCATGGGCGAGAAGAGGACGGCAAAGGTGATCACTACTCCAACGACATTTGCAAGGCGCGACAAGTTCGAGCCGGAGCCATGGAGCGGCTCAGTGCCTTTTCCGTTGGTACCTCGCAGCAAACCGCGACCGAAGAGATGCATACCGTTCGTACCGAGCGCCAAGTTGATGAGCCGAGATGTCCATGCCTTTCCTTTGCTCTACCTCTTATCTACTGCTGCTACCCATACTGCACGCTAGGGTGCTGCTGGTGTTGAGGGTACCAGCTCTCTGTAAATGACCGATCGCCAGACGCGTGATAATTGAGAAATGACAAAATTTACAGGGAGGTGGAGACATCTTCCCTTGCCTCGACGAACTTGAAATCGGTCCTCACTGGAGGAGAAACGAGGAAGAGGATGGACGACGTGCAGATGTACGAAGGGTCGGACGAGCCGGGTCCTTCCAATGAAGCGCATCTACACGCACAAGAGCAGCCAGCAGAAAACGAAGGAGGAGGCCAGCAGGGTCAAGTCGTCGCCTCCCTCTATCCTCCGATTCCGGGCGTCTACGCTCGCTTCACGAGGCAGAACATCCACCGGTACCGCGTCCTCAGAGATCGCCTGGACGATGCAATGCGCGAGGAGTGGAACGAGATCGAGCCGAGCGAGAGAATAAAGAGGCAAGGGCTGTTGCTTGAGGAAGCTGAGTCGGCCCTGGCTGCCGAGCGAGGTGGTGCCCTGGACGTGGATCCCCAAGGCAAGACAGAAAACGAGCAGCCGAGTCTCCTGCCCGCACCAGACTGGGATGTGATGCTCGAAATGGGTGGACCAAATGTCGACTGGATCGAGCAAGATGGATACTATTCATGCTTTGGCGATCGATGGCCAGTGAGCATGATACAACCCTCTCTCCCCACGCTCTCCCTCTCGAGCTGATCATTGGCACAGATCGACGAGCAACTGCCCAATCTTCAAGACACGGGTGTGAGACAGATGTATGAGCCGGGAATCCGCGGTGAGTTTGGCCGCATGCTACAATCACCCGACACCGCTCACGAGGCAATAACGCAGACCGCCGACCGACGCTGCACGTTCTCCTTCGCACCCTTCTTCAGACCTACCTCACCCTCATCGACCAGATTCTCCTTCCTCCCAAAGAGTACTACTTCCGCACCGAAGTACCCGTGGGCGACGATGGGCCCGAGGGCATGATGGCCACCCAAGAAGGATGGCGATTCGTGACCCAAGACATTGCAGGCGAGATCAACGACATTGTCGTCAATTTTCAGCATCTCCTCAATGAGCTAAGACCGGTACAGGCGAGAGAGACGCTAAGGAGTACAATGGAGGAGCAGGTTAAGAGGAGAAAAGAGGAAGCGGCCCTGATCAGAAGGTGTGTCTCAAGTTAAACCCCTCTGCCGTTTCCTTTCAGCAAGGAATGCGATGGCTGACAAACGAACGTCGGCTGCATTCTAGACAATGCCAGGCCATGCGAGCGGAGGTCCAGCGCATGAAGAACGACATGGGTGCAGAACAAGGCAAAGCGCACAGCTCGGTGTGATTGATACCTTGAATTGTACTTATACATCTTGCTACATTGACCGGTCTACTTTTACGGCGCACCATGAGCACGTATGAACGACCCGCGGGGTGGTAGCTGAGCCCTAAGACTCTGGCAACGGGATGACGTGCCTGCAGATTGCAAAGATGCCAAGTGCCTTTGTCGTCACGATAACCTGCGTGCAGATCTCAGCCTCACTCTTTCTCAGTTTCTCTGAGCAGACGAACCTTGTACTGCTCTTGGAACGCCAGCCAATTGGGAAAGTAGACCATGTCGCCATGATGCAGCGTCAAAGTGGCCGCACCGCTGAATTTACGAGAAGCAGCGTTCTCCTTTGACCCGCTGTCGACCAATTTCGGCAAGATTTGCAAAGACGCCGTCGAACCAAGGCTGGTTGGAAGCGATAATAAGCGGAGCAGGGATCATGCTCTGACAACATACTCACTAGGCCCAGGCGTGATGAGGAGCCACGAGATCTTCTTTGTCGATCTGCTGCTCAGGCAGACAGAGCCTCGCCTCTGTTGTTGCACAGAGCGTCACCTCGTTGAAAATGGCAAGATTCTCTTCCTCCTCGACGAATCGCTCAATATTCACGTTGATGTGTTCGACGAGTTGGCAAACGGCGTGTGGCGGCGGACAAGTAATGACATCCGTGGGCTGATGGTAGGGTAAAGGAATTTTCGAAGGGTTGCCAAGAGCATCGGCGGCGCGGAAAGCTGCCAAGAAGGCGTTTGGCAGAGAAGAGGACAGCTCCGCGCGCCTAAAGGGCATGGAGAGCGAGAAAGCTTGGGCAGGAGCATGTCGGCCATTGATGAGAGGTGGGCTGATGAGAGAAGATGATTTGTCGAGGGACGCACACCTTTGCCGATCAATGAGCTGTAGGTTACGCTCTTGAGGTTGCATCAGTCCAGAGACAAGCACTATGGAAGAGTAGAGACAAAAGAGGCCTACTTTGACATGGTCGCTCCAGACGTAAAGCTCGCGCGAGGACCTTGTGAGGTCCACAGCAGCCTTTCCATTGTCCATCCTCGGGCCCGTATAGGTGATCGGAAGCCGACCAAAGGGGACATCCCGCTCAATAGTGAGCTGCCGAGCCTGGTAAGTGATTTGGCAGCGAAGGCACTTCCAACCGATCCAGTCAAGCCGATCGATGGTACACCTGCACCGTTGACACACGATGGCGATGAAAAGATGAGCAGCGGGAGAGCCAACGGAGGACGAGGTGCAAGGTGCCTCGTTGAAGAGTGGATGAGCAAAGACCTGAGCTTCAAAGGCAGGCGCTGTTGGAGCGTACCAAGGATGCTTGTCTTCCATCCATCGAAGCACCAGATGGAACTTCTCTTTCTCGCCCTCGAGCCTTTCTCGCTCGATAGTCTCGATGCGAAAGACGCCGATCAGGAGGCTTTGACAGCTCTTTTCAATAAGTTGACGAAAGGGAGATTCGTTGACACTGGTGAGCGAGGCGACCAGCCTGTGACCAGTGAAGAAGAGACAAAGGGGAAGTGCTGCCGAGCATGTCTTGACGAGGGGCTCCACGGGGAAGGCGTGCCCTTGGCTGCAACGTGATGTGAGCATCTCTCATCGCTCTTAGGCTACCGACGCACCCACAACTCGATCTGCAGCAACTCCGGACGGCTCGAGTCCCACGGTGAGAGCTGCGTGTTGTGTAGGGGAAAGCGAAGAAGCATCGCGCGAGCGTAGCCTCCCTGGGATATGTGTACGTTGGTCCGTCTAGGATACAATGGCGTCGCGGCCAGCATCGATGCTTCGCTCTGAGTGGGAACAAAAGAGTCAACATACCGCTCCGTATATTGAGGCAACCTGACATACCGTTGCCCATAAATCGGGTCCCTTTGATGGTGCTGCGTAAGTCCGATCAACCTTCGCCTTCGGATCCTCTGCTTGGACCATCTTCTTCGGCTTCCTTCTTTTCGTCTTCTCTTTTCCCGACTTCCCTTTCACCTCCTCTTCCTCTTCGGCCTGCACTCTCGTCTTTCCTCTCTTTCCTCTTCTCTCAGCGAAGGAATCTGCTTCGATACTATCCTCCTTCGGTACAATCCGGTCTAACTCTCTCCCTGTACGCTTCCTTCGCCTGTTTTGTTTGCACCCTTCCTTCCTGCAGCTTCGAGGCTGGTCACCTTCGATGCCATTCGCGAAGCGCGACGGGACTCTCCTTTTCCTGCCGTCCTTGATGCGATCGTACATGGACGGAAGGTGGGCGTTCTCCGCAGTCGCCTCCATCTTCCAAGTCGCTTGTTCACTCGCTGCGCAAGACCACGCGCGTCTTATGCGATGGCGAAGCTCTAGGGACACCCTACCTGTGTCTGGCTTCGTCGACTAAGAGGCTCGATTAGGTTGGCTCGATTAGGTTGCTTTTCCAACGATCTATTCTCCCAGCAGAGCTGTGCACCTCGGAGCTCATTCTTGCTACGAAAGCCAAGGCGGTGCGCAAATGTTGATTGCGACGCCCGTGCGCTCCTACAGTCCTGTACGTGCTCCGGCTGGCTGAGAAGCTAAAGCGTGGCGAGTCTGTAAGAAAAAAAGTGGTCCGTGCGAAGGCTGGGCTGATTCGCCCGTCCAACCTGAAGCCCATCTGCACCAGTAGTTGTGTAGCGGCTCTTCGCGACAACCATCCAGTCTTCACGGCAAGCATGTCCTTCAATTTGCCAAAGTCACGCTACCATTTTAAGGTGAGACTCCAAGGTATGCATCGTAGGGAGAGAAGGAGGCTGAAACCTCACTCTGGCACAGGCTCAGCCCGGCTACTTTGTGTACACGGACCCGTCCATTGACAACACCGAGCTGCCGGCCATCGCAGACAACTTTGGCCTGGCCGAGGGCAAAACATGGAAGGGCCTCCTTGACGATATTCAAGGTAAGGAATGCAGTCGAAAAAAGCGAGATCGTTAGCTCAGATCATTGTGATATGCAGCTCAGAACAAGAGGTCAGGCGAGACGGGTGAGGTGTACAAGCTCATCTATGCGGCCAGACACGGTGAGGGCCATCACAATGTCGCCGAAGCAAAGGTGGGTTCACTCGCGCTTTTCTTGAGAAGGAAGAGGGTCCGGAGAAAGCTTATGCCTGTCTTGACGTGCAGTATGGCACAAAAGCATGGGACGATCACTGGTCGCTCCTCACGGGCGATGGCGAGCTCATTTGGGGGCCCGACCCTTCCTTGACTTCCGTGGGCGAAGGACAGGCGCGCGACGCAAGACGCATCTGGAACAATCTCCTGTCCGAGGGAGCCCCAGATCCGCCTCCTTTGCCTGGCGCATACTTCTCGTCGCCCATGATCCGTTCGGCAAAGACGCTTTATCTCACCTTTGAGGGTCGCACGCCCGCCAAGCCTGTCGTCATCCTTGAGAGCATACGCGAAGACTTCAAGGATCGGCATACGTGCGACGAACGCAGCAAACGCAGCGACGTCGCGGCCGAGTGGGAGCCGAAGGGATGGATCATAGATAGCAAGATGGAAGAAGAGGACACGCTCTTCAAATCCGACTACAAGGAGACGCACGAGACGATGGCGAAACGCCTCGCAGATGCGCTCAGCGACATCTTTGAGCGTACAGAAGGGATCGACGTCATCAACATCACATCGCACAGCGGCGTGATGCAGGCCTTGTTCCGAGCTGTGGACCACGACGATTTCAAGCCAAAAACGGGCGGTGAGTCTGGCATTGTGCTTGCAGTTTGGGCGCGCACTCGTTCTCACGCTCGTGTTGTTGAACCTCTTCAGGGATGGTACCGCTCCTTATCAAGGGCACTCGTCGGTCCAACAAATAAGAGAAGGTGACTGAATTAGACAATTGATAGATATGCAAATATTGAACACTGTGAAAAGCGAAAGCGAAAAGATAGCCTTGGGGTGTGGGTGCTTTGCTCTACGGCTAAGATGAAAGATGGCCAAGCCATCGCATTAATCCCGTCTGCCGAGACCGCCGCTCGTGTAGCGCCAGAGGGCCTTGCTGACCGACACGCCCCATGCGTCAAAGGTCCTCGTGAAGAGCTCGCACATGACGGCGAGAATCGAGTAGGAGGTAATGAAGACGATTGTGACTGTTGCCCAATACGGCGTGCCGACTTTGAGAAGCTGGAGACAGAGCCATGCGCCCCAGCTCCAAAAGATGGTGCCATGCAAGAGGAACAGGCTGAAGGCGTTTCGTCCGACGGCACCCCAGAAGCGAAGCATGAAAAAGGTGGCAAACGGTGCGCAGAGGTCGGCGAGGAGGAACATGCCGATGACCATGCAGAATAGGCTGAAGCGCGGATCCCAGTAGCTCAGCAGCGTGTCGCCCACCCAGACGCGCGGCTCCGCGCTGGTAAAGTCCGGCAGGATACCGTGCTCCCATTCGTTCAGCTCGCCACCGGGTAGACGGAGCGACTCCATGTATTGGCACATGGCGCCGCCCAGGAAGAGAATCCAGCCAAACACCTGGCCGTGAATGCTGAGTCGCGAGACTCGTCCACCCGATACGCGCTTGGCCCATGAGGCAGGCATAAGGGGAATGCCCTTGGCGGCAGCCTCGCGGTACTTGAGCTTGTTGTCCATGTCTGCAATGACGAGACCTGCGATGAAATAGTAGTCGAGCCGGTTCGCATACCACGACAAGAGGATGCAAAGGAAGAAGAAAGTGTACCGTTTGATGGCGTTTGGAATCTCGCGGGAGATGATGACGGTGATGAGGACCGCAAACGAGGATTGCGTGATCACGGGAATCGTCCACAGAATGCCGGTCGCATAAGTCGAAAGAAGAACAGGCGATTGAGGCGGGACAGTGAACCAAAGGGCAATCTAGGAAGCGATATGTTCACTTGTGAGCGAATATTTCTGGGTGAGGGGGGACATCCACAACGGCTGCTCACCCAAGAGTTGATGAAAGACCCGGCCGAGTCATAGTCATTGAAGTAGGACCAGGTGCTCCAGGTCCTTGAGGCCAGACGCGGCACCCACTGGTAAGCCTGGACCTGGATCAAAAAGTAGTTGATCAGAACGGCACCAAAGGTCGGGAAGGCCAAGCGGGGAACTCTTCGAAGAGTTGCATCGGCCAGATCCACGAGGCGGCCACGGAGCATATACCGCGTTCCCATGACGCGCGCCGGCAAGACGAAGAAGATGCCGATCTTGAGACCCTGGTTGAGGAGCAGCGCGCCAAAGATGCGGTGGAACCACACCTCAAAGCCATTCGTGTGTGTGGGCGCGCCAGGAGTCGTGGCAGCGTACCAGAAGATGAGCATGAAGTGGTGAAAGGAGACGAGGAAACAGGCAAAACCACGAAGGCCTTCCAGGTAGCCTACACGGGCGGCGCCGGATGCAGTAGTTTTGGCGGCGTCGGGACCAACGAAAAGGGTTTCGTTGATCTTTTGCAGAACGTTCTTCTTCTTCTTTGGCGCTTCTGCGGCACCGTCGCCGACGTTCTTGCTTGTCTCGCCTGCCTTTGCATCAACACGAGCCGCCAAATTGTGTCCCGGGTCATCCGTCAGGTCCCGTCGTGTCCACACGGACACCATCTGTGGTGAGGTCGTCTTGCCTTGGCTCATTGCGAGAGTGTAGAGCGAAACCATCGAAGGCCTCCTCGCGTAAGCCTTTGCGTCAAAATTGGTTGCCGGACTTAATTGCGAGTCCTGCGATATCGAAGAAGGACGAGAGGGAACGGCAGAGTCTGTGATCCATTGTGGGAGATTCTTTCCAAAAGGCGACTCGTCCCTGCCCAGATCAACTTCGTCCCCATGATCCGCTTCAGAGCGTTGGTCGTCTGTCAAGTCATCTTTTCCACTTTCCATGAGGAGCGCATGGTGGAGCTGATTCAAGGCGGGCGTCTGCGAAATTCGTCGAGTTCCGTTGAAAGACATGGCAGAGTCGCGCCCAGGACCATCGGCTGTCCACGCTGAAGGCGGAAGCCCTGCAGATGAGGCTGAACTGAGGCTACCAGTCCATGGGCGGGCGGAGCCAAGACCAGTAGTAGGACCATTGGCCATGTAATCTTCACGCGTCGATGGTCTCGTGGGCGTCACGTAGCCTGAGAGCAGAGGCTGAGTTGTCGTCGAGGGCATGGAAAAGCTTGAGCGCGCATGAGTTGGTAGACCCTCCGTTGCGAGGTTCACGAGGGAAGAAGATGGGGAGTCGTTATGTTGCAGCCACGCTGGCGCATGATCTGGCCTGCCGAGTGCATCATCGTTCTCATTCGCCCCGGCAGTTGCCTCGAAATTACTCTCGGTGGCACGATCAGCCAGGAAATAATCGTCGCCATTCGTGGTCTCATTCTCCCAGTCGTCTTCGGAATCAGCCTCCTCTTGAGCTTGAGCGGCTTGCGCCAAAGCTGTCGGGTCCCATTTCGACACAAGTGGCTGGCTTTCGACAATATAACTCATGCTTCTGGAGTTACCGTTGCCAGATGAAGAAGAGAGCGACGAGGCGTGGCGCGACGAAGGGCCTGACGGACCCGAGAAACTATCCTTTCTTGTTGACAGTGTCGGAGATTCGCTCTTGGGAAGCGAATCCTCTTTTGAACCATTTGCGGCATAGTCATCTTTCTCTGAGCCACTTGTAGTGTTTGCCTTGATTGAAAGGTCCGCTTTTCTCGCGCCTTTGGTTGTCAAGATCGACTTGGCGATACCGTGGAGGAGCAACAGGCCCAAAAGACCGCCCGAAGCGGTGAGGGCGATGAGGCTGTACCTTGGAGCTTTGCGACGACTGTGAACCGGAGAGATGGCTTCAAGGGATTGTGGCGCAAAGCTTGTGCTGCCTCGCAAGGTTAGGTCATCCACGCTGCAGGGCGCGCGTCCCTGGGCAGCGGCGCATTGGGCGTTGAAATCGGCTGTGCGTAGAGGCAGACTCGAATTGAAAAAGAAGCGGACATAGCTGACGTAAGCGTAGTGATCTGTGACGTGTGGTGGGCCCTGGCTGTTGATCGGGTCGCCGTTGCTCCAGTGACGAAAGGAGAGTGGAACAGGACTGGAAGGGATGTTAACTCTTCCTCCCTTCTGGACTGTGTGACTGGATGCAGAAATGTTCGTGTTGTTGTTGGTCCAGACGATATTCTCGGGCTTCCAGTCGAAGCGATGCTCGTAGAATCCGGTGGAAGCATTGTCGTGACTTCCGGCGCCCATCAGCGAGGAAATGGGCACCTTGTAGGGATGGGCGTCATTACCGCGACTAGCGAAGGACCACTGCAGCGTCGACTCGTTGTATAGGTCTGTCATGTACAGTCCCACGTCGACTGTCTCCGAATCATTGTATTTGGCTGACATTTGAAATGCGGTGCCGGCCCCGTTCCCAAGCGAGGCGTTCATAGCTGCTCGGAAAGTACCATAGAGAATGTCTCTCCTCCTCGTAACGGCTGCATTGCGTTCTCGATTAAGCTTTCTTGCAAAGCACTAGAGATAGGCAGTAATCTCACCTTCTGCACCGTAAACGATTCTATGTTTCATCTCTGCCGGATTGACGGCCATTCGCAAAAGGCCGTTGTGCAAGTCCGTGTTGTTGTATGCGACGCCGCTCCGATATGTTGCCCCAAATGCATCTTCCCATACATTTACTTGGTCACCTGCTGCGGCCCAGTCCTCGGTCCCATTGCCAGTGTTGCCCGAAGTCCCCTGCCCCATGTAGTATGGTGAGACCAAAGGCGAAAAGACGACATCCTGTTGCGCTCCTGTCTCGTTGAAGTAGGTCAAGATCGAGTCGGTCCAGAGGTCATTGGTAGTCGTGTCGAGATATCCACAGGGACAGTCGGCCGCCTGTACGACGCCTACATCTTTCGATGCCACCAGGAAGAGCGACCATGCCAAGACGGTGGCAATCCTCTTCGTTCTTGCCATCTTCGTCAGTGAATCGGTTGGTGTTAGACAAGAAGCAGCATCGATGGCAAGAAGTAGATAATGTTCCTGCAAGTCCGTGATACCATCTCCCGGCCTAAGGGCAGGAAGTCACGGGTCGAATTATCATCCCGCCAAAACTTGTTTGCACATGCAGATCGACCTAGAGGTCACACGCAGGGTCAATGCCAAAGTTCGGACCCCCGTTGGCTTCCCGCATAAGGCAGATAGGTACAGCACAATATAATTTCACAAAGCCCCCCCCCCCCCCCTATAGGTGAGGGGAATGCAGATTTCACGATAGCCAGGAAGCCCCCCTAAGAAAGAAAAAAAAAAAAACGATGGAGAAAGGTACGGCACTAGAGAGAAAACTGGGTGCAACCTGACTAGCGTCCGAGCTGCGGGATGCCCGCGCTAGACAACAAATATTCTCGGCGACCTTTTCTTTGCAAGACAATATTCAAAAATTATAATGTCGGATCGCGGAGTTTCAATCGTGTGGAATTTCGAGGGTCTCTCAGAATTCTTTACGGAATTGAGCGGTACAATTGTATGTCGATGTCATGCGATGCGCACTTTACGATCGTGTCGGTTCCCGTGCTCTGTACGGTACTGCGTGCGAGAAGTGAATCTAGCAGCACCACCCTGCGTTACCGGAGGGGAAGCCCTATCTTTTGAAGCAAGGGAATCTGAAGTGTCCTCGTGACTTTCTGAAAAGGGTTGCTGAATCTTTCGTCGTCTTTCGAGCGACTCCACCAAAAACCTGTAACTCGTCAACGCCAACGATGAGAGCTGCTCTCGGCATCACAAATTCGCTGTCATCGGTGTCCAAGTTCATTTCGGACTGTGAGTAAAGCGACGATGGAATGATTTGGATAGAAAGACTGACTTGCTTCGAACGCAAGGGACACCATGGGCGATGTTGGTGACGTACGGCACCTTCAGCTTCTTTGCCTTCGTCGCCATGCCCGATGAAGCCCACAGCATTGTTTGGTACATTCTCGCTCTCTTGCAGACTTTTGTTACCTTGACTGTCCTCACCGAAGCGCTTCAATCGGTTCAACCGAACGTTCAGGCTCGTCGTCAACTACGAAAATCAATACGTCAGCAGGACTATCCGGAGCTCGACATCAGGCAATGCCCGCACATTGACCTCTGCATTGTCGCTTATCTTCCCAACGAGCGAGACATCATCGTGCAGCAGGTCAAGTACGCGGCAAGGGAGATCAACTACCCGAAGAACAAGTTCACCGTTAATGTCGTCTACAATACTCCTCACGAGATCCAGCCTACGGAATCGGACCTTGAAGCACTCCAGCGGCAAGACAAGAATGTGCGCATCGTCAAAGTTCCAAATTCCAAGTCAAAGGCGGCCAATATCAACCATTTCCTGTCGCTCCCAGACACAAAGGGCGACATCATCACAGTGTTGGACACGGACCATTTTTGCGAGCCCAACGCACTCCGTTGGGTTGCTCATCGTTTTCAAAAGGGCGATGTTGACATTGTCCAAGGGCGTTGCTGCATCTACAACGTGGAGCACTCTTTCCTCACCCGCATGGTTGCTGCCGAATTTGACACCATCTACGGCGTCTTTCACCCAGGCAGAGCCTCGTTGCACGGTTACGGTCTTTTCGGAGGGTCCAACGGACACTGGTCGGCCAGCTTACTGAAGACGCTGAAGATGGACGGCTCGATGCTAACCGAAGACATCGACTCGACTTTGCGAGCGCTGACGTCGCAGGCTCGCGTCGCCTACGATCTCAAGGTCATCACCTACGAGCAGGCCCCCATCACCACCCGAGGCCTACTTCGACAACGACTGCGTTGGGCTCAGGGATGGACTCAGGTCACCATTCGCCATACAATCCCAGCCTTGAAATTGGGCGTCCACGGGTCCTTCTGGCGGTCTCGAATGGGCCTCTTCTTTCTGCTGTCTTTCCGCGAGCTCTACTTCCACCTGGTCCTTCAGCTCTTTTTCCTCATCGTCTCGTCGTTCATCACCAACCCTCCGCATACATGGGACCAGCTCTACTCTTCGTTCGTCGGTTTCAAGCTGTCCGTTTGGATGCTGGCGCTCAATGCTGTGGCGATCTTCGTCTGCACCTGCATCACACTTCGGAATCGTTCTGCCTTCGTCTCGGCCCTCGACATCGTCGTATTTGGTTTCTTCTCCCCGATCTACTTTACCATCGTCAGCTTCATGGCAATCTTTGGCCATTTCAGACAATTCGCAGGCTACAGTGTCTGGAACGTCACGGAGCGCAAAAGGAGCAGTGTCTGAAAGGCTTGTCATTCTTGGCAGGGTGCAATATTTACTTATAGGAAAGAACAAAGCGAACGAGTTTCTTACTTGGAACTGGTCTTACTGTCTGTCCCGACCTGACCGCCCGCTGAGAGATCTGTTGGGAAGACAAACAGGTCTTCTTGGCGGAAGTAGACAAAGAGCCAGCGAGCGACAAGCACGGACGGGACGTCGACGAGCCAGTGCAGCAACTCTGCTAGCGCGAGGGCGAGAGGCGCCATGCTGAAGAAAAGGACTGCGAGTAGGCCAGCGTTCTGAGTCCATCCCGAATCGACGAGGTGATTCCGCAAAACAGCACCGACCGAGAGAAAGAGGAAGCCAGAGCTCAGCATGATTGCTGAGACCTATGTTAGAAGTGATGACAAAGAAATGCAAGAAGTTACTGAGACTCACAGAAAGCGAGACGGCCGAGGTGACGAAAGATAGACTGGCTGAGAAATCGACGTGGAGTCTCGAAGATCTCGATGAGAACGAGAATTGCAGTGATGACCATCCAATCATCGATGCGAGGAAAGGGCGTGACTGCTATGTTTTCGCTCCTCACGAGGCCTCCCGTCAAAATGTCGGTGTGTGCCATGTACTCATCACTTCGCCGTTCCGGAAAAGAGGCCCATGCCCACTTCTGCGCAAGACCAGCGATGAGAAGCACGGAAAAAGGCACCCAGACAGGCACCTTGTGGGTGCCCAAGTAGCGACCAAGTCGAAGAGGAAATCTGCTCGGTGTCGCTTGAGAGTAGACGGAGACAAATTCGGCGATGGCGAGCCCGGTGAGGGAATACCATGCCCAAGATCCAACCCAGTAGCATAGCAGCACAAAGGCTGTATAACCAATAACTTTGGGTTTCAGCTTGGTGTATGGCAGAATGTAGGCCGCGGTGATGCAGGTGAATGTTTGTTGGAAGATGATGGGGACAACAAAAAGGACTCCGACTGGTTGAACGAAGCTAAAGGGCCGATCTTGGTAGGTGAAGGCTGGCTCGGCAAAGAATAGGGCTGCCATGGTGTTGAAGTATTCGATGGATGAAGACCATATCTGGGGGGGTGCTGCAAGCGACGAGCGAAGGTCGGTCGCCATCCGAAATGCCGCATCGAATGAATGAGTGGCAGAAAGAATGGAAGTGATCGTGAGACAGACGACGAGGTTTGGGAGGAGCCGAAATGGCCGGTGGAACGCTGTAGCAGCCATTGGCAGGGCTAGTCTCCTCTCCAGGAAGGCTAAAGTTTCATCAGCTGAAGCCTTTACGGCACCGCTCACAAGGACGCTTGACTTACTTTGTAAAGTAACTCGACCGCTCAAAATGATGAAGAAATGGGGCAACAGGGTCGAATCCCAAAAGATGGGCCCCAGAACCTTGCGAAGTGTGTTCTGCCATTGCGGCGCAACGAGAACAAAATCTGCCGGGAAGAGGCCGTTCAGATCCGTGTCCGTCTGGATGGCCGGCGCGAATGTCCTGAAGAAGATGGCAAGGAGCGTGAAGAATCCCAAGATGCCACGCAGGCCTTCAAGATGGGGCTTTCGGGTGCCATATCGACGACCAACATCGTTGGTGGTGTCGGTGATAAAAGGTTGCGAGGTGATTGCAAAACGATCTTTGCCAGTAAGTACGCGACGCTGGATCCGAATCACGCCGTCGTCTTTCTCTCCGACTAGCACAGGTGCCTCAGCCTCTGCCGTAGTCGTCATCTCTTCAAGGAGTTGGACAGACTGATGGTAGTCGGTCCTTTGGATCCAAGCAGTGTGCACCCTCAACTGGGTCTGCATCATTGAACAGTATTATCTTTAAGTTCTTCGTACCACCATTAATACTACCACATTTTTTAATTTCGAATAGATAGCAAGTAAGGAACAAAACTTCACGGCTTCCCTTCCAATTAATTAATTAAAAACGATCTGGCTTTATGTCAGGACCAGGAATGATACCCTGTCTAATCTCCTCACCCTCCCTTGCTTTCATTGACACCCCTCCCCCCTCTCCTCGGGCTGGTCAGAGAGAGTCTTCCCCCTCGATCAGTCCAGTCATACATTTGGAGCGAAGATACCCTGCCGACGAGTGGTAGAACATGCATGCGTACAAAGAGTGAATTGTCATTGTTTCACATCATGTGGGCACATGAAGACGCTTGGACTTTCGGGATCACTACTACTACCACTAGCTACCAGGTGTCGCCCCCCGATCGTACCAGGTAGACCAAGGGCTCAGTCACAAGATAGGGACCGCGGAAATCCGAGGTCACACGATGCCTTCTTCGGACTTTCAAATTTGAGCGACGCGCGGGACGGACTTTGAACGGCCGCAGATCGACGCTGTAGCGCACGTCAGTCGGGACCGGGCCGCATGCATTGCACAAGCGCCTTTCTAGGGACACCATGTATTCATTCTCAGAGAAAGTTTCTCTACTTCGGACCAGGGAGCAACACCCAGTTTTCAGCATCTCAGAGGAGACACTACGTACAGTACGTCCTGCTACTACTACTACTACCTGCCTCTCCCGAACAGTGAGACAAGGATAAGGGGAGACTCTATAGAAAGGCTTAAGCAGTCGATTATCTAAAAATTGATTTACTTCGCTAACATTAAAATTTGCTACCTTCATTTGTTCGTACGATTTTGTGTGTGCACCAGACCACGTTGCTCTCCAGGGTTGATTGCAGACGGCCGGTCAACCTTCCGAAGCGACTACCAAGTCCCACCAATCTTGCACCTCTCTGGACTACCAAAGATGGCTCGACACAGCTTCAGCTCGGTACCGGCTACTGCGACTCCTGGCTCGCAAGAGGAGGCAAAGCTCCAGTCAGGCGAAGAGGTATACACAACGACTCCGCAATGGTGGTGGTCAAAGAAATTCGCCAGCGGTAGGGCTCGCAACAATAGGAAGCGCAACATCCTCATTATTATTGGCCTTGTTCTCCTCGCGATCATTGCGGTGAGTGGTGGAAGCCGCTGTAGTACTCATCAACGTTGCTGACTTGGCGTGCACAGCTTGCTGTCGGCCTCGGAGTAGGCTTGACAAGGGGAACAGGCAAGCCAATGGCACACCTGCCAACGGGTGGCCAGGATGACAGTCAGAGCGGTCTTCGCCAGAGCGGCTTCTACGTGACGTCGTATAGCGGCAATCAGCAACGATTTGCGTGGACTGAGCAGCCGCTTTCATTTATCACGGGCAATCAGCAGAATCGAGTCGTCGTCTCGATCAACGACACCAACGTCGGCCAAACGATGACGGGATGGGGAGCGGCCATGACGGATTCTTCGGCTTACCTGTTGAGCTCGCTCAAGAGCCAAAATAGGACCGCATACGACACGACCATGGCCTACCTCTTTAATCGCCGAACCGGTATCAACATCCTCAGAGTCCCCATCGGCACGAGCGACTTCAATCCTCAGACGTGGCAGTATACTATGGCAGACCAGGAGGGCGTCCAGGCCAATGCAGACGATACTGTCGGTCCCCTGAGCACATTTAATATGGATGGAGCCAATCGGTACATCATCCCAGCAATCAAGGACGCCCTCGTCTACAATCCGGATCTTAAGCTGGCTCTGCTACCTTGGTCACCTCCCGCATGGATGAAAACGAATAGAGGCATCAACTCAGGGAGTCTCTCTCCAGACGCGATTGGCATCTTACCCGAGTACCTCGTCAAGTCTGTCCAAGGCTTCCGCGACGCATTGGGAGGCAACGTGATGCCATGGGCACTTTCCGTGCAGAATGAGCCAACGAATCCGACGGCGTATCCGAGCATGTCTATGAACAACGACTATGAACTTCGTATTCTCGCTGAACTTCGCGGCAGACTGGCGCAAGAAGGTCTTTCGAGCGTCCAGCTTCTTGGCCACGAAGACAATTTCATCAATTGGGACGACGCGGCCGCCTTGATGCGGTACAACTCCTCGGCTCTCGATGGGATTGCCTGGCACTGCTACAATGGCTCCTCGGCCTACATTGCCAATGTGAGTGAGAGTGACGTTTTCTGAAGAGTTTGAAGGGCCGAATCTCACATTTTTGACCATGACAGTACACCAGCAACTCCAACAATCAGTTGGCGGGCAAGACCATGCACATGACTGAATGCTCCGGACAAGACTCGACTACGCAATCCGACGCAACGTCGCTTCAGTGGTGGATGACCAACATCTTCACACTCCCGAAGCTTGGTGTCTCGTCAGTCATTGTTTGGAACCTGGCCTTGGACAGCAGTAACGGCCCACGGCTAGACCGCGCCTATTGCCAAGACTGCGCGGGTGCGCTGCAGATTGACACATCCAATGGCGTTAGCACCAACCTGCAGAGCCCCCTTCTGGCTCAACACGCAGTGGCAAGTTCAGATTTGACACGGTTCGGGGGTGGGCCTGCATCCTTGATTGAATCAACTGTGTCCAACGACGGGGCCGATTGCATCGATGCAAAGGCCTTTGCCGCAAACTGGACCGTGTCTCCTACTTCATCAACTTCCAACGTCAAACGATATGGCGTCGTGATCGAAAACACCTGCGACCAGATGCAGCAGGCCTACCTGGCCAGAAACGGTCAGCAGGCCTCTGTCAATGTCCCCTCGGGCATCACCACCTTTGTTTGGACTGCCTGAGTTTCAGTCTTCTGTGTCTACATTTGTTCACTCTGTATATTATATTATATTGGTTACTCTGCGGCTTTCGAGAATGAGCAATTGGAAAGCATTCATTGTCCATATGATCTCAATATTTGCGAAGAATCGTCTAGGAAGTAGAATATGCAATGAAGAGCGAGAGATTGACAAGAGAAAATTGGAGAACCATTGTTCGATTAGGAAACTGATTTCCTCGCCATCCGAATGTCGACACTGCGGAACAGCTTGGAGAATGATGACCGATTGCGAATCACCGGAAGCTCAAGCGCAGGAGGTTGCAGGCCGTCGGCGGATTTCACAAGAGCTTCCAGTGCACGAGGCTCTGGTAGAGGAGGGTCCGCTACGCTTGAGTCGCTATTGCTACTACCGCTGCTCCTGGTAGTGCTGCCGCTGTCGGGCTCAGGCGGAGTGAGAGGGGTCTCTGGTATAGCGCCATTCTCTGAACCAGATTCGGGTGACAAATTTGGTGTAGTTGACACTGACGCCAGCGGAGAAAGAAGCGCAGGAGTTGGAATGTGGCTGGAGGACGAAGACGAACTTGGCGTCGACGATACAGCTTGTGATCGGGGCTTTGAGGAAGACCTTGATCTACCCCCTCCGAAATTCGTCGGCACGAGTTCAGAGTCGGGCAGCGAAGTCAAGCGAAAGCGGTAGTGTTGCTGCACGCTGGGGACGGAATTGGCCCTTGGGAGGCCCAAGCCAAGGCTACTATCACCTGGGCGCGAGAGTGTGTCAATGTAGCGCGTCACACCAATCGTCCGCTCGATCCATCGCTTGCAGACGCATTGAGCCATGACAGGTACGCGCTTCTCTGCAGGCTTGCCTTGCTGTGTAAGACTAGGTTGTTGAGCCATTTGGTCATATAAGCGCTGGGCCGTCTCGTAGACCGCCTGTGTTGCTTTGAGCTGAACGAAGCCGTGGTCGCTCAGCATCTGATTCCACTGCTCTATGTCGGTGCCTTCGTCCATGAGCGGCATCGCGGGTAGCTCGATTGGCCGCAGCTTGACGTCGACACACAGCGCCATCTTGAGTGCTCCCTTCCCATCGCAAGTGCCGCACTCCACCTTACCCGTGTTGTGGCATTTGGGACACTGTAAGGTCCCGCTTTGAGCGCACTTTGTGCATTTGTGGCCACGAAAGCGGCCACTGCCTGAGCACCAGAAGCACTCGCCCGCCTCGAGTCCGCCACAACGCCCGCACGACATCTTGCAGCTGCCCGAGCAGGACGGGCAGAGCGTTACAGTTCGAAGCTCCGGAAACTCAAATGTCCGCGTGCCGCGAGTAGCACCAGATTCGAGAATCGAAGCGGCATCGATGGGAAGATCCCACGGATCAACATCGTCCGTCGTGGCAGCATTTCCCGAAAGTACAGAGGCCGAGCTCAAGGCGAGCTTTTGCTGCTTGCCACGAAGCTCGTCGATGTCTGCATCCTCGTCCTTTGAGAGCTTGCAAAACTTGCGCCAGGTTGCACGACGAGATTCGAGGATGATCAAGCCACTGACGGACGATTGGATGCATTCATCCAGGATATTGATCCTCACATTCATGTCGGCAGATGATGTGCTGTCTGCTGGACCAAGGAATTCGGAGACGTGGTCGTGCGGGACGCTGTGTTGGCGTTTCTTGAGGAAGTTTGCCTGCTTCTTGCCCCACGTCGTGGAAATCACAGCCGAGGCGGAAGGCTCTTGAGTGGCAGGAAGCTTGGCCAAGACCATGCTGTGCAACTTCTCGAAGCTTGGTGGAGGTGCTCGCCTGCAATTAAAAGATCGCTTTGATTAGCTATGTGCAAGAACCCAGCATGAGCATACTGTCAGGGTGCTCACAAGTCCAAATCCTGATAAACGACGTGTTCCCTCTGGAGCAACATCGGAATGGAGGAAGACGCCGTCATTGGCAGAGCCAGGGATGCGGAGCGGGGTGCGAAATATCGATTCGCGTCCGCTGCGAGACCGTCCTGACTTTCGGACCTCGTCTGCGGTAATCCCTGTGCCTCGACATGATGCACTGGCGTCTTGCCTGCTGCCTGGCTAGTGGTATTGTCAGGTGCGGGTATGGCCGTAAACGAGCTCCTGCGGCTGTGTAAGGGCGAAACAGAAAGATAGTCATGACGGTGTCCGGTCGAGAGTATGTGTTGTGACCGTCCGAAAGGTGCAGTGTCGAAAGGAGCAGCTCCCTCTGAGTAAGACGTTGCCGAGATTGCTGGGTTTGGGCCTCGGTGAGACGAGGAAGCCTGCGCGAGAGATACTACGCTGGTCGAAGTCGACGACGACAAAGGCGATGGAGACGAAGGCAAGAACGGATGCGTGAAGTGAATCTCTTCCTTGTTCGCCGCCGCTGGAGGGTGCGACACTGGCCCTTGTTGGGTCGAATGCTGAGAATCTTGCTTCACATACATTTCGACTGGGAGCAAGATGGCATCCGGCTCGGTCGACGACATCAACTGACGATGGTAGAAGGAGGCAGCAGTAGCTGCAAGAGGCCGCTCCTGTCGATATCGCTGGACCATGATGAATGCCGCTGTTCTTGCGGGCTGCTGGTGGCTAAAGCGACGAAAGCATTTGCCTTCTTCTCAATCTTCCCCAGCCACGGTTCCAAAGAGATGGTCTGAAACAGTTTCGGGCAGCAGAAATCATTAAAAGCATGGAAACATACGAGTGCAACATTACAATGGACAACTTGTGTTACCCTGGGCCACAGCCGCCGCGCAGCGATACGACGAACCGTATGCATTCGGAAGTGAGCAGTTTTCCCAGTAGTCAAATAAGAGCCAAGACCGCGTCGATCTTTGCACGCACCTTACCCGTTCGTATGAAATCTGGGTGTGACCAAATGCAGGAAACTACGGGTAACATCGTCATGCACCATCGGCACAACGTTGCATGCCGTCTCTGCAGGATGAAGCGGTAATCTGACCCCTACTTATAATATATTGTACTGTATGTAGAACGTAGTAGCTAGTCCATCTGCCCAGGTGACCGCAAACGTTCCTCTGAGGGGAGCACCATGTACGTACTGCACTACTACACTAATAATAAATGATGCTCGTCGATCTCATCCAGGATGCGTCGGAGTTTGTCGCGGCTGTTGCCGGCTTCCCGCAGGTAACAGACCCTGACAGATATAATGTCAATTAATGCGGATCCCCTGCTTTGACAATCATGTTTAGATAGCCTTCGCAGACATTTAGGAATGAATATTAATTAAATTGCGGACCTTGCTGATACCTATCGGGCTAGTAGTAGCAACAAGGACATGAGATATAACCTTATCTCGCTACAAAGCAAGTACGCACTTTACCACTACTACGAGGTCAATGCCGGGGCTATAGCGCTATCTTCTTGGTGGATGTTCTCTCTTTCTAGTGCCGTTTTTTATCCTGAGGTGGTCTTGGCCGATCGACGAGATGTTCGCTACCCGCAACTTCGACCTCCCCGACTTAGTCACCTGACGAAATTGTCGAGTCGCCAGCGGGAAATCCACAAATTCGCCATTTTATTTCGGCTCATTGCAAGCGTCCTGTTCTCAATTTGCATGAGGTTAACCTCAAAGAAGGAGGGTCCGCTTCATGTTCTCCTTGATGCACGGAGGGAAACGGCAATGACTTGATGTTGCAAGTCTCAAGGGTGAGACAATTTTCTATAGATTTTAGTGTCTCTTATGAGAAGGACAGGCACTACAGATTTGTAGATTCAAGAACAAACAGTCTCAGGAATCGGGGGTGAGGCATGCCGCACGCATGCGTTGTAGTAATCGTGCATAACAAAATCTGGGTGCTGGCTCTTCTCCCCTCTCGTGAACACCCGAGCACACTCCCGCCGCGGGCCCGTCTCATCCCAAATGCATTCCACCTGAGCCATGTTCGCATTCGTCGGAGTACCTCGTCGTATTGTCCTCAATATTCGAAATACCAGGCGGCTCCTTCCATTATCACTTAATGTTCCCTTAGAGTTTTCCGGTCGCCGTCCTACGCGGTGCTCCCTCTGCCTCGCCCCAGCCCGACCACTCGTGAGTCGTCTTATCCGAGCTAGCTCAGCAGAAGGACTGGTCTCAGCAAAGGGAGCGCTAAGAGTCCTGCGCGATCTCTAGAGACTTTCAACGGGATCCCGCTCTTGGCAATTGGCTTCTACATGCATACCCTGGCCTCACGTAAAAAAAATCAGGTACCGACCGACCCGATGCAGTTAGGTCTTGCGACTCTTCCCTGTCGTTTGCCCGTTCGTAGCTCTAAATCTCGTTATCGAGCAGATTCCTCTCGCTCCCTCATTTAACGCAAGGAAGAGTGCTCCTTCAACCTTTGTTCCCTCTTTCTTGATCTCTCGTCTTCAAATTCAGAGACGTCCCAATCACCATGTCGACGAACACATCACTCTCGTCCTCTTCCAGGCAGCCCCTCATCTATCGATCCACTTTTCCAGAGCCAAAAGCGCTACGATGCGGCGACACTGGAAATCTTTTCGATCTCATCAGTCAACGGGCAATGCAGCGGCCAGGAGATGCCGCTTTCATCCGTGATGACGGTAAAATCTTTACGTGAGTTGTGCCTCTCGAATCAAGCGATCAGGGAATCTGTGTGGATAGTTGCTCAATCGCTCCCGCTCCTGTCTCTAGAAACAAGGATGTTATCTCATTGTCGAGACGCCTGGCCTGGTCCTATCGCAATGTCCTGGGCCTGTCACCTGGCGGAAAAGTCGCTCTCTTCTCGCCCAACCATTCAGAGTATGGGCTGGCCATTTACGCCGCCGAGATCGCTGGTGTGACTGCCGTCCTCATCAACCCGGCAAGCACGGCCAAAGAACTTGTCACTTTCCTCGACATGAGCAAAGCCGACGTGCTGCTTGCACATCCTTCCGTCATGGACAAGGCTCGCGTGGCGGCACAGGCCAATGCTTCGCTCCGACTCTTCACCTTTGCCGATGCCGATGAGTCGCCCGAGCAGGCCGATGTCGATGTTCCCAAGCACATCATGTCGATCCTCGCCGACGACCAAGAGCTCGAGACGACGGTGATTGAGCGGCCTCGAGAGCAAACTGTTTTCATTTGCTTTTCCTCTGGCACCACCGGTCTGGCAAAGGGCGTGGAAATCACCCACGCAAATGTCACGGCTTCCTTGGCCCAGATGCTCGTCACGCACGAGGGGAGCTTCACAAGCCGCGACATTCAAATTGGTGTCTTGCCCTTCTGCCACATCTACGGCCTTGTCAAGCTCCTCCACCACCCTTTCATGATCGGCATGCCCGTCGTCGTCATGGCCCGGTTCGACATGAGGGCATTTTGCGAAAAGGTGGTCCAGTATGGTGCGACAATTGCGCTCCTTGTGCCCCCCATTATTCTTCTGCTGTCTAGCAGCCCTATTGCGCAAGAGTACAACCTTAGTACTCTCAAGATCATTCAGTCCGGCGGTGCGCCACTGAGCGCCGACCTGGCCCGTCAGGTCTGCTCGCGGTGGCCCAACCTGCGCATCGTGCAAGGCTACGGCCTCACGGAGTCGTGCCCCAGTGTCATCTGCACGGGCCCCGCACACCTTCCCTCGTCGCCCGAATCCGTCGGTCGGATCGCTCCTGGCGTCGAGGTTCGTCTCGTCGACGACAATGGCGACGATGTGGACCCGAACTCGGCTAGTGCGGGCACGCACGCCCAGGGCGAGCTCTGGATCCGCGGCCCTTCGATCATGAAGGGCTACCTGTCCAACGATGACGCAAATCTCCAAGCCTTTGGCGAAGGACGGTGGTTCAAGACGGGCGACATTGCCGCGTACCACGACAACGAGGTGTTCATCGTCGGCCGCAAAAAGGAGCTGATCAAGTACAAGGGCTTCCAGGTGCCCCCCGCCGAGCTCGAGGCGCTGCTCCTGACCCACCCCAAGGTTGCCGACGTCATCGTCGTCGGCATCGTGGACCACTCGCAGGCGACGGAGCTTCCTCGAGCCTACATTGTCCCGCGCGATCTCGGCCTGCTGCGCGATGAGCATGCGGGCGCACGCCTCAGCGCAGACATTGCAAAGTGGACTGCAGCAAACGTGTCAAACCACAAGAAGCTCCGCGGAGGCGTCTACCTCGTCGCCTCGGTACCCAAGAGCCCCTCCGGAAAGCTCCTCCGCAGGGTCATCATGCAGCAGATTGAGATGGCGGCCGCCACGACCGTCGCCGCTGCCGCCGCCGCCGCTGCTGCTGCTTCCGTCACGGCCGAAGGCTCCGCTGCTGCTGCTGCCGCTGACTCCAATGCGACCGTATCGTACCAGGCCGGAAAACAGCACTCGGGTGCTGCCTTTGTCACTGCTTAAACCTGCTCAGCACTTCCCTTTTCCTGCTACGGTGCGTCATCGCTGCCTCCCGTCGTTTCCATCGATGTGTATACTAGACCTTTTACCTGTTCGTGCTGCCATGTATGTCTTGCTCGCTAGGCTCCTCTCCTGCTTCTCAGTTTCCTGGAATGGACAATATCTTTCTTTGCACACATTCAATGACATTTTGGTCGGTAACCAGCGTGGATTCAGAGCGGTGAGGGTAAGTATTTCAGTTTATACAGTGGGCACAAGGCGGAAAGCGAAAGATTACTGTGGTGGCAAAGAATTCTAGGAGTGAGGCACGTTACTTGCGCCTGTTGCCCTGCTGCATCATCAAGATCTGAACGATTCTCGTGAAAATGTTGATGAAGTCGAGCTCCAGGCCGATGGACTCCCGCATCGGATCGGCGGGGATGAGGCCCTGCTGCGCGAGCTTGGCGTGTTGGAGGATCTTTTGCGTGTCCCAAAGGACGAAGCCTCCAAAGACGGCGAGGCCGCCGTAGAGGCTGATGGCCTCGGTTGCGGCCAGTGCCCGGAAGGCCGTGGCTGGGAGGATCATGGGCGCGAGCGACGAGAGGGCACTGTTGAGAGAGAAGAGGGTGAAACGTCAGCATCTATTCTCCGGCGTCGTTTCTTCGTCAAGATCAGCAGGTGGCTCGGTCAAACTTACACAACAGTGACACCGGCCAAGAGCGGGCCGCCGAGGAAGAGGAACTGGCCGTCCTTGGCTGTGGCGCCAACGTAGCAGAGACTGCCGACGACACCGGCGGTGTAGAGACCGGCCCTAGCCAGGAGGGCTGGGTTGAGGAAGAGGAGAGGGCTGAGGACGGCGGCCTGGGCGGCGTTGAAGACGAGCCACGAGGCTGTCTTTCCCGGGTGGCCCGGTGGCAGCGTCTGCGCACCAATCATGCCACCAATCGAAGCGACTAGGCCCACACCAAGCACCAGCCACGGATTGGCGGCCATGAGCCTATACGAGAAGCCAGAACGGTGAAGGGCGATTGCACCAGCCGCCGTGAGGCCAAGACCGCCCGCGAGGTAGTTGAACGTCGAGTGGAGATACGAGGTACTAAACTCATCCATGGGGTTGTCGCGAGTGGGCCGGTTGAGGAACAGGTTGGCGGCCAGGGCGGTGCCGGCGACGATTCCGACGCTGGTCAGCGCCCTCTGCCATCCGCCAGGCGCGCTGAAGCTGCTGGGCGCACCAGCATCGGGTGCAGAGTGGGGCATGCTCAGCACCATGCCCTTGCCAGTGGTGCTGCCATTGCCGCCGTTGCGGAAGGGAGAGGTGCGAACGCCTCGCGATTGCGGCTGCTGGCTGCGCAGGCTCGAGAGGATGGGCGACGACGAAGGCCGGAGGGGCGCCTTGGGCAGCGTCTTGGGCATCGCCGCCATCGTGGAAGGGCGCGCAGCCGCGAGGCTGGCCCTGACCGAGTTGGAGAGCACGGCAAAGCTGGGACGCAGCATTGCTGTTGTAGCAGAATATGAAGAGTGGAAATGCCTGGGAGGAAGAAGAGGAAAAAGGAATGAGGAGTGGCAAGAGCAGCAGGCGCACGCACCTCTCGCCCTTCTTTCGATTTTCGAGAACGTGGTGGAGGCTCTGACGCGGCCGGCCGAAGAACCCGGGCAGACTTAGACGCGCTTTACTCAATCCACCCCAGGGCCTGGACTACAAGCTTGTCCCATCGCGATTTCTTCCTTCCCTCTTTGCTCATGACAATGGCGATAGAAGCACAGGTTTCTGATGGTGATACAGACAAAAAGGGGGGTAGCAGCAACAGTCTGGTATATATCGAATCTCGTCGTTAGAACCAACGGGCCGGTCTCCACCTAAGGAGCTCAAAGAATGTCTTTGCGAGACCGCCAAGGGCCAGCGTGGGCGACCTCAGGCCCTTGCCCACCACTTTGGTCCTGTACACCTCCTTGCCGTCGACCATGAGTCGGACGTTGACAAAGGGCGTGACCGCATCCCGCGTGTCCACCTCAAGCTCGGTCCACTTGACGTTGCCATCAGGAACATACTTGTACAGCCGCTCGGCCCCCGTTGGACCGAGCCCGTTATCCTGCGAAAGGGTGCGGACGGGCAGGTAGAACATATTCAAGGGCGAGGTAGAGAACTCGGTGATGGGGTGGTAGTGCTCGCGCGTGCCCTGGGGGGCAATGCCCACGGCGGCAAACTCGTGTCGGTCTCCACTGAGGACAATGATGTTGGGTACGAACTGCATCACGGCCAGCAGCTCCTCGCGCTCCGTCTGGTATGCGGCCCAGCTGTCACTCTTGCTGTCAATGTCCAGCGGCCCGCCCCAGAGGGTGGTGAATGGCACCGACGAAACGACAAACTTGAATGTGGCAGTGGAGTTGACTGCACCGAGCCAGCGAATGAATGCGTCGCGTTGCTTCCATCCGAGCATCGTCTTTCCCTCGATGTCGTCCAGCTCAGCAGGGATCCGATGCTAGGAAAGAGTCGTCAGTCTGTGAAGCGCTTTCCTCCCTTTGCTGCTCTTCGCCTTACCTTTCTAGTGTCCCACACGAAAAAGGCTGCATCCCCGTAGCGGAAAGTGTAGTAGCTTTCATCATCGTCGAGCGAGGTCGGATTTGCCTTGCCCACGTACTCCTTCCAGGCAACGTTTGCTGGTTCAAATGACTCGCGCTCCTTGAACAGGACCACGCCTTCCTTTGGCTCCTCGACAATGACCTTGCCACCCCAGTTGTTGACCACTTCGTGGTCGTCGTAGATGCCAATGACGGGCAGCCTCTCATAGACGCGACGGAATGAGTCTGAAGCAAACAAATTCCTGTACATCTTGCGGTACGCTGCTGTTGTTGGTCCACCCCAGCGTGGTACGTCGGCGTAGATAAGGTCGCTGAAAGGAGAGGGAGGGGTAGGTGGGATCCCGTCAGCTGCTCAATTCGCACGATTCCAAAGCAATCAGAGCACGCTTACCCGAGCTGCAGGAAGAAGCGAAGCGCAGGCCACTCTCTGCCGATGACGGTGTTGGTGGCCAGCTTGTCGAATCCCTGGACACGGTTCCTTGTAGCGAAGCCACCCGTCTGGTCGCCAAAGCCTGTAAGACGGAGGAGCCAAGACCAGGCCCAGAACTGCGTGGGAGCCCAGGGAAAGTCGGGCTTGACGCAGGAGCTCGTGCCGAAGACGAAGCTGCAGAGCACACGTTTAACGCTCAGGAGAAGGAGGCTGAGGAGAAGGAGCTTGCAGACACACTCACTGGTTTGGATCGTCCTGGGGAATCGAGTCAAAGTCGAATGCTTTGCCATCAGCCTCTTGACCCCGCGTCTTTGCCTCGGCCGCCAAGCGTGGGTCGGGCCACGTCAGGAAACGTCTGGCGCGAACGGGCTCGGGCGCGAATGTCGAGTTGTGGACAAAGGCGAGCCTCCATTCGTACTGCGTTGCCGGCCAGAGATTCTCGATTGTTCCGCTCGCCGTCCAGTCCGACTGGGCAGTAATATGCAACAAGGGACCTCGCTCCCATCGTCTCTGCGCCGCACGGGGCCGACCGTCGATTGAGGCTGGGCTGCCGGGCAGCGCTGCCTCATCATCGCTTGCAGATGATGGTGATCGCCGACGGCTGCGAGAGGGCGCACCAACGTCGATGACTTCGCGGTAGACGACACGCAACGGCTCGGGATTCCTGAAGACTTCGTTACCGTCGTGAAGAAAGCCGCCGAGGGATCCATCGGTGGCTTCCTCCTCGATGAGGGCACCCCACGTTGCCCTCTCGGCTCTCTCGTTGCCCTTTCCAAATGGCAGGCCGACGATGCCGCCCTGGCTGTAGTCATCTGGGGGCCCGAGAGGGTATGGGTACCTTACATGCACCGTGGCCGACGTCGGACCGATAGCCCCGACGCGCGAAAAGTAGAGGTTGTGCTCGAGGTGCGAAGGATAGAGGTACGGGCTGGTGAAGAAGTCGAGGTAGAAGAGAAAGAGGAGCGCATGGGCGGCAAAGTAGGCCAAATTGACCCTCCTGGATCGTGTCGAATGGCCCAAGACGAGCGTCTGAACCGTCTCCCAGGCTGACAGGGGCCTGAGCTCGAGCTCGGCCTCGCGCGGCGTCATGTTGCGAGGAACGACGGCTCCGTTTGGCTTTGCCTCGTTCTCCACTGCCTCTTCCGTCTCGGTGTGCTGGCCGCTTGCCTCAACCTTGACTTGCTCGCCGAGCTGCTTGAGATCTTGCTTGGCTGCCCGGAGCTGTGACTCTTTGAAGAGCGAGGACACGTACGACCGGACGCGCCAATCATGGAGAAGCCATGTCACAGAGTAGAGCGCGTAGGCCATGGGTATAACAGGCCACCCAAGGGGTCTCGACGGGATCCATCGCAGAAAGATAAAGGTCGCGACCCGAAAGATGATGGAGGCCACCATCTGGACGGTATCAGAAACACCTCGCGAGAGGAGCGGGTCTTCGTCCAGGGACGACGACGACGACGAACGATGGTCGGTGCTGTCAGGCATGAGGCTGGCCTCGCGCTTCTTTGTCATCGCGTCTCAGTGGGTCCAGCGTGGGACAAAGGGGAGATGAGGATGGTAAGCTGCAGAGGAAGAAGAAGAAGAGGAAAAAGAAAGGGAGAAGAAGGGTCGACAGTCTTTTTCTTATTCTCCACAAAAAACAACCGCGACGACGCGTTCAAATAATAGCCCTCTGGGCCGACTGTTCTCGCTCTCTGCTTCTGCTTGCGTTTTGGCCCTCCAGGGCCGATTGTGCGGAAGCAAGTGATCAGTCTCCGTTCCCGTCTCTCCCACCTTGCAGTGTTCCTTGGTGCACATTCCCCCACCAAAAGTGACGGATAGGAAGGAAAAGTGGCAGAAGCCATGAGCCATCACCTATACGACACGTGACTCTTTTGGTTTCTGATTTTTCTTTGGGCCTCTGCTTTTTTATAGCGGTAGCGCCATTGGTTCCTCGAATTCTTCTTGCCTTCCTTGGTTAATGTTCTCGAGATCTCTGGCAAGATTTACAAAGTTGTCAGCGCAAAGGAAAACGGCCATCATGTCGACGACGGCGAGGGCCTCTGCGTCTCCGCCACCAAACCCAGAGGCAAAGCGACCGAGACTTGGAAACGGGCCTAGAAATGGGGAATCTCCAAAGCGTTTCAACGGACCAGCAGCTGGAGCTGGAGCTGGAGCAGAGGCAGGATCCAGTGCGAAAGCCGCCAAGATGGAGGCCAAGAGGACCGCACACCGGCTCAAGATGAAACGCAAGGATCGCGAAAGGACATTGGCCAAGACGGGAGAGGAGCCCATCGCATACGATATTCTCGAGATGCTGGGTGCGGAAAAGGTACAAAGTATCCTCGCGGCAGGGGCCGCGAAGGAATTTGAGGACAAGTTTTCGAAGGGAACGGAACTCGAGCTTGTCATTGAGAGGCTGAGCTCCCACGGGGATGGGCTCGCCAAGGCGGCCTCGGGAGACTGGGTCGTGGCGGTGCCACGCTGCCTACCCGGCGAGACGGTGCGGGCGAAGGTGTTTGGTAACGAGCGCCTGCACTCGAAGGCCGACCTGGTGGAGATTGTCAAACCAGCTGCTGAAAGTTCGTCTGCGCCCATCAAGAGGCAGGACGAGCTGGTTCGCTGCAAATACTTTTCGTCCTGCTCTGGTTGTCAGTACCAGATGCTCTCATACGACACCCAGCTCGCCATCAAGCAGAACGTCGTCCGACGAGCGTTTGCCAATTTTGCCAAGCTCGACCCCCTGTTGATCCCCGACACGCTTCCGACGATCCCTTCGCCACTGCAGTACAGCTACCGGACCAAGCTGACGCCCCACTTTGAGATCCCCTTCGAGATTCGACAGGAGCGACGAAGGACCAGGGGCAAGGAGACGCCCACCTCGTTCTTTTCCGATGACGTCGACGTGGCCGTCGGCTTCGGCAGGCTGGGTGGAAAGGACGTGCTCGACATTGAGGAGTGCTCCATTGCCACGGCAACGATCAATGGGGCGCTGCCGGCGGAGCGCCAAAAGGTCAAATGTGCAATCAAATCGTACAAGAACGGCGCAACAGTTCTTCTTCGCGACTCGCTGCGGTCCTTTGAATCCCTTGCCGAAGACAAGACGACGGAGAACGGCGCCCAGTACGACACGGAAGTCGTCACGAACCACAAGGCCGGCGTCAAGGAGCGGGTCAACGATACCAAGTTTGACTCGCCCGCGGGAGCATTCTTTCAGAACAATCGCAGCATCCTTCCGTCGCTCCTCGGCTATGTCCGTGAGCAGATCATCTTGCATTCGACCCCGACACCGACGGCAGACACTGCTGCGGCCGAGTCTGACCAGGAAAAAGCGAGCAGGTACCTCGTCGACGCCTACTGCGGCTCTGGTCTCTTTTCTCTCTGCCTCGCCGATCTGTTCGAGCAGGTATCGGGCGTCGAGATCAGCCAAGACTCAATCAAGTATGCAAAAACCAATGCTGAGCTCAACGGCATCACCAATGCACAGTTCCTTGCCGGCAATGCAGAGGATATCTTTGCCAAGATTGCCTACCCGAGCGACAAGACGACTGTCATCATCGACCCTCCCCGGCGGGGCTGCGACGAGGCGTTCATCCGGCAGCTTCTCGAGCTCGATCCCTGGCTCATCGTCTATGTCAGCTGCAACGTGCATACGCAGGCCAGGGACGTGGGGCAGATCGTCCGGGGCCGCAGCGCAGACGGCCAGGAGAGGAGATACGATGTGTTGAGCGTCAGAGGGGCCGACCTGTTTCCGCAGACACACCACGTCGAGGGCGTGTGTGTCCTCAAGCGAAGGCAGTAGCCGCGCAGTGTGCAGAGTAGAACAGCTATAGTCCAAAGCACATCTTGTATCGCCTGTCTTCCTGTGATATTGAAACACACTTTTTTGCAGTTGCATGCCAAAGAAGCAGGTGCCCGGCGGGGTGATGGTGTTCAACCGGGTCCGCATGGGCAACGGCGAGGGACAAGTGTTGGTACAACACATAGACAAGCATCGCCATTGCGGCCGAACGGAAGGAAAGAGAGAGAGAGAGAGAACACAAATCGAATCGAAAAAATAAAAGTGACGAGAGAAAAAAGAAAGGAAGAAAAAGACAATGACGATGACGATGACAGTAGAGAGACGTGAAGGAAGATTTTCGATCGAGGATTCTAGTGCGAAGAAGTCTCGCTGGAGATGGTGACACTTGGAGGTGCCGAAAGAGCGAGCTTGATTTGGTCGTAGATGGCCATCTGAGCGCAGATGAGGCCGGCCTGCATGATGATCCTCGTGCCCAGGCCGGCCCAGAGGCCCGAGAAGCCAGCCTCGCGGGCGAGGTTGACCATCTTGACAAAGCTGCCGCCCTTGCCACCGCCGCCCTTGTTAATCTTGGATAGCAGCGTGTCGGCCGGGTGGCTGGCAATGGCGGCGCCCACACCGGCAGCGAGGCCACAGGTGAGCGAGACGCCAATCTGGCCCGTCTTGCCGTACGAATCGAGCGTCTCCTTTGACACGTTCTTCTTGAACAGCTCGTGGGCGTACTCGTTGATGGTGAACTGGGCCTGGGTAAAGGGGATCTGCTTGAAGAGAATGGGAATGTAGCCGGCGTAGAACTCGCGGAGACCGCCCTCGGCGCCCATGCGCGTCATGGCGCCCACGAGGCCCTTTGCGTAGCCGCGCTCCGAAACGAGGCGGATCCGGGCCGCCTCAAGTGGGGTGAGGAGCGTAGAGGCAATCAGCTCAGCGGCAGAGGCACCGCCGATGTAGATGGCCGTGCGGTTGCGCTCGGCTGCCTCGCGGGAGCCGGCCAGTTCGGCAAAGCGCTTCTTAAAGTACTCGAATCCGCAGAATTTGGTTCCACCCTGGATCAGATAGCCGACTGCCGTTGGTCCAAAGCCCTGTCAAGGAGAGAGAGAATGAATTTAGACTGGGAGAGAAAAAGAAAAAAGATAAAACACGCACGGTCATGAGGCCCTGGGGCCCTTCGGAGGAGATGATGTGACGGGCCATGCTGGCCATGCCCAGCTTGCTCCCCGGCGGCTCGAGCTGGAGCCTCGTCTTGACGACGTCGACGGGCGTCATGGCGCCGTGGGTGATGGTTGCGCAGAGGGCGCCTGCGGCAAAGAATCTAACATAGCCTCCCAGAGTGAATTCGGGGAGGAAGTCGAGACCGGAGGAAGAAGAGGACGATGCCGCGCCTGCAGCGCCCTTGATCTGGCTGTTGAGCTTGGCAGAAGCATCGCCCAGCTGCGCCCTGGCCTCTTTGAGCTGCTTTTCCGCCGCGTCTCTCGCCGATTCGAGCTGCTTCTCCGTCGTCTTTTTGGCAGAGTCGTACTGCGACGCGGCAGCATCCGTGGCCGAGTCGAAGCGAGAGCGCGCGGCCTGGGTGGCCGAGTCGAGCTGCGACTGGGCCTCGCTGCGGGTCTGGGCCAGACGAGCCTGGACGCTCTCGCGTGCCTTTTGAACCTCGTCCTTGGCCGACATGGTTGCAGGGAAGGGCCTGGAGGGGAGCAAGTGCAAAGGGAGCAAGGAGAAGTCTCGGGGAAGGGAGACGGCGGAAGACTGGGGGGGAGAAGAAGGGCACAGCAGTGACGACAAGGAAGAATCGGAAGAGTGGAAGGTCGTTCCGGCGTTCTTCTTAAATGCCAACAGCTAGATGCAGATATGGTCAGGGACAAGAAGATATAGAATTTGCAGAACTATGACGACTGTGCGTGGCTTTTCCGCAACCCTTAGTAGCTAGTACTAGTACGTAGTGTAGTCTAGTAGTGCTGCTGTTCTGGTGGAGGCAGCAGCCGCGCATACCAGGCGCATGCATAGCGTCATTGCTAAAAAACGCGCGCCCGCGGAGAGAGAAAACAGTAGACGAGGGGTACGGAGACGTGGGCCGAAGAAAATCGAGAACGTGGCTCAGAGGAGCCTTTTCCACGCGAGCACTCTCCGCGACCACTGTCCCTGTCGCCCAGGTCGTGCGGTTTTTGTCGTCGCCAAAAAAAGAAAAGCACGTAGAGCAGCAGGTGGAACAGCCCTCAGTCTCGTCGGACCCGTCGCCCGAAAGCAAGCGCGCGAGCAGCACCGGTCACTCACGGAAGGAGCAGCAGTGGTGGAAGACAAAGCGGGAGTGGTAGCAGAGACAGGAAAAGATTGTCAGGACACGCGAGAGAGACGACACGGAGGGAAAGATGGCGCAGGACAAGATGAGCATCGCGCGAGTTTACCCAAATGCGAATGAGAAGTTTGGACGGACGTGGTGGGACTATGGTGAGTCGCTGGTCGCTGTGGGCGTTCCACAAGACGCTAGCTAAAGCTGCTGTTGGACAGACAATCTCGTGGTACAGTGGGGCACACAGGACAATTATGAGATTCTTCGCAAAGTCGGTCGAGGAAAGTACAGCGAGGTCTTTGAGGGCATCAACGTCGCGGGCGCCTCTGCACCAGAGAAATGCATCATCAAGGTCCTAAAGCCCGTCAAGAAGAAGAAGATCAAGAGAGAGATCAAGATCTTGCAAAATCTGGCCGGCGGACCCAACGTCGTGGGCCTTCTTGACGTCGTCCGAGATCCTCAGGTGAGTGTGATTGCGAGGATCGGGGAAATCGATCAAATTCTCAGCGCAGCCATCCGTCCATACAGTCAAAGACGCCGTCCATCATCACCGAGTACATCAACAACACCGACTTCAAGGTGCTATACCCAAAGTTTACCGATTTCGATGTGCGATACTACATGTTTGAGCTTCTCAAGGTGAGTCGTGCCCTGCTTCGATTGAAGACTCATACCTCTCCTAACACGATTCCTTGACTTTTAGGCTCTCGACTTTTGCCACTCGCGAGGCATCATGCATCGTGATGTCAAGCCTCACAACGTCATGATCGACCACGAGAAGCGCAAGTTGAGGCTCATCGACTGGGGTCTGGCCGAGTTCTACCACCCGCAGACGGAATACAACGTCCGGGTGGCCTCGCGCTATTTCAAAGGTCCCGAGCTCCTCGTCGACTACCAAATGTACGACTATTCACTCGATATGTGGAGTCTTGGTTGCATGTTTGCAAGCATGATCTTCCGCAAAGAACCCTTTTTCCACGGTCACTCGAATACCAACCAGCTTGAAAAGGTGAGTGTCGCTTCTTCGTTCTCCTTGACTTCAATCATGTTCCCTTAACCTCTTTTGCACTGTTCGCGCCAATCAAAGATCGTCCGGGTATTGGGTACCGACGATTTCTTTGCTTACATGGACAAGTACGAGATCGAATTGGACCCCGAGCTAGAGGATGTCATCTCGGGCCGATGGCAACGGAGGCCCTGGTCTCGATTCGTCACAACGGAGAATCAACGATACATTTCAAACGATGCCATTGAGTAAGTGTCTTCCCCCTCCGGCTTCTCTGTGCTGGAACGAGGATCTCACGCAACCGTTCTCTTTTCAGTTTCCTCGATAAAATGTTGCGATATGACCATCAGGAGAGGCTCACGGCTGCGGAAGCGCAAGAGCACCCTTATTTTGGTGAGTCGACCTAAAAAGGGTAGATCCAGCGAAACTGATCTTCCTGACGCTCTTTGTTGCTCTGCAAACAGCCCCCGTCAAGGCAGCGGCAGAACGAGGAGAGGTGCCGACGGCAGCGTGAAAGGAGAGAACGGAAAGAAGAGGGACCAATTTTCTTCGTCGCTCAGTCTCTAGCCTTTCCTTTTGTGTGATACGCAATCCGAAAAAGAAGATGCGCAGGGCATGGGTCCAAGTCATCCTTGCTGCCCTCCAATCGGTCTTTTGATTCCTTGGCTCGGTCGTGGAGATGAGGCACGGGGGTGAAATCATGGTGCGATTAGATAGAATAGTAAGCGGGGAGCGGCTGTAAACAGAAGGGTGTGTGGTGTATAGGATCGACAAAGGGGCTGTAGACGATTTAAATTGAGGGCGGATTCCTTTCCTGTAGAGCATGGTACAGAATTTGACAAGACTCGAAGAGGAAGGTGACACGAGGAACAGAGAGAACAGTAAAAGGAAATGGAAAGGGAAAAGGAAAGGGAAAGGGAAAGGGAAAGGGAAAGGGAAAGGGAAAGGGAAAGGGAAAGGGAAAGGGAAAGGGAAAGGGAAAGGGAAAGGGAAAGGGAAAGGGAAAGGGAAAGAGAAGAGTAGAGAAGAGGGACAGAGAGAGTAAGGTGCGGGGATGGGAGGTAGATAAGGGGTCTTGTCGATTTCTTGTTTCTTGTTTTCCTTCCTTTTCCTCTTTTCGGCCAGACATCGTCGAGGAAAGCGAGCCGGGGACTGATATCGTACAAAGGAGAAGAATAGATAGCGCCAGAGCCAGGTAAATTGGTAGTCTAAGGGAGAGAGAGAGAGAAAAGACAAAGGGAGGTACTACACAACGGTCAAAGGCTAAGGTAGAGTTACGTTTCCATGGCTAGAACCAGACATCGGAAAGACGAAGTCGCTTCACGGAGAAGCCTGTGAGCCAGAGAGTGCAGAAAGCTGGTCCGATCCCTGACCCGGCTGGTTGCTCGAGAGGTGACAGAGGTAGATTCTGACCTTGTAGAGTCGGAAAAGCTCCTTGACGAGATCGCGGAAATCGACACGTTGGGTGGCCGTGTAGTAAAACGTCAGCTTCCTCCGATCCCACTGCATCTCGGCCGCAACGACAATCATGGGAAGACCGCGCTGGTTGACTTTGGCGGTGCAGAGCGCCAAAGCACGTTCCTCGTCCTGTGCTTTGGAGTGCAGGAGCGACGTCTCGGCTGGCGTCGCTTTCGAAAAGAGGCGCTTCGGATTGATATTTCGCGTAAGTCGACTGAGAGGGACCACCGACGAGGCCGCACCGACGTTGCTGCCACTGCCACTGCCACCAACGTTGTTGCTGGTGCCGCCGCCGCCAGAATTGGTGCTGCTGCTGCTGGTTGTGGTGCTGGTGCTCGGCTCCCTCGTGAGATCTGTTTGATGAGCCAAGAAGTTCTGAACCTGGTCGACGGTGATGGAATCATTGACAACAGTGCCCAGATCCTTGCCACGGTCCGCCTCGACGATGACGAGGTCGCCCTTGGCAATCTCGCCCTCGTCCCTTCTGCCCGGTCCGCGACCCTGCGACTGGCGAAAGTACAGGTCGGTCCTGCCCTGCTTAAACTCGACAATGTACAATGGCGTGTCGCGGGGCAGCATCTGCAGGGGAACGCCTCTGCCGAGCTCCTGCAGTGAGAAGGGGCCATCTTGATGTCCGCCGCTGATGGGCGCAATCGGACCCAAGCTTGAAAGGCTGGCAATGGCATAGTCGGACAGAGGAGCGCCAACCTGACCACTTGCGACTGCACCTGCACTTCCACCACTGCTGCCACCGCCACTGCCACCGCCACCGCCACCGCCACCAGCACCACCACCGCCACTGAATGAGGCGAAAGAGGGACTTGACGAAGAGTGATGGCGATGATGGTGCTGTGTACTATCCAAAGCGCTGCCATGCTGCTGCTGAGGATGCTGCTGCTGCTGCTGCTGCTGATGATGATGATGATGATGAGAAGGCTGCTGAATCTGCTGTGGATGCTGGTGCTGTTGACTGTGCTGGAAAGTGTGCTGATGCTGCTGCTGGGGTTGCTGTTGCTGGGGAGCAATGCGACCAGGGAGTCCGGGGATGTAGCTCGAGGACGTGCCAAATGGGCTCGTTCCAAAGTAGCTCGGTGACTGGGGCTGGCCCACGGGACCCATGGAGAACGTCTTGGACTGGGGCGACATGGAGAGGTGGCGCTCCGTCGCAGGTGAAGTGGAAAAGGCGTGGGACAGAGGCTGGTGCGCACCAAAGTCGGCCGACGTCGACTGCGCCCTGGCCCGATTTGGGCTTCCAAAGGCGCCCGACGACTGGTTGAGAAAGTCCCACGACGACGAGGCCATATCCGTGGGAACGGCTCTTCTGCCTTGGTCTATGGCCGAATAGCGAGCAGGTGATGCCTGCGAGAGAGTGCGCTCGCCAAACATGGGCGGCATCGAGGCGGCGTGGGCACCAGTGGCGGCAGCGGCAGACGAAGGGACGCGCATGTGGACCTGCTCCATGTGCTGCTGCCGCGCCGTGGCGGCCGCAACGGCGACCTGGTCGAGATTGAGCCGGAGAGAAGATCCCAAGTCGGCGGCAAGGTCGTCGTCTGAGATGGCGAGACTGCCGCCTCCAAAGAGACCATAGCCGCCGCCGCCGCCGCCACGACCCGACGATGTTGAACCACCGATGGGTCGTGGATAAGATTGTTGGCCGGGGACAAAGCCACCCTGCGAGGGCGTGGGCCGGTTGACCTCGAATCCAATGGCACGATGCTGGCCGCCCACGGCGGCGGTGGCGGCGGCGGCGGCGGTGGCAATCGAGTGCCTTCTCGACTCGGTGCCTGAGCTCGGCAGGGGCCCATTCTCGCTGCCGTGACTTGTTGCCAAGGCAGAAGCTTCGTTTGCCGTCGGAATTGGCCTTCGGCCTCGCTCAGCGGGACTCTGCACCGCCGTGTGGTCGGCGTCGGCATCGGCGTCGTCGTCATCGTAAAGTATGCGGTCGGGAAAGCGACCTTCGAGATGCTGCTGAGCTGCATATGCATATGTACCCGGGCTCGTGCCGCCCTCCCAGGCCGAGGCAGACCTGCTCCAGTTGTCGTATGTACCCTGGGGCACGTCGTACTTTTGCAGAGCTGCCGCGCTCGAGGTCGATCGAAGACGACCGGGACGGAAGGTGGCCGAGAGGGGCGGGTGGGAGAAGAAGTGACTGTCGCCGTCTCTGGTGGCCAAGCCGCTGTCTTCAAGACCGCCCGACTCCTCCAACATGGTCTCGAGCCCAACACGAGGCGAGGAAGCGGCAGCAGCAGCGGCAGAGGCAGTCATCCCTGTACCGGCTTGCGTGTGGCCCACATCGGGCAGGCCGGGTGAGGCCGAATGGTGGGAGCCAGGCGATTGAGGAGCGTAGTGGTGGGGCATGGAGCTGCTGGCGGGTGTGTTGACGGAAAGGCTTCGCTTGGCAATTGGTGGCCGGCGGCCTTCGCGATTGAGTTCGCTGCTCATGCCTGGCGACGAGGAAAGAAGCCAGTCGTTGGATTCGCCAAGACTGTCGCGTGGCACGTTGCGATGTAGCGAGCCCTGCTGCTGCTGCTGCTGCAGAGGTGGCCAGGGTGCAGAGGCTCCTGAGTGAGCCTGGGCGCTGGCGGAGCGATGAAGGGGTGTGGCAGCCGAGCTTGAGATGTGGCTTGCGCGCGACTCTGACTCGCACCTCTCGGCAGGCCGGGAGCTAAAGGAGGAGAGCGACGAGGGCGACGAGGAGTCGAAAAGGGGTGAAAAGTCGTTGGCCGAGGATGGGTTGCGATGCGAGCCAAATGCTCCTGCACCGTTGGTCGAGGAAGAGGACGATGTGGGGATCTGCCAAGAGTCCACGCTGGACGTTGGGCCTGCACTCGTGCCGTTTCCCCCAAAGCCTAAGCCGAATCCGCTGCCGCTGCCGCCGCCGCCGCCACCACCACCACCACCGACAGCGCCACTGCCACCACCGCCGCTGCCGTCGTTGGCTCTTGTGCTACCTCGGTCGGCGCCCGGCACGGCGTCTCGGCTTGCCGAGCGGGTCCGCAAAGGACGATGGATGGGATGGGAATCGACAGCAAGGGATCGTCTCCAGCTTCGCTCGGTGGAGCCAAGGACGCCATCGACTGGGCCCTCGTCGGCTTCGTCGCGGCCACTGTCGGTGGCGCTGAGCGAGCGTCGGTCCAGGTCGCTGGCCGAGTCCGGGTGACGGGGGCGTGCAAGGCGAAGCTGTCTCACTGGCTGTTGCCTGAGAAAGTCAAGAGAGATGGAGAGGTCCGGAAAGTGGTCCTCTTTAGAATTGAACCGTGTCGTCGCGGGCGTGCTGCGCTGGTCTCTAGGCAAATCGAGCTCTACCTTTTCTTCGCAGAGATCTTGCTGGAGGAGCATGACCGTGCGTGTAAGCCTTCACGGGACGGGGAAGTTGATTTAGGAAAAAGGGGGGGAAATGGAAGTATAGACGAGGGTGCGACACTCACAGAAGTCCAGGACGAATTGGAGTGCGAGCGAGGAGAGCCCTGTTTTTTTTTCGTCGGGTGGACGAAATGGCAAGCAAAGCAAAGTGGTCAGTGGCCACTGCCGGGGGATAGGGCTCGAGATGGCTGCTGCTCACCAACATCCGTCTGTCTCTAGCAAAGTAGCAGCAGGTTGACCAGCCAGAGAGGGGTAGAGAAACGAAAAAATGCAGCAAGGGAGGGAGCGGTGACGACGAAGGTAATCCGGTGGAGGTGCGGAGATGCTCTGTGATGAAGCGAGAGCGTGCAGAAAGCCAGCAGAAGCGGAGCGCAGCGTTTTGTACCTGCCCTTGCGCCTTCCGGCCTGCCAATGGGGAGCGCCGCTTCGGATGGATGTATACGCCACTCTCTTGCTCCTCGCGCACGATACGGACCTCTTGTTCCGGTCCCTTGGCGAGCGAGGAACAGGACCGTGCTCAGTCGCGGTGGCACAACCTCTCTGTCGACTCGCGGTGGAGGGGGGTACCTCACAAAGCGATGAGAGGAAATAGAGAAGGGAGATAGAGAAAGAGAGATTGCAAGAGCAGCGGCCCCTGCGTCTAGAAGTCTATGTTGTCCAAGCGAGCGATGATGAGGCGGGCAAAAGTAGGTAGTAGCCAAATGTGGTTGACACTAGTGAGACTGACTTGCCAACCAGATCGTCAGACCTCCAACGCGAGCTTAGTTGCGGGGTAGGTAGCCTCAGAAAAAATAAAAATAAAAAATAAGAAATAAAGAAGCGCCACGAGGCTTGGTGTAGGTCGCTTGACCACTCAGCGGTCCAGGCGCTTTCCCATGCCACGGCCTTGATCTTTTTGGAATTGGCATTATTTTTTTGTCACGTCGTCGGCCGGGCTTCTGCCCGTGAGCCCACGGCCAGAGATCCGTCTCAATCTCTCGTCCCGTTCCAGGCCAGTAGTGAGATAACTGTTTGCGCAGAGGCAGAAAAAGGGTTTGGACCTCTTCATCATCTTCTTCTCTCCTTTCTCCTCCCCTTTCCATCACCCATCTCTGACTCCCTCGCTCATCATGTCGCACCCAGTGACCCAGCACGGTCTCTTTGAGATCCCTCCTGTCAACAATGAGCCCATGGTGAGGAGGCTTGCATAGCAATGTTGAAATCGAAGCTGACTCCCAAAGTGGCACAGCGCAACTACGAGGCAAAGTCAGCCGACCGCGCGGGCCTCCAGGCTGCTGTCGACGCCATGATGGCCAAGGGCACCTTTGAGGTCCCTTGCATCATCAACGGCCGCGAGGTCAGGACCGGACGCAAGAGCAAGCAGGTCAACCCGTCGGACCACGCCAAGGCCCTCTGCGAGTACCATGAGGCGGACGAGGCCCTCATTGGCGAGGCCATCAAGGGCGCTCTCGAAGCCAAGACGGCGTGGGAGCACATGCCGTGGAACGATCGAGCAGCCATCTTTCTCAAGGCGGCCGACCTGCTGGCTGGCAAGTACCGCTACGAGGTCATGGCCGCCACGATGCTGGGCCAGGGCAAGAATGTTTGGCAGGCCGAGATCGATGCGGCCGCCGAGGCTTGCGACTTTCTCCGCTTCGGCATCAAGTATGCCGAGCAGCTGTACAGCATCCAGCCCCCCAAGAACTCGCCAAATGTCTGGAACAGAGTCGAGTACCGTCCCCTCGAGGGCTTTGTCCTGGCCGTGTCGCCGTTCAACTTTACTGCAATCGGCCTCAACATCCCCTGTGCGCCTGCCATGGTCGGCAACGTTGTCGTCTGGAAGCCAAGTCCGATGGCAACCTACTCCAACTACCTCGTCTACAAGATCCTCGAGGAGGCCGGCCTCCCCGCGGGCGTCATCCAGTTCTGCCCCGGCCCCCCCGAGCCCATTGTGGCAACGGCCATCAACCACCGCGAGTTTGCCTCGCTCCACTTTACCGGCTCCACCTTTGTCTTCCGTAACCTCTGGAAGCAGATTTCCAACAATCTCGACAAGTACCGCGGCTACCCCAGGATCGTGGGCGAGACTGGCGGCAAGAACTTCCACCTGGTCCACAAGAGCGCAAATGTCGAGTCGGCTGTGCACCAGACCATTCGTGCCGCGTTCGAGTACCAGGGTCAAAAGTGCAGTGCATTGAGCAGGCTGTATGTGCCCAAGAGCATGTGGAACGCAAAGGGCGGCTTCAAGGAGCTGCTGCAGAAGCACGTCGGCGAAATCTCCCTGGGGCCCGTCAATGAGTTCCAGCACTTTATGGGACCCGTCATTGCCCGGCACTCCTACGACAAGATCATGGGCCTCATCGATGCAGGCAAGAAGGCCGGTGGCCAGATCATCACTGGCGGCGTCGGAGATGACTCAAAGGGCTTCTTTGTCCAGCCCACCGTCATTGAGACGACGGACCCGGGCTCGGTGACGATGGTCAACGAGATCTTTGGCCCCGTCCTGACCGTGTACGCGTACGACGACGACAAGTTCGAGGAGACCTGCCACCTGATTGACTCGACGACCGAGTACAGCCTGACGGGCGCCATCTTTTCCACGGACCGCGCGGCGCTCATCAAGGCGAGCAACCTGCTGCGCAATGCCAGCGGCATGATGTACTACAATGACAAGTGCACTGGCGCAGTCGTCGGCCAGCAGCCGTTTGGTGGCGCCAGGGCCTCAGGTACCAACGACCGAGCCGGCAGCATGGCCCTGTGTGAGTCTAACCTTTGCATTGGTTGTGCAATGTATATGAGCCCCCCACTGACCTGCCTCCCGTGTCATCTTGACAGTGCTCCGCTTCACCTCTGCACGAACTATCAAGGAGTCCTTCGTCGACATTGGCCACTACTCATACCCGTCCAACCACGACTAGGGTGTCTCCGTAAAAGAAGACTACTGGCCCTCGCTCGTCTTCGCGTCGATGGACACGCATTAACACCGTCCAACAGGTTTTCTCTTTTCCCCTCCCCCGCATCCTGCGTCGTCGGGCACGCCTTAACACTGCCCTCTTCATTTTCCGCATCTGTAAAACAAACGGCATCGCTTCCCTTAATGTCCATATATCAGCATCCATTCGTACGGGTCCATGGACCGTGCGCGCGTGTGTGTCCCTGTGAACTTTGTCTCCCAAGCGGGCGATTCTTGATTATCCCGCGTGTCTATCACGACGTCATGCGCTTGCATGAGAAAATCTCTATCAAGCCACGCTGAGGCCTCGGGATCCGTCCCCAGGAGGCGCTGGGAGGGCCAAGCTCAAAAGGGTTCCGACTTGTAGAGACGGGTCCGCACCTCCGTCCCGTCGTAACGGACCAAAACCCTGCCTTGGCTCGTTCTCCCACACGTCGCGGTCCCACTCCTCGCGCACGGACAGCCATTTTCATTTATTTACTTATTTTTATTTTTATTTTCTCAAAAGCAAAACGTGTCAAAAGCAGGCGCTCTCGCGCGCGCACCCTTTGGCAGGCTCCGCTGCTTGGGACATGGAGGCCCAAAAATTGTTTTCTGCACAGAACACTCCTTGGCAACTATAACTCTGGTAAGTTTTACAATCAATCATATATTGGACGAGCAAAAGAGTTAGTGGTTGTGTAGTAGCGCACCTTGCTTCTTGCAAGGGACGGGTAGGGTGACTGAAGGCGCACCCGATCTCAAAGGGATGGATCTTCGCTGCTTTTCCCTGTCGAGGCCCAGGGCCGCTGTAGCTAGTGGTCCTCTGGTCTATCTGTCCGCTTATGCAACAACAGATGAGGCCTGTTAGGCCCTGAGCGAATGCAGCGGACGAGGTAGGAGGTCGATCATCAGAGAGTACACAGGCTGTGGCAGCTCCGACACAACCATCGTCTGAATCCTATCATCACTTGCGCTCAACCAGGCCACCGGACAAGCAGCTGGTGACTTCATCGAGCAAGAAGCCAGGAGGAGAATAAAGAGGTAAGGAGAGGAGGTCGACATCGAACCTGAATTCCAACCTTGGCAGACCTTAAAAAAAAAAGAGACCAAAAAAGGGCAAGAAAAAGAAAAGGAAAAGCGCGACCTAGCCAGAGGGTTGCGACATATCAATCCTTCTCAGCCGCGAGTGTAACAACAAACAGGCGCGCGCCCACCGTACGGGGGCTGTAGGCAGGCGCGGAGTCGCAAGGGCGGTCTTTCGTCCCCCCTTTGCCTCTGTTTTTTTCGCAGCTTATTCTCTCTTCGACAACCTGCATACCGTGGGCGGCCGCGCTGGTACAGCCCAGCACTACGTACTGGCTGAAGTGCCCGCTACTACTAGTCTGGCGGGAGCCCGATGAAGGCGAGCGCACCCTGCCTCAAGGCACGCATCCTCGCTTGATCCGGTCGACTTGCTACTTTTGGCTGAGTCCTGCCACGCCTGGCTCCATCGCTCAACATGTCGAAGCCGTTCTACAGCCGAACTCCTGCATCGACGACTACCAACGTTGCTAATAATAACAGTACAAGCAGTACTAGCAGCAGTAGTAGTAGCGGAAGTAGTGGTGGTGTCAGTGCTGCTGAGGTGAGTAGTAGTCGATTTATGCATCGAAAGGGAAATGGCCGATATGTTGACAGATCCACCCACCACAGAGCAAGCCCCAGGTGCAAGGGTTCGGGCACGGAAGCCGCGAAAGAATCACCACCGCCCCTGCCACAACATCAACTACTACTAGTAATATTAGTAGTAGTGGTAGTAGTTCTGCCGCTGCTGCTGCACTCAAGCCCTCGTCGATCGCGAGGCATGCATTGAGGGCCTCTCGCGCATTTAGTTCCCGCGCAGCTTCGAGAAGCAACATTCACGGCAGCAGCAACGAGGAGAACGAGGCTGAAGAACAGCCGTCCACGAGGAAGCAGCAGCAGCAGCAGGTGCAGCAAGCCATCGGCGGCGACGGCAGAATACAAGCCGCAACCAAGTTGCCCGCCCGAAAATCACAACCTGCACCACCACCTGCCCTTGCCACCGCCCCTCCCCCCGTCCCCGCCCTCCCTTCGTTGCTCTCTCCTTCGCTTCTCCGCTCCCCTCCTCTGTCGTCGTCGGCCTCTTCATTGTCGTCGTCGTCTGCGTCGCAGGCCTCGACCAGCCCTTCTTCAAGGCCATCTCCGCTGTCCAACTCTCTACATTCTTTTGAAAAGGGGCGCCCCGGACTCGTCGCAAGCCCGCAATCAGCGCATACACAGCTGAACAAGTCGCCGCGCGAGGTCCAAGAAGAGAATATGCTCCTCCTCCCACCACAGCCCGCCTTTCTGGGCAGGCGATCGAGCAGTAGCGGCTACAAGAGTAACAATGCCAGCACCACGTCCTTTGTCTCGAGCTCTGCCGGCGACGACGACATGACTCCGCCGCACAGCGGTAGGGACTCAGAGGGAAGCTGGGAGCACGTTCAGAACAATGTCATCGGCGATGCCGCTGGGCGCGACGGAGCACGGAGCACGAAGCGCGGCTTCAGCTTCGAGGACAAGCCAAGGTCTACAGCAAGGGACAATGGCGGCTTCAAGAGTCTGGGAAGGAGGCTTTTCAATCGGTCTGCCGTCATTCCCGCTCGCTCCGAATCGCAATCTTCGGCTGCCTCGGCGCAGAGTTCCCCGCCGCTAACGCCCACGACACCCCCGCGGCTTCCTTCGTTTCAAAAGGGCATCGATGGACTGCCGATCTTGCCGCCCTTGTCTGTCATGACGACCACGCAGGCGCATCAATCCTTTGCAGGCAGCATGCTCGAGCAGCGCGGCAACTTTGCTGGATCGGCGGCCTCGAGCGCTTCCACCACCTCGTCGATCCCCGCACTGAGCCACGACTCGAGCGCGACCTCGTCGTCCCTGTCCTCGTTGGGCCTTCCGCTCCTTCCTCCGGCCACGGCGACGGCCTCCAAGGCCAAGAAGGCACCCATGACGACCATGACCGAACGTGTCGAGAGTCCCACACGGACTAGTCCTCCCATCTCGCCCACGGGTATGCCCAGGTCGAGATCGTCGCAGCAGGTCGTCGTCACGTCAGAGCCGACCGAGGACAGCGACTTCCTCAGAGCCGTGCTCAACTTTGGCTTCTCCGACGAGGAGCAGGACGATGTACCTTCCCTTCCTACGAGATCCTCTTCCCGCTTCGGCGGTCTCGCTGGAGGAGGAGCAACATCCACAGCCACAGGTTCCCAATACTCTCCATTTGCGCTTGGATCACTGCCCAGCTGGACGGCCCGACGGCAGGGCGAGGCGCCCAAGCGCCTCACAGAGGCAGAGGCCCGAGCAATGGCAGAGGAAGAGAGGCAATCCAAGTCGACTCAACCCTACGGCTACAGCGGCGGCTTTTCCGAACGCAGGCAGTATCGTGCCGGCCTCTTTGGACGCAATGTCACTTCCCAGGATGATGATTCCGAGGACGAGTACGGGGACGACGGCGACGATGCTGAATCGTCCGAAGACGAAAAGGGGACCGTGACCAAGGCGCCGTTCCCATCTTCGTTTGCGAAGGCTCCAAAGAGGCATTCTGGCTCGTCTTCGGCTGGAGCAGACCACCGTACATCGTCGCCCGTGAAGCAACCTCAGACACCCTCAGGACCGGGACTGGACACGGGGGCGAAAAAGGCAATCTACACCTGCACCCTTCTCAAGGTACACCCTCAGCTGGCCAGCTGTGTCAAGGTGTCCCCGGATGGCCAACTAGCGCCTGGTGCAGCAAAAATTGCAGAGACACAGGACAATGCGGCCCTGCGAGATGTCCGTTTTCCACGTTCCATCAACCGACCCTCCCACCTGGCCAGCCACAGCTCCACGACCTCGTTTACCAGAGACCTCCGTGTGGCCGTTCACCGGTCACACGTCATGAAGAAGCTCAAGAAGACGGTACTGCCAGTGCACGAAGAGGTCGAGCTCGGCTGGTTCGTCACCAAGTATGGCTCCCAGCTCATCTCGCCCGAAGAAATTGCAGCTCGATTGGCGCAGAGGCCGGCGGCAAGTCCAGAAGCGCTGGCAAGGCCTCCTATGGCGGTACCGCTTGCTTCTGCTTCGCCTGCGACACCATCTTCGCCCCTGGCCCGGCGAGACTCGCTCGATTCCATCGTGGGCGAGTCCATCGTCGAGCACAATGGCATGGCCCTCTGGTCCTCCAGGCCTGGCTTCGTCGACCGTACCGTGGTAGTTGCCGACGAGGAGTACCATCCCGGAGAGATTGTGCTGCCGTTGGCTGACATGAGCTTCACTGTGGGCAAGCGCGCAAGTGTCGTCGCAGCCACCACACCAGGACAGGCTTCTGCGGTCAAGAAGACTGCGCGGCCTGGACCGATTACCTTCTCAAAGAGAACACAGGTCCTGGCGGGCTTGGCCCCCGAGATTGACCTGGCAGCGCCCAAGGGAACGAAACTGGTGGGACCGCCGAGACAGAGGGAGAGGCCGCCCCGGCAATCGACGATGCCCAATTCGACTTCCACCTATGGACAACCGCGAGATCGCTCTGTTGCACCTTGGATGGCCGGATCTCGGCCGCCGCAACCGTGGCGCACCTCGACGATGCCCACCCCGCGGCAAAGTCAGATGGCCAGTGGCGCGGACTTCGGCGAAACAAATCTTCCCGTCGTCTCGAGCTCGGCGTCGGTTGCTACGCTGAAGCCGCCAGAGGAGAGCGACCGGGCCGCTGCTCTTCGCAAACTTAGCGGGTCCACCTCCTTGGCAGCGCTTCACCAAAGAGCATCGACGGACTCGGTCACAACCGCGACCAACACGGCATCTAAGCGAGACCTGCGAGCTGCAGCAAGCTACAGCGGCCACGGCATCGCTGAAGAGGACGAGAACGAGCGCTCGAGCGACGAAGAAGAGGAGGTTCCGCTCGCCATGCTTCGGTCGCACCGAGCCGAACGGTCCGCCGAGCGCGAGCGAATGGCCCGGCTCGAGGCAGAAGTTATGCAGCTCCGTGAGAGGGAAAGGGAGATGGAGGCCGTCATGCGAAAGGAGGTTGAGCGGAGAAAGGCTGACAAGCTGCTCGAAGAGAGGAAACGAACGTTGGCCGAAGCAAGGACAAGAAGAGCAAAGACGGAGCATTCAGCGCTGCTATCTTCGCCCACGTACGGAGCCGGGAGCCCTCTGTCACCGTCTCCGGTGGGTCCTGGCATGATGAGGAAAAGCTCGACGACGCACCTGGAGGCACCAAATAGTCCACCGAGCCTGAACAAGAAGCAGTCGTCGAAGCACGTCTCCTCGCTAGCTCCTCCCAGCCCCAATGAGTCGAGACCGTCGCAGATGCCGTCGCCGAGGCAATCGTTCTATGCCGGTGGTTTCCCTCAGCAGCCTCATCAGCTCATGAACAGCATGAGCATGGGCAACCTTCATCAGCATCCTTCTTCGCCAGGCAGCGCCCTCGGTGTTGGCGGCATGGATCCCCGAGCGAGCATGATGCTCCACCCTCACCATTCGCAATTCTTCCACCACCAGCACCAGCAGCACCAGCAACATCAGATGGGCTCCATGATGCAGGCACCACCATCGCCTCTTGTCCCCCAGACGCTCCTCAACCAGCACCCACACTTTGTGCAGCAGCAACAGCAGCAGCAGATGATGATGATGCCATCCCCGTACCTACACCACTCGATGAGCATGGCAAACATACGCCCAGGTCCTCAGCCGCTTGTCCAGCTTGGGCCTGGGCAGATACCCTCGAGCGCCACTCAGCACCGCCTCGCTTCTCCACGAAGATGATCAAGTCTCTAGACTCCATATCCCCTCTCACACAAGTCCCACAACCACAGAGACACATCCATCCACCTATACAAAAGCACACTCCCCGTGATCTCTCCTTTCCTTCATTCACTTCCCTCTAATCGCCGATGTATTCTGTTGTTTGTAGGACCGTCATCATATCTCGAACAATCTCTTTCCTCTCACATTCTCATGTCATTTACCCTTCTGCAAATGAACATCAATGGAAGGAACTCGACGGCGTAGCTGAGAGGAAGGAGCTGGATTAATTCGACGAAACGTATGCTCGTTTGCTCTATACGCGGGTGGCATGGACAAGGTGAAGGAAGCAGAGGACGATTAGAGCACTGCTCTAGAGTTAGATAGCAAATGAGAAAGAACAAGGGAGAAAACGAGGGAAACGTGTAGATTAATGATACAAGAATGACTGGTCAGACTCATCAGTGATGAAAAGAAGATGGCCAGTATCGCCGTACGACCGGTTTAGAAGCCAACGAGAGCGTTTCTACATGATGCGATGCATGCTTCCTTGGTCGATGTGCCTGCCCCGCCTCCTTTGTTACACCGAGTCATCGTGAAAGTGCCACCGGGTGTCCTTGGGACTGATGGGTGCATGCTTGACGTACCGTTCGTTGTCCTTTGGCCGCTCCTTTTTCTTGCAGCTGGCCAGCATGCTCTGCAGCGTCAAGAGCACGCTGCAAACGTTGAGCACGGGACTCCACTCATTGGCTAGGATGCTGACGCAGCAGTGCCCGTTGCTGTAGATGTGCGGGTGCTCTGGTGCCGTCCAGCCGTCGTTGGTGACAAAGACGACCTCGGGCGACTCGAGCGGATAGTTGTCTGGAAATCGGAAGCGGAGGGCAAACGTCTCGCCTGCGTAGACGGTGTCTGTGCCTAGGACCGAGAGGGTAAAGCGCCACTCGCGCAGGTCTTCTGCGGAAAGCAGTGTTGTGCCGGCAGGTGGACCTGAGCTGTTAATCTCTACGATGGGATCAGGGTTTGAAGAGACTCTGTTCAGCAAGCCTCATTCACTTTGCCTTGAACGGCACTGGTGAAGATGGGGCAACATACCGTTGAGTTCTTTGCTGAGCCGTTTGGTGGCTATGCGAAGCGACATCTTCAACACTTGTCCCTTCCTTTCGTCCGAAGCTCCGTCCAACAGCTTGCTGGTGATGCCTTTTGTTATTGTTACTGCGAGGAAGGAGTGAAGCGAGTCGAGCGAGAAGTCGGCGCAAGGCAGTCGCGGTGGTCGTCGCGGTCAAGAAGGGCTGAAGACGCCCCCCTTCGAAAGTAGTAGTGGGTGTCCGTGCGCGGCGCCCACACGTGAAATCAAGGCTTGAGCTTATCGGAGAAGCCCTGGCATGTTTGGTTGGTTGATTGCTTGTTGCTTGTTGCTTGCTTGCTGTCGAGAAGCACCAAGCTCCGGCTCGAAACTACACCATGTCGACCTCCAAGATTCATCAAGTCTCACACCCGCTGCTCAAGACTCAGATAGCCAATCTCAGGCTGGCCAGCACCAATTCCAAGGAGTTCAGGTCGCTCGTGGCGAACATCTCGACGATCTTGGCAGTCGAGGCAACGCGAGAGTGGGATTGCAAGCTCGTCGAGGGGCAAGGTCCTCTGGCAGAATTCGAGGGAGAAGCCCTCAAGGTGCGTTTCAAAGTCTTCGTGCCGTATCTCTCACTCGTCATGGTGTGCTGACAACAGGCAAATGTCCTGAGCAGGAAAGGATCGGGCTGGTCCCAATTCTGAGGGCTGGCTTGGGCATGGTTGATGGTGAGTTCTCAACCCTTCCTTATCTACTTCTCGAACAAATCCGTCTGATACTTCACTGTACCCTCATAGCAACGCTGTCGCTTCTTCCTGAAGACACATCGGTGCTTCACATCGGCCTTTTTCGAGAAAAAGTCTCGCTCCAACCGGTCGAGTACTACAGCAAGGTGAGCGAGTAGTTGTGTTGATTGCGCGTACGTGAAGAAGAGAGCCAACAGATGCCTTCAAGCTCCCGTCCGAGACGACGGTCGACCGCGTCGTGATTCTTGATCCGCTCGTTGCGACCGGTGGTACCTCGATCGTGAGTTGCTCTGCCTTCTCTTCGCCCCCCAACTTCTCTCTCTTCCTGACGAAGCTCATTCCCTGACAGGCCTGTGTCGGCATGATCAAGGACTGGGGCATTCCCGTGGAAAAGATTCAGCTCATCTGCATCCTCGGCTCCCAGCCTGGTCTCGAGGCCGTCTCCAAGGCCTACCCCGGTCTCGACATTTGGTGAGAGACCCCCTTTGTCCTGCCCTGTTCTAGTATGGACCGGCCCCTCTGACTGCGCGCCCTTATGAAACAGGGTCGGTGCCGTGGACCCTCAACTGAGTGACAAGGGCCTCATCCTTCCGGGGCTCGGAGATACCGTGAGTTGTGCACTCGTCCTTTAAGACTGCCCTTCCCTTCTCATTGACAAACACACACAGGGCGACCGACTTTTCAACACTCTGTAACCGAGAGCAAGGTCATAATAGAAACAGGAAGTGATCAAAGGGACATTGGCATTCTACCTCATTGGGGCACTGTGAGCTCGACGATGGGCGCAAGTATGCGCATTTTTGCAAATGATCTACAAATACAGTGTGGGTGGGGGTTGAAAGACTTGCCATGATTTCGGACGCCAGATCACAGGCTCTCGTTCAAGTAGGCAGCAAAGCGTCGAACAATGTCTTCTTCCCTCGTGGTCGCCGCTGCTCCTGCGGCACCAGCACCTCGCTTCTGACTGGCGACTTGCTGATCCTTGAGCTGCCCTTCTTTTCCCGCCGCGATTCCCAGCTCGTTGGACGCCGAGACGCCCATGGCGTGCATCTTGACAAACTGGCGCTTGTGTCTCTGCAGGGCTGCATTTGTTGGTGGGGCCTTACCAGCTGGCAGATGCAGAGGCACCACTATATTTCTCGGGGGGGTCGTAGGCAAAGTGATAGGAAGCGAGACGGAGCCGCCATCGACGGGCAGACCTGACTGATTAGAGAGCGACGAGATGCAGGACACGACCGACTGCGTCAAGCTTTCGAGAAGCGAAAGGTAGTTTGTCGAAGTTGATTTCGTCTGTCGTCCTCTCGAAGTCAGCACACCGCACTTTTTTTACAATGCAGCAGGTACGAGGAAGGGAGGGGGGTGTGGAGGCGCGACTCACGGGCACGACGACGCCGGGCGCCCTCGAGATCTTCCCAGACGTGATTGTGGTCCATATGTCTTCAACCGGGAGGAGACCACTTGAGGTACCTTGCCCTGCTGCTGCAGAAGAAGGGTTGCTATCAACGACGAATAAGGGCGAATCCCATCTGGTCATTGGGTTTGGCTCTTCGAACCGCATCGTCATTTCCTCGAAACTGCATGTTCCCTCAGCGCTCTGCACTCCACTGGTGTTGCTGCTAGATCAGCAGAAACTCACGTTCTCTCATCGTATTTGCCCGCTTCCTCGTTCCGCCTCCTGCACTCTTCCTTCCCACACACGACCAAGATGCTCGCACACCTCACGCCCACCTCCCGCGCAGCGCACCAAAGCTGATAGCGGAAGCCCTTGATGTTGGTCCCCGCGCCTCCGTCTGCCAGCACGATTGCGTCGTGAGCAATACATCGCGTCACATGAGACAGGTAGGACGCCCGTGCCGGCTTCTCGGCCAGCTGCGAGGAGAACGATGACGGCGGTACGTGGGCCGTCTCGTTGGTGATGTGGTGGACTCTGTAGCTCGATTCCTTGAGCGACAGACCAGCAATCAGCTCGGCAGTCCGCGTCGTCTTGCCGCTGCAGGGCAGGCCGCTGATAATGACGAGGGCCATATGAGGGAGCTCGCTCGCCTTCGTGGTCTCCCTCTTATGTTTTCTCTCCCGAAGTCAAGGTCAAAACTCTAAAGAAGTCCACTTCTCGCGGATCCTTCTTGATGACATAAGCCAACACAATACACCAACAGCCGCTGAGGATGATCTGGAAGCGAGTAGATTGGAGAACTTTAGGCTGAGATATGACAGGGGGAAGGAAATGAAAAAAGCCACTTCTTTTGATTCGACTCGAGGAACAAGGTAGAGGGAGGTGAGCGGAATAGATGGAAAACATAGAATGAGATAGAGAGGGAGAGAGGGAGGGGGGGATTGCAGAGAGGAGTAAAAAACGTCCAGCGTTGTTGGAGGGTGTACGAGAAAAACGAAGCGGTGTTGTGCTGTTAGTAGTGGTTAAAGTTGTGATTGTAGGGTGGAGAGCCGAGAGAGCATGATGCAGAGAAAAAGAGAGGAGAGAGTGAGTGAAACGGTCATGTAAAGAATGCAGAGAGATTGTCGTCTTTGAAGGGAATGTCTTGAAATGAGTGAATGAGGATGGAGTTGTCTTGAGAAAGCATGAGAGTGAGTGCTGAAGAGTCGTGGTTCGAGAGTCGATTGATGTGAAAGCGTTGAAATATGAGTAAAGGTCCGATTCTTGCTGCTATTGAATGTGCGTGAGGGCTCAGACGAAAAAGTGCGTGTGGATCCGACTTGAGGGTGCCACGGCCATCTCTTCCATCTTGTACGTGTTGAGCTCCTCCTTGATGCGCTGTGCTAGGAGCGGCGTCAGGCGATTGCACGTGGCGAGTTCACCTCGTCGATCATAGACGTGAGCTGGCCAAGTCGAGTGGTAGATGTCTTGGTCGGCAAAGACCAGTCGCCTCCTCTGCGTCGGTGGCGATGTGACCGACCGCTGACCGGTTGGCGAAGGGTTCATCATGAGAGACAGTGTCGGCATCGAAGAGTTGCTGTGGTGGCCCATGTTGCTCGTTGGACTGGTGCCAACATTGGGCCGGGCATTTCGCTCCGTGTCCTGGCTCTTCCTCTCTTCTGACAGGCTCGCACGCGGGACGCCATCGACGCGGTCTGTCGCTGCCGTCGTTGTGCTCAGATGGGACATTGGAGGAAGAGTCCCGCCGCTGACGGCCGACTGAGGCGCGTCGTAGCTGTTGGCCCGAACGCGACCAGCGAAAGGTTTCTCGTAAGATTGCCCCGCAGAGCCATCTGACATGGGCGATGAGATTGGAGCGGCAAGGTTGTCGCTCGACGCGCTGTTCTTGAGGATGCCTTTGACTGTCTTGATTCTTGCCGCCGACTCGCGGGAGCGCTCAATGCCTTCTCCCCAGTGGCGAAGGCTGTCCGTTTCGAATTCGTCACCCGAGTCGTAGTCGCCCGTTGCGCCCGGCATGTGCGGTGGCTCTAGCTCCTCGTCGTCAAAGGCGGAATCGATGCTTTCGTCATTGAAGCCTCCGGGAATGGTTGTGGTGGGGACTGCGCTACCCAGCTGCTTCGGCGGAACAGTGCTGCTGCCAATGGAGGAAGCATAATTGCCGTCATAGGGCGAAGCGGCCTCTTGCTCGGGCTGGCCCTCAAGATATGACGTGGGTACAGTCTCGAGACCAGTGGGAACAGTGGCCTGCTGAGCCTCACTGGAAGAGCCGAGAGAGCCAACGCCGAGCTTCTTGCGCCAGCCTCGCTTGCTCTTGAGCCTCTCCTTTTCCTTTTCGATCATCTTTTGCCGGCTCTCGACGACATCATCCGTCGTTTTGTTGCCTTTGCGTAGGCTGTCGCCGTTGGCGCTGGCAGCGGTAGCGGCAGCAGCGGCGGCAGCAGCAGCAGCAGCCGCCGCTGCGGCTCGCTCCCTCTCCAGACGTTCTTCTTCGGCCTGTTGACGCATCTGCAACTGGTGCTGCCGAACGTACGAGGCCGCAGGCGTCATGCCCGTGTCGGCATTGAGCGAAGAGGAGGACTCGAGTTCCACGGTGGCATGAGAGACAGAAGCGGCCACCGGTGCGCCTTTCTTGGCTTTTGACTTGTCCTTTTTGCCGCTCGAAACCTTGACGGGCGATTCGTCAGACTTTTGGCCACTGCCCACGGGAGGCAGGGCACCAAAGTCATCGTCGTGCAGCCCGTCCTTGTTGCCCTCCTTGTCCTTGTTGAACATGTTGGTAAGGCCCATCAGACTATGCCGTCTTGCAATTTTGCCAATGTTGCCAACCTTGCGCAGCATCACCGAGGCACTCGACACGGTAGAAGAGATGGAAATGTTGTCGGTGGAAGAGTTGAACTTGCGGTTGAATAGGCTCCGCTTTCCAGAGCCAGATCCAGCAATGGGAGGGCGGCCGCTTCGGCGCGAGGAGATCGACGCGGCCGACGAGGAGCCTCCAGGTGGTGCGCCATTGTCGGGAGTCCTGGGAGGCGAAGTGGATCGCGTAGAGCCGGTCGAGCCATTGGTGTCGCCCGATGAGTTTGCCTGGTATATTCCCTCGCCCGGGCGGCGTGGTAAGGCGGCGGCATTGCCTCGCCCTCCATGCGCCTTGTCGGGTGCCGCAGCTGCTGCCTCGGCCTGCTGAATGTCATTGAGCGTCGAGAAGGACAGAGCCTTTCGAAGCTTGTTGGAAAAGCCCTTTTTCTTGTCGCCTGGCGTCGGTGTCGTCCGTCCTCCCTTTGCATTTTCATCGTCGCTTCCACCATAGACGGCCTCCGCATCGTCATCGTCTTGTGTCCCCGACTGACCGTTCCTGCCACTACTCGAGAGCGGCGATGGCTTCTTTCCGGCAGAGACGGTGGCAGAGGCCGGCGTAGGCGTGCTTCGCCCGGTATCGCGGTCTTGAAGCGAGCTTCGGCTCGACGAGAAGGACTCTGTCCGACGATGGGGTAGCGAGACGCCGTTGGAAGACATGATACTGCGATCGGAGCGCGAGCTATCGGTGCGAGCGGCAGCGTCTGGTCTCCTTGGCAAGGAGGCGTCAGACGCCATCGCAGGTATCGTCGGTCGCAATTGGGGAGATCCGCGGAGATGGGAGAGCCCGGCCTGGTTTCGCATGGACCCGCTAGAGGTGGTGGCGCCCGATGCGACTGAGGAGTAGGATAGAGGCGCGCTGGAAGGCGAATTTGTGCTCGAGGACCGCATCCGATGGGGTTGTGCTGGAGGCGTGAGCTGGGCGTTTTGGCCAAATTGAACCGGAGGCGCGGGAACTACGCCCGAAGAGGCATCGGAAGACCGTGGCCCGCGTCGGTATGGATGATAGCCCCCGCTGCTCGACGAAGAAGAGGGAGGCGGCGAGGATACTGCCGAGGGCGGCATGGCGCCGGGGGGAAGGCCACCTCGGGCCTTTGCGCCTCCCTGGCCGCCTGCAAACGACACAGCAGGATAGTGCTGCATCGCCTCGGTGTATGTGGGATGCGATGAAGGTTTTTGGGGACCCGATGTTGTCCTTCGCCTTCGGCCGTCATCGCCCACGTCGCTTCTCGAGTTGACGCTCAGGTCGCTGCCACCGCCTGCGACTTGGCCACCGTAAAATTGGCGGGCCTGCGCTGCGAGAGAGTTTTGGTACTGGTTCCAAGCAGCCTGGTTGCCAAAGTACGGTTGCCCGGGTCCCTGACCGCCAAACGTAGGCATGTGTGAGTAGTGCTACAAGGAGGCAAGCATGACGTCAGTTTCGCGCGAAAGAGAGGAAGACAAGGAGGGCAAGACGCTCCTCACCTGTTGCTGTCCATATCCCGCGGTGGCCGAAGGGTAGCTTGGCATTGGTGGAATGGGATACTGCTGGTGCGACGGCGAGGGTTGCGAGACGGCCGAGGGGGGAAGCGAGAAAGATCGTTGAGGGTCACCTAGCGCCCCTGCTGCTGCTGCATACGATCGGGGCTGCTGTGCTGCCGCACCTGTTGCTGCTGACCATGACGAAGAGGGATTCGCTGCAGATGTAGACGAAGACATCGACGTCGACGTCGATGCAAGTGGTGCTGATTGCGGAGGCGAAGATCCACTCGGTGGTGCGTCGAGGTTGCCAGATGCGTTCAGCGGCACCGAGGTGACACCCGTCGTTGCATTACCACTCCCGCCAGACGGCGACGGCGGCTCGTCGAAAAGAGGCGACGACGGCGGCGGTGACCAGTTGAGCGCAAGCGAGACGGCCATGGTGGACCGATTAACCGTCTGTAACCTCTGTAGGCGTGGACAGGCAGTCACGTCAGCGAGGGTGTGGGAGATAGAAACACGAAGGGGGAGAGAGAGGAGAGGGGAGAGAGAGAGAGAAGGCACAGGGCGCGTCCTCCGTCTTGGACGCAATGAGTGAGAATGGAAGCGCCTTTGGTTCTACCTGCGTATCACCGGCGTCGCTCACTTCCAGAAGGACAGAGAGTAGGGGGTAGCAGGGAATAGAAAGAGCGCCGGGTGCATCCGTCGCTAAAGCTTGGAACTGACTCGTACCTTTCCGGACGGCCCAAGAAGGCGAGATTGCGAAGATGGCTCTCTGTCCGAGGGGCAAGAGAGCCTCAGGCCGCAACAGGAGGAGAGTCGGGGTCGTGAATGCGTCGCCTGCCTTTTCCTGCGATCGAGAGCTCGGACCGGAGCGGCCTTTATCTATGGCAAAGGCGCAGGCGTAGATGGAGAAAGGAGAGGGACCGAAACAAGAGAGCCAAAAACGGAAAAAGGGGAGGAGGAGGAGAAAAAGGTAGGTGGCCGCCGCGAATAAGACCAAGAGAGAGAAGAGGCAAAGCGCTGTAGGAAGGGGTTTCGACTTGGAAAGAAGCGATACAAAATCAAAATCTCGCCAGCCAGTCAGCCAGCTATTTTAGTTCTAAAATCACCTGCCTTTTTACAAGAGAATTTCAAAAGTGGACAGATACACACACACCCAACGTTTTCGTCCGACCTGGTGGAAATCAGGCCCGAGCGGCGGAGGCAGCCAAGGAAGTCGATAGCCTGTACGCCTGGAGAAATTGCTGGCGCACAGATGGGACCGCTTGATCTACTACGGCCTCCTACGACACTAGCTACTACTACTACTACTACTACTACTACTAGCTAGTGCATCCTTTGGTCTGCAGCCCCAAAACACTAACAACACCACACAAAGGTAAGACGAAAAGCACGACGTAAGAAGAATTTGATGAAAAGTCAAGGCTTGGCCCCTTCTGGACGAAAGGGCCTTCCGCCAAGTGCAAAACGAACTAAGGAGCGCGCGCTCTGATTCAAGAAAAGCTGCAACAGCCACCAATGTACACTGTCCACTTCAAATCTTCGGCAGCCCCGCAAACCCGATGTCATTATTATAATTCGTGGCATCATATGTGACCGTCGGGTCTCTCCCTATCATGAGCCCTCTTTCGACTTCTCGATCGAGCTCTTCTCGAACGAAGACGAAGTCTATGCCAAGAGTGCAATATCGGAGTTGAAGTAGACGACACGGGCGACGTTTGCATGGCGTTTGAAAGGCCGGCAGGTGAGAAGCAGCGCGCCGGCTGGAGAGCTCATGACAGCTGGACAGGAGCGGTCAGCCAGCGCGGCCTCCAGTCAACAGAGCAACCCAAGCAGCAAATTATTATTGCCAATAGACATAGAAATCTCCGGCTTCGGGAGCCTTTCGTCGGAATCTCTCTCCGTCGGGTCTTGCTTCCTTTTTATCCTGCTTTGAAAGTGTCCGTGGCTGAGTAGGGTGCCAGGTCTTGGGCACGTGACGTTGGTAACCATTGGGGAGGTCAACTTCGAACATACCGCCAGGGTAAAGAACATCATCACCGCCACAGCCAACTGCCTCTGCTTCGACTCTGCTAGCTGTACGCCGGCTGCTGCGCCGCTGGTGACTTGACTAGCCTAGCAGACTTGCCTTGCTCACGGCTGCAGGCCAGCATCCCTGGTAAGGAGCGGCACGACACGTCACACGAGCGGGGTCGCTTGCGCATATAGAGGAGGTCCTGAACAGTCATCAAATGCACCGTCAGTGATGAGTGGCCAGAGCAATGGAGCACCGTCGACGACTGCGAAGCCACCGCCTCCTTTCCGGAGGGGAGCAGTCGTGGTCAAGACGGTCAAGCGAGCGCCCGCACCGCAACCGCAGCCTACTTCAAATTTGTCCTCCCTTTCGCAGCCAAGGAACGCGCTTTCGGAAGAGTATCGAAAAAGGATTGAAGACGACCGGCGCGAAAGAGAGCGCAAGAGAGCAGAGGCCGAGGAGGGGGCTCGAAGACGTGCAAAGGACGAAGAGAGGCTGAAGAGGAAACGGGCAGCTGCGTCGGAAGCGAGTGGTGAAGGCAGCAAGAGAAAGACCAAGGCAAAGAGGGCTGCTGAGAGCGACGAGGATGAAGATTTGGAAGACGATGCACCCTTTGCACCTTCCTCTTCTGCTCGAAGTCCCTCCAAAAGACGCGGTGGCGGAGTTGCCCGGGTGACGTCGAGCCCTGGCGATGGATACAAAAAGCTGGGACGGAGCGGCGTCGAGCCCTACTACCTAGTACCAAGAGACGTCATGGACGAGATCTCCTTTTCCAGCGAGGAATTGCCACTGCCAGGTCCAATTCAGAGTGCAGAACTGGTAGCAAAATCAAAGGGTTACGGCGCCTTCTTCCAAGGACTCACCGATGATGCCCAGGTCACACTCGAGTACCCGGCTCAGGGTGCCTCGGAAACCTTCTCGCTTCTAGTACCCAAGGATCCTGACGAATACGATCCCATCTCAGACCTCCTTCGGACAGTGGCGGTGATAGTGGGCCACTACCTTACAACTGAGCAGAAGGAGCTGTTTGGCAGCCTCGACAGCCTCGAGGTCGGCAGTGCTGCAGGAAACCTCCTCAACCGCGTCCGTTCAAGAGAGGGCTCGACGGTGACCCCCTCGTCGCCTTCCGAGGGCGGCGACTCGCATGTACACCCGACTCAGGCCTTTTCCCGAGATTCAACGCCCAGCGGCATTTCAGCCACTCTGCTTCCATCTGCGCCAATGTCGCCCGTCGCAAAGAGCGCTATCATGGCCAGTGCCACGGCGGTCGCTTCTTCGGCCGCTTCGGGCATGCCGAGCGTCTCTGTCTCGGCTCCTGCGACGGCGGCCGCTTCGCCTATGGTCAACACTGCGTCGTCGACGTCATCTTCCTCCTCGGCTGGAGAAGACTCTATCCTCCGCTCCTTTACCAAAGCTCGCAATCGTCGAGATGGGCCCCTGTTCGTGCGCACGGTCGAGCGCTTCAATGCCGCCCTGCGCTTGCTAAAAGAATCGGACAAGATAAAGGAGACGGTGTCCAGCTGGGCCCAGCGTGGCATCTCCGAGGCAGTCTGGCGGTGGATCCAGGAGCAATGCTATGCGAGAACCGTTGGTCCCAAGGTGGAGGATTTGGCCAAGTATGAGGCGTTTAGTGACAACGTCTATGGCGAGCTGCTGCCTCGCTTCATGTCAGAAATTGCCCAGCTGACTTCGTTGGGCCCCAACTCGGTCTTTGTGGATCTCGGATCGGGCGTTGGCAATCTCGTGATGCAGGTGGCTCTACAGACAGGTGCGCACGCCGTTGGGTGCGAGCAGATGGTCAGCCCAAGCCACTTGGCGAAGCTGCAGCTCGAAGAGGCCAGGGCGCGCTGGAAGGTATGGGGCGTCAAGGGTGGCGAGATGGACGCCTGGCAGGGCGATTTCGGCGAGGATGAAAGGATTCGTGGCAAGCTCAGAGAGGCCGATGTCGTCCTTGTCAACAAGTGAGCTCGACTCAATAGTGTGATGAGCTTCCATTCCTCTGGCTAACCGCTGCCCTTAAAGCTACGCATTCACGGCTAGGACAAACGACAAGCTGAGCCTTCTCTTTCTCGATCTCAAAGACGGCGCCCAGGTCGTCTCACTGAAGCCATTTGTGCCTCCAGACTTTCGGCTGACGGAGCGCACGCTCTCGAGCCCTCTGGCCATCCTTCGCGTCGCCCAACGGGCCTACTCGACAAACTGTGTGAGTTGGGCAGAGAGCGGCGGCAACTACTACATCCACACCGTCGATCGGACTCTCGTCGCACGCTTCTTGGAAAAGAGGGGTTTGTGAATGTTGCCTCGAGCCGCACTGTCAATCCCTCGTTCTGTATCCCTTCTGCCCCGTCGCTAGATGCATCACCAGGTCAACTCTTTCCACCTCGGAGGGGATGTGCCCTGCCGACCTGCCACTACTATCATTACTGCTGTCACCACCACCACCACCATCACCACCACCACCCCTGCTCCTACCGCTGCTTTCGCACGCTTGCATCTTTGTATTACTTTTTGCCCAAACTCTGTCTATTCTAGAAAAAAGCGATGTAGTCGGGAAGTCTGTCAACCGGCCTTGACACCCCGCGCTGTCGCCTCTTGGACAGCCTTTGCGGCCCCTTGATCCGTCCGCTCCCTTCGGACCTTGAAGCCGCCGTCGGCGAGGTGCTGCTTGACCTCGTCGATTGTCATTTCCTTGCGATGGAAGACGCCGGCAGCCAGCGCAGCCTCGACACTGGTCGGGGGCGATGTCGAAGCGGTGGCTCGAGCCAGCGGCTTTGGCTCAAAGACATCTCGGAAATGCACGGGCAAACCTGCGCCAGAGCTGGCAACGACGGGAATGCGCACGCTCGCTCTGACGAGATCGATGAGGTCCCGGTCGAAACCCTGCCCCTTTCCGTCTTGGTCAATGGAGTTGACTAGGATCTCACCGGCGCCCAGGGTCTCGACGCCCTTCGCGAGCTGGACGACATCGATGTCGCGATCCTCTCGTCCGCCCTTGATCGTGCACCGGTACCACCACCGCTTGCCATCTCGCTCGACGACGCTCGGTCGGTGCTTTTCGTCGACGTGCTCTTCTTGCTCGAGGTACACCCTCCTCGGGTCAATGGAGACAACGACGGCCTGCTTTCCGTAGGCCAGGCTGATTGTCTCAATGCCCGTCTGACCCGTCTTTGTGCCACCACTGGCGAGAAGCTCCTCGACGGCGAGAACAGCCTCGGAGCCAATCGAGACCTTGTCGGCGCCGGCACGAAAGTACTCGTCGGCTACTTCGCGCGCAGAGTGCCTTGTCCCGTCGGGATCGACGCTGTCCTTGATGCCTCCGCCGATTGTCAGGGGCACAAAAACGCTCTCGGCGGCAGCAGCCACGACGGCCAGCATCGGTTGGTCCTTCAGGGGCGAGTTGCGAAAGGAGGTGATGTTGAGGAAGACGACTTCGTCGGCGCCCTCGAGGTAGTATCGCATGGCCAAATCAACGGGCTTGCCCAGGTTGCGAACGGCCCGTTGCCCTGACGACGAGGCGGCCGCATTCGACTGTTGTTGTTGCTGCTGCTGCTGCTGCTGGTGCTGGTGCTGCTGCTGCGCCTTTTCTCGCACGTCGTATGACTCACCCTTTGTGACGACGACATCGCCCTCGTCGTTGCTTCGCACATCCAGACAGGCCACAATCCTTTTGGTCAGTCCATCTGTGCTCCTCGGACGGCTTGCGTCTTCGAGATCGACAAGCCATTGCGCATCTTTCGATGCTCCCTCGCTCCCTCGATCCAGCCAGGCCCTCAGCACCTCGAGGCCTGCCCGGCCGCTCTTCTCTGGGTGAAACTGTGTCGCAAACACGTTGCCTCTGCTCACACTGGAGAGAAACACCTCGTCGCCGTATTGCGTCGTCGTCAGAGCCCACTCGTTGTGTTTTGTTGCATCAAGCGCGGCACGATACGAATGGACAAAGTAAAAGTGCTGCGCCTCGTCATCGCCGACGGAAAAGCCAAACGAGGCAGCGTCCCTCCTCAGGCTTCTCGCCGTGTTCCAGCCCATCTGCGGCACTGTCTTGCTCTCTGACGGGGTGAAGCAGTCGACCTGACCAGGCACGATGCCGAGACCAGCAATGCCGGGAGCCTCGGTGGAGGACTCAAAGAGGGCCTGCATGCCGATGCAGATGCCCATGTACGGTTTTCCCGATGCGATGTAGGCCTTGAGCGGCTCAGCATAGCCTTGCCTCTGCAGCGATTCCATCGCCGGTCCAAAGTGACCCACGCCGGGAAAGAGCAGTTTCTGCACTCCAAGTCAGTCGCAAGCCGATAAGGCGAGGGGCCGCATGTACCGTACTCACATCGGCCTTGGCCAGGTCCGAGGGTTGCTTGACCCATTCAAAGTCGTGTCCAAGCTTTCGAATCGAGTTTGCGAGGCTGCGCACATTGCCGGCCCCATAGTCAAGGATGTAAAGCATCCTGCCCCTCTTGTTCGTGGATATCGTTGCTTTGTGAAGCGGTGAGACGGCTTCTTTGACTTCTTCTCGAGTCAGTGCCCAAAAAAAAACCAGAAAGAAGGAGCAAGCCTCAGCCTTTGGTTGGCCACGTGAGAAACCAGTGTGTGTGGAGTCGATAAAATGCACACAAACACTAAAAGACGATATGCCCAGGCCACGCCAACCGGCACGCAGCACGATAACGGCAACGAGGACGGCGACGACGGCCCGCTGGTGCTTCATTTCCCTACACCTGCTGATGGACAGGAGGCAAGGGGTGCTGCTGCTGCAAGATGAGGTGAGAAGGTCCGGCGATACAGAAAGAGCGACAAGTGTGCCCCGCTGACATGTCCGTGCGCGTTCATTGTTCAGACCAATTCAGCTCGTCAGTGACGAGCCCAAGACGATACCTGCTCGAGTCTGGATCCAGCACCCGCAGCTTCGAGACCTCTTACAGACAGCAGGCAGTAGTAAAGAGAACCGCGGCAAGGTCCTCTTCGTCAATCGCTTCAAGGTCGAGTGCGCCGATTTCGATGCTGGCCATGGCACTGGGGATGGCGATGATGATGGTGATGGTGTCGGTCTCGATGGACGTGGTAATGTCACCCGCAAGGAGCCTGTTTCGACCTTTTGCACCTTGGACTTCCTTGCGGTCTGTTTGACAGCTGCAGAGGGGCTAGTCGCTGTCGGAGGGCAACAGTCGGAAATGGACATTCGACCGCTTATGCCGCTGCCTTCCGCTGCTGCTGCCAGCGCCTCTACGGGCAGCGCCGGGTGGGAATGGGCAAACGAAGATGGACTGGCTTCAACCTCATCGTCGTCCTCGTCAAGACTGCCCCCGAGATGGCACCTTCGCACACCGACGGGTGGGAGCATCAACAACAGCATCTGCATCTACCCGGATCTATCGCCACCCTCTGCGGCGCAAGCAGGACCCTCGTCTTCATCTTCTCTGCACAAGCGGGCACGCGGAGAGGCAGTAAACGCTCGTAACGGAGAGCCAGGCTCCCGGTTCTGGCGGCGAGACGACCCTTCTGGTCGAGTCGAAGGTGAAGAGGGAAGTCTGACCAATGGTCCAGGATCGGCGATGGAGGTAGACGGAATGCATTCTCGTGGCAACTTTTATGACGACGACGGCGGGGACGACCTTGGTGCATTTTCCGGCCACCGAGATGAAAAGTCAGCTTTGAGTATCGCAAAGAGGAGCGCAGAAGAAAGAGGAGGAGTAGGGGGGGCAGGAGGGGGAACATTGGCATTTGGCGCCGTCGTTTCGGGAGCAACAGGTCCGTCTCGGGAAGCAACCTCGTCGTCCGAAGAGGAGAGGGCAAAAAGCACGGTACGCGTGCTCGTGAGCAACAATGACCAGAGCGTAAAGGCATTCCGACTGCAGCCGCCAGTGGGGATGGGGGCGGGCACATCGAGCAGCGGAGCCATCATCGACAGCAGCGCCCGGCCCTTCGTCTCATCGTCAGGCACACCACCTCAGGCATCTTTGACTGGAGGCACAACCTCGAGCAGCGCAACCAGTGGCTTTGGCGAACGCATCGAAAAGAGCCTGCCCGTCATCTCTCGAACAAAGACGGTCAAGTTCCCGACGTGCGTCAATCACTCCTCATTCAGCCCCGACGGAAGGCATCTCGTCTGTGTGGGCGACACCCCGGAGGTCTTTCTCTTCCACGTCGATTGGCCAAAGGGAGACCTCGTCGAGATTGCCACCTACACTGCCTCATCGGATGCCTCCTTCTCCACCTCGTGGTCTCCCGATGGGCTGCAGTTCGCCGTCGCCTCGCAAGACGGCATTGTCTCGGTGTGGGACGTGCGATCATCTCAAAAGATTGCCACACTCACAACGTCGCAAGACGCAAACCATCTCTCGGGCGCCGGTGCGGCCAGGGTAGTCAAATGGAGTCCGCGGGGCGACATGCTGGCATATACTGAGCATCAAAACTACTTTCATGTCGTCGAGACGACAAACTTTTCGGCTGGCCAGAGGATCCACGTCCCGTTGGGCACGAGCGGCAGCAGCAGCAGCGCCAGCCGGCATCCTCACCACTTTGCATATGGCAACGGACCGCCTTCGTCTGCTCATCGAGGCGCCTTGCCACAGAGCCGGCCCCGTTCGATTGGTGGCAACAGCATTGGCGATTTTGTCGACCTGTTTGGATCCTTGCCCAGGTACTCTTCGAGCCTCCGGAACTCGACCACGAGCTCAGCAAGGACTGGCCGGCTTGGTGGAGCCGAGCCTGTGGATTCAACGACGGCGACAAGGAACGATGAGAGAGAAAGCGGCGACGATGGCGACGATGGAGCAGACGAAAGGTCGAGGCCAGCGGCAGCCGCCAGTGACCGGGATCGTGTCTCCGCACCGACGAGATACGAGGCAGCTGGAGGCCTCGGGGTGGGAGCAGCACCGAGGGAGTCGCCCGAGTCGGGAGCTCGACGAGCTGCAGGGACATCGGCAAGGGGCTCGCCCGCAACGAGAACCAATCACAGTCCTGGATCAGTGACGGCACGGGACAGAGATCGAGAGCGAGGTCCTGACCGAGACCGAAATCGGACCGGAGACGGCGATCGGCACGAATCTTCTTGGCTCATGACGGAGGCGAGGTTGCTAGCTGCTGCGAGGGCAGGTCGATTTGCAGCCGAGACTGACGAGCATCTGTCGGCAACGGTGAGCCAAACGAGCGCTTCGGAGACAGCGACACACTCGACGGGCCAGACTTCAATCACACCTGGCGAAGAGCCATCGTCTGGCAACGATGGGACACCACCAGCCTTCCTGGCCCGGTCCGTAGAAAGCATCATTCAGTCTCTCGGCGCCTCGTCGAGAGAGAGAGACGTGTCCCCTGCTGCTACTGCGGCCGCCTCGGTGCGACGCGCAGTCATGGCTGCAGGCGACTGGCCCCCTTCCTCGAGCTCGGCCAACGTCCGGCGAGATCGCGAGGCGCTCTACCAGCAGCTCTCGAGCAGTGCAGCGGGCCCTCCGCCAGCAGCGGCAGACATAGACATTTCTGGACTTGCATGGGACCCGCTCGGAGAGTACCTCTACGTCTCCACCGACTGCCTCGTTGCACGCTACGACGTGCTGGATCTGAGGAGATCGTTTGGGAGCGCAGATCTTCTGTGAACATCCTTGCTCTCTCGTCTCATTTTCGCGACGATGTTTCAGATGCCAGAATTGGATTTTGATGAGATTTTACCCCTCTCTGTACCGGTCTGTTCACTACTGGCAGCAGCAGTAGTAGTAGTAGAACACGCACCCGCTTCTTCGATGAGGACTTTGAGGGAAAAGCCGTTTGCGAATCTCAGAGTGCGATAAGAGAAGCGACCGCGCTCACACAAACATATAGACACACCCACACACAAAGGGAAGAGAGAGAGAGAGAGAGAGAGAGAGAGAGAGAGAGAGAGAGAGAGAGAGAGAGAGAGAGAGAGAGAGAGACCCCGATTCTGCTTTGTGACACCAGTTGCCATTTCACAGTCTACCAGGAAACTAAGAGGACGCTTCCCTAGGGTCGCTGTCCTTGCCCGTGTCTTCTTCCTTGCTTTCCTCTCGGAGAGGAGGCAGCCTTTCCACGTTGTCTGCCTCGGCATCCTGCTTTGCCATCTCTTGCTCAACAATATTCTGCGCTAGTCTAGCGACGGCCTCGCCATCGGCTTCACTCGCTCGCACCGTAGCCTCATTGGCCTCATGCAAGGCCTCTGTCCCTGCGCTCTGTGTCGGTCTGGAGTCGCGCAGCTGCGAGCGGGCCGAGGCAATCATCTGCGAGCCCACCGAGAGTGGAAGGTGTCTGCGGGTTCCAATGTGGGGGAGAACAGGTGAGAACGATAGCAAGAGGGAAAAGGAGGGAGAACAGGTAGAGGAAAACGCACCTGATGAGTTCTGCCCGCATGCCCACGCCCGCCATGGCGTGTATTCTGAGAAACTCGAGCCAGCGATCGACGACTTGGGCGTCTGCGTCCCAGACCTTGATGACGCGCTTATGCGTCCTCCTCTCGAAATTTTCCTGGCTCTTCTTGTGGACAAAAGGGCCCTTGGGTACGGTCCACAGCGACGTCCTGACGGGAAGAGAGGCCGGTCGGGAGAGGGGAATGCCAAGGGCGTAGCCGGCCCGGAGGGCAAAGTCGGTGAAAAACGTCAAATTCTCGAGCGTTCGGCCGGGGCCGTATGCACGCAGCTGGAGCGTTGCAACGTGGTGGCTGTGCGTTCGGGGATGAACCAGTGCTGGCTCGAGTGGCGAAGGTAAGTGCGAGGCGACCGTCGAAGAGGACGTCGACGCAAGCGATGAATCGACCGACGATTTCGACAAGGACGAGGAGGACGAAGAAGAGGATGACCGCGCCAATCGTGGCGTTACGGCTGCCGCACGAGGCGCAGCATTCAGCTGCACTCTTGAGGCCCTCATGAGCAGTCCGCCCGCCGCTTTCGTCGCCATCGTCGATCCCTCTTGAGTCTCACGTGCAAAGAAGGAAAAGGTAGCTGCCGGCAGCTTGCGCACAAATGGACAGATGACCTTTTTTTCATCTGTTGACGCGTGACTTCTTTCTCTTCTTCATCGTGATTGTTTTCCGTGTTCTTCTATCGGTATGCTAACCCATTAATACAGATCGATTATAAGGCCGTGCCACGTGGCATCAACCATTCCCAATTGATAGATATGTACTGTACAGTACTGTACTGTACTCCAAAGTGCAGTTGTGACGATTCCGATGGCTTCGTTTCTTGTCTTTGTTTTTTGTTTTTGTTTTCGAGGGATAAGTCGTCCCCTTGACTAGCTCTACTGATGTGCCCTCTGTGCGCTAATTTACATACGTCGCTGTTCCCCGTCATCGACCGGGTATCTCCTTGACATCGTTGAGCGCCGGCTCTGTCCACACGGCGTGTACTCGAGGCGGCGTGTCATCGTCTGCTTCCACCTCTACCGCATCCTGGCCTTTGAGTTCGTTTGTCCTTACATGCTGTTCTTGCTCGATGCTGGGGCTATTGACAAGTCTGGCCAGATCATCGAGCACCTTGCGATCAATGTCGAATCCAACGGACAATTCGTCGACCTGGCGCTGTGTCTGACATCGCTTTCGCTCGTCGAGGAGCTGAAGAATACTATGAATCGAGAGGCGATTTGTCTGGCTTCGACCGGCCGCCACTGCATTCGCCGTTTGGCCTTGAACGCTGCTTGCATCCTGCGCCTCCTCGTTTTGATTCTTTTCCCGAGCTGCCAAAATGTTGAGCATCTCGTTTGATGATCGGAAGTTGATTTTGCCCCGAGGTACCTGCACCGGACCGAGTTTCTGTAGATTAGCCATCAGCTGCGGGTCTTGCGAGTCCTGCTTGATGGAATGCGACTTGTTTTCACTAAAGCTGGGGTGAAGCTGCTCGGGCAAGCCTCGAGTGAGTCTATTCGAAGGTGGTGCTGCAGCTCGAGACACACCGGGCGCCCCCATGGGCTGCGAGCTGACCGTTTCTTTTCCCAGCCTTCTCAGTGGCTTGGAACTCGAAGAACCCATCGCTGCCCGCAAAACTTTCACTTGCGGGAGAAGTGAAGACTGAAGGTGGCGATACCTCGACAGGGGTGGAGGTAGAGAGGACCACGCGAGAGATTACTGATGGATGCTGCCACGTGCGGAGAGCAAAAAGCTTCTAGTATCACCGCCAGTCCGTCTCCACGATTCGAAGGGCTGCTTAGGATTCGCTCAATCTGCATCGCCGGCGCGGCCGAGCACGCCACCTCGGGCCCGGCTCAACTCAGTCGACGACTGCGAGCACGCCAAGCGCCCAGAACAGCGACCTATATTAGTAGATTGACGGTAGGAAATGCACCGTGAGATGCGAGCGCAAAAAAAAAAAAAAGAAAAAAAAGCGTAAGCCACGTGGGGTGGAAATCGATCACGGTTTCACGTGTCTCTTTTTTTTGGACCAGTCAATCGCACTACTGTGGCTTGGTCATTTTGCGTGCACCTTCTCGTCCTAGGGTCCTTCTCATTGCTCCCCGCACCCACGCTACGCCAAGATACCGCTTTTCAATCGTCGGCTCGACGGCCATCTCTTGAACGCGAGGCCGGAGAGCCACAGAGGAGACACACAGCAGAGCTAAAGCAGTAGCGAAGAGCGCATGCCGTGCGCATATGTCGACCGGTGATCACAGTCACTGAATCCCCAGGGATACGTCGCTCAATAGATATGAATTCGGCCGTCAGTAATTCAGCCCCGGCAGCAGGCTCGCCCCCCCGTACAGCTGCGGGTAACATCAGCGCGCATCCATCAAGCACCAAGAAACAGGCGGAAGAGAGGGAGCGACAGCCGAGTTGGAATGGTCAAACAGCGGCCAGCACGCTGCAATCACTCGCCAACAGTCGCCAAAAGACCTCAGGCCCGGCAGCTGAATCAACAATACCAGCAGCAGGAGAGTCTTCATCTTCCTTTTCGTCTTCTACTTCATCCTCGTCTATCGCACCTGTTGCGAAAATCCCTGCGCCAATGACTGCTAAAGCATCGCAGAGCTTCCAAGTGCCTCGGCCTCCTCCCTCGTCTCCCCCAAGGCAGAGCCCGAACAATGCGTCAAAACCAGCAGCGTCGAAGACAGCTCTGCAGACAATCGGGGCCTCGAAACCAGCAACGCCCCCATCGACACTCACGCAAAGCCTTCCCGCTCGTGGAGGAGCCCCTGCACAGCCGCAGGTCGCATCCACGTCATTATCTTCAACTCTGCCACCTCAATCGGGACCAACTCGAAGAGAATCAGAAGGAGGTCGGTCGAGCACAGACACGGGTACAGGCGACGAAGAGGCAGAGGGGGACGCAAAAAATGGCAAGAAGAAGCAGGCCAGAAGAAAGAAGGCAAACAGAGCTTGCATGCATTGCCAAAAGGCTCATCTTACTTGCGATGATGGTGAGTTGGTACAACTCGCGGCAGGGAGTATAAAGGAGACTGACAAACAGGCTGCTGTAGCTCGACCATGTGAACGATGCATCAAAAAAGGCTTGGCTGAATCTTGCACCGACGGCGCCCGAAAGAAGGCAAAGTACCTTCTTGACGAGGACGAGATCAGTAAGTCACCTCCTTTGCTTCCTTGTTCCTTTGAATTGTGCGATCAAGGAATTTCAGACTCACATGATGCCACTGCTTTGCCATTTTCAGTGGAGCTGAAGAGGGAAAAGGAGATAAAGAAGCGAGAGTCAATGGCGTCGACGGGAGGCGAAAGTGGTTTGGACTCCGAGGACGCGGGGCGGATGAAGACGGAGGAGAGCGAACCTTCGTCGTCGTGGCCCAGTAATCCGGCCGCTGCTCCGCCGCACCCGTCCGCCAGCTTGAGTCTAAGTGACCTGCATCGTCGCCAAAACTCCGCGCAGACCCAGCTAGGTGGTTTTACGTCATCGGCCTCCTCGACGGTCGCCCCATCTGCTCTCACCGACGGAGCTATTGTGGGCGGCGAGCCGCAGGAAAAGGGAGTTTACACCAATGCGCCCCTGAGGAATTTTTCGCCTGCTTCGTCTGGAGGCTACAATCCCTTGTTCGGAAGCGAGGCCACCAGCCTGGAGTACAATATGCTCTCGAGCATGCTCAACGGTATCGACCCTTCGTGGCTCAGCGGCAGCAGTCCTGACCAGCAGCAGGGACAGGAGCTGGGTTCGGCGATCGCGGCCAATGGAAGTGGCCTCAACGGTGGCCTGCCCCACATGGGCCTTGACGGCATGCCTTGGCGCTTCGCCACCGATTCCAATGTCCTCTGGCAAGACCAGGCCGACATCAAGTTCCAGCAATTGTCCAATAATACCCCACGCCTTCCTCTCGAACAACTCAAGACTCCTATTCCATCGTCTCACGTTGAGCCTCTGCACCACATGGATTCTTCTAGATTGCCTCAGGGCGTCGAGGACGGCGTGGCAGCATATGACGCTCTCGAGGTTCCGTCACCGCACGGCAGCAACGCTCCAAAAGCCTCGCCTACGTCATCGGGACAGTCGGGGCCTTCGCCTGCGCTGGCGTCCAAGCCCAACCCAAGGGCGGCTGCCGCTGCAGCTGCAGCGGCAGCCGCAGGCCAAGATAAGAAGCCCGATGCCGTGTGGATGGAAAGGGTCAAGCACGTGTATAGCGACCGAATGAGACCCTTTCCTTATACGGAGGGCTATCATTTTCTTATTAAATACGTCACTGCAAAGTGAGCAGACTCCTGTTTTGGGGCGATCGAGGTCGAGAAGCTGGCTGGCTGACATTCCGAATAACCGCAGCCTCGAAAAGGCTGAAGTGCTGCGAATTGTGCGAGCACTCGCCATATTTCGTCCCTCGTTGATCGCGTTACAGATGCCCTTAACGGAAGAAGACGAAATCTTTGTGGAACGGAGCATTCAGCGGACCATCCTCGTGAGTAAGGGTTTTCTCGTCTTCTTGACCACCGATGACGAGAGCCGAAGCTGAAGGAATTACACCCGCGGTCCTCAGGAGTTCGAGAAACTTGTGTCTTTTTCTGGAACACCCACGGTCGTCTGGCGTCGGACCTGCGAGATCTGCGTTGTCGGCGCAGAATTCAGCATGCTGACCCAGTGGTCGCGTGAGCACCTCCTCGGACGCTACATCTACGAATTTCTCGACAAGGGCTCAATTCTCGACTACTGGGAAAAGTTTGCAACGCACGCATTCGAGAACACAGCACAGAGCATGACGATGCAGTGCAGCCTCAAGACGTCGACAGGCAGCATGGTCAAATGCGCAGCTTGCTTCTCCATCAAGAGGGACGTCTTTGACCTGCCCGTGAGTTACCTTGAGCTTTGCGCATCTTTGCTTTGTGCACCATGGGCTGATGAGAAGTGCCCCCCAAAAGTCTCTGATCGTGGCCAACTTCTTGCCCATTCTCAGCTGAGCTAAAGGCAAAGTCGATAGTAGGCCTCCTGGTACCCCCGCTTTCTCAAGTCTCTCTTCCCGGTTTCATCGTGTAGCACTCCGTCTCACCTCTGCATCAGTATCGACGTCTAATAGTAGTTGCGCCTCTCCTCGTGTTTAACCCGTATTAGCATGTCTTCCCCCGATAGTGCCCCTTTTTTCTGCATTGGTGATGACAATTCTGTATCCATCTTCTCTCCTTTGAGTGTGTGGTGCATATGGTGGCTGTTGTCGTTTGAAATGCAGATGCAGAATGAAGTTATGATAACCTCGTAAGAAGGTGGACGAAAATGATACAGATAGGTTTGACGCTTCTTCCCGAGGGCGGCATACGTCTCGGGCTTCACCAGGAAGAGAGTTGTTCTCGCGACAGCGGCTCGGTCTCTTGCTCGTACTCGATCTCCATTTGAGGGCCTGAGAAGAAAAGTCGGAGTTGGCTTCAGGAAAAACGAAAGAAGGCCAAAAGCTGGGAAACTCACCCTTCTTGCCGCCTTTTGCGCCCTTCTTGCGGGCGTCTGCAAGCTTCTTCGAGGGTCGCTTGGTATCATGTTGCGACGGGACGCCCTTACGCTTCTTTCCTGTCCTGGCAGCAGCTTCTGCGTCTTCGCCTTCATCATTATCATCGCCTGCTGATGATTCGCCGTCCTCGTCGGAAAAGATGAGTGGATTCCCGTCAGAATCGTACATGTCCTCGAGATCTTGGTCGTCCTCTTCGTCATCGCTCTCCTCGTCGTCCGAAACGAATTCGCGGTGCCCGGCTTCCAAGTCCTGCGTATCTTCATCGTCCTCATCCGCATCAATGAGCTCAAGCTCCTCGTCGCTCTCCTCTCCCTCGCTCTCCTCGGCCTCCAGGGCAAGGCCTTCTGCCTCTTCCTCACGCTCCCTCTCGCGTCTGCCATCAACGACTCGTCTCCACACATCTTCATTGACATTGAGGGGTGCATCGCCGTATGCACCGCTCTTCAGCCTCTCGAGCAGCTCCTTTTCAATTGACTTTTCCAGTCGGGCCGCCTTGAGCGCCTTGGACTCGCGCGTTGCTTCCCTCCTCTCTGTCTTCTTTTTGATGCCCACCAGCTTCGGCCTGTCGCGCTTTCGTCAGCTCACTCTCTCGGCCACAACAGAGATACTCAGACGACAAGGACACTTACTGCTCTTCCTCCTTTAACCGAATCTTTCTCAGCTTGATGAGATATTGTGTGATCTTCGTCAGGCGCTGCTTGGCCTTGTGTACGACAAATTTACCCCAGTAGGGCAGTTCCTTATCGATCTGCGCCAGCGCTCTCTCGTAATTTTTGTCCAGCCGTATTCTCTCCCACATCCTTGCCGGGCTGTGGCTTCGCTCTGCGGTCTTGACATAAAGGTAGACGATACCGTCACGTTCACGCACCGTCGCGTAGCGACTGTTGGCCAGCGGACACGATTGCCGGTTGCACAGCCCAGTGAGATTGTACTCATTCCTGCAGAAGTTTGAGTGGGTCTTCGTGCCCTGAGGTGCCAACCGATACGAACAAAACTGATGCCCAACAATGGACCAGACGACGTCGTCGGACTGCATGGCCGTCGTCCTTTTTGCCTTGGTGGTACCTTCTGGTCTTTCTCTTTGGAGAGAAGAGGGGGTCAGGTCGAGAAGCTTAAAAAGAAAGTGCTCAAAAAATTTCGGAAGGGATGTCACGTGCAACATTACTGGAGTGGTAAGCAGGAAAGCTCATTCGCTCGCCACTCCTTCTTGCTCTCCTCAGCGACGTTGAGAAGACAAGGGGGGAAATGGGTGCTACACAGTCCGTCACCGGGGCGCCACTCGAAGGGAAGCGCGGGTTTCCAAGCTCTTCTTCAGCACAATCGGAGCAAGGCGACGGTGCGCAGAAGGCGCTCCCATCGCCACTGCTCTTCGCATCTGGCAACAATGGCGCCACCGTCAAGGCACTGCTAATGGCCAGGTTGTCGCAGGGAGAGGAGCCTGTGCTGGCCGTTCATCCGTACTACCAGCCATGGCGTAGCGCAAATCCTTCTTCTCTTGCGCCACCCGCGTCGACGGGAGCCAGGCCGCCACCTCAATGTCCAATGCACGATAGCAGCAATCAAGGCGGTCCCTCATTGTCGGCCTCCAAGCTGAATCCTCTCAACATGTTGCCGAGCTTGACACAAGAACGAGCAAAGGATCAAAAGACGGCTCTCAGTACCGAGCGGGTCCGGTCTTCGATCCCTAGGAGTCGCGACTCGGCGGCGCCCGGTGCAAGCCCCTACGACAAGCCATCTCCGTCGGGCTGTCCTGTCCCGCACGAGCAGCGCGAAGCCATGACTTCCGCCGCAGAAGATGATGGCTCGAAGTGGGAATATCCTTCACCCCAGCAGTTTTACAATGCTCTCGTACGGAAGGGCTGGGAGACGCCCGAAGAGCATGTGGAGATGATGGTGCTCTGCCACAACTTCCTCAATGAGCGGGCCTGGAATGAAGTGTTGGAGTGGGAAAAGGATATGGGCGTGGATGCAGCGAGTGTGAGTCTGGCAAGATTCCAAGGTAGACCGGGAACGATCAGCCCGAAGGCGAAACTTTTTTCATGGGCTGCCATGATTGCGCCAAGCCGCTTCAGCTCGGAGCCACCCTTTGACCGACATGATTGGATCGTCCGCCGGCCATCTGCTTCGCAGGCTGAGAAGCGATCGCCATCAGAGTCGGAAGCAGGGATGGGAGTCACCATACCACCGGCATCTGGGGCGACAGGCGAGAAGAACCAAGGAAAGGAAGTGCGGTATGTCATCGATTACTATTCGGGCCCTGATGATCCAGAGACGGACGAGCCCGTCTTCTTCCTCGACGTTAGACCCGCACTTGACAGCCCAGAGGCTGCATGGGTCAGACTCAAGCGGACTTGGACCGAATGGAAGAGGGGGGAAGGCTCGTCTAGCAAGAGTCATTCGCCATCGACGTGATGTGTTCCTCCTATAATTGGTCCTTTGTATTATCCATGTTTGTCACCATTACATCTCATTCTACCACCTCTCATCCGAGAATGTCAACGATCAAAACATTTTCTTTCGAAGAAGTCGACGACGTCGTGTGGTACGTGAGTGTTCGGTACTGCACAGTACAGTACAGTTCAATACAATGCGCAGCACTTAACTCGTGTCACTCCTTATCAAGGCAGAGACGAGAGTTGTCTTACCAGCCCTAGACCTTGAAGACCGTCCGGCTCGTCGATCGGCTACTGGACCCAAAGAGTGTCCGGCTTGTCGATCGACTCTCCCCTCGTGTATCTCCCAATTTGGTCGGGTTTCGTGGTCTGCCGCTGCGTTCAACGTCGAAGGAGAAGGAAGACGAGGAGCTGGAGCCAGCTGACAGAACGCCGCTCCGCGTGCTCTCTTCGCTTTGAGTCGTCGCCTTACTAGCTGTACTTGCTTGCTTCTCGGAGGAAGAAACGGCCATGCGCTTTCTCCTTTGCCTCGGCGCGATAGGTGCGCCTTCCCAGGCCTGCTCTTCCGGCACTGTTTCGGACTTCATGACGAGGCTCAACGAACCCAACTGAGCTTCTCGTCCCACGGAAGAGTTGGGCAAGCAAATGGCGTACGGCTTCATCACTGCTCTTTCTCCCAGAGTGACGCTACCCACTTTCATGACACGGTCCTCAAAGAGGTGCGTCTGTGGGCCCGAATGCATGTTGACGACAGCCTCATCGCCGAGCGTGACCATGTCGTGCTCAGTAATGTCGTGCGAAAGGAGCGTACAGCGCCTACCAATCTTGACACCCAGCAGCCGGAAGACCATGGCGAGGTAGGGAGTGCCGACAAGAAAGGACGTGAGCACCGGGTTGAGCAGTGACTCATAAGTCGAAGTGACAGCTTCCGAGAGCCAGACCTTGTGCGACCAGAGCGGCCATTCGGCTTGTGTGTACCGGCCCACAAGAATCCACTTCATCGCGACGGTAATGGTGAGTGCAGGAACAGAAAAAAGGAAGAAGAAATAAAGGGGAAGCATCAGAAGCGAGTATACGACGCCTATTCTTGGCCAGGCGTACTCGTTGATCTGCAGGCTGAAGCCAAGGGCGTAGACGACCAGCATGCGAGGAATCCAAATTCGAAGCCCTTCGATCAACAGTCGCAAGAGAATCTGCCTCGTACGCGGTCGGTATAGGAGGTGGTCGGCATGCGTCGCGGTCGCCTTTTGACGTGCGGGCATCAAAACTGGAGGAGTGCCAAAGCAACTCTGACCCTCTTTGAGATTGAAGATTCCGTTCTCATCTCCATCCGACGACGAGAGTGTCTTCTCAGGAGCAATCGATAGAACACCAACGAGGGTGTTGGAAGCCAGTGTGGTACCTTGAGGTATCAAACTTGCGTTCCCGGCAAAGGCCCGAGGTGCCATGGTGGTCTTCTCGAAATGAATGGTGTTTCCGCGGACCGCCGCGTCGCCAAAGAGAACGCCGTCAGCCACAAAGCACTCGTCGCCGATGTCGGCCAGCTCGAAGTTGACGCCTCTGGCCGTGGAGATCTCGGCCCACTTGCCAATTCTGACTCCAAGGGCCCGAAGATAAGGGACAACGTAGAGGCTAGCGTAGACTGGGTGAAGGACGAGGAGTGACATGTCCATTAGGCGATCGACGAGCCACTTGCGGAGGTAGAAGAAAGAGTAGAGAGGATGAGATCCTGGCTTCATAGGACCAAGGAGGAGACGCCGTAGCAAGACGAGCTCGACGAAGACTGCGCAGATGTATGCCAACGAGGCGGGAACGCAGACGACTGCGATTTGCGACCAAGCATGTATGGTGCGAAATTCGGCGACGTCGAACAGCATCAAGCTGGGAAGCTGAGGCGCGAAGTACAGCAAAGGCATTATAAATGCGATGCAGAACATTTGTGCGAAGCCCATCAAGCACGCTCGAGCTGCCGAGGGTCGGCTTGGCCTTCCGAGGTCCACATCTGTCGCTTGGCGCTGGAACCGAGCAGGCGAGCCGTGCCACCGCTCGCCGCGCGGTACCACCTGACCATCAGCTAGCATCGTCAGCGGGTGAAGCTCGCCGGCGTGTTGTACGCGAGCGCCTCCCTCGACCACTGAGTTGCTGCCCAAGTGAGTTTCGTCTTCTATGAATACTGGCTTGAGGATCAGCCTGCCTCGTTCCACGACCTCCACGGCCAGAACGACATCGTGCCCCACAACGACATCGTCACCAATGTGGACAAGGTCCATTGCTGGCCCGTGGTTGATTGAGTCGAGATGACAGTAACGGCCGACGTGAGCACCCAGTGCCCGCAGCATCCCAGCGTACAAAAAGCTCCCGCTGAGGCTGTTTTTATCGATCAGATCGACGAATCGGCTCGCCAACCACCAGCGATAGTAGTAAAAGCCATACAAAGGGTACTCTCCTGCTCTTGCCTGGCCCAGTGCGAGCCATTTGCCCATGATTGCCACGGTTGCCAGAAAGAAGGGCATGACGACAAAGGACATGTAGGTAGCCAGGACGGCCCAACCCACATTGGTGCTCTGCATGACCGCATAAAAGATGAGATAAGGGACGAGCAGTGCGACCGAGTGGACGAAAAAGAAGAAGAGGAGCGCAGGCAGCTGGGCCAATCCGCATAGGATGAATCGACGCTGCGATACGGCCCAGTAGTCGCCGGTCTTGGAACCCGTGGCCATCTTCGTGGTAAATGTCTTCCTCTGTTTTTCTCCCTCTCCATTCACAGAGACATCGGCATCGCCCGCATCTGATAGCTCGTCATTGTCGTCTTGCCTGTCCTCAAAGCGTTTGGCCAGCGCTTCGGCGGTCCTGCATTCGTAGATGTGCTGGAGACCGATGATAGATAGAGGCGAGCTTTTCTGACTTTCTTTGCGGAGCTTGGACACGAACACAGCTGCTGCCAAGCTGTGACCACCGAGATCGTCGAAGAAGTCTGCATTTGGCAAAACAAGCCCACTGCTTGCTTGTTGGGGAAAAACGGCCGCCATGGCGCTAAGCAATACGGCCAACGGGGAGCCTTGTGGAGCGTCTACCGGACCGCTTTTGAAGATATCGTCTTCTGGCTTCCGCTCCTCTGTCCTCTTACGCTCGGATAGCTCTAGGAGCGCCTTTGTATTGATCTTGCCGCTAGGCAAACGAGGCATGTCTTGAGCTTCTAGAATATAGAAAACTTCCGGATGCATATAACCCGGTAACTTCCGTTGGCAGGCTGCACGAAGACCTTTGGTATCCTCGTTCGCGCCTTGACGCAACACGACGAACGCTTCAAGGCGGGCGTGCTCTTGAGTGGTACCCCCCAGGATGACGGCAGCCGTTTGAACGTCTTCTTGTGAGGCTAAAACGCTTTCGATCTCGCCCAATTCAATACGGAAACCTCGATGTTTGACCTGGGTATCGATTCTGCCCAGAAAATGTATCTTGAGATTTGCGCCTATCCGGACCCGGTCACCGGTTTTGTAGAGCCTCTCGGAAGGGTCGAGAGGATGTACGATGAATTTCTCCGCTGTCAACTCGCTGCGCCCCACGTATCCATTGCCAAGGCAGGCGCCGCCGATGCACAGCTCACCCTCGACGTTTTCGCGCAGAAGTAGAGGTTGTTTTAGCAAGTCTCCGCTGACGGTAGCGTCGTCGTCTGCGATGGGCAAGAGAAGGGCGTGGTACGATGGTAAAGGCTTGCCAATTGTGACTGGTTGGCTCGGCAGAAGATCGTCGTACGTGGCCGTAACGGTCGTCTCTGATGGACCGTAGGTGTTGGTAATCCGCAGCGACGGCCTCCATAGGCGTTCGACGAGAGCCGGTGGGCATGCTTCCCCACCAAGGTTGAGCAAACGGATTGAAGCAGGGAGACCATCGTCATCTTCATCGTCATCGGTGACTAGCGACGTCATGATGTTGATGAGCGTCGGCACTGTATTGACTAGCGTTACACCCCGTCTTGCCCACACGCCCTTTGAGCCCCCCAGCCCTGCTACATTAAGGCATTCTGCCTTGGTTCCGATGGCAATGTGCGCACCACCTGCAATGCTCACCCAGCTGGACAAAAGGAAGAAAAGAGCATGTTCAGTTTCGAGGTCTACTACCGTCGTTGGAGGAAGGAAACGCACACTTCTTCGATGAACATGTCAAAGGCAGGGCTGAATCCCTGCCACACGATGTCGGTGCTGGTGGTCTGCAGCACGGTCCGCTCAGAGATGGCGAAAGTGAGTGCTGCTTTGTGCGAAATCTCGATGCCCTTTGGAGTGCCCGTCGATCCGGATGTATATATCATGTATGCAGCGTCGCTCGGCGAAGATTTAAGTTCGATGGGGTGGCTCTGCGCTTCTTGGGACTGCCGTTCCAGTTTCGAAAAGAGAACAACACTGCAATCTGCCTGGATCGAAGAGACAGCCTCGATAGCCGCTTCGTGATGAGCTTCATCGCACAGTAAGACATGAGCGCCGCTGTCGGTGAGACAAGCCGTGACTCGTGCGGCAGGTGCATCGGCATCAAAAGGCAACCAGGTCGCACCTGCTGTGGTCGCTGTCAAGATGGCGATATGTAGCTCGATTGACTTCTCAAGCCATACACCAACAACAGGGCATGTCGAAGATGACGACGAGGCGGAGGGACTTGGGTGAAAAAGGTACTGAAGTGAGAGTGTCTCCGCAAGTCTTTGTGTGATGGCATAGGTCTGGCCGTAGGTCAGTTTGATGAGTCCACCTTCTTCATCAGTATCGTCAACCGAAGACGCGATTGAGAAAATAGTAGCATTGGGTCGTGCTTTAGCCTGATGAGCAAAGAGAGCGGGGAGAGTTGTGACGTCGTCTGGTGCTGGAGGTGCATCGATCGGATCGCCTCGCAACACTCGATTGTCCTCGAGGAATTCAAGCTTAGCCATACTGGGGCAGCGGCCAGAAGACCAAGGCGCTGGGCTCTGAAGGAGGAGGGATGAAGTGGGTGGTGATTCTTCTCAAATGACATCCTCATTTATTGACTTTCTGTGCCTCACATTGGCAACACCAATGTTTGCCGGCTCTTCTCCTGAAGCATGCGCTTACTCTTTGTGTCTAGAAAGCTACCCAGGGTCCCCTGGTCTGCCGTGCCGTGCCGTTCTTGCTCCCCGTCTCCAAAAGAGTGTCGGCACGACCCACAGGAAATGAGGGCGTCAGGCTAAGAATGTCGACATTTGTTTTGTTTACTTTTTGTTCGTCGTACAATGCGATCGGCACAAGCTTTTCCTTGAGATCCTTTTTTCAAACCCAGGATAGATTGTTGTTTCGGCACATTAACAACACCGTGACAGAGAAAAAGCAAGCATGGAGAGACTACAGCTGTGGTCGTTCTCAAGACACAATATAAGCAATGAGTGCACTTTTCATATTTAAGGATGAGACAAAGTTACGATTCGACGGCGCGAACGTGTAGTGCAGAGAGGGCGAACCGCCGGAAGCCCGAACCAACGTTTTCTTTGTGGCTTGCGCATGCAGCGCACAGCCATGCAAAAATCCTACCACCAGTAGACTGCTTCCTTGCCTCCCTTCTCTATTTTCAGCAACCAGAATCAGCACAGAAACGGACAGGACACGTTCGACCCTCGTCGGAATGGCGGCTAGCGCGTGACACTTCGCACTCCGCTCACCGGCGCTTGGGGTACTTTAGACCGTCGGACCCCCCTAGGGTCTAGGGCAAATGAGTGCCACGGGACAAGGCGAAACGCGCTGCATGCACAACTTCTGGATTATGACGCGCTCGGAGCTGCGCAAAGCAGATCGCGACCCTTGAGTCAGCGTGCTCATCCGCTTCTGATCACGTCGGCCAGAGCATGGAGCTTTCAGAAGTGGGTGGGGAGATGTGCGTTGGCGCCCTTAGCGGTGCTTTCAGTCTCGACACTGGTCAGTCTGCAGGTATGGCGTCATGCAATTCTGAGCTTGGAAGCACCAATCAATATGGCGGTGCATTGAGGGACAGTAATCTCGGCTGCGAGATCAATCGGCAGTTAGCGGTAACGTGCGTGGAGAAGGAATCAGTCACCATGAAAAATTTCCGATCATGTCCTTCCACTAAAAGAATCTCATTGCCGAAGATGTCCATCCCTTCTATTAATAATAACAAACTCTTGATTTCAATCTACCATTAAGTGACTTATTTTAAGAACCGGTACCGTGCAGTACAGTATAGTGTTGGAGTATTCTTCTTGCCAGACTTCTTGCCAGACTTCTTGATAACTGTTGGTTGTGTTGTCGCAATTGGCCTTTCGTCGATTCAACTGTGTTAGCAATCGTATGGATTGCGTGACTTCTCGGGCTCGGATGCAAAAAGACGTCGTGTGGACGGTTGCCAATTGAGAAAAAACCCTTAAATCTTCGACATTCGCTTGCGAATAACCTCTTCTTCCGAGGTTCCTGCAACGAGCCTCTCTTGCGAAATTAGAAGCCCTTACGAGCAGTCTCTCCAATGGCCGTAAGTATGCTGCGAAACAGATTGCTGGCTACAATAGGACCGAGAGGTAAAGTCGAGCGAGATGACAGCAGGACAGGAGCAGTCTTTCGTGACACGTGACACGCTAAGCAGATGCCAGAGAAGAGCACACCGACAGCCATGTGACACGCAAGGCCGACAATGAAACGAGATTAACAACGTTCCGTGTCCAAACCTGAGATGACGAAGAGGGAGGGGGAATGAGTGCTTGCATTGGACGATGTCTTGGAGGAAGCAGACCACGGGCATCCGAGCCTGAGACGTAAGCATGGGTCGGGTGCAGCCCATGTGAGCGCCTCGACCGCTCCTCACTCGATGGCAAAGCGGAGATCAAGGGTGAAGTCAATCTAGCTTTCCGCGAGGAGCAGGGCCAGCTCGAAAGCAGGCGAGCGAGCAGGTTGATAGCTTATTGCACGAGTACTACAGCACGTACTACTACACTACTAGCTGACGGGGCGGTCCATGCACGCAGCTTTTGTAATGTAAGATCAAGAACCCCGACGTACTAAACTCCGCCTGTCTACGGCTGTATGGACACGTAATCAAACCAGTGCCTGGTGCGTGCCGTGTATGTTCTGTCTAGATTGTCTCACCTGGATATGCGTGCTACAACGGCCGCACATCACTAGCTAGCTATCTACACTAGCTGTCACGTACTACCTGCCAAACAAAGCGCAGAAGACGAGATTGCAAGCCATGCCAGCCAGCACAAAAGGTGGCTGGTGGCTTACCGCAGGAAGGACGAGCTTGACTATATATCGCTTCCGCCAACTCTTCGTTTATGAGAGGCATCCTCACTATGAGCAGACTCCTGGTTCTGACGATTGCCGACCAAGCAATGATGACGAGCGAATCAGCTTTAAACTGATGCGGCTTAGGAGCGATGCTCCTGTTTCAGACAATGCGTAGGGAAAACTCACATCCGCCATCTGGTGATTGATTGCAAGTCGAGCCGCCACAGCATGTAAAAAGTCCGGCTTTGGCCCGGTAGCGTGCAGATCGCAGCAGTAGCTGGGCGGGTCGGAAACTGGCCAAGACGAAAAGAGAAAAAAATAAAAAAGAGAAAAAAAAAAGGACAGGCTCTGCTCGAGTGCCCTAGCCCTCTTAGAGCTCCTGCTAGCCCTGCATCTATTGCCCATTTATTTTTCATCGCTTCGCGCAGAGAATCTGCAAGACGCGGAGCGAGGGGGCTTTAGCAAGCGGCCCAGGCTGGCAGATGCCTGCCGCTTTCATCCACGTCATCTACTAACCGTTTTATCTTTCACTCTACCCACCTTCCAGCCATCTTCTTCCACCTGCATTCCCTCTGTATCATTGGGACAAGACTGGCGGCGACCAAGGGAGCGCAATTCCTCTCTTTCCCTATCTCTCTCCCTTTGTCGGCTGTTTCCTCTGCGCCGCCTCTGCTCGCCAGAGTGACTCTTTCGTCTTTGCGCGGGCTATCGCTACTTCCCTTTTTGGATTCTTCCACGCGTCTTTTTCTCGGCTTTCGCTCTCCTTTCTCGTCCTTGTCGCTGTGTCACCCTCGCCATCCATCCTTTGCAGTCACCTCCTCTTCGTCGACATTCGTTCGATTTGCAAGGCGGCGAAATCGCGCATTCGTGCCATTTCGCGGGTTGATTTATCTCGGTGCGCGCGCACGGATACTGCGTTTTAGACGAGACAAGTGCCAGAGAAAAGGGTTTTTTCAACGAATCGAGCGCTGCTGCAGCCAACGAGCTAGGTGTCCGACCAGTGCGAGCGAGCGCGAGAGAGAGCGCGCGCGTGTGCCAACTGTGGCCGGAGTGAGAACAGGAGCCAAGCAAGAGAGCGGAGAAGGTCGAGGTCCGACAAGACGAGAAGAAAGCGGCCCGTGTATTTCGGGGGTTGTGGCCTCGTCTCTCTGGTAATTTCGCGTGCTGCCATAACAAGGCAAGGCGGGCGTTGCATTGACCAAGCTCGGAGCTGTGCTCAACTGAAACGCGTCGCCCGCGCCCGTTGTCGCCGCCCTCGCTCCCCTCGTTCCCCCGCTCGTCTGCCCCATCGCCCAGCCGTTCATTCTATTGTTGCCGTCGCTTCCTCATCGCTGTGAACAGCAAGAAGAGGAAGAAGAAGAAGAAGAGGAGGAGGAAGAAGAAGAAGAAGAAGAAGAAGAAGAAGAAGAAGAAGAAGAAGAAGAAGAAGAAGAAGAAGAAGAAGAAGAAGAAAGCGAGCAAGAGCATCACCACCTCTTCACCACAACCGCTGTTACCGTCGTCGACGGCGTCGCCACCAGCCATTGTCGACCAGTGCCTTGCTGTGAGCATGAACACGCATCACCCACACGTCCACCGCGCCTATCCTTCCGCTGGGTCGTCCATGTACGGCGGGGGAGCATCGCCTCAAGCGCCACCGCCGCCTGCTGTGCATGGACCTGTGCCCCAGCAAGGTATGCCGCCTGCACCGCTGCCTCACGCCGCATCATCGGGCGCCTCACCACAGCAGCACTTACACCACTCGCACTCGCACTCGCACTCGCACTCGCAGCACCAGCAGCACCACGGGCAGCAACAGCAACATTCGCATCACCACTCTCACCATGGTGCCCTTCCTCCTCCGCCACCGCCACCGCAGTCGTCTCATCACCACAGTGGTTTGTCGTCGCAGATGCCGCCGCCGCCGCCCCAGGCCAACGGCATCCCTCCGCCTCCTCCCAACGGACCAAGCCCTAGGGTGGTGCCCGGCGCTTCACACCCCCTCGCAGATGGTCCCATGGGTGGCCACGCACCTCCACCGCGCTCTGCTTCGGCCAGCAGCCATGCGCCGCCGCCGCCGCCTCCTTCTCACCATCACCACCCTTCGCAGCAGCAGCAGCAGCAGCAGCAACAACAACAACAGCAGCAGCAGCAGCAGCAGCAGCAGCAACAACAACAGCATCACCTTCACCACCATCAACAACAGCAGCACGGTCACCATCCACACCATCCACAGCAACCGCCGCCACCGCCGCCGCCTCCCCACCATCTTCACCCTCATCACATGGCAGTCGATGTGGCCAACCAGCCCATGTCAACGATGCAGAAGCTGGCACACGCCAATGAACAGACCTGGATCGCGATTGGTGAGCAACACTGGCTCCTCGCTGATCCTCCTGCCGCGCACACTGATCCTGCTCTTTTTCCTCACCCTGCAGGCTCTGCGGCCGAGGCCATGGAGGATTTCGAGAGGGCTATTGCCGCCTACGAATCGGCGCTGCGCCACAATCCTTACTCGATGCCGGCCATGAATGCCATTGCGGGCGTCCATCGTACGATGGATCGCTTTGAAAAGGTGAGACACCGTGTCATCTTTTCCCACAGCCTTGTCTTCAGTCCAATTCACGCTTCCCTCTTCTTCTCCCTCAAGGCTGTCGAGTACTTCAAGCGCGTGCTCAACATCGTGCCCGAGAATGGCGAGACGTGGGGTGCCATGGGTCACTGCTACCTCATGATGGACGAGCTGCAGAGCGCATACATGGCCTATCAGCAGGCCCTCTACCACCTTCCCAACCCAAAGGAGCCCAAGCTCTGGTACGGCATCGGTATCCTCTATGATCGCTACGGCAGCCTGGAACATGCAGAGGAGGCCTTTGCTAGTGTTGTTCGCATGGACCCCAACTACGAAAAGTCCAACGAAATCTACTTTCGGCTCGGCATCATCTACAAGCAGCAGCAAAAGTACCAGGCCAGCCTCGACTGCTTTCGCTTCATTCTCAACAACCCTCCGAGGCCCTTGACGGAGATTGACATCTGGTTCCAGATCGGCCATGTCCAGGAGCACCAGCATGAGTATGGGGCAGCAAAGGAAGCCTACGAGCGCGTCCTCGTCGACAATCCAAACCACGCAAAGGTCCTCCAACAGCTTGGCTGGCTCTATCACACCAGTGACGCCGGCTTCGAGAACCAAGAGAGGGCGATTCAGCTGCTGACAAAGAGCCTCGAGAGCGATGCGAACGATGCCCAGAGCTGGTACCTCCTCGGGCGAGCCTACATGTTTGACCAAAATTACAACAAGGCATACGAGGCCTACCAGCAGGCCGTGTACCGCGACGGCAAGAACCCCACCTTTTGGTGCTCCATCGGCGTCCTATACTATCAGATCAACCAGTACCGAGACGCGTTGGATGCCTACTCGCGCGCAATCCGCATCAACCCTTACATCTCCGAGGTCTGGTACGACCTGGGCAGCCTCTACGAGTCGTGCAACAACCAGCTGTCGGATGCCATCGATGCCTATGCTCGTGCTGCCGAGCTGGACCCGGACAATGCTCGAATTCAGCAGAGAATCTCGATGTTGCGAAACGCAGAGGCGACGGGCGAGGCCATCACGTCTGCCCCCTCGCCTTTGGACGTGCATCCGACCGCATACGCAAACCAGCAGAGTGGTTTGGCTGCTGGACCTCCTTCGGCTATCGGTGGCAGCGGTCCTCCACCTCCCTCTACTGCTGCTGCCGCTGCTGCCAGCGGTGGCTCGGCCAGTGGTGCACCTGGCGTCTCAGGCAGCATCGGCTCCTACGGTAGTAGCGGTGCGGTGGGCAACGGTCCTAGCCTGCATGCGGTGGAAGGGGCCGCCTCGCGCGATTTGCCCGGTCCACCTCAGGCATCCTCACACCTGAGAAGGAGGGACAGCCAGTCGCCAGGAGTACCTGGTCGGGAAAGGGATCCGGTGATCCCCAACATCGACGAAAGAGGCACCAAGCCATCGACGCACACCCAGCTCGGACCCATGCAGCATGCTTCGAGAGGACCATCGCCCCCTCCCACCCAGCATCAGCAGCAGGGCGGCTATGGCCACTACGAGAGGACCTCGCCTCGTGCCCAGGCGTATGGAGGAGGTGGATCTGCGAGATCCTACGACGCCTACGAACGAGAGCGCGAGATTGAGTGGGAACGCAGCAGGAGAGAGCGTGATATGCCTTCCTATCGCGGCGGCGATGTACGCTCCAATGGAAGAGAGTACGAACGTATGGGCGGCGAAGCGGACCCAGGCACCGAGGGCAGCTATCTGTCAGGCAGTCGCGAGGAAGGCGCCTATCGATCGCCTTACCACCATCATCCTCAGCACCCTATTCACCAAGATCTTGTTTCCGAGACGGATGGAGCAGCGTCAAGGGGATCTTTGTCGTCTGGTCAGCGAAAGGCGTCAGGTCCCGGTCGACCGGGCTCGGCGGCAGCCAATCGTAAAGGTATAAAGGACGAAGGAGCAGGCCAAGACTCGGCCTCGTCGCCTAGGCGCAAGCCTGGTCAAGCGGCACCACGAGGAGGCAATTCGACGCCCAGAGGAACGTCTCCGGCTCGCGGGAGTGGACGTGGAACGCCTACCTCTTCTGCCTCTCGTGCAGGCGGACCAGGAAGTGGTCGAGGTCGCAAAGCAAAGGGGGCAACCCCTTCTTCTGAGGGGCCCGCTGCGACTGTAGCGCATACCGCTGGTGCCGCCTCGCCCGCGGCCTCGGATTCGTCTTCGGGGAGCAACCAGCCCTTGGCGGCCTCTTCGGCCTATGCGACATCGTCTCGAGGTGCTGCGCCATCTCGGATCGTCGACGAGGATTACGACGAAGGTGCAGCTGATGCACTCATGGGTCTGGCGGGCGCAGCAGCGGCCTCTGCGTCGTCCTCGCAACCTCTCGGGGCCGCTCAGGAGGCGCAGTCGCAGTCCGAGAAGGGAGCACGACCAGAAGTCGAGGCAGAGGCCGAGGCCGAAGTAGATTCAGAGACAGGGCCGGTCAAGAGTCTCGCGGAGGAGCACTCTTCGGACAAGTCACCTGGCGCAAGGAACGCCGGGGCGGCGAGCGAGGAAAAGGTGGCCGAAGTCAAAGCCAGAGCCGAGGCTGCTGCAGCGGCAGAGGAGCAAGACGCGAGGACCGGCGCCGTGCAGTCGATGCTGGGCAAGCGAGCGGCTGAGGAAAAAGACGAGGCAGAGTCCGCGACAGAAGAGGGGCGGCAGGAGGAGGAGAGGGAGACGGAGCAGCAACAGGATACAGACAAGCCTCGAAGCAGCAAAAAGCTCCGGGGTGATGATCAGCTCAACAATGATAAGGCTTCTGGCGGCGAGGACCAAGAGCAGGAGGGCCCACTCGTGGCAGAGATGGGCGCCGCTGCCACGGGCCCAGACGCTCGGGATGTGGAAATGGCAGAGGCGAATGGCGTAGAGAAAGAGTCACTAGCGCCGAAGCAACCCGACAGTAGCGAAGTCGAGCCGAAGGCGGAGCAGCAGCCTTTCTCGGCTAGAGGCGGAAGGAAGGGCGAAGCTGGGGCCAGTGAGACGCCAGGAGTAGGGAACGAAGACGAGGGTGCGGCGCCCACGACCACCTCAGAAGCGCAAGTTGAGGCCAAAGGAGACGCTAGCAAGGGCGACGAGGACGCACAAAAAGCAGAGGTGCCTGATGCTCAGCTCCACGCGCCTCTTCTTTCATCCGAAGCAACTGGTGATGAGGAGGTAGAAGAAAAAGGGACTGCCAACGACAATGATTCGGAGCCGGAGGAGGGCGAGGTGTCGTAATAGGCTCTTCGTGAGAAAATCTCCCGCCTTGAATTCCCTCTCCCTCCCACCCTCTCGATCTCCTCACTCGTTGTGTCAAAAGTAAAACGAAATCTGTAGAGTAGCAGTCGTGGTCGTAGTAGTGTCCTCAATTGCCCCCCGGGACAACGAGAATGAGAAGGGGGTGTTCATAAATAGCCAATTTGTCCGTCATCCAGATCGATCAGATGTGGCCTCGTGGTCAAACCTGTCACGGATTCTCGTCCGTTGTTCCGCGTCCCTCCACCGAGACGAAGCAGCGAGAAGCGAGAAAACCCCACTCCGACTCCACGTCGCTCATCTCATCACTCGACCAGCGCCAGCGCCTTCCGCCGCTGCCGTCACCCACTTTGGCTTGCCTCCCTCCTCTATTGCGTTGCTGTTGAGTGTCAAAACAAAGAGGAAGAGGAAAGAAGGAAAAGAAAAAAAAAAAAGGTAATCAGCTGCAGGAATGAGCTCGCACCCAAGCGAGTGGACGCCGCCCGTGGCGCCGTGGTCGCCCCTGGACAAGTCTTCATTCGCCTTCGAATCCGTCTCGAAGCGCTGGCCAACGATTTTGGCCTCCTCGATCGATGGCCTTTACCAAGCAAGCTATGCTCTCTCGTACTCTTCCAATCAATCGGCCGTACAGCCCAAGATTGATGAGGCCAAGAGCATCATCGAGAGACTCAGCGGTCTTAAACACGACATGGGCCGTGACAAGCCGCTGGTGCCCATTGGCGAGGATGGTGGAGACAGCACGGCGATGTACGACGAGGTCGTCCAGAGTGAAAAGTACACTTGGTTCACAGCTCCCTGTAAGTGGCTCGTAAACGGTCATCTTGAGATGTAGAGAGGGGCGGGGCGGATAGAGCAAACGCTGACATCGAAAGGACCACTCACAAAGGGCTCTTTTGCGAATGCTACCTCTATCGGCTATTACGCTCCTTCTTCGCCCGCTCGACACACTGGACGACATATGACCCATTCTCGAGTCAGAAGCTGGCCGCTTTCCGATCTTCGGCAGCGGCCATCCATAGCCTGTCAAATGCCGTCGAGGACCTGGTGAAAAAGGCCGAAGTGTCGCAGCAGCAAGGAGGTCAAGACAACGACGAAGCCCTCGGCCTCGTATTTCGTGAATTGGTCCAAACGAGCCTGTGGGGCAACGCAACCGACCTTTCGCTGCTCACTCATCTTTCCCATGCCGACATCCAGGACCTGCAAAAGGGTGGCCTCGGCGCAGAGGCCCAGGCAAAGCGTCAACACTTCATCCTGAGCGGCCTGGGTGCCATTGAAAAGGCGTGGAAAGTGATCCTCGAAGGTTCCTCTTCCAGTGAGAAGCGAGTGGACATAATCCTCGACAATTCTGGCTTCGAGCTTTTTACGGATTTGCTCTTGGCCGACTGGCTGCTGGCGACGGGCAAGGTGCACCAGGTCGTCTTCCATCCAAAGGACATGCCCTGGTTCGTTTCCGACGTCACGCCGGCTGACTTTGCCTTTACGATTTCCGCGCTCCAGTCGCCCAACTTTTTCGAAAAGGTTTCTGCAATTGACGGTGCAAAGCAGCAGGGACAGCCGAGGGAAGCTTCGAGGAGCGTCAGCCGCCAACGCGCGATGCAAGCCGACCCTCGTCACTTTGAAGGCGATCTGCGCAGCATGGACCCTGCGGGAAGTAGGAGGCTCCAAATGAGCGAATCGGACCGAAGGGGACGCGAACTTAGCCCTGCCCCCGCCGGTAGCCGGTCGTTGAAGATGCGCGAGGGCAGCCTCGATGAAAGGGCCGAGGCCGGACGGGCGCAAGAAAGCGAAGAGGCGCAGACGTCGTTGAGGGGTAGGCCCTTGGCAAACACTCCAAAGGGTAGCAGAGACCTCGCCTTGGACCCGAGCTACTTTTTGAGTGCCAGGAGCCGGACCGTGTCACCCTCGAGAAGCTTCATCGTGGACAGCTCGGCGTCGTTTTCCTCGCTGGGAGCAGGCAGCACGAACCCAGTAGGCGAAGAGGCAGCGCGGGGTAGAAGCTTGGCCTCCCACGACTCTACTCCTACCCAGCGCCTCGCGCTACGATGGTCAAAGCACATCGAGACGGGCCGCTTCAAGCTGTCGATGCCTTTCGACTTGCCCCTTGGCGGTTCCCCAAACACGTCGGGCGGGAGTAACTTCTGGACTTCCTTCCACAATTACCCTTCCCTGCCACTCGCAGCGCCCGATCTCTTTACGAGCCTCGAGAAAGCAAGTCTCGTCATTTCAAAGGGCGATCTCAACTATCGCAAATGGACCAGCGACGCGCAATGGCCGTTCAGCACGCCCTTTCACGAGGTCTTGGGCCCCGTCGACGGGAAACTCAACCTTCTGGTCCTCAGAACTAACAAAGCCGACGTCTGCGTGGGCGTGCCAAAAGAGAGGCTTGCAAAGCTTGATGAAGAAGACCCGAATTGGAGGACCAATGGGAAGTTCGCAGTGATGGAGTTTGTGAAGCGAACTTAGGTGAGAGGCAGTCGGCACTTCTGCAAGTGTTTCATTTGTTTTGGGTTTTGGGTGGCGATCAAAAGTTGAACCAATGGCGATGGCCAGTGTTGCGGTACCAGAGAAAGAAAATCGTGTCAGTTCCGAGCGTAATAATAGTTAACGAAGACCAAAAAAAAAAAAAGACAAAAGGTGCTGAGAAAGGATGCTGAGTACGAATCCGCCAGAAATTGATGCAGGGTAGGGAATGGACCGAGGGGGGAAAGTGGCGAGAAAAGTCTATTACGTTGCGAATCTTTCTCCTTGTCGCTCGTTTGACCGCTACAATGACGGCACCGGAGGTCATGATGCCGTATGAGGTGCTTCCCCTTCTTCTTTCGAGGGATGCTCCTGAATTGTCGAAGGAACGTCAATCGATTGGCCCGCGCCTATCTGGTGAAGCGGCTGCTGCGGATAGTGCTGTGGCATTGCCGTCGTTGTGGATTGTGCAATTGGAACGTGCGTCATTGACTGGCTCTGATCTTGCTGCTGCTGCGGCTGCGGCTGCTGACTTGAGCTCTCCAAAGAAGAGCTAGTACTTTCGCCAGGAGGATCTTCAGCCTCGAAGGTTGAAGGCAGACCTTCGAGAGGGCCTACGTCGTTGCTCTCGGCTTCGCTCCCCGCCAAGTGCCCGCCTCCAACGCTGCTGCCGCCACTGACACTTCCTAGCCGGACCTTCGACGAGACTTCTCCCGCGCTCACACCCGACGCGGCTCCTCCGCTTGTGCCAGAATGAGATCGTGAGCCTCGCTGGCTCGCCAAAGGCGTGCCGCCTATGCCCGCACCGCCGGCCTTTGACGTGTTGGCAGGTGCTCCGATGACGTACTTGAGAATGTCCGACAGACACAAGATTCCTACCAGTTTGCCTCGACCTCTTTTTCTAGGTTCCTCTCCTGAGATGGCGGCAGCTGTCGCGGGAGCTGCTGGCCTTTGGCGGGAAGCTGGTGCAGTCGCTTCCTCTTCACGCTCCCGTCGCTGTTGTTCTTCCTTTTGCAGCGATGCGGCCAATGAAGTGACGCCAACACTAAATGGCTCCGGCTCCAAGATGACTAGCCGATGGATCCTGCGGTGACGGAGCAGGCTAAAGATGCTCGCCAAGCTGTCGTCTGGCCCACAAGTCATGACGCCACCAAAGTCTTTCGGGCGGCGTGCCAAGGCCTGACGGATTGTCAGATCGAGCGATTGGTAGGCTCCCGTTCGAACCAAATCAATGACATCGACAGCCTCGTAAAGGTCTACTACGTAGCCATCGGAATCAAGGATCGGCACCGCCGAGATTCCACGTTCGGAAAACATATGAACGACATCGAAGACAGTCGTGTCTAGCGTCGCTGTGGCCAGAGGCTCGTATCGTTGTGCAAGCACTGACGAGGACGCAGGTGCGGGTCCACTTCCGCCGCTGCTCTCTGTAGGCGCGGAGAAATTCTGGCCCTTTTCATCTTCGCCTTCGCCTCCTGTTGGTGTTGTCAGATCTGAACCCTGAGGGGCCAAGGAAGCAGCGACGGCTCCAGGAGATGCGACGGGAGGCATCTGCGGATTCAATGAGAACTGAGATTGAGACTGATCGCTGCTTCTTCGCGATGAAGCCCCCTGACTTGGACTGGCAACGGATCCACGCGCAGCCGATGACGGAGGTCTCGAGGACTGCTGCGAAACAGACGTCGACGCATTGGCAGATCCTACGCCGCGGACCGTCGATACGTAGGTGCCAATGCCCAAAGCGCGTATAGTTCGATGAAGCCCCGCTGTCTCGCGGCACTTGCGAATGACATGGATGTCAGCAGCATGCACCACCACCATCTCCGCGGCAGGCTGCCAATCACTCGGGCAGACTCACGTTCATGGCAATGAACTTAAGGACCCGATACTGTGTAAGGACGCTGATGACCGTCTCCATGCCTGTTTGCTCATCGTAATCGAGTAGGGGCAGCCTGCGAGCGTGCGTTTTGATGAGAAGCTCGCACGCTTCGTACAGGGGCCTCATTGGTTCGATAGATAGCAAGGGAGGTTGCGGCACGTTCAAAGCTTGTTCAATGTCTGCAACGATGACACCGAGGCCGAGAATGAGAAGCAAGTGAGTCGGAATAGATGCACTCAACACCAACATCTTTGTATGTCTGGACTCACCCCTAAGCATCTCCAGCCGGAACCTCTCTACATCCTGAGCCGCATTATCGTAGCTGGAATGGTGATAGTAGTATTGGATGAGGTGGATGATGTCGTTGACGGTGAGCATGCCAGCGAATCCAGCCTTGCCCGGCGGAGGTGCCCCTGCCGCTGCAGCTCGGGCAGCGGCGATACTCGTCGGGCCTTGAGCCGATTCACTGAGGATCACGCTTGGTGAGGGTGATGTCCCAGGCGAGGTCTGACGCAGTGATATTGCCGTCGGCAGCGAAAGTGCATTCGAGGATGGTGAGGCGGAGGAGAGGAGCGTGGGATCAGAAGCAGGTGTCAGCGGCGGCCCAGACCCGGAAGGAGGAGGATGGGTGGAAGCAAGCTCTTCGGCAGGCGCTGGAGCTGAAGGCTCAAATGGGGCCGTCGTTGTGGGCGCCGTGGTCGACTCTGCCGTCGATTGCCAGAGCGGCGCAGAGACGACACCTGGGTGAAGGTCGGTGAGAGCTTCCGGTCAGCGTACAGTCATATATTAAGACGAAGCGAGGGAACTCGCCAGCTTGCCACATGACATCCAAGGCGGGCTTGACGACGAGCTTTGTGTCAAGCACAACGAGACGAAAGCTGACGGGGAGGCCATCATAACTGCTTCGACCTTTGAGAAAGTCGCGAATGCTCTCCAGCGCAGCAGCATGCCGATCCCTCCTTTTCTTCGCAGAGAGTGCAGACGTCGAAGCGCCAGGGACACTCGACGCATTTCCAGGAATCGCCGTCGCAACAGCACCTGGATGGCCGTGCACCTGCCTCCGAGAAGGTCTACGTCCTACACTTGAGACCTGCGAAGCGCTGCTTTGAGCAGAGGCAGACACGGACGATGCACCCTCGCGTGATCTCGAGAAGGAAGTGGCACGATGGTGCGCTTCAGATCTTGATTGCCCCCGCGTGGAGCTTGAAGCATCCGTGTGTGATCCTTGGATCTCCATTGCTCGTCCAGGGGCCGGGAACGTTGCAGAGTCGCCCCTTGACTGTTCGTCGAACGGAGGCGAGTGCAGATTCTTACTTCTGGTGTCGTTGGTCTATGAGGTGACTCCCAGTTGCATTCTCAGATCTAGTCGATTTGAAAGGGCGAAGAGTTGCAGCTCTTGTCGGATTCTAGCTGCCTATTGTAGAGAGATATGGATACTGGGGAGGCGGGCAATGGCCGTCAAGGTTGAGAAGGCTCGCAAGACAGCGTGCCCTAGCGGTATCAGGGAGACACGGGATGTCCTCACAAATCTGGCTGTCACCTTGCGATCTCCACGTCGACGTTTCCTGACGATGATAGCCGCGTTTGTCTGCCGACGGTCAGTGGTGAGGAGCGAAGCAGCGTACTCTGAAGGAAATCAAGGACATGTCGTCGACGACGTTGTCTGTGCGGGGGACTAGCTGGTAATCTTCGGCCGACTTATCTATGATATTACTTGGGGTGGAACGCGCCCGGCCTGCCTCGCTCGCACGCTGTTCCCCGCCCGCGCACCCAACACCTTGCTCTGCTTTCGTTGGTGGCCAGACAAGATGGAGACAGCATTCGATGACGATGATTCCGAGCTCAGCGATGCGCCTTCCACACCAGGCAGAAGCGTGCGTCCGCCAAAGGCATTGTCGGGGGCTTCATCGCTTAGCACGCGGACACCACCAAGATCGATGAATGTCGCGAAAGGAGAACAAGGTGAGGATGCATCGTTCAGGGACAGCAAGAAGAAAGCTTTGTCCAAGGAGCAGTACGAGGCCAAGCACTGGGTATACGAAGAGGTACCAGAGCGCAACATCTTTACCGAAGACCCCATCGTGGAACATGGCCGAAGGAGAAGACCACCAGCAAGAGGGTCAGGTTCACTGCCGCCGACCGAACCCTCACCCGCGTCATCGAGTGCGGCTGTCCCAACTGTGTCGTCGTCGAGAAAGAAGAGAAAAGGCAGGGCGGACACGGTAGCGCAGGTGGTCGTCGAAAGCGAAGCTATTGCAGGGGCAGAGGCGGCCACACCTCCCGAATCTGCTCCGCGAGCCTCACTTACCGCGACACTGCCTGCGCCAGAAGCAGAGCTCGGCCAGCAGAAGGTCCGCACATTCAAGCGTCACACTATGAGAAAGTACCCTCGAGAAGAGACAGCGCTGGAGAAGAAAGAAGGGCAAGAAAGACGGGCAAAGCAGACTGTTGATAGCGAAGAGAGTGATGTGAGATCACACGATCCGGCGGAGGAACACGTCGTCACAGCACAAGAGGAAAAGGCTGTCGCCGGAAGAGGCGATGGAGATAGCAAGAGCGGAAGCTTCAAAATTCGTCTCAAACGATACGGCCGCCGTACGAGCGAGCCTACTGCTGCTCACGCTATGGCCGCAGAAGAGCACGGTCATGAGATCGAAGCGACTGAAGGAGGAAATGAGAGCAAAGGAGGTCATGCAGTAGCAGGACTGCCGAGAAAAAGGAAGAGACTACTCAGACAGCTCTCAGATGAAGACGGCGTCCAAAAGGCAGACGACAGCGGAGAACGGCCTTCACATCAGCGCAGCAGGAGGCGATCTGCTGCTCGTCTTCGAGAGGCATTTGATGCTGAAGGCAGTCTCAACGAGAGCGAGAAACTTGCAAAGGCAAAAGAAAAGGCGAAACCCCGAGAGGAAGACGATGGAGGCGCATTCACAGATGACGATGACGACGGAGCCCTGAGCGATGTGGTGCTGAGCGACGACGCCGATGATGATGATGGCACGGGAGGTTTCAGTGACGGAGATGGATCACACCATGTCAAGGGGAAAAGGGGAAAAGCGTCCACCAAGCAGGGCGCAAAGGAAAAGAAAACAACGGAAAGCCGTCCGTCGGCTCACAAAAGCCAGCCGAGGGCAGGCAGTCAGAAGATGGATGAGGAAAAGGTTCGCTTGGAGACGCTCAGGACAAAGGGGGAAAGTGACCAGCCCTCGAGCTCTTCGATGTTGCCAGCAACAAATGTTGACGCAGCCACAGCGCCACCTCGACCTTTGTCCTCTACTCCAAACTCGAGACCCAGACCAGCCCCAAAGGTGGTCCGCAGGGTGCAGAGCGGCATGATGTCGATGCTCGATTCCCTCATGGGCTCAAGCCCAAAGCCCACGCCTCCTCGTCCTGTCGTGGCTCGGCCGCCGCCGGGCGCTTCCGGTCAAGCTACGACTCCCAAATCTGCAAGGCCTGCAAGTAGCGCTCACGAGCACAACAAGACGGCCACGAATGCAGCCGCTCAGAAATCATCCCTCACGCCAAAGTCGTCTCCGTGGAGCAAGCCCATCGATGTCAAGGGGGCCAATGGCGAGCACGTAACGTGAGTGCTGATCAGGTTCCAGATACGTGCATGAGAGGGACGCCGTCCTCTGATTTGCTTCTCGTGATTGTAACCGCAGGGCGGCCGAGATGGCCAAAAGGAGACAGAAGGAGCAATATGACCACACACATCCAAAGGTTGGTGAGCTGTTTGGACTCTTTCTACCACAAACAGCATTTATCCAACTCGAGGCCACTCGCAGAATCTCTTTGACCTTCTTGTGGGCGCCGAGATCACCATGGAGTTCGAGGAAGAGACTCGCTCCATGCTTCATCAGGATCCTTTTATCTACAAGCACAAGCTCCACAGGCCGGGAAGGACAGAGGGCGCCGCGCATCTGGCACACAGAATCAAGGCCGAGTTGCGCGAAGCTGACTCATTGGCTGACGGATCGTGCCATGATTCGCAGTCAGGTTCTTGAGTGCGAGGTCGCCTACGAATACAGGGTGGCTCTCGATGAGATCCCTTCACGTTGCCATGGACTCAAATCCTCTTCTGTATTTCTGCTTGCCGGCAGAGTAGGAATCGATTGACTGTCATCAAGGCTGCATTCGTGGCAGCAGGAGAGTTCAGTCATTTGCGCTCAGAGACGTAACGGTATTGTGACACTGTCGAAATCGCTGAGGACTCGCATCAAACCAGCATCATACCAGTCGCTGAATAATTCGTATCTGTGCTACTGAAAGTGGGGAACCTTTCTCGACAAGCTGCTCCTGATGATGATCAGCAAGTGACTGACTGCCCATTGGAGAGGAAGCGTCAAGAAGGGCAAGGGCGAAAAAGCCTAGTCCTCTTTTTGCCAGAGTCCGCGATGCATTCACAACCTAAGCTTTAGCGCCAGATGGTGCAGTCCTCGCGTGTCCTTGTCTCTCGTCCTCCCAGATCTGGCTTTCATCCGCGTCGACTCTCACCTATCATCCGAGCTCGCCATTTCTTCTTCGTACAGTCTTGTCAATGGCATCCCAGGACCATCATCAGCAGACCAACAATGACGGTCCCCTCTTCAATTCATCGGTCAGTCGCGGAGGCTCGCCCTATCACCAAGGCCAGGCTGGCCTCGACGAACAGCAAGGTGGTCACACAGGCAAGGGAGGAGGAAGCAAGAACAAAAAGAAGAAGAAGAAGAGCTCCAGCGCCAGTGCCACCAACGATCTCTTGAAGCCTCTGACAGAGATCTTCAAAGACCTCGCCTTTCCCGTCGGAGAGGTATGCGAATACAAGGCGGAGTGAGTGCACTGCCAAGGCCCTTCTCTAACGAAGATTGTGGTCAAAGACGAAGGAAAAGCTTAAATGGTACTTGGACCAGGATCCGCCTTCGCGCATCTACCGAGGAACTCGCTGAACGCGAGCGTCTGGACAATCTCGACCAGGACAAGCAATATCGACTTGTTCGACAAGCTGCCGAGGCTCACCGCCGAGTGAGGATGTACGCGCGCCAATCGATCAAGCCTGGCATGACGATGACCGAGGTAGCCGACCTTATCGAGAATGGGGTCAGGACCGTGGTTGAAGCGCAAGGCCTCGAAAGAGGAATCGCATTTCCGACTGGCCTGAACCTCAACGAATGCGCCGCTCATTATACGCCCAATCCAGGCGACAAGAGGAGTGAGAAGCCATGCGTTTACGTGTACGAACAAAGTGCTCTCCTTACTTTTCTTTTCTTTCCTTTCCTTTTTCCTGTGTAGTCCTTCTTGATACCGACGTTCTCAAGGTCGACATTGGCGTTCATGTCAAAGGTCGCATTTGTGATTCTGCCTTCACTCTAACATTCGACGGCGGACGCCAGTGGGAGCCTCTTCTGGAAGCTGTCCGCGCCGCCACGGAAACAGGCATCAAGGAGGCTGGCATCGATGCTCGTCTGGGCGAGATCGGCGCCGCAATTCAAGAAACGATGGAGTCGCACGAGTGCCAGGTCGACGGAAGAACATTGCCCAGTACGTCTACTTGGCGTGCGCTCCCATCTGCCCACTTACCCACTCTTCCTACAGTCAAGGCGATTCGTAATCTCTGCGGTCACAGCATCGAGCAATACCGTATCCACGGAAGCCACTCGGTGCCCATTGTGGCCGAGCCTGACAACGTCATCAAAATGATTGAGGGCCATTATTACGCCATCGAGACGTTTGGCAGCACAGGACTCGGGTACACCGTTGAGAGAGGCGCGTGCAGTCACTACTATAAGAGTCGCAACAGCAGCAGTGTGCCCGCCTCTTCAGTGACTCTTTTTTCCGCCAGAAAGCTTCTGCAGACCATCGACCAAAGCTTCGGAACCCTGCCATTCTGCCGCAGGTACCTTGAACGCGCCGGCGAGAAGAATTATCTCCTAGGGGTATGTTGACGTAGCCTTCTCGATGCTGTAGCAGAGTGCAGCCAGCTGACTGTCAAGCGTTTACCTCTCCGCAGCTCAAGCACCTCGCCTCGGCCGGAATTATTGACGAGTGTCCCCCCCTTTGCGATGTCGAAGGGTGAGTATACTGTTGATGTCTTGGTGCAGCGATCGATGCTCATTGCCGAGCCAATTGTTCCAGGTCGATGACCGCTCAATTCGAGCACACCATCTTGCTCCGGCCTACTTGCAAGGAGGTAGTCAGCCGCGGTATCGACTACTGATTTTTGAATCTCCCACGGCCCCTGTTGTCGACGTCCGTCTTTATAGGGTGATTCAAGTTCGAGATAGTCGACCCTTCTTCTACACCACATGATCGCCATGCTTTCAGAAGTCGATGGAAAGAGATCCTGAGACCGAGTTCTGTTCTGTGTGCTCTTCCTTCCTCTGTTCCCAGCGCATTCAACAGAACGATATGCCTGAAACAAACGTCTCTCATATGGTGCTATCAAGGCAATCCTGCGGGTCTCGCTGCAGCTTGTACAGTATATACACGACTCAACGGGCCTGCGCATCCTACAGGCATTCCCATGTGGTTTGGCTCGAGATCACGTTGCTTCTGCTTATGGGCTATATTGTATCTTGATTAATGTCCTAGTACAGTTCTTCTTTCGTGGTTTAGCGGTAGAATGTCGCCTTGTCAGTCATACGGCTGCAACAAGACAAGTGTACCCCCTGCATGTGCACGGCGGAGTCCCGGGTTCGACTCCCGGCGAGAGAGCTTTTTTTTTCTCTGTAGAGTTCAGGTTCTGGCGTTTGCTTGTGAGATTTGCTTGCATCGCGGGCAACCGCGCCCGACTTTGATGGCAGGGCAGATTGACCTTGTAGGGCTGTGACGCCGGTATGACAGAAGGAAATACAAAGGTGAGAAAGGACGACAAGCAGCGCGCGTCTGTACACGAATTGTGCCGAGTGAACCAACTTCGCAATGCGGTGATCATACTGATACATGTAGAGTGTGCGGCAGCTTCAGTGCCTCTATGGTAGCGATGCTGCTGTGCGACCGGGCCAATAAGTCTTCTCAGGCACTCCTTCGTTGACAAAGTCGATTGCTTCGATCCCTTGTTGGAAGGCGTAATCTTGGTTCGATGACTCGTAGCGCCATCCACCAAATCGGCCTCGTGACACTATTCCCTGCCGCTCTAGCTTTGTCAACAGGCCACCTTCGTCCTCGCCACCGGTATGACGGCCATCTAAAATCGCGTCTCTTCCTCTGAAGGGAAGGGGATAGCCAAAGTCAAGGTGTCTGTAGTACACCGACACGGGCTCTTCGTCGAGCCCAATGGCGTCCCATTCCCTAAGCTGCTGCAAGTGATCTTGGACTAATTCCTCCCTCGTCGCCTGCTTCAGACGCCTATGCTGCGACATCGAAGTCTCGAACAGGATGTTCCACCTTCCTGGGCCCGACATGGAGGCGGAGAAGTTGGTGGGGATCGTGGCACGGTGAAAGGCCACATTCTCGTCGGCAGCAAAGATCCATGTCTTTGCCTCAAGGACCTTTGGCAGCGGGCCTTGAAAGCCTAGACCGATGGCCGTCGTCGAGGAGTGTTTGAGCTCGTCACCACCGCCGACGCCGGCGAGATGAAGAAGCGACTTGAGGGGAATGGTACTTACGCACCTGGAGAAATGAATCTCTTCTCCAGTCGAGAGCATGGCTACTCGGCGTTCGGGGTCCAAAGCTATAACGCTGACCCCATAAATTTGCCGCTCGGACGGAAGGGAGCGAGATATGCTGTTCCACAGAGAGCCTGTGCCGAAGCGTGGATAGGGAAACATGGAAATGTCCTGCGGCGCAGTCTTAACCTCGAGCGTTCTGGCGGGCTCGGGGACATTTGCCAACTTGGAGCCTGATCGGAGATTGGTCCAATCCGAGGTCAAATCCTCGAGGGGCCATGCCCACTGCTTTTTGTTGAAAGGTGTGAAGAAGACTCTGTTCAAAGTTGGGCCAAAGGATCGGCTGAAATATTCGGATAAACTGTCGCTGTTGTCGCCGTAGCAATTTTCCTTGTTCTGCTCTTGGTTGTGCTCACTGCTGCCGGCCATCATCGAAAGCTCTTGTTGGATCTTGAGTCCCTCGGAAAGGTTTCCCAGGCTCTGTTGTATAGGAGTCGGGCACCACTGCTCGTTAACACGAACCCAGCCACCCCTCGCGGGACTCTGCCAGTCCTTGTGGATGGACAGAGCCTGATCGAACGAAGAGAAGTGCGAGTGGATGACGTGACCACCAAGATCCCAGAGGAAGCCCTCGTCATCCTTTTCGGTACGTGCCATGCCACCAGGGCCATCTAGGGCGTCGACGAGGAGCCAGTCGTTCATGTTCGTCCTGTGCGCTTGGTAAGCTGCACCCAAGCCTGTTGGACCCCCGCCAATGATCAACACCGAAATTGTCCTTTTCATCCTTGAGCGCTGGGACTTGTTCGCTAGACTAGGCTCTCACGCTCGGACTGCTAAGAAAGACTGTTCAGTCTGTCAGGAGAATCGAATCTTTTATATACACCCCGATGCTTTGTGTCCGAGAGGTTGCAGCGGGACAGAAGCCTATCTTAGAACTTGCCTTCCCGCCTTCCTTTTCCGGCGTTAGAACGCGTCTCGGCGTCCCGGATTAATGGAAGAAGGAGGCCAGGCCTCTGTTTCACTTGTCGCAAATAGTTCTCTTGCATTCGATTCGAGCAATCCCAAAGCAGAAGGAACCAAAAGCACGGCGGATGTTTCACCAGCTGAAGGTCTTTGAATCGTTCTGACTAAGGAACCGACGGCACAATAAGAGACAGCAAGCTGAGGTGATCAGGCACAAAGGTGTCAAATGGTGCTGCTGTTCGAGACAGAGATTTGGCAAGTGAGTCTCGACCACAAGATAAGCTTGTGCAGTCTAGTCACCCTAGCCTGATGGCTATGAAAGCGACGTCGGTCTTGGCAAAGCGCTGCATGCCACGAATTCTCTCAATTGCTTCGCTTGCTTGCGGTCCGCTCTACTACTACTACTTGCCCCACCGGGCCTACCAGCGTACATTCTTCAGCGTTAATCCCCTGAAACAAGCATAAGGGCTAGTCGACCAGCCTTCTTCGTTCGTAACACATGCCTAATCGGTCTTGATATAAGAAGCAAGCCTTGTGAATGCTTATCGCCAGCAAGCTTCAGCAAGTAGACATGTCCGCATTCATGACGACTCCATCCGCAGTGCAGAGCGCTTTTGCACCCACGACGAGCCATATGGAGCTGTCCATCTTAAAGACAAAGGGCATCGAAGAACACAGAAATGCTCGACAGCGAAGATGGCTTCCAAGGCGCCATCGCTGGGCAGCCGTTGCGAACAAGCAACCAGATCGTTTCTCAGGGACAACGTCGGGCTCGATCGCGACCCAAATCTTCTTTTCTCCGCATCCAGACGACATTGCCTACAGCTGTTTCGGATCCGTCGATCAAGGTCACGGAGTAACGAGGAGTGGCATTATAAACAAGAGGAAAGAGGATCCCAGAGGAGGTACACATCCTTGGTCCCGAGAGGAGCGGGTAATCGTCACAGTGTTCAACAAGAGCCGATGCGCCAACGGCGAAGTCGGCCACCGGCTAGGCCATGACGTCGAGACGGTGACACCGGCCCGACAAGCCGAAGACGAAGCGTTTGCGGCCTCGATGGGCTGCAGACTTATATCCTTGGGCTTTGGTGACTCAAGCGCACGGGACGAACCTAGTCGTAGGCCCTGCTTGGCCGCAGCCGACGAAAAGGAGATGCTGGAGATGACCAAGGCAAATGCAGCATACAGACCTGTGGAGGAACATCTCGAGGCAATTGTTCGATGGGCCGTCGAGTGTGGGGCCGAGATCTATTTGCCGCTTGGCGTCGGCTGCCACATTGATCACTGGATGACTCGAGTTGCGGTCACGTCGCTGCTCGACAGGATAAGACAAGAGCGACACGATGGCTGCACCCTCTCTCCCTCAACACAACCAATCACCTCGTCACCACTTTTGGCATCTCAATCTTTTTCTCCATCTCAGAAGACCGTCAGTCTCTGTTTCTACGAAGACATGCCGTACGCTTTTTACGCAAGTGTCGAGCACATCAATGGCCTCATCCGTGCCGTAGTGTCGCCACTATCTCGCGAAGAGGGGATCCAAGAGGGAAGCCTCGTCTGCCTGGACGAAAAGAGCTGGATTCGAAAAAGGGAGGCGATCCTGAGCTATGAGACGCAAATGAAGCCAACGATTCTAGGTTGCATGGAAGAGAGGGCTTCCGCTTTGGCCCGATCAAGCAGCTTGACGACGACAAAAGGGCATGACTGGGCCGAGAGGATCTGGAAGCTTGAATACGACGTTTGACGTCAGGAGGTGAAGGCATGCTCTCCTTTCTTTCTCTCTGCTTTCCTCTCTCCCTGTCTCCCTTGTCAAGTGCTCTTCCTGGTCGAAGAGCCCCAGGATGCGTTCATGCCACCAATAACATCACGCTTACTGTTAATGATGGGTTATGCTGTACTGCAGTCGCATTTTTATGTGCTTACGATGGCGCCCGATTTTGCGCGGGACCTTTGGCAAAATAAAGTACGAGATGTACAGTACTGTACAGTACCGTACTTTAGGCGTGAGATCGACTTGTAGCGGCACAGGGTTATGCCGAAGCGTACAACTTCTTGAAATCGTCCACGAACAGGGACTTTCCCTTCATAAAGGAGGTGATCCACGCGCCCCTGTAAAGCAAAGCAAAGCCACGAAAGGCATTTGATCAGCACCGTGCATACGCGGGCGGACCTGGAATAGCGATAAGCAGTGCTGGGTACGAGCAGTGCTGGGTACGAGCAGTGCTGGTGGGATCCGGAAGATAATGATAATGCCGAGCATAACTCACAAGACTAAACCAAAGAGCTGAGAAGCACCGGCCGAGGTCCCCAGTGGTACTACCATGATGGAGGGGGGTGCCGAATATACTTTTGCCCTTGCACCTCCCAAGTCCGAGAGGAGCTGAGAGGCAACCACGGGCGCCTGAAACTTGGCTGCGACGTGAGTCTTTGTCCCTGGAGCATTGGCGCAATCACCAAGGCTGTAGTAATTTTGCAACCCTTCGTCGAGGACCCGAAGCGTCTTTGCATCCACCTTGATGCGCTTCTCGTCGTCTAATGCTCGTGAAAAGCCGCTCTCGATGAGGAGAGAGGTATTGGGGCGGGCGCCTGTGGCGATCATGACCAAATCGGCCTCAACCTCTGTCCCATCGGAGAGCGAGAAGCTGCGTTGCTGAGGCAAGAGCTCCAAAGTCTTGACGTCTGAGGGCAGGTCCACCTTGGCATTGAAGCGAACTGGCACATCGATCCTGGCCAGGCCCTCGAGAAGGCTCTTTTGCAGGCTTGGCTTGAAAGGTCCTTGAAGCAAGGTCTGACCCGACGTGACCAACTGCACCTTCTTTTGCCTGTCTACGCTCCGCAACTCGCCGGCGAATTCAACACCGACAGGGCCGCCTCCGACAATGAGAACCGACGAGGCAGCGGCGACATCCCTCTGAATCCGTCGCTGACCTTCAATGGCCTCAGCCTTGTTGGTGCTCGAGGGACGACCAGGGACTGGGTAGCTGGAGCCGAGGGCCAACACGGCACGCTCAAAGGGGATCGTGTCGCTGCCTTCGAAGATGGACGAGATGGTAACCGACGACGGCGATAGCGCTGTGACGGAGGTGGCCTGTAGCACAACATGACGAGAATCCTGACCAAAAAACCTGTCGAGATCGGCAAACGAGAGGTGCTCCTTGCCTGCAACGACACTACCCCTAAGTGCGGAGATGGGGTGGTACATGTAATCGAGGCGTTCGATGAGAATGATGCGATGAGAAGTAGGCAGGCTCTTTTCCAAGCTCCGAGCCACATAAGCACCTGCGGCAGACGCGCCCACAATGACGATGTTGTCGTAGCCCATGCTTGTGCTGGTGATCCTCGACACGAGGGGAGTTGTTGGCGCTCTTGACCCAGCAAGCCAGTGGCAATATAAATAGGTTCTGAAACACACAGCACCGCGATGAGGAATTCGAAAGATATGCTGATCAGGCCAGCCCCCGCGTTTAAGCCACTCTTGGGCGGACAAGAACAACGGAATCTGTAAAGAACACAAGGTTCCGCGGGTCAGCAAGCTTTCTTCGTATTACAGAAGTAGACTAGTGTAGAGTGTTAGTGTAATGAAAAGTCATATTAGTAGCAGCGATACAGTAAAAGCAGCTATAGTAAAACCTTGAAGGCTGACATAGACTACACTAGAACTCAACGCGTTGCTGACGCGGAAAGCTGACATCGTTTGGAAGGTGTCTCTGCAGTCTTCCCATCTCAAATGAAGTGATGACTGCAGCGAGAGAGTGTGTCTTGCAAGGCCTGTGCTTAATGTGGCCGGCTCAGCAGAAGCTGTCGTTCAATGTCGGCGCCGCTTGTGTCACTGTTACTAGCGGTCCCGCTCGCTAGCTCTGCGGATCTGCCAGGTCAATTCATATGTCTTGAAAGCATCTTCAAATGAGCTCAGCGGCCAAGAGGGAAGACCAGGTTTTTGCAAACCTCTGACGGCATAGACGAGCGCCTCGAGCTGAGTCGTGAAAGGGTCGTCATCCTGGCCGTGCTCACGTCAGATGTCAGCGTGTGCCAGAGTCTGTACGGCTTGGCTGACTGGGCTTAACCTTGAATGTAACGATGTCTGGTATGCGAGACAAAGAGGGTGGAAGGCGACGTCAGGCTGCAGCAGCACAGATGCGACGGCAAGCATATGACGCACCTTCCTTCTCCGAGTGAGGACCACGGATTGAGAGCGAAGGCGAGCGTGTGTAGGCATCTTTGAGTCTCATGACCCATCCGTCGGCCAGAAGCTCGATTTGGGTATCGTAGGCCCCAGAGTGAAGCGTAATGCCATGGCAAAGGCTCGCAATTGTTCCTCGGCGGTGTCGCCAAAAGGCAGTTGTGACTCGAGGCACCCTGTCTTGCGCGGCAACGGCGGCCTCTTCGTCGAAGGCCAGCCTGGACAGCCGACCAGCCTCATCGCTATGCTCGACAGCTGTGGCCCGGACCGTCTCCAGGAGGGCATCGTTGTCAACACCGGCAAAGAAGCGAATAAGGTCGCAAAAGTGCGTCGCCTGCTCGACTATCGGTCCACACGAAGCCGCCTTGTTCCACCAGGCAAGCTTCTGCGCCTCGGCTGGGCCCGAAAAATCGACAACCAAGAATTACGTCACAGCAGTGGTCAGATTACATGTGCCTGAAGGAACCGAGGCTTGCGACACGTACTCACGGTAAGCCATAAAGTAGCGAGCATTGATGCACGTTGGTACGAGCTGATTGGCCTCGAGTATCTCCCTTGATACCACGTTGTGTCGTCAGCTAACAGCATTCTACCATCCTACCATCCTACCATACTACCAGACCCCTTCCCCCCCCCCCCCCCCCCCTCGGGAATGGAGGGGCAAGGAAAGGAGGGGCACCAATCTAGTGTTTTGCTCACTGCATCTTTGTGACGGCTGTTCCAAAAGATTTAGAAACCAATGAGCATTGGCTCTTTCATGTTGACATCACTCTCGAATCTTCAAGCCCTCACCTTTGAGGTAGCGCAGCATGTAGCCCACTCCGACAAAACCTCGGGACCGCTGCTGCCAGGCGCTGAAGAGGTTGACGACTTTCTCGCACTGGCCCGCGACTGGATCGAGGGCAGCGATTGGCTTTTCAACGAGAAATGTCCTCGCTCTATAGCCAAAGACCGAGAGGGCCTCGACATCAGTGTCGCTGCCTTTGAGCGTCGTCCCACGAAAGTGGGGAGGACAACCAAGGACCACGAGATCGATGTTGCGGCCAGGGACGGTCGTAAGACAGTGGCCGGCCGATGCCACGTCGGCGAACGCCTCGGTAGCAGCCCATGCGGCAGCAACATGTCTCTCCTGGCTCGCTCGCTTGTCGGCGATTCTGCCTCGAGCCCGCTCCAAGTTGGGATCGACTAGGGCGACGACAAGCAGTTGATGACCAAGAAGCGCTTCTAGCCTCCTGGTATGGTTCCAGCTACCTTCACGAGAGCCAAAGTTGATCTCTCCTGCGCCAACGACAACGACGTTGAACGATTTGGCGGCAACCTCCATACCTACGAACGACACACTCTTTCTTTATTGGTGTGGAAAAGGGACAAGTCGCAACCGTTCGTTTCGTTCACACAGCACACACGGAACTAATTTATCTCAAATAATTAGCCAGCCGGCCGGCCTTCTCTCAGCGTGGGGGAGAAAGTGGAAGCTGTCCTGCATTGATTGTTCGCTGGGACATGGGGGTGGAGGAGAAGCAGCTACACACTAATCAACACGCTGATCCGCCTCGGCCCTGAACTTCGTGGGCCAGCCTAAGCCAGCCCAGAGGAGAATCTGCGTCGCGAGAAGGGCGACGAGGATGGGTGGCAGCGTCTGGATGCCTTTCGCCTGAGCGACGAGCCCCACGACGAGGGGGAAGAGAGCTGCGCCCGCGCTCCCCAGAGCCACAACCAGTCCAATGGCCGCCGTATGTAGGCCACGAGGTCGAATCTTGATAGTGATGACGCGGATGAGGATGGGAAAGATGGGCCCAAGAAAGAGACCCATCAGAGCCAGTGAGACGCCGTTTGCAATGAGCGAAGGCACAAACCAGAGGATAAATTGAAGTCCGAGGGCGAGAGCCAGCTTTAGAATGTTTAGTCAGTAAGAGAGGAGAAGCGGTTCAAAAAATACCAGCCTAAGGCGTTAGCGGACTAAAAATAATGAGGCGAGTGTGTAAAGGTCGAATGCACGAGCGGCAGCAAGGCGGGCATCGTCACTCACATAGACGAATGTGGCCAAATGGGCACCGAGGAGGCGATTGACGGGTAGTAAAAGGATCCGGCCGGCGGCCAGTCCGGCCCAGAAGCCCGAGACGAGGTAGCTGCTGCTATGTGCGTCGCCGCGGATCTCTATGATAAAGGTGCTGGACCAGCCGCCTATGGCCACTTCTGTGCCAACGTAGAAAAGGCAGAAGAGTGCAAGGACAGAGGTGCTTGGCTGCGATAGCAGCGCTCTGAACGTGTTCCTAGCCCCTGACGGACTGTGTTCCGATGTCCGTTCCATTGCATCGTTCTCTCCTGCCTGGCCCCGGTCCTGGTCGGCTGGCTCGGGTTGGCCGACGGGATAGCCCTCCCTGTTGAATCTGAAGCTGTATGTGACCCAGATTGTGTTGAGCGAGGCCAGTCCGAGAGCGATGAGATAGAAGAAGCTGAAGCGTACGCCACGACCCACGAATGGCGTGGCCGCGAGTGGAGCGCAGAGAGCGCCGCAGCCGTAGAGGAAGTGCAAGCAGCTCAGTCGGACCTCGGCCCTCGGCCTTGCAGACACCCAGGCATTGCTCATGGCCTCTTGGGCTCCAATGCTGAGGCCGTACAGGACGTAAGAGACGGCCATGACGGCAAAGGGCGGGGCAGGAGCGATGATGGCCGATGGGACGACAGCCACGAGGGCGAATATGGTCACACATCGTCCGAACGCGAAGCGGTCGACGAGCGGGGTGGTGACGACGGCGGCGAGAATCCAGCCCACGAGATTACAGACAAACAGCATCGACACCGCCACGTAGCTCAAGCGGTAGTGCCTCTGAATTGCAGGCAGAAGCGCGCCAGCAGAGGCATCTGACCAGCCCATGAAAAAGTAGCCAGTCAGGATGGAAAACTCCTTTGTCACGGTCCTTGGCGTTGCATAGTCGCTGCTCAGAGAGCCAATAAAGCTCCTGACACGCGCCTTGGCATCGTGCCACGAGCGCACAAGCCTGGACCCCGCCGAGAGCACTTCAATGGTGTGCTGCGATGGCGGGTAAGCGCTGCCGAGCGCAGATGTGCTGTCACTACTACTCATGAAAAGGGAAGGGGGAAAAGAGCAAGGTGTCTAAGGGAGGAAATGGAAAGCAGTCCTGACGCTGCATTTTAAGAAAAGGCAAACCTGAATCCGTATTATAGTATTACAACACTATTATTTTTATTAGCGCGGGCTCCTTAGACTTCAGACTAGACAAGGACGATAACCTGCTTTCGCAGTCTCCTCTGTTTGGCACCACGTGGACTCTCGCACTCCACGTCATGCACACGCGGGGGAGGCGCTGTCGGCGAAAGAAGTGAGTGCGCCCACAGCAGCCAACGACGACGAGGGCAATGATGCATCGTCGCGCTCCTTCGCCACCCCACTCTCCTTCCGCTCCATCCCACCGCGCTCTGGGCATGACTGGAGAGAGCCATCACGAGCACCGACTGGGTCCTCGTTCCAGGCCTACGTCGCCTAGCACCGCCTCCCAGCGACAGCTGCTGCAGCTATTGATCAAGTGCCCCTCGCTGGGCAGTCTCGACTGCGACACTCGCCTCATGACAGTTTCTGCCGATGCGACAATTAAGCAGGTCAAGGCGAACATCGAAACGACATGGCCGGGTCGACCCAAGGCCGAGGGGATGCGCTGCATTCGAGCGGGCAGGTTGCTATCAGATGAAGACGTCGTTGGTAACGTCGTTGTAGAGGTGAGCTTGTCGCCAGGAGAAGGAGAAAAGTAACACGAGAGAGAGAGAGAGAGAGAGAGAGGAGGAAGGACAAACGGACCCAATGCTGACGAGGTCCAACTCATCGTCTTTTATCAGTCCGAACGTCACGAGCCTGCGTCCCTGCACCTCGTCATTCGACCCGATGCGTGGTCCGAGCCGCGCTTGCGGAGGGCAGAGTCGTCGACTTCGAGGCCGGTACTCGCGCCTTTGGTTAGAACGGCCTCGACGGGATCGATCGCATCGATCAGGACTGCGTCATGCCGAAGCACACCGAGACCACTCGCTTCGTCTCACCACGATCTTACGCGGGCCGCCTTGCCTTCAATTGCTGTCGCGGGCTCTGGCGAGCAGCCTGGCAGCAGGACCACCGATGCGGGGCGCCAATTCTACCACCTTCTGGCCGACCTCGACCCGTCGCAGTACTCTGCCGTCCAGTCGCTTGTGACGCTGGCCTTCCACAAGTACGCGGATCTTTACGAGTCCCACTGGTTTCTCGTCTATGGAGACGATTGTGCTCGGCTTCTCGGCTCTCATGCGGCCCAGAAGCAGGCTGGTCCTGCACAGCTCGAGTCTGTGGCTCAGTCGATGGGATTCAGCTTGGACGAGGCCGTTCAATCGCTCCAGATCTTCGAAGAGGCATCGCTCCAATGGCTCCCGCTTGATGGCGAGGCTGCAAAAGAGGCGACCTTTGGCGGCAATCAAGCTACCCACACTTATCGACAAGTGACAATCGAGTGAGTATTAGCTGTGAGCCGAGAGGCAGGCAGTATTGGTCGTCCCCGCTGCCCGCAAGCCCCCCCCCCCCTTTTTTTTCTTTTTTTTTTTTTTTTCCTGGTGGCCCAAGAGCTTGTGCTGAACCAACGCTTTACAAAGAGGATTGCCGTTTCTGCTTCAACTGACGACTGACGCTCCAACCGTGGAGGCGAACCGACGACTGGGCGATGTGGTCGAACGGCTCGAGGTTCTGCGAGACTTGTCAAATCGTCTTGATCGTTTGATGAGCTTCCAGCACCTCTTGAGGCTGCCCTCTAGCCCTTCGACCGACGATGCCGCTCGAGCCGGCATCGGCCTGCACCTTGCGAGGCAGCATCAGCAAGCGACAACGGCAGCAGCAGCTGAGCAACAAGGACGGCGCCGGGTGCAGATGCGTACCGCTCTCGTCTTGAATCTCGACGAAGTCTTCCACGTCACGCTACCCATGCTCTTTCTCTCATTCAAAGTGGCCATTCTCATCTACATCTTCACCAGAGGTGCAAGTGATTTCAAGAAAAACGTCATGATAGCCACGGCCGTCGCCTACGTGGCTTGGGAAGCATGGAAGCTTGCAAGGATGAGGCAAGTTAGAAGGCAGCTGCGCCAGACCAGGCAGCACGCCAGAAACCAGCAACAGCAGCAGCAGCAGCAGCAGCAGCAGCAACCACAAGAAGCAGGGAGACAGCAGACAGCCGCTCGGCAGAACGAGCGATTGGGACAAGGAGACGACTTGATCCCTCAAGCACCGGCCCGCTCGGTAGTCACGTCGCCCTTGCAAGTCGAATTCTGGATCGAGAGGCTTGCCTACCTGCACCTCGAAGTCGAAGATCGCCAGCTCGGATTCCGTCATCTTGATGGCTCTCCTGCTTCCGACCTTCCCGTTGAGGATTTCAATCGTGGACCACTTCGGCTCGCTTATGAGGTCGTGGTGCTGCCTCTAGTCCTGTCTGTCGCGACGTTGGTGCCCGAGATCGAAGAGCGCAGACGAAGGGCCATCGAGACGAGGGATGCCCTGATCCGGAGCACAGCACGCAAGTTTGAGGAACGCAGGACGAGGGCAAGGGAGCAGGGGGGCCAGGCAATCGATGACTCCCCGCACGCGGCTGCTCACCTTGAGGCATCTGCCAGCAAGCGATCTTCCAATCAAGGTGGCGAGGAAGGCGGCGAGGAAGGCGGCGACCAACCTGCTACCGACCAAGTGCCTACCCTGCTCAAGACGGCCTATGCACAGAGGCTCTTACGAAAGTATCGGGGTGATGGGACAGGACGCCAGCTGGACATTCAGGAAGAGCTCGATGCTGCTGCTGCTGCTGCTGCTGCTGCTGCGCAAAACGCAGACGAAGGTGCGGAGCAAGCAGATATGGGCTTTTTCTAGGTGGCCAAGTCCAGCAACACAGAGGCTGCGATTTCTGTGCCAAAAGACTCCAGTCTACTACTACTACTACTGCTGCTGCTTGTTGGTCATGTTCACTATTCATAATTGTATATCACCAAATGCCTGTCCTTTCTCTACCATTCAAAGTTGTCTATGACCCTCTTTCTTCACGACTTTTTTTTTTTTTTTAGCCGGAAGACGGAAGACGACTTGGGTGCGCTGACGCAAATCGGACGTCGTCGCTTGCTCCACCTCGGTCGCCGGCTGCTCTTCGGAGTGCGCGCCTCCACGCTAGCCGTTCAAGGGCAGCGCTAGGTCCCCCGCCTTCCTGATTATGTGCACGTCCGATTAGCTGGTGCAGTTGACGTGAAAGAAAACAAAAAAGTAGGGATAAGATAAATACCCAGTGGGTCAGTCACTCGACGGAAGTGGGTGTGTGCGTCTTCCCCCAGAGTTCTAAGCACCATACCGACTCGAAACACCCTCCATCTTGCACTCGCTCTGCTATCGTCATCATGAAGATTCCCGTGGGAGCTGACGCTGGTGACAGCAGCTTCATCGTCGCCAGGCTCGAGTCGATCTTGTCGCTGACCGGTTACGTGATCCCCACGGTCGTCGTCGGCGTCATTGTTCTCGCAATCATGTATCCTGATCGTCTCGCCTTCACCAGACCCCATCCCAAAGCTGTATATGTGCCGCCAGGTGCGCTGCCTATCCTCGGCCATACGCTCGAGGTCGTCAAATTTGGAACCGCACGACAATTCGAACGCTTCCATGAGATGACGCTGAAGTCGCCCATCCAAGCCTTCAGGCTCTCCTTTCTCGGCCCCAGCGCAATGACGATGATCAACCGGCCAGAGTACATCGAGTACGTTCAAAAGGTCAACTTTGACAATTTCGTAAAGGGATCGCAATTTCGAGGCAAGTTCGGCGACCTTCTGTCGACTAATGGCATCTTCGTCGCCGACGGCGACGTGTGGAAGTCGCAGCGAAAGATGGCAAGGTGAGGAAGGAGGAAGAAAGGGTACCGCCTACGGTGATACCGCAGACATGTGAATAGGCAGTCGCTGAACTCAAGAGACGTTCTCCTTTTTTTTTTTCTCTTTGCTTTCGATGCGGCCGTGCAACGCAGTCACATGTTCAGCGCCCATCAATTCAACAATCATGTCCGCGTCGTCATTCACCAGGAGCTGGGCCGCATCGATGCGCTTCTCGATGCCGTGGCCCACTCCGCCAAGGACCAGAGCACCGTCAACCTTCCCGAGCTCTTCTTCCGGTACACCCTCTCGAGCTTTTCCAAAATGGCCTTTTCGGCAGATCTCGATTGCCTTTCGGCCGACCCTGCATGCCTCGAGCGTCCGGTCCCTTTTGCCGTTGCCTTTGACTATGCCCAGGTGCGTTTCTCAATACCTCTTCTTCTTCTCCGAGCTCCTTTAGGATTTGATGTCGCACATGGAGCTCACCAACTCAAATTGCCCTTCTTTTTTTCAAATTTCCAGGGCGTCATCAATGAACGATTTGTCAACCCGCTCTGGAAGATTGCTGAGCGATTCTCAAAAAAAGGCAAGGTGAGCGACGAGACGGTTTTGCTTTTATTGAAAGAGAGAGAGAGAGCGAGAGCGAATGAATGGCTGGCTCACGCTGCAAATCAAGCGCATGCGCGAGAGCATCAAGGTCATCAAGGACTTTGGCAATTCGATCATCCAACAGCGCCTCAAAAGCATTCATTCATCTGACAAAGGAACAGACGCGGATAGCAAGACAGGGGGCAAAGATCTGCTGGAATTCTTCATCGAACAAGGCCTGAACGACCCCGATGACCTCCTCGTCGTTGTACTGAACTTCATCATCGCCGGACGGTGAGTGCCTCGAGGGGTCTTTTTGGATAGGAATGCCGCTCACTTCAGACTCTACAGCGACACGACGGCGCAGGCTCTCAGCTGGTTCTTCTACGAGATGATGGCTAATCCCCAACACATAGAGGTAATTCGTGACGAATGCGAGGCCGTCCTTGGCAAAGACGCCGCTCAGGACCAACAGTTCCTGAGCTATGAAGACCTTCGGAAGCTTCCCTACACTTTGGCCTGCATCAATGAAACGAGTAAGTTGGCTCGAAAGAGCAGTCTCCGGCTTGCACGATCGAGGAAACTAAAGTTGTCGTCCAGTCCGACTGCACCCACCAGTTCCCAAGAATGGAAAGATGGCGGTCAAGGACGATGTTATCATGCCGCAGGGTCCCAATCCCGACAATCTGCCGCCGATTCCTGTCCACAAGGGCGAGATCATTGGCTGGTCCGACTGGGTCATGAACCGTCTACCCCAAGTCTGGGGCGAGGACGCCGAAGACTTCCGGCCTGAACGCTTTCTTGTGCAGGATGACAAGGGGCCCGTTGGCTGGAGCTACACCCAGCAGAGTCAGTGGAAATTCCATGCATTCAACGCGTGAGTCTCGCTCGGGTGCCCACTTGATCAGTTGGGTCCCTATGATGACTGCTGGAGCTGACAAGATCACCACCATCGCCACCCCGATAGCGGACCAAGGCTGTGTCTAGGCGTCAATCTAGCCCACTACGAGGCGCTGGCATTCGTGGCCGCTACTCTAACCAAATTCGATTTTCACTGGGCCACGGAGGCCCAAGGCCAAAAGAGTGAATGGCCTCCTCGCTACGCGAATTCAGTCACCCACCCGTTGAAGGTGCCCTACCTTTGCACCGTGACGCCGCGCAGAACCTGATGATGGAGGGGAGATAGATCTCTTGTCCTTGTATATAAAAATGGCAGTATGATCATCAGGACTACGCTACGTTCTGCCTGTGATTCTGTCGAGTAATGAAAATGCAATTTTGACGAGGGACACAGGGGTGAAAGGCAAGGTGAAGGAAGAGGAAGCCTCGGCCGAATGCCTCACGCTGCGACGCGCGCAATAGGTAGCAGGCACCGCGTTTTCATTGTCTCTGCTCAATTATTCCGATTGCGACTGACCACCAGCACTGATCGACAATGTCCTCGTCGTTGGTCTCACTCCGCGATGCCGATGTGGAACGAGAGGTCGAGGACGAAACTCGACGTCAGCCTGCGATGGATGGCGTCGAAGAGGGGTCCGACGACGATCTCTTTGGAGCCGACGACGATCCCGAGGATGTAGCGAGGGGGAAGACGTCGCTTCGACCGGAAGGCAACGAGGCTGAGAATGAAGAGAGCAGCGGCAAGGTGCAGCCTCGGAGAAGTGTTTCGGATCGAAGCTCATCACCATCGTCATCGGCGAGCCATCCTGCCAAAGAAAGAGCACCTCGCAGGGGTTCCGACTCCGTGTCCGCTTCGGAGCCAGACGAAGACCAGGCCGACCTATCGGCTCTGGAGCACCGTGAGACATCCATCGAGCCTCCTATGGGCTACAGGCAAGGGGTTGGCCAGTTTCGGCAGGAGCAGGAACAGCAAGAGGAAGTGCAAGAGGCCTCGTTTTCCTTGCCATCATTGCCGCTGAGGAGAGGTGCTCCCCATTACTTTGCTAGGCTTCCCAATCTGCTTCAATACAGGCCGGAAGCTTTTGAGGAAGCCGACTTCGACGAAAAACTAGAGGATGAAGTTTTGCGGAACAAAGAAGGCTTCCAGATCGACGATGCAGGCCTGAGAAGTCTCTTGACAACCAATAATACCATCCGTTGGCGCTGGCATCAAGAGCCGGCCAAGCAGCAGGAAAATATGCAGAGCAATGCACGCATCATTCGGTGGAGCGACGGGTCTTCTTCGTTACAGCTTGGCAAAGAATTCTACGACATACAAGAGACGCGCGAGAGAGGCGCTGCGGCGGCCGCGGCATCGTCCTCGACATCGTCGCCTGTAACGAACGTTTCGCAGCCAGCACAATACTTGACGCACATCTTTGTGAAGCATGATGGTCAGGAAGCGCTCAACATCTATCAGGCTGAAGCGCCCGTTATGGCCAGCATGACGCTTCGGCCCACCTCGACGGCCAGCGACTCGCACCAGCGTCTAGCACGTGCCGTGCGCCACCAGCGTGGCACCTTGGTCAAGGAGGCTAAGCTCGGCATGGACCCAGAGTTGGAAAAGGAGCGCAAGGAGCGCGAAGATCGCAAACGGGAACAGAAGCGAGCCAGAGAGCTGAAAAGGAGGCGAGGTGGCGCAGGCGCAGAGGGCGGCGTTGCCGAAGATGCAGATGACGATGCTTTCTGGGCAAATGTTTCCAGGACGAGGAGGATGGGACCCGACGATCTTTCGACAGCGGCAGCGAGATCGTTGGGCGCAGGAAAATCGAAGACGATGGCTGGTGTGGGATCCAAGCAGCACCTCGATGAGGTTGTGGAGGGCGTCGATGATGTGAGTCGTCGTTGTCCTCTTCTTTGTTATCTGTCCCGTTGCGCGTAAAGCCAAGCAGAAACTGACGGGCTATTAAATTGACGCAATAGGACGGCTTCGTTGTCGATGACGAGGATGAGGGCATCGACGATGCTGAAGGCTCCGACGATGACGATGAGATGGAAGGTCAAGCACAAGAAGACGAGGAACCGGACGAAATGGAAAAGATGGAGGCTGAAATGGTAGGTGCTGCCCAATCTTTTGCGCTATTCAACAGAAGCCAGAATTAATGGAACAGCGGCTTTGACGAATAGGAGAGGCAAGAAGCGAAAAGAAAGGCAGACAGGGCAGCGGTGAATCGCCAGAGAGACTCACTCTAAGGTGCCAAGGCGGCCGCAATTGACGAAGGCGACGAGGAGGAATAGACCAGACGTGCATCGAAACTAAAGGGTCATTGTATTTTACAGAGCGCTCTTCTTCTTTTCACCTCAGTCATCTCGCCACTTTGCTGCTACAATCAGGGTGGTGGCCCTTCCACATGCACATTACATGCTCCTGCTCTTACTGTCATCGCCTCGATCGATTAAGGTGCCGCCATCCGAGTCGATGGCGCAGCAGTACGTCTCGTTCTCGCTCACGAGCATTAATTTTGTCCCGTCCGGTGATATGACGACGTCGGCCGCGCGGAAAGAGGCAATCGGGATCGGAATCCCCTCGCAGATCTCTCCCTCGCTGAGCAGTCTCCAAAGGTAGAGGGCCTCCGTCCCACAGACGATGACAAGTTCCGAAAGTGAGGAGCGTTGCGACAGCCTCCAGACCGCTTTTCGCACAGTCTGGCTCAGGATCACGGCCGAATGCAAATACGCACGAGGCGTTTTGTCGGGCGATGAGGCCGAAAGGGGCGCCAAAGCGTAGATGTAGACAGCCGCAGGAACGACGTCTTTCCTGTGCGATTAGCCGAGAGGAAGCAATTTGACTTGAACGTCTAAAGACCCACCATTTCGGACAGCCAGCAAAGTACCGTCGGGGCTCCATTCCATCCAACAAATACCCGCCCTTGGATTACCTTTGATCGTGTCCGGTCGCAATGCGGCAGGAGAGATTGGTAGATGAGCTAGACTGAGAGTCACAATGCCTCGACCACCCGTATCCCCTCTCCAAGCGTGCTGCTCCCTCCAGACGTGGGGTCTTGAGGGCAAATTTGCATGGGCCTCGATGACACGTTTGGAAAGGTCCAGGGTGGCTACTTCGTTCCACTCATCGGTCTCAAGGAAACGAATCTGTTGTAGGGAGGCCGCCACCTCTCTCTCAGCCCCACATGCGCGCAAGAGGAAGTCATGAGACGAAACCAGACTCACCTTTTCGTCATAATCTCCAACTGCAAGAAGCGAAGAGTCTGGACGCCACCTGACGCAGCGGATGCCCAGACCTCCTCCAGTCACTGCGGCGGCCTCGTCAGACTTTTGACCTGCAGCCCAACAGGTGCTCGGTTCATTGCTGATAGGGGAGAAGGGTACATCGACGCCAGTGTGGACCGCAAAGGTGGCGCGTGGATGACCGAGGGGTGTAAAGATCTGCAGCCTGAACTGAATTTACTTGACGTCATGTCTATCAGTCGCAGCACTGGCAAGATGAATTCCTCGCCGCTGACGCACCTCCAGTGGATGATCCCAGACTGCTATGAGACGGCCATTTGGAGACCACAAGAGGCCAGCTGCATCGCTCATTGCAGTGAAGAAGTGCTGCAGCGCAAGTCAATGTCAGGACGAGACTTGGCTATATTGTGCACAAGGTTTCGGACACCACCTACCCATGAGCTTTGAGACGTGTCTCGGTTTGTTGTGTCTTTGGCATTGGGCCGCAACATGACGACCGTATCTTTGGATTCCTGGCGTGTCAATATGGCCACATGATCGGAGACCGGAGACGTGCTTGCTGCTTGAGAATAGTCGTGAGTGAGTGGCTGGGGACGAGCTCTTGTTCAGTGAGAGGAGAGAGAAGCACACCTCTTTGTCTTTTCGGGTGCTCGATTATGGTCACGCTGCCGTCATTGAGATTATATAGGGACACAGACACCTGTGTTGTCGGCTCATTAGTGTTGTTTTGTGGTGGTGTAGTGTGCGGAAGACTGGAATAGCACGTACCTCATCGAGACTAAACGAGGCGACCATGCCTTGTCCGCACCAAACTGCAGATGCCAAACCCTCGTAGCCCACCCGAATGCTTGCAACGATACCCGAGTCATCTTCAGATTGCGGGCACTTCTTTGGATCCAGAGCTAGCACAACGAAGTGTTGCTTGGCCGATGCGAGAATATATGCTCCATCTCGGCTCCAGCTAGCTGCCACCGCAACGAAAGGAAGGCTCCATGTCCGTACAACCTGAAGTGTCTCTGAATAGCGCACTTGTACCATCGATGTCGACCGCAACGCGTTGCTGTAAGCAGTTAAGAGGAAGGTAGAGCCCGGCGAATAGCCGTACGTGCATGCCGACGTCGGCGCCGTCGAGAGGTGGTAGGCCTCTGTAAAATCCATGGTTGTCAAGCGCCAAAGTGTTGATCTCTGTTGCGACGCGTCTCATGTTCGAAATTGTTGTTGAAATTCAGAAACTAGAGGCGTATCGCGTACAGTTCTAGAAGTCTGACCGCCATCTTTCACCTTCCGTGGCTTAGCAGCAGCAGAGATTGGACGAATTCTGAGGCGCGATGTGGGACGCTAGATCCCAAAGGTAGGTAGAGGGTAGGCTCCTCGTACAGAGCAGCGTTGTTGTAATCACACGGCGGTACAGCCGCCACGTGCGATGTGACCGGAGCGGGCGAGGGAAGGGGAGGCAGAGTGTGTGCGGGGGGGGTTCCATGCTATGAGAGTCCACTACGTCGACACATACCACAGCAATGACTGCAGGGATGTGGAGCGAAGACAAGGGGCATTACTATGTGCAATTTGAAGAGGATAAGTATGGAAAGAGATGATAAAGAGGGAGGATGGGGGAGGGGAGCATGTGTTGAAAGTGTCTGGTGTACGCAAATTTCCTATTGGAGACATACAGTATCACATCATGTCCAAGCTAAGGTGCTGTGAATCGAGAAGTCGACGGAGTTTGGAGCGCTGGGAGTGTCACAGATGTCACCATCCTCGCCGTTCAGACAATTGTGGCCCGGAAATCGTGCCCAGAGATCATGAGGCTCGCCCGGGCTTTCACTGATCGTGTTGCGATCACACATGCAATCCATATAACTACATGATGAAGTGGGCGATTATGAGAAGGGCCGTGCACACATCTAATGGACTCCACTTTGACTCCAGTGTTTCCGAGTGGGTTCTCCACACATTGAGACGATTGAGACCATGGAGGGTGTGCATGTCAATTGGAAACGTCAGCGGACAAGCATGGAGCTTTCCTCGTGTGAGAGTGAGTGTTACACTCTATCTGGCGGGTGAGAACGCGGCAACCCCGTCGGGAGCGAAGAGAGGAGTTATCCTTGGTCTCCTTGTTCGGCTGGGGTCAGAACACCAGCTCAAACAGGAACATGGCGACAAACAAAGGGCCAGCAATACCTGACGATCAACCATATATCAACACATTTTCTTCACAAAGAATTCCAGCTAGGGAAGGCTGGAATGCACGTCGCTTTAAAGTTGGTGCCTGATCTAAAGTTCCCCCTTGTTTTGCATTCAGACTGGCTTCTCTTTACCTTCATTAACACTCTCTCTCCCTTCTTTTTAGAGCCGCCGCATCTCCTATCCATTTGAGTTCCATCTGAGCAACCGCTCTTCTCGTCCCTCGATATACTGACAGCTCCAGCGATGAAGCATGCGACCGGCTTCTCGGTCGCTTTGGTGATGGCCCTGTGCCTCACCATGACCTCACTGGTCAATGGCCGCATCGGAACGGAATTTCCATTTCGTGACGTGCACCAGCGTCGCCGCCCTGACGATGCTTTCAACGGGCAATGGCTTGCCTCCAACTACCAGAATGGCAGTACAGCTCCCAATGCCATTCAAGGCGACTCACCTGGACAAACGCTCGTGATTGGCGGAACCGGGGCCGATGACGATAGCCAGCGTCCCGGTTGCGACACCGCATTTATTGGGACTGCTCAGGTTCAAGGCTCTCCGGACGGTGGATGGCAGGCGCTCCCTCAGGTCGTCGGGTTTGACGCCGACCGCAACACATCGTTTGGAAATGCAGTCATGCCGATCTACATCGAGAGGGGCAAGGACTTTTCCAAGATCAAGCGCGGTGAGCTTCTCTGATTCGTCCTACCGATACATGGAAGACTTTACTTGCTCATAAGACTTGCTGACGGTCACGATGCACGTCTAATTGTCTCGCAGTCATTGTTGCACAGCCAGGCAAGCCAAGAGACTCGTGGAAATACTCTTCGTTGTTCCGCAACTCTCTCATCTGCGCAGTGTCAAACAGCAGCATGGCAGTGACGCTCGCTGACGTGCTCATCGTGGCGCCCATTTGGCTTGGCGAGTCCGACAAGATGGCGGGTGCGGCTCAGGAGAATGATCTCTATTGGACGGATGGTGGCTTTTCAGTCGGCTCATTGACCCAGGGTCCTGGCGGCCAACAGACGAGTAGTTTCGAGGTCATGGATGTTCTCATCAAGAGGTTTGCCAACCAGAACGAGTTTCCTACCCTCAACAGTGTAAAGTCATTTGCGGCGATGCTTTATGTAATGACAGGCTCTATTGACCTCTCAATTCCCTTTTTCTTCTTAGATTGTCGTCGCTGGTCATTCGCTCGGTGCTTCTTTGGCACAGCGCTACGCAATGCTGCGCAAGACGGACGACACCACGGAGAGCCTCGTCAAGTATTGGGTCGGAAATCCGGGTGCTTATGTCTGGCCGGCGGCAGGACCCAGCCGACCAGTAGCGCCGTCCGACACATCTTGTGCTGCTCAGATCGACGATTGGGCATACGGAATCGGAGGGAGTTTGCCTGCCTATGCAACGGCTGATGTCAGCAAAGAAGGCGTCGAGGCGACTTACCAACGCTACCGCAATCGAACTATTCAATACGCTCTTGGCCTCCTTGACGATGGTAAGATGAACGGTAAGAACAAGAAGGCAGAGAAACTGATAGCCGAAACTATCCTGGTCCAATTATGAGCAGGCCCTGGAGACACGCATTGCGAGGCACAGTGGGTCATCTCGCCTCCTCATTGAGTTCTGTTCACATGGACTGAAGCACTTTTACCATTGTCAGATATCAGGGCAATAGCCATCTCTCGAGAGGTCAGAATATGCAAAAGGCTCTCGAAGCCATGGATGGTGGCATACCTGCGACGCAATCTTTCAACTACGTTCCCAATACGAGCCACCAGTGAGAAGCATCTTGTTGTGATGGAATCTGACGGTACTGACGATCGCATCATCTCCATCTCGAAAGGGATTACCTCATGATGTCAGATCCTGTCTCGCAGAATTTTCTGTTTGTCGAGGGACTCGACGACAAGAGGACCGCGACTAGCAGCGTTGGCTCCACTTCGACAGGCACAACCGGCACTGACAGCAGTAGTACTGGTACTAGTACCAAGAAAGGAGCAACAGGCCAGACCACCTCGGGTCAGCCGTCGAGCGCGACAGCCCTGATTATCGGTTGCAACCTCACTGCTCTTGCTGCCTTTGCCGCTCTCGCATTCATGGCCTTCATTCCTATTTCTTGAAAGGAGTCGGTCTGGACACTGCTACCCTTCTAGCACATCCTTGCCCTTCTCTCCACTTTGCCACACTCTATCGCTTTACTCCCGAGCGCCAAATGGCATTCCAATTAAGACATTACATCCTTCAATTATCTACGTCCATCTCAGCTTTGCGTCGATCATACTCGCCGTTTGCCTTATCTGCCGTCATCTCCGCATGATCTGCGGTTGCCCCTGCTCTTGCTTCTGCCTCTTGGCGCCACGCCCTGCTCTCTTCTGAGTAGTCTTCGACCTTGATGTCGTTGAGGCCGAGATCTTCATTTTGCTCCCAGCTCCTCTCGTACTCCTCTTCGACAATCTGTTCATCCATTTCCGGCGCATAGGGATTTTGTATGTAGCTGTCGCTCAGAGGATCGTCGAGAATGAGGGTGAAGGGGCAAATTTCCGCATTCATGGCCGACTTGAGTTTGCCCAGGAAGCCTTCAAAATTAGACGCATGCTGCGAAGAGTCGCCCCGCATCAAGACGCGCTCCGATAGTTCGTCGTAAACCTGTTGCAGCAAGCCCTCGAGTGTCGTGAATCGTCCCCCGAGGGTGCCTGGGGCCAAGTGAAGGTCAATCTCCGGAATCTCGAGGCCCGCCGACTCGGACTTGAGAATGTCTCTAGACAAGTCCTCTGCGTCGTCGATGCGCAAAGTGAGCCGCCTGCCCAGCTTAGAAATGGCACTGCCCGACTTAACCTCGTTGTCGCGGTATCCACAGCTGTCGCAATTTGTCGACATGATGAGGATGTCTTTGAAGTAGGGTATGTTAACCTTCTTCATCAAAGTCTCGAGGGGGCTGCTGCAGCTGCTGCACGTTCCAGGGAAGCTGTACACTTCTTCGTTGTCGTGCTCCGTCTCACCGCCCTCCTTGCTGAAGCCTCCTCCCAGGGCCTCCTCCTGAGCCTCATTTTGGCTTGACATGAGCAGAGCAGCACCATCTTCGCCTCTCGCCCTCTTAGCCCCCCTCTGAAGACCTTCACTCTCGATTTTCGCCTGCTGTCGCTGCCTCAGCTGTTCCTGCTGCTGCTGCTGCTGCTGTTGCTCCTCCTCCTGTTGCAGACCAAGACCGAGCTCAAGATTCTGTTCCTTGGTCCTTGCGTAATCACGCTTGCTCCATTTGTTGTCGCTCATGCCCCTGCCTTCGATGGAACCCATGAATTCGACAAAGGAGTTTCCCGAAGGGTCGTCGAGCTTCATCGTCAAGGCGGCAAATGTCCGCTTTGAGTCGTTTTTGTTAGCCACCACGCCTCTGCTTGATTCGAGCGGCCCTTGCGACGTCAGCGACGATGCGATCTGAGCTTGTTCTCCTCCTTCTCCTCCTTCTCCTGTCTCGTTTGTCACGCCAATAACATTCCTGATACGTGCGCATAGTGCTTCGATCTTGGCGTAGGCTTCGGGGGCCATGTGCTTCCGAAGAGGTTGCTCCATCTCCAGATCTCGCAGCGTGTCGGACAAGATACCCTCAACGGTCGTCAGCTGTCCTCTTTTCTTTGGTATTGTCAGCTCGAGCTCCTTGAACTGAATTTCGCAGTGCTCGCTCTTGACGATTTGTCGGTTCAAGTCCTCGACGTTTGTGAGGTGGACTGTGTAGGTACAGCCCTTCTCTTGAATTTGGCCTGCGGACTGGATCTCATTGTTTCGATTGCCGCAGTGATCGCAATAGAACGAGACAACGATGACCTCGCGAAAATAGGGAATGTAGGTCAAAAGAAACCTCGTCGTGCCCATCTTCTGGCATTCAAGGCACAGCGACTCAATCTCCTCAACCATCTTTGACTCCTCGGCGCTGGCCTGCTCATTCCCAGCCTCCGTGGTCGACCCCACTTGATCGCCGATTGCTTTGAAGAACGGGTCTCGAAGTGTCGTCATAGTGGGCGTGTGGTTCGCTCTCGCAATCAACCTGTGGTGGCAAAATGCTGCAGACTGTGTCGTACGCCTTCCTTCGAATCAGGGTAGACAAAAAATCGATACAGTTCTCGACTAAATTTGGCACGTGATTGGAAAGCAGTGCGGGCCCGATGAGGGCGCATTGCAATTTCTCCATGCAAGCATGACTTGAGGAAGCTAAGAGCCGGGCCATGGAGGACCCCTCGACGCTCGTCTCGACGCTGGGCCTCGTTGTTTTGGGCCTTTACACCTTCGTTTGGTCCATCTCCATCTTGGGCCTTGTCCAGGCCAAACGTCTATTCGGGAAACGGAGTGCTTTTCGAGATGCCACGCCCGCCTCGTCTCCTGCCTCGCTTCCTGGCGTCAGCATCCTCCGGCCATTGGCAGGTCTTGATCACAACCTGGCCCTAAATTTGAGCTCTTCATTCGAGCAGGTGTATCCATCAGACAAGTTTGAGATTATTCTCAGTGTCAAGGATGAATCCGATCAGGCCCGACCTGTGGCGGAGGAGATCTCGTCGCGATATCCTCACATCGAAAGTACACTCGTTGTGGGTGAGTGAAGGCAATAAGCGCTCCAGCTGGAGCTGCTGAATGCTGACGCTGACTCTTATTCCTAAGTAAAGGCGATGAGTCTTGCGGAGTCAATCCAAAGGTTGCCAATCTCGTTAAACCATATGCCATCGCCAAACATGACATCATCTGGGTTCTTGATTCTCAGTGCGCTTTATCGCCACATGCTCTCCTTCGCGCCGTGCAGTCCCTACAAAGTACTCCGAAAGTGGTTTCGCCATCAAATCTACGGCAGCGGACCCGCAGCTTTCTTTGGTCTCCGCCCCGCGTAGGACTGGTGCACCACGTACCTCTAGGCGTTTCGCCAAGAGCCTCGATGGGCTCTTTCGTCGAGGCGGCATTTTTGGGAGGCAATCACGCAAAAATGTACATGGCCATCAACAGCTTGGCTATTGACTCGTGCGTAGTGGGCAAAAGCAATTTGTGGCGAAAGAGCGATCTGCAAAGAGTGCCCGACAAATTTTTCGGCGTCGGAGACCAGGGCACAAGAGGTGAAGCTGGGGCTATTGGTGGCACCGCGTTTCGAAGCAACAACGGCAATGAGATGGAAAGTAGCCTTGAATGTCAAAACGAGCAATCTCTCGTATCGGCAGGACCTTCAAGAGCACTGGCGAGATTCGCGATCTACCTTGCCGAAGACAATATGTTGGCCTTGTCCTTGTGGCGTCCCCCGCTCTCTCTGACACACGTCTTACAACCACTTGACGTGGTCCGTTGTAGCGTTGGCGACATACGCAGCATAGGTGACTATGCAGCCCGGAGGATGCGATGGATTCGCGTCAGAAAGCACATGGTTCCGGCAGCGACATATCTCGAGCCTTTCACAGAGAGCGTTCTCGTCGCTTGTCTAGCGATCTGGGCCTTTCTTTATGCATGGGTACCACTCTTCATGCCACGGGCTATCCAACAGGATTTTGCTCGTATATGGGCGAGTGTATTCGCTTTCTCTCATTTCGCGCTATGGCACCTCGTCGATTTCGAAGTGCTCAGGACGCTGCAAGAAGCAAATGCGCTTGGTTTGTCATCACACGGGGATGCACTTCCCTCTGGCACCAGTCAACCTGTAACCGTTATCGATTGGACGGATGCCTCGCTGGTTCGCAAATTACGTCTAGCTTGGGTCTTGAGAGAGGTACTCGCCTTCCCAATATGGCTGTGGGCGATGTGTGGGAACACTGTCGTCTGGAGACACCGCCGATATCGGATCTTGTCGGATGCCAGAGCGGCAGCAAGTGTCGACTATGACGGGGGCGCTCTGAGTCGCTGCTCCATCAGCGTTCTAATCAAGCGTTGGCTTACCTCTTCAGGAGCCTCTACAGCAGACGGCTACGAGTACGTCAACCTATAAATTCGACGCCTACCGACATCAAAAGCAAAGAAGATAGATTGGATGCTGTACGGACTGATTGCATGTTTCGAAATGACGATAGCCAATTAAATCTGATGAGGCAATACGAGGTGAGATAGCGAAAGTCTCAAGCAGTATGCGCGGTTTGTCGAGCAAGCCGACCCTTTTGCTCAATCGTGTTCAGGATACCTTGCAATTCATTCCTCTCCCCTTCCTCCTTCTGAGTCTCGTGTATTCGCAACTTCCACCAAGCCATCTCCTCCGACTGCCTATCTTCGCCTTCTTTGTACAAGACTTTGGGCCCATCGAAAAGATTTTGTGATACGGTGGCAAAAGCTCTGTTTCGAAATGATCGGTCACAACCGTGTAGAGGAGGCGAATCGGCCGACATTGGCGAGCTCCGACATCGCTCTTGTGCTCTCCACAGAAGTACACCGGCCATATCAACGAGCTCCTGTTGGGACGGTGATCGTGGAAAGGGCATATTGGTCTGAAGTATTCCCGTCAGATCCTCTCTTTCCCCTTTTTGTGCCGCCGACATGATCATAGATGTCACCCGTGCTTCTCTGCGCGCCCACTCTGCCTGAGCCGTGGTCATCGCCATTGTCAATGGACCCGAAGACCAGAGCGTGGTCGAGTGATGACTTTGATCCTGAACGTTTGGCTGGTGAGCCGAATGAAGCTGCGAAAGCTCGAAAGCCCGGAGCCAGGGCCCTATGGACGACACGTTGGTGGTTTTTCGCTTCACTGGAGTCTCACGCGCGGCAACTGATCCGTGCGCTGAGGTAGCTGCCAAGAAAAGGGCTACCGCTCGTCGGCATTGGCTGGTGTAGCCGTCAACAAGAGGCAGAAGTTCGACTTCGATGATGTCTTTGTAGTCTGCAGGACGAAGATGATTAATGAGAGCCTTACAGCGACAGTGTGCATCAGCGCTAAGCTTTCACCTTTGAGTTGATCGCGATGACGACGAACATGAAGCACCCGAAAAGGCCCTCCATTCGAAGTGCAAAGCTGCAAACGATCGTACGAGTCGTCGTTGTACTTGTTGGCGGATTTGGGTGAGGACGCCTTGCCTTTGCGCTTCGATGCCTTCCGACGGCTGACATGATTGTCGGTAAATATGACAAGATCGTTAAAAACTGAGACGAATTTTGCGCTCGTTCGTGGTGTTGCTTTGCCGAGGAGGTCCGAGTTGCATTTCTTCGCCAAATGCGCATTGTCGACAGAGTTTCTTATGCTGCTATCGCTGCTAGCACTGCTGCTAAATTTGCAACCATTGCTCTTGTTGCCGCCATCTTTTCCATTGCTACTGCTCATCTTAGACATCAAGCTCGCAACCGAACTCAGGCGTCCCGTGGAGTTGCACATCGGCTTTGATCCCGCTGAGACGGCAGTGACATCGGCTCTCGAAGGTGCGACGATTGAGTTTCTGCTTGAATGCCTGCTCTTTTCGGTATGACTTGGAGATCTGGTAGCTTCGCTAGGCGTTTTGTGTCCTGACAATGCAAGTGGTAAAACGTGAGGAGAGAGCGAGGCGCCGGCTACACTCCAGCTCATTGATTCTCGAATGGAGTTGTACGACGGTGTGCTCACAAGAGCCAAGCCTGAAGATTCGTTGCTCGGCACCTCTTCGTCGTCCATGGCCTTCATACCGCTAATCTCTTTTTCTGAAAGATCCAGTAATAGTAAAGGACCTTCGTGAATGAGGTGGCGGGAACGCAAAGCCAAACGAAAATTTTGAGGCAGCCCGTCAACCTTTGCCTCGAAGAGCTTGAGGGCCGAGTAGTCCTCTTCCTTTGCCTTGACTTCGTTCAATTCGCGAATGAGGGCTTCTGTGAGTGTGTATAATTTATCTGCCTTCAGATGATCTGGGTGACCAACTGGCGTCAGCTCGGCCACTTGCTGTTGAGGAAAGATTACCCGGACATGGTGTCCATCAGCTGTCCAGCACTGTCTTTTTTTTACGTTGGCACTCACCTTGAAAAAGAGCGGATACTTCATCAGCCTCTGGACAGGCTTGAGGAGATGGCTCGAGAGCGGCAAGCCACCAAGACTAGGAGACTGATCAAGCATCTGTAGTGAGGCCGCCAAAGATTTCGATTCGGGGTATCGATCGTCGACCTCGGTCTGATGTGTTTTCAGAAGGCCTGGCGTCTCTGTTACAGCTGCCGTCGACAGCTTGCCTGAATGTATGATCGAGTCGATGGCACAGATCACGCCATTAAGGCCGACTATATAGGGCAGGTGTGCTTTGAGACCTTCGATATGTCGCAATGTAGAACCGGCAATGTTGACGACAAGTGGTGTTGGGTGGGCCCTTTGTGCTCGTGCAAAGGATTTTGAAAGCTTCCGATGCACTTTTCGAATATCCTTGAGCCAGTAGAAGAATCTACAAAGCTTGAGCGGGCAGTCCTGTCTCCATTGCCCGTCGTCCGACTGTAAAGTGTTCTGGAGAAGATCCGACAGCAAATTGAGGTGGCAGAGAAAGGCAGCTTCAGTTGAACAAAGCTCCTGTATCACCTCTTGACGTTGCATCTCCTTGCTCCCAAATCGCTTGTAGAACAGCTCGAATGTAGAAGCCGACATCGACGAGCGCCATGAAGTTGGATGATCCGCCAGAGCGCCATTGCGAGAGAGGCAGACTTGCGCTGCCTTTTCCAAAGCCAAATGAGAAGAGCTTTTGACCCTCGAGCAGCTTTCTGTAGCGTTCGTTTGGGGCCAGAAGGATGTCATTTCGAGATTGTCATCCAGGGCTCTCGGGTTGACAGCTTTCTCGATTCCCGTTTCTTCTAAGAAAAGTCTTTCATCTTGGAACGAGAATGACCGAGGTCGTCGCCTACGGTCCTTCAACCTCTGTCTGGCTTTATTGCCGCCAATCGTTGCGGGATCCGAAGATTGTAACTTGTTGATGGAAGGATCGAACCAAGATTTGATCAATGGTCTGTCTTGTTCAGTCCCAAGGGCATCGAACGCAAGTTCGGAACGGATCCTCTCGCTTTTGACAACGTGTCTCAAGCTTGTGGTGAAGGAATCTTCAGCAGTTGCAACGACATCGAGCCCGACGGACGTCATTCTCTCAGAAAATCCATCCTGAACACCGACAGGATCAAGGCGGCGGTCAGAGTGAGGTGCATTCAAGCTCGGTGCATCAACGTGCAGTGATTTCCCCTTGGAGACATCGTCGCTACCTGGATCTTCGTGCTTCCGCCGGTCTGTTCTAGCCGATTCAAGCCAGTGTTCGCCTTGGTTCTCGTTCGAACGCTGCCAAGTATTGTCTTCGCCTTCTATTGCGCTTTCAAAGCAGTCTGATACAGCGTCGGACCCGGCGGTTGTAGAAGGCGTCGCAGAACTCAATAATTTGCTGTGACATAATCCATGGAAACGGTCAGCGGCGGTGTCGGAGCACTGATCCTTCTGTAATGTTTGGGACACTTTTGACGAGTCGATGTCAGGATAATGACCTGAAACTGTAAGTCTTCGTGGCTGTCCTGGCTTGCTATATGATGGGACGGAACAGCCGAAGGACCTGTCTTCTGACAGACTTTTTCTGTCGGATCTTAATCCGAAAGGCTCCTCCGTAGTGCCACGCCGCCATTGCTCGATGGACTGCCAAGTCATTTCCGAGGAGGATACCGTGCCAGGCGAGAGCACCTTGTTCTGGCTGAGTGCGCTACATTCCCCAGTAAGCATCTCCCATTCCACACCCTCCTCGTCGGACATGTAGTCTTCACCGCTTCGAGATACCCTTCTCGAACCTTCCTCGCTCGAGACGGGTAAAGCCGACGTCGACTTGGGTAATCTAACTCCCTCTGTGCTTCTTTGAGCCGGGAAATCTGAACAAGCTCTTTTGTTGAAGCTGGGTGATAGAGGTAGGACAATCGAGGCTCTTTGCAAGGCCCTCGGTGGTCTTTCTGGTGCTACCATCGCGTAAATCCTCCCATCGCTCGAGAAGGGCATCTGTCGAACGACGTGATTTACGCGGTGAACGGACTGATCGCTGGGCGTCTTTGAAGGCCGCTCGTACTCCTCGCTCAAGGTCTGGAGCGAAGTGGAATCCATATCAACGGCGGCGGTCACAATGCCCTGTCTCTTTTGCCAAATTTTTATTTAGCCTTCTTCGCACGGTAGCATGTTCAGGGGGCTTTGGCTCTAATGCGAAAACGGCAAGATGACAGCAATGCTTCACGATGTTGTTTGTGCTCTCCGCTTGTTGACACTCACCTCGTCGAAGCTGGCTCTATTCGATGACGACTACTACTACTGAACTTCTTTAAGCGGCTGCGGCTGCCGCGCAACAAGAAAAGGCGACCGAACAAATAATGGCGATGATGAGAATGCTGCGTCTCTGAACACTGAGATGTAAAAATTGCCCAATGTTTCGGACAAAGTCTTTCGAGTGTCGAGAAGCTCGGTGAAGTGGCGCGCTTTCTCCAACGAATGGATGATTACGATGAATCTCGGTGAAAGAAAGAAAAATATGTTGTGAGACGATGGCAAGGAACTACTATCTAGCTATATACAAGCCAGCTAGATCGAGTGCTTTTGACCCATGTGTTGGTCTGGCGAGAACATCTAGTAGAGCAAGCAATGTACTGTACCCTTGCGTGAGAGCGTTGGCTCGCACAGCAAGTTGCAGTGCAGGAAACTTTGCATGGAGTGGCATCGCTGCTTTGCTGCTTGTATTTAGAGACTAAAGATGGACTGGAGTCGGGCCAACTCTATCCGATTGGCGAGGTAAAGCTTGCATAGAATAGCATCTCTGCTGCAAGTGCACGTATATCATCCCCTGAAGAGCTCTACATAGTGCTGCTATTAACAAGATAGGTGAACACTACTTCTTTCTTCTGCTCGGCAGCGATATTCCAGCTTCCACTCTCCACTCGATCATACAGCACACTTCGGACCCAGGCGCTGGGGTTCTCATGATAGCGTCTGCGCGCCTACAATGAGCTTCTTAGGGGGCGCATGGGATCCTCACACTCGCGAGTGCGAAAGTCTTCAGTCTAAGTCTCCCAATATGACGGCCCCATCACTCACGACCTCGGCAAAGCAATCTACCATGCCTAGTACTGTACTATCCAGCTTTAGATGATATTCGATCTCTCGACAGCTGTAAAGCTACACAATCAATTACAGCTTTCGACACCATGTTACTCCAGCGCTCCCAGTACTACACTGTACCTGACAAGCATAACTTGATCAAACTCACGACTGTCTATGATCCGTTCGATGTTAGCAATTTTGTAATTGAAGACTTGCAGATGAAATTCGAAACTTTCCTCATGATGAATACCAGAAAGTCCCAGTTTTTGACCTCGCAAATTTCGTGGCGTCTTTCTCATGAAAAGTCTAGTCAAAGATCCCAATTTTTCAATGGGCGAAACGCAAACTCGTTCAAATTTGTTCTCATTGTCAATTTCACATATCTCGATCGATCTACAACTTCACCCTCGTCACTGAGGATACCAAGGGAGAATGAAGCGCAAGCTGTCTTTAGCGATCGTTGGGACGTTCTCAGGTTTCGTCATGACGCTGAACTTCATGCTGCCTTGTGCTTTCTTGAAAGCTTCAGCATCATCGCCTACAAGATCATGGAGCGGGTCCAGGATCGTTTTGAGGACCTTTTGCGAATTGGCGACATTGGCTTGGAATGACTTGATGACCTCACTGACGTCCACGGCAGCACTCGTTTCGCGCCAGGCATCATAGTCGGTTGCTGTTGGACGTCGCCTGTCAACTGTGGGATCCAGATGCAATTCAGAGACATGCTCAGTGACTCACAGGTCGCGATTAGTACGTAGGACAATTCAGCTTCTCGAGCCAATTTGGCCTCCGGCAAGGTTGACATGTTGATAACATCACCTTTTTTTTTAAAAAAAAAGGAGAGAGCATCGTGAGCTTCGTTAAGCATATGGCCTAAGCAGTACTGACCTCCCCATGCACGATACATGATGCTTTCCGCTCGTGTGGAAAAAGAAGGGCCCTCCATGCAAACCAAAGTCTTGCGGCCGTGCACCTTGACGTCAGGACCCAGAGCCTGGCGTGTTCTATAATAGTCGCGTCTTGTCAGCGCAGATGAAATTGTGAAAGAAGCTCAGATCCACTCACAGCTTCTCAACGACTGGTCTTAAAATCTCGTCAAACGGATCTCCGAAGGTTGCATGCGCCACGACTCCATTCTGGTTGCCTTCACCAAAGAAGGTGGCCCTGCGAATACCTTTTGTCCGGTCGATGATCTGGCTAGGCACGACAAAATCTTTCGGGGCGATTTCCTCTCGGAGCGAGCCGACGGCACTGAATGCAAGAATGCAGCGTACACCGAGATGCTTGAGTGCTGCAATATTTGCCAACGAAGGAACGGACGACGGCGAGAGAGAGTGCGTCAAACCGTGGCGGGCGAGGAAAGCGACATGTGTGCCGGCAGGCGTCTTAGCAACCGTGATGGGAGAAGACGCGTGTCCCCATGGCTGGTTGGGGGTAGCAATCACATCGTCAGGGCCGTAATTATTGTTCTAGAGAGCCTTCTTTGCACTTACCGTCATGGGATTCACCTCGGTGATCACATCTAGTCCCTCGAGCTTGTAAAGGCCGCTTCCTCCAATGACACCAACGTGAATCGGTGGGCCAGTCCACGAAGGCGCGTGATCAAAGTCAAGGTTGGGAGCATTAGGAGCGTATGGAGCCGATGCAGACATCTTGAAGTCGTTTTCGGGAAAGAGAAACTGTTGATGGAGCAATCCTCCCAGTGTATGAAGCAAGAAGGGTGGCACGTGCGCAGAAGATCGCCTGGAGGAGCTCTGCTCTAGTCTCTTCGTTGCTATCAAGAATTTGACCAGTGAATTAGGGAAAGAACTTGGGATAAAGTCATTTCTTGAATTTGGAGGTTTGAAAAAAGTGGAAAGGAAGGATGGTAAAAAGAAAAGGAAAAAAGAATCTGATCAGATTCGAACCTAGCACGGGTGAGTCTCGATCTCACGACCTTTGGGTGTCAAGTATTGATATGAGCCCAACGTACTTCCTCTGTACTACCGTGCTGTGGCTAATGAGGATCGGAGTTTTGGAATCAACAATATACCGGTACATTGTGTTTTTGCAATTAGTTACTACCGCCTAGCCCGATATGCCTTCGAGCTGGCACCCGATGATGGGCCCTTCCAACTCCCTCTGAAGGATCTCTTTGTGTTTGACTTCTTCATCTGATTAGATTAACCTTCATTTGATAAAGAGATGGACGATGAATGGGCATTCGACCGCTGTTGCACGAGCTTTGCCCGTGAGGACACACAAATAGTGGCGGGGAGAAATGACGAAGGTGCATCAGGTATACGTCGGCGGACATGAGATGTCACAGAGATCTTCGGCTTTGCTCAGCCGAAGACGAGCTCCTCATCGAAAAGTTCGATAAACTAACACAAGGGCGTCAGCAATTGCTTTTCCGATGGGCAATGCCACCTGTCCCATGCCACTCACCTGCTCGTTCATGACCCGGACTTTCTGGCCTGCATACCTCCTGTACTCTTCCAGAATGGCACTCAAACACCATCTCTGCAGCTTCCTCAGGCACCCGATCACTGTGCCCGTCCGATGCCGGCCCAGATTGCACATGACTAGCACCGGATAGGTCGAAGGTTGGACGAGGAGGTGAAGCGCCTGGAGCACGATGTCTTCGGTGATTGGATCCCATGCGTTTGTGCTATAGAGCACACCCAGGTGGTGGAGTGTAATGTCGTGCGAGGTGCAAAAGTCTGAACTTCAGAGAAAGTCGGTCGCTGTGGCCAATTTGGGCCTTGGAGGGTAGACTCACAAAGCATCGTCAGGCTCTTCGGGAGCTAGCCAAATGACAGACGTCAAGCCCAGCGTTTCGAGAAAGGGAAGATTCAGTAGGTCCGGGGCGCCAGAACGATATAGGTTCTCCTCAACAAGGCCGAAATTGGGAGGAGGAACCAGCATCACGACGGAAGAAGTCTTCAATGCTGACTTGAAGTTATTGGGAGGGGGTGGAGGAGGTAGCGCGCGGCCGACACTGATCTTATTTTCAATTTTTCAGTCTTGCGACCTTCCCCGCCACCACCGCCGCGTACGACCAGCAAGCAAAATGTCTCAGCCCTCGCAAGCACCGACGAGGAGCGTGGTGCCGCCTCGATCTACACATGCGAGCTATCATCCGGGGGGTTACGGCGTCTCGGAAGGCCTTAAGCGAGCCAGAAGACCTTTCGCCGTGCGCAACGCAGTGACGGGAAGCGCCATCATGGCTTTCGCAGTGGGCGTCTACTGGTATAGCATCAGCAAGGTCAAGCAGGACGACTTCTCCGACTTAGCGGATGTACGTGCTGCGGCGTCGACGAGCCATCCGCAAAAGACTACCCAAGATCAGTCCAAGAGGATATAGCTTTCTGGTAGCCGCATCTCTCGGCAAAAGCTGCCCATCCTTCGGCAGCAGAGCGGTCGATGGTGTGTATAGTTTCTGGGTCATTCAAGTATCATGCTGGATGCTTTCAGTTGACTCTCATATCATTCGCAGTATCATCTTTGGATGTTTCGCGATAAGGTACATTGGCGCACAGAGTCGGCTCTATCCAGCAATGACCTCTGCAATTGCATAAGCTACCATCTACCTTTTTCCTTCTTCAAGGCGAGCCACTGATGGCAAGACATGTGCCACTGCGCAGATGTTTTGGCCGTGTCGCAAGGATATCAGCACCAAGACTAGATCTAGTCTGTACGGAACATGACGATCCGAGCATTCTCAACGGTAACGAGACGCAATAGACAGCATCGACAAACTACAACAACCTCGCAGACTGCGACAAGAAAGTGGATATCTCTGCTTCTACGTTAGATGAGAGGGTCCGGTCTGTTGTGCCGAAGAGGCAGTGGTGGCTTATTTTGCACGAATGGGGGAGTGATGAGTCGCCAATGTAGCACCACCATCCAGGATGTTGATCATGCTACGCACGTGAAGCTCTATACACGTGACATCACCAATCCCTTTCTTCCTACTCCTCCTCGATTTCCCTTTGTACCCAGATCATCAGTCCAATCGATCCATTGCTGCGGCAACTCTCTCTCTGCCCTTTACTACTACGCCATCCCTATCGCTCTGCCCATCGCGCACGACACTCATAGGGACAGCTGCGTCACACGTGCACCAGGTCTATCACAGGAGGTGTTTATAATCGGACATTGTCTGATCACTTGCGCACACGTGGCTTCTCCTTCTTCCTCTTCTCTTGGTTTGCGAGGTCTTCTGCATCCGGTGCACTGGAAAGATCCGCCTTTAAAAACTGTTGGTGAGGGCGACAATGCCCATTGACGTCGCCGCCGGTTCTCCACTTCGCAATCTCCACATCTCAAGGGTTCAAGGATTTTTAATCCCCTAGCCTGCAATCTGGTCTCGGAGTTGTCGGTTGCACATCGACTCGGCTTCCTACAGCTGCGAATGGACCAGGGAGGAAGCAATGAGTGTTGCCACCACTACGGTGGGGTCACATATCTTATTAATGTTCTAGGAGTTATGCAATCAAGGAGCCGCGGCTCTCGGCGAGTAAAGTCTCAGTGTATGAACCGCTGTCGAGCGCATGCGCTAAGCTGAACGAAGCGGGCTCGGTCGCTTTTTGCGAACTCGCCCGGGGCACTGAAACGGGGAGCCACTTTGTCGGCATCGAAGAAGGTGTTCTTGGCGACCAAAGCGTAATAGCCAGCCTCCACTCCACCTGTCCTGACCTACTGTATAAATGCAGGCGGCCTCCTCTTACATTCTTCGTTCGCTCCAATTCGTATCGATATCATAGCACCATCCGACCCCCTCCCCTTCCCGCTCCAAGATGGTTCGCTTGTTCGCCACCATAGCATGCGCCGTCACTCTGGCCGCTTGGACGCAGGCCATTCCCGCCTTCGTACCCGCCAAGTCGGAGCGCCGAAGTGGCGTTGCCGGATTTACGCCCATGGTCAATCGAAGAACACCGACCGTTGAAGAGAGAGCCGAAGCTCAAGCTATCTTTGATGAGCGTGTTGCAGCAGCTGCAAAAAATGTCGCTTCCAAATATCCCGTCGACTATATCAGTAACGTTTCTGATTACTCGATGTGGGAACAGTTTCAGGACACCGGGAAGCTTCCGGAACCCATCCGTGGCAAGACTGGTGCATCTTCGGTTGGACCCGAGAATCCAGAAGTCGATCGCCAAAACCCGGACACGTATGCACCACCGAACTCTGATCATGGCTCAGTGCCGCAAGCCAAGTGGCCCTTCGCGTTGAGTCATAATCGTTTGCAGAATGGCGGCTGGGCTCGCCAACAAAATGAGGACGTTTTGCCAATTGCCACGGAAATGGCTGGCGTCAATATGCGTCTGGAAGAGGGAGCCTATCGTGAAATGCATTGGCACTCGACTTCAGAATGGGCCTACATTCTCAATGGTACATTCCGTGTCGGCGCCGTCGACGCAGACGGTAAGAATGACATTGGCGACGTCGGCGTGGGCGACCTCTGGTTCTTCCCGTCCGGTGTTCCTCACTACATTCAGTCGACGTCGCCAGGGGGTGGAGAGTTCCTCCTCGTTTTCGACGATGGAAGCTTCAGCGAGGACAATACCTTGCTCGTATCCGATTTCACTGCGCACATTCCCCGTGAAGTCCTCGTCAAGAATTTCCCTGGCCTAGACAACGACGATTTCGACAAGATTCCTGCCGAGGAGCTCTACATCTTCCCTTCAGACGCTCCAGCACAAAATGATTCTCAACAGGTCGTGTCGCCCCAAGGAAAAGTTCCAAACAAGTACACCTACCAATTCAGCCAGCAAACGGCAACGAAGCTGTCCGGCGGATCAGTCAAGATTGTCGACAGTGGCAATTTTCCGGCCTCTTCTGACATTGCTGCCGCAGAGGTTGTTATCCAGCCCGGTGCCATGCGAGAGCTCCACTGGCACCCCTCGTCGGATGAGTGGGACTACTTTCTTTCTGGCCATGCAAGAATCACCGTCTTTGCGGGACAGGGAAATGCGAGAACCTATGACTTCCAGGCAGGGGATGTGGGATATCTCAGTGCGTATTGGACTCTACCCTCTTGTCTCTCTTCGCTTTTCATTGCCCCATTTTGCTGACCCAACAAGTTACGAAAGGCAAATCCAATGGACACTATATCGAGAACATTGGCACCGAGCCGGTCAAGTACCTCGAAGTCTTCAAGACAGCTCACTATTCGGACGTCAGCTTGTCCAATTGGCTCGCTCTGACACCACCTGCCGTTGTGAAAGCCCATCTTGGCTTCAGCGATGAAACAATCAGCAAGTTGGACCGTTTCAAGACGAAGAACAACCAACTAGTCAAACGTGGCCTCGAGCCTCGTTCAGTGGCTGGCAAGCTTGCTTGGAAGTAGTAAGAGCGAGGGAGAGACCCTGAGAAGTATCTTCTTAACTGTGTCAGCTCTCGCTTCCATCTTCAATCTTGTCTTTCAGTTCTACAACGCTGCAAAAACAATCTTGTTCATCTCATCTGTGCACATCGAGCGCTCCGAATTTTGTTGAAAGAATAGGAAGCACCATCGTTCCGTACAAATAGCACATAGCAAAAGAGCAGGAGAAAGGTTCAACGACAATAGAAGAGGGGCGCATGGACGAGATCTGCGCCAATGACGTCGAACTAGTTTAGATGTAGTTTTTTCATGAGTTTGTGGACCGTCCGATTGCCCTGTTTTGCCTCCCGTTCCACAGTGCCGGCCTCCTGTGTAGCTTTATTTCTGTCCTCTGCGCTCAAGTTCTTTTCCTCGTCTTTCTTTTTCTTGCTCTTGTCCTTGGATCCAACACCTTTGATTTTCTTCGTTGTCTTGCCGTATGTCTCGAGACCCTTCAAGAAGATGAGGCTCTTTGATAAAGTGACATGGTCGAGATTTACGCCAGAGTCCTGCAGACTGGCCACGAAGAAGCGGAAGTGTGCCGATCCGGAACGGTAGTGGCCGGAAAGAGGGCTCAGGGAAACGAGGACACCGTCCCTGGCGCGAAGCAAGCCGGCCGAGAGAACTCTGCCGCCATAGAGGAAGGAAGAGTGCTGAAACTTGCCCGTCTGCTTGATGCCGACGTATAATTCATGCCGCGAGTTGTAAACATAAATCTGCACAGCATGGCAGAGCGAGTCAGCCAACATCAGGTATATGAGCCGTGCAGACACTGACCCAAGTATTGTCGCCTATTGTTTTACGAAGCAGCGCATCCCAGGTGCCAGCGGGCGAGAGAACGCCAAAGGCCTTTTGGCCCTTTGTTTGATCGCCACCATAGTGTTGAGCTTCTCGCTTTTTATCCTCCTTTTCCTCTGGCAGCTCCTCGTCGCTGTCCGACGAAGATGAAGAAGAAGAAGAAGAAGAAGAGGAAGAGGAAGACAATACACTCTCGCTGTCGTCCAGGCTATCAATTGAAGACTTCTTTCTCAATCTTTGTTCCTCTCGTCGCCGCTTCTCCTCGGCCTGTTCTTCAGGGCCCAGCTCGACGATGCCTCGCCCTTGGCCCATGTCGCGCCATCGGCCCTTTGTCGTGTCAACTGGCTTGCCATTGCGTCGCCACAGGAGCTTCCCATCCTTAATGTCGACAATGTAGTTAGCTCTCTGCTCAGCTCCGAGGTAGACGATACATTCCGATTCAAGGCGTTCCCTCGGACAAGCCTCCAAATCGAGATGCTTTCCCTGTCCTTCGTCCAGCCACTTGAAGAAGTTGTCACGTGTTTCGGTATCTTGTTCCCAAGCCTGATGGTAGTGCTTTAAGTTGGACCCGTAACGATGCTTTCGATCGACCATTTCGAGCTTCATTACCAGGTGCAGTGAGTCAATACTAGGCCAGCAAATCTAAGAGGAAGAGAAAGCAAGACGAGCAAAACTCACCCAATACTGTGCTTCCATGACTTTGCTCAATTCCTGCGCCGGGGCCCCCCTCGTCCAGCGCTCAATGAGTCGGAGGCCCTTTTGGCGAGGCTTTGCGATGCTCCGAATGTTGTCAACCTTTCCGTCGTCATTTGCTCCGGGCACATCGCCCACCATGCCTTGGCTGCTCGTTTTCTCAGGCTTACCATCCTCGGCAGGGTCCTGGCTCGCTTCGATGGCGTGCCTCAGCTCATCCTGAGGATTTAGCGAAGGACCTCCCTCGACGGGTGCTGTGTCCTTTGTCCCGCCAAGCTGAGCACTTGGCGAGCCTGCTAGCTGGCCGACAAGAACCCCTCCACGCTTCCACCGGCTTCCAGCATCGTTCTTTCCTCCGCAGTCTGCCGCCTTGGCTGCACCGTCGAGCTTGACCCGACCCATTGCCTCCCCCCACCGGGCATCAGCCGAGATCGTGTTGCCATCTGCCGCTCTCTCCGAAGCATAGCGACGATAATTGCGCTGGATCAGTCGCGCTGCTGCATCATCCTTGCTGCCGATGTTTTGACCTTCACCATTCTCGCCTTTTTTAACCCCATCTTCCTTCCTCGTTCCCTGGCGTTCCGATTGCTGCGACGACTGCCAAGCCGAACCCTCGCCCTCGTGGTTGGCCGACGCTGCTCCGGCCGCGGCTCCGGCTCCGATGGCGCCTGCTGCCGCTGTTTCACCCTTTAGAGACGAAGCTGAGGAAGCATGTCCCCGAAATGTCAACGTCTGCGTGGCTATCCACTGAGCAGGACCATGAAATGCAGTTAGCAACCAAGCAGCAGCAAGACTCTCGATGCACACAACGGAGGACACACCTCTTGACCTTTTGCCAGATGGACAAAAGAAGCGACGTGACCGGGCTCTGCGCAGACAAATTCCTTCCAGCCACCGTTGTGGAGATCGCTCATACCGTCTCCCGCCTCCTTGCCGGGGTTCCACAAGGTCGTGTCTGGCAGCGTTTCGGACCTCTTGAGCTCGATAGCCTCACCGATGCGGAGGGTGGGCGCGCCACCGAGGTACACGCTGTCCTTTGGCTCAACATAGCTGCATGTATCCTGCGATTCCTGAAGAACCTTACCGCCCTGCAGCTTGTCGCGATACGAACGTCCTTGGAGGCCTGCAACCTTTGTGCTTTGCGAGGGCAGGGCGAGGTAGTTGTGAAAAAGGGCGTGGAAGGCCATCTCGTCATTTTGGCTGGAGGAGAGGTGCTTGACCTTGAGGGTGCACTCAAGCGCCGTTTCGGTGAGCAGGATGCTGTGGTGAAGCTCAAAGTCAAAGGGGTATCCGTCTCGGAGCTCGGGATAGTCTTGCGTCGTGAGCGACATGGTGACGCGGTCACCATTGAAGTCAATTGTCTTCCACCTTCGATCACGGGCGAAGCCGTGTCGAGGAGCCTTGCTGAGCGTCTGGGGAACGTCTGAATGGTCGCTCACGGCGCCAAACAGAGGGAAGACGAGTGGTATTCCACCACGATAAGGCTTTCCAGCGACGTCCTTCTTGGACATGAAGAGGAGCGATTCGGTTGACTTTTTCGGACGCCAGGCGATGACCGTGGAGCCGTAGAGGGCGACTTGGGCCGTCGCCGAGCCCGCTTCGAGGCTGACAACGTCCTCCATCTTGTCTCGTCGTGTCTACCGGCGGTTGGGCAGGTCTGGGTAGGTGAAGAAGGTGTGGGGGGGTTGGATTTAATCAAATTAGGAGGCCCCAGCTTGCACACCAAAGATAAGCTATTCAATCCTCTGCTTGTTGGATTCAGATTGATCGAGAAATATCTTTAAGCGCAAAGCGCACGTCATTGCACTGCCACCACATGGCTGCCAAAGTTGTGGCTTTCCGATTGCTCGGCCAGAGGGTTGCCTCTTTCTTGAGCCTGCGGTCGGCGGAGGGGCAGCCAAAATCGCTTCTTCAAAGATCACTCTTGCTCGAAGGAGCTTACCGATGGATGTTCTGCACTTTGAGAGAACGAGAAGCAAGCTCAATGGCCAAGATGGTTCATCGCGTGCCTCACACAGGACAAGGGGTGAACACGTCTTGAAGAAAATAGCTTTGGTTGCAAGACGGAAGCCGAGTGCCGAAGATGACTTTGTATAGGTCTTGCCCTCCCTCCACAAAGGGAGAGCCGCGCCCGACGGCTGTGTTCCTCCTACCTTTTATGCAGGCCCCCTCTCTTTTCTGAACAATACCACCCCTTTGTCTCTACTGCTGCTGTGGTTCAGCTAGCTCTGCCAGTCCAGCTTCCAAAGCGGAGGGAGCTGCAGCCTAGCGACCTACCTGCAACCGACAAAAGTCTCGTCAAGCATGTCTTCTTCGTCGTCCTCGTCTTGGGGCGATAAGTGGAAGAATTTCACAGCCAAGCCTGGAGCTCAAAAGGCAGGGCAATTTTACAAGAAGGCCGAGACGGGCGTATGGAGAGTCCTCGACCCCATCGGCCGTGGCGCCAACAGGCTTGCCGGAAGAGCTGGCGCTGAGAGCTTCTGGCCCACGGAGCTTGCCGAGGGAGAGCTAGACAAGGCTGCTCGCATCTTGAGGACATTCGCACTCGAGGGTGCAAGGCCAGGCGCCGGAGTGGGAGCCGCAGAGACGTCGACGGAGCCTGTCGCGCATGACAACGAAGGTGGGACAAAGGACGAGTATGCGAGCCGAAAGACGCAAAAGGTCTTGAAGAAGATACCACCCAAGGCGCTTCAGGGCGCATGTGGGGTTGCCATCATGACATGCTTCCGGTGAGCAGCAGGCTAGGCATGCACAAGCGCCAACGTCGCTGAAAAGCAGCTGACAGGCCCCCGAAACAGCACCGGCTTCGGCTTTTCTGGCGCTGGAGGGTCTGGTATCGTCGTTGCAAGGCTGCCGGACGGGAGCTGGGGACCGCCTTCTGGCATCCTGATCCACACTCTCGGGTGGGGCTTCCTCATTGGTCTCGACATTGTAAGTCTGTCTTGATTGCGCTTGCACAAAATCTCTTTAGGGTCCTTGGCTGAGAATATTTTTGACCAGTACGATGTGGTGCTGGTGCTGCGGAAGCCACAGGCACTAAAGGCCTTTGAGCATCCCAAGGTGGCCATTGGCGGAGAAATTTCCGTTGCAGCTGGGCCGGTGGGCAATGGGGCTATTCTCGACGGAGGCGTCGAGGCCGCTCCTTGCTGGAGCTACACAAAGTCAAAGGGAGCCTACGCTGGTCTACAACTCGACGGAACCATCATTCTCAAGGTAAGCTCGATTTAAAAGGCTCCCCAAAATTCCATGTCTTCCGGTGCACATGCTGAAGCATGGGTCTCCTACCTACAGCGAGATGATGCCAACGCACGTCTCTACGGAGGACCGATCAGTGTGTCCGACCTGTTCCAGGGCAAGGTCCCGGCGCCAGCGGCGGCCAAACCGCTCCTTCAGACGCTGTATGCCGCAGAAGGTCGCCCTCAAGTCCTGGGTACCGAGCAAATTCCAACGGGCCTGACTCCTGGCGACACGGAAATTACTGCCGAGGAAGCAGAGGCTCTCAAAGACAATACAAACGAGAAGACCCAAACTGAGCAGTACGATGGCGACCACGGCGGCGACCGCCACGATGAACAGCCCAGTGCCACTGTCTCGAGGGCTCACAGAGTACCTCCGCCATTTGCCAGTGCCGCAAGCCCATCTTCAACGGCAGCTTCCGCTGATCATTATCCCCCCGAGAAGGAACATAAGCCCTCATGAATCATTCGTTGTCGTGCGGCCTGTGGCCGCTTCGAACCTTTTGTTGTGTAGATGTACTACTTCAACTAGCCACTTGCTACACTCTGCTACGCTACTATTACTGCTCAGCGCCGTGACAGACCTTGTTCAACGTCCAGAGAAGCTTGCTAGCAATCCCATCCCTTCATCCTTACCTCCACTGTGGGCAGAAGCAGAGTAGGATAAAAAAAGTCAGACTAATGCAAAGTCTCGTCAGTCGCGTCTTCCCAACACAGACGACCGCGACGACTGCGACGACTGCGACGACCGCGACGACCGCGACGACCACGACGACCACGACGACATGAGCGACTCCTTGCGATCGTTGAGACGGGAGCGAGAGAGCGAAGAGGCACAACCGCTCTTGGCTCACAGTCGAGGGGAGAGCCATGCAAGTGCCCGGAGCGTCGAGCAGACGCCGCTTCCCATGATTCAGCTCCTGGTACTCTGCGTCATGCGCCTTAGCGAACCGATGGTCTTCACCTCAATTCTTCCATTCATTGCGCAGATGCTTCATGAGAATATGCCACAAGTGCCAAAACGAGAGCTGGGATATTATGCCGGCCTCATCGAGTCCGTCTTTGCCTTAGTCCAGGTTGGCTGCGTCTTCTTCTGGGGTCGCGCCTCGGATTCTTTCGGCCGCAAGCCCGTCTTGCTCATCGGCCTCGTCGGCACCTTCGTGTCCGTCAACGCCTTTGGACTGGCCAAGACGCTGCCCCAGATGATTCTCGCTCGGTCCCTTGCCGGTGTCATGAATGGAAACGTGGCGGTGATCAAGGTGCGTCGTGGCAGCCGCCAATGCTAGCTTCGCGCCTAGGTGCTACATGCTGACGTCCCGAGGGCAATTGTGCCGTGTCTTCCCTCTCAAAAGTGCGTGCTGGGCGAGCTGTGCGACGAGACGAATCAGGCGAGAGCCTTCTCCTTTATACCGCTCAGCTACGCGGTGGGGTCGATCCTTGGCCCGAGCATCGGTGGTTGGCTGAGCCATCCGGTGGAAGGGTTTCCTTTCCTCTTTGGACGATCGATATTCCTGGCTGAGAACCCATACTGGCTCCGTGAGTGAACACCTTCCGTTCTGTTGTGCTTGCAAGTCACCAATGTGAACCTTCTCTCTTTCTTCCTTCTCTCCCCCGACACTGTGGTAAGCACAGCTTGCTTCTGCGTATCGCTGTTCAACGTCGCAGGTTTCTTGACCGGGTTCTTTTTTCTTAAAGAGGTAAGGCAGCCCGACAGAGGCTATCGGGGCCCGCTCGAAAGACGAACCTTTGACGTGAGCGTGCTTCGCAAACAGACCCTTCCAGCCCGCAGAGGCGATCGCCAGTCGCCGACTCTGTGCTCGGATGGTGACCAGGAACACAACGGTGGCGAAACGCCACGGATCGAGAAGCCATCGCTGTTGGAGCTTCTGAAGCCCAACGTTGTCGCGACGCTCGCCAATGCCTGTCTCATCAACTTTGTCAACATCTGCTACATCTCTGTGCTTCCCCTCTTCTGCTGCAAGTCTGCCCCGGCGTCCTGGACATTCCGAAAAACCTCTTGTCGGCTGACGAAGATTGTGTCGACAGACACTAGCATCGACGACGGCGGCATTTCCTTTAGCAAAGAGGGTGAGTGCAGCAATTCCCTTAACAGCAAGGTTGTACACAGGCTCACCAAGCGACAAATGGCCGCACATAGACATTGGACATCTGCTTGCCGTGAATGGTGAGCACGAGCATGAGCATGAGAATGGGCACGAGCATGCCCCGTTCGCACCCTTCTGATGATTTTGACACAGGCTGCATCACCATCTTCATCCAGCTCTTTGTATTCCCGCGGCTCAACAGGTACATGGGCGGTCCGCACACCGTGTTGCGATGGTGTCTCATCACGCTCCCCTTCGTCTTTCTTTGCTTTCCCCTCGCCCATGACGCCGCCCGCCGGTATGGACGAGGGGCGACGATGGGAGCGATTGGATTACTTCTCTTCTTCAAAGCGGCTGGTTCCATGATGGTTGTCAGCTCGACCATCTGCATCAACAATGTCATTCCCACCCGCGACGCTCTCGGCACCATCAACGGATTCAATCAGAGCCTTGGATCCCTTGCCCGGGCGGTGGGTCCGACGGCGTCGACAAGCCTCTTTGCCTGGTCCATCAGCCATCCTCAGATACTCAATGGCCAGCTCGTCTGGCTGGCCTTGGCCAGCGTTTCCATCGCCACCTGGCGAGTCTCTGGGCTGATGCACGGTGCCAACGAGATCCAGTGGCGGAAAGGAGTCCCCGTAGAGGGCTAGAAGCCAATGCGACAAACACCGCCCCCCCCCCTCCTTCCCTTCTCTTTTTTCCACAGGCCCTTCTTAATGTCATATGTACAGTACCGTACAGTACCAACCACAGCATTGGGAGATAAATCACGATGTGCTTGACGTCATTCTCCACGGCAGTCTTTGTGTCACAGGTGCTAGCTAGTAGTAGTAGTCGCATGTTTTTCTAAAATCTGCTGACATGGCGTAGTACCCTCAAATTGCAAATGCCACGGACCTAATCTGTTCTGCGCAGAAAGACGCTCGTCCGCAACGCGAGCACACCCGCGGTAAAGTCCGAGGCCGCGAATTGAGTTTCGTGCTTCTTTGGCGGAAGATCCGAATGTGTCCGACACGTCGGACAGGCGAGGCGCGTTCTTATGCCCATCCTTCTTGCCGCTCGGTCATAGGTGTGCACTTGCAGATACACCCTTCGATGCCATGTAAAAGAGAAGGAGATAGAAGGTTGTACGCAGCATCATTAGCGATGGATTAATCGGGCCGAAAGACGCTGATCAGGGTATCTCAGAGACGGCACTTAGCATCCTTCAAATGTATCTTCTGTCATGGCTTCGCAGCGGCGTCGGACTTCTATAAAGGGCGCTCTTAGGGCTTGGCTTGGCAACCCAAAACATCTCCTCGAATCTAGGTTCTGTGAGGTATAAGAGACGTCTGCGCCGCAGAATGTCTCGAGGTTACGCGGGTCTGCGACAGCAGCAGCCTCGTCAACAGAGCAGCGGCGTCTTTGGGTCACAGGAAGATGAGGAGTCAGAGGCGGAGCCACCCGACTTGTCGCCCCGTGCGCCATTACAATACCCTGTGACTCATACTGGCGCCCCCCTCGGCTCGTCTCGCCTGAGAAGCGTTGGTGTTGGTATTGGTGTCGACGCTCGCACTAGTGGCGTTGGCAGCCATAGCAGCAGCAGCAGCAGCAGTCGGGAGATAGGCCTCAGCGGTCGAGAAATAGACCGAGAGAGAGAGATCGGAGTCCAAGAGCAACCACGGCAGCCAGCCCGCCGGGAGACAGACAGCAACGAGAGTAGGCGCCAGGGACGCCAGAGTCGAAGACCAGCGTCATGCACGAATTGCCGGGCTCGGAAGGTAAGATGCGACAAAGTCATACCTTGCAGTCAGTGCTTTCTTCGCGGGATCAGTCACACCTGTGCCGTACCGTCGTCCACTGGTGCCAGCCCGAGCCAGACCCGGCGAAGTAGCGGTATTGCCGGTACTGAGCCGCTGAGACAACAAGGCGATGCAGCCTCGCAACGGACGCTCGCACCCTCCGGTCGGTCGTCGACCTCTGCATCGACACATTCCGTGACGTCTGTACAACCGTTACCTCACCCTCGGCTCTCGATCCCTCCCAGTCGTCAAGGACCGGCCACGGGGCCGTCCCGAACGAGCGTTGAACAGCATCTCATTACACTGGAGAGGAAGGTCGATCGACTCACAACATTGGTGGAACGCCTGGTTCGCGGCGGCTTGACTCTTGCTCCAGCTTCGAGGCAGCCCGCGAGGTCGTCCTTCACTAATAACGAAGAACACAGCGTGGCAAATACCGCCTTGCCCCGCCAGGTACCTTCTTCTTCGGATACGAATGTCTTACGATCGCCGGATCGTAATGCTTCCGAGCAGCTGCATCTACGAGCCGTCCAGGAGGAGGAGGAGGAGGAGCAGCAGCAGCAGCAATTTTTTTGGGAGGAACAAGTGCGACAGGGGCAGGCATCTACGCTCTCAAGCGCGCTACAGTCGCTATCTGCTACTGGAAACGTTACCCTTCCGATGTTTCTCCCAGCGCATCTGACGACGGACTCGTCCCTGGATCTGCACTCGGCAGGTCTACCTCCACGGGGCAGCCAGCAGCCGCCCTCCCCTCTCTACCCATCTACAGGCCAAGACAGGCAGCCAGTAGACCTTCCACTATTGACAGATGCCAATGCAGCTCGAGTCAATCTAGCTGAGACGGGAAGCGAAGTCAGGTCCTTATTCACACGTACGCCAGACAACGAGACTTGGTCATACACCTCCACATTGGCATCTTTGTCACTGGGAGAGGGCGATGATGCGATCTTACAAGAAACGCCCACTTCGTCGTGTCCGAACTAAGCCACTGCGACACCGGCAGCATGCGAAATCAGATCAACCCCGTCAACATCACCACCAAAATTATTACAGCATTTACGTATTTATACGATACTCAGCAGCGCTTTCACCCCCGTTTTAGTAGAAAGAGTATGTTTGAGACTATAGACAGCACTGTCCGGCTGGCTTCTCTTGTAAATTGATATCGCCTTCGGCTCACTGAGGTGTCGCGCCTCGAGGGAGACAAGATGGTCCCTATTTCCGGTACCCGCCTCATTGCCCCCCCCCTCTCAACCTTCTTGTATGTACACACGCGGCCCCTTTTTCCTCCTTCGCCATCCCCTTATCGTCAAAGCCGTTTTCGTCATTGCCATCGTCAAGGCCGACCGGGACTTTCTCCTTGCTTCTTTATGTCAAAAGGCTCTTTTCAGCACGATTCTGCGCTCCCCTCCTCAGCAGTCACTACCATGAGACGTCGCAAAAGCTCAAGGGCGTCATCTTCGTTGGCGATGACTTTCACCTGCCGCGGACAGCTTCGGATTCACTTTGGGTTTGCTTTTTGCTCAACGAAGCCCGTCGGGCTTCATCAGGAATAGTGGCTTTGCAAGGAGGCAGTTTTGCCGCAGCACACCTGTCTTTGCGCCATATATTACTCGCTCTAATTTGGCTGTGCCTGCGCCATACCTCACCAAGGAAGTAGAAATTGTCGCAAGGATGCAAGTGCTGATCAATGAACAATGGACGCTTGTGATCGAGGAAGTTGTAGAGTTCAAACAGGAGACGCATGTACTGTGCAATCTAGAAATCGCCACACGCGTCCATATGTCCTCACCCTGACGCTCCGAAAGCCTTTTGAACAGCGAAGGAGTATGGCCCGACCGCGACAAGCACCGCGGTCAAGCCGAAGATATGCTTTCATCGGAGTTTGTGACCGACGCGATACACAGGTACAGTACATTCTGGGCAAATCCACCTATCAAGACTTCTACGCACCGACTCGTACCCACTTATGACGAAGGTACCCCTTCGCTTTTGCATCCATGTGCTCTCGAGAGCTAGTCCTTGAAGGAATGCGAAGGCATTGTGTCCTTGCTGCTTCGGCTCCATCGCACGTTGCAGATCTGCAAAGTCGCGAGAGAACCGCACGAGGTTCTTGGGCACCTCTTCAGTAGTAGCCGGCCAAAAGTATAATTGTCGGCGTTGAACTCATCGAGCTGCCGGTAGCAGCTTTCAAAAAGTGCTCATCAGCTCCGTCCAAATGTCATGCACCTTGAGTGTGGCACACAAAGAAAGGAGAGGGTTAAGCGGGAGGTACAGTACCATGGCTATTCCGAGTCGTTGAGCACACATGCTCGGTAGCCTCAAGTGAGCGACAACAGCGTACAGAAGTAGTAGCAGGAGATAAACTCCTGACGGCGTTAAGCGCTTGATCAGATTGGGGATGCGACTCGAGCTTTGACATGCCGAACTCGACGGGCTTCACGCCAGGGCACGATCGCGTCTGATCTTTTATTACGTGCAACAGGCACGCGTCGCGCAAAAACCGAACCAACACTGTTCGACGTGTAGCGGCGCGTGCCATTTTCAATCTTTGATATTTAATCGACAGCCTCAGCCGCTCTTCTCCCCCTCCTCATCAACCATCTTCCCTCGATTCACCCATCTGCGAACCTGTCACTTTTTGCGTCTCGGCAACGATAGCACATCGACGGGGAGGTAGACAACTATTCTCTGAACAGTGACATTTCCTTGGGCCAGTACTACGTCCGCCGCCTTCGAGGTCTCGCCATCGCCACTGCTGTCGCCACTGCCATCCGTGTCTTGGCAATCGACTCCCCTAGAGTTACACACACGTCCACGCACACACGTTCACGCACACGCACGCGCAAGAGATCAACGCCCAAGTATGATCTACGTCTACAAACGTGGTGAGTGAAACATATCGGCAATTGCATAGTTGCGAAACACATCTGACTTTTCGCCCACCCCAGATGGCCGCAAGGAGGCAGTCAAATTTGACAAGGTCACGGCCCGTGTTGCCAAGCTGTGCTATGGCCTGGACATGAACTATGTCGACCCCATCGAGATCACACGAAAGGTAAGTCTCGAGCAATGATGCGCGTCACGTCTCCACGACGCGCCGGACGCGGTTACGCGCAGCTGATACCTGTTCTTCTTTCAAAGGTCATCGACGGCATCTATGAGGGTGTGACCACCGTCGAGCTCGACAATCTCGCCGCAGAGACAGCTGCATACAAAACAACCACTCACCCTGATTACGCCGTCCTCGCCGCTCGCATCGCCATCTCGAACCTTCACAAGGAGACGCGCAAGACATTCAGTCAGGTTGTCAAAGATCTTTACGACTACATCAACCCGAAAAATAACCGACACAGTCCAATGATTTCTCAGGACGTCTACGAGGCCATCATGGAGAACAAGGAGCAGCTCGACTCGGCCATTATCTACGAACGCGACTTTCATTATGTGAGCTCGTCGGATCCAATGCGCTTTGCAAGTAGACTGTCTGAACTTTGGCTGATCCGCCCTTCCGCATAGAACTTCTTTGGGTTCAAGACGCTGGAGCGATCCTACCTTCTTCGTACCAATGGCAAGGTAGCCGAGCGCCCACAACACATGCTGATGCGCGTTGCTGTCGGTATCCATGGCCGAGATGTCGAGGCGGCCATTGAGACGTACAACCTTATGAGCGAGAAGTACTTCACCCACGCCTCGCCTACGCTCTTCAACGCCGGCACTCCAAACCCACAAATGTCTTCTTGCTTCCTTGTGACGATGAAAGATGACTCAATCGAGGGCATTTACGATACGCTCAAGACGTGCGCCATGATTTCCAAGACGGCTGGCGGTATCGGGCTCAACATTCACTGCATCCGTGGCACTGGCTCCTACATTGCGGGTACAAACGGTTTCAGCAACGGCATTGTCCCCATGCTCCGTGTATTCAATACGACGGCTCGTTACGTCGACCAAGGTGGCAACAAGCGGCCGGGTGCCTTTGCCATTTACATTGAGCCCTGGCACTCGGACGTTTTTGACTTCCTGGACCTTCGCAAAAACCATGGAAAGGAAGAGGTTCGCGCTCGCGAGCTCTTCTACGCCCTCTGGATCCCCGACCTGTTCATGAAGCGTGTCGAGCAGAATGGCGAATGGTCGCTCATGTGCCCAAATGAGTGCCCTGGCCTCGCCGATACGTACGGTGAAGAATTTGAGGCTCTCTACGAAAAGTACGAACGCGAGGGCAAGGTGACGAAGACGATCAAGGCTCAAAAGCTCTGGTATGCCATTCTCGAGTCACAGACCGAGACGGGGAACCCCTTCATGCTCTACAAGGATGCTGCCAATCGCAAGAGCAACCAAAAGAATCTGGGAACCATCAAGTGCTCCAACCTCTGCACCGAGATCATCGAGTACAGCGCTCCTGACGAGGTGGCCGTTTGCAACCTAGCCTCGATCGCGCTGCCGACGTTCATCGACCAAGGAACCAAGACTTACGATTTTCACAAGCTGCACCAGGTCGCAAAGGTCATCTGCAAGAACCTCAACACCATCATCGAACGTAATTACTACCCCGTTGAGGAGGCCCGCCGTTCTAATTTCCGCCACCGCCCCATCGGTATTGGCGTGCAGGGACTCGCAGATGCCTTCATGATCATGGGCGTACCCTTCGACTCACCCGAGGCTCGCAAGCTCAACGTCCAGATCTTCGAGACGATCTATCATGCCGCCCTCGAGCGCAGCTGCGAGCTGGCCGAGCAATTGGGTCCTTACGAGACCTACGAAGGCTCGCCAGCCTCCAGAGGCGAGCTTCAATACGACATGTGGGGCGTCTCGCCCTCGGATCTATGGGACTGGGCTACGCTCAAGAGCAAGATTGCTCAACACGGTCTGCGAAATTCGCTGCTCCTGGCCCCGATGCCCACGGCTTCGACAAGCCAAATTTTGGGCTTCAACGAGTGCTTTGAGCCCTATACGTCGAACATTTACACTCGGCGTGTCCTTGCTGGTGAATTCCAGGTGGTGAATCCTTGGCTCCTGCGCGAGCTCGTCGAGCAAGGTCTCTGGAATGATACGATGAAGAATCGTATCATCGCACACGGCGGCTCGATCCAGAATGTTCCCGGCATTCCTGATCGCATCAAGGCTCTCTATAAGACGGTTTGGGAAATCAGTCAAAAGGCTATCATCGATATGGCAGCGGACCGTGGCGCTTTCATCTGCCAATCCCAGTCGCTCAACATTCATCTCTCTGCACCATCGTTCGGCCAGTTGACGAGCATGCACTTCTATGGCTGGAAGAAGGGCCTTAAGACTGGCACCTACTACCTCCGAACCAGACCTGCCGCAAACGCTATTCAATTTACCGTCAGCCAGGAGGAACAACTTGCTGCAAAGGCTGCCAACAAGAAGGGAAAGCCTGCCATCGCAGCACCGCCCGCTGTGGTCGAATCTGCACCCGCGCCACCTGCTGCAAACATCAAGTCAACGATGGCATCCAAGAGCGACGTCGAGGAAGCTACCAGGTCGGTTGGCCGCCTGGGCATCGACGGCACCGTGACGCGCGATGGCCCAGGCAATGGAGCGTTGAAAGGAGGTGAAGAGGATGTTCTCAGCCCAGCACCGTCTTCGGAGGCATCGTCGCCAGCGATTTCGGCTGCCGACGCAGCGTCGGGACCACAAGAGGACGAAGGGTACAAGAGAGCTTTGGAACGTCAAAAGCAGCGAGAGTACGAGGAGGCCAAGCTCATGTGCTCGCTTGAGAACAAGGAGGCTTGTCTCATGTGCAGCGGCTAGAATGCTTCCGCCATAGTCGAAAGATTCCCTCTAACATGTACTTTTTTATACTCCCTTCCACGACCTGCTTAGCTTCCGTCTTCTCCTGTTTCGATGTTGTCTTCAAATCTCAAACATATGCTGATTCCAGATTAGATCTGCTGCAAGAGAGGGCTCGAGGATGATGCATGCACGTCTACTTTGTGACTCTTCCCTTTGCCTTCGCCGCCTTCGGTGTGGAGACGACCCACGCCATGAGAGCCGTGATGCCTCGAAGGAGGTCAGGACGATGCTTCGCAGCTGCAATGACTACGCCGACGCTCATCCCAAAGAAGAGCCTAAGGTCGAAAAGTCAGCCTCTGACATTTGTTCACGAGCCCATCTATTCCGCTTGAGCTTACCTTTCGGCGTGGAGTGCGCCCGTTTCGCCCTTGCTCAACCAGCCTGGCCTAGCGATTTCTGCCAACGCGAAGAGTGCCCTCGGACAGACGTACAAGGCCATCTCCGCCCTCTTGCGTTTTTCTTCCAGGAAGACGCTGAATCCGCACACGAGTGACCCAAGGAGCGGGCCCAGACCACCGTCCCAATATTTGAAGGAGACCGATGGAAAGAGGCGTGGCAAGACCAAAGTTCGACCAAAGCAGACCATGAACCTTTGCGCGGAAACGAGCGGTCAGCGACCATTTCAGTGCCCACGAGTGGACCTTGTGATACATACCATATGCTAGCAATGTACGTCGAAAGAAAGCTAGCACTCCTCATACTTCCTCTGAGCACCTTTGAGATGGCCGCGACAGGCTCTCTGGCAAATTGCTTTGGGTCGAAGATGAGGCGAGGCAGGAGGTGGACGGGAACGTAGATGCCCATGCAGACCTTCCAAGCCCTCAACCACCTGTACAGGGCATTAAGATAACAATTTGCGCCCCCAATGCCGCAGTGCACAATCTCGCAGGGGATTCCAGCCATCTCGCCTCTGCCTCGGGGCCCAGCAGCACCTTCGAGGACGTAGTCGACCTCGGTCGTTCCCGTCGAGCGAGCCTTGGTGATGGCCTCGGCCTTGTAGCGTCTTGCCTCCTCATTTGTATTTGGGATTCGAGAGGGATCGCCCCAGCCATAGGGATAGCCAAGCGACTCGGACAAGGATCCGAGCAGATCAACCGAAGCTGGATCAATGGGGGCTCCATAGACCCAGTTATACGGCTTGCCCTTTCTCAGCGAACGCAGGGCCAACAGAAGGCGGTGGTCCATGTTGGCGAGATTGGTGATCCATTTGACGTAAGAGGGAGGAAGTCTTTCTGGCGCATAGAACCAGCTGAACATGATGACGGCACATGCCACGACAAACGTCAACCCTTCGGCATGGTAACTGAGCTGGCCGGCCAGAGCAGAGAATACTCTGGTGGCGACGGTTCCCTTGGCAACCGTTCCTCGACGGTGATTGCGGACTGTTTCGCTCCTCATGCCAGCGGCTGGACCCAACGGCATAGTGAATCGATGACCTGCCTTTAGTGTGTCTGGCTGAGTGATTGATTTCCTGGATCGCTTGGTCTTGGCGACGAGAAGCGGCGCTGCGCGGACCAATGTGTCCATTGCCCTGACAAGTGCAAAGAGGGTGAGGTCGATCGTTGGGCTAGCCATGTCAAGCGTCGATTGTGTTCCGTCCTCGTCCACTCGGCTACTTGACTGTGAGGGAGAGGAAGGCAAAGAGGATGCCTTGGTCGCTGCAGAGGCTGATTCTAGGGGGTCTTTCTTTCCCTCGACCGGAGAGAGGTTCTTGGCTCCGCTCAAGTCAGGGCTTCGGCTTCCAGATGTGTCCTTTGGTGTTGCAGGGACGCTCAGCGTCGTCAATCTGGCCAAAAAGTGACCTCCGGGGGCCAAAGGAGTAGGAAGCTGGAGCTTGCTGTCTCTCGCGTCTCTCCTGCGGAAAGGATTAAACATGCCGACGGCCTTGGCCGACGCAGCCGACGAAGAATTCCGCGTGGTGGAGGACGTTGGGACTGGGGAAGAGGAAGACGAGGAAGGGCCGCGAGAAGAAGCAGAAGTGACTGCAACATGTTGCAGCATGAGGAGAGCCAAGAAACTGCTCGTGGCCGCGCTCAAGAAGGTGCTTCCGATAGCCATCGCTCTTGCGCTTCGCCTTGGGCCATATGCCTGTCGCTTCAAGGCACCCTCTATATTCAAGACCGAGGTGATGGTCTGATCGAGAATCGTCATGCCTGCCATGGCCAACGAGCACGTCAGAGCCGTTCCGCGAGGACCCAGAGCCACGAGAGCCGTCTTCATCACAGTTTGGAGCAGGGCCGGGAGCTGCTTGAGAACAGGAAGGACACCATCGTGGTAGAGCGACGTTGGACTGGAAGAGGCGCGAGAAGATGATGAACCATCGACTACGATGCCGATAGCGGAGTTGAGAGAAGAGGATTGATGGCCTTGCTGCGCTCGCTCGTCATCTTCCTTGATCCTTGCCTCCTGCTTGATCCTCCTCCTGACCCGGGCAATGCACTTTGCATTTACAAGGGAGAAGCGGAGTACCTGCTTAAAGATGGAAGGAAGCGCGTCGAGTAGGTAGCCGATGAGAAAAGCCCGAAGTGCGGGCTGGAGCCATGGCGAAGAAGCCAGGACCAAGCTTGACGTTGCCCGTTGCTTGCTGCTGCCAATGCCGCCGCCGCTGCTGCTGCTACTCATCGCCGATAATCGCTTCGCGGTTGACGACGCGAGCTGAGACTGGGGAATGCAGGAACGCAGTCGACGATGGTGCTAATCGCCGCCGTTCACAGACCGCTTCGTTGGGATTTTGGAGGAGTTGATGGTGATGAACGACACGGCTGAGAGCAGGGATGGCAAAGCGATGGGTGCGTGCGCGCGTGAATCAAGAACAGCACGCGACGACGAGCAGCCGATTTCTACGTGCCGTGCCTGCATTGCATGATTCGGATTGAACTTTTGTCCGGTACACCGGATCGTAAGTGCAGCAGCAGCAAGTAAGTAGCTTCTTCCAGTGTAGGGTTGCTACTCGTAGGACGTGCTAGGTGGTGTATGCTACGCTGAAGTGGATGAAGGCAGGTTGGCAGGCGACAAGGTGATACTAGATCTAACTTCGTCGTTTGAAGAAACATGACATGTCGACAAGTGAAGCCGAAGAGGTACCTTTGAATCACGCCGCGCAGCTCCTTACAGCCCAGGCGTTTCGTGAAGCCATCGAGGCCTACTGTTCCAAGCACGGCAATGGTACGGATGACGTCTACTCTTACGCGGTAGGCTGGACATTTGGTGAGGGACCGATGGTGAGTCTGGTTGTTGGCAGAGGAGATGAAGAGCCCGTGGTGGGCTCAACCAAGGCTCCTCACACAGCCACCCCGGACCTGTCACTTGCGCCGACAGTTCCTGTTGGCTGGCCAAGATGAGCGCATGGGTGGTTGCACCGACGAGACAGGCTTCCAAGACGTCCAAGAACCATGCGATGATGCGGCTGCCTCGGCCCGCAATCTCTTGTCAAGGCATGCTTTCATCGTCTGCGAGCAATTGGTGGCCTACTCTTCGATATGGAAGGTACCAGTCCTGTACCTTCGCGCTCACACAAGAGGTACGTGGCTCCTCCCTTGCTCACTTCGCACGGTCATCTGCCACTGGAGCCTCTTTCGCTGAGGGTTAGACTTCTGCACGCAAGACGGCGCTCCCCTTGCCTTCGACGACCTGATCTCCACCTCTTCGAGCCTCTTCCGTGACAATGTCTTCGTCTCATCCGACGGCGACCAAGACGGGCTCCGAGCAGCTTCGTTTCCTAGCATCGGTGTGGGCGAATCCCCCGTCCAGGGCGATACATGGGCCTTTCTCCATCCCTGCCACACGGCCTCGTGGCTGGCGATGCTTTCACAGCGACACCATGCCGACAAGGATGACGGGCGAAGGGGATACGTGGACAGCTTCATGATGCTCTGCAGCACCACAGTCGAGATGAGGATTGCGTCCTCGCAGCTTGTGAAATGAAAGAGAATGAGATAATGAACCTATTGCATTTGCCCATGGGAGGTGGCCGCGCGCCTTTTGCGGGCATTGTCCCAGTGCCGACTGTACAGGACCACTTCTGCGATGGCCGTAAGGAAGCTTAGGAAAAGTGCAGTCAAGGTTTTCTGTGATCGAGTGCAAGAGACGCACGTAAGCTTCGTCAGGGGCAATAATCACAGGCTCATCCTTCTGAGTCGTGGTTTGTGGCCTCACCCAGATTGGATCAATGTTTCCGCCGGCCCACCATACGCTGGTGGCGACTGCCACGATGCTGACTCCGACGTTGACTATGGCACTCAGCTGTCTGCGCACCTCCAACCATTCCTCTGCCTCATGAGACCCTCGCTTCCAATTCTCCACGCCAACGGACCATTGTTGTTCCCTTTGATTTGCCCGCGAGGGTGCGGATACCATGGCCTCGTATTCAGCCCTTTGCTGAGCCAGCTCGATATTACGCAGCGACTCGACGAGCTCGGCAGGCTATCGACACGCAAGTGTCAATGCGTGCGCTGCTGTCGCGAGAAATCGAGCGATTGCAGCCAATGACTCACCCTCTCTGGTTTCTGTCTGGCAGGATACGCAAGTATAGCACCCCTCAGGAGATTCCTCAGCGTAATCTGGTCGCTCAATGTGTCGGAGCCTTCAGCGGCCCACCGAGCGACGCCGACGAGGGTCCGGTGTTGGAGCGTGAGCGCGCCCCCCCGTTTGCTCTCTTGTACCGCTACCGCTTCGCGGAGCTGGTCTAAGAGGTGCAACGGGAGCCGTGGGCGTCGGGACTTCGATGTTGCCCCCTGACAATCGTCGGCGACAATTTGATGAAGGAGCTCTGCGGCATGGGTCGCCACCCTGACGCGGGACATCCTATCTCTCTCTCTCAGGTTGTCTTCTTCGTGGATCTCGAGACTGATTCCTCTGGAAGCCGAAGTTGAGGCGACGCGTGACCTCCACCTCCGACGTGGGCATACCGGTACTGGTAAGTCTAAAAAGCAAGACTTCGTCGCACGGAATCGGGAGACACTGACCGCTCACGATGGTCGCGATTGCTCTCCGTAGAGTCCTCTTTCGAGAGACAACAAAAGCATCGGCGTCGGCTTCGACGTCGACATCATATTCCCAGTCAGCATCATTTGAAACATTGTCTCGACTGCCGCTGGCGTCACAGCGAGCGCCGCCTTTGCGCTGGAGGAACAGGTTCCTCTCCTCATCCAGTCCCTTGAGCCGCTCCCAGGACGACCCGTACAAGCTACTTGGCCTGGACTACTCGAAAGTGGGATCCAACGGGTGGGACGTGAATCTGGATGAGCTCAAGGTGCTTTGGAGGAGGCGCGTAGCCCTTACCCACCCCGATCGGATGGGCGGCAAGTCTGAGGTGAGATAGAGAGAGCATGGGAGAGAGGGGAAGAAAGAGAAAAGAAAAGAGGGGGTGATTAGGCAAAGCGAGCTGATGAGAGGATCTCGCGCACACAGAAGGAGAGAATGGCAGCAGAACAACAGTCGGCGATGATCAACAAGGCCTACGAAACGTTGCGAGAGCCGCTGCAAAGAGCTCATCTCCTCGTGAGTGTGCTCTGTTTCCAATCGAGGTTCTCTCTGGCTCCTTCCTTGCGCTCAGCGCTGCTAATTAAAATTTTCGATGGCCCTTACAGTTGGAGAAGCACAACGTTCCAGTGCCCTCGGAATCGGACTCGCTTGAGGACGCAGAGGTGCTGATGCAGGTTATGGAGCTGCGCGAAGCCCTCGAAGAGGCCACCTCGGAGCAAGAAGCTCAGCAGGTCCTCGAGGACAACCAGGTTTACTTCGACGAGGCGATCGCGCAAATTAAAAAGGCGTTTACCTCTGATCCACCCAACGTCCAAGATGCCAGTAAAGCCTCGGTGAGCCTGCGTTACTGGACAAACATCCAAAAGGCTGCCAGAGAGTGGCAGCCGGGCAAGAGAGTCGAGCTCGAAGATTGAGTTTGGAGCTATTCGATACAAGTTGCTGTCTGTTACTACTAAGTAGTGTACTGTACAATGATAGGCAAGAGAATAGACACCCGCGCTCCAGACACATAGCGAGAAAGTAATACAAGGAGAGGCCAAGGAGAGGAAAAACTCTCAGGGGTCCGTCTCTGCGGGTTGAAAGTAGGGGGCAAAGGATGGGTCGCTTTTGAGCCATTTAGACGACTCGATGACCGAGTACGTGTGGAGAAAGAGCTTGGGAAAGCGTGAGGTGAAGTAAGCCAGGAAAGAATCGGCAGTGGTGCCAAAGAGGCGCCTCAGCTGGGGCGAAAGGTCGTGGATGTGGTGCTTCTTGTTTCGAATCGCCCTCAGCAGGTCAACGACCCGCTTGCCATCGTATTTCCTGCGCTTGCTCAGATCCTCGAGCACCTGTCGATCGATTTTCCGCAGCCAGTCGCCACCCCCCAGCACGGCTGCCGAATCGTCTTCGAGGGCAACAAGCGCGGGCGCAGGAGGTTCCCTCTCCATGTTGTCAAACTTGTCGCTAGCATCCTGCAGAAAGGCCAGCCTTCGGCTAGGGTCCCAAAAGTAAGGGTGGGCCATGACCTGATGAGCTGTCAAGCGATCCCTAGGGTCCATCTCGACCATCTTGCGAACGACGTGCTGCGCTTCATGGCCTTCTTCGCCGAGGCTGTCCAATCGACTGAGATCGATGCGATTACGGATGATGTTGACCTCTCGCTCGTAGCGCGAGCCAAACGGATGCTCGCCGTTGGAGAGGACATAGCTATTCGTGGGACGGAAGATCAGCAAAGTGCGAACCATCCAAGAGGGGAGAAGGAGGAGCTGCCGCAAAAATTCTCGGAAGAAAAGCCAAAAGGTCAGACAAGTTGTAACTCACTAGGTCAAGCAACCCAAGGCAAAAACGTCGATTGCTCTCGTCAATCTGGCCCTCGTTGACGAAGAGGGATGGTTCTCGCCTGTAGCAGTGATGCTATCGCTCGCCGAAGTCGTCGTCGTGCTGCTCGAGCTTCCTTCCCTCGACTCGTCCAAGGAGACGTCTCCCCTAAGGATCTCGGGTGCCCGCCACCCTACAGTACCGCCAGGGTTGTTCATCGTCTGACTGAAACTCGTCTGAGCGATGCCGTCGAGGCGTTTTGAAAGTCCAAAGTCGGAGAGGAGCATCTTGAGCTTGCCCCCAGACGAATAGGTGACGAGGATGTTCTGCGGCTTAATGTCTCGATGAACAATCGAGAGGGAGTGGAGATGGTGAACACCTGATGCAATCTGCCACAAGCACCGCTTCGGCTTCAACATCGCACAAAGCTCCTGCCATTCGGCTGGCCGCTCGATGACGTCGGCTAGGCTTGCAGGGCAGAGCTCCAGGGCAATGAAGAGAAAGGTGCTTGTAACCTCTTTGTAGAAGTATCGAATCACGTTCGGGTGATTGTCGGCAGACTCCAGCAGCGACACCTCCTTGGATGCCACGTCGACAAAGTCGCGCAGCAGACGTTTGACGGCCACGGCCCTCCCTTGAAAAGTGCCTTTGAAGACGATGGTGCCAGACGAGCCGTAACCAAGCACTTCGTCGGAGATGACGAGGCTCTTTCCCCTCTTTGCCACGCCACCTTCCTCGACCGTAGTCGCCTCGCCTCCCTCTGCACGCAAAGATGCCTGGGCGGCTATCTTGATGGCCTCCTGGCCTCCCGCTCCCGATGTGTTTTCTCCGGTATCGAGCCAACCAGATTGAGAGATAGCCATCGTCGTTGGCGAGGATAATGCGGCACCAGCGTCCATTTGCCTCTGGACCCCGTCCGTAGCGCTCAGATGGCCGTTATCCAGCTGTGGGTATTCCTCGTTGTCGCTCTGGTCTTCTCCCTCTTCACCTCGTCCATTGGCTGTCCCATTTGCTTCTCGTCTACCCTCGCGCTGCGACACGGCGGCTCCCGCCCTCTTGCCTCTCCTCCGCCTCTTGGCCGCCCTTCTCTTATCTCCCGGCTTGCCTTCAGAAACGGCAACGTCCTCCCCGTCCTCCAACAATGTCCTCCCTTCTAAGGCAACTGCGTCATTCAGGCCGTCATTCCCTTCCGCCTCTCCCCCTGTCTTTGTCTTTACCTCTGCCCTTGTCGCCGAAGCGAGTGTCGTGTCTGGAGCCGGATTCTGTGCAACAGGAGCCCAGAGAAGCTCTTTGGAAGCCGCATTTGCTTGCTCTGCATTCTGTCGCCGTTGTTCTTGTGCACCGACGTAGACGAGACCGCACAAGACGGCGAGCAACAGAACGACAATCATCTGGGCCAAGAGCATCGTAGGGGACGGCAGCGTGGACCAAGACCTTTCCAGCGATGATAGCGACGACGACGGCGACGATGATGATGATGACGGTGAGGATGATGATGATGATGATGATGATAGAGATGACCTCGTATCTGCCTCGATCCCTGACTCTGTGTCATTTGGCAATCTGTCATTGTCCGAGGCAGAGGAGGAAGAGGATTTGGACCCATCGCCGATGCCCAAGAGAGGGGCACTGCCACCGAGCATGCGGTCGCCTGACAGCATGGCCCCACCATTGCCGCTCGCTGCCAGATCGTAGGTGCCCACAAAGCAGCTCGACGAGGTACACAGAGACGGGTGACCTGCTTCGATGCCCCGGTAGCTTCGTGAACTGTGGTGATGGTTGTCCTGATGCGAGGCATGACCAAGGGAAACAGGTGCCTGGCGCGCAAAGGCGATGAGCGGGTACTCTCGCTGTCCCATGGCATACAGGTGGCCACCCGAGAGGCCCAAATAGGTGGAGGTTTCTTCTGCTTCGTCGGCCGCGTCGGGCCCCTCGTCGCGCGTGTCTTGGCTGGCAGCGGATGGCGTAAGGTAGAGAGGGGGCAGAGCACGGCGGGGATGTGGCACGATGACGGCCTTCCCCAATGGTTCTTCTCCCAGCTGTGGCTCCGAGTCGCTGTTTGTATGCGGATAGATGATGTCGAAGATGCCGGCGCTGATTGAGAACAATGGTTTGGATCGCAGGTCAGTAACGTCGACTGGCAGCACGCAAATGATCGACGAGGGACACAATGGGACTGACTCACACGGTCGCACCAAGCTCGCTGACCCACAGTGTCCTCTCCTTGTTGCTGCTGACGCTGGCCGATGTCGGCTCAAATGCGGCTGAAGAATTGAAGCAGACGATGGTGCCTTCCTCGGGCATGCCCAGCAGAGCGCGTTGATCCAGCGTGGTGGCCCTCCGCGACCACATCGTGGCCAGGTCGCGATCGGCAATATCTGGGGTAAAGGTGCTGTAGCGCAGCGTCTGGCTGAGCGATGGTCGGCCACGAAGATGAATAGTCAGCGTGTAGTCTGTCCGACCTATGTGGGCCCATTGCTCCCGACGTTGGCAGAAGTCTTCTTGCCGGTCAAGTCTGGCTGCGGTGTCTGGGTCTGGCGTAGCGGGGCACCAGGGCGCATGGGCGCCCTCGTCGCCAAAGACGGCGCCGATGCGGCCAGTCAGGACATCAATTTCTACCAAAGTCGTGCGCTTGTGGCCCGCAAAGACGCGCGAGGCGTCGCCCGGGAACGAAAAGGGGCCCAGGTCGACGAGCTGAGGCAGGCTCAAGGGCAGCTTCGAAAGCTTGGTGGGCGAAGAGCCGTCACGAGGTCGGCTGAGGACGTAGATGTGACCGTCTGAAGGCTCGACTATGTACAGGCCCAGATCCTGGATCGCCTCGAGGGCTTCCTGCCCGCTTGCCGTTGGCTGTTGACCTTGTTGATAGTGCAGATACGACTCATCACCCGACGTCATATCGGCCGCCAGCTCAGAGAAGGTGCGCATTTCTGGGCCAAAAGTGGAGCTGAGAAGGGGAGCGAAGGCACCGCCCGTCTCATTTGAGCTCGTTCGCGGTGGCAGGCTCCAGATGCGGCTGCCCGTGTCCCTGTGCAGGCCATAAATGCCTCCTTCGATGGTGGAGACGAGAACGACACTGCCCAGGGCCACGTTATTGAGGGTCGTTGCATGCTCAGCGGAAGCACCGGCCTTGATCTTGTGTCGTAGCGACGACGGATACGAACGAAGGTGATAGGGAGCGAGCTCGTCGGTTGCATGGTGAACAATGTTCTTGTTCTTGTCGCTGTTCTGGTGGGACTTGTGTCGTACAGTAGCGGATCCTGTGTGTTGTTCGATTGAGAACACTTGGCTGACAAGGCAGAAGAGGACGAATAGGCAGAGCATCGTCAGCCTTACGCCCATCTCCATCTTTGATGCAAGCAGTCAGACGGCGTGACCGCCCTCTTCTCTTGTCTCTCTACGTAGACCGACCGAGCATCAGAGGAGCTGCAGTGAAGGGGAAATCGGTGCGTGGACAGAGCGACTGCTCGCTTCGCAGCTCGTATACGCTGACGAGCAATGTTGGGGATGATGGCGCTGTTCTAGAGAAAGCGGTGGGAAATGAGGATGGTAAAAGACAATAGATATAATAATAATGAGATGCGATGAAACTGCTGCGCTTGCGCGGGGCTGCGCGTTCAGAGCTGTAGACTAAATTTTTTAGTGAACTTTTTTTATTTTTTATTTTTATGACAGGGGAAGCTTCGACGCCCTCGGACCATCTCCATCTGGCCAGACGAGCTCGGCCATGAGTTCATTTGAAGGCGACACGCTGATCCTGCCCTGCGTGGCAATTGGTTCGGTGGCTCAACTGGCTGCTGACGTCCTGCTGGGCCCTGGATCGCCGTTTGAAGAGGCCAAGCATGTGATGGACCTCGACTCGAGCTGCTGCATGCCCTTTGTCGGAGGTAGCGTCGGGGGACGAAGCAGCGCCCTCATTACGCCCCTTCAGGTCTATCGGGATGCGAACAGCAGAGTCACAATTGTACAGCAGCGCAGCCCTCCCTTCAAGGTAACCCACAGCAGACGGCTCGTAGAAAGCGTATCAGGCGAATGCTGAGCAGCTGTGATACGTGTACAGGCAAGGAAAGACGACTTTGTAGCTCGCTTGGCAGCGTGGGCGAAGCAGTCGCGCTTCCAACAAGTCCTCGTTCTCTCCTCGGTCGATGCGGCCCTGCGCGGCGACGGCGAGCTCCAGACGGGGTAGGTAACGTGCTTGTCGCGTTTTGTCGACCCGTATTAGCTCATCGTAACATTCCTGCACCACCTAAGTTTACGCTTCGTGCAGAGGACGAATCGCCAGGGTACAACGCTGTCGCCGCGCTTCGCAGACAAAGTCACCTCGCTCGATTCATTGACGAGCACACGCTCGCTGCCCGGTTCGGGTGTCGCGAGGCGTCTTATGGCGTCGCTCGAAAGGGCAGAGGTGCCGGCGAGCCTGTTGGCCGTCTACTGCGCAGAGGGCGACAATCGAGCGGATGCAAAAGCCATGGCGATGCACGTCTACAAAGCCGTCGATCCCAGCGGCAGGCCATGGACTGAGGTACGGGAGCCAGAGGAGTGGACCATGGTCTTTGGCTCGGGACCGGATCAGAGCTTGTTTAATTAATTGATACAGCAGTAGTTGCACACCACTAGTCTCCCCCCCTTTTAAAAGAAATAGCTAGAAGCAGTGATCACCAGGGCAAGGCAGGAAGAGCACGGGAATCGAAGGAGTGCGAGCAGGTTGGGCGTGGCCACGACGCTCACCCCTTGTGACCGACTCTTGCATGGAAGCTTACCCCTTGTGAACGACTCTTGCACGGAAGAAGCTGCTTGAAATTCCGGCCGCGAGTACAGCGACGCGGACTTCTCCCCATCTCTGGCAATTCGCCCCTCGATTGACAATGATTGACTTGGTGGAATGCACAAGCACCGAGCCCGTCGTCGAAACGCAGGGAGTTCGTCCACGAACCCCACCAGGTGAGGACGTCGACGAAGCAGCAAGCTTCCCTGAGCCGGCAGATAAGCAATGTCGTCCGTAACAGGTTGTCAGATGAAGCCCTTGGCAGGTCATGTCGTCGGTTTGGTCGCTGTGTTGTACAGTACCAGACAGCTATTTATGCGTGTCGGTACTACACGCTCCCCGGCCTAGCTACTTTTGCTGCTTGCTACTTGCCGCTACTATCGATGTTCTTTGGAAGGCCATCACTTGGAGCAAATCACTTTGAGTAGCAAGCAAGACAATGAGCAGCAAATAAACGGCGCGCGCTTGTCCTTATCATCATATATACTGTATGTCCTACTACATACACGTACTGACGGTGTAGAATAGATAGCTAGTAGTACTGTACAGTGCCTTCTCTCGCTTGTTCCATCTGCACATGGCCTGCTGACCTCTCTATGGCTACGTACGTCGGCAGCAGAAGTACTACTAGAGTAGTAGTAGTGATAGAAAAGAGTGATACGCTGTGTGAAGAAGTCTATATATCACTCTGCTCTACTCTACTAACTGCTGCTGCCTCCTGCTACTCCTATACACTACTACTAGTACTAGTGTAGCTAGTACTGCTCTTACATCTGGGGCTGGGGCAGACGAGGAGTCAGAGAAGTCAAAAAGTCGAATGTCGATCTATTTATTTATAGCGCAACAGTCGAAGAGCAGTTCGGCTCTCCTTCAGAAGCTTCAGAAGGCACCTTAAATTTAGGGCGCTCTCAGGAATCGCCCCTTGCTTGATTCAATTGTTCGCCCCTTGGATCGTCCTCTCCTCGCCATCTGGTGCCTCGCCATCGACGCCTTCCCTACCAGTCTCATTCCTGACGGCACAAAATCGCCGCTGGCTGGGCACACGAACAGGTCTGAAGTCCTGGCAGTACGGTGTACTTCTGTACGCGGTAGCTACGGCAACATTATCTATTATTTGATATCAGCTTGTCAAAGCTGGGGAAGCCGACGCACGCAGACCAACGCAGCAGGCAAGGGGCAGTGGACCCCGATCAGTACGTCGATCAAACCAGATAGACAAGCAGTCTAGCAGGTCCTCTCTTTCGGTAGATGGCAACGACAAGCGACGCCATTCTCGCCACGTACCGAACCAACGCCTGCAGCTCAGACCTGGCTTCTCCACCCGCCCACTTCATTTGCTCGACCACCGCTCTGCTTACTGCTGCTGCTGCCGCTCTGCTGCGGGAGGCCAACCAATCGTCCTCATTGCTTAAGACAGACGTTCTGAGGCCAAACACGCCTGCGCTCTCGACTTTCCCGACATTCAGCAAAGCTGACACCTCCTCTCACTTGCTTCTGCACGATTGCTGGTCATCACTTCGCACATCAGCTCTTGTGCACGGACAAGCGAGTGTACACGCGGTCTCATGGCCATCTGAGACCCACCGTCTTGGTCCTCCGTCCTGTCGCTTCTTTCTACCCTTCTCCTAAGCTTCTGTCTTCTCGCCTCGGCAACGTTTAAAGATGGCCTACCACTACCACCAAGAGAACCATGAGCATACGTACGGTCATGAAGCGAGGCATGACGCGTGGACGACGACACATTTTCATGGCGAGCTGAGAGGGTACCAGCAGCAAGAAGAATCCTATCCTCAAGGCTCATGGGGGCAATGGGCTCCGCAGCACTCATACGGCCAGGACCCTCATTATCCGTCGCGCTCTCACGTACCCAACGGCTCTTATGGAGGTGGACACGTCGGAACCGGCCACGGTAGCAGCGGGAACAGCAGTGTCGAAGGCACCACCGCCAACATGGCTGGATTCGGCGCCCGCAGATTTGCGCAAAAGCAGCAGCAGCAGGCTGACAAGGAGATGGCTCGCTATGAAGCGGAGGAGCGCAGACGAATGGCCGATGAGGAGTTACGAAGGCACCAGTGGCATGAGGAGGAAGAGCAGAGGATGTACAGACAACAGCAAGAAGATGAGGTGGCGGAGAGGAGGAGGAGGTGGAAGGAACACGAGGCGTGGGAAAGGCAGCAGTCACAAGAGCAGGAAGCGGCGCATCGGGAGCAGCATCCGGCAACGCAAAATCACGAGGGAAGCGGGAAGAACCAGCATCACGGCGACCCACTTTGGATGCAGGAGCATCGGCACGACCAAGTCGATGCGCAGCAGCATCTGCACGATCATCAGCAGGGTCCTTATCAGACCCTGCATCCCTCGTCGGGCAGCAGGATGGTGAACAAAAGTGGGCACGGTGCCTGGCAGAGTGAGGTCAAATATGACAACGATGGTCCCTATGACGCCTACTGGGGCGACCATGGCGAGTATGACGAAGGCAGAGGACATCGGCCTTCGAAGTCGCATGCATCCGTCGCCAGTCATCATGCCCGACAGACGGTCTATGAAGACGGGTACGAGGAGCCAGACCTAGGGCGGTATGATAAAGCACAAGCACAAGTAGCAATGGCGGCAGAGGCAGAGATGGAGGCAGAGACAGAAGAGTCATTCCAGGATGACGGTGCATCGACGGTCAGGGCTCGGAGTACGGTCGGAGCGAAGTCGCTGGAGCGGTACACCACGTACGAGCCTCTGCCATTGGCAAAGTGTGCAGACTGCGGCGAGAGTATCGCCTTTGAGGACCTCGTTGACCACGAATGTGACGTAGGACTCAGGAAGGCCATCGTCGATTCTCCTCCAGAGTCGCCCCCCTTTGTCGAGTCTCCTCTCGAGAATCTGCATGCTGCCGGAAGTTTCCCCAAGGTTTCAGCTACTGCTGCTACTGCCACACCCTCTCCAAGCACGGCTAGCAAATCGCCATTCTTCAACCGCTACGAAGACGTGATAGAAAAGGTCCGCAAAGATGGTCGCATATCCCCCGCATTCGCGCAGACAAAAGACTCGCCCATCAAGACAATTGAGACCAAAAACGTCGTCATCGAGGAAGAGGTGCAGCGAAGGCTTGCCATGAAGCGCCGGATCGAAGCGCAGCGTGAGGCAAAGCGAAAGGAAAGCAGTAGCTACCCCCTTCCATCTCCCTCGCTCGAGGTCACCACCAAAGATCTTCCACGAAGCGGCGGCCCGAGGACTTCACCATACCTCTCGTCGCCAAACTCTGCTCTCTCGGCCTCTAATTCACCTCCTGTTCGGGTGTCACCCTTACCTTCCTCTTCACCCTCTTCTCAGCTGTCGTCGCTGCCCAGGACTCACACCGTCAGCGACGAGCGCTTATGCACTCCAGTACCCTCGTCTGCGATGTCAAAGGCAGTGATGCTGCAGCACAAAGCGCAAGAATCGTCCGTGTCATCCTCGTCTACCATGTCGAGCGCTCAATCCTCGTTGCTAGGGGACTCTTTCGGCCAAGCAAGCAGTGGTTTGACGCCCAGTTCAAGCTTCGACATCTTAAGCGAGCGTGAAGGCGTACCGTCACCGCAGCAAAAGTCGTCGTCGACGACGATGATGACGGCAAGGAAGCCTTCAGAAGTACCGAAAGTGAAAGAGAAGCGTCAGAGCATCGATCTTGGTCACCTCGAGGATCTGCTACAAGATCTGGAAGTTAGTGTTGGTCAGTCGGCATGCAAGAAGGCCAGCAACGATGCTCCGCGCAAGCTTCCCATCTCGGACCCGAGGACTCGCCAGCAGATTGAGGAGGAAAGACGGCGGCGAAAGGACAAACAGCAGCATTACCTCGCCATCGACACCAAGTCTGCGACGTTACAAGCTCAAGGCCACGGCCCGCGCACCAAACGCTCCTCTCCTTCTGCCTCAGCAAAATCCTCACCCTTGTCGGCAATGTCGCCGGCGAAGGTGCGGCCGTCTCATGGGTCATCGGCATGGAGCAAGTCGAGTCGGAGCAGCGGCAACGGCAAGAAAAAGGGCACAACGATTTTGTGCAGCGTCTGTCTATGCAGGCTCACGACAGATATGCCTAAGGTCGAACGCGACGGCAAGCTGTTTTGCAAAGATGATTTTGCCGACCTATTTTTAAACAAATGCCGCAAGTGCACAAAGCCAATCGAAGAGCGATCGGTCAAGAGCTCTGACGGAGCTATCAGAGGAAGCTTTCATGTGAGTGACGTCTCAGATCCAAGCGCAGCAAAATGCTAAGACTCGAGGACTTGATCAGCCCTCATGCTTCTCTTGTTTTCAATGCAATGCCACCTTTGACGATGGCATTTTTTATGCCTTCGACAACGCTCCTTACTGCCGAGAACACTACCATGGTCTCAACGGAACCCTGTGCACATCGTGCAGTGACGGCATCGAAGGTCAATGTCGCCAGACGGAATCCGGCGAACGTTATCACCCACGCTGCTTCACATGCCAATACGACGACGAGGCCAATGGAGAATTCTGCAGGGACGTCCTCGAGGAATACTACCTCGTCGAAGGCAAGAGGCTGTGCGAGTGGCACTTCCAGAGGATCCAGAAAAAACTAGAACACAGGGATGGCAAGAAGCGGACCGACGTGGCGGCCAAAGCTCGGAAGAGAAAGACGATTCTCAAGGCGATTTCATAGTTTATACCCCCTCATCATCATCGTCACCGTTTCAAATGATATCCCGGCCTTACGTTTGAGTCTTACAAACAGCTTTTGGCTCCGAAATTACGAAAGAAATAGCCCATCGAGAACGTTGACGTGGACTGTAAGCTCGACGCACGAGATGAAAACAGGCTCGTGTTTGCTGAGCACTGGGGACGCGATCGCATACAAACTCCGTCCAAATGCATTGCGAATCTTGATGTTCAGCGTCAGGCTAAAATATGCCAGATGGCTGCCGTCGTATGTGAAGAACGTCAGTCAGTCCAGTACCACCTCAGGCCCCGCTCCTCCCGAGTCCGAGGGCCGAGGTCCGAGGGAAGAAAGAAGCTCAGGTAGGTATTTAGACTAAGCTTCCGCATCGCGCCCGCTCGGACCACCCACGCTCTTGTGACCATGTCCAGCAAGTCCAGCATTCCCTTCACTTCGCCTCGGTGGCAGAGACTCAACGAGGGATGCTTTGATGCTTCCGATAACCGGCTCACCATCACATCGGGGCCCAACACGGACTGGTGGCGAACCTCGTTCGCCTCAGAGCCCGAAGCGTCCGTCAATCGGCATTCTGGACCAGTAGTCTACATCGACGTTCCGCAGGACGAAACACACTGGAAAGCCGGTGTATGGATAAGCGGGGACTTCACAGAGCGCTTCCAGCAGGCAACGCTCTTCGTAGGCGCGGGTGATTACGAGGCGTCCAATGATCCATGGGTCAAGGCAGGCGTGGAGCTCGAGCACGGGATCCAGTTCATCGGGTGAGGGCGTGCTCTTCGACGGCGACGCCAATCTCAGGTTCATGCTGACATCAAAACGGTGCAAATTGCAGGAGCGTCGTAGCCAACCCATACTCGGATTGGGCGATCCAGCCTTCGCCTCTGTCAATAGGGCCGGGCGCCAACAAGTTGTTCATTGAGATCAAGCGTACGGGCTCGGACCTGGTTTTGTCGTACACCATTGCGCCCGCCAACGATAAGGATGCTTTTCACGCCAAAAGCAGAGAGATGACGCTCATGAGGGAGGTCAAAGGCTTCTTGGCGCAGGGCCATGGCGGACGCCAGCACATTGGCCTCATGGTCTGTGGACCCAAGAGCGAGAAGACGAGGGCAGAATTTCTCGGTTTTACCTTTGAAACGCTAACGCGATCAGAAGTCTAGGAGGTGCCTTGCTCGGAAGGCCGATGGGCCTGCTGGGGGCGGGGGCGTTGGTCAGAAAGAAGGCAATTAATCTCAACTGCTACTTCGTATTTGTAGTAGAAGGCAAGAGTGCCATTGGCGAGTAAGATGTCGTGAGCTATGAAGTAGGTGAGAGCATCGAAGATATTGTATCTATGATTGGTGGTGATACCTTGAGCAACCGCCATAATCTTCCGCCAAGTCCTTGACCGCTTGGCGTATGAGGAGCACAGAGCTTGATGTCATGTCGCCCGCGAATCGGGTGAGCCGGTTGCTTTCGAACAAAACGCTCGAGAGTCAGGTCTTTTGACACCAGCTATAGTGGCAGGATGGGCTGTAAAGAGCACCGTGCCATAGGAGGGGCTCATTGAGAAATTTTATGTAGGTGAGGGCGCCGATCCAGGCATCTGCAATGCTCATCCAGCCACTTGACCGTGTCACGCTGGGCATCGTGCTCCAAAGTACACAAGAAGAAGGTCAGTCGTTTGATTGGTCGATCATCACCGCCTAATGGGAGACCTTGCGAACGCTACATTTGTCTCTGCTCGTCTTGGAGAGACGACAAGACTCGAAAACGCTTGCCACCTCTACTCGAAAGTACAGTACAGTCTAGGACGCCAAGACAGGTGCGAGCCATGTCTAGATGTCGTAGAGAAATGTTCTATTCTTGCCTCGCAGCATGAGCCTGGTGCCAGACAAGGTGAGCTCCACGTCGCCAACAGTGTCGTGGTAATGCGGCAAGATGCTTGAAAGGGGAACGTCGAAAAAAGTCACTTGAAGAGCAGCCTGCTATCAGCCATGGCATCATCGAAGGAGTTCTGAGGCACGACTCACGATACGAGTCTCTAAATAAGATCTTCTTTGTCATGAATCGCCCATCGTCTGGCTCTATGCTGCTCTCGTCCCTTGTCGTGACCGGCCCGTCGTCCATACCTTGCTTTGGATCGACGTCAATAAGCCGCAGCATCGCGTTAGAGGCGTAGCCAATATAAGAAGAGTCGGAGGGGTTCCTCGTCCATAGCGAGGCGATGCGGTGACCGTCTATGCTAGTACGAGGAGGCCTCGCATTGGGCGCGCACACCCTCGTGCGGCAGAAATGCCCGCGAACCCAGTGTGATTCTAGGATTGGGTAGCTTGGGCTGGCACTGAAGAGAGCCAGTGCAGCTTGCGGGTAGAGCAGCTCTGCAAATGACGAAGTGCGAGCCAGCCACTGGGCAGATATGGCAAAAGTTAGCCTTGACGCGTGTGTGGCCTCCAATCGACGAAATGACAGATGACTTACGATGAAGCCTTGACTGCAAATGATGACGGTGCCCTCTTGAAGCGCCTCGTTGCTCACTTGTCTGCCTGTTCTGATGTAACTCCTCGACGCATCGGGCTGGGAGGTGAGGGGCAGGCGTATATCGGCCACGTGTGGCTCCCTCTGGCCGAGCCGGTAGAGCTCGAGAGTGGAGCCCCAGTCGAGGGGGTCTCGCGCTAGAGCGTGAGCGGGAGGGAGCGAGAGACAGATGACGGTGTCATTGGAGAGGAGCGAGGCAGTCAGAAGAGGAGGAGCCAGCATCTGGTCGTCGATTTCGCCGTCGTCGTCGTTGGTCATCGAGCCAGCGCCACCTGCGCTGAGCTTCTCCCAGCTGCGCGACCAGGCCAGCTCCCACGGCAGCTCGTCTTGGCCTGTGGCAGTGTAGTGGCGTACTTCAGTCTGGCCATCAATCTGGAGCAAGACAGTAGTCAGAGTGACCTCGAGACGTAAAGAGTTGAAGCGCATCGGGTCCAGTCCTCTTGACGAGATCACGCCGCCCGTCGAAAGATCAAAAGCAGTGAGCACGACGTGATGAATCGGAGGTGACTCCAGAGACATGGGTCGACCCGACACCAACGGTTGTGCTGTCTGCGGCTCGGCATCACTGGCGGCTCGATTGGAGTCGAGTGCGACGACGACAACGCCTTCGTCTGCCTCGACTGCGAACGCCAGCGCGTGCAGCCCAAGGAGGTCGATGCGTCTCAGAGTGGCCGAGCCTGCCTGTGGTGAGATGCAGAGCTTGGACCTGTCTGAGGACAGAAAATAGATGTGGTCTCTGTCGAGCAGTGGTGTCTCCACACCATCGCCATCAATGACCTCGGTGGCTGTGCTCGGCAGACTGCGCAGCAGTGGCCATTGACTGGCGTAGAGCCGGTCAGCTTCCCCATTTAGGTTGAGGGGCAGCTTACGTGGAAACGGTAAGCCGAGTCTGTCGAGTGCATAAAGATAGCGGGCTATGCGACCCTCGCGTGACTGCCTCAGAATGCGACAAGTCTTTTTCGTGGCCGACAGCGACGGGAGAGTTGCAAAATGTTTACAAATATCGTCGTCATCATCATCATAAACAACAACAACATCATCATCATCAATCTCTCTCACCTGAGTGAGTCGCACCGCAGTCACGATGTCTCTTGAGGCGAAGAGAAAGTCGAGCAAATAGGCCCACAGCTCAGAGGGAAGCTTTTCCGCGAATGGATTACTGCAATAGTCATCGCCGAGACCACCGATGCTGCTGCCGCTGCTACTGCTCATGATACCAGCAAAAGAACCTGAGCGCGTACGGAATCTGAGCAGACCACGCGTACTTCCTTCTCACCTCCACATGGCGCCAGCCAGGGAGCGAAGTTCCAAGAGGTTCAGTCCAATTTCTTCGACACTTCTCCATTCAATAACCAGCCTGAACGATGTCCCTTTTCGCAGGCGACCTCTTCAACCTCGAGGGAGCTGTTGCTCTGGTCACAGGGGGTGGCACTGGTATCGGGCTGATGGCTGCGAAGGCCCTTGCTGCCAACGGAGCGAAGGTTTACATCACTGGTCGAAGAGCGGGCGTGCTCGAGGAAGCCATCAAGGCCCACGGCGCTCATCTCAAGGGTTCCCTCGTCGCCGTCCAGGCAGACGTCAGCTCCAAAGCCGACTTGAAGCGCGTTCTTGGAGAAATCAAAGAGGGCGTTCTTCACATTCTCGTCAAGTGTGTATTCCTTGGCCCTCGCAGGTTAGCTCCTGTCATCAGCTCAATGGATCCCTTTGCCTCCTACCCTCATACAAAAACAGCAATGCAGGAATCGAGGGCCCGGTGACGAAGCTCGACGACAACGTTCAAAGCGGATACGATCTCAGCCGCAGGCACATTGAGAACGAGGACTTTCCCGACTGGGGCAGAGTTTTTCAGATCAACACGCATTCCATCTTCTTTGCCACCATGACGCTACTGCCACTCCTAGAGGCTGGTAATAAGAAGCCGCCTCCGAAAACGGCCAACTGGACCGCATCAGTCATCAACATTACATCCATATCGGGCCAGGTACGCCTCTCCCAGAGTCATTACGCATACAATGCCTCCAAAGGTTCGTGCAGTGTCTCCGAACTGCCTTTCCTGGGCGACGGCAAGAGCGCTGACTAAGAGCAATATTCCAGCTGCCGCCAACCACCTCTCGTCGATGTTGGCCCACGAGCTGAACTTTGACCGAAAGATTGGGGTGCGAGTCAATGCGCTAGCCCCGGGCCTCTTCGCCACGGAAATGACGTCGAAGAAGCCGTCCAATGCTGGGGTATCGAGTCCCGACGATCTTGTCGGCTTTGCCAATCCAGCGGGCAGGACAGGAACCGAAGCCGAAATGGTGAGAGAGCGCGAGAGGAGCTTCTTTGTTTGCAGGGCATGCGTGGTCAAACTCACATCGGCTTACAATCCTTCATCAGGCCAATGCCGTCCTACTTTTCTCAACAAATACCTTTGTCAATGGCCAGACGCTTGCTGTCGATGGCGGCTTTGTCACTGCGTAAGTTGACAGGAATCTGCCAGGACCTCGGATTGATGCTTACCTTTTTACCTTCCCTTCCCTTGGAAGCTGCCCCTCGACCCGCTGACCTCGAAACTTGTCAATGTATTCATCTTCTCCAAAATATCATCGAGAGGTTCAATATGTCAGGATTCTCCCTTTCAAAGCATTGTACCGCGCGATGGATCGGGCTGTGGCGAGCTTGAGTGGTGTCTTGTCGCTGGGGGAAAAAAAGACGGCAGAACACGACGGCTAATCTATGAATACGCACAGTGACGACGTGACGACACGTGGCAAGTGATGCTTCTGCGTGTCCACCCCCCCCCCCCCCCCCCCCCCCCCCCCCACACTTTCACACGGCTCGTCTTGCGCATTTTTTTCTATTTCGCGGGGGAGAGCTTCGCTTTCAAATACCACCGGTGTTGCATCCGCTAATTGTAGCGTAGTGGAAGCAGCGTAGGGTAGTGTGGCAGCAGCACTTGATGGAGGCCTCTTCCCTTCTTCCACCCATCCACCCCCAATTCAGCCTCTCGATTGCCGTTCCAGAGCCAAGATGTCATCGAGCTTGGTCAACGCAGCTGTCGGTGTCGCTCTCGCGGCCTACGTCGACGCCAAGTACAGCGTCGGAAACGATCTCTACCTGGGCAAGAATCTGTACGGGAGCAACTGGGAGTAAGTTGTCCGACGGCTTTCCCGCGGTGAAAATACCCTCTGACCATCGGTGCTCTTCGCTCCAGCCACTTCATCCGCACATGGAGAGGGGAACCCTCGATGTACTACTACTTCCAGAGCACCGTAAAGAGGCAGCCCAACGACGTCGCCTACATCTTTGAGGGCAAGCAGTGGACCTGGGCTCAGGCCGATGTAGGTGGGTACATGTGCTTGGCAGCTGCGAGAGGCTGTGCCACTTCCCACTCCTCCTCACCAAACGGGTATGGTGATGTCAATTCAACCCTAAATGGGTGGCCCCAGGGATTTTGCGTCGACTATATGTTGATTTGCCGTCGCCCGATGAGGCCTTCCTTACACTTGATCTGAAGAAGAAGAAGAAGAAGAAGAAGGAGGAGGAGGAGGAGGAGGAGGAGGAGGAGGAGGAGGAGGAGGAGGAGGAGAAGTGGTGGACAGGAGGTCATTTTACTAATCAATCACTGCTTCTACAGAGGTTCGTCGGCTGGCCAACTGGTTACTCGGTAAGGGCCTCAAGTCGGGAGGTAAGTCATCTAGACCGGTGATATATGCCCTAGCAGGCGATCTTTGGTCTTTCTCACAAGGGAAAAGACCTCACTGAAACTTGGCCGGTCACCCAGATCGCATCTCGCTCTTTCTGCACAACACCGTCTTCTACCCTCTGCTCTGGCTTGCATGCCTGTCCATCGACGTGGTTCCCGGCTTCATCAACAACAGCCTTACCGCGACAGGCTTAGCCCACTGCGTCCGCGTGTCGAGGGGTCAGATTGTCATCTATGAGCCCTCGCTCGAGGCACCTCTGGTCGAGATTGCAGAAGAGCTGGCCAAGTCGACGAGCGCAAAGGAATTCGTCTGCCTCGATGACGGCGTCAGCAACGGCAGCCTTGAGAAGTTTCAGCCTTCGTCACGCCTCCCCAACGCCACTTTCTTTGGTCCTGCGGATCTGGCCCAGCAGAGCACCCGACCCACTGACCCAAAGTTGAGGAGCAAGGTGTCAGACCGAACTGCTGCCTGCTTGATCTTCACCAGCGGCACAACTGGCCTTCCCAAAGCCGCCCTCTGCGCCCATGGCCGCATTGGTTTTGCCATGGCCATGTGGCCCAGGGTCAACCGCTTCTCCAGTAAGGACCGCATATACACGCCCATGCCACTTTACCACTCGTCGGCCTCGTTCTTATGCGTTGGTGCCGGCTGGCACTCGGGCGCGACAGTCATTATTGGCCGAAAATTCAGCGCAACAAAGTACTGGGACGAAGTGCGAAAGTACGATGCAACAGTGGTGCAGTACATTGGCGAGATCGCCCGCTACCTGTTGGCGGTGCCCCCACACCCCGACGACAAGAACCACCGGGTGCGGTTGGCGTATGGCAATGGTATGCGTCCAGACGTTTGGGAGAAGTTTCGAGAGCGATACAATGTACCCCACGTTATGGAGTTCTACGCCTCGTCCGAAGGCAACGGCGCCTTGATCAACTACAATACGGGCCCCTTCGGTGCCGGTGCCGTTGGCTACACTGGTTGGCTCGGTCGCAAGGCCAGGCCCGAATACCGGCTGATTCAAGTCGATGCCATTACCGAGGACATCTATCGTGGGCCCGATGGCCTCTGTGTCGAGTGCAAGCCCAACGAGGCCGGTGAATTCGTCATGCTCATCGATGCTTCCAAGCCTGCTGGTCAATTCCTTGGCTATGCCGACAACCCGGAAGCGACGAACAAGAAGATTCTGCGAGATGTCTTCAAGAAGGGCGACATGTGGTTCCGATCAGGTGACCTCATGCGGCTGGACGAAAACGGCCACTACTGGTTTGGCGATCGCCTCGGCGACACCTTCCGATGGCGCAGTGAAAATGTGAGCACGGCCGAGGTGGCTGCCGCGCTCGGCGAGGTTATTGAGGAAGCAAACGTCTACGGTGTTCTGGTGCCCAACCACGACGGTCGAGCAGGCTGCGCAGCCATTCCCTCCAACAACGCCCAGGCGCTCGACCTGGCCAAGCTGGCACAACACGCCCGCAAGGTTCTACCAAAGTACAGTGTACCCCTGTTCCTGCGAATCGTGCCTCAGATGGATCAGACGGGTACAGTGAAGCAGCTTAAAGTGGCGCTCCGCAACGAAGGAATCGACCACGCCAAGTGCGGATCGGACCCTCTCTACTGGCTGCCACCTGGCGCAAGTGCCTACCTGCCCTTTGAACCCAAGGACCTCAAGGCAATCGAGGCAGGCAAAGTCAAGCTGTAGTGCCTCCTCCTCTTTCCCCGTACATTTCCTTCCTCCCCTCCTCTTCTCTTTTCTTTATTCTCTCCTTTGCCTCTCTCTCACATTGGGTGGCCACAGTTCTTGCACTCCTTCTCTTCTAATGGAACTCTCAGAAATCTAGACTTGGGCGTTTGCATCAGGGTTTACCGTGAAACGCAGGCAAAGCCAGAAAGCGTTTCAAGGCTGAAAGACACCTGACAACATCACACTTGAGGAGACAGTCAGCGAGCGCTGCTCTGATGGCATGGCACGAGATGAGAATAACTAGCAGAGACAAATACAGCCTTGTACGCAGTCATCGTAAAAGTCCATCTAGGGAGAAGCAAAAGAGAGGGAGGGAAGCACGCTTACTTATCGGATCGCGCGCCTGGCATCGGAACGCTGCTTTGCCTGCTTGATCCAAAGCCGAACTCTGATGATGATGAGGACGGGAATAGAGACGACAACGGCGACGACTCCTCCAAACCAATGGTACGCGTTTGTCATCTTCAAGTTCTTTGGCACCGTGACGTTCATGCCCCAGATTGCACTGAAGCACACACATGCCAGCAATGTCACTGTAACGGAAGCCAGGACGACGAGAATCTCGTCGGTGCTCTGCTTGACCCGTCGGTTGTTGATACGGATGCTGGAGAGGTACGAGATGTGGATGTCGCTGAGCCGCGCGTCGCCATTGGAGAGGTGCGTCATGAGCGTCACGATGTGGTCGTGGACATCGCCCATGTATATGGACATCTCGATCCTGGACAGCCCGGGTGCGCCGGTTCGAAGCTCGACCAGACGTTTGCGCAAACCTCGAACGCTGTCGTTCTTTGGTGCCAAGAGGCGAGAGAGACCAGTCACGATCTTGCGAACGTCGGTAATTCGACGCAACATCTCACTCTGACCTTGGGCTGATCCTGAAAGAAAGGCTCGCACACGTGCTCGTCGGCGATTGAGCCGAAAGAGACGTTGAATGACACTCCTCGGCTCCTGAGGCAGCTCGTCGAGATCGAGGCGACGGACATGAAAACGCTCTACGACCCACGACGATGGCAGCGTTGTTGCCAGCTTCTTTGGGATAGAGAGGCTGGGGAGAGCTCGGAGGACGATGCGCGTGGTGTTTATGTGACCGTAGGTCATTGGGAGGTTGTTATCCTTGTCCAGAGGCTGGCAAGAAACAGCGACCATTCGTCTGGCAAGAACCTCGCGCTTTGTCAGGGGCAGCGGCTCGCTCGTCATCTGCTCAAGCTCCTCGACTTCGGCTTCGAGAAAGGCAAGGAGCGGAAAAAACGCATCGACGATTGAGTCGAAGAGCCCATGGGCGATCCAGTCTGCCACGAGAGCCGGTCAGTCAAGTGACACCCTTGTTTAATGTATCGCAAGGTGGTGCTCACCAGATGTCAGCTCGACGGGCTGTGTCAAGTCGACGAGTCGGCTACGAACACGATCGGTGTGCTTGGACACATCTTCGAAGTGGAAGGAGATGACGCCGTGGGAAAAGACGATGAGATAGAGATTTTTTGCTCCCACACTGACGCCTTCGAGTCCCTCTTTGCCGCCCACACCCTCAACAATCTCGACACGCGGGCGCCGTCCAGATTTAAAGGGCAGCTTACTTTCTCCGTCGGGGTCGCCAAGGTCGTCCATCTCCATCTGTGGGCCCGACTGACCGTCTTTTGCATCTGTAGCCTCAAAGACAGCGGGGTTCGACCCTTGTTCCGACGAGGTATAGCGAAAGTACGATTCATCGATGGCCCGCACGACGACGAAATAATAACCGAGGCTTTCGAATACCTCGACCTTCTCGCGCGTATCCTGTTGCAGGACGTCCTCTACGGTGAGAGGATGAAGGGGAAACATCTGGCTGGAGACATCAGCATTTTGACAATCGAGGGCTGCTTCAGGGACATTTCCTACCTTGCTCAGCTCTGCCATGTCGCGATATGTGGGACAATTGACGTCGAGCCACCAAGCAGCATGGCCATGATCGACGGCCGCACCTGAAGGCGACGGGCCACCCTGCCCGCTTTCGACTCTGGTTCCGCTCGTAGAAGAATGCTTGGCCTCGTCCTCTCCCTCGGCGATCGCGCCAAGATCGAGGTGTGGTGCCATCGAGCTCATCATTTGACCAGCTCGCCCGCTGATAGGGTTGATGATGAAACCTCTGGCGAAATCTGTCGCCATCCGAAGGTGCGGTGTCAAAGGCACATCTGACATGTGCCAGCCCGTTCGAGCCTCGTCGTCGTCGGATTTGCTTGCTGACTTGATCTGATTAGACGATCCCGCCTTTGTCTCTCCAATAGGAGGTAAATCCAGTGCAGGAGGTGGCAACGCCAGGTCACCATCCTCAAGGTCGATTCCATAGTCGTCGTTGGCGTCCAGATCTGCCCCCTCGTCTGCTCCCTCATCTGCTTCGCCGTCTTTGCCATTAATGTCACTTGCATCGTGACCGAGCTTGCGGTGTCTCTCTGAGAGGCCAATATCCCCCTCCGCACCCTCAACCTGACGTCGATATCTCCGCAAAGCGTGTAGACGATCTTTGACAGCAAGAAAGGATGATGTTTGGAGAACTTTGCCGTTGTCGGCGATCATCTTGTGATGACCCTTGTCACTTGAATTCCTGACCTCGACGCGTTGCGCAGTCATTCCCCTCGAATTCATGGCCGGTCTCGATGGTTTTCCAACGACATCAGGAAGCGAGACGGGTGTGAAGAGGGTAAATTCGGTCACACCGCCCGCTTGGGCCCTTGCCAGCTTCGCCTTTCGCCTTGCCTTCTTGCTCGGCCGCGGCGGCAGTCTTCCCTGACGAATCAGCTCTTTCTCCTGTGCTTTCATCCTTTGGCGTGCTCGCCGCTGCCGTTTTCTCTTTGCTCCTCCCTTTAACTGGAAAGCTCCACCAAACGGCGCGGGCGTGCGCGGCAAGGCAGGTGTGCGGGGCTTGTGAGACCCTTCTTGGTCTGCGTGACTGGCAATGGACGGGGATCGAAAGGGTAGCTGAGCGGGCTCATCCTCGGAGAACCTTGAGCTCCTCCGTCTCAAAGCGCTTCCTCCGGTACGGCTTCGCGAGAACATTCGGAAATTGCCCGTTGAAGACGACGACGAGGAGGAACTGCCACTGCTGTCGCCATCGCTTTCGCTGTCATCACTTGATGAAGATGTGCTGGAGCCACTGCTGGAATCGCCAAAGAAAGCACGGAGCCTGGCCATGGTCAGACGTCCAGACGCCGAGCTGCTTGAGGAGGAGCTACTTGAAGACGAATCGCCATCCGAGGACGAGCTCGAAGAGTCGGCGCTGCTGGCCTTGCTGCTACCTCCTGCCGACCTAGCAGAAGACGAAGATCTGAGCTTTCGAGACACTCTCCTCGCTCTCCGTGTCTGGCGCACATAGTCATCGAGACTACGGTAGTAGTCTCCTACTTCAAAGTTGGGCGGCAGGTCCTTTTTCCGAAACCTCTTCTGTTCTGGTGCGAAATGGAGCTTTGGCTCTCCTTTCGCCCTCGTTTTGCGTCCTTCAGCGGCTCGATTGAGGGCGTCTGCAGTCGTCGCAGTCGGTGGTGGTGGTTCGGGTGGTGCTTGGAAAGACGATCGTCGAGCTTCATCGCGATCTATCTCTACCATGACATCCGAGTCTTGGCTCCTTCGCTCGCCAGCGCGGGAGCTGGACGTCTTCTTTGATCGTCTCTTTCCGCTCTTTGACAGCTTTATTTCCTCGGTGTCACCCCTGCTTCTTGAAGGGCGCAGCCAGCCTGGCCAAAGGCTCGAGCCGAAGGCTACAGAGCGAGCGGAGGTGCTCGTACCACTCCCACCCGGGCCATGCTTCGTTCGTCGGCCTGATCTTCCCGCAAGCACTCTTGCTGTTAAGGCGGGCGATGAAGATGGGCCAGAGTTTGACGGGTCGATTGGTCCGTCAACTACATTGCTCCTCTCCAGCGAGGTGGATGGCAATACAAACGGAATTGCCTCTGGACCCAAGTGAACGGGCTCTGGCTTGACGACATTGGCGCCCTCGACGGCTTCTTTCGTTCGCGCTTCCCCTTGCTGAAGCGGATGCTCGATCACGCCAAGTCCTTCTCTCTCGCCCTCGTGACGATCCATCGGCAGCCCGCACCCGCCGACGGAGAAGACAATTAAAAGAAGAATTTGGCGGTGCTTAACGAGGCGTGATTGACAGTTGCGTCGAGCTTCCTACAGGTCTCTAGAACGGCCCCAATGGTTCGCGCTGCGCATTGTCTCTCTTCTCCTCGTCTTTTGCGGATCGGCACTCTTCCTCATCGCCACCATGGCAATGAGTATTCGCTATCGTCTTCAGCACACCTACTTTATCCCAAAAATTCCGTCCTTGGGTCCGAGGTCGAGGCTCGCGCCTCCTGTCGAAACGCATCGCGCCAACGGAGGTCAATAATTGTTCACGTGGCCAATGCATCTAATGGCAACAGTGGTGTCGCGGTAGGCAATATTGACGTGCATCGAGCGATTGACGACGATAGACAACGAGATCGCAAAAACTTCTTTCATCCCAACGAAATAAGGACGCGCGGCGAGAGGCAATGCCTTCGGATCGTCGGGAAAGGTCCGGCTCGGCGGGCTCAGGCCGGAGCAACCACTCCAGGGCCAGCTCTTCGATGGGTCTGGACGGCGGAGAGGCAGGCCGAAAGATGGCGGCCGAAGACGAGCTGATCCGATCCGAGCTTCAAGAGACCAACGCTTTTTGCAATGCCTTCTGGGTGAGCCTGTCCAACCCTTCTCAAAAGGCTTCCAGAGTAGATCACTCAATTCTGTATCCCATTTCAACAGGGCTTCAACGACACAGGCTTCCCCGTCGTCCAGAGCCGCATGAAGGGCTCAGCTCGGGTCGTTGATGATCTCCGTGCCCTGTACAAAGAGAGGTGAGCTGCACGCTGTCCGTGTAACTGGTACGAGTGCTGATTCTACGAACGCCGACAGAGCTGAAATCGAGGCAGACTACGCCAAGAGGCTATCCAAGCTGGCCAAGCAAAACTTGGGCAAAGACGAGACAGGGTGAGCAAAGACCCCCATTCCATTCGCTCAAAGCTCAGCCCTGACGATAGTCACCACATTGCAACTCCAGTTCGATGCGTGCAGCAATTGATGTTGTACGGATGGAGATTGAGACGACTGCTCGCACTCACTCAGACCTGGGTAGTCTGATTAGAAAAGATCTCGAAGGGCAACTCAGCGAGTTCTCGAACAAGGTGCAGGCGCAGCGCAAGAATGCGGTCGCACAGATCGAGAAGCTGTACAAGCAGAAGCAGACACAGGAGTCGTACGTGGCAAAGTCGAGAGAAAAGTACGAACAAGATTGCATCAAGATCAACGGCTACACAGCTCAAAGCAGCTTGGTGCAAGGCAGAGATCTTGAAAAGGTCAACAGCAAACTCGATAAAGCTCAGGCGACCGTCTCGGGAAATGGTGATTGTGCTTTGTCTCTTGTGTGAAATCCCGGCATGCCAAGCTGATGCCTTGCCTTTGCTGCAGACAAAGACTACCAGAACTTTGTGCGGGCTCTCAAGGACACGACACATCGGTGGAACACGGAGTGGAAGGCCTATCTTGATGTGCGTGCGCGCTGGTCTCGAAAAGAACAAGACCATGAAGAAGGTGCTGACACATTGAACATATGCCTGTCCAGCAATGCCAAGACGTCGAAGAAGAGCGGCTGGACTTCCTCAAGGGCAACTTGTGGAATTATGCCAACGCTATCTCGGCCGTCTGTGTCGCCGACGATGAGGGCTGCGAGAGAGTACGCGTGGCCTTGGAGTCTTGCGAAGCGCCAAAGGATATCCTCCAGTTCATACAACGCTCGGGCACGGGCGCTGCTATTCCAGACCCCCCGGAATACATCAATTACGGCAAGGGTCAACCGCCGCCCGCTAGACCTTCATATCGCATGGCAAATTTTCACCGTTCAACCACGAGGCCGCAAAATTTCATGCCGCAAGGTCCACCGCCGTCCTCGCAGGCTCCTGCAGCGCCGCAAGGCCAACAGGGGGCAGAAATGGCTAGGAGCGCTTCAGCTGGTCCTATTGGCGAAGAAATGTCGCGATCAAGAAAAAGTTCTTCTGGTAGCCAGTTCCCGCCTCGTCAACCTCCCACTCAACCCGATGGTGGCGACGACCCTTCTTCCGCAACGAGTCTGGGCACTGTGCCTTTGCAGCCTTTCCGTCCCCCACTCGGCGCAGTGGGTTTGCCCAGTATGATTCAGCAACCAAGTGATGAAGCACCTAAAGCAGCAACCGAAAACATGGTGCCTCAGGGAGAGCCAGGCGGTGCGAAGGACGCTGCGAAGATGGATAAGAGGATGTCGGCGCGCAATTTCCTTGCGCGAACCCCCTCGATGACTGCCCAGTCTCGGGCCGGACCCGACACCCGCTACCAGCAGCAGGGAGGAGAGTCGGAAACTGGAGAGCAAGGTGCAGATGATGTGGACCCTATCGCCAAGGCGCTCGCCGAGCTTCGAGCTCGGCCCAGCCCAAGAAGCCCGGCTGTCATGAGCCCAGTGGGCGGAGCCCCTCCGCCGATTCAGAAGAGCCCACGGGCACCGCTCAACAACCTCGGAGGGCCCGCAGGGCCGGACGGACAACATGGGTCCACGACTTTCTCGACACAGCACCCTCAAGGGCGACCTCGTTCCCCCTCGGCTGCCTTTATGCAAGCGCCCGAGAGAGCATCCTCTCCCATGCCTGTTGAAGAGGTCCTGGACCAATACGGCCAGTCTTTCCCCGGTGAGCGTCGGTCGCTCTCACGGCAGAATTCGACGGCATCGCACCGCACTAGTCAAGACCTCCGTCCAAAGAGCCCTGCGCCTTCATCTGATCGACCGGCTCCAAGTGGCTTTGCTGGCGTGGGTGCGACAGGGAGGAGCCCGAGCCCTCAGCCACTTGCTTCGAGTGGCTTTGCCGGCGTCGGTGCTCGAGGCAGCAGCCCTAGCCCTCAGGCAGGTAGCCGTCCGCCGGTGCGGACTCCCACTTCGCCTCGTAAGCAGAACGCAACAAGCCAACAGAGTTTGGCACGACCGACAACACCTCTGGGCATTTCTCTCGATGCCAGCGGCTCAGTCACCCACGACGAGATGGCTGATCACTTTCGAAGATCTGGTAGCGTGGGCCCTGGTCAGCAGGGCCAGCAGCGGTCAGGTTCTACGGTCAACCCGCCTCTCCCACACCAACAACAGCAGTCGCATGCTGGCTATGCAAACCACCAGTCGCAGTCATCCATGACCAGCCAATACACTGCAGTCCCTCCACAACACCATCAGCCGCATCAACAATATCAACAACAGCAGCTCCAGCTCCAGCATCAGCACCACCAACAGCCAGCCTACACGCACCCTGACCCGGCCCCGCCACAACATCAGTCGTCATTCAACACCGATTCCGGAGCACCCCGCAGTCATGCTCATGCTGGGCCTCAGTACAGCTATGGTGGCCATCCGCAAAATGCTGCTCCGTTCCACAGCCAGTCCCCTGCTCCTCAGCATCAGCACGTGCAGCAGCAGGCTCCCCCACAGGCGGTCTACGGCCACCATCAATCACCCTCGCAGGCTGCACAATCTGCTTATGGATTCAGCCCACAGTATCCGCAAGGCGCTCCACCCCGGGTCCAGGAAACGCCTGCGCCGTATCAGTACCAGCAATCACAAACTCTGCCGGGTCCGTCACCATCGACACCAGCTCCTATGGGTCAGTATCAGCACCATCAAGCACCGCAGATGCATCCCCAGCAACCGCAGCAACCGCAGCAACCGCAGCAACAGCAACCGCAACCGCCGCCGCCGCAACAACAGCCACCGATGCAGGCCCAGACGCTTCCATCCCAGCAGCAGCAAGTGCCGCAGTGGGGCAGTCAGCCTTATGGAGGCGCGCCCACACCCGCTCCGCAACAGATGGCCGCACAGCAACAGCCGGCGCCACCCACTGGTCAATTCAGCGACGCTGGCAAGCCAATTCTCTTCTACGGTGAGTACTGCCATTCCAGGAATACCCGAGTATCCCGTTGATCATGTTTCGCAGTCAAAGCGCTGTATGACTACCAGGCCACGCTGGATGAGGAGTTCAACTTCACCGCTGGCGATGTCATTGCCGTGTGGGAGACGAATCCCGATGGGTGGTGGCAGGGTGAGCTCCTCGATGATGCGAGACGAAGGCCAGGCTCGAACACCGTGAGTGCCACTTGTGAACATCTCGGTTTCAAGAGGCTGACAAGGCTTTTTTGACGTCGGGCAGTTCCCGAGCAACTTTGTATCACTGCTCAACTAATGGCTGTGGTGGGTCAAAAAAGCCCGAAGATTGCGTTTTGTCTGCATCGCCCTTATCAAACGCAGCAAACAGAAATCGGATTATATTTCATTAAATTTCTTGAGGCAAGGTCCTGGGGTACCCCACTTTTGCTCAAGCTGCTACAGCCTTTGCGGCTGGAGCACTTCCAGGCGTCCAAATTTCCTTTGGCGCAGGAGTGAGTTTGCTGCTGCTGCTGCCGTTGCTATTGGCAGTGGCAGCGGCCTCCTTCTCCCTTTTGAGGGCCTCTGGGTCGGCGCCGAGATCGCCCGCGTCGGCGTATGCGTCCTGACCAGCACCCTTTGTCTCGGGATAGCGAGATTGGACGTAGCCCTTGTGCTTCGCGAGGATGTCCCTAAACTCAATGTCGGAGATGTCATTGGCGAACATGCACTTCCCATATGGGCCAGCCAGGACGAAGCGCTGCTTGCCGTCACGCGTCTTTGTAATTGCTTCGATGGAGCGGAAAAGCAGGCCTTCGTCCAGATCAGTGTGGTCAACCGTCAGACCGACGTTCTGCGCTAGGTCAAACCATTCATCGCGTTCGTGATCCGTGAGGAGACCACGGCTGTGCGACATGATGATGGTGTACGACATGTCGATGGTGATGGCGTGGCCGTGCCGCAGCGGAGGAAAGGGTGCTAGCCTTGTGGTAAAGCGCCCTTGGTCAGCACAGCAGCTTGAGTGAAGCGAGGGGACTCTCGAGGACAAAGACTCACTCAAGAGTGGGCGAGATGCCGTGCCCACTGGCAATGACCCTGTCGAGGCCAATTTCATGGAGGTTCCCGCTCTCGAGTTGCAACATCTTGAGAATCGCCCTCCTGCAGATTTCGTCTGCGGCCTGCTTGAGCTCGGCATTGCCTCCTTCTTCAAGCTTCCTTCCAAAGCCCGTCTTGACAAGTTGGGGTCCATATTTGACGAGGAGATCCCATGTCGGCTTTTCGGCGCAGTGAGAAATCTTCATGATTTCAGCAAAGCCGTTGCGCGTCTGTCCCTGGGGTAGCGTCTTGAGAAAGTCAAAGTCGAGAAAGGTGTGTAGGGGTGCGTGGTAGGCTCCCAGCCGGTTCTTGAGCTTTGAACCATTGGCGCCGTGATGGTTGATACCGACCTTGATGGAGATGGCAGCGTCGATGAGTGCAATTAGCGTCGTCCCAACGCGAATATAGTTAGTAGACCGACGATACGATGCGCAAGCGTATCCAACTACGTCGCTGGCCAGACCACCTCCGACAACGAGGACCGGCTCCTTGCGGATGAGACCAAAATTATCCATGGCGTCGACGAAATCGAGCATCGTCGTCATGTTCTTGTTGAGCTCGCCGCCCTTGAAGACGTGTAGCGTGGGCTTGATGCCGTGAGCGGCGAAGTCTGTCTCATTGATTGTATGTCAGTGCCCAATTCAGAAATCAGCGATTGAAGAAGAGGACAAGACTCACACGATCGAATTGCCTTGCCGTACAGCGCATCCAGATTCTCGTCGAGAATGCAAAGGACCCGCCCCCACGACTTGTAGTACGAGGCAAGATCGTTTTTCTTCTCGTCGAAGACATTGTCTACGAAACTGTACGTGTACTTGAGCTCCTCGGAACCTTCGACAGCGTAGCCCGGACCCGTGCTGTTGGGCGTCGATGGCAGCTCGCGGACGTTGCCGCTCATGTCCGAAGAGGGTGGGAGTACTGACATGCTGTTGAATAGCTCTTCGATGGGAGCCGAAGTGGGCGGGAAAGAGAAGAAAATGAGGGCATTTCTGAGGAGCAAGAAGAAAGGGCAATCCTATATAGGGTCGGTAGCCGGAGCAAACAAGGGTCCCCACTCCATCAAGCACCCGTCTCGATGCTGACCTGAGCATACATCTCGAGAGACCCTACTTGCCCCTCCGTGCAAGTACTCTGACCGCTGCCCGAAGAAATAAGCCATGCATCAATTGACCGGCAGATGAAAACGAAGATCATGTAGGGTACGTGTGCAGACTGGGCGAGCCATCATACCGCACACAGGAGCGCACTGGCTGACGTGATTGTACTGGAGAACTGTCGATGCAGGCCAATCAACAGCAGCAGAGCAGAGCGGAATAGGGATTGTAGAGTTCAACACACTATTAGTGTAGCTGATCGCAGTAGTTGTAGCAGCAGTGATAGTAATGTCTGACTGTCTGACCAAGCAAAGTTGAGTGTCAACCGTCTGCCAAGGTACTAACAGGCTTGACATGCAAGGAAGAGCGGGTGTTCATTCAATACTCTTGTTGGAAGCCCACAAAGGTGAGGCGGGAAGGGAAAATATTAAGATGGTCCGTGCGACGATATTTCAGACCCTGATCGAGAGCTTAGCAAAGCCAGCACGAATTTAGGGTTTGTAAGAAGGCCCTGCTTGCCTCATCATCATCGTTTGGTTAGTCGCCCGTAGCACTCCACCGATGGAATGTCAAAGCCAATGGGGTAACAAGACTACCACTATTTGCTTTGCGCACGCAATGACCGTGCACAAGCAATGACGATCTGTGCGGGAGCGGAAAAAATGGGGAGCTTTTGATCCTGGAGGTTCTATAGGAACGTGGCTCATTCTACTTCCTTTCGTCCCCCCTCTTTCGCAATCGAAGATCTCCTTGGCCATGTCGCCGCCCGTGACTTCGACGCAGGGTGTCCTGTCGACGAGCCTGCTTCTGTGCCTTTGCCTGCTGACCGCACCTTTGTCGGCGATCGCCGTGGCGTTGGCGACCTTGCGTACCACTTTGAAAGAAAGGGAGGCGGAGGAGAACAGAAGTCTCATCGGTGACCAGCGCGGGAGGAGGACGGCCCTCGTCAATGGCGGCCGAATGCAGAAGTCGCTCTTCGTAGCCCGCGCCCTTTCCAAGCGTGGTTTCCGAGTAGTGCTCGTCGAAGAGCGAGGGTGAGTTGGCGTGTCTGCCCACCATGGCCGCAATGCGGCTCCTCGGAGTTGTGTGTCTGACGCTCCCTTGCAGTTGGGGCGAGGCCTGCTCTGCCCGCTTTTCCAATGCCGTCTCCACCTTCAGGACGGTGCCTAGCGGTGGAGGTCGGTCGTACGTTACCGCGCTCGTGCAAGTGGCCCTCGAAGAAGACATCTGCCTTTTTGTCCCCTGCAGCGGTGCAGGCACGACGGTCGAGGACGCTCAGGCGGGCGAAAGGATGCGCAGAGAGCTGGGTGTCCTTGCCATCATACAGGACACCGAATTGGTGCAGACGCTGCATGAAAAAGTAGATGGGTCTCTTTCGTCTTATGTAGATGAGCAGGGCTGAAGTTTGTGAACACGCAGGATTTGTTCATCGCCCTTGCAAGGCGACTCGGTTTCGACACGCCTGCTTCGACGCTTGTGCGTTCACCCGAAGAAGCAATTGAGCTCCTCAGACAACCGGGCCAACTACCGATGCTCCTCAAGGCCGCAAACGTCCTCGACGATGTCGGGCGATCCGACATGACAACCTATCCGCTCTGCGATGCATCTGGAAAAGTCGATTGGGACCTCACGGAGAAGAAGCTGAGGACAGGCCTATTCATTCCTTTGACGGAAAAAAGCCCGTACGTTGCACAGGAATTCATCGGCGGGGAGGGCGCCTCGGAGTGGTGCACGCACGCAACCGTCATCGAGGGAAAGATTCGCGCCTTCGTTTGTTGCCCCAGTGTGAGTGAGAAGTGATCGGGGCGACGATTGGCATTCTCAATCTGACACCTGTACAGAACGACATGCTCATGACCTACGTCGACATGACCGAGAGTCCTATCGGTCGAAGAGCGCTCCGGTGGACACAAGACTTCATCGAAAAGCTCGACTCATTCAAGCCGACGGGACACTTTTCTTTCGACTTCATTCACCAGCCCGAGACTGACCGTCTTGTAGTGCTCGAGTGTAACCCACGGGTGCATACGGCAATATGCCTCCTTTCGGACTTGGCTGACGAGCTGGGGAGCATCCTTGGCGCCATTGATGCAAATGCCGACATGATCATACCTGCTCAGAACGTCGCCACGATAAGCTGGATCGGCCACGATGCTGTTGCGCGGCTGGCACCCTCCTTCCTTACCGCAAAATTACGCCACCTGATTCACCCGCTATGGATCTGCTCTTCCTCCCTATCATCCCCTCCTCTGTCCCAGCTCATCCATCAACCTGGCCGAGTCGATGCTGCTTGGGATTGGTCAGACCCCTTTCCCTTTTTCGCACTCTACCACATTCAATGGCCTCACCTCCTCTTACGACAGCTCCTCATTCGACAAAGGGCATGGTCTAGGATCAACCTCAGCACAGCGAGAATCTTTGAGGCTTCGTCCTGAAGATATTTGGCTTCAACGCAAATAGATACTCGATCATCTCCTGTCTTTGTACATCAGAAGTACTCAAACCCTGACTCTCACACGCGCTTCACCATATCAATCTCATAGAGAACGTGCAGGAGAGTCGCTCGAGCAGAGCAAAGGTTACATTACAGATATTTGCGAAGCACGAGCCAAACTAGAAGCACTGGTCAGGCCGAACACTGTTCCTGGCTGGCTCTGGTCGCGACGGGCCCAAAAATCGTCTCAGGGTGTGAAAGCAAATAAATCACACTAAAGCTCGGAAATTGGGCGGAGACGGATCACAGATTGCTTCTTTGGCTTCGGAACTACGCTTGCAGCCTACACTAAGCTTGTCAATTGCATGATCTAGAAAGCTTTCAGAAAAGTCCTTCGAGTCAATAAAGGAAGTGGGGAGCGCATGTTTCCCCACTGCAAAGGTCAGCTCACGAGCACTGGCGTCAAAAGGTTAAGCGTTGCATCGGCATCAATTCCTTCCGTGCTCACGAAGCAATTCTCTTCTTTCTTGGAGGTGTGTGGGGGCAGACTGACAATCATATGAAGGCGTCGATCTTCTCTTCTTCTCTTCCTTCACCACTCCCTCCCTTATTTTCCCATCATCTCCTCGGTCTTTTCCAGCCCGCGTCTTTTCCTCTCTCCCCACCTGTCTCTTTTCCTTTCTCCACCTCCGCCAGACAACATGTACGGCAACACCTTGACCCTCGTCCTCGCCGCCGTTGGAATGGCGCGCGCCATGCCCATGCCCCAGGCAACACCTGCACCTTCCGTCAAGCCTGCTGGCCCCCCTGGCATCCGGCCTGAATTTGCAATCACCGATGGCAAGATCTCGGCCGGCCTGTCCATCGGCTATGTCGGTCTGATGAATGGGCCGGGCAATTCGGAATCAGGTCTCTTGAGCCTCGGTGGAGACTTGAACACGGCCAACTTGATCGAAGGCGGCATCGAGGAGGCCGACACCGAGTCCATCGAGGGACCCCTTTTCACGCGTGAGCTAGCCAGCAAGCAGTCGCGAGGTTTGTACGTGTACGTGAGAGAGATTGAGCCTGCGCCTACTTTATACAGTCGTCGATGGTGGTATCGGCAACGGACCGGTCGATGTTTCGGGGACTATTAACCCCACCGGCGTTGCAGTCTCCGGTTTGGTCGGAGCCGTGACCGGAGCGTTCCTCGGACAGCCATACACCGTCATTGGTGGTTTTCATACCATCGGCGGCTCTCTCGGTCCCGCTGGCCCGGAGGGCACCGCTGTCCCGTACGGTGAAGCCGACTACGGGTCCATTGCTGGGGCAAGTGGCTCCATTGATGGAGGTGAGTGATGAAAAGCGACAATGATGCAAATTTGCAATGACGAGAACCTGACCAAGGGGGGTCCATCCATTTCCCCGATAAGGTGCTGGTGCTACCCACATCGGGGGCTATGCCAGCGGTGCTGGTCACCTGGGCCAGGCCACGGCTCGGGGAAGCGCTTCGCTGGCTTTGCTACCAACGCCCACTGCCGGAGTAGCGGGTGTTGGGGAGCTTCCCTTTGCTAACTTCACCGCCATCAGCATTAATCTTCCTCCGCGGTCCATTGCTTGAAAAAGACGAAAGGCCAGGTGGTCGTCTGTCGCCAGCGTAAAAGTTTTCCTTGCTTGAGCCTTTCCTTGCTCCTTTTAATTTGGTAACCTTCTTTCCTTGTCCATTCCAACCCATGCGAGCCTAGCCGAAAGCGGAGATCAATTCCTCCTGCTCGCTTTCGATGTCGAAATGCCCACACTCGTTGTTCCTTCCCGAAAGACGAGTGCTTTGTTGCCCTGCGACAAGGACAGGACGAAGCTTAGAGGCGCTTGGCAATCTGGATGGCACCCTTGCAGCCAAAGCCAATGATGGCACTGAGGAGCGCATGTGCTGGCGCTTGCTGGGCGTCATGCTCGACTGCCGTATCAAGGTGTTCGAGCTCGTCATCTCGGAACTCTACAATGACGCGCGAAAGGAGCTTTAGTGAAGGGTGCGCCTCCTCCATACGCGAGAGATGTTGCAGTTGACTGCTCGCACCCCGTCAGCGTCTAGCCACCAAAAAAAGGGATCTGAAGCGATAGCCCGAGAGACGACTTACTCGTCATAGTGCTCTCCAATGACAGTCTCGACGGCTTCGGTGCAGGCCATAGCTGCTTCCTTTCCAAGAAGTGCCGTAGCACTCCCTAAGACGCTGCCTGCTGCGCCCCAGACAGGCATCAAGAAGCTGGGTCGGGTCCGGTGCTGATCGAGAAGTCTTTTGGCCACCGCAAGGTGCTTTTTTTCCGTCTCCCACATCTCTTCACACATCTTGGCCGTCTTAGCATCGCCCATTATGGATGAAAACACGCGTGCCTGTGCGGCATAGATGGTGTTGGCCGCCACTTCCCCCGCGTGGTCCACTCGCAGCATGGACTCGAGCCGGCGGCGATCGATCGGATTCAACTCCTCGGCCGTCTTGCTCGTTGAGACATCCTGAGATGTTGGCGCAGTGTATGCGGCCGAAGCGAGCGTCGAATTGAAACGCAACGAGGACACATCCCGCAACCTGGAAGGCCTGGCCGACGAGGCCAGTCTGACCATACGCAGCACCATCGTTGTGCTGATCATATGAAGCCCGTCGCTCTCGTAAGCCCTAGAACGACCTCTCCACCAGAAATCTTTTTCGTGCGCTGCACGTGAGCTTTCTTCCAGCGCACGGACCTGCTCACACCTTCGGAGCGGTCGTGTCGGACGGACTGACTGACTGAGCGACTTTGTTGAGCGGCCGCGTCGAGAACAGCTCGCGGCACTCTTGCCCTCTGTCCCCCTCCCTCACTTATACGGCTCGGACCCAGGACAGCTATAGGCGTGTCGCGTGATTCTTCGGCATGCCACCATGCCATCCTATGCGGATCAGATGGCAGAATCGCACGCAGCCTTACGTCGCCGAAGCGGTCCCGTACGTCTGACGATCTCGCGTGGACGCCCTTACTTAGATGGGCGTGGAGAGGTGTGGTACGGCGACCACTGGGAGGAGGAAGAGGTCATGGACACCGACGAGATGATGTCCCTGACTGAGCAGCAGCAATTCATCAGTACTACTTTGCGGTCGACGTCACCGATAGCCGGCACCCCCTCGGGATCTTCTCTGGCAAAGGTGCTCTCGGGTCTCTCCGTGGGCGCGAGTGTGCTCCTTGTCATCGATACGTGAGTTCATCGCCGAGTTCTTCCACTCTCGACACCGCGAGACCACAACACGCAGCTGACACCGTGTCCCGTCCACACAGAAATACGCTCATTTCGTGTCTCAATCTGCTCGGAGCGCTTTTCGACGAGCTCTTCCACCTCAACCTCACCGCGCTCGAGACAAGCCAAGCGCAGGCTCCCTTGACGATCCTTATTCCCAATGTCGTCGTTGAGGAACTGGACGGGCTCAAGCATCTCCATCGGGAAACTACGCTCAGACGGTCCGCTGCTTCGAGGCAAAGAATGTCTCATTCCGTGGGCGCACTGGCGAGAAAGGCAAACAAATGGATGCTTATGGCTCTCCAAACTCAGAAGCGCACAACATGCGCATCGCCCATCGCGCCCCGCGACCGAATCGCCGTACCGGAACACTCCTGGGCTCTGCACGTCGAAAATAAGAGCCACGCGCTGGCAGTACAGCAGCAGGCCGGGACGGACCACGCTCTTGAACTCTCGGCGGACCAGCAAATCATCTTGCTCTGCCGACATCTCAACCGCATCAGCGGCAGTCCAGCATGTCTCTGCACGAGTGACGCAAACGCCCGGCTTTCTGCGGAAGCCGAATCCATTTCGACCTTTGACCTTGATGATCTCGACCTCACTGGAATTAACATCAACGGTGACAATGACGGCGAAGAGCGACGCGGTTGGCATGCCTTGGCTCGCGACCTCATCGACCAGTGGAAGGCCCAGATGGGCCTCATCGGCAATGGCGGCGGCAGCGGCGGCGATGATGATGACAAATTCAACGACCCAATGACAGACGACCCGCACCCAACGGCTTCGATGGCAGCTTCTGACCAGACGCGGTTCGACAGCGCACACGCGGCTGATACTGGCTTGACAACATCGACGACTATGCTGACCCTCTCCTCGCCCTCTCGACATCGACTCCCGGCTTCAGCGAATGGACCAGCACGCCCTTCGCCGATGTCAGCGCGTCGCCTCGCTCAACGCATCACCCCAGACGACTACCCCGACGACACAGACCGGACGACGGGCTCCAGCTTCTGGGCTCCCGAGCGACAGATCCGATGAGACTTTCTCCCCGTCAATTACCCAATTAATCTACAATAATCACCGCCCAGATCTTGGCTCAAAAGGAGAGAGACTGACGATGTAACATTACAACAATCCATGCCACTCGATCCAAACCTAATTAGACTAACATTAGAATTGACACTCTCTTATACAATGCTCTATCTGGGCTCTTTGGAGGAAGAAGAAGCAGGAGCTTGCTGCTGCCTCGACCGCTTCTTGGCCTCGATCCTGCAGTCTCGCCCGCAGAACACCTCACCAGTCCTCGTGATGCTGCCATTAATGACGAGCTTGCCACAGACGGAGCATTTGCTTGCCGTCTTGAGGCCCGAACGGGCTTCCGCCCTCGCCAGAGCCGGATCGAGGGTGTTGATACTGTTCTTGCTCCGACTTGACCCAGACGGCGAAAGGGGTGGATGAGCACTGGCATGGGCGCCAGCAACGGGTGAGGACGTGCCGGAGTGTTCGTGCTCGTGCGCCCGCTTAGTGGCCCCCGCGTGGCTCGTGCTCGAGGCGGCAGGCTCGGCCGTTGTGGGATCAATGCTGGCGAATGCTCTTTGGCTTTGCTTGGACAGGGGACCGGCGCGTCGAGCGTCGTCCATCGACTTGCGAACACGTGGCTCCTCCTCCTCCTCCTCCTTCTCCTCCTCTTCTTGCTGTTCAGAGGCAAGTCCTTGCCCAAGAGTTGCCTTGCTACGCGGAGCCAGCGGCGAAGAAGGCATGCTCTTCGTTCCCTCCTCGTCTGGCTTGGAGACGGGAAGGGCAGACGCTGTCATCGTAAGTCGGGGGGGAATGGCGGCTCGGTTCTTGCCAGAGGCATTGCCTCCCAGCTTGCGGAGAGAGCCGAGAGCGCTGAGCTTGTTGGAGGACGATGATTGGGCCGATGGCTGCTGGTGATCAACGGGAGAGATCGGAGAAGCTTCCACGCTGGCCTGAATGGGCATGGCGAAGACAGACAGAGGTCTTGGCATGGCGGCACCGTAGATGGGCGATCGAAGTCCCGAAGAAGTCTGACGGTGCTGCGTCGTCGAGAAGGCAGAGAGGCTCCGCAGCGATGCATTACTGTTGCGACGAGGGTGCATGACGGGGCGTTGCAATGCTTGCTGCTGCTGAGCACCATATGCGCCCTTCTGATTAGCATAGGGATTTGACGAGGCATTGGCTGCCCGATAGCCGGGGCTGTCTGCAATCATCTTTTCGAGGGTTTCGGTGAGCAAGGGCGCAGCGGGACCGTCTCTCGAAGCGATGCTCGAGGTGCTCGTCTTGCGGAGTCGGCGCAGACTATCCGCGGCCCCACCTAGACGAATCTCGTAGCCTCCAATGTTTTGTACGCTTCCGTGACTCGCAAGGGTACCCTGAGCGTACGGCTCGCGTTCGCGCTCCCACGCCATTGACTCGGCGATCGATGGAGCGGTAGAGAGCATCGAGGCAATGGTGCTGATAGAGGCATTCGAGTCGGAGCGGTAGCGTCTGGCGGCCTGCCTCTGTAGCGAGGCGTTGATGTCATAGTCATACGTCGTCGCACCCTCGGTCGTTACGACGTCGGCAGCGGCGGCAGAGGGTGCGCCATAGAGCGACGTCACCCTCTTTCTCGGTGCAGTAGCTGCGCCCTTCCTCGCCGCCGAGGTCGAGTTTGATGCGCCCCACAAGCTGCTCGCCACACTGTCTGTCCGCGAGATGCCTTGTACTCCTTCGTCGTTCGAGATAGCTACCACGTCCGTCTGCGTACGCGTGAGCGGCGCAGGACGGCTGTGTGAGGAGGGAGGACTGTCGCCAGCATCGTCATCGCCGGCGGGTGCATACAAGAGCGAGGGCGAGTCGGACATGATGCTCGAAGGCCTTCGAGCGCGATGCAAGCCACCGGCTCGAAAGGACACCGGCTCCGCTTCAACGGGCCGAGCACTGATGCCCCCTTCTTGGAGACTGTTGGCTCGAAAGCCTCTCTGTCGCGGGAAGAGGAGCCTGGCGCCGTGCACGTGCGCATCTGCAATGCCAATTGACGGCGACGTTGACGTGGTATGGGCAGCATTGAGGAGCGCAGGCATACGCATCGCTTGAGCCTCATTGCTTGCTTTCACCTCTTTCGACTGCAGATCTTCGACGGACCGACGCTGACGAAGCTTGGCTCGCTTCGAGGGTGATTGCAGCTGCCCCGTCGTATTCGAAGCAGGCTTGACAGAGTGACTCTCGGTGACGGGCACACTGGCTTCGACGAGGCTCGCTTGTAGCGTCTCGGCCAGCTTGTCCAGCTCACTGCCAGGCGCATCTTGAGTCTGACCAAGCGAGTCACGGAAAAGTATGCCTGCCTCGGCCACTTCGCCTAGACCACCTTGCTCGGGGTCCAGGACAATATCGCCACCTTGGAGAGCCTCTGCGAAGCGAGACCAGGCGATTCGGGCCCGATCGATGGAAGAGGTCTCTTGTTCGTCGTCTTGACTCCGGAGCGCAGGAGCAGCCTGTCTCGTGGCCACCAGAGCCTCGATTAGGGCAATGTGTGTCCTCGCTCGCAGCCGAGCCACGGCGGCTGGGTCCGTTTCGTCGTCATCGGGGCCTCGGCTTGCGCCATCATCGACGTCCTGGCTGGGCAACAACACCAGCTGCTGATCCAACCAGGCCATGGAGAGGCAAAGAGCCGCCCAGAGCACGTTCGGCCGTCCGTCGTCAGCAGCAGCAGCAGCCGAACCGACCACGGGCACGTCGACGCTCTCGGTCCCGGTTGCATTGGCCTGCCTCGATCTCAGAAGCCGAGCAAAGAGGCTCACGATCTGAGCAGGCTGCTCCCACGAGTTCTCCAGGTCCTTTCCCCGTCTTGCTCTCGCCTCGGACCTGCTCTCCAGCAGCCTGGCTGCTTCGAGCGCCCATGCAATGCCAAGAAGCGGGTCTCGATGGACGAGGACGACGACGGGCTGGTTGCCCTTGGTGACGCCCTTTGTATAGAGGCTGCCGAGCGACAGGCAGGCCGAGATAGATCCGAGCTGGCCAGCCCTCGTCAGAAGAAGGACGGCGAGGGCGTACGAGTTGTTGAGGATGGCCGTCTTTGCCTCCCACTTGAGCCGGCCCGTGTCGGTGGCCCTGGCGATGCGACCCTCGAAGAGCTCCTGTGCCTTGAGCCGCTCCTCAGCGTAGCCTCTGAGGCTGCCATGCTTTGCTCCGTGGGGTGCCTTGGAACGTGCGGTTTGTGCGACGGCAGCAGTCGCCGCGTTGGCCTTTGCCTTTGATGGCGTGGGCAAGCCCCTCTTGGTGCTTCCGATGAAGAGATTCTCGAGCCTCGAAGATGAGGCAGGCTCTGTACGGCTCGACGACACCAGCTTCCTGGCAGACCCGCCTGCCACTGCAGTCTTGGAGGAGAAAGAGGCAGAGGAGACAAGGGCAGCTCGGAGGCTGTTGCTGGCGCTGGCAGTGTTGCCCGAGTCGTGAGAGCGGCGATCTGCCTCCATGCTTCCTTCGCCCTCGCCCTCAGGAATGCCTCGAAGGAGCGTCGCCGCAGCCGCCGCCGTCGTCGTCGCCATTGTGCTCGACGATGGCATGCCTGAACCGGCCAGGCCGAGGCCACGCTCATAGCTCAGATCACGGTACCGTCCGGCGAGGTAATGGTAATGGACCTGCACACTGGCAGGCGCAGTCGTTGCATGGGACCACGCTCCCGCCCTCTGGGTTCGCTTGCCCCCATCTCCTCGTGTTGCGGGACCCGAGAACGACGAGGAAGACGAGGAAGCTGGGAGACCACTGCCCTCCACGTCTGCAAGGGGCGCTGGAGCCGACAGAGACGATAAGGACGACGATGACGACGACGGCACTTGGGGCACATGAGGCGACGTCAACGTCGGCGATGGCCTCGTAAGAAACATGGTCGTCGTCGCAGACCTCCAAGAAGGCGGGTGGACACGCGAGGGGGCGGGTTGGTGAATAGGAGCGGAGAAGCAGTCATCTCTTGGAACAAGCGCACGCCCACTATGAACGAGCGCACGCACCTCTCTCAATCGCACAGGCAGCCTAAAAAGCCAGAAAAAGCCTGAAAGCAGCCAGGCAGAGAGCCAAGCCGCGACAAGTTTAAATTTTCTTTCACTTTTCTTTCGTCTTGGACTTTCGTGCAAGATAGACAAAGACACGCTCTCGTCGGGATGATGATATTCAGGTCAGTGCAAGAATCGTGCAACTACGTCTATGCAGGACAGTGAGGTACAGTACTGTGCAGAACCTTTATTGAGCCTAGCCACCCACCTACTTGCTAGTTAATCTAAGTGCACTTCACTACGACTCTACAGCTAGTGTAGTGTAACGCAGTAACACATTTTGTTGTTTTCAGCACCACACAATCTCATCCAGTCTCCGATACAGAGGCGCAAGACGATGGCGAGAAGCAGTATATTAATAGTACTACTGTGCGGATAGAAGAGAAGAAACATTCCGGTGTACTCTTTCGTTCCGACTTCGCATAAATGAGGTGTGGCAGCGTGCATGCCTGCTCAGGTTCTGAGAGCCACACTACAACCCAATCTATATCAGTAGTATCGGAATTGTGTAGTAGTAGCAGTAGTACACCATCTGTAGAGCACTACCTCTCTGAATTTGATATTTCGCCTCCGAATTCGTGAAGTGGTGGTGTCAGGGCTTCCACCTCCGTCACACGACCTCGCCCAAACTTTGACTTGCCTCAGACTCCGTACTTCCGGTTCCTAGCAGATCCGCCTCCCCTGTCTGACCCCTGCATCCTGATTTACAACCCCACGCAGCACCACTCCCGCTTCTACTACACTACCTAGTACTAGCTACACTAGCACTACTACTACACTAGCTCTGCTACAGTGCGTACTGCTAGCTACTACTTTAGTGTACATGCTACTACTACTGTTACAGCCTTTGCTACTTCCGATCCAACTACCACACTTGCAAAGTTCGTACGCGCTCGTTGTCTCGATTTAGCATGCTTGGACTGCCTCGGCCTCCGAGTTTTGTTGAGGAAAGAGTCTCAGCACACTGTATTACTACAAACACAGGATGCGGTCGGGGAATTTCTAGCAGAATTTTGCCCGCCTTGTACCCCACTGAAACGGGTCTTCCACGACAACCGAATGGGCAAAACATGATGATCAGCAACATCTTCCACACGAGCTTCGACGGCCCGTCTACCGGCGTGGTGAGCCTCAGGCGCCTTTCGCTAGATTTCGCTAAGTCATCAAATGATTCCGTGTCCGTTCGTTAGAATTGTGCAAGTAGTGTACAAGAATGCGTTGAGAAAAGCTACAGTCTAGATCCAGCCCCCGAGTATGGTGAAGAGCTGGCTGAGGAGGTTCTTCACGCCATTGTCGAGGCCGCAAGAGAGGCGCTGCGGCGTCTGCCACTGGACCGTGCCGGAATTATTGACAGAAATCGCAGCGACGGTCTGGGAGAGTGGATTGGGGTCGTACCTAGGCCAGCTTACCTGCGAAGGCAGACCGTTGACGGGATCTTTGGCAAAGCTGGTCCAGGCCTTCATGAAAAAGGCAACTGTGGCAATCTCTTCTTTGGGTACGTCGACAGTCGTCGGTCCCTTGTAGACGCCCGTTGCCAAACCGACAGGTGTTGGGCCCGCAGAACCCCAGACCATTTCGATCTCGCTGCCGTGGTAGGTAGCGAGCTCTGGATGCCCCGAATTGACATCGTCCCAATTGCCATAGTAGACTGCGCGGAACGTGGGCACGCCCGCGCTCACTCTCAGCGCTGCTGAGTCTGCTGCGGGACACTGGAACACGAGCGGGGTGATGAGAGCACCGCTGATCCCCGTGGCAATGGTCGAGTTGGCTACGAGGCCAAATATTGTGCCCTCATCTGCATTGTTGGAGATGAGCATTGGGACCTTTGCGAACGTGCCCTTCTGCGCGCGTACTTCGAAGTCGCTGAACCAGGTCTTTCCATCGGGCGTGGGAGCGAAATTCTGGCCGGTAGAATCTATCGCTGCGACAAGGTCGCCAAAGGCTTTGGACTGCATGCAGATCAGCTGAGCGTCGTCGCCCGCCGTGCCGCATCCCACCTTGCTGGCCACTTGATTCCAGCTGGAGAGACTTGACGAAGGCGCCGGAAAGTCGTTGCCCGAGATGAAGGCACTCAGACCCTGAACGGCTCCAGATTCGATGATGAGGCCCGTGACCCCAGAGCCGTCAGACGAAGGAAGCCCGTCCTGGCCACTATGAGAAAAGGCCCAAGCATCGGCGGAGCTTCCCCCTGCGCTCTGACCCCACAGCGTGATTCTCTGTCCATCACCTCCAAAGGCTCCGATGTTGTCTCGCACCCAGTCAATTGCGAAATCGCGATCCAAGAGGCCCAGGTTGATACCCTTTGCGTCACTTTGTAGCTGCGGGTTCCGTGGAAAGCCGAAGATGTTGATGCGGTAGTTGACCGTGACGACTATGACGTCGTCATGGTTGCGTACCACCTCGTTGCCATCAGTAAGAGGGTTATTTGTGCCTCCCCCTGCACAGCGTCCTTTTGTCAGCTGGCTGTCCTCGTACCCTACGGGTGTCGCAAGCTGCTCTACACTCACATGTAAAGGAACCGCCGTAGAGGAACAACATGACGGGCGCGCCAGCTCCGTTGTCCGTGTTGCTCCGCACATTTTTCCCCACCCACACATTTGCGCTCAGGCAATCTTCGCCCTGATTCAGAGGCACGACAATCCCTGCAAAACCTCCCGCCATCTTGGAACCGCTGGTGAGGTACTGCGGACACGTGAGACCGTACTTTGTCGCATCCTGAGGCGCGTCTGCATCCTGAACGTCCCTCTCTGTCGGCGCCTTGAAACGGTTTGCGCCACCAGTGTCCGCCGCATAAGGCACGCCGAGCCAGTGGTAGACCCCAGATGTCGCATTGTAGGCGCCTGCAAACGTGCCAGTTGACGTTTTGACGGTCAGCAGTGGATCGTCCGCGGCCGCAACATTGGCAATGATCTCATCGAGACTATTGCCAATCGTCGCATTGGCATCTCGTATCCGAAATGGGACGTCGTCTAAAGAGAGACGAGGGGCTGGGAGAGGATAAGCGAACGTCGGGATGTACCAAGCGCAGGTGATGAGGAGAATCAAGAAAGAGAACGTCGCCATTTCTTGTCAAGAGGCCCGGTCCTGCCCCTGGGTCTTCTTCAGAATCGAGCTGCCTTTTTATGATGATGACAGGAGATCGCGAAGAGAGCACCAGACGGATCAAGATGTCCTGCTCGCAGGGCTCCTCGGCATATAGAGAAGAGGATCCCATTTGTGCTCCGACCCCTCTCGCACATGCTTCAACTTCTCGCAGCAAACCTTGTGCTTCAGCACTGCATGACGAAAGAATTCAAAGGGCGCTGTGCACTCCCTTGTTCCTTCGCCGCGCTTGAGCGAACGAAGAGAATACTCGAGCTCGAGCAAAGAAGGAGCGCGACACAACGACGAACACGAATCCGGGCACGAATGCACTGAACCAGGTACCGGCTTCAGGCAGCTAAGCCAAAATCCGAGCTACGGATGAACTAATCAATCTTCCGATCTGCACGGGGCCTTAAAAAAGTTCAGGGGAGAGACTATATCGATATCGCATGGTCAACTCCTTTCGCCCGTCACCCGTGTCCTCCTTTGCAGCACAAGGCTGTTCTCGGCCTGTTCGGAGGTTCTGAGGATGCTCAGGAGCTCCTCGTCCGGCAACGGGAAGACGAACGCGTCTGTCGCCACTCGAATCCGACGACGCGTGAGAATTCGTTCCTGGCTCTACCCGCGAGGGGATATCGTTATGTCAGTAGTCTCCCACTAAATAGATCAGAGCGCACTCGCTCTCTGAACAAGAAGCAAGGAGGTTGTGTCCAGTCATGATTCTGATGTGGTACCGTCCAATACATGCAAAGTTCAGACCGCGTAATCTATGGGAACGTGACTGGTTGACAGGCAGCTCTTGTGCGCTGCTTCGGTTCCATTGTTCGGCTTTCTGTCGGTAGCCACTGTATCGCCTTTTTCGATTGCCCTAATGCGCCCGTATCTCGATGCATGAAAGAATAAATGGACAGGGTGCAGGATCATCCGATGAGTAGCATGATCCGCCGAGACGGATGGAGGGTGGCTCGCGACAGGCTTTGGTGAATACGTCACAGCACTTCGAAGAAGCTGGCCTCGGCGCACAGCCTACTTTATCTTTCTACGATGTTGCGACAATGGTTCGTAAAGAGGCATCGCTCTCTGACGTTCCCATTCACGAGCCTCACGGAGAGACAGAATATGTCGAGCTCGACGCCGGTGCCCCTGTCCGCAACGTGCTCGAGCTATATGAGGGCTTCAAATACCGTCTAGAAGCGTTTTCTTGACGATAATGAGGAGCATTCATTGGCGGAAGCACGGCAGAGAGGAAGGTCCTAAAGGGAGAACAAATACGAGGAAGATTTGTGAGCGATTGAGGGTCTTACATCAAGCCGGAGATCACGGAGCAAAGAAGCAAGATCCTAGCCAGACACATAATGATGCTACCGTGGCGCTCGACATTTCCTCTTCTTCTTCTTTCGAGGTTGGGATGATTTCAGTGTTTGATCCAGGCAGAACAAACGACCGAGTTGCAGAGCTGCTGGATGCATTTGACGAGACTCGAGCGTTGTCTGCTTTCGGGCACGGAATGGAGGCGCGACCTAAAAGAGGAGAAAAAAAAAGCTGTGATTAGACTCGTTGCGTGAAGTGGAGCAGCAGCGCTCAGCACCGCCACCTCTACTACCTCCTTCGTCTACCACTCAAACATCATGGCCATCGACGACGCACGGCTCGCCGCGGCTGCTAAAGCCGACTCACTCCAAAAGAAGGGAGAAGCCCTCAAGCAGGGTGGGGAGCAGGAGGGGGACGAGGCCGTACCGTCGTACGAAGCTGCTACTGCTTCGGGCCCCAGCTCAGCAGAGAGAACTGGCAACGTGCATGGAGCTCCCGTCGCAACATCCGTGTACCCATTCCCCTCACGTGAGGGCTCTGCACCGTCGGCAGGCGTAGCTTCGGGTGGTGTACCTTACGGACAGTCGCCCTACCAGCCGCACGGAACGCTCCGGATCGCCATCGTCCCTTCCCAGAGCCAGCTCCCGACTCACATCATTCAGCTTGACCCACACGACAATTATACCCGTCGCGCCCGCTCGAGATTCTGCTCGGCCTTTTTCTTTGCCATTGTCCTTTATGCGATCCTGTCCATGAGCATCTCGGCGGTCTGGTATGAAAATGAAGGTCCAGGCTCGATTCCCCGACATGGCGGTCAAAGGCATCGGCACGATGGGAAGTCGCCTTCCTGGAACACGCATACTGGAAACGAATGGGCGCTTGGTCCTGGTGCCGCTCCAAGGTCAGTTTGAAGAGGAAGGACTGTCGACAGCATCGTAAGAAAAGGCAGAGATTGACAATCCTTGTTCAGATTCGCCTTATCGAGTTGGCCGACATCCACCCCGCACGCGAACTCAGCCATTGACGTCGTGCCTTCGTCTACAGAGGATGAAAAAGTCTTCGCCTCGCAGTAGTTATCATTGCCAAATGATCAACTAGCTCGTTGGTTGCATCTTCTTCTGTTTCTATCATCCGAACCACTAATCTACGATCTTTGTAATTGCTTCTGTTCTGATTGTCTTCATTGAGCATTTGAGGATTGGCAGAGAAATCGAAGGCAGAGGGACGGTGTGTATTGAGAGAAGTGAGAATTAACGAGGTCGTGTAGATTGAGAACGGGAAGATGAGGTACGACACATTGAGATGCTGAGGAACGAATCTGCAAAGACTGAAAATATAGAGATGGAGGAAAAAGGGAGAGTGAAGCACCACGACTGGGGGAGAGAAGAAGAAGGCCACCCTATTTGTGGCTAGAGGAGGAAGAGTCGGCAGCGATGCGTTCGTACAATGGCCTGAAGACTCTCAAATGGAAGGCAGCCACCTTAGCGGCGCGATCGCCAAGAAGCTTGACCTCGGCCGTGAATGGCTCTAAGCCCGCACGCTGCAAGGCTCCTTCCCAGTCTCGATCGGCGGCGACACCGGGCGAGCTCGGCGACGGAGAAGCCGGTAAGCTCTGGCCTCGAAGGGGTCTCGTCGGCCGGTTGCTTGTGGGCGTCGCTGATGGCGACAGCGTCGAGCAGGTTGGAGATGCTGTGTCTGGCGATGGGATCTTCGAGATGGCTGGGGCCGACTTGGCGGTGGAGCCATCTTCGAGCTTTTGCCTTTTGCACGTTGCATCGGCACCTGCCTCGGCAAGATTGCTCTCGTCGATGCTGTCGTCAGGCTGCTTCCTCACCGTGGCCATGCCATTGGCACAGGGGGACGGAGGAGGCGCCATGCTGCTGGCCGGCACGCCCGCCGTGGATGTCGTCGCAACAGCCGCTGATCGTCTTACGCGGAGCGACGAGCCCAGAGTCGTGGACGGGGTGGATGGCGAGGAAGAAGCAGCGCCAGTAAGCCGATCGACAAGGATAGCGCGGAGGATGTCGCGGAGCCTGTTTTGACAGAGCTTGTGCAGAGCGCTGCCATTTCGCAGGTTCGTGTCGAGCCACGAGTTGAGCAGATCCAGCGTCTTTTCCGAAGGCGGACCGGCATTGATCGGCAACGTCTGAGATGCATCAGTGGCAGAATAGGCAGTCGGACATCTGGCTTGCCACTGGATGGAGCTGGCGCGAGCAGCAATTTGTAGGACCACATCCCGCATCGCTTTCTTCCATTTGGCATTGTCAATCTTTGCCCCTCCTCCGGCCCCGCTTCCCGAGCTGGCACCCGTGGCGACGGCAGCAAGAAGGCGGCCAGCCATTCCCGGTGTGGTCGGCGTCCGGGGTATAGGTGTTGAAGGGGGGCTGGTTGTCGTAGGCGACGTGATGGACATATTGGCGTCGTTCAGAAGGCACCAAATCTCCGTTTTAACCATCTCGAGCTGGCGGGAGGCAATGTTGGACGCATTTGTAATGATGGCAGACTGCGACAGCGTCGTGACGGGGAGAGCATTCTGTCCGAGCGCAAAGGGCGAGCATGCAAGCTGTCGGAAGAGAAGCAGAAGCATGTAGACAACTGTCAGGTCCGTCACATCGCCGTGGAACGTCATGAGTCGATAGGCGTCAAACTGGAACGTCTCTGGATAGAAGGTGATGAATGCGTGGTTAAGGCTGCTCGACGATAGCGTGACCGCAGTGTTGCTGGCCTGGTTCGATGGCAGACCTGTCGATTGCCCGTTGATGTTGACATTGTTAGCTAAAGCAGCCAACGGTTGAAGCGCAGCTGGAGGGTCGAAGATGAGCTTGAGGAAACCATCATCAAATGACCTCGAGATGACGTCGCTTCTGCTCATTCCCTGCGAAGAGGACTGGCCCATCCGTTGACGGTGAGCGTCTGCGAACCAGGATGTGGTGCGTTCCAAGGAAACTTTTCCTTGCTCAATCTGTTCGCGGAACCAGCGAGTCTCAAAGTCAACGGCCGTCTCGACGAGGTAAAGCCGTGAGGAACGAAGTTGGTGATTGGCAATGTCCTGTGTGAAGAGTTTCAGTGTCAAGCTACACGCATACATCATCGCGACTAGAGGAGGCGCCACTGACCAGCTTCATGAGCTCCAGGATCTCGAAGCACATTCGCAAACCCTTTGCCACATCTCCGTCGACGCAGACTACCTCGACCATCTTTTCGATCACTTCGTCTCGCATGGGCGCACAGTGGAGCTTCAGGATGGAGCCCATGAACGTCACAAGACCAGCCACATCCAAGACGCCATGGTTCAGTTGCTGGGTGATGAGGTGAGGGTCCAGGGTCTGTGCGATGAGGAGATGATGCGACGCAGCCCACGACGGACCTCCCGACATTCCAGCTCGCAGCGAAGTCATGTTCGTCATTACCGTCTTTGTCGTGCGTACACTCGACGGCTGCTGCTGCTGCTGCTGTCCCTCGCCATTCTTGGAGGACGTCGCCGTCTTCGTCGTATTCTGAGCGGGCTTGTCAACAGCGTGTTTCGCGGAGCTGAACGGAGCAAAAGGCGGCTGCGTCTGCGCAGACGAGGAGCCGGGATTGGCCGGCGACGAAGGATGACATAGCAAGGTGGCATCGGTTGAGGAACCGGAGGGCAAGATGGAGAGGCAGATGGCCCTCAACTCCTGAATCAGCATGGGAATCCTCGATGGAATAATGCGGCTGAGACCGTGGCGAGAAGGACCAAAGGACGCTGAAGAAGGCGTATGGGGCTGACGACCTCTCGGAGTGCCGACCTTGTGCGGTTGCGATTGCTGCTGGTGCATGTGCGGGAGCTGCTTCAAGGAGCAAGTGCAAGGAAGCAAGGTACGACCGTTAAAGGTGGTGCATGTGCAGTTCTTTTCAATCTCGCGCATGACGGCAATCCAGTACTTGTTTCCGGCCTCCTTCTTGCGCCTGCCCCGCTCTCCGTCGAAGTTGGGACGGAATTGAACGTTGACGTCGAACACAACGTCATGTCGCAGCTGAGGGTTCTTGAGGATCTCGCCCAGGTCCAGCTCGCGCAACGTGTGCCGGGTGATGGGAGGGTGAAGCGGTGGAGTGAAAAAGGACGTTGAGCGGTGGATGATCTCGCGGCCGCTCCTCTCGGCCGCTGCTACGGCTGCCGCCTCCTCTGCTGCCTGGTGCTGAGCGTGACTCCTGAGAGAGGCCAAAAATTGCGCCAGCTTCGGGGGCAGTGTGAGACGATGCGCAGCTGGCTGCGAGAGATCGAGGACAGGCTTGGCCTTGAGGTTGGGCAAGCTCAAGGTGCGACGTAGCCGGGTTGTACGTCGGCGATCTAGGGCGGCCACATCGGCCGGTCTCAAGATGGGCGCCTGCCTAGACCTGTGGAGAGCAGAGGGGCGAGCTTGCGGCGCGGAAGCCTTTGCCTGCGCAGTCGAGCGAGACTGGGAGGCTTCAGTCGGCGTCATCATGCCATTCACGAGCGAGCGAGGGTCGGGCAGCGTGGTCTGATAGGAGAGAAAAGCCGATCTGCCGACGGTAGCCATTGCTCCAGCTTTGGTAGGGGCAGATGAACCCTGAGCGGGCGTCGTAGCTGCCATCACCGCAGCTGCTGCAGCCATGTTGTAAGAAGAGAGGGCGTGAGAGGCATCTCGAGGCGTAGACGCCGTCGGCCGGCTTTCGACGGCAATGGTGCTTTTGCTGGCGGAAGCACCGGTGGCGGCGCCGTTGGCGGCGACTGTAGAGGCAGCAGGTGCCTTGCCCGCGAGAAGCGCGGCATTCTCGGCAGCGACAGTTTGCCGACTGACATCTGACAAACTCGGACCTGACCCGGTCATCGAAGGAGGGTGTGACGATGGTTGTGGTTCGTTTGCAGATGGATCGTCTATCCGCATCTTCTTCGACAGGTGTCCCTCATAGCCTCGGACCGGGGAGCCGGGCTTGCGTCTCTTGGACGCTGGCACGGGCTGCAGGTGGAATCCACCGTTGGCACTCGCCTTGACTTCGTCGCCCATGCTCGATCTCCTCTGCTCGCTCAGGGCCGAGAGCGCACTTGGCTCGTCGTCGCCTACCGTGGGAGACATCTGCCTGGATAGGAGCCGTCTCCCCGTTGGGCTTGCTTGCCCCGCAGTGGAATGGTGACGAGGAGCCCACCTGCCGAGTCTGGACGCTTCGGCCTGCCTTCTCGCACGGCTGAAGAAGCGTCGATGAAGGAGGGCATTTGGAGACTCAAAGCCTGACGGGCTACTCTGCTGGGGCATGCCGTCGCTGCCACTGCCGCCGCCACCACCACCACCACCACCGCCACCGCCACCGCCACCGCTCGCCGCCGTCGGGGTCGAGGCTGCCGACTGAGAGAACCGCAGCTGCTTCGTTGGTCTTTGGCTGTTTGATGCTGGGCTGAGAGAGTATGAGGAGAAAGAGGGAGCCGAAGGCGTCTGTGGACGAGGGGAGGAACCCTCGTCATCGATGGGCGACGTCGTCATGACGGCAGGTTCGGCGGCGTAGTCCTCTGAAGGAGCAAAGTCAGCAACGCAGTCGACACACACAATCCTCACTAGCACATCTCTTGGCCAACTCACCATCAAGGCAAGACACATCATGGCTCTGCGACACGCCTACGCCCGATGTCGATGTGGCGCCTGTGGTCGTCGCCTGGGAGCTGCTGCAAGCGTGAGCGCAAGTGCCGTCGCAGCCTTCCAGGTCCATGACGCAGCCAGTAGAGCTTCTCGGGTCCCTGGCATCGCCGGCAGGCATGCGAGAGGTGGGCCCGAGGGCAATCTGCATGCAGCGAGCCTCTGAAGAGGAGACTGGGCCGTGGAGAGCCGTTGAGACCGTCGACGCCGAGGACGTAGAGGAAGCCGAAGAGGACGAGGACGAAGGCGAGTCCCCTGCCGTTGACGCTGATGCAGATGCCGCCGATGCTGCTGCTGCTGCCGCCGCCGCCGCTGCTGCTGCTGCTGCTGCCGATGCCAGAAAGGAAGGAAACTGATGCCGACTGGCAGCCTCTGCACTGACGGGGCTTGGCGGCTGTCGGTCGAAAGAGCCATTGCTAGCCCCAGATGCGTCGACCTGGTGATCCATTGCTCCGGCCGCGGCTGCTGCAGCGTGAATGCTGCTGGCATTCGACGACTGGTGGTGATGGGGATGGGGATGCGAATGGTGGTGCAGATTTCCTCGCCTCTCATCTTCGGCCGTCACCGAGCCGTAGGCGGACTCTGCATTGTGTCGATGGGGAATGCTGTCGCCACTGGGTGCCATGATGGGCGACCGGCTGCCGGTCCGGACTCAAGAGGGCAGTGTGCGTTTGCACGGCTGAGACGGGACAAGTGTGGAGACGAAAGGGGGGAAGGGGAGAAAAAGAGGAGGAGAAGGGCCAAGAGGAGGAAAGGGGAAAGGAAGGGGTAAAGGGAAAGGAGAAGGGATGAGAGGAAGGAGATTGGCGAAAGGGGGCGAGGAGCTTTGTCGCCTGTTGAGGATGGGCGGTAGCGTACGCAGCGGGGAGACTGCGACAAAAGCGCAAAGGGCGGCGGCGGCGGCGGCGGCGGCGACCTTGGCTGTGCGGTCCTCGACAGACAGGGGGTAGGGGGGGTAAAAGCTACGCACGCACGCACACACGCGGCGGGGTGTCGTAGATAAAAAGCTCCTCCTCGCCCCGAGCGTGACTAATTGCGTCGCAGGGGGTAGGTGCAATGGAGCGAGGCTGGCTCCTGGGAGCGCCCTGATGAAGGCGCCTTAGTACCGAGGGGGCAGAGGGAGAGGCAGTGCTGGGCCTTAATTCCGCCACCTCGGTCTGCTTTCTGGACAGCGCCTGACCTTGACTTGCCCTGCCTTGGCTAGTCCTGTCCTCAATTATCGATTTAAAACGATCCGAGCGAGCGAGGGGCCCACTCCCTTACGGGTGTGCGATAAGGACTCTGGCGGGGCAAAGAAAAGAGAGGCAAAGAGAGGAGGAAAGCGAGTCAGAGTGTCGACTCTGCTTTGTGGGCTTATCTGGAATTCTTAGTGGGGGGGGGGGGGGGGGAAAAAAGGAGGGGGGGGGGGGGGGGGGGGGGGGGGGGGGGGGGGGGGAAAAAGTGAAAGGGAGGGCGATGGGGGAGGGGAGAGGGAGGGAGGGACAGTGTTCAATGATCAGCACCCCTCCTTCTCTGGACGCCCTCAATTCACAAAGCAAGCAAGCCCAGACGACGTCCGTCTAGACAACAGCCAAGGTACCCACCTCTTCCACCCCTTGCCTGTCCTAATGTCGAGGAAGCTCGGTCCGCCCAGATCAACGCCTGTTTGCGCTTTGCCTTGCCCTGGCTGGCACGCCTGTCTGTAAAGTAACCGATGGCGGCCCGTCGGGGTTGCTCTCTCTCCCTCTCTCTCGCGACGATGAGTGAACCGAATTGTAACGCCGCTCGTCCGACCTTCAGCCTCACGAGGTGCGAGATGAAACAGGGTGAGGCTCGCCTTGCTCGTGCTGAGCTGCTGTTGGTGAAATAAGGGAGCTGGATAGACCACAACGACCTCGCAGCCAGAGAGGTGTGATGCGGATAGTCGGCAGCGACGATCGCGGCAGCAAAAAAATAAAATATAAACCAGAAAGGAAAGAAAGGGACTCAGAAAAGCGCCCTGGCTGGCTCGCCCGCCCGCCAAGCCAATTGTTTTCAGTAGTGTGCAGTAGAGTAGAGCAGTCTGTGTGGTTCCCAATCGCCCGGCCTAGCCTGTGCGGCGCGGCTCGACACCACTTTGTGTATGTGTGTCTGGAAAAAGAAACTCTCTTTGCCTCTCACGTCCATTCGGTCTCAGACTCAGACTCTCGATGATGTTATGCTTTACCGGCGAGCGCGCGCTCTGCAAAAGAAAATCATGCCACGATAAAACGAAACCAGGAAAAATTCCAAAAAAAAAAGGAAACCCTCCAATTTCAAGCAGCGCAGGCTAGGGAGGACCTGAGAGAGGGGGCCCTGGCTTTGAGGTGAAACCTCCGTCCGGCATCACTTGAATCCTCTTATATATCCCCCACCCCCTCTTCCCTTTATCTCGAGAGAGAGAACATACACGCGCTCGGGAGGCTTCACTTCGCGACGCTAAAGGTGAGGGAAGCTGGCCGAGGAGCCGAGAGTCATGGCAATCTGTTGCTGTTGCAACGAGACGAATGAGATTGGCAATTCAGCTTCACACTTTGTCCGGCTTGTCCCCTTCTTTCACTTATGCGTCTGAATCGAGCTCGGACTTTCCTGGCATCGGGAGCGCGACCTTGAATTGACCTCAAGGGCGCCCGACGCTAACGGGCTGTATCTTTCTATTTTCCATTTTGCAAATGTCTGCTCCTGAGCTAGGGGGAACGGGGCCTGGCATCCGTGGTCTGAATAAAGACGATGAAATGGGAGCGGGAGGACTAGCTGATATAAAGTTAGAGCGTTGCCTCGGGGTGCTCGGGTTTTCTAGGCACGGCCAAGGCTTCATTTCGTTTGTTTCACCGAGCGACTTTCACTACTACTAGCCTAGTCAATATCGCCAGACGCACATGCTTTGATGGATGCCATGATGCAATGTATTCGAGCCCCGACTTTATTGGTCAAAAGCCAGGGTACCGAGACGTCCATTGTCAAACTGACCTATCTGGCATTCCAGCAGGCACAGCAGGTCTTTCCTTGTCGGAAAGCTTCGTGACAGGACGGTGCGCAACCTTGGCAGAATAAGCTCACAAGGGCGAGGCAGGGGACTACATACATCAACATCACCCCACCAGCTTGAAGGCGGTGTATTGCTCCTCGCCCTTTTGCTCATGCTTGGGGAGAGAGTGTGATGGTGATGAGCACTGAATGTAAGGCGAGCTTTGACCGCCGCTTTCCTTGACGTCACGGAGGGAGGAGTTGATAAAATAAAAGAATAGGAGGCCGCCCGCCCATCTTAGAGGGCGGCCAGCCAGCCAGCCAGCCAGCCAGCTAAGCGGTGATGAATGTCATGTAGAGGTACTGGACCTCCGGCAACATTGGTGCACTACTCGATGTGCTGTCGCTTACCTTGCCATTGCAATCGATCGTCCTTCCTGCTCCTTTCAACTAAGACTTGAACGCCACAGTCACAGTCACTGACATGACGACGCAAGGCAGTCCTACCTCGCGTCCAATTTCTGGAAGCTACGGCCACGGCAGTCTAAAGCCTCTTGGCTGCTCAGGCCGCCCGTCGTGCAGCTTCGACAATGATGGTGGGTTGCTCTGCTTCGCCACCGCACTTGAATCATCTTGTATGCTGACTGTGGTTTGTGTCTCTTTGATTCCCCCCTTGTCCCCTTGCCCTGCTCGCACTGTGTCAAGAAGGCATACCACACTTCCACGACCTCTACGATGGCTCGCCAGGTGCTCGAAAACGGTCTAACACCGTGCTCTCCCAATGCAGTGACGATGCGTCCGTCAACATGAAAGACGAATTCGCTCTGCCCAAGTCAACTGCCGAAAAGCTTATTCGAGAGGCCGAGGAGGAGTCAGAAAAGGTCACTCTCGGCCTCCTCCACAGGTTGGAGCAGGTGAGGAGAGCTTCGCTTTGAACATGTAGACGAGCGTTAATAGTAATGGTATCCTCCTTTCGCCACCAGCTAAACAAGGAGAAGTCGCAGCTCTCGCGCAGAATCGAAGAAGAGTCGGACCAGGTCGTCGACCGGCTCATCAAGTCACAGCGAGCAGCTTTTGGATCTAGCTTCGGTGGAAGCAAGTGGCTGGGACCTGAACAGCTTCCCGTGTCTCCTACAACACCAGCCAGCCATACTCATCCTAGGCCAGTCTCAAGGAGCACCGTCAGCCTGTGTGCGCTGGATGAGAATGTCGTGGTGCGTGATATGATCGACCACCAGCACCAGCACCAGCAGCCGTGTGCCTCGAAGGTGCCACCGGCAACAGCGACAACGCCGTTGAGCTCGCGCCGACTTCCCATCTCGCTCGAGTCATTGCGCCTGTCAGACCTCATGATTGACGCTGATCCAAATGTCGTCGTCGACCGGCTCAAGGACGCCCTAGCCGAGGCCGAAGCCGTGCGCGACCAAGCAGCCAGGGCGGACAAGTGGGCACAGGAAACGTGGACGATGGCCAACAAGTTTCGCAACGAAGTCATCGAGCTGCGCACAAAGGCGAGCATGCTTTTGTCCTTCTTTCCATTGCTCTCCTGACTGACTTCACGTCCGGCACGATGGATAAGCAGCTGGGAATCGCCACTGACGGTGTCATGGTCCTTCCACCTCCTCCCACAAGCTCTTTCTCGCCAGACGCCCACCGTCGTCGCTCCTCCACCATCACTTCAGCCCATCCAGCGGCTTTCGCCATCGAACGCTCCGTTCCGCTTCGCAGCGCTACCGTAAGCCACTCCCCTACCCGGTCTCAGACCTCCGCACAAGCCCATCCAAGCCTCGACAGGGCTGCAAATCCTCACACCACGCATTCTACAAGCTCGAGTCTGCCCAACGACGCCATCACAAACACGAAGTCTTCGTCAGCGGCACGAATCACTTCTTTGCTGACGCAGCTGCATGGCGGCGCTTTGCGCGATTCGAGCGCTGCGAAACGTGTGCCGGCCTCGACTTCGAGCCTCTTCGCCCGAAGAATCTCATCGCATCCGTCATCGCCCGCCGCGCTGTCCGATGAAATGGGCAGTTCAACATTCGTGAGCACAGGTTCACTGGACCTGGCCACCTCATTGGGAAGCAAACTGGCTTCCCGCAGTCGTGCTTCTTCAAGAGCTTCGCCTCCGCCTCTCACCATGCACAATGCCCATTTTGACTTTGGTCAAAGTGACGGACAGCTCCATCCCAACAAGAGTGAAGACGAGAAAGCAAGATCAACCGGAGCTAAGGCTGCAAGCCCTCTTCCCGTCGACGAATCGCCTGCGCCAAAACCGGACGCAGAAGCGAGTGCGAGCGCGACTGAGGGTAAGGCAGTAGCACCTCAAGAGGAGGCTCCTGGCGAGGTAGAGGAGGTATAAGTGTGCATTTCTTTCCTCGGCGTCAGATGCCGCCCATTCTAATTGTAGCTACACCACTCTTCGATCAACATGCCCATGCCCAGGCCCATCTCGAAATGTCCTCAATTCTGCTCATCCGGACGTTGTGCTGGGTGCTGCTGATGAAATTGCCGCTCGAAGTTCTCGACAGAGCCGCCGAGGACGCCAAAAGTTTCCTGCGCTAGCTTTCCCATGGCCTCGAGTTGGAAGATGAGGTCCTTCATACTGAGCGCATAGGCAAAGTACAACAGGTACTTTTCACTCGCAATCAGTGGCTGTAAAGCGGCGCCGACCAAGGCAAAGGGACAGCAGCACTCACCTCGCTTGATCCCCTGATGGCCCTCTTCTTGACCACTGGCAGCTGCCTGATCGCTTCGAGGACCTGCAGCCGAGCCTGCTCTGCCGGCGGCAGATAAGGCGGGAGAGGCATCTTGAGGTGAAAGGCCGAGGCGAGTAGCCAGAAGAAGAGCCCCACGTTGCCCACCATCTCCCTCCGCTTGCCACCTTCGTCAACGGGCACGACAAAATCCTTGCGCACGCGGTCATGCCAGTCACTCCGAGATGTGACTTGGTGCATCGTGTGGAGCAGGTCCAGAATCGCCTGGCAAGAGCTGATAAATTTGCGGTATGTCGCCACCGGAAATGGCCCTACAGGAGGAGGATGTCAGGGCAATCAATGAGGAGGAGCTTTGCATGACAGTGACGCTCACCCTTGAGTCGAGGCTCATGCTTCGTCTGGGCCAAGAGGCCCTCGAGTTTGATCAACTGGAGCTGCAAGCTCAGCTCGCTGTCAAGACGAGAGATGCGAGGTGAGCAACTGTCGAAATCACCCACGCAATGAAGACTTCAACTTACAGTACATGAATCTCGTCCTTCTCAGAACGTCTCGTTCCCTCGTTCATGAGCAAAGGCTTTCCTTGCTCCTCAATGTCCTCTTCCACGTCATCGGCGCCACTGCTTGTGCTGCCGCTGGCTCCCATGGACGTGGCATATCGCCTTTCGACCGATGCGGGTCCGTCTTCTTTAAAGTCGGTCGTGACCTCGTTCGGCGATGAGTACGAAAGGACCAGTCTTTGATAAAGGAAGGCTAGATTGAACAGAAGGCTGCAAAAATTGACCTTTAGGTTGCATCCTTCTCGTCATGCAATCGCCCGCGCGACTCACTCGGACAAGCCCTTGGCAAGCTCTCTCCTCGCCTCAAAGGGCCAAACGAGATGATTGAGAATGGTGGCCCAAACAACACCAATGATGACAGCAACGGTGCGGTGGAATGCGATCTCTTCGACCTCGATTTCCGTCTTGCGAAGGTTATACGAATACACTGGGGACCAAATCGCCTCATTTCAGCTCGAGCACGGGGTAACCGATGGTTGGAAACAACTCACGGCAACTCAAGTTGTACGTCAAGAGGACGAAACGACCGCTCGTTGCAAATTGAGGTCGCCCGATGATCCAGCGGAAGCATGGAACGGAGAAGAGGGCGCCAAAGATTGGCAGCGCGATATTGTTGTCTGGGAACACCTTGTATGCGCCCACGGCAGCCAAAGCTCCCACCCACGTCCCAACGATGCGATGGATGCTGCTCGAAACAGTCAGTTCAAAAGAATATCCTTCATCTCAAGCACTCCCTCCCTTTTAACTGACCTCATCTGGTTACTTTGGCCAACAGTGGGACTCAGAACGACCATGAACGAAATCAAGGCCCATTCGCCCTTGTAGTTGGTGAAAATGTGTCTTGTCGACTTGATAAACGCCGGCGCGGCCAATAAAGCGCAACCCAAGCCGGCCTTTATGGCAAATTTCGTGTCTGGTTCCTTGAGAATCTGACCGACATGCCAAATGAAGCGATTCACCCGCTGACGAGCTGTGACTGCTGGGGGTGTCTGGGCGGTGTTGAGCTGATGGGGGGCTATCGAGGGCAGCGTGGCCTCCGATGACCGAAACAAGCCCGCTTCACAGCCAGCGACACGCTTCGTGAGAAGAAGAACAGAGCAGAGGGTGAGCAAGGAGAGACTCACAGATGGTGCTAAGGTAGGAATGATCCATTCCAAATTTGGCCTCTTTCCTTTTCGATCTCCTCTTTTCCCTCTGGGAAAACCTTCGGAGCAGCCGCTGCCACCACCATAGCTTGGACCATTCCTCGATTCTCACTTCGTCCTCCCTGATGGAATCAAGGGCATGCACGAGCAGCTCAAGCTCTTTGGAGAACTCCTCGAGCAGAAAGACAAAGTAAAAGATCAGAAATACTTCCTCGTCAGACTTGAGACCCAAATTCGGGTGTAGTGTCAAGCTCTCGTCTGGTCGACGAAAGACGGTGTATAGGCGCTTGATAGCGATCGTCTGCTCGTGTTGGAATCTTTTGAGGGCAGTTGAGACGTCCTCAGCGAGACCGTCGAAGGGCCCGTCAGGGGACGAATCAAGAGGGCGTCCAACGACAAAGGCGCAGCGTAGGCTTCTCAGCGTTCGACTGCAGGTGAACTGTAGGCGAGGACGTTAGTCGATGCAAAACTTTTACAGAGACGAAACATCGTCGGAACCTACCACTAGGCTGCGCATGTGCGGACCGACGTTTCCAAGGAAGCTCTCAAAAGCACCCTTGTCGACATCCGGCTTTGTCTCGTCTCCGATCGAGACGGCTTTGCCCTCTTGCGTCCTTGGCTCGCTCCGCCGCTTCATGCGCTGCGCCACAATGATTTCGTGCTGCAGGCTGCAGCTGCTCCTCAATCCGCCAAGGTGCTGGGCCAACCTGTTGAGGCTGTCGACGACAAGAACATAGTTTGCAACTTTACCCCTCATCCGTCTGTCGAAAGGCGCCTCGAGCTTGGCTTCTGCAAGATTCTTCTTCAGGCTGACAAAGGAAGAATGGTGGTCGTCGCACGCCCGTTTAATCCTATCGCTCTTGATGTTGAACTCGGCCACATCGTCGAGAAGAAACGTTTTGGTGAGGACCTTGAGCAAGGTGGCGAAGCTTTGGAGATTGCGCTGAATGTCGCCCTGCAAGCTCGTCGTCGCACTCATGGGCCACAGAGCAAAACAGACAATGTTGGCGACAACGACACCGGCCACGACGACGAGGGTCGACTGCCAGATTTTGTCGGTGGAGTAATGGCCAAGGTGTTGGGAACCTTCCTTGACGATGACGGTAAAGATGATGACGCTGATCAGAGAGCAGGCCGTGTTGAAGCTCGGCTTGGCCACCTTGACTTTGGCGTAGCCGACGAGGGTGACACCGAGGCCTACAAATGCAACAACAGTGATTGCGTTGCTGAGACCGGGAAAGTCTCGATCGTGGAGAAAGACGGCGATGAGCATGGAGGTGAGGCCCAAAAGAATGGCGTAAGAAAATGAGACGAGGGCAAAGACGTTTGCCTCGATCATCGATCCTATGGAGCGGCCAGGGTGGAAGTAGACGGCAACCGTGGCAATCATGTGCAGATTCGAGATGGGGACGATCTTGGGCGACTCGGGGTCCTGGTTGGGCATGAGCATGGCCATGCGTGAGGAGAGAAAGGGAGAGAAAGTGAAGAGCGAGGCGACAAAGTAGGCTACGACGCATTTAATGATCGTCTTTGTCAGGGGTGAGGGGTCTGTCAAGGGCTGAATCTGCTCTTGCAGTGTGGTCCATCTTCCCTTGCTCTGTATGCGCGCCTTTGCATCCTCGCTGCCATCGTCATTGTCAGCGTCTGACGAATCCGCGTCGGTGTCGGTGTCGGTCTCGAGGAGCCTGTCTTGGTTCTCGGCATAGGCCAACGGATCCTCTCTCCGGGGAATCGTGTCGGGATTCGAGTCGATCCAGCTTTCAGGCTCCTGGTTGATGCTGTCCCTGTTGTTGGTTGTCGTCTCAAAGGTGTCTGTCCTTGGCGGCAGGCCAAACCTCTTCCATTTCGTCTTTCTCCTCGCCGTGCTTCCGATCCTTGACTCTCCCTCACCACCCTCTTGGTGCTCCACATCAGCGGCTGCGCCCTCGTCGACGTCGTCGCTCGTCGTCGGCACGGGCGTCTGGTGCTGCCTCTTCTTTTTCCTCATGTCTGGCAAGCTCTTTCTCTTGCTACTGCCTGGCCTCTGCTCGAGGTGGTTGCCCTGATGGACGTCATCATCGTTGTCGTCCTTGTCGCCATCATTGTCCTCATCAAAGAGATGCGCAATGTTCTGCCACTGATCGATGTGCGTTGTGCTCACCACCCTCGCCTTGCTCGTCGTCCGCCTCTCTCTCGGCCCCCCTCGACCAGGCAAGGAGCTCGACGAAGCCCACAGTCCATCCTGAGCTGTCGAGAGGCCTTCGTCATCGATTCTGCCTTCGTCGGCGTCGTCCTGCCTCGTTCGCCGGCGCGGGTCGCCTGCTGCAGATGTCGCGCGGAGCGCATGGGCAGCCTGCAGCGACGTCTTGACTGCGCTCCACAGCTTGTTGCGCGGCCGACGCTGCTCCTCTCCATGCGGTTCACCTCCCACCTCTCCTCCGACTCCGCCGCCTCCGCTGCCACCAACACCACCACGACCGCCGCCTTCTCTCTCTCTGCGCTCGCGCTCGCGCTCTGTGTCCGACATCGTCACTGTGGTTGTCGTCGAGCTGTCCATTGCACGCGGAAGTGACACGCGGCCACTCGGAGATGTCTCGAGATGGTCGTGCGGCATGCCCGCGGGCAGCGGCTTTGACATTTGGAGAGAGAGAGGGGGAGAAAGCCGTCGTGCCGCCGTTGGGCCCGTCGGAGATGGGGATGCCCACTTTCCTTTCCCGCTGATTTCGAACGGAGGTCCGAGAGCGAGATAACTACTACTAGGGACGCAAGCCAGAAAGAGAGACCGAGACCAACAATCACAAAAAGTCGTGCGCGCGCGTACGATTTAGAGCTCGTTTTGACAGGGACCGCGAGCGAGAAGAGAGCCCCTGAGAAAAGTTTGGCTGCAGAGGAGAATAACAGTTTGAGGCCACAGACTTGTCTCTCTCTCTCTATCTCTCAACCTTCCCCATCCCCATCGGGCACGTCGACTGATAAGAGAGGCTCGCTGCTACCCTAGAATACGTAGTAGCAACCATGCCTTCGGAATAGAATATTCATTGTAATGGATAGATTAACACGACTGACGCATTCATGCAGTGCCTGACCGGATGGCGATGAGAAGGTCTATACTAGTGGTACATGGCCGTTTGGGCAAAAGTACAGGAACTGAGGGGTGCTGACTTCAGCGGAGCATGGCTTCGACGTCAACGTCGCTGTCGTTGGCGCCGTCCTCAGCATCGACAAGGAGAGCAGCGGCGGCATCGTCGAATCGGGCTCGCTCCCTCGTCGCCGTTGCATCCATGCCGAGGTCTGCGCCTGGTCGCTTGGTGCCGGCGATGGGTCCGGGATGGTTGAGGTACACTCCCGAGTCATTCTTTCGATCGAAACCGCTGCCATCTTCTGTCACTGCTTCGAGCTGGTTGCCGTCGAGCACGACGGTAGTCTCGACGACCTTGGTGGCGGCCTGCTGCTTTGCCCGTGCCGCCTCGACCCTCTTGCTCTTGCGCTTTGCGGGCAGCTCGGCCCACGCCTCGATGCGGCACGTGGGGCACGTCACCCACTTGCCCACCGTCTCCCGTGCCTTGTTGTCGTCACTGACAAGACCGATGGCCGCTGCTGCCTCTCCCCCATCCAAGGCAGCCGGCCTGTCTTTCCTGGCCTCTGAGCCGCTCTCCTCCTTTCCCTCTTGGGCCTCCTCCTCCTCTTTTTTCTGCTCTTCTCCCTCTTGGTCATTATCTTTGTCATTGTCATTGACGTCCTCGTTGTCTTCGTCGTCATCATCATCATCGTCATCGTCAGCTGCTTCGGTGCCAATGGCTTGCTCGAGGCGCATCGAGGTGCAAAGGCAGTCGAGGTGGAGTTTGTGTCGGCATGGAAGCAAGCTGACCAGCTCCAGATCGACGGGGCCACTGCTGCAGCAGCTGCTGCTGCTACTGCCGCCACCGCCACCGCCGCCACCGCCGACGAGGGCTGTCTCTTCGCCCGGATATCTGGGCAGGCAGGCCGGAGAGTCGCATCGCCAGCCCCTTGTTCGTTCGCGCAACCTGACCTCCTCGCGCAGGCTCCGTGACTTGGACTCGTACTCGGCTTTCTTAAGCTCCTCGTCGGCCCGCCTCTGGCCTTGAGGCCGCCTCGAGTCGGTGGCACTGGCCTGCTGCGAGTCTGCGGCGCTGCTGTCGACCTTTTCACGGTCCAGCGGCGCGCGGCACAGGGGGCATGTCCACTGCGACGGCGCATTGTTGGCCAGCCACTCGAGCAGGCAGCGGTGGTGCAGTGTGTGGTGCCCCGCGCAGGGCACGGCGACAACCTCCTGGTCCTTGCTGGCCTGGCCACCGATCCACTCGGGCACGTCGTCCTGGTCGTACTCATCCAGGCAGATGGGGCAGCCCAGGTGGTCGGCCGTGTCCTGGGAGCCAATGTCGCCCATGCCGAGCCGGGCCATGCGGCTCCGCAGCTCGGCGTCGGCCCGCTCGAGCGACGAGACGAACCGGGCCGCTCGCTCGGGGTCCGGCCGCTCAGGCTCCCGAGCGGGGACAAAATTGAAGTCGATGACGACGTGGAACGGCGGCCCGGCCATGAACTCGGGCATCGTCCGTGGGCCAGTCGCCGAGGGCGGCATTGCTCCCGGCGGCATGGGCTGTCCACCGTCGGGCAGGGCGACAATCGGCCACGCCGTGTTCGTCTGGTTGTCAAAAAGGAAGCTGAACGGCAATGGAGAGCTGCCCAGCGGCACAAAGATGGGCGCCGTGGGTACGTGGAAGCCGTTGAACTGCGAATTGCCACGCTGAGGGCTGTTTGCTGGCAGTGGCTCTTGTTGTCGTGGCTGCTGCTGCTGCTGCTGCTGCTGCTGCTGCTGCTGTTGTGGCACTGGCAGCGGGCCGGGAACAAAAGCGAGAGTGGCTGGGCGACCGTTCTGATTGAGAAACGGCATCTGAAACAAGAGCGTCGGCGCCGAACGGCTGTCGTCACCACCAGTCGACGGCGCTGGCTCATCCGACCGTCCTGTCGGTGGCGCTGGGGCACTCGGTACGCTTTGACCACCCTCTCCCGTCGGCCCAGACGGGCCACTCGGAGCCGGTGTCACCGATGAGGTGGCTGGCTGTGGGCGATGGGCTTGCTGCTGCTGCTCCCCCGCCACGGCGCTCCTGAAGCTGTTCATGAACGCCTCCACGATCGAACCGAACCCGGAAGCCATCGGTGCTGCGGCACTTTGACCAGGTCCAGCTGAGCCTTGCTGCTGGTGATCTGCGTGCGCGGTACCTGAGTCATCGGAGCTGTTTGGCGCACCCGCCGCCGCTGCTGCTGCTGCTGCTGTTTGCTCGCGTGACGAGTCCGGAGATAGGGGCGGTTGCTCGTCTCCCCCGTCCATGCTTCTTCGATCCAGTCCCTGCCAATCGATATGAAGGAGGGACCTGTTGGATGGATGGCTATATTTTTTCGCGGTGTGCTCTGTCACTGGGGACTTGTTGAAGTGCGGGGTATGGTGGAGATGTGATAGCCGGTGAGGAGCACTGCGAGGCGATGCTGCCTAATTCTAATCGCCGGAGCGAGCAGCTCCGAGAGACGTCTCTAGAACAGTGCAAATATGCCGGGACTCGGAAGACTGAGCTCTGGGACGTGGAGGGCGCGCGCCTGGGCCCAACTTTCAACCTGCAAGATGGGGCGCGCCCGCACGACAGCACGTCCGTACAGACGAGGGCGGGGAAGGCTGGCTCTTCAAGCCCAGATGCTTGGGATAGTCGAGCGCAATAATGACGCTTTGAAAATGCGCTGAGAAACTACGCCACGAAGATGGCCCTTTGAGTAACTTCATCCTGGCAGCTGAGTCTCGCATCTGACACCAAGGGATTCTCAGCATTCGTTCGGCGCTCTCGTTCGGCGCTCCTCTGTGGCACGATTCCTCGTCTTCTAATTTGCTGCCATGGACGGGGACTGGTTCCGACAGGCTACGTACTCTTTCTTCATATTTCATGACGAGGAAGCTGCTCCGTGTCTCAGCCAAATGCGCCTTCGTATGGGTCTCCACCCTCATGAACATAATACCACTCTCACAAAGACGGTTGGACAAGACTGCTGTTTGCTCTGAATGCAGGCACAATCACCGAGCGAGTCGGAGTGGGACTCAGACTGGGACATGTAGGCCAAGGAGACTTTTCAGCGCCGGTCGACGGCCAAAGGCTTGCGCCGTCCAGGCCCGAAACAATGAGAAGAAAAAAAGCCACCGCTGGGCCTTGGGGCCGTTTGCTGCAGCCAGAGCATTAATTCCCACGTGGCATTAGGGTCCTTCTTTAGATTGAGATGGACGGAATTAGTAAGTAGAATACAGATTTGCCATTAGTCAAAGGCACTTTTAGACCCGTCGTACCGATCGGCCTGGACAGGCTCGCTGCTCATCGTCGTCGACACAATTTCTCTCTTTCTCACGATTGGTGGTGGTTCTTCTGCGCTTCTCAGTTCCCCCTTCCCGCTCTCCCCCTTTCCTCCCCCTTTTCACCCTCTTGTTCCTCCTTTCTCTTCCGCTCTTCGGCGTCTCTGTTCGTTCCACCGTTCTGTGCCCCGCTCGCGTCGTTTTCAACCTCTCCTCTTTGGCTCTCACGCGTACGCCCACGACCGCGCGACGGAACAGATATTTGAACGCCGCCATCTGCTGCGATTCCCCGCCTCGAGACCGCTCCTGATCCACTCTTGCTGACGTCAGAGCTGGACGCAAGCAAGTCGGAGCTCGCGGAAAGGCCCGCATAGACCCCTCTCGGTCCCCATCCTGCGGCTTGCCACTACTCTGGCCCCCATTCTTTCCTGCGGCTATCTGGTCATCACCGTTCATGGTCCGACAAACGCAGTCGTGAGAAAGAGAAGCATCGCACGAGCACTGCCTCCGAGTTTCACCCGACGACTTCGGAGCGCGCACGGAGCCTGCGCTTGATCAGAAAGCGCATCGAACTCCCGCCTCGTGCCTCTGCTCTCTCTCTCTCTCTCTCTCTCTCTCTCTCTTTCTTGTCTTCTCGCTCCCTCGCGCGTGCTTCACCGCCAGCCCCACGACGATGTCTTCCCCACCACCACAGCATGCCTTTCCTGGCTCGCCAACAGATGAAGTCCGATCGCCCGGGTCGACGACGAGCACACAGCAGGTCCAGACGCCGTTCATCTACCCCATCAAGTCTGCCGTGTCGGTGAAACCATCGACGTCTGACACGCCCCCGACGCCATCCCGATCCTCACAGGTTCCTGGTCCTTCGAGTGTGGCCGGGTCGGAGCAGAACGAGAATCAAGATGCGGAAAGCAACACGTTCCAGCTCCGCAATCCCACCCAAGGTCGTTTCCATCGCACCCCGTCGTCGTCGCTCAGAGGTAAGGGCAACCCGGACGAGTATCCCGGCCAACGAGGTGGTGCCGGTTCCCTCAAGCAAGCCGATGAGGAGAACGAGAGTGTCGAGTCCCTCGAAAGCGGCAGTGGATCCCTGGCGGCCGACGACTCTGTCAGCGAAGGTGCCAATGTGGCGCCGCCCGATGCTTCTCCCGGCGACTTTCCCTACGATGAGATGCGAAAGATGAGATTAGAGGGCGCACAAGAGCCGAGACCTTCGCCGCCATCGAGGCAGGATGCATCGATGCATCAGACAGTTGGCCGTGGCGGCGGTGGCGACGGCCGGGCTCGCATGTCGACGGCCAGAACAGAGAGCGTTGCCGTGTCCGAGAGCCAGCGTCTCGAGAGCATGATGCAGCCCAGATTCCGTCACATCGAGACTGAGCAGGGGCACATGGTCGTCACGGGCAGAGATGGCGAAATCTCTCGTTGCGAAGATGAGGTGAGTTTTTGAGTTCAGTGGTCGGCTACACTCAAAACGTCGTGCTCATCACTCGACGATCCTGTCTGTAAGCCCATCCACATCCCGGGTGCCGTGCAATCCTTTGGGTGCATGATAGTGATGCGAGAATCGGACGATGAAGGCTCGCTGGAAGTCCGACAATGCTCAGAGGTGAGTGATCAAACTCTTTTGCATCAGTGCCTTTTCGATCAAGTCGCTCACCATTTTTGTGGCTCCTACAGAACACTGGCAAGATCCTTGGCCTGTCACCCACCTATCTCTTCTCTCTAAAGTCCTTTCTGGACTGCCTTGAGGATGATCAGGCTGACATTCTCTGGGACAACATCGAGACACTCGACGAGTCGCAAAAGGAATTGACCGAGTCTGGCCCCAGTGTCTTCCAGGTCAGCGGCTGGAGCCAGGGCGATGCTTCGACACGGAAACGCTGGGACTGCTGGTGCGCTGCTCACCGCGTTGCTACCAAGCGTAGGGACGATGGCGAGGAGAACACACAGCTGAAACCGACAATCGTGCTCGAATTTGAGCTCATTCACGACAAGATCAACCCCCTGGCGCAAAAGTCTCCTCCCCCCTCCCCAGAGGAGTCGATGACCGAGATGGGAGGTAGCAGTTCGACGAGCCGCGGTGGCAGCACCAAGTCTGGTAGCAGCTCTCCGCCGCCCAGTGTTACAACGATTGCTTCAGACGGCACCACCAAGGTCAGCACAGCCGTCAAAATGTCGAGGGCCAAGGGTGGCCTCGAAGGCATGCCCTACATCCCCACGCCCGAACAATTTGTCGAATCGACGCAACCGTCATCGAAGCCCCTCAAGGCATTGGCTCGCCTGAGGCGGCATGGCGGTCAAAAGAGTGGGCGGAGACCAAGACCAGGCCGGGCGAGAAACTCGGAGCAGGACGTCAACGAGGTTCACGAGGAAGGGGCAATGCTCGACATGTTTGGTATTCTCAGCCAGGTCAACGAGCAGTTGACGGCTCAGAGCGAGCTGCAGGGCTTTCTCAAGGTGGCCGTGAGCGTCATTCGAGAAATCACCGGCTTCTCTCGCGTCATGATCTACCAGTTCGACGAGCGATGGAACGGCCAGGTGGTGTGTGAGCTCGTTGACTGGGACGATACCCACGATCTCTACCGAGGTCTGCACTTTCCCGCCACCGATATCCCAAAGCAGGCTCGAGACCTTTACATGATCAACAAGGTTCGTCTCCTCTACGACCGCGATCAGTCCTCGGCGCGAATGGTGTGCAAGGACGTGGACGAACTCAACTCGCCCGTCGACATGACTCATTCCTTTCTCCGTGCCATGAGCCCGATACACGTCAAGTACCTCGCCAACATGGGTGTGCGTGCGTCCATGTCCATCTCCATCACGGCTTTTGACCAGCTCTGGGGCCTCATCGCCCTGCATACATACGGCTCAAAGGGCAAGCGCGTTTCGTTCCCCATGCGGCAACTCTGTCGTCTTATTGGCGAGTCGGTCTCGCGCAACATCGAGCGCTTGAGCTACACGCGCCGACTGTCGGCCAGGAAGCTCATCAACACGCTGCCCACCGACAAGAATCCAAGTGGCTACATCATCTCCAATGCCGAAGATCTCCTCACGCTGTTCGACGCCGACTTTGGCGTCATTGCCATTGGCAACGAGGCAAAGATCCTGGGTCCGCTCAGCGCCAGTCAAGAGGTCCTGGCCGTGACTGAATATCTGCGGATCAAGAAATTCCAGCAGGTCGTCACCTCGCAGGACGTGGCCGCAGACTTTCCCGACATGGTCCTTCCCAATGGCCTGGAGGTCATCGCTGGTCTCCTCCTCATCCCTCTGTCCAATTCGGGCATCGACTTCATCACTTTCCTGAGAAAGGCGCAGACGAGGCACGTCAACTGGGCCGGAAAGCCGTTCAAGGAAGGCCAGGAGGGCACGGCAGCATTGGAACCGAGAAAGTCGTTCAAGATCTGGTCTGAAACAGTCATTGGCACCTGTCGAGCTTGGAAGGACGAGGAGCTGGAGACGGCCTCGGTGCTGTGCTTGGTCTACGGCAAATTTATCAGCGTCTGGCGGCAGCGAGAGCAGGCGATGCAGTACAATCAGCTTAACAAGCTGCTCCTCTCCAACGCCACGCACGAGGTGCGGACGCCGCTCAACCACATCATCAACTACCTCGAGATGGCTCTCGACAGTCAGCTGGACCCTGACACGCGCGAGAACCTGAGCAAGTCGCACATGGCGTCAAAGAGCCTGCTGTTTGTCATCAACGACCTCCTCGACCTGACCAGGCACGAGGAGGGCAACAAGCTCTTCCTACAGGAGCCCTTCGATGTCTCGGGCACGATCCGGGAGGCCGTCGAGATGCACGAGTGGGAAGCCAAACGCAGAAAGATTGAATTTACTCTCGAAACATCGCCCGAGAAGTGCTTTGTCGTCGGCGATGCGGCCAGGGTGCGACAGATTGTCGTCAACACTGTGTCGAACTCAATCAAGTTCACGGAGCAAGGCCACATCCACGTCGAGATGCGACGGAGGACAGAGGAGGAGATGACGGCAGAGCTGCCCGAGGGCTGCGACATGGAGATCGAGCTCGTCGTGTCAGATACGGGCGCGGGCATTGCCAGGGAGAAGCTCGAGGCTCTCTTCCGAGAATTTGAGCAAGTCGAATCGGTCATTGCCGAGCCAAATCAGAAGCGGCTTGACAACGAGTCGCAGGACTCGCGCTCCCCCTCCTCGTCGCCTCCTCCGCCGCCGGCGATGACGACGATGACGACGACGATGGACCTTGAGTCGGGGGGCGCCCACGGAGGTGGCCATCGCAAGGATGCCTCGAGCGGCGAGAGCAGCCTCGGTCTTGGCCTGGCCATCGTCGCACGTGTGGTGCGCAACATGGGCGGGCAGCTGCGGGTCGATTCCACCGTTGGAGAAGGGTCTCGGTTTACATTCTACCTGCCCTTTCGCTCCTCGTCGTCACAGGAAGCTGCTTCGAGATCTGGCAGCGAGAGCAAGATGCGCCGATCCAATTCGTTTGAGAGCGGCGGCAGCGGCAACTCTGGCAGCGTCAAGAGCGAGATCAACTCTCTGGTCGAAGCCATTTCGGCACCGCACCTCGATGATCACAATGCGACGCCCCAGCGGCGCCAATCCGCCGACATGGGACGCGTTTCCTCGGCCAGTGGCGGTGGCGACAGTGCTGGCGACCCGGGCCACCGATCCAGCGGAGGAGCGCTCGAGGCGAGCGGGCCGAGGGGAGTCTCTGTGGCTCCTCCTCGGCCCACTGGTGCACTCAAACGGCACCCCTCAGCGACGGAAGGCACGAGACAGGTAGCCGGATCTGCCGTGCCTTTGCGCTCCGTCAAGGTGGACCCGCATTCACTCGACACCCTCGATCGGTCCCAAGAGGCACTTCAACAACAACAACAACAACAACAGCAGCAGCAGCAGCAAGAACGGCGCGGCATACAGCAATCGCCCCGGCTGCCACAGCATCGGCAAGGGCCACATTCGACAACCATGGTGACGCAGCGAGAAGAAAAGCCGTCGGCAAAGAGGCGAGAGACGCCCCCAGACTTTGTTAGACTCCCTTCAAAGACGAGCTCAAACGAGACGACTACCACTGCTATGCAGAGCCCCGCCATGTCGACGCCCAGCTCTTCCGAGTCGGCCGCTGGCGGCAGCGGTGCGGCACCGACTTCGTCGCGCCGACGAGGACCAATCGTGCGAGGAAAAGTCTCTGGCGCGTCAAAGGGCGACAAGCTGCAGCCGCTTCGGGTCCTCGTGGTCGAGGACGATCCCATCAATCGCATGATTCTCAAGAAGCGCCTCGGCATTGACGGCCACACAGTCCTGCTGGCGGTCAATGGCGAAGAGGGCTTCCGGCAGTTTGAAAAGGATGGGAATGAGATGGACGTCATCCTCATGGACCTTCAAATGCCCATCTGCAACGGCCAGGAGTCCTGCAAGCGCATTCGACAATGCGAGAGTCAGCGGAGCCAGGGGAACCAACTGGCGAACCGACCCGCGGCCCATGTTCTCAACGGTCGCATCCCCATCTTTGCAGTCTCTGCCACGCTCGACTACTCGATGCGACAGGAGATGTGCGACATTGGAATGGATGGGTGGCTGCTCAAACCCATCGATTTCAGCCGGCTCCACTCGCTCCTCAAGGGTATCACCCACCAGGAGCACCGTGAGACGGAACGGTGGAAGCCAGGTCATGTCTGGGAGAAGGGAGGTTGGCTTTCCGACCCTGCCAATCGGCCCATCGCCGGCGGCGGCAACCCTCCTTGACCTTGGTCTCTCTTTGCCGCGTCTCTCCTTCTTTCTTTCTTCCTTCCCTCCTTCTCCTCTTCTTCCAACGACATCTTGACACAGGAAGTAACAATATACACGGGTACCTCTTTGTCCTAGTAGATCTCTAGTCCCCCGCCTTTGTAAAAGTAAGCATCACTAAAGGACCGCCTCAACTTCTCTCTTTGTGTCCGGCAGTTCTCTGTTCCCTTTCAATCTTCTTGTGGAAATGAATTGCTCACTCTCCGGAACATCCATGATGACTAGTGCCCGAGCAATCTCGGCCGTACGGCCATACAGGTACGAAAGCAGGATAGGAACAAGCGCCAAGAAGTCAGGGCCCTCGCTCCTAGCGCCAGCACCCGTATCATACGCCACGGTAAGAAGGAAGAGGAGCTCATCCATGCTCCAAGCCACAAAAATTTCTTGGATCTGGCTTGGCACGAAAACATTTGTGCAACGTTGCGTCATTTGAATACACGCACGTGTTTGATAAATTCAAATTCAAATCCGCGGATGGGTAAAAATCCATATTGAATTAGCTTTCGGACTTGTCAGAGCCGCATCTGGAAGAAGCAGGGCAGACAAGACAGATCGGGTGGGGGAAAGAAAAAGTCACCGGCGTGATGCCGCGTCGTTCGCCATCTCCGTGCCAGTCTCGACGTGGAAAGAAGAAGCCATCATTTACGATTAAATTTTCTTGCGACGAGGATGGGTAAGCAGGAGAGCACAGGGATGGTGTATCTGCCTAAACAGCCACATGCCCCTCCCGCCGGAAGTTTCAAGACATGAATTTGGAAAGTAGTAGTAGTGAGGAGGCGGGAAAAATCGACGATGGGTGGTCGAGTGCCAAGAGGCGAACGCCTCTTGGCGAAGGCATCCAGAGGCTTGGTGACGACGACTGCTTATCGGTACCGTACCGTCCGTTTGCACCCAATTATATAAGAGTCCCAGCTGCCGCCGGGGACCAAAATCTTTCTTCTCTTCCAACACACAACAGGCATCCTCACCACAACACCACCATCTCCTGCCTGGACCTTGAACCACAGGACTGTGAGCGAAGCACGACGGCGTCTTTCTAAGAGAACACGCCAATTCCATGCACCCACACTGGTAACGGCACACACAGCAACGAAAATCATGACGGTCGACATGGAGAACCGGACCGACACCATGGAGACCAAGGTGCCCTCTCCAACCAACGAGAAGCAGCAGCAGTCGAAAGATGACAAGACAGGGAACAATTCATCGGGGCCAGCAGACGCGCCCAATGGTGACCCCGACAAGGCGCCGCAGGGCCCCATCGAGGAGCAAGAGGCTCTCGAGCACGCATACCTCTATCCGATCCAGCCGATCCTCGACGCATTTGGTGTCGACTCGCAAAAGGGACTCAAGGAGTCGCAGGTCAAGGCACAGAGGGAAAAATACGGCCAGAACATGCTCGAGGGTGGCGACGAAATCAGCCTCGTCAAGATTATGATCCACCAGATTGCCAACGCTATGACTCTCGTGAGTAATTTTTTTTCTTTTGTCGGGTGCAGAGCCAAGTCAGGTGCTGAACAGCCATTGCAGGTCCTCATTCTTGCGTTTGCCGTGTCACTGGGGATCAAGTCGTGGATCGAGGGCGGCGTGCTGGCCTTTGTGGTCCTCGTCAACATCTTTGTCGGATTCTTCCAAGAACTGAGTGCCGAAAAGACGACTGCCGCCCTCAAGAATCTGGCTTCGCCCACCGCGCGTGTCATCCGAGGCGGCCACACGTCGACGATCCCCGCTGCCGAAGTCGTTCCGGGCGACATTATCGAGCTCGTCACCGGTGACACCCTCCCCGCCGATATCCGAATCGTCGAGGCAATGAATTTTGAGACCGACGAGGCTCTCCTCACCGGCGAGTCGCTCCCAGTCGCCAAGGACGGCTGCCAGGCCTACGGCAACAACGATGGAAAACCCGTCGACGTCGGTGTGGGAGACCGCCTCAACATGGGCTACTCATCCAGCTCCGTCACAAAAGGCCGAGCGACGGGCATCGTCGTTGGCACAGGCATGAGAACAGAGATTGGGAGGATCGCAGACGCACTCCGAGGCGCTGCTCGTGCCCAAAAGGTCCGCGAGGTCAAGCGAAACGCCCACGGTAAAGCCCTGCCTCATCGTTATGTTCAAGCGGGTGCTCTGACGGTGTGGGACAAGCTCGCGCGCTTCCTCGGCTTGACAAAGGGCACGCCCCTCCAGCGCAAGCTGTCTTCGCTGGCCATCGTCCTCTTCTTCATTGCGGTCTTGTTTGCAATCGTCGTCTTCCTGGCCAACCTCACTGGCAACACGTCGCCCTGGGCCTCGCAGGAGGTGGCCATCTATGCAGTCGCCACTGGTGTCTCGATGATTCCCGCCTCACTCACGGCCGTCCTGACGCTCACAATGGCCAAGGGTGGCAAGGCCATGGTCAAGAGGAACGTCATTGTGCGCAAGCTCGAGTCCCTCGAGGCCATCGGCGGCATCACCGACATTTGCAGCGACAAGACGGGCACCCTCACGCAGGGTAAGATGGTCCTCAGAAAGGCGTGGGTGCCTGCCACGGGCACCTACACCGTCTCGGAGACGAACGAGCCCTTCAATCCCACCGAGGGCGAGGTGACTCGGTCCGAAACGGAGCCTCGCAAGCAGGAGCGGGACGAGAATGGCAAGGAAGTAGTCGTCAACAAAGGCGAAGGAGACGAAGTGGAGACGGTCACGGATGGAAATGCAGGTCCGAGCCGCATCGAGGGCGAGGCAAAGTTTGTCAACTTCATGAACGTCTCGTCGCTGTGCAACCTGGCCAAGGTCTTCAAGGACAAGGAGTCGGACGAGTGGGTGGCACATGGTGACCCAACCGAGTGCGCCATCCAGACGTGGGCCTGCCGCTTCGGGTGGGGCCGCAAGGCGCTCACCAACATGGATGACGGCGAGTCGGACGAAAAGAAGAGAAAGGCACCCTGGAAGCAGATTGCAGAGTATCCCTTTGACAGCAGCGTCAAGCGCATGGCCGTCACGTACCACCACAAGGAGACGGGAAGGGACCTTGCGTTTATGAAGGGCGCCGTCGAGCGCGTCCTCGATGCATGCACCAGGGCGCAGATGCGCGACGACGATGTTGAAATCACCGAGGAGTTCAAGGCTGAGGTCCTCGAGAACATGGAGGCGCTCGCTGCGACCGGACTCCGAGTCTTGGCGCTGGCCATGCGACCGCTCAAGGCCGACGAGGCATCTCAGGGCGCTGACCTGGAGCGCGAACAGGTCGAATCGGGCATGACTTTCCTCGGCTTGGTGTGAGTTGTGGAGCACTTCACTCTTCTGTTCAACCGTGCTGACCCCCATGACAACAGTGGACTCTACGATCCTCCCAGGCCCGAGACTGCTGGCGCCGTACAGGTCTGCAAGCGCGCCGGTATCAAGGTTCACATGCTCACCGGCGACCACCCGGGCACAGCCAAGGCCATCGCCCTCGACGTCGGTATCGTTCCCCGCAACACGAAGAACTACTCGCAGAAGGAGCTCGACGCCCTCGTCATGACCGCATCTCAGTTCGACAAGCTCTCCGAGCACGAGATCGACGAGCTGCCGCAGCTGCCCCTCGTCATTGCGCGGTGCGCTCCGCAGACCAAGGTGCGCATGATCGAGGCTCTTCACCGACGAGGACGCTTCTGCGCAATGACTGGTGACGGTGTCAACGACTCGCCGAGCCTCAAGATGGCTGACGTGGGCGTTGCCATGGGCCAGGCCGGCTCTGACGTGGCAAAGGACGCCTCCGACATCGTCCTGACCGATGACAACTTTGCCTCGATTGGAAACGCAATCGAAGAGGGCAGGCGTATGTCTGACAACATCCGCCGGTTTGTACTGCATCTTCTTGCTCAAAACGTCGCTCAGGCCGCCCTGCTCCTCATCGGTCTCGCCTTCAAGGATGGCTCCGGATTTTCCGTCTTTCCTATTTCGCCCGTCGCCATCATGTGGGTCATCATGATCACATCTGCGCTTCCCGCCATCGGCCTCGGTCTCGAAAAGGCAAATGCCGGCGTCATGAAGCGACCTCCCGACGATCTCTCTCACGGCATTCTTCCTCCTGAGCTGATGCTTGATTGCGCAGTGTACGGCCTCTTGAGTGAGTGATGCTTCATTCGAGCATTCTCCAAGAAATTTTTTCACTAACTTGCTTTATCTTTCCAGTGGCTGCTCTGTGCTTGGCAACGTTCACCATCTCTCTCTACGGCTTCGGCCCATCGTACCTCGGCGACGGCTGCAATGGGTCATACAACGACACATGCGAGCCCGTCTTTCTCGCTCGCGGCGCCACCTGCACCGTCATGGTCTGGTTTTCGCTCCTGCTCGCCTGGGAGGTCCTCGACCTCCGCCGCTCCTTCTTCAACATGCGCTCGGGCCACAAGTGGTATTCGCAGTGGTTCTTCGACGCTTACCAGAACAAGATCCTCTTCTTCTCCGTCCTCTTTGGATTCGCCTCGAGCTTTGTCATCCTCTACGTGCCTGTCATCAACAGTGACGTCTTCCTCCAGAAGGGCATCTCGTGGGAGTGGGCCGTCGTCTTTATTGCGACCATCATCTTTGTCGGCGGCATCGAGCTGTGGAAGTTCGGAAAGCGTGCCTACTTCCGGAAGCAGACAAAGGCACTCGAGAAGCAGCAGCAGAAGGACGGCGACGTGGAGACAAAGGGTGCCATGGACTCGATGTCGCCCACGCCCGATTCGCCAAGGTCCGAGGCTGCCCCTAGACAGCAGCAGCAGGAGAGCGGCAAATTGAGCGAGAAGAGCGCTGCTTAGCTCTTTGGCTCCCCTTCCTTCCATAGAATAATTCAGTCTTGTGTACATGTAGTCAATGGAAATGTCGATTCCTGCCTTTTTCCCAAATAAGAAGCTGAGAGGATGAGTGTCAGCTTTGAGACCACGAGCATCTCGAATAAAGGGAGAATGCTGACGCCAGAGCGATCTGTCGCACGGAAGACAGTCTAACCCCACCGTCAAAGATTGGTCGGAGTCAAGAGGTGCGACTTGTCTTCTTCGCACGTGGGAGATGATGATGCAGAAGCTTTCATTGAATTGGTCAGGCAGAAGAATCGTGGGCCGGGCTGCGAGAGCGACGACGCCTTGGTCGCGAAGATAGTGATCTTGATCTCGACCTGCTCGAAGAAGAGAGAGACCTTGCCGAGCGGGACGATGTGGTGGAGAAGGAGCTGTGCCTCTTCCTCTTCGCTATTCTGCCCCTGTCCGATCTGTCATCGATGCTACCCCCGCTATCGCTGCTCCTGCTCCTGCTCCTGCTCCTGCTGAGGCTCCGACTCGAGGAGGTCCTCGACCTCTTCCTGCTCGCTCTCGACTTCCTCCTCGAGCCTGAGCCTGAGTCTGAATCTGAGTCCGACGAATAGTCGCTAGAGTACGAGCCAGAAGACGAAGAAGATGAGGATCGTCCGCGGCGTCCTGTGTTTTGGACCTTGTCTTTGCCTTTGGATGTGGCACCCTCCTCGGTGGCCCGCTCTGCAGCTCGCTTGGCCAAGATAGCATCTGCCGTGCCGTGCCTTTGCATTGTGAAGATTCTATCAGTAAATTGAGCGACATGTGAAGCACCACCACGACCGAAATTCTCACCTCTTGAGCAGAAGCTCCTCGGGCACCTTGACGGCCTGCTGCCTGTCCCTGAGCTTCTTCTGCACCTTTGCGTCCTCAAACGCCTGCGACCGCGTAGGCCTGCTCTGGTACGCCCTCGGATTTTTGCACTCAAACGAGGCGTGGCCCGTCTGTAGGCACTTTTGGCATTTCCTGCCCGATGACGACGACGAGGCATCTGCCTTGCTCGAGCTGCCGATCCGGGAGGGGAACATGGCGATGTAGTGGGGAGAAGAGAATGATCAGCCACGCGACACGAACTTCGAGAGGAGAGGGAAAAAAAAGATATAAAATAAAGAGGAACTTCGAGTTTGTCCGCTTTGATGTGGAGCTAGCCCTCGTTCGACCTCGCTGCTCCTGACGAAGAGACACCCTGATCGAAGCGACCGAAGTCAACGACAACGACGAGTGACGACGAACAACGACGAACAACGAGACGAAACGATGAATGAGGGATCGGCTTCCGCTGATGTGCCCACGCAGCTCGCCCAGCGTTCCCCACCCTCTTCGATCCATTCGCAGATACCCCTGCGCACTTCGCGCTCCCGCCTACAGGCTTCCGCGACTGTCCTGACGCTCAACAACGACGATGTCGATGAAGGAGGCGACGAGGACGCCGTGCAAGACGAGGCAGCCGATGGAGAGGAAAGAGAGGGAGCCGCTGATGGGGAGGAGGAAGAGGACTTCAGCGACGATGAGCCACTGCATCAAGGCCGCATCGATGTGGGAAAGGCGTGGGACGAGAGCGACGACGACGACGACGACGAAGAAGACGAGGTGGAGCCCGAGGATGAAGTGGTTGCCAGGAGAGGCCGAAGGAGGCGAAAGCACCGCCGAGATCCAGTCGACCACTCGTATATCTCCTCGCTTCGGCCCTCCCCGAGCCGGTTCCGTCGATGGTGGCACAGGCTCGTCAAGTCGCCCTCTGCCCAGGCCTCGCTCAGCGTGCCTCACGTCGCTGCCAACCTGTTTTCTGCATCGCTCAACCCAGCGTGTCTGCTGAGCATGCCCGCCTACTTTGCTAGGACCGGTATTCTGCTGGGAACCCTGGGGCTAGTCTTCGTCGCCGCTCTGGCCGGTGCCGGCGGTGGTCTCTGGGTTGTCTTGGGCCGTTACGTAGGAGGCAACAACATCGAGGCCATCACCGGTGCCGGCTGTGGCCGCAACACAAAGTGGAAGGCCAACATTGGCAGGGCAGTTTCAGGTCTCCTCTTGGCCTCCTACGCGACGGGCACAGCTGTCATTGCCTACTTTGGTACGTCTCAATGCCTTCGAGCGCCCTCTTCTCTCTCTCTCTCTGCCCTCGACTGACCTGCATACATCTCAGCACTTGCCGACCTGCTTCTCCAGGTCCTCTTCCACTACTCTCCCCGGGGTATTCCGCTACATGACAGGCTCTTCGTCACCCTCTTCGTAGGCGGTCTCATGACGACGCCGCTCGTCATCTTCCCACTGGCCAAGCGCACCCTCATCCGGCTTTCGACCTTCCTTGCGGCGCTCCTCTACCCGATCACCCTGGCCATGCTACTCTTTTACATCTACTACGAAAGTCCGCAGAGTGACACTCCTGCGCCGCCACCCAAGACACCGAGTCTGAATCCAATGCACCCTCCGTCCATCTGGGCGCCGTTTTCGCTCCTGCCGCTCTTCAGCCTCAGTGCAAGCCCCTTACAGATCATCGCCCACAACCGCAGTCTCCGCCGAACGGGCATCTCGGGCAGCAACGTCAAGGCATTCATGCTGGCCCAATCGGCCCAGACGATGGCTGCCGTCGGCCTCGGTGTTGGCTTTGGCGTCGGTGTAGGGACAAGAGGGATGGGCGAAAGGCTCGGCGTTGAGATTCATCCTAATCTCTTTACATCGCTGCCCTTGTCCGACTCGCTCAACTTTGCGAGGGTTCTCTTCATTCTAATCCTCTCTTCCCATCTCGCGCTCTGCCTGGTCACTGCGCGCTCGTCGTGGGCCCGCTTGCTGAAGCTTCTCAACCTCAATCCGCTAAGGAAGAGGACTAGAGAAGGCGGTGAGACGGGCGCCGACGATGACGTCGAAGAACAGACGTCGGCTCTGCGCGATGAGTCCAACGAAGGAAGCAGCAGTGTCACAACGCACGGCATACAGTCCCAGCAGAACCAGGGAGGACACAAGAGGAAGAAGGCGCCACGGCGCTGGACGCGGCCTGCCCGCGACGCCCTCGCAGGCCTGCTGCTCTGGCTCCTGACATCGACAACGGCCTACCTCTCTGGCGTCGGCGGTTTTCACCGACGGCGTGGCGACAAGGAGGCCGCACGTCCAGACGATCTCGCCGTCGAAGCGCGCTTCACACGCGGCCAGGAGGTCATTGGCCTCATTGGTGCGGGCGTCGGCTTTGTGCTGCCGGCCCTTGTCTGGATCATCCTCTTTCATGTACGGCAGCCCCGGGCCATTCTGCTGCCGTTTGCGACCGAGATGGGCAAGACGGCCAGCGAGTGGTTCCTCGGTCCGCAGAGTGTGCTAGCGAGGCAGCGAAGGAGGCTGTTTGCGAACCGCACTCCGGCGACCAGGCGGGACGAGGGAGGAGCCGAGGAGCAGCAGCCACTGTTGGATTCACCAGAGGAAGACGAAGAGGAGAGCCAGCGGGCCTACAGGCGGTCTCTCCACGACCGCGCTACGCTCTCGCCAGGCTCAGTGGCGCCGACGGGCTACAAGTCCATGCCCTCTGATGCCAATGAGGGCTCTTCCGAAGACGGCCAGCCCCACTCGCACCAGGGAGACGCCGCCACGCGGATCCTCCTGGCACGCAAGGAGAGGCAGCTCCAGAAACGGACGAGGGGCCGGAGAATGTACCAGGACGGCATCGTCCTGGCGGGCATTTTGCCATTAGGTTTCGCCCTCATCGTGCTGGGCGCTATTGACTTGCGGCATGGCGGTTGGTAGAACCCCTTATCCATTCTTGTGGTTTCACGCTTATATGCTATTTCGGAAGAAGGCATCACCTTTGTGACCTTTCGGCATCTTGGCCGTTTCGGAGTTCTCTTGCAATCGATTGATGTGACTAAACATTCTTGCCTTTAACAACGACCTCTGGTCGGTCTTGCGGCCTGAGGAACACCAACAAGGTTTACATTGAGGACAACTTAAGGTGTATGAGCCCGACCATAATTGTGAAGTGAACGATTGACAAAATGGACAGAGAGCGGCGGGGAAATGAGAGGAGGCAGTTAGGGGATCAAGTGTAGCCGAAGCTATTCGAATAAGCGAGTGTAGTTTCTTCTTTGTCACACGCTGCCTGAAGAGAGCTGGGATGGGAGATGAGAAAAGGAAAAGGGGCGCTTCGAGAGAGTCGAAGCTTTCGTGATGATTGCCTTTGTAGGTCGGACTTTTGCCTGCGAAGCAGCCGCTCAATTCATTTTGTGGGGCCTCTTGATGGTAGCGAGCGACTCGAAGCTCTCTGGGCGGTGACGATCAATACCGGCAGATGGGTGCGCTCCCGCACCACGGCTGGTGAAGCTGTAGGAAGCAGGGCGAGGCCTGGAATCGATGGTCGAAGTAGGACTGATGATTTCTTCATCGCCCGACTGGTTCATGCTCAGTCCTGGTCCAGCGGTGGCCTGCATCGCGGCCGGATTGGGCAAGGGCAAGGCAGGGACCGTGACGATCGAAGGTGGAGGAGAGAGTCCACTAGGGTAGGTGCTCTGGCGCTTCGAGGGAAGCGCAGTTTCGACAACGCTTTGCATCGAAGCGCTTCGTCCTCGTCCAACGGTGTTTCCGGTGAGCGAACGCTTCAGAGGTTGGCTCGATGCATTCTCCGGTGCCATACTGTTGAAAGTGTTGGAGCGCTCGAGCTTCGCCGTTCCTAGCTCCACGTCGTCGTCTTCATTGCTTAGCAAAGGGCGATAGTCGCTACGAGAGGCCATGCCAAGCTTTAGAAGGCGTGCATGAAGGAGGAAAGAGGAGCAGGTCTTTTTTGCCACTCACGCTTTGGATATAAACTCGAGAGCACCAATGACGTTTCCGTAGGCATCCTTGACCACTTGTATCTTAGCTTCGACTCCGTGCCCGTCGTCATCCTGGCCCTCTGCGGCCGTCTCGTAGCGGAGCCACTTGAGCAGGTAGTAGAAAGCCCAGACGAAGACGGCGGCGCAGTAGGGAGCCACGTAGTAGATCCAAGTGTAGTCATTGAACTTGCCCGTGACGACATCGGGGCCTAGGCTGCGCGCAGGGTTGCATGATGCGCCCGTGTATGGCTGGCCAAAGAGCTGGGTGATGAAGAGGGCAAGGCCGATGCCGACGGGGGCGAGGAAGGTGCCGCGGTGCTTCTCAGCGGCGAGCATCAGAACGCTTTCAAAATATTGTCTCTACATCAGCTTCTCCGCAAATGTAGAGAATAGGGAATCATTGAGGTGACCCACGTGAAGATGAGGTTCGTCGTGAGGAAGAACTCGATCCAGAAGCCCTGAGCGACGTTCACGCCTTCGCCGAGCGTGGTGCGCGCGTTGACGGTGCCGGGCAGGAGGCAAGCGACGAGGGCGCTGGCGGTAATGCCGCCGGCAAATTGAGCGAGAGTGAGGCAGATGCACTTCGAGATATCCATGGCGCCCGCCAAAGTCAAAGCCAGAGTGATGGCTGGGTTCTGAACACCACCGCTGATTCGAAAGAAGATCCAGACCGAGATGCTTTGATACAAAATTCTGATCAGCTTGACAGTTGAACAAGGCAAGCTTCCACAAAATTTCTCACCAGAGACTGAAGCCAAATCCGAGCGAAGAAAAAAGAAGGCCTTGTAGGTCGGGCACGGAACTGGGTGCCTGCGCCTTGAGCTGATCGGCTCGGTTCGAAACCGTCGTAGCAATGGCCTCTGCGAAGAGGAGGAAGAGGAAAGTGCCACAAAACTCGGAGACGGCGGCGATCAAGAGGTTCTTGTGCTTGATCCTGCGCTGGACGGCTTCTTTGTAGAAGTTCTGCACATGTCCATTGCGCCTCTCGGCGTCCGGACTGGCAATCCGAAACGCGCGGGGGAGCTTCTGCTCGAGAATGACGGTCGAGTCGCGATTCTCGTGATTGCTGATCGATGTGTTGGCATGGCGAAGCATGGGGGGCCTGAGCTCACCGTCAATGGCCGTGGCTGACATGTTATAGGACTGATCGCCAGTGTGAGGATCGTTTTCCATGAAGTGCTTGGAACCGCCGTACTCAGACATGGCGATGGCGGCGTCTTCAGCCTCGTATCTCGGGCGTGACCTGTAGCTGGGCTTGCGCTGTTGCCGTCGGCTCTGGGCCTTTGCCGCTTGCGCGTCGATGTCGCAATCGTTGGGACTGAGGGTCGCTTCACTATCCTGGCGTCTCGCCACTGCGCCAATCTCCTCAGACGGATGCTGCTTTGGCGCCCAGGTGCCAAAAGAAAGAAAAGTCAGCAAACTGGGCATCAAGGACCGCTCCTTTTTTTCTCTTTTCTTTTGTGCCTCTTGTTCGCGCAGGGTTTTATTTCCTAGCCTCGCAGGTGACATGTCAAGTGTGGGTGTGCGACCGTGACGAAGACGATGGACGTATTGCTCGCTCCGACGAGTCGTAGCACCCCACATCCTTGCACCTACTTACCGTGGCTGCGTCCCCAGACGGCATCTCGGCGGGCTCATTTGCTCGGCTTTCGCTGCTCGACATGACTGCTGGTCAAAATATTGAGTAACGACGAGATACGAAAATTTCGGAGGTGGGGCAGGGCGGCTTTTGTGGCGGATGAGGTCTGTCGGAATGACGTCGTGCTAGCCGAAGAGGGGGTGGAAAAGGAGTGAGGAAGACCTGAGGAGGAAGAGGCGGCCCGGATAGATGCGGCCGTGCGACCGTGTCCGACTCGAGCTCCTTTAACTCACTGGAGCCATACTGCCCTTCGTGTCGAAGTTCCTTTCTCAATAGACCACGACACAGGGATTGCGCTTGAGGCTCTTCCGCCTGAACGACAAACGACACCACGGAGGAAGCACGTTGATATCTCGTTAATCGGCCTTGCGACAAGTCGCCGAGAACAGCAAGAAGGTGGCCTGAACGCCCTTGATCATACGAATCTGTTCTTTCCCATATCGCGATAATCTATGCATGTATAGTACACATGGGGCCCCCTCCAATGCAATCGCGGCAACAATGGCGGCGACCAATGACGGGAGGCGTGGTCAGTTTTTTCGCCGCACTGTCTGACTGGCCGCCACCGCCGCCAGGGAAAAAAAAACTGAGAGGCACATGGGCGTGGCGAGACTGGCGCGAAACGAAGCGGCCCGAGCAAAATCATCTTGTACCAATCTAGAGAGAGCGAGCAGCAGCAGCCCAGCCAAAGGGCAGGATCCGTGCACTACGGGCCGGGTACGCCAACGTGGCTACCCGTTGCGTTAGTGTTTCTCTCACGCTTGGGCCTGCGAGGCCATTGCTCGATAGAGGCCGCTTCCATTCCTCCTTCCGTTTTGGGCTGCTTTGCGACGTTGTCACCTGCATATCTCTCTGGTAAGATCAAATGCATAGAGTTGCAATTTCCTTGCCACCCGAATGTGACCGCATCGCAAAAGCACCAAAAAAGGAAGGAGACGGTGATATTGATACAAATGCAGCGAATATTCCTGGCTAAAGGACGAGGAGGATATAGTCGAGAAGGATGACGAGGCCGACGAGAAAGGAAACAAAGAGGATCAGCGCTGGAAGCATGGGCATATTTCCCAGAAATGTTCTCGGGCCTCGTGGTCCCGCATCTGTCGACATTGTCCCCGACGTCGAGGGCGATGCAGCGGCCGTGGAGGAAGTGGTCGATGATGCCGAGGATGATGCAGATGCAGATGCAGGTGCGGTCGGATCCGATGACGAGGCGGATGCAGCTGCAGAAGAAGAGCGAGTGGACGAAGGTGAGGACGAAGGAGAGGGCGAGGAAGTAGAAAAGGTGGAAATAAGCGAGCTGCCAAGACATGAAGCGGGGATGCTGAGCGATCCCGGCGGCACTATCGATGACTGGCTGGCAAAGATAGCAGAAACCAAGCACGAGTCGGCCACAGCCGTGACCGGCGCGTAGGGCGGTACTGGCCGTGATGTCGTGGAGGCTGTGCCCGTGTTGACTGCCCCTTTGGGAACGGAATTGGGGGTATTGGTAGGCTGTTCCGTGTGTCAATCTCCTCATCAGTCGGTGTTTGTCTAGTAGACGCGTATAGCCCACGAATCCATACCCACATCGTTCTGAGGCGAGGCTCGCGTGCCTATGATGGCCATCATGGACAGCAATGCCAGCAACAGCAGCAAGGGCAGCGGCAGAGATAGCCTGCGCTTGCGTTGTACCATTGCCAACCACGTCGCCATCGCCAGATGTCAATCGAATGAAGACGAGGTGGGCCGGCCTGTGGGGACGATGAGCTTGTTTTCCAGACTTGCAGCTTGTCCGAAATCCGAGGTTTCGCCCGCGTTTCTTTCCTCTGGCTACTACCGCAACCGCTGGTAGCAAGGGGATCGAATCCCTGAGATAGGCACCAGCCCAGCAGCTTCACACCAGCTTCACATCAGGCTGCCGATGCCAATCGGCTTGGAGCAAGCCATAGGATGTCACTATCCCTACTTGTCATGACCTTCAAGCGTGTTTAGACCTGGTCGTTGCCTCTCTTGTACTGTACAGTACAGTACGCAAGGCCTCGCCGTTCCCTCCCTTGGCTGCTACAGACCGCTAAGATACGCTGGGCATCAATTAACTGAGACGATCTCACTGGTTCGAATTCCCGCAAGGCCATAATAAGTACCATCCGTCAGTCTGACTGACATCTTTCGAAATATTTATAGCTGTCTGCGTCGTCCCACTGCACAGCGCAGCCCAGTGTCGTTGCACGCGGGCGATTGACTGATTGCTTGGTGCTCCCGGAGATTAGCGGACCTTGAACGCTTTTTGAGTCGCGATTTTTTGTTCAGTCTGTGGCTTTCATCGTTTCAATGATCGATCAGCTTGAAAATTCCACTTACATCTGAGCTCATCAAAACAAGTCTGGACCCCTCTGCCCTTTAATCGTCACGATCTTTTCTTACGACTTCACGCCATCGACGATATTGACCCTCTCCCTCGTTCCTCTCTTCGCTGTTATCTGATATCCGCTTCTCCCCTTTGCCCTTCGACTAGCTCCATCGCCAAGCAAGACCAACGAGGCGTGTTCTTTACGGTGACGCGACGCTCAGTGTTCCACCTTTTTACGCGACGCCATTTTATTCCCCCCTGTTGCGAGACGGGTCCCATCAGATAGATTGATCGAAGGCGCGAGGGTGAGCGTTAAGAAGAGAGGATCCCCCAGCGAGCGGCCGTGCCTCCTCTCCTCTTGACCCACTCCTCGTCTCATCATGGCATGCCCTTTCGCTCGTCTGGCCAAGCTCACGGGTGCCGCCAAGGGCTTCCACGGCCACCACGGCGAACTCCACCACAATCAGCGCGATGGGGCCGGCCTTGCAAACGCGCCGCTCTCCCTTCAATTCAAGCAAGGAACGGCGGCGGCGCACCGAGCAGTCGAACGCTCCGCGGGCGTACGCGCTTTGATGGGCTTCGGCTCCGACAACAAGGCCGCCGTCTTTGATCGCATCGACCATCTCCGCTGGCTCATCATGCTCGGCTGCGTCTATGCTGCGCTGGAATCGTCGTGCGCGAGGTCGGATAATGCCATTTCCCACCTCTTGCCACACCTCGTCAGGCTGCCGAGCCTGCTCGAAGATACACAGGTCCACCTGGACGAGGCACTGGGCCAAGAGGCATCCTCCACCGTCGACGACCTCGTGGCAGAGGCGGGACAGGCGGACCTCGACGACGAGGCGGAGTCGCGCCGCCGACTCGAGCTGTTTAGACTTGTCGACGAAGCGCAGAGCACAGTGTTGGAGTGCTACCACGATGACGTCAAGACGCCTTTGCGGCTCCGTCGAGCTCATCTCGACCTCCTCACGGCGCGCCAAGTCTCTGCGACATCGACCTACGTCGCCCACCTCCTCTCGCTTCCCTCTCCTCCTCCTCCCTCCTCAGGCACCTCCACGCCCTCTTCTGCCTCCGACGAGGGCCTCTCTTTTACCCCTCCACCCTCCATCTCGCTGCATGACGATGGAGCTGCATACTTTCCCGACAGCTTGTCGTCAGACGACGATTGCCAGATCCCCCTGGTCGTGTCGCACGCATATGTACGCTACCTGGGCGACCTCTCTGGCGGGCAGCACATTGCCAAACGCCTCCGGAAGCTCTTTCCCGTGCACCATGCCCCCTCGGCCGGGTTCGCATTCTACGACTTTGTTGCGACAAAGAGCGCAGCAGAGCTCAAGGACGACTTCAGACACTCGATCGATCGGCCCGACCTCCATCTGAGCGCGCGGCACTTGGACAACCTTGTCGCCGAGGCCAGCCGCGGCTTCGACTTCAACACGACCCTCTTTGATTCTCTTGTCGATGTCGAGCCCAGTCAACCCGTCGTCGTCGTCACAACCACTGGTACCCACGACGCACCGGTGAAAATGTCTGCTCTGCCTTTCCTCAACACGATGCACGCTTCATTGCTCGTCCTCGTCGTCGCCCTCGGCCTCGTCGCCCTGTCTCAACAGCACCTTTCTGCTTAGTTTGCATCGTCTCTCTTTGCAACCCTTGCCATTTATCTTGCTTTACTAGAGCATGCTTGTATTCTATATACCAACCAAGTTTACACGGAAGAACATCACATTTGCATACACACTCAAGAAGCAGTCTGACGGATCGACGTCGTGGCAGGTGTCCTCCCTTCCTTTTTCTCCTCCTCCTCCTCCTCCTGCAAGACGCTCCGATAAAAGGCCTGCAGCGCACCGACGTCTGCCGTAAAGGCCGCAAAGTCCCTCCGGAGCTTCTCGGCAGACGGCATTGTCCTCTCGGCCCTTTCGCCCGCCTCCTTTTCCTCCTTGTCCTCTAGCCTCTCCTTCTTCCCGCCTTCGTCCTTGTCGTCGTTGAAGCGGCTGGCATTGGCCGTGGCACTCTCCTTTTTTCTCCCATTGGCACTCTTGTCCTTTTCCCGCTCCTTTTCTGCTGCAGCTGCCGCCGCACCGCCGCCAACGCCGCCAACGCCGCCAGGGCCTCCCGAGTTCGAAGAGGAAGAGGTACTGGCGAGGTGCAGACGATTGTCGAGCCACAGAAATCCCTCGCCGTCCTTGAGCACCTGGACAAAGGCGACGCCGGACCGGTGCACAAACTGGCTCAGGTCAAAGTGGTTCGGCCGGGACCGGTAGGTGAAGCGCGTCATCGTCTTCTTTGTCGTCTTGGCGCTCGTGGGCGGCCCCGTCGTGGTAGAGGAGGTCGGAGAGCGGGACTGGGACTGGTACTGGTCAGAGGATTCCTGGTCGAGAATGAAGCCGAAGCGGCGCAGGAGCGCATACTCGAACCGGTGTGTCGCCCTGCCCTGCGTCGCGGGCGGGTAGAGGGCCAAGGGAATGTGGACGGGCATCTGGAAGGGATTGTGGCGTGCGACGTCTGCGATCTGGCCGATGGGTGCCTCGATGAGTCTGAGGCCAAAGCGCTCGACGGTGCGCGTCCAGCTCTGGACCATGTCTTCGATGAAGCGGGCCGTCGTGCCCAGCCAATGGATCTGGAAGTTGAAGCCGTTGGAGGGGTTGTGCGCCAGATCGTGATGCAGGTACGCCACCTCAGACCGGTCCGACCGGCGCAAGGGGTCGACATCGATGAGCATCGTCCGGCTCATCTCAATCACGGATGGATTGGCCTTCTTGCCGCCACTGCCACCCCGCGGCGGTGTCTTCTTGTCCCGGTCCTCTTCTTCTGCTCCAGGCACCGGCGACTTTTTCGAGGCATAGTCGGGCCGGAGCCTGTAGAAGTAGTGGCCATCGAGGAAGCCGTGAAAGCGATCGACGTGCTCAAAGAGGCCCGCGTCCATCAGCCTGGCGCCCCACTGCGTCGCCTCGTCCCTCGAATGCACATCGTCAAAGCGCCGGCACAGCCACGTCACAAACTCGGTGCCCGTAAAGGCGTCGGTGTAGAGGATGCGATGCCAGATGCGATCGTTGATCTTGACGCCGGACTCGGACGAATACATGTCCTGGGCAAGCTGTTGCAGGTCTGTCTGGGCCTTGGCCAGCTGCCGAGACGAGGAGAGGGAGCCTGACGGGCCACCCCGACGGGCCCTCGCCTCGTCGAGCTCCTCTGCATGGGACGCCATGACCAGCTTCATGAACTCGTCGTCGTCCACACTCATGGCCGGGTCCAAGCTCGTGGGGATGAACCTCAGGGGTGCGGTGAATGACTTTGCCGCAGCGACCCTCTGCCTCGAAGACGAGGTGGGGTCCCTCGGCTTCCACTTTGCCCTCGTAAAGAGGTCTGCCAGCCGGTCCATGCCCACGAGCCTTACCTCTTCGTCACTCAGCTTCTCGCCCGAGGGGCCCGTCATGGTCGGAGGGCTGCCCTCGCTGGGCACCACGACGAACCGCGTTCTCCAGAAGCGCAGACCCTCGACGAAGCTGTCGTCCTCTGCATGGCCCGCAATGAGGGCGTCGAGGTAGGTCCAGTGGTATGCGCCAAAGTCTGGATAGCGGAACCGCGCATCGACGGTCTGGTAACCTGGGCAATTTCTCGCCCAGATGCAGCACGAGTAGTCGATTGGCGACGTATCGTACTCTGTCCTTCTCACGAAGCGCTTGACGTGGATGGCGCCGCCGGATCGATCGTAGGAGATGCGGTGGATTTGGTTCGACATGCCCAAAAAGATGGGGTTGCCCGAGGCCAGACTGCCTGGCTGGAACAGCTCCGAGGGCTCTCGCAGCCGGAATTCATCGGCAGTCTCGTCCAGCCCACCGTTTCTCTGTGCTGACAACTTTGAGCGCGTGGGGGAAGACACTGGCACGATGAATTGGAATCCTTGAGCGAGCCGCTGCGAGGCCATCTCGCGCAGCACGGCGAGCGCCGGCGGCGTCGAAGCCCGTCGCTTGACGAGGAAGCTCGTCGAGTCGCTGGCAATCGACATTGTGTACGGGTACTCCTGCCACTGGTTGGCCAGATCGACCGGTGTGGGCAGGTAGAGAGTCGTGAGCGGCAAGCAAGCCGGGCTCGTCATGCTGCGCCACTTGACGACGTGCCGGTTGAGCCTGCGCGGAAAGAGGTGCTGCCACCGCATGAGCTGGCTCGACGTCGTCCTCGATTCGAGACTCTTGCGCGGATTCGAAGGATTGACGAGCGTCTGCTTCTCGACCTGAGCCTGCTGAGCATACCGAGCCTTTGCCTCTTCTTCCTCCCATGCCCGCTCCAGGGCCTCTTGCTCGCGAAGCATCATTGCGTCCTCTTCGTCAACCACGGCCACGCCCTGGTCAGTCGCCAAGCCCATCAGGCCCTTTTCTCCCCTTTGCTCCTTTGTTCCGTGACCCGTGGCCGCCTTTGCATCCAACGCACCACCACCACCACCTCCTCCTCCTCCTCCGCCGCCGGCGCCTCCTCCCCCGGCAGGCGCATCCGATGGGATCGAAATGGGCGCAGGCGCAAGGATGCCCTTTTCGTCGCCCGTGTGCTCTTTCGTTGGTGTGTTGACAGTCGAAGGCGCCAGCAAGCTCGAAGTCGAGCTCGAGGGCACCATTCTGCCCGACGAAGTTCTAAGCAGCTCCTGTATGCGCCTCGAGGCAACCGAAGAGGAATCGATGCGCTCCAGCGCCTGCCCCTCTGGCCGCTTACCCGTCCTGCTCCCCTCCTCCTTTGCCTCTTCTGCCTCGTGCCCTGCTGCTGCTCCTCCTCCTTCGTCTGTCTCGCCGTCTCGAGCAGAAGCCTGGTTCTGGCCCCGGATCGAGTTCCAGATCCACGTCGTGCTGAGCTTGTACATTGACTTTGGCCTCGAAGGGCTTACGGTCGCAGAGGACGTCAAAGGCGTGACGGTGCCCCGACTGGCATCTCTCGACATGATTGACGCGCTGGCCGTTCCCGGCGTCGCTGCCGTATTTGCAGGCGAAGTCGGGGATGCCTCGCTGCTCGTAGATGGCCCATCATTCAGCTCGTCAAAGGTGGTGAACGAAGGGCCGACGGAGGCCTTTGCCTTGCCCATAGGCTCCAACGGCCTTGGACCCAGCGATGACCGGTTGAAGGTGCTGACGCTCCGGATGGATGCAGCGCGAGACGACGGTCCCCGTGAGACATCGCCTGCGGCAATCACTGCCGAGATGGGGTCCACAGGCGAGGGCGGCCCGGACTGCCTCGCCTGGTTCGGAGACAGAGGCTGGCTCGACAGACCGTCAGGCCGACCCTTGGAGCGTGGCCACGTCGCCTGATTGCCAATGACGACGTCTGCGCCCGCCAGCGCTGCATGCTCATCGTGCGACTCGAGCACGGGCGATGCAAACAAGCTCGACTGCCTCGAGAATCGGCTCGACTTGACCGGTGATCTCGAATGCGACCCGCTTCCTCCTCCTCCTCCTCCTCCTCCTCCAGCAGCACCACCACCACCACTACCCTGCTGCTGATTCGGCGCCAATCGCTTCTCGCCCAGCCCCTCGCCCGATGGCACCTGGCGCAGCGATCGGCTTGGCGACGTCGAGATGGCTGCACCGCTGCTCTTGGCCTCGCCCAGGAGCAGGCTGGGCCGGTTGATGAGGTGCATGGGCGCCGCCTCGAGGTCTCGAAACGTCTCTCGGTCGAAGCGCTCGCGTAGGATGCGGCGCTGCGTCCGCGGACTCAGGCCGCCGAGGTCAGAGGCGCCGACTGCAAAGCCGTCGCTCGTCGTGCTGCTGTTGCTCTGCTGTGGCTGCCACCGCAGTTGTTGCGAGAGCTGCTGCGAGCTGGACCTCTGCTGCTGTTGCTGTTGATACTGCTGCTGCTGCTGCTGCCTTTGTTGCTGCATGGCTTTCTGGTACCGCGACTGGCCGCTCCCAATCGCAATGGACCCCGACGTGGCCGTCGTGGCCAGGCTCATTGGCCTGTGCACGTAGGACTGGCCCGTGTTGATGGCAAATTCAATGTATGGGATGATGATGTCGCTGATGTTGTTCTCCATCTGGCCCATCATCTGGATCTCGTGCATCTTGCACCGCGGCACGAACCGATCAGCGCGAAACGGCTTGTCCTGCTGGAGGTTGTAAAAGGAGCAGTCGACCCAGTGGGGGATGCTGAAGAAGTCGACGACGCCCGACGACGCCGAGGTAGAGGGGTGTGACGTGGGTGCCGCAGCAGCAGACGACGAGCTGTACGAGGAGCGCTTCGGGTCAAAGTAGAGCGGATCTGGCGGCGGACTCAGGGCACCAGCAGCGCCTGTCCTCGACGAGGTGGTGCCTCTTCGTTTGCGCGTCGCCGCTGTTGTTGTTGTTGTCGTCGCCGCCGCTGCCGACGGGGCCGGTTGCGGCGTCGGTGGTGGCTGCTGCTCGGCGACGGGGACCTGGCTCTGAAAGTGAAAGAGGGGGACCGAGTGGAGCGGCATCCTCGTCAGACAGACGAGGTCGAGGCCGATGCCATTGTCGATGAGGCGCTCCGTCGTCAGCCGGAGGAGGCGCTTGTCGACGTTGAAGTGGCCCGTGCCCGCAGTGACGACGACGAGGTCGAGGCCGGTCCGGTTGAGGTCACGGTCGATGTAGTGCTCGTCAAAGGGATTCAGGGCGAGATTGATGGCCTCGAGGATGTTGCCGTCGTGCGAGGCAGACACCCTGCCGGCCAACAGCGCGCGATCCCTCCGGAGCAAATCGGCGTGCTGCTCCTCCTGCCACGGCGCACCGGCGGGCCCGGCGACGGGCCTCCGGACGATGAGAATGTCGTGGCGGAAGCGGTAGAACTCCTCCTTGAGCGTCGTCAGGACCTTGCTCCAGTCGCAGTCGGACTCGAGGTCGACGATGACCTTGTAGTAGTCAATGTACCACCGGTCCCTTTTTGCTCCTCCTGTTCCTGTCTGCTCCTTCCTCAGAGGCAGCGACGACTCCTCGAGCATGTGCAGCTCCGACTCGTCGTAGTGGACACGGGCAAAGAGGACGACGCTGACGACGTGGTTCGTCGGCACCTTGGACCACCGGCGCACGAGCTCGGGCAGGAAGCCAGAGATGGCCTTTTCAAAGTACTGCTCGCCGTCCTCGTCAAAGTCCCACATCTCACGGGCCATTTGGAGAAAGACGTTGTACTTTGCCGACTCGGAGCGAAAGATGGTGCGTGTATGCGGGGCCACGTAGCCCGACAGAACCTTTTTTTCGTCGATGAAGATGCGCCCGATGGTTGCGCGCACGCAGCCGGCTAGCGTCACCTTCTGGCCGACGTGGACGCAGCGGTCCTCGAGGAGCGCACCCAGGCGCCACATGTCAGCCCGCCCCACGTACTGGTCGCGAAAGTAGAGCTCGACGTGGGAGATGGTGTGAATGTCGCGGGGCACCTTGCTCAGCACGACCTGGCAGCGGTTGTAGAGGCCGTATGCGCCCGCGAGCGACCGTGCGACGCTCACTTGCAGGTTCGAGCCCGCCCGCTCGATGCACTCGGTGTCCTGCAGGGCCTGGTTGGCGGTAAAGAGGAAGCTGTGCTTGGTCCTCTTCTTGCTGGCTTTTGATGTGCCCACGTTGGAGTTCGTCGACGGCGGCGGTGGCAGCTCGGCAGCTGCAGCATGGTTGTGCTCATCGAGGAGGACGAGCTCGAGGAGGTCCGATGCGTCGCTCACGCCGCCCAGCGCAGCGACGACGTCGGGATTGATGACGACGTCATGCGTGCTGAAATTGGGTGGGTCGTGCGTCCAGAGGACGACGGGCCTCGATGTGAGCGTGGGTCTCGACGAGGAGCTCTCGGATGCCGAGCGAAACGAGGAGCGTCTGCGGCTCGTCGATGCTGCGCTCCCACCCGGCCGCGACGACGAGCGTCGACGGTCGCGATGGCCTGACGCGGGCGAGGGCGATGTCCTGGGCGAGAGCCTTGCGCCCAGATGGGCAGGTATCGAGGGCGCTGCCATGGCCTCTCGCTGCCTCGCTCGCTCACCCCTTTGTGAGTGGGGGGGGGATTAGCTTTGGAGCGAGAGGACTGACTGGCTAATCTCTGAGCTGCAACACCAAATCAGAAGGACACCTGCCGTGCGCTAGGCCAAGCAGCGAGAAACGCGCGCACTGAAGAAGAAAAAAAGGCCCGAGCGCGGAAAGCCAGTCTTGTTTCATCAATTGATGCGTCGTCCGTTCGTTTGTGCGGCTTTCATTTTTAGCGACGCATCAAGACAAGACACACATCCATAGCGACGACGACGACGACGACGACAGAAGAAGAGAAAGGCAGGACAACATCACCATGTCGCTCATCGAGCCATCTGCGCTGCCCAGCGCCAGCTCTGCCGACGTTGGCCAGCTGCTGAGCCGGCTGCTGGAGCTGCATGCCGAGAAGCAGCTCACATCGCTCAGCGACCAGTGCCTCGAGGCCATCTCCTCGCTGCCGACCGAGGACCGGCCGACGTCGTACGAGGGCCTCCTCGACGTGGCGCGGTACTGCATCGACGAAGAGCCCGGGTGGAATGCGCAGGACAAGGCCGTGCTCCTCAGCGGGCATCCTCGCATCGGCCAGCCGGCACAGAGCACAAAGGAGGGCATGAGCGAGTCGAGCAGGGCAGAGCAGCGCGCCGACACGGCCGACGAGGCTTCCGATCAGCGTGCGTATCGTGTTGTGTGCTTTCTCGTTGCAAGCCTGCTCATGGCCTCTAGCTGACCGGAACGAATGACAGGACTCGCCTCGCTCAACTTCATCTACGAGCACCGCTATCCGTCATTACGGTATGTGACCTTTGTCGCTGGCCGGCCTCGCGCGGCCATCGTCGACGAGCTCGCTTCTTTCCTCGGCGCTTCCCTCGCCTCGCTCCAGCCTCCTTCCACCTCGTACAACGAGCTCCTCGAGACTCCATCCGATTCGGTGCAGAAATGGGCGCATACAAAGATCGAGGCCATCGCCCTGGACTCGCCAGACTGGACCAAGGAGCTCAATCGCGGCCTCGATGCCCTCTTTGAGATTGCCGCCAGCCGTGCGACCAAGCTACCATCCTCCGCTAATGCCTCATCTTCCTCCTCGTCGGGCCTCGTTCCTGCCTCCGCCACATCAGCGCCTGCCAAGGACGAGCAAAGACGAGGCCAGGCCGGCGACGACGAGTTCGACGAGCCGTTTCTCTCGCTCAAGCGCTTCACCTCGCTCGTCGAGGCCTCGCCCATCCTCACGCACTTTTTCGAGCAGGACCTCGCCACTTCCTTTGTCCTCACTGCCCCCGCGCCTGCGCCCGAGAGCGCCCGCGATGCCCTGGCGACGCTCGCCGCCGTGGCCGTCACGGGCGGCGGCGGCGGCGGTGCCACACGCAAGCGCGTCAAGGGCCTCCTCGGCGGTCTCTGGGGCGAGGTCGCCGACCGGGCAGGCAAGGTGACGGGCAGAGAGTCGCGCCGGGGACCGCTGCCGGCCTTTGGCGGCCGGGGCGACGCCACGGCCAAGAATCTCGAGGAGGGCGTTGGCGCCGATGTCAAGGAGGCAAAGGGCGTCACAAAGACGACGGCGTCAGTGCCAGCACCAGCGACGACAACGACGCTCGACGGCGCAGAGGAGCGGCTGCGCGTCGCGACGAAGCGCCTCGTCGAGGCCGATCGTAGCCACTTTGTCATTGACGAGCCGGGCAATGCCAGCGGCGCCGTCGGCGACGACGACGAGGAAGAGGACGTGGGCGACGCGGAGCAAGACCTGGGCATGGACCGGCTCGGCATCGATGATGGCGCACAGGCAAAGGAAAAGGATGCGACGCTGAGCGCCAAGGAGCAGCAGCTCGCAAAGGATCTCCGCAGCGCACCGGCGCAGTAGAGCGTGGTCATCCTTTCTTCTCTTTCTTCTTCTTCTTCTTCATCGTCATCATCATCATCAGAGCCAGCACAGCTCCGCCAGCACTCTTTCTCATTCCTGGTATCATGGTCTCCATTCACAACTATTCCTGTCCTGTTGCCTGTTGCCATACCTAGTTATACAATTGGATCATCCCATCTACTGTTCCTCAAAGACCTCCGAGAGCGGTCGCCGGCCCTTGTCGCCCGCAGCAGCGACGACGCCCAGCATGCTGCTGCTGCTGCTGTTGCCGCCTCCTTTGCTGCCGCCCTTGCTCTTTACTGCCCTCGCAGCATCGGCCAGTGGGCTGCTCGGCGTCGACGACTGGGCCCCTCTTTCCTCTCTTTTCCTCTGCCCCTCGCCGGCCCGTGTCTCTTTGTCTGCTTCTGGAGAAGCGACCTGTGAGGCGGGCCCGACGCGTGTGTCCGGCGATGATGCGCCGCTCGATGAAGGAGTCCTGATCGTCGAGAACGTCGCGGTGGCATTGGCGCCCGCGAGCGCGACGCCGGACCCGCCAGAAGCAGAAGCAGACGCAGGCGCGGATATCGCTGCTGCCGCTGTGCTCGGCGAGCTGCTCGCTTGGCCACCACCACGCATCGAGCTGCTCCTGTTCGTCGCCGTCGCTGGACCAGGCGAGTAGAGGCTGGCCATCGTCTGCGAGGCAGGCGAGAGCAGGCGCGACTTTTGCTGGTTGATGACCGACGACGATGTCGAGCGGCCATAGGTGCTGCTCTTGCTGCGGATCGACATCGTCGACGCCGTGCCGCCGCCGCCGCCGCCACCCCGTCGCAAGGGCGAAGTGGGAGGCGACGAGACCATCGAGGTGCTTGGAGAAAAGGTGTAGCGCGATCGAGGGGAGCTGGCGCCCGTGGGCGTTTGGGGTACATCTTCGCCTCGGCCTTCCCCCTCCTCGTCGTCGTCACTGTCGTTGCGGTCGCGCCGCGGTGGCTCCCCGATGCCGAGCTGCGACAGAGACCTGTCTAGTGCCGTGGTGGAAAAGGCAGAAGACGAGGCTGGCGGCGACTGTCCGAGGAGGGATGACGACGACGGCGGTGGCTTGGCTCGTCGAGTCAGCGTCGCATTCCAGCTCTTGTCCTCGTCCTTGGGAGAAGGGTCCCCCTCGGTAAGGTGCAGCACCGGCAGCTCATACTCGGCCTCGTCAAAGATCTCGTAGAAGTGCTCAATGGCAAACTTGAGAAGCGTACCCAGCGTCGTTTTGCCCGGTCGAAGTGCCTCACCGGATCGTTGGACCCTGCAGAGGCTCACGTCCCTCAGGGGATCAGGTCCGCGGACTAGGTTGGGGGCTAGAACGGTGGCCAGATTCGAGGCGTCCATCCGAGACCGGTCAGCGTGCTGACTCGCCTCGGCGGCGAGCTCGAGGACGTAGGTGAGGAGGAGCAAGCGCCAGGGCGTGAGCATGACGAGCACCTCTTCGCGCAGGTGCTCGATTGTCGCCTCGTCGTCGTTGCTCTCGCCTGCCAGCAGCGGGCACTTTTCGATGGTCCGGTAGGTGAATGCAGCGAACATGGGTGGGTCCAGCCTGCGAAGGTAGTCCTTGAGGAGCGCCGCTGGAAGGTGCGGGTCCTTTTCGACGAATCGCGCAAAGTTGGGGCACGAATTGACAGAGTAGGCATACTTGGCAGCGCGGAGCAGCGCATTGGAGGGCGAGGCTCGAAAGAGGCCTTCGAGGTCGAGGAGCGCCGTGGCCGACTCGCCCTCCCCCCACGTTCCTCGAAGCGCCTCGACGCAATCCCTCACCACCTTGGGCAGGCTGCCTTCGTCCTCGTCATGCTTGCTCGCTTGGCCGTCGCTGTCGTCGGCCGCGAGAGTCTTGCCGTCGATGCTGCTGCTACTGCTGCTGCGACTGACTCGCAAGTCGTGGATGAGGACTTCGGGCATGATTTCGATCTGTCCCAAGCTGATGTGCCGGCCGAGGTCGCCGAGGCTGTCGCACTGCACAATCTTCTTGGCAAACTTGGGCGAAACAAAGTAGCTTCCCGTGCCGATGAGTCGCACAAGCGTCTTGGTAAAGAGGGTGGGATGGACAATGTAGAGCTTCTTGAGATTCTTTCGGTAGTTGCGACCAAGGCCCCGCCATGCGCGCCAGCACCATGCCCACCCGGGCCACGCCGTTTTGGCATTGGCCGAGCCAGAGTCGATGCCATCGGAGCCAGAGGCAAAGAGGATGACCGTGTAGCCGCCGGGCGTCTCGACGAGCGGGAGTGTCCGGCTCAGTATCCTCTCCAAGAGGACGTCATGGGATGTGACCGACGAAGGAGGAAGGGCTGGCGCCGTGAGTGTCACGACTGCTCTCTCTCTAAAAGCCAGAGCCACGGAAAAAGGGGAAAGTAGGAGTCAGGATTCAGCGCCCACGAAAGGGGATTGGTAAGGGTTAGGGAGGGCAGACTCACTCGCCATCAACACCAGCAAAGCCAACGATGCGGTCCACGTAATCGTCGACGCTCCTCGCCTTTTGCCGCTGCTTCTCCATCCATCCCTCGCCCTGCTCCTGGCCGTCAAAGAGGCTGCTGGCTACGCCTCGAGAGAGCGTCGATCTAAGCCTCGTAGTTCCCCACTCCCACCAGCCACCCGGTGCCATCACTGTGGTGTCTGGAGCGACACTGGTTGCTTCCGTGGGAGCGTTGCCGGCATTGCGCACAGTGTCGTAGGGTCGTGCTGCTGAGTGCTTTGCCTTGACCCGTGTCAGCGTCCTGAAAGCCTCGCCCATCTCGCGTGACACCTCGTCTTCGTCTTCCTTTTGCTCTTGGTCGATGTCATTCTCGATGATGGAATCGATCGAAGACGTCGAGGGCATGCGTCGCGTCGTCGAGGTGCTGCTGTCGCGCTCAAACGGGATCGACTTGCGCTGCCGGCTGGATCGCCGCGACGTGTCCCGCATCCTCGAGGGACTGTCGACGAGCTGGTCATGCCGCGGCTCGGGGCTCGAAGTGAATTCGTCGCTACTGCCAGGACCATCCTCCAGCGTTGTCTTGCTCGAAGAGGTGACCGACGGCGTTCTTGGAGCATCCAGCTTGGCCGGTGCTTGCGCTTCTTCCTGCTTTGCACGCACGGGCGTTGGCTCAGGCCCGGGCGCCCGTCGCCTCGTCAAGAAGAAGCTCGACCATCCTCCTGCCCCTTGCGTCTGCCTGCTCATTCCCGCTAAACAACAATCGATCTTTCTGCTTGATTCCGCCCGCGCGCGAGCTGTGCGTCGAGCCTTGTCGCGGTGCCGATGTCGCTTTGGTCGGCCTCTAATCTAAAAAAGACAGGGGGAGCCTTGTTTCCCTGCCCTGTCAAAATAACACAAACGAGACGCGAGGCCAAACGCGCGGGCCGCCACAAACAAAAACGGGACCGACCCTTTATTTGCTTTAGGCTAGCTCTCTAGCTCTGCTTTGGAGAAATGTATGTGTCCCACGTGAGCTGATTCTGGATTGCGACTTTGGTTCTCAACCTCCATCCACCACACACGAACAGACATTCGCCTGGAGGAGCAATGGCGATCGCCAGTGGGAGTGGCAGTCGCGACGTCAGCTTCTTTGTGCCACCAGACGCCTTGGATGAGGGTGACAGTGGCAATGGGCTCCGAGGCGGTGGTGTCTCTGACGACGAGGCCCGGGATGCCATGCTGAGGCTCGTCGCGACCGTCGTGAAGCGTCAGGGCATCGAGGCAGTCGATGAAGACGTCATGCGTTTCCTCCTGGATGAGCTCCACAGCGGTGAGTAGAGCCGTCTTTAACTCTTCCGCGCTACTGGAAGATCTCAGTCTAAACTGACTCTCTTCATCAGTCCTCGTCTCGCTTGCAACGCATGCACAGTCGATGGCTTCGGCCTCGCGAAGGCGGACCGCTTCGGCCAGGGACGTCTTTGCTGCGCTTCTGTACGCAGGCAGGAGGCTTCATCCAACCGAGCTCGACAGATACGAGAAGAAATCCAGCGAGGCACGCACCCAAGAGTCGCGCCAAGCCTGGTCCCGCAATGCCGCCAAAGAGCTCAAGGGAAAGGGAAAAGGGCCGGCGTGGAAGGAGCCCACTCAACACTGGTTGCCCAGCGATGAAGAGGAAGACGTAGAGGATCAGAACCCAAACAAGGAAAAGGAGGGGAAGCGCTCGAAAGATGTTAAGGGAGAAATGACGAAAATGAAGCGACGACGAAAGGTCTTCTACAGGCCCGATATTGTCCCTGGGCACTTTCCAGCACTGCCGCCCAAACATACATGGCTTCAGACGCCTGCATATGCAAAGCCCGCTTCATCTACAAGGAATCCCCTTGAATTTTTGGAGCTCAAGCAGGCGTCGACAATGCAGACCGAAACGTCCCTAAGAGGGCTCATCACTTCGACAGAGGCCGCCCGTTCCCTAGCTTCAAAGTCCTTTTCCTCTTCCTCGAAAGCTGCTGCACCGGACCGGTCATCCGCGGCACCCGAAGGGCAGGCCCACAGCACATCCACCGAAGTCGCTTTTCGCGACGTCTTCGACCAGGGAAAGGCCCCGGTACACGCAGCCGAGCCTGTGTTCCAGGTGCAGTCGCAGTCTCAAAAGACCATCAGCCCTCGTTCAGGCACGCCCGTCCGAGGCTCTGGTACCGACGGAGCTATGTCGACGGTAAGCTCGCCAGAGCAGGTCCAGCAGCTTCCGGAGCGGACGGTCGAGACCACTCCAACACAAGAAGAGCGAAAAGCAAAGATCCGCATGGGACGAAATCTCTCGCTGAAGCTCCGGACCTCGTCCTCGGACGCAGCAGCCCCTTCGACTCCAGGCCCACCGGGCCCATCAACGCCGATACGAGCGTCGCTGAGCCGTGCGCGACCGAATCTGATGCTCAAGAGCGCCCACAGCCACCTCTCCCACGGTCACGGCCATTCGCTTTCCTTTTCTGGCTCATCTCCGATGGCTGCTTCTCCACAGTCCACACCTCCGCCATTTGCTTTAAATCTCCAAGCGCGAAGGAATACGCTTGCATCAGCCAATTGGCCGCAGTGGCCCAGTTCAGCAACAGGAGTTGCCGCCTCTGGTCCGTCGACACCTGCTCCGTCTGGCTCTTCCTCCTTCACCTGGGGCTTCCCCCCTCCTCCTCCCTCGGCGATGACGCCCGCCGCACAGGGCGGCCCCGGATCGTGGGACGACTTTGGCAGGGGTGGCGGCCTCATGACGCCCCTGACGCCCGGTGCCGGCTTCGTCTATCCTCCAACGCCATCGGACGTGCACAGCAATGCGCCCTTCGGACAGCAGCTTCAGCTTCAGCAGCAGCAGCAACGGAGACGCTACGGCAGCGTCATTGTACCTACGGCTGGCTCAGAAGCGGGGACAGAAGGTGCAGGAGGAGACGGCGCCGGTGCAGAGTTTGAAATTCCTCTACCGGGGGTTGTCAACTACCAGCGATCCCACCCTCGACTGCGGGCGGCATGATGGCATCGCCACATCGCCGTCTGATGACTCGGTCTTCATTCTCTCTCTGGCCTGTACTTTGATCTCAAGTTTGATTACATCAGTTGGTGCAGAAGCTGTTCAACCATCCTCAAAACGAAAGACTGGGTATCGTCGTGTAATTCTTTCTTTCTCGCTCTCACTTGCTCTTGGTACGTGAGGCAGTCGAGACTGACGGCGAAACCACTAGCTTTCCTAGGAACTTATTCGCCCACTTCCGCTTTGATGCCCCTACACCAAAGATCGACACACGTGAAGAGCAAGCAGTGACAAAGAGACTGAATGAATGGATGAGAGATGAGAGAATGTTTATATGAGAGCCATGGAGATGAAAGGTAACGTGACGAAAGCCATCAAGACGTAGTGAAAAGAAGAGAGAGAGAAAGAAAAGAGTGGTGACAAGGGCAAAATGGCGACTACTACCATCCCTCCCCAACCCTACTTCAACCCTTTGACCCAACCGAGAAGATCCACCTTTGCTGCCTCTGCCTCTTTGACGTAGCTGTGCTCCGTGAGCTCCTTGGGACTGGGCCGCTTGGCAACGTCTTTGCACAGGCAGAGATCAATAAACTGGACCATGTCCGTCGAGAAGCGTCTCCCGTTTGGCGCGACCGGCGGCAGCTTCGGCGCAGGCTCGTTGACAATGTGCTGAAGTAGGTCGAGAATCGACATTTGGGCACCCGAGCCCTCGAGCGAGACGCCCGCCGGTTCCTTCTTTGTCTTTCTTGCGCGTGCCCCAGCCGCTCGCGCTGCCGCTTGAGCATCTGGCTTCGTGGGGCTCAAGGTCCCACGCAGCTCTTCGGGTATGTCGTCATCATCATCGCCCTCGTCGTCATTACCGTCATCGTCGCTGAAGGGGAATCTGCCCAGAGCCAGCTCAATGACAGAGATACCCAGGGACCAGACGTCTGACTTGACACTGTATTGGTCCCCTTGAATTCGCTCCGGCTGCAAGGACAGAAGTTCTTGAATGAGTAAGAGCAACGAAGAAGACGAAGCGAGGGCAGCAGACGGCTCACGCTCATGTATGTCGAGGTGCCGACAAAGGTATCAGCTATTGAGTTGATGAGCTCGCCACTGACGCCAAAGTCGCAGATCTTGATCTGACCCTGCCTATTGACGAGAATATTGCTTGGCTTGACGTCTGTGCGCAGAACATCGGGTGTGAGCAAGGTCAAGAGGGAAGCAAAGATGACGAGATAAGTAGAGCCTCACCTCGATGAATAATTCGATGGACGTCGTAGAGGTAGGTGAGGCCATGGACGACTGTGACGACAATCTTCCCGCATACATCTGATCTGACTGGGCCATTCTTCCGGTAGATGCCGTCGAGGGAGCTGCATGCGCGCGGGCAAGAGGACATGGTGAGCGCCTGCAAAAAAAAAGCCGAAGAGGGGGAAAGGCCAAAGAATGAGTACTCACCCGGAGTCCATATACTCCATGCACATGCAGATGTGCGGCTCGGCGAGGTAGGCGCCGTAGAAGCTGACAATATGGGGACTATTGCACTCGTGGAGGATCTGCAGCTCGCGCAAAATCTGCTTTCGCACCGTCGGCTTGGCATCGATGAAGACGACCTTCTTGGCCATGACGGTGTTGGACTTTTCATGGAGCACCTTGGTTACCGTGCCCCCATTCCCACTACCGAGCTCCGAGAGAAAAGAGAGGTCCTCGTTTTTCAGATCCAGCTTGTACTCTACGCCCAGCTCGAGATTGGCCAACTGCTCGCTCAGCTTGTTGTGGTAGTTTGCCCCGCTGCTGGGATCCGTCGAAGGTAATGTCGAGGCATTTGCCATGAGAGAGCCGCCCGAGCTGAGGCCTGTTGGCGGCCCATTCTGGGGCAGGCCACCGGTCCCCGTCGAGGCCGAGTCGCCCCTGGTGGTCGAAGCGGTGGCCGTGGCCGAGGAGCCTTTGGCCAGGTTGCTACTCGTCGCTGCGGACAGTAATGATGATCCTGTCCGGTTCGCCGAGGCCGAGGAGCCCCCTGGCGTCGAGAGGGGCGTCTCGACAAGGTGCAAGTTCTTGAAGTTCCGCTTCTTGCGAATCGAAGAGGTGGACGACGACGTCGCCATGATTCCTTATCGATCTTCTATGTGTCCTCCTCTTGCGACTTCCTCTTCCGTTTTTGTGTGCTCTTGAGCTCGTGATTGATCGATGGAATGAAGGGTGGAGAGGTAACGAAGGCGGGACGCTTGGATAGAGTGCGATGACGAGGGCACAGACTAAGGTGAGCCAGGTCGAGAGAACAGGTCCGTGCTGCCGACACTAGTGTTGGGACTTTCGTGACTATGGCAAGACCTGACGAGCAGTGGCGAATACTTTCTTATTCGCACAGGGAGGCGTCAGCGAAAGGGAGTCGTCGAGTGTGGAGACGAGATAGAGAGAGGGGCCGAGAGGACCGAGGGAGCGAGAGGGTGAAGAGCGAGCGAGGAGGGGTGCACGCAGTCCAGGAAGTCGGCCTAACTTTGATTCCAAAATACGCGCGCTGGATAACCGGCCGAATCAAGCAGGGGCCAGCCTCCTCCTATCCAAAGAAGCACACGACAATTAGACTAAGATGATTGATTTATGATGGTCTCGACTATGATTTCAATGCACGTCGATAACATGACAGGACTATTTGCTTGTTTGCATTGACCAGCACATTGGCAAGACAGTACAACGAGCAGCACGGCTGCAGCACATTAGAAGAGAATTACAGCTTGTGACGAGCACCGCCCGATATCCTAAGGAACTGCTTCTCGACCCGGTCGGAATCAAAGACGGCCTCTGCACCTCGCTGGTGGTGTGATGCTCGTCAGTCAGACGTGCGAGATGAGCAAGGGATTGACGACAGCTTGCACGACTTACCGCTTCGGCCTCGCTCGCTTCGACGAAGCTGCTGGGCTTGTAGTTGGCGTCTCTGATCAGGCGCTTTGTGTAGAGGAGCGCAAAGGGGTCCAGCGTTGGCGGCAGGTGCCTGTCCCTGATGTGGTCCAGGACCAAGTCGAGGATCGGCGGCGTGTAGTGCTTGTCCGCGCCAGCAGGTTTGGGAGGTGCCTCGAAGATTTTGCTGCAGAGGGGAATGAATGAATGAATGAACCCGCCTTGTCAGCATTTGTTGTTCATGCCGGTCCACGAGAGAGCTAGCGAGACGACAAGAGAGTGCTCACCTGACAAAGCCAGCCTCGAGGAGCTCCTTTGCAGGCATCTTTCGCCCCTCCAGCAGCGCCTGTTGGGCCCTGCCCATTCCCATCTGCCGAGCAAAAGGGGTTACTTGCAAGTCAGCATCAAGGCAATCGTCTCAGGAGTGTAAAAGTCAAGGAAGGCCTCTATGTCTCACCTTTCTCGAGAACGACAGGGTCGAGCCACCCTCTGCAACGAGGGCGAGCGAGCTAAAGGGCGTTGCGAGCCAGAAGTCGTCGTGGGTGTAGATGAGGTCGCAGTAGCTGACCATGACTGCGCTGATGCCGACGACGGGGCCGTTGAGGGCGCCGACGACGAGCTTGTCGAGGCCGACGAGGGTGCGGCAGAGCATGCTCTGCGTCGTCGCAATCAGCTGGAGGTTGTACTTGCGCCGCTCGAGGACGTGCCGCGGGTCCTCGCGGTCGAGCTCGTCGAGGATGGGCGGCCGCGCGGCGCTCCGGGCCGACTGGTTGAAGTTGGCGCCGGCAGAAAAGAAGCGGCCGCGGCCCGTGAGCACGACGACGAGGATCTCGGGCTGCTCGCCGATCCACTGGAGCGTCGCAATGAGGAGCATGATCTCGTCGCGCGTCAGCGCATTGAGCACAGCGGCATTGTCGAGCGTCACGACGGCGACAAAGCCGTGCGTCTGCTTGGCCTCGTCGTCGGGCGACGCGTGGGCAGGAAACGAGAGCTGGACGGACTTGCTGTCCACCGTCGTGGGCGGCACGCGCGTCGGTCGAAAGAAGAGCGAGTCCCAAGAGGCCATTGTCGTGGTCGTCGTTGTTGTTCGAGGAAGCTAGAAGGTGGCTGCTCTGTGTGCCCCGCAAAATCGACTCCGGCTACCCAAAGTAGCCGACTGGACCGTCTTAGTCTTTCTTCCATTTTAGAGCTCGGTGAGCCAAGCGCAAGCCACCCCCACCACTCACCCCACTTAGCCTCATTTTGTCCACTCACTCCTTTATCCTCTTGTGACTTCAAAAGAGCGTAACCATTACTGCAAATGGCACTACTGAGCTAGTAAATGTTCTGTTGATTGATTTTGAGACAGACGATAGAAGGCGAAAAGAGAGACAGGGAAAGAGAATGATTACGGCTGGTAATATAGACACTTAGAGATGATGAAGAACAGGCGAAAAGGAGCGTCTGTGAGTGTTGGTGAGAATGACCAAGTGAAAGTAGAGACATTAGTAGAACGAGAAAAGTGCCTATCCCGGCACACGAATGGCGAGACCGCAACAGAAGAGGAAAAGCACATTTGTCGAGAGGGAAGAAGCGAGGGAGCGAGGAGGGGTTGGGGGAATACAAGAGTCATAGTTCAGGCGTCCGTCGGGGTTGGGTCTCATTCGCCCTCAATTGTTGGCTTTCTTCGATCGCCCACATAGCGGAGATCGTGGCCTTCTGCAGCGAGCTCGTCGCGAAGCAGTGCGCCCGTCGCAATCGAGTCGCGCGCTGACAGTCCTTCGCCAGGACTGCTCTGGTTGCCACCGCTACCGCTCGAGTCGTTGCCCGGGCTGGTACCTTCGTCCTGTTGGGCCGAAGTGCCGCTGCCTCCTCCAAAGAACTGCGGTCGGCGGAGCGCCGCACGGAAGGCCTCGGCCATGCGGCTGGCCTCGTTTGAGCTGAACGGCGTGTCCGCCTCCCTGCCCCGAGAGGCAGCCGCGCCGGCGGCAGCACCTGCTCCAGCAACGCCCACCTCGCGCATCATGTCGTCATCGCCTTCGTCTGAACCACCGCCTGCGACACCGGCCATCATGGGCGTGTCGCTACCGGCGTGGCTGCCTTGACCGCCGCGCTCCCGCCTCCGCCTGGCGGCTGCCATGAGGAAGTAAGCGCCGACGAGAGCAGCGACGAGGGCCAGGAAGCCAAAGACGACGATGAGGGCGATTGCATAGGCCGGAAGGCCGCCTTCCTCGCCATTCGAGCCGGCCGGCAGTTGGCCATTGGCCTGTCCCGTCGCTGTGGCAGTGATGACGCGACCATCGTCGAGTGTCGTCGTGGCAGTGCCCTGGAGCGTCTGCGTGCCAGAGAGACCCTGGCTCTGGAGCGACGAGACGAGGGCCGAGGAGAGGCTGGCAGCAAAGCTCGACGATGCCGCCGCTTCACTGGCCGATAGTGACGAGAGATCGCTGCCAGTCATTGTAGCACTCGCGGCGCTGGCGGCTGACGCGCTCGCTGCCGCCGAAGACAGGCTGGCGGCCACCGAGGCCGAGGAGCGCGACTCGGCCACGGCGACTGGGAGCGCAGTCTGGACGGCAAACCACGTCGAGAGACGGTGAGTGGTGCCGCTGAGGCCTGCACCAGCGTAGGTGATGACAAAGTAAAAGGGCCATGCAATGTCTGTGCCGTTGAAATTGTCAGCTGGCTCCCGGCCCTGCCACCACGAGTCGCCGGGATTGAACGAGAGACGGCCTTGACCGTTGTCGATCGAGGTCCAGGACGTGGCTACCTGGTCACTGTCCTGATGGAAGAGGTAGACGTCGACATAGCCTCCGTTATTGGTAAATTCGGGATAGTTGCTGTTCCAGATGAGCTGCAGACGACGGAATAGCAAGTTGAGCAAGGGCCTTTTAAAGACGAGCAAGTCGAGCAAAGAGAAAGGCTCACCTTTGACCAGGTTCCTTGGTCGACGCGCGTGTTGGCTGTTGGATAGCAGCTCAACTTTTCGTTGCCAACAAAGCATTGCTGCTCTGCCTCCGTCTGTCGCTTGGTCAGAAGGCGGTGCTCTTGCACCTCATGCTCGGCCGCCCGCGCACGATACCAGTCCCTCTCCAGAAGCAGGTTCCGAGCAGCAGCGTCCTCTTCCTGCATGTATCGCTTGGCATTGCCCACCGCCTCGCCGTCCTGCAACGCTCGCCTATCGATGCCGACCTGCCTCCTCATGCGCTCGACATCCTCCTGGGACCGGGCGTAAAAGGGACCCAGGACAATGTCCTCGCCCTGCGCCCGCTTGCCCTTGTCGTCTTCTAGCCCCCGCTTGTCGAGCATGCTCCTCTGCTGCCGTTCGACGATGTGCTCCTCACGCACACGAAGCCGCACAGGATCTTCTGCGCTCCTTCGCATAGGCGCCGCTGTTGCTCGGGGCATCAACGGCGCTGCCCGATTGGGCGCAGGCTGCGCCACGTCCCTCTTTACTTCTTGCTGCTGCCCCGGCTCCTGTTGTTGGCGCCTTTGCGGCGCGCCCTCTTTGTCTGACAACACCCCCCTCATGTCCCGTTTCTCCAACTCCTGCTCCTGCTCCTGCTCCAGATGCCGTCGCAAGGCCGCCTGGCCGCCCTGCCAGCTCGACTCGGCGCGTTGCTCGACGACCTCTAGGCCAATGGCCTCGTCAAACGGTCTTCGACGGACGTGTCGCAGCATCCTCTGCGCCTCGTCGTTCTCCGACCGCTCCTGCTGCAAGACTGCGGGTGCTCTCGGAGGAACCATGATGCCTGTCGGTTCCTCTTGTGTTGTCTCTTTGAATTGGCGCCTGAGGCGAAATATAAAGAGAGCCAGAGAAAGGGGAGGAGTGTGCCAGAGAGGAGAGCAGCGAGTGAAGGAGAGCCAGGGCGAGAAAAGCCAGCAATTTACGCCGCCCGTCCGCCCGCCGCCGCTGCCGCCGTCGCCGCCTCCGCTGCTATTGCTGCGTCTGCTACTATTGCTGCGTCTGCTGCTGCTTTCCCTCTCTATGCGCAGATCTCCGTCCCTGCCTCGCCTTCCTTTCGGCGAAAAGGGTCTGAACGAGAGAGTGCTCCGCACGTGCGAGAATCAAAGTAAGAGGGCGGTGAATGCGGGCCGACAGGGGTGGGTCCCTTGAACCGTCTGTTTGTGGTGGGGAAAAGAGAAGAGATTTATGGAACAATGATGAGCTTATCGCCTGTGTCGTCGTCCGGGCCAAGTGGCGAGAAAAGCGAAGCGAAGCGTGTGTGACTGGAGGGCTGTAATGTGTTCCTTGGAAGAGAGGGGCGATTCCACTTCTGCCGACGACGTGTGTGTATGTGAGAGTAGAGAAAATCAAAAAAGTCGAGCCCTTCGTTCGTCCGCTCAGCGCACGTTTGCGAGGTCGAGAGAGAATGAAGAGGGAGGAGGACAGATATTGAATCGAATGATGGAAGGACCGCGTTGACGGGAGAGAGGAGGGGCCCGGCACAAGGGCACGAAGAGAAGTGAGTAAGTCCAGACTCGAATTCAAGTTAGAGAAGAGAGCATGTGGCAGGGTCAGACTAGTGATACAAGAAAGCGTCGCGCCCGGATGCAAAACCAACACATATAGCTGGTCACGCCGGCTACTTACTACTACTACTGCTGCCGCCTGCTACACTACAATAATTGGACCCCTTCCCGTGCCTGTATTGACTAGCTCCATCGAACCACGCGTTTGTGATGCATCGACGTTTGGCTTTTTAAATTGCCCTCTCTATTTCTCGTCCATCGATTTGCCCGGTCTACCCATCGAGAGTTTGCACGGAAGTCATAAATTGTTCTTTGGTTGGTTGGCCTTCCCCCTCTCCTCTATCACTTTTTTTTCCTCCGAGAGTCCCGCTTCGACTCGTCATTGCGTTGTGAGACCGCGCACATCTGCTCCTGAGTCTCTTCTCTCGTTCTGTCCCTCTGTGGCGTTTTTGTCCGAAGCAACTCCATTTTCTTTTCGTGCAGGGCCGGGAGTGTTCGCCCATCTTTTTGAAGTGCGCTCGATAGGGCTTGATGAGCGGAACTCCGAAGACGACACCCTTTTTTTGTGTATCACATTTACAGTCGTCGGAGTCGTCGGGTGCAGGTGGTTTGGGGAGGGGGGTTTGAGCCAATCGATGTGTTTGACACAAGAATCCACGAGACAGCCCTGGTCGGTGCCTCAAGCCAGGCTTCGTTCGGCCTTGTGCATGCTTCGATGAGAGAAGGCCCACGGGATTTTTTTTTTCTTCTGCCCAGCTATTTTTAGGTCAATGGCCGATGTTGACGAGGGGTGGCCGGTAGTGCGGCGAAAGAAGAGACCGTGGCTGGACGAGAATAGAGTCGGCAGGGGAATGACGCAGCGCCGAGCCATGCGCTGTGGCGCAACCAAAAAAAATTGTTTCCGGGGGCCAGGGAAGCGTCATCGCAGACTTTGTCCACATCACACTTATGAAGCGGGCAGAATGGACGTGCTTCACTCTGACGTTCATGGTAAAATTAGATTGATTGGCTTGCTTGCATCTAAGGCGGGCAAAGATTCCCCTCTACCAGATGAATGGAATGAGCCTCCATCGATGGCTGAGGAATTCGTCGTACTGCTCGCCAAACTCGCCCCGCATGAGCTCCTCCTCGTCGCGGACTCGGTTGAAGAGGTAGTAGGGCGTCGCGGCGAGGCGAGCAACGGAGACGAGCGTGATGGCGATGCTGACAAAGGCGCGCATGTTGATGTTGAACCGGTTGCTGGACTTGGACTCGGGAATGAGGAGCAAGAGCGGGTTCAGGGGCCCTTCAAAGACGGGTGACGATGCGATACCAAGCAGCAGCATTCCTCTATGACGACCTCATCAGTACTGAATATTCGACAGGGACCTGTAAAGCATTTTCAATGTGCTCACGTATAGCTTGGGTGTGCCAGGAATTTGTAAGGGCCCGTCGTGATGAGCTGCCGACACCCGAGGTCAGTATATAGTGAGAGCCTGGGACACCAAGGAGAGATCCTACCCGATGGTCATCTCGGATGGCGAGCTTAAACGTAAAGAACTTGCCCAGCGTCCTGAAGCACCACCAGCGCAGCGCACCACCGGCCACTGCCAGGGCATTGCACACCGTCACTGCACGGAGGTACCTTTCCGGGAGCGGGTCTTTCAGTGTGGACAGAAAGTAGGCCTGGCCGAGGCCGACAGCCAGGATGGACCAGGGTCGGATGTGCATGGTGAAGATACCGTTGATACGGGGCTGGTTCCGGCCAATTGTGTCCTGTTGTTGACAATGTCAGTATTGTGATGGAATGAGACAGGACAAGAGAGCGAAAGTGCAAAGACACACTTGCTTGGCGCGCGCGCGCTCCTCGTCCGTCGCGTAATTCGGAGGAAGGTAGCTGACGACAGTTGCCACACCCGTGGCGGCGCAAAGGCCTGCTTGCAGAGGGTACCCGTACGGCATCGTGATGACCGACGTTTAGCTGTAACCGAGGAGCGAAGCAGCTCTTGTTGGGTGATCTACAACAGAACACACTCTGGCGGAACTAGCGTCGATCTAAATTGTCGTGAAGATGATCCGTGCACGGGGCGCTCGACTTCTGGCGTGAAAAGAAGCTCCTCATTCGAAGGATGCGATTCTGTCGATGGGCATAGGCAAGATCCCAGCATCTTCTTCCGCAGCAGCCTTGACGGCCACCAATGAGATGTAAGTCTGACGCCCAGCAAGAATGCTATACTTTACGGATTGAGGCTTCAAGGTGTGGGAGCAGAACCTTCGTAATTTACCGCGTTTGATCCCTCATCATGCCACTCGACTCCGAGCGGGTGCTCCCTTCGGAAGACTCGAACTGCTTTGGTTTCAGCCCCGAGCTGCACCAGTAGTACTCTACACTACCTAGCATATTGTCGCACGGTACTCTACATGTGTCGTTGCACGTAGGGTCGGCCTGCGGACGGGCTTTGCATCCGTCAGGGTCCATACAAGCCAAAAGGGTGACGTCGATTGCTCCACTTGAGCCCTTCAGGTTTTCTCGTCCCTTGATATTGCGCATGGCCATTGTTCAGTTCACTGAGGAAGTCACCACTTTTTGACCGGACAACCATCATTCAAGCAAGACTCAAGGTTCTACGATGACGTTCTCCACAGCCCTGGTTCGCTCAATTGCTCTCACTGCTCGCCCAGCCCCCCACGCCCACGCAGCCCGGGCAGCGACCGTGGCAGCACCACGATGGACCCGCAGCCTGGCGACGCGAGCCGACAATGATCCCACCCCCGGCAAGGCGAGGTCGGGCGGCAGCGAGCAGACGATGCCAGATTCGGGTGCCTCTGTGAGTCTCTCTTGTGTAGCACGGCGCTTGCTGTCCAAATCAGAAGGCTTATTAAGCTCTGTTGCGACGTCAAACAGGAAGACGAAATCGCAAATAGCGATGGCGCATACGACTCGGGCAAGCCACGACCGGAGGACAGCGCCAACAAGATTGAGCATGAGGTGGGTATTCCTTCTGATCATTGTTGTTGGTGCTGGACATGAGCGCCTCAGCTGACTCGACTGCTTGGCTCACGCTTTTTTGCAGAAATCCGTCGATATGGGCTCATCAGCCGCGAGTCGAGAGCCATCAAAGAATGCGACAGAGGGCAAGCACAACGAGAAGACATCGAGCGAGACGGGAAGCAACCCCCCCTCGAGCGGTGGAACCGCGTCCAGCCGGAAGGGATGAAGGCAATGACTTGCCAGTTGTAACAGTCACCATCCCTGTACAGCTCCTTTTCCTCTACTCCGTCGCATCAATAACGAGAAGCCGTGAAGCCAGCAGCCACTGTAAGCCCATTAAGACCTGTCATACAAGAGTGCGCCTGAGAAAATGCTGCTTTATCTCCGTGGCCTTGCTTGTCCACGCCGTGGGTCGTGAGAAGCAGAGTTGAACACTTGTTTCACACGCGAGAAAAATTAGGAAAATAGGACGAGGGACGATCCCCCGCAAGTGGCCTCCCGCATCTGTAAGCGGTGTTGGATTCCGCTTTAAAATAACTGAATTACGATGCCTCGCCGAAGACTTGACCAGTGCCTGGGAAGGTTCAAAAAATAATGCACGGTAGATAATGAAGGGCTGGCTAGCTACCGTGCCCCGCCCAAGCAAGCGGTAGGTAGGCTACGTGCTGCTGTATCGACCCGCAGGCCCGAGTTGCGGACGGGTCTTTTTTTCGCTCGGCTGCTTCTTTTCGTGCACCACGCCCACTCCTTCGAGGCCCTAACCCACCCTCATTTGTTGAATAAGCCCCAAGCATCCAAACAACGAGCCCGACCTGCCCGTGAGAGTTGCCCCTTCCCCCACGACGCCTTGGCCAACACACAATGTCTTCGCAAAAGCTGGCGAGCCGCAAGAGCATCATTAGCTCCATGGGCTTTGACTCTGGCCCGCCGCCGCCGTCGCGGTCGCAGTCCGGCACGCCGCTCTCGTGGAGCCAGCAGGAGCTGCAGCGACGCGAAACCCTGAACGCCAGCTCGCCGCCCTCGCGCCCTTCGTCGCGGCAGCAGACTGTCGCCTCGCCCACGCGCTCCCAGCGCAAGCTCTCGCCCGCCGCCGAGGAGGAGTCTTTCCCGGTGGATGGCGACGGAAAAGGAAACGATGAGGACAAGGACCGTAGCGGCAGCGGCAGCGGGGCCCTGCTGCCGCCCATTGCCAATGGCGCGTCGCTCGCAGGCCTCTTTTCGTCTGGCACCTCCAGCTCGTCGAGGAATAACAACGAGGGTGCAGAGGCAGTAAAGTCGGAGGAAGATGTGCCTGCGCCTGCCCCTGCCCCTGCGCTTGCGGTCGAGACGACCCGGCCTCGATCGGGGACGCGGACAAGCAAGATGTCGACAAAGAGCCGGGCCAACTCGACTGCCGTCGCCACGCCCTCGGCCGAGGTCAATGGAGCGGGCAAACCACCGAGCCTGTCATCGGCCAAGGCCAAGTCGATGCGGAACCGGATCAAGGAGGAGCGCGAACGCGAGGCCGAGCACGACCGCGCCATCTTTGAGGCTGCCGCGCTGCGCCAACGGCGCGCCAACGAGGCGGCGGCGCGAAACGCCAAGGAAGAGGAGGCCAGGCGGCTGCAAAAGGAGGAGGACAAGAAGAACAAGAAGAACAAGAAGGGCAAGAAGGACAAGGAAGCGAGCAAAAAGGCCAAGAAGGAGGAAGAGGCTGCCATTGCCGCCGCTGCTGGCATTGCGGAGAAGGAGCGCAAGGATGCAGAGGCGGACAAGCAGCAGCAGCCAGAGCGATCAAAGTCGATGCTGGCCAAGATGATTGGCCGCAAAAAGTCAAAGGAGCGATTTGTGCCGCCGACGGAGCGAAGGCGCAAATTCGTCAAACAAGACGTAGACCCCGAGGCCGACAAGAGCATCGCCACACCGCCCATCACCAAGGCCGACGACGTGGATCACGACAACGAAGAGAGCCTCGAAGCAAATCGGCAAAAGGCACTGCAGTCGCACTCTGGTGGTGCTGCGCCGGCAGCTGCTGCTGGTGCTGCTGGCGCCGCCGGCATTGCAGCCGTTGCAGCTGCCCCTACATCTGCGGAGCTTGTCAAGCAGGAGGCGAGGGCAAAGAGTCTGCAGAAGGAGTCACAGCCCAGTGAGGCGGACGACGATGACGTCGACTCGAGTGGAGACGAGGTGCTGGAAGACGCACCCGAGGCCCCCTTGGAGACGCCAGACGTCATCGACGACATGTCTGTGCCCGTCATTGTCGCTGGCAACACGGCGCTGCTCAACGGCGGCAAGCAAAAGGAGGCCAAGGCCGAGGCCGCGCCAGCAAAGGACACCGCCGCTGCTCCCTCATACGACACCGTCCAGGCCGAGAAGCAGCGAGAAGGCAAGACGTCTGCCAAGGGTGCCGTCGCGGATGAGAAAGTGCAGGACAAGAAGGAGAATGGCCATGCTGGCGCAGCTGCGGCAGTCGCCGCTGCAGGTGGCGCGGCTGGAGCTGCTGCCGTGGCCGAGTCCAAGGACCCGAAGGTGCCTGACGTCGATGAAGATGACGACGAGGAGGGTGCGGACGACGTTGCCGACGGCGACGAAGACGAAGACGAAGACGAAGACGATGAAGAGGGCGCGGGAGGACATGTCGCCAATGGGCAGGGCGATGCCAGTGGCCTCATCGCCGAGGAGTACTCCAAGGATACCAAGCGGAGTGATGCAGGACGCAAGGCGAGGAGGGAGCCCTCGAAGCGCGCCGAGACGGTGGCACCCCTGACGCCGGTCCAGCGCCACTACCTCCTCAAGGCCCTCGTCTCGCTGCAGATGCAGATGGAGTGGAGCGAGCTCGAGAAGCTCGGTGGCCTCACCCAGTACGGCTACCCCTTCCTGCGCGAGCGCCCCAAGCTGAAGCGCGTCAAGGCCGACATTGACGACGACTTTTCCAAGGGCGACTTTGCCGACAGCGCAGATGATCCTTATGCCGACGAGGATGCAGCCAAGCGCGGCGAAAACCTGCAGGAGCCCCTGATCCTCCGGCACATGTTCCACGTCCACCTCCATCCCTTCCCCGGCCTCGACAAGGCGCCTCTCAAGTACTGGACCAAGCGCATCCAGCCCTTCTTTGACGAGATGGCCGCTCGCAACTTTTCCTACTCCATGGAACGTGCCGAGACGACATCGAGGCACTTCTACACCCTCGCATTCACCCGCTACCTTGGCGGCTTCTTTGCCCGAGGAGTTGGTGTTCGTGGTCAGGGCGAGACTCGAGGGCCCGGAAGAGGCGATCCTGGCTCGGAGCGCTGGGGTCTCGGCAAGCAGTGGGGCAAGGGCACCGTCAAGCGAGGCCTCGACAAACCGGCGCGCATCGACGACGACCTCATGGCCAAGATCGACGACCTGTTTGACGGCAAGGAAGGCGAGGTCTGGCGGCGGGCGAAAAAGGAGACAAAGAGGGTCAAGTCTGACTGGTGTGCCCTCAAAGAGTACTCGATCGAGCAAGAGGCCGGTCTCGAAGAGGTCATCAGCCACCTCGACATTGGCAACATCAAGAACTTGCCTCCCAAGTACCGGAATGCAGAAGAGTACGCGCGCATGCACGCGGCGTACATCTTCCATACACTCTTTGTCACCAGCCCGAGCGCCGACGGCATCTTCAGTGTCCTCAAGGGCATCCATGCGCTGTTCCCTTACTGGGGTGCCAAGCAGCTCCTTCGCGTCGCAAATGCCCAGACGATGGTGCAGGGCATCCTTTCGCTCCTCCTCGCCCGCCCCGGCGGTGCCAAGTCTCTCGTCCAGCGCACCTTTACCTATGTCATTGGCAAGGAGGCTTCGGCCATCGCAAAGGAGTACCTCGCGCCCCTGCGCAAGGAGATCAACGACGACGAGCTCACCAAGAAGATTGCCGAGTACGTCAAGCGGGCGAACCGGCCCGAAGGCAGGGCAATCCGCGCCAGGGCAGTGAGGACTAACCAGGATGTCCTTGCGACGATCCTCCTCTACTCTGCCGGCACCAAGCTCAGCTCGAGCAAGAAAGACCACGTCCTGGACTTGCACGAGGCCTTTGCTGAGAGCCCCTACCGCGGCTCGCTCAACAAGGCGTACCCATCCAGTACGCCCGCGGGCAAGGAAAAGGGCGAGGTGCTGACGTGGGGCGCCGGCGCCGTCGAGGAGGCAAAGGCGCGCAAATTTGCCATGCTCAAGCTCTACCTCCGCGAGACGCTCAAGAAGCGCGATCGCGAGCAAGCCATCCAGGTCGCAAGCGGCAGTCTGATTCCCAGCATCATCAAGGACTCGCTTGACACTGTCTTTTACGGCCCTTTCAAGGAGATCGCCGAGGTGGCCGATCTGTCGGGTCGGCTGGGCGACCTGCAAGCCTTCATCGACGACCTGATCCAGGTCAAGAAGAGCGGCGACAACGAGCTGCCGGCTTGGATTGCCCTGGCGGCGCGCCACGAAAACTCCCTTTACTTCTTGTTCCACGAGTGCGCGCCCATCATGCAGCGCTTCACCGACTGGCTCCAGGTCGGCGCCGACTACATGAGCCTGTCCACCGTCGATCCTCAGCACCCGGCCAACCGAAAGGCAAAGAACGTCGAGGTCAACCTCGAAGAGATGCTGCAGGACGACCGGCTCACCGAGAAGGATGTCAAGACGATTCTTGCCGAGATTGATGGTCTAGCCTCGTATGTCAAGTGGCAGAAGGTCTGGTACGAGCTCGAGATGCGCAAGAACTTCCTGCTGGCCAGACCCGATGCGGCCCCCTCGAGCGGCCTGAGCGAAGACGACCTGCCGGGCGGCATGAAGCGGAAAATTCTCGACGTTGACGGCCTCCTTCGAGAGCTGATGGAGCAGGAAGGCGTCCCGGTCGAAGAGGGTGTCGTGCGAGATGAGACAAGGGGCACAGAAATGCAGAACTTCCCTTGGGCCTGGTTCGAGGCCGTTGACCCGCTCCACCAGCACATCGAAGGTGGCGAGCCGGAACAGCTGCGCTTCAGGCCGCACACTGCCACCACGACGCTTCCGTCGCTCTCTGTCACGCGAAAGGCTCTTGAGCCGTTCCAAGACTGCCTCATCAGCAAGCTTCCGGCCTGGAAGGACGGCACCGTCTCTGGTGTCCCAGCCTCGGCTCCCGTCGCAGATCGCGTCTCGACGGCACCACCACCGCCGCCCAGTGCAAAGAGCAACGCAAAGAGGAGGGGCGAGAGCAGGCCTGGGAGCGTCATGGCCGACAACAGGAGCACGAAATCTAGAAAGAGCATCATGAAGATGCCCTCCTTCTTTGGTCGTAAATGAAAGGAGGCTACATCCCATCCTCATCCGCTTCAAGTGCATCGTTATTCCCTCTCTTTTTCTGATCGTCGTTGCACACTTCTATTGTCCATCTTAAATCCCACTCTCCTTTTTTGAGATACGTAGATATCCTGTCTCCTCTCCTTGCTATCGTAGTGACATCTTCATCTCCCCTCCCTGGAGTGTTCCTGCTCCTCCCCGGTGGCGTCGCTGTGGACCGTGGTACTCCGCGCGTCGCGGTGACGGAAGAAGTGGAGCCACGACCCTAGTGACCGAATTTTTGGCGAAGGCAAGTTTTTTGTTTTCGCGTGTACACCAGGACCCCCTTCTTCTCAACGACGTAGCGCAAAGTAACCCTTCTCCTCTCACTCATTCATACCCCCTTTCTTTCTCCGTCCCTTCCACGAGATCAAGGCGCGTTCGACACAACTATGGCTTCGCAACCACAGACCGAGGCCGAGGCCAACATTCAGGTGAGGCGAGCGGCTCTTACGTTGCCGAGCAGGGTCGTGTGTCTCGTCTTGCTGACGCCGTATCCTTCTTTTCCCTTCTTGGTAGATCTGGAAGGTCAAGAAGCTCATCAAGAGCCTCGACAATGCTCGAGGTGCTGGTACCAGCATGATCTCGCTCATTCTGCCTCCCCGAGTGAGTTCAGGCTCAAATGCAGTCCGACAAGGCAATACGAGAAGAAGAGAATGCTGACCCGAGGTATGCCCCCACACACACACAGTCGCAAATCTCTCAGACGAGCAACATGCTCACACAGGAGTACGGCACGGCGTCAAACATTAAGTCGCGCGTCAATCGTCTCTCCGTCCTGGGTGCTATCACGTCGACGCAGCAGCGTCTCAAGCTCTACACAAGGGGTGGGTCGTATTTGCTTGTTGCTGTCGCCATGGCTGTCGGCCTGTTGTGCTCATTGTCACTCCCTTATCAGTGCCACCGAACGGGCTTGTGGTCTACTGCGGCACCATTCTGACCGACGAGGGCAAGGAGAAAAAGGTCAACTTTTCATTCGAGCCTTTCAAGCCGATCAACACCTCCCTCTACCTCTGCGACAACAAATTCCACACAGAGGCCCTCGCCGAGCTGCTCGAGAGCGATGCGAAGTTTGGCTTCATTGTCATGGACGGAAACGGGTCTCTCTTCGGAACGCTGAGCGGCAACACGAGGTCTGTGCTGCAGAAAATTTCGGTCGACTTGCCAAAGAAGCACGGTGAGTCATCTCTGAGGCTCGTATGTCCACCCTGAGTCACACCACTAATTGACAACCATTCTCTCACAGGCCGTGGTGGTCAGTCTGCCCTGCGTTTCTCGCGTCTGCGTGAAGAGGCGCGCCACAACTACGTCCGAAAGGTCGCCGAGCTGGCGACACAGCATTTCATCACCGATAACAAGTGCAACGTCGCTGGTCTGGTCCTGGCTGGTAGCGCCGACTTCAAGACGGAGCTGGGCCAGTCGGATCTGTTTGACCACCGCCTCGCCCCCAAGGTTATCCGAACTGTCGACGTCTCCTACGGCGGTGAGAATGGCTTCAACCAGGCGATTGAGCTGTCAGCCGAGTCGCTCCAGAACGTCAAATTCATCCAGGAGAAGCGTCTGATCCAAAAGTACTTTGACGAAATCAGCCTCGAGACGGGCAAGTACTGCTTTGGCTTGGACGACACATTCAAGGCGCTGGACCTCGGCGCTGTCGAGACGCTCATCGTGTGGGAGAATTTGGACATTACGAGGCACACGCTCCGAGACTCGGAAGGTCACGAGGTCATTGTGATGACGACCAAGGAGCAAGAGCAGGACAAGAGCCGGTTCATGGACAAGGCCACGGGAGTCGAAATGGAGCAGGCCGATGAACCGCAGTCGCTCCTCGAGTGGCTCGCCGAGCACTACCGCGACTTCGGAACGAACCTCGAGTTCGTTACGGATCGGTCGACCGAGGGCATGCAGTACGTCAAGGGCTTCGGTGGCTTTGGCGGTATCCTGCGCTACAAGGTTGCTTTTGAGGACATGGCCGTCTTTGAAGATGACGACGAGTTCATGAGCGACAGCGACGACGATTGACTCGTCGTCGAGTCTCGCCCTCCTCCCGCCGCCCGCGCTGGGGACAGCGCTGACGGCGGCACCATCGAGGGGTCGAGGCTGAGGGAATCACTGGCAAATGGCACGCCGTCCTCTTCATCGATCGTTCGCTCCATCAAAGGGCTCGCCGGAGCCTCGTCATCGTCGTCTTCACCGTCGATGACGCAGCCCAGTCAAGGAAGGGCGCCATGGAGCAAGAGCATCTTTGGCAGGCTGGCAACTTCATCTTAAGAAGAAAGCCAAATCGACAGCCTCCCCCTCTCTCACCCAGCATCGGGTGGACCTCACCCCGCTCTAATCACTGTCCCTACTTCTCCCTCCTTTTCCATAACAACAAGTGATCCTCTCTGCGGATTGTCTGACTGTCTGATGGCCGTGATGAAATCATATTGGCAGGAAAGCCCTGCGCATACAATGAGGTAGAGAAAAGAATGAGTTACAAGGAGGTTGGATGACCCCCATTTTGTGCGAAGTGACGTCAATTACTCAGTGTCGATGACGGTGGTCTGGAGGCCGTGGAAGTTGGTGATGCCGAGGACGGGGGTAGCGTAGACGTAGAGCTTCTCCTTGGCGTCCTCGTCGTCGTTACGCTTGCCTGTGGTCCAAATCGTCAGTAAAATGTGTTTTCTGCTCATTCCGCGTTTCTTTGGCAACTCACGCTCCAACCTGACCCGGAGCCTGTGAGGAAGGCCACGAACACCGAGCTTCCAAACCTCCTGGTTGAGCTTGGGGTCGATGCGGACGTCCTTGACGCCCATCGCCTTCTGCGCAAACTTCTCAACCTCCTTGATAGCCTTGGGCGCCCGCTTCTTGAACTGGACGTCGTGGACGCGCTTGTGCAGGTGGATCGTGTACTCGCGCTGTCGAAAGGACGGCACGGCGTGAGTGGGGAGAAGGACGACAAAATGTAGAGCTGTAAGGCAGGGCAAGACTCACAGTGACAACGTCGCTCAGAGCCGATCGCTTCTTGTTCTGTCCCTTTGGTGCCATCTTGACAAATTTCTGATTGGGGAGCATCTCCAGTCAGCTTGTGGTTCCTGACACAATATCCAAATCGAGAATCGAGGTAACAGTCCTGAGTCCACCTCATCTCCTCCATTCTACGGAATGTGCCCTCCTGCCCTGCTCCAGCCCCTCGCTATCTGGTACCGCCTTTGACTCTTATATCCTTCGAGCTCTTCTCTCCTCCCCCCTGACTTCCCATCCAACAGTGACGAAGACGAGCCAAGATGGGACATCACCGTCGTCCCGCCTCATCAAATCCGTCTCTCTTCCTCTTCTTGCGCCGTTCTCGCTACAGCACAATGGCTCGAGTCTTCCTTTCGCCCAAGGCCCCGTCGGACGCACCGCCCTCGCCCTCCTTCTCGATTCCTTCGTATGACCAACCATCCTCCTCGCCAGCACGCCTCGCAACATCTGAGATCCAGCATCCCCCTCCTTCGTCTGCCTCCTTCCAACATGCCTAGATACTCACGCTCTTGAACAGTCGGGGGTCGAGTCGTTCGGCAAAGGTTGAAGAAGGTCTCGAGACGAGCAAGGGCCGGTCCGCCTGCCCAGCCTGAAAATTCACGTGATTAATTCATGGTTTTGGCCAGCTGCGGCCTGGTTCAGAGCTCCTTTCCCATTTTTCAAGGTTGGATTCGGTCATGACAAAATTATATTGGATCGCGCAATTGTTCATGAAGAAAGGGTTTAGGCTCATTGAGGAAAGGAGTTACTCTCGACTGCTTGATTGTGGGGGTTGTGGTGGTGATACAGAAAATCTAGAAGCGGTCGAAGCCGCCCGTGCTCAAGCTCGAAGGCAAGTCTTTCTCGCCTCCTGGCCCACAGCTATTGGCAGCTGCCTTGTTTGCCGACATCTCAAAGACGACATCGGTGTGTTTGCCGCCCCCGGGGAAGAGCTGCTCGTGGAGGATCTTGCACCGTGAGCTCTGTTCCTCGCCATTGATGAACACGCGTGCGACGTAAGCTCTCGCGCCCTGAGGAATGGTTTTCTTCAGGCTCGTCTTGTCAAAGTTTCTGGCCGTGACTGTGACGGAGCCGAGCACGGCATTGTTGAGGGTGTACGAGGGGATGAAGGGCGAAACGATGATGTACTCTCGGGTCGAGGGCACGGGATACAGGCCCAGCAGATGGAAGTTGAGCAGCGTCGCCATGGCGCCGTTGTCGTCATTACCAGGAAGGCCGGCATTGGTCGTGTTGAAGTTCTCAAAGACGACCTGGCGGACTCGGTCGACGCTGCGCGTGGGCTCGTTGGCATAGGTGTACACGATGGGCGTCTGGAACGACGGCTCGTTGCCAGAGTAATAGAGTCCACGGTCGAAGAAATTGTCGACACGCTTGATGAACTCCTCCTTGTCGCCATTCGAAAGCAGTCTGATCAAGCCCGCAAAGTCGTGTGGAACAAAGAGGCTGTACTCTGCTGACGAGGTCTCGTACACGCCATAGACATTCTCCTGCTGGAGCGAGCAGGGCTTGTTGCTCGGGTCGATAGGCGAGCAGGTAGTGGGGTCCACATGGGCGAAAGTTCCATTGGTGTAGCGCTTCTGGACGTAGTTGCTAAAGCCAAACTTCTTTGTGTTCTTGTCGAAGACGTTCTTGTAGAAGTAGCTTCTCTTTGTCAAGTCTTGCGCATCGTCCTGCTTGCCCAGCATCAAGGCCACGTTACGGATGCCAAAGTCATTGTAGACATACTCGAGCGTCCTCGAGCCTTCTCGCGTCTGCCGGCCCGTCGTCTCACGGTCATAGACGGCGAAAGGGATGTAGCCGTACTTGACATAGGCGCCGATCTGGCGGCCGCCGTTGTTCCACTCCTTGGCATTGGTGTAGGCATCGCTGCGCAGAGCAGTATACAGTTCCTCGATGTCGACTGGAAGACCGGCCTTGGCATACTTGACCGCAAAGTCGGCCAGGACATTCGTACCGTCGCTGCCGCCCTGCGTCAGGCCCGGCACGTTGTTTGCGCGGCATTCAGGGATCGCGCCCAGCTTGCGCCAGCCGTCGATGTAAGTCTCGACGATCTCGGCATAGTCGTGCGGGCTCGTGAGCGAAAGGAAAGGGAAGAAGGTCCTGAAGGTGTCCCAGGTGCCTTGATTTACATATCGTCAGCCGCGGCGATTACGAGCGTGCATGAAGTCGATACTCACAGTAAAGACCGTCAAAGTAGGGCGAAGGGGTGTTGAGGAATTGGGCTTGGCCCTCCAAGGTGGCGTTGTTGGGACTCAGAAAGCCGCGGTAGAGACTCGTGTAGAAGAGCTGGGCAATCTTGGGATCGGTGTCATTGGCGATCTGGATGCGATTGAGTCTGCAGAATGGATGTAAGTTGACGGGGCTAGGAGAGGAGCGGAGTCTTTGTTCTTTTCCTGCACCCACTTCTCGTTCCAGAGTGCCTGGGACTGTTTGACAACCTTAGTAAAGTCGAACTCGGGGATCTCTTCCTCGGCATTGGCGCATGCCTGTTCCGGCGATACGTACGACACACCGACGCGGATAAGAACCTGCTTGTCCTGCTGACGCCATGCACCGCGACGGGTCGAGAGAAGTCTCTTGGTAAGCTACGACCAGTCGGACAAGGGCGGTTCGAGTCAAGGCCAGGCCCGCTCGGCAGAGGCTTTCGCTGTCTTTCACTCACACTGCCTGCATTCATCGTCTTTTTCCACGAGACGAGAGCGCCCGCTTGGACTGGTTGGCCACCAATCGTGTTGCGGACAAGATCAGAGGTGACCTCGCCTTCAAGCTTGGTGTCCTCTCCAAATCTGGTCATCGACCTCAGCTCATGTCTTTAACCGTCATTGTGCAAAACACTGCAAACGTACCTGTCTCCTGCCCATACTCCAAATTTGCCCAAGGCCTGGCGCCCGCCTGCATGAAGGTCGTAGCAGGCGTAGGCATTGTACTGGAAGAGTCCGCTGGCGAAGCTGCTGCCGTAGGTGCCATTGAAGATGACGCGTCCTTCGAGCGGGTTCAGGCGCATGTGGCCACCCTTAAAGGTGCCTGGAAGGTCGTTGGTCCAGTCCATGACGAGGTGTGGGCTCTTTGCCTGCTGCTTGTCGAGAGCCGACTGGGGAAAAGTGTAACGGATGAGGCCGGCCCTCCTTGTCGAGGTGGCCTCCATCTTGATGCTGTTGTTGAGCGTCGTGGAAAAGTAGCCGGGCATGGCAACGTCTTTGCCCTTGGCTCGCATGCGCTTACGGTTGTCGAGCGTCGTGGGACAGAGCTGGTAGTCGTCGTCGGTGCAGATGACAGGCATTGTCTCGAAGTTGCCAAAACTGCCCGAGCTGGACCCAGTTCCCGTGTCGTGAAGGATGCTCATGCCACGGACGGGGGCCTGGAGGTCGTCATTGTAGCCAGCAGGCGCATACGTGTCGACGTCGATGCCAATCTTGGCCATGCCAAAGGGCACAGACGCGCCGGGGAAGACGTTGCCCGGGTTGCTCGTCGCTCCAGTTCCAATGAAGGGGTTCACCACTGCTTGCAAGTTGTCAGCCTCTATCTATCAAGCTCGCGGAAAAAAAAAACTCACGCTTCGTATAGTCCATTGGACCGTCTGCCGTCTGGGCGGGCAGCTGACGGCTGACGAGATGCTGCGAGCCGTCGCTGGCATGCTGGACCTTGAGCATGGGCTCGTGCGATGTTGCAGAAAAGAGCCGTTCACCTTCTTGAACCCGCTGTGCGAGCTGCTCAAAGTCGACTGGCGATACGCCGTCGTCCGTCTGTGCTGCAGGCCGGTAAAAGTCGAGATCTTTGATGAAGTAGCCGGCCATGTCGTAGGGGCTGGAAAAGAGCGTCATCCGGCAGATGTCCCTTGGGCTGCTGAGAGCTTCAATGTCCTGCTCAGGGTTTCTGCAGAAGCTGGGCGCAGCATGTGCCTTGCTTCTTGGACGCTGCAGTGCACGGCGGTGCTGAAGCGGCGCAGCATCGCTCGAGCCGCGGGGGGAAGAGGAGGTGGGGCTAACACTGCTGAAGCCAAGGGCTACGAGGAGCAGGACTGGCTTCAACATGGCCGTCCTCATGGCGTGAGCAAAGACCAAAGGGATGCTGTCGTGTGAGCACCGTCAGGAGATGCTGGACTTCAGAGGAGATGGTGGAAGAGGGAAGAGAAAGGGGGTGGTTCATCTCGTGATAGGGCCAAGGATCTCATTCGAGAAAGAGGGGGAAACAAGAGCGCGGCCCGTTCAGCTGCAAGACGGCTCGCGTTCGTGGAAGGCCGCTGCCGCACGAGCCACTCAAATCTGGAACAGCCTCTTGCAGAGAGCCGAATGTTATGAGGAGGGGCCGCTTCCTCGCTTTTTCTCCCTGGCCTCTCGTCAGCTTCCAGTCCGGCGAGAGATAGAGGGAAACAGCTAGCCCCAGTAGTAAGGATGCACGGCCATTTTTAAGCTTCTATTCTTGCTTCTAGCTCGCTCCTCTGGACCCCTGCTTTGGCGCTAGTGGAAGGATCCATGCCAAATGATATGGCTTAACCAAGGAGGCAGAAAGGGAATCTCCGTCATTCTCGACGAGAAACTTGGTCATGGTCGATGCCTTCGTCATCGCACCCTGGCCGAAGTGCTTCGGCGTACGTTGCACCTTGCTCTACCCTTCAGGTTTCGCCTTCGCCAGCGCTTGAGTCGGGTCGACCCCCCAATCAACGGAACGGTATCCCTCAGGTGCCTATGCGTCACCGGGGTCCAGCGAGAAGTCGCTGCGCGGCGCGACGGAGCATCCAAGTTCCGACTCTGCCTGTCAGGGCCCTCATCAGCGATCAGCCCCTCATCACGACCAACGAATAATAGTGCTGCCAAACCAGCTGCAGCGAAGCTGTATGTTGGAATACAAATTCGATTCAGCCGACGTAACAAAAACAATATTTGGTATTAAATAATCTATACGAAAAAAGAATCCCGGACGGAAAGTCAAGATAGAGTTGCTGTGGCTTGGCTGTCCTTTGCTTTGCGCAACGCAAGGTTGATGAGGATGCTGACACCTCCCGCTCCTGGCCAGAGGGTATATAGAAGGGCCCCTCGAGGGCTGCCTCTCTTTCTTCCTGACCCCATCTAGCAATCGCTCTCCTCAGTCAGAAGCCTCTACCCTTCTCTTCTCAACGACACACAAGTCACACAACGCAACACAAGCGCAAGATGTTCTCAGCCATGCAGACCTACGCTGCCTCGACACGCTTCGACATGGACCCTCATGGGGACCAGATATCGTCGTCATCGTCATCGTCATCGTCGTCACTGTCTCCGGTCTATGTCCGAGTCCGTCGGGGTTCCAGCTCGGGCGCTCCTCACTCGCTGCATCGTGTCCGCTCGACGCCCAACATCGTCCACATCACTGTGAGCCGCAGCCCCCTGCCGCAAGGCGACGTGCCCACGCCCCCCTGCGAGCTCGAAGAAGCGATCCACCAGACCTGCTCCAGCAGGGCGGACGAGTCCGACAGCGAGGAGCTGTGTCCGCCGCCCTACGCCTGCGTTGACCCCCTCCTGACTGAGCCGACGAGGGTGAGTAACTCTCGTGCGCATACAGCTCGGACACTGCTGACATTTGCAATAGCCCTCGCCATCATACACGGCCTCTCTCTCTGTTTCTGCCACCGAGCAGCCCCTGGCCCCACGCCCCGAGACGCCCTCTTTCCTTGCAAAGGCCATCTTTGGCGCCTCGTACGCCCAGCGACGTGCCGAGCGCAAGCACGAGAAGCGCCTCGAGCGCCTCCAAGAGATCCACGATGCCTGGCTCCACCTCGGCATCGACACACGCAGGGCTCTTGCCCGGGGCCAGCCCCTGCCGCCGCACTTTTTCAACCCACCCAAGCTCACGGCCCGCGAGTTCAGCGCAGCCGTCGACCGCCTGCTCCCCTGAAGCTCATCCCAATCTGCCCACCACCACTCACTCATCATCGCATCAGACCAAGTCAAAGTATCTCTCTCGCTCTCTTTCACCCTCTCGTATCGCCCTAGATCTCCCTCCTGTCCTCTATAGCAGCTTTTGATTGTGCCTCGATAATATCACAAGTAATCCTTTCTCTCCCTCTCTCAGTCGCTTGCTAGCCGGAACGCATCCGGGTCGCGATCCAGGCCAACGAGGTGTGCGGCTCGGACGAAAGAAAGGTACTCTTTGAGCCGGTTCTGCGAGCCACTGGCGCCGATGAACTCGAGGTAGAGCTTGTGTCGCTCGTCGGCCACGAGATTCGGCAGCTTCAGAACAGCTGCGAGATTCCTGGAAGGGGATGCGATCTTAGCAAGTGGTTTGAATGTTCGCAAGAGATGGTGGGTGGACTCACCCTGGCAGGACGTCGCTCGTGTCAAAGAGCATGTGGTGCAGCCTAAAGACGAGCTCGGGCACATAGATCTGCCGGATCCTCGCCAGCTCGACCCATCTCCGCTCGTCGTCAATCGTCAGCATCGCGGCGGCGGCGTCGGCCTGGCCATCGATCTTGAGCCAGTCCATCTCGAGCACGTCGACGATGCTCTGGCGTGCCGTCTCGACGACGTTGGACAGGGCCGTAGTCCAGGCGTGCGTGTCCATCTTTGAAACGCGCGTATGGGCCGAATGAGGGGCAGGCCTCTTGCTCCAAAGCTCCAGGTACTGAAGGTGGGCATTGAGAGCCTCAAAGAAGCTCCTCCAGTGCACGAATTCAACGGCCTCGTCTGGCTTGGCCTCGGCAATGGTCTCGAGCTGACCGACGACGTCGGCCGGCAGCTCAAACAGCAGCGTCCGGGCGGCGTGCACCTTGCCCGAGCTGAGAAAGAGGCGCATGAGCGTGTTGGTCTGCACGATGGCGTCAAAGTGCGTCAAGGGATGGAAGGTGAGCCAGTCAATGGCCCGGATGAGCCGCTCTTCGCCCAGCGACAGGCCGGCCTCGAAGGACGACATTGCAAAGTCCGAGAGCGAGGGAATCGAGGGAAACACTTCGTCGAAGATCATGGCCACCGTCGACCGGGCAACGGCGGCCACGTCGAGGTGGTGCTCCTCGGCCCGTCGCAGCGCAGCTCGTCGGTGCTCCAGCGGCTCGTTGACATCCATGACTGTCAGAGAGGGTGGATGGATCTGGTCAGTCAACCTCCCGATTGAGCGTCGAATCAAATGGAAATACAACTCACGTTTGAGATAGTGCGCATAGCTCTCCGTCGCGCTCTCGGGACCCAAGGAGCTCGCATACAGAGCGACGAGGTCATCCTCGCCATATCCCTCGAGAATCTCGACGTAAGCGCGCAAGATGGAATTGCAGACGACGTCCGGAGGAGGCCGCTCAAGCCTGAGGAGACGCAGAAAGAGGATGAGGTGGGCAAAGAAACGCACCAGCCGCGCATACTGCTGGGGTGCCGCGGTGACCCTCATCTCGGCCAGCTTCGGTTCTACGTGGATGAGCAGCTCCGAGACCTCGTCCAGAATCACGGCCTTTTGCACAACGCGGAATGGATGATTGGACTGGGCCTGTATGCCGTGCTGCTCAGTCTGGCCAAGCCTGCCAAAGACGTTGCGCAGCTCCTCTGCTACCGTCAAGGGCTCGCCAGCTGCCTTTTTGCCCGCCCCATCGCCGCTGCTGCTGTTGACGCCGTCTACACCGACGCTTGGAATGCTGAGCTCGACGAGCTTGACGGCGCCAACATCATTGGTGCCGGGAAAGGTCGAGTCGGCGTCTTGGCTCCACCAGGCACCTCGAGCGTCGAGTTTGGCGTCGATCGAAGCCTCCAATCGAGCATTGACGTGGGCCCACAGCTGCGTCTCCCAAGATTTGCTGACGTGGATGACTGAGCGCAAGTCGCCGGAAAGTGCGCCATACAGGGCTTTCTCGTATTCGTCCAAAGCCGCCCGTGTGCAAATGGAGCGGCACACGGCCTTCCACAGCGCCCGGTTCTCGTTGCCCATTGGCTCCGTCAGCTCTTGGGTATCATCCAGTCCGGGTCGCCAGTAGAGGAGGGCACCCCTGAGGCTCGCCGCCCGCCAGCTCCGGTCCGATTGCCTAGCCAGGTCGAGAGCAGCATCGAGCTGCCCGGCCCGGACATATTCAAACAGAGTCCGATTTAGCGCCTTTTCGTAGATGCCGTCCTCCAGCTCCAGCGCAGAGGCTTCCCTCGTCGGTGCGTCTGGATCCAGCGCCCTGATGCCCTTGCCTGTCCCTCCTGCTTTGCCCAGGCCCAGACCCTTACCGGCACTGCCACCCCGTCCCGACGACGTCGACGTCGTGCGCTTGTCGTTTCGGAGACGGTTCTTGGTAAAGGGCCAATAGCCCTTGCGAACCTCGACGGGGTGGGTGCAGACGAGCGTGGACGAGAGCCAGTCGCGAATGATCCTCAGCTCGCTCAGCGGTGCATCGCCATCGATGAGGTCCTGAACCGCCGCAAACGGCGTCTCGTACGGATTCTTGACTCGCTCCGCTGATGACGAAGAAGGATCCGACGAGGCTCTCTGCAGCCTCTCAGCATACAAAAGGTGGATGAGGTTCCACGTCTGCTCCTCGAGCTCCCATGCCTCGCCATCATCACCATCGTCGTCATTCTCACCACCGACCCCCTCTCCGCCGGCTGCTGTCCCCCTCTCTCTGTCTAGGAAACCGATGGTGCGTGGACCGACGCCCATGCCGCTCAGCGCAGAGGCGGCGCGCGACGAGCATGCTGACGCAAACACCTGCGCCAGGCCCGTTTGCGCATCGAGGAGCGATGCCACGGGCTGTGCCTTGGACTGGTTGAGGGCCTGTGCAAAGGCCGCAAAGGACGACGTCGATGCCGTCGACCCGTCCATGCCTCCTGCCCTTTGCTGTCCTGACTTGGCTAGTCTTTGTGTCTCTGTCGCGGAAGTCACAAAAAGGTCGAAGGTGCAAAAAATGGAAAAGCGCGCTGCTGCCTGTGCGATTGATTGTTTTCTTCGCGCGATCTTGAATACGACCAAGTCCTAATAAGTCGAAGAATACAATCCCAATTGGCCCGCGCGCACAGGCCTGGCCTAGCTTCCCCAGCGCCTTGCTTCTCCACAGCGAGAAGTGGAACGAAAAGAAACGTAGTTCTGCCCACCACCCCGCCATGTCGATCTCTTCGTCCCCCTTTCCCAAGGCGATTCTATACACCTATGAGCGTGAGTGAATACAAAGTGAGACACCACATCGTGCTGGATCGCTCTCTGACCACTGTTCGACCACAGGCTCGCTCTGGTCCACCGTCCCACGGCTGGCTCTGATCGAGAAGGGGTACTCCAAAGATGACCTCGAGATGCGCGAAGTGGACCTGGCCGCGGGCGAGAACTTCAGCCCGGCAATTTTGCGCGTCAACTCAAAGGGAACCCTCCCCGTCCTTGTCGTCCCTCTGGCAGAGACGACGGGGACAGAGGTCGACACAAAGTTCAGAGCACTGACCGAGTCGAAGGCCATTGTCGAGTTCCTCGGTCAGTCTGTCTTACCCCGTATCTGCCTGCCCTCCTTCGTGGGCCTTGGAACCGTCTGCTGATTTGTCTTGGCAACATACAGACTCGTCTCGCTCGCAACAGCTGCTGGACATCAAGGGCGAGGAGAACAGCAAGCCTGCGCCCGTCCTCCAGCCTGCCACCATCGAGGGAAAGGCGCTCTGCGACTCCCTCATCGACCTCGTTCACTCTACTATTACGCCCTTTTTGCTGCTTACGGCCAGATCCGAGCAGGAGCTCGATGCGCAGCGCAAGGGGCGGCAGGGCGAATTCTGCAGGAATCGGTGAGTGATGTTTGGGGGTTGCGCTGCCAGATTCCGTTGTGTGGCTGATGTAGCGGCGAGGATGCAAATAGCCATGATGCGCTCCTCAAGTTCAAGGCTGAGGCGCAGGCGTCGATGGGAGGCGAAAACCCACGCACTGCGGCCATGAACGAGAATCTGATCAAGGTGAGCTTCCATCGTCCTTGTCTCTTTGCGGGCCCAGTGTGCACCGCTGACAAGTTGAGGATGACCGAGAACAGTGGTACGACGAAAAGTACCAAAAAATGAAGCACATCTTCGACGCCTACCTCACCCCCACACCTGACGGCGTCTCGGCCTTTCTCGCCGACTCTGTGGCCCAGTGGACCCAGGTGATTACTATCCTCGGCAAAATCGAAACCACCATCGCTGGCCCATACGCGCTCGGCGACCAGATCTCGCTGGCCGACTTGCACCTGACCGTCTGGCTCGCCAGAGTCTTCACTTCGGCCATGCGCTTCGAGCCCGACAGCAGCCAAGACCAAATTGCCGCGCTGGAGAAGTGCGTCAGACACCCGTTCCTTGCTGCTGTCGTCACGGATCCCTCAAGGTCGATTGTCGGTCCAAAGGTACGTTTCCCTTCCCCCTTCGCTCTCTCTCTCTCTCTCTTCTGTCTCGGTGGTCCCCCTGTTGCTGAATCGCTGATCCACTTCGTGAACCTGTCATCCAGACTCGCCAATATTGGGAGACCCTCAAGAGCCGACCGGCATTTGCCGAGGTGTACGCCAATGGACTTCACTGATTGCCCCACTTTGGAAGAAAGAAAAACACTGCCTACACAACATAAGCGGGAATGCATCGTATCAATCGCTCAATGATACAAGCCTGCCTTTGATGTCGAGAATGTGTTTAAAGAAGGAAAGAGGAGGGAGAAAGAGAAAGAAACATTACAGAAGACTGAATGGTTGGCTGCCCAAGAGAGAGAAAATGAAAGGCGAATAAAGAAGGGAGAGGTTCAACCTGGCGTGAGACTTGGCTAAATCTTGACAGCAGCCGGGACGCAATAGGAAATTGTAGAGAAGGCCGTTCGATTGTGCTTGGTGGTACGGGTTGATTTGGAGAGAGTCGAGGAGTCGAAGAGACGTTTTGGATGAATGGAATTGATGTGCCGAGAGATTGCCCATGGGAAGCTTTTGTCTGTTGTTTGTGGTCGCATTGGGGGTTGCAATTTTGGGAGAGAAAGAACAATTGGTCGTGGCCAGGCGGTCGATTGTAATGACCTCTTCTGTATGGTAAGCCGAGCCGGAGATGGTCGTCCTCCTCGTTGTGTTTTGTTTGGCGCCGCATAGGGTCCGATCACTTCACTACGAGAATTAGCAGCGAGGAGTGAGAAACTGTCCTGATCCACCAACCGTTGAGGATCCCTTCATCCAAGAGCAACTCACCACCACAAACTTCTTTCCCTTCTTTTTCTCGCTCTCCTTGTGGCTCTGGAACTCTACGTCGCTCGACAAGTTGCCCCCAATCTTCTGGTTGATGTCGTAGCCAAGAATCTGCGTCTTGAAGTGCTTTCCAATCTCGAGTAACCGGTTGCCAATGCTGCCCGCGACCGCTGTCTCCTCTGGGTCTTCTGCCTTGCTCGTCCAGATCGAGATTCGGTACAGGTTCGGCCGCGCGGACATGATGACGCCCGTAATGAGTTCTTCGCCCCCGCTCGCTGGCTCGAGTGTCTCGCCAATGGCTGACAGCATCTGTTTGGAGTCTCATTAGTCCATGTTGCAAGCCCGGTGGAAGGCTGTCATAAAAAGAGAAATGGACGCACTGTGAAGAGCCAGAGTGTGTCGATGCCTGCCCGCGACTTTTCTCTTGGAAGCTGGATGCTCCACTTGCCGCCCTTTGCGTTGGCTTCGTCCTCCCAGGCGGGCTTGATGCCACGCTTGAACAGGTAGTAGTTCGCTTTTTGGGGCAGGACCGAGGGGGGAATGATGTTGCTGTGCAGGCTGTGTGAGAGTAAGAGGAGAATGAGTCGGCTGAACAGATTTGCAAAGCAAGACAGGGTAGACTCACCCCCAGAACTCCTCGACGGAGTCAATGTCGACGACCTTGTTAAGATCCTCTCCCCAGCTGTCCTTTCCACCCGGTGCCTTGCCCATGCCTTTTGCTGACGGGTTATCGAACCACAGGGTCCAGGTGTTGAAGAGCGGGTGCTTGACGTTGAAATTTTGCGGGTCGTTGAACACAGTCCGCATGCTGTCGTCTGGATCCGCCGCTGTGTCCGATGACGACTCTTGCTGCTCTGCCGACGCCGAGGTGGGAGCCCCGGACCCGGTCGCAGACGTGTCGCCATTTTCCTTGAAGTCGGAGATAGCAGCGTCTAGAGCCGCACTCGCAGCGGCCGCAGGCTGCGGAGGGAGCGAACTTGTAGCCATTATGGGTGGTACTGAAGTTCTGTGGGGCGGGAGAGAAGAGAGAGCCGATCGGATGAGGTCGAGAGAGGCGCAAGGAAGAGAGAGCAAAAGCACGTAGGCAAATCGTTTTCTTCCGGTTCAACTTGCGATCTGCTCCCAGATGTGCTCGGATGGTCGAATCAAAGGCGTTCGAAAGAGGCTAGTTTCGATCGCGAGATTATCAGGACGAACTTTGGTGATCAAAGCTGCTCCTCTTGCAGTGAGAAACCGAGGGAATGTGACGACAAGTGAGATGTTTCTGGTGGTTGCGAAGGCCAACAACCGGTCGCGCCCTTCAATTGCTTTTTTTTGAAGAGGGCGAGGAAATCCATGGCGTCGCCCATATTTGCCACGTGGTTTGCTGAGCTGAGCTCACATTGTCCTGGGCGTTTTTCGTAATGCTGAGGAGGTCACACGGTGCCCTTCTTGCATCGAGTGTCGCGGTATGATAAGGATGTCATAACAGCTGATTTAAGTAAGCGCCGGATCGCTCTGAAGGAAAGTGAGTAAAGATTGCCACTCTTCTATCATTCGATTCTCTCAAATCATGAGTTAGAGCAGAAAATTTGATGCTCCATCGGCACAAGCAATGCCCCGTAACATCTTTCTTGCTGAGAGAAGAGCCCGTGAAAGCTAGCAAGGTGTTTCGACCAGTACAGAACGGTCCAGCTACTAATCACTTGCTGTGAGACTTTAGGATTCGACACGGAATGTACAGTTCTCTTCGCCAGAGGGATGCGCTTTGCAGTTGCAACGACCAATACATGAATTCAGACTTCATTTTGACGGTATCAGGGTGCAGTATACCTGGCTGGGGATAACGACACATGTTCTAGTCCTTTAATGAGTATAATTTCCGCGATTCCGCATAGCGACAGAGGGCAGACTTCATAATACCGACTGCTTGGACCGCGTCGACAGGACTGACGAAGCCTTTCCTAGCAGAGAGGACGAAGGTGAGCAGCGGTAAGATGGGTCAAGTAAAGGACAGGTCAAAAGGCTCACTAGCCCTACGGCCTCCTGTGCTTGATCGTCAAGGGTCTTTCTTGTCTCTTTGCTACTCCTGACTTTGCATGATAGGGAGCGTCAGAGCAAAATTGAAATGTACTGTACTTGGGATGCCGTAGAAGTCTTTCTTTCACCTCCATGGTTTACTCTGCAGAGCAGAGCGAAAGAGCGAGTCGGTCCTCACTCCTTGTTTTCGATTTGATTCACCAGAGTCTCATCAAAGCTGCGTCCTTGGCCCGGTGAACGGTCTAGAGACTTCTCTCGGTGCGAGCCACAGCACGAGCCCTATAAAAAGATCGCCTCGAGTATGCAATTTCGTCCCGAGTCATCGCGAGGCTCCGGTAGATGTGAGAGGCGGCTGGAGTCCTGTCGTTGTCACGGCGAGGGGACGTCGTCCGCGAGCTTTCCTTCCAAGTGAAGGTACGGGTATGTCAAATTGAGAAATTTAAAGCCCTTGGCCGGGTTTCTTGCCTTCTTGACCAATTCCTCTTCTGAAGAAGTTGAAGGCACATAACATGGTTCGCTGTGTCATGTCAGCGTCCACAGCCATGTCGCAAATACTAGTCTCACTGACTCCCAAGAGCTTATTCCACCTCAAAACGAGCCCCGAACAGAACATCGGCTTAACCTAAAAGGCAAGTGATTTCATGCACCAATCGCTGAGAAAGTCTGGGGTCTGGGAAGGTTCGCACGAGCAACTTCGACGAGCTTACGGGAAAACATGGCTGATGGTCAGAGCCTGGCCTCGGGACACTTGTGGCTGGCCGTTGGCTTCCCCGAGCTCAGGAGTAAAATTCGATGGGCCTGGAGAAATTTTTATAGCAATCTTCGACTTGGCGCAAGCCACATACCCCCAGGAGAGACGATCGTGGGGATGCACGGGCTTGAGATCGGACGCCATCGCGATTCAGGTTGGAGGGTGCACTTTGTCAATTGTCATGACGAGGCAGTGAGTTGACTTGATCAGATTGAAGCGCAACGCATGTGTGCGCTCAGTGAGAATTGCTGCACCGCCTCTTCGGTCTGCCTTCTACTGAATTTACGAGGTAGCTCCTCCCTCGATCGGCGCGCGATCGGCGGGAAAGGCTCCACATACGGTACAAAAGTTCTGGCTGTTCACACCTCGCCCCGCTCCATTCGTATCAAGACGGGCCTTGCCTTCTCAAGGTCGACAGGCGAGGTACCGTTGCGGCCGATGCACAGTGACAAAAACGATTGACAAAAAAGGGCAAAAGTCCAGATGCGAAAATACAAAGAGATTTAAGGCCAATATTCGTCACAGTGACGTTTGGCGCGGTGCTAAAATCTCTTTTTAGAAATCATACAGTACAGTACAAGTTTTAGTCATGAAGAGCTGAAGCTGTGTCGTAAAACTGTGGTAACCGCGAGCTAGCAAGCGTTTTTACCACTAAAGTTGCTCGAAGCCTTTTTTGTTTTTTCTCAGGACGCAGGCGAGGTTCCCCGACGCAGCCCCAGTCTCTGTCGGAGTTGGCGCGCAGTGTGGGAGCGCTGACACCAGAGATTCAGTGCCGCTGTCAAGCATTGGCGAGAAGAACGGCACTACCATACAAGATATGATTTCATCTGCATCTACTTTGGCCTTGTTCAGCAAGATTGCGCAGGTTGCTGCGGGCACCTCATCATCACTATTTTTGGAGAGACGTCGCAACTGTCATGCTTGATTTAGAGCCATGAAAGCCTCGCTTTCGCAGATAGAGAAGCGAGCGTTGCCACAATTAATATCTCTCGATTTGACAAGGCGCAAATTCGGAAGGTACTCAACCTACAACAGCACTCAAGAGGCAAGCTCACCAGACTAGGACAATTATCGAACGGGGAATGCAACGCACAGGCCCCAGCTAGGAGCCTTAACTCCCGAAAGAGCGTTCGAGCCCAGCTCGGATGTGATGCAGGCTCTCGCAGCCCAGATGAAGGGGCTGACCGAATTTGGGCTGGGCAATTCCAAACGGCAGGGCGGCAGGCCTGTGATCGGGCCCTGACTATGCAGTGGTAGTGGCTGTCCCTCAATCTTCATCTTGACCACTGATAAAACTCTCGCTAGCTCCGAAATTAAAGAATTTCATATCTTCCCCTCAGATGATTTGTTGCCGTTCTCGTCTGGTGCCAAACGAGTCTTCCCCGGAATCTGCTGCTCTGTTGCCGGTCCCGCCGTGGTTGCTACCAAAGTTTTTTTTATTCATTCTCAAGTTTATTCCTGCCGTTTTCTCCTTGACTGACGGGACTGGATTGGGCCTGGCTGAGAATCCTCTTGGTGCCTCGTTATCTGAAGAGGGACTTGCGTGTATCTCTCTACGTAGAATCGAACGGTCATCTTTTGTTCCCTCACCCTTCTCGCCACCTTGCTGACGACGAACGGAGGTTTACGAGATGAGCTGCAATCGCTGCAACAATCCAGAGCGGCACTGGTTAGAAAGGCTCTGCCGCTTCGACAACGAGAGGCTGCACGGTGCCGCCAAGCAGTCTGATTTTGCGCATCACTGGGATGCCCACTGGATTGCCAAGGTCGCCAACCCTGACGATGACGACGAAGATGACGACCGTTACGAAGACGGGACAAGCACCGAGGGAATGTCTCCAGAGCGACACCTAAGCCAGCTACCAAAGCCTGCTTCTAGCTCTGAAATTCGACCTCGACCGGTTCGTAGCAAGACCGACAAAGTTGCAAGGGTCTTGCCCTGCGAGCTGGCCTGGACCGTAGAAGATTCGTGGTCGTCGGACGAGACCACGCCGGCACCTGTTCGCGCCCGCAGACACGGCAGAAGTGCGTCTGCACCTCAGCTCAAGCCTGCTCAGGAGCTTCACGTCAACACCTTCTTGCCCCTCAAGCTCCCACCCAAGGAGCTGACGGCGAAATCGCCTCTACTCACGTACCCGACCAGCTGGTGGACCGAAGATGCTGAAGACGACGATACAGAAGACTGGATGCAACAGAGCAGGGCCAGGAGCTACTTGGACCGCGACGAGATGCACCGTGTCGATAGCTCTGCAAGCTTCTTTAGCACCGTATCGGACGGCAGCTACCACGGCGACGCCGGAGATGAAAATCCAGAGGACCAGCTTGCCATCGCCATCCAGCAGCAGCATTGTTATATTTCTACGTCCGCCATGTCCCCGACCGTGCTGGCCCAGTCACCCATTGACGTCAAGGAAGAGGGCGACTCGGATGAAGAGGGCGAAGCGATTCGAGAGCAAGGTGGCTACATGCACCACGTTGCCTCCTTTCTTCTCAGCGAGCCGTCGCCTGCTCCAGCATTGCCCTGGGCAGTCGAGCGACCTAAGTCGCATTCACTGTCCTCTCTTTCTCCACCGTCACCCTCGCCGTACGCTACCAACGGTCGGCTCCGCTCGCAATCAGCCGACGGCGCCAATCTGGACGACATACTGCAGCATGACCGTCGCTTTGGTCGCTTCTTGCCAGCCCCGCCGTCTCAGCTGAGCGCAGAGTTGCAAGACCGCCGGAGTACAATCCACGGTCAGCCACCGACGGCGCATCGCAACCGTCCAAGCAATCTCTTGTCGAGCTTCGTGTCTTGGCTCCTGCCGAGCATCGAAGAAGATGAAGCTCCAGCTGACGACAACGGGGGCGACTACGACAGTGTCGACTCTTCATCTTCGACTGGATTGCTCAGAAACCGTTGGGCGACGAGTTTCATGAGCCTACCGTCGCTGCTTTCACCCACCGAGTCGCTTCCCTCCCTCTCCAACGGTTCGTCAGTCGTCGATGACTACGACAACGGCCCGCCATCACCCTCGTCTGGCTCCTCCTACTCGGCGGAAGAGGACGAGGAGGAAGACACCGCACCTCGTCCATTCGGTCAAGTGAAGCGGACCCACTCGGGTTTTGGCCTGTCCACCTATGCAGACGAAACACCCAACGCATTCTGCGACACGACGATCTGCGGCAGGTCCGATGCGGCCCAAATGCGGCGAGCCAAGGAGCAGGCTACTCTCTCCGCCAGCAAGAGCTCTCGTCAGCGCGGCCTTCTGAGGAGGAACAACGACATCGTGATGCGCATGACGCCCGCCGCAGACGTCTTTCCGCAGCAAAAGACTCTCGCGCCATCCCATCACCTCGCAAAGGCCACACCACCGAGCCCGTTGTGGGACGAAAGGCTGGACCCCTCGCCCTATCAACGCTCGTGGTCGAGCGTGCTCAATCTTCCATGACTGATTTTAACGACGCTTCACATCATTTTCTCTCTTCATCATCCATTTTACGTTCGTATTTCACTCATCCTTCTTCACGCCGGAGTCGATTCACTCAGCAACATCATGTACAAGTACAGAAGCGTCCGATGCATCTCTCTCTTCCGCTACGCTATCCTCACCTTGTACATTACAGCTCTTCACTTTCTGTGTTGACTATTCAAGGCTATACATACTGTTCATACAATTATGCTCAGGACTGACGTTTGCTTGCTAGGAAGAAGACGCTGTCGCTGAGAGTGCCGCAACGATCTTCTCAAGCTCAACGTTGCCGCCTGTCCAGATGAGGACCATCCTCACTTCCTCTTTAGCACTACCTGCGATCCGCAGCACTTGCTGGTGGAAGTCCTTGTTATCGAACGCTACGGCGAGACCCACTGCAGCGCTCGGCTCGATGATCTGCTTCATGCGTTCCCAGACGAGGCGCAGGGCTGACAAGATGGATCGTTCCGAAGCGAGATGAATCGACGATACGTGGGTGCGGATGTGGGACAAGGTTCGAGGTGAGAGTGCCGTGAGGAGGCCGTCGCAGATCGTCTGAGGCGGCGAGATGGCGTCTTGCAACTGGCCAGTCTGGAACGAGCGGAAGGCGTCGTCGGCTTCTGCGAGGGTTAAGCAAGAGGTCAGACGTTGCACCGTAGAAGAAAGGAGGTCGGAGGGGCGAGTATAACTTACTCTCAGGCTCAGCACCAATGACGGTGACCCTGCTATCGAGACCTTTGACGGCTGTCGAGAGACCGCTGAGCATGCCACCGCCGCCGACGGGACCTATCACAAAGTCGACGACGGGCTCCTTTCCCTCGTCTCTCGACCTCCACGAACAGTTGTCCTCTACGTCTGGAGATGGAGCAAGGGCAGAGGAGAGCTTAGATCCGCTGGGCACTTGAAGCTCCCGCACCTGATCCATCAGCTCCAAGCCCAGGGTTCCTTGGCCCGCAATCACGAGTTCCTCATCGTACGGATGGATGAATTGGACCACCGTTCCGCTTCCGTTGGTCTCGAGTTCCTCTTTGAGCAGGTCCGCTGCCGACTCGCGTGCAGCCAGCACCGGTTCGCACTCGACAATTCGAGCGCCATAGCCTGCCACGGCGTCCTTTTTCACCTGCGGTGACGCTGTCGTCGATCGAATCATAGTCAGCGGCAAAACTCAAATTTCGTGTCTCTGGCTAACCGAAAGCACGGAGAGAGGCTCACTTCGAGGCATCACGATGGCTGCGCTTGCTCCAACGCTGCGTGCTGCGCGTGCAATGGCCGCCGCGTGGTTTCCACTGCTGTGCGTGACGACGCACAGCTTTTTCGGATCGAAGTCTGGACCGTGTTCGGCTTTGAGCCGCTCAAGATGAGTGAGGACGGCGTTTGTGGCCCCTCGAATCTTGAAGGCGCCCACCACCTGGACATTTTCCGCCTTGAACGCCAACCGGACAGGAACCGGCGAGCCGATCGCCTTTGTCACGAGCTCGTCAAGCGTTCGACTTGTCAACAGCGGCGTCCGATGGACGTGCGGTCTGATGAGCTCATGGGCTCGCTTGATGTCCGAGAGCTGCACCTGATCCACAGTCATGACTATAGTCTTCTTCGCTGCTCTATCGTCTAGGACCACCACCTTCCTGGCGCCTCATTCCAGCATAAGCTGAGCGCGAGCTTTATTTTCCCCACGTGTTTGTTGGCATGTCCAAAGGCTTCATTTTGCTCTTGCACCTCTCTTCTTCTCTCCCTCTTGGTTTAGCCTCGCCTTGCCTCGCCTCTCGTCGCCTTACCCTGCTTTGCCTTGCCTTGCCGACCCCGTCCCATTGCATACAGAGCAAGGTCGGCCCATGACATGGCACTTCTCCATTCCATCGCCGTGACCTTTGGGCGGATCACGACGCTGCTGCAAGTCATCCTCTACCTTCCACTCACCCTCGATGTGGCTGGTCAGGATGCCTTTCTGGCCCTCTCGGCCTCGCTGGCCTCGTACTATGCCTTCCTAAGCACCGTTCGCACGTTGACGAGGAAGACATCACTCGCGTGGATTGGCGATTTCCTGGCCATCTTTCAATTCATCGTCGTGCCCGCCTGTCTCCTCGTTGTTTTCAACGTCTACAGCCCGCCGAGCGAAAGCTATTTTTCAAACGTCAATCGTCGCTATGGGTCGATGAATCTATCGCCATCTGCACACCAGGCGCAAGAGCCGACGCCATCGACGGGAAGGAGACTATTCGGCGGGCCAAAGGGCACCCCTGCACCGTTGGTGCCGTCCTCCTCCTCTGCATCAGGGTACGGGAGTAGCAACCACCTCGGCCTCTCGGATGAGTCGCCTCTCTCCGTCATGCTCCACGCAACTTTGGCCAGCGCGGTCTCGTGGACTTTCTTCTTGGCTCGCCACGTTCCCCCCTGGTGGCATATGCTTCTCCGGTTGTCCTCGCCCGTATTTTCCCTCCTCGAGGGTGTCGCCACGCTCCTCGTCATCCAGGTTGTCGGCAGCTTCTCGCGCTGGATGATCGCCAGCAGCCTCACTCGCCGTCCTCCCACTCCTCGGACCGCGTTCTTTGGCTGGGTCCAGGCCGTCGGTTCTGCGCTCACTTCGGCCGAGTTTCTCCAGCTCTTCTTCCTCCTCCTTTCGGCCCTTGTCTACGTCATTAGTGCTCTGGCCCTCTATGTCTCATTCGAAGGAGCCACGAGGAACCGACCAGGGACGGCCGCCGCGACGGGTGCTGCCCTCTCTTCGACGCTCTGGCTCACGGCCATTGCCTTTGCCGTGCATCGAGGAAACGTCATCGAGACGTCACTAATGTTTGCCTACGTCGTCTGGAATGTCTACCAGCTCTCGGACAGCCTCTCCTTTACGGCCGATCCACTGGCGCTCATCCGCTCCATCAAGGTCCTCGATACCAGCAGCCCCTTTCTCGACTTCTCTGGACTGTTGAATCTCCACCTGCCGCCCTACCTTGCAAGTCTGGTCGAGCTGCTCGTCTATGCGCTCGGACAGTCGGCCCGCTTCATCGCCGCTGCCGGCGCGGCGCTGCCCAAGAGCGTCATCGTGTCGCTCATCTACCGTCTCATGGTCCTCTACTCGGCCAGCCGCATTCTACCGCTCCTCAAGCGGCAGAGCGCAAAGGGCGGCTGGGACGGCGATGGCTGGGCGAGCTCCTCGAGCAGCGGCGCGGACGGGACCAGCGATGTGACGAGCAGTGAAAGCGAGAGCGAGAGCGAGAGTGATGGTGGGACAGAGAGCGACTCGAGCGACTCAAGCGATTCGGACCTGCACTCTCGGAAGAAGTCGTCGAACAAGGGCAAAGGCAAGGCTCGAGAGGAGGACTCTCTCAAGAACGGCACGGCCAACGAAAAGAAGAAATGGAAGCAAAGACGGCAGTATCAGCAACAGCAGCAACAGCAGGGAGATGCCGCCAGCAGAGGGCGAGGCCAGAGGAGGCTAAGGACAAGGGGGATAAGAGAAGAGGAGCCCTTTGGCGCATTCATCAGCCTCATCGTCTCGTATGCGCGCTTGATCCTGATCGCCGTCTATTCGCACCTTCTTCTCCTTGACCAGTCCCACATGGTCTACTGGCGCTTCCTCACCGTCGGCATCACCCTCTTCGTCTGGGCGTTTGAGCTCCTACTCGGCAAGGACGACAACCCTGACGCGGCCTTTGCCGGCAGTTGGAGAGGATGAGAAGTGTCTAGGCCGAGAGCAGCAACCACTGTAACATTATCAGGCAACACAGATCGGCAACGCAAGGCAAGAATTGTGAAAGATTTGTCATTGATGACGACGACGAGGGAAGACCCTCGGCTGTAGCGACAAGACAAGGACTTTCGGTAAGAAGAGAGGGGAGAGAGAGAAAAGGAAGAGGTGTGTACAACAAGAGATAGACAGGGAAGAAGAGGACATGAGAGCCGGGAAGCATAGGGGGTGGTAGTGGTGGTACAGGCCTCCCTCATTTGCGGAAGGCATCGACATGGTACATTGGTCGAGGAGCGGAAAAGAAAGGGGGTGAAGGAAGTCCGCGCTGACTGGTAGGATCGATGGACGGATGGTATCACGATGCGACGATGAGCAGGCTGGTGGACGAGTCAGCATCCAGACGAAAAGAATGGGCTGATTGGACCGGGAGTGGACTCACGCCGCGTGAAGGTCGAGCGCGTTTACTTGGCGTTCTTAGGGTTCTTGGGCGACTTGGCCCAGAGAGCGGCGACGGCCTTGAACTTCTCCTTGTGAGGGCGGGGGTCCGACTTGAGCTTGGCGAGCTCTTCCTTCATGAAGACGTTGTAGGGCGAGCTGCCAAAGAGAGAGCAAGCGTCAGCGGTGAGCGTCAAAACGCGTCAGTGGATGGATGGGTCGTGCGCGGCGCGTCTTGGGTTCGCGGGCCAAGGTGGAGACTGGAAAAGTCCTTATTCTTGATGGCGACCAAGAAGGCGGCCGTGGTGCTTCTAAATGGACTCACCTCTTCTTCTTGCCACCAGCGGCAGCAGCAGACGACTTCTTGGGAGGCATGTTGGTAGTGCGAAGTGTGGATGTGTGGTAGTAGTCTGTCGACTTGACTCAGAGGCGAATCCGTTTGTGGGGGACGGGTTTGCTAAGTGGTGGTAGTCCTATAGGCCTGGGGGCGGGCACTAAGTGTCTTTCTTATAGGAGAGAGGGCATGGACAGCCCTAGCCAGCCCCGCTTGCTCACTGAGCGCGCCCTTTCTTTTTTTTTTGTTCGACTTATTCAAATAGTGGCCCCCGGTTCGTCAACTTAGTCTAACTCGCGCGCACTATGGCACTGTCTATGTGGAAGGGGGGGGGTCATTCATAGATAGAAGAGGGCTATGAACCGTGACTTAGCGACTTAGTGACGAGCATAGATATGTTAATCAACCTATCGGCCTTAACCTTTCATCAGGATGGGTCGTTGACAAAGGGGCATCAAACGACTCTATGTTTTAATCGGTTCTCTTTTCCTCTTCTGATCAAATGATCCCGTCCACGGCCTCGAGACACGACGCCATTTCCTGGCCGGACACGTGGGCTGCAAGGGTGGCATGGACCAGGCTATATAGGAGGGTACGACATGCTGTGCAAAAATGGAGACTGACCGAGGCTGCTGCGATTCTCGCCGCTCGCCGCCGCGTGGGCAGGCCGTCCGGCCAGCAGTGCTAATTAGCCGGGCGGAGAAGGGAGAAGCGCCCCACGATGGGAGAGTGGTCGTAGAAACAGTAGTAGTACGTAGTAGTAGCTAATACTACTGGCAGGGACCGTGTCGTGCATGAAACACAATGAATCAGCCCGCCACGAGGTATCCCGTCGGTGCATTTCCCAAGCTAGGCTTAACCTTACACATGAAATCTGCGGGCACAGACACCGACGCCTTCGGTCTGCTGGGTTGGCTCTATCGCGAGGTGATCTCAGCTCCATGTCTCGGCCTCGCCACAGAATCACACCACCTCTTCCGCTCCCCTCTTGATATCCAGGCATTGTCGAGGGCACGACGCCGCCACCATCCCTGCTGCCGAGCAAGGCGGGAGCATACTGGCCAAGAGAGCAAGGGGCGGAACTGCTGCGACTTATCGCAAAGCCATGGACGACGGCTCGGCAATCTGCTCGAAGCCAGCCTTACCCCTCTCTTGAACATCACCTCATCCTCCCCCTCTGCCATTCGCTCACAACTAGGTGCAAGGACAACGGACAAGACACACACAGAGAGAGAGAGAGACGGAGCTAGAGAGCGTTCGGAGTCGCGCGTTCTTCCCGTCGGGAGCAAGGAAGGCAAAGGTCGAGACGCTCCGACTTCCCTCGCTCCCACGGGTTGACTATCAGCCTTGCGGCCTGGTCTCTGATCTCTGTTCTCAGACCACGTCCTTTTCTAGTGACATTCAGGGCTCTGCCTCGGGCGCCCCCAAACGAGAGCACCGACAATGCTGCGCAGCGCGACTAGCAAGCCCTCGACTTCGGCCTCGTTGTCGGGCGTAGGGCCAGTGGGAGGATTAGGAAGCGGGCAAGGCGAAGAGACGATCAGCGCACTAGATGGCCAGCAATCCGTCCCCAATCTAGGCCTACATAGCGCTGCAGCGACGGGCAACATCGGCCTGGTCAAGTATGCCCTGGAGAATGGCCAGCCAGTGTCAAGCCTTCTCAACGGCCTCTTACCCCTACATGCGGCCAGTGCCGGGGGCAACGAGACAGTCGTCCGATTCCTGCTCTCGTACGGCGCCGACGTCAATGCTGTTCGCGAAAGATCGCAGAGGGGATCGTCCAGCCAGCCAGGCATGGGCGCCGAGGGCTCCACCTCGCTCCATTTTGCCGCCGCCGAGGGCCACCTCGGCGTCATTCGACTTCTCCTCGACAGAGGTGCCCGGCCTGCCGAACAGGACAGGAACGGCGTCACGCCAGAGATGCTCGCAGCCGACAACGGCCACGCTGCCTGCGCCTCTCTGCTCAGGTCTTGGCAGGCAGCCTATGGCCCCAATGGGCTTGCCGACGTCCTCGCTGGACCATCAGCAGGGCCGTCGTCTTTTGCGGGCGCCGCAACGCCGCCGACGCTGGGGCTCGATGGGGCGTCGTCCAATGGCCGAAAGGAGTCTCAGGCCGTGCGCAGCCAGCGGTCTTTCGACCACCTCTCCCTAGCCGCGGCAGGCGTAAAGGCGTCGCTCTTGGCACGGAAGAATCATGCGCTGGCCAAGGTCAGCTCCAACCCCAACCTCAAGAGCGCAGCAGCGACGACCTCTCCGCCCACGCCGCCGCCACCGCTGCCCACGCCACCGCTGGAAGCGACAAGGCGACAAGGTCAGGCTCCCTCCTTTGCGCAGATGCCAAGCCCCGAAGAAGGAGCCAATGCCACCGCGCTTCACTTTCTCGCACCCCATAACAAGAGAAGACCTTCGCTGCCTTCGATTTTCGAGCGAGCAACACATCCAACGGCCTCGCTGCGAGCCGCTCTGGGAGGCTCGTCATCGTCCAGCCTGCGAACAGAGGTGGACGCCGACGCCGGCGCCGGCAGTGCAGGACCCCCCACAGAAGCAGATCCCCTGGGCTACAACGTCAACATGACGACGCCGCCGAGTCCTCTCCGCCACAACATCCTCGGTTCCAAGAGGAGCTTTTCCAACATTGTGCGCAAGGCTACGGGCGGCGTCTCTTCGCACAATCCGTCGACGGTCGAGCTGCCGTCATCGACGCCCAAGACGACCCCCGAATCGAGCCGGCTGCTGCGCAGTCGTCCCAGCGAAGCATCGTTGGCTTCAGAAACGGGCGCCTTTTCGAGACGCAACGGCGGCGGCAGCAGCAGCCGTAGCGCTCAGGCCGACTCTGCTTCGCTCTTGGACTCCTCCTCGTCGACACCGCCGCCGCCGCTCCCGCCCGAACGGGCGTTTGGCTCTCCTTCCACGAGAGCGGCTGCTGCTGAAGTTGCATCAACTGCTTCGCCGAGCCGATCCTCAAGACCGTCGCCTCCTCTCTCTCAACACGTTGTTGCCTCGCCACCGCAGATGCGCAGAGATTTGGACTCAGATGACTCTAGAGGATCTGCCCGTCAAAGGTCTCGAACCACATCAGGCGCCGGACAGGAGATGCTCCGAGTCGCAACGGACCCTCCGACACGCACCGAAGGTGTGCCTTCGCGGTCGCAGAGCTCGGATGGTGCAGAGGACGGCGCATTCGAGGATGCACAGGAGTTTCTCGGTACGCCGATCAGTGGCGATGTGGAAGCAGGCAGATTCACGTCGACGAGGAGAACACCAGATGGGGGCGTGCGCCAGATTGCGCAGCGTTCCAGCTCTAGAGTCACAAGCCCTCGAGTCACCACAGACTCACTCCCCTTCTTGTCGCAAGAGACGGCGATCTCTTCCGGACCGAGCATTGAAGGCGGCGTTGGCGATGATGGTGCCTTTCCGCATCAGACGCTTCACAAGCCTCGGTCGATGGGATCAATCTCGACGCACACGCGGTCACCTACTGCCCGGAGTCAAAGCCAGCAGACCTCCTTGCCCACCAGGACTTCGCGAGCCGGCAGCATGGCCAGCAAGGCTTCGTCCTCTTCTCTGGTCTCCCACACAGCCTCAGACCATGCCCAGGCCATCCTGCGGAGCGCCGACCAATACGCGGCGGACGGCAAGATGCACAACGAAGACGGAACTCAGGTCAGCCTGACGCAGATGCTAGCCGCTTACGGCGAGGCGCTGGCGCTAGAGAGGGGCACCGCTTCTTCGGTATCATCGAGCGGGCATTCCGTCACGATGAGCCCCCTGCGAAAGCAAGCCAGCATTGCTTCGCTCGGCAGCAGGGGCATACCTCTGCGCAGCGTGCAAGAAGACGAGGATCGCCCGCCGATGCCTTCGTCGAATCCTCCCACGTACCCACGGTCGCTCTCTGAGTCGACTGCAAATGGCCCTTCTGCGGTGCATCTCCAGCCGTCAAAGTCTGTGAATCCTCGAGCGAGAGCCAGAAGCATCGAAGGTGGCGATGCAGCCCATGCAACCAGCAGCACCTCTGGTGCTCGCGCCCGGAACAAGGTGCCGCAGATGACCCTGCGCGAGATATTTTCTGCCGGTGAGTAAGCAACTCGTGTCGATGCGTGCATTCAGTAGCTCATCCTGCGACGAGACAGACGATACTCCACCGACGAGAGCGCCACCCTTGGAAGGCCCTCACAATGTGGTGGAAGAATACGGCCTGACGCATCTCGTGAAGAAGCCCAGCAACAGCGCACTCAAGTCCCGCGGCACAACAGACGAATTGATTTGGGACGAACCGAGCAGCGCTAGAAGTCTGCTTTCGCGCGGCCTCAGCGACTCCAATTCGCGCTTCAACCGATCCGACCACTCTGTCCAGGCACCCACCAGCGTGGGGACTAGCCCATACTACTCCCCCTCGACTCCAGTGTCGCCTGCGTCTGCCTATTTTGGAGAGAGCAGCACGAGCACGTCGACCTCGGCAACGACGGCGGGGGCACCGGCGCCTGTGCACAAGCACAGTCCCTCCCTGCCCACTGACCTGGGGACTTTCTCGCGTGATTCTACCTTCGCACAAGGGTCCAATCTTGAACCGCGAGTTTGGGGCTCCCGAGTGCATCACACCGCTGTGTCGCCCGCTACGCATGCGACCAAGGACGGCAGCACGATCTCTGATCGGCGCATAAAGCATTCACGAAGGCCACCGACAGCCGAGTCACAGAGCTCCGAAGAGCAGCACGTCACGAGCGCAGGCAAGCCCAATTCGACGTCAGGGAAAGCTGCGCGTTCGTTTACAGACCTGACGATGCCGCTGAATGCTGCCGCTCGTGGAACGCAACAGCGGCCTGTCGAGCAGATGGACTCCCGGCAGCAGTCGAGCACGAGCCTTGCAACCTCTTCTACAGCCTCAACATCAGCCTGTGGAAGCAGCAGCAGCAGCAGCAACTACAGCAGCGGGCCCCTCTCTACTGCGCGACCATCGGCGACCAATTCGCCCTTCCAGCCTTTGCCACCGGTCGCCTCGGCCTCCACACCCACCTCCACCACCTTTCCGAGGACCTCGTCGTCTCCGCCTGCACCGAAAAAGAAGAGCACGATGAAGGCCTTTCTTAGCGGTATCCGGCAGAATGTCTCAAAGTGAACCCCCTCTCAGCCACCTTTTCTTTACTACCTCTTGGTCGCTCTCGGGTACCTTGACAAGACGCTGGTAAACCTACATTCTTTTCCTTTTCCTTTCACCTTTCACATGAAGAAGCCCGCATTGACAACGCATCTCTTGTACCATAAGCCCTCTTCACTCATTCATATCTCGATGGATCTCCCGTCGGCATGCATCATTTACCCCTTCATCGTTGTGGGTGACAAATTTCTTTCGGAATTCGGACTCCTTTTTCGTTTCCATTTTTATTTTTTTTTGGTCTCTTGAAAAGCCCTTCTTGATCAGGCGTGTTCTTCCTTCCTATTCGCAACAAACAACAAAGGCACGGATGAGAGGATGAACGGACGCACAGGGAAGAGCCTGCAGGACAAGAAGTCGGCGTCGACGACGACGCTCCCTGCCGTGCTTCGCGAGGAGCTCGGGCTCGGTTCGCCCCGCCCTTCTGGGGGCACTGGCCGTCCCGTCAATGCTTCTCGAAGCGGCCGCGGTGGCCGTGGTGGGCGCGGCGGAGGAGCAGGCAGGCCTCAGACGGCGCGGACTGGGTCGGGCTCGAGAAAGGATGCCAGGAGGGCGCAGCGGGAGGGCAAGAAGGAGGCGCGGCGGCAGCACTTTGGCGGCGCTGCCGGTGGTAGTGGAAAGTCGTTGTCGTCGTCGCATATAGAAGGGCGCGAGGCTGCCAATGGGGGCAGAGGCTCGCAGTTGAAGGTGATTGGAAAGGGACGGAGCGCCCTGGCTGGGATGGAGGGCGCTAGAATGAGGAGGGAAAGAGAAGAGACGAAGAGAAAGGAGAAAGAGGAGCGGCAGGCGCAGGAGAAGAAGGAGATCGAGAAGGCGAATCGAGACGCCAAGGGGAAAAGAAAGGCTCACCTTGAGCCAGATGGAATGGAGAGGAAAGAGGAAAAGAAAAGTAGAAAGAGTGTGCAGTTTGCAGACGATGTCGAGCTCGCGGAGGACAAGAGTGCCACCAAAGAAGAGGAGGACAGTGGGCGACAGCGAAAACACGTCGGGCAAGGCGAGATGACACCGCTCGAGCGCATGCTAGCGCGGGCTGGGCAAGGCAGCAGTGGCAGCGCCGCCGAAGAGGTGGGGGCCACTGGCGGAAAAGACGGAAAGAAGAAGGCCAGGAGGAGGATGCTGACGACCGCGGAGAAGAACGAGGAGGACGAGATTGCATGGCTCGAGGCGAAGCTGGGCATGAGAGGCAAAAGCAAAAAGTCTGTCAAGAAGGGAAACGTTGCAGGAGAAGAAGACGACGATGAAGCCGCTGAGGACGATGACGGACTGGGAGGTGAGTATCAGCTGGAGCACTAGGCTAGTAGCAAGAGTGCGGCGCTGATGCGGACATGATGCGTAGGCTTTCTCGACGAGCTCGATCGATTCTATCCGGGCATGTATTCGGGAAGCGAGGGAGACGATGAGGAGGACGATAACGGCGAGTCTGATGAGGAGGAAGACCTCTCAGAGGATGAGGAGGATGCAGATACGGACAGTGAGGATTTTGTAGAGGAGAGCGAGGAAGGAAGTAGCGACGAGGAAGATGATCTTGAAGGAGATCAAGAATCGGACGACGAATCACTGTCCGGCGACGGCGACGAAGAAGAAGATATCTCGGCAGATGACAAAGGCGAGGAGGAGCAGGGCCTCGCTGAGTCTCGAGAAGAGCATGATCACGATGTCCACAGTGGAGACGTTGCCAAAGAGCAGACAGCTTCGACAAGATACATCCCTCCAGCCCTTCGCAAGGCAAATGCTGCCAGCTCCAACGTACCTTCGCTGGAACAGCAAAAGCTTAGACGGCAGCTCAAGGGTCTCCTCAACAGGCTAGGCGACGGCAACATCGACACGATCCTTGGAGAGATCGAAGGTGTATACCGACAGAGCAGCCGTGCGGAAGTCACAACTTGTCTCACAGACCTCATCATCGAGACGGTGGCGTCGAGTGCGAACCTCATCGACACGTTTGTCATTCTCTACGCCGCCCTTACCGCTTCGTTGCACCGCGTAGTCGGCCTTGAATTCGGCGCTTCGTTTGTTCAGACACTCGTCGAAAAGTGGCTCGGGCATGTCGAGAAGGTCCGTGGTATCAAGAGTGATTCCATTCTCGATGAAGGAAAGGAGTGCATCAATCTTCTCGTCTTGCTCGGCCACCTGTACAACCTTTCCGTCGTCGCATGCCCTCTGGTGTACGACATCGTACGCCACATTCTCGGCGTAACAAGAGGCGAGACTGCACCAGAGGGGACGATGCTGGAAGTCGACGTAGAGATGCTGCTCAAGCTCATGCGTGTATGCGGGCCTCAGCTACGCCACGACGATCCATCCTCGCTCCGTTCCATCATTCACCTGGCCCAGCAACGTACCACAAATGCCAGTTCAACCTCTTCTCGCGCGCGCTTCATGATTGAAGCGCTACAGGATCTAAAGAACAATCGGACGAAGGCCACAGCAAATGACGCGAGCGTCCAGAGCCTGGCGCGAATGAAGAAGTATCTATCGTCGCTGTCAAAAAAGCACGCAGTCAGGACGCAGGAGCCCCTGAGGGTCACACTAGATGACCTGCGTGACGCCGAGAAGAAGGGCAGGTGGTGGCTAGTCGGGGCCGCTTGGGCGGGGCACGCACGCGACGAGGAGAGTGGACTCGGGTCCAACATCGACCGAAGCAAGAAGCAAGCACGACAGCAATCAGAAGGAGAGCAAGATGAAGAGATGGAGAGGTTGCTGGCCCTGGCAAAGCGACAGGGCATGAACACGGACGCGCGAAGAAGCATCTTTCTCGTCTTGCTGCAGAGCCAGGACTATCTCGACGCCAGCAGACGGCTTCTCGCACTGCGGCTCAACGAGACGCAACGGAGAGAGACTATCCGTGTGCTGCTACACTGCATCGGTGCAGAGAAGAGCTTCAACCCCTACTACGCCCTCGTGGGACAGCAACTCGCCATCGACGATGGAGGCGCCAAATTCACGATGCAGTACTGCCTGTGGGACTTCTTGAGGAGTTTGGGCCAGAAGGAGTGCGGCGGCAAGAGCTTCTCGGTCGATGACGACGAGGAAGGAGACGGATTCGATCATGATGGGCAAGAGCAGAGCTCGACAAAGGTGGAGAATGTTGCGCGAGCCTACGCCTGGTGGTTTGCAAAGGGCTCCATCAGCCTCTACGTCCTCAAGCCAATCGACTTCACAGCCCTCAAGCCAAAGTCGACGACTTTCCTCCAGCTCCTCTTCATCCACCTGCTCCTTTCCGTTCAGTCGACTTCTCCGGCGCTGACGCTATCTCTATCGCGCCTGGCAGATGCAAGGGCAAGAGACGAGGAAGCAGAAGTCAAGGGCACGCCAGACCAACGTGCCGCACTCGAGTCCCTCTTCGTCCGCGGCCTGGCGACGAACACGGTCCTCACGCGCGGCTTGGCCCTGTTTGTGCAACAGAATGTCGCAGGAAAGGCACCCAAGATGGCACGCGACAGGTTGGGTGCAGACAAGGTGTCCGTCGCGAGGCTCAAGTGGGCCTTGGGCATCGTCAAGCAGGTCCTCAGCGTCGGTGTGGAAGTAGCTCGATGATGCAATTTGATTCTGTACTTTTACATGCAATTCACACATTCCTACTTTGAATCTTCTTGCTCGTCCTCAGTCTTGCGCCTTTTGCTGCTGGCTTCGACGATTGCCTTCCGTTTGGCCTTGTCGTTCTTCCTTGGTACGCTCCCGGCCGCCACCTTGACGGCTTCTCTCTTTGGCGCAGCCTTCTTGAGCCTCTTCTTCTCCTTCTTGCTCGCATTTGGCAGCTTCACCATCCACTCAGGTACCTCGCACCCGCTCTGCCTCATGACATTGACCACGGCCTTTAGGTGGGTTGCATCTTCTCTCGCAAAGAATGTCACCGCTTTTCCCTTCCGGCCCGCTCGGCCTGTGCGTCCGATCCGGTGAATGTAGCTCTGAACGCTCTGAGGAAAGTCGTAGTTGATCACCAGATTGACGCCCTTGAAATCGATGCCGCGTGCCAGAACCTCTGTGCAAATGAGGACCCAGATCTGGCCCTTTTTAAAGGCAGACACGACGGCCTCGCGCTGTGACCGAGGCCGATCGCCATGAATGACGTCGACGTGCACGCCATCATAGACGAGCTCCTTGAAGAGCTCCTGTGCGCGCTGGATCGACTGAACAAAGATGAGGACCGGCGGCTTGAGCTCGCCCCTCTGCACCAGGGAGCGCAGGCCCAGCAGCTTTCCTTCCTCCGACGCCACGTACATGAGCTCTTGGTCGACTGTCTCGACGGCGCCGTCCTTTTTCCCTACCAGAATCCGGCATTCGTCGACCATGAATGTCTTTGCAAGCTCCTCTATACCAGACGGGAGCGTCGCACTCGTCAGGGCCTTGCGCAGCTGAGGATGTGTGCAGGCCGCCAGGATGGAGTCGGTCTGTTGGAGGAAACCCTCGTCCAGGAGTCGGTCCGCCTCGTCCAGCACCAGGTAGCGCACCGCCGAAAGGTCCACCTCTTCCTCTTCGATGGCATGAACGAGCCGCAGGGGAGTTGTGATGAGCACGTCGTACTTTTTCTTGCTGGCCTCTTGCTTCTGGTTCTTTTCCGCCTGCGTCGGCTTGGTCAGGACGTTGATTTTCCATTTGCGTCCATCTCCCAGCCTCCTCAGCTGCTCGTGGATCTGTGTGGCCAGCTCATTGGTTGGGCACACAACAACGGCACGGTACCCTTCCTTCTTTGCAGGAGCGCCGAGGTGATGTAGGAGCGGGAGCAGATAGGTGAGCGTCTTGCCCGAGCCCGTGGGAGCGCCAACCAGCGCATCGCGATTATCGAGCATGACGGGCATCGCGCCGCGCTGGACCGCTGTCGGGTGCCTCCACCCGAAGCGGACGAGGTTGTCGATCAGATAGTCCTCCACGCGCCACCGCTCCTTGAGATTCTGCCAAGCGCTGCCCACGAGGGGCATCGGCACGTCGGTGCCAGTCTGCTTGATTTTGTGGTGGCGGAGGTACGAAGCCACATTGGCCTTTGTGATGATTACCTCGCCCTCCCCATCTCCGCTCTCCTCTACTCCTTCATCACCCGTCCCTCCCTCATCCTCATCCTGTTCCACGACTGCCCCTGCCTTCCCTTTCTGGTCTCCAAAGAAGTCAAGCTCCTCCGGCAAGCGCTCCTCGGTGCTCCCTCCAACGCCCCTCTTTCGTTTCTTCCCGTCCGACATGGCCGATGCACTTGAGCTCCCTGGTCGATCTTTGCCTCTCGGTGAAAAGAGATCCATGTCCGCACCAAACCGCTTCCGGTCGAAGCCGGACCCAAGGCCCGTTGTGAGGGACTTGAAGATGTCCATGCCTAGCCTTGATCGGTATCTAGATGCGAATCCTCACAAACGCGAGCCAAGGAAAAAAAAACCTGTCCTCAACCGTAACTTCCAAAAAAAGTTTCCAATTTCGGAATTCGGGAGTTCGCACGTGTGGCTGTTGTATCATGGTGACGGTGAAGCATTGGATACAAGTACAATTGTGTTGCAGGCAACTTTCGATATGTGACAGAAGGAGCAATGAGATATGGGTGCAAGGATGATATGCAGAAGGTACTGAGGCCTAAGCGGCTCCGCTCAAATGCCGATGCAGACTCGGAGGCATCAACAGCTCGAAGTCCGCCGGCACGGGGTAGTCCTCGCCGACGAGGGCCTTTACCGCCATGCACAGCCTGTCGAGCCTGAGCACGATTCCAAAAGCGACACTGACACCCACGGCAAATGTCTGGTACTTTTCGCTAGCGAGCGTCTCAAATGTAACGTGTCGGGGCAGTTCCAATTCCTCTCGGTCGCGTTCTTCATTGTGCAGATCCTCGACTCGGGCACGAGTAGACCGACAACGGAGGACCTCGAAGCTGTGGCCGACAGAAATGAATCTGTCCAGCAACACCGGCACAATCTGCGGTAGCGGTGTGGCGGAGCGGAGTGCCGTTGTGCTCATCGTTAGCACGGCAATGCAATCCGCCAGGAAGAGAGGGTCCAAAAAGCGGATCCTGCGCAGAAGGGCCCTCGAATAGACCGGACCCAGGTGGTCGACAATGGTGACGGCGTGGGATAGCAGCCTTGACAGCTCCATCTCAATTCGAGCAAGATCGTCGTAGCGCGATGCCGGCCATTTGCCACGGAGTGACCACTCATAAACGACGTTGACTTTGAGCACGGCGAGGCGCCTCATCTTCTGCCGTAGTGCAAGGAGCTGCTTAGTCGCTTCTGCCGAGGTCATGACATCGGTCGATGACGCGGGTGCAGCAGCAATAGTGATGAAGTGGCAATAAAGTCTGGTGGTCTGGGCCACGATTGTCGCATGGCTGATGCGGACGTATTTGCGCAAGGTGCTGCTAGGAGGCAGGATGGCCATAATGTATGCAGCCGTGGTACCGATGAGGACCTCGACAAATCTGCGCCAAGCCACTGACCAGCCAATGCCCGGGCTTCCCGGAGAAGGATTGGTGGCATCCTTCCAGGAGTAGCCCACAATGAGCGATGTCGTGACACAGGTGATGATCGTCGTAATGGGAGGTCCTGGGTAGTAGATGCGACCGAGCATGAGGAAAGAGAAGCCAAAGGCGCCCACGACGGCCAGAGCAAAGGGGTTGGCCACCCCACTTCCAGACGCAATGTACCAGATCAAGAGACCGAAGATGGCGCCAACAAATGTTGCCATCAAGCGCGAGATAAGACCGAAGGCCACCTCGCCTCTGTGGCGAGCCGTGCAGAGCTGTGCCATAATGACAACCCAGATGGCCTTGTTGTTGTACGCCCACCCCGCCGACGAGCTGACCATCGAAGGAAGCGCCGTAAGAATTGTAACTGCGCCAGCCTTGATGCAGAAGAGCGAGTGTCCGCGGTAGAGCTGATGGAGAAAGTCCGAGAGGCCTGGTCCCAATTCGTCATCAGCACATGCACCCTTTGTCCAAAGAAGCCCAGTCTAGCAACTCACGAATGCCAATTTCCTGCCATACTGATTCGCTTGGCATCGCATCTGGGTTCCTTGCCCGCGTCTTTCCCAGGCTCGATGCCATGCCGGGGATGGCGGTCGGATCTTCGTCCTCGTGGTCGTCATGAGACGTGGAAGCCTCCCCGATGTTCCTCCATGTGTCAATGCTGAGCAACTTGGGCCAAGCTGGCAACCAGAAGCGCCAGTACCGATTATTCTCTTCGATAGATGCAAGGTATTCCAGTATTTTGATGAGACGAAGGCTGTATTCCTTCTCAAAGAAGAGGAGCGTGTATGCCTGATAGAGGTACCGGTGTGGCACCTTTTCTGTGACCTCGTCACTGTCGCTGACGCTAGCCCGGAAGGGCTCAATGACCGCCGACTTGCGCGCGTCAAATTCAGCGATGCGCCTTCGCAGCTCTTCGACATGGTATGATGTTGACTTGGTCGGCTGGCTTGGGTCGTTGACGAAGTTTGACCTGCTGTCCCCCAGCTTCAGAAACCAGTCGCGGAGCTTTTGAAAGCGTTGGTGGTTGAGCGTATGCAGCCAAGATTCGATATGGATGATTGCCTCGGCCTGCGCTTGCTGGAGGTCGCCGCTTGCTGCGCCAATGTTGCTCATACACAATTCAATATACCGATCGTTGCTCGGTTTGTGCAATTCGATCTCGACAGCGGCATATCGAAGCGACTCCCATATGCCGACGGGCGCCAGCGGACCACCGTTGCTATCCTCATTCTGAACATGGCGACTGTGATGACTATTATGATGATGACCACCCGGCCAATGCCATGGCGTGCGCCCGTGGCGAAGGGAAGGTGTCGGCGAAGGCGAGGGTGAGTCGGATCGAAACAGGCTCGCGGGACGCAACCGCTCCGACAGCCGATGCACATGCGACGTGCTCTCATGCTGGTGCGCCGTCGTCATGGCCGAGTCTACCTTCTTGCCCTCCTCCATGACCCGAGGTTCAGGCTCCTCTCCAGCAGGTGTGGAAATTGGTGGAGTGCCTGGACGGCTAGGCGCGGGCGTATGAGCAGGAGTGGTAAAGCGAGAGAAAGTAGTTGGATCGATGGGGAATCTCGTGCGCTGAATGTCGGACTTGATCATGCTCAGATAGAAAGCGACACCATCGACAGGCGTCAAGAGCAGCCTAGTGAGCCTCTCCAATTCCTTCAACTCGACGCCGCTGCACAGGCCGAAGGAAAGCTCCCTCGTCAGGAGCCGAGCAGATGAAGTGAGGGGCAGCAGCCCAGATTCAGCCCCAGAGACCTTGTCCTTGACGAGGTCGAAGTTGAAGTCGGCGTCAAGCGGTGATCGCTGAAAGAGAGCTTTTCGCTCGGTGCTCGCAGCGCCGAGGGGCCCGAGGACCTTGGTCAATCGCTCGACGAATTCGGAGTTGACGGACTTTGGAAAAATGAGGAGGGATCCGACGATGTTTAGGCCCGACTTGATTGCCAGAGGCACGATCACAGTTTGGCCGAGCGAATACATCGGGTAGGGAAACAAGGGCGCGTAAATGAGCGTGATGTCGATCATGATGCAGGCGAGAATGGTGGCAAAGATGAAGGGCGAAGGGCCGAACTTGACCTTGAGGTACAACGCTGCTGCAGCGCCGACGGCAAGAAAAGCACCACAGATGGCCGTCGGGGATGTCTCTATGTAGTCACCCGCAAAGACTCGCGCCAAAGACACCTCGCTCATCGGCAACTTGTACTTTGTGCGGGAGACATGGGCGAGCTTGATACCGATGCATGCATATGCCCAGCTCACGGAGAGGAGTAACATCGTGAAGAACTCGCGCTCGAGGACGGCGACCAGGGCCAGCTCGGCCGGTTGGATGAAGATACCGACGAGGATCAGGAAGCTCGCATTTCCCATCATTACCTCGACTGGGTGGATGATGAACAGGACGAGGCAGACCCAGGCGACGATGCTCGACCTGATCCACGGCTTGACCTTGGACCAGTCGCGGATTGTGGGCCACACCCACGCCACCTGCGCCGGCACCTCAAGATGGCTTGACAGCCATCTTTTCCACTTGCTCTCATCGCCATCCTTCTCAGCCTTGCCATCCTTCTTTTTCGCTTCCTCTCTGATGCCGCTGTCTTTGTCCTCGATCTTTTCCTTCTCGGCGGCGTCCGACGACGCAGGCGTGCGCTGCTTGGCCTCCTCCTCTGGCCCAGCAAACTCGACGTGGTGCTCGCCGCTGTGCCTTGTTTCGCTCATGCAGCAATTTTCATGTGTTGGTGGTCGTCGCCATGTCAGAAGCCAAATCGACTGCAGGCGAAAATAAACCCTAGCCCGAAGGCACCCCCGGTCGGCATCTCCACTAAGTAAAACCTTACATCCGCGGGAAGGGCCACCACGTGTTTCCTTAAAGGTACCCAACTTGCTTCGACATTTGCTATGATGACAACATCAGTCTCTGCCATGTCTAATCGAGAGCCTCTAAGCCGCCAGCTTCCTTGCCTCTCTTAGCCACAGCGCACTCAATTCAGGCTTCAAGATGGCTTCGAAGCGCTCGCAGTCCAATTGCGGCTACCACACGCGCGCTCGCTCGTGTCCGCACTCTGGTAAATCTCTCGACTTGGCGCGTCATTCTGCATCTGCACCCGCAGGAAGAAGCAGAAACCAAAAATAAAAAGACTTGGAAAAATTAGAGAGTGCTTCTTCCTCCTGTCGTGAAGCATTAGCATAGCAACACCTTCAATCAGCCAAGGTCCGCGTAAGAGGATGGAGGACCGGAGACCGCTAAGCGGCGTCTCTTTGGCGTCTGTCGCGTCTTCGTCGGCGTCGTCTTCGCTGAGAAACGAGCGGGTGCGGTTCCTCATCGTCCGACATGGCGAGACGGACAGCAATGTCGCTGGCATCATCCAGGGCCAGCTTGACACGGACCTCAACGCGCGGGGGAGAAGACAGGCTGCCCAGGTTGGCAAGGCCCTTAGCACCGTCGACATCGACGAAGTGTACAGCAGCCCGCTCCGACGAGCTGCCGACACGGCGAGGGCCATTGTCGAGGCTCACCCAAAGCAGGCGCGTCTCCCCGTCTGGTTCGATGACCGCTTCAAGGAGAGGGGCTTCGGCAGCCTCGAAGGACGGACGTATGACCGGTCCAAGCCCAAGCGAGATTCCATCGATGGCATTGAAAAGTCAAACGAGTGCGTCCCTCACTGATCCTGCCTTAGTTGATCTGATCAAGGTGAAAGCTTACCTTCTCTCGGCCAGCTTTATGCTCCGGCTAGCCTCGCTCTGGACAGATATTCTCAGTGGACCTGCACCCTTTCGGGGCGCCGAAAAGCTCGTGCACACTCGTCAGGCAGACTTTGGAGCAAGCGGAAGCAGTGGAATGCCCCTGGTCCGTCGTTCGCTCGACCGATCATTGGACCATGGCGGGTGCAGCCGGACGGTGCTCCTCGTTGGTCACGGTGCTGCCATTGGCGCTCTCGTAGGGTGGGTCGATCGACCTTGAGAATGCCCTCGTGAGGATTGCTGAATCTTGTTCTGCCAACCCACAGAAATGTCCTGCTGGACACCGGTCTCGCCAAGCTGGGTGCTGGCATTTCTCGCACGCGTGTCTGGAACTGCAGCATCACCGAGCTGCAGCTCGATCTCGACTCCCTCGAAGTGCCTGAATCTTCCAGCTCCCAGTTGATCAGCAATGGTGTCCTGCCGACACGCCCGCCACCACCGAGCTTTGCAGAGCATGCGCCTGGCGCAAAATTCTGGTGGACCCTCGGCGCCTCTACCTCATCAAGCGGCAAGGGCGCTGCGGCTGGCAACCCGCCGCGAGGGAGGAGAGATTCAAGGGACTGCGGCGCTGCGTGCGACGCACCTTTTCTCGTTGAGCGCTGGGCCGATGTGAGGCACCTGCCCGAGGACGACGAAGAGGATCAAGAAGGGGCCAGAGTCAACGCAGACGAGCTGGCCAATCGAGCGACATGAGTCTTACGCCCTTCCCGGATGGCTGCATTTAGAGTACTTTATTAGAATACATGGGGTAGTGTCTCTTTCTTGCTAGGAAGTGCCGTTTGCTTCCACCGGTCTGAGCCGTGCGACGAGATTCTGCGATTCTTCATTGTTTCGCAAGAGGTTGCGAAGCGCAAAGATGGCCCTCTCCCGAATATCTGATCCGTTTGCCCGTCGCAATTAGCACCTTTCTCGTTAGAGGAATGGGAGTAAACCAAGGACTCACAAGGGTTTCGCTCATCGAGCTGGGTGAGGTTCATGACATCGAAGAGGCCACCCTTTTCCCTCGTTGTGTCCTGCACGATGCGGACGCTCTCACTCTCACTCTCCTTCTCTTTCTCCGTGGGAGTGGGAAGCGATCGATAGAACGAGAGCGTGCCCAAAAGACTGACGAGATCACGCTTCAGGTTGTCCATCCCCGGTCTGCTGCCATCGTTGCTCTTCGATACGCCTGCTGCTCCTGCTGCTAAGGTAGCAGCGCCCGTTTGCGAAAGAGCATGTCCCTGCGGAGGTTGCGAGACAGGCGTCGCCGCCGTCGACTTGAAAGGCGAGATAGCAGGCGAGAACTCCATCGTTGTATGGAGGAGCGCTGTTACCCATTCCAATCGTTAGTCACCAGAAAGATCGTCAGGAAAGACGGTAGCAGAAAACTAACATATCAAAGTGCCGACAAAGATTTGCGTCCGCATGAGACTGAGGATCGACTGGGCGGGACTCGGAGCTGAAGAGGACACGATTGACATGCTGAGCTGGATGAGGCACTGGCAAAGAAGGACGAGGCCGACGTGCACCTCGACAAGGCGAGCGTCGGGCTTGGCTTCGTCTGGTCCGGCGTTGATCACGTCTTGCATCGAACTTTGCGCCCAAGTCGCCAGTTTGGTGAATGCATCGAGGAGAGACTGGGCATCATCTTTACCCACCGAGGCATGCTTTTGTTGAAGCTTCGCATCGAGGAGCTTCAGCAATGTCAGCTGCGAGGCAGAGACGAGGGAATGTTCTTCGTTGATTGGCGCCAAGCTACTGTAGGCCTTGTCGAAGAGACCTCTGTCCATTATATTGTCGAAGATGGCAAAGAGGACTCCGAGATTCTCCATTCGTGTCCTTCTCTTTTTCGTGAACGAGTCTTCTAGTGGAACGGCGAGACCGGAGTCGTTATCGTGTAAGACTTGCTCTTCGGCACCCTCTTCCTCGTCTTCGTCCTCTTCAACGTGGGATTGGGCAAGATCCAGAAGACAGCGCATAAGCGTGGCACCAGCAGACTTCTGCACTAGAATTTCACTACGAGCCCCGCTGTCGACAGTGGTATTGAGGACGAGGACCTGCGACGCGGCCGAGGTGCCTTGGTCTGGTGATTGCAACAAGCGACTGCAACTCTCGTAAGCATCACTTTAGTCCTCGTATGATAGCCGCCGCTGCTCTTTCCACTCACATGACCAGGTCTACTCCGTCCCTTGTGGTGCCCTCTTTGATCCTGCCTATCCCCAACGCATCGCTCCACAATCTCCCTTGCAGCTCGTCGTTTTGCGTCACGAGATTTGACAGAAGCTGCACGAGCGTGCGCGATAGTAGCCGCGCTGGGACGCATGACGGTCATCAGTGAGACAGGTACTGCTCAATAATCTATCTTTACACACCATCATCGTTGTCTTCGAAGGTAAATGTCGTAGTTTTCCAGAGCGTTGCAACAGCTGACGCTGCGACACAACTGTGGGCATGCATTCGATTTGAGCTTATTGCACTTGGATTGACAGCACCAAGACTCTCACAAGCAGCACTTTTGAGCCTCTGTATCCCCCACAATCCCGTTCCTCAAGATCCGCGCGACAAGTGCCGCTGTTCGCATCCCCTCTGCCTTCGAGACGGCCTCCTCCCATCTTGCAGAGGCTGAGAGCGCCAGCTCCGGTCCCCGCCCCATCAGCGCCCTAAATCTCCCTCTGTCCACTTCGGACCGAGCCAGACGCCTTGCCATCTCCTCAAGCGCCGCCTCGTCCTGGCCCTCTAAAGCTCGTTGCAGCTCCGCCTCGTCCATCGTCACTGCCTCCCAAGCTGCTTCTCGGAAGATTGCAAACGACTTGCAGGTGGAGTCGGAAACAGAAAATAAAAAAATAAAAAATAAAATAACCACGTGGGCTGTACGTGCTCGTGTGCGGCGTGCGTGTCATTCTCCACCTACGGCTGACTCTTCCACGGCTTCCATTGCTTCTAGCCACCACCTCATACCACCAGCCACCTCTACGCACCCAGCTCACAAGCGAGTCGCACAAAAGCCATTCCTCATTCGCGAATTCGCAACCTTTAACGCAAACGTGAGCCCTGTACTTCCTGCGCGCGCGAGGGAAGAGAGAGCCTGGAGCTGATATAACGCCATAGAACACCATCGAAAAAGGTTAAAAAAAAAGCCTACCAAAAGCAGCAATCATGTCGGACTGGGATGCAGTGACCGTCATTGGCTCCAAGAGCCGTCCTGGTGGAGGCGCGGGAAAGCAGGGTCCTACCGCCATCGAGCGCGGAAAGGCTGTGGGCGCCATCACGGAGAATGACCGGAAAGGTAAGCCAATCAGTTGAATTGATAATGGGAGAGGTCGGCGGTCGCTGACGTGAGCTGGAATCTTATAGTCACATCGGGCACGAACAAGGGCCACAGCGGGCCGGACCACGCCCACCTCGCCAAGCTCGACCGAGAGGACGCACCCACGGCGCCGCCCAAGGTGGCACCCACGGTCGGCAAGGCCATCGGCCAGGCTCGCCAGGACAAGGGGTGGACGCAAAAAGATCTGGGCACGCGCATCAACGAGAAGCCCCAGGTGGTGGCTGAATTCGAGAGCGGAAAGGCCCAGCCGAACCCGCAGATTCTCTCAAAGATGGAGCGCGCGCTCGGGGTCAAGCTTCGAGGAAAGGAGATTGGCCAGCCCCTGGGTGGACCTAAGAAGAAGTAGAGAAGAATAACAGGTCCCGAAAGTAATGCAGTTTTCCACTACCTAGACGAGAATTACTATATACAGCCCTAGAGGAGCGGCTACCGTTCACTTCCACTGCCTCACTCAGCCAGCTCTGTTGTGTGTGTGACACGGAGAAGGATGTCAGCAGAGTGAAAGACGAAAATTGCCATCACATTCTAACGCACCCTCGTTGAATGTCCTGCCAATGAGCATCCTTCGGATCTCTTGGGTGCCTGCACCGACGGTGTACAGCCTGGCGTCCCTCAGCAGTCGGTTGACGGGATACTCGTTGATGTAGCCGTTGCCGCCGCAGGACTGCATGGCCTCGGAGCAGACCTCGACGGCACGGTCGGAGCTGTAGAGGATCGCGCCTGCGCAGTCCCGCCGCGAGACGTGGCCTTGGTCGCAGGCGCGAGCGACGGCATAGACGTAGGCCCGGCTCGCGTTGAGCTTGGTGTACATGTCTGCAATCTTTCCCTGCATGAGCTGGAACGTGGCAATGGGCTTGCCAAACTGCTTGCGCTGGTGCGCGTAGTCTGTGCTAAAGTCGAATGCAGCCTGCATCAGGCCCAGTGGACCGCCAGACAGGACCAGACGCTCGAGGTCAAGGCCGCTCATGAGCACGGCGGCGCCCCCGTCGACCTTTCCCAGCACGTTCTCGGCAGGCACCTCGACGTTGTCAAAGATGAGCTCGCAGGTGTCGGAGCCGCGCATGCCAAATTTGTCGAGCTTCGGCGATGTCGAGAAGCCCGGTGTGTCGCGCTCGACGATAAAGGCCGTGATGCCCTTGGGGCCCTTGTCTGGTGACGTCTTTGCGTAGATGACAAACGTCGACGCGACGGGCCCGTTTGTGATCCAGAACTTGGAGCCGTTGAGGACGTAGACGTCGCCCTGCTTCTTGGCCGTCGTCGTCATGCTCACGACGTCGGACCCACTGCCTGGCTCGCTCATGGCCAGAGAGCCGACCTTGACACCCGAAATGAGGTCGGGAAGGTATTTTTGCTTCTGCGCCGCCGTGCCGTTTCGCGCGATCTGGTTAACGCACAGGTTCGAATGTGCGCCGTACGAGAGCGCCAGCGATCCCGATGCCCTCGAGAGCTCTGTCGTGGCAGAAGACGAGAGTCAGCCCAAAGTGCAAGTTCGCGAAAGAGAAAGAAAGAGAGCGCATACAGAGGCAGGACTCACCCTCCATGACGATAGTGTGTTCGAGATACCCTTTGCCCAAGCCTCCGTACTCCTCCGGGACAGTGATGCCCAGCAGGCCCATCTCTCCCAGGCTCGGCCATAGATCCATGGGCGACGTGTTTGTGCTGTCAATCTCCTGGGCGCGAGGAGCCACACGCGACTGGGCCCACGACGACACGGCGTCGCGCAGCTCGGCCTGGTCCGACGTCAAGCCCGCCAACGACTCGTTGTAAAACGTGTGCACGAGCCTGGCATGCGGACGCACCTGCCGTGTGGGTGCGACTGCCGCTCGCAGCAACGCAGGTCTTAACGGCGCCAGCCTCATGTCTGGGTGTTGTAGTAGGATTGGGATGAAGATAGATTGCGGGGGTGCGAGGCCAGGCCAGGCGAGTTGATATACTTTTTAGGCGCACGGCGGACAGGGCTCCGCGGCTTCCGCTTAGTCGCCTTCACGTGTCGACGCGAAGACAAGATCCACTTTTAAGCTCGTGTCGAACCCCTTCTTTCTCGCTTCTTTTCACAGACAAGCCGACCTCGGACGACGAACGACACGATGCCGCAACAAGAAAACAGGTACCTGAGCGCGGGAAAGGCGCTCTCCATTGTCGGTTGCCCCTTCTCCGGTGGCCAGAAGCGCGCCGGTGTCGATTCGGGCCCAAACTCGCTCGTCGATGCAGGCCTGATCCAGCAGCTCGAGGATCTCGGCTGGAACGTCGACTTTGGTGGGCACCAGCAGTTTGAGGAGGTCAACAAGCTCCTCAGGGATGGCGACCCAGACATTGGCAACATGAAGAACCCCAGGACCGTGTCCGAGGTCACGAGGCAGGTTGCCGAGACGGTCAGCGCATATGCGAAAAAGGGCCGGCTCCCACTCACGCTCGGAGGTGACCACAGTCTGGTGAGCATCTTCCTTTCTCCCCTCTCTCTTTGGACTCGTCCGAAATGCTGACATATCGCTTCTGATGTACAGGCCCTCGGGACAGTCTCGGGCTCGCTGCGTGCACACCCCGACGCGGCCTTGATCTGGATCGACGCGCACGCCGACATCAACACGCCTGCGACGACGCCCTCGGGCAATCTGCATGGCTGCCCCGTCTCGTTCCTCCTCGGCCTGCCAGGCACTGACGTGGAGCCATTCAAGAGCTGGCTGCCTGCCTCACCGCTCCTCAAGTCCGACTCGCTCGTCTACATTGGCCTGCGCGACATTGACTCAGGCGAGCGCAAGATCCTGCGCGAGAACGGCATCAAGGCATTCAGCATGCACGAAGTCGACAAGTACGGCATCGGAAAGGTTGTCGAGCTGGCACTGGAGCACGTCAACAAGGGCAAGGAAATCAAGCGGCCCATCCACCTCAGCTTCGACGTCGATGCCCTCGACCCCTCGGTGGCTCCCAGCACCGGCACCCCGGTCCGCGGTGGCCTCACCTTCCGCGAGGGCCACTACATCTGCGAGGCCCTCTACGAGACGGGCTGCCTCGTTGCAATGGACTGTGGGTGTGATTGTCCAAGAATTCCAATTTCATCCTGCTGACTCCTCGTCCCATTGTCCCCTCTACGCTGACAGTGATGGAGGTGAACCCGTCGCTGATGCAGAAGCGTGACGCCGAGCAAACCATCGCAATCGGCTGCTCCCTCATCCGGTCCGCCTTGGGCGAGACGTTGCTGTAGAGACAATTATTGTCCTACAAGATTCTCGCCACGAAAGCATTAGAAATACAAGGGACAATCTCTCTCTCTCTCTCACGACTGATCTCTCTGTTCGTATACTGCCGCTGAATAGAAGTACTGTACAAGTGTATGTGTGTGTATATGTGGTTGCCCATCTCATTGTCCTCAAGAGCAGGGGTCTCAGAATTGATTGCGACCAATGGGCCTCTTCCTGGTCTGCGTCTGTGTCTGTCTCGTCGGTGGCACCTCGAAGTCGTCATCGTCGCTGATGGCGTACGACTGAATCTCGTCTTCCTCCTCCTCGTCATCCTCGACGGCCTGGCTCTCGACTAGCTTGCTTCGCGCATTCTTTGCCGCTGCCCGTCCTCGCGTCGTGCTACTTGCCTTTGGCAATGGGGCCGTCTTTCTTGTAGTGGTCTTGGCCGGCGCCCTCTTCTTACCTCCTACATTGCTGCTCAGTGCCGCCGCTCGACTCGACTTGGGCGGAGGTGCCTCGTCTTCGTCCTCTTCCTCTTCGTCATCGTCGTCATTTTGGCCTAAGAACGTCTGCTTCGAAGTCTTCATGCTTCCTCCCCTTCCCTTTCCACGAGCAGGCGGTGCCGATTTAGCACCTCCGCCGCCCCGCCGTGAAGTCGAGGCTTGTGCACGCCTAGCCGATGGGTCATCATCATCGTCATCGTCCTCTTCACTCAGACCAATTCCACCGATATCGCCGTCGGCTAGGGCATCGTCCAGCATGCTATCGTCTGAGTCGACCCCTGCTCCTCGGGTCACCGTTGACTGGGGTGCTCTTGTCAGCTTCTTGCTTTGAACAGACCTCGAGACAGAGTCTGGACTCTCACCTTCCCATTCTTGCGGCCCTTTGACCTACTCCCGTCCTCTTCCCCATCTTCCTCGTCCCCCTCGTTCGCAGCAGGTCCAGCTGCTCTCTGCTGTTCCTCCCTGATTTTGTCCAACTCCGAGTCGAGCTGCCTCTCATCGGGCCCAATCTCGACCAGGCCCTTTCTCGTGCTCCGCATGACTTTTTCCACGAAGTGGCCAATGGCCTCTTTGTCGTCCTTGTCGACAAAGTTCATGATGGCGCGCTCCAGGCCATGTGGGTTGAGAATCTGCAGACGCTGGCTGCCCAGATAGTCCTGGACAAGGTCCGACATCTTGACGCGCTCCAGCCGCTCAGAGGGCACCATGTCTTCCGTCGGCTCGACAAAGTCTTCGCCCTTCTGGCTCTTGTCTGTGCACGAGGATATGGAGCTGTCAGCACAACACAAGGAGGAGAGCTATGCTGCCTAACCGACCCACCTTTCTTCTTCGTCGTCGTCTTTTTCTTCGAGAACTGGAGAAGATCCTTTGGATTGGCCACTTTGCCCACAAAGTCCTGGCCGAATCTGACGAGGTTGCCCATCTCGTGGCGGGTGTACTGCACCCGCAGACGGATCAGCGGCAGCATCTTCTCGGGTCTCTCCTGCTCTGGCGTTTCTGCGTGCTTGATGTCCCATTCCTCATCAATGCGCCCAATCAGATCCTGAATCTTGGTCTTGAGCAGCTTGCCCACGGCCAGCTTGTCGTCAATCGTCAGGCCTGCAGCCTCGAGCTCGTCATCGAGATCGATGTCGTCCATGATAAAGGGCCGGACTGTCTTGAGAGTGATGGGCTCCACCATGTAGTCTCTTTTCTCAACGTGGATGATCGCCACTTGTCTGAAACAATTGTCAGCTGTCTGAGGAGACATAAACGGCGCTGCAATGGGCGACGTACTTTTCGGCTGCTTCGCCTGGGCAGAGGCTTGTGGCAACACTGCTTCCGGGCTGCGAGATGCGGTACCTTTTCCCAGCCACCGGCTGAGGGACAATGAGCTGCTCGTGCTCGTGTCCCCAGACGACGAGGTGAACACTGTCGTCGAACATAGACTCCGGTACCATGGCTTTCGGGTCATGTGCAGCTCTAGAGGAAATTTATTAGCAAGCAGCGAGCTTCAAGTGAAAGGAAGTCACGCACCGATTTTGGTGAATGGTCAAAATATTGAACCAATCGTCAGGATCCTCCCTCGGACGGTACATCCTCACGCGATTGGCCCGGAGCTCGTAGTGCATCCTCTCGTCTTTGATGTTACCCATGCCATAGAGGGCAATCTTGGTATCGCCCTTCTGCAGGAGCACGGGTCGTATGCGAATACCGTCGTCAGAGAGGCCACCAGCGGGCGGGGCTGCCTTGGAGGATCGCGAGGCCAGGGCGTCGGACGACGGGAGCTCGACCTTGCCAAAGTAATTGACCAGGCCCGTGACGGAGAGAAGGTCCAAGGCAGAGAGGGCGCCCTCGACGCCGACCCCTTGTGGATCATCGTGATTGCCGTGGATCGAGAAGACGGGGATCGCTACATTGAGGTTCTGGTCTTCGTAGTTTACCGCAGGGAATGTATACCCCTCAGCCGCGCCGTCGCTGGGGTCGCTGAGGAGCTCGATAGAGATTGGTTTGTCCCCCAGAGTGTATTCGCGGAGAAGGCCCATGACCTGGTGCAGCGTGGTGCGTGAAGGCTTGTTCTCATGGAAGAGGTCACCTCCCAGGAGGATAAAGTCCACCTTTAGTGATGACATTCAGCTTCTAGGTACAAGAGCAGAGAGACGGCGTGCGGGCTCACATCATGTTCCACTGCCAGCTGTAGGATCTCGCGGAATGTATTGATCGAGTCTTGTCCCCGCACAGGGTCTCTTTCCATGTAGCCGATGCTGACAATTACCATCGAAGATCAGCTTGCAACTCAACCCCTCACGATTACAGTATTATTTGGCTCACTGATTGTCTGTCGCAAGCATGATCTTCACATGGTCGTCGCCCGCTAATCGTTGCCCTCATCAGTCTGTGCTCTTTTGTCAGATCTCATCATAATCCACACGCACATCGAGGTTCGTAGCTCGATCCGGGCTGCGTTGGAGGAGCACTGGGGACCGGTGTATGCGTCAACAAACCGATCCCAGGCTTCGAAATAGACCCTACGAGCTGGACTTACTTCGTTTCTCTACCATCATCTCCTCCAAGATCCACATCCGGCGAGCGTCCACTCGTGGTTGTGGCTACATCGTCCATGCCCACATCATTTCCTCCGTTGGTGCTGACGCTTCCTGCTCGCCTTGACGCGCGAGTAGATCTCTGGCTCACCATCCTTCCTTACCCCGCCACGCAGCAGTCTTTGAGCCTCTTGCTCTTTTGCCCAATACAGACACTGTCTGTCCGCCGCTGCGTCTCTCTCGCCCTGTCGTGCTCGTCCCTATTGCAGCTGCGCGTGTTAGTCAACCTGCAACCTTCGCAAGGTGGAATCTGGATCTCCAAAGTGACACATTTAAGGCTCAGCCCTTTGGAAATACACGTGTTGTGGAGAGACTTGAAGCCGACATGGCCCGTCCGCGAGCGCCCCACCTTTCGTTCGTTGGAGCCATCACCCGTTTTGGCAACACAACTTTTGACGACGACGAACGAAATGGCGGCCGCAAGGAGGATCGCCACGGGCGGCCTGTGCCGCGCCCTTTCTTCCTCCTCGGCCCTTGCGAGGCCGGCTATGGCTGCGACGCTGGCTGCATCTTCTCGGCCACTTTCAACATCTATGGCCCAATTGGCCGACGACAAGAAGAATGCCCCGCGTCAGGGCCTGCTCAAGTCGCTCCTCCACGGCTCAGAGAGCGCCAGGGAGGACGGGATGACGTCGCAGAGCCAGAGCCACAGTAACACAGTCGGGCGGGGAAAGTACATTCACGAGATCCAGAGTGAGTACTCTTCGACGAGACCGAGAGACCGAGTAGCTTCTACAAAGACAAGCATAACGAAAAGCTCGATGCGCTTTGCGCTCGCTCTCTCTCTCTCTGTCAATCTTCTCTTCCACATTTGCATACGCCAGCAACTGACCAGTCGTCTCTCTTCACGCTCTCGCAGGACACGTTGTGCGGCCTGACCAAGTCGACGCATACAAGGCGATCCTTGCCGAGCACTACCCCAAGCTCGCCCAGGACGCGCCAGTGCGTCTCATTGGGTCCTGGGAGGTCGTCGTGGGCGAGCTCGAGACCTTCTACCACATCTGGGAGTACGATGGATATGAGGGCTACGACCGCTGCAGCGCTGCTCTGGCCAAGTCGGAGCAGTTTGCGTCGCTCAACAAGCAGCTCCGCAGCACCCTCGGCTCGCGCTCCAGCTGGCTCACGCAGGAGTTTGCCTTTTGGAAGACGAGCCCGCCTCGCGAATCGGGCGTCAAAGACCCCATCTACGAGCTGCGCACCTACCACCTCAGGCCAGGCACCCTTCTCGAGTGGGAGTCCAACTGGTGAGCTTCCCTCTTTATCCCTTGTTCTTCAAAAAGAAACTCGAAACACTGACGATCGATTCTCTACCCAGGCGCCGAGGACTCGAGGCTCGCAAGCGCTTCGTCGAGCCCATCGCAGCTTACTTTAGCCAGATTGGCCAGCTGCACACCGTCCAGCACATCTGGCGCTACGAGTCACTGGACCAGCGAAAGAAGACGAGGGACGCCGCATGGCAGGTCGAGACGTGGAACGACACGGTGACGCAGACGGTCAAGCTCATCGACAAGATGCACGCCCAGATCATGAGGCCACTGCCCTTCAGTCCGTTCCAGTAAAGCCATGCCATCGCAATGTGAAAATTGAAATACATCATCGTCTACGCCTGTCTTTCTCTTCAGCAGCAGCATCATCATGAGGATCGTAGCGGCGTCTTCTCTCATCAGGCCTGGCTTCCCGGCCATCGTCTCGATGGTGATAGCTCCTCGGTTTGCCTCGTCTCTCCTCATCGTACCGATGCCTCGCTCCTCTTCTCTTGTAGTCGTCGTCGCGAGTCGAATAGCCTCTACTCGAGCCTCTGTTTTCGCGCTCGTCATAGCGCCCTTCCTCGCTTCTCCTTCTCTCTCCCTCGTGATGTCTCCTTTCACCCCTGTACCGATCCTCGTAGTCGTGCCTAGCCCGCCTCCTTGTGTCATCGTCTTCGCCGCGCCCGTCCCGGCTCTCAAGCTTTCTCCTCTTTCTTTCCTCTTTTTCCTCCCTTCTCTGTCGCTTCTCCTCCTTGCGTCTCTTCTTCTCCTCCTTGGTCATGCTCTCGCCGTCGCTGCTCCCCCCACGCTTCTTTGCCTTTTTGGATGCGGCAATGTATGCAGCCATGGGATCCTCGAGATCGATGTCATCATCGTCGTTCTCATCTTCCTCCTCGTCATCGTCGCCGTTTGTGATCTGTGGCGCTGCATTTCTGCTTGGACGCTGCTCCTGCTCGTGCTCCTCCATCGCCGCTGCATCATCGCCGCTGCGCTTCTTCTGGCCAGGCATCTTGTAGTCCTTGACGTGGTCCACCCGGATCGTCCGCCCCAGCAGGCTGAACCCGTTGAGGTTGTCGACGGCCAGCACGGTGCTCCGCTGGTCCTCGTAGAGCAGGAACCCGAACCCCCGCCTCTCTCCCGGCTTGCCGCCCTGGTTCTGGCCCTGGCCCTGACCCTGGCTCCCGCTCCCGCTTCCTCCCTCTCCTTGGCTCGATGCACCCGGGTGACCCTGGCCGGGGCCGCCCTGCTGCGACCGGAGCCCACCCTCGGGCACGCGCGGGAGATTGATGTCGAGCACCTCGCCATATTGCGAAAAGACGGCAATGACATCGCCCTCGGTCAGCCGCTTGTCGAGGCCGCCGACAAAGATGTAGGCGCTCTCGCGGTAGTCGTCGTGCCAGGACGCGCCCCCGTCCACGGCGAGGTCCAGCTCCCGCTCATTGATCCGGTTGACCTCGCGGACGTTGCTGGAAGAGTGAGTGAAAGAAGGAGGGAGTTCAGATGTGAGCAGACGCCTGAATAGCTTGGATAGCAGAGCAAGGACTCACTTCATGGAGCCATTCAAGAGGGGGAGGGCAACAGGAAGATGGCGATGAAGAGCCGAAAAAAAAAAGAGAAGTTAGCTTGAGCATAAAGCGCGTCTGGTTCGTGGAGGTGTCCGGTCCGACAAGCCTCAAAACCAGCTTCAGACCACAGACGAACAGAATAGGCCAAGGAGCAAAGAATAGATTCAATGGAAGTGATTCAGAATATCTTCGAGCGGCGTAAGTTTTCCTGACAGAATCTCATGGTCGACAGGTGCAAGGTTGGATGAAGGAGGGTCAAACATTCTATACGGAGAGTCTGTGGGCGGAGGAAAGTGAGTGGGCGGAGGAAAGTGTGTGGGCGAAGGGAAGTGTGTGGGCGAAGGGATGTGTGGGGGCGACGAAAAGTGAACTTGGTCTTCGGCCAATGACTCCAAGTGGTGCGATTGGCCAGACGGAAGCTCCGAGACCACATGCGGCGGGTCCTGCTGCCCGGCCTTTCTAGGCGTCCTGCGCTTTGTTCTTGACCAATTCGACACAAGTGGCATCTTGTCCTCTTTGAATTGCGGCGTGTCCATCGGCGTTTTGTGCTCTTTGATTTGCAGGGTGCCAAAAGCTGTGCTTGTGGGAGGTAAAGCCCGCGCCCATGACGGCTCACCAACCTCTGAGAGCGGCTTCTGATTCGGTGAAGGATCTCTCAGGTTGTATTTCCTGCGTCGTTTCTCCTTGCGTTTCTTCACCAGGCGTGGGCTCGAGCGCTGAGCTCCATCACGACCTAAGCCATCATGGTGCCTGCCCAAGTGATATGCAGGTGTGACGCCCTGATTAGCGGCAGAGTCATGGACCTCGGCCTTCTTCTTGCGCTTTTGGCTTACTGTCTGAACATTACTGCCTTCACCCACGGCAGGATGATGTGCTCTGCTGCCGTCTGTCATCAATGGGAAATGCTTGTCTGAAACGTGAGGGTGTCCCCGCTTGATGAGCATGGGCTGCCCCATGTCCGTGTCTGACGCCGTCAGAGGGACAGCATATGGGCCTTTGGGCAGGGCCATGAGGAGCAGGACGACAAAGAGGAGAGAATTCTGCCGGCAGAACATCTCTCTTGACTTCTTGAGCGGTTCTTGTTATCGTTGTGGAATGAGATGAGAAGTGGTGGGATAGAGTTACAAGCGCCCATTTCTTGCTCGTCTTTTAATTTCGAGAGACTGGTACCGTTGGCCTCGCGGGGCGACATCCTGCCAGCATCAATGCTTGCAATGCGCGGCGCAGGGGGCTTTCTAGTCCATCGGCCCAAGTTTTTCCATAGAATTGCGGCTGTTGCGCTGGAAACAAGAGCAAACGCCCTCTTGCAGCCCACTCTTAGCACAGCCGCCTTCGAATGCAATAGCCCCTCGGAAGCCTGCCTTCGACCCTGAAGTGGCCAAAGGTACTCGCCCCGAAAACGAGAAGTTATTCGAAAGCCAGTAAGTGGACCGCGCTTGATCGGCCGACCGGACCTCAAGTGGAGAGCAAAAACACGTGCGTGTTAGACGCGCGGCTTGGAAGACTGCCATCGTTGACGTCTGTCTGCCTTCTACAACACCTATCTCCCTAGAACGCCTGGAGCAAATCGCAATGGTCGCGCCCATTACATCGGCCGGTGAGTGATTCTGGTAGAAAGGAACCACTCAATCAATAAAGCTGACTGTCTGACCCTCTCACCTTTCAGCCGGTGTCGTGGCTTTGCTCGACGAGCCTGAGCCGGAGCTCCAGACGTACGCCCTGCAGAAGCTCGACAGCATTGTCGGTTCGTTCTGGGCCGAGATTGCAGACAGCATCACAAAAATGTGAGTAATGGGCGGTTACACTTAGCATCGTGCGTGTTATGGGCTTCTCGCTCAAATATGCCTCTGTCGCTTTCAGCGAAATTCTGTACGAGAACCCTCGCTTTCCGGACCGAGAATTGGCAGCTCTCGTCGCTTCCAAGGTCTTCTTTCACCTCGGCGAAGAGAATGAGGCGCTGTCATTTGCCCTCGGCGCCGGAAAGCTGTTTGACGTAGACAAGAAGGACGAGTACACGGACACGGTCATCTGTGAGTGTCCCGACTGTGCTTCCTTCGCGAAGGCGGTGCTGACGTTGAACGACACCAGCCAAGGCCATCGATCAGTACATTGAGGCGACATCAAGCAAGGATGCGACGGCTGACGCACGGCTTGCCTCTATCGTGGAGCAGATGTTCTCACGCTGCATTGCCGACAAGGAGTACCGCCAGGCACTCGGCATTGCCCTCGAAACGAAGCGGCTCGACGTCATTGAGGAAGTCTTCAATGTCACGAGGGATCAGACGCTTCTGACATACGTTCTTGAGGCCGTCATGGGCGTTGTACAGACGCTGGAGGTTCGCAACCAGGTGCTTCATCTCCTCGTCAAGCTCTTCAAGTCGCTTCCTTCCCCCGATAACTTCTCCATCGCCCAGTGCTACGTCTATCTCAATGCACCCCAGCTTGCTTCGGAGCTTCTCTACGACCTTGTGCGAAAAGCCCACAATGACGCTTCGGCCTCCTCCTCGGCCAACACAGAGAATGATCCTCTGCTCGTCGCATACCAAGTGGCCTTCGACCTGGCAGAGAGTGCTACACAAGAGTTCCTCGAGAATGTCCGGACCAAGCTACTGGAGACAACAGACGGCAAGAGCAAGACGAAGCCCGAGGATGGTGGAGACGTCAGCATGGAGGGCGCGGGTACCAGTGATGAGCCCGAGAGCACGGCGGACGGCTGCATCACGCGCATCCGCTCCATTCTGCTTGGCGAAGAATCGATCCAGCTCTATCTCGATTTCCTACAGCGCTCTAACCATGCTGATCTGGCCATCCTCAAGGCGACAAAGGATGCGCTCGATGCGAGGAGCAGTGTTTACCACAACGCAATGACGTTTGCAAATGCTTACATGAATGCCGGTACGACGAGCGACAGCTTCCTGAGGGAGAACCTGGACTGGCTGGCCAAGGCGAGCAACTGGAGCAAGTTCACGGCTACGGCTGCGCTGGGTGTCATCAACAAGGGCAACCTGAAGGAAGGCCTCACGATGCTGCGCCCATATCTGCCTCACGACGGTGTTTCGAGTTCCGTCTACTCAGAGGGTGGCAGCCTTTTCGCCCTTGGGCTCATCCATGCCAACCATGGCAACGAGGTCATGGAGCTGCTCACGACCACGCTCAAGAACAATCCGGCCGAGATCGTTCAGCACGGAGCTGCGCTTGGCATCGGTGCTGCAGGCATGGCAACGGGCAACGAGGAGGTCTATGAGGAGCTTCGAAACGTCCTCTACACCGACTCGGCGGTGGCAGGAGAAGCATCGGGCTATGCTATGGGCCTTGTCATGCTCGGCACGGCCTCGGAGAAGGCTGTCGAAGAGATGCTCACGTACGCTCACGAGACTCAGCACGAAAAAATCATCCGCGGTCTGGCCATTGGTCTGGCTTTGCTCTTCTACGGACGCGAAGAAGAGGCCGACGTCATGATTGACCGCCTGATGAGCGACAAGGATCCCATCCTGCGCTACGGTGGCATCTACACCATTGCGCTTGCTTATGCCGGCACGGGCAACAACAAGGCGATCCGCAGGCTGCTCCACGTTGCCGTCTCCGACGTCAACGACGACGTTCGCCGTGCTGCTGTGACCAGTCTAGGCTTCCTCTTGTTCCGCAACCCGACGCAAGTCCCTCGCATCGTGCAGCTGCTCAGCGAGAGCTACAACCCACACGTACGATACGGTTCTACACTGGCACTTGGCATCGCCTGCGCCAGCACTGGCCTGGACGAAGCTGTCAATCTACTTGAGCCCATGATGAAGGACCCTGTCGACTTTGTCCGTCAGGGCGCCTCGATTGCGCTCTCCATGATTCTGATCCAGCAAAACGAGAACCTCAATCCGCGAGTGGCGTCGGTGCGCACCGCATTCGAGAAGACGCTCAACGACAAGCACGAGGACGCCATGGCCAAGTTTGGCGCTGCGCTCGCTCAGGGCCTCATTGACGCCGGCGGCCGCAACGTGACAATCGGCCTCCAGAGCAGGGGTGGAAGCGCAAACATGCCCGCCATCGTCGGCATGGCTCTCTTCACCCAGTTCTGGTACTGGTTCCCGATGGCTCACTTTGCCTCGCTCGCCTTTACACCCACGGCCCTGATCGGTCTGGATCGCGAGCTCCGTATTCCTGCCTTTGACTTCAAGAGCAACGCCAGGCCCAGCTTCTTTGCTTACCCGCAACCGGCCAAGAAGGAGAGCGAGAAGAAGGTCGAGAAGGTCGAGACGGCCGTTCTCTCGACGACGGCCAAGGCGCAACAGCGCCAAAGGGTCAAGGAAAGAGAAAAGGCAAGAGAGGAGCGCGGCGACAGCATGGAAGTCGACGAGGTCAAGAAGCCCGAGGCAGCCAAGGTCGAGAGCGACGAAAAAGCAAGCGATAAGGAGACGAAGAAGCTCAAAAGGGAGCGCAAGCCGGCCGAGCCTTCGTTCTCCATGGTGCCCAACTTCTCTCGAGTTGTGCCCGCGCAGCTCAAGTACGTCGACTTCCCACCGGAGTCAAGATACCTCCCGATCCGTCCAGTCCTCGGTGCCGGAGGCGGTCAGCTCCACGACGTCTACAACACGAGCACCGTGGCGCCCAAGGGCAAGCTTGGGATCTTTGGCAGCGCCTCGCCTGCTCCCGGTGGCAGTGGCCGCGTGACGCCCAGTGTTCTCGCCGGAGGTGCTAAACAACAACAGCAGCAGCAGCAGCCATTCATCAACAAGGTGGCTGCTGCCGTGGGCGCTTCTCCGGCTGTCGCTGCACAGAGCGGGCCCTCTGCCGAGTCGGCTCGCTCCATCTCCTCGTCGAGCATCGGCGGCGGCGGTGGCATTTTGCTCCTCGTTGATCGGAAGCCCAAGGACAACTTTGATGGCATTCGTCTCGATGCTGGCAACACTGGTGGCGCGGCCGGCGACACTTCAGCTGCGAACACAGGCGCACCAGCGGCCATCAACGACCCAAGAGCGCCCAACAGCGACGAGATGAGCCCAGAGGACCTCGCGGCAGTCCAGGCGGCCCTCATGGCCGACGACGAGGAGCTGCAGAATGAAAAGGACGAGACAACGGGTGTCAACCCGAACAACCGACGGGATGGACAGGGTGACGGCGACAACCCTCCAGGCGGCGCCGGCGCTCCCGAGGCTCGTTGAGCGCAGCCTCTGGTCTAATCTTTTGCAAAACAAATCTAGTTTCTCCCTCTCTGATCAATAACAAATGGCAAATGCTCAAAGACTCCGGACACAGTAGGCAGCAGCAAAGAAAAGGAGATTGTAGTTTGTTGCTTGAATGCGGAAAAGACTGAGAAGAATAGTGGTACATGGGATCAATAACGGCCTCTCTTTGACGGCGGCCCATCTGCTCTACCGTAGCCGTCGCCAGACCCGTATCCGCCCCCAGGAGGTCCATAGCCACCACCACCGGAGTAACCGGCCGGTGGACCAGCAGAAGGTGGCCCTCCAAAGCCGCCCCTTGCTCCTCCGCCGTAGCCTCCTGGCCCTGCTCCTCCTCTTGGGGGTCCGTAGCCTCCTCCTCCTCCAGCACCACCACCTGGTCCTGGTGGGGCACCATAGCCGCCTCTGGGCGGTCCACCGCCAAAGCCGTCCCGCGGTGGCCCACCGAATCCTCCGCCGCCTCTTCCTCTTCCAAATCCTCCACCGCCACCTCGTCCGCCTCTGAATCCACCCCGCCCCCCAAAGCCGCCGCGCATACCCATGCCCATCCCGACTGTGCGCGATGTCCCGTCATCTGTCAGTATTCGAGAGCCTGAAGATGGAGAGGAGAGACAAGAGAAGAAATACTCACATGCGGGCATGGCCTCCTGCACGGGTTCCTTCTTCTTGCGCGTGAGCCCACCTAGTCCACCGCCCAGCCGCATCGGCTTCCAGTCCTTGACGGTCCTGCCCCGCTCGACATCGACCATGAGCCGCCGACCGTGGATCTTGATGCCCTCTGCATCCTTGTAGGCGGCCCGCATGTCGCGCTCGTGCTGGTAGACGACAAATGCGTAGCCCCGCGATTTGCCCTCGCGATCGCGGACGATGCGGATGCGCGAAATGGGGCCGTACATGTCAAACTCCCGCGCAAGGTCCTTTTCAGTGGTCGAGTAGTCCTGTGTGCATTAGAGAGAGCTTGAGTGAGCACATTGAAAAAAAAAAGGGGAGAGGCCGACTCACCAGCCGGGAGAGGAAGAGCGTCGTGAATGGATCGCCTTGCGCCTCTGGGTCACTCTTCGGATCGTCTGGAAGAAAGAAAGAAGAAGCAGTCCATCATACCAAGGTCAGCTCGAGCCCAGCTATCGAAAGGAAAGGGAGAGAAATCCTCACAGCTCTCCAAGCCCTTTTTTTTCTTTTCCTCCTTTTCCTTTGTCTTCTGCTCCCTCCGCAGGTCCCTCTTTGTCTGCTCCGCATACGTCAGCTCGCCCTCTGCATTCTCGTCCGGCACGTCGTTGGTGGCCTCGCCCTTGTCGGCCGCCTCCTGCCGCACGCGCTCCAGAAAGGCGGCGACTCCCTCGAGTGGCCGGTGCGTCTTGGCTGGCCGGGCCGTGAGGTCCTTGTCGGTCGACAGTGCCGGCACATACGACAGCGGCGGCCTGGCCGCAAACAGGCGCAGGAGCTGCGGCGGTAGTTGGTGCGTCATCGCTCGGCAACAGACAAGCCACCGGGCGGCTTGCTTCTGAAAAAAGAAGAAAGAAAAAGGAGGAAGAAGATCGAAGAATGAGGAGGAAAAGTGGCAGTGGGGAACGAGCGTCCGTCGTTGGCGATGAAAGGAAGAATGGCTTCTCCCCCGATTGCAGGAAAATCAAAGACCACGCGCACGCGCCCTAGCCTGACATTTTGAACGAAGACAGCTCTCTTCGTCCGTCCGTTCGCAATCCTCGTCGCGCCGTAGTATCACCACCAGCTTCTCCACTCGCGACGGCTCTGCTTGGACTGTGGGCCTTCTCTCACAGCGAACACTAGAATAAGAAAGAAGGCATCGAAATCGAGCCGCGACAAGGATGGCATCCCGAGGCAATTCGGCGGCCGCCGGCGCAGGCTCCACCTCTGCCTCTGCCTCTGGCAGCGGTGGGGGAGGGGGAGGAGGCATCTCAAAGGCCTACAGCTCGCACCTGGCCATCCAGACAGACGCTGCAAAGTACCGTGGAAAGTACAAGGAGCTCAAGAAGAAGGTCCGCCAGATTGAGATGGTGCGTTTGTTTCCGTCCACCACGCCCCTTGCTTGCATTTGCACTGACGCAGCGAGAGGGAAAAACAGGAGAATGACAAGCTGCACTACAAGACGCTGAGGATAAAGAGGAACATCCAACGGATGAGACTAGAGCGGGCGTGAGTTTGCGTTGTGTTGGTGCGTAGCAGATGTGTCCAACTGACTAACGTGCTCTCCTTTCACCTTCGCTAGGATCCTCTACGAGCGTCTCGAGGCCGAGCTGGGTGCCAGCGCCGATCTCTCAGCACGAGCAACGGCCGCCAATCCACAGGCGGCCGATTTCAACCAAGGCGCTCCTCCGCACCACCACGCTCCACCTCTCCCGCCGCCTCACCACCACCATCAGCACCACCATCGTTCTTCACATGGAGGCAGCGACTACCGCCAGCGCAGCGACGAGGCTGCCGGTGCCCCGTCCCGCAGTGGGCCCAGCCCGTCGTACAGCCCGTCACCCGCCAGCCAGCGGAACATCGGTGCCGGTACCTCTCAGCAGCAAGGTGCTGCAGCTGCCGTGCCGCCCGCTCGATCGAGTAGGACAGGCGCAGTGATGGATTACAGTCCTTCGCCGGAGGGAGACCCTGCACCACCCTCGGACGATGTTGTGGCACCCGCGTCTGGCAGGACCTCTCCGCTGCCAACAAATGCTGCATCAGCCGCGGAGGGTGGCTCGAGGGGAGGCGCAGGAAGCATGAAGGTGACACTCAAGAGGGGCAACAACCATTCCAATGGCTCAAACAACGGCAGCGCAAAAGAAGGGTCCTGGTAGTCCATGTACACATGCACAGACACACGCTCTTCTCTCTCTTCCTATTTCATCTCTTGATTCAAAATATTCTCTGGAAAAAGGCTTCTGTCCTTACTTGGGCAACGTCATGAACGGTGGCTTTTGTCTATACATGCGTTTCGGAAAGTAGATCAAGTCTCCTTCCAAGGGTACTCAAATTTGGGCCCGTCCTTTCTTCGCCAGAGCTTGCGCCTGCAGGTGTTGTCAGCTTTTGAACCCCCTATCAATGCTGTATTTACAAGAAGGGAACCCACTTTGTCTTGGTCTTTGTGTTTTCGACAAACACTTCGACGCACATGCGGTCCTTGAAGTTGCGAATGTACCTCGGGCTCCAGAGCTCATGGGCGATGCCGAGGTCCTTGCAGCACCGCATCAGGGCGTTGGACTTGGCGGCCTCGGACGCCGTCGCGACGCCGCTTGGGTCAAAGTACTCTTGCTCGCCACGCGCAGTCGATACGAACCTGTCGAGGTCCCCGCGACATACCGTCAGCACAGAGAGCGAGTGCGCGAGCAAGGGGGGAATAAGGTGACTCACCGACCAAGGCAGACAAGAGCCCACTCTCGACTGACAATCTTGTCGCCCACATTTGTCTCTCCCCGCGGCGCCAGACCCCACCCTCCTGGGCCAAAGGCCCGGTTGAGAATCCGCCGGTACTTGATCTCTGGCAGGTACAGCAGCCCGTCGGGCTTGATCTCGACGTCTTCCTCGTTGATGGGCGCTTCGAGGATCTCGGCCACCTCTCTGGGAAACGGCTGAGTAGACATGCCCTGGAACGATGTTGCCCAGTCATGGTTGAAGCTGTCATCAGACGAGCTCGTGAAGCTGTTGCCGTTGCCGCCGTTTCGCGCCAGGTGCGGGGCCGCAACGGATGCGTCCGTGACGGGCGCCGAGGGGCCTGGAGCAGCCGGCCGCGAAGAGAGGTCCTCGGGCGCCGTCGAGTTGCCCGAGGCCGAAAGTTGAGGTCCGCCGGTACGGGGTGGAGCAGCGGCGCCCTTGACGCTCGACGGGAGCGGATGCAGATCCGCAGCCGATGTCATGGCGCCCATCTCCTGAGCATCCTCGACGGATGGGGAGCCCGACGACGAGGTCGGAGCTTTGCGCTGCTGGGTGTTTCTCGTCGGGCCCGATGCGTAGCTCCTCAAGCTGCCAGCAGCAAGCGCGGGCTGTCTAGGGCTCCAGATTCTCTGCCTCGCTGCTGCGGCGAGCGCACCTTGTCCGATCCTGGCGAGAGTCATCGTTTGTGTTGATCGGCAGGTTGACAAGGTGGAGCGACGACCGCTAGGCTGACAAGCGCGAAGGCTTGGAGTACGGGACTCGGGCAGTGGAAGGACCACACGTGAGTGAGCTCGAGCGACATTTTTGATTTTTCTGAATTTTTTGAGCCTCCAAGCAAGAAGGCAAGCAAACAAGCAAGCACCCAAAGACAAGCAAGCAGGCAGCGATGGTGAAGAAGAAAGGAGGGAGCCGCCAGCATGCGCCCGCCATTTCTGACCCGCGCTTCGCAAGGCTGCAGACGGATCCCAGATTCCTGAAGCCGAATCGAGATGAGTCCAAGGTCGTCGTTGACGATCGCTTCAAGTCGTTGCTTGCTCCGTCGGCCTCCGAAGGTTCAAAGGCCAAGAAGAAGGCGGCGACGGACAAATATGGAAGAAAGACTGGAAAGGAAGAAAGGGAGAGAGAGGAGAAGGAGATGAGACAGCTGTATCGTCTGGAAAACGGAGACGAAGATGAAGAAGATGAGGACGACGACGATGATGATGATGATGAAAGCGAGGGTGAAGTCGGAACGGAGGCAGGAAAGGGTTTCATCGACTATGCCCGTGGCGAGGGGGAGCTCGAAAGCAGCTCAGACGAGGAGAGCTCGTCAGACGAAGCAAGCAGCTCAGACGAGGGAGAGGACCCCGTCGTCATCGGAAGCTCGGCTGCACGGAGGCGCGAACGCAAACGACAGGAGGCACAGGAGGAGGACGATGATGAAGAGGAAGAAGGAGAAGAGGGAGGCTATTCGGATCTAGACGAAGGCGCCCTGGCTGAGCTCGACGCCCAGGCCGAGCGGACCGTAGCTCGAGAAGGGGTCTCGTCGTCATCAGTCAAGGGCAAGTCAGCCCCCAAGAAGATCGGGGACACCCGTCGACTGGCAATCGTCAACATGGACTGGGACCACATCCGTGCTAGAGATCTGTACAAGGTCTTCACCTCGCTCATTTCGCCTGCCGCTACTCGCCTGCCAGGACAGTCAACGTCGAGTCTGGCTCTAGAGGAGAGCGTCCCTCGCCGAAAGAACCGGAATGGGACAGAGGCGGCGGCACAGATCGCCCCCGTTCGGGGACGCATCGAGCGTGTTCGAATCTACCCCTCCAACTTTGGGCGGGAGAGAATGGCGAGGGAAGACCGAGAGGGCCCGCCAAAAGAGATTTTCAGGGATGAGTCGTCGGAATCCAAGTCCAAAAAGAAGAAGAAGAAAAGCAAGAAGAGAGAAGACAGCGAAGACGAGGAAGAGGACGATCTCTTCGATGTCGACGACGGCGGCGAATTCGATGAAGAGGCTCTTCGAAACTACCAGCTTGAGAGGCTCCGGTACTACTACGCCATTGCCACTTTCAATAGCCCCCAAACGGCGCGCCATGTTCTGGACGAAATCGATGGGACAGAGATGGAACGCACGGCCAATGTCTTTGACCTCAGCTTTGTGCCGGACGACATGGACTTTCCTGAGAAGGCAGCTTCTTCGCAGGATCCGTCTGACGAAGGTTGGCGCGATGAGGCGACAGAGCTCAGCGATGGGGCTAATTACAAGGGTGTTGACTTTACGACTGATGTGAGTGCACGATGCAATCCTAACCTAGCCCTCCTTCTGGTTGCTTATGTTCGTATTCGGTCTCCCCGCAGGCTCTTCGTCACTCTAAAGTCAAACTGACTTGGGACGCCGACGACCCCGAGCGAAGCAAAGTCACACGGCAGCTGGCGCAGAAGGCCCTCACAAGCGACGAGATTCGCGATGAGGATTTCAAGGCGTACCTCGCCTCTGGCAGTGAAGACTCTGCTGGGTCACAGGACGAGGACGATGAAGACGACGATGGGGCAGAGGCAGCGGGTCAAGGGCAGAGGGAGAAATTCCGTGCGCTCCTAGGCCTCGGCAAAGAAGAAGCCAACGGGCAGAGCTCAAGCAACAGACGGGGAAAGACCTCTTCGTCGGCCTTTATGGATGGCAGAAAGAGCCGCGGAGGCGAGGATGGCGAAGAAGGTGATATGCAAATCACGTTCATGCCTGGCCTGAGCGAGGCAGCGGCGCGCAAGCAGAAGGGCGGCAAGACCAAGGCTGACGGGGAGGACGACGAAGAGACGACGTTGGAAAAGTACATGCGCAAGCAGCGTGAGAAGAAAGAGCGACGCAAGAAGGGCGCTGACAAGGACGCCATCGAGCTCGACGACGGAGAGACACAGGGAGGAGAAGGAGAGAAGATGACCTTTGACGATCCCTTTTTCCAAGAGGATGGAGACGACGAGATCGATTTCGATGCTGCACTGCGGGCGGAGCAAGCGAAGGAAAGGAACAAGGACGGACCTGCCGGAAAGAAGGCCGGAAAGGGCGGGAATACTCTGCTTAATGGAGGCGATGAGGAGGAGAGAAGAGCCCGAGAGGAGCTGCAGCTCATGGTTGACTCCGATAGCGAGGGCGAGGGCGCCACCGAGCGGAGCGGCCGCGGCCACTTCAGCATGGCTGACATTCTCAAAGCGGAGAAAGAAGGGGCAAAGGACAAGAAGTCTCGGTGGGCTAAGAAAAAGGCGGCAAAGGAGGCGCGCAAGAGGGGACTCGGCGGAGAGGAAGACAAGAGACAGACGCAGGACGGCTTCGAGCTCAACGTCCAGGACCCCAGATTCGAGGGCGTGTTCAAGGACCATCGATTCGCGCTTGATCCGAGCCACCCTAGCTTTATCAAGACGAAGAACATGGACAAGCTTCTGGAGGAGAAGAGAAAGAGACAAGCGAGAAAGGGTGGTGCAGCTGAGGAAGGGGCTCCCAGCCAGCGCAGCAACGGCAAGGGGCAAGGGGTCGGCGACGACTTGCAAGATTTGGTTCAGTCGATCAAAAAGCGCGCAAGCACCGATTCTGCGCCGGCGACGACAAAGAAGAAGCGAGCAAGGACCTGAGGAGGAAGATGATATATCGTATGATGTTGTATTCCTAATCCTACTACCATTGCCATTACTGCCGATGATCTCTAAAGAGGTCTACTTTGCTCTTTTTATACTCCCGTGTCTCTTTTGTCCTGTCTTCACCGCCCACGTTGCCCCAACCCCTCAATGGTATAACGACGACGGTGGCGTTGTCGTCTGACCCGAGCTCCTCTGCGTACCTGAGCACGTTCTTTGCCGCATCGTGTGGATGCTGCGCGCCTCTGCACAGGTCCACGACCTCCTGATCGCTGACCACGCCCCCAATCCCATCACTGAAGCACACGACGAATGCGAAGTCATCGCCCTTGAGGACCTGCGAGATGACCTCTGGCTCAGCCGTGACGCCTGCCTTCTTGAAGTGCGAATCCCCAAAGGCTCGCGTGTTGGCCAGGGCTCCCATCCAGCGCGCCTCGCCGAAGCTGTCGGTGATGAGGCCGGCCCCGACACGACGAAGCCGTTCGGCCTCTGCACGGTCGTCTGGGTGGTGATAGTTTGTGAGTGGGATCGCGTGGCCGTCCGACGTGGGGCAAAGGAGCATGCGGGTGTCTCTATGGAGGAGAAGAACCGGAGATTAGCAGAGTGATGGAGCAAAGGGAAACCGTTGGATGTGCTCACCCAATGTGAATCGAAGTGATACTGAGAAGCTTGCTGCTGTACCAAGGCTGCGCAGGCGAGTCAAGACTGTGCAACAGTGCCACGCTCGCCGTCGAACCTCCGACGTTTAGCGATTTTGAGGACTGAATGCGCCGGTCGACGTGCAGCCAGGCCAATGTCGCTCGCTCAGCCAACGTCAAGGGTTCCTTAGCCACCTCGGATGGGGGGTCGATCTTCTCGACAGTGATAAGTCCTTTATCCGGAGCATCCGTCGAAGGACCGCCGAGGCCCTTTGCCTGCGCCACATCTGCAGCGACGCCCGTTGGCACGTCTTCGCCTGACGGTGTGCCTTCTTTGGCAGGAGGCACTGGCGGCTCGTCCTCTGTGTGAGGCACCTTTGGCTCTGAGCCTGCGTCGGAGTCCAAGGCTGGGTTCTGCTTCTTTGGCCTGTGGTGTGCCGCGCCGGGTCGGCTTGCGCGTACTGGCGGAAGAAGATCTTGCCTGACCCATCGGGAGAGCAGCCCGCCGGTGAACCTACGAAAGTATCCGCCTAGACTTCGGGTATACCGCACCGTGTCTGTCGCCATGCTCCCGTCGACCTCTTCGAATGCGCCATGCAATTCATCCCGAAGGAAGCTAGAGATGGCCTGTCCGCCATGACTGTAATGAGATTCCCTGCATCAGCTTGCTTTTCACACTGTCAGCTGCAAGCTACCTGAGACACACCCGTCAAAACACCCGAACCAGACAACCTGTCCCGCAATGGCATCATCCTCGCCGGCATAGACGGGATCCCAACGTCTGCCAGCCTCCTGCAGGACCCTGCTCTTGCTGGTCTGCAAGCTATGCCTCAGCTCCGTGGGGTCGACGTGGACGCACGCGACTTTGAAGGTATCCTCCTGTGTCGGCCTCGAGCCTCGGGTCGTCGCGCTGCCAAAGACGCCTCCCGACCGACCGTCTTTGAGTGGGATTCTGGCAGAAGAGCCGCTGGCCGTGTTGACGCGGAGGTAGTCGTGGTACGGCCTCCTCTGCTGCTGCTGCATGTCCCAGCGCGGCCGGCTCATTCGCCACGCCTTCATCACCCGTGTCGAGCAGCCGCCCGACGGGGACGAAGCCCACTTGACGAGCGACGCCGACGCCGTCGCCCAGTCGTTCCGGCCGACCATTCTCGTCTTCAGTCTTCCCTGCAGCGGTGTCGAGACCGTCACCTCGTCGGGAGAAAGGAAGAGGAGGGAGGGAGGGGAAAGAGAGGCGAAGTTTTTCGAGAAACGCAAAAAATCAAATTTACAAACACGATTCTGGAGCGTGCACGGATGTTTGGAGGAACTTTTGCCGGTGAGTGAGTGAGTGTGCGGCGACCTCGTCGCCAACGCATGCATGCGAGCAGGCGCGCGTGATCTTTTCGTCATCACCACAGCATTCGACTTTTCTGCTCATTGACAGGGCATCATGTGAGTCATTCGTCAAGATGACCTCTTCATCCTACTTAAGAGAAGCCCATTGCTGACCTTTGTGCATAGGTCGAGCACCTCGACTCCCACACCGAGCACGCAGCTCGACCGAGCCAACTTTCTCGAGGCGCCAAAACCGTTCAAGAATGCCGCGTACGGAGCCAAGTCGGCGAACCGTCGCAACAAGACGCTGAAGCAGATCCTCGTCGCCGAACGCGACCTTGCCATGGGTCTCGACGGCGCAAATGGCTCTGGTGGTGGTGGATCGGGTGCAGGACCGGGCAAACGAAAGGGAAAAAAGGGTGCTGAGGAGGTCATGCTGGGCCCTGGCGGGAAGAGATTGGTGGGCGCAGCTGCCAAGGCAGCCAGGAAGAGAGAGGAAAAGGAACGAATTCAAGCGCTCAAGGAGGAGACAGGCGACGATTCAGAGGCAGACGTCACGGCCATGACGGGCGTCGAAGGCGACACCTTGATGGCAGATGTGTCGGTGACGAAGGAGGAGCCTCTAACAGAGGAGCAGAAGGCCGAAGAAGAAGAGAAGGAAAGGCAGGCAAGAGAGAAAGAGCTGCAGAGGAGAAGAAACATACCCTCATGTGAGAGGAAAAGACCTCTTTCGCCCATTGATGTTTGCGACTAACGCTTCTCGAAATCACAGACTCTTCCGTCGAGGCACCACCGAGCCTGCGACCGCGGAAAAAGTACTGCGACATCTCAGGTCTGCTGGTGCGTCTTCCTTCTGCCACTTCTTGTCGTATTCGACACCTGCTCACTTCAAAGGCTCGCTTTCAGGCACCGTACACAGATCCTAAGACGCACTTGCGGTACCATAGCGTGGAAATGTACGAGATCATTAAGACTTTTGTGAGTCAGGATCGCACACTCAAGACCTGTGTGCTGTGCTGAAACATTTTGCCCTACAGGCACCGGGAGTTGACCAATCCTACCTCAATCTCCGTGGCGAGTCGTCGCAAATAAAGTAGCCGTTTGCGACCCTCTTCGTACTTTTACCCTCACTTCCAAGAAAACAACTCTTTCTGCTTCACTCTTTCGGCGACTCTGCCGAAATGTGGTCTGAGAATGGAGAGAATGTGGATCTGATTCCTTCCTTCTCAGTCGTCGACCGTTTTTTCTTCATTTCGTCTCTCTGTCTATCCTGGACGCCAGCTGCCATCCTCAAAAGTAATCAATGCAGTCCCCGACACACGACACCAATCTAGTGGTGGCCGCCCTCCAAGAGGGCCGGGTCGCCCTGGAAGTCGAGCTTGCTCACTGAGAAAAATGCTTGGGGTTAGCCCTTTGACTTGGCCAGGAGAGAAGTAGCAAGAAGGCGAGACTCACCAGAGCCGCACTCGGGGCACCTGTGGAACTCTGTCTCGAGGTTGAGGTGGAGCCAGATGGTGTCGTGGCTTCCTGCCGGGCTTCCCGAGCAGCCAATGATCCTCGTGGGGAACTGTTTGGGGTTTCCACAAATAGTGATGCGACCTTGTGGTCAGTCTACGATTCCTCCAGCGGGGCAGATGAAGATAAGGCCTCACCAAGCTCTTGACAACGATGGGGTCCTTCTTGGTCCCGAGTCGGTCGCTCTCGAGCGGCTCCATGTCGAACACGTCGACGCCCTGGAGCTTGCCCAGGAGCTCAAACCGCTCGAGACCGGTCGACTGGGCCTCGTCCGTGGGAACCTCGCCGGGCTTGCCGCCTTCGCCCTGGATGACGGGCGGTGCGTGCGAGTCGGCGCGCAGGACGGCCGACGTGCGGAGCATCCTGGCGGGAGAAGCCATCGATGCTCGGAGGGGCGCAGCGCGAAGCGCCACAGCGCGGCGGGCGAAGAAGGAGGCCGACATGAGGCGTTTGCAGCAAGAAGGAGAAAGAGTAGGTGGGGTGAGTCGACTGGGAGTGAAGCTGATTGGTAGAAATTGCGATGATGGACGACTTTGGCGGCCGCGAGAAGTTCCGGTCCATTTTCGCTTGCAAATTGCCACGCGACATTTTTTCTGCGAGAGCGCCAATACACGGCTGCAGTTGGCTGCTGCGACCACAAGCTGAAAGGCTTCACCACTACATTCATTAGAGAGGAGAGATCAGCAGCTTTTGAGAGACAGAGCTCTTTTACACAATCAGAGTGTGGACAATGGATGTACCACAGACAAGTAAGGACACAGTGGGGAAAAAGAATCGTTAAGAGGGATGAATATCGAACAGGAAGAAGAAATAGGGGTAGAACCCGGTCGAAGTAGGAAGGGCATCTAGCAAGGGCGAGGAGCACATCTACGGCTTGACCATTTCGGCCGGAGGAGCCTCGACGGTCTTCTGCGAGTTGTCCGGCAGGGCGTGCCAGTAGTCCCGCAGAATTCGGTCCACGTCTTCAACGGTCTGCTCTCGCACATCGGCCAGTGTCTTGACCTTTTGCGTGCAAATCTTGATTTGCTCGTCGGTGAGAGCCAAGCCAAGCTGCTCGGCTCGGCTCTTGATGGCGTTCCACCCAACGAGCCTCGAGCCGATGTTGACATAACGTGACATGCCGAAGTCTTCCGGCTTAAGAATTTCGTACGTCGCAGGGTTGGCCAGAATAGCCTTGGCGTGGATGCCCGCCTTGTGGGTGAAGGCGCAGTAGCCCGTGACGTAGTTGTTGAAGGGCACCTGGATCTGGACGGCGTCGGCGACGAGGTTCTCGACCTCACGCAGCTGGTTGATCTTGTACTTGTTCATGACAAAGTCGCGGTCGACAGTGTACCTATGAACCCGAGAAAATGCATCAGCTTGATTACTCAAATAAGGCAGTAATGAAGGGAGAAGCAGACTCACATTCGGGCGAGGAACCCTCCCAGAGGCACGATACCGTTCCTCTCGCCGATGCCGAGGACGGTCGTGTCAATGTGGGTCGCACCGGCCTCGAGGGCGGCGTAGGCGTTTGCGATGGCACACCCTGTGTCGTTGTGAAGGTGGACCTCGATGTCACACTGGGGCGAGATGACGCCTCGGAGGACCTTGACGAGGTCGTACACCTGCCGCGGGTTGGCCACACCCACGGTGTCGGCGATGCCCACCCGGTTAACGCCGACCTTGTCGACGGCCTGGTAGATGCTCAACAGGTCGACGAGGTCGGACCGGAAGGAGTCTTCAGTCGAGAACCGGATCTCGATGCCCTTGGACTTGACAAACTCGATGACCTCGACGGCCTTCTTGGTGATGTAGGTGATGTCCTTGCCATGCGAGTGCTCGCGCAGGAACTTGCTCGTGCCCATGACGACATCGACGCCATCGACGCCAGTCTCGACGGCGATGCGCGCGTCGTCCATGTGGCACCTGATGTGGGTGATGACCTTGGTCTTGAGACCCAGCTTGCAGATCTTCTCGCAGTCGGCGCGCGACTGCTCGCTGGCTGCGGGGCTCGTCAGCTCGATGCAGTCGACCCCAAGCTCGTCGAGGGCCTTGGCGATCCTGATCTTGGTCTCGGTGTCGAAGAAAGCGTTGGCGAACTGCTCGCCCTCACGCAGGGTGCTGTACATGGACGAAGTGCGGTCAGCTGTGTATGCTCACATGGGCGAACATCAAGTTCGCCTCCTTGTTCGACTCCCGTACCACGCACCTCTCGATGATCTTGAAGTTAGCCAGGTTGCCAGCCGTGACATTTCCGAAAGGTTGCGCCGAGACGCTCCCCCGCGGCTGCTCAGCCTTCTGCTTCGTCAGCGCCTTGTTGTCGATACCGACGTGAGTGTCAGTGATGCCGTTGGCATGGCCGTTGACCTTCTGGACAGGGCCTTCCGAGGGGACGCAGTCGGTGCAGACCATTTTGATCAAGGCTTTGGACATGGTTGGGGTAAGTAATCGGGAAAGAGGATGAAAGGAGATGGCGGCAGCGCTTGCAGGCGGTCTAGAGAAGCACCACGAGAAATGATACGGGCAGTCTCCACTAAGGGAATACTCACAGAGAGACTAAAGGGAGCAGGAAAGGGAGAGACGGAGAGGGGAACGCTGAGGGGCGTCAATGAGGTGAGTAGAGCGCGTCGGAGGTGCGGACGGGCAATCAATGCTGCGTGTGTGCGTATGCGTGTGTCAATCAGTGGCGGCACTCTAAGGCTGAACGCGACAGAGTGACCTTGCCAGGGGGCGGTGAGTTGTGATGCTGGTGAGCGAATGAGGGACGAGAAGAAAGGAAGGCGTCGCGAAGGAGTCACTGTGTGGCCCAATTCGGGGATCGATTTTTCAAATAATTTTTTCCCCCTGCTCGCCCGACAATAACAGGGCGGCGGGTTAAAGGTTGAGTGGGAGCAGCCACGTGGGGATACAACCTCGGCCGATTTGCTTTTTGAGCTTGGTAGCGGATTTGAGCTTGGTAGCTGTGACTCTTTCGCTCTTAAGGGTGACTCTGAGAAGGACGACATCAGCAACACAGCGAGCATGGCCGCACCCGCACCCCACCCAGTCTCGTCTACGAGCAGCGGGCAAGACCCAGCGCAGTCCATGACCGATGGAGTCAAGCAATTGGCCATCAATGGCGATGCGCCGAAAAAGGGAGGCGAAAAGAAAGACAAGTCCAAGGACAAGAAGACTGCCAAGACCGAGGGCGATGTGCCCCTCGAGTTCACGCCCACTCCTGTATTCTTCGCCGAGAGGATGGCCCTGTTCGATCGGCTGAAGAAGGAGCAGGATGAGGCACGGGAAAAGATGGAGAGAAAGGACATTGAGGTGACGATGCCCGATGGCGGAAAACGAAAGGGTGTCGCGTGGCAGACGAGCCCGATGGACATCGCAAAGGAGATCAGCAAGAGCTTGAGCGAGCGAATCATCATTTCGAAGGTCAACAATGCACTTTGGGACCTTGAGCGACCCTTGGAGGAGAGCTGCACGCTCGAATTCTTCGACTTTGAGTCGCCAGAGGGTAAGCGTGTCTTTTGGCACTCGTCGGCCCACGTCCTTGGTGAAGCTGCGGAGCGACACTATGGCTGCCACCTATGCATCGGTCCACCCACCGACGAAGGCTTCTTCTACGAGATGGGCATGGGCCTGAGCGGCGAGCGAGTAGCGAAGCAGGATGACTTTCCTGCACTCGAGAATCTGGTTAAGAGCGCAATCAAGGAGAAGCAGCGCTTCGAGCGAGTCATCGTGACGAAAGAGAATTTGCTCGAAATGTTCAAGTACAACAAGTACAAAGTCCACATTATCTCTTCAAAAATTCCCGACGGCACTTCGACGACGGTCTACCGGTGCGGTCCCATGGTCGATCTCTGCGTCGGTCCCCATGTTCCCCACACCGGCCGCATCAAGGCCATGTCGATCTTGAAGGTGTGTATGCCCGGTCTGCTGAGGAGATTGCAGACGCTTACGACTATCTTTCTGCACAGAACTCGGCTTCTTACTTCCTTGGTGACCAGAAGAATGACTCGCTCCAGCGTTTGTACGGCATCTCGTTCCCCGACTCGAAGCAAATGACGGAGTACAAACAATTCCTCCTAGAGGCAGCCAAGCGGGATCACCGCAAAATCGGCAAGGAGCAGGAGCTCTTCCTCTTCCACGAGCTCAGTCCAGGATCGTGCTTCTGGCTGCCGCATGGAACACGCATTTACAACACCCTCCTCACCTACATGAAGAGCGAGTACCGCAAACGAGGCTTCGAGGAGGTTATTTCGCCCAACATGTACAACAAGAAGCTTTGGGAGACGTCGGGCCATTGGCAGAACTACGAAGACGGCATGTTCATTCTGCCTGTCGAAAAAGAGGAATTTGCTCTGAAGCCCATGAACTGTCCCGGGCACGCCCTCATGTTCGGCTCGCGCGATCGTTCGTACAAGGAGCTGCCCCTGCGCTACGCCGAATTTGGTGTGATCCACCGAAATGAGGCCTCGGGTGCCCTCAGCGGACTGACGAGGGTCCGACGATTCATCCAGGACGACGCCCACATCTTCGCCATGCCTAGCCAGATCGAAGAGGAGATGGACGGCTGCTTTGACTTCCTCGACGCCGTGTACGGCAAATTTGGCTTCACCTTCAAGCTTGAGCTGAGCACGAGGCCCGAGAAGTTCCTTGGCGACATCAAGGTGTGGGACGAGGCCGAGAAGCGTCTTGCAAAAGCTCTCGACAAGTTTGTGCCGGGCAAGTGGGAGCTCAATCCCGGCGACGGTGCCTTTTATGGCCCCAAGATCGACATTACCATCTCGGACGCCATGAAGAGGCAGTTCCAATGTGCTACGATCCAGCTCGATTTCAACCTGCCCGAGCGCTTCAATTTGCAATATCGCACAGCCACTGGACACGGCGTCGAGGGGGAAGCCGCTGGCAAGGAGTACGACCGGCCGGTCATGATCCACCGAGCAGTCCTGGGAAGCCTGGAGCGTTTCATCGCCATTTGCACGGAGCACTTTGGCGGAAAGTGGTAAGTGCTGCATCTCGTCTGTGGAGATAGGTACTGGAGTGGAACTAATTTCTCAATGCCATTCAGGCCGTTCTGGATGTCGCCAAGACAAGTTCTCGTGGTTCCAGTCACGCAGACGGTCTACGGATACGCCGAAGAGGTTCAGTGCCGCCTGGCCCAGGAGGTTGAGCTGTACGTCGATGTCGACCTTTCTTCTGACACGTTGAACAAGAAGGTCAGGAGGGGCGAGGTCGGCGGATACAACTTTGTCATCATCGTTGGCCACGAGGAGATGGAGAAGCGGGCGGTGAACGTGAGAAACGGGCACGGTACCACGGGCAAGGGTAGGGACGAGGCCGTCAGTCTCGACGACGTCTGCGAGAGGTTCAGAAAGCTCAAGGAGAGCAAGAGCCTGGAGAATATCCTGTAAGGGATGACTGGTGCCGATCTGCAATCAAATTTGCCCAATCCTCTTCGCATGTGTGTGGTGTTGCATGCCTTGTTCGCTTGCTCACAAGGAAGAAGATCAAGGCAAAGGGCTCCCTTGGACTGACTGGACTTTTCAACAAGAATAAAATGATGCAGCCATTGCGCTTTCCTTCAAGATAGAATGTCTTATTATTCAGTGAATAGATATCAAGCAAATGAATGTGGTTCGGTGCAATGTACAAGGCCGCTGGAGGAGAGGAAGGAAGGCAGCTGTGTGCCAGCGACGTTGCGCGATCCGTGGAGTCAAATAGAGAAGATGAGAGGTTTGCTCTCATGGGGGGGAGCGAGGGGTAGATCTCGCCCTCTTTGAAAATGGATCGCTTGATCGGGTATGCCCATGATGAAAGTCTTGCTGTCTATGCATTCCGTTGCACAAACCGTCACGATACTGTCGCCCTCGTCATTGTTGCTGAGGCTGGACCCAGCCAGGATTGGTCTTCCTCCGATCGATGACTTCCCTGCCCCTTCTGTCGATCCAGCTCCGGTTGTTGGGCCTGCACAGCACGCTCCGTGTGTTCCGGTATACGGTTCTAAGTGCAAACGGATTCGGATCTTTGCCCGGCACGCCGAGCTTGGAGCAAGGGCAGAGGGACGCCTTCTGCCACCATCGCTGCCCCTTCTCGTCGCCGCCGATCGACGAGGCATTGTCTTCAGTGCCTCCGTAGCGCTTCGTTGTATTGATGCGAATTTGCTCAACCGTCGTCCGGTTCATCCCCACGAGCCGGACGTGGTAGCCAAAGAGCGTGAGAAGTGGCGCCGTGACCATGACTGAAAGCAAAAAGACGACGGCCGTCAGAGGTGCGTGCTTCAGCGCCTGTCCAAAGTCCTTGCCCTCGCCAAAGCCACCACCCGGTAGCCTCTGCGTCGTAGGTCTGGTGAGGAGGTAGAGCTGCACAACGCAGAAGGCAATCGAGATGAAGCAAGCAAGCAAGCTGAAGATGAGAAAGGCGAAAAAGGTAAAGTAGTTTCGCCGGCCGATGCAGGTGTTGAGGAAAGTGCAGTGATGGTCGATATTCTCGACGCAGTTGTCGCATACGCGACAGTGACTGCTCCGAGGCGGCCGGTATGTTCCGCAGGTGTCGCACCACTTGACCTTGAGGTCTGTGCCGTTTCTGACTCGGATCACGCGGGGCAGGGGGACCGCCAAGGGGTCCTCGGGGTCCAGCAGATCCCCGCTCCCGCCAGACGTGCATGGTGGATCTGGGTCCAAGTCTCGAGGGAGCACACCGGGGTCTTTCCATGCAGTGACACTAGGACGACACGTTTGAGCTTTGCATCAGATCGAAACGGGAGCGTTTGGCAACTCACCACATTGACGAGGCAGCGACGAGCCAAACGTATGCAAAGACAATGACGGGCGCCGGGCTCACGTGTCTCCACGTAAAGGGCGCCACAAAGACGAACCAAAGCACGGGCAGGGCGACCATGTACGCGAGGCTGGCGAGGAAGGGCAGGGGGTTGTCGTCGGACGTCATGACGAGGCCAAAGAGGAAGAAGCGATTGGATCCTTTGTGAGCGCGGTACTTGCGTGCGCCCCTTTGACTCTCCTTGGCAGTACCGCCGTCTCTCTTGGAAGGATGAGAGGTAGTAGCGATAGTCGACTGAGGTCTCGACAGCGAGCCGTGCTTGGTAGACAGCATTGAATGGCGCGAGGGCGTTGCTGCTTGGAAGGTCTTGAAATCACCCTGGCTCCGCTGCGAGCTCAGCAGGCCACTTTTACTCCTGCTCGTTCCCGGTCTGATCCCTTTGCCGTTTGCTGTAGAGAAAGATCTGTCGTACTGGTCGCCCCCGGTTTCGGAAGAGGACGAGGCGATCCCAAAGGGGCTCGGTGGCCGCCTGATGCTGTCAACGCGGTTTCGAGACCCAAGCGCCCTGCCATCATAGCCCAGCGGCTCTGGCTCGCCAGAGGAGCCCAACATCATCCCTGCATCGGTCATTTGATGCTCCATGGGCAAGGGTGACGACGCCCGAGCATGAGGCCCCTTCTTTGGTGCAAAAAAGGCTGCAGACGGAAGAATGCTCGGTTGGTGGCCTTCCCGTACCCTTGACGAGATGAAGCCGCTCTCCACAGAAGCAGCCTCTGCATCAACATCGTCTGGCAGCCCCTTTGCAATGTCGTCATCTACGCCACCGCTCGTCGACGCTGGTGCCGCCCCGTCACGCCGGCTCCTCCCGGTAGAGTCGACCGAGGGCGCGCGCGAGTTGGCGTCGCGAAACCGTTGCGACGAGCGCGTGGCCTCGATGCTGCTTCGATAGAAGCTCGCAGTCTCGGGCAGCGCAGAGGCAAAGCTTGACCGTGGAGAGCCTCCATGCCCATGCTGCGACGACGACATGGTGAGGGCGTGATGGCTGCTGCTCTGAACCAACTCGGGGAAGCTAACAGGCAAGGGGCATTCTGAACAGGGCGTTCTAGCGGCCGAGCTTAACGAGTTACGAGTCCAAACCACGTGTCGCGCTTGCTCGGAAATAGGACTCGGTGTGCAAAGAAAGGCCTGATGGCGCTACAGCCGGAAACGCCAATGGATGCTACGCCGCCCCTTGCACAGCTAATGCTTAAGCCAGTGTTAGAGAGAGGAGCGAGAGTAAAGAGTGGGCGAGTTGGTGAACGAGATGTGAGCAGAAAGGACAAGTGTGGCCCAAAATAGCCTTTGTTGCTTGTTCACGTACACCAACTTTTTCCACTGGAGCAAATTTCATCATGAGGATCGGTCTCATTGTCTTGACGGGTGTGCTGCTGCTTGCTGGTCGAGCAGTGAGTGTCCCGACAGGACTCAAGTCCGCTGTTGCATCGACAGAGGGGCAAGACTGGGCCATGGACGATCTCCTGAATTGTCAACAACACGCCCACGTTTGCCCTCCTTCAAATAGAGAACCTTTCAGAAATGATTTGCCGGCACGCCCAGCAGGAAAAGGCAAGACGCTACCGGAGCCCACTGAGGGCAGTCCTCAAAGCTGGAACGAGCAGACTCTGGATGAGCTAGCCGAAAAATTAGCAAGCACGCCATCTGTGGACGACCAGAGACGTCCTGCAACCATTGTAAGAAGAAAACGTAAAGGCGACCTCGAAAGGGAAAGAGTAAAAGGAAAGGGACACGAAAAAGAAGGCGGGACTAGTACACTTAGCGCACAGGGGAGTACAAAGAGTCATGCAGAAGAGAGGACAAGGGAGGCAACACAGGCTAGAAGGAAAGAAAGGGTAACGAGTCAAGAGAAGGGAAAGGAGGCGCTTCCACTCTTCATCCAGAGATATGGGACAAGCAAAGCGAAATTCATGGACGTGAGTGCACAAGCTCAGCTTTCCTGTTCGTGACTTCTCATTCGCAGGGAACACATCTGTATGTGTCCACAGCCAAAAAAATTCGCCAGTCAATTTCCCCAGAAAATACGTAAGGCACAGAAATATCGCTTTCGGCGGCTCAAAGAGAAGATCGAAAAGTGGTATCATATCGTAGATATTGCACCCGAGAATCGGACCAAAGCACAACGGAGGTCTGTGACCGACCTTCGTCTCTTCTTCTTTGATCTCGTCGTCTGTATTTGTCCGTCCTACCGTCTTCCCTTCTGTGGCTGACTTTCTTCTTGTTCTGCTAGAATGCAAAGTGGGATGTAGATAAAGAATTACCAGCCTTGAGGCCGAAGAAGGCTCATGTCAAGCAGAAGGACGAGGAGCACACGAAGTTGATTGGTGACAAAGAGGCGATCGATCCAAAGTCCTCAAGTTCAACGGTGCTCGGGCGACACCAGCATCATGCGACACAATCTGAGGGGCAACCTGCACCTGCATTCCGCGCCTTACACCGTGACACTGTCGTCCCTCTCGATTTGGAACGAAAGGGAGAAACTGAGACCAACGACGGCAATCGGTCGCCTCGGTACCAGAATTCTTTTGACAGTCATGGAAAGAAGAGGAAAAATAAAGAAAGGAGGGGGCAAACCACGGAATGCCGATTGCAGTCGAGGCGACCTGAGAAGACGTGCACCGCTGAGGACCTGGAGCTTCTCCGGCCTTCTCGACCGAACTTTGATCATACTGCAGCGACATATCCACGAGCGCCTGCTCGTCGGCTTTCTCCTCTTCTACCTCACTCGCCTTCTCTTTCGCCTTGTCCATCACATTCTAGCTTGCCTTATCTTGCGCCGCCCGTTTCCCCTCGTTCGCGTGCAGACCCACACGAGACTTCATATTCTCCCTCTTCAACAGCAAATCTACATTCCTCTGAGTCCTTCAATCCGCCTTCTTCTCCACTTTTCACCCTTCCATCACCTCCACCAACTGATGTCCTCTTTGCACCGCCGTAGATGTCACCTCCAACCAAAGATTTATCCCACGGCGCGACCTCCCTCATGCGTCATTCTCCAACGCCAGAGACGCCCTGAGACGGCCGGCATCGGCTCGGTGGACATATCGCCGCGCCGCCGCCACCGCCTCAACAAATACAAACACACTTGAAAGAGCACGCTGGCTGGGCCGTCGACATGCTTCGCTCTCCTTCGCTGCCAGATACAAGCACTCTCTGATTATCTCTCTTCACCTCGCTGATCCTTCAGCTCAATCCAGAAGATCATGTTTTTTTTTTCTCGCCTCTCAGAGTCCAAACTTGACTTGTATATTAGTACGATGCATGTTTCCTTCAAGTCAATGAAGTTTTCCGTAACGCCCCAGAAAAGACAGCCATTGCCTGCACGGGAAGGAGGGTAGCAATAACATGACTGGCTTTGTCCCCCTCGCCCCGAAGGGGGTAGGACATAAAAGAATTTCACCTCGTCGTTCCTTCCCTTTTCTCTGTACGCACCATCACACAATTGCCACAATGAGAGCAAGGCAACTTTTCAAGTTGTTGATCGCCTGGGGTCTGGTGGCTGGTAGGTTGGCTGCTTTACCCGTGAATCCAGTCCACCTCACAAGCGATCACCGCTCAGGCGAGCACCACACAGGCGAGCTTCTCATAGACGGGCACCCCATAAGCAAGCCCTTCACGAGCGAGAACGCCAGCCATACGTCGAACAATGCCCCTAAATGGAGTTGGGAAGCTCTTCACGCGATGGACGACAACAATGGGGCAAAGTGGTCTGACCGTGTCGACTCGGCCATCAAACACAGCCCTGTGCCACCTTCTCTGCCCATGACGAGCCACAGCGGCTCTTTTCCCCACGAGAAGCAGCAGCAAGTTCCGAGCCACATTGTTGCAGAGATGTCGAGGAAGCACGCGGCTGGCGTTTCAGGCCAAAGCAGATCCACAAAGCCGCCCAAAACAGCGAGAAGGCAGAAATCAAAAGCCACGGTGTACGAAAGGGCTCTCTCTCTCCAGGCACCCCACGAGGGCGATGAAAAGGTGCAGGCTAAGGGCAAAAGTTTATCGTATGGACCAGAAGGCTCCAATGCACGCTCGGTTAGAGTCAACCTCAGCAGAGCAGAGAAGGCTGAAATATGGTTCAAGAAGTACATGAACGAGCGAAATGCGACAAAGAAAGATATCAGGAAGGCGTACGAGCACTTCGCAAGACAGGCTAATCGCTACAGAGATTTCCGACAATTGAAAGAAGAGGATTGGACGAAGGCGGAAAAACGCTTGTACGATGAACTCGTCCCAAAAGGCATTTTAGAGTATGAAGCAGAGCGTATTGAGCTTGGAGAGTGGCCAAAACGAGACGCACCGGGCGAGGCCAGCCGGGTCAGGAAGTTAAGGAAGGAAGCAAAGGACAAGGATAAGCCCAGATCAAAGTAGAATTACATCAAGAGGCGAGTGCCAGAAAGCAAACGTACTCCCGAGCAGGTATTATTCTTGAAAGCGTACGAAAGTGCCTTGAAGATTCGCCAGAAGATTCGCGGTCAACCGAGGCTCTCTCCCTCATCTAGCACTCATCCTGATCCGCCTTCACTCGGCCAGCCGTCTTCAGGCGACTCTACTCCCCCTCCTACTCCTAGCCTATCGTCTTCTGTCGTCCCAAGTAATTCGGCTCAGAAATCTCTTTCCGCGCCTCCTGTCGCTCCTTCTGTGCATTTCCCCAGTCCTATTTCTCCCGTCCAAGTCTCCACTCCAACTTCGTTAAGAAAGAGACCGCTGGCGTCCGCCGATGATGGCGCAGAGCACAGAGAGACCGCCTATTGGCCAGGAAGTCTGTCGCAACACGAGGAGGACTCCATGATGCTTGATGCCCTCTTGTCGCACATCCATCCGCCATCTCCGTTGCCTTGAGCCGTCAAATCCTTCTCACCTATGCGGCTGCCTCATTTCTTACAACATTACATACGCCCCTCTCAACAGCTTATGACGAATTGTCTTCAGTAGGGTCATCGAGTTGCTGTATTTCTCCATTGTGCTCTGATGTTTTTTTTCTTCTTGTGAACAAAATCTCCGTAACGCCCCGCCGAAACACAGCCATTGACCGCGCATGCGCATGAAGGAGAATAGCAATGATAGGCTGGCTTTGTCCCCTCGCCCCGAAGAGGGTAGTGTCATAGAAAAAGCTCACCTCGTCGTTCCTTTCCCTTTCTTTGTACCCACCATCACACTGTTGACACCATGAGAGCAAGACGACTTTACAAGTTGCTGATCTCCTGGGGTCTGTTGGCTGGTAGGTTGGCTGCTTTACCTGTGAATTCAAATCACCTCACAAGCGAGCAACACACCAACGAGCACCTCACGGGCGATCACCACGCAGGCGAGCATCACGCAGGCGAATACCTCACGGGCGATCACCTCACGAGCGAGAACGCTAGCCATACGTCGAATAATGCTCCTGAATTTGATTGGATATGGGGAGTTCTTAATGCGATGGACGACAGCAATGGCGCAAACTGGTCTGGTCTTCTCAACTCGGCAATTCAACACATCCCTGTGACACTTTCTCAGTCCCTGAACAGGCACAGTGGCTCTTCTTCTCACGAGAAGCAGCAGCCAGTCCTGAGCCACGTTGTTGCAGAAAGATCAAGCAAGCACGCGGCTGGCGATTCAGGCCAGAGCAGCTCCAGAAAGTCGCCCCAAACAATCAGAAGGCAGAAAGGAAAAGCATTGGTGCACGAAGCCGCTCTCCCTCCAATGGCATCCCACGAGGGCGATGAAAAGGTGCAGGCTAAAGGCAAAAGTTTATCGTATGCATGGTGAAGAGATCAAATATTGTTACGCAAAGTCTTTGACGCTCTCCTCTCCTAGGACAAAGACTAGATGGCTGCTGAACAGCAAAAGCGATTCCGTGAGTATTCATCATTAACTCCTGGTTTGGTGGCTCTCTGACATTCCCACAACCACAGCCAGCAGTTCGTCACGCACAGCTAGCGCACAAGACCTTCGGAAGCGACATAGAAAAACAATACCACCGATTCTTAGATCATAAAAAAGAGCTAAAAAGACACGCCGATTATGACGAGGCACAGAAATCCAAATATGACGAGGAGAGGGTCGAAGAGGAAAGAAGGTACCAGGCATTCGAGGCCAGGTTGGCCGTTGGTATCTCCCTTCTCAAATATGATCACGCTGAAGGCATTGACTAATTATTGATCTTTGACTATCTGGCAGGGAGACAAATGGGAAATTGGCAAGCCTTTGCCCCCGAGGTTGTATGAAGAGAGAGTCTGCGCGGACAGAGGCAGAACAGCTTGCTTCAAAAATTTTGCTGAACTGGTCAGCGACAGAGAGACAAACAAACAAAATGCTTGGTTTTTGAAATACATAGACAAACCGAAAGCGACAGGGGAAGAGGTCAGGAGAGCGTATTCGCGCTTTCTGTGTAGCGCTAATGAGTTTAAGGTTTTCAGAAATTTGGAAAGCGAGGAGTGGACGTCGACGGAGAAGAACTTGTTCGACAAAATCCTCGTCCCACAAGGCATTTTGGAATACGAAGAGAAGCAAATCAAGCTTGGGGCGTGGCCAGAACGATACTTACCGAAAGAGGTCGTAAGAGCCAGAGAGGTGAAGCGCGAAAAAGAGAAGAAGAAATCCCTCGCATCGCAGTATCGTAGTCTCAGGAGGAAACCAGAAGACAAACGTACCCCCGCGCAGACGTCATTTATATCAGAATACGAGTCGTCCAGGAAGCTTGCCAAGGAAAATCGCAAACAAGCGAAGCTCTCTAGGACATCCACACCTCGTCCTGCTTCGTTTCCGCTCAGGCAGCCGTCCTCTGGCGCTCATAGTTCCCCCCCTCCTCCTCTTAGCCAATCGTCTTCTGTCGCCCGACGTACCTCTCTACCTTTGCCTCATTCGCCTCAAAACTCTCTTTCCGAGCCTCATATCGCTCATCCTCATTCTCACTCCCACATCCCTATTTCCCGCATTCAAGTCTCCAACCCAACCTCGTCAAGAAAGGGACCGCTGACATCCACCAAGGATGGAGCAGAGCATAGCGAGGTCCTCCATTGGCCGGGAGGTCCGTTGCAACACGAGGAGGATTCCATGATGCTTGAAGCCCTCTTGTCACACACACCTCCGCCACCTCTGTTCCCTTGAGCCACTAAACCATTCTCGCCTACGCGACTGCCTCACTGTTATAATATTACATGCCCTTCGAAATAGCTGATGATGAGTTGTCCTCAATGTGGTCATCGAGTTGCTGTATTTTCCGTTGCGCTCTAGGGTCAGCTCTTACTCGTTGTTGAATTTGACTTAACCCCGTTCAACCTTTGGGAGCCTTACACGGCGTCAGGAATGCCATCAGAGTCAGAAGCAACCGAAGCACGCTGGGAGGAGACGTGAACTTCTCACCCAAGGCAGATTTCAAAGTGTGAGTGTTGTGCGCAGCATTAGCATTCTGTTGTCGCATTGCGTCATTTGAAGGATAGGGAAGGACGAGTGAGTGAGCTCAGAAGTACACCAACAAATTTTCTGGGTAAAAGTTACGTTGCTCAGCGTTTTCGGATGTTTTGACAGTTTATCTCACGCAAGCGGCTTCCTTCGCCGTGCTTTTGATAGAGTGCTCCACTCCACAGAGTGAGGAGCGGCTGAAGGTGGCAGTTGCCGGCAACAGTGGCACAGCCTCTGGAGCCGAGAGTGAGAACATCGTTGTTGCTGTTTGCGTAGAGGGGAAGAAGCGGTCAAGGCAACCTGGTCTTCCCCTTGTTCAGTTCCTCCACCGCTTTTCGACAAAATGAGGCCTAGTCTTCCTCTTGCGACGGTTATTCTCTGTCTGCATCTTGTTTGTCAAGTGGTGTGCCTTCCGATGAGACCAGGCAGTAGCATGGAAGACAACAAGGATGCAGGTATCGACACACACTCGGAACCGCTGCGGGTTACATCGTTTCAATCGCTACTTGAACACGTTGAGAATGAAGCGACGCATAAGGCGGCTCTTCCTTTCCAGCAAGCGGCAGCAATGCCTTTACATCACGATCAGTTCCGTCAAACGGTAACTATGCCTTCTCACCTCGATCAGTCTTATCGTACGACGGCATGGCCTTTTCACGATCAATTCCGTCACACGACACCTAGGCCTCCTCACCACGATAGATTCCGTCACACGGTGTCCAGGCCTCTTCAACAAGATCAGATCTATCGTGCGGCAGCAGTGCCTCTACCTCACGATCAATTTCGTCAGGTAGGAGCATGGCCTCTTCACTACGATCAATCTCATAGCACGGCAGCATGGAGCTCCCATCGCCCAGCCGGAGAAGCTTATTCGATAGCGCAAGACATGGAGCGCTTCGCTCACCAACCTCCAGAGGCTTCCGTTCAGCAAGGTTCACCGAGCTCCGTTCAGCAAGCTCCAGACATGGTGAGTTGAAGGAAACCTAAGATGAGAAAGGAGAGAATGCGAGGAGCCAGGCATGCGAGACCGACAACGACTGACCTCTTAGAGTAAATGTCAGAAGGGCAAAGCAAAGGCCAAGTCCGGAGAGAAAAGAGAGGCACCTGCGCCGCGTCGCGAGGAGGAGGATTCTTTGCAGCACACAGGTGTGACGGAATCATCGGATGCCTTCACTTTATACATCGCCAAGGATCTTGCTAGACATGACACTCTTGTGAGAATTATGTCCGGATCTGAGGAAACTCAAGAATGCTGACTACGACTTTAAAGTCGGATGCTTACATCGACGAGGAAGCCTCTAAGCATACAGAAATGATCAGAGCCAATTACCCATCGGAAGACCATAAAAGGCAGAATTTCCTGTACAAGAGGCTTTTACAGCGCTGCCAGGAAGAGATGAAGTACCAAAAACTTCGGTCCAATGGTCGATCCACCGAACAGCACCAACAGCACGATAAATTTGTCAGTTACCTATGGCGCCTCAAGGTTCGTTTCTGTCTGCATATTCTTGTCTCCGCGTCACCAAGCCTAACCCGACCAGTACTGTGTTCCTATTTGACCTTCAGCAGCAGCAATGGGAAAAAGGCAGGCCGCTGCCGGCCTTCGGCGAGCTGGGAAGAACGAAATTAGAACAAAGGGACCGTGACATGCTGGTAGAAGCAAAGGCCTGGATTGAGCAGAAGCGCGAAAACAAGATGAAGTCCGACGAAGACATCTTGTATGAATACAAGATGAGCATATTGCACGGGAATCAACCACGGCTTATGCCGAGTTGGCCATTTGCACACACAAACCGGGAAGCATTGTGGTCATCGCGGCGCGAAAGTTTCATCGATGATGCGACATTCAAGAATGTGGAAGAAGCGGAGAAACATCTCGTACAGAAGAAAGACAACTGGTCACCACCAAAGAATTGGCCTACCATAGAGCATTGGAGGGAAGAGAACAGGAGGAGTCGAAATAGACGATTTTATAAGCTCACGCAACTGGCTAAAACGGGAGGTCACCTGTCGGAGTGGCAGCATCAAATTCTGGACGGACACTCTGAAGAGGATATGTCAAGCTCTAGTCGTTCCGAGAGTCACAATGCTCATCTCCAAAGTCAACCCATCAATTCCGACATGCGGCCTCAATCGTCACACCGCTCCCCACAATTTCATCTGCCCGAGCCTCCGCCCCCCACTTTGGGATCATCATCGTCGCCCATTCAGAGCCATGGTGCGGTGTGGCCAGCACACCATCAGGAGCATACAAATAAGGAAGCGCATTCCCAATTCGTCTCTGAGGCTTTCCCTTATGACGGCAGGTGGGACTTTGACGAAGCCTAGTTCCAATCTCATCTACCTTGACTATGTCCATTGCGCTCTAGTGTCAGCTCTCACTTGTTTCTGAATCCGACTTATTTTTGACCTGTTCAGTTGTTCGAGCCTGACACGGCGTCAGCAACGCCTTCAGAAGCGCAACCGAAGCACACCGGGAGGAGATGTGAACGCCTCAACCGAGGCAGATTCCGAAGTGTGGGTATTGTGCGCATCATCGGCATTGTGTTGTTGGATTGCGCCATCCGAAGGATCGAGGGAGTAAAGTTGGGCCCACTTACGCACTGTGTGTGTCAGTCTGTGTGCTATGACAGGAGAGGAAAAGGACGGGACAGGACGAGTGAGCGAGCTCACAAAAACACCAACAAACTTGTGCTTATTTGTTATGTTTCTCTATGCCATTTTTTTTCCTGTTTTGAAGCTTTACGTTTCATTTGTTCGCACATGCGGCCTTCTTTCCCACTATTCCTTCACGCCATATCCGACAGAGTGAGGAGCGGCTAAGGGTGGCCGTGACTCGGCAACAGTGGCACAGCCTCTAGGGCCGAGAGTGATAACACCGCTGTTGCGATGAAGGGGAAAAGCGGGCAAGGCAACCTGGTCCCCCTTTTGTTCAGCTCCTCCATCACTTTTCGTCGAAATGAGGGCTAGTCTGCTTCCTCTTGTGACGCTTCTTCACTGCCTGCATCTTGTTTGCCAAGTAGTGTGCCTTCCGGTAGAACCAGGCAGCAGCACCAAAGGCAACGAGAACGCAGGTACCAGTACAAGGTCGGGCCCGACAAGGGTCACATCGTTTCGTGCGCTGCTTGAACACGTTGAGAACGAAGCGGCGCACATGGCGGGAGTCCCTTTGCAGCAGGCAGCAGCCATGCCTCCTCCCCACGATCACTTACGTCACACGACAGCCAGGCCTCCTATTCACGATCAATCTTATCGTGGGACAGCATTGCCTCTACATCAAAATCAAGTCCGTCACTCGGCAGCCAGGCCTCCTCACCACGATCAATTCCGTTACACTCAACTCCGTCACACGATGTCCAGGTCTCCTCAACCGCATCACTTCTATCGTGCGACAGCAGTGCCTCTAGACCACGATCAAGTCCGTCACTCGGCAGCCATGCCTCTTCTCCACGATCAACTCCGTCACACGGCAGCTAGGCCTCCTTCCCACGACCAATTCCGCCACACGATGTCCAGGCCTCCTCAACAAGATCAGTTCTATCGTGCGGCAGCAGCCCCTCAACCTCACGATCAATCCCGTCAGGTGGGAGCATGGCCTCCTCACCACGACCAACTCCGTCACACGATGTCTAGGTCTCCTCAGCAAGATCACTCCTATCGTGCGGCACTGCAATTCCGTCAGATGGGAGCATGGGCTCCTCACCATGAACAATTCCACAGCACGGCAGCATTGGCCTCCCATCTCCCAGGCGAAGGAACCTCTTCGGTAGCGCAAGACACTGAGCGCCTCGCTCAGCGAGCTCCAGAGGCCTTCGCTCAGCACATTCTAGAGAGCTCCGTTCAGCAAGCCACAGACAGGGTGAGTCGAAGGGCTTATAGGACAGCAAAAGAGAATTTGCCTGAGGATAGGCGCTCAAAACCGACTTTGACCACTTCCGGAGCAACCTGCAGAAAGGCAAGGCAAAGGAAATAGCCAGAGAAGAGCGCAAGTCGCGGGCTGAAAGACGTCGCCAATTGAGAGAGTCGTTACAGCACAAAGGTAAAGAGGTAGGAACGATCGCGTTCTCTTTATGCCGCTCGTCGGACTTCAAATATCAAGATAATCTTGTGAGAGTCACGGTCACATCCACAGCTGAAGAAGTTCAAAAAGGCTGATCATGGTTCTTCAAGACGGATGACTATATTCGAGAGGAAGCCTCTAAACACGCAAAATCGGTCATTGCCAATTACCCGATGGAGGACAAAGAGAGGCAGAAGTCGATCTACCGAAGTCTTTTACGGCAATGTGCTAAAGAGAAGCACTACAAGACAATCCCGATGGATGACAGGACGATTGTGCAGAACCGCAAGCATAGTCAATTTACGAAATACTTGGATCTTCTCAAGGTTCGTTGCTTCTTGACCTTGCCGTTCCCACTCTGACCAATTCTGTGCCGTGCCCCCTTTTCAGAGTAAGAAATGGGACGAAGGCGAGCCATTACCGCTCATGATTAAGGGCAGGTTTGTATCTGGAAAGAGGAAAGCCAAGCTGTTGAAAGCACGGGCCTGGTATGAGGAGAAGCATGGCATTACAAATGCGCCCGATGACGACATCCTGAAAGCATTCGATAAGCATACATCACTTCTGGTGTCCTGGAATGAAGCCCGCAATCAGCTGGTGGAATTGTGGTCGGTGAAACGTAAGCAAAAATTCCAAGGTGTGGACTTGAAGGAGCTCGAAAAGGAGGAGGAGACCCTCATACGAGAAGGAAAATGGTTACCCCGGAGGGATTCGTCTAATGACAAGTCCATAGCGGATCAGATCTGGTATACTCGGACGAACAAATATTATAAGCTTACAGGCAAGAGAGGAAGACACGAGGTGCTGACGAAGGAGGAGATGCAACATATCGACGAGTACGAAAGGGATAGAGCTTTGTTAAAGCAGCTTAAAGAGGTTGACCCCGAAAGGGAGAAAGCACCGCCAAGGCAGGGTCGTTCGAAAAGTCGCAAAGCTCATCTCGAATCTCAGTCTTACATGCAGCCTGAATCGTCACACGCCTCCCAACAGTTTCATCCGCCCGCCTTTTTGGGTTCATCATCGTTATCCTATCATGACCATGCTGCGATGTTACCAGCATATCATCAGGAGCATACAACCAAAGAAGCGCATTCCCAACTCGAGGCTGAGCCTTTCCCTCATGACGGCAGTTGGGACTTTGACGAAATCTTCTTCCAGCCTCATCTCCCTTGACTATGTCCTCACCATTGTAGCCAGTGACTCATTCCTGATGCTCAAATTGTAGATTGTCAACCGATCGATGCGTACAAGTACATGAGTGGGCGAGGTGAATTAGTAGTAGTGGACTGAATGGAGAATGGGGTGGGGAAACCGTTGCCGGTGCCGTTCGAGAATGGGTGTGATATCGTCATCAAGCTGACCCGAAGAATCAATCTATTTGCCATACGGATGCCAGATCAGCGGATTGATGCATAACATGGAGCTGCAACAGAGCGAGACACTCACCGTCCTCGCCAGCTCCAAGATAGCTTTGCCTGCTGCCAAGGCCGATTGATGATCGTCGCGAATTTCGACGTTGATGACATGAACTATGCGATTGAACTCGCCGTTTCTCGCAAGCAAGTCCTCGCATACTGCGTCGAAACACCGCTCTTCGCAGGTGATGACGACATCTGCGATACTCCTTCGCTCTTGGAAGCGCTCTGGAGCGGCCTTTACCCTTCGATTGCGATCGAGCATAGGAAGGATCCCATTGGCGGTGTACCTGCCCGCGTGCAAAGATGATTTCAGTGTCTTTCTAGCGATACAGAGTGGTCCTCTTCATACTCACAATCTTTGATCCTTCCCATAGAGATCCTTGTAGATGGTATCATACGGCGTGCCAAACGTGTAGATGTTTGGCTTGTCCGCCGAAGGGCCGGGCAAACGTACTGCCGAGCCCGTACCCGCAGAGGTGACGCGAAAGCCGGCATGCTGAAGAACATTGTGCGCCTCCATCGAACGGTTGTTGTTGCTGGCACACACGACGCAGAACATCTGGCCCACTTTGGCCGCCTCTTCCGCCGTAGCCCCGGCCGCCAGCGCGCCCGCTACCGCTGCCTCTTGGGCACTGCCGGCTCCCTGCTCACCAGGAAGCGGAGGGAGCGGCGCACCGGACGGGATGTGCTTGGCGTATGTCGCATCCATGTCGTCCCCTGGCCCTCCTCTCCCTCGTTGCCCACGCTTGTCGGTGCGATGGTACAATTTTAGAGACTTGGTGAGCAGCCCTTGTGAGCCTGCGCTTTAGATGGACGTCAAAGCGCAAAGACTAGTTGTCGGCCGAGTCTAACTTTTTTTCTCGTTCTTCTCTCGCTCGGATTTTTTTTGGAAATTTTGTCGGAGGAGGCTTCTTGTGTACAGTCGACAACAACGACAAGGATGAGTGAGCGGCAAGCACAGGCCGGGCCCAGCCGCAAGCGAGGCGAGAGAGGGGGTAGGCACAGTGAAGAGGTGCTCTCCAAGCAGAAAGATTCGATTGCTCGCTCTACGCGGATTCCTGTCTCCTTGCAGCAGGCGACTCCCTCCAGCACCCTCGGTCTGCGCCCGCCAAAGTCGCTTGGCAAGATCAAGGACAAGAAGCTCCGCGCTCACCTCGCCGAAGCACACATCTCCCAGGTCAGGGCGGCCGAACATGCAAAGACGGTCAACGAGTACCTCTATGCGCCTGCGCCGGGCGAGGACGCCGGCCTACTCGAGGCGGAGGGCGACCTCGAGCGGACGTACAAGGTGACACAGTCGCAGATCCGCGAAGCTGTCTCGGTTGACGCAGCCCGCAAGTCCTTTTCGCTGGACCTTTCTGGTGGGAAGAGAGCGGCAGGCATGGGCCCCTATCGAAGTGCATACACCCGAAATGGCCGCCATCTGGTCCTCGGCGGACGAAAGGGCCACCTGGCTGCCTTTGACTGGCAGACGGGCAAGCTCATGTGCGAAGTCAACGTGAACGAGACCGTTCGCGACGTTACCTGGCTTCACAATCACTCCTTCTTTGCTGCCGCTCAGAAAAAGTACACGTACATCTACGATCGGCAAGGCGCGGAGGTGCATCGGCTCAAGGATCACATCGACGTCAACCGCCTCGAGTTTCTGCCCTACCATTTCCTCCTGGCCAGCGTGGTGAGTCTCTTCCGTTTCTCTGTCCTTTGCTTCTCTGCGAAAAGCTCCTTCTGACGGGACATTTAACAGGGACAAGCGGGCTACCTGAAGTACCAAGACACTTCGACGGGAACCTTGATCGCGGAGCACCGCACAGGCTTGGGCTCCTGCTCGACGATGGCGCAGAATCCTCTGACTGCAGTGATTCACCTCGGCCATGCAAACGGGACCGTGACGCTATGGACGCCAAACCTGTCCACACCTGCACTGAAGATGCTTGCGCATCGCGGGCCCGTCTCTGGCATCAGCGTCTCGGCGCACAGTGGGGGTCGAGAGATGGCGACCAGCGGTCTCGATGGCAGTGTCAAGGTCTGGGACAGTCGCATGCTCGGGCGCGGAGCTGTGCGTGAGTGGCAGTCTCCCCGGCCGGCCTCGGACCTCCGCTACAGCCAACGAGGCCTGCTCGCCATGGCGTGGGGAACGCACGTGAGCGTCTACGACACCAAACGGCCCATAGTGTCTGGCAGCGCGCCGGGCCCGTACCTGAACAATGGCTTTCCTCAGGGCGCGCCCATCCAGATTGGCTTCTGCCCCTTTGAAGATGTCCTCGGGGTGGCGCATGCCCGTGGATTCGACTCTCTCGTCGTGCCCGGGTCAGGCGAGGCACGGTTCGACTCGAGCGAGGCGGATCCATACGAGAGCCGGAAGTCGCAGAGAGAGAGAGAGGTCAGGTCGCTCCTGGACAAGGTCCAGCCCGACACGATCAGCCTGGACCCAGAGATGCTGGGCCAGCTCGACGTCCCCCAGGCCGATGCGCCGCGGGAGGAGAGTGACGACGAGGAAGAGCGGCTGAGGATCAAGCGGCGCGGAGGAAAGGACCAGACACCGTTTGCGAGAATGAAGCGGATCGAGCGGCTGCGCCTGCAGGGCAAAGCGGACGAGGGTGGCGAGCCGGACCAGGACCTGGGCCAGTCTTCGGGTGAGGACGAGGATGACGCACAGGGCGACAAGGTCAAGAGCAAGTCGGGCTGGAATCAGGCCACGGGGCCATCGATTGAGGCTGGCAGGATCAAGGAGAAGAAGAAAGCCAGAGGAAGGAATACGACCATGAAGCGATTCTTGAAGAAGAAGCGCGAGAACGTCGTCGACCCCCAGACGGTGGCTGTGCGCGAGAAGCTCGAGCGGCTCAGGCAGGAGCAGCGCGATGCACAGAGCAGCGAAGGGCTGCAGGCGAAAGAGCCCTCCGCTCTCGACGTCTTTACCAATAAGCGAAAGCGAACCAGGTCTGCAAGATAGAGTGTCGTGCGTGTTGCCTAGTTATGAGAGCTGCAACAAACTACCAATGTATTCTTTACAAGCTATAATGGCTTCGCAATGGACCGATGCATCTCTACAATGTTCAAGAGTGATAGAAGCAGTATGTGGTGACACTGTGCGTTCGTTGCATTGCAAGGGGAAGAATGATACAGAATACATGCGGTCTAGAAGTTCTCGGCCTCCCACGCCGCTAGCTCGTCCTCGTCTATCAAGTCGAGCGGGTTGAGCCACTCCTCTTCTTCGGCAGCCCCCTCGCGGTCACCACCTTGGACGAAGCCGTCGTCCGGTCTGCCCAGCTCGCCATCAAAGAGCTTCTGGTAGCAGCTCGTGCCTAGGGTGTTAAAGTGACGGTATGGCTCGCGCGGGTTCAGCCGGGTACCGCAGCGGTAGCAGAGGTGGGTGTGGCAGTGGCGGCACTCGACGTGGTTGCAGCCCATGCTCTTTTCAATTCTGACGTTGCAGTGCGGGCATTGCTGCGTGCGCTTGTCCAGCCAGGCCGCGTTTGCGCTCTCCTCCTCGTGTGTCCTGACCATGCGCTCCAGGTTCGACCGGCCGTACCGGCTCTCCATCTGCAGCCGAGCCGCCGAGCCTGGCTGCGTCGCGACGTAGGCCTGCACGAGGGCGGACGAAGCGAGAAAGGTACAGGGGTTCCGACCGTGCCAGGCCTTGTTGCAGTAGTTGCAGTATACGAAGCCGCATGCGCAGGACCGCATCGGCTCGTACACTGTGCCGATATCGCGCGGATCGCCGCGGACGATTCGCTCGCATCCAGGCCGGGGACAGTAGCCAGCCGAGGGGTCTGACGCTGCCGATGCCTTTTCGCGCAAGTCATTCAGGCGGTCGACCAGTTCTCGCCCCACAAAGTCGAGCAGCTCTTCGTCGGAAATGGCGCCCCCGCCATCGCACTGCGCCCTGACTGCAGGCTTGTCGAGAAGGCTCGCTTCAGCCACTTCGCGCTCGGCCGCAACACGGGCCTTGACGCACTCTGGGTCTGGACATGCCGATGCCTGACGGTGGTAGCCCTCGCGGATCATGCTGGAGAGATAGTCGCCCAGGCACGCTTGGCAGAAGATGTGGGAGCACGTCTTGAGTCTCCAGCACTTGCCGCCTCTCTTTTCGTCGAGACAGATGCCGCAGAAGCGCCTCTCGCCCTCAAAGGCTTGGCGCTTAGACATCATGTCATGCGCCCGCATCAGCTGACCAAGTGACGATGTAAAGGGAGATGAGCTCGACGTTGGAAGAGTGACTGGCACATTGCAGAGCAGCGTGAGCAGTGGCTCAGCAAGAGCGTAGAAGAAAGCAGACTGTGGCACTCACCATACTCTTCAAAGCACAGGGTATCGCCTTCAAAGAAGGGCTTCTTCGGATCTGCTTCCTCTTCCCACCAGCCCTGCCGGAGGAATTCGAACCAGGAGTAGAGGACCTCGGCTTGGAGCCCCTCCCACTCCCTATCGAGCCGTGCCTTGAGCCAGGCCACAATTCGAGACCGCGAGCGTGCGGCGCTTGACGCCGCTGCGGCCCGAGCCGCCATCATTCGTGCTGTGGAGCCGGCTGCAGTGCCGTTGCCACTGGCGGTCCGATGGAGCTGAGGAAGCCAGCTTGACTCGATGAAGGCCACCTTGGGCGCCTCGTCGAGTGGATAGCCGGGCGGCAGTCGTATGTGCACCTTTATTGGGGGAAGATACGATATGTCGTGCAGAGTAGTCGTCCTGACGCTGCTATGGATCTGTGCTTTGGCACTGAGCGGCGGGGGCCGCATTGATGGGGTCTTGTTGTCCTTTTCCGGGGCCACGGCAGCTGCTCTCCCCTCATTCTTCCCCCGATCTTGCGGTTTCTCTGCTCCCCTGCCTCTTCCAACTTCCCTTCCGCGACCTCTGCCCCTATCTCTACCCCTGCCGCTGCTTCTGCCTTGCTCTAGCCCACGCTCATGTGCTGTCGAGGAGCGCGTCTCTTTCGACCCAGGCTCGTCGGAGGTGAGCTCCATCGTCTCCAGCGTCGTAGCGGCCTCTTGCACATCTTCAGGACCTTCCGCCGCCGCTTCGAAGACGTGGCTTCGCACAACGATGTTCATGGGCCGGGGCAGGATGGGCGAGACCGACAGCGTGACCCTCGAAGACGAGGCCTCGCCCTCTCGAGGGGTCTGGAGCTGCAGCTGCGCATTGTCCAAGATCGCTTCGAGCGCCAGCAGCTCGTCCTCGCTCATCTGCCGGCATGCCGCCCTTCGCGCGGCATCGTCGACGTCGTCGTCGCCACCCATCAGGACGCGGCGAAGAGGGGCCTTTGTGACAGATGGCACCTTCTTGCGGTTGTTGTGTTCTTGGTAAGAGGTCGATGTTCTTGAAATTTGCGTCAGTGACATGACAGAATCAGCTGCTCACCCATCTGTGGAGGCTTTTTATTTTTCTGGTTCCCAGATCACTTTTTGCAGCTGTCGTCAGTCAGACAGCCAGACAGACAAGTGGAGGCAACTGTCGCTATTTCTGGGCAATTTCATCTTCTTGCTGACAGCAACTAAACCGGGTGTCCCTCCCGTCTACAGCCAACTTTGTTTTTACCCTTGCTGCACTGAAGAGGGTCTCGGTGATGACCTCCACGTCTCGTACCCTCACCCACAGCATGGTGAGCCATACTCCACTTTTTGAGAAGGAGGGGAATAGGTATAAATATTGAAAAGGAGGAGAGAAGCTTTCCCAACCATTGAGCCTCAAATCTTCCTCACATCCCCCAAAGTAAACGTACTGTACATCATGACCCAACCTACGCGCAAGATCGGTAGCACCGCCGTTGGCGAGATTGGCTATGGCGCCATGGGCTTGGCCGCCTTCTACGCCAGCAAAAAGGCGCAAAACGAGTGCAACGAGATCTTCAACCACCTCATTTCCAAGGGCTGCACCCACATTGACACGGCGGACATTTACTCTTCGCGCCCCTCCAACGGCGAAGGCGAAGAGCAGATTGGCGCATTTTTCGCTTCCAACCCGGGCGCGAGGGAAAAAGTGTTCCTGGCCACCAAGCACACCTTCCTCATCACGCCCAACGGGATGGAATTGAAGGCCGGCGTCGAGTACTGCGCAGAGGCCCTCGAGGCTTCGCTCAAGCGCCTCCAGACGGACCACGTCGACCTCTACTACTGCCACCGTGCCGTCGAGCCTGTCGAGGAGCAGGCAAAGGGCCTCAAGAACGCAAAGGACGCAGGAAAGACGCGCTACGTCGGTGTGAGCGAGTACAGTGTCGACCAGCTGGAGCGCTTTGAGAAGATCTGCCACATCGATGCGCTCCAGATCGAGCTCTCGCCATGGACGGTGAGTTGAGCCGGGCTGTTTACGTTAGCGCTTCTCTACCTAAAAGAGAGACAACTGACTGTTTGCTTCTCCAGCCCGAAGTTATTTCCAACGGTGTGCTGGACTGGTGCAAGAAGAACGGTACGGCTCTCATTGCCTACTCTCCCGTCGGAAGGGGCTTCCTCACGGGCGCAATCAAGTCGCCCGATGACCTTGCCGACGACGACTTCCGCAAGAACAATGAGCGCTTCCAGGGCGACAACTTCACCAAGAATCTCGAGCTCGTCGCCGACATCAAGAAGATTGCCGATAAGAAGGGCGCAACGCCCGCGCAAATCGCCCTTGCGTGGGTCTTGGCTCAGGGCGACAACGTCCACCCGATCCCTGGCTCGACCAAGATCAGGAACATCGACGAGAACCTGGGCGCGTCCAACGTGAAGCTCTCCAAGAGCGACCTGGACGAAATCAATGGCGTCATCAACTCCTTCAAGGTTGCGGGTGATCGATACAGCGGACCGATGAAAGACATCGTCCACTTTTGAACTCGCTGTGTCCAGTCTTGCTATCCCTTGTATATCAATTCTAAAGTCAAATTTCTATCCGCTCGGATCATGATTATGTGCGCCGCCGGCGAAGTAAAACTGAGCGCAAGAGTGCACGCGACAGTGAGAATGACAAGGTTGATGACTGCACCTTGAACGTGCTACAAGCAACCTTGAAGGACAAAATCCGAGCCACATCTACCGGCCCGGGCCCTAATGCCTCAGCTGTGCTGCATCAAGGTGTTATCTCTGTGCGCCTGATCTTTCTGACCAGTACCCGCATGATCTCATTGCCCGACAAGGAGCGTGTTTGTGACACCAACTCACCTCGCTGCAACGTCATTGGCCGATCGGTGCCCCAGTAAGGATTGCTTCGTCCCTTTCTTCCGATTGGCCTACCTGTGAACATGCCAGTCCAGATAAAGGTGGCCTGGGCCTCTCTCTTCCTCTTACGACCCACCACCTTCGTCCAAATCATCTCAACGACACGCCAACCTGATTATCAAGACAAGCACCAACAAGCACCCAAAAAAAGCTTCAGCCATGGTCAAGAAACTGGCTCTGCTGCTCTTCGTACTGCAGCTCATCCTGGCGACTGCCTTCGCACTCCCATCAAAGAAGGGTGGGAAGATGCTAGCTTTGAAGGAGCCGTCGCCCTCTTTTTCACCAAAGGTGGGTGTTGCGATTCATTCAAGACTCATTCGAACTGATCTGAAGACTACTACCATCAGGACTCCGAGACGCTGTCGAAGGCCATCACCCACTGCGAGATGCAGCCCGACAAGGGCGAGACGGTCATTTCGACAAGGGCGAAGAATGCCGCCCTTTGGCATGAAGCCCATCAGAAGAACAAAAAGGATCAAAAGTGCGAGAAGGCGAAAAGTCACAACAAGCAGTAGTTCGTCAGGTACTGAACTGAAGCTGTTGCGCCCGCTTTCAAGATTGTGAAAGCATGAAAGTCATTCTCCATCTTGTAGGGGTAGAAGATTGCCAATTCATCACAATGTTCACGGTCGAAAGACGAAGATGTCAGCCCCGTCTGCCATCCTGCCTAGAAAGAAGCACTCCTGGTGAGGGTTGACAATACCCTGAGCTCGATCCTTATTCGTTGCTCGGACATTATGCCGTGTGCTTGATACACAAAGCCGATTGACGCCCACCTCCGGAGCTTGAAAAGCTGACGGCAGACGGTGGCGTTCCTTTTCACTCGTTCCCCTTTACTCATTACGCACCCCGTGTGGTGGGCTTGTGGTGGGCCTGTGGTGGGTGGGCTCGTCGCTGCATCCTTATCCTTTTCGTACAGCGTCCTACTTGCTGTCAGCTCTCGCAAAAAATCTCGCATTTCCAGCTCATAGAGGAGCTGCCTGTTCTGGCAAATCCCGGACAAGTAGGGGTGCCTTTGACAAGCAGATTCGATTCAGAGAGCAAACGGGGCGCAACTGATACGTCTCGTTTCTAGCACTGGCCATCACGGCCCGAAGCACGCCACAATTTGACTTACTCTTGTTTCTGGCATTTATCGCTTTTGTTCGAGGGTTTTCGGGTCGGCTTGAAGAGATTTGGCCACCCTTATCTTCCGTCCTTGAAACGTAGACTTCTACTTCGGTCCCAACCTCTGTCCCAACCTCCGTCCCGTCCTCGACAACAAAGAATTGATCGCATCTCTTTTTCTCAAAAAGCAGAAGCAGAAGACAATCACCTTGTGCGCTCACACGAATTTACTTCACAATGAGAGTCAAACTGCCTTTTATGGCATTCTTGCAGATCTTGCTAGGCTGGATGTGAGTAGAGAATTCGCGGATTCCTTAGTATGTGGTAGTATGAGCTCACGACACAGCTTCCAGAGTGAATCATTCGTTCGCCCGCCTCGACATTAGTATTTCTCGTCAGGATCACAACGCCATACCTGAGCTTGACCGACGTGGGATCGGTGGCTTCAGAGCTCGGCAAAAGAATAATGCTCTCCAGGTGCTCGAATCGGAGGTACCGCTAACGATGGTGGATCAGCAGGGCAAACGAGCCAAAGCTGAGATTCATACAAAGACGAATCCGTACGAGACAATGATCACGAAAAGGGCTGACTCCGACTTGGAACCCAAATCCAGGGTGACGGCTCGGCGAGGCTCGTCCCAAGCCGGGGGACACGACCATTTACCCAGTGAGGCTTCAAAATCCACCAAGAAAGACAAGGGACTTTGCATTCCAAAGTTGGAACAGCTCTCGCTGGACACTGCCGAGTCTTCGACTCATCCGACCGCGGTGGAGCTACACTGGCCAATAGTTGCTGCAGCACTCAAGGACGAAAGCACTTCACATGTCAATGGAGAAACCCAAATTTTCCGGACGCTTCTGGAGAAGATGTACGCACAAGGTCGCCTCAGGGTCAAGGCTGAAGGAAAGACGCGAGGCAAACGTCAACGTCGGACAAGCAACTTCGACACCGAGATAAACGATCACATGTTGCAAAGACTGGTGGAGCAATTCGAGGAGCAATGTCGATTTACAAAAGAGGAAATCGCGAGGTCTGCAGTTCGAGGAGATATAGACGAGGACGACTTCTATTTGCAAGCGATTTGCGATGACAAAGACGACCTCTGCGAAAGCCTGCAGCATATGATGGCATACTTGACCGTTCCGCTAGGAGTAAAGAAGGCGAAAGTGTCTGACGTCGAGCAAATCAAGTCGGCGGATGAGCTATCCAACATGTCAGGTAAAAATACTTAGAAATGAAGAGACGAGTAAAGGACGAATAAGGCCCCAAGAACAAAATGCAGGGCTTCCGACATGCCGCAATCGAGTCTAGAGCTGTCACCCAAAACCTAACAAATAATTCAGGAGCATGCTTGTTCCCATCTTCTCTCCTCTTCTCCCTCCATTTCCTTTTCTGTCTTGCTCTTTATCACGTCCAAGAGCGTGTTTGGATGGCGGTAAAATGTTTCCTCCCCATCGTCGATGCCCGAGAAGGGAGATTGAGCTACTGTCCTCATTAAATTTGTGCCCTTGGGCCATGTCAGTGCTTTGGTAGAGCACGGTATGGGAGCTTTTGAGACGTGATTTGGTTTAGCGACTTCTCAGGGTGGCGTGTTTGATCCTCTATGGCTATGCATTTAACACTAACAATACATGATGACGAACTTCAAAAGAGAATCTCGTCGTCGTCTTCTCCTTCAGGATCTTTGATCCTCTCATAGGCAGCAAACCACTTGTCGCCTCGATTTCTGACGACCTTTTTCCCCTCCTCTGTCGCGTTCCACACTGCGTCGACGCACACATCATCCTTGAGCCGCTCGTCGTCGTCGGGGATCCGCTCAAACAGGGGAAAGGCGTCGAGGTGCTTGACCATCCAAAGGTGCAGGTCGTGGACATCGGTAATCGTGTAAAGTCTGCCACCCGGCCGGAGCACAAAGGCGTACTCGGCCAGGAGCGTCGATGAGATGATGCGTGCCTTTGACTTTGCCTTTTTGAAGTGAGGGTCTGGGTGCAGGAAGAAGAGCTTGCTGAGCTGGGCCCGGTGGAAGAAGTTTGGCAGGAATTTCATCGCGTTGACGCGAAGTGCAGCAACGTTCTCGTACGATCCCGCCACACCAGGAGCAGAGTGGACAAGCTCGGTGTTGATCTGCGCTTCGTTGGGCGCTTCAGCAGCGGTGGGGCCTGTGCCATCGGCCGTGTTCGCCGCCGCGTCTGCTCCCGCGACCCCTTCTTGCTTCCCTGTATCGCCATTGCCGCCGATGGAGCTCCGACGGCTTGCCAAGCGCAACGCCTGGACCTTGTCCACGACGTATTGAGTAACGGAGGTGCGGATCTCCATGCCAACGAGGAGTTGGTCTGGAAAGTGAGGGGCCAAGAAGAAGAGGAGCCCTCCGAAGCCGCAACCAACGTCGGCTATCTCCACCTTGGCCAAGGTCCCTGCCTCCTTCTGCTTCTTGTACTCTTCTGAGCCCAGCGGCGGTATTCGCTCCGGGTAGTGTTGCGACCAGTCCATCTGATCCGGACTCGGCGGGTACACGAGGCTGTGGTCGGCAAACGGATTGGCATGGGCCCGCTGCCGGTACAGGGCTTTCCGAGGAATCACAATCGGCGCTCCTTGAAGTGCTGCGGCAGCGTTGGGGTGGGCTCTGGACTGCTGCTGAAGAATAGCAATCGACTCGGCGTCGCCGATGTCGCCCCTCTTTCGCTTCGCCATCCTCTTTGCTTGGCCGGTCAACACAGAAGAAAGAAAGGGCGACAGTTGCGATTCTTGTGGTCCAAAAATTCAAGAAATTAGAAGAATTGGACCGGACCGGCCATGTGGAAAGAAATGTCTAAAAATTAAAAAAAAGTGACGTGCATCAGTGCCATCCCCCCCTTGCGACGTCAATCCACCCAAGAGCGCACACACGTTCCAAGCATGAAGCGACAGCTGGCTAGATAGCCGTCTTGCGGAACATGTCGACACCAGAGCGCCTGCCGCTCGGCCGGAATGGTGGGGCAAGCGAGGGAGGCGAGGGGCCCATCGCAGGAGCTGCAGCGAACACCAGCTCGTTGAGGCCACTCCAGCTCCGTCCGTCAGCCACTGTCGCCAATGGAGGCGGGGGCCACGAGAGCATAGCCGAGCCGGAGCTGCTGGCGCTCATCATCGAGATGAGGCTCAATGCTTCGAGGGGCTTGGGTAGCAGCGTTGGTGGCGCGAGCAACGGCGACAGCCACAAGAGAGATCATGCCGCAAGCGGCAGCGCCAGCCCTGCGTTTGATACGATGGACCTCTGCCACAAAAAGATCGAAAAGCTTCCGTACGAAATGGTCGACGTCATCAAGGACGATGTTGTACGGTGAGAGCCCACGGATGTGTATGAGACAAACACCGGCCAGTCTGACGCTCGTTTCTCCCTTCACCTGCCTAGACTCGCACTGGGGTACAACCTCATCTCGACCCTGCCGAGCTCCTTTCTTGAGCTTACCAAGCTTCGCTACCTCAACGTGCGGGCCAATCTGATGACAACTTTTCCTCAGGTCCTGACGCAGCTCCCCTCGCTCGAGATTCTCGACATCAGCCGTAACAAGATTCGCAAACTGCCCTCAGAGCCTGGCCGGTTGCTCGAGCTGAGGGTGTTGAGCCTCAGCAACAATCGCATCAGGAGACTGCCGGCTTGGGTGGCCAAGATGAAGTACCTTCGCGTGCTCAAAGTCGATGCGAACCCCATTTCGTGGCCCCCACCCAATATCATCGTTGCACCCAGTGTGGATAGCAGGGCGTCCGACGCTGCCAGTGGCACCTCTGGCTCGTCTTCTCTCTCGGCCAAGAAGCAGGAAGATCGCCTCATGGCTGCTTGGCTTGTCAAGCTCAAGACATGGATCGACGAAAATCGACACGAGGCAGAGAGCGGTGCTGACACATCCAAGGCAGAAGAAAGGCCGGAGGGTCCTTCCAGAAGGCAAGATGAAGAAGGAGATTCGCGAGCACCGGAAAGGAGCGCGGGGGAGGAGAAGAGCCAAGAAGAGACAAGGAGAGGGGATCCGGAGGTGGAGGGAACGAAGCAGGAAGAAAGCCGAAGGAGTCCAGAGGAAGTGAGAGAGGATGCTTCAAAGGATATAGCAACCAGTGAAGCTGCGAGCGCAGATGCGAGCCCTGTTGAACGAGCGTCACCTGTCTCAGAGAGGGAGAATGCAGAACGGCGAATAGACAAACAACCGCGTCGCAATCAACATCAACAGCAGTCGTCAGCTTCCACAGAGAGGAGGGCAGCCTCGCCTCCTCCGCCACAAGCCAATGGCAAAGAACAGATTCCTGTTCCCAGGGTGCCTTCGATGTATTCGCCCTCGATAGATGTCAAGGGTCTGAAGCAACTGGATCTCAGTGACCCTCGGCGTTTAGGACAACACGGGAGGAACAATTCTCACAGTGTGGGGCAACCTGCCACCTTTGAGGCAACTCCAGCCTCGCTTTCGTCTTCGAGTACGAGGAAGAGCCGCACGCTCTCTAGCAAGAAGTCGCTTCCAGACCTCCGCCAGAATCACGGTATCATTCTGAGTGAGAGGCAGGCTAGCTTCGACTCGCGGCGACTGCCGAGCGACGACGAGCCTGACAAGGACTCCAATTCCGACGAAGGCATCATCTATGACAAACAAGTGTCGCAGCAAGCTCAACGAGCGAAGAGACCGCCGATCACGCAGAGCACCAGCCACGAAGGAGCACTACACAGGCGCGAACCTTCTTCCATAGCTTCGCCTGCCAGTGGACGCAAATTTAGCCTACCCACCTCCACCCTGCCTTACAACGCAGACAGGAACGGTGTTGATCACGTCGCTGCTCTTCGAAGAGCAGCCGTCACTGCTGCCGTGGCATCTGGCGGAGCTAGCATGGCACCCATGTCCTCTGCCTCGGGTACCTCTGATGCAGCACCAACCTCTGCATCGTCTTCCTCGGGAGGAACGGTCGAGGTTGAGAGAAACAGCTATTTCCGAAGGCTCTCAACGCTGCCGCCTTCTACCATTTCCAAGTCCATCTCTCCACCGGTGCTTCGCTTCGTCGATGCGACCAGAGGAGTGCTCTATGCGCTCTCGCAGATCCATACCGCACTCCGACAATACGTCGTCTTTGCTACAGACGAGCGCATGACTGGCCAGCTTAGTCGAGCGCTCGAGATCGCCAGTGCGACAATGGGCAATCTCATCAACTCGCTCGATCGCTTCGATTCCGTCTCGCGAACGAGAGGAGGCGCAGAGCCCGACGTGGTACGCGGTGTGGTGTTGGCCTGCGGTGAGAGTGTGGCCACGTTCCGCAAGGTCGTCTCCGTGCTGCAGATTCAACTCAAGACGCTGCACAGCGGCGCCGACGTTCGGTACACTCGCACACTCCTTTTGCTTCTTTACGGCAGCATGGCTGAGGTGGCGCACTGCTGGAACATCATGGCGCCCCTGATAGATGAGGTCGCACCGTTCCTCAACAAGACCAATGATGCACGACCTGGGCAATTGCAGACACCTCACCCAACGTTGCCGAGCATAGCCGAAGCTTCCTCCCCTTCTTCTCCAAAGACTGCTCGCTCGACTGTCGATGATGCACTCCAGCAGCAGCAGCAGCAGCAGCAGCAGCAGCAGCAGCAGCGACAACAGCCAGCCTCTGCGTCAGCGTCCCGACCCTATCGACGACGGCACGCTGGCTCCTTTAGCGCGCACGACGTCGCACAAGGCGCTACGATGGGAGTGACGAATGAGGCGGTACCGATGCTCCCTTCTAACGTCGCTTCTCCAGTGGCTGCGGCTGCGACATCTAACGCACCCTCATCCGAGACGGAAGTCCTGTCGTCGTCGCGAAAGAGCCGTCCGTCCGCTTTGGGCCGACTGCCTCCGCAGAAGGCCGTAGGGCAGTGGCACATTGAGGAAGGGAGCGAGGCAGGAGGGTCCAGACCTTCGACGCCAGTCAAAGCGCAAGTGGGCGACTCTGGCGGACCAACAACACCTGCTTCGACAATACCTCATCAGCAAGGAGCAGTTGGCTACCCCTGGAGCACACCATCGTCTTCCACCTCTTCGGTCGCGGCCGCAGGGATGTCTGCCCCCGCTGCATCGATGCGCTTCGGAGGCCTTTCGAGGAGCCAACACGGAGGCTCACCAGAGAGTGGCGGCGGCGGTGCAATGAGCAGCCGGAGAACCGTCTCCAATACGTCCTCTTCTCTCGAGCGCCATCCGGCAACTACGCCATTCACGCCCTATGCTTACTCCGACTCGGCCCGTCCCATTGTCGACGAGCATCTCCTGCTTTTGACTGTCCGGTTCACCTCGATCACACTCAGCGTGTGCTCCTCGCTGTCGGACCACCTCAACAGCGTGGGTGTCGGTCTTGGCTCTCCAGCACGGGATCGCACGGGATCGAGCACCAGCGAACATTCGTCATCAACAGCGGTAGCGAAAGCTCCCAAGTCACCGGAGGGAACGCCGACGTTGGCCTCTGCTGCGACACTTGCCTCTCCACCCACTGGAACACCTGCCAGAAATCGAAGCGTGACGCCCACAGCGGGACTTCGGTCACCCACGACTTCCTCTGCCGCCTCCTCTTCCTACGGCGAAAGCGGAGGCGTGCTCTCTCGCAGCGGCTCATCATCGAATCAGAAGAAGCTTAGGCAGCTCCGAGAGCTGTGCAACACGACGGCCGAACTTACAAGGCGCCTTCAGATGTCGCTCAACAAGGTGCAAGAGCATATTCTTCATCCTCCAGACCTCGAGAACGACTCCGTTCCATCGACAGTCTTTGCTTCGCCCGGATACGCGCGTGCGACGGCGTCTCTCTCTTCGTCGCCCGCCTCTTCGCGATCTGCTCCCGCTGCGGCTGGTGCACCAGGCTGGACGACCTACCCGCTCCTTCCCGCCCAAGATTCCGAGCGGCTGCACAAGGACTGCTCTCTGCTCCTCCGTAGCGTCTTGCAGCTCAGCGCAATGGTCAAGAGCTCAAGCGTGCAGTTGGCGAACATCAGCCAGGGTGGCACCTTTCCAAAGGCCCTCTCGAGGGGCCTTGTTGGGCTCATGCAGAATTCGAGAGACGTCACCCTGCATTTGGGCTTCTTGAAAGGGGGAGCTGCGCCGTCGACGACGGCGACACCAGCGGCGGGATCAGCGCAAGCCAGGGCGAAAGCGACTACAGCCGGACAACCACCAGAATCACACTAGCACTCACTCCATACAGCACGACCCGTTCATTTCACCACAGTCCATGCGCATCCATCTCAGAATTCTGTTTCCAAACCTGCAAATTCTCCTACTCAGCATCAAAATTTGTCAATATAGCAGTCAGAAGGGGGAGAAAAAAAGGCCCTGGAAGCACGCAACAGAATAGATTGAAAAATCTTAAGGAAGCTTCATCAGAGAGAACGCAACGAGGATGAGAGAGATATGAAGACAAAAAGAAGGCAAGAGAGCAGATCAATCGTCCACCTCCTCTTCCTCGCGTTGCTTTTCCTTGCCCTTGTTCAAGCCAACGTGCTCATGTTCCTCGACTCTCCTTGTGGTTCTTCCTCTTTGGCGCTCATCGCCTTCGTTGTCGATGATTCGCTCGCTGGCCTCGTCGTCAGGCACGACGCTCAGTGCACGGCTGAGCTCCTCGACGGCAAGCCAGATGCTGCCCTGGACCCTCTCGAGGAGCTTCAACCTCTCTTCGAGTCCTTGTCGGGTCGATCTCGACAGCGTTGCCAGCTCTGCATCGCTCAGCCTCGCGTCGAGATGTGGTTGAGTTGCCTGTTGGACCGTCGATTGTGTAGAGGCTGGACGAGAAGCGAGGGGCAACGGCAGCGAATCGGCCGAAAAGGAAGGGATGCTCAGAGGATCAAACAAAGGTATCAATGCGGGATTCCCCGGAATGTCTGCTTCTTCCGAGGGCTTTTCCTCTTGTTGTGCTGATTCGGCTTGCCTATCTGACGGCTGAGCGCTAGAGGGCGGCATCGTGACAGATCTGGAAGAAGAGGCTGCCTTTGAGGCGGTTCCCTTTCCGAGAGCCTCGAACCGCTTGAGTGCGGCCGCCCTGGCTGCCTCTCGTGCGTCCAGTGGATCGATTGGCGCGTCCTTGGCTTCCTTCGACCCGCCTGCGTCCTGCTCTGTCGATGCTTTCTCCTTTGCATCTGCAGCTGTTGCAGTGCTACTCTCGCCCTTTTTTGCCGGTCCAGCTGTGACAGATGGCCTAAATGTCCACGGAGGCGGCGGAATCCAGCTCGGCCCAATGTGCGTGTCGCTGCCCCTCGCGAAGGTCGAATTAAGTGAAGGACCGACTCCGTACATGTTCTGATAATGAGCAGGTGGCGAAGTCGATGGACCTCCTGTGCCGAACATATTTTGATGGTGCGGTGAAGAAGCACCCGAGGTAGGGAAAAGAGAGTTGATGAGAGCTCGTCGGATGGGTGTCCGCCCTCGAGGTTGCTGAGAGCTTCGATTAGGCGACTGTGTCCGAGACGTTGTATGGGATCGTGAAGGTACCTCTGCAGCAGTTGCGCTGGCCGTGGGAAGAGCACCAGCAGCATTTCTTGTTCTGGTGCTATCCGTCACTGTAGAAGGCCCTGGCCTCGGGGTGGCTGATCGAGAAAAGGAGCCACTTGCTGCTGCTGCGTTCGCTGCTGCTGCTTCCCTCGCCGAGCGGTCCCCTTGCTCTCGCGCCCGTTGAGCGTCTGTTTGCAGCTGTTGCAGAAACCCTTGAAGCCGATCTCTGGCTGTTTGCGCCGGATTGGCAGCCTCTGCCCCTCTCGCCGGCCCTTGACCAGGTGCACCAGCTCCCTGAGCTGGCCCTGCTTCCCCACCTGCCGGCGCCGCAGGAGTGGCAGCTGCAGGTGCATCGAAAACGGTTCTCCGGCACGTTGGACAGCTCTGCTGCCGTTCTAACCAGGATCGAAGGCAGTGAAAGTGGAAGATGTGTCCACAGGGGAGCTTCTTTGGCGTCTCGTTGAGGCCGCTGCTGCTTGGTGGTGAGGGGCCAGGTGCTCTTCCCTCGCTCTCTTCAGTGGCTCCAGCATCACTGACGATCATTTCCTCGCGGCAAATGATGCATGTGCCGTCGCTCATTGTGCGCATGTCCTGGTGCGTAGCATCTGGGAAGCGCGTGTCCATGTTTCGGGTGGCAGCGCGGTACTTGATGAAGTCGCGAATTCGTCCAAAGAAGGACCTGCCAGTGATGTAGACATCTCGAATGATGTTGAGTGGCAGACCATAGTAGCTGACAATGAGGGCGCAGAAGCCGAGGTAGGTCGCCAGCTTGAGAAAATCTATCCTCTGTTCATCAGTGCTTTACTCTCTTACTCTCTCTGGGCGGTCCATACACGTACCTGTGACGAGATCGACGAAGAAGACATACATGCTCTTGCCCTCCCATGGCACCTCTGATCGGAGATCATAGCAGTTGATCAGGTATTTGGCTATCGTCGAGTTGAGTGTTGCCCAAAGAATCATGAACTGGACAAAGGGATGAAGGGCAAGTCAGTGGCTATAATAAATCTTTAATGCCCTGGACCAAGCACTCACCTCGCTGGCAAACATGATCATGATGCCGACCTTCTTCTGGTCGATGATGAGTATCTCGACGGCAAAGGCAACGAGAAAGGTGTCGAGCCAGAAGAGCGTCCAAAGGATCGAAATCATTCTGGCGTGGAACAGCCTCGAGACCGAGGGCGACTGCTCCATGAATTCGATACGGTCCGCGCTGAGCCAGTGAAAGACCTTGAGGAACAGCAGGGTGCCAAAGAGAATGACGAAGCTCGAGTCGAACTCGTCGCGAAACATCGTCATGGCCAAGAGGCTTTCGGTGACCGCGTACCATGACCGCTCGTAGAGGTGCTCGATCTCGATGGCTCGCAAGGCCCCAAAGAAGATGCGCTGGCAAGCCTTGCCAAAAACAACGGTGAGAAAGAGGCCAAAGTTGAAGAGTACGAGCATGCAGCCGTTGCTGCCCCCCAGCATGACAGCGGCCGAATAGAAGTTGGAGCGCTGGCGAAAGGCGCTCACCACAACGCCCACAGCGGCCGCAGACGAGACGAGGCCGTAGAGAGCGACATTGCGAGTCGTCAGCGCCGTCGCCGCGCCTGCTGCTCCTGCTGCCGGCATTGCGTTACGCGCACTCTCTTTCTCCTCCCTGCTGTGCGCTTCTCGCAGTCGTTGTGATGGTTCCCTCCTCCTACTACAGAACCATCTCCCCTGGGAAGAGTGACGTGGAGGAATGAAATGGCCGCCGCCGCCGCTCTCGAGGAAATAGAGCTGTTTCTATTTTTTTGCCACGTGCTGGAATGCAGTGGGCGGCGTTCCCAGCAGCCCTCTATTACTTCCACGACTAGTGTGACCAGAACCCCACCCAATTCAGCGTCGACGTCTATAACGACAGTGCTGCCTCGCTAGGAACCGCACGAAGCCGCAGGCAGCCATGTCAAACAAGAAGGCGGCGACTCCGCCAGACGGAGACGAGGAGCTGCGTACTTCAGACCTCAAGAGACTCGACCCAGATTCGATCTTGGCAGACGAGGCTGACCCGGACGCCCTGCTTGGCAACGAATCGGACAGCGAGACGGGCGAGAGCAGGAGAGCCTCGCGCAACTTTGACGCGGCTACGGAAAACATTGATTTGAACGGAGATGGCGGGCATGCCGTGGGTCTGGCTAACGCCACAGCGGCACACACCGCTGCAGTGGAAGCGGGCCCGACGCCAACGCAGATGACCTTCAGCAAAAAGGAAACGGCCATGACCGAGGCTGAGCTGAAGGCACAGCTGTCAGACCTGCAAAATCAAGTGACGGGCCTCAACAACAAGCTCGTCAGCTCCTTTATGCGAGTCTCGGATCTCGAGGACGAGGTGTCGGAGTCGCAGAACCACATTGCGGCGTATACGACGAAGATCTCCGAGCTGGAAAAGGAGCGCGAAGAGCATCTTGCTGCACTCAATACGGGCCTTTTGGTGGAAAAGGAGCATGTGTCGCAGGAGATGCAGCGTATGATGGATCGAGTAATTGAGGAGACCACGCAGCGGGGAAAGGCGATCAGCGACAAGGAGAAGATCGAGGCCGAGCTCGACGAGCTCTCTTCGAGTCTCTTCAGCGAGGCAAACAAGATGGTGGCCGTAGAGCGTCTATCGAGAGCAAGGGCGGAAGAAAAGAGCAGGCAGATGGAAGAGAGACTCAAGGATACCGAGGAGATTATGGAACACCAACAGAAGCGCTTGGCCGAATTGCAGACAGAGGTCGAACGACGAAGGGCCGACGATACCAACGAATCTTCGGGGGCTGGAGCTCCCCAAGAGATAACAAAAAGCGATCATGCTTCTGGCACAGGCTTGATCCAGCTCCCGCCGCTGTCGAGCAGCTCAAGACTCTTGCCGCTGCTCGAGCAAGAGCTGATGCTCGACATTGTGCCGTACATCGAATTGCGAGCCTTTCTCAACCACCTTCGACGGCTGCGCCAACAGCTTGCGCCCTTCTATACCTATCCGCTCCCAGGGGTGAATTCGTCGGTGCACGGAAGAAGTCACTCCAACAGCCCGATGCCCTCGCGGACCTCGACTCCGGGTCCAGCACCCGAGGGTGGGAAGCAGGTCATATATCCAGGGATGAACCCGGCCTATGGGGTGACGGCCAACGGCGAGAGCAGCCCACGGCAGGGTGGCGGCGTGCAATTGACGTCCCCCTTCCTCGCTGCAGGTGTGAGTCGTCACAAGGACTATCCCTCGCTCCCCTCGAATTGCGAGCAGCTGGTCCACCTGCCTTCGCAAGTCTCTTCGCTCCCCTTCCTCAAGCGATCGGTGGAAGAAGACAGCGATCCTTGCCTCCGGCTCGACTTTGCGCCCGGACTCAATTGGCTGTCGCGCAGACAAATGCACAGTGCCCTTCTCGACGGCGGCCTCGTCATTGAGCCAATTTCTGGTGGGGGGACGAAGATCGACGAGCAAGAACTCCGGACCAGATATTCTTCAATGCCGCCAGCCGCTTGCGCCATGTGCGGAAAAGCAGTCCTCAGCGTCCCGCTTCCTGGAGACAAGGGCGAGAGCGTGCCCACATCTACGACGAGCAATTGGATCAATGCAGCAAATAGCGCTGCCTCGTCCCTCCAAGCTGCTGTGGCTAGCAGCGGTGGGCTAGTCTCGCCGGGATCTATGTCGGGCCAGACGACACCTTCGGCTTCGTCAATAGCTGCCTCCTCATCCACTAATGCTACCTCGGCCAATCTGACGACGCCAGGCACGCCCGATCCTTCCAAGTCTATGCAGAAGCAGCGCAGCGGTCTGTTCAGCTCGCTGCGCCACAGCATGGGCGGCAGCCCCAGGCCGTCTCTCGGCGCATCGAACACGACGGCGTCCACCAATACGAGCACTGGCGTGTTCCTTTCAGCCGATGACGCCTCCTCTTCGGAGCACGACGGAGCCTCGGGAGCACAAGGCCTCGTCGAAGAGGACCTTTTCTCCCCGCACTTTCAGCCGCTGGTCGTTCCGACCCACATCTTCCGAATCACGGAAACCTCTTCAACTCGCTACCTCCTTTGCCCACAGCACTGCTTGCGCAGGCTCAGAGCCGCCTGCGCGTTTTGGGGATACGTCAGGAATTTGGAGAGGGCTGTCGTGCTTGAAGGCAAGCTGGCTTGGGACGACATGAGGAGGGATCAAGCCAGGGAGGAGGAGGAGCGGAAGACGTCAAAGGGCGACGAGACGCCAAGAGCAACAATCACAGAGGAAAAGGAGAGGGAAGTGGAAGAGGCTAATGAGGATAACGAGGAGAAGGAGAAAGAGGAAGAGGAGAAGGAAGAGGAGAAAGAGAAAGAGATGGGCACAAGGACGCAGCTCGAAGAAGGTGACGGTGTGGACGCTTCCGAGGCTCGTGATGGGGAGACTGGCGAGAAGGAAAGCGAAGAGAAGGGTCCGGAGAGCAGCGCTGATAAGAACAGCGACAGCAATTCAAACCCAGCACAGTCCACGACGACTGCGATCTCCGTCTCGGACGAAGACGAAGACGAAGGAGGATTCGCCGACGCAATTTCAAGTCATTCAAGCCCGGTCATCACGAAAACCCTTGAGATGCAAAAGGAGAATACGGACGTTACCGAATTGGCAAAAGACGAAAAGGGCGAGACTAAAGGGAATGAGGAAACGGAGACGGAAGAAGAAGAGAAGGAGGCCAAGATTTCAGAAGAAGCGGCAGGAACAAGCAAGGACCCGGAAGCGAAGGGGCAAGAAGCTGGAGAGAAAAGCCAATTGCCTCCGCTCCCGGCTCGTCGCAGTAATAACCGTTCTCCTGCGCCCCCAGCGTTGCCTCCTCGGACTAAGCGGCCCCCGCCTGTCCTTCCGGCAAGATCGTCGGACGTATCCCCGACGCCGTCCGCTTCCCTTGCGAAGCAAATCCAGAGACCTCCGCCGAGGAAGACGTTGCCCCTAAACGGAGGAAAGGGAGGAGAAGAAGGAAAGGAGAACAGGTGGACGTGGGAAGAAAAGGTGTGGTGCGAGGTGACGAGGCTCAAGGCGGAGATGTGGCTGGCGAGAATAGGTGTCACGGAGACCGAAACTAAGGCGGAGCGATTGGCGGTAGAGGCGCCAAGGGATCCCGATCAAGAAACAAAACCCGAGAAAGAGACGGGAAGCGTTGGCGGCGAAGGAGACGCAAAGGAAAACGAATAGGGGGGACGGGCGTGACCTTTCTCCCCCATGAGCTGGTCTCATCGGTCAAGACTTTCTTTGGGTCTGTCCGTTGTTCAGCAGCTTACCATTTAAAATCGATATCCGTTACCCGCAAGCATGAATAGATACAGAGGAGCTTGGTTGGATTTCTTTTGTTTCTTTCTCCTTGTTAAAAAGAGATTGTTATAATACTACATGGCGTGATAGGACAGGATGGGGGAAGAGACAGAAGGTTTGTTGAAACGCAGCGGGGGAAGAGATGCGAGGTGGGAAGCCATTGTCGATGCAGGACAGGAGAAACAGGGAAGGGACATGTTGTTGAACACGCCCATTCTTCAAAAAGGTTGAGCTTAAAAAAGGGATAAGAATGTGACGAGAATACGGCAGGGCACTCAAGAAGCGTAGTCATCTACGCTTCCGCACTCGCAGACGAGGTTGAGGTCGCCATGCGCATCGTCCACCCGCGAAGCTGCGGGCCAAAATTTGGCCTCCCGGAGACCCTCGACTGGGTACGCTGCGCGTTCTCTCGGGTAAGGTCGCTCCCACTTGTCGCCCAGGAGGACCTCAACGGTGTGCGGCGCATTCTTCAGCAGGTTGTTCTCGGCCGATCCGGCATCGACGATCTCTTGGATCTCCTTTCGGATCGAGATCATGGCGTTGCAGAAGCGCTCGACCTCGACCATGGACTCCGACTCGGTCGGCTCAATGAGCATGCCGGTGCTGATGGGCCAAGAGCACGTCGGCGCGTGGAAGCCGTAGTCGCTGAGCCGTTTTGCAACATCGCCGACAGAGACGTACTTTTGGAATTCGGCAAGATCAAGCAGGAACTCGTGTGCAACCCTGCCCTGAGCATTAGCGTAGCGCAACTTGTAATGCGGCGCCAGACGCTGAGCCATGTAGTTGGCAGAGAGAAGCGAGAGGGCAGACGACGCTCGCAGTCCTTCCCAGCCGAGCATCTTGATGTACGCCCAGGCGATCGTCAGGATGCTTGCGCTTCCGAATGGTGCGGCCGAGATGGGGTCAATGGCCCGCTCACCTCCCGTCGAGGACAGCGGGTGGCCGGGAAGGTAAGGTGCCAGGTGTTCTGCGCAGCAAATCGGTCCCACACCGGGGCCACCACCACCGTGGGGAATCGAGAAGGTCTTGTGCAGATTGAGGTGCGTCACATCTGCGCCAATGATGGCTGGGTTCGTGAGACCAACTTGGGCCTGCATATTGGCGCCGTCCATGTAGACTTGTCCTCCATTTGCGTGGATGATCTCGCAGGCCTCCTGGACACCATCCTCAAATACGCCGTGCGTGCTCGGGTAGGTGACCATGAAAGCAGCCAGACGTTCCTTGTTGGCCTCAGCCTTTTCTCGCAGGTCGTCCAGGTCGAGGTTGCCGTCTGCCTTGTTCTTGACGGCGACGACCTTCATGCCGGCCATGATGGCACTAGCCGGGTTGGTTCCGTGGGCTGAGTTGGGAATCAGGCAGACGTCGCGCGCGCCTTGACCCTGCGACTCGAGATAGGCCCGAATGACGGAAAGACCGGCAAATTCGCCCTGAGCACCGCTATTGGGCTGGATGCTCACGGCGGGGAAACCAGTCAAGAGACAAAGGTCGCGTTCCAGCTCCCGGATCAGAACGTCGAATCCTCTTGCCTGGTCTTCGGGACACAGCGGGTGCAAGCCGTGGTATTCAGGCTTGGACAGGAGCATCATCGACGAGGTACTGTTGAGCTTCATGGTACAGCTGCCCAGCGGGATCATGGCGTGGACCAACGAGAGGTCTTTTGACTGGAGGAGGTGGATGTAGCGAAGCAGCTGCGTTTCGCTGCGGTGGGAGCTGAACACAGGCTGTGTGAGGTACTTTGACGTCCGCGCAAAGTCGAGCACGTCGGGCAGCCCTTCAGCCTTGGCCAGCGACTTGTGGGACTCGGCAGACTCGGGAACATCGGCTGGCAGCGCCTTCGCAGGTGTGGAGACTTGGAGAGACTCGAGGCTCTCTGCGTTCAAGCCCAGCGACTCGGCGACCTTGATCAGGTCTGTCGGCTTGGAAGCACCCTCGCTCTCCTGCGGCTTTGCGGACCCCTTGCCGCTCTCCTTTGCGGTTCTGAAGATGTTGACGAGGTCGTTGAGCTCTTCGATGGTAACAGTCTCATCGAGCGTAACTCCGACACGGGAATCGCTGATCCTACGCAGATTCAGACCCGACTCGGTCGCTATCGAGTGCACGCGCACAGCGCCCACGCCCGACGTTGAGAGGTCAATAGTGAGTGTGTCGAAGAAGGCGCCATCGCGGTTAATGACGCGGAGGCCGAGCATCGTCAACGAGTGCTTGAGCAACCTCGTGAGGCCGTGAACCTTTGCTGCAATTCGTCGAAGCCCATCGGGGCCGTGGTAAACGGCATACATGGCACTCATGTTGGCCAAGAGTGCCTGGGCTGTGCACACATTGGAGGTGGCCTTGTCTCTGCGAATGTGCTGCTCTCTCGTCTGAAGAGCCAGCCTGTATGCGGGCTTCCCTTGTGCGTCCTTGCTGATACCAACGAGCCTGCCAGGAATCTTTCGCTTGAGGCCATCCTTGACCGCGAAAAAGGCAGCGTGGGGGCCTCCGTAGCCTGGCGGAACGCCGAAGCGCGCAGCATTGCCCACAGCGATGTCGGCACCCCACTCGCCCGGGGGCTTGATCATTGTCAGGGCAAGCAGGTCCGTCGCCGCAATGACGAGACCACCATCGTTGTGAATCTCCTTTGCGAGTCCCTCCCAGTCGGTGATGCGGCCATCGATGTCGGGATATTGCACCAGGACAGCCATGACGTCCTCTCTCTTGACTGGGCCTGAATTGCTCTCTCCGTAGGGAAGCCTTGTTCCCTGCGGGTTTCGCAGCTCTGTGTGGACGACATTGATGCCGAAGCCCTTTGCTCGCTGACGAATGACGGCCACAGTCTGGGGCAGCACACCCCGGTCGATGAGAATGGTCTTCTTCTTTCCTCGTGCGTGGTTAAAAGCAAGGACCATGGCCTCAGCGGCCGCAGTGCCTTCGTCAAGGAGCGAGGCATTGGCAATGTCGAGCGACGTCAGCGACTTGACCATCGTCTGGTAGTTGATGAGCGATTCCAGGCGACCTATTTGACACCTGCCAGTCAGCAACCTAAAACAATACAGATACGTCTACAGACTCGCGACTCACCCTGTGCAATCTCGGGCTGGTAAGGGGTATAGCTGGTGTACCAGGCCGGGTTTTCGAGGATGTTTCTCTGAATGACGGGGGGCACATTCGTGTTGTGGTAGCCCATTCCGATAAGGCTCTTTGCAAGTGTATTCATGCTCGCAATGTCCTTTCCTCTCCTCGCAATCTCGCTCTCCGACAGCGCAGGAAGCCGCTCCTCTTTGCCCTCGACGTCGGTGAGCCTGATCGACGCTGGCAGCGTGTCGTCGACAAACTTCTCGAGCGAGTCATAGCCCAGCGACTGGAGCATGTACTCGACGTCTGCCGACCGTGGGCCGAGGTGGCGCGCTGAGAACGAGTCAAGTGGCGCAAAGAGGCTCTTGTTGAGCGACTGTGAGCCCAGCGACGGCGCGTGCCGGTTCGACGCAGGCGTGGCCAGGAACCGCCTGCCATCAGGCACCGTGCGAGGCGATGAGGCGACTGAGCGGAGGTGGAAGCCAGCTGCAGGAGGCCGCAGCGAGCGCGCAACGAGTCGCGACGACCTCATGACTGCCGACGACATCTTCGTCGCTCTTGCTCGTCCTGAATGGAATGGGAGGATGGTAGGAGTAAGGTACGGACCAAACGGAACGCGAAACTAACTGACTTTTTTGAAAGCTTTCTCACCCAAAAATTAAGGGAAAGACGCGAGCTTGGCCCGGGTATCACTGAGGTCCATCGGCGTGATTCCGATGTTGGCCGCTCAGTGTTCTGTGGGCTCCTCTTGATCTCGGATTAGGCCCGAGTCACCTCGTCAGCTCTCTGCCCGCTTCTGTGCTCTTTCTTCTTTCGCTTTCTCCTGCTGCTCGAGGGCCCGTATTGGCGCGACGTTGTAAATCCGCTTCTTCCACCTTTTTCGTCGGAGCGGAGGCCGCGGTGCTGCACACACGGGTTAGCAACAAAGTATGTCATTGATTTGTCATTTGGAAACGCCTGCTGACAAATTCTGGTATCCGCGACTTTGAAGGCGCAAGCCACTTGCTTGCCAAAGCCTTCCGCCCATTGGCCTCATCAGAAGAGGGAAGGGGGCACTAGTCACCCCTAGGCTGCGCGGAAGGAGTGGGAAAAAGGGAGACCAAAGCACTTTCGCAAGGGCCGCACTCAAACACGCCAGACGGGTGTTCGTTCCTCTGCCCCTCTGGATAAGGTTCACCTTTCTTCTCCGTGAGGAAGCATCAACCCACCCGCTGTTCAGCAAAATACCCAACCAGAATGCTCCTGGTGTTTGCTCAGTGATTATGAGATAAAGTCTTTCACAGACCCAGAGGAGAAGCGCACGAGATTCTCGAGATCTCATTCATGCAATTTGTCCTTGAATCTGGTCGCCAATAATCAGGGCTTCTATCTGCATTGCACCACGTAGCGCTGAGCTCCGATAGGAATAAGCTTGCACCACATTTTCCATCATAAACCAATGACAACCGAAATTGCATGAGCTAGATTGCATGGGAGGAATTGTGGCCGAGCGTGCGCACGGTAAAGGGTTCCCAGGTCCCTTTGGCGGGGGGTCCGACATCCTTATCGGGCAGCTAGCTACCCAAGCGATGCAGGGCACCAAATCAGCGTCGCTCTTAGCGTCAAGGCGCAAGAGATATAATCTAAACGAGCCCCGTCAGTCTCCGGGCGGTAGTGACGGCTCTCTGTATCTCCGTCAGCTTTGAGGGTTATATTTTACGAAGAATGTTCGAGGATCAGACGAGAATCTCAGCTGAGCATACACGCCAACGACCTCTGAAGAGAGGAAGCTGGCCAGCACGGGAGGCTCCTGGGCTGAGCGCCCTCACAAGAATTTTGTATCTGTCAATTGTTGTATTGAACGCGTCGGGCGTCCAGACACACTGGCCAAGTGCCACATTAGGCCCCATCCCTTTCCGTGGGCACCGGGTGACCTCGCTCTTCCTGGTGCATTCGTTGCATTCGTGGCCGCTAAATGCAGGTCAACCTCGGATGGCAGTCGAGGAGCAGTGAATATCTTTTGAGGCCGAGGTAGCGAAGTGAGAGCTGCCCGTGTACGAGAGCACTGAGAAAGTCGGCAAGCAAGGACGGTGACAGCAACGGTCGAGCTCGTGCTGTGAGGGACATCTCCTATACAGATCCGTGCTACAGATGCGGTGTTAGCACGCGGGTCCCGTCGAATACCATACTTTTGTCGTGGCACGAGTCTGAGCGTTCTGTAACAGCGAGGAGGGTAAGGCTTGCCAAAATCGTCAGCATCAACTTTATGAAAGACGAAAAATCGGTGTATTGTAGCACAGCGTCGGACTAGGAGGAGGCACAAGAGCGAAGGAACACGCGTCGCGACGCTTATTTTTTATCGGCCTTTCGCTCGAGCTGCCTTTCGTCTCAATCATCCATCTACACGTCCACGGTCCAATTTTCAACGCCATCCATCCGCCTTTTCCCTCCCTTTTGGCCCCTCTTTTTCGTCCCGCAACGGAACGGCCTCGCCCTTGAGCAACCTTTGCGAGGTTCGGCGCGGTAGTTACGACGCGCGTGCGGCCATCTACGCTTCCAACCTTGTTTTTCCTTCGTCTCCAATTTTTTTCACGTTTTCCTTTTTTTTTCACCTCTTTACGCCCGATTCATAACACGGGCCTTCACGTTGCATCGCCGCGACGCATTCCCGCCTTTAACTTCGAGCTAGCGACGGCGGAACAGGGTCTCTCGAGGCGCCAAAGGTACATCGAAACAGTCGTCACAATTCTTTTCTGATTTCGGACGGATAGCAGGAGGGAAAAGCACCGATAGACCCAGTCTTTCACGTCTACGTTCACGTCGTGAGGTTTTGGCTGGCATCCACCCGAATTTCTCAAACATCCACATCTGTGACGACGCAGACGAGGCTGGGAAAGCCTTTGGAGGTCGTTACGACCTAGGTTCATGTCTGCTGCAGAGACATCTACCGCCAATCGGGTCGGGGTGGGAACCCAGGGCAGCGGTACCTCGGAAGCGTCATCTTCCATGGGACATCATCAGCAGGGAACGAGCAGTGGAGGGAGCGGGACGGGCGTCGGTAGTGGCGGTGGAGGAGGGGGCGGCGCATCCGCGCAGGAGTCACGGTCAGCAACGCCAGGCGCCCACGCAGAAATGATGAGGACGGGTCATCCAAATCAAAATCTGAATCGAGATGGTTGGGGTTCCTCGAGAGAATGGAGAGACATCGATGCTCGGTCAGCGCCCTTTCAACATTCGGAGGGCTCAAAACAAGGGCCGTCGTCACATCCGGTGTTTGGCAACTTCCAGCCGTCGCCTCCGAAGCAGTCGACTATGTCTTCAGCTGGTGCAGGAGGCGATGGAACCCCTGCCCTGGCCGCTCCGAGAGCTGTTCCACCGTACCCACGCTTCACCTCCCCTCAGCCGCAAGAGGGGAATGGCGCAGCAGCACGGTCACCTTCACCGAGCAAGCACCAAACAACCTTTGCTTTTGGCGGGGATGCAAGGGAGAGATGGGCCAGCATTGGTCAGGCATCGGCCCAAGCGCAGCAAGGGAGTGCATTGTCGCAACAAGGAGCCGGCCCTCCAGTGACAGATGGGCAGAGAAAGCAACAAGGTTTCGCTCCAGATTCTTTCCTCGGTTTCAATGACATTTGGGGGCCTGGAGCCAAGCAGTCTGCGGACCGAACACAACAGCAGCAGCAGCAGCAGCAGCAGCAGCAGCAGCAGCAAGGTCAGCAACAGCAACAATCCCAACAACAACAACAACAACAACAACAACAGCAGCAGCAGCAGCAGCACCAACAAGCGCAACAAGCTGGGGGCGGTGGGAATGGGTCAAGCTCCAGTTCTGCCCTGTTATCGACCTCGGATCCCTCGAGCGTGGGCCACGGATCGAGTTCACATGCATCACGAGCATTCTCTTTGCCTTCGTCGCATCCAGACGTAGAGCAGCTCAACACGCGATTCGATCCAAACTTCCCGGGCAGGGGAGAAGATGGCCCCTTCAGTGCCATGCCGAATGGGAGCGGCGCGGGAGGAAGGGGAGGTGAAGATCGTTTCCCCTTCAGTGTGCCTTCCAACATGTCGGGTGTTCCTGCATCAGGAAGTCTCAGTCCTCGCAGCCTGCTCCACTACCATCAGCAACAATTACAAGCCCAGCAGGCGCTTGCCGTTCAGGCAGCGCAGCAAGGGGGCCCACCGCTCCAGAGCGGCCAAGGAGGAAGCATGATGGGAGGAGGAGGCCCGCCTTCGGAAGAGATCACCACCGTCTTCATCGTTGGTTTCCCCGACGACATGACCGAGCGAGAGTTTGCCAACATGTTCCTCTTCGCGCGCGGTTTCGAAGCCTCGACGCTCAAGATTCCGGCCGGCGGTCTGCCAGGCGGTCCAGGCAGTCAAGGCGGCCCTGGTCACCGACCCGAAAACGGGCCGCTGTCCGGCGGACCTGGTGGGCCATACAATGCAGTCAACCTGCCCGGTGCCGGTCTCTTTGACTTGGCCGGTAATGGTCCGCCAGGAGGCTGGGACGAGCACAGTCTCTCTATGGCTCTATCGCGATCAGGAAACAACGACGGCTACTCTTCGCTCAACAATCTGGGTGGCCTGTCCGGTGCCCTTCAAAATATTGGCAATCCTTCCTCAATAGGTGGCCCAGGTGGTCCAGGCGGCAAAATCAAGCAAATCATTGGCTTTGCTAAATTCAGGACCCGAGGCGAAGCATTGGAAGCTAGAGACGCCCTCAACGGCCGCAAAATTGACGCCGAGCGCGGTTGTGTGCTCAAGACAGAGATGGCGAAGAAGAACCTTCACACGAAGCAAAGGCCTGTCTTGTCAAACACCAACCCGGAAGGCGCCGTCTTCGGCGGGCCTCCTGCTCCTGGAGCTGGCCAGGCACCGCCACCACCGCCACCACCTCCTGGTGGCCCACACTCTGCTGGTCCTGGAGGATTCGGAGGTATGCCACCTGGACTTGGCGGGGGACCCGGCGGCATGGGCGAGCGGGAGGCGCCCTTTAACAGAGGGCGTATGGAAGGACCAGCACCAAGTGGGGCAGGAGGCGGGCCACCTGGGTTCATGCCAGGATTCGGCGGCACTCAAGGTCAGGCTGGTCCCCCACCTCCACCGCACGCCAACTTCGATCCTTTCCAGCCAGGGGGTCCTGGCATGGTAGGACCAAACGGAATGATGTCCCCTACGGAATATGGCGGCCGTGGCCCACCACCCCCTGGTCATGGTGGAGGAAATGGCGACTTCTTTGGCTCGAGACCTGGTGCTCAAGGTGGCAGTGGACATCGCTTCGCCCAGGAAGGCTCTCAAGGGTCGGAACCGGGAGCCTCGAGAGGGGAAGGAAAGTGGCCAGTATCGATGGGACCACTTGATTTTTACGATGGACCCCAAAATCATCAGCAACAGCCTCAACAGGGCAGCCAACCAAGAGGCCAGCCCTCTCAGCATCAACAACAGCAACAGCAACAGCACCAGCAACAGCAGTCGCAACAGCAACAACAGGGGGGTCTGCCCTCCGGCACCTTTCAACCAGGGAGCCAAGGCTCGTCAGCGCCCCGCGGTCCTGACTGGAGCGCTCTGGGATCACCGCCAGGTCTCTACGCCTCTGCACGACCCTTGAATCAGGAAGTCGGAAGTCAAAAAGGAAGCAGCAGCGGCGCACTGAGTCCGTTTGCGGAGCAACCCCCGTCAAGATACCCAGGCGGTGGGGGCAGTCAAACGAGAGGAAATGTTGGTGGAGGGGGTTCCCAGGAGGATTTTGGGAAAGGGGAGTCGACGGCAACAGGTCAGCTTTACAGCCACCAGTCGCCGCCCAAAACAGGGTCTGAGACCAAAGAGACCAGCGGAGCAATGACGCGAGTATCGCAGGGTGGTCCCGATGTGGGCGAGGACAGTGTCCTTCCTCGTCATCATCGCGATCCCTCGCCAGGTGCTCGTGCTGCACAACAGCAGCAGCAACAACTACAACCACAGACGACGTCTTCGAGGCCACATTCACGAGCCACCTCGCCCGTCGCTACGGCGCCCAATTCCTCGGTTGCTCAACGCTTTGGCTCGCTCAGAATCGACTCCCCCCAATCTCAGCCGTCTTCCAACATCAATTCTCATCAACAACAGCTCTCCAACCTTCAACAAACGTCGAGCAGCAGCAGCAGCCATCACAGCAACAATCAATCAACTCTGCAGCAACTTCAGCGTTCTCTCTCTCCTCCTCTTCTCTCGCCAGCTGATGGCGGGAGCTTTTCTGGCCCTCTTTGGTTGCGTGGTCAGAGCAGCGCTCACAATCGCGCCAACAGCCCAGTGAGCCCTCGGCCCTTTTCGCCGGGTTCAGAGAGCCTGCCGAGTCCGACGAGCAGGAGCTTCTCAATCGATCAGAATCCGCCGGGCAACACGCTCTTTGTCGGCAATCTTCCCGGCAGTGTCACGTCGCCCCCCGCTACGACGCAGCTCGAAGAGGCCTTGTATCGAATCTTTTCCAGCCGAAAGGGTTTCCGCCAAATGAGCTTCCGCGTGAAAGCGTCAGGACCTATGTGCTTCATCGAATTTGACGACGTTGGTTGCGCAGGTCGCGCCCTTGGCGAAGTTAATGGCGACACCCTCGACGGTCTACTTAAGAATGGTGGCTTGCGTTTGAGCTTCAGCAAGAATCCCCTCTTTCGCAGCACCCTCAACTCAGGTAGCAACAGTCCAAACATTGCTTCGTCCAACGAGAAGCGCTTCAGCCCGCCACAGTCTTCGGTGAGATCAACGCAGAGACAATGTCGGAGATGCTCTACTCACCAATTCCCCTTTCTCCCTTCTCAATAAGTCTAGCAAAGCCCCGAAGGTGACGAGCGCCCTTCTCGATCTCGACATGCTCAGCGGGATTGAAGACACGTGAGTCATTGTCAAATCCCATCGAGACGTCTGCTGATACTGATGGATCGATGGCAGCGCTTACAAACAGGGCTTTGACGATGGTCACTCGCACGGGCAACTACACGGAACCTTTGAAGGTCGTGAATTAGGCCGTCAAAAAGGCTTCGAAGTCTGGGAAGAGGTCGGCTTCTATGAAGGCACGACGCGCTTCTGGCTGGAAGCAATCACCCGTTCGACGCCTGATGAGGCAAAGCGGACCCGCAAGCAAACAAAGCAGGTTCAGCATCTTGGCGCTCTCCTAGCCCTCATCGAAGGTTTCCCCATGGCGAACGATGTGATCCCAGAAGGCTCCGCCGCCGCGGATGACGACGACAAGGACATGGCCACACTTCTTGAAAGAATCCGGGCCCGGTACAAGCTTACCTGCTCCGTCCTTGGCGTCCGCCCTCGCGGCGCGAATGGCGAGTCGCCGCCTGACGATCAGGACGAAACGGCAGACTCCGGCAACACTGGCAAAGGCATGGCCATCGTACATGGGCGAGCCGTCGACACGACGAAGCTCAACTTCTAATTTCGTTTTCCTTTTTCTCGCACGCATTCTCTCTTCTGACTCTTTGTCGACTCGGTCTCCACCTCTCACGGCACGACTCTGTACGCTTATCGCATACGCCCGTCTTCAGACTCTTTCTCTCGCAACTTTCCGGCTCTCCCAACGCCTACTTGCATTCTCTTGTCTCCTTTTCCTTTTCGTTTCTCTGGGTCTTTCTGACTTGTTCGCACACATCGATCTCTCATCAACCAACAATATCAACATTTTCTGTCAACTATCCTCATTGTCGACGTCACCCACTCAGCTTATCATTCGGTCTTTCACGTACACCCTCGTCTCTCCTCTCTCCTCTTGTGTAGACATTGGTTGGCTCTTTTCTGTCCTCATTGTCTCTTTCCTTGAATAAAGAACTGTTCGGTCGTATCAGTCTCGCGCTTGTGATCACGCAACGCTGAGCAGTCGAAGCCATGGTATTTTAGCCTGCTTTTGGGAAATGGTGGAGATTTTTTTCGAGTGAAGTTTAGACCAGAAAAGGTAGAAACTAAGGTGATTTGGAGAAAAGAGCCACGATCGCGGTCGTCACAGTCAGATCTTTGAGGATAAGGAAGAGGAAGAAATTAGCGGTGGACAGGTCATGAAGGAATGAGTCGGGAGAAGAAATGCAGTCGCGCCGTGACTACTCTTCTCGAGCCGTGACGGCAATCGACTTGCCGGTCATGATGCTCGTCGAAGAAGACTTAGCCTTCGGCGTGGGCGTAGGCGGTAGATCGGCATAGAAGATTGAGTCGTCAGCTTCGCTCTCGTCTTCTTTCTTGACGGCTGCAGCCAATGCTTTCTGGTCTCCCTCTGTGTTCTTGACGGGAGTCACATCTCCTTGCTTCTTCTTAGAGTCGACAGCTGTGTCGATGGTGAGTGGATGGAGCGGGGCTTCGGGGCAGCGGGTAGGCTCTCTCTGCTCAGACGGGGTTGAGGTTGCCTCGGGCGGCAGAGTGACTGGCGAAGAGGCGGACGTCGCGACATTTTCAAGGGCGTGGGTGGTGTTGTCGGAGTTCTTCAGAGGGGATACGGCGGACAAAGTCTTCTTGATGTTGGAGAGGATGGACAGACGATGTGTTCCCTTTTCTTCCTTCTTTGATAGCGAATTGCCTGCACGTTCCATAGACCCCTTTGGCTCTTCCTTCTCAGGTGGGGCGGGAGCAGCGCTTGCAACCTCGATCGAGTTTGATGGTTGAGCAACGGCCTCTTCTTGTCCAGAACTGGAAGCATCTTTGCTCGATTCATCGTTGGTCTTCTCATTGGCTACTTTCTGAAGCCTGCTCTTCAAGTGGTCAAAAAGTAGGGCGGTAGATTTGAGTGGGCTGCGAGGAGGCGAGGACGGTGTCTCGTTAGTTCCAGAAGAAGCAACCGTCTGCTCGCGACCTTCTTCCAGGTGCGCCGTCTTAATTGGTTCCTTCTTCTTTTCAGTTGCGGCGCCGTCACCGTGTGAGGGCAAAGCAAAGTGAAGAGGCGTTGCGAGAGCTTTCTTGACAGCGGCCTTCCATTCCCCAGATTCTTTTTTGGCTGGGGTCGTGCCACCCTCTACCGCTTTCTGCTGACTGCCGCCTTGTGCCTTCTCTCCTCCCTTTGACTCCAGCACTGGGACCATCGCCGTCTCTACCTGTGCTGTCTCGTTCGGAGAGCATTTCGAAGGCTCATTGTCCGTCGTCGTCGTAGCCGCACTGGCATTTTGCTTTGCTTGGCGCCCGTCGTCATGTGCCACGCTGCTACCGAAGAGGAATTGCCTAGCCTCGGCCCCCACAGCACTGAGAGAAATGCGGGTTTTTGCTGGAGGTGAGCACGCAGGTGTTGTCGTTGCTGCCGCCGAGGCGTCGGGAATGGGCGCCTCGGTCATTGAGGTGCAACCGCATTGGGTCTGGCCCTCGCTGACAGTGGCTTTGTGATTAGGCTCCTGCTTGCTCTCTTTGTCTTTGTCATGATCAAAGATGTTCTTGAGGCCACTAGCAAGGCTCTGGACCCTCTTGACAAGTGGTGTCCTCGGTAAGGCAGACGACGCCGTACCAGCCTCATCGTCTTTCGCTTTACCACCGTCACCACTCGGGCGGTTTTGCTCGTGCTGAGCTTGACTCTGCTCGGGTGGCATTTCTTTGTTGTCCTCCTTTTCATTGCTTGGGGCTTTGTCTGCCGACTCGTCTTTCTTGAAGCCTTGGGTGAAGCGACGACGAAGATTGACCAAGGGGCCGTCTACGTGCTCCTTGCCACTGTCGCCATCCTTTGTCTCTTGCCCCTTGGCAGTCTCTGTCACAGCTTCAGCTCCTTTCTCCCTGGTCACATCGAGGGACGAGTGCTGCGTCGTGGCAGAGGCGTCGAGCGGTTCCTTCCTCGGGCTTAGAGAGAAGCTCTTTCGAATCGCGCCAATGATTTTGCCGCCGTCTTTTTCTTTGATCGGTTCCTCACTAGGCGTTTCAGCTTTGGGGGTGGCTTTCCCCTTGTCGGCTTGCGTCATTTGGGCCTGCTCTTCGATGGAGGCTGTCTGGTGGTCGTTGTTTTCTTTCTGAGCGACCGTTTCCCCTGTAATAAAGGGATAAGAAGCCGGAATAAGGACAAGCTCACTTTTAAAAGAGAGGAGGAAAAGGAAGGGGACTCACCGTCGGCCACAATGGCCTCCTTGGATGAATGATTCTTCTCGTCTGCCTGAGACATCTTTGACGCTTGCAAGTTGTTCGAAGGTTATTTTCGTTTGCTCGAGCGGCGGGTGAAGATGGTGGTGGCAATGGCAAAGAAGGAAAAAGGAAGGGGTCGCCGGTGTCGTTGCCAGCAGTGTAAGTGTGCGGGCGGGCAGGAAAATCCAGAGACGGAGTTGGCGGTCTTGGCTAGATGAGATCGATCAGCCTGAGCGGCCTTGAAAAGCGAGCAAGGTGGTCACTGGAATGACGAAAAGGGTCTGTGTGAAGCGAGAGTGTTTGTCTGGTTCTGTGTCTGTGGGACTGTAAGAGCCAGGACGGAAGTGTTCAAGATTTGGGCTCTTGCGATGTGATAAGAGGGCGTGAGTGAGGGAAACCAGGAGCAGTGGCCAGAAAGATGTGTGATGAACGGGCGCTGTCCCAGGAGGCAGCGAGTGAAGAGCGCACTGGCAATGTGGTCACTCATTTCCTTTCGACGTCCGCTTTCTCTCTCGTCATCTGGGGAGTTGTCACTAATGTGCTTTCGAGAGCTTTTTCTCGCCCCGCTCGTCCGCTTTCCCTCAATTTTTCTATGTCACAATCCTGACCAACGTCCGGCTCGATTGCCCGTTTCGTCGGAGCAAAGATAGAGAGAGCAAGCGACCGAGAAGGTTCTTTACAAGAGCTGCCAGTCGTCACGGCGATGCCCCTATGTCTGCTAGCTTGAAGTCAATTTCTCCAAAAAGAAGGCTCCCCCTTTAATCACGACGCCCGCCCCGCCTGTCCGTCGCCGCGCTTTTTTCGCCTACCGTTTTTGTGGGCTGTTGGCCGTACGCAAGCACTAAAAAAGGGAACAAGCGTCTGGCTTTACAGCAAGGATGATACGATTACACAAGATATAAGACCGGGGGAGAAGTGATGACGGTGGGCACAGCAAGGGAAAGGACATGAATCGAGCGGCCCGGATCGAAAGGAAAAGCAAGAGAGCGAGAACAGCGATGACCCATGAGCGAAAGAGCAAAGTAAAACCCTAAAAGAGAGAGAGAGAGAGATAGAAAAGAGGTTAATAGAGACGAAGGGCGGAACAGCGGTTATGATGAGTCCGAGGCCAGATGGACGTCATCCCAGGCCTCCTTCCAGGCCAGAATATCCTGCCGAAGCGTCTTGATCGAGAGTGGCTTGGTGCGCCAGTCATCCATGCCGCTGTTCTCGATGCCTTTGACTTTGTCTTCATTAGACGAGAGGGCGGTGACGGCGATGATGCGCGGCGTGTGCGCCAAATCGTGTGCTCTCATCCTCGTGCAAGCTTCGAAACCGTCAAGCAGGGGCAAGGAGATATCGAGGAGCACAACAGAAGGCCGCAGCTTCTTGTATCGATCCACCGCCTCGAGGCCGTCTTTTGCCTCGACATAGGGCAACGCAAGCCTGTCGAGGAGCGTGGTGAGCAGACGCATGTTGATAGGGTTGTCCTCAACCACCAGGACCCTGAATCGACGATCGTCGTGTGGCCAATCGCGGTCGCCTTGCTCCTTGCTCTTGGCCGCCTTCTTTTCTTTGGGGACTTTGGCCTCTTTGGGCTTGTCTTGCACTGGGGTGGGCTCTTTCTTCTTGGTCTCGACTTCGGCCTGCGTATCGGGCGCTGTGGTGGTCGACATTGGTGGCGGAGGATGAGAATGATGTTCATGCACCTGCATTGGCGTCGGGGCTCGGTGAAGAACGAACGGGTGGTCCTCACGCAAGAAGTCATCCATCGTGTCGAGCGACGAGGGACCAAATGGCGGGCGGAAGAGGACAATGGGGTGTCCCTCAAAGACGTCCAAAGGTCGAGGCTTGAGAGCGTTGCGAGTCACAACAACGGTGCGAGCATGAGGACCCCGAGGCAGCGGGACGTCGTGCTGGGAGACGACTTGCGAGGGTGTACTGTCGTTGGGCGGGGATACGTCCTGATTTGCCTCGGGGGCAGCTTCGATGACGACCATGAGATCGGCCTCATTGGCATCGAGAGTCCGCCTGACGCCATTGGCCGACAAGCGCTCATAGATGAGGTCGATAAGACTTCGGTGGCCCTCGACATCAAAGCCATGGAAGTAGACGGTGTGAACTTGGTAGGGCTTGATGTGCATGTCCGAAGCGCTGGCACTGCTGCCCGAGATGGAACGACGGTTGCTCGAAGGTCCGTCAGGGTCTTGACCAAGTGGCAATGTAAAACTGACACGCGTGCCCACTCCCAGGTCGCTTTGAATTTGCAGTCGCCCGCCCATCTGAGAAATAAGGCTGGCGGCAATCGTCACGCCCAGACCCACGCCCTGACTGAACGAATCAGCCTTGACGAAGGGCTTGAGGAGTGAATTGGCCACAAAGTCGTGGCTCATCCCAATGCCAGTATCTTGCACCACGAAATCGGCCCACTGATCCGTCCAGTCTGCCCGATGCGAATTTGTAGCTGTGTTTGGGGTCACCTTGACCTCGACGACCTGCGATTCGTTCGAGTAACGAAGAGCATTGGCAATGAACTTGGACAAGATCTTCTTGAGCTTGGATCGATCGGTCCGGAAACGCCTTCGCAATTCGGGTGCTACCTTGATGACGAGGGTGGGAACGGCGTAGAAACCTCTGTAGATGTGCAACAAGCTCCGGTCTTGGCGCTCGTGCATTGCCATGTACTCGAGCTCGTCGAGGCAGACGTCTTCAACTTCGCGGACCAGATCGACCTCTTCAGACCGGGTCACGATCATGCTACTTTCCGTCCGCAGGCCGCTGATGGCGCCAAAGTCGAGAACGTCATCGAGAATCGTCGACAAATTGACACCAGCCAGGCGAATTGACTCGAGCAAGCTCGCCAACAGTCCATCTTCACCCATGTCCAGCTTCTCTGGGGCCGTCTCACCACTGACGAGACCTTGCCGCAGGAAATCAGTGATGCCCAGGATGCCGTTGAGGGGCGTGCGCAGCTCATGCTGCACAGAGCGGATGAAGTCGAGCTGGGCCCGATCGGCGTGCCTTGCCGAGGAACGAAGGATGGCGCCCTGAACGATCTTCCCAATGGTGTAGCAGAAGAGCTTGTCCGAGTCGTTAAGCGCAGCAACAGAGTTCCAGCTGAGGATGCAGAGGAAAAGTGGCTGCTTCTTGTCGACGGTGAAGATGGGAATGGTGGCGTACACCTTGGTATCGCTCGAGACAAGGAGTGACAGGGGATTCTTTGCCACATCATCGCTGTTCGACGTCGCGTCCTCGTCCGAGCTCGACTCGTCGAGAAGATGAGGAGAATAGACTAGTGGCTTGTTTTGCTTACTGTGCTTCTTAATAAAGGTCAGGAACGAGCAGATGGCCGACGTTTGGGCCGGAGAGTCAACATTGGACACCGTCTTGCCATCGCCAACTTTGACAATGATGCTGGCAGCTGCGGTGGCATCAACGACACATGTCTCTTCATCGATGGCCGAGAAGGCGCTCATGTGAGCTGTGGACGTTGAGCGGTTGTGCTGGTGGTGTCCGTGGTTTGAGAAGCTGTTGCTGGCCCTGTGAACACCCGAAGTGTTGCGTTGTAGTCTCTTGGGAGCTGACGGAGACGAGACGTCATGCGGATGGTGGTTGTGAGGGGCGAGGGGCGATGTGATACGTTCGCCCGAATGGACGCTGCTTGCAGACGTCGTCGAGGCGGACTCAGAGCCGAAGAGGGCGGCATGGCCACGGTCTTCTGGTGGCGGCGTCATGGGGGCCGAAGACGGCGAGCTGCCGGGGCTGGTGGTACTCTGTTGAAGCCAGGGCGTGGCAGGATAGCCGCCCATGTGGATGCTGCTCCTGGGCGACGAAGCAGCCATGCTCACGTTTGTCGTCCGTCTCTCTGGTGCAACGCGGAAGTTACAAACGTCAACCGTCATGACCGAATTGGGCTTGAGAATGGTGTAGAGGGATTCGGCCGCCTCCTGAGCCCTCTTCGGCGAGTAAGAGATGCCCAGGGAGTTGACTTTTGGTACATCGCTCGAATTCTCCTCGTGCGTCAGGCTCATGTCAAAGCTGTGCGCGAGCTTGGCGGCTTCGCGCTGCATCTGGAGCACCTTCTTCGCATGTATCTCCAGATACTCATTCTCCAGCGCTTCCTGGGCCATGCGAGCGATGTCGAGGAGGAGTTCCGAGTCATCGTCACCCATGTCCTCGCGCGGTTCATGGCTCATAATCGTCAGGCGGCCGACCTGAACGGGACCTTCGTCGGTCTCGCCCGTGGGTGGTGCTGAGAGGACGATCGGTGCCGAGGCATAGAAGCGGAGAGGCCTTGACTGGGGCGACTCGATCATGAAGCCTTGGAAGCGCCAGTCCTTCTCCATGTCGGGTATCACAAAGAGCTGGTCGGCTTCAAGGAGCATTGCGTGACCCGCGAGCGTCGTCTGGGCCTCGATGCTGGCGTCGGAAAAGCTGCCCTCCTGGCCCAAGAAGATGATCTTGTCGCTGTCGGAGCATGCAACCGAGATGGACGCAAAGTCCGCCTTGAAGACACTCTGTGGGTATTGGAAGAGTCAGCTGGTGGCCTGATACAAGTGGGAATGCTCAAAATTCTCACCCTTGCGTGGCGGATGTAGCGACGGAGCGAGGGTCTCAGCTGTGGCTCCGTAAATCCATGCCGCCGCCTTTGTTGAGATAATAAGTTGTCAGCATCCAGCTCCTTGCCAGAAAGGTGACGCATACACTCACAAAGCCTCATCCCTCTGCAGTCTCTTCGCCTTGGGCACCGGCGGTGGCTTGAAATACTTGTACTTTGTAAAGAAGTCTGGAATCGGTGTGGGTGCGAGCTGTCAGCTGCAACGCCTCTTTGTCGGCAGCACGCTCGTAAGACTTGACTCACCCATGCTGCTCATCAATGTCCCAGCCTGGCACCGCACCGTCTTTGCCGTCTGGGGACACTTTCGCTTTTCGCACCGGCCCGCCTTTTCCCAGTCGCCCGCCTGGTAGGCCGCCAGGAACCTGTCCCACTTCTCTCGGTTGTCCTTGCAGAGGAGGTCCGGCTTTGTCGGCATGTGGCCCCTTCGAATGCGCTCGCTCCACGAGAGCGTCGAGCCACTGCCCACGTCCGACGCCGGCGACTTGGGCACCTCCATCATTTTTGCGCCTCTCTTCTTTCCTCAAGCCTTATCTGTGAAGCTCCTGTCCCGAGGGGAGGCCCGATCAAATAATGGGAAAAGTGCCGTGCGCAGCAGACCAGGGCAACCGGCAGTTGAGCGCCGTCGAAAGCGGCCTCGGTCTGCGAATATGATCCCTCGTGCCCTTTCGCCCGTCCGTGCCGCTTCTTTCGACGTGCACAGAAGAGGTTGAGAGGTCTCTGATGGTGGCGCGCGGAGAACGGAGGAAGGGTTGCGTGGAAGTGTATGCTCGTGAGAAAGAGGGAGAAGGTACACACACTATTACTACTACTACTACTTCTACAGGCTTTGGGCTTGCTTGCCTGTCATGCGCCAAAAATTAAAAATGCCTTCGGAATCCAACGAGATTCACCTTTTTTCGGCCCAGAGGTCCCAGAGGATACAAGAATGCTTGTGGATTTATAATTTAAACCTGAGCTCTGATTCGAACAAAGGCCGAATTCGAAAGGGGACGATTATGCGCCGGAGCGGACTTGGGGACGCATGCATGGCTCGAAGCAACCATTCTCTATTTCGGCAGCGTCTCTTCATCTCGCTTTCATCTCCTAGGAGAATCGTCGGACCGGGCACAACGCACGATGAAGCATATTGCCCAGCTCTGATGGCAGGCATATCGTAGTAGGCGGCAGTAGTCGTGCGCTCGAGTCTGGGGAAATCTGGAATTGCGCGGTTGTAAACGCGCGGATCGGATTTTAGACCCGACCCAGATGCGGCTTGAATTCGGCCGCGGAGAAGTTGGGCCAAGGGTCTTTCTTTGACTGTGAAGAGACGTATGGCCAGGAGCAGCAAGCTCGGAACACAACGTCGGAAGGTCGGAGCAGATGACTATGTTTGTATCAAGCAACGGCAGGACATGGAAATGACATAACCGACCCGCCGCTCTTGGCGCGCGGCTGTCTCGCTCAGCTAGGGGCCCTTTACATTCTGGGTGAACACGCTGGGAGGATGTCGAATAAACAAAAGTGGTCGGCGACTCTGTGCCACGGCTTCCTTGATTCCGAGGCAGGGAGAAGAAATAAAAAAAAAAGTTGAAGAAGTGAAGTCTCGGCCGACGGACACGCCTTCGTCGAGAACTTCACGTCTGGCCCAACACCTAGCCATCCAAGTGCCTCCGCGAGCGCACACGCAGCCACGAGCGCACAGCAACGATGAGCAGCAGCAGCAGCGCGAACCGGACGATCTACATCGGTGGACTTGCGCCGCACATTACCGAAGCGCACCTCGTCTCGTACTTTTCGACGTACGGGGATATCCTCGACGTGCAGCTGCCGCGTCCAGGGCCTCGTCGCGGGCAGCAGGAGCAAGTTGACAGCGGCGCAGCTTCCGGAGGAGGAGGAGGAGGAGGGGGAGGAGAACAGGCGCCGCATCGAGGCTTTGGCTTCGTCGACTTCTCGACGGCAAGAGAGGCAGAGGACGCGATCGACAACATGCACCTCAACGAGATCGAGGGGAGGGTCATCTCGGTCAACCTGGCCAAGCCGAGCAGGAAGGAGGCGGCTTCCGGTGGGAACATGAGGAACAGGGCCGTCTGGCAGGACGAGGTGAGTGATTGTCTTCTCGCAGCGTGTCTACTTGTAAGAGAGGTTTAACTGTGATCGTATCGATGACCGGCAGGAATGGATCAAGCAGTACGGCACCGAGCAAGAAGGAGCAGCGCCAGAAGCTGCCGCCGGGGAGCCGCAGACCACGGACGCAGACGCATAAAACTGTATCATTACGACTAGCTTTTGCGATGTAATACTACTACTACTACAGGATAGGACAGAGGAAGCCATCACTTTCCAAAGCGCTGCTCCGCCATGTTGAAGCGCTGGAGCGCAATCTCAAATGATTTTGCGCTCAGTGGCTTGTAGGGACTGGCACTCTCGTCGTAGGAGATCTCACACAGCCGGACAAGCCACGGAGGGAAGCTGTGTAGGCAGCGCACGTAGCGGGGTCCGCCGTGGAGGATGAGGAGATCGGGCTCCCTTGGGTATCCATGCGCTTTCATGACCACCTTGCACGTCAGCTTCGAGGGAGAGGTTAAAAAGGAGGGAACGGGGACGCTCACCTTGAAGAATCTCGTCGATGGCCCTCACGCTGAGGGGCGCTTTTTCCTCCTTGATCTTGTCCTGCTTGCCGAGAATTGTTGCGACGCTTGCTAGCGCCTCCTTTGAGTCTTGGGGTCCGAGCACGTTGACCCGCACCGTTCGCTCCTGCTGTTCTGCCTTGCCGTTGGCATGCCCGTGCCCGTTTCCAAGCTCGCTTGCCCTTCTTTCGTATTCAGGCCAGCAAAAGTGCAGTCGGACCTCCGTCTCGTCGCTCTCGTCTCCAATGGCAATCGCTTCATCGTCCAATTCTCCCCTGCGAGCCATCTCTTGCAAGCGGCCCTCCTTGTCAAACACACTGACCTCGTCCGTCCCCACCACTGCTGCGCACCGAATCGCGACCTGGACCGACTCCTTCAAGAACGCGTCCCTCCTCCTGCTCTCTTTTTCTCGATCAGGCGGGCCCACGACAATCTCGCGGCCAAGAAGGAGCCCCAGGGCATACCTGGCCACGAGGCTCCGCGTCCGCATCGCCGGGGGCGCCTCGACGCTGACGCCAATGTGCCTTGGCACCATCGCGCACCTCTTGGTGCCGCCACCGCCGCCGCCGCCGCCGCCGCCGACCTTTGTCGCTTTCGTGGTTCGCGCAGCGGCAGCTTCTCGGTGCCGAGCGAGCCTCCACAGCGCCAGCGCCTCTCCATCCGTCGGCTGCGCGTCGTCGCTCGTCGTCGCCGCGACCGAGAGGAGCGCCCGGACGACGCGAGTGGCCCGCACGACGAGGATGCCAAGCGCATACAGCGCGTGGAGGAGCACAAAGAGGAGAAAGACGAGCGGACGGACGAGGGCGAGCTCGATGCCTCTGCTCAGCGGGTCGGCGCCCAGGCCGCTCCTGCTCCTGCTCCTGCTCCTGCTTTCGCTCTCGTTCCTGTCCTCGTCGTACTCTGCATCCTCGACGGCGCGGCGGCCCCGCGACAACGGCGGCATCGCTTGCTGTATCTCGTGCCTTTCCCAGCCGTGTGCGTCGTGAAGCTGGCAGACTGAGGAGAGCGCCAGTGGTGAAAGAAGGAAGGAGGTCCGAAAGAAGAACAAGATGTGGAATTGCAATGAAAACAACAAAAAAATGGAGACTGACGTGGTATCGCAGGATTGAATTAGAAAGATGAGTTTAAAAAATATTCCGATTGATGCGTACTGTTCGTTGCCCAGTGATAGGTTCCTTGCTTGGTTGGTGGACGACGGCGAAGAGAGGTGCATGCACACGCTGGCTAACGCCGCACACGCTTGGCTGCAATTGCATCTGCACTGCTTGTCGGCCTGCCCTTGTGAAGCACAGGAGCAGGAGCGTGGTTGCCGCTCATGACACGATTCCCGTCCGTCTCTCGCAGCGGGACAGCCACCGCTCTCGGCTGGTTGTGATGATGGTGCTGCTGATGATGTCCCGGTCCAGGCCCCAGACCCAAGCCCAACGAGGCAATTGCCGCCCGCTTCTTGCTCACGACGGGCGAGGTGGACCGGCTGGTGCTCCTGCCTCTCTGCTTCTTCTTGGCAAGATTTCTTTCCGTAAACGTCTCGTCGCCATCGCCGAGCAGACCCAACCCTCCCTCTACCTCCTCTTCTTCCCTTTCGGCCTCTTCGCCAGACAGCGCTCCCATCTCGTCCTCTGAGCCATCGCTGAATGCTACGCTGATGCTCGTCACACCAGCCAGCTCGGCCGCCTCGAGCCGTCTTCGGTGCTGCTTGATGGCAAGCGCCCTCGACTTGGGCACCAGCTGCCACCCCTTGTCGGCCTCCTGCCACTTGCGCTTCTCTGGCGTGGCGCCCGTCGAGACGTCCTTCACAACAACATCGCTGCGATCGCCATGGCTGCGCAATCTCTCAATCTGTTCCTTGGTCGCGTCTTCAAAGGCGTGGCGTGCGTTGTACTGCTCGTCGAGGGCATCGGCCGCCTCGCTCGTCATGCCCCGAGCATCATTGAGGAGCGTCTCGAATCCTTGGCCAGCCTCGCCACACAGTTCCTCGACGTCCTTTCCGAAGCTCTCGATTTCTGTCCGTCGCGACGTGGCCCCAGCGTCTGCTTCGTCGCGGAGCGCAACAACGCCCTTCGAGACACCCTCGGTGGCCTCCTGCACATCCTTGAGCTCCTCCTCGACAAGCCTGCTAAAGTCACGCTCGACAAAGTCCGTCAACTTGGCCCTCAGCGATTCGTCGGCCTTGTCAACGACTCTCTCAGCCTTGATCCGGTCCTTGTGTGAGTCCTGGCCTGCCTCGTCGATTTCATGGTGGAATCGGTGGGCGCCCTCCTGTACCTCTTCGAGGGCGACCGAGTGCGCCTGTACGAATTCCTGAGTGTGCCGTTGAGCCTCTTTGTTGCTCGACTGCATCGCATCGACAACCTCGTCGAGAGCCTTGTCGCGCTCGTCAAACAGCCCCGAGAGCAGCGAGGTGATCTTGGCCTTGGCGTCGGACGAGCGCTGCCTCTCGAGCGAGAGCAGCTTCTTCAGTTGCTCATTCTGGCCCTCGAGCCGCCTAATCTCATCTTGCGCCCTCGCATCTACCACGCTGCTGAGCCCTTCGAGACGCTCTTTGCTTTCGCCGAGGTGGGCGTGCGACCCCTTGACGATCGTCGCCATGACATCAGACATGCGCGCCAGACTCCGCTTGACCGTCTCGACCGCTGGGCCGTTGCTGGCTGCCACCTGCTCGAGGAGCGTCTTGCAGCCCTCTCGCAGGCTCTTTGTCCGAGCCTCGGTCGCTGAGAGGAGCCCACCGCGCGCCGCGTCGAGGTCGGATGCAATGCCGTCCAAGGTCGCTCGTTGTTGGTCTGATGAGCCGTGCGCTTGCTGAACTTGTTGACGAATGGTCTGCAGCTTCTCGTCAAGACTTTGCAGTTGCTCCTGTACCAGCCCCTCCTGGCTCTGAGAAAAGGTGTGGAGCCTGGTAGCCAGCTGTGTCGTAAAGTCCTCATGCATCTGGCCAAAGCCGGCCAGACCGGAGCCCATCTCCGTGGCAAGCTCCTTGAGCGATGACTGCAGCTCGACGACCTTGCCGGAAACCCGTGCCTCGACCTGGCTCTTGCGATGCAACTTGGCAAACAGGCCATCAACATCGGTCTTGCTGTTATCTAAAAGTGCCTTGAGATTCGACGCAGCGACATTGAGCTTTGCCTCGCTTCTCGCGTATGCCTGGCTCAATGTTCTCTCCTCCTCCTCGGCCCGTCGGAGCTCATCGAGCCGCTGGGTGAGGCGGTCGACCTCTGCTCGCCTTTCCGCCGACTCCTGCTTGACCGCCTTGGACTCGTTTTCGCGCTTGACGAGGAGCTGCATGTTCTGGTCAAACTGCTCCTGGAGCGAGTTCATCTTGCTCTTGATGACCTCGTCGCTCCTCCTCAGCTCCTCAATCTGCTTCTTTGCGCCCTCCTGCTCGTCCTGCATCGCGCTCCAGCTCTCAAACGAGTGGTAGATGCCATTCTTTTCCCTCGACGCCAGCAGATCCCCCTTGAGCCGCTCGATTTCGTTGACGTACTCCTTGATCAGGGCTGCCCTGGTCATGCGCTGGTTCATCTCTGGCCTGTTGCGGATGGACTTGGCACGAAGCGCGTAGTCGAGCGTAGAGAGCGTCTCCTCCATGTTGGCCTTTTCGGGCGACACGGTGGCGATGATGCACGTCTTTGTGCGCCCGCCGAGCGACTCCTGGAGCAGCCGCGTCAGCTTCGACTCGCGGTAGGGGATGTGGCTGCTCTTTTCCACAAGGGCATTGATGACCCTTCCCAGCGTCAGGAGACTCTGGTTGATGATGCCCGCCTCTCGGGCCCGCTTGTTCTCTGCGCCACTCCGGCCAATGTTCTCGCTGCCAGCCAGGTCGACGAGGTTCAGCTTGCCCGTCCGAAGCATGTCCTCGCCTTTTGACGTCGTCTCCTTGATATGCACGGTGAGGGAAAAGACCGAGTGGGATCTCGACGACGACTCGTTGCACTTTGTCGCCGCAATCTGCCGCTTCTGCGCGCCCTTTCGAAGCAGTGCCAGGCCGTGCTGGGCGTCGCGCAGCGGTGTATCCTCGAGCCCCTGAATGCGCACGCCCCTTCCCTTTGGATCCTCAAACATCTTGAGTCCACTGCCCCCGCCACTCCCCCCCGCACCCAGCGGCGTCGGTGCCTCGTTGTTCAGCAGGTCTCGCAACTCCTCGTTGTACAGTTCGACGAAGCTGGCGTGAACGCTGAATTCATTTGCCTCGCTCTCGAGATCGTGAAAGAGTCGGTAGAGTGTCCGCGGAATGACGCCTGCCTCTAGCGAGTAGGTGCCACCCATGTGGGGAGTCAGGTCTCCTTCCATCGTGTGTCTGAAGATTCGTCTTGTCAGCAGCAATCACGAGAGCAAGCGCAGGAACAAACTCACGTCTTTCCCGTGCCAGTCTGCCCATAGGCAAAGACGGTGCAATTGTAGCCGCTCTTGACCTCCTCGAGGATGGGACCCACGACGTTCTTGTACACCATCCCTTGGTCCGCCTCGGGGCCAAAGACGTGGTCAAAGTTGTACACCTTTTCGCGTCGCTCTGCCTCGTCGGCGACGAGGGACGACTTGACGCTGGTGCTGGCGGCCGACGAGGCCGAAGACGACACCTGGGGCACCTCCATGGCGACATTGATGGCGTGGCAGTGCGGGCCTGATGTTGCCAGGATCGGCGAGACGGGCTGTGGGTCGCCGCCCCTGTGGTGAGAAAGAGCAGCTATAGGTCAGACTAGCTGTCAATGAATAACAGCAGACAAACAGACAGCAACGCACCTGACTCGGACGACGACCTGGATGTTGCTCTCGTCGTCGCCCCGTTGCCGTAGCTGCGAGCCCCCGACGCCATCGGTGCGGACGCCAGCCTGTCTCATCCTCTCCTTGGACGGGCTCTTTGGCGGCTCGTTTGGGGGAGCAGCGGCAGGGCCATGGGAGGACGCCGACGAAGGGGGTCGAGTCCCATTGCGTGACGGCACTCGCGACGCGCCGCCAGCTCCACCGCCAAATCCAGCGGTGCCGCGCGCGAGCGGGAGGCCGCTCCTGCTGCTGTTGGACATGCCTGTGCTGGGACGCGCCTTTTTGCTCTGACTCTCTGTCCGTGCTTTGCTGCTGCAATCGCGCGGAGCGGAGGAGGGCGGGCCAGTGAAGCTGTGTTGTTCTCTCTCTCTCTAGAAACACAATATTTTCTCCGACGCGTTTAGCAGGGTCACGTGTTGTTTCGGCGCGCAATGAGCCGAAAGCCAGGGACGCCGTTCCAACATTGGAAAGAAACAGCCTCTCGAAAGAGCGAGCGCCATGCCAAGGGTGGCTCACTGAACGCTACACACCTCTGGTGGAAGATTATACAAACATGTCCGCAGGTGGGCGAGGCAGCGGTGCTGAGGAGCCACCGGCGTCTGCGCCTGCGTCGGCCTCGACGTCGGTCGGCATCCCCTCGAGGCCGTCTACGCCTGCAACGATCCACTCGGCAGCCCAGCGAGGCGACAATGCACTCATAACCCATCTCATCTCGACGTCCAGAGCAACGGCCAACGATCGCGACGAGGACAACATCTCTCCCCTGCACTGGGCCGCCATCAACGCGCATGTTGCCACCTGCCGCCTGCTGCTCGAGATGGGCGCCGAGGTCGACGCCCTGGGAGGCGACCTGGTTGCCAGCCCGCTGCAGTGGGCGGCCCGCAACGGCCACCTCTACGTCTTGCACCTGCTTCTCTCCCACGGCGCCGATCCCACGCTGACCGATGCCCAGGGCTTCAACACGCTGCACTTGACCGTCCACTCGTCGGCCGTGATGCCGCTGGTGCTCCTGCTCCAGCACCCGGCCTTTGCCTCGATTTCCTCGCTCGACTCGCCCGACTCGCAGGGCCACACGCCGCTCATGTGGGCCGCCTACCAGGGCGATGCCATCTCGCTCGACCTGCTCCTCGCCCACGGCGCCGACGTGCACAAGGTCGATGCCGTCGGCCTGACACCCATGCACTGGGCCGTCGTCAAGGGCAACCGTCTCTGCATCCGCAAGCTGGCCGAGGCAGGCTCGGACCTCTGGGCAAAGGAGGAGGGCGGCAAGACGCCCCGGGACATGGCTGTCGAGCTCAAGAGCATCGGCGCATACAAAAAGGCCCTGGCCGACGTGGGGCTCGAGGAGGATGGAAGACGGAGGACGAGGCCGCTGGGCGAGGCACAGACGCGCATCAGCATCCTCGTCATCCCCTTTATCTCGTTTGGCCTCATGTTCAGCACACTAAGTGTTCTGCCCTGGTTCACCGGTGTGCCCCTGGTCATGGGCGAGTTCTTTGCCATGCACCACGTCATCACGCGCGTGATCCTCGACCCGCTCGAGAGCGAGAGCATGCATCGGTCCCCGTACTTCCTCGGTGTCGTCAGCGGCAGCATCGCCTGGGTCGGCTGGGAGTGGGCCACCAAGCTCGTGCATCACACCCCGGGCCTGGCCCACCTCAACCTCGTCTTTGCCATTGCCTTTCTCCTCTGCAGCTGGAACCTGTTCCGGGCCGCGACGATGGAGCCCGGCTATGCGCCACGGTCGCTCAACGAGATGGACCGCCGGGCCACGATTGAGAAGCTCGTCGAGGATGGACGGCTGAATGGGATGTCGTACTGCATCGTCTGCATGGCCCGTCGACCGCTCCGGTCAAAGCACTGCCGCCACTGCAAGCGCTGCGTCGCACGGCACGACCACCACTGCCCCTGGGTGGCCAACTGCATCGGGGTCAACAACCACCGGCAGTTCATCGTCTTCATCACCTCGCTCGTCGTCGGCATCGTCGACTTCATCTACCTCGTCTATCAATGTGGGTCCTTCTCCCTTTCTCGCTCTCTTCTTGTCTCGCAACATGCTGACTCTCCCTTGATGGAAACAGACTACGTGCTCAATGCGCCTCCCTACGTTCCCAATGCCACCTCGTCGTGCATCTTCCCAACTTCGATTTGCGCGGGGACAGAGTACGACACGTTCCTGTTTGGCTGCTCCATCTGGGCCGGCCTGCAGCTGACGTGGACGACGGTGCTCCTCGGCGCGCACACCTGGCAGATTTCACGGCAGATGACGACGCTGGAAGTGAGCAACCTGGGCCGGTATGGCTACATGGGCGGGCGAGGAGGGAGCAGCATGGCGAGCCAGACGAGCTACATGGAGAATGCACGGGCGAACCTGGCCAAGAATGCGTCACAGCAACAACAACAACAACAGCAGCAGCAACAGCAACAGCAGCAGCAGCAGCAGGAGGGGCTGGACGACGATGGAGCACCGCATTCGCACAACAAGACGCCGCCGACGTCTTCGGGCGGCTCGCAGCATCCCCACAAGCATACGCTCACTGCGTCGCTCAAGGGCAGCGGCAACTGGCTCCTCTCCATTGTCGGCCTCGACCTGTACACTAAGGGCAAGGGCGGCGAAGGGCTCAAGAAGGCCAACCGGGCAGGCAACCCCTTCGACCAGGGCCTCGTCATCAATTGCAAAGGTGGGTCCCCTCTTCTCATATCATCCGCCAACAAGTCCTAATCGCTCAGCGGCTGACTGACGGCGTGGGGAAATGGCAGACTTTTGGACGCGGGGCAGAGAGCTGGGCGTCCGATACGAGGAGCTGTACGACGTTCCAGCCGGTGGGTTCCGGCCGCTGTCGCACACCAGCGGCGGCGGCGGCGGACTGGGACGCGTCGTCTTTGGAGGAGGAGGCGATGACGATAACGATGACGACGAAGAGGCAGGCACCCACCACAGCCGGTCTCGTCGGTGGTCCATGTGGAACAGCGTCAAGCGGACGATGGCCGGCAATGCGACGAGGCCCAATGGCGCGGCGGGCGGATACAATCTCGTGTCGGGCAGCGACGAGGCAGGCCGCATGGCCTGAGAGACGAACAGTACCACTCTATACAACACGCAATGACATGTTCTAATGACACGGCTCTCTCTGTCTTTTCCGATTCAGTCTGGTCTGTGCGGTGGGCATGTAGCCGGAACTGGAACTGGTGAAGTGGCTCTGTAGGGCATATATTTCGGTATGAGGGGAAAGATACACGGTCAGCCGCAACAGACGGTGGGCTCGTCGATGCCCGGCGACTTGGACTGCCCTAGCGGTCCTGTTGCCGTCGCCGTCGCCGTCGCGGTGTCGCCGTGTCCAGGCCCTACGACGATCCTCGTGGGCTCCCAATCGCACAGGAACTTGCCCAGGCCGGCGCCGATGATGATGGAGATGATGATGAAGCCGTTAAAGTACATGGCGAGGAGCATGATGATGTAAGCGAGCCCGAAGGTGGTGGCGTGCAGCAGCGCGCGGACGAGCTGCTGGAGCGGCGAGTAGCGGAACGTGAGCGTCGTCGTCGCCGTCAGGGACTCGCCGTCATCGTCGCCGCTACTGCCTGGCATTGAGCGCGAGAGGATGAGGGCCTGGCTTGCGGCGCGCGCACGCCACTGCCGAGCGATGTGCAGGTCAAACTCGCGGGCCAGGCGGCGCGACAGCTCGAGGACGACGACGAGGAAAGCAACGCCGATGCACGAGGCCGCAAACATGCCGCGGTTCTCGATGTGCCAGCTCGACGAGAGGAAGCACGCATCGATCGTGTACCAGTTCCACAGCATCTATTCAGGAGAGAGGGGGGCGGCAGCACCATTTCATCGAGTCAGGCTTGGGTTCCGAGCACCAGAGAGGGAGAGAGACTTAGACCCACCGAAATCTTGCAGCTGCCGCCGCCCATATCCATGCTCGAAACGTGATCCATCGTGTTGGTGAGTAGCTCTTTGCTCTTGTGGTAGGACGCCAAATGGTCGTCGTTGCTTCAAGAAAAGCCAGGATCCCTGCCGGGAGGTCTAGCTCAAGTGGTGAGAGGCTGTCCTGTTCCTGCCGCTGTACCTCGCTCTATCAGGACCGATATCGCCCCCTCTCGGCGCCTTTACGTTGACGTCCCGGCGCCTTTTTTGTCTAGACAACCGCGCCAAGAAATTTAAAAAGCAGGGAGCCGTGCTCAAATTTTCAGCTAGCTGAGAAGAATAGGAAAAGAAAGGCCCCGTAAGACGTGCTTGTCAACAGCAGTGCGTAGTACAGTACTGTGCTGTACGTTGCGAAGGTGAAAATTCGGCAATCTCGCCATGGTGCACGATTTCGAGTAGTGCGAGTTGTGTGTGGCTGCGAGTGCGGTGAAGGAAAGAAAAGGCGCCGACGAGCTTGCTCGAAGCGGCCTTCATCACTGCTTCGGAGCCTGGCGAGAGACCCTGGAAGACCGGAGCAGGAGGAACGGGAAAATAAAAAAGACGAGGGCTGTTGCCTCGAGAAGGAGTGACCAGCCCAGCCGACCGCTCTTTGATTTGTCACCACCAGCTGGCCATGTCCCTGCTCGAGCCTCGCCACATGCAAAACTACAGCGATGCGACGGCGTTGGAGCCACACTGGGGCTACGTCTCTAGGGCCTTGCCGTGCACCAGCGATGCGGGCTCATGTGCATATCTCGACGTCGTCTACCATTCCCACGACCTGGGCATGCTCTACATAGGCATCATCTGGGCCACCATCGGAGCGATCCTCTTCATCTGGGCCATAGCGACGAGATGTGTCGCCGCGTCCAAGGCCACGTCGCCCCTTGTGGCTACAAATGATGAAGTTGACGAGAGCAGCGACGAGATGGCCGCTCGCGCGTCTGCCACTTCCTCTTCTAGCTGGCGCTTTCTGGCCGCTTTCAAGAGCGGCGCCCGCCGCAGGCTTCTTCCTGACGTAGCTGGCCGCCGCACCTTTGGCCGCACAACCAGGCTCCAAGTCCTCGTCCTTGCCGTCCTTGCCGGCTACCTCCTCATCTGGACTTTTGTTGGCATCGTGTACAGGACATGGATCACGCCCGTCAAGAAGCATCCCGGCCTCAACAACACCCGCACCAGCCTCGGCCCGTGGTCAGACCGTGTCGGGGTACTCGCCTATGGTTTGACCCCGCTCTCGATCCTGCTTTCGAACCGTGAGAGCCTGCTGTCGATCCTGACCGGCGTCCCCTACCACCACTTCAACTTCCTCCACCGCTGGCTGGGCTACATCATCGTCGCCCAGAGCCTGCTGCACACGATTGGATGGACCATCATCGAGGCGAGACTGTACCAGCCTCAGCCCACCGAAGCTCAGGCGTGGATCACGCAGACCTACATGGTCTGGGGGTGCGTCGCGATCATTTTGATCGTCCTTCTCTTCGTCCTCAGCCTGCCTTTCGTCATCAGACGGACCGGGTACGAATTCTTCCGAAAGGCCCACTATGTCCTTGCCATCGTCTTTATCGGTGCATGCTGGGGCCACTGGGCGAAGCTGCGATGCTTCCTCCTGCCCTCGCTCCTCATCTGGTTCCTAGACAGAGGCGCCCGTCTCGTCCGGTCCTTTCTTCTCCACTACAACTTCCTCAGCGACGGCACCATGGGCTTTCGCCCAGCACAGGCGACCGCAACGACCTTTGGCAGAAGAAAGCACGACAGCAAGGACGACGACGAAGACGACGCAGAGGACGAAGACAGCGTTGTTGTCCGGCTCGACTTTGAGCATCGGCAGGATCCGTGGAACATCGGCCAGCATTTTTACCTCTGCTTCACAGACGCATCCATCTGGCAGTCGCACCCCTTCACACCTCTCTCGGTGCCGACGTCTTCCCACAAGCCAGGCTTCGTCCGGCATTCTTACGTCTTTCGCGCAAAGGGCGGCGAGACGAAGAAGGTGGCAGATGCCATGATCGCCAAGTCGGGCAGAGCGACCGGAAATGATGTGGCCATAAAAAACCCAACAACGGGCATCATCCTCACCGGACCATATGGCCAGTCGATCGTGGATCGTCTGGACAGGGAGTTGAAAACCAATGTGCTCTGCATCGCCGGCGGAACGGGCATCACCTTTGTCCTTCCCGTGCTGCTGCATCTCGTTCGGAATCGCCGAGCCCAGGCGATGCCGAGGCTGGAGCTGCTCTGGGTTGTGAGGCGGGCAAAGGACACGGCGTGGGTTCAGGCCGAGCTCGAAGAGCTCAGGGCGGCAAAGGACTTCGTGACAGTCCATATCTGTGCCACGCGCGAAGGCGGGCAAGCTGGTCCACAGGACGATTTAATTGGCGAAAAAGAAGGCAAGGATTGCTCGAAAGCGTGCGACTGTATCGAAGAGGGTCAGCAGCTGTCGTACGGTGCTGTCAAGAACCGCCATGGTCGACCAGCCCTGAGCACCGCGATCAGCAGCTTCGTCACCTCGACATCGCGTGGCCCCGTCGTCGTCTACGCCAGCGGACCAGGCGAGATGATGACCGAGGTCAGGGGGGCTGTGGCGAGCTGCAACTCGGGAAGCAAAGTGTGGCGAGGCGATCAGAGCCACGACGTGGAACTCGTGTGCGATGACCGCCTTGAGTGGTAGCTGCTCTACACAATCTTCCTCACGACATCGCAATCAAAAGCTGTTCGACAGCCTGCGTCAGCGAAGCTCGACGTGTGAGACTGTGTGCCATTGAGCTGCATTGATGGTGCTGCTTTTGAAGCTGAGCAATTTGAGTTGTAAATGTACCGACGGGCCCAAAGAAAGAAAGAGGGTGTGGGATCTTTAGCTTACTTCGGTCCTCGTTCGCCCCTTCGGTCGGCAAGACGTGGCTGGTTTAAAGTGTGAGCTAGTTGGAGCACAGGCACATCAAATTTGTAATCAGACCAAGCCTTATCTTGGGCTGACAATAACACAACCAATAGCGCACGGACGCGCTCACCCAAAAAGTCTCGACAAAAAAAAGGAAGAAGAGAGAGGGAAACAAAAAAAAAGTTTTGTTGAGGAAGTCAAAGCCAGGCATGAGAGAATTCTCCCGCGCGCCCGCGCGCCCGCCCAGCGTGCTTGCTGGGCGCCAGAGGAGGGACTCAGAAAAAATTCTCTGACCCGTCCAGCCAGCCCACTTCGGAGCCTCGCTTCCTAGCTGCCCTTCTCGTTCGAACCACCCACTCACCAGCTCCCTGAACCGCCTTCTCTCGAGTGTGCAAGCCGTCAACATGTGAGTTGCCAGGCGCGTGTTGCTGAGGCAGAGCGAGAAGGAAGGAGAAGGAGAGGAGAAGAGAAGAGGGTACTGACATGAAGAGTACGATAGGCTTTTCCAGAGCGTCGCAAAGTCGCAGCTCGAGTGGCTCGCCAGCCTCAACCCGCTCGAGCACGCCCTCGATGGTAACAACAAGTACTGGCGCAAGACGTGAGTCTGGGCATGTCGTGGCTCTGAAGAAGAAAGCGCCGGCGTGCTGACCTGGAATGAACCCGCGCAGCTCCATCATTGCGACCATCGGCCCCAAGAGCAACAGCGTCGAGATGCTGGCAAAGCTGCGCAAGGCAGGCATGAACATTGTCCGCCTCAACGCCAGCCACGGCACCCACGACTACTTCCACTCCGTCGTCAACAACGCCCGCCAGGTCGTTGCCCAGGGAGAGGGAAGGCCGCTGGCTATCGCCCTCGACACCAAGGGGCCAGAGATGAGGACGGGCAAGATGGTCAACGACGAGGACGTCAAGATTGCCATGGGCCACGAGTTCTACGTCACCACCGACGACGAGTACGCGGAAAAGTGCACGGACAAGCACCTCTACATTGACTACAAGAACCTGGCCAAGAAGGTCGACGTCGGACGCCAGATCTTCATCGACGACGGCATCCTCGCCCTCGAGGTGCTGGCCATCGAGTCCGACACCCTCGTCAAGGTCCGCGCCGTCAACAACGGCACCTTGTCCAACAAGAAGGGTGTCAACCTTCCCCTGACCGACGTCGATCTCCCAGCCATCTCGCCAAAGGACAAGGAGGACATCCTCTTTGCGGTCGAGAACAACCTCGACATGATCTTTGCCTCGTTCATCCGCCGCGGCAGCGACGTCCGGACGATCCGCGAGATTCTCGGCGAGAAGGGCGCCCACATCAAGATCATCTCCAAGGTCGAGAACCACCAGGGTGTGCTCAACTTCGACGAGATCCTCAAGGAGTCGGACGGCATCATGGTCGCCCGTGGTGACCTGGGCATTGAGATCCCCGCCCCTCAGGTCTTTATGGCCCAGAAGATGATGATCTCCAAGTGCAACATCGCCGGCAAGCCTTCGATCTGCGCCACGCAGATGCTCGAGAGCATGGTTGTCAACAACCGCCCCACGCGTGCAGAGGTGTCCGACGTCGCAAATGCCGTCCTCGATGGAGCCGACTGTGTGATGCTGTCGGGCGAGACGGCAAAGGGCGCCTACCCCGTCGAGGCCGTCAAGATGATGGCCGAGACGTCGTTCCTGGCCGAGCAGAGCATCTCCTACGTCCCTCTGTTCAACGAGATGAGGTCGCTAACCCAGGTGCCCACCGACACCAACGAGACGGTGGCCATGGCTGCTGTTTCGGCCAGCCTGGAGCAGCAGGCGGGCGCCATCATCCTCATGTCGACGAGCGGAACGACTGCAAGGCTCGTGAGCAAGTACCGGCCCAGCTGCCCCATCCTCACCATCACCCGCGACGAGCACACGGCCCGCGATGTGCACCTCTACCGTGGCTGCTACCCCTTCCTGTACCCTCACCCTCGGCCTGCGGACAACAGCAAGTGGCAAGAGGACGTCGACAACCGAATCAAGTTTGGCCTCTCCGAGTCCCTCAAGCTCGGCATCATCGAGAAGGGAGACACCGTCATTGCGCTCCAGGGATGGCGAGGTGGCCAGGGCTTCACAAACTCGATGCGTGTTCTCACCGTCCCCGACGCCGCTCAGGACTTCCAGCTCGAGGGCACGGGCGTTTCCAAGAGGAAGTAGGAGATCTCTCCCAAAAAAAAGCATAGACGTACTGTATGTGAATTTGTAACGTGGTGACGAAATGAAGAACCTTTTCCGATGTTGTCCTGTCTTTGTTACAAAGAAGAGTCGCCTTTTTGAGTACACACCAGCGTACCCAGGCATCGCATGACAACACCGGCTACTAAGAACTGACTTCATCGATTGTGGTCACCTCTACGAAACTGCTACTCGTCTGCCCTGCTCGAGCGCCTTTGCAAAGACAAGCTCCACGGGGCCCTTTTCCTCTCCCTCTTCCTTCGCCCCAAGAAAGGTCGCCAAGAGGGCCCTCGCTCTCTCTCGGCCCTTGATGCCCCTTCTGAGCCGAAGCGCCAACAGCTTCTCGACAGCCCGCGCGACTTCGCACGCTGCTCTTCTTCTGTTCCTCCTCGGCGCTTCCCTCTCTTCCTCTTCCTCGCCACCATTCTGTGCCTGCGTGTCGCCCTGCATCGCCATAGACCGCTCGCTGTCCACACCCTGGCCGGCGGCCGCCTCCTCGTCGTCTTCTTCAAAAGAGGACAAGAGGTCCAGCGCCAGTCGGATAGCACGAACAATCGACGTGTCCAGCTGCGTGCTGCTGCCTTTCGTCGCCTCAAAGAGCGGGACACGGTCGACAAAGTGCATGATAAACGGCGGCGCATCCCCATCGAGGGACAGGATCGCGTCAAAGACGAGGAGGGAGGCGAGTGCCTTTTCGATTGCCATGGTCGCTGCTGCGGGCGGCGGCGGCGGCCGCGGCATGGGCGCACCTTGCGGGTGTTGGGCATCGACGGCTTTGACGAGCCGCTTGACGACGCTCGCAACGCCTCGGACGCGTGTGGCGTGCAGCAGGCCCTGGTATAACCCAAACATTGAGTCAAACGGCGGTGGGGGAGGCTGAAGGAGCGATTGCGGCGTGGAAGAAGATTGTGGGTGTCGCTGCTGCTGCTGCTGCTGTTGGTGGTGCTGCTGCAGGTCCTGGTGGTGAGAGCCTTGCTGGTGGGGACCCGCTCGGATCCACAGCGACGTGCGCTGCAGCGGCAGCGTCTTCACCTCGGATTCGACCTTTGCCTTGAGAGAGGAGAGCTCCGGCGTCATCCATTGCTGCTGTAGTCTCGCTTGGGTGTTGTCCGACGACGACAAGTCCGTGCTCGCCTTGTTCTTGAGCGCGAGTCGAGATAGAAGCGCTTGCAGGTCGCTGGACACGAGCCTGAGGACAGTGGACGGACAGCTCTCTGCTAGGATGAATGTCGTCAAGACATCGAATCGCACGCTGAGCGCCTTGGAAGGGGTAAACGGCCCTTCCAGGCTAGACGAGGTGATCAGCTCGATGTCCGAGACGAGCCATCGAAGAGCGCCAGGCAGAGTGAAGCTGAGCAGGTCCTGAAGAAAGTAGGAGAGACCGCCTCGGAGCGTGTCCATGTCAATGACGCCAGAGATGCAGGCGTGGACCGATTGGGAAAGGAGCGTGGGGGCCATACGCAGGAGGAATTGGGGCGAGGAATCTCGGATCAGCTCGTCCGAAATTCCGTCGCTGTCGTAGAGGGCCGTCACCCAGCGTGAAATGAGGTTCTGCTCACTAGCATCGAGTGACGACAAGCTCCAGACGGCAGACGAGGACCGAGTGAAGGTGGAGAGGAAGTGGTCTTCGGTGCCGAGGAGATCTTCGACCTGGTACCCAGCCAGAAGGCCTCGCTGAACGATTGCCTGCGTGAAGAGGAGGATGGAGGCCAGCACCGACGGCTCGTCGCCACTCTCGGCGAGGTCGTCCCTAATCAAGACCGTAGCAAAAGGGTGGAGAAGTTGCGAAGGACTGATGTAGAGGAGCAGAACCTCGAGAGCCGTCGGACTGGCCGTCAGAGCTCTGCAGATGCGCGACAGGGGCTCAAGGTCGGTCCAGTCCTCGAGGAGGCGAAGCAAGGTAGTGGCAAAAACCTCCTGGGCCGCATAGTCGGAGACAATCCGGTCAAAGAGATCTTGCACGTCATCGCCTCCGCTGAGTCTCTGCTCGATGAGGGTCTCGAGCGACTGATCTGTGCCATACACCTCTCCCTGGAAGGACAACGAGAGGAGCTGCCAGTCCTCATTGACGCTCTCGGCTCCGGGGATTGACTTCCAAGCACCGTCCTCGATGAGCTTGAGCTCGACGAGAGAGCGCAGCAGGGCAGCTCGAACGGCTTGCCTTGGTGGCGTGTCGGAGCCAATGAATGCGTCGAGCATCATCTCCATGTCTTCGTCACCGCCGGTTCGCTTTTTCGTCTCCTCGCTCTGTGCAATCGCCACCTCACAGCCTTCTATGACCTGCGAAGCGCCCACGAGGAGAGCATGCAACGCCCTTGACAGGCGCGCCGATGTCGAAGTGCTCTCTTCCAGATTGGCCTCGAGGGCAGCGATGATTTCGGGAACCTGTACACAGAGAGCTAGTCAGCACCAGAGCCAATAACGCAGTGTGTTTGTACTACCCACAAGCCCGCAAAGAGCGCTACGCCACACCGAGGCATACGCCTCGCTGCCTCCCAGGGTCGGAGGTGTACTCGCGATGGTAGCGCAAGCGATTGTAGCGCCGTACAAGATCTCAAAGTAGAACGTCGATCGGCACTCGTCATCCGTGGTATCCGCAGATTTGCTTTTGATCCGCCGACCGAGCAACATCTTTGCCGCTTCGACTTTGATGTGCATCTCTGTCAATTGATCCACCTGAGAGCAAGTAAAGGTCAGCCATGTGCTTCCCTAAATGATAAGAAGGACGGGGTTCACCCACACATAAATGCAGGAGATTGGAGATTTCTGGATCAACAGGAATGCTCGTGCCTGAAATGCCGCCAATCTTGCCCGAGATGATCGTCTCAAGGCTGCAGCAGGAAGTCCATGAGGGTCGAGAGGCAGATGCAAGACGAAGCGCATCGGCCATGGCCGAACGTCCCCCAGCAACCTTCTTCTTTTCCTGGAAAGAACCTTGAAGCGGGTCTTCGATAGCCGTTGTCTCTTGTTGCGGCTGGGAGGAGAGGCGGAGAGCAGTCTGAATGCTCCTGAGGATGAGCGACTCCTCTTGGGCGTTGGCCTTGCTGGCGGCTTCGATGGAAGTGTTGAGAGCCAGGCTAGCCGCCTCCTTCGCTTCGCTTTTTTGTGCAGACACCTTGGTCAAACGTTGGTGGGAGATCGCTACATGGCTGAGGACGCCAGTGAAGAGACGAGAAACGGGCGCAAGGTGATGCTCGACGGCATGGCGAATGGCGCCGGATGCCACCTCGATGAGCGTCCAGAGCGCATCGACATCTTCTGTTTCGTCAAGGAAAGATGTGACATCGGCCATGTATGGATTCAGCGTCTCGCAAATGGACGTGAGAGCCTCGTCTCGCAGGTCCAGAGGGTCCGATTCCAAGACGAGAGCTGAGAAGACATGGCCGGCTTGGACGAGAGGGGCGGACAGTGCTGCGTCAAGGTAGGTCAAGAGGAGATGCGAGCTGGGAACAGCATAGAGATAGTCGACCAGAACATTCGTAAGTCTCTGGCTGAAGTCAATGGATGAAGCTGCGGACGAAGTGCTGCTAACGCTGCGACCGGCATCGAAGATCTGCGAGGTCCACTGGAGGATGCTTGCTTCAGTCTACTGCTTGCCTGCTCAGAGATGTCAAGCTTACTTTCTGCGCCGGCCAGCCCCTGCTGAAGCACCGATCGGTGGTCTCCTGGAGCAGGTCCTCTCCGTCGACCTCCATGCCTTGTCCCGTACCCCACAGTCCCCGGGCGTGTGTTTCAAGCTGGAGCCCGAACGACTGGTGGAGCAGAAGAAGAATCGCGAGGCCCGCCGCACGTGGAGCTCGAAAATCGAGGGTGGCCCAAGCGCGACGTTGAGTCTTGCCTCTGCTGCATCCTGCGCGCTCGAGTAGTGGTGTACTAGGCGTGATGATGAGGGAGGGGGGGACCGAAGCAAGGCGAGCGTGGATCACTCCTGTCGCGGCGGGCCCAGGCGTGCCCTCGGCTGGCTTTGAGACTGGAGCTGGAAGGGTAAAGTTTTTGTATAAGAAGGGTTTCCGTTTTCCCCTCCGCTCCTCCCTCCCAAGGACCAAACGCTTCTGAAGCACTCCCTTCCCTATCTACTTTTCTTTCTTTTTTTTTTCCCACTCCAGCCTCTCTGTACTCCAGTCAAGGTAGTACACAAGGTTCGACGTACAAGATGAGCCCTACGACAATCAAAGTTGCCGGCTCGGCTGTCAAGAGCCACGAGCCTGAGCGCGTCATTGTCAAGGCACAGATCTCCAAGAAGCTGGACAAGACGGCCGTTGGCAGCGCAGGCGGCGACGACATAGACTTGGCGGGCCCCATCGCTCCTGCCTCGGAGCGCATCGCCGCCATTCTTGATCCCTTGGCCAAGCTGTGCGAGGGACAGACCAAGTCTCTCATCACGCATCTCGTCATTGGACAGCCATTCCTGCACACGCAGCTGGCGCGCAACAACAGCCACGGTGGAGCAGCTGCCAAAAAGAAGGCTGCCACCGCTGCTGCTGCTGCCTCCAAGCTTGGAAACTCCACCAATGTTTCGAACAACGCCGCCAATGGAGACGGTCACGCTCCCGAGGTCGAACACAGGGAGGACAAGGACGAGACCAACGATGGAGACACATCGATTGCCACGACCGTCGTCGGAGGCACCGTCACCTCCTTTTCCAAGGTGGATATTGAAGCGGAGTTCACTCCCAGGGACATCGAAGAGTGGCGCAAGGTGGGTGTGCCTCAACAATATTCACCTTTGAAGATGATCATGCTGATCCAGGTTTGTCTCCCCAGTGCGAGACAGCCGTGCGTGAGCTGTCGTCGACGACCAACGTCAGCGTCAAGTCGATCACATTCACCATCAGCGATGAGACAGCCGCCACTATGATTCGCAAGGCTCGCATTGAGGCCGTCCAGAATGCCAAGGAGGAGGCCGTCGACTTTGCCCTCGGTCTGGGCTTCAACGCGGTCGAGTGCCTCTCGATCAAGCACACATTTGGTCCCACGTCGGGCATCTCCACGTTGAGGCCCCAGCAGTCGCGCACCTTCACTCGTCCCAGGTCAGTCTCTGTCAGCGTCAAGGTCGATGCCGACTTTGCCACCGTCACGTCCCCGATTGGCGCTGCTACGGCCAGTGTCCTGAAGGAGGGAGCCAGCATCAAGGCCGAGTAACTGGCTTTCTACCGAGCTATCCATCTGGACGCTCCCTCAAAGCCTCTTTCCAGTCTCTTTTTTCCATCCCTTGGTCTCTGAATTCTACAAAGAGCCTCAACAGTGTCTCCTTTTCTCTCTCTGTATTCTTAAGGGTGGCAGAGGGAACAAGTGACAGTCCCAGCAATCAACCCTCACTTTTATCGTCCGTGCGCGTCAAAGTGCGTATCGGCCAGTGTCTGTCTTTTTTAAGGTTTTGCCCGGTGGAGAAGGCTTGTTCACGAACCACCTTCTCCATTTGCCATGACCAGCCAGCAGCCCGTGGCCGTTCTCGTCTCTGGACAGGCGTCCACCTCGCACGCCCCCGAACTTGCCGACGTGCACCTGACCGTCTCCCATCAAGGCCTGCCCGATGCGCGCGAAGCGACGACGGAGCAGGTTCGCGCCACCCAGGCCAGTCTCTCGTCGCTTCTCACCAGCCTCTCGAAGAAAGCGATTGGTGCAGCTGGTGGTGTTGCTGAGTCTGCGCCTGTCAGCCGCTGGAGCACAGGAGCGCTGTCGTCGTCGAATGTGAGCGAGTGGGACAACGAAGCGCGCAAGACGCGCGTCATCGGATTCCGCGTCTCAATTCGCCTCGAGGCCCGCTTCGTCCGCTCTGCCTTCTCGGGCGATGCCACCGACAACAACAAGGGGTGGAGCAAGGTGAGTTCGACTTGCATGCCACATGCAGAGGGGTAGAGGTGAAATCAAGCTGAAGCAAACGCGCGGTGGCCAGCTTGCCGAGTTCGTAAAGACGCTCGCCGCGACGCCCGACGTGGAGCTCGACAACATCGATTGGGTCCTGACAGATGCCTCTGCCCTCCGTCTCACCCGCGAGGTGCAGGTGCAAGCCGTTGTTGACGCGCAGCAGAAGGCGCGCAACTATGCCTCGGCGCTCGGGCTGCAGCAATTGCAGGCCACCGAGATTGTCGATGGGAGCTATCGAGGCGTCGCGGGAGGGTCCGGAGCGCCGGGAGGACCAGGCGCGCCGTACATGGCCTCACGAGCGATGCTGAGAAGCACCGGGCCGGGAGGCGAAGAGAGTCTTTTCACATTTGAGCCAAAGGACGTCGAAGTGACGGCCAATGTCAACGCACGCTTCGTCGCAATGTAGATGAAACATCAAGCTTACTTGGCGACACCACCAAAATCTTTGGTCTTATTCGTGCCTCGGTGGACTGTGTTTTCTTCAGGAATCTGACTATTGTAACCTCATACTTGACGATGCTGGGTGAAGACAATGCTTCTGCTCGCTGTCACGCCGTCCCAATGAAAGACACTGATCGATGTGATTGTGTGTGATGGGATTTGAAGAGCATTGGACTCGACAAGTTCTCACATACATGGGGAGGGGAGAAGGTGGGATTTAGGTGGCGTGGAAGGGAGGGTAAGGGAAAAGGATGTCGTTCTTGTTGAGCGAGAGGGTGGGAAGATTTGTTCTTCACAGCTTGCACAGGTCGTCGGTGGTGGGGTCCTCATGCTTGTCCCACACCATGGTCTTGACGTACGTCTTGCCGTCGATCTGCTCAATGACCGGAGCCCACACCTTGCCCGGAGGGACGGTAAAGGTGTAGTGGTGCTTCAGAGTGCACTTGTCCGTGGGAGGCTCGGCACGGAAGCCCAGGTGTGAGTACTGTTCTGCTAACTTGCCCGACCACTTCTCCCACTGTTCGGGAGTCCAGGAGGAGGCTGGAGGGGCCATTGTTAGCCACGAAAAGTAGAAAGAAGCAACAGAGGCGAGAAAAAGGAGAGAAAGGGAGACAGACTTACAGTTTATGGCCTTCACAAGATAGGTCGTGGTCTTAGTTGCAGTGGGCACGCCATCGTGATTAGGGAGGAACGACGGCGACGACGACGACAACGAAGCTTCGACCATGATGGACACAGGGAGCAGCTGATGTCTAGGGAAGTGTTGAGGGAAATGTTGAAGAAAGAGAAGGACGATTAGTGTTGCTGTGGTGAGGAAGGGTGAGGAAGAGTGGGAGAGGAACAGGGCATGCGAGAGAGGCACTCCTTATATAGACGAGATTCTCATCAAGCGCTGCCTTGCCACTTTACGCTTCCGTCAGCCAACAGTCTCAATAACGCCAGGTACAATTCAGCACAGATAAAGCAGGGGCTCATTGGGCTTGAGGACGGCCACCCTAGCCGAATTGAGATTGCGCTCAGGCGGCCGCATGAAGGGAGGAGGTTTCCGTACTGTTCGAGCGGCGCCTTTATAAAGTCATCAATCCCGCCCATCGCCAACATATTCATGCTCACCGCTCTTCATCGAAGAGTCACATCAGCCAGATAGAAAAAAGAACCACTTATGATGCAAGGACTGCGAACGTCAATGCTGAGACGACCGGGAGAGGGCCAAATGCAAGAAGCAAAGGCCCAGGGCTCGATTGTATACGGGTAGGGGAGAGGATGACTGGCGGCCCTCACGAGGACGAAAAAGGACAGCCTTGATCGATGCATGCCGGTCGGGGTGGGAGCCGTCTCAAAAGGCGGCTGGAAGAAAGATGAGGAGGAGAGTGAATTTCATTGGACGAGGAGCACTGCTGAGCCACCACTCGCGCCCGCAGAGAGACTGAACAATGTCTCGTATCAACACCCCCGTCATCAGTTGCGGCCATAAGGGGGGCAACCAACATCGCCGACGGCGGAAAGTGCGTTCGAAAAATAACCGTTCTGTGCCCGTTGGCAGCGGTCGCAAGGAATAAATAACAGCACTTTGGCCGACCGCTTCCTTCATGACGGTGCTAGCAGACGTTCATTGAGACACCGCCCTGGAGCCCGCTCAAGAGGACTTGATGAACAATATCTGGGCTGTATCTCTCCTTGGACTGGCTTCAGCTCCGTACAATGCTGAGCCGTTGAAGCCAATGATATCATCGCGCACTATCACGACGAGCAAGACGGTTGTCGCTTGATCTATATAGAGGGGCTGGCTACAGGAGCTTAACACCAGATTTCCCCACTCCAAGAATCAGCACAGACCTCCAAAAACTTCTAGCGTTCGCGAATCGGCACGGGAAAATCGGGGTCAGGCTTGCCTAGCTCGCTTTCTCTGTCTTCTTGTTTGCAGGAGGGAAAAGGCCTCTGCTTCTCGACAACAGCCTTTCCTCACTCTCTCATTTGCACACTCTACCACGCAAATGGCGGCCTTTGCATCGTCTGGCTTTGATGCCGAAAGGTACTTTTCGAGCCGACCGACGTACAGCCAAAAGATCTTTGACCTCATCTACGCCTACCATGACTTACACCGAGGCAGCAGCGGCGATAGAGACAAGCCTGCTGCAGCCGTGGCAGGGGGCTACGACACTGCGCTGGACCTTGGGTGCGGGCCTGGCCAGTTGTCACACCCTCTGCTGGCGCGATTCCGGCATGTGATCGGGATGGACCCCTCGGCCAAGATGCTGGAGCAGGCTAGGTCCGTGCGCGAACCGTGGAAGGTGTTTGCTGGTGGACAACGGCCGCCCGAGGCGCACACGATTGAGTTTCGACAGGGGACAGGGGAGCAGACGGGCTTGGAGAATCATTCGGTCGATTTGGTGAGTTAATCAGCTTCTTTACACTTGCCGTTGTGCCGAGATCTGAGGGCTTCTTTGTCGTGGTCTGTGCGCGGGCTACCACTAGGTCACTGCCGGCGTCGCTGCCCATTTGTTCGACTGGTTCGCGGAGCCCGATGGCCAGCGTGTGTGGCGAGATCTGGCGCGCATCATGCGGCCACATGCCTCGGTCTGCTTCTTTGGCTATTACTGCGGCCACGTCCGCGACGCCAAGATGGCCCGCTTCAACGAATTGATGGTCCGCGTCTTCTCCGACGAGGACAAGCTGGGGCCTTACTATCGGGATGAGGGCCAACGTGAGGCCCCTGCCGGCTTTGTCAAGACCTTTTACGATCCCATGCCGCACCCATCGGGCCCGCAATGGGTTCAGGAGGCAACCACGCACCTCAAACTCGAGGTGGACCCGTCGCTCGAGCGGCAGACCACTCCCTCCTCAGAGCCTGTTCCAGCGTGGGTCAAGGATGTCCTGGGAGACGAAGCCAGGTCACCCATGGTCATGAGAAAACCACTGCGTTTCCGCCTGGGCCTCTTCCGGACCGCTTCGGGCTACACCAAGTTCCTCGAGGCGCACCCGGATCAGGTGCCGCTAGTGGCCAAGAACGAGGATGCATGCCAGAAGTGGGCCGAGGAGGCTCGATGGGCCCAGGCGCGCCTTACAGCCGCTCAGCAGCTGGATAAAGACGAGTCTGCAGTCAATGACGACGAAGCGAGGCAGTATCTCGTCGACTGGGACAAAGAGGTGGACTTCTACTTTCCCCTCGCCGTACTCCTCTGTAAGCGATCGTCGCAGTGAAATGAAACAAGAAAAAAGAGTCTCCGATTGCCATGACCAGAATCCAGAATACATTCGTGTGTGTCTGTGTCTCCCCCCTTTCTACTCGTCCTTCTTCTTGTCGTCGCCTTCATCACCGCCACCGTCCTTCTTCTTCTTGGCCTCCTCTTCCTTCTTCTTTCGCTCTTCCCCCTCTTTTTCCTTGCGCTCCTCCTCCTCCTTGACAGGGTTCCGGATCTTGACAAACGAATCGGCATCCTCGCCGGCTTCTTCAGCCTCCACGTCGCCACCGACCTCGCCCTGAGTCTTGAAGGTGGCCTTGTTTCCCTTGGCAGATGCGCGCATCAGCTCCATCCTCCTTGGCGCATCTTCCTTGTTCTGCTCCGCAAGCTTGCGTCCCGCGCCGTACTGCGTCGAGCGCGACTTGTCAGCATCGTAGTATTCCTGCAGAAGAAATCATTTTGTCAGTAAAAGAACGACGACAAGGAGCGGGAAGAGGCGACAGCAACGCACAGTGCCGGCTAGCGTGGCAATGATGGAGAGGCCGACGGCGGCCGTGAGCCCGAAGCGGTAGCTGGAGTACCACTTGGGGGCCCAGCCGGCCGTCGTGGCCTTGAGGTCGACGAACCAGGTGAGGACGTAGGCGCCCCACTGGCTGATGAGCGCCAGCTGGGGCGTCAGCATGAGCGTGGGCCAAGCGCACATGACGGGAATGAGGCCCAGGACGTAGCGGCGGTTGCCGAGCTCGCCGCCGTACTTGCTGAACTCGAAGCCCCAGTGGATGGCTCCGAGGAAGGAGAGGAGCACGGCACCAAACTGGATCTGCACATTCTGCGCATGCAACAACAGAGCAGAAGCCGTCTCAAAGTCGATGTGCGAGTCGAGACCTTTATCGTAGTCGCTCAGCTTTTGTGTCTAAAAGGGCATCGGATAATTCCAAGAACTCACCATCTGCAACGAGTTGTGTCTGGCGAGCGAGATAGATACTGGCACCAGCTGTGCTGACGTAGGGAATGATACCTAGACTCATTGCAGGTCAGTCGCCTTGTCACGGTGACATGCACTTTCTTTCTTCGCTTTTCTCGCTCTCTCACCTGCGGCACCCCAGAGAAGCGCTGGCCTAGGCATCTTTCGGGCCAACTCGGCAGTGACGGATTTCTATGAAATGGACGTCAGTGTCTTGTTAGGATGCCAAAGAATTAGACAAGCCACTCACAGCATCGTTGAGAATCTCGTTGGTGCCTGCATCGCCTTTTTTCTCGCTGCCGCCTGATCCATCGATGCCCGCGACGGCATTCTCGAGCGACGACCTGACAGCACCGGCCTCCTCCTTGACATTCCTGGCCGTGTGCGCCCAGCTGTCTGAGGCGGGCTTGCCTGATTGCGGGTTCGCGACCAGCCTCACCGCCGAGGGCCTCACAAACGGACGGATGGGCGCAGCGGCGAAGCGCACGGCCGCCGGAGCACCCCTCTTGGCGGCTGTTGTGGGCAGCTGACGGCTGAGTTGTTGGAGCAGCATGGTCAACGGAGCGGTTGACGTTAATGAAATGGGAGGGAGCAGGGTGAGGAAGAGCAAGAAGGGAAAGCACAATAATGGAGCTTAGTCCGTCCCGCTTCATCGATTAAATTATCTATCTCTACGATCGCCTAGGTGGAGTTCCTTCGCACGGATGTTCCTACCACTCGACTTGTGACGTCGACCTGCTTTTTCCCTTTCCCTTCAGTCGCGCCCGCACCGCTCACGTGGACGCGACTAAATGGGCGCGAGCGCGCGAGGCCATCGTTCCTCGCCGTCTTCTTTCGCAACGGACCCAGGAAAAGGCCAACGATGGGGCACGGCAACAGCGACCGGCTGTATGTAACCCATGAAGAGCTGGTAGGTAGAGAGTCGGGCTAGTGTGAAAGGCTTAGCTCACATTGTATCGTGTCAGTCCGGCGTCCATGGAACGCATACAGCCAGCGGCGGCACTCGACTCAAGGCATCCGACGTCGGCTTCCAACGCCTGCCCTTTGACTGCTGCGCACTCTCGCTCCAGCCCTGGACGAACCCAGTCTGCTCGCGCTCCGAAGGCACCGTGTTCGAGTTGACCAATGTGATTCCGTTTCTGAAAAAGTACGGCGTCAATCCGGCGACGGGCAGCAAGCTCGAGGCGGCGGACCTCGTCAGGCTGCACTTTCACAAGAACGAGAATGCAAAGTACCATGATCCCGTCAGCTGTAAGTCGTCGCAGAGAGACGCCTTCTTTCTGTTGAGATGAGAGCCCATATACTCACTGACGTATCCTGATTCAATCTGCAGTCAAAGAGTTCAACGAGCACTCGCACATTGTCGCCATCAAGACAAGCGGAAATGTCTTTACATATGAAACAATCTCACAGCTCAACATCAAGGCAAAACATCTCCGAGACCTCGTTGACGACACGCCATTCACCAAAAAGGATCTCATCACGCTCCAGGATCCCCACAATGTCTCGGGCCGGGACATTTCGCAGCTCCACCACCTCAACAAGGGACTCAAGCTCACAGCGGCAGATGGCAAGGAGGATACCGATGAGGTCAATGCAGCAGCGACGGGAAGCGCGAGCAAGATCCTGAGCCAATTGCGAAAAGAGAAGGAAGGAGTCACAGAAGCTAAAGAGGAGGGATCAAGTAGTCAACGGAAAGAGGTAGTCGAGGCGCCGGCAGAAATGCCCAAGGCCAAGGTCCCTTACAACGCCGCCGTGGGCAGCACGGGCATGATGGCAGCCAGCTTCACCTCTTCTGGACTCGACATCCAGACCAAGAGCGAGCGGCAGCTCATCAATGAAGAGGAGTTCATGTTCGACCAAGTCGCTTCAGGCGACGGGTTGCCAAAGAAAAAGGGACAGACAAGGGGCAAGACCAAGGGCTACGTTCAGCTCGTCACCAACTTTGGCTCGCTCAACATCGAGCTTCACGTCCATGCGGCCCCCAAGACGTGCTACAACTTCCTCTCTCTGTGTTCGCAGGGCAAGTACGACGATACTACGTTCCATCGCAACATACCCGGCTTCATGATCCAAGGTGGCGACCCAACGGGCACAGGTCGAGGAGGCGAATCGATCTGGGGTCCTCCAGGCTTCCGAGATGAATTCGACCGAGCAGGCGCCTTTCGACACACGGCCAGAGGAACGCTGAGTATGGCCAATAAGGGGCCTGGTACAAATGGAAGCCAATTCTTCTTTTCCTATCGCGAGAAGCTGCCACACCTCGATTCCAAGCACACCGTCTTTGGGCGACTGCTCGAGGATGAAGAGCAGGGAAAGAAGAAGCCGACGACGCTGGACAAGCTCGAGGCGGTGCCCTCGGAGCCTGGGACAGATCGGCCGATGCGGAGCATTCGCATCCTCAATGCCCTCGTCCTCGAAAATCCATTTGACGAGTATAAGACAAACTTACAGAGGAGACTCGACAGAGAGAACATGACGGAAGAGGAAAGGATCAAGAGAGAGGAGAAGAGAAGGAAGAGGGAGGACGACCGGACGACATGGTGAGGATTGCAAGCCTTCAAAGTCCGTTGAAGTGCGATTGGCTGACTTTATCTGATGGCAGGCTGGGGACGGACCTTGGGAGTAAGGGAGGCGATGTACACAAGAGAAACGACGACTTGTTTGATGGCATCGGGCCAGCAAAAGGAGGTTCTCGCATCGGGAAGTACCTGCAACAGAAGCCAACCTCAGCCACCAGTGTTCCTTCGTCAGACATCTCCGCTGGTACCGCTGCCGCCAAGAAACGTAAAGGCGAAGGATTTGGAGATTTTTCGTCGTGGTGACGTTCATCTGTATATTACTGCAATATTTTTTAAGTCAACGACGCATGCATTGGACAAGACACCAAGCAAATGCTGGGATCTGCTTCGTCTGGCCTTGAAGGTTGATGCATGGAAAAAAGTGCAGAAGAAGCTCAGAAGAAGCTCCTGCAGAACGATCGTTGACAGCCGGAATTGGGGAGATCCGAGCGTGCTTTGGAGATAATCACCCGCCATCCCTCCGTGCTGGGCGCGAGCGACGGAATGTGAAAATGCAGAGCACCGCGGTGTACCTTTGCTATCTGTCAACTGCTCGGGCTCACTCGTCCGCTCTGTCACACTGCTCCGCGCGGGCTAAGCTCGAGACTGGGAATCCACTCCTTGTCTCTTCTGTCTATTTCCATCATCTACTAGGCAAGCATGGCGGCCCCTATTGCAGCCAACTCGAGCCTGAGCCTGGTGAGTAGCGCATGCATGCAGCGCCCTCATTCCTATTTTCCTACGGTGCTTACGTTGACTCGTCGCAGTATGCCGAATGTCCGCCTGGGCTGGGCGGGCCTGGGTGCCTGGAGGGTACCTGCGAGTCGCCGTTTGTCGCGCCGGCCAGCCGTGGGTTAAAGGCAGAAAACGCAACGTTGTGCAACTCGTGCGATGCGGGCTTCGGCGGTATCAACTGCAACGTCTGTCAGGGCGTCGATTCGTGCGATGCTCGCCAGAAGATTTCGGGTCATGGTATCTCTGGCATCGTCAGCGGCGAAGATCGCGGCATCCTCGGACCGACGTATGACCACTCGTTGACGTGCCACCACCAGCCAAACGCTGTCACATCGACGTACATGGAGTGCGACGTCGTGCACCCCACCGTCAATTCCGTCTTCCCAGGAAGGATTGCGCTGACGCTAACCAAGACTGGAATGGTTGAGAACAACTTTACGGCGAGCGGCCTTGCATCATGGGAGGCAAAGGCCAACACGACGCTGACGAGCTTCTGGATTGACGGGCAAGAGCAGGTGAGAGGTGGAAGCCACAGATAGAGGGACTGTTTTAGAGATCAACTCATCGGGAAAGAGACCAGTTCTACTGCCAGGCATCGGACTGTTCCAGCTCCAACACGACGACGTCCATCGAGGAAAAGGCAAGATTTGGCACCGAGAACTGGAGCTGCTCCAATCTGCAGTGCTTTTGCATTCCTACGTCCTCGTTCTGCAGCAATCCAAACCTGCCGCTGAAGCCCGTCATTGATGGCCTTTCCGGTAAGCTCGACCTGCCATGCGACTATGTCGACCCGACCGACCCAGGCGCGCGGACTTCGTGTGCATTCAAGGGAGGACAGCTGACGCAATTTCTCGGGGCCAGCGGGCTCCCGCTCAAGAACTGCCAATCTGGAGCCTGCATCAGCCGAGGCGACCTGCGAACTTTTTGGGCGCACGATATGGCACACAAGCTGACGGATGGCGGCTACGATCTCTCGCCGGGCGTGATAGCGGGACTCGCCATTCTCGGTCTCGCTGTGGCTGGCCTTGCGATGCTCGTGCTCCTTGGTCTCATCGCACAACGTCGCGCCGCGGCCCAGCCTCGCGCACCCAAGGGCAGCGCCGTCGGCCTCTCTTGGGAGAATCTGCACTACCGCATCAATCTGAAGCATACTCCCCTTGCACACGCCAGTGGCAAGAAGGGCAATTCCACCGAGGACGGTCACGAGCTATTTGATCTTCGTGGCAAGGCCACCTCCTGGCATCCATCCGAGACTATAAACATCGTTGAACCCCCCTCGGCGAGGGGCGAGATTTTGCGCGGCATCTCGTCCTGCGTGGCGCCTGGGTGCCTCAAATTTGTCATGGGCGCCAGTGGCGCGGGCAAATCGACGCTGGTAGACATTCTGGGAGGTAGAGACATGCAGGGGAAGGTCGAGGGAACCGTCTTCTTCATCGGAAAAGAGAACGAAATCTCCTCCGAGGTACGGAGGCGGATCGCATTTGTCGACCAGGAAGACGCCATGGCTATTCCGGGGTACATGACGGTACGCGAGACGCTCATGTTCGCCGCCGAGCTGAGCAACCCAGAGAACGTCAGCAGGAGCGAAAAGGCAGCCATCGTCGACGATGTCATCCACATGCTTGGTCTGGATGCTGTTGCGAACCGACGTGTTGGTGACTTGAGGCGACGAGGAATCTCTGGTGGTGAGCGGCGCCGCACGAGCCTGGGCGTCGCCATGGTCTCTCGACCCAAGGTTCTCATTGCCGACGAGTGCACTTCAGGCCTCGACGCCTATTCGGCTTACCGTGTCATCACCGCTCTTCGTCACCTCGCCAGCGGTCCAGAGACTGGAACGACTGTCCTTGTCACGATCCACCAGCCCTCTTCCGAGCTCTTTTACATGGCTGACTCCGTTCTCGTCATGGACCACGGACGGACGCTGTATGACGGCAGCCCAGCCAACGCCTTGGCATTCTGCGAAAGTGTGGGAGAGCCCGTGACACTGGGCCATAACGTCGCGGACAAGCTCCTCATTTATGCATTCAAACAACACATAGGAGAAGCAGCCAAGCCCCCTTCGTTCAGGGAGAGCTTTGTGGAGTTGGGCATTCAGCCAAGCCTTGTCAAAGTCGGACGCAGTGGCAACTCGGCATCGACGACGGCAATGACGCAGACCGTTACGTTGCTCCGACGATATCTGAAGATGACAAGAAGAGAGTACTCTGGTCCTTTGGCTCACGTCGGTGGTGCCGTGATCTTAGGACTAATTACGGGCGGGTCTTTCTACCAGGTTTCGCTTTCCATTGGTGGTTTCCAAGTGAGTGGATGGCTCACTCTTTCCTATCCAAGACGTCGAGCTCACGGGCTGCGACGCAAAGAATCGAGTCGGAGCGATCTTCTTTCTCTACATCCTTCTCATGACAATGTGCATCTCCGCTCTGACCGGTCTCAACAAGCTGCGATTTCTGATGATGCGAGAACGTGCGACTGGCATGTACTCGCCAGGCTGCTGGGTCGCCGCCCATCTCATTTACGACCTCGTCTTCCTTCGCATCGTTCGTGAGTTGCCCAACTTCCGCTCCCTTTCCCCTGTTGCCTATCTCAATACTGCTTTTCTTTTCTTTTCGCACAGCGGCTACACTCATGACTGTGATCGTGTACTGGATGGCGGGCATGCACAACACTATCACAAACTTTCTTCAGTTCCTCCTCGTGACGATTGTCTTCACCGTCGTCATGTCGCTGTACGACATGTGCCTTGCGGCTCTCTTCGAGGACATGTCCAGCGCCATCATCGTCGCGGGCCTCTATGTCATCTTCAACATCGGCTTGGCTGGCTTTGTGCTCAACCTCAAAAAGATGCCGGGGGCGCTGCGCTGGCTGAAGTGGATCGTGCCGAGCAAGTACGCCCTCGAGGCCGTTGCGGTCAATGAGGTCAGGGGACTCCAGATCATCGACAAGTGAGTTGCGTTCTGCCTCTTTAAATTGCATACCTTGCGCCTCCACTGATCCTTTATCCCTTATTTCGCAAGCCTCGGAGGTGTAAAAGTCGTGACCGACGCATCCATGGTAGCCAACACGGTCTTTTCGTTCGACTTTGGGGCCTACTACCGCAATCTCATCATCCTCGGCTGCGGCTTCACCGTGGCATACAGCCTCGTGCTCTTCGCCGCGGTGCAGTGGAGGATGAAGGAGAAGCGTTGATCTTCTCCCTCTTCTCTTCTCTGCTCTTCTTCTCTACCTACTTTATGCTCCCGCTTGCTCCTCGAACTCACTATGCTCATGTGTGTCTACAATTCGCTATATTAAAATTTTAGAACCCATCTTCCCGCACTCATCGTCGCGGAAGATAGAAGAGAAACAGGAATGAGAGGTGGTGATGGTCGTTGGTACAATATAGACGGATACTTCTCAAGCACTCAGCCCAGAATCTTCGAAACAATGCCCGTGCCGACCGTCTTTCCACCCTCCCTGAGGGTGAAACGGCTCCCCTCCTCCAGGGCCACGTCGTGCACGAGATCGCCAAGGAGCGTGACGTTGTCGCCGGGCATGACGAGCTTCTCGTCTGCGTCCTTCTCCTCGGGCGGGTGCGTGAGGCTGACCGTCACGTCGGTGGTCCTGACAAAGAGCTGTGGCCGGTAGTTGTTCTGGAACGGCGTCGACCGGCCGCCCTCCTCCTTTGTGAGAATGTAGACGCTGGCCTCAAACTTCTTGACGGGCTTGATGCTGCCCGGCGCAACGAGGACCATGCCGCGCTTGATCTGCTCGCGCTTCACACCACGCAGCAGCATGCCGGCGTTGTCGCCGCACTGCGCATCGGCAAGCTCCTTGTGGAACATCTCGATGCCCGTCAGCGTCGTCTTGAAGCTGCTGCCGAGACCCACGAGCTCCACCTCGGTGCCCTTGACAATCTTTCCTCGCTCCACACGGCCCGTCACGACGGTGCCGCGGCCCGAGATGGAGAAGACATCCTCGACGGGCATCAGGAACGGCTTCTCGAGGTCTCGGGGAGGCAGGTCGAGCCACTCGTCCGTGGCAGCCATCAGCTTCATGATGGCCTCCTTTCCCACCTCGGGCGTCTTGTCCTCCAGCGCCGCGAGGGCAGAGCCCATCACCACCGGCGTGTTCTCGCCATCGAAGCCGTAGGTAGAGAGCAAGTCCTTCATCTCCATCTCGACGAGCTCGAGCATCTCCTTGTCATCGACCTGGTCCACCTTGTTGATGAAGACGACGAGCTTCTTGATGCCCACCTGCCGGGCCAGGAGGAGGTGCTCGCGCGTCTGCGGCATCTGGCCGTCCGTGGCGGAGACAACAATGATGGCACCGTCCATCTGAGCGGCACCGGTGATCATGTTACGAATGTAGCTGGTGGCACAAAGGCGTCAGCATTCGACGCTTCTTCTTCTTGTGTCATCTCCCTTTTCCCTCTCTCTCGTGTGCTCCACTCACTCGGCGTGGCCCGGGCAGTCAACGTGGGCGTAGTGCCTGTTCGAGGTCTCGTACTCGACGTGAGCAGTCGAGATGGTGATACCTCTCGCCTTTTCTTCGGGAGCCTTGTCGATGGAGCTGTAGTCGACAAACTTGCCGCTGCCGCTCGCATCAAAGAGAACCTTTGTGATGGCAGCCGTCAGCGTCGTCTTGCCGTGGTCGACATGGCCGATGGTGCCGATGTTCATGTGCGGCTTGTCGCGCACGAACTTGCCGCCCGCTTCCGAGGCGTACGTTCGCAGCGCGCCGCGGGTCGCAAGGCTCAGGGCAGCAATCGGAGGACGAGGGACAGAGGGGGGCTTGGCCAGCGTCGCCGTCGAGACCTGCGGGGTTCGCGAGAGGCTGGCCGAAGCAAAGCCCCGCTGGACCACCGAGGTGGACCTCGCGTTGACCTGCTTGGCAAGCGACCGAGCCGACTGCGTTCGGAGGGCGTTCATGCTTGGGAGTGAGGATCGTGAAAACGGAGCAAAAAGAGAGGCAGCGCCCGACCTTCTTCCTGCTTGTGTCACTGATTTTCAGAAAAAATGCCCTACCTAATCCAAGGTCCGCTGAGGACACTCACGTGATGACGGAATTTTTCGTCAGTTGCTCCCTGCACGCGAGAAAGAGAGAGAGAGAGAGGGAGCTTCGTCCAGGTCCGCACGCACATCGCAAGCGCGGATTGCCAGTCGAAAGTGAGCAATCCAGCCAACCACCATGTCGTCCTCGCCCGCTCCCAAATCACCGCCCGAGGACGAGAAGGACGATATCGTCCTGGTCGGTGGGCAGACAAATTCTGGGGCCCGCGAGAATAAGCCGAAAGTGGAAGATGAGGGCGCGGACCAGAAGATCGATGAGGATGAAGATGTTGAAGAAGACGAAGACGAAGACGATGATGATGACGAAGATGACGAGGATGAAGACGAGGACGAGGATGAGGATGAGGATGGCGAAGATGGCGAGGGACGTCGGAGAGGAAAGAAGAGGAGGAGAAGGGGCGGCGCCAACCGCTATCTCGATGTGGAAGCCGTGGTCGACGATGACGAGGAGGAGTACGACGATGAGGATGCTGAGCTTCTGAGGGAAGGTACGTGGCGTCGCATTGGCAGAGTTCAAAGCAGACTGTGCTGACAAATCTTCACTTGCAGACGGCTTCATCGAGCAGGACCTTGGATCGGACAACGATGAGACCCATCGCCGTGCTGCTGCCGACAACCAGCGTCTTGATCTGCAGCGAAGGCAGGAGGAGGAGCTCAACGCCGAGGACATCGCCGCTCGCATCAATGAGCGCTACAAGTCTCGTGGCGGTCTCACGGCCAAGTCGGACTTCGAACATGTTCCCCAGCGCATGCTCATGCCCAGTGTCAATGATCCTGGTCTCTATTCGATTCGTTGCAAACCAGGACGAGAACGAGCAGTGGTCCAGACAATCCTCCGCAAGGCCGTCCTCGGCAACACACCGAAACCTATGAATATCATTTCCGCCTTCTGTCGAGACACGCTCGTCGGCCGTGTCTACGTCGAGGCCACGGAGCCCAAACACGTCATGGATGCTTGCGAAGGCATCTCGGGCGCCTACCCGAACGAAAAGAACCTCTTCCTCGTGCCCATTAGTGAGATGGCCGACTTGCTCAAGATCACAAAGGTGCGCAAGGAGCTCAAGCAGGGCAGCTGGGTGCGCTTCAAGAGAGGCAAGTACGCAGGCGACCTGGCACAGGTTCTCGACATGACCGAAAACGGGGAGATGTGCGGCGTCAAGTTCGTGCCCAGGCTAGACCTCGACCCCAGAGAGGATAGCATGTTTACAGATTCGTTGGGAAGGAAGAGGAAAAAGGGTGCAATTGGCTCGGCAGCTGTCGCCGACCGGCCACCGCCGCGTTTCTTCAACGCTGAAGAGGTCCGTAAGATCTTTACCCGGGAGAGACTCGAAAAGAAGGGTCTTGGCTACCTGTTCCGTGGCAAAACATACGTCGATGGCTACTGCGAAGACGACGTCAGGGTGTCTGCCCTCATCACCGAGAACGTCAATCCTACTCTCGACGAGTTCTCGCGTTTCATTGGCAAGGAGACGGAAAGTGGTCAAGCTCTGGACAAGGACCAGATGAAGATGCTCGCAGATGCCACGAACGCCAAGGCCGAGGTAGTTCTGCGACGTGACGACCACGTCGAGGTGTTTGAGGGCGAGCAGGCCGGCGTGGAGGGTGTCATTGACACCGTCGCTGCCGACGTCGTAACCATCAAGTTCCAGCTCAGCGAGCACGATGAGCAAACAATCGAAGTCCCCATCGCGAGCGTCCGTAAGAAGTTCAGGCCGGGCGATCACATCAAGGTCATCTCGGGCAAGCACGCAGACGAGACAGGTCTCGTCGTCAAGGTTGAAGGCAACCTGACGACATTCCTCTCGGATCTAAACCTCAACGAGATCAGCGTCTTCTCGAAGGATATCCACGAGGCAGCCGAGGTCGGATCGGGCGTCAATGCGGTCGCAGGCTATGAGCTCCACAACCTGGTCCAGCTCGATGTTCAGACAGCCGGTGTCATTTTCAAGATTGAGCGAGACATCTTCATGATTCTCGATCAGGCCGGCACCGTGCGGTCCGTCCGGCCCCACCAGATCTCGATGAAGAGGGACAGCGGTCGTGCCGTGGCGATGGACTGCGAAGGAGGCGAGTTCCGAGCGAGCGACTCGATGAAGGAGGCCGAGGGCGAAGAGCGCGAGGGCGTGGTACTACACATTTATCTGTCGAGCATCGTTTGGCTCTTCAATCGTGACTACAAAGACAACGGCGGAGTGTTCTTAGCAAGAGCGCGGCAGCTGCGACCCCGCGCGCCCGCTGGAGCCGCAGGGACGACGAACCTGTCGAAGCAGAACCCGGTGCTTATGGCTAGCATGCCGCAGCAGATGCGTGCGCCTGCGCTTGGCGGCGGAGCCAGCAGCAACATGCGACGACCGGGAGGGAGGGACCCATTGGCGGGCAAGACGGTGGCTATCGTCAGGGGACCCTACAAGTCGTACCGTGGCATCATCAAAGATTCCAATGGCGCCACGGCGAGGGTCGAGCTCATGACGGCGGCCAAGATGCTCACCGTGGACGTCAGCATGCTCGTCGAAAAGGATCCCTACACGGGTCAGAGTCGACCACTGATGGGCGGACCCATGGGTCGGCCTGGTGGTGGTCCTCCCGGTGGTCCTTCCCGGGGCCCTCCTGTCGGCCAATACGGCGGTCCTCCCGGTGGAAACTTTGGAGGTCCTCCTTCGGGCGGTCCTCCAGGTGGCTATGCAAGGAACCCCTACCTGTGATCATCTCTCATTGCCAATTTCTCCATCTCAACTCTCTTGTACACTAGCTGCACTCATCTCCTTTTTCAACAATAGTATTTCCTCGCCTACAAGGAGCAGACACATCAATCCATCCTCTCTCGCACGATAAGTCCTTGTGTTATAAGATATTGTTGCTCGAGAAAGTCGAGCGGGTCACAGCCTTCACATGCACGCTCCACCAGACACCTCGAGGGTTGCACCTGTGACGAAAGAAGATTCGTCCGAAGCCAGAAACAGGATGGCTGTCAAGCGACGAGCCATGTTCGAGTCAGCATGCGCTTTGCATTCTACATCGACAAGTGTTGGGGAACCGCTTACTGTTGGCGATCTCCACGGGATTCGCAAGGCGGCGGAGAGGATAACTTTTTCGAATGCGTTCGAGTGTCTCTGTGCTGAAACCTCCCCTCAGGAGCGGGGTCATAGTGCCTGTGATCAAGGGAGTCGTCAGCTTATAAGGCTCATGGGAGTGAAGGATAGCGCGCTCACCTCCTGGATGGACGTTGTTGACGCGGATGCCTCTGGGCCCAAGTTCGGCAGCGGATGAGAGACCTAAGCCCCTCGCTGCCCACTTTGAGGTGCTGTCTGAAGTGGAAGAAATGTCAACTTCATCCTGTCTGATGTGTGCATGTGATGGCCAAGGAGTCTTACATGGGTACAGCAACGGGGCGGGGAAGAGGCCAGTGGTGCTTGAGATGACGATGATGGACGCCGTGCCCGGCACTTTAGGGTCGGGCCGCATCACTTTCGCAGCATGTTTGATGGTGAGAAACACTGTCCATCATAGTGTCAGCTCTGCAACGATCTGGCCAATCTGCAAAACACGAGGTAGAACGAACCGCCAATGCTGTTGACCCGATTGATCTTCTCCATATTCTCAACAGTCTCTTCGGTGATTCCTCGCAGAGCCGTGCCCGTTCCTGCCTAATGGTATCCATTGTCAGTCCTACGCAGAATATGTTCGGAAGGAGATCCCCACATTTGCAACGGCCACGTCCACTTTGCCCCACTTGTCCATGGCCGCCTTGAAGATGCCCTCGATGTCTTCCTCCTTGGTCACATCCGCAGCCCTGGCCAGGAATTGCGTCTGGCCACATGTCTTGCTCTGTTGCAGCTTCTCGACGAAAGAGTCGCACTTGGCCTGGTCCAAGTCGACGACAACCACACCTTTCGCTCCTTCTTCGGCCAGCCGGACGACAGTGGCTGCGCCGATGCCGCCAGTAGCACCTGTCACGACACAGACGGCGTTGGCAACGCGTTTCTTTCCTGCATATGGTGTTGTCACGGGGTCTGATGTGTAGTCTTTGGGGAACGCGTACGGATCGGGAGGAGTGTCGCTAGGGTTCACCATGGCCCGTTCTATTCTTAAAAGGAAGCTCTTTGCTGGTCAAGTGAGAGTGGTGGTGGTCGCAGTGGTGTGCATCGGATTCTAGAGCCGTTCGACCGCATGTCATGTTCCTCCATGGGAATCCAAACCTTTTTTCGATGGTCCGAGCGCGGTAATGCGGGCTTTCTAGGCCACGTGTCGATTGAGACCTCCTGTCCGTTCAGCTCCATTCTAGAGTTGGCAGCTTTCGTTGGCCAACGCCTTCTCGTCGTCATCGCTCATAGGGAGGCGAGCTTTCGACAGTCTCTTGCCCATCAGATCTCGTCGATCACCGGTGCAGCCTGTTCTCGAAAGAGCCTGAGGTACAGAGCACGCAAGGACTCACCCGCACGGGGTCGATTGAGAGGACACGGGAGCAAGGATGCCGTCGGACTTGGCCTATTGGCTTGTTGCCGTGCCGCTGCAGGACCATGACCCGCACCGAATGATGTCCGAGCTGAGCAGCACGCTCCTCAAAGATGGCGGGGCTGCTTTGTCGGAGCTCGGTCAGCTGACGTTGCCGCCACTCAAGACGGGCACCTTGGAGTCTCTCATTGGCTTGTCCGACGAGCTGCCTCGACACGATGCAGCCTTCACCCAGGTCGTAGCCAAGATTGTCGACACTCTCCGGGCGCTCCTCAACAACGATGCAGAAGCGCTTGCGCAGCATGTCCTCATCCAGGAGAAGCCCATTGACGACTACATGCTTGGGTGGAGCTGGAACGGTTCAAAGTACAGGACAGAGAGGAGCCTCGGTGAGCTCATCGAGACTCTCAGCAAGGTTGGTTGGCCTTTCAACCTAGATGATGGAGATTTCCCAGCTGAATAGTGTGCTTGGAAAACACAGGAGATGTCGTCAATCGACAACGTGATGAAGCAGAAGCTCAACAACTACAACCTCGCAAAGGGCCAACTCCAACAGCTCCAACGGAAAAAGACCGGAAACCTCTCTGTCCGGTCCTTGGCTGATGTCGTGCACAAAGACGACTTTGCCGATTCCGGTTCCGAGTACCTAGAGACGCTCTTGGTCGCTGTACCCAAGAACAGCATCAAGGAATGGACAGCAAAGTACGAGAGGCTGACGCCAATGGTTGTCCCTCGCTCTTCTCGGTGGGTGCTATTCTGCCCGGTTGCATCAAGACAAAGAGCAGCACTGATTTGGAAAACTTTTGCAGCAAACTTGCTCAAGACGATGAATATGCCCTCTTCAACGTGACACTATTCAAGAAGTCGCACGATGATTTTGTCCAAAAGGCACGGGAGGCGAAGTTCCAAGTCCGGACCGACTTCACCTGGGACGACGACCTCGTCGAGCGGCAGCGAGCCGAGCTGGAAGAGGCAGGCGCCTCGGAGAAGGAGCTCTGGACGGAGCTGCTCCGACTCGCTCGAACAAATTTTAGCGAGGCATACCAGGCTCTGGCTCATCTGAAGGTCATTAGGACATTTGTTGAGGCCGTCCTCAGGTTCGGGCTTCCGGCAGAATATTTTGGCGCGGCGATCCGGGTGAGTGTACTGCTCTGCTGCGTGCCACTCGAGAAACAATCATTCTCCTGACCTGACTGGACGACAACCTTGCAGCCCAACCCAAAGCGGACAAAGGCGCTGCTTTCATCGTTGCAATCACATTACGCATACCTCGACAATTTCGACAAGCAACAATCCAAGAAAGGCAGCAAGGATTCAGCGGCTCAGGGTGGCGAGGCACCGGGAGAGTACGCAGCGCTGCTCGAGCAGGAGCAGTGGCCATTCATCCTCACCGAGCAGTTTCAGGTCGCCGTCTAATGTGTCATTCCTTTGTCCCTACGCGCTCGCTCTTGCAATGGAGTCATTTGTTCTCTCTTCAATCTCCGGTATCAAAGTAAGTCCCATTACCAGTACGGACGGAAGCAATAACACAATGAGCGCGAGACGGAGGAAAAGTAGACGAGGGTACAAGTCAGGAGCAACGTATGGTGCTCGCTCTGGGGATGGTGGTGCCTCCCAAATCGAGGCGCGGAAAATAGTACAGAAGAAAACAAAGAGGGGGATCCAAGGGTGGGAAGAAAGAAGAGAAGGGAAGGGAACAATAAGGGTGAGTTAGATACCGTACAAACAAGATGAAAAGACCGCAAAGGTCGATCGAACCGCGCTGGAAATCATCGTGCGCACTGGGAAGACAAGACGGATAGAGGAAGAATGAAGAGGGTCCTACTGTTGTATGACGGCCCATGGGTTTGGCTGCTCGACGTGATTTGCCTCCCACCACCACTCTTCGTCATCAGCCATGCCGGCCTCCGACTTCCTCTTTTTGTGATTGGTTGTGCCGGGTAAGCCAACGGCAAGCTGCGCGAGTGCGTCGGCCGGCGTCGCCTGCTCGTCGGCCTCATCATCATCTTCGCTGCTACCGCTGCTGCTGCCTGCTGGCCCACTTCCGGTCTTTTGCTGCATCGACGCCGGGCTCGTGCTGTTCGGCCCGGCCTTGTCAAAACCCTGCTGTTGTGATTGTGAGCCTTTCATCGCCGCTGTCGACGCCATCATCTTCAAGCTCTTGGCCGAAGAGCCTGAGGAGCTGCTCGTCGACGTCGACGGCAGATTGGACGAAGTGACCAGCTCTGGCGTCTCGACCGGTGGTTCATCGAGGCTGCTATTCGTCGGAATCGACAGGAGGTTGGCGAGCTCTGCTTCAGGGTCTTGAGGAGGGTAGGCGTCGGGTCCAATAGCCTCTGCATCGAGGAAGTCAAAGAGGTCCACGTCCACAACAGCGTCCGTCTGATCCGAGGACAGCTGGATCTGTGACTGCTGCTTGTCCGACGTGGGCAAACCGTGTTGCTGCGACACTGAGGCTTGCTCCGCTTGGCTTTGTTGCGGCTGCTGCTGACCTTGAGTACCTTCGACGTCGTCGTTCGAGTCGGCGGGCACGCCGTGTCCCAGCATAGTGAGAATCGACTCCAGCGAAGTGCCGTCGGACGAAGCTGTTCCTGCGCCACCCGCCATGGGCATCGACAGGCCCAACAGGCTCTTGTTGTCCAACACGCCGCCATTCTCCAGTGCACCCGATGTGGTGCCCGCTGCCATCGAAGGCTGTTGACCGTCGACAACAGAAGCGTTGAAGAGCTCCTGCCAAGCATTCTCTGCGAATCCGGCTGGGTCGTTCCTCGAGAGATCAGACGCCCTCTGTCGCCTCTCATTGGCCTCACGTTCTGCCACCATGGCGGGGTTCTCCACAGGAGCCTGAGCCTGAGATGGCAGTGGCAAGCCGTCATCCTGAGTCTTCTTACGCTCCGCCTCTGCCATCTCGGCCTTGACTTCATTGAAAATGTCCTGGCTCGTCTTTGGCTTCTGCTTTGGCGTCTTGCCCGTCGCAGCCGTCGCCGGCGCAGGCGTCGGGGTCGACACGCCGTCGTCTTTGCCACTGTCAAGCTTGAGCGACTTCTTGCCCTTTCCACGTTGACCCTGTCCCTTCTTTGCGGCAGCACCCTTGGCGCCGAGGGAAGGCGAGCCAGTTCCCGTTTGGGGAGAAGTCGTTGTCGCGGCAGGACTCGAGTCGATCTTCTGTGCCTCTGGCTGCCCTTGTCCTTTGCCGCGTTTGATCGGCGGTGGTCGAAGGTCCTCGACACGGAGGCCACGCTTGATGCCATGCATCGCCGCTGCATCATCATCTCCGCCGCCGTCGACACCACCCATCTGCGGCTGACCTGCGCTTGGAACGATGCCGTGCAATCCTGTGGCGCCTGCGTTGTTGTTCGCGAGCCCTTGTGTCTGACCCTGCGACTGTTGCTGCTGAGCTAGCCTCTGCCGGTTAGCCTCGGCTTCCTTCTTGTACTCGTCGACGATGAACTGTGAGATTGTCGGATTGCTCGTGCGGACGTAGTGAATGCACCTGCTCATCTGCATCTTGAGCTTCTCCAGGTCCGCCTTTCGCAGGATGCACTGGCGAGATGGAAGAAGCTCGAGCTGGTCCCTGAACATGTAAGCCATGATCTTGAGTCTTTTTGCCGGCTCGATCTGGTGCTGCATGGCGTAAAATACCGGCAGGAGGGCATTGACGGTGTCAAGGACCCAGGCGAGTTTGCCGACCTCAGCGAGCACCTCTTCCTTCTCATCCTCGGGCATCTCACGGTTGACCGTAAGGCGCGCTGTACAAGGACGATGGGCTCAGTGATCATTCCTTAACTCTCCACCTCTCTACTCACGTCTGCTCTTTGCCAGTTCTTCGTCAATCTTTGCCATGACGGCTTTTGCTTCATCGAGTTGCTCTTTGGAGACGGGAATCAACCTCGGCTCCGTGAGACCCTCGCCCATTGGCTGGCCTCCTGCGCCTTGGGGACCAAATCCACCAGGTGGTCTCGCTTGGAAGCCTCCCACGCCTGCTCTCGCCTGTGCGCTGGGCGCCTGCGCATTGAAACCTTGCTGCTGAGCTTGTGGTCCAGGTAGCATCTGGAATCCACCGCCAGGCTGCTGCTGCTGCTGGAAGTTCTGACCCATCTGTGGCGTCGGTGGCCTTGCCTGAATGCCAGCCTGTTGCTGAGCTTGAGCTTGAGCCTGGGCTTGTGCCTGTGCCTGTGCCTGTGCTTGTGCTTGGGCCTGCGCCTGTGCCTGCGCTTGTTGCTGCTTCTGAAAATGATTGGCCATCTGCTGCTGCTGGAAAAGAACATTGAATCGTTCCTGCGTCATGTTGAGCTGCTTGAGCTTTTCTGGAGGCAAGATGGGCGCCGGCTGGAACTGTGGCATCCCCTGAGGAAGCTGCTGCTGTGGTTGCATCGGCGGTCGAGGTCCCTGGTTCAGTTGCTGCTGCTGCTGCTGCTGCTGCTGCTGCTGCGGAACCTGAGTTGGAAAAGCTTGCTGCTGCGGTTGCGGCTGCTGTTGCTGCTGCATTGGGCGAACCGCCGCTTGACTGGGCCTGCCTTGGCTGTTGATCCCGCCAATGGCCACATTCGGTGGCATGCCCTGCTGCTGTTGGAGCTGTTGCTGCCGCTGCATCTGTGCCATCTGGTAGTGATGCTGGACTGCGCGTTGCCAGACCTCTTCGAATGGCGCAAGGTAGTTGCGAAAAGCATTATCGAGCTCCGTGCCAAGCGCGTACAGAGCAGGAGATCCGGCCGGTGCCAGCTCCATCGACGCCGCCACCGTGGGCCAAAGGTTCTTTCTTGACACAGATTCACTCCCACCGTGGGCCTGAACGCCGTGATAGAAGCGGTGCAGATCCAGGGGTCGTCCAGCGAGCATGGGTGGGCTCGTCAGGGGCGTACCTCGCTTTGCCATAACGTCGTACACGGCGCTGTTGAACTGCTCTGAGGACATTGACATAATGTTCGGTGGTCCGCTGGACGGCCTCTGCTGCTGCTGCTGCTGGGCCGGTTGTGGCTGCTGCTGCTGCTGCTGAGCGCCTACAGGAGCGTTTGGTACTCTTGGCGACGGTCCCAGGCGTGGCGACTGCGACATGGCGGCAAATTGCTGCTGCTGCTGTTGCTGTTGCTGTTGCTGATTCAATGCGGGACTCCCAAATGTGGACGCAGCTTGGACAGAGGGCGTGGCACTATTTGGCCGTGGCGACGGTCTCGGGACGGGCGAAGAGTGTTGCTGCATGGGATTCGAAGTGGAGCCTGCCATATTCATCGGCTGCTGCTGTTGCGGCATCGAAGGACGAAGGACTGACGCCTGGGCAGGCTGCTGAGGGGGCCTTTGTTGACCTCCTTGCCCTCCCTGCTGTTGCTGTTGCTGTTGTTGTTGTTGCTGCTGCTGCTGCTGGAGTTGATGCTGTGCCATGACGCGTTGGAAAAAGGCTTGCTGCATCCTCTTGGCCTCGTTGACCTGCCTTTCCAGGTTGGCTTTCTCCGAGGGATCCGTCGCATTGCTGTACTGTGTCTGCAGCTCCTCGAACTTGGCCCTGAGCATGGCAAAGACGCGTTGCGGGTCGTGTTGGAGATTGGCGAGGAAAGCGGCACCCGGCGGCCTCTGCGCCTGGCCTTGTTGCGGTTGTTGCTGGGGCTGCTGCTGGGGCTGCTGCTGAGGCTGCTGTTGGGCCTGCTGCTGCTGCTGTTGAGGAGGCATCCGGTTCTGCTGTTGCTGCTGCTGTTGCTGTTGCTGGAAGAAGTTGCTCGCGGTGGCCTGCAGGCCCCCTTGCTGCTGCGGCGGCGGCGGTCTCGGCTGTTGACTGTTCTGCGTTTGGACCTGGGCTGAAGGATGACCCTGAGCCTGTACTTGCGCTTGCGCCTGTGCCTGTGCTTGCGCCTGTGCTCGTTGATGCGCCTCGATGAGGGCTCGCAGCTGCTGGCCCTGCACCTGGTTGAGCTGGCCTGCTCGCCACATCTGCACCGCATGGTTGAGGTTGCCGGGCAGGTTGCTGAGGAGCCCTTCAGCGCCTGGCTGCCCTTGAGTACCATTGCCGCTGTTGGAAGGTACCGCTTGGCCCGGTGGCTTCTGCTGCTGCTGCTGCTGCTGTTGCTGCTGGACCTGCTGTTGCGCGCGTGTGAGAGCGGCAGCTTGGGAAGCGGCAGCAGCGGCCTGGGCACCCGAGATGGCACCGCCTTGTTGCATCGCGCCAAACGAGCTGGCTGGTCCACCGCCGTGACCCATCAAGCCTGCCGAGTGAGGCTGTTGGGGCTGTTGCTGCTGCTGTCCCATCATCGTGTGTCCCAGGTTGGGCGACATCTGCATCATGCCGGCCTGGCCTCCAAGCGCTCCTTGCTGTTGCTGTTGCAGCGGTTGAGGTTGTAGCTGTTGCTGCTGCTGCTGCTGCTGCTGCTGTGATTGCTGTTGCATCTGCTGCATCATCATTCGCATCTGCTCTTGGAAGTCGACGCCGCCCATGTTGGGCATGGCTCCCTGCTGTCCAAAATTCATCGCTGCATTGAATGTGCCTGGCTGTTGCTGCTGAAACTGAGGCTGCTGCTGCTGCTGTTGCTGGGGTTGTTGCTGGGGCTGACCCTGCTGATTCTGGAAGCCAAAGAAGTTATTGAAGTTGGAAGCCATTGCGAAGGCCTAAAGACGCAAGACGCGCTGCCTCGGAAAGGTCCTCTTGGGACAGTGGAAATGCGAGAGATGAGGTGGTGGCCGATGGGGTATAATACTCCTTCTTGCCTTTTAGCTAGGTTGCCTAGTAATTGCGCATGGAGTGCGAGATGCAAAGGAGCTGTCTGTTTCAATGATGCCTGTAGAGTCGAAACACCCGAACAGCGTGCCGAGGTGTCCTGGGTATTAGGGCGAGGACGAGAGGGGAAGAGGAGAGAGAGAGAGAGGATCCGAACGAGTCTGGCGAAGATATCGACGGGCCTCTGGCTGACCTATTTTGGAAGGGCGGAGGTCGGTTATCAGAGGCGCTCCCTCTATTCAATGACGCCCGCTCGCCAGCAAAAATCAAAAATATTGGTCGTCGACAGCGGGGTTTACAAAGGCGTGCACGTCGGTCGGAGAGCGGCTGGATGACAGCGAAATCGCTCCTCCTCTTTCCCCTGCGCTTGCTCTCTTGTTCTACCCTGGTTGCCAGCGCCCTGCTTCCCTTCACAGCCGGCGGCGATGATGTGTGCAGTGAAGAGCGAGGGAAGGGGGCGAGGACGTGCCGAGGAGGGTGCCTTTGTCAGAGTAGCCGGAGGCCAGAGTTGGCTGAAGGTGCTGGGCTGAGCGCCGAAAAAGCAAACGAGCAAAGGTGAGGAAAGGCAGGAGAGAGGAAATTGAGTGGGCGAGACTGCAATTACACACACGCCTCGAGGGGTGAGTGAGCGAGAGATCGCGAGGCCGTGCTCCCACAGGCTCGCGTCACTTGGTGAATAAAAGGGCGGGCAGTGCGCGCCGAGGTGATCAAGCGTCGAGAGGGAAGCTGAAGGTCAGCCAGTCCATCCGTCTCGGACACCACTCGAGGCTTTCGAATCGAAAACTGGTCGCTTTGTCCGGCGTCAAGAGAGGATGCAAGCGGTGGTGATGATTGTCGTCGCAATCAAGTTGTTGCCGTCATGTACTGCACGTACGTCCGTCTCGCCGAGCCAGGCTGCCTGTCTACTGCCTGGCCCGCCGTCCCTGTCGGACTGCCCGCCTAAAACGACGAGGGAAAAAAAAAAAGGTCTGGGCTGCATAAAGGTGATTTTTAAAAAGAGGCAAGAGATCCCGTTATTAAAATTGATATATCTTCGAAATGGTACTACTGTCGCAAAAAGATTAAGGGAAAAAGTCTAAATCGCCAGGACAGGGCAATGGATCGCATGTCTCAGTTCAGATCCGATCGAACCGAAACGACAAGCTATACGTACGGGTCTGACGTCGCGACTGGGTCGTACGGTGGACCTGAGTTGCATAATGTCAACCCGCTCTAGCCTGATCCAGGAAGCCCGGACGATGGTCCCGACCCGCTTCTTATGTACTCCAGATCTGTGCCACTTGCAGGACACAGAGAACATCATTGGCTACACCCCGACGCCTACGTTGCCCTCTTTGCCCCTCCAAGATGCCCTTCCAAGGTGTTCTGAGCGCAGGCTTGCCCAGACTGTCGCGCACGGCTCATATACCTTTCACACAATGCACACGTACTCGCGCTCGCTCCTCGTCGCTCTGCCTCGCCTGTTACACTGCAGTACTGCCAGCTCTAGACAAACGGACCGGTGAATTAACTTATCTGGTACAAAGACACCCCCACTCCTGTCCCATCGCTATTCTGTCGCCATCTAAAAACTTCCTGGCAGGCTTTCCCCAGGGAAGACGAGGCCAAGCGCTTCTTTGATCGGGACAAAGGAAGAGGCAGGAGAAGAGGGCAGAAGAAGATGACGACTGAAAAGAGCGGTTGGAAGAAGAGCGGGAAATGGAACGCAGAGACCTTGATAGTACAGAGAGGAAACGAGAGAGATAGAGATGAAGGCATTCTATAAGTCGGTCTTGATTCGCTTTCGATCACCCCCGTTGCTGCTAGTGGCATAAGCTGCCGTGTCCCATCCGCCGCTGGCACCAGATGAAGAGTAGTAGATTGAATGCGGCGTTGCAGTCGTTGTGGGTCCCTGGCCTCCGTTGCTTGATGGCGTAGACATGTTTGCGAATCCAGGCACGGGCTGTGTGGCCTGGGCTGGGACTGCATTGACGCCCGGCGGAAGGCTTGGCAGCGGTTGGCCTGCCTCGATCTCGGCTGCCTTGTCGCCGCACTCCTTCTCCACACGCCAGTGTCGCCTAAGGGCATCGGAGCGCGGAAAGCCTTTGCCGCACGCTTCACAAATGTACGGTTTGTCGCCCGAGTGGACCCTGGCGTGCCTTTCGAGGTCGTGTTTGCGGCTGAAGGCCCGAGGACAGTGGGCGCACGCGAACGGCTTGAGCTGCGAATGGCTTCGGAGGTGCGCTTTGAGGTTGTAACTTCTGTTCTTTGCAAACGTCTTGTTGCAGTCTGGATATGGGCACTTGGCCACACCTTCGGTCTCGAGAGCCGAGTCCATCGCATTGCCGAGCGCATTGAGCATCTCGGCCTGCGATTGCGAGCCAGAGTTGGCGGCATTGTTGAGCGGCGGGGCAGACGAAGTCGAATTCGAGTTTGGAGGTGCAGAGGCAGCCGTCGCAATGACTGACGGCGGGACACCGGCCAGGTTTGGAGGGACTTGCACGTCCGGCGAGGATTGCTGCTGCTGCTGCTGCTGCTTAGAAAGAGCCTGGGGCTGAAGGACCATTTGACCATCGGCAGAGGATGCCTTCAGACGCGGCATATAGTGCTGCTGCTGGTTCGAGGCGGCATTGCTCGATGACGATGGCGGGCCCATGTCCGACGATGAATTGGCACCGTTGGCGGTGCCGCTGCTGACATTACCGCTGCTGTTGCTGCTGTAGAGCGCTTGCTGATTTAGGCTTCGGCGCACAGAGGGAGGAGGTCCCAGGGCGGCCATGGCCCCGACGGCGTGAGGCTGGCGCCAACCTTCCTGATGAGGGGCGTAGGGATGGTGGCGAGATTGGTGATGGTGCGCTGGGCGATGGGAAAGCCGGGCCTCCTCCCCCGTCCAGCTTGCCATTCTGCTGTGGGTGTCGCTGCTCATCGGGTGTGGATGCGGCTGAGATGGCACCATTGGCTCGTTGCTTCGATAGGCGCGGCCAGCGACGGGACGAGATGATGATGAAGAGGAAGAGGAAGAAGAGAGATGGGGTTGGAATGCACTGACAATTCGACTGTTCCAGTGCGAGCCCGGGGCGGCGTTTGCAGAGGAAAGATGGGGCGAGAGCTGGGTTGGCGAGTCACGGCGTCGTTTGGGCGTGTGATGCATGGACGAACCGTAAGGCGAGTTCCGGGGCAAGAATGCGCCCCCGCCGCCATTACTTGCATTGTTGCCACCAACAGCACCTCCACTGCCGCTGCCACCTGCCTCCCCACGCCACTCAGATGCCCTCGAGGTGGGGGCCGTCGAGGGCTCGTCTGCATAGTCGCCGAGGAACGAGGGCGAGGCACCTTGGAGGGTCGAGAAGGCGTCTGCGCCGCTGATCTGGCTCATGGCTGTTAGTGGATCGTGGTGCTGAGGACCATCGTAGGCCCAAAGAGTTTCGTCTGCGCCCAGGGCGCCCTGCGCCGTTGTGACCGAGTCAAGGAGTGCGGGATCATATCGGTCTAAGCCATAATAACGCGCCGCCTCATCATCGCCCTCATCACCGTACTCCTGCACCGCATCGAACACGTTGGTCTGAGTGTGGGATGACTGGCGGAAGAAAAGTAAAAATGAAGAAGAGCAGGTCAGCACAGAGGACATCGCGACACACTCTGATGACGGGTTGGTCTCACATATTCATACTCGGGCCCTTGATCGAGCAGCGAGGCTGGCAGCTCTGGAAATTGAAACGAGCCCGCAGTGGCGAGATCAGCGTCAGAGGGGGCATCTTGCATCTCTGCTGCTTCCCGAAACGGGGTGTCGGGCACCGCAGCACCGGAGGCACCACCACCAGCCAGTGTCGCGTTGAGGTGGCTTGCAGCCAGGTCGAGCTCGAAGTCGGTTTCGAAGCCGGAGGCGCCTGGTGGTGCCGAAGACGAGTCAGCGAGCAAAGCTGCCTCGTCTTCGTAGCCGCCGTAATAGCCATGCTGGCTGTCGCCATGGCCCTGAACGTGAGTGAGGCCATGCCCGTAGCCAGAAGAGACGTGTCCTCCACGCATATAGGGGTCACCACCGAAGTAGCGGCCACCGTCGACACCTCCAGTAAACGAGGACCCTCTGTCGGCAGCGCTGGGTCCGCCACCGTAGTGATGGGAGGCACCGTCGCCAAAGTGTTCGTTGCGGTAGTGCACATCCCCCTCGAAGACACTCGGGGGCTGAGGTACTGCACCTTGGGTTTGGCGACCAGCAGCATTCGACGATGATGATGACAGAGCTGGACCACGCTGAATATCACCGTAGTTGACATCGTGGCTGACCGGCTGCGTCGATCTGGGTCGCTGCATGACGGAAGCCATGGCTCGGGAGACGTTGTGATTCAGGGCGGCTAAGTTGCACCGTCAAGAGGCCGACTCGATGGCAATGAGGAGAGGAGGGGACAAAAGAGAAAAGGGGGGCGATTGTTGTCCGTCGAGCGCGAGAGGGGAGCAAGGGACAGAGAAGGTAGGGTGTGTCGCGCCCTACCGTCGCCTTTTAATAGAGATCGCCTGTTACGAAGTAAGGGGCGGTTGGTGGGCTGACGGTGGGCGACGATCCAGGGTGTTCTGCTGGTCGTCTGCTGTCTGGAGCTGACCTGAGTGTGACGAGGGCGGGATCGAGTAGGTCCTCGGCCAAATCGCTGAGCAGAGGTGCAGGAGGTGAGGAATGACGAGCGTGTGGATCAGGAGAAAGATTCTCTGGAAAACTCGATTCGATGCCGCCCTTTTGAGGAGAATGCCGTGAGCTACCCTGGACGAGTTGGCCTGAGGAGTCGTGTCAAGAGGATGAGGACTGCTCCCTGTGTGTTGGCTTCCAGTCGGACAAGACCGCCTCGTCTGCCAAGAGTTACAATTTGTCGGAGAAGGGCACGGTAGCGAGCGTGGTAGGGGACCAAAAAACTGTCAGGAAACGAAGCAAAGGGAAAGAGGGACAAGTTGAGAGAGAGGGGAGCATATAAGAAAGGAGGAGAAAAAAAAAATAGAAAAGGTGACGGAGAAGGGAGGAGCGTCAGCCAACTGAATCTTGTGCGCGGTTCAAACGGAGTCGCAAAAGGGGGGAGGGCGGGCGGCGAAGCTGACATGGGAGAAGATCGAAAATCAAACCGGCTTTGCCTCCCCTATTCAAGTCTGTCCAGCCAGCGACAGCCAAAGCCAATGGCAATGATTGAGCCTCCTCTGCTGGTACGCCCAGATGCTCGACTCAGACGGGGTCTTATCTTCCCGTGCCCATGTGACTGAGGACATCTCGCCAAGCGCCCGCCCACTTCTCCCTCGCCCTCGCCCTCGCCCTTGCACGCGCCCTCTCCACGAGGCGCATCGTACACCATACCTCAGCCCTTTCGATTCTTCTTCTTCGATCGACACTCACGATACTTGGCAGGCGTCTGTGCCTCGAGCCCTTTTTTTCCGCCCTGCTCTGCTCTCTGTAAGCTTGGCGAACACGCCTCCTTCGCTCAGCCTGCTGGCGGAGATCCAATAGTCATCGAAACAGCATCGTTGTCAGCGTCGCATTGATTAGGGCGCAGAGAGTCGAGGTGATCGAGATGTGCGGAAGAAGAGGAACGAAGAAGAGTCGGTTGTATTGGAGAATAGCCGGCAGAGGGGTACGTTGGTTGGGCAAGGGCAGGATGCGAATCAGTGGTCGGGGCACAAGAAAGAATAGGCGCTGGCTCCGTCTCAAAAAGAAGGCAGAAGAGCAATGCAACTCACTCTGCTCAGATCAAGCGTCTATCCTCTTGCCGTTCTCACTTTTGGGCTCGATAATCGAGAACAAGTTCAGGTCCAAGGTCCAAGTCCAAGTCTGCGTCCAAGTGGATGCCCAAATCAGGCTCGTCTCTGCAGGGCAAAGGTGGTGAGCGACTCGATTTGGAAGGCCAGAGGAAAGGATGCTGAAAGCGGGCCCAAGGAGACAAATGCGCTGGTTTCTAAGGAAGCCTATCGCGAGGTAGGGGCCAGATCAGACCAATAAGCGATCGCGTCGGTCTCGTCTCTGTCTTGTTTACCCTTTACCTCCCACCGTGCTCACGCTGGACTTTCGGTGGGGGACAATATGCTCGAAAGCCCCGTTGAAATCGTAGGCACGGAGCCTCTTCCCTACCTCTTGACCCGTCTGATTACGCATGACCGTCCGCCGGAGCTGAGCTCCGAGAGACGTGCCGCCTGCGCTTAGCGGACTAGGGACCATCAACAAGAGACATGGCTTCACGGAGCAGAAGACCGCGCAGATAGTTGATTGGCCTGCCCTGTACAGCCGTACAAGCGGCGGCCAATCCCAATGCCGCAAGTCGGAAGAGAGAGACGGGGAAAAGGGATGGCGACGGCCAGCGGCCTCATCACCGTCCCTCTTTCTCGGTCGCCAAGGAGGAGTGACGACGGTGCACCGAAACTCGTCGAGTCCCTCCTAATGCCTCTTTCCACCATATACAATAATAATGACGATGACGATGACGACGTGCACTGCATCTGCCCAGCCAGCGATACTCACCACAGCTGCTAAGTGTCACTCTCCTAGCCCGTCGCCCCGGTCCTTTTCTGAGGTGCCGCGCTTGCTATCTTTCAGAGCAATGACGACAACGACGTCCAACTCCGCTCTTACGCGCCCAAACGACCGACACTCTCCATCCAAGGTCCAAAGCGGGCGCGATGCCGTCGTTTCTCCTTTCCTCTTTTCTGGTTCGGATCGGCGACGTCGATGCGCGCCTTATTGCTGCTTTGAGGGTGCTGCGACTGCTACTACGCTAGCTGTGGGCGGATCGAAGCGCTGTCGTCCCTGACCTGAGTAGACACGCCCGATAGGCTCTGTCTATCCGTCGGTCCGTCGGTCCTCGCCCGGCCGCTCTCGTACGAGAATCGCTGATGTCGCAAGCGCTGGAGCAACGCCACCTGAAGCTCGCGTAGTCGCCGCAACTGCCGCGTCAGAGCCGTAGAGGGAAATAGCAGTGTGCGTTGTCTGAGAGTGACAAGCGCGGGCGTCGTTGCGAAAGGGGAGGGGGGCGAGGAGAAATGGGAAAGAAAATGCAAATGGCAAAAGCCAGATTCTTTGGCGCCCTCTCTCTCTTCTTTCCCTTTCCTCGCCCGTTGCCGTAAGTAGTGCTCTGCGATTATTTCCTGCATTCGCGCCTTAGTTTCAAAATAATTTCAAACACCTCTGCCGATACACTAGCGATCCGGGCGGGTTGTTGTATTGATGCCGCCATTGGGCTGGAAAGGCTATCGAAAGGCGCGCGTGCCGCCGCCCTCCAGCCCAAGTCTTGCAAGGGCGTTGTTTTTTGAATTAGCTCTCATTCGCCGCTTTATAACAGAAAAAATCTCATGATTTTGTAAGAATCTCGACGCAAGCAGAACAAGGCCAGCTGGCTCTACGAAATAGGCAAGAAAGAAACCTGACAATCCAGATTGTGGCGAGAATCTGGACGGGGCACGAAAGGTCTTGGCTGCTGCGACCATGAACAGAGAGAGGATGGCGGCCTTTCCTGTCCTGGCCTTTTCAAATCCCGCCTTTCAGTTGCTAGAACCACTCCCGCCGCCTTTGAAGAGCTTGCTTTTTCCGAGTCTGAAGACCTTTTTCAACGACGACGGCGATGAAGATTTTCGCGAGCCTGAGTGCCTGTGTGGCGGCGTTTCCAATTCCTCTTCGCCGTCACTGACAGGCTCTGATTGAAAGCCAAATGTTGAGTCTGACAAGCTGCCTGAATCGTCTCCTAGACTGCTGCTCCTGAACGAACGATTTAATTCGAAGATTTCAGGGTTAACAGTAGTCTCGTCAAGCGAAGACGACCCGCTCGAATCTCTCGAAACGCTAGAGCCAGGCTTCTTGATGAAATGGTCTTTAAGACTCGCAACGATTGTGTGTTGCGCTTCCGTTTGCTCGTCTTTTATCCTCTGGTTACTCTTAGTTGTGATCTCAACTTCATCATCTAGATTGAGTTTGTATTCCTCGCCCAATGCTCCTTCGAGTGGTGGCGCTCTATAATCAGCAAGTCTTAAACGATGCGTTCTTTGCAGCTTTCCTCGAGGTCGCGTATCGGGACGCTTTCCGTGGTGGTCACCACTCCCTCCTCCGCTGCCGCCCTCATCATCGCTGCCGACGGCCTGCGTCACAGAAGTCAGGAGGAGGAGCAGCAGAAGCAAAGCAAAGAGCTTGTAAAAGAAGGCAAATCTTGTTATCGCGGCCATTGTCTTTCTTGTTCGTTGCTGCGGTAGAGGGGACTGTGGTGTGTGGTGAATGGAATCGAAAGAGCTCGAAAAGAGGGTGCCTTGTGTAGTACTACGAAAGCACCGGGGCTTTGTTGACAGTTGACAAAGTGCGGCTCGACCAATCAAGTGACAGGTTCTCGAGCCTGCCAAGTCATAAGAGAGGATGCCAAAGGGGGGAGGAAAGACGCGCCGGGGCAGAGGAAGGCATCTCAATACGCCAAGCTTGCGGCTGATTAGGCACGGAAAGACAAAGAGAGCGAGGCGGTGCTAGTAATAGAACTGATGGATTAGTTGATGGAGAGGGAACAACGCACAAGGGTAGTGTGGTAAGTATTTCAAGCAAGTCAATGGATCTAACACAATACTATACGGATTGGAAGATGCATCGATCTGGGCGAGGCTAAGAGAATAGGCCCGGGCTGCTCCAAGCAAGCACATAGAGAAGATGAAAGCCTTTCCTGCCAATGTAAGGCCAGCCTAGCTTCGAGAGCCACTCCCACCGCCTCCAAAGAACTTGCTCTTGCCGATCTTTCCAAGCAAACCCTTCTTCTTCTTCCCTCGACGCGAGTGGGAGTCGTCCTTCTCGAGTAGGAATTCATTCTCACTCTCGCTTCCCTCTTGCGTTGAAGATGTAAAGCTTCCCCAGTTGTCCTCTTGCGTCAAAGAGGAATGGCTTAGCCCGGTCGATGTGGCCAATGAAGACGAGAGACTTTCCTCCATGGATTTTTTCAGTATTTCTTGGCCTTCTCCGTGGATTTTTGCCTGCTTTTCCTCATCTTGCTTTTGTCTCTCCAGCTCCCCTTGGACTCGTTGCTGAAGAGCCATTGCGATGCTAGCCCGGTCTTTTTCCCAACCTCCACGGCCTAACCTCTTTAAATGGTGCTCCTGCTCCTGCTTGCGACTTGCGTCATCTGAGGAGGAAGCAACTCTGGACTGCTGACCAATCCTGACTTCTCCGGAGAAAGCTTGTGGCGTATGCAGGGTATCCTTGTTCAGAGCTTTGGATGTTTCAAACATCTTTTCAGGATGCGTACCAACAGTATGAGGACTCGAGCTACTGCTGCGTTCCACACCACTCTTGTCCTCGTTTCCATTCCCAGCTGCGAGCGTTGCAGAAGCTGAAATGAGGGCGAAGAGCAGCAGAAGCACGATTGCACGCATGGACAAGAACTTTGTCCGCGCGGTCGCCATTTTATCGTGACCAGAGACGGTGGCGCTGCGACGTCAAAGACAGTGATGGAGGGAGTGAAACAAAGACAAGCGAGACAGAGACGGGCCTTTTTATTACACCACGAAGGGTGCAGGGGCGTTGGACACAGAGCAGCTAAGCCGTTATCAATGACGAGCCGGAGGGTAAGAGGTCTTACCTACGATGGAGGCGCCGAGGCGCATACCTTGAATTGACTCTGTACTCGCTCTCGGGGCAGAAGAGGTACGGCAGAACCGAGACTTTGGCCGAAAAATGACCGAATAGAGCCAAAAGGTCAGGATTGAAGGCTTCTAAAGAGAGAGTATGTAGGAGGGTATCCAGGCATGTCATTCGAGAAGATCCAGTGGCTCTAAACTATCGTCCAATCTTGCGAGTGTCCTTCTTGATGATTTTGGGAACGCGGTTGCGATAAAGCGCCGTAAGCGTCTCGGTCTCCTTCCACTCGTTGCCCTCGGGCGCGAGTTCGGTGTCGATGATGAGGGCTGACTGTTCGCCACCGTAGGCTCGCGAGATGCCCGTATCGATTAGGAGTACACCAACCGAGCACCTGACGACAAAGCCAGAGAAGTGCGGTGTGCTTCTCCGAGAAGGTCTGATCAGCAATCTGGCTTCTTGCTCAGCAGCACAGAAAGCTCCGCCACTCACTGGCCCATGATGAGGTGCCTCACTCCTAGCAATTGGCGAGAATCGTGGGCCTCATCGCACACCTCGGCTTCCTCATCGAGGGCAAAGCCGCGGTACCAGAGCGGGCCCTTTTCCGCGTACAGATTCCTCTCCTCCGGTGTCGCGTCGTCTGGGAGGTAGTCGATGCGCTTGGCTGAGAGCGCCTTGCGCAGCAGGCTGTGGCCGACATCATTGATCTCGTCAAGACCCCTCTGGGCCCACATTGGGTGAATACCGCCATGCACAAAGTTGGCTTGAGGCACACTGTAGACCGTCTGGAGCGCCGATGGCACCAGCGCCTGGGGGAGGAGCTCGACCGTGTGAGAGATGTTGTAGTGCGACATCCATTCCTTGCCAACCCAGCCGGAGGCGCTCATGGCCTGCCTCCGCTCGACGCGGCCGCCGAAGGAGTCAATGTCGCCCGGGGTGACGTAGCGCCAGTCCATGAGCGCATTCATCATCTCGTGGTTACCCAGGCAGTTTCGCACCTCACCCCCCGCCGCTTGCGCCTGCCGTCGCAGCCGCATGAACATGTGGTATAGTGCGATTGTGTCGTCACCCCGGTCGACAATGTCACCCGTCGAGACGAGAATGTCGTGACCCGCAATCCAATTCGGAGGGTCGGCCCCATCTATCAGCTTGGCCATGCGGAGCACATTGTGTGCGTGCTCGAGGTCTCCATGAAGATCCGCCACGGCTACCACCCGACGCGAAATGGCCTGGGAAGAGGAAAGGTTGAGCGAGGGAGCAAACGGCGCGCGAAAGACGTCCGAAGGCCGGTATGACGTGAGGCGAGATTGCTCCCAGAAGGTGAGGAGCACGCCCACTACGGCAATCGCGACCAGCGCTCTCGTAGCCAATGGGCTCATCGTTGGTGCTTGAGAGAAAGCCCTGCAGCCTTGCTTTGACGTGTCGTCAGCGAGCGAAGGCAATGAGGATCCAGGACGAGGACGAAGAAGCACACGTGCACGAGCCACTAAAAATCCGAGAGGCGTCAAGAGCAAACAAAGCGCTTCTGACCTTGTCGCCGACGAGCCAAAGAAGATTGTCTAAACGTCCAACCAAGGGTGCAAAAAGGAGCCGACGATGCCTTCCAACCAGTATCGGCCTTTGACAAAGCCGTATCCAAAGGGATCAGCCCACAAAGATCAGGTCGCGACTCTCAACCGCGGCCTGACCATCTTTGCGGCAGTCTATCTCGTCGTTGCGTTTCTCAGCACATTGACCCAGCCGTCTACCTCGAGGTGCGTCGCTAACGCTGGCATGCCATTGACGAATTTGCGAGAGGCTGATATCTTGACACCCACACAGGATCTCATCACCGCACCTCCCGTCTTTCTCCACGTCTCCCCACGGCTCCTCGTCGTCGAGATGCAACCCGTTCCTGCAGCCCGGCTTTGTTGCGCCTCTCCCTTCTGGGCTCTCGACGTACCACACCTTCGACCCCTCGTGCGCCGCGCCCTTGCTTCTTCCCACCCTCCTCTCTCATCTGCCTTCGTCTCCCTACGCCAAGAGCTCCATCCCACCCAAGCAAGCCATCGACCCGACATTGCTCGCGAGTGGCCTGTCCAACAAAACAGTCGTCCTCATCGGTGACCGCGTAGACCAGGCCCTCGTCGAGCACTTCTGCAGCCTCGCCGGACACGTTGTCGACCGCGTAGACGCGCGACACCCTTGGGCCGAGCGACTTGCGCCAGGCTCCTTTAGCGAAGAGTCGCCGCTGGCCCACTACTGCTACGTGCCAGAGTACGACTTCTTCCTCACCTCCGTCTACCACTATGGCGCAGACCAGTCATTCTTCTTCAGAGGGAAGCCTGCCTGGTCAGCGACCTCGACTTTTGAAGAGAGGGTGGAAAAAGTCATTGTGCCGTACCTTGAAACGACAACAAAGAGCTTCCCTGCCTCGCCAACGCTGCCTCCACCGAGAACAACAGCGGCGGCCAGGGCGCCCGCCCTCGTCGTGCTCAGCTCGAGCTTCTGGGACCTGGCCAAGTTCGCGCAGCAAGACATCGACAATCTCCACAGTCTCGTTCAGGATCTCGACGAAGAGAGATTGCTCCAGTGGAGAAGCAGGCACGTCGACATGCTCGCCAGCTTGCACAGGACCTTTCCCAGGTCTCAGCTTGCGTGGCGAAGCCTGCATGCACCAGCAAGCTCCGAGAGGGCCACTGTCGAGTGGTGGACGGGCACGCAAAAGGACACTGATGCGGTGAGTGGACATTGAGGAGTGTGGCTTTTGGAGAGTTGTGCAATTCGGTCAAGGAGCGAGATACAAGTACACAGGGGTTCGTTGATCTTGGTCTGCCTCACTCGTCGAGGTCCATGGCATCGCTACCGCGGTCAGGTGGTTGGAAAGCAAGATTCGGGGTGCCTCTGTATGATGGCAAGGTGTCGCTGCTGGCCTTGGTCGGGCTTACTACCGGTGTAGGGTCAGGCGTGACTGCACTGGGCCGCTTGACGTAGGCGAAGTTGCCCTCGTCAGTCACGATGAGAGGTTCGTCAGCCGGCGTGTCGGTTGTGGCATTGAAAGCCATTGCCGATGAGCCGTGCTCGAGTACCTCTTGAGGACTCCTCCAAAGGATCAGCGCACCGCCCGGATCCTCGGACGTCGCCGTCGGCGTGCTGGTTCCGCTGCTCGTTGCGCTACCCCGGCCACCCCTCGGCTTCCTCCTCCGAAGCATCCGGGCCTCTGTCCGGTCTCTAGCCAAAGCTGCGCGACGCTGTGACTCGAGCGCTTCGAGGCGGGTTATCAGCTCCCCATTGACGGTGTAGACAACATCGTCCCCGTTGACGGCGCTGTCTACTGCCCTCTGCTCCAAGGGTCTGCCGATTGCCAAGGCTTGGTCGACATGCTCTCGGCGCTTCTTCTGCTCCTCGCTTTCGCCTTCTTCGTCCGAAGAAGAATCGCTCAGCGAGGTGACGTAGAAGCGACCCTTGTCAATTTCGTACGACGATGGTCCTTTGCGTGCCCGCATCTCGCTGTCCATCGAGCTCCTACGCTCCTCTGATGGTTCCTCAATCGAAGTTGGAGCCAACGGCGCGGCCTGCTGCAGCACGGGCTCCCACGGTCGGTTGGGAGAGGAGGGTGGCGCTTGTGGAACTGACGCCAGGGTAGGCGAAGTAATGCTTGACGGACTTTGCTCTGTCGGAGGCCTCCTCGAGCCTAGGTTGATGGACATGTTTGCGAAACGGCCAACATCGTCTGCAGCCAGGTGTGGTCGCTTCTTTCGTGGCGGAGGAGCATCATTCAGCAAAGGTGCTGCCTGGCTTCTTTCGTCTCTTTGCTCGTTGCCTTCGTCGTCCTCATTCTCAGAGGACGAGGTGGGCAGCTCTCCTTCGTCTTCGACGTCCTGATCGTGAGCGCCCCAGCTGCTGGAGCTGGCGCTGGCCATTGGCAATATCGGTCGATGGCGGGCTCTCCTCCTCTTTTTCTGCCTGTTCTGCATGTCTCCCATCTGTGCTGCCGTCGGTGCTTCTGCGGGCAGCAGCGGTGAAGACATGGAGGAAGGTGGCCAGGGCGCCGTCGCGGCGGCGTTCACGGAACGTGGAGCATACTGGAAGGGCTCTGGATCGCGGGTGCCCTGCATCGCGTTCAGCTGCTCGCTTCCGCCAGACCGCTGCTTCTAGTGACTATGTTCAGAACAGCGTCTGCATCGTGTTCAAACACCAGCGCAAGGTCGTCTGCCTTTACTTCGCTTCCTTTAGCCTCGTTTCGTTTCCGTTTCGGACTGCGACGACGTGATGGAAGTTTGGAAACCGTCGTCTAGTTTCTCTGCGCACGGCCTCGATTCGAGATAGAGCGAGAGAATTTTTGCCCTTTTTCCTTTTTTTTTTTTTTTTCCACCACTTCCGAATTCCGACGTAACGACGAGCCTCAAACTGACGGCTGTCCTTGCTCACGATTAGGCCAAGAACCACCCGCTCTTTCACCTGAATCGCATCGTTCAGCTCAACAGCGCCCTCAAGTCGGCCTTGTACCCGCACGGCGACGATGTGGTGCGAGGGTCGAACCGAGCAAACCGTATCCCAGCTGGCGTCCGGGATCTCGACTGGGGAAACATCATGCTGGGCCAGGACCATCGCATGGCCGATCCCGTCACGCCAGCCCTGAACCCAGGAGGAAGCATCTTTGCGGAGATGCTGCTCGGTCAGCTTGTTTGATCCTCCCTATCTCTCTTTTTGCCATTGTCCCTCCCAATGAAAAGCAGTGTCCGATTGGTCAAAAGCAAAAGATAACGCTACAAAGAGAAACAAAAGCAAGGATGATTCTGCAGGCGCTATACCTTTGACCAGCGCTGAGGTGCCAGAGCCAGGATCCTATTGAAACACTCGTCCCTTCCCACCACACTCGAGAACACCAGCTTGTTCCCATCGGCCGATACGCCACCGCCTCTGACCTTGATCTCGAGGCCTTCGGGCCCAAAGCGGCCGTTTCCGCCCACGAGGAGATTGAAGCGGCTCGTCACATTGTTCCGCGTCTTTTTGAGTCCTAGAACGTTTTCCAGTCGAGCTTCAACGAGAATTCGGACTTTGGAAGCCTTGAGCAGCGCCGGATCGGTCGCCTTGACAATCGCCGCCGTGTCTTCGCCGTCGCCGCCACCTTGCCGCTCGCCATTGTTTTCCGCTGCAGGATCAGCCGGTTCGAGGAGTGCCACTTCCTCGTTGCCTTTTCTTGGACTGACGGCAAAGAGGGACCTAAAGAGGATCTTCTCTGGCAGCACGACGACGTGACCAAACGTTCCCTTGTACACGGCCCAGTAGATTGCCTGGTCTTTGGCCTGTTCCTTCTTGAGACTCATTGACAATTTTGACAGTCCCCCTTCGGCAAAGTCATCGCCAGCCAAACCGTCGTCGAGCCCGGCTAGCTTCCGATCGATGGCGAGCCGCTGCGAGTGGCCCTCTAGTTGGGTAAAAGACCAGTTGACGCCTGCCGAGAGGCCGTCGACCAGTCTCGAAGAGGTTGTGGGCTGGAGAGAGGAGGACGGCGCCATTCGTGGCAGCTGGATTGCCCGTTGACCAGACAGCATTTCACTGCCCGCCACGGCGAGGTCGCGGCCCTTGACGGCCCTCGAGCGCCACTTTGCCCAGTCAATCTTATTAGAGTCGGCACTGCTGCTTCCATCAGCACTACCGCCGGCGGCGGGAGCGGTGGTAGCGGCAACAGCGGCAGGCCGAGTCGAGACGGCAGTTGATGTCGCCGTCGCCTCATCGTCCTTTCCGTCTTGCTCCTGCTGCTCTCCTTCCGCTTCCGTCTCCTCTTCTGCCTCGCTGCTGCTTCCAACAGCATAGGCCTTTGCGAGATCCTCGTCGCCCGTGAGCTTCTGTCCCAGGACAGCCCTCCTCCGCAGCACCTCCATCGCGTATTGCGCGTCATTGGGTACGCCTGCGAGTAAGAAGTCAAACGGATTCGTCCACTCTGTACCCAACCATGCAGGCCGATGCTCGACGATGGGCGCAAGGACAAAGATCAGGCAGCCCAGAACAAGGCCGGGCAAGCGAGCCGTCATCCAGGGTGTCGAAAAGAGCGTGAGCACCATGCCGAGCCCCAGCAGACACAGTGCGCGCCACGTCGCTGCTGGATTCCTCCAGAGTGCAAAGTTCTTGAAGCGTTCGTGGACATCGGCCAGTGAAGAGGCCACACAAGTGGCGCCACTGCCGTACCGCCGCGTTGCATCGGCTGCCAGGCTGTACTTTGACCTCTTCTTGGGTGCTTGCTGCTGCGTTTCCTCCTCCTTTTCGCCAAAGAAGAGCGATGCCGTCTCGCTAAATGCGCTCGTCTGCTGTTGCTGAGCTTCTCTGAGGATGTCGTCCATCTTGGCCTTACGCGCTTGGTTCAGCTCCTCGGCTCGCCTCCTTTGGCGCTTGAGCATCTCGCGGAGGACTTCAGGCTTTGGTGGAAAGGCGCGCAGCTTGAGAATGTAGCAAATGAGGAGGCCCAGGAAGCCTGGAACGAGAAAGCCGCGGTACCACGAAGCAAAGTAGAGCTGTGGAGGGTACTTGGGCGTTAAAAATGAGATATGAAAAGACGTTCAAGCAGAACTCACAATGCAGCTGACCGCCGTCGTGATCTTGCTGTCCCATCTCCAGATACTCCTCATCGCATCCCAGAGACCCTCGTAGAGTGGAATCGTCGTCATGTAGAGCCTGGCACCGTTTGCCTTGAGCGCGACCAGACTGAACTTGACCTCATCGTCGTCGCCCGTCTCGACCTGCTGCTGAAGATCCTCGTCCGAGATGCCACCGCTCTGCAGGTCCATGAATCTGGTTGGGGACAGATACACGACGAAGCTAACTAGGCAGGCAAATCCATAGCCAAAGGCGTTGAATTTGCCAGTGCTGGGAAATATCCAGTCCTCCTTCCTCGGCCATTTGGCGCCCTCGTCATCGATGGCCCTCTGGCTGGGCAGATCTCCGAGCGAGGTGACCTCATCGACGTTCCGGCCAAAGTCGTGGAGGAAACGCTCCACCTCGAGTTCCTCGTAGCTCTTCATCAGGATCTTGCGCTGAACCTCGTGACGACGCTGCGATGCTTGGACACGCTTCTTCTCGGCTTTTTCTTGGGCCTTCTGGCGCTTCTTTTCCTCTGCAGTGGGCGGGTCTGGACCATGGACTTGAGAAGGTGCTGTAGTAGGCGATGGGACTGACATCGACGGAGCTGCGCTGGCGCCCGCCACCGCAGTCGCCGCAGATGAACGCTTCGGCAGAGGCGGTGGGGCACTCGCATTGTCTTGCCTCTCATTCTCGGAGACATTAGTCGGCCGTTGAGGAAGCACAGGAGGGCCCGCGAGCGGAGCAGCAATGGTGGCGGGATTCGGTGGCGGTCCTCCACTCGCCTTGCCGCTTCCACTTTCCCAGCTCTCATTGGCCTCGTCGTCACTCCTGTTGCCGCCTGGTCCGCTGTTCGTCGTCGTTGTCGTCGACATCGTCGTTGCTGTCGAGGTGGAGAGGAGGGTAGGTGCAATAGATGCAGCGTCGCCGTGCTGGTACGACGACCTCGAAAGGCTAGTCTGGTCCGCTTCGCTCTCTTGCTGCGTGCCGACGACCCCGTCAGTGCCAGTGACGGGCCTTTCCGCAGCCAAGAGGGCGATATTGGCGGTCGAAGGAGTGGGCGGATAGTGTGAAGCAGACGAGGCATCGTCGTCGTGCCCCAAACTACTGGCCTGCCCTTGCCGCTCACTCTCGTAGCTCGACCGAACTTCTGGCAGGGAGGGCACCGGTGCCCTGGGCGTAGGCATTGTGCCGTCGGGCGAAGAGAAGATCGAGGGCATCTTTGGACGTCTCAGTCTCTTCTTGTCGAGTGCGCTGGCGTTGTTGTCGTCGTCGTCGTCTTCTTCGTCGTCGTCATCGTCGTCATTGTCGGGAAGGGTCCCTCCACTCCCGCTAGTCGGCCTTTTAAGAATCGACTGGGGCAGCACGTGAGGCGACGAGACGGTGCTGCTCTTGTCAGACGACAATGAATTCGTTGGGCTTTTGGTCTTGACGAGTAATAGGGAACCTCTCCTGGACCCCTCGTTGCTGTTTGTCGTCGAGGAGGAGCTCCGTCGGCCCTTTGGCGATGTTTGTCTGAGCAGGTTGGCCCTGCGCTTGAAGAGGTCGCCCTTCAATTTTCGCTTCACTTTTGACCCGTCTTCAGCCTCTTCCTCTTCCTCCTCTTCCTCCTCCTCGTCCTCCATGACAAGACCGTACGTCTCCAGGAACGACGGTCGTGATCGACCCGCCATCGGCGAGCTGGAGGCCGCGAGCTGACCGCCAGGCGAGCTGGGAGACGATGAATCTGATGATGTCGAGCCAATGGATGTCACAGAGGCCTGCCTCGAGCGCCTGGCCGTGCCGTAGTCAATGAACTGTGAGGAAGAGGAGGACGAGTCCCTTCTTGCATGCTGCCGCGCGAGCTGCTGCTGCCTCCTCGCCTCGGCCTCGTCGAGCGGCGACTGGTCCGCCCACTGCACGCCAGGTGGAGACTGCACGCGTTGAGCGGCCTGTGCGGCAGCCTGCGCCTGTGCGACAATGTACGCCTCCCACTCTGTGGGCTGTTGCGTTTGTTGTTGTTGTTGCTGCTGCTGCTGCTGCTGCTGCCTCGACCCCACCTCGCCTCCCTCACTCTGATGCCTTTTCTCGGAGCTTCGGATATCCCCGGACGAGTCTTGAGTCGACTGGCCAGGCAGCAGATCGGACGTGTTCGAGCCGAAGCTGGTCCGGCTATGGCGCCGGGGCGGAGGAGTGGGCGCCACCATCTCTCGCTCCTGGTTCGCAGTTCGGAAGGAGGATGGTAATCGTAGAAGAGGAAAGGAGGAGAAGGAGGGGGGGGAAGAAGGAGTGCGAGATCGTGCAATTTTCGAGCACTCAATGACAGGTGCACCATGAATTTTTAATAAAAAGTACTCGAGAGAAATCAATTTACACATGGAACGATGTTTGTGAGCTTGGGGCCCCAGGTACAGCAACATGCATAGTGCAGTACAGCCTAGGCCTCCAACTTGGCAAGGCTCGCTCTCACAGTCTGACCTTGAAATTATTATTTTTCCAAATGATTACTTTTCCAGGCAAACTTTCAATAGCTTGGCGCACGCTGCCCTGCTGCCTCCATCGACCTCGTGCTGGCTGTGCTGGAGCAGACACACGAGGAGGACGAGGCAGCATTTGCCACAAAAGCCGGAAAGTCGGAACAAAAAGACGATTGCGGGGGAACGGACCTGGACCCCAGCCGGACGAAGAAAAGGGGAAGGGAAGATAGGACTTCGGGCCAAAAAGGACCCCAGAAAATAAAATTACAATGAGAACCTTGCACTGCGTACCTGCGTCATCTCTCCTTTTTTTTTCTTTTTTTTTTTTCTTTTTCTTCTCAAGAGGCTAGGTGAGCTCGATTGCAAATGCATTCACTCGCTCTTCAAGACCCGTCTTTAAATCACCCGTACCTTGGGAAGGGCCTGTCACCTTTTCGGAGGATTAAGGCCTTGTCTCAGATTGAGCAGTGTCCAGTCATAACTAGAGCGCAGCCCGAGGAGCGTCCTGATGATTCGTGACTTTGATTGGAAGGACGGGCGAAGGAGTTTTACAAGCTTGTGAGGGAATGGACGACTATTCGCCGCAAATAAGCTTCTCTCTTAAGAGAGCAAAGTAAGGCCAGGGCCAGTATCCACGGCACGACGTTCCATGTTGTGTATCACGCGGAACGTCTTGTGCCCTCAGAAGCACTTGTGGGCAACTAGGACAACGAGGATGATCACAGTACTTGCCGGATTGTGCTTTGCCGTTGCCGTTTGCATGGTCGGGCAAAAGATTATAGGAACCGAGATTAGTGCGGCTTTCACATCACTGCCCTTGCTACCTTGACATTCCCGGACGTACTCTGCATATCAACACGATCAGGAAAGGTCCTCCGAAGGGCATTTGTCAAATGTTTACTCACCCGTGCTTGTCTACTTCCCGTCCTACAAAGATGGCGCTTTGCATGTTTCTACCGCCGCTTGCAGACCACCAAGGCTGATGTGGACAAGGTCGCGGGGATCCGTGAATGCAAAGTGACAAAGCGGCGTCAAGCGTCCAACAGACGCGGAGAGTGGCGCTTGGCAAAAAAGGAGGGGAATGTCTGTTCGCATTATTGAGGCATCATTGAGGAAGAACCTCCTTCGGAGTGGAAACACTATGACAAGATACACCAGTAGACATCAATGTCATGAACAAATGTTGTCTGCTAGGTACACGTTTAGCTGCGTGTCGATGGAGAGAGGAGAAGATAGGCAGCACTCACGCCAGGACCTTCGTTCTCGCTTCACAAGCCAAAGGGCTCTTGCAACCAGGACACTAGTTCCTGCCAGAAGTCCGAGATTGACATGGCTTTGGGTTCTTTTGGCTTTGTAGGAGAAAGTCCCAAAGGAGGAGGAGCACTCGAATGAGTCTTTTCCACTTTGTCCTTGGCGGGATCGGGGCATGCCTGGGCACGGACTGGTTCCGGCCGGCAGTATTTGTTGGCTTGTTGCGGTGGCATGCGGTGCTTGGGTAGGTCCTGCGACATTGCCTTGTACCCGATGAACGATTTTGAGTGGTCCAAAGCCGGGGCGTAACTGTTGAATGTTCCACCTACGACAATCGTGTTGTCGGGGGAGTTGCCATTGAGAATTGATGGATCGCGCTTCCTGACCGGCATAGCCGATACTGAAAGCGTCATGAAACCGACAAGGACAAGGGCGGCGGTGGCAACGAGATAAGAACGCATGATCGTCTGAAGCAGCCGATGACGAGAAGTGGTCGAAAGAAGGGAATGACTTGGGATGTGGGCCAGAGGCAGATAAGGGGAAGCCCTCCGTCCCTTTTAAGTCCTCTGGCCCCTCTCTCCCAGGCAGGTAGACTCGACGAAGCGCACGGAAGCGCAGTCGATGCTTTGGCTGTTGTTTTAGACTAATCTAAAAAGGGCTGTGTCGTCGCTGAGCAGGGTCTTGAGGTCTTCGTCCGTTGCTCACTCTGTGGCCGCGTATTCGTGTTCTTGACGTGCTTTCATCGGGTTTCCGAGAGTAAGAGAGTGATTCCACGTCAAAATTCGTGAGTACGTAGTGCAAGCAGAAGCCGAGGATGAGATAGAAAAGAGACGAAGAAGAAAAAGAGGAGGAGGGAAAAGAGGGAAGAGAGGATGATGGAGGTGACTTCCCACGCTCTCTACCCTGGCCGCATTCCATCCACCAGCACATGCGTACGGCTTTGCTGGCTGGAAATGCCGGAGAACGGAGCACCCCTTTTCATCACCTATAGCAATAGGTCTCGCCGTGAAGCGCGGGCCGCCGGCGCTACGATTCGGCCTTTCAGCCGAGACGGACAAGCACAAAATAAGCGCGGTCGGCAAAGTGAAGATGAGGATGGTGCTTGCCTAACGGGGCCGAAGCATTTAGAGGACGGACAAGTCAAAGGAGATACGACAGCTGTACTCTGCTGCTCGGAAGATGGCGACAGCCATGAAAGCGTGCACAACAAAAAAATATAGACGGTCGAGCAGAGCAACAGTGGCGGAGATTGTCGGCAGGTCCCTCTTGTTCTTAGATCTCCGCTTCTTTCGGCCCTTTAAAATTAAGGAGCACCGCCTCTGAAGGGAGGCGTGCTTTCTCCGTCACTGCTCGCCGCGCTTCAGCAGTATATTCGTGGTCTATCTACTTGCCTCTGTCTCGGTTAAGGAGAGCGGAAGAGGAGGGGAGTGAAACTGGCGAAGGCGTCATGAAGACGAAGAGAGAAAAATTGCTTTTAGGACGCCCTCTTACTCATCACACACAGAGAAGGAGTCGCTGGTCCGCCGCCCTTAATATACCGCCAAATGGCAGGTTAATGAATCCCGGCATTGTGCAGATCTTCGCTTCAAGCCCCTTTCTTCCTCCCCCGAAGACATCATTCTGCACCTCAATTCGTGCCCAGGTTGGTCTGAAGAATAACGTCGCTTTCTTAATGATAGCTTCGAGAACGTGATCGTCCAAGCGGAGAGACACAAGAGATGGAAAGAATGGCACTAGATTTGTGGGGGTTAGAGGTGGGGAACAACCCCCTCTCCTCGCTCGGAGGGGGAGGTTGGGGCTATGATACAGCGCATATGGGTACGACGACTTAGTTCAAGATCCATTTTCTTCCACCTTGACGGCGCCCTTTGTCGATGGAGACATGGGGGCAGCAATAGCAGAAGGAGAGGGTGGTGCAAAGGGCGCCGCCTCTGCACCCTTGAAGACGGCCTGCATGCTCTTGGAGGACGGTGAAGTGACCGGTGGAGAGTCCCTCTTTGGCGAAAAGGGTGACGACCTCGCGACCACAGTCGCAGTCGCAGCCGCCGTAGGAGGACCCATGGCCGAGATGGGCGATGCTCTGTCCTTGGACAGAGACCAGTCGCACGGCGAGACACCTCGATTGCTGCCCCCGTTGTTGGCTGCCGTCATGGCTGCTTTCGCCAGCGGTGAATTGAGCCTCTCTCTCGCTGGCGGGAGCACCGGGCCCGAGATGCTGCGCAGCGACGCTTCACTGTTCCCTCCTCCCGCGACGGCCGGCCTCCCATTACCACCACCGTTGTTGTGCTGATGGGCAACCGACAGAGGAGAATGTGGCTGTGGCTGTGGCTGAGGCTGAGGCTGAGGCTGAGGCTGAGAGGGAGGCTGTGGTGACGAGGCATGCGCGTGCGATCGAGGAATATTGCTGTCCGACGCACTTCCCTTTGCCCCGACCCCTGCACCAGGTCCAGCAAGCGACATGGGCCGGCTCGACGAGACCTTTCCGCTTCCCCATCGGAGATTCTTCCGAATCGGCTGACCAGGGGTGATGCCGGGCCTCGATGCAAAGTGGGTCGGCGGTGGTCCTGCAAGGGGCGAGAAAGACGCTGCACCAACGGGACTCGCACTCTTCTGGTGGATCTGATGGTGTTGCTGCTGGAGGTGGGAATGGACAGACTTGGACAATGCGAGATCCTCCTTCCTCTCCTCGTCCTCTGCAAACCTCAAGGGCGAAGCCGGCGGCTTGCCAGGTTTAACGTCAGGCGTCGTGCTGCGTCCTGTTTCCTCATTCCCTCCTGGAACCTTTTTTATAGCACCCGGAGAATCCTTCGACGAAACCTTTCTCCTCGTCCGCCCTTCTCCCTCCTCGATACCTGCGCCCCAAGCCATGGCCAGGTTCTTGACGGAGGTGCGCGCCGGCCCTTGCGTAGCGAGGCCAGGCGGTAGGATGTTGCCCGTCGACGGACTGTTGCGTGCACCAGGAGACGATCCTGCCGACCCCTCCCCTGCGCCTTGTCTGATGACGACAAGGGAGTCCTCACCACTCCCGCTGGGATCACGATCGTCGCCGCTTCTTTGTGCAGCTGGAGAAAGGCCAGGCGGTGAAATGGAACCCTCATCCAAGCGAAGGCCTAGAGACGCAGAAGGCTTGACCGAAACCCTGGGCGACCGGCTGCCCACCTCGTCGTCTCTCAAAGGCGAATCGAAGCTCTGTTGAACTAATTTGCCGCCGCTGCTCGCTGAGCTCGTCTTGCGCGCGCCAGACAGTGATCCCGTCTGTGACAAGTCACTTGCAGTCCGGCGATGCTTCTGGCTGGACCCGCTGCCTTTTCTCAAGTGGCTTCCTTCGCGCTTGACATTTCTCGCGAGCGATTCGAGCCCGTTGTTGCTCTGCCTCCGATTTCTCCGATCGCCCGTCGGTGCTCCCCAGAAGAGCGCCAACGTCTCTGTCTTTGCCTCTTTGCCCAACATTTTTGGTCCGCTCGGCTTGTCATCCGACGAAGAGGAAGCATTGGAGCTGGCCGACCTTGAGCGACGCTCGACGACTGGCGTGGACTCGTTGTCATCGTCGTCGGACATATCGGTCAGATCCGACTCGTCGTCGCTATATGCCATAGGCTGGTGCCGACTGGTCGGTGCGCGGGCTGACGAATGAGCGGCAGAGATAGCGGCCACCTTTGACTTGGCAGCGTTGGTCGAAATCGTATTCAGCGATGCGTCCACGGCATCCTCATCGGTCCCATCCCCACCGCCACTTGTCGCTTTGTCGCGATGAGCAATTCTCTTGTTACTCTTGACCATGGGTTGCGGACGCTTCTTCGAAGCCACACCACCCCCTGTTGCATTTGTCGGCTTCGTATCGCGCAACGGGCTCAGCTTCACCGGGCTGTCGACAGTCGTCTCGCTCAGACTGCTGCTGCTATTGCTGCTGACGCTGGGCGACCCGAGCTTCCGCCTGTCGAACTTGGCACTGGCATGCTTGAGCTGCCTCCGCTTAGCAGGGTGCAGAATCTTGTCGTAGTCGTCCTCGCCGTCGTGTGCATTGTCCCCTGCAGCAGCAAGCTGAAGCTCCTCTCGAATCTTTCGTTTGCTCTGCGCCTTCTTGCTCCACCCGCCCTCGGTCGGCATCCTCCCCGGCCAATCCGCCTTGAAGATGCGGTAGTGTCGCTCGCACCTCCGGCACTCATCAGGTGTCCACCAGGATTCAGGAGCCCAGAAGGGAGATCCGCATGTCAAACACGTACAACGGGGCCCTCGTTGGTAGACTAGGGTGGTATCGTCAAATTCGCGATCGGAGATCGAGTGTTCAAACGTCTTTTCAAACGTAGTGCCGTTGCGCTGCACCATCGCCGTCGTTGGTGTCGGATGCCCCGACCCATTAGCCGAGCCGTGAGAGTGGAGCGGATCCGGCGTCGAGGGTGACGAAGCCTTTTTGCGCTGCGATGATCTCCGCATCCCCGCTTGCCTGTCTCCTCCAGGTTCGGTCCCTGGCCCAACTCCTGTCTCCGATCCAGCTACAGCATCGCCGTCGATGGCTAGCCCACCAGCAAGCTCGGGCTTGGAAAAGGCGCCCTTGCTCCGCACCTCACACGTTAGGCACATGCACTCTGCATTGCCCCACTCGAAGTAGTTGTCGCCATAGTAGGTGGTGATCTCCTCGTTAAGCCCAATCGGCCGGAGGCACTTGAACACCATCTGCGAGGAGCCCAGTCGGTGAAACTCTGCGTTGGGGTCGCAGTCGTGGTTGACAAAGCGGGCTGGTCCCAGCAACAGCTGGCTGCAGCCCTTTCTGGCGCTTCGAATAACCGAAAAGTCGCGGCCTGGACCCAACACGCCCGCATATGTCTCTTCTCGTCTTCTGTCGCGGCTCATGGACGCCTCTTCGCGCAGAGCCTCGTCTTCGCTCTTTGTTAGGTCCTTGACGCCTCCCTTGCACATGAGGATGAGGTCGCCCGCCTTAAAGGGCTTCGTCGCCACCACGCATAGATCGGCCTTGGAGCTCGTCGTCAGGGCAGTGATGTTGCTCCCAGACTCCCCTCCAGACAGCCTCGCTTTGCCCTTTCCGTTGGATGCAGACCCGGATTGGGCACGGGCCGCCTCTGCCGCCGCCGCTGCGGCTGCGTCTGCTTCGGCACGAGCTGCCTCCTGGCCCGCCTGTGATGTCTCGCCGAGGAAGCTACGCGCCGCTGTTCGTTTGTAGCGCGTCGTCAGGGCGAACTCGACGCCGCTGTCCGGGAGGTATGTCTCGAGATAGCGGCGGGCATGGCTGTATGCGCGATCACGTCAGCTTTTTTTCAGTGGAGCCTCGCGACAGGGTGTTGCACTCACAGCTGGAAACCCTGAACCTGACGAAGTGATTTGCCCTGGAGGTGCTTCTTCACGACACTCATTCTGTAGACGACGACGACAGATGTGATTAGCTAGATTGGTCGATGATGCCGCACTGAGGGATGTTGGGAGGGGCACTCACTTGCAAAGATCCTCGAGAGCCTCGGAAACATCGGCATCGATGACAACCTTGTTGCGGACAATGTCGATGACATGCTGCGTGTCAAAACGAGGGGAGCGGTAAGCCTGGTTCATCTTGTGCGTCGAGATCGGAGGCTCGAACTCGAGGGAGCTTGAAGAAAGGGAGGAAGTATGTCAGATAGGAGAAAGAGGGAGAGATCTCTGATCTTTTCGCGAAGGGACTCACTCGAGAAGCATATCGGAGAGGATGTCATCGTCGGCGGCGATGTCTTCCATTGTCGGCGCTCCCTCTCTTCTGCGGATCCTCAATCGCTTATCTGCTTATACTACTTCCTTGTTGCAATCTAGATCATGTGCTATCCCGAGGGAGCCTTCTTCGCCCTGCTGCACTTTCCTGCTTGTCGTCGAGCGTGGTTGGTGGATGGCGAGCGCAGAGAAGAAACGTGGGCAAAGGCAGGAAAGCTGGATGGAATGGAGAGGCAGGAAGGGGCCAGGGGGATTTGTGGATCACGAGCCAAAAGAGGAGGGCGAAGACATCGTCACAGGGATTTGAATTGAAGGCGGCGTAGCTCCCAAGGGATGCGAGCGACGTCCACCCCTTCTCCCAGCGTCCCTTGCGATCCTTTGCGTGGGCGGCGAGGAATTGGAGGGTGGTAGCAGCGGTGAAGAATACGCGGGAACGTTGCTTGGATGTGCGTGCTGTATTTCGTTTATTGGTGGTAGACTAAGAGGAAGGATACGTGCGCTTAGACCAAAGGGCCGATCTTTCATCGTTTCCGGCCACGCGCAACGTCATCGGTCGGAGAAATTGGCCGACCGCGCCCTCTTTTTGAATTCTGGCGCGCGCTGGCTGGGTGGGGTCGCGCAACCTTAGGTAGACATACAGCTAGTAGTGCAGTGAAGTGTAGAGTAAAGAAGCAAACTAAGTGTAGTGTAGCAGAAGAGAAGAAGTAGTCGTGTGGGTGTATAAGCTCCTGACCAGAGACCGATCCTGTCCTCCTTTGCCAAGAGCAGCTGTGTTGTACTGTACATAAGGGAGGGAGAGCAAGCGGAGCCCGATCAATCATCGTCGTAGTCACTGCCCAGGCCAGGCAAATTGAACTGAGGTGAATGCTGGCGCGTGAGCAAGTCACTCTGGGGAATGCTTTGGCATGCATGGCTCACCATCAAGTGGGCAATCGCTTCGCTTCGGCCGGCATCCAGGAGCGAGTTTGACGGCTTGCCGGCCGGTCCGGACATGACGTGCATCTGTGGCAGCAGAGTAGAACTCAGGGAGGGGCTCCACAGATTCTAGTTCGCACGGGAGCATCACTTACGACGAAGCGGGCGCACACCCTGCGATAGATCCACAGCTCGACCTTGGGCTCCGTCAGGGTGCTCGACAGGAACTTCAGGAAGGTCTTCATCTCAACGCGGACCTCGTGAAAGCGCTGCCGGTCTTCACTGCTCATTGCCGCGTGCTCGTCTTCGTCCTCTGGGCGAAGCAGATTTCAAGGGCGGGTCAGACGGTCTACCAAGCAACAGCGACTCTCATCACTCACCCCTGACCGTCAGGCCACTCCACACAGTCTCGGTCTCGAGTCCGTCGTCTACCATCGAGAGCTTGACCTGGCCGAGGTAGTTGGCTGAGATGACAATCTGCATCTGTGGCCTCAGCGTGCGCATCCGGTCTGCCACTACACGGACCTCAGACAGCCTGGGAAAGGCGCAGACGATCTACGGTGCAAAAGACGTCAGGCCAGACATCCCAGGTCATTTCCAGTCAGCGTCGTAGCAGCTCACATGTGGATGCTGGTCTTCCAGGTATTGGACAGCTGTTCTGATGTTGGCCATGTGCGATGCTCTCTTGACAATGCACGAGACATCCTGATGGATGTCCGTCTTGGCCCCGCCAGACGACTGCAGAATTCGGGCTTCAGCAAGGAGGGAGCTGGGCCCAGGGAAGCAAACTCACGTTGGTGACGATTTGAAAGCTAAGTTTGGTATTGGCGCCGTCCTTGGCTAGTCTCATAGTCACATCTGTCGAGTTGGCAGCTGAGCGCAGTGCCCTCAGGACGAGCTCCGTCGACACCTCGAGGTTGATCTGGTTGTCGTGGTTGGACTCGACGCGGTACTCGCGCGAAGACTCTTCGACCCTGAAGAAGGCATCCTGTGGGATGAGAGAAAGGAAGATGTCAGAGCGTGTACTGTCTTTGAAAATCGTCTAGAGCAACCCACGACCCTGTCGAGGATGCTAAGAAGAGAGGGAGGGGAAAGTGAGGAGAATGAGAACACGCTTTCAGACAACTATGTCTTCTGAATCGACCACATACGCCCATATCTCGACGCTCTCTGGCGTTGGCTCCACGACGATTTCGACCTGTTCGGGAGAGAAGCGCAGGATACACTTGCCCGAGAACTTTGCGATCGTTTCTGCGCAAAAGATTGAATGAGCCATCGTAAAAGGGCCAAGCTCTTCCGCTCAGCTCAGCTCACGGATAATGCGGTGAAAGACGGTCGCGTCCTTGAAGCTGGCCCGAAGCCTCATCTCGCAACTTCGGCTTCCTCCTCCCCGTTCAGACTCGTCCTGGCCGTTGCCAGACGAGCGTTCTCCCCAATGGTCCGTCGAAGGTTGCTTACCTTCGACTTGCTCCACGGCAGGTCCGGCTCAAGGAGTAGGCAGGGAAGAAAAAGTCTAAAGAGAGAGGCAGGGTCGCCGTTGTTCCGTCGAATGGGCCCGTGCACGGCTAGTTTGTGAAGCTCGCGAGGACCAATCTGAATTCGACGAACGAACGCCCTCGCCAGTGTCGCATATCACCTGCGGCGTGCTTTCCGGCAGCTCTGCACATCGTTCAAATCGACGCTGTTTAGGTCGTCGGAGCTTTCACCAGCCTCCACAGGTGGAGCCGGAGAGCACAGCATTTACCATGTCGCTCCTGGACGCTGCGAGGACTTATCTGGTCGAGGGCGATTCGTCCGAGGCTCAGCAGCAGAAACAGCAGAAGGAGCAGCAACAGGACGGACCGCCAGCTGCGATACACCTGCGTCTCTCGGCAGAGGTGCTCCAGCAGCTACTAGAAGAGGACTCTGGTCACTCGCGCGCGATCAGCCTCTCTTGGTCGGCAAAGGCTGATGATGCGGTAGGTGTCTTGCAGCTTCCCTTCGTCTCTCTGCTCTGAGCGCGCCTCTTACACACGAGCCCTTTCCAGCATCTCAACGTTGGTGATGCCAGGCACGCACTCCAGCGGTCCACTGATGCCTCGCCACATGTCCTCTTTGCCCTCTCTGATGCGACAAGCTCGTCTCAAGCAACATTGACGCCACTGGGGTCTCTTCACGACAAGCTCGCTGTGCGACCGACGCCTGGCTCGTCTGCCAGCTTCACATCTCGTCTCAAAGAGAGGCGAGAGGCCGAGGAGGCCCGCAAGAGTGAGCATCGCACAGTCCTCCTCGACTCGGCACCGGTCACATCGAAGAAGACCTCGAAGGGCTCCGGTCCCACATCGAGCCTCAAGCTGCGGGCCAAGAGCCTGGCCCAATCATCGCCCACGTCGAGTCCACGAATGGGCGCACTGGCACCTGGCTGGCAGAGCAGGGCAGGAACACCTGCCGACAGCAACGCAGGCAGCCAGCCAGGCAGCCCCTCACTCTCTGCTGCCGCCACGCCCGGAACACGGCCTGCGGCGCTCAAGTCCAGCTTGGCGAGATCATCAGCAGTGCACAGCGCAGCTGTGACGCCGACCTCCTCCCCAGGCCCAGCTGCTGCAGCTTCTCGAACCCCCAAGCCGTCGTCCACCGAGGCCGCACCTCCAACACTCAAGCGCAGGCTGATTCAACTACTGGCAAAGGGGCCGCTGCCTCGTCGTGATCTCGTCGCCCAGCTCAAGAGCACCGAAGCCGCCGTGCTCGGCCCTCTCAAGCAGTTCGCCCACCCCCTACCCGAGACGCACAACGGCAAGACGTCATCTGGTGGACCGACTGTAGCCTCCTCATCCGGCACCGCCTCTGGGCCTGGCGCTGTCTATGCTCTCACGGACTCAACATACCGCCACGTTGTCATCGCCGAGTGGCCCGACTACACCGTCAAGGAGCGCCTACGGGTCTGCACACTGGCCGAGGAGGCCTTCCGGCGACTAGGCCTCGATGAGAAGAGCAAGGAATTCGCGATGCTCCTTTCCGTCAAACAAAATGGCAACAAGGAATCCGACACAGCAGTAGAGAGGGGGCGCAGACCGCCTTCTTCCAGCCTCCCTGGCGGAGGCGCCACCTCGTCCGAGCTGAGCAGCGACGACGACGGTACAGGCCGTAAAGCACGCTCATCGACGAGCGTTAGCCCGGCGAAGGCGTCCAGCGCGGCATTACGAAATGTGCCAAGCATCACATCATCGCAGGAGAGCATTCATAGGTCAAGAGACGCCTCGCTGGCCCGCAGCAGCTCGAATTCGGACGACGAGCGGCCGTCTGCGAGCAAGAAGAGTACCAACACGACTATGAACCGGCTTCGCAAGGCGGCAAAGGGCAAGGGCACGAAGACGGGGAGTGCTGCCTCGTCGTCGCGAGCAGAAAAGGAGCGGCAGGTCGAGAAGGCCAAGCTGGCGGCGCAGCGAGAAGAGGCGCAAAGGAGCAAGAAAGTACAGGAGAAGGAAGAAACAAAGAAGACGGCAGACACGGTAAAAGGTAGCCACATCTCACCCTCTAAGCAGCAGCAACTTGCATCCTTGTCGTCGTCATCGTCGTCGTCTTCTGCCCTGCCGTCTTCGCCTTCAATCAAGAAAGCTGCCCCTTCATCCGTGGCGCTTGCGTCGCCCTCCTCATCTTCGTCGCCTCTTCCTCGATCATCGGGGGCAAAATTGTCATCGCCTGCTCCCTCGACACTGAGCAACAAGGTCAAAGTCCGGACTGTACCGGCAAAGAGCAGCGTCGACTACAGCGACTCCTCCTCTGGCGATGAGGCGCAGCAGAGACGGGGAAGGCCGACTGCACCGCGATCAGCTGAGCAGCCAAGCTCGAGTTCGGCCAAGACTGCTTCCTCCTCTTCGCTGGACGCGGCCAAGAAGACTTCGTCGTCAGTCGCTGAAGTGCCTGCTGCGAAGAAGAGAAGGACATCAGGAGAGGTGGCCAAGATTAGCAATCCTCGCTACTACACTTCCTCTTCGGCGACCGACTCCTCGCGTTCGCCTTCACCTGCTCGGGCGCCTAGGCAGCACAGCTCGGGCATGGTGGCTGCGGCTGCTGCTGCTGCCCCCACTGCTGCTACGTCTTCACAGACACCGTCGAGGCACGGCGTGGGGGCTGGGGCCATCTCGACGGCCGAGCCCTGGCTCGACGTGCGCAATCCCAACGATTGGTCGAAGCTGAGCCAGCGGTACAGGCGCGTGTTTGAAGAGTACCGCGGCGCGCTCGAGACGGTGCGCAACGAGGAGGCGAGGATTGTGCGCGAGGTGGCCAAGGCAAAGGAGCACGACGACGAGGAAGACCGTGCCAAGAGGTCAGAAGGGGCGGGGCAGATGGCGCGGGGAGACGGGAGGTCGCTGGAGGAGGGCGAAGAGAAGGAGGAGGGCGAGGCGAGCCCCACGGCTGGCTCCGCCGCCAAGTTTGGCGGTGCGCAGGGTCCGGACCCAGGCTCGCGGACGCTTACGGCGCCTGTCTCAAAGAGCGAGCCCTCCTCTACGTCGCCCGAACAGGAAGAGACGACGGCACAGTTTTCGTGGCGCTCTTCCTCGCCCCATGCCGGATCAGGCACTTCAAACCGAGATGGCTTCTCAGCAGCCTCGTCCTCGACGCCGCTCCCCTACACGAAGCTCAAGAACTTGGTCGACACGGTCCAGACACTGCAGAGCCAGCTTGGCCGGATGAAGCAGACACTCGTCTCTTCCAAAAGACGCCTGGAGGAGACTGCCGCCGCTGCTTCGTGATGAACAAAGATGATGAATGCATCGCTGCTCTTTTCTTGTATTTCCACATCTCACTACTACAACTAGATGCTGTCTACTAATTCACTTTCTTTTGATGCAAGCAAGAATTGAGAGCGGCCCACGCCTCATTTCAGTCCCATAGCTTGATCGTGCCGTCCCAGCTTCCCGTGATGACCTTGCTCGTCTCGTGAGGCAGCCACGCATGAGTGATGACGACCTCTTTGTGGGACCGGAGCCGCTTGAGCAGCCTGCCGCTCTTCCAGTCCCAAAACACCAGGTTCCCCTCGCCGTCGCCAGAGGAGATGAAGCGGCCGTCGGGGCTAAAGCCGACCTGGCAGGCAAACCCAGCAATGCTGTGGCCCTTGAAGATCTTTTTCCGGTTCTGCCGAAACGAGTCGGACGAGTAGACGACGATTTGATTGTCGAGAGACTGACAAGCAAGCCATTTTTCTGTTTGTGAGGAAAAAGAGTGGCCTCAGAGTCAGTGCTCGCTTGTAGAGAGGGAGAATTTCGAAAAAAAAAAAAAAACTCACTGTTGGGAGACATGGTCACGGCTGGCATCGAGTGCATCAATGGATCGGCGACGTACTTGATGACGACGGGGATATCAAAGTCCCAAGCACGCATCGTCTTGTCGTCCGACGTCGTCACGAAGCGTCGATTCTCATCGACGAACGTGATCGTGTTGACAGGGCCAAGGTGCTGGTCATACTCCTGCGTCGTTTCACCCGTCGTCGAGTCCCACTGCACTATCTTCTTGTCCGACATACCGGCCAGGAAGATGTGCTGCTTTTCTGGATCAGGGTGGAAGGCCACACAGTAGGGCACCTTGCCATTCGAGAAGGCGCGGATGCAGGCGCCCGTCTCGGTGTCCCACAGCTTGATTTGGCGATCGTAGCCGGCGGAGAGGAAGCGGCGACCATCGTTGGAGAAGCAAATGTCCCGCACGGCCTTGGAGTGGCCCATGTACGTTCGTAAGCATTTGCCTTCGTGATAGACATCCCAGAGCTGAGATTTTGAAACAAACGTCAGCCTCTCTTCCTTTCAATCTTTTGAAAAATATTTCACTCACCTTGATCTTGCAATCGTTGCTGGCACTCAACATCAGATGGCCACTTCCAGGGAAGAGACGAATGGCATTGACACCCTTCGTGTGGCCGGTCCAGGTATGCACGCAGGCCTTTGGAATAAAGCAGTGTTGCGAGCCCGCCTCGCCATGAAGATTTGTGTCGACGTCGGTCGGTACGTGCATATACGTTCTCCCTTGGTAGTCGTAAATTGACTTGCCTGAAAGAAGAAAACAAGTTTGTCAGCTGTTGGTCGTCTGCACTGCGGAAGGTGAATATGCTCACCATGGAAGACGCTCTTCTCCGTGCCTTGCTCGGCCTCGCGCTGCCGAAGCTCCTTCATTTCGGCCTCCTGCCGCTTTCGGTCGCTGCTCCTCTCCTCCGCTGCCTTCAGCTCTTCTTCTGAAGGACCGACAGGCTCTGTCTGCACCCTCTCTCCCTCCCATCCGCCCCATGGACCCACGTACGCCCCCTCGCCCTCAATGACGGACAAATCCCCATCTTGTCCCTTCCGCTTTCGTTTCGTCTGGCGAGCCAGGCTCCTCGCTTCGGCCGATCCTCCTCCTCTAAGCTCCACCGCTGTTGCACCGCCAAGCCGTTGTGCCTCCTGCACATCCCCCACCCATTCGCTCCCGTTTCCTCCGGCATACTGGCTCGGATTCTTTGCGTAGCCTAGCGTCTCGAACGTCCTCTGCTGGTTCCGAAAGTCAAAGTCGGTCATGGCCGCTTGCTCAACGTGACCGCTGAGGTTGTTCTGTTGGGAGCCCAGGACCTTGTTGGAGAACGGATTCTGGGGTCCCGCTAGTGGACGAGCCAAGTCTCGAAAGGGTATGTTGACGTGCATCTCCGTGTCCGTCGGTCGTGTCAAGAGCGCGCTGCTTGCCTCGTCTACGTTTGCGAGCACATCTGGCGCGGACTTGACGAGATGCCCTCCGTTCTTCTCCACTTGTGCCTTGTCGCTGACATCCTTGCGGAGATGGCCCAAACCAAAGACATCGTCGGGGCTGATCTCTTCGTCGTCCTCGTCCTCGTCTTGCTCCTCTGCTCTTTCTGGTTCCTCAGTCCTCTTCTTTTTCGACGGAACTACAGCTGGTCTCGAAGGTCCAGCTTGGCTCGACGAGCCCGCCCCTTCCCCGTCCGAATCGGAACCATAGCCCTGCAGCGTATTCATCGCGAGTGATTGGAAGTTGTCGAAGAAAGCGCAGAGCGCTACTTTAGACCTTGAGAACCTCCATCTCGACTCACGCGCACGTGATTTTTCCATCCTCTCTGGCGACCTGTCCGTCCACCTCTGCAGGCTTGAGCTTTGTTCCCGGCTCGTCCAAGCGTCTACAGTGTCGACGACTTGCTCGACTCTTCGCCTTTCCACCCGGCCATTTCCTTTCTCATTGAAGCCGATCTTCAAATCTCTACTGCGTTCGACAGCGCGGACAGGCTTCGAGCCCCTTTTCAACCGCGCTGATCTCTGTTCATCTCTCATATCCCTCGACATTTCTCTGCAGAGCATCCGACCTCGGCTACGTTTTTCTCCGTCATCTTCCTCTCCTCATCCTCCTCCCTTTTATCCTTTGGCCCCTGATCCCTTCCCGACCTCTCGCCAAACCGCGCAGAGCAACAAGAAATCTCCGTAGCTGTCCTTTGGTGATCTTTCTCCCACTTCCTCCTCTCCGATCCGATCTGTATCGCTAGGTGTATTATGTCTGCGGCGACGGTGGCCGGCAGTGAGTGTGCCCGACATCCATTCTCACTCCTGGACCCTTCACTGACAGAACCCAATCTTGCGCTCTAGTTGGCCCGCCACCAGGCCTCGGTGGACCGCAACGGTCGGTCAGCGGCGATGATGGCATGCTCCACAAGACGATGCCTGGTGGAACCGAGTCGTTTGACACTGTGAAGAAGGTATCGTCGCTGGGCCTGGCTGCCCACGCCGATGATCCTCGCCGCTACAAACGAGGACTGCTGCTGGCCATTAGCAAGAGTCCGCTCGTCGAGCTTCCCAAGGGCATGCCTCCTCTGGGAGGTTGGTACGGGTGAGTAGCCTGTCAGCTGGCGCTAGGGAGGCAGAGACAAATGTCGCTGAATATCTCCCACACGCAAAAGCGACTGGGAACCATATCACCCTCGAGCCCAACATCATCATGGGGCTGCGGGCATGGCGCCCATGGGAAGCATCGGTTCAGGCGCACGGGTCGAGAGGAGTGGAGTGCGGGGTCATGCGGCAAACAATGCAGCTGGTGGTGGTGAAGATCTCGGAGAAGCAGGCTACGGTGCGGCAGCGTCTGGCATGGCTGGCGGCATGCGCGAAAAGGGCGGTCGGTGCGTGAACACTTCTTGGTTTTATCTTTCTTGAAAGGTGTTGGCTGACCGGAGCATTCCCTTAGCTTCCGTCGCTTGGAAGATCGCGAACGTGATGATGGTGCTTTGAACTCGAGACGGTTCCCACCGTCGGGAAAGAACCCCTTTGGACAAGTGTCGGCCAGCGGCACCTTTCGGCCCGCTGGCAAGGAAGGCCTGGAAAGTCCACTGAACAGCAGGGTGAGAGCAGCAGCAGACAGCAGTTCCCGAGTAGGGTGGTGAGCTGACAATGCTCTCTTGTTTCTCAGTTCGGTAACGTGGGCCGAGGCCCGAGATCGCCGCTCGATGACCGCAGGCGCGGGGGACGTGACGGCGAGGGACGTGACTTTGGAGCGTTGCGGGACCGGAGAAGGGACGAGCATCCGCAGGAAGAGGACGACGAGTGGGAAAGTGTTCCCAGGAGCCCAGAGACGGAGAGGAGGATTCGGGCGGGCTATGCCGACGCAGCTTCAGACTGGCGTCGAGGCTCGGCCAGTAAGCAGGGCGCGGGCCTGGCGAGGGAGAGGGGAGGCATGCGAGCCGAGTCTGCCAGGAAGACGTCGTTTCCAGCGTGGATGGCCGACGAGCAAGAGCCGTCGTGGATGGCCGACGATGGACTGCAATCTGCTGGAGGCCGACGGGGACAAAACAACGACTCGAGGAGACGTGGTGGTGGATATGGGGCAGAGATCGACGTTGACCCCGACGATATTGACATTGACACGACGGGCATGGACAGCATCCAGGCCTTCAAGGAGAAGATGAAGGAGAAGGAGCGTCGAGCAAAGGAGCGAGACCAGCCAGGTGCTGCTGGCAGCCGCGAGGCTTCCTTGTCTGCCGGTTCTTCGATCGCAGCGACTGCCGCTGCAGGGCCGCCGCCCGGACTGGGCAAGAGGCCAATCGGTGGAGGAAACAATGCCGGAGAAGCCGATGGCTCAGCCGCACTCAGGTCTGCCGGTCTCGCTTCGGCTGCTCATGAGGCAGACGGCGACGAGGGACTGGCGAGGGGCCAAAAGCACGACGCCGGATCTAACAGCCTCTTTGACAATTTTGCCAATTCTCCATCCAAGCGAGGCCAGCAGGGAGGGGACGGCGATATTGGAGAGCCGCCTGGTCTTCCTGGAAGATCGAGTCGATTTGCCAGATTCTTTGATGGCAAGCCACAAGCGGCCGCTCTCGCTGCCCAGCAGAAGCAGCTCGAGGCTCGTGGCTATGGAGGCCCTTCGGATGCGGCCCATTCACCTGTCGACTCCCATCCGACATCGGCCTCGGCTGATCAACAGATCAAGCTCGACGACCTCTTCAGCTCAATGGCCCTGGGCAAGCAGCAGCAACAAGCACAGCATCAGCAGCAGCAGCAGCAGCAGCAGCAGCAGCAGCAGAGTGCACCACGCCATCAGCAGAAGGACGCCGCTCCGTCTGCCGGAGCTGCTCCTCCTCCCGGCCTCGCTCCACCCGCCCCTCCAAGTGGACCTCAGCGTAATCCGAGCGAGGCCGACCTACAGAGCATGCAGAAGATCATGGCCGTTCTTGGAGGCAGCGGTGGGCAGCAGGACAAGCCCTCGCCGAGGTCGCACTCGCCCGAACAGCAGCGCTTCGATGCCACGTCTCCCTATCAGCAACGGCAGCAGCAGCAGCCTCCTGCAGGCCTGGCTGCATTGCTCAGCGGCGGAGCTGGTGCCGGCGCTGGTGCTGGTGCTGGTGCCAGTGGGCAAGGATCGCCTGGACCCAGGTCCCATAGTCCGGCCATGGCCTTCCAGACCGGCGCTGACAGTCAGCGTGGTGCAACGGCTCCCCAAGCGTGGAACGCTAGCCCGGGCCAGCAGCAGTCTTACGCTCATCCACAGAGTACCGGCCCAAGGATGACCAACCAGGGCAGCACGCCATCGCCTGCCTTTGGTAGGAGTCCGGCCGGACATTCACCTCATCCGCAGGGTCCTCCTGGCCTGTCGAGACCGGAGCAACAGCAACAAGCGCAGCAGCAGCAGCAGCAGCAGCAGCAGCAACAACAACAGCAGCAGCAGCAGCAACCGTCCCCCTTCATGGGTCAGAGTAGCGGTCGTCCTCCCTTTGGTGTCGATCCTCGCATGCTCGGCCGTCCTCCAATGCCTCCTGGCGGATTTCCGCCTCACCTTGCTGCTGCACTCAACGGCATAAATGCGCGAGGCCCACCTGGACCCCCTCCACCGCCTCCTGGCATGGGTGGCTTCCCACCTGGACCTCCCAATGGGTTTCCCAGCCACCATGTCCAGCCACCGCCCCTTGGCGGACTGCCTCCCCACCTGCAGCAGCACCTCATGACGCTCCCTCCTCATGTTCAGCACCATGTCCTAGCCCAGCACTTTGGAGGACACTTCCGTGGCCCGCCTCCCCCACCGCCCCCGCCGCAACAACAACAACAGCAGCAGCAGCAGCAGCAGCAGCCTCACCAGTTTGCAAACTCGCCCAATGCGAGCGCAAACCTGATGGCCCTTCTACAACAGCAGCAAGGCGGTGGAAACGGCGGAAGTCAATAGCTCAAATACAAACTAATCTCGACGACTACGACTCTCGACCTTTTCTCTCCTCTAACGAATGTCTAGTCCCGCTGTCGTGAAGGCCTCTCTCTCCTTCCCTCTCCTGTGTTCTCCATATCTATCTCTTGTCTCGTCTCTTATGTTTTTACCATCGGGCAATCTGAACTCAAAGCTCCTGTTGACACTGGAAAGGCCCTCTCTCTCTTCCACGACCGACTTGTCTGAGATATGTGTCTTTTTTTGCGACAGAATGAAGATGATACATAGTCGGAGGGCTCGGTCCTCCGTCTTGCGCGATCGCATTCGCTGGACCCTTTTCGACTTTCTTACTTGATGAAGATCCTGGCGAGCTTGGAGCCGACGTGGAGCACCACGACGGAGAAGACGAAGCTGATGGCCAGGACGAGGACAACGACTGGATCCCTGCACACCCTCCCGGCAAGTCAGCTCTTCCTTACTTCTCAAAAGGAGAGCGTGTGTGTAGCACATCACATGGCTTCAGCGATACTCACACAGAGAGGCCCTTGGAGTCGTCCGTGTAGAGCTTCATCATGGTGCTCGAGCTGCCGCCAGCGCCGGCGGACCTGGTGCTGTTTGGTCGGTTGGCGGCCTGCTGCGCGGCCGCTCTGCGCCGGACGGTCGAGTTCTGGTTGCGCGCGGCGGCCGCAAGCGCGGCGACATTCGGGGGCGCCTGGGTATCGGACGACTGAGAGAGAAAGGAAGGTGTCGAGACATGGTCAGCCGGTCTAGACGCAAAGCACATGCTCCCAGACATTGAGAGGTGGAACTCACCATGATGACTGGAGGATGAGATATGGTTGAGAAGAAGAGCTCTAAATTGGCGTACAAGACGAGAAGGAGAGAGAGACGAAGTGCTGTCGAGAATTCTCCACGTGGGAAAATGGATGCAGCAGCGCCTCATCGACCGAACGCACGCACGGCCTCCCGTTTCCTGGGCTGAGTGATCGGTCCTTCGCACCACCAAGCGACTGATAGCAAGTTGCAACAGGTGCTCCTGCTCGCGATTCAACAACGATGGAGGCCATCAAGCTTCAGCGGAAATATCCTCAGTTGTAAGTGTGGCCTGACTCTGAGCACAGGGATGGCAGAGTTGAGAGGCTGACTGTGCAATCCAGCTCCCAAGAGGAGATGATGGGCCTCATTGGCAAGTTCCGGTCCATCGACATCGATGACAAGGGAAGCGTGGACCGGCAGAGTGTCATGAAGGCCGTGCAGGACTCTGGCGATGCAAATTACGATCAGGTGCGCGAGACGCTCAAGGAGGTCAACCTCGACTCTTCTGGCCGTGTGGAGCTCGAGGACTACGTCGATCTGCTGGCCAAACTCCGGGCGGGAAGAAACGCGAGTGCAGGCGCGGTCACCAAGGGCAAAGTGACTGTGAAAGGGAGCAATGCCAGCGTGCAGCACACGATCAACGAGGATGAGCGTACTGAATTCACAAGGCACATCAACTCGAGCCTCGCTGGCGATGCGCACATTGGCAGCAGGCTTCCGATCCCCACCGACACCTTCCAGCTCTTTGACGAGTGCAGAGACGGTCTTGTTCTGTGCAAGCTCATCAACGATGCAGTCCCTGACACTATCGACGAACGTGTACTCAACGTGGGCAAGGGTGGCAAGGGTCCCAATGCATTCCAGCAAACGGAAAACAACAACATCGTCATCACGTCCGCCAAGGCCATCGGCTGCTCCGTCGTCAACGTCGGCGCCCAAGACCTCATCGATGGAAAGGAACACCTCATCCTGGGACTCGTCTGGCAGATCATCCGGAGAGGTTTGCTTTCCAAGATTGACTTGAAGAACCACCCGGAGCTGTACCGCCTCCTCGACGAAGGCGAGACGCTCGAAGAGTTTCTTCGGCTGCCGCCCGACCAGATCCTGCTCCGATGGTTCAACTACCACCTCAAGGCTGCCAACTGGCCTCGCAGGGTGCACAACTTCGGCAAGGACGTGTCCGACGGCGAGAACTACACGGTGCTTCTTAATCAGCTCAAGCCAGAGTCGTGTGACCGGGCCCCGCTCCAGCAGACGGATCTTCTACAGCGTGCCGAGATGGTGCTGCAGCGTGCAGACGCCATTGGCTGCCGCAAGTACCTGACACCTGGATCCATGGTGGCCGGCAACCCCAAGCTCAACCTGGCCTTCGTCGCCCACCTCTTCAACACATGGCCTTGCTTGGATGCGCTCGAGGAGCCACCGCCAATGGAGATTGAGGACTTCGACGCCGAAGGCGAGCGAGAGGCGCGAGTCTTTACTCTCTGGCTCAACTCGCTCGATGTCGACCCGGGTGTATACAATCTCTTTGAGGACCTCAAGGATGGTACGGTTATTCTTCAGGCCTTTGACAAGGTCGTGCCTGGTTGCGTTGCTTGGCGTCGGGTCAGCAAGCCGAAAGAAGGCCAAGAATTGAGCCGGTTCAAGATGGTGGAAAACACCAACTACGCAGTGGACCTGGCAAAGGCGAATCAGATGCACATTGTTGGCATTCAAGGCGCAGACATTGTCGACGGCACACGCACTTTGACCCTCGGCCTGGTCTGGCAGCTCATGAGGCTCAACATCTCAAACACGCTGAGGTCTCTCGGCAAGGGCGGAAAGGGCGTGACGGACCAGGACATGATTGCTTGGGCCAACAACGTCGTCAAGCAGAATGGCAAGACCTCGACGATGCGCTCGTTCAAGGATCCGTCGATCAAGAATGCAGTCTTCTTCCTCGATCTCCTCGACGGCCTGAGAAAGGGCATTGTCGACTATAGCCTCGTCACGCCCGGCGCAAACGAGGAAGAGTGCAGAATGAATGCCAAGCTCGCCATCTCCATTGCTCGCAAGCTCGGCGCTCTCATCTTCTTGGTTCCCGAGGACATCGTCGAGCTGAGGCAGCGGCTGATCCTCACGTTTGTTGGAAGCTTAAGTGGGTTGCCTCGCTTCTTCCTGCACTTTTTCCAGACTGACCAGTCCCCTTACCCTCTTGACAGTGGCCATGCAAGCGTAAAGAAAGCAGACTTTGGGCGTGGTATGCTTTGGAATGTCACTCTTGAATACCGAATTGGATAAAATTCTTCGTTCTTTGCTTCTCCCATCTGCCTTAGACGCCATTAGGGTGACCCGAGTTGGGGCTTGGCTTGTACTGCCAGACCTCGCCGCTCTCCTCCAGTCGCTTCTTCGCCTCAGCCATGGCCCAGGTTTGGATGCTGTCAAGAACGCATTAGTTGTCTCGATCACATGTACAGCAGCGCAAACAAAGGCAGCAAGCTCACCTGGTGTCGGGCTTGTAGAAGAGAAGGACGCCGCCAAAGGCCATGCCTCCGAACATGCCGTACGTCCAAAGGTTTTCCCAGTCCTCCTTTGCTCGCTTTGTGCCCGGCGGTGGTGGCTGTATGGACAAAAATTAGGTCAGGCTATCTGATCGCTCACTTATAGAGTGTGGGAAAGGAAGGATTTAACCTTTTCGCCGAAGAGGTGGCCTGTCAAGGAGGAGTAAAAGTAAGCAAGCTGTTGTCGATGGGCGCGAGAGGCTCACGTCGTGGAACTCACCAGTCGGCTGGTTGTATCCGCCTCCGCCCGAAGCGAATCGCCTCTGCATCAGGCTGGCAGAGACAGACCTCCGAGAGGCCGACGCGGCCGTGGCGATCCTGGAAGACAGCATCGTGGATCTATCGCTATCTCTCTCTTGTCTGGTGTCGAGAAATGGAGCCTAGCTTTGCGCTCGCTCTGGCGATGGAAGCGGTGGGGAGTTGCCTTCAAAAGCCATGTGTCGGATTTTGTCAGAAATTATGTCACTACCGGATCGATTTGTCGATTCGGACGCTTTTTTGCACAAACACGTGCAAGCGCCTCCAGTCGCCAGGTCCGTGTGTTACCCACTCCCCCCGCCTTTTTTTTGCAGGACAAGACTAGGACCCTTTTCGACCGTAGGTGCAGGCTGTTCTGCCGCTTGAATCTGTGCGACGCTCAGCAGTCCTCGCGGTGACCTGCTTGCCAGATTTAAAGGGGAGAGAGTTGCACCCAGCCCACAAGCGGCAGCATCGAAGCACAAGGGGACCCGTCTGCGGACAAAAGAGATCCGGAAAAAGACTCAGATGACGACGGCGACGATGGCGCCAGGCCAGCACTCCGATGACGGCCCTTCGTCCTCTTATGCGAGCCGTCCAGCGCAGAGCGCTCGCTCGTCGTCTGTTCAGAGCTCTTCAAGGTCCAGGCAGCGCTCCCACTCGACAAGAGGATTCTCTGCAGACGATGAGGAGTTCGACGACGACGAGGGCGCCTACGACGGAGACGATGGCGATGGAGATGAAGACGATGAGGAGGGAGACGAGGCAGCGGGTGCAGGTGAAGATTTGATGAGCGAGACGACCGTCAAAAGCGGCTATCTGATGAAGAGGGGCGAGAAGAGAAAGGTGAGTAAATGGCTTTGGCTCGGAGACATGAGAAGCTCACTGCCGACTATTTTTTGCCCGTGGCGCTAGAATTGGAAGAAGAGGTGGTTCGCACTTCGCTCATCAAAGCTTTGCTACTACAAGAACGAAAAGGTGAGCGGAGCGTCATTTGTGTGATCCCACCTCCAATGAGGATGCTGATACGGAATCCATGCAGGAATACCAACTACTGCGCTTCATCGACATGGTCGATGTCCATACCATCGCACCCATCACGCTCACCAAGCGCAGTGACAGCTGCTTTGGCATCGTCACGTCCAAGAGGCAGTACTATGTGCGCGCCGCAAATGCAAAGGAGATGCAGTCTTGGGTCGATGCGTTGCGAGAGGTTCGGGAGCAGGTCAGGCAGCGGAGCACCCTTACGCAGGATATGGCCGCCATGAACGTTGGCTCGCCTAAATCTTCGACGAGTCCTAAATTGCAGCCTGCCGATCGACAGGCCAACCAGTCGTTGCCGTCCACAGCATCGGGTGCGAACAGCGCTTCTCCCATCAACATTGTTATTCCCGGAAAGGGCGTTTATTCGTCACCTGCTCAGCCACGGACCGCCACCTCGCCGTCTGGCAACCACCCTGTCATCGTCAGCCCACTCACCGCCACGTCCGACAGCGACACTGGCGGTCCGTGGAACGGAGGAGCGGAGCAATTCGGTCTCAGCTACGCCAGCTCTACCGGCCAGAGTATGGCCAGCAGCCCGAGCCGCGGTGGCAGTGGCCTGCACATTCATGGTCAGCATCAGCCCCTGCGTGCCGGTGGCGATGCTGTCAGCAGCGGAGGGCACAGCCCACAGAGCCACTCGGGCGGCGAATGGAGCGAAAGCGCGATTCGCCGAAGCCGTCAATCCTCGAAGAACAGGCCGACAGACAACAGAGACCCCTCGGTGGGCAGCAGCGGTGGCGAAGGCACAACGACGGGCTGGACTGCCGCCGTGGGCTCCCCCCCGCAGGGCGGGCAGAACCTTGTTGTCTCGAGCAGCGAAGAGGACGATGAAGGAGAGGACTGGGACGAGGGCGAGACAGCGGACCGAGCCATGCCATTGCCCTCGTCGAGTGCGGTTCATCAGCAGCAGGCACACCACTCTGCGCAGCAGCAGTCAGCTCAGCAGCAGCAGCCTGCACAGCAGCAGCAGCAGCTACAGCAACAGTCGCAGGAGCAGACGTCCAGGCCGCCGATAAGCGCAATCTTCCTCAAGGATCCCAACAAGGTCATCCACCAAGGCTATCTCATGAAGCAGAGCAACCGGCGAAAGCACTGGAGGAAGCGCTGGTTTATCCTTACGGGCAACCAGCTCACCTACACGCGAAGCCACATGGACGGCAAGCCCCATCGTCAGATTCCCCTCAGCTCCATCCTCGATGCAATCGAGTACACATCCTCGAAGAAGCAGCCTGCTAATGGAGGTGCAGGTGCAGGGTTAGGAGCAGGAGCAGGAGCAGGGGCGGGGTTAGGTGTGGGACCAGGCCCAGGGGTGGGTGGAACAGGAGTAGGGAGTATTCCGGCTCCATCTAGCCCGACGGGGCTTCAATCGCCTCCTGCAGCGGGCAGCTTGTCCTTCAGCCTTGGGTCCCAAGCCTCTGAGTCAGACGCCGGAAGGGCGGGTGGGAGCGGCTTTACGGGCTCGTCTGCCAACACGGAGTCGACAAGCGCCTCCACGCCGCACGTTGAGGCCAGCACGCCAACACCAAACCCCGAACGGCGGGCAAGCTTCATTGGGGCCGCGGCAGGAGCCGTTGCCAGCACTGTCACCGGCGGTGCAGTTGGTGGTAGTGGTGGTGGCGGCGGTGGTGGAAGTGGCGCCGCGGGGGGCAGTGGCGCAGCGGGCGACGCGACTGCGGCCGGCGGCGCAGCAAAGCACGATCAGCACCAGGGCAATCCTCCAAAGAGGAAGAAGGAGAATTGCTTCAAGATCATCACCCCAAAGCGGACCTACGTCGTGTGTGCACCGTCGGAGGAAGAGGAGATCAAGTGGCTGAGCGCGCTTCAGGCCCTCTTGGCGCACATGAGAAACGTTAACAACGGCGGCGGCGGCGGCGCTGCTCCTGCAGCAGCTTCAGCCTCTAGTGGTGGCAACGCAGCTCCATTGACCTCGCCTGGCTCAAACGCAGATTCTTCCGCCCAGCTCACGTCGCCTTCTGCGGGCGGCAGCGGATTCTCACAAACACAGGCTCCTACGGCGCCTGGAAGCTCGTCCACCACCGGCGAGTCTCTTCCACACAAGCCTCAAAGGGCCCCAGCGAGCAGCAGCAGCTTTTCAACGCTCACGGGCAGCGTGACCGCGACGGATCGGTGATTGTCTTCATTTCCACTTAATTTCCTTCCCTCTGCATCTCCCCTCCTCTCTTCTGTGTCCCTCCTCTATCGAGACCGGGTCTCATAGGTATGCATGTGATTAATTCGTTTCCAATTGAGCAGATGACAATGTGACTGTTACTTCCGCGCCTTTTTTCCGGCTGCCTTGCCACCTCCCTTGTTGAAGGCGGTATGGCCCTTGCCGTCGGATGCGAATTTGACAGCCTTTCGGATGTTGACCTCGTCGCTCGTCTTTGGCTGCTTGGACTTTGTCGCGGGCGGCGCATTTCCCAGCTTGTTGAGCAGGTGCAGGTGGGAGGCCCTCTCCTGCTTCGTGTCGATCTCGTTTGGTTCAAACTTGCGCTTGAGGCCCTTTTGTTTCTCCTCTCCCTGCAGTGCCCGGTCAAATTTGCCCATGCTGGCGGTGCTGATCTTGCCTCTGCGCACGTCCTGGTCGAGCTGCTTTGCGCGCTCATCGCGCTCGGCCCTGCGCTTGGCGGCAGCCTGCGGGGTATGGTACTCCGTCTGACCCTTGTTGACGCTCGGTGCTGCCCTGGCCGACGACTGCTCAGCCCTCGCCACGTTTCTGAGCCTCTGCGCCTCGTTCTGCACTGTCCGCTGCCTCCTTGCCCTCTTGGCCTCCTTTGCCGGATCGAAGTCGTCGCCCTTTGATGCAGGAATCTCATGGATCCACTGCTCCTCGACGTCCTTGTTCTTGCCCTTGTAGCCCCATCGGGGCACCCACTCCTTGCGCTCCTCGTCCCAGACGAGCTTGTCGCGCTTCTTGTTCTCGATGCCCTTGCGCTTCGCAAACTTCTCCCATTTCGTTTCGACGCGCGGCTTCGGCAGCGGCTTCTCGCGCGGTAGGTACGGGTATGTGGGGAGCGGAAGCGAGGCCAATGGGCCGTGGTCGGGGTGCTGGACGCGGGGGAGGGCATACAGCGATCGGACAAGCGCCTGCGTGCTCGCCAGTGTCCGGCCCAGGAGGTAGGCTTCCCGGCCGGAGGTGCTGTTGTACTGCGAAGCGTCCAGGTTCGAAGAGTCCGTCGAGCAGAGAAGGCCTGCGTCGACGGCCAGATGCGTAGACGTGCTCGCTTCGCTCTCTGTCATGATGTCCTTTCGTGTCTTTCCCTGGGTAAATAGAGGACGAAAGAGAGCAGCGAGGCAAATTCACGGCAAAGGAGAAGGCAGTAGGCAAAATTTCCAAAAATTCCTACCAGAGGGAAAAAATTTCGGCCGAGTCTTGCAATGCCGACACCGCAGAGAAAGAGAGCGCGCGCGCGCGCGAAGGGGGAGGGCATTCTTCTCCTTCCTGGCTTTGAACCTAGACACGAAGACGAGCGACTGCCACTCTCTCTTTATTTTCGCAAATGTCTGCTGCAGCGCCTCGAACATCGGCGGCCATTGCGGCCGCTGCCAACATCAATGCCGCCGAGCAAGCCGCTGCTGAGCAGCCCGCTGCGAGCACGCTCCCGCCGCTGACCGAAGACGAGGCGGCGGCACTGGGCCTCGACTCCGACACGATCAACGCAATCAGGCTGGATGGTCTCGCACTGACAAAGATCGTCAAGCACTCGAGGGATGCCCACCCGAACGTTGCGCCCGGTGTGCTCCTGGGTCTCGAGATCGACTCGGCGCTCGAGGTCAGCAACGTCTTTGCGCTTCCAAAGGGTAGCCTCGGAGGGGGTGGCAGCGGCGGCAACGACGATGACGACGAGAACGACAAGGGCGCCAAGGCAGGTGAGTCGTCTGCGCATCGATCTTTCACCAGCTGGAGAAGGCTTGGAAGCTGACTTGATGTGTGATTTACCTTGCAGCTGCCCGCTACACGTCGCAGATGGTGCGCCTGCTCCGAGACGTCAACGCTGACGCGAACCCCGTGGGCTTGTACCGGTCCTGCTTCCTTGGAAGCTTCCTTTCGACGTCCATCGTTGATGGCATGGGCGCGATCTCTGGGCTGATGGAACGTGACAGTGCGAGCGGCAAAAATAAGGGTGTTCTCCTGATCCATGACCTGGCCCAATCGGCCATTGGAAACACCGTCGTCAAGGCGTACCGCCTCTCTCCATCCTTCATCGACGCTCACCGACGCACAAAGTTTACGGCCCAGAACCTCATCGACCACAAGCTCACCTTTTCCAACATCCTCCAGGAGATTCCCGTCTCGCTGCACAACACGGCGCTCCTCGACGCATTCCTTGCCACGCTCTCGACCCCCGTGCCCCGAGGACCTGCGTTGCTGCCACCGACCAGCGCTCAGTTGCTCGCCCACCCTCCCACGGCACCCATTACCCACCCACACTCCCTCCTTACCTTGGCTCATACGCCTGTTCTTTCCTCGTCGCTCGAAGCAACACTCGAGGCCCTCGACGAACACTCCAACGAGGCTGGTGTCGTGGGCTACCAGAGCCGCCAGCTTGCGCGCGAGAGGACCCGGGCCGATGCCTATCTTGCACGCAAGAAGGCCGAGAACGCCGCACGAGAGGCGCAGGGTTTGGCTCCGCTTCCCATCGAGGACGTCAACCGGCTGTTCAAGCTGCCGGCCGAGCCTAGCCGACTCGAGAGCACCATGCTTCTCGGCCAGCTCGACGAGAGCAGCAAGACGCTCGCCGAGATCAGCGCGCTGGCTGCTGTGCAGCTTCATGCGGCCAGGACGGGTGCTGTCTGATGGCCCCTTCTCGCTGCCCCCCTCATTTCTCTCCCTCTCGTGTACAATACCTCAACGAAAAATTAAATGAGCCTTAGGGAGACAGACACCGACCTAACTTTTACTGGACGCAAACGCTGTGTATGAGCTGAGAGAGGAGGGGTCCCGCGACATATTCATCAAGGCTTCTGGCCTTTTAAGATCTTGGAAGCTCGCCTTTTTCTTTCTGCAGTATGAAGATCGGTCAGGTGAAGTGTCAAAAGTCGACGCCGAAGAGCAAGCCAGTCAACTTGTAGAAAGTTTTTTTTGACCCTGAAATCACGGTGGCTCAATCTTTTTGTGCAAGCCAAGAACATCAGCGCATTACTGAAGAAGAGAAAGCAGAGTTGGAGAGCATTGACGGTGATTGATGAAAAGGTGAAGGGAGCAGCGGAGGCTACGAATGTCGGAAGCCTTGCTTCAGACGAAGAAGGCGCCGACGAGGAGGGACAGGCCCACAGCGCCGTACTGGACCCAACGAGAGGGCGTGTCGAGGCCCAGCGAGGCGCCATCGCTCTTTCCGGCGGCACTCGAAGTGGCGGCAGGGGCGCTGCTGCTCGATGACGAAGCTGCCTGGCCGGTCGCGGCGCTCTGGAATTGGGCGAAGGTGTTGGCACTCGGCGGGTTGATGACCATGACCATGCCCTCGCTCTGTCGTTGAGTGTGCGTGTGCGGCTCGCCTTGTCAGCAGACTCGCCACAGTAGCGGTGAAAGAACAATGAGAAAGGGGGACTGACCTGGCAGTGAGGACCGCAGTGAATGTAGACGGGGTCCGTGCTGTTAATGGGCAGTGTGTAGCTGGTGCCATCCATCATGATGGCGGTACCAAAAGCGCCGCGTTGGCATGCACCCGCTGCGTCCGAACCGGCCGATTGCACCACATTGTGGATCGAAGCGTGAAATTGGAACACGACTGTGTCACCCTGACCGGCAGTAACGGTGTTGGGAGCAAACTGTAGGGAGGGTCCTCAGATTCTGGACTGCGCCTCAAAAGGAAGGGGGCAATTTTGCTCACACTGTATCCGCCGTCTTGTCCCACTTGGACCATCTGAGTCGCGGCCATAACTTGACTCGCCGCGAAGGCAGAGACGCTGAGGAGTGTCTTAACGAAAAGCATGCTTGAAAAGGTAGTTGTAAGATGCGAGAGAGAGAGAGAGCTTGGGGAGGTCTACCTAGGAGGATGTTCGGCCTGGGATCTACCCATTATTAATACGCTACGGTGCGTTTGACCAGCTGAGACCAGACCTTGTCCGGCACCTTCTGCGCAACCGCCTACGGAGGTCTCTCATGCCACTACATCATATAATAGTGGTCCGAGCGGGGTTGGCCTAACAACCGGGTTCTGCTAAGATGCCCGCGGAATTCTCTCATACCAGCCGGTACCCTCAAGTGGCGTCCAGGGCGAACGCATGAGGCCTTTTCGAAATTTATTTCTATCGCCGGGCAGTAGTGAGAAATGCGCTATTATTTTTGACCTTTTGGCTTGGAGGCACCAAAGTGGCCTGACTGGAAGTGGCCTGACCGAGGGCGGGCGATAGACTCCGCTTCCATAGAGAGATCTATATGGCTGTACACCAATTGCTCGATCTCCGCTTGGAACACGGCCGCACCGTAAGTGAGCGTGTGGGTAATAACGATAAGCAATTGGCTTCCTCTCACATCCCGAGAAAGGCTTGTGGCGCCTTCGGCTTGCGACTGAGCTCGACTTCCGCCCTACTTCTGCCAGCCAACGGCATCAATGGTCTCTGTTATACTAACAATAGCCCTGTCATCTCGGCAGGCTCGGTTCCAAGCTCCCAGCTATCCGTGATGAGCTCTACTTACGGTTGTGCGGCGTGACAAGCAGGATAAATTCGGAGAAATTACAGAGCGGAGGGTGCTGTGAAGGTCAAACCTTCGAACGGTGCAGCAGTCACATTGGTCTGACCGTGACTGTGACGCTGACCTCTAAAGACAATTGAATGAGAACATCGATTGAGAAAATGTTGGTTCACTATGGGGAGAGCGAGGCGCGACGAGGATGCGTAGCGGCCTTCAAGTGATGTAGCATTTTGACGTGGGTGCAATGCGAATGTGTGGACGTTGTAGGCAGGAAGAAGATTTCTGATCTCATCACTGAACCTCCTCCTTCTCCTCAATTCCCTCTCAAAGACTACTGAAACTACAGCTTGAGCATGTTGAAGTCGTACTTGACCCCGCTCTTGATCGTCTCGTCGTACGTCTTTCTGTATGCTTCCCTCTCTTCGAGGCGTTTGAGCCACGCCACGACCTTTGGAAAATCAGATTCACCGTCCTTGATGCCGACTTTCTTGACGATGACGTACTCGCAGCTGAACGCCACGGCAATGTCTCTATCGGTAGCTTCCTGAGTCAACACGGAGCTCACCATAGGGCAAGTGAGACAGTTTAGAACTCACGCAGCAGTGAAGGCATCACCACACAGGTACTGGCCCTTTTGAAGAGCTTCCTCGGCAAGGGCAAGATCTTTGTGCACGTTGCCCGAGGCCTTGTCGGCAAAATTCTCCACTGCGCCCTCGTCGCCTGGCCTCGCGAACCACTGTGCATAGATGATGGGGAGGCTGTGCGTCATGATCGTTTCCGCAAAGTCGATCCAGCCAATCACGGCCGTGCGTGCTGCAAAGTTGTCCGTGGACGGGAAGAGTGGTGAGCCGGGCTTGTAACGCTCGGCCAGATATCTGTCATTGCGTTTCGTCACGGTTGGAAGGTGTCCATCTCTTCAAGTGCAAAGAGGCGCAACGGTAAGACTTACTGCATGCAGTTGCCGCTCTCAACAACGGAGAGCTCTTCGCCCTTGGGCCCCGCGTCCTGGATGCAGGGCGATTTGCCGAGCGTGTAGCCCGAATCCCTGGCCATCTCGGGGACTGCCTTCTTGCCTTCGATGCGTGGGTAATAGCGGACGTTGAGGTCGACGCCAAGTTCGTTTGCGAGCCATGCGACGCGGAATGCCCGCGAGTTCTCCAAGCAAAACAGCGTAGGGGCTGGCATACTGTGCAAAGTCATTCACCTGTGCAAGAGGATGGGACGAACGAGACCTTGCCCGGGGCTGTGGAGAAGAAAATGAGCGCTCTCAACTTGCGCTCTTTCTTTACGAAGAAAGCGGAGGTGGAGGGAGATTTCTAGCGCTCAAGACTTCTTCGCGTTACAAGCTCCAGATATTCCAAAGCGCGAGACGCTCATGGTACGGTAATGAAGCGCTCAAGGAGCATAATCTCTTCGTGAATGTGATCCAATTGCACGAACGTCTGAGACTACATAGGGCAGGTGGACAGGACTAAGACTTTGGCAGCTTCGAGTCAGCAGCTTGGACCTGCTTATCGTTCTTGAGAGCGTCGAGCCACTTGTTCACGTTCTTGTATGGGCTTAGGTCGATTTTGCCAAATCCAGCGATGTTTACCCAGGGGTAGAAGGCGAAGTCGGCCAAGGTCGGGCGATCGAGGGCAATCCACTGCGATCCGCGCTGAGCCTGACGAGCGAGCTGGTCGTCAAGGATCTGGTAAAGGCGGTGCGTCTCGCCCTCGAAGCGCGTAAAGACTGACTTGCTCGCCTTCTCGCCGTAAGCGCCCTCCCAGTCTGTCGTGATACACTGCATTAGCTTCCTTTCTACAAAGCGGCGCACAGAGGCATAACTGACAGTGGTAGGCAAAGTTGACATTGCCCTGGACGGGTCCGAGGCCGCTGAGCTGATGCGTCAGCCATTGCATGACAATGGCCTTCTCCTCTACATCTTTGCCGTAGATCGAGCCCGTCTTGTCGTACTTCTCTGCCAGGTACACCATCGTGGCTCCCGATTCCCAGATGCAGAAGTCGCTGTTGTTGTGGTCCACCAGCGCTGGCACACGGCCATTGGGATTGACCTTGAGGAACTTCTCGCCCTTTACGCCCTTCTCGGGGTCATCACCGAAGTCGAGGGCTACGACTTCGAATGTGAGGCCGAGCTTCTCCAGGACGAGGGCCGTCTTGAGCGGATTGGGGCCGGGGCCGCGGTGCGAGTAGAGGGTGAATTGAGGTGCCATGATTGGTTTCTGTTTTGACAATGAAGACGATTTTGAGTTCCAATCGTCTTTATATACGGGAAGCACTGGGTCCCGAGAGGGTTAGTAACCTTTGACTTATGTGGCACACACACGAACACCCGAGTTTCTTCACTTCTCAGCGGTGGAGGCCTGGAAATCCTCTGTCCGAACCCCGTTGTCCGTTAGACTAATTAACGCACGTTCAAGAAGCGAGGGCACCCAGGGAAAAGGGTGGGAGGAAACCCGAGTGGGGCCAAGTGGAGTAGACCCATTACTTGCAGATGCTATGCTACCTTCACGGTATGGCCGAGCGGCACGAAATTAGCTTGCTACCAGATCACTATCAATCACAGAACCTGTACATTCGACGGCACCCCATGACCTCGGAAGTAGGAAGAGATTCCAGCCGCTCATCAAGACACATTATAGATTTGAGAAGATCCTGAGCCCGAGACGCTAGGTGGCTTCGGTGCGGGATATACAGCTCGTGAGCTCGAAATAAAGGTAGCTAGCTGCCTTTCCTGGGCTGTGACGGCCTTTGCTCGCTGCTTATGTGGTTTTGGCACCAGCTCAAGAGAAGCGCGCACGTGCGCCGACGCGCCCGCCCAGGCTAGAATTTCAATTGTCCAAAAAGTGTTGTTCGGATGAACCAACTCTACCACTACTGACCGGCAGCAATCTTCAGACTGTAGCAACCCCCTTCACGACTGCGCTTGACCGTACAGACAGCCAACATGACGGCCCGAAAGGCTTCGACGGAGTCGGCGGGCGTGGGAGCTGGCAAACGAACGAGACAGACACGATCGAACGCTACTTCGCGGAGCAGCGCAGCCTCGTCTGCGGCCAACTCCACGGCGAGCCCGAGCTCGAGCAAGATGAGCTCCTCAATGCCCAAAAATTCTACTACCACGCCGAAGACCAGGCCAACTCCGAAAGCAACCACAGCGAAGGGACCTCCAACGAGTGCGCTGGCGAGGGCCAGAGCGATTAGCGCCAACAGGGGCGACACAAAGACCCAGACAGCAAAGACAGCTGCTAGCCTCACTAACAAGGCCTCTAATTCATCGTTATCACCTATCAAGCGCGCAAAGACAAAGTCCTTCTCCACCGACGCGGACAAAGAGGACAGTGAGCCACTCAAGGTAAGATGAGCTTCACCGCTCTAGCATGACCAGCTACTGATAACAAGCGACGCAGGCATTTCTAAGGATTCGGCCAGCACCTCAGGATGGAGTCGAACAGGACCCCTACATCCAGGTTATCAGCGAAACCGAAGTGCTCATGACCCCTCCAAAGAATGTGAGCTTGATTCAGCTTGTGTACCATGCAGAGGGAAAGCGGAAGCTCACCCATCGAGACAGCCCTCGATGCCCATCTCTGCGTCGCGAGCGCGCATTCATGCCATGGCACCCCCAACAAAGTACGCCTTCTCCCGCGTCTTTCCTGGTGAAACATCCGTGTCCCAGTCTTCCTTTTTCAAAGACACGACCCTACCCATGGTTGACGGCCTGCTTCAAGGCGAAAGCGGCCTCGTCTTCACGTACGGTGTCACAAACAGCGGCAAGAGCTACACCGTCCAAGGAAGCAGCGGGCCAGGCCAGGCTGGCATCCTTCCTCGAAGCATGGACGTTATTTTCAATAGTATCAAGAGCCTTGAGAGTGACTCGGACATTCGACCTTACGGCTTTTCTGGCGTCGGGGTTGTGCCTCCCGAAGAAGCCGCTCAACAGGCTACTACTTCCAGACCTTTCTTCAACCCCTTCTCTATCCCAGGCTTGACCAAGAGATTGCCGGCAAACGACAAGACCTTCGCCCTTCATGAACACGATGATACGACGGTAAAGGTGGACCGCAACTACCGCTACAGCGTTTGGGTCAGCTACGTCGAAGTCTACAACGAGAAGATTTTTGACCTGCTCGATGCTGCCCCGCCTGCGACGACAACGAGCGGAAGGAGTTCTATGATGGGTATGACCCGCAGCAGCTCCCAATTAGGCTCCAACTGGTCGATTTTCAACACGGCCAACTCGCCTGGGGACGGACCCATCCTCCTGCAGAGGAGGCCGCTGGCCCTGAAAAACGATGCAGAAGCAGGTTCAAAGTATCTGGCCGGTTTGCGCGAGATCAAGGTCAGCTCGGCTGAAGAGGCCCACGAGATCCTCCGCCGAGGGCAAGAGAATCGAGCCGTCTTTGGAACAATGGCCAACCGTGCCTCGTCGAGAAGCCATGGTGTCTTCACCGTCAAGATCATTCGGCAACATGCCGGCGAAATGGCCATGCTCGGCCCCGACAAGGACGCGAGCGCATCATGCAGCGTGAGCAGACTCAGCATTGTTGACCTTGCCGGAAGTGAACGGTTGGGCAACTCCGCCGTGACGGGTGAACGACTCAAAGAGACGGGCAACATCAACAAGAGCCTCATGTGTCTGGGCCAATGCCTCGAGACACTGCGCAAGAATCAGCAGCGCATGGCCGCCTCCTTTGCCCCTATCAACGCTGTCGCTTTGTCGAGTGCTTCAACCGGCCCAAGTGCAGGAGGAGCGCGGTCTGCTCCCTCGTCCATCCCGATGGCCAGCGGTACTAGCAGCACCACCAAACGACGGCCGTCCATTGTTCCCTTTCGCCACTCGAAGCTCACCGAGCTCTTCCAGAGCTTCTTTACAGGCGAGGGAAAAGCCGTCATGATCGTGAACGCCAACCCATACGACACTGGCTTTGATGAGAACAGCCATGTTATGCGCTTCAGTGCCAATGCAAAAGAGATACAGACGACGGTGAGGGGCCAACCAACGGGCAACCTCGGCAGATTCGTCCATCCAAGCCTGAGGAGCCTCATCCCAACACCCAAGACGTCGCCGTCAAAGGCTCCGGCAGAGACGGAGGCTACCGCGAAAGCTGTGGTCGCAGGTGGTGCGGCAGCTAAAAAAGACAATGCAAAGAGGGCTCCTGTTGGTGCCGACAACAAGCAACAGCAGCAGCAGCAGCAGTCGGCCGCCGTCGTCAAACCCGAGCAGAAGCTGGACACCGAAGTCACGATCTTTGAGGGAGAGTCGACATCGGACATGTTCCTCGACGATGACGAGGCCGACAACGAGACGGACGGCTTTGTCGATCATCTCATGTCGCTCTACGAAGAGGCACGGGCCAACCTGCATCTCTCGGAGCTCCGCTGCGCCCAGATTGAGGCAGAGGTGCGCGAAGAAATGGCAGAGGAGATGGGCGCGAGGCTGCTCGAAATGGAGCGGATCTTCAACCAGCGCCTCCTCAGCGACGCAGAGCACAATGAGGAGTTTGTCAATCGAAAGCTCGACATTCTCGTCCGAGCCAACAGAGGCGAACATGAGCGACTGAGAAAGCGATTTGAGACGCCGAGAAAGCCAGTCGATTCGGACGAAGAAGAAGAAGAAGAGGAAGAGGAGGAAGAGGAAGAAGACGGCGAGCTGTCGAAGTCGCTGGGGATTCAAAGTCGACCGGACGACGCCATCGGGGATGTCGACGAAGAAGAGGATGAGGAGGAAGAGGAAGAAAGCTCAGACGATGATGAAGAGAAGGTGCTCAAGCCTGGTCCAATTGAGAAAACGAGAGCAGAAGATGCAGACGAAAGCATGGCTAGTGCCGTGAGCGGTGCAATGGACGAGTCTCTTGAGGAGCACAGCCGACTCGAGGAAGATGTCGGTGAAGAGGATGCCGACGGCAGCGATGAAGATGCGGAAGGCAGTGAAGAGGGTGACTTCGAGGGGGCGGACGAGGAAGAGGAGGAGGGATCTGACGAGCATTCCGACGAAGAGGAAGAAGACGACTTCGATGAAGAAGACGAGTCGTTCAGCCTAACGAAGGAACAAGACAATGCGAGCGATGAGGACGGCGACTCGAGCTTCGAAATCGAGGAACCAAAGAAGAAGAGAGCGAGCACGGCAAGAAAGAGCGTAGCAGCTACGCCCAAACCGGCAGCAGCAACAAAGAAGCAGGCCAAGGGCCTCTTTTCGGCTGCCCCGATGTCCGACGTGACCTCGCGTAGGGCAAACGAGACCACTTCGACGATGACGCTTGACTTGAGCGACAGTAGCGAGGCAGACCTCGTCGTCGAGAAGGGAAGCCCATCGAAGAAGAAGCGCGTTCTAGGCAAGGCAAAGAGAGGCATCGACGAGGAGGAAATCATGGACCGCGTCGGCGACAGCAGCCTCGTCGAGGCCATGCAGAGGAGCAACAGCTCCCGGCAGATAAGAGGCGCTTCTGGCGCTTCTTCATCAGTCAAGTCGGTGCGCTAGACGCCCGTGTCTGAGATTCTCGACCTTGTCTTCCAAACACATATACTTTACGGTTTCTCTCACAATTTACCACTGCTGATGTTGAGCGTGCTTTTCTCTAGTCACTTTTGACCTCCACCGATGTGCTTCTCGAGGAAATCCTTCCACTCTTTTTCCCCATACGAGGACGAAATCGATGGCTCGACGAGGCCGTTCCAGACTGTGTCTGCGTTCAGCTTCATTACAATGGCTCCAATATGAGAGTTGAACTCACTCATCGTCGGCGTGACGTGAATGCCGTTTTGACGGCCAATCTTGACCTGAAGGGACTCGAGTCAGCAACATTACGTCTTTGCGAGTCGCGGTACACTGATATACTCACGCAGTACTTGAGATCCGGGGCGACTGCACTGCCAGCATTGCCCTCAGGCTCGACTCTGACGAGATTCTTGACCGCCTGGCCCAAGGGCATGCCACGTTCATGCGACTTGACGAGCGGCTTGCCCTTTTCCCGCTTGGGCTGCTCGCCCAGCGTCGCGACGGCGAGGTTGACAAAGTCGCCACGGATTTGATCTGGGTTTTTGGTCCGGCTGGGCCCGTCAAAGTAGGCTTCCTGGTTCTTCATGACTTCGCGCGAAAAGACCCAGAAGGCATTGAGCTTGGGGTCGACGAGGTTGTTCGTCTCTTCCACGGCATTCTTGCCCGAGGGCTCGGCCAGACGAGCAATGGCAAGGGCAGCTTCCGCAAGAATGGGAGCGCTGCTGTGCCAGGGCTGCGGGTAAGGCCGCAAGATGATGCGCACCTTGCCATAGTAGGGCGACGAAGGTTCAAAGATGAGAGGAAGCAGATGTTCGTAGACGCCCTGGAGCTGCTTGTTGGAGAAAGGGCACAAGTAGTCGAGGTACATCTCAAGCGAATGAGGTGCATTGAACTCGCCGATTCCTAGCGCACGCAGAGGAGGTGGAAGAGCCATATTGGTATGCTTTTTTGGTCGATGAAAGAGACTGGCCTGGCGGTGACGGTGGAAGAGAATGCAATGGGTCGAAGATAGGTAGGCCTCCACCGAGAGGACCAACCGCCTTGCGACATATCACGTGTGTGCTCGCACGGACAGGCAAGGCCGGTTCTCTTTACGTTCGATGAAGATTGATCGTCACCCTCACGAAGAGACAAGAAGGAAAGAGATTCGGCTTTTCTGCACTGCGCATCGGTGCTCACGACAAGGGAAAAGAGCATGGCCGTCGGGAGTGGCACAGGAGCACGTGGAACGCCACGGCAGATCTTCATCGGTTGGGCGCTGCTGACCTTTGTCACCGGCAGTAGCTACTATTTCGTCAAGGTTGGCAACACGGCAAAGAAGAAGGAGTACCTGGCACGGAGACAGGCACAGGGTGAAACGAGTCGACTTCCAGTGTAGGTCAAGTCATAGCTGCCCGCTTGCTCGGCAGCACATTGAGCTGCAGATAAAGTTGGCGCTCCGACGATTGTTATCGTCATAGCCAGAAGGAAGGCCGGGGGCAAAGGAAGGACAAGATGGACGGAGTCGATGACAAACCACGACTTCCGCCCGAGCTGCTGCGCATAATATTCCAAGAGGCGGCGCGTACAGATCGCTATTCGGCTTACGCTCTCGCGTTCACATCCAAGCTCGCCTGTCACTGGACCATAAAGCAGCGATGGGAGACGGTCGTAATCACTACGGCGGCGCAATTTCTCCACTTTTGGAGAATCGTGGCAAAGGTCGATGAGGTCGTTTTCCGCGATGTCACTCGAGGGCTGGACATCACCGCAATTAGCATCCGTCCTGCTGGGAATCAGCATTTCGTTCAGCAGTGCGAGCCCATATCCTACGGGAATATTTGGAACGACGTCAAGAACGTCTTCATTGATCTATCAGCGTCGATGTCGATCAATACACTCTGCTGCGACATAAGGTCCGTCTGTCGTATCAAAGGGCATACCTTGACGTTCGCGAAAGGTAGCTCAGGCACGAATGTGGCCGAGACGCTCGAGCCAGGTCGAGTCCTCACACTCCTGCCGGCGATCCGGATCCTGGCGTTGGGCCCTGAAGAGTCGACCGAACTAGTCAGACAAGAGCTGCTGGACGATCTTTCTGTGTCAAGCTATCTCGGTGCCCCGACAAGACAGACAAGGAGGGAGTCGGTACACTTTCCACAAGTGAGGGAGCTGTGGGCTGTGTTGCGCGGCGGCTATAGCTCCACAGAGCTCGGATGGGATCGTCTCAGAGGGATCACGACGGGCATAGTCGGCGCTGCACCCCATCTGCGCCGAGTGTACCTCACTGGCGTAGATGCTACATCGCCGCTCGCCGGTGTTCCCCTGCCTCACTTTGACGGAAACGAAAACGACCACTGGCGCCTAAATCCTAGCCCTCAAATTAGCCATTTGCGGTACGACACGAGGAAATTCAGTTTCAAGCCAGTCGAGAGCACCGCATTGAGGCTCCGTCCATTCCTCCAAGAGGTCACCTTCGAGGTTGCCGTCGATGCCGGGCCACAAATGGATGAGCCGGCAAGCTTCTCGCACACCGGACCAAGGCATGCTGCCCCACCGCGAGGGGCAGGCAGGAGCGCAGCTATGACCCGCAGCTCCTTACCGCGTCTGCAACCCATCGAAAGCCATCATGGGGAGCCGGCAGCCGACACATTGCTCAAGGAATCGCATCCTGGTCGCCTGGAGTTTGTCCATCTCGCGTGGGACCCTATTGAAGGTCCAAAAGAGGACGACGTACCTTGGTTCAGAAGAGCTCGCTTTTCTTCAGGCGAGGAAGACCGCACATCGGACGAAAAGGGCGTCCCTGGTGATTCAGAGGCAAAGGGCAGGACCAGCGACGCCTTCGACACTGGCGGATGGCCTCGGGAGAAGAAGGGCGCGTGGACAGAGAGATCGGACCGGGACTTGGCCCCTTCTTTTGCCGTTGAGCTTCGCGATGCCATTGCTGCGCTCTATGGCTGGGACGCGCCGGGGATCGAAGCGGCTGGTCGCATGCAGACCCAGATAAGGGCATCAGGAAAAGACGATGGGCGAGGAAGGACGAATGTAGTGTTCAGCGCAGACGGCGCCGGCGACTTTGTCCAAAGAATCCGCTTGGGTCTGAAGGATAAAGACCGCGAGGCACTTGGAAGACTGCAGGCCTTGCTTGATGAACGTCTCGCAGAGCAAGGACTGATGAAAAAACCGAGACTCCACTATGGAGTCAAGGCTCCGCGATCCGTCGTCCACCTCGGGGGGGCCGCCTACTTTGAACTGAAGCAAAGGATCAAGCTCTTCGAGGAGAGAGCAGGAGGCGGCAAGGGTCCTTGGCCTTGAGCTTCTCCTTCGAATGCCTCGATTCGGCTGCTTGCAGGCGCGCGGGGACAAGGCATACATACATTACAGGATCTGTGTTTTGCCATAGCATCGTTGTACTAATAGCATGCATCACCACTCAATGGCTTCTCGACACTAGAAGTCCACCCACTTTGCTTTGAACGCAAAGCCTCGTACCAATTACCGGTGTAAGACGCGACGTACGGTCGGTGAAGGCTTGACGAGGGAGAAATCAACAACAAATTTCCACGTGATTGACGCGTCCACAGACGGGTAGAGAGACGGCGCGGAGTGTTGGTCTGCCTTGTCTTGCACCGACACGACCCATTGAACATCAAGATGGACGACAGCCCTCGAAGGTCGCCCAGAGGCCAGGTGCGCCGCTCTATAGGGGCACCTGTTCCCCTGTCTTCCTCGTCAGTATCCAACTCTTCCTCGACGAGGATCCCATCTACCAAGCGGAATTCAATGGCGCCCTCATCTTCGACGAACGAGAACAAAGATAGGCCCCACAAGCTGTCCAGACACAGCATAGGAGGCGAGAAGCTTCGAAGAGAAGACCTTGACGCGGAAGCGACAAGCCGTCGTCATGTGGTGGGTGGCGATTGTTATAGCGCAACGGTGAAATGGACTACTGACAATACATAGCAGCCGGGTCCGCGCAAGTCGTCGATCCGCTCGGCCCCACCGCAGAAGTTTGAGAGCCCAACCAACCTGGAAATTCCACCGGTCCCTATCAAGCGACCATTGGTCTCCTCTTCTTCGCTGGGAAGCATCGAAGCGCTGGGGGGTGCTGAGCTGGTTGAAATGATGGACCTGGCTGTTGCCACTTCACCTGGAAAAAGCCGGAACCGAACGAGGAAGAGCGCCTCTTCGGCATTGAGAAACGTCACAACCAATCTGACCTCCTACGGTTCCAAAGCGGACAGAGACGAGGGACCTCTGGATGAGCCCACTGAAGTGCGCCGGCAGAGAAGGGTTACCTTCAATCCCATTCAGGAAAAGACGTGAGTGTGAATTTTCTGAGCTTCTCATGCTAGCTCTGAGTGAACCTGGCGCAATGCACAGAGCTTTCGAGCGAGACGAGCCAACGATGCGTCTGCGACCCATCGGCGAACCGGAGCCCATGCCTCCCGCCGATGAATCGCTATCGACATCGCAAGCTAGCTCAAATGGATCATCCAACATGGATATCGACAGTGACAGCGATAGCGACTCTGACTCTGACGACTTAGATTCTGATTCTGAGTCCGAGGAAGAGGAGGAGGTGGATCGCGCCCTGTCCACCGAACCAGTTGTGGCACAGGCAGTCACAGTGACGGGCGGGCGAAGAGAGGATCCTACCGGCGACGCGACGATGGACAGCGACATGGACCTGACGTCGGCTTACATGCGCGACTCGACCAGGCATTCGATGCAATCGGAGGGCGACAGCGAGGAAGACGACGATGACGGGAGCGTTACGATGGACTTCACTGTTGCCCGTGGGCGGTCTCTCAATGATACCCGTGTGAGGCGCGCTTCGACCCTCCACAATGATGACACTATGGACACGGAGGCCGACGAGGGAGACACGATGGAGCTTACGGGGACTTTTGGAGGAGTCAGACATAAGACAAGACGCAGTAGCGTCGGGCTTCTTGGGCAAGGGGAAGGTGATGAACAGTCAATGGAGTTCACACAGCCCTTGGGCGAGCTAGAGGAGGAGAGGGAAGACGAGAGCCCTGGAGATCTCGGATCCGAAATTGACGACGACGACGCGAGCTCGATCGACATGGATGTCACGGGCGATGCGACAGGCATGGAGATGACACAACTCCACGGGCGTATTATCACTTCGCCGACGAAGCGAGTGGTGACGCAACCTGCCACACTACCGCTTAGCATGCGGCACCTTTCGTCCTCACCAGACAAGAGACAAGCAACGACGATTCATGTACCGCACTCGAGCTCACCGTCAAAGACACCTCGAGCGCAGCTCAATGTCTCTCCGACTTCACCACATAAGCACCCTTACCTGTTGCCCCAGACGACGTCCACAGCATCAATCAAGAGAGCTTCGAGAGTGTCAGCACCGACATCTCCGTCTCGAAAGGGGCATGAGTACTGCAACAAGTCAGTGGAAGAGACACCTCCACAGAAGATGATGAGTGAGGCCACGCGCAAGTCCTTAGCGAGGCGGGAAGGCTCCTCTACCCCGACAGCAAAGCACCACGCGAATTCCTCATCGGTCACTGAGACCAGCTCGTCTCCCAACAAGCAAGCAAAGAGTCCGACGCGGTTCCGTCAGTCACTGCGAGGAGGTCATCCTTCGCCGGGTTACGTCCATTCCCCAGCCCGACGCATTTCAGTTCCTCGACCTTTGGACCAACCTCCGATCAATCCAGGATTTCCGACACCTCGACCGCTCCGCACGTCGCATCGAGCCAGCGAGGTCCATGACAGCTCAATTGCGCCTGCTCTCGACTCGGAGAGTCTCCCTCAGACAAAGCCCGTTTCGATGAAAGATTTCTTTGAGAAGATCGACGTCGGCTTTCTCGAGCTAGATCGACCTGTCAAGAAGCCATTGACAGCTAGGCCATCGGGCCAAGACCGCGTTGACAATAGCAGCCGGATGGTTCAAGCAACAGCGGGCGTTCTGCCTATGCTTGACTCGCTGCTCGAAGCTTGCGAGGTGATCAAGCAGACTGTCGACGATGGCCGAGATACGGCAGCAGAACATGAGAAGAGCTTTGTCGCACGACCACCAGCATACGTCGGAGACTTTCTTGCCATCACTTCTCCAACAGACAAGGCTAATGCGATTGCGTCGTTCAAGGTTCAGAAGTCGGCTGCGAGAGCAAGGGCGAGAATGTCTTACTACGGCTGGCGAGCAGATATCCAATTCGACGACGGAACCCTGCAGCGGCTGCGAGACGCTCGCGAAGGTCTGCACGAAGATCTTAAAGTCATTGACAACGGCAAAGCGCTGGTGGGGCGCGTTCTGCCGAATTTGAGAGAGCGACATGCGGAGCTCAAGAGACAGCTGGAACTCGAGAGGAAGCGAAAGGCAGCAATCGAGGGCGGGGATCAAACGGCTATGATGACGATGCATAATGACATTGAGGAGGTTGCGTGAGTTACATGCTGTGCTGCAGCTTGGTTGGTTTAATTGACGCGCTGACCTCTTTTGTAGTGGCTTCCTTCGCGAGTACGAGGCAGAATACAAGAATCGAAAGGAAGAGCTTTCTCGGGTCAGGGCGAGACTAGCAGAGCAGCAGGACAAGCAAAGACTTACGCGAGACGCCATTGACGAGGCACATGAAGCCGCCGAGGCGATCCGCGACTGCACAGAGTCCGAAGCGGAGAGGCTCGCCAGAGAAATCCAACAGCAGGAGATGCTGCATGGGTGGAAGCTCAAGAGACTCGACGGTCGTGTTCTCGATATGGTCCTTGAAAACCGGGTTGAAGTCCGCTTCGACATTAGCCCAACCACGGGCTCGTTAAAGACCTTGAGACTACAACCCGCCAAGGGAAGCACTTTCGACATTTTTGAGGAGTTCACTAGTGAAGCCCTTTCCCGGAAGCTCGTTGCTGAATCTCGCACCCTTGATTCAGAGTGGAAAGTCAACGAGGTGAGCAGAATTGCAGTGCCACTTCTCTCCAGCAAGCTGACAAAGGTGCACGCAGGCCATTCGGATTGTCACGGTCGCCTGGGTCCGTCGACGCCAATTGGCCTGGATGCGAGATCTCCTCACCTCGCACTTCCCGACCGATGTCGACATGCATGATGGGCACATACGCCTCTGTGCGACCGTGCTGATGCCAAAAGTGAAGTCGAAGGTCTTCATTAGGGTGCTGTGCGGACTTCAATCGCTCGTCGAGACGTCGGAGCCGCTTTTTGATTCGAACAACGTCTGGGTGGACAAGATTTACGGTCCAGTCGAGTGAGTTTCTTATCAGTCTCCGCCAAGGTTCGTAGCTGACTTCTCCGCCACTCTTATAGTACTGAAACTGTGACCAGATTGATTCGCGACCGTCTGACGACTTGTGACCTGGCAACGGCCTGCCTCGAGGCTGTGAGCGCCCTGGATGGCTAAGTGCAGACTTGTAATTATGCTGTAGTTTCACACATTGTATGCCTAGCGAATCGTCAAATATACCACAGTTGCCTCCTTTATCTGCCATGTCGTTCCAAGCATCTGCTGGCAAGCGTGCCGCCCCGCATAGACCGACGAAGCAAGGCGGGGCCAGGCACGGAACTATAGATGCGTCTGGCTGCAGGGGTCTGTCCATCCAAAAAGCCACCAACCAGTTTTGGATATTTTTCTCAACCTCTATTTTTTCAGACGGGACAAGCTTTCATTCTGTTCAATAACACCAGGGGCGCTGTCACGCTGTCGATAATCTTTCAGGCACTGCGACTCGTATCGACTACACGAGTTGCAAGAGCTCATCGCAGCAGGAGAGATGCCGTCACCGAGGATGGGCGGCCTCGCCCTGGGAGATCGGGGCGGGTCGGCGGGGGGATCAGGCTCGCCTCGTCTGCTTGGCAGTGGCGCACCTGCGTCCGTCGACAAGTCACCCTCGTCCTCGTCCGCTGCACTCGGGCTCAGGCTTGGCGGCGGAGGTGGTGGTAACAGCGGCGGAAGTAGCTCCGAGCATCAGCAACGCCACATTGGATCCGTCCCCGACGACTGGCCCATGTACTCTTCCCAGCCCGACGACTACGTCATTGGCCCCAGCATCGGTTTCGGAGCCAGCAGCACCGTGTACCAGGCCAGCTTCCGTCCTCTTAACGGCCGCGCCTGCGCAGTAAAGGTTATCGATCTGGAGGCTTTTGGCCGCGATACGGACGAGTTGCGACGCGAGACGCAGCTCATGTCCCTATCAAAGCATCCAAATGTGCTCAGGGTCCGAGGTTGCTGGGTCGAAGGAAGCAAGCTGCACATTGCCACACGCCTCATGTCCAGCGGGTCCATGCTCGATATCATGCGTTTCGGCTGGTCAGACGGTTTCGACGAGATCGTCATTGCTACAGTACTGAGGCAGGCTCTCGAGGGCTTGAACTATCTCCACATCAATGGCTGGTTGCACCGCGACCTCAAAGCGGCCAATATGCTCGTCGACGATGATGGCACTGTGTTGTTGGGCGACTTTGGCGTAGGCGTCTACCTGGGTGAAGAGCCAAAGAGCAGGACCACAAAAGGGGTCAAGGCTGAAGAGAAGGAGAATATCGACGAGGGATGGGCAGAGGGCAAACGAAAGAGCTTTGTAGGGACGGTGAGTCTGCATTTAGAGCGCGATAACAAAACACAGAAGCTGACAGGGACATATGAAGCCTTGTTGGATGGCACCAGAGGTCGTCGAGCGCAAAGGCTACGGAACCAAAGCCGATATCTGGTCGTTTGGCATTACTGCCTTGGAGCTGACACAAGGCAGGGCACCTTATTCACGGCTACCGCCGGTCAAGGTGCTCATGAAGACGTTGCAAGAGGATCCACCTACTCTCGACCGCACAGGTGGCGCACACAAGTACTCCAAAGTCTTTGATGATTTTGCCAGGCTTTGTCTCCAGAAGGATCCCACCAAGAGGTACGTTGGTTGCGATGTGCTGTATAGCGAGGAGTTCCTCTGTCTCACGCCTTTGCTCTATAGACCAAGCGCCGAGAAATTGCTCCAGCACGGCTTCTTTCGCCAAGCCAAGAACAAGAAGCACCTCGTCAGCACTGTTCTTGCTGGCCTTCCTCCGCTCGCGGAGCGACAAGAACGCCGAAGGGCCATGTCAATCGCGTCGCTGCGCAAGCAAGCCTCGTGGGACTTTGGCTCTGTTTCATCTCGCGGCGGAGGCAGTGGCTTCATTAGCACGCCCCTCCATGAGCGCTTTGATCCATTCAGCAACTTCAGTGGTGCCATTGCGTCTTCACCGGCTAGTGCAGCGGTCAGCCCGACGACTTCGGCGTTTGCAAGCCCCCAAGGTAGCTTGGGGAGGTCTTCATCGGCCGCGGCAGGTCTGCCGCATCATCACCCTCACCCTCTGATGTCGTCGATGAAGCTCGTCTCAATCGATGGTCATCATGCCTTTGTGGAAGAAGAAGAGGCAGACATCGACAAACTTGCTGAAGACTGGAGAAACAACAGCGGTAGTAGCCACGTCGTCTCGTCGCCGAATCGGGCGAGAGCGAACAGCGCGGGTAAGAGGACTAGCAGAGGCGCATCGGCGCACAGAAAGTCGGTCTCGTTCGATGGCGACGCAGTACAGGAGGAGGAAGAGCAGCCAGATAATGGACTAGAGACGCATTCGCAGGCCCCGCCGCCTCCTTCGGCGCCGCTAGGGTCGGCATTGGCCCCGATCGATGAGGGAGCGGATGCAGCAAAGATGCAACGACAGGGAAGCTCGGAAGAAGGAAAGCAAGAGCGAGACACCGAAAATGGTGTCTCAGCCAACGGTAACGGTAAAGCATCCTCGAATGGCTCGACGCAGGGCGAGAACAGCTCAACGCAAAACAAAGGCAAGGCAGTCAACACGACCGCGGCTGCAGAGAGGAAGTCGTCGCCAAAGGGACCGTCGAGCGGTCTTTCCTTGGGTCAGGCAGCATCTACTGCAGGCGGAGGAGGAAGTACAAGTGTCCTGGGCAAGATCTTCCGGTCTTCGTCGAAGGAGAAAGAGAAGTGAAAATCCTATACTTTCGGTGCACTTGCGCTTCCTCAACGGAAGGCGTTCAGATTTGTCGGCGAGGTCTACTTCCCTATTTATAGGTCCTATGTTTCAACCTTAGCATATGAACGGCTTGTTCTCTCACAACATCACCTAATGCTTCCCTGACCGCAAATTGTACAACAAGGTGATCGCAATCACAATTCAGAATAATCGCAATGCTCCAGTGGTTGCAGGACCTTTGCGATCTGAATCGAAGCTGAAGCTAGGCCTTACTTCTTCTTGGTCATCGTAATGGTCCTCTTTGCCGGGTCCGTCGTGCGCGTGACCCGGATCGTGTCGCCAACCTTGAGCGTGCCCTGGGCCTGACAGGGAGACGAGAGCATCCCGAAGCACGGTTTGCCAATCTTGGCCATTTCTGGTTGCACCTGCCGAAACTTTTGGAGTACGAGGTAGGGAATGTGAGGGTCTCGGACTCCCTTTAGAGAAAGTTTCATGACGGTCATTAGCCTCCCCGCGTCTTTGTGAAGGTCAAGGGAGAGGCACTCACAGTCTTTGGGTCAACAGAGGGAACGAGACATCTGGCGCACCGGATGCAGCATTCGATCCCAATACCTTTTCCTTCGACTTGGCTTCCGAACCCTAGCCCTTTCTTGGCCTCGGTAGGCGAAAAGACTTCGATGTGCGTCCAGGAGTCCTCTTCCCATGGGACGAGGCCTTGGCTTTCTTGCCAGTGGCCGTGTTCGCCCGCTTCTTTCTCGATGGAGCCGGGCGCGCTGGCGTCACCGACGAGGATGTTTGGCCGGAAGCGCTCAATCTCAAATTGTGCAAGTACCTCTGGCGTCCAGTACTCTCTCCGAACGCCGTTAGGGACCTTGTATGCCGTCACTTTCTCTTTCTGCGCATCTGTGCTACCTTGCGATGACACATCCCACCCACCCGGAGGTACTTTCTCTCCGCTCGCACTTTGAGATTCCGGAGTGGCAGCCGAAGAAGCATCAACTTGTCCGGAATTGGTGTCGCGAGGCCGCGGCTGCTCGAGGAGCGATGAGGAATGGACGGAAGCGAGGAGCGTCTCGCGGACGTGCTGCAGCGAGGCACTTGTAGCGACCAGCAAAGGGTAGAAGTCCTGTCGCGAATGAGTAGCTCCAGTCAGTGACATCTGGGCTCGGGAAGCTAGAGGGGAGGCATCTTACCTGAAAGTGCATAGCAGACTCGTCACCCCGCGGGTCGTCCAGGCCCGCATTTCTTCGCGCAGGACCTTTGCGGACGAGCCGAACTTGTTTACCAAAGAACGTCGTCAGGGCCGCATCGGCTTCGGCGGACACGGCATACCCGTCGACCTGCGTGCCCCACAGTTCAATGTCCTTGATGAGCTCCATCTGCTCAACGTCTGCGCGAGCGGGCTCAAGGGGTGTCTCGACAATCGTCGCGCTGCCTTGGCCCTCTTCAGCGTTGGGCACCTCGATGCGGAGCAAATTGGCGGCAACGTCCATGCTGGGCGAGATCGTCACCATTTTGGGCAGATCGCGCGCTGTTTGGAACTGGGGTCAGGACGGAGCGCGGGTGAGCAAAAAGGTCCGACGTGGAGGGAGCAGGGAGAGGCGGAAGAAAGAGAAGCTACCTTGTGAGTTTTGGCATCGATGATGAGCCAGGATCGGTCGTAGTGCAGTCCACCTTCGTCAAAGTGAGCCTCTTGGACGGAGGTGCCGCGACAAGACTTGATGGGGTGAACAAAGAGGCGCTCGATACGGAGCTGTTTCGTCCAGAGATAGATGCATCATTCGTGAGCCACAAGTTTTGCTCGCTCGAGGAGGGAACCTCACCTCTTTGTTGATGGATTCGGCATGCTCGGGCACGATTCCCAAGGCCGTCTGCGCGCTCTCGTAGAGCCGAGATGCGGCGCTGCTTACCGCGAGCAAGGACATTGCTTGTCAAAGAGAAAGAAAGATTGGAGAGAGATTGCTTCGCTCCGCATTCGACGCGTTTTAAACTTTTGAGTGACTAGGAAGGGTCAGGAACGTAAGGTTCGGTCGTGTCCATTATCTCCGAAGTGTTGGTCTAATATCGGTTCATGTCACTCCAATATCGGATGAACCGAAAGCAGGTGGAACAAGAATAAATTATATTCAATCGGATCAGCGCCGTTGCAGAAGAACGACAAGCAAGCTGGCCAACATAGTCAGAGCACTGATGCCCCCAAAGAGGAAGAAGGGGGCGCCAGCCCTGAGATCACTCAGAAAGCCGCCCACCTCTGAGACGACGAGGATGGAGATACCACCAGTAAAGGAGTAGGCTCCTGCAATGGCTCCCGGTCTCGCCACCGCTGCCGCCTTGCCTCCATTTGATGACGATGCCGTCGCCGAAGAAAGGCGAGACTTGGCTTGTGCGCACAGGGCCAGCGACGAGACAATGGCCGAAATCTGACAGAGGCCAATGCCAGCTGCAGCCAGAAAAGCCGTCGTCGATCTCGGGTCACCGTCATTGGGGAGGCCAAAGGCGATGGCCAGGAAGCCGACAGTACCTGTGCTGCTTCCAAGCAAAAGCGAGGAAGCTGGAGAAAATGAGTCGCACAGCTGGCCGGCTGCTGGGGCAAGAAGAAGAGCCAGTAGCTGAATGACGCCAGACAGGATCGAAGCAGTGGTGAATGCCTCTCGGCACGCCTTTTTCAGCTCACTCGGCGGCAAGTCAGGCGTCGGAAGCGTGGCACATCGACCTGAGTTGTAGTAGAAGCGAGTAACGAGGAGAGGGATGAAGACGGCTGAAGTAGAGACGAGCTGTGGTTAGCCGTAGGGGGCATACATAGGGGTAGGAGGTGTCGCTCAACTTACTCGTCGCAATGGTGCACGCCCGAGCCAGGGCTCCTCCTAGATAGGCCAAGGCAAGCTGCCTGTCCTCTTTGACGAGCGCGAAGCCATGGACCATCCCTCTTGCAAGGCTGACTATCTTGCTCTTGAGTAGATTCGCCTTAGCGGCCCGTTTAGCCTGTCTCCTCTTCATCCGAAGCCTCCGAGCTTCCCTTCCCGTTGCACGGTTGATGGCTGCGATCTGAGCAGCATCCTCGTCATCCATAGCAGTCTGCTCTGCTTCGGTTATCAAAGCCTTTTGTCCCGGCCTGTCCATCTTGAGTCCGGAGGCGAGGACAAGTGCCACGACGAGGGCGAGCAGGGAGACGATCCAGTAGGCTTCTCGAGTTCCCTTGCGTACCCCCTCATCATGACCATCTGCAGGGTCCGGCTCGGTAGATCTGCGGTCGTGAAGCGATGCCAACCAGGTTGGCAGTCGCAGGAGGAAGAAGACGGCGAATAAAGCCCCCACTCCCGTCGACAGGCCAGCCATGGCTGCCAATCGACCGTGCGTCGCTTTGGCGGCGACCCTCGGTCTGTCTCCCAACAAGGCGGTTTCTTCGGTGGCTTCCTCATTCTCTGCCCTCTCCCGGTCTTCGATCACTCTCTCTTCCCTTGAGCTGGCCGAGTATGAATTCAAGATGCCTGTGACGGAGAAAATGAGCGGTGCTTGAAACAACAGGGCAGGCATGCTCTTTTCTCAGTTCTTCACTCACCCGTGAGCATGGCAGTCACTGCTGAGCCTCCGACAGCAAAGACCAGACGGGTCCAGAGTAGATCAGGCCAGGGCTTGGCCGCGAGGGTGAAGCTCGCCAGACCGATTGAGATGAAGACGTAGCCAGCCACCGCTACGGGCCTAGTCCCGACAAGATCGGCCAAGCTGCCCCAGACGAGAACGAGAATGATGCTGAGCAGCTCATCTGAGAAGACCAGAGTACCGCTGAGGGACCCCTGCCGCTTCGTCTCGCCCAGCTGCGAGATGAGAAATGGCTGGCTGCTGTTGAGGAAGACGAGAAAGAGAATTGAGCTCATCGAGTGGAGCAGAAACGAAGCGAGATTGAGAGGCGTCACGCTCGGCGCTACGCCCAAGCTGGCGTGCCATCTTGGTGGTGCTTCCGTGCTTGGTCGCATCCTCGTTCTTGTCGCCTCAGTCGCCATCGTGAGCCCACCCTTGTCCCGCACCAGCTGGAAACGAGCAGTCGTGGAGGCTGGCCGACGGCTATCTGATCAGCTTCGCTCAGCCATGGCCCGAGCGAGAGAAGCTGAGGCCCTTGGGCTTCCTGCCCCACGTGCGCTCGCCTCTCACGTGTCGAGATCCACTTTAGCTCGCTCGAGATGACCCTCACCCAAGTTCACAGCTCGCCTCGCCCCCTCGCCCTTCCGCCTTCGCAAACCAACCTTCGGAGGTGCATCGCAGTACACCACAACACGAAGCAGACTCTTCGCCAATTTCTAGAAACTTCACTTCTTTTCTTGGCTCTTGACAATGTCAGGTTGGGGCTCTTGGCTGTAAGTGCTCGCAGACGCCCACACTAAGTATTACCTTGCTGACCCCATGAGCGATGCTCCCTTTCCCCTATTCCCAACACTGCCTGTTGCACTCTTGATCATTCGAACAAAAAAGTGGTGGCGCTGACGCGGAAGCGGACGCAAAGCCCAACTTCAGGGCGGTGACGGACCGTCCTCAGGATGAGCTCTACGGCCAGCTTGAGCCGGCCGACCTGGAATGGGCGTGCGCCGGCGGCTTCGCGACCGAGACGCAGGTTTGGTACACTGTGCTCGAAGATGGTGCTCTGGCGTCGAGCCAGATTATTCACTCTTCCATCGGGTGAGCTGCTTGCGGATATCTAACTCGCTGCTCATGAGCGAAGTCATTGACTCCTAAGAATATGACAGCCTGTGGTACCCGCAGATCCAAATCACGTTCAAGTACTTCAACCCAAAGACAGGCCAGAAGGTGTGGAAGTCGACGGCTGTCACGCACTTTGTCACGCCTCCCGGCCAAGGCGTGGGACGGGACAAGTCCAAGAGCTACGACAAGCGGTCGTGCAAGGCCGACCAGTTCACCGTCCTCTTCGACGAGCACCCTGATGGATCCGAGAGCTACACCATCGATGCCAACATGGACACGGATCTGCAGTTGTCGTACACCTACACCCGCCCCGCTTCGTGCCCTGGGTGGAAGCTGGGAAGCGGACCAGAGGGCAGCAAGTCGTACTTTGGCACCAACACTGCGTCGCCCGACGGCTACGTGCTCCACAAGTTCTGGCCCCGCGTGACGACGTCTGGTCACATCATCTACAAGGGCCAGGCAATCGATGCAAAGGGTACCGGCGTCTTTATCCGAGCCATTCAGGGCATGCGACCGAACCTGGTAGCCTCGCGCTGGAACTTTGCCAACTTCCAAAGCATCGGCCACGGTGACGAGTCGCAGAAGACGGCTGCCATCATGATGGAGTTCACCACCACGAGCGATTACGGGGGTCCGCTGGGCAGCAAGAAGGACAAGGATGAGCAGGGCAATCAGGTGAACAAGCGTGAGACGATGACGGTCAACATTGGCAGTGTCATCGTCGGCGACGAGCTCGTGGCTGTCACTGGCTCGACTCGCAAGGGCAACGATGAGGGCAGCAGCTCAAGTGTCAAGCACCTCAACACCACATTCGACCCAGACACGGGTTATCAAGCGCCAGGAGGCCTGGAGTTCGCCTGGTCTGGTCCGCTCCTCGAGGGGACAGGCGGTGCGCTGAAGCCCGTCAACGGGACCAGCGACGTCGTTAATGCCAAGCTCACGGTTGACCTCGGCAAGCCCCACCCGGCGAGCGAGAGCAAGGGTCTCGTGGAAAAGGTTGATGTTCTGGGCGAGATTCCGTACATGGTCCGCAAGGTCGTCAACTACGTTGCTGGAACAAAGCCGTACGTCTACCAGAACCTCAACCCTGCCACGCTCAGCGTCCAGCTGCCGGAGTCATACAAGGGCGAGGGATCTAAGTCGTTTGAGTCAAAGGGAACCGTCTTCACCGAGGCCACCTTTATCTCGGAGCCCTGATTGTTCTCTCTTAATATTTGCTGCTCTCGACACAAATCTCCGTTACCAAATATTGACGATTACTACAACCTCTGCTCTAGTTTTGGCATGTGCGTGAGATCTTTCCCTTAAGTGTTTCAGAAGTTGTCGTGTATTCCTCACCCCATTGTGATGGACATGGATTGGGATTTCCTCGTAACCCCTGCTCGACTCAATCACAGTCCTCTCGAGACTCGTCCAAGATCCCCTTTTCGTGTCTGTCGCTCCTGCTCAGCTGTTCTCTGTTGAGCTTCTCCACCGTCGCTCTGAGCTTTGCTCTCGTGAGGTCCTGGGCTGCCTGGATCTCCACATGGGCTTCGCTATTACCATCCTGAAGTGAGGCGTCTCCAAAGCTGAGCGCGGTTCCCATATCAAGGCTGCCTGACGCAAAGGTGTCCTCTGGCGAGTTGGGTGGCTGAGGCGGGAACGTGGCCGTCTGTGGCGTTTTTTGCTTCTCTATCGTGGCGAGTTTCTCGCTTTCGTGAAAGGACTCTATTGAGGCAGCTGAAGAAGCTGTCGTCGAGAGACATTGGGCCGACTCAGAAGATCTCGAGACAGTAGAGGCGGCCAGCTCTGCATTCTCGTTGTCTGCTTCTGAGATTGCTTTGGCGTTGCTTTTAGCGCAGTCTGTCTTCGATTCCATCGTGGAAAGGTCGAGCTTCGGACGCGAGGCGCTCTCTTCCACAGGCTTGCTTGTCATCGTTAGAGCTTAAAGTTCAGGTGCGCGCGGTGCGATACCTAAGGGCGGAGGAGAAGGGGCGCAGTGAAGTGACGGGCACCGTGCGCACCAATGTGGGCGGGGTTGCGCCTATCTCGCTGTATTTTTTCGTTCTTGGGAGTGCGCTCCCCTCTTTGCACGTAGAGCCAAATTTTGATTTCGGTGACCGCCGTCCGGACTTGACAGAGGTATTTTGTATTGCTTCTTACGGTGCATCTGCAGCCAGGGCACCATCTTTGAACAGTGGAACAAGGGCACCAAGACTGTGTCGCAGTCGAGATGGCGCTTCAAGAATCCTGTGCAAGCTTTTCAATGTCCGACGCTCGCCCGTCGGTCAGACTGCCTGGTCCGGCGGACCTCGTAGGGCAGTTTGGCCGTCATCAATTTCCCCAGGCTCCTCCTCGCCGACCGGTGCGTGTCCCTACCAGTGCTTTTGCGCAGCACGTCTTCTCGTCTGCATCGTTGCCTCGCCTTCAGCCTCTTTCTCCTCATTGTCGCCGCGAAGCAGCCATGTCAAATATTGCGAGCGGCAGCAGGAGTGCGTACAGTCGGAACCTTTCACCGGGACAACTTCCTGGCTTGTCACAGTTGCATTCCAATAGGCACGACAATTACGAGTATGGTGGCTCGAGCCGCTCTATTCATGGTCGCAGTCGAGCTAGCACGGCTAGACCAGAGGGCTTTGCATGCCTACCGCCGTCCGATCACGCTCAAGATGACGCATACATTGACCTTTTCTCATCGGCGCAGTCTTCAATTGATCTCTCCCAGCTTGCGCACCGTACCAGCCCTGACGAGGCGGAAGTTGATGATCGTGCAGGAAGCAGAGCAGGGCAAATCCGCAAAGGCGCAGTCGAAAATGTAGTATTGCTGGCTGCTGAAGTCAGCGAAGACGCCAACGAGAGCACCGGAAGCCGGCCACTCAAATCGGACAATACTGACAAGATGAAAAAGCAAGACTCGTCGAAGAAATCTGACGAGATTCTTACTGCCAGTGAGCTGAACTTTGTTTCGGCAGCTTCAGACCACGAAGAAGGCTGACCCTTGCGCAAAGTCACGGGGCTTCAAAAGAAGCTGTCAATAATGGGGAGGAAGATCGAAGGGGCAGCTTCCAGACAGGACATTGAGCAAGAGGCAGCAAAGATGGAGCTGCGCTTCAACGAGGTGCTTCGGGCGCTCAAGGGTAGCGCTTGCAGCATGTCCAAGCTAGAAAGGGTAGATCACCGTTATGTCTATGATGCGCACAATGACTCGCTCTTATCATAATGTTTCCTTGCAGCAACACGCCCAGCTTCAAGCCACGGTGGGCTCCCTGGCGCCTAAGCTCGAAACTATCGTAGAACACATGCAGCGAAATCAACTCGATTTTGCTCGTCTATCGAAAGTTTTGGCAGCTAGTAGTGGCCGTGGAGCTGCTCTGCAAGACAACGCTTCGAAGACGCTGAAGGAGGTGTCGACAAAGAGCACAAAGACAAACCTCGACATCAACAAAAAGCCGACAAGTACAAACAGGTCTGCACCAGGTGCAAATATGAGCGAGAGCGGGACAACCAAAGCAAGGTCACCCAATTCGTCAAAAGCTGCAACCAAGAAGAAAAAGGTGGTTAATGAGCAACCCACCAACAAGGAGGTCATCACTGTCGAGCCTCCCTCTGACGTACAGCCGCAATCCTCAGGGGAGCATGACGTCGAAGCTTCCCAAGTCGATGTGCGCCTGTATGAAGTCCTCGGAAGCCTCGATTCATCCAACCGATCCCATTCGGCGGCTTCTCAGGCTCTTGCTCCTCCTGCCAATCAGGCTCAAGCACGAGACTTCTTTTTGCGAGGTACCATATCTAGATCCCCCGCAATAGAGCCAAGTCTTAGCCTACCAGTCTCGGATATGACGGCATCGAGCAGGGTCGGTTCGGACATACAGGACGAGGTAGGGGACGAGCCATCGCTGTTCGCCCAGGTCTCGTCCTCAAACAAGGATTGGAAGGCCACGCCGGGCTACGAAAAAGACGATGACGAAATTGAAGGTGAGGCTGTCTTTGGTAGTCAGTGGTTAACTCCATCTTGCTGACTCCGCTTCCAGTGCTTCTCCAAGCTCCGGTCAAGAACGACCGTCTGAAACGCAAAGAAAAGGAGATGCAAGAGGAGATGTTGCTCAAGCTCTCCCAGGAGGGAAGAAGGATAACGCGCTCGACTGCGCATGACGCAGAGAAGCTTGGTATGGCTGTCCTTGTCAAGCAAGAAGAGCGGGACATCGACGAGGTGATGGAGTCCATGAAAGTCAACACGACTTATGCAGGCAGGGCAAAAGGAAAGACGAAGGTCAAGAGGGAGTACCACGAAGTGGAAGCAAAGCTCAATCCTACAGCCAAGCGCAAGCGATCCAAAGTGAGTGAGGATCTGGCAGTCTTCCCTTCAGCACAAGTCGGCTGAGAAAGACCTCTTGGCCTCTGTCTCAGAAGAAGTCGAGGCGGTCCTAGTTGCATGGAAGAACAGAGTGGGAGATGGCTTTACCAAGGAGCATGCAAAAGCAATCCTACGGTCATACCGACCTATCATGACCTCTAATCTTACATTCAGTCACAAGCACACCAGTACTAGTACACATCACAGTCCCATACTCCTAAAGATCCCTAGCCAGCCCCTCGAGCCCCACGTAACCCATTGTTTTGTGCTCTTCAGAGCTTCTTCCATCGTTTGACCTTCTCCGATTGTCGGTCCTGAGAGAGGTAGCCTTAGATAAGCTAGTCGTCTAAGTATCTCTGTCGATCCTTTCAGTGTCTCTTCCCCTCCTTCCTCCACGTCGTCCACCGTCGAAGCACGATTGGGTGCGAGCATATGCAGCTCGGCGAGAAGGAATGACTGAGCAAGCCGGAGCCTCGTCGTGTACCAGTCCATCGAGTAGTCGCCCTTCCATGCAGCCAGTCTGAGTGCCTCGTCTGCAATCCTCCCTGAGCGCTGGAACAACGTCGATGGATTTGGCACTCGGCCCGAGATGAGCAGCGAGGCAAGGGCATCGGGCAGGCCTGCTCGCACGTCGAAGCTCCGACGAAGACGCGATTCGACGAGCGAGACAGCACGTCGGTATGCCGTTTCGTCGTCGTCGTTCAGCTGAGCATCGTTGCCGCTGCTGCTCTTCAGCGATGGAGACTCAGCCATAGATGCGAGCGAGGCTGCGTCGTGCGCCTCCAGCAGCCTGCGCATTGCCGACGTCTCTGCGCCCGGCGGCCCCGGGAACAGGCTTTCGACTCCCTCTCCTCCCCCACCGTTGCCCCCAAGAGAAGAGGCACGGATCGCATCGATCGTGAAGCCGTATCGCGGAACGTGCGCCAATGCGCCGTTTGCGACAGCTCTCGCCGAGGCCGCCGCCGCCGCCGCTGTCGCCATTTTTCCGTCCGAGGTGGCTTAGTGGTTCGGACGAAAATCCGACGGACAAGCGGCCTTTTTTTTCCTTTATCGCTTTCGTTTTAGCTTGCAGCTGCAGGTTCGCTAGTTCGCACGAGCGCCAAAGTAGGAAGAATGTCGCTCCCCACTTTATTACTATAATATACTGGAATTGCTAGTGATAGTAAGTGTATCCTTCAATCGATACGTCTGCCTTATGCAATTCCGGTGCGACTACGGAGTTCATGTAGGTACGCAAGATGGACCGTGCTGAGAAGACAACGTGACCCTACCTATGCCTAGCCTGCCCTCTCTGCTGCCAGTATTGTCAAGTCTCACCTCGACCGGGACAACGTACTTTGTTTGCCCGCCCTGTCAATACTGATGGGAGAGCGATGTCGGCTGCGCTCTGTTCACATGCGTCAGCGTGGGGGGAAATAAGAGCAACTCACGTTCCGAAGTTACTAGCTTGTGAACATAGATACCGGGAAGCCCTCAAGAAGTACGGGCGTTTTCGCGTTTGTCAGCTGGTCACTGGACCTGTCCGTTCCAAGACAAGGACCACAAGCAGCTGGCGCAGCATACGTACTAGTTACTCCGCCGTCTGCACGCAAGGACATGCCTTTAGGAAGGGGCAAGGGCGGACATATCGGGAGGGTCAAGCCGACGAGGCCTATCTCGATCAACCTTAGCGCTTGCCCTCTGAGGCTAGCGCCAAGAGAGACGGTCCGGCCCGTCAGGTGAAATTAAAGAGTCTGCCTGTCTTCGCCAGTCGTCGGTTTCCGCTCGACCTCGAATATTACTCGGCAGGTGAAAGGCCGATGTCGACAGCGCACGTGTCCAATATCATTGAGGGACGGGAGTGGTCCCAGGAAACTTGGTTTATTGTTCGCAGACGCAGATAGGCGAGATGGTGTCAGATTTCAGTCTGTCAGATAATTTTTTGATCGGATAGCAAGCAAGATTTTTTTCATGGACGAATGAGAAAAGGCTGAAGTGACACGACATGAAGCCATCGGTACCCAAAAACAGAAGTAGTGAAGGACCAAAGTGGCGCTCGGAGCCTTCTTGCATGCAATTCAAGCCAAAGCCAGAACAAAGGGAGAACAGACAGAAGCCATAAATGAGGAGAGACAAAAATAAAACAAAAAATCCAAGACAAGGTTAGAGGATTGGGACAGGACAAGGCGTTTTTTTTTTTTGTTTTTTGAATTTGAAACAAGAATTGTCTCCGTCACCTCCGACCACCCCGAATCAGTAGTGTAGTAGTAGCAACTGAAGCGTAGGGAACCGAATACGTTCACCGCTCTAGCGTAGCCCTGGCCTTTAGACTAAACCGACCCTGTGGTTTTGCTTGCCGCTGTTTCCCCCCCACCTTCATCGTCAGACGGCAACACGGCGTTGTGCTCTCAGCGCTGCTCCCGGCCTGGACACAAAGCCAGCGACGTCACAGCAGCCAAGCGCCGAGTCTTTAACCCGAATCCCCCCCTGCCGACCGCGAGAAGGCGACAAGCTGGCAAGGAAGACAGAGTAAGGAGGGCTCTCGGGACTTGCTCTGAGAACCGGCTCTGTTCGCTGCACTCAACAAGAGACGCGGTAGACGGACAAGGGGCCCAACAGCTTTAGACCCAGCGAGAGGCTGGTCCCATCGCAACGCACAAATTAGCGACCAATCGTGGAGACGTTTTCAGGACTCGTTCCTGCACAATCACCGAGCTTGCAGTCGTCGACGTGCGACTCCATCACCTGTACCCGCCGTGGGGCAACCGAGGGGCAGCCGGCAACGACAGGTTTTCCCAGTCGCAACAGCGTCTCTTACCCCTCTTTTCGGTCAGCGCAGGCCGACGAGTGGCCCGGAAGAGAATAAATGTGAGTACAGTCTGATTCGGAATTGGGAAGCCGACTGAGGACGCTGACCCCGATGAATGCACAGCCCATCGCTATCACTACAGCACGCCATCGGCAGCTAAGGGATCTACACGAGACAAGTCAGCATCTTAAATGGTCGCCAAATCGAACGTCGCCAGACAAAGAAGCAAGTAGTTGGCAGTCGTAGTGGGTGGACAGTGACCGGAGCGACGGGCACGATTATCATTGGGGTGAGGAAGGGGTAGAAGCTTCTATCTTCTCCTTCATTAGGCACACCAGTCTCCTTTCGTTAGCGAAGGGTCCGCTGAGGCTGGCACAGGTGCCCCGCGCCGCTGTGTACATATATCGATCATGTCGTCTGGCCTCTTGCAGTCGAGCGCCGACGCAGAGGGGAGCAGCAGTCCCTCGCTAGGCCAACCGGAGTACAAAGGCGAGGAGCTGTCGCCTGTGCCATCGTCGGGCACACCACAGCCGGGAGACAAGGGCGGTGTCGATGCAACGACGCCGCGGTCGTCGTCATCCTTGTCCCAGCGCGGCGAGGCACCTTCGAGGACGAAGTCGATTCTTCGCTTCGGCAGAAATTTGCGGACTACCAAAAAGAAGCAGGGACAGGAGCAGGAGCAGAAACAGGTTGCAGAGGCAGAGAGGAGCAGAGGACAAGGGCTAGAACCTACAAGGGCGAGATCGAGATCGACGCAGAGGAGCATTGACTCGCAGCGATCCAAGTCCTCGGCCGAGCATGCTCGATCGACGGCAGGCGCAGCCTTTTACAGAGACTCGCTCCTTGCGGCCCCTTATCCACGTGCATCGACGTCCAGCTCCAAGGGAGACTCGAGCAGCGATCCGGACGGAGGAACGGGTGTGGGGGCTATTAGTGGCGAGCGTGCCTCTTCGGAGCTCGACAGCGTCGCATGGCGGAGTAGCCAGAGCCTGCCGAGGGAGTCGTCGATCGAGGAGGAGGAATGGGAGCCGAGCGAGACTCTCGGGCCAGCGAAAGCACCCAGGCGGCTCATGGGCAGCCTGGGAAGGAGGCAACAGGCGAAACAGGCCATGGCTGCCTATCACGCGCCAGATGAAAAGCCAGACACCGACACCCTCAGAACGCCCCGGAGTGCGGCGAGTGCCGCGCAAAGGAGAGCGGACGTGCCTGTGTCCGCTCCCACGTGTAACGGCGCAACACCTGTTGCATCGAGACCTACCTCCTCTTCAACCCCCTCTCTTTCCGCTTCGACTGAGACAGCTGCGGCGTCGACGTTGAGCTCAAGAAGAACACCGAAAGCGCGTGCTGGCCTGGGCATCCTGGTTGCGTCTCCCGACGACGACAGCATCCTGCCTGGACCACTCACGACGTCTACTCTGGCCTCTTCAACGCCCGCTTCACCCCTGTCAGAGTCTTCACGGCACTTTGCTTCGAGAACGAGTCGACTTCACAAGGGTAGCTCACCCCAGCGGCCTCAAGTTCAACCTCCTGCAGCGCCTTTGCCTCCTCTGCCACCGACAGTAGCACCGTCTGGTAGCGGTAGAAAGTCGCTTCCGTCTTTCAAGGCTAGCGAACAGCAGAAAACGTCACTCGAGCGCCCAGAAGAGCTTCAAGACTTGCGCACCACGACCAACGGCAGCAGCACCACATCGGCGTCGTCTTCGTCAGGCGGGCCGGGCTCTCGAATCGCGTCTCGATTCATGTCAAAGCTCAAGGGCACCCACCTCGACGACGAGATTGTCCCTGTACCAAAAGAGACGTTGCCTCCCACTCGCAATGTCGTTGGTGTTGGCTCCTTTGTCAACCCATTTATTCCGCCGTTGCCTTCAACTGCATCTCCGCAGCCCTTTGGCGACATGCGCCCTCGTGTGCCTCCCTTGCCTGGTGATCCAGTGTTGAAGGTGGCTAGAAAGACACGATCGCAAAGCAATCTCAAGGTATCGCGGTCCAACTCCATCGCTCAGCCTATCGAAAGCGGTCCACTGTCTGCGTCTTCTTCTGCCAGCCGCAGTCAGACCGATCCACCAACATCGGCGCCACTAACGAGCCCTATGCAGGTATCGAGCGAAGACTCGTCTCTGCAGAAGAAGCAGCCACGGAGATCCACGCGAAGGCCAAGAACGAGTGGAGGAGACATCGGCCAGAGCCCAGGGCCTTCGCTTCCATCTACGAGTGCATTCGGTTCTGCGAGCTGGTTCCAGCGCAAAATCAGCGGCCCTTCAGCCAAAGAACCCACCTCATCTCCTCCAAATACGTCCTCCTCTGCTTGGGCCAACACGATGAAGAGCCGACTGGAGATGTTTGATTCCTCGCCCGAGGATGAAAAGAAAGGTCCTTCGTTCCCCTTGCCTCCTACTTCGTTCCCCGTCGGCTCGCAGCGTGATGTTCCAGCACCTCTATCGCAGCATATCGGGCAAATTGAGCGCACCAATGGCGATGGCGCTGGCGATGACACTGGTGTACCCAGGCGGATGAAGCTTGCGGACAGAGGCAGGAGCAGCTCGGTTAATTCGCTCGATGACTTTGGCCAGGCGTTCAAGAGCAAGCGAGGTCCCGCTGCCGGCTCGCATTTGGGCAATCGGAAAAAGGGCTCGACACCCTCCAGACCGTCTTCGTCACAAGGCATCGAAGCGGGGCAAGGGTCCAAGCTCGACAGCCAAGGTGGTGCCGCCAGTCTGTTTGGCGGCGGCAGTGGAGGAGGAGGCGGAGGAACCTCCAGCGCGGGTGGGACTCCGAGGCAGAGGGCATCGTCTCTCCTTCCTTCGATGCCCTGGAGGAGCCGCACAAATTCAAATGCAGGCACCGATCAGGAAAGTGACCGACGAGTGTCGACTTCTTCTCAGCAGCAGCAGCAGCAGCAGCAGCAGCAGCAGCCTCAGCCAGTGACCAAGAGGGCCAGCGTGACGACTTCTACTGCCCCTGCGAGCGCAAGGCAATCGACCGAGGTTGAGTTCAACTACGATCCCGAGGCCTTTCTCGAGCACGTCCTCATCACGACTCCCAACACGGAACTTGCGTCGAAGCTGGCTTCATCTTCGAGCGAGATGCACAAAGAGGCCCTGCGGCTCTTTATGCAGCGCTTCTACTTCTCTGGGTATGCATTTGACATTGCCCTGCGCAAACTCCTCATGTCTTTGTGCTTGCCCAAGGAGACGCAGCAGATCGATCGGGTCATGGAGGCGTTTGCAAGGCGGTACAACGAGTGCAACGAGCGGCTCTTTGTCAATGACGACCAGCCCTACATCCTCGCTTTCTCGCTCATGATGCTTCATACCGACACGTTCAACCGCAATGCCAAAACGAAGATGTCAAAGGCTGATTACATCCGCAACACGGCCACGAGCGGCGTCGCCACTGAGGTGCTCGAGGTGAGCCGCTCACTTGTATCACTTCCTTGCTCGCGCATCTGCTGACAATTTTCATTATAGTACCTCTACGACAATCTCACCTTCACGCAGTTCATCTACGTCGAGGAAGAGGACGAGAAGCAACGACGGGCGTCGGATGCTAACGACGCAGGTGGATCCACCAAGCTCTTCTCTGCGCTCTCGTCCTCGTCTGCCTTGACAAACAAGACTCGCATCGATCCGTACTATATCATTTCAAATCAGGGAGATCTCGAAAAATTCCGACCTGCCTCGATCCTTCAGCTCATCCCAGAGGACTCGCCCTTTTCTCCAAAGGGTACTGCGAGCAGGTTCGACATTGAGGCGCTGAACCGATCGTTTGTGTGTGCGCCGTCAATTGAGATCATCACTGCCAGAAGAGCGCCGCCGGCAGGTTTGGCCTGGGGCGGTGAAAGCTACGCACACGCCGTCATGACCACCTCGCTGGTCGCTGAGGAGGACCCCGACTCGGTCGTGACGCTGCGAGTCACGAAGGTGGGCTGCATCAGCCGCAAGGACGACATCGTTGACAACAAGAAAAAATCTCAGTCGAGAAAGTGGAAGACATGGGGACTGATGCTGTCCTCGTCTCAGCTTCTATTCTTCAGAGATCTTGTTTGGACCAGTGCGCTGGACCAGCAGATTCAGGAGCAGACAAAGGATGGCAAAGGCGACAAAGAAGGCGGGGTCCTTATCACGCCTCGTATTACCTACTTTAGGCCAGACGATGTCCTCGGTCTGTCAGACGCGATTGCGGTGCGCGACTCTTCGTACGACAAGTACAACCACGTCTTCCGCCTCATTGCCAAGCAGGGTAATCAAATCTGCCAGTACTTGGTTCAGACGCCAAGCGAGAAGGACATGAACGACTGGATCCACAAGATTAATTTCTGCGCCACATTTCGATCCCTCGGCATCACGATTCGTGGGCTTGATCCACCAGCGACATCCACCTCTTCGCCGGACTTTGGCGCTGATCCGTCCATCACCTCATCTTCATCAACGTCGACGAGCATCGACTCGAGGAGGGTCAGCGATGCTACGATGCCGGGACCAGGCACGCCAAAAGTGGGCATGACAAATTCGCCTTCGCACGACAGCGGGCTCAGCCGGTTCCTGCCACCTTCACCCAGCCCTTCGTCGCCAGGCGAAGGTGGCATGATACCCTTGGTCGGTATCATGCGTCGCAGGCTCAATGCCAGAAGACGAGAGATGTTTCCCAAGATCGACACGGTGACGAAGAGTCTGGAGAAGCATGAAAAACAGCTTGACGACAAGCTTCGCCTCGCGAGACATCTTGCCATCACGACGCCGTTCCAGAAAGTGACGCGCGAGCGGATCGAATTGGTCGCTGTCCCTCTGGCCGACGAGATCAGGGCCTTGCGCATCGAGGTGGCACGCTTTAGAAGCAGGAGGGAGATGCTTATGCTCGAGCTTGAGGCGGGTGATAAGGCGGCAAGAGCCACTGCGCCTGCGGCTTCCTTCATGCAGAGCGGATGGACAAAGGCGGAAGCACCGATGGTAGAGACTTCGCTCCCACCGCCGATGCTCTCGACACAAGCTCAGACACCGTCCCAACCGTTGGTCCGGCGCGACAGTCGCGGGCGTGGGGCGTCTCAGACCTTAGCAATGCGATCCAATGCCACGAGACGACCAGATATGGTAGCAGCGGCGGAAAATGGCATATCAACGATGGCTGGTTCGGCGCCCATCTCGCGCTCATCGTCTTCTCCCGGTAAATCTCCGGCATTGGGCGGCGCTAAACCATCGGAGAGTGGTCCGCCATCGAGACGCTCGTCGAATGTGAATCTCTCAACGGACGTTGTTCCACGAGACGGCAAATACCTCAGAATCGATTTTCACGAAGAGGAAGAGGAACTGAGCAGCGGTGCCGACGGGTCAGGCTCCAATAGCGATCGAAAGGTGTCGACGAGCTCTTGGTCTTCTAATTCTGCTTCCATTTCAGAGTCGGGCGCAGGGATCGTGGGCGGAGTCGGCCCGTTCCCATTGACTCCGACGACGCCCTCTGCCATATCGCCTTCTGTGGGGACGTCAGATGCGAAGAGATTCATGCAGCGCCAGCACCCAGAGGCGCAGGAGCGAGACGATGTCGTCGATTGGAATCAGACGAAGATGGCTTCTACGCACAACAAGCGCATCTCCCTGGCTATGTTGCCCAGCTCCAACGAGCTGCACCAGCAACTCCAGGAACGCATTGGCCAGCATCAGCATCAACATCAAGAGCGCAGTGCCGGAGAGGCAAAATGAGGCTCCTGTACCATGTAGCAGAGCCGACAAGGCACAGTGGTATGATAAATCGTAGAGGGGTTTCCTTATTCTTCATGTCTTGAACAGCGATGATGATGATGATGACGATGATGAAGATGAAATTTAGCTTAAAGGTCATGAGGCTTGTGGGGCAAAGCTGAAGAGCACTACTTCTTGGCTTTTTCAATGAAAGCCAAAGCGTCCGAAGCTGAATCAACTGGCTTGACCTGGATACTCGAGTAGGCCAGCTTTCCCTGATCGTCGATGACAAAGTGACTGGAGGTGGCATTCTCTCTTGTCAGTTCCCTCTTTCGATCACATGTTCCGTACTTCATTCTGGAGAATTCACCTCCGGACAGTCTTTGCATCGGACCCAGTCAAGGCCTTGATGAGCTCTCGCTTGGGGTCCGAGAGCAGGTCGTACGGAAGCGACTTTTTGTCCTTCCATGAAGCCAGGCTCTTGGGCGAATCGTTGGAGAGGCCGTACACGGTGTGACTGGAAAAGGAGGCGTGTGCATCGCGGTAAGCGCAGGCCTGCGTCGTACAACCGGGCGTGTTGGCTTTCGGGTAGCTACAATGTGTGAGCAGCAGGATTTCGGCGAAGCGTCAGCGTCAATGCTATCATGAGACTGGGTGACGGTGAGAAGATGAGGTAGGGGACAGCTTACGTGAAGAGGACGGCAGACTTGAGCGAGGCAGCATCGATCGAGGCACCTGATTGCGTCTGGAGCTTCACGGCCGGAAGCTTTTCGCCGACTTGGAGCGGCCCTCCCTTCTTTGCCGCTTTCGATGCGCTTGCATTTTCAATGCTAGAGTCACCTCCAGCGGAGGCAGCAGTAGCAGCAGGCGTCTTCTTCTTAGATGAGGTCGGCGCGGCCGACTCTTCGGCGGACCGCTTCTTCGAGGCGCTGGTGGGAGCCTTGGTCGCCGATGCAGCAGTCGAGGAAGGAGCGATAGCAGCGGGAGCAGTTGTAGGACCACGCGCAGCGATGCGGGAGGAAGCGCGGCGGGTCTCCGAGTTTTCGGCGGAAGAGGAAGCTGCCATGTTGAGGAAGTTGCGTCGCTGGTATTGTTCCCCCAGGAAGAAACGACGCGACGCGGAGATTTCGAAGTGCAGCCTGTCAAGTTTCGCTTCCGTCACGCCATCTGATTACTGGCAGAAGAACGTGCGACTCCCGCAGTGTTGGCAAGCAGCATGTATCAGACTTGTGCGGCGGCGCGGAATTGAGAGTCAGAGAAGGCATCTATATTGTAAAGTCTTGAATATTACATGTCAAGTCTCTTTTTGGGATGATGGAATGTCGGTCATGTCTATGATGAAGAAGGAGACGGAAGCAGAGAAGATATCTGGGGGAATCTATGTAGCTGAATCACTCTTCGTCTGAATTGGTGGGCTTTTCGCCACCCTCGTTGAGCCACTTGATCATCCTCAGCCTCCTCCTCTCCTCTTGCGCTTTCTTCTCGTTCCTCGTCATCTTCTTCTTCTTGCCCTTGGCAGCTTTGAGCTTCGACATGTCCTGGTCCTCTGCATCAGAGCCCGCAGGCGTGTTAGAGTTGCTCGTGGCCGGCGTGCCGGCCTTGCTGGTGATGCGGCTTGCCACCTTGCTTCCGGGCAATGGCGTTGAAGGACCGCCGGGGGTGCTGACACCTGGTGTGCTTGCTCCGTCATCGTCGCCAGCAGCGCCGAAGTGCTCCGTAGCCAAAATAGTCTTCTTCTTGTCGACGATCCGACCACCTTCAACTGTCCAGATGTCCGTGCAGAGCGCCTCGACGAACTGCATGTTGTGCGTGATGATGACCACAGCGCCTGCCCATTCACGAATGGCAGTTGCAAGCATGGCTACAGCCTCTCTGTCCAAGAAGTTTGTCGGCTCGTCCAAGACCAGAATCTGCGGGTTGTTCCACAGCGCCGCGGCAAGAACGACTTTGACCTTTTGCCCACCTGACAAGCCCGACATTTCGTGGTGCTCTGCGATCTCTCCGTTGAGGCCAATGTCTGTAAGATGCTTTCGGATTGCCTTCTGGCTCAGCTCCTTGCTACCAGCTCCTTCTCTTGAGCTCTCAAAGTCGTCGAACTTCTGGAGCAGCTTGTCGAAGCCTAGCTCCTTGAGCCTCTCGCGGGGAATCCAGGTGTTGTGTCGGTGCTCCATCCCAACCCACTTGATCTCGTACTGGTAAGACTTCTTGAGCTTCTGACGTCCAACAATGTACTCGATCTTGCGCTTCTCGCCTGTCGATGATGTGATGGGCCGGTCCATCTGCTCTTGCTCCTCGGCAGACACTTTTCTTGTTGCCATCTCGCTGATCTCACGATCGTGTCCGTCCTGGAATCGCCAGGTGATGTACTGGCAAGCCGTCTTCTCAAGGTGCTGCTCGAGGTGGTGGAATGCGTGCTGGTGCAGGGTTGAGATACGCAGATTCGGGTGTCGCTCGACCTTGCCCGACTGAGGTACCATCTCCTGCGTCATGATCTTGATCAGAGTGCTCTTTCCTGCACCGTTGGGACCCAGCACTCCGACGCGGCTCGAGAGGCTCACAGCCACTGAGGCATTGGACAAGCTGGGCTTGGGTGCGCCAGGGTAGGTGAAGGTGGCGTCAGTGACCTTGAGGATTGTTCGCGTGTTGGAGCGAATGCCCATGAGGGAGCCCGGCGGAGGGAAGGTGAACTTCGCATTGGTCGTCGAGAGTGTGTAGTACGACTTCGCCTCAGGGTGCTTCTCGACGAACTTGGCCAGGTTGCCTGGGTAGTACTTAATCTTCTTGTTCTCGTAGTGCATGATATCGGTGCACACATTGTCGAGGAATCCAGAGTCGTGACTGACGGTCAGAACAGTGATGTTGGGGTTCGAGGTGAGATAGGTCTCGAGCCACTTGACTGATTGGACGTCAAGGTGGTTGGTGGGTTCGTCGAGAAGCAAGACGTCTGCACCCGTCAACATTGCCTTTGCCAGGGCCAGCTTCATCTTCCAGCCACCAGAAAGCGACGAAACGGGAGCCACTCTTCTCTCGTCATCGAAACCGACCTCCTTAAGAGCATCCGAGACCTGCTCGATTGTCTTGCCCATCTTGGCGATTGTGGCGTCTTGATGAACAAAGTCGACGATTCTCATGTCACCACCCTCGCCTTGGTTGTGCTCGACCATGACAGTGCGCAAGCCATCAGCCTCCGAAGGGTAGTTCTCGACCTTGCCGTCGCGCATGGCCTTGAGCAAGGTCGATTTGCCACTTCCGTTGGCAGCCACGACACCGTAACGGTGACCGCGGTGCAGGCGAAGCTTGGTGTGATTCAGGAGCAAAAGACCTCCATAAGCAAGCGAGAACTGGATGTTGACAAGGCACTCTCCGCTGATTTCCTCGTCATCCTCCTCCGGCGCACCAAAGCGCTGTCGGTCGAGCTCCGAGTATTGCTGGCGAAGGGCATCTGTTGCAGCCTTGGCTCCTTCGGGCGAAGAGCAGACGCGGCGCAGATAGGGCAGCACGTAGACGTCATCCCAGGCACTCTGTTGGACGATTCGCTTGTCTGCCAGGCGCGTGATGATGGCGGCAAGGTAGTCGAGGCCGATTTTGGCCCACTTGTCCTTGGCCACGTCAGTGAGCTTGGCATCGACGTGAGCAGCAACGGCCTTGTAAATACGATCGCTTGCTTCGTTCTTTGCTGTGTTGAATTGAACCTTGGGGTCTTCCTCTGCCTTTGCCTCGCCGACGACCTTGGTCGCCGCTTTGAGGGTGTCGAGCGCGCTCTGCGCGTGGTCACGAACCTCGGGGAAGCTGGCACCAACGGCGATACGCTCGACACCGGGCGTCAGAGCCGGGAGGAAACGAACAGCCTGGTGGGGGTCCCTGACGAGCTTGGTAAGGTTCTCGACAATGATTGAAACCTGACGCTGGACATTTTGGTTTCGCTCGTTGAGCGCACGAGCGAGGAGCGGCACCATGATGGCCAGCGCTGGACCCGTCACTTCAGCGACGAAAGTCGTGGCCGACAAACGCTTGATGCACTCTGGGACAGTGTCGGGCGCGCGCATCGATTCGACGAGGGAACCCAGGTGGGGTCGAATGTCATTGTTGTCAATGACACCGCAGACCTTTGTCGTTGTCTTGACGGCTTGTTTCGAGACCTAGCAAGTTCACAAGATCAGAACTATGGAAGACAAAGGAGCAAACAAGAAATCTCACCTCAGCCTTGGTGTCGGACATGCAGTTCTTGAGGTGAGGAATCAGGTCGACGAGTTGCTCGCCAATCTGCTCCGAGGCCGACTCAGCGAGCCTGCCAATGATCTTGAGCGCAGCCACCTTGGCCTGCCACTTTGTCGAGCTGCTCTCGAGCACCTCGTAGAGGGTCGCGAGGACTTCAGGCGCAGCTTCTGGCGGGGGAAGCGTCATCAGCGAGCGGACAGCCTCGTCGGCGGCATCGCGCACGACGTCGCCCTTGTCGGCATGCAGGTCGAGGAGAACGGGCAAGGTCGGGAGGAACCAGGGCTCAGCGCCAAGAGGGGATGGCGAGTTCTTGCCTCCGACTTTCGTAAAGACGGCAGACAGGCCCGTGGCAGCTGACTCTCTTTCGAAGCCAGACTTTTTGTTTTTGGCTGCCTTGAGGAGTCCCTCGAGGATGCCCTCGTCATCGAGGGCGCGAAAGCCAGTCTCGTTGACGTGCGTGGCCAGCTTCTCGGCGGCCACCTGGCACTCTTCTGCGTTGGGCGCCTTCAAGAGCGCTTCTAGAAGCGGCGCAGCACCAACACCGTTCGTCGTCGCCGCCATTTCTCAAAAGTCTCTCGGGTACTCTTGGCAATGGTGGTGTGGTGGTGGGAGAGTAGCAGCCTTCAAACAGGCATCAGTTCATTGGGCCCAGGGACCGGGCGCCGTGCGCACAGGCAAAAAAAAACTTTCTGTCGGTCTGAAAAAATTTGGCTCGCAACGCTCGCGTCGCAGATAAAACTAAAATTTCAAGGGGTGAAGCGCACGTGTAGCTGAAGTGGTGCAAAGCTCAATACAAAGCTCAAAATATATTAGCTATCGACGGGCGGTTCTTTTGGACTTGCCCGGCCTCTTTGCGGGCGCTCGCTTGCCCTTCGCCCCAGCCTTGGATGCACCACTCCGACGGGGACCGCTTCCAAAGTCGTTTGTGCTCTCTCGGTTGTTCTCCTTGGAGTACTTCTTCTTGCCTCCAAAGCCGAACTTGGCATTCCGCGAGTCGCGAGGCATCTTGGCTTTGGGCTTGCCTCCGCGTGCATCTTTGCCCTTGGCTTTTCCCTTGTCTTCGCCTCCCGTGATGGCAGTTTCGAGGCGAATGTTGAAGCCATCGTCGTCGTCGTCGCCGTCCGCTCCGTCCAAGCCGCCTTGCCGTTCTAAGAAACGAAAATCAGAGGGAAATCTGACCATTGAAAGATGATAGCACTTACTTCTCTTCAGCCCCTTGACCCTTTCCTCCATGTCCTTCTTGCTCTTTTGCCTCTCAAGCTGTTTCTCCACCTGGACCTTCTTGCCGAACTTCTTGAGCTCGCGCTGCTTCTTGGCCTCCTCAGCGGCTTTGATACCCGCGCGTTCGTCAAGAAGCCGCTGGCGAACCCTCTCCATGTGCTCATCCGACTTGACCATCTCCGCGTAGTAGTCATTTGGACGTGTGAAGGGCAGATTCGAATCCTTGGCCAGCTTCCTACCTTCAGTCGCTGTGTAGAGTGCCTGCTTGTAGCTATAGACAAGAGTGTGAGCAGAGCAACGCGAGCATACTACTAGGCTGAAGTCAGAACTTACAATTCTAGCTCCCTCTTGAGATCGTTCTCGGCTGATCCTTCGCCTTGAGCTTCCAGCTGCCCCTCGATAGACTTGTCATATGTAACAACAAGCGTCTCGATCCATGGAAGCGTCTCCTTGCCCTTGCCCTTGCTCGGTCCACCAAGGGCAATGTCATCACGTATTCTTGTCAGAGCGGCCTCGTCGTTGATCTTCTCCCTGTACATGCGATTGGAACGAACGGTTTCAGGAAGCTCCGCGAGCTGGGCATCGGTAAGTGACTCCAGTGGAACGCCGCCATCGTCTTCGTCATCTTCATCCTCGTCCTCATCCTCGTCCTCTTCATCGTCCGACTCTTCTTGAGGGATGAGACCCGCTCTGGCTAGTGATTCAGCGAGCGAACCCCCAGCTGCTTTCTTTACGGGAGCTGCTGGTGTGTTGTCCTCCTCGCTCTCGTGTGCCACTTCTTCCTGGTCGAGCTCGTCGTCATCTGCGTCGTCCTCATCTTCTCCATCTTCGCTGTCCTCGTCTTCATCGTCTTCATCTCCCATTTCAGCCTGGATAGCCTGAAGTCGGGCTTGGTCTTCCTCCGAGAGACCGTCTTCACCCAGAGCAGCCATCAAGCGAGCCAGTCCTCGGCTCGAAACGTCCTTGCCCTCGTCATATTCCTCGTCCGATGACTCTTCTCCGTCCGAGACCTCTTCTCCGTCGAGCGCTACAGGGACCTTATCCTGCTTGTGGGCCTGCTTGGTTGCTGTGGCCTTGCCATTCACCTTTGTCGCTCCCTTGGAGACTGACCCAGGAGCAGCAGCACTTTTCGCCATGCTTGTCTCTATTCGGGCTTGTTTCTTCGAAGTCGACAACTTCCTTCCAAACTTTTTTTGGACCTGTCGCGAATCCGAAAATTTTGGCGACACGTGATGTGGGATTGAGGTCTGGCCTCTTCGTCTGTCATTGTCCAAGCTGCCCTCATCGCTACCTCCGCAACCTCCAGTCGACTTTTCCGGTATCATGTACGCAGATCGCGAAGAGGCAGCCTTGATCAATGGGAGAAAAGGCCGCAGGATTGATTACAGTTCCTCAAATGTGGGGTCTTCTGGGTCAGCTTCACCTCTGAACAAGCGTCGATCTTTGTCGCCACAGGATAAACGCCATGACTCCAAGGCTCGCGACTCAGCAGGCGCTGAAGATCGTGAGAGGCAGCTGCAGGAGCAACTCAGGAGGTTAGTGTCTTCATTCTGTCTGAAAGTGATGAATGGCAGCTGACGTTACCTTCATACAGGCGTGCTATGATGTCCAAGAATCGTTCAAAGCGTTCGCCTCGATCGTCACGTTCGCTTTCACGTTCGCCATCCCGCTCACCAGGCCCTATTGGGGACAAGAGGAGACGGGGCTTATCGCCTCGACCTTCTCGAAACACCAATGGCTATGCTACCTCTTCTCGAGACGGTCATGATGACAATCGCTCCCCTCGTGACAGTGACCGAGCCCGTGACAGGATTAGAAGGCGAAGGGGCTACGACGACGACGACGATGATCGAAGAAGTAGCAGGCGCTCAACCCATTCGGTCAGCAGAGCCGGAGATTCAGAAGAGGACGTCGACGATGAGTATGAGGGACGTAGGAGGAGACGTTCGCAGCGGTCAGATCTGCCCAATGACCCTTATGCTCGCAGGGACGCCGACCCATACTATGATCGGCATCACCCCTACTATGGCCGCGACCCGTATCATTATGATCATTACCATCGAGGTGGACCTCCCCGCTACTATGACGCCTATGCTCGAGACCCATATTATGATCGACGTCGGCACACCAGAAGCCCGAGCCCCCCACCTCGACGTGGAGGTGGGGCAGGTCGAGGCCGCGGTCGTGAAGAGAGTAAGCCAAGGACCCCTGACCCCGACGACTACGAGCTACGGTCCATCTTCTGCTCACAGCTCGCTGCCAGGCTCGGACAGCGCGATCTGGGCGAATTCTTCGAAGATAAATTGGGCGAGGACACTGTTCGTGATGTGCGCATCATTACCGATCGGGTCACTGGCCGTAGCAAAGGGTGAGTTCCTTTACATCCTCACTGTTTCACAATTGCTGACATTCTGGCATCCTCAGAATCGGCTACGTAGAGCTGAGCGACGAAGCACTAGTTGAACAAGCTCTTGGCCTTTCTGGCTCATCCCTCTTTGGCATACCTATTCTTATCCAGAGGACTGAAGCTACCCGCAACCGTACCGAAAGCGGATCCAATCTCGATGGTCCAGCCCGACCCAACCTCGACGGCGGCTATTCTGCCCTTGACACGGGCGCTTCGCGGCTCCAGACGGCAGCCAATTCTGATGCGAGGCTCTACGTTGGAAGTCTCAACTTTAATCTCAACGAGGAAGATGTCAAGGCCGTTTTTGCTCCATTTGGCGATATTGAAAACGTTGATTTGCACAGGGAGCCAGGCACGATGAAGAGCAAAGGATTCGCTTTTGTTCAGTTTGCCACGCGCGAGGGCGCCGAAAAGGCCATGCAACACATGAACGGCTTCGACCTGGCTGGACGTCAGATTCGCGTAGGTCGCGTCAACGCGAGGGGCCCTGTCTCCGTGGGTGGCAGTGGCGGCGGTGCCGCGTCGTCAGGGATCGATACGTCGGGATCTGGCGCCCAAACCATCTCTTCCTTCGATGAGGGAGGCGGTGGCGGGCTTAGTGCAAGCGGCCGCGTTGCCTTGATGGAGAAGTTGGCCCGCTCGACAGAGACTGGAGCATCTTCTCTTCCCCAGCGCCCTGTCGAACAGTGAGTTGCATCCCGTCCCCTCTTTACAGGCTATTGGTTGACTTCTCCCATCATACCAGGCAACGACCAGCATCTATTCCACAGGCCGTGAGTAGGGCTGTCCTCCTCAAGCATATGTTCAACCCCGAGGAAGAGACGGAACGCGACTGGGACACGGAGCTGGCAGCCGACGTCAAGGAGGAATGCCAGACCAAGTATGGCCCAGTGGAAAAGATCTACGTCGACAAGGACAGTTCTGGCGACATCTGGCTTCGTTTTGCAGATCTCGACGGCGCAAAGAAAGGCATCGCGGGTCTCAATGGTCGTTTCTTCGGTGGACAATCAATCACCGCCGAGTAGTGAGTGCATACGTTCGCCGAATTACTCAAGCGTGCACGCTGATCACTTTTCCATGACAGTGTCAGCGAAGGCATCATGAACTCCGTAACTGGGTGAAGTGGCAGTCTGTTCCTTCGTCGACGCGAGTCTTTCTCGCTCTCCTTTCTTCCCTTTTGCCATCAGCTTCTACCATCACAGCGCTATCCGACAATTATCATCACAAGAATCGGTGAGAGAAGGTGCGCTCTCTCCAGTGCATTGCGACATGTGTCGTCTTCTCAAAGCCTCTCCTCTTCTTGTCCACTTCAACTCGCTTCTGTTCGCATCTTTCGATCTTCCTCCGCTTTAGATCATGGACCATGATCGGCAGCAGATAGGTGGTACCCGAAAAGAGCATATGTTTCCTTTTTACCTCAATTCTTCCCTCTTTTTCCTCAGGTTCAATGTGATTTGATTTTTTCTGACAATCTGCTACAATTGGCGATGCTAGTCACCTCCAAGAACCTCCTTCATGCTCTTTGTCGCAGTGCCTCGCTCCAATGGCTTGCGCTGTGACGTGTCTGGCTTCCAGCCGACCATGTAGATGACGCTGAATGTCGCTGGCACGCTTCCGTCGGCGTTACCGTGGAGCGCTGGTTGTAGGCACAACATTTAGCAAGTAGGTCTTCTCCTCGACGGCACAATGAGCCTCACCTGGATAGATTGCGCTGGCGGCAACGAGCGTGTCTCGCTTGAGAAAGGGCCGTCGGTTGATGACTGCGTTGCTCTCGCCCATGTCCCTCAGATCGGCCATGAGCTCATACATGCCCGGGTAGACGACTTCGATCTCGTCGGTGTCGACGGTAGGGATATTGAAGCCTGCCCGACCGAGCAACGACACCATGTCTCTAGAGTCGGCCATCGGGCTGATACGGGGCGAGATGCCTCCTTCTCGCTCCTGCTCAGCCAGCTGCAGCGAGGTGCGCAGCTCAAAGAGGGTGTCGCCACCGCAGATTGCGCCAATGAAGATGCCGTCCGGCTTCAGGCTCCGACAGATCTGGACAAGGGCGCCGGGCAAGTCGTTTGTCCAGTGCAGTGTACCGGAGGAGACGATGCAGTCGATGCTGTTTTCGGGAAACGGTAGGCTCTCTTCATCGATGATTCTCCTCTCGAATGTGACTGAACGCTTCGGGGTAAGCGTCGCGTGGGCATCATTGGGCGTCTCTCTTCACTTACGGTCCGGGTATTTCTCATCCTGGTCCAAGTCCCTGTCCAACGCCTCCTGGCTCATATCGCACATGATGATTTTGCTAGTGCCCGTCCGCTTTGCATCGAGGTGCTTTCGGATATACCCCGCCCCACTCCCCAGCTCGACAATGGTGCCAAAGTCGCGTTTGACGTCGTACAGCCGCTCGACCAAGTTTGCAGCTGCTTCGTCCCGCACGTAGTCTGTCACGCGTGATGCCTCCCCGCGCGAGGCGGCTCGGCTGCGCTGGGCTTGCTTCGCGGCTCGGTCAAAGATTGTAAAGGGGCTGTTGGGCTTGGGTGGCCCCGGAGCAGGGTTTGTCGTGCCAGTCCTACCTGCGCCCGCAGCGGAGGATGAAGGTCCGCCGTCCGACGACGCGGCCGTCGATGCCGTCCTGATACATCGGGCCACTCGCGCTCTACGACCATGGCTAGCTGCCTCCAATGCTGTCGAAATCGCACGTCTTCGTATCATCCTCGCCCTTCTGCTTATGAAGAACAATCGCAATCGTCGGAACAAGAAGAAAGTGAAAAGAAGGGCGGGTGGAGGGGTCTTTTTTTTTGTCAGCTTTTCATTTCCGTCACTTTCTCCTTCATTTTCGTCATGTCATCATCTGCGCAACACAAGGAAGACGGGGAATAAAGAGAAAAGCTACGAGCAAGGAAAAAAAAAGGGAGACTTGACCGAATCTCCGCTCGGCTCACTTCCTCTGCTGCTCTCTCCCACGCACCATCTCTTGCCTCATCTTCTTCCCTGTCACCACTTTCCTGTTTGACAGAGGCAACAGGCATGTCGACGCAGCCCGCGACGTCGGCCTCCGGAATCGTCTCGGATGGCTCCACGCGCCTCATTCCTGAATCGCGACGCGCAGATGGCTCGTGAGTCTCGTGCCCATTCTCCCCTCTCACCCTTTCGCAAAAGTACCTTCGTGAGCACATGTACTGACATGGCTGCTGTGGTTTAGAGTCCGCAAGGAGCGCAAAGTGAAGCCGGGCTTCACGCCCGCCGAGGACATTGGCAAGTTCCGGTCTGCGCGAGTCGAGGCGCGAAAGGCCGGCGCGTCAGAGCAGGTCGTCGGCGCGGGACAGAGGGCCACTTCGGAGAGTGCACCAGCACCAGCACCAGCACCAGCGCGACCGAGCTGGAGGAGCGGCGAGAGCCCCAGAAAGGGACGGGCCGCCCCGACAGGCGCATCTGCTCCCTCTTTGCTGGAGGACACAGCTGCCTCGTTCCCTGCTCTTCCCACCTCCGCCGCTACGACGAGAGCTTCGAGGGAAGAGCTGGACGAGGCAGGGCGATGGAAGAAGACGCCGATGGAGTCGGAGGTGAATCCAAAGAAGAAGTCCGACGAGAGCTCGTGGTGGAGGGGAGGCGGCACATCTGCGTCAAAGCGGCAAGGCGACGCACCCAAGGTGAACGGTAAAGAAGGAAAAGCACAAGGCAAAGCTGTGGAGGGGGACGTTCCCGATGAGTGGGACGGCAAGGGAGAGGCCAAGGAAGGGAGAGAGGGGGAAAAGGACGAGCTTTCCGAACAGCTCGACAAGCTCGGGATCAAGTGATCAAGGATTTGCAACTGCAACATGTACTCTCCACCACAATCTGTAACCATAGCCATACCCCACGCTCATCAATGCTCTAGAATTGCTTGTGTGCACATGCGCAAAAATTATAAAGAACAATGGGCGTTGCGACTGCTGCTGTCTGCCGGGATCAATAAGACAACGGGACATTTCTGACAAAGGCCAAGCTGCCAGTGCAGTAGTCGAGAAGCTCCATGACCCTCTTGCCCTCCTTGTTCTGCTCGACGATGAGCTCTCTCAGCGCTTGGCCCAGCTCGCGTCCCTCCTCGTTGACCTCGTCGTCATCGTTATCGTCATGCTGCTCCCCATCAATGATCATGTGATCGGCAGTGGCCACGCTGGGCTTGACACCATTTGCCACAATTACGTCGCCATGCACTCTGAGGAGCACGGCGAGCATCGCCTGGACTGCCTCGTAGTCTCTCTTCTGTCTGAGCCTGGCCGTGAGGACCTTCAAGAAGCGCGTAATGTCGACCACGCGGCCCAAGGATGCACGGATCTCGCCGTCCAGAGCTGGGGGCGAGAGCGAGTGCAGATAGACAAAGATGCCTTCGATCGTTGCCTCCTTCTCCTGCGCGTCCAAGGCCATCCGCATGCGCTTTGAGAGGTCACTTTCGAAGTCCAGGCCGCTCTGGTCCCGAAGGGATCGGAGCCTCCTTGCAGATTCTACGTCCTGTTCCTCCCCAGCCAGCTCATCGCCAAGGCCGGGTCGCCGGATAATGGCCGACTCCGGCGCTTCCGACGCCTGCGGCAGGAAGAAGGGCGCCCGCTCTGGCTTCTTTGGCGCTTCGACTGGCTTGTCGCGCTGCCGAATCGCATCGAGGTTCAGCAGCGTCATCCAGCGCGACCTCGACATGGTGCTCAGCGTCACCAGTCCCTCGGTTTCCGCCGCTGCCTTGGAGTCTTTTGAGCTGAAGAGCTGCGGCTGCGAGGCATATGCCCGCTGCAATTCCCCTTCGCCCACATCAATCGTTTCCAGCTCACGTTCGTCGCCGTCCTCCTGCATGCCACGCATCGTCGGAAGTTCGACACCTGCACCCCGAGCCTCGTCAAAGACGGCCTCCTCTTCGAGACCGACGAGATTGACACTCGTGAACTGCGCGCGATTGGCCCAGAGAAAGATACCTAAGCTGCCGACGTGAGTCGTCGCTAGAAAGTCGGCCGTAGGGCTAAATGTCAAGCTCGTCGCGACAGATGGCGGTCTAAACGCATCGACGAGGAGGCCCGACGGCACATCAAACGTGCGAATGGCACCGTCGAGCGACGACACGATTAGCCAGCGTCCATCGGGCGAAAAAGTCATGTCGAGAATCCGCGCGCGGAAGCCGGTAAAGGTACGGACGAGCTTGAATGTCTCAATGTCGTACATGCGGACTTGCAGGTCGTCGTGCACGGTAGCAATCAGATTTGTGTTCTGCTCGAGCTGCATCGCGGCAATTCCGCTGCCCGTTTGAATCGTCTGCACGAGCTGTGCTGTGCCGAAGTCAAAGAAGTGCAAGGTGCCATCGAGCGTTGCAACAATGACTGTCCGATTGACAGAGTCGCTTGCAACGGCCACCACAGCGCTTGCTCGGGCCCTCTGCTTCTCCCTCCGCTCTGTGCGAACGCCCGCCTTGGAGATGAAAGTCTTGACAGGCCCGTCTATCAAGGCACGTGTGTCGTATCGCCGGCGCCATCGACCACTCTGCATGTTGTACACCTCGACGAAGCCGTGACTATTCCCCACCATGCCAAAGTTGCCGCATGCGCTCACGCAACTTGCGGTCGCCTCTCCAAGCCCAGCATTGCTTGCTTTGGCCGGGACACCGTCATTGGTGGGAGCATCGACATTGGTGGCCAGCAGTGGCGCCTTGCCCTTTCGACGATCGCGAAGGAACCATGTCTGTGCGTAGGGCGACGAGGCATGGGTCGAGAGGATGTCGTCCCAGTCCCGTGATCTCGTCGTACTAAAAGCCAGTGAAGTTGTCGGCGAAACCTTGAGCGAGACAACGTCCGTCGAGAGCTTCTTGGCCGAGCGCTCGACAGACCCCTGACTAAGCTCGGCGCTCCGACTGTCCCTTACCACACTCATGGCCCGCACACTCCGATCTTCGCCTCCGCTTGACAGAATCGTCTTGCCTTCAGGCCCCATGTAGCGGATCAGCCGTGGCGGTTGGCTATGGCCAGCCCGGTACTTGAGCAGCCGCGGCGCCGTCGTGCTGCCCACCTCGGCCTGACCTCCCAGCGACCCTGACCCAGCATTGATGGACGAGACCTCAAAGAACCACTGCTTGATGGCATTGTCGGATCCTGACGAGAGCAGCAGCGGCTGGCCGGGAAGGAAGTGGAGCGAGGCGACGGACGAGTCGTGGGCACTCCGAAGCGTGTGAGCGAGCCTCGCAGGGCGTGCTCTGCCAGACAAGACTGAACCGACGGAGCCAGGTGCGTCGAGGTCAAACAGCACGATGTCTCCAAGACGAGTGCCGATGGCCATTGTATGCGCCATGTTGTCCGTCCGGAAAGCAAGGGCGCCCTTCGAGAGAATGGCCGAGTTCGATGTCGAGGTGATGTGAGCGCAGAGAATGGGCTCATCATAGCGGATATCAACGAGGAGCACATGGCCTGAGGCGAATGCGACGGCCACAATGTCGATGGCTGGCGTCTGGACCAGATCGACAATGGCGCTTCTGTCGTCTAGGCCCAGCCCGAGGTAGGAGAGGAGCTTGGCGGCCGAGAAGTGGTGAATCAACGTCGCAGTGCGAGTGTTCCAGAGCTGAAGATCTCCCGAAGCACCTCCGATGAGAAGCTTGTCAATGTACGTCGAGGGGTGCAGCATCGCAGTGGCCGAGAATGTCCTGCCTGCTTCGTCTACGTCGCTGCCGTTGGGCATAGGCCTGTTGAGCTGGATCTGCCGCTGGAGATTTCCCTTGAGAAGAGACCAAATGAAGAGGTCCTGACCAGAGGCCGAGAGCGAGATGACGTTGTCACCAATTGTGGTGAGTGTCGATAGAGGCACCTCGGCCTTGAGCTCCTGCACGATGGCGCCCCTGACGAATCGATAGACACCGTCGCCTGCAGTCGCCAGAACATTGGTGACACCTCCACTGCCGGGCGCGAGCGCAAGCGATTGAATCGGGTGAGGAAGGCTCTGACCGACAAAGAGCAGGGTCATTCGATCGCCGTCCCACATGACCCAGGAGTGGCCGACGGAAGCGACGATGTTGATGTTGGCGGACTTTGCATCCTTTCCTCCGTGCTGCACCTGCACCACCACGGGGACATGGTCCGTCACCAGGCCCAGGGCTCGGAAGGGAGCAAAGAGCCTCGGTCTCGGCCGCTTCTTAACCGGCTGCTTCTCCCTGGCCTTTCCCCTGGCCCGCTTCGCCGGCGCACCACCATCCTCCATGATGACTGAAGGCGCGTTAAGAAGCTTTGATCGAGTGAGCCTGAGCCTGCCTGCTTCTTCCTCACAAAATCCCAAGAAGCTTTCGTCCAAATTTTTTCGACAGTGCGCCGCACGTGATTTCCGAGCCAATTTTTCCAACTTGGGATTTCTCTTTTTTTTGGATTTTTTTTTTGGCTTCTCTGCCTCGGGAGTTCAGAACTTCGACTCGCGACCAGCTTCAAGTAGCAAAGCAAAGCAAAGCAACGTCTCGCCATGGCACCTCACGCAGACGATGCAGAGGCCGCGCTGGCGTCGCAGCTGGCCTCGGACGTGGCGACTGCCGAGGCACACTCGAGTTCGTCCAAGAAGCAGCAAGACGCCGTCCCAGCGGCTCTCCGGCAGCCGTTTTCGAGCCTGGATCTGTCGGAGCCAACCAAGGCGGCGCTCCAGTCGATGGGCTTCCAGACAATGACAGAGGTGCAGGCCCGCTGCATCCCACCGCTCATGACCGGTCGCGATGTGCTGGGTGCCGCACAGACGGGCAGCGGCAAGACGCTCGCCTTTCTGGTCCCCATCGTCGAGATGCTGCACCGGCTCAAGTTCAAGCCGAGGAACGGGACGGGGGCCATTGTCATCTCGCCCACGAGGGAGCTTGCGCTCCAGATCTTTGGCGTTGCAAAGGAACTCATGGCCCACGGCCACCACCAGACGTTTGGCATCATCATGGGCGGCGCCAACCGAAAGGCCGAGGCCGACAAGCTGGGAAAGGGCGTCAATCTCATCATTGCCACGCCCGGTAGGCTGCTGGACCACATGCAGAACACGCCCAACTTTGTCTTTTCCAACCTCAAGACGCTGTGCATCGACGAGGCAGACCGGATCCTCGAGATTGGGTTTGAAGACGAGATGCGGCAGATTGTCAAGCTGCTGCCCAACGCAGAGGCGCGCCAGTCGATGCTCTTTTCCGCCACCCAGACGACCAAAGTCCAGGACCTGGCCAGGATTTCGCTTCGCCCGGGTCCGCTCTACATCAATGTCCATGCAGACCTGGCGGCCAGCACCGTGTCGCGCCTGGAGCAGGGGTACGTCGTGTGCGACAGCGACAAGCGGTTCTTGCTCCTCTTCACCTTCCTCAAGCGCAACAAGGGCAAGAAGGTCATCGTCTTTATGAGCAGCTGCAACGGCGTCAAGTACCACGCCGAGCTGCTCAACTACATTGACGTGCCCGTACTGGACCTGCACGGCAAGCAGAAACAGCAGAAGCGCACGGCGACCTTTTTCGAGTTCTGCAACGCCCCACACGGCATCCTCCTCTGCACCGACGTCGCTGCGAGGGGCCTCGACATCCCAAAGGTCGACTGGATTATCCAGTTTGACCCGCCGGATGACCCGCGCGACTACATCCACCGCGTCGGCCGCACAGCACGCGCAGGTAAAGAGGGCAAGTCGCTCATGTTCCTCCTGCCCTCGGAGCTGGGCTTCCTGCGCTTCCTCAAGGTGGCCAAGGTGCCCCTCAACGAGTACCAGTTCCCGACATCCAAGGTGGCCAACGTCCAGGGCCAGCTCGAGAAGCTCATCAGTAAAAACTACTATCTCCACCAGTCGGCAAAGGACGGCTACCGGTCCTACTTGCAGGCCTATGCGTCGTACAGCCTCAAGCGCATCTTTGACGTCCATGCCCTCGACCTGGCTAAAGTCGCAAAGGCGTTTGGCTTCAGCGTGCCCCCGCGCGTCAACATTGGCGTGGGTGCCAGTGGGAAGGGCATGTCGAAGCGTGGCGCACGGGAGGTGGACGGGCCAGGAGAGGGCGGCGAGGATGATGCCCAAGGTGACGACGACGATGATGACGAGACGGGCGAACAAGCGGCACGGAGAAGCTACAAGCGAAAGCGAGAGGGGAGAGATGCAGCCGTCAGTCACCGCAAGAAGTTTTCTCAGCCAGGCAAGAACCGATCCGGCAAGCAGTGGAGTCGATAGTCATCTCCTCTCTCTCTCCAGTGGCAGAAGTGTAATTGTATCTTTTCTTTCTCCTCTCTCATCCATCGCAATATTTAACGGCCTCATGATTGATTCAGAAAGAGAGCGTATGTAAATGACAGCCTCTATCTACCGTCTTCCGGGCTTCTTAGGCCGCGAAAAGCCCTGGCGGTCTAGCGGCTTGTCCTGGGTGCTGCCGTTGCTGTCTGCTGCCACCTTGACGAAGTTCTCCAAGAGGACGTCGGCTGTGAGCTCGGTGGGGTCGCCCGTCTCGAGCTGTGTTTTCTTTCGCATGTCAGCAGCTTGACCCTCTGATAAAAGGGAAAGGGAGAAGGGAGGTAATTCGGAAGCGAAAGGAACGCACCCGCTTGATGACGCTCAGGCCCTGCATGGCGTCGACGGACTTGACGAGCTTGATGACGTTGGTCGAGTAGAGCATCCGCTGGCGCACGCTGCTCTCCTCGGGGCACACATAGATGAAGCCCACGCTTCCCTCTGCGCCCTTGGCTTCGGGCTCGTCTGGATGCCGGTAGAAGGCATAGAGGGGCTCGTGGAGCGGCAGCGCGGCAGCGACATCGCCGGGCGGGACAAAGCGCGGCGGCTGGCGCAGCTGCACCTCTTCCTTGGCGAGATCGACGGTGAGCACGACGAGGTTCCACTCCGCCGTGCCAGACACGGTGTTTGCGAGTCCGCGAATCGCAGGCTCGACTGTGGAGAGTATTAGTTCCAGACAGCTTTGCAGAAAAGCTCAGAGAGGGAGAAAACTCACCGTCAGCAACCCAGGCAAAGCCCATCCTGACGCCCGACGAGGTGCCTTGGCTGGAACTGGTGCGCTCGGCCTCTTCGGAACGCTTGAGTTCAGCCAGGTGCTTCTCCCGCTCCGTCTCGAGTCCCGCTGCGCCCGTCCCCGTTCCTCGAGACACGGATTGTGGGGCAGCAGCAGCGGTGGTAGTGGTAGTGGCAGGGGCGGCAGCTGCGGCAGGGGCAGGTGCGGCCTTCGAGGGAGGCGGGAGGTCGTTGGCCGAAGGAGCAATCGAGGTGGCTGCCTCGTCCTTCTCCTCTCTCTCCGTCTCCTCTGGCTCGCTGTTCGAGGTGGCAGCAGCTGTAGAAGCAATGGCGGCCAGTCCTGCTGGCGCAGCAGCAGCTGCCGCCGTCGCTTCCACCTTGTCGCTCTTGTCACTCGGCTGATCAATCGACTTTTCAAGCGCAGCGTCGTCCACCTCGACGCCCTCGCCCTTTGCAATGCCCTTGGCAATGTCCTTCTCGCCTTCCTTCCGCGCCTCCCTCTCGCGCTCGCTCTGCGGCTCGGGCGGCGGTGGCGGCTCCGAGTTGCCGACGACCTCGGGTGGTGGCGGAGGGGTGCTGACGTCCTTCGACACAACATCCTCTGGCTCAGGCATGAACTGCTTCTGCCCTTCTTGTTGTTGCTGCTGCTGTTGTTCCTGGCCCTTGGCAAACGCCTCCCGCTCCTGCTTCTGCTCCGGCTCCGTGATGACGTCGCTCTCCTCCTCACCCTTTGGCGCGGGAGTCGTCTCTGTCTCCTTGGTCATTGGTGCAGAAGAGATGGCAGGCGATGACGTTGCAGCAGCAGAAGCTGCCGAGCTAGTGGTAGACTCTCGCGGGGACGGCTTCGCCACGGGTGCAGAGGCGTCAAAGTTGCGTCTGGCGCCTCCCGTGCCCGTGCCAGCAGCCTCGGCAGCACTCTTGCCCCTGATCTGCTGCTGCGGGTTCTGGTAGTCGTGCTTGCGTTGGTTACGCAGCGTCCTTGGAAAGCTAAAGTCCCCCACGGTGCTGCCCTGTTTCGAAGCAGAAGCAGAAGCAAAAGGTCTCAGGCTTCAGCACGGCGCGACAACACAACTCCGAAACAGCGATGCTCACGTAGACGGTCTCGAGAAAGTGCTGCTCGCTCAGCCCAGCGAGGAGGCTCGACTGCGTCAAGGTGTACTGCATCTTCTCGCGCACTTTGGCAGACTCGGGCCGGTAGGCGCAGTTGAGCCATTCGTAGAGGCCCGCGGGCGACTTGCTGTCGAGGCGGTACAGCGCGTAGCCTGGCCTGCTCGGTTCGCTCGAAAAGAGCTGCAGGGACCAGGTCAGCGCGACTACTTTTCTTCTTTGCTTCGAGGGCATTCATTAGGCAGAGCAGGCTCAAAACGAACCTTGGAGAGCACAGAGGTAAAGTCGTCCTTGTCGGAGCCCTCGGGTGGAGCAGAGGTGACGAGCGTCAGGATCCCATTCTCGTTCTGGACAAGAATCGCCCGCGGAGGCGCATCGCTCGCATGCGTGCCGTGTGTGATCTCCTTGAAGAGCTGCTGTAGCTCGTCGCTCAGCGGCAAGTTCGACATCTTGCGGCACCCTGATCCCTGCGTCCTGAGCAAGCCCAAAGGTCCTCCTCAAAACGTCTGGGGAGAGAGGGAAGTTAACGCTACAAGTGACGTGGTCAATGCGTGCCTGGCCACGTGGGGGAAATTTTAAGGTCAGGTCTCATTGCCCCATTCTTCTCTCGGTCTCTCAAGAGAAGAGGCTCCACTGGTTAACAAGGGAAGCCACGATGTCCAACTCACCAGCCACGGGAGAGAAGCACGTCGTGAGTGATGTTCTGACAAGGGTGCAGTCTGTCCAGGAGAAATGCTGATGATCGATGCAGGTGCTGGGCGGTGGCGGCTTCTTGGGGAGCAACATCGTCCGGCTGCTCAAGGCGCGTGGCGAGGCCAACGTCACCATCGTCGATCTTCGCCCTTCCAGAGTTCCCGGTCTCGAAAAGGTGCCCTTTGAGACAGCCGACATCACCTCGCCCGCCTCGCTGCAAGAGGTGTTCCTCAAGCTTCGACCCGACGTCGTCCACCACACCGTCTCGCCCGTCGCCACGGCCAGCAACCGGAGTGCCGAACTGTTCGAAAAGGTCAACGTCGGAGGTACCGTCAATGTCATCGAAGCGTGCCAGAAGGCAGACGTCAAGAAACTCGTCTTTACCAGCAGCGCCAGCGTCGTCTACGATGATCGTGACCTGATCAATGTCGACGAGAGGATGCCATTCCCTGAAAAGATTCGTGATCCATACATGGAAACCAAGGTGAGGCTGCGACGATGCTTTGAGAGCACAACGGATCTCTGCTGACTATCAAGTCTGGCAGGCCCGTGCAGAGCAGCTCGTTCTCCTCGCCAACACCGATGAGGGTGCAGCGGGTCTCAAGACGTGTGCATTGCGCCCAGCGGGCATCTTTGGGTAGGTGGCTCTGTCCGCGAGAGGGTGAGGGTTAACTGAGCTTTCACTCACACGATTGAATGTAGCCCGGGCGACGTCCAGTACCTCCCAGGCCTCATCGAGGTCTGCAAGACGGGCCGCAACAAGTTCCAGGTCGGCGACAACAAGAACCTCTGGGACGTCACCTTTGTCGACAACATTGCTCACGCCCACATCCTCGCCGCTGATCGCCTGTCAGGGCCAAGGGCCAAGCCCTACTCGTCGGAGCTTCTCGCCTCTGTCCACTTGCCACCCAAATGCATTGGCGAAGAGGAGCGTGGCACCGTCCGAGACCGTGACGTGCCCACGAGCGAGAAGCGAGAGTCGGTGCAGGGCGCGCCCGACTACTGCAAGGAGCTGCCCAGCACCCTGCCGCTCTCCGTCACCCAGGGCCAGGGCTCTGAGACGGGTGCACCCACGCTGGACCTACGGCCCGTCATTCGGAACAAGTATGATCAATTCTTCCACATTGTCAACCCAGACATCCCCTCGGCCGGCAACCCCATTCCCGAGACAGTGTCCATCGCCGAAGACTCAGTCAGCGTCGCGGGCAACGTCTTCTTCATCACCAACGGCCAGCCGACGCCCTTCTGGGACTTTGCGCGCGCCGTGTGGAAGGAGTACGACCCTTCTCCAAAGGGCACCGTCGACGTGAACAAAGTCTGGAAGGTTCCCAGGGACGTTGGCATGGCCCTTGCGACGGTGGCCGAGTACGCGACCTGGCTCGTGGGCACGACGACGACCTTTACCAGGTTCAAGATCAGCTTCAGTTGCACAACGCGCTACTACAACATTGAGCGCGCACGGCGCGTGCTGGGCTATGAGCCTCTGGTCGGCACCGAGGAGGGCGTCAGGAGGAGCGTGCAGTGGTACAAGGAGCAGGAGAGGCAGGGCACCGCGCCTGCTGCAAAGATCTAGATCACGCACCTACCCAAACCAAACTGTATGACATGGTCTCTCTGGATCCGCAGCCCGCAATAATGTCTATCACAATTCCCTTTCCTCTTCTCTCGCTCCTGGGTCTCGTCTGTGCAGCTTGCGCCTCTCTTTTTCCGACGGCCCTGTGCTTCCAACGCAGGCGCACATCGATGAGAAAGAAGTCACTGAAGCAGAGTCATTTATTTTGCCGGCAAAGAGGAAAAATTAACAGAAGGGCGGACAAAGGGAAGGACGAAACGATGGTCAGTTCGGTCTAGGACAGCAAGATGGATGGCCAGTGTGAATCGAGTGGCTTTAAGTGCAGATAGAATGCAACGAAAAGGGATGTCCACGTCTGTAGTCTTGATGGGAGTAACTGTGACGCACGGCGGGCATTTTTCCCGGTACGGGCTGCATGGCCTGTGCGTGATGCGATGGCGGAGCAGACCGCGACCGATGGCGGACAAAGGGATGGCACCCAATTAAATATGAGTAGTGGGTAAAAAGCACGAAGACCTCTGCGAGTTGTCAAAAGAGAGATAGAGAGAGGGCCCCGATAAGAGCGGTAGTGGCGGGGCTGGGTACTGAGGCAGCCAAGGTAATCTGCCTGCCCGATGCGAGCCGGTGTCAAGGCCTAATCACTTTCCCCAGCTAAGAGCACAGGCCTCCTCCCTCTTTCCTAATTGGTCGCCAGTTCTTTCTTGCGGTATTCAGACCCACCATCACAGACATTCCGTACACCGACTAAAGCAGCTATGCCACAGTTCCGTTCAGAGAGCCCGCTGACGGAATCATCGTCGAGCGACGCCGACTCCGCGTACGAGCTCGAGCACTCGTCGGACGAAGAAACAGATGTGAAACCACGCACGGTGCCCAAGCACCTCGAGAAGATGGTCGCAGCAGCAGAGATGTTCGATCCCGTCGACGCTGAACGCAAGTGCTATCGATGCTGGAAGCTCGGTGTCGACTGCCTGCTGCCGTTTGAAAAGGACCAGATCGACTCCAAGTGCAACCGGTGCGAAAAGGACCGCAGATCGTACTGCAACGTCAATGATCGGCGTGAGTTAGCTGCTGCTGCTCTTCTCGTCAAAATCCCTCGCTCGGAGCGAGCGGATGACTGACCTCCTCTGTTGCAGCAGCGGTCAGATTGATCAATTGCACGGCTGAAACGCGCTTCTACGGCATGTACTACGAGGCGCTCCACAAGAAGCACACAGGGGAAGATCCCGTCAGCACGGACTTTGATCTGGCTTCGATGGATATGGACATCATCAATGCCGACGAAGACATGAAGAGGATGCACCAGACGCTGTCAGCCAAACAGGCCGCGCTCGAGCGAAAGAGGGCCAAAACAAGACGGCGCGCGCAGGTAGATCAGGGCACGGGTCCTCTCAACGAGCATCCGTGCTTCCACTGCAGGGAACATGGCTATGCCTGTCGGCCAGCGAAAGAGGAAGCTATCAAGAAAGATCCTCGGAACAAGGACAGATGTCACGTATGCATCGGCAGGGCCGGCCGCTGCAATGCCAACAAAGTTCGTGAGTGTCACATTGCCCGATACAGATCTCAGAGGGGAAAAAAATGAGTCAACTCACAAATCATACTGATACTACATTGCCAGAGCTTCGCTTTGGTGAGGGAACCAAGGCAGAGCTTCTGAGAAAGTACTATGCCGGCCTGGAGGACCTGGTAAACAGCGATAAGGCCGGTTCCAAATGGGTCCCGCCCGACTCCGACATCAAGCCAGAGACTCTGGAGGCGGATCTTGTGGACAAATTCGGTCTCCGAAGGCGATACGATTTTGTGATGCAAGACCGCGCAAAGGCCGATATCAAGGGCAAGGCCCTTAAGTTAAAGAAGGAAAAACAGAGAAGCATCAAGCGGGATGGGACCCAAGAGGACGGAGTAAGTTGTAAGAGTGGCGTACAGGAAGAGGAGGAGGATGACAAGAACAGCAATCGAAACGGGAAAAGTAGCCAGTACAAGCTTGAAGTTGCACGCATCAAGAGGTCTGACAGCAGCCCCGAAGAACGCTCAACAAGCGCCCTTGCCACCCCAGCACCACTCGCATCAACCACCCACCAAAGCACCCGCTCGCCCCATCAAGACAAACCAACGGTCGCTGAAAGGCGCAGCACCGACGGTTCCACCCTGACAGGAAGTCCCTCCAACATCGAGTCACTTACGACAGATGAAATGCAAGAAACACAGGGAATTGATATGCCTCAGCTTGCGGACAATGTAAAAGGTGCCGACACGAGCAGTCGTGATTCCTACTGGGAGTCACTATGTTCGTCTCCAACAATGCCAATCCAGGCGCCAGAAACGAGAAGAAGAAGCGATGGGCTAACACAAGAGACAGCCATCGACGTGGATACCAGTGACGAAGAAAGCCTGAGGCCACTTCGTGATAGCAAGGTTTTCCGGGACCAATCCGTGGTAAGTCTAGTGTATTTGTTCTTGCATGACCCATTCTTGACCTTGCTGTACACTCTCAGAAACAAGTGAAGTAAGAAGACGATGGGGGTGACGAGGGTGTTGCCGTGCAGCTCTGTACTTCCGAAGCAGATACGGTGTCGAGTGAGGGGAAGCAGCAACAGGATAGGAAAAGGCGTGGCCAGTCCCGATACAGGAATGAGCCGCCTTTGTTCAAACGGATGCGAGCCAGTCTAAATCTCGACGAGATCCGCGCTGCCGGTCATCAAAGAGAATCATGCAGCCGGGCACACGAAGCCTGGTTGGCTCACGAACGCGCTGAGGACCGTCTGAAAGAGGCTGATACCAATTTGGAGCACGCGGATGAGCAGCTGCAATTACTGATTGTACCACGACCTCACCATATCGGCCTATGGAACAGCAGTAAAGGAGACATAAAAGGAACACAACAGCGTCAAGTCGCAGAAGCTCGGCTCGAGGCCTTGAAGGAAGAGGTCGCGTCTGCACGACGAACGGAAGAGGAAGCCAAGACACTGCTTGCAACTTGCCTCGAGGAGGTTCCCCGAGACTCATGGGAATTTATTCGCAAGTGTGTGGAGGAGGAGATGTCCCGCGAGCGACGAGGTAGGAGGAAGCAAAAGGCAGCGTAAAACAGAACCTTGGCCTTAGCTGGTGTCTATTGAAAAGCTCAGAGACACGTTGAGAGTGATATCCTTCGGTAAGATCTCAGGCTGGCGTGGCGCGCAACTTCTTTACGATAGAGCTGAATGCAATGACGATGAATGCAATGACGAAATTTACTTGACGGTGAATGTTTTCGCCTTGCTCCTACATCAGAGCAACTAGACCCATGTAAGGTCCCTCTTCTTCGGATCTTGCCCACTCTACCCCCGATCAACAGATTTCGATTTGTAGACAAAGTGCAGGACGACGGGAGTCGTCAGTGAGGATTATGAGCAAGCAGCAATTCGTCTTTCCTCCTTCATATCAAAATTGATAAAAAAGCAACGCATGAACATGAGCCCAAAGAGAGATTCGATTCGATTCGTGAGGACACAACCAGGAAGGAGACTACACTACATGACTTCGGCACGTCTTTTCGTTTTTGGTGTTTTGTTTTGTTTTATCTTTGTGGTTTTTTTTTCTCAAGTTGCATCTCTTTGCTCTTGTTCAGGCGCTTGGTCCCGCTTGGTCTTTAAGTCCTTCTTTCCGGCCCTCAGCTTCCTTGCGTCTTCTCTCCTTCAGATCCGCTTGCGCTTGAGCTGGTTTGAGTGCTTCTCTCAATAATTCAGTCTCCTTGCGCCTTCTTTCCTTGAGCTTCTTGTTGTCAAATCCCGTCCCTATGAGCCCGGCTTCTATGCGTTCCTCTTTTTCGCGCTTCTCAAGTGCGTCACTGAGCTCAGTAAGTTTCTCTGTCTTTTCCTCCATCGTCATCTTTTTGATGGAGATCGGGAGCTCGTCTTCGGGCAAAATAGGGAGATTGACCTTAAGCTTTTTCAGTATCAGCGACACACTCTCCTTCTCCATTTCAAATTCCAGAAGGAGGTTTCGAATGGAGCTGGGCTTGCTGCGTGGAAAATGCCCAACCTTGAGTCTTCTGATGTTGCAATCAATCACGTTGAGTCTATGGCCCAAGGCATCCGAGTAATCCAATGCAGCAATTTGTATGTGCGCCATTTGAAGGTGAAAGTCGGCGTCGAACGAGCTCTTGCCGCCTTCGGTCCCGCATTTGAGAAGTTCCGCATTGTATCTGCTCCGGAGCTCAGTCAACAGTTTACGACTCGGCTGCGTGGAAAGGAAATCGTCATCTAGCGGCAGAGGCGGTCCGGTGTTTTCCTTTTCCTCTTTCGATTCAGTGTGTGTTGTTGCCTCTCTCCGAACTTTCGCTTCCCACTTTGTAACAGCTTTGAGGTGACAACGGTGAAGCCGGGATTTCGCTGAGCCTGCTCGCCCCTGTACGGACGTTTGGCCTCCTCCTCCTCCTCCTCCTCTTCGCTCTCTGTCTCGGTGCTGAGCATCCTCCTCCTCCTCCTCCTCCTCCTCCTCCTCCTCCTTCTCCTCCTCCTCCTCCTCCTTCTCCTTCTCATGCTCCAGTTGGGGATCATCCTCTTTGAGCAAAAGGTTGTCGAACCTGTCGTACACGGCGTCGAAATGCTTTTCTCTTTGCTCATCCCCTTGGCGCCTTTGCACAGCGCGACGGTACCTTTTTCTCCTTGTTTCCACATCCAATTTGGAGAGTTCCCAAGGGTCGTTTCTTTTGTCGATAGGTAGAAACCTTTTGATCTTCTTCAACAACCCTGGTATCAACTGTTTCTCCAAGCCGCACTGCAGAGCGGCAATGTCTTGATCGTCCTCGATAAGAGCGTCCGGGCTCGGTACAGTGACGCTTTTTATCGCATTGAGCCTGGATTTGAGCGCCTCTCGATACATCTCCGCAGCATCGTGTAGCACCTGGTAAGCCTCATGGAGTTCTCCATCCTTCAGCCCCCTGAGGTGCATGATCTCCGACTTTGACAAGTAGGAGGCTTCGTCATTGTATGCTTTCCGGAGCTGAATCCAATAGTCCCTTGGCATCCTCGCGATATCAATACTGTCACCTGCATCTCCTGCAGTAGCAGAGATATGAGCTTTATCGCGATCGTGCTTTGGCGATTTCGAGGTACGACTACTTTCCCCTCGACCTCCTGCAGCCGCAGGCAGATGCACAAGGTGGACGAGGAAGAGAAGTGCGACGAAGAGTAAGCTCGACTTGAGGAGTCGCATCGTAATGGGTGTGATGGGGGAATGAAAGAAGAGGGGGAGAGTCGCTCTACGTTCTTTTATAAGTGATCCATCATACTCTGGAGCTTTCACCGTTCGCCCCATCTTGATCTAGCCTCTCTCCTTGTTTATTGTTTTTGGCCGTCTACAATGCTAGTGTGGTCAGATATTCGACGACAGTGCCGACTAGAGTAAAGTTCTTACTCCCCGTTTCAACTTTTCACTCAGAGGTGTTCTCGCTTGCTCGGGAGGGTTTCGGTCACTGCTTTGGTGGTAGCTATCGCGGCATAGCGTGCGTCAGCCGAGCAAAGAAACATGCAGAGGGCAAGCAGCTGCCGGCGGTCAGTGGCTGCAAGTTACTTTTCCGATCGTCCAAAGAAAAAGAGGAGAAGATGTCTTGCAGCCAAATGCCCAAAGGCCTGGCCAGATGGAAGCATGCATGGTTCCTTATTAGATCGATACGAAAGCGCTTACGGCGCGCAGGCGTCGTCGCGCCGAGGGCTAGGGGAGAAGACACAGAGTTGCTCCCGAGCTAAAATTTCTCATCTCCACCTAGCTCGCGCGCAGTTGACAGAGCTTGCTGCCTATTTATTCTGCTCTCTTCAGCCCTCGATCTGTGAAAGCCCGGATGGCGATGTTTGGAGCTCTTCGCGGGGCTCACTTACAACGGCCTTGTCACTTACGCCTTGCTCACTTTCCCTCGGTCAGACAACATGCTCGCTTCAACACAACAGTAGCATTCAGGCCGTCCCATGCGGCGAAACTGCCGAGGGGAGGTCGCCCACCGCCACGGACGCCTGAGGACCTCTTTCCTGACTCTATTCCCAGAGAGGGAGAGCTGGTCAACCCGTCCGGGCGCATCTACTCGGTTCAGAGGCCGATTGAGATACAGGACCCTTTCGCAAACAGTCAGACAGTCCTAGTGACGCCAGACGAAGCGCGGGCGCCTCCAATCTTGGGCGCCCTGGCCTTTCTGCTGGGAGGCTCCTCGCTCATCTATCTCGGAACGGCCCTGTATCAGAACAAGGAGACGGACCGATTGGTGCGAGAGATAAAGGGGCATTCCTCCAAGCCGAGCATCTTTGGAGACTTCAGCAGCTTCTTCACGGGAGGGGGTATTGCGGATGCAGCGAGGGGAGGCGGCGTCACCCAACGACAGCTCATGGCGGCCAAGAGGCAGGAGGAGGCCGAGAGGCATGGGTGGAGATTGACATGGCTTCTCGGCTGGTGTGATCAGCTTCATCTTCCTGCGCCGGTTCGAGAGTTTGTTGGTCGAGCGTACACCTGGGGTGCCGAGAGGTGAGGGGTGGCCCTAGCTGTGGCTGCATGCGGGCCTATCGCTAACTTCGTTGTGACAGCTACCTGGAGCTCCCGCCGTACAAGCAGGCTCTCATTCCAATTGTCGCAATCAACACGACCATCTTTCTTGGCTGGCGCCTCGCCATGCTGCGCCCTCTGCAGCAAGGCCTGTATCGCTTCATGGCCACCCACTTCCTGCACGCACCCTCGGCAGGCCGAAGTTACACCACGCTGACATCGACCTTTTCGCACATGGGCGGTCTCCACTTTCTCTTCAACAACATTGCCCTCTGGTCTATCGGCGCCAGCTTCCTGCTCCAGCCCGGCTTCCTGTCTTCGCCAAATAGCGACGGCAAGCTGCATCACTCTGCCGAGCCGAGCCTCACGCCGCATTTCCTCGCATTCTTTGCCACCGCCGGCATCTTTAGTGCCACGGCTTCGCACCTCGTCACCGCCCTGCGCTTCCGCCTCGTGGCACGCAAGCTGGGATCTGACGTCGCCAAGACGCTGGTCGGCCGGATCCCGAGCCTGGGCGCCAGCGGAGCAGTGTACAGCGCCTTTGTCATGTCCGCGCTCGCCTACCCCGACGCCCGCATCTCGCTCATCTTTCTTCCCATGTTCAGCTTCCCCATCGGCGCAGGTGTGGGCTGCATGGTTGCCGCCGACGTGCTGGGTGTGCTGAGAGGCTGGAGGGCCTTTGACCATGTCGCCCACCTGGGAGGCGCCGCTTTCGGCTATGGATACTGGTACTACGGGAATGAAGTCTGGGAGCGGGCCAGACGAGAGGCAATGGCCATTCAAAAGAGGCTGAGGAGGTCCAACTAGAGTGACGCCGTCCGCCCTTCTTCTTGCATCGGATCTTCCCTATCCCTCCTTTTCCTCTGTTCACACCCGCTTGCATTTGTACTGTACTATTAGGTTCCCCTCTCACGCACCACTCTTCACCACTTTTGCAATGCTTCTCTGGGATTGTCTTGTTGCCAATGATACTATCGATCTCTGTTCTACAGTCGTGGCTTCGCAAACGTGAGACCTTCCTTCTCGGCCTGCCGTTGCCAAGCGCAAAGCACTTCTGCCAATTTCTCGCCTAATCGCAGCTCGTTTTGTGTCAGTGGCAAGGTTTTGTCAAGAGCACAAGCGTCAAGCGTCGAGACTCACCAAGCAAGCCGGGCTGGTGCTGCACGACGAGATGGTCGCCCTCCATGGCCTCCTGCGATCCCCTGTCCGGCGCGACGCTGGCCACGATGGCATTCCTGACCCTCGTCGCGCCCTCTGGGCTCCCCTTTCCGTCAAAGTTGTAGTTGGTCGCATGGCTGCCCGTCATAGTGATGACGTGCAGCCTGCTGCGCCTCTCGGCCACGTTCAAAGGAACAGGGTAGGCGAAGCGGCCCATCCACGACATGGAAAAGGCAAATGCCTCGGACCACTTTGACATGCACAGCGTCACCTCGTCCCGGCCCGGCGACAGAGGTCGGAGGCCGAAGCGGAGATGGAGATCCAAGACGGCGGGATGCCAAGCCTGGAAGAATGGCTTTGACCTAAAGGACCTCTCGGCCTCTTTGCTGTTTGTGCGTGAAATGGGAGGGGTACTATCAGTTGACGTATACAACGGATGCAAGTCCGGACGACTGACCGGGAGGGAAAGACATCCTTGCGAGCGACGGCGCTCCTGGCCATGGGCATGTCCATGGGGATCGGCATGTCGGCCACTGTTTGATAGCGACAGATCAGAGGCGCAATTTTTAAACTAGCATTCATACACGCAACTCACAAGTCTCAGGGGGGCCGGTGACTGGGTCGAGAATGATGACGCCCTCGAACAGATCCGGGACGTGGTCGTTGAGGATCTTCATTGCGACTGCGCCTGCAATGCGGGGAAGGTCGCCCTTGAGCTGCTAGAGGACATGAGGCACAGGAGACTCAAACTCACTGAAGCTATGGCCGACACCGATGATCCTCCTCCCTCTTCTGCCCTCACCCCTCCGCGTCCTGCGCAGCGTGTCGGGCGGCCAGACAGGCCCCATCTCGGCGAGCCCCTCTGCCTTGGAAGCCGAGAGGTGCCGCCGTGGAAGGTAGTAGTCTGCAAATTGAAGCAGGTCACGGGGATGGTCCAGCCACGTAAAGGCCGAACCGAGGTGGGGCTCGTTGAGAGCGCCTGCATCGCCCGAGTTGATGCAGTCGACCGACCAGATCTCCTGGATCTTGGCTGGCTTGAACGATGACGACGACGACGCTTCCCTCGCTTCGATTGCTTTGACCAGCGACTCTGCAAACGTTTCCCAGATCTAGTAAAGAGAAAAAGCAGGTGCAATGCATGCGTGCAAACCATGACTCAGCTCGTGCTTCTCGCATTGTCTCCCTTGCCTGAATTTTCTCGAGATCTCACCTCTTTGTGGAAGCCGTTGGCGTGGGCCAAGATGAGAGTGATGCCTTCCTCGTCGTCTTGCGCGTCCGCAGCGCCTGCTGCCCTCGCATCCCTTGCGCCATACTTGGATCCGCTGTCGACGGGCACGATTCTCTGCACCGATCCCCACAGCGGCGGCTGATCTTCCCGGACGAGGCCCTCTGCGATCTTCTTGGCCTCCTCGACGCTCTCTGGCGGATAGTAGCTCTCGAAGCTGAAGCGGCTGACGAGGTCCTCGAATGTCTCAAAGTCTGCCTTGCGCTGCTCGCGCTCGGCCTCCTTTGCCTGCGAAGCCGTCGAAGCCAGGGGTGCAGGTGGGGCTTCGGACGGGGGTGCAGTCGCCGCAAAGTGGGAGCGGGGATAGGCGGCGGGGAAGAAGTGTGTCGAAGCGACCCAGGATCTCTGTGACGAGTGCGACGTGAATGCAATGCGATCGGGACGCGGATGGCCCATGGGCAGACGCTCCAAGGGTGGACCCGCCTTGAGCACAGCAGAGGGATTCGGGGCGAGCGGAAGCAGGTGGAGTGCCTTGTCCATGTCGGGCAGGATCGCACCGGAGCTCTTGATTACCCGAAACCCTTCGCCTCCGCCTCCTTCGCTTGTAGCCTTCGCCATTCTATCGAGACAACGCTGTCGAGAAAGCAAAAGTCTGTGAGGGAGTCGGAAAGAGAGCGAACAAGTTGGGTAACAAGAAAAAGAGACAGAAAAAGTTGGTGGGGAAACTGGTCCGGCATTCGGGCAACCCAATTTCCGAAAGCCACACCAGATGGAGAAAGCTAAGTCAAGCAAAGTCTCGCACGGGAGACTGTTGCCGTCGTGCAGCCCTCCTTCATGGAACGACTTGCGGAATAAGCGGGTCGACAAAAAGAGAAAGAAACCCCATTCATTGCAGTGGAGAGATTGAGTAGTGAATAGCTGCCCGATTGATTAATGAGAGCTGCCTCGGTGCTACTTTAGAGTACTAGGGATGGGTGGACGTCAGGGCAGGATCCCCAGCAATCTTGCAATTGCCCACTGTACTAGCTATAGCCTGGCTGAAACGATCTATCCGATACACTGGATCGTCTACTTTTATAAAGTGCAAGTTCGCGGGCTAGGAGTCAAGGGACAAACGTGGTTGGGACAACCCTGACACCTTGTGACCGAGAATGAGAGGGAGCAAAACTAGTTGCACTGACGGGTCTCGCCGAAGCGCGCGCGTCCGTGCACACGCGCTAATCAGGCTCAGCTGTAGGTCCAGCCGTCGCCACCCCGACACGACACCCTCAAACCATCATCCTAATCTTTACACCCGGTCGAGTCGCGCGACTCAGAGCTCATCACAGGCCCAACACTGGTGCCAGCGATCTGTTCTAGATCTGAGAGGGCACTAGTTCACTCCTTGGCTCTCCCTCCGCTTCTCACTGCCAACTACGAGCGTCAAAAGTCCGGCCATTGCCCCCACACACGTGCTGTGCAACGTTATCGCGAATGATGCCTTCGCTAGCCGAGCTTGAGCAATGGATGGAAGAGCAGCTCCCTCCAAACCTCGTGAGTCCTACACAGAGAGAGAGCCGGAATGAGTAACAACGTCAGGAGAGCTTACCTAGGGTGAAATCACTCGAAACAGCACGATCTGCCCCATAAGGTCCATGCCACCTTGCAGGCCTACTCTGCACAGATCTACACGCAGCTCTCTGACCTCACGCCGTCGCTGAGCCGAATTGAGGACTCGCTCAAGGAGATTCCGAATCTGGTCGGAAATGCTGCCTCATCGTCGCAGCAGCTGTTTCAACAGCCACCCCCGCCGCCCACCAAGGTGCCTACGCTGATGGAACGCATTGCAGAGCGAGCCGATGCCATCACCGGCAGTCGTCGGCGGACCAATGTCGTCGCCGGTGTTGCTCTCGTCGGTATCAGCGCTGCCGTCGTCTCGCAGACGCTGTGGCCGACGGCGGCGCGACGGCGGAAGCATGCGTTGCGAAGCGCCAAGACTGTCAACGGGACGCGCCGGGAGATCATTGGTGAGTCGCCGACCTCTTCTCTTCTGCTATGCTTACGACTACAGAACGCTGACCAAAGCACTCATCACCATCAGTGGTTCTCGGAGGCGACACGCCCATCGGGCAGGCCCTCTGCCACCAGCTGTCGACACAAGGCTTCATCGTCGTCGCCAGCGTGTCGAACGAGCAGAGCATGCAGAACTTTGACTCCCTCATCCCACCCTCGTCGCGAGGTTTCATCAAGTCGATCATCCTTGATCCGTTTGGTCCCCAGCCACAAGACATCGGCGCCTTTGTCGCTGCGGTCTCTTCCAGCCGCGAGCTTCGATGGCCGCTGACCAGCGCGGGGGACCCTTATGCGCGCCCCGGCCAAGAGGCTCAGGTCGTCGGTCTGGTCAATTCGCTCAGCTACCGCTCAGCCGGCGAGGTCGCACCTGGGCTGGCTACCGACACCCTCGCTTCCTCACTTCAGATCGACCGCCTTACTGATGAGATGCAAAGGAGAGTCATCACTCCATTGGCCACCATCTCTGCCCTCGTCCCACTTCTCTGCGCCCTGGGACACTCGGCCGATGCCGAGGAAGCCGCCGATGCCTCGCCAGCTGTCATTGTGTCCCTTGTCAATCACGGAGGCGAGACTGACTCGTACTCGACTGCGCTGCGAGGCGGCATGAGGCGCATCCAGCTTCATCAGAGCCAGACGACCGAATCAAGGCGTAGAGCGCTCTCCGCTGCCTCTTTGGCAGGTAGCAATAGCAGACGGAGACGCCTGTTGGTGACGACTTTGGAGGCCAAGTCCTCTTCCCTGCGCACCCTCTTTGCCTCTCTTCTCCCTTCCTCTATTGGCGGTGGCGCGCCAGCTCTGACAACGTCAGTCATTGGCATCTCCTCGAGCAAGCGCTTCATCTCTTCCTCTGCCGCCCAGAGGTCCGAAAGCGAGAGTAACAAGCCCGCGAGACCGACATACATGCAAAGGAGCCCATCTATGAGCGCGTCCAAGGCTCAGAAGGAGGTCGAGTTCAAGCGCGTTCTCGAGGCCACCACGGCCGTGCTGCTGTCTCCGCTGGCCACCAAGGCGCTTCGTCCAGTGTACACGATCCGGCTACCCGCTGTGGCTAGCAGTGCTGCTGCGGCCGCCGACGGTAGCAGCAACGAGCATCGTCAGCTCGAGAGCACCTTGCTCCTCAGGCTTCTTCACACGACGTCTGTACCCTTTGTCATTCTTGCCAGGACAATGGGACGCTGGCTCAGCATCAACCCTTCCTCGTGGTTCTCGTCCACCTGCCACGACGCTCGCGGCCCTGGCTATCGACGCTCGTGGTACAACCCGAGACCGGCGTATGGACCAGGACCAGGACCAGCTTCCAATACACACTCAAGGACGTCGATTCGTCGAACAGAGGAAGCCAACAAGCGCGGCGAGACGTCGACGGCGCCCCAGGACCAGAGCCGGAGACGAAACCGGCCAATGTCGGCCGCCTCTACCAGCTCTTCAGAGGCCAAATCGAGCGAAGCAGCGCCACCATCCAACAATGGCATGAGCAGCTCGGGCATCTTCAGCAGCGTCCCAAGCAGCGCCTTTGGCGATGGCGAGGGTGTGCCTGACCTCGACAGCGAGGATGGCAATGCCAGCCCGTTTGAGGCTGAATCGCCGCCACTTGCTTCTCAAGACTCGAGCACGCAGAGGCATAGGCAGCAAGATAATGAGTCCACCCCCAGTGCAAGCCGAGTCGAACACGTCTATCAAAGCTCTGCACCACCTTCCAGCCGCGGCACCGCCCCCTCGGGCACTCGCAGCCCGCTCGGTGCGAGCTGGGTCGCGCTCGGCGAGTCTCAGACTAGCGAGGGTGGCAGCAGCACCTGAAGTCTGGCTCTCTCCTCCTCGCCATTGTTGCTCTTCAGTGCATCTCTTTCCTGATTCTTGTATATTGTAGCCCACCCTTTCATGGCCTTGGAATTTGAAGAAGTCTCTTTGCGCGCCGCGGAGATAATGTGGTGCAGAGTGATACGGCCGAAGTGGGGGGTGCCCTTTGTGAGCTCCACATTTCCGAAAGCCCACAGATACTGTACGTGGAGAGAAGGGAGCGGGAATAAAGGAGGCAAAGGGTCGGCCTGTCTTACAAAGACGAACATTGATGCTCGTTACTCCCACACGTCTTCTTCCCAGAGGCGCTCTTACTTTCGTTGCACACCAACAAAGACGAGCCTTTGCTTCCAGTCGTATAATCGCCGCCATGCAGCCCATCAAGCTCTACACCTGGAGCACGCCAAACGGCTTCAAGGTCCACACGCTCTGCGAGGAGCTCAAGAACGACTACCCGGACTTCAAGTACGAAGTCGTGCCCGTCGACATTGGCAAGAACACGCAAAAGGAAGACTGGTTCCTCAAGGTGAGTCTTGCGCTTCCCTATCCTCTACCGTCGTCCAGCTTGCTCCGGCTCTTTTTAAGTCAAGCTGCTGACGCTTGGTTGATGTTGTGCAGATCAACCCAAATGGTCGTATCCCTGCCATTGTCGATCCCAACCAGGGCGACTTTGCCGTCTTTGAGACAGGTGAGTTTGGTCTTCCCGTCTCTTCTCTCTCTGTAAAGCCGGGCAAGCTCATGGGAAGGACCGCCGACACAGCTGCCATTCTCCTCTGGCTCGAAAAGTACTACGACAAGGACCACAAGTACTCGTGGCCCTCGACAGACACCAACGCCGACAAGTACCGCTCCGAGGTCCTTCAGTGGATCTTTTTCGTCCACGGCGGCGTCGGCCCCATGCAGGGCCAGCTCAACCACTTCCGCATGCAGGCCGTGGGAGACAGCAAGAACGTGGTCCCCTACGCCTACACCCGCTACCTAGTGAGCATTCATCCATGGCGTCTATCGAAGTTCGGCTCATTGATGCTTTATCTCTCCCTCCCGTTCCTCCTCGGCAGAACGAGACCAAGAGGCTCTACGACGTGCTCGAGCTGAGGCTCAAGGACCGCGACTGGCTCGTCGGCGAAGGCCGCGGCAAGTACTCGATCGCAGACATGAACGCATTCGGATGGGGTAAGTCCTCATGTCGTCGTCATCCTCCACGCCCCGCCCTTGGACAACCTTTCTGACTGAAAACTTCATCTCTGATCCAGTGGCCATCCACGGTTTCTCTGGTATTCCCAGGAGCGAGTTGCCGCCAGGCGTTAAGCGCTGGGTGGACAAGTGAGTGTCTCCTCTGCCTCTCTTTTACGCACTGCTGTTTCTTCGGGCGCCTGACTCTTTCGTCAACTCAAAGCAACTGGGCTCGACCCGCCGTCAAGAAGGCGGTGCAGCTGCCGCAGCAGTCCGGCTTCATGAAAAACATCATGGAAGACCCCGAGTGGGTGGCGGACAGGCCTCAGCTCTAATGACTGGTGCTAGGAACAGCGATCTGAAAGTCTCATAAACCGTAATCGAATGCTTTCTGCAAGAATGAAGATCGATTCCCTCTCCAACGTTTCGCCTGCTTGCTATGCCGCGCGGGTGGTCGTCTTCTACAGCCGTGAGAAGCGAACTGGAAACTGGAGATAGGAAGTCTGATGAGTCGGTGCGCTAAAAACCCTTCTTGGCGTTCACAAAGAGTCAGCCTCACCGTGCCATTGACCCCCTCTACGATGTCTGACGAGGCCACGGGCCGCAAGAAGCCCGTCTGAGCGAGGAAGGATGAAGGAGTGGGCTTAAACTTCCCTTCGACCTTGTAACAATGGACATGGTGACTCACCCCGGCTGGACCAACTTGTATCTCACCGTCAGGAGTTGCGACGGTCTCGAAGCGATAGCGGCGAATGAGAGTGCAGACGAGGGCCTTGAGCTGGACGAGCGCAAGGCGATTGCCGATGCATGAGCGCGGACCAACACTGAAAGACAGGAGCAGCTGGGAAGCGGGTGAGCCTGCAGTAATTGTGCTCCATCGATCTGGGTTGAAATTTTTGGCATCTGGACCCCAGATCTCCTCGCCTGGTTGGCGTTGAGAAGTGTATTGAGCAGTCGATGAATGTACCGCCAAGCAAAAGCGACTCACCAGTGTTCATCAGGTGGACCTGTAAGGGGGAAGAGACTGTCAATTCTTCGTCAGAAAGAGATGCTCCACTTGTCGACGCACAGGGATCATCAGCCTTTGCCCTCTTCGAACAACGATCTTGTCGAAAGTCCTGGTCTTGGACCCAGCGCGACAGGGGTAGGGTCGCGAGAGCGGTAGCACGGCCATGTCATCGGCCACTTCCCTTACCACCTCGGCCGTCGGTGATGTGAGACCTTGACGAGCAGTCAGTGCCCTGTGTGCAAATGGGTGTATCGCTCGAGAGTTTTCACTCACGGAGCGACTCCTTTACAACATGGTCAAGAAAGATAAGGCCATTGAGCTCGTCGAGTGCGACGGCCTCGCGGTCGCCAAAGGCCCCTTGCACCTCGTCCCGGAGTCGGGTCTGATACTGGATATTCTCTGGCAGAGAGAGGTAATGGAATAACCACGACATGCCTGAAGATGTCGTCCCAACCGCTGCCGTTCTCTTTCATCAGGTCTCGAGACTAGAGACTAGAGAGGGCAGAAGGCGAGAACTGGACTCACCACCAGTCATGAAAGTGTTGACCTGCGCAATAATCTCTTCGTCGCTCATGCGGTCTCCTTCCTTGAGCTTTGGGTCCATGTTTGCCCACACGCAGTGGTCGAGCAAATCTTTTGCCTGTCGCTCGCCACCGCTCAGGAGCGCCCTTCTCTCATCGAGGAAGCCCTTCGCGGTGCTGGAGAATGTCTCAAAGACGTTGCGCAGGTTGACGTTGCGCTCTGTCGGCAGGGACCGCACCCATGCAAAGCCGGGCACCTGCGCAAGCGCCAAGAGGACCATGTCGCGCGGCTTGGGCTTCAGGAGAATTTTATTGAGCAGATCAAACGCGGCGCGGAGAGGGTCGGGGGCTTGCTCCTTGTCGCTGCAGAGTTCGGAGAGGGCTCCTAGATCACGCGAGAAACCGACTTGACCAATGATGCTGTACATATTCGTTTGATAAGCTATGCAGCGAAGGGGCTCTGGAAAGCGAAGGCGAGAGGAGAGGGGACCGGGAACAGGAACTCACTCGAGGGCTAGCTTGGAAGCCCAGAGTCCAAAGTCGATCACAACCTCCTCCTTGTGTCCCACCTTTTGCAGCTCTCTTATCCCCATCTTTATCCGCCCACTGATGCCGTCGTCAATAATCCCGGCCAAGCGGCCGGCCTGCTCAAAGATGGCGGGGACCATGCCCCGGAGTGCGCCCTGCGCAAAGGCCGGTCCAAGCTGCTTGCGCTGGCGCCGGTGCGTGGGCCCGTCGACGACAAGCAAGCCGCGGCCGAGGGTGCGTGTGAGGATACGCAAGATGAGCGGCGGCTTGACAAAAGCATCGAAGCTGCGCACGCTCAGGACGTGCTGCACGGCCAATGGGTCGAACAGCACAACGCGCGGGGTGGAGAGGACGTCGCGGTAGACAAAGACAGCGGCGGCCGTGCCGTCGGCCGTGCAGCTGCGCGTCGAGTCGAGGAGGAGCTCCTGCGCAGAGGCCGCATCAACCGGGCGTCCAAGGAGGGAGAGATCACCGATGATGAGCCTCTTGATACGCTGCTTTAGACCCAAGGCGCGGTCGCCCAAGGGCGATGCGTAGGGGATGTGGCTCAGTCCAGATTCGCGCGCATGGATCGCGCTGGCCAGCTTGCCGATTCGCATGAGAAGGAATGCAAGGCAGACGGTGGATAGCACCAAATAGACATGCCAGGCGGAAAGCACTGGAGTCTGAGTCGCCATGCTTTTCGTCCGTCCGATCGTCATCGTCGTCGTTGTTGTTGTTGTTGTCCGCTGACCGCACTCAATCCTCTGTCCCTTGTCAAGGAAGGGCGTCCGTGCGAGTTGCATGCATTAGACTAAAAAAAACCTCAGGAACCGCTGTCAAATGAGGCTTGTGGTATCTTCGCTTCAGCAGTGGCGGTAACGTACTGTGTAGAATAGCTAGTAGCGAGACAGAGGAACAACTTGTCGGACTGATGAAGATGCATTCAGCAGGGGCTGCTTTCGTGGTAGAGAGAGCGCATCATTAGGGTTTGACTCCCACGGTGCGTTTTCAATCGTGAACGCGCCACGATGTATTTTTGTACCGTCGGACGTGCATTTTCGGCCGTCGACCTGCAATTTCAACCGCCCCTGCCTGTTCAGACTAATTGAGGGTAGTCGTGCCATTTCTTTTGTCCATTTCTTTTGTCTCAAGTGGAGCTAGCTTTTCTTCTTGAAACGGTCAAGACCAGGAGGAGGGCGGCCACTTACAATGACTTCGCTGATCCTCAACCCGCTTCGATACCTCTTCTCAGCCTCGCTACGCACCGCATTCCAGCCCGACGTCCGACACAATCCCGTCGTGCTCAATGCGGACCGTCAGTCTGACGACGGATCCTTCCGCAACAAGGAGGAGCGACGTGGCTTTTCGCCACAGTATGTCGCGCCACTGCGGCCGCCCAGGACAAGCTTCGAGGCACAGAGGCTCTATAACCACCTCCGCACTGTCGCATGGTACCTAGACGCGATCCCCTTTCTGGGCAAGCAGCTGCCCTTCAACGTCGGCGTCGATGTGAGTCAGCTTCTGAGTACCTTCTCACGCCACGGCTCCCGCTGACAACGTGATTCAGTCCATCATTGGACTCATCCCTGGGCTCGGCGACTACATCGGCGTCGTTTTGTCGCTCTATGCTCTCTTTCTGAGCTGTCTCTTTGGTCTGCCCCTCGAGGTCATTGGATTCATGGTGGGTCGATGGCTCACTCGCAGGACCATGTTCTTGGCTGACCGCCAAAGCTCTTTAGCTCATCAACATTGTTCTGGATTGCGTTCTGGGTCTGGTCCCAATCGTCGGAGATGCGCTCGACGTAGCATTCAAGGCCAATCTTCGAAATCTAAGGCTGCTCGAGGACCACCTCGACAAGAACAAAGGCGTCTGCGGGGCCGGTCGCTTTAGCCTCACGTTCCCTCCTTCGAACCGCTTCTTGCCCCTCGAGTCGCCGCAGGCCGCCAGGGGTGCCATGCCGAGCGTCAACGAGAGCGAGAGCCGAGGGTGGCGACGAACGAGAAATGCCAACCAGACGGCGGCGACGTCGGATTTTGGTAGTGGGGCGATGGGCAGTGAGGCTCCTCCTGTCGCCCCTAACGGTGCATTTACCGATGCACAAGAGCAAGAAGTATGGAATGAAGAGGGCCCAGAGTACGTGTTCAGCACAATGCGATACGAGCAAAGAGGCGCTCGGATCGAAGATCTGATACCTGAAGAAGTGCTTGGGAAAGGGGGAAGGGGGACAAGCACGGAGGGGCAAGAGCTGGGAGGACAAATTCCTCTGCTCTCTCGTCATGTAGCAAGGATCGTCGAGGCGCGTAAAGCTGTGCGAGCTCGCTACAAAGGCTGGATTGACACGACAGTGGGCGATGTAGAGCTATCAACGGCTCTGAAGATCGCCCTGCAGAAGCGGCTTTCGAGCGAGTCAGGACTTCGGCGGGTCAGACTAGCACTTGACAGAAGGGGCGACATCGAGGTGACGGTCGCACCCATGTCGGCACCGGACAGTGAAGCCCCTCCCGCGCAAGTGAGGATCGATACGAGACCAATTGGAGAAGAGGCCCAGCGTGCTGGTGTCTTGCATTACAAGACGTCGAGCAGGCAAACCTACGACGAAGCACGCGAGAGAGTCGGAGCGACGCTTGGGATGTCCAACGTTTCCGTCGTGGATCCATGCTTCGACGTTCTACTCTGCCGACATGGGAAGAATGGATATGCAAACTCCAAGGGAAAGCTGCTCCTGACGGAAAGTAGCATCGCCAATATCATCGTCGAGGTCTTCCACCCTCATGCTTTCTACACGCCCACCGCCAGTCAAAGCGCACTCCTACCTGGGCTCATGCGAGGCGAGCTGCTGGAGCGAGGCCTGATTCAAGAGGCCGATTTGGCAGTCGATGACGTTGTTGACATGATCCGAGGAAACAGGGCACGCTTGTGGCTCTGCAATGCCCTTAGAGGCGTCTTTCCTGTTCAGCTACAATTCCACGACTGATGACAATGAACAATGCCCCCAGGAATGCATGCGATAGCCAGGCCGTGTGCTCTGCGGATCACCTGCGTAATGCGTTCAGGTGACCTTCCAACTTAGCGGAATATGGGGTAATAATACCATTCACTTTGTTGTCATTCAATACATGGACATGCCTGTGAAACAATCTTTCATCGAGGAGGTTCTGGCGACCAACATAAATACGAGGAGAATCTATGAACACCCGGCTCAACTAGCACGACAGCCTTTTGACCTGTTAACCACGCCGCCTTGCCTTTCCTTCCTCTTCCTCGTCATCGTCCTCGTCGTCTCCACCTCCCAAAGCATCCTCGTCCTCGTCGTCGCTCATCGACGGCGACTTGCGCTTGTTGGACAATGGAGCCAGCGTAGCTCGATTGAGCACCTCGGCAAAGTCCTGCAGCACGCCGTGCGGCTGTAGCGTTCCGTTCCCCTTGGTGTGCAACAGGTAATGTGCCGGCTGGGAGCCGATGCTGCTCCTCGCCCGGCCAGGTGTGCTCGCCCAGGCGGCGGAGGGTAAGAGTGTGTCGCGCAGGTGCCTCTGCTGGTTGACATCGGAGAAGCCAGTGGTACGAGCTGGGACAGGCGTCGGCAGGGAAAAGCATGGAGGGGGAAGCAGGGAAGTCTGGCGCATGCTTGCAAACGGCATTGCCACACATGACGTCGTTGACGAAGAAGATGACGAGGCTGACGAGAAGGGAGACCAGGCCGATGTTGGTCCAGAGTTCCTCTTTCGGAACGTAAATGATGCTTGTACGGCCGTAGGATCTTCCATGCCGGGCTCCTGGCTGTCATCTTCCTCACTGTCCTCCTCTTCTTCCGACACGGACGCGCGTGAGGATGTGTTAGATGGTGCTAGCTTTGGTTCCGCATTCTGTTGACATCGCCCGCGTTCCGCAAAAAGTTGCTGATGTATCTTCATCTGAGCAGCAGCAACTGACAGATCGAGCTGCAGTCGTCTGGCCACCTTTTGTACCTTGCCTTTGACTGCCCTCGTGTCGTCGTTTTTCAAAAAGACCCAGAGGGCAGCGAGGGTTGGTCGTATAGTTGCTACCTCTCCTTCTTGCGCTGTCTGCTGAGAGTAGAGGAGCGAGAGGGCTTCGATGAAGTACGAGGCTGTTAACGGAACTATCCGCCGTCTCAGTCCTTCCTCGTCATCGCCACCGTGCTCCATTACGCTTTTCGCAAGATGCTCGCCGACCTCTAGTACCGTCTTCCTCGTCTCATTTGCATTTCCCACCGTCAGGTCAAATTCCGCTACTGGGCTCTTGACGAGCGAGGCACAGAGCAGAAAGGACAGGTACGCGGGCTTGACGACGCTGTAGGGGTGCTTGCTGGCATGGGAAAGCGGCAGTGCATTCTGAACCTCGTCTTTGATTTTCGGAATAAGTTCCTGCACCGCCTTGAAGGCGTCCCGATCGACCGATGAGCCATCGGCAAGCTTGCAGGCGCAGCGCCGGTAGCGCTTGTCGAGCGACATGGCGAGGCAGTCGACATGAGCGAGGGCACGCAGCTGCTGGATCCCTCGCGCCAGATTGGACAACGTGGTGAAGTGTCCGCTGGTGTAGTCGAGCTCAAAGACGAGGCTACTGTGCTCGTCGAGCGGGGGAAGAGCTGCCGGCGAGGTCGGCGAGGAGTAGCCAGGCACGCCGACGTTAAGAGATTGTGACATCCACAAAAGCAGGCTCTGCTCGATCCAGTAGATGTTGCCAAGAAGCTCGAGCTCAAGTTGTGCAACGTCGATGCCGTTGATGCGCACTTCTGTCACCGTCACCATCGCTGTCGCCGCTGCCGCTCCCGTCGCTGCTGTCAAAGCGATCGATCCGTCGGAGTTCTGGGAAGAGAGGTCGAGGAGTGCATTGACGACGGCGCAGCACTGTCCTAGCATAATCGAGGCTCTTCTAGCGCGACCATTGAGCAAGAGACGCCAAGCTGTCAGGAGGAGTCCCTGTGCGATAGACAACGAGGGCTGGGTGGCTGAAACACTAAGCATGGCACTAGCCGCTTGATGGAGGATCTCCTCGCTCGAAGGAAGGCTGTCATATACGTCTGATCAACGCTGAGACCGACTCAGTCGAGCTAGGCCCTCTGTCAGGACAAGGTCGAAGATCCACGGCTCAAGGGATTCCTGCCGGTGTTGTTGCATAAAGGAGGTTTTGGACACGACGAGGGGCAGAATAGGATGCTCCGCAAAAGCCAGCTCAACGAGCTGAAGGTGGATCTGCCGGAGCGCCTTTGCCCCCATGTTCGAGGAAGCAGTCGATGCACGCATCTTGGGCAATGTGTGGAAATCGTGTTTGCCGACATCGAGGGCGCAGATGACTGAAAATGCTGGCGCCTCGCCTCCTCCATCATCGAGCTGGGAGATGGACCTGGCCGTAAGCCTGACGTGGTCTTCGATGACATCGAGGAGACAACCCTTGAATGGTCTCTGCCTCTTCTTCATTTCTTTCTTCTCTTGACGGCTTCCGTAGATGTTCGAGGCGGCCAGCTTTCCACGTCCTCGTCCCTCCCAAAAGTCGACAAAGCTCTTGGCGAGCACGTCACCGAGCGTCTCCTGCTGCTGCCCTTTGCTCTGCGGCACGAAGCAGGCGCTCGACTGCGACAGTAGGATGTTGGGGTCCACTGGCTCTGAGCAGGACGTGTCATTGACGGATGGTCGACATGTCCGGACCTTGACGGTTTCGTAGACGCCTGATGCGAAATCGCACCTTGAAATTTAGCTTCCTAAGCGCTGCCTCACTGTAGCCTAGAGAACACTCACATGGCATGCCCCTCTCGCTACATGCTTGACACCACGGCACCGTCTACCTCTCCATCGCCATCAGTTGCACTGCCTTCTCTACACATCAGGACAACCACTCACCCCCGAGCAGCTGTTGCATTCCCACAGTCAGCAAAAGGAAGCTGCACTGCGCCACGTTCAGAAGATAAATAAAAGCTCACCGCATTTTACGCTGGCGGCAAAAGGTGCACGACCTCCTCTGCTCCGTCATGTCGCCCTTAGCTTGCCCTCTGTCGATGAAAGTAACAAAGGGGCGAGAAGAAGGAGGAAGAGCAAGGTGAAGGGTAGGAAGAAGAAGGACTGGCGGGGGCAGGACCCACGCCCCGTCATTCCCAGGAAAGAGACGGAGGTAGTGGGTGGTGTCGTTGTTTTGACTACTCTACACTGGCGGAGTGTGGCCGTCTGCACAGCGTGTTCGCGCGGAGGTTGGCGGGCGCCTACAGGCTGCCTACACACGCGCGGGCGCGCACGCCCACTCGCCGCCGGATGACTGAGGTTCAACGCACAAGCCAGGCAACAGCAAAGGCACTGGTGCAACAGATGCATTGCATCAAGCGAGGGAATCGACGAGTTACAACCTTTATTTGCTCTTCTGGCCTTCGGCGACACGGCGGGAATAGTACTCGACCAGGGCGCCCTCGTCAAACGATTTTTCAAATGATGGCCGACGCCTGACGGCATTCCACCAGGCATTAAGCCGCGCAAACTTGTCCTCTGTTGTTACAGCCCTTTCGAGATGGACTTTGCTGTTGGGCAATAAGCCCTTCGACGACGCCAGCATCAGCCGGCCGAAGCTGTCGCATTGAGTCGAATCAAGTCGCAGGAGTCAGCTAACCAATTTAGCAAGGTAGACGGGAACGCTCACTCACAAAGGTGCAATGGCGACCTCTGCCAACGAGTAGCGGTTGCCCAAGAAGAAGGGTCCCACTCCAGTGCCAGCAACCCCGCTCGTCGTTGGTGGGAGCATGGCCTGGAACTGCAGCAGGGCCTCCTGCAGCCTGACATTCTCCTCAGCGTCCTGCTTCTCCATCGCACTCCGAATGTTGCCCCAGGCAATAACTTGGCTAAACCGTTCAATCAAGTACCGAACTCTTGCCCTGTCAATTGCCCTTCGTTCCACCAAAGATGGCCCCGTCAGCCCTCTCGGACATCTGCGTTTGAGAAGAGCAAGACACACTCACTCGGCAGGCAGAAGCGCGCTCTCGCCAAGCTGGTCCGCGTATTCTTCAGCAATGTATTCGGATATGACGAGACTCTCAGGGAGCTTGATCTCCGTCGTGGGACCTGCGTCGGCGTTGATGACGAGGACAGGCACTTTGGAGGCTGGGTTGATCTTGCTAGCGTACCATGATGGCTTGTTGTCCAGATCGATGTGCTCGCTCCGGAAGGCCAAATTGGTTTCGTACAAGGCAATCTCAGATCGCTGAGCATAGGGGCAGCGCTTCGATGTGTAGAGAACGAGCGAGGGCGAGGATGCAGAAACGGTCGTCATCTTTAGTGATATGGTGGTGTGAAGGGAAGTGAAGGTCTTGATGTTGCTCACTGCCGGCGTTAAGTGTTGGTGTGTGTGGAGGCGCGAAGACTTGAACGTGAATACTCGGCCGAAGGATCGAATTAGAGCTCTCTTCCCACTCCTCTCACCTTCGTCACCAGACAACCTCGTCAATCGAGAAGAAGTGCAAGCACACAGAACAAGGCTGCTTGCCGAGGTACTCATACATCTCAACCATGGCGCCACCTGGCATTCCCGATGAGGCGCTTCACAAGGTGAGTGAGCTCTTTCGCCAGGCGTGCTTGCGGTAACCTTTCCTGTCATGAAGGCACGCTGGAGCTGATCGTGTCGTAACGTCTTAAACAGGTCCTTCAACAAATCCAAGCGCAGGTGATCAACTCGTCGCGACAGCTGAATATGGTCCGAGCGCAGATGCAAGGGTGCGAGACCGCGCGCAAGCGGTGCGAGTTTACGATCAAGCAGCTCGATGACGAGGGTGATGTACCCATGTATCAGGGCGTTGGAAAGATGTGAGTACGAACTCCTGCTCTGTGGAGGAGGGACAAGGCTGAGTCAGAGATCTATCTCACAGGTTCATTCGGGAGGATAAGAGCAAGATCAGAGCAGAGATTGAGAAACGGATGAAGGACGTCGTGGAGGAGATTGCCAATCTGGCAAAGAAGCAAAAGGTCAGTCTATTCGTGCTTTTTTCTTGTCGTGGTGTGCATCGATAATCTGAATCCTCCTAATCTTGCGTCTCAGTTTCTCGAGAAGCAAGCAGGTGACGCTCAGGCGCACATGCGCGACATCTTCCAAGGGCTCGAGAAGCAGCAGCAGCAAGTGCAGGCTTCTTGATGTGCTGCTACCTCCGTCCTTGCTTCGAAATTCTGTACACTACCATCACCAGTCTCCCAGTTCAATCTACTGCCCTCTTGGGCATAAGCGGGGCTTTCTACCCCGTCGTTGTCTCGCAGATGTCATCGCTAGAAGACTTCGCGAAGGCTACGAGGCCATCGTCGTAGGTCCTCTATCATCAAAGGAGTGAGGCAGACTTACATAAGCCTACACGTGACCAATGCACCAATTCGCAACAAATAAAATCTGCGCACCTTGGCCTGTTCTTCTTCTTCTTTAGGATCCACTGTGAGTAGCACCATGCCCGCTTGGTCTGCCTTTTATGCTCTTGTTGACTGACAAGCTCTCTTTAGCCGCCAATGCCACACCCACTCGCGCCATCTTATGATCGGCGAGTTTATTTAGGGTGCCAAAACTCCCCTCGGTCTTACGAGGGGAAGGCGGAGGAGAACGATGTGATATCTTGGCAGCCATATAGGAATCTCGAGGCGTCCGATCGCTTCCATCGTGTCATCGAGAGCCGAAGTGCTGCGGGACATTTCCCACCCTTTCATTGCAATTACATGACTCATTATGTTGATACGATTACTACTGTTACTGCTGTTGCTGCCTCTGCTTTTGAGAACGATAGGCCTTGATGGCGCGATCTCTCTCGTCGACGAGGTCCTTTTGCCGCTTGAGTCCCCCACCTGCAGCCTTGTGAATTGGCTCCGGGAGCCTCGCTTTTTGTTTCTCTTGCTGTACTTCGCCTCCAGACAAGAGCGCGCGCAGCTCAGCCTTGCGCTTCTTTGCTGCCGCGCCCTCTCCACGGGGCGCCTTGGTAAGCGTGGGCGGGGCCTGGACGACGTCGTTGACGCTCCTCCTCTGGCTTGCCTTCTCAAACTCGAGCGCCTCTCGCTCCTTCTTGAGGTCTGCTTTAGAAGGCCCCCGATCTTTTCCGTCATTAGCAGCTCTGCGCTTGCGGAACCTCTCGTCCGCATCGTCGTCATCGTCGTCCTCAGCATCAGGCTGACTGCGCTTCTTTTTATTATCGCGCTTCTTGCTCGTGCTGGAAGACGTAGCCTTGATCGTCTGGCTGATTTCGCCCGCGTATGCATCCTCGACTCGTCTGTTCCACCTGCGTCAGCCTTGGGGCTTAGATCTTGCAGAAAAGAAGCCGCCTCCTCACCTGTTGAAGTCCCTCGCCCTCTCGCCCGGCCTCATCCTAAGCTCTTCCTTCTCCACCCCCGCTCCGTCAGCCTCCTTGCCCTTGCCCTTTACGTTTCCCTTTGCCCGCAATTTCTCTTCCTCCTGCTGCTTCCGTCTCTCGTGATAGGCCTTCTGGACCTGCTCGGCCTGCAGAATGCGCATGGCGCCCTTTGGCATCGTCGCAATCTCGAGCCGATTGGACGTCGTCGGCGCCAGGTCCTTGCCCCTGCCATATCGCCTCACGTCAGTACTCCGGCCCTCTCATAGAGAGAGAGACAGAACGCCAGTCACTCACTTGGAGGCACGGTCGGCCATCCTCACCGAGAACTTTGCCCGTTTGTGCGGCATGGTGTCCAATGGCAGTCGGGATGGTCTGTGGTGGAGGACGCACACCGAAGAACGAAGTAGACGGCCAAAAAAAAAATCAAAAATGTAAAGTTTAGACAGGCAAAAAATTTAGACTGGGACTGTGCGAGCAGTAGTAGAATGGAAGATCTTAGCTCACAACCCCGAATCGACTCGACGTGACGGGCGAGCGAGCGAGCCTGCGAGACGAAGAGAGATGCTACGGATACGGGGCGCGCACCAGGCCACCTTGAGGGCAAGGCCCCTCTTCTCGCATAGTAGCAGACCCGTCGTTGGCGTCGCTTCAAGTGCGACAGATGCGCGGCGGACCTTGTCTACCTCATTGCCCGTTGCGACCGAGGCGTCGGCGGCCGCCCAGCCGTACCTCCTCGAGCCCCTGGTCCCCTACCTGTCGTCCTTGCCCGACTTCTTGCACCTCCCCGACGGCAGCCACAAGTATGCCCTGAGCATCTTTCTGGGCACCTGGCTGCTCCGAACAGCCTTTACGCTGCCCGTGACGATCTGGCAGCGCAGACGGACTCGCCGCATGGTCGAGCAGGTCGGGCCGAGGTGGGAGCGCATCAAGGCGGAGCTTCCCCCCAAGATCCGAGCACGGTCCCGGAGGATGGGCCATCCCTATGAGCTCTTTCAGAAGGAGCTTCAAGTAGAGGTTCGTACTCGGCTCTCTCCTTCCCTCCTATTTGCAACATGACAGGATGACTAACGCCAAAAGGGCGCACCTTGTGCTTCCCTATACAGCTTCGAAAAGAGCTTCGGACACTGACGCAGCGGTACAAGTGCACGCCACTACCCACCTTTATCGTGCCGCTCGCCGTCAACGTGCCGCTGTTCATCTCCGTCTCGCTCCTGCTGCGCACGGCTCTCATCCTGCACGACCCCGCCGGCCTCTCGTCCGAGGCGATTCCCTGGTGGCGCCCGCCGGCCGAGCTCCAGGAGCGCTTCGACGCCAGCGCCAAGCTCCTGGCCGCGCGCGGCATCGAGGGCGAGGCGCTGGCGCAGCTCACCAAGATGCACGGGCCCACGCTGCAGGATGTCGACCGGACGATGCTGGGCCCCATTGGCCTGGGCATCTCGACGATGGCCAACGTCGAGCTGGGCCAGTGGCTTCGCAGGGGCCTGCGCGGGCCAAGGGAGGGCGAGGGGCACAAGAAGACGGGCAAGAAGACGGCTGATGGAAAGGAGATTGTCGAGGTGGATCTGGGCGTCATGAGGGAGTCGTTCATGGGCAACACCCTGCGGGTCATGAGCATTGTCTTTGTGGCCATCTCGAGCCAGGCGCCTGCGGTGAGTACCCGTGCCATGAACTACAGCAATGACAGGGTGCGCCGCTGACAGAGGAGCAATGGCGCTGATCACAGGGTCTCGTCGTCTATTGGCTCTCGTCTGCGAGCTACACACTCGTGCAAAATACCGTCTTGGCAATCTACGACAAGGCGACAGCAAAGACACCGACTTGAGCGCAATACATGCTATTAATAGACAAGGTTTGAGTTATGATACAGGCGCTGTCATAGTATCCGGCTCCTCCTCCTCGTGACAAGATCCTCGATCGCCAGTTTGACCGTCTCGTCCTCCTCTTCACTTCGCCTTCTCTGGCCTTGAATGCCCTTCCTCTTCCTCGGAGAGCGATTGATCTTCATCACGGTGCCTTCGCTCCGGATCTCCTCCTCCTGAGCCGCAGCCGCCGTTCTCCTCCTCCTCGAGGTGAAAGGGAGTCGATAGTCCCCTTCAACCTCGGTGGGGACCGACGACGGCGCAGTCGGCACTTCTGATGGCTCCGAGATGGACTCGATCTCGGGGGGTGGTGAAAAGACACGACTTGCAGCCGATCTCCATCGATGCAGGGCCGTATTTGCCTCTGGGAGGGGCTGCTCCGGCTCTGCTTCCCTCTCTTCAAGCACGCCTCTGCGCCGAGCTGTTGGCGTGGTGGGACGTGCCTGAAGATCGGCAGATTCGATGAGCGAGGACGTCCACCCCAGCTCCCTGATGCGGTCGGCTGTTTCCTCGCGCTCGTCGCTCCTCTCCGTTCGGGCCTGGCCCCTCACGCTGGAGCTGCGTCTTGGTCTGAGCGTCTGTCTCGCTACTTGCTTCCTTGGGTCTGGGCTCGACGAAAAGGGACTGCTTCTCCGCGCTTGGTGCGTCGTCGCGCGCAGCCTCGCCGCCGCAGAGGGCCCACCAAAGCGAGCGGCTGCCCTAAGCTTGCGCTTCGTCTTTGCCTTGTCCATCCAGTGGTAAAAAGCCTTTGCAAACATGGCTCGCCGGTCCGTTTGCTCAGCCACCCGTTTGCCCTGTGCGAGTGGCAGCGTGTCTCTCCACTTAAAGAGGGCGTGCGAGAGGATGAGGGCCTGGTGGAACCGTATCGCAGGCAGGCAGTCTGTCCGTCTCTCCCACACGGCCAGGCACCTCGCCATGGCCGCCTGCTGCCTGGCGTCGAGCACCGCGTTCTCGATCGGCCTCAGGCTCGTCTCGACCAGCCGATCATACCACGCATCCCAAGCAGCCCTCATCTTCGCCAGAGCCTGCCTCTTTTGGAACGCGTCTACCTTCTCCCTGCGGACTCGCTCCATGCGCATCGAGGCCAGCCAGTGGTGGAAGATGCGCCGGGCAGACTCTTCGCGCTTGACATCGACGAAGCTCTTACACAGCTTCGACCGATCCTCGTGGCGCTGGCAACGTCGCACCCAGTGATCCCAGCCCCGCCGCACGAGGAGGCCGTCGCGCATATCGCCAGCCTCGAGCAGGGCGGCCCTTCGGTCGATGACCTGTGCGGTCCAGCGAGTCAGGCAGGAGCGCGACAGCCTCTCATCGGCCCTCGCCTGGAAGACCGCGACGGCGAGTCTCTCGCGCTGTCGCTCTGCGGTGAGGTCTCTCCAGGCGGCCCAGGCTGCACCGAGCAGCGAGACGTCCTTTGCTTGGAGCACGCCCTCGAGCCTCGCCCGTCGAACAGCCTCGGTCCACGCGCCAAACGCCTTTCGCTTGGTGAGATGCACCTCGACGACCTCTGCCTTTCTCTCGTTGGCCCTGATCTTGTCCAACCGATCCCGCCAGGCATTGAATGCGGCAGCCCGCACCTTTCGGCAGTCCCGCTGGGCAGCGAGGCTTTGAGATGCTACGACTTGAAGAGTGACGTGCCTCCACGATGCAAATGTGGCCTCCATTGTCCGCGCTCTCCGCTTCTCTTCTAGGACTGCCTGCCTGGCCTCGAGGTCGTCGCGCAGGGACCTGAAGTGGCCCAACCACTGCTGGAAGCGGGCCGTGACGACTCTGGAGCTCGTCACACGGCGCAGGAGCTCCTCACGTTCGCGGAGCACCCACACTTTGATGCACGTTTGCTTCGTCTTGCTCTCTCGCCATTGGACCAGCTTTGCCGCCCCTTCGTCCATCTCCTGCAGTGTGCGAAGTCGCGCGACCCACGACCCAAACGCCGACCGCTTGCTTCGTCTTGCACGCCATCGGTCCGCCAGTGCCTCCTTTCTCCGGACTGAGGCCTTCGACGCTCGTGCGGCGGACCACTGGAGCAGATAGGCTCGCTGCAGTCGGTGGTTCGCAAAAGTATTGGCGAGCATCGAGAGAGAGGCCTTTCGCCTCCACAGCTGCCAGCTCTCCTGAACCAGTCGGTGCTCCCTCTCCGTCGTGATCCGGCTTTCGGCCTGGGATAGTGTCGTTGTAACAGTCCACTGCTGCCATGTTCGGCGGAGCAGATCACTGTCGAGATCGCGCCGGAGCTGCTGCTCGTGTTCGTCGAGGAGCGTGCTTCTCTCCAGCTGGATCCTCCAGAGCGCCAGTGCACCCGAGAGCAAGTGAGTCTGCCTGAAACGCCGTGCGACCCGGTCGAGGAAGGCGTCCCTCCAGGTGTCCAGCGCTCCCCGCAGCACCTGCGCCTCGAAGTTGGACCGTGTCTGCTCGAAGGCGCCTCTGAGCTCGCTTCGCCTCGCCTCTCGCCTTTGCTGGCGCTGTGCCTCGGCCATCCTGATCCAGCGCCGCCACGCACGAAGCTGGCATCGGACGAGGTCGAGTTTCCCAGCCGTCACCAGCCTCGTCTCCCTCTTCTGCCAGCTGGTCCTCCATTGCACCAGTGCCTTGGCCTTGACCACCTCGTCTCTGGCCCGCCTCGTCTGCTCTTCCATGCGCTGGTGCTGTCTATACAGAGTCGTCCACCACGTCAGACACTTGCGAGTGAGTGTCGATGCAAGCACCGAGTCGGCTTTGCGATAGAGCGACCGCCGGGTCTCTTCCTCCTCTGCTTCCTTCCTTGCCTCGTCGGCCTGCCGCTGCGCCTCACGCTCTGAGCGTGAGCGAGCGACGACATCTTCGAAGCGCCGCTGGGTGGCCGTGTCCCGCCGCAGTCGTCTCTCCTGTCGCTCCTGGAGCGGATCGAGCTGCAGCCTGTTGAGTCCATCGACAATGTTGTTACTGTTACTGCTTTTGTTGTCGCTGCGTCCGCTGCCTTGCGGTTCCTTTCGCTTCAGTCCTTGATGGTCTGGCCGTCCCGCTGGGTGATGCCGCGCAGGAAATGCCAGCTCGCTCTGGCTGCGTGGTAGCCTCTCAGCCCTGGACGAGACGTGCGAAGGAGGCGCCTCGTCGTCGCTCGCGCTCTCGACCCGTGCTTGGCGCCCCTCGTCTGCAAATCGAAGCTGGCGTCGTGCGAGGCCCATGTCTGAAGTGGCAGCCTTTGTAGCGCTGGTGGCTTTTGCAGAAGAAGTGGAAGCGGCGGTGGCAGCGGCAGCAGTGGCAGCAGCGACCAGCGAGCCAGCCTGTGCACTAAGTTGCTCCATCCTCGCCCTCAGCGCCTCGATCTCACCCGATCTCTGCGACTGAGACTGCGGTGCTTGTTCGTCTCTCCTCCGATGGAGGAGCGCATTCACCGATGGGCTCGCGTCTGCATCTCGGCTATTGAGCGTGGGCTGGTAGCGCCGCGGCGTTTCCTCGACTGGCGAGTCATCTTCGGAGGTGTCCTTGGCGGGGCTGCTCTCGTCGTCGCCCAAAGACGCGCTCGTGGCCTCGCCATCGCTGGCGACGCGGGGCTCGAGGCCAATGGCCATCCTGACGGCGTCCCAGCGCTGGTTCCAGTCCTTTCCCCGGACTTGGATAAGCCGGAGAAGCGTGTCCCAGAGGTACGCGTCCCGCTCCTCTGCAAGCTTGTCGTCGCCATCGTCATCGTCGCCGCGCTCGCCGTCTCGTTGACTGGCTTGGATCGTATTGTAGGCCCGCTTGAGGCTGGCAAAGTCGGACGCGCCCTGGGGAAGCAGGTCGATGACCTCGTCAAAGAAGTCGACATCGCGCTCAGAAAGGCCGACAAAGGCTGTCGAAAGGCTGAAGCGGCTCGACGTGGCCGTCGATGAGGCCAGCGACGGCGTTGCCGAGGCCGCCGACGAGAGGCCTCCTCGTTCTCTTCCTCCTCTGGCCGCGACGGCGTACATGGGTGACGAGCCAGCGGGGGGCGGGCGAAGGGCGTGATTGTGCTGACGGCTGCTCATCGCGCCGCCGTCTTGGTATTGATCTGCAGCATCTTGCCGCGGTCGCCTGCCTTCGCTCTTGGGGCGCAACACCTTCTCGAGTTGTCGGGCCTGTCGTCGCGTCGTGAATGAGGCGAATTTAGACTGAGACGAACAGAAAGAAAAACAAAAAAATAAAGGGCCAAGCTTAGTCTAAAACCAGTCAGTTGTCTTTGGCATCGCGGCGCGCCTCAATCCGTCTCCGACCAACTCAGCCCGTTCCCGGAGGAAGAGTAGCAGGGGTAGCTTTGATACGCTCGCACAGGGCTGCTCGGAACCTTTGCCCGTCCGTGGATCACCGCACCAGGAACCGATCTGCCCACCAAAAGCCGCCCGATCGCTGTCTCACTGCCTCGCTGGATTGCTGTCTCTCTTTTTCTTCTCTGTCTATCTCTTCTCTTTCATCCCCTCTTTTCATCCATCTCTTTCACCTCGCGTCGCATTGGACATGGCGCCGACGAACTCGCTCCGGCTAGACCGGTCCACGGCCACGGACATCCTCTCACTAGTCCACATTCGCTCCGTGCTCCAGCGGCTCGAAGACACGATTCTTTTCCAGCTCATCGAACGGGCCCAGTATGCGCACAATGCGAAAATGTACGCCCCGGGCGCATTCGCCGAGCTCAAGACGCGCGAGCAGTGGGACAAGTCATGGGTAGAGTGGTTCCTCAAAGAGACGGAGAGTGCGCATGCAAAGTGCCGCCGATGGCAGGCGCCCGACGAGTACCCCTTTACCGACGAGGCCCTCCTTCCGGCGCCGATCCTGCCCCCAATCGAGTATCCCGAGATTCTCTACGAGCGAGCCGTCGTCAATGTCAACCCGACCATCTACAGCCACTACCGGGACGAGCTTGTGCCAGCGCTAACGAGGGCCCATGGCGAGGTGAGAAGCCGTCCTCTTACGCTCAGCTTTCTCGAGCCAATCCTTCTTTGACCGTGCTTGTTTGCTCACGTTTTTTACTTTGTACAACAAAAGGGTTCCGACGATGGACAGTATGGCAGCGCAGCCACGCGTGATTGCGACACTCTCTCTGCCCTGTCAAGACGAGTCCACTTTGGTACGTGACTTGTAGAGACCCTCCTCTTACAGGCGCTTCTGCTTGGTGAGAAGCGACTCCGGACTGAGAGAATGTGCTTCTCTATGCAGGCATGTTTGTCTCGGAGAGCAAGTTCCGTTCGGACCCAGCCGCCTTCGTCGGGCCCATCCAACAGCGCGACAGGGCCGCACTCGAGGGTCTCATCACGAAGCCCGAAGTCGAGGCAGCTCTCCTGGTCCGATTGGCATCCAAGGCAAAGGTCTACGGCCAGGACCTCAACAACTTGACTCCTTCAGCCGACGGCGGCACGCCCAAGATTGACACCCAGGTCGTCGTGGGGCTCTACAAGGAGTTTGTCATTCCGTTGACAAAGGTCGTCGAAGTCGACTACCTCTTGAAGCGGTGGGTACAAGGTCCCTTGTGCTCCTCTCTTCTTGCCCGACATTTGCAGACTGACCAGCGACCGTCTCTACCTCCCTTCCTCACTGGTGACAGGCTCGACGGCCTCTCTTCACAAGAGATCGAGGAGCTCCAAAAATCAAAACAGTAGATCGCGTTGCTATTCATGACAATTCTCTTTGCACCTTCTGCGCCTCGTCGTCCTTCTGCTTGTACTGCTTGGCCAGGCCTTCCATGACCGATCTGAGCTGTTGAGGTCCTCTTTTCACGTCAGCATTCTTGCCTCCCTGTGAAGCGGTGCTCGTGAATCGAGTCGAGGCAGACGCATGTAGAGCTCCACTCACCCCATCTACATTCTGCTCTAGCGCCGGCAAGACATCCTTGACGCTCCTCTGAACAAGCACTCCGCCAATCATGCGAAAGCAGACTCGGTCTGGCTCGGCCTTCTGCACCTCCCGCAACGTATCAATGACAGCCCTGTCCAGAGAAGAAGAATAAAAGGGTTGGCCCCACGAATATCATTCAGCTCTTCGTTCTCTCGCTGCCGTCTCAAAGAAAAGTGGTGTCCCTGATGAGAGAATGTACGTACCGGTGCTCCTCTGCATCACTCTCGAGCTCGCCAATCTTTGTTGCAATGCTCTGCATCTCGCCCTTGAGCTGCTGCAGCTTCTGCCCCGCCTCTGTTTGTGCATGGGTGTTAATACTCAGCGCTGGGTGGCCCCACCCCGGCCATGGACAGTGGTATTACGGGGGCGGGTGTCTGAGGACTCACGCTGCTCTGACATGCGCGGCTGGCCCCGCGTGGCTGTTGTCGCGGACATGGCTCTAAAAGAAAGGAGAGAAAGGGGGAGGGGACCGTTCACGGCCGTGACTGTTGCTCGTTCAGGAAGAAGGTCGACATCGCTGCGACTCCGATTTCCTTGAATTTCACGTGTGGCAGCGATGCACCTCCACTCTAATTTTGGAGAGCCTGTCAGACGACTCATCAAAGAGTTCCCCAGCTAAGAGGATGGAAGAATAGAGGGCGATGACTGACGAGGCTGCGCGGACGTTGAGGCGGAGCGGACGGAAGAGGGCAGAAACCGAGGCGTCTGCTGCTAGAGCTGATGGAGCGAACAAGCAGACGAAGAGAGAGGGTGGCAGCAACGGCGTTGTCAAGGGAGAGCGCGACAGCGGAGATGACAAAGGAACACTCGAGAAAGGCAGTACAGCAAGAAAGCCGTCCGTCACAGTCAAGAGCAAGGCGCGCATCACGGCCAAGAGAGAGGAAAGTACAGCTGCAGTCAAATTAGAAGAAGATGATGATGATGGATGCGTCATTGTCGGTTTTCAATCCGGACCTTCATCTGCGCGAGGCAGCAGCGCCCAGTGGACAACCCCACCATCCGAGGGCAGCAAGCATGGCAAATACGAGTTGCTCATGGCCAAAGAGGAGGATGAAAATATCACAAAGAGGCAAAAGGGCAAGGCAAAAGGGAGAGGTATCGACGAGGATGACGAGAGACGCGCGTCCTTTCGACCTGGTGAGTGGACAGACGAGAGACGAAGAGCAGACGCGCGCTGACATTGGGGTCGACAGCTCCCTCAAAGGCAGTACGTGACCGCATCCATCGCGTGCAAATGCAGCGCATGTTCCTGGTACATCGAAGTGGAATGATTGAAGAGGAACAGGACGGAGATAGCAAGGGCAAGAAGAGGATGGCGAGCGATGCTTTGGACCCCGAGGAGACCTTCAAGGTGGCCGGCTCAACCGGCAACGTGTACACTGTCACCATAGGAAGAAAACCGTCGTGTGACTGCCCCGACTCTTCCGTGGTCTGCAAACATATTGTGAGATGCCACGAATGCTGAAAGTGCTCCCAATATGCTAACATTGCCACAGCTTTTCGTCTTTCTTAAGGTCTTGGGCGTAGAATCGTCAAGTCACGTCTACTATCAGGCTGCACTAACGAGAAGGGAGCTTCGTGGGGTCTTTACCACGGCCAAAGCAGATCCCACTGTGTCCGAGTGGGTCTCCTTAGTCCTCTTTTGTCAGGGGGGAATGGCCGCTGATATCTTAGCAGCCCCGCCCTTTCCCAAGCATATCTCACCTCAATCGGGAAGAGCTCTGCGGTAGCGGCGTCGGCAAAGGAAGCCAAGATGCCGGACGAGGGAGACACCTGTCCCGTCTGTTACGAGGACTTCAAACCGTCTCAAAGGGAGGATCTCGTCTTCTGCGAAACGTCTTGCGGCAAACCCCTCCATCGAGCGTGCTCCGAGCAGTGGTCGTTGTGCCGACGACAGGCAAATTTGCCCTTGTCGTGTGTATGGTGCCGCGCCGAGATACCCTCAACATTCTCCGGTGAAGATGGGGGAAGATATTTGAATCTTGCTGGCCCTGCTCGGCTCCCAACTGAGAGGGACTGGAGTATCTACAGCCCCTTCGGTGAGTCAGCGCATCTAGCCGTGGCAGTCCTTCAAGTCTACACCATCTGACAAATTGCGCAAAAGCTCAACGGGCTATATATCGTCGAGGTTTCTTCTGATGGATGGATGGATGGGCAGCGGAGGTCTCCTGCAAGATCCTGGCCCGCCCGCGTGCGCACCTGACGGCGGACCCGCAAGACGGGCGACCCTTCTCTTAGATAAGTCGCCGCTGAGCGCTACCACCGCATGTATTGCACTAGCTTCGACGAGCTTCCACTTGATCTTTTCCCTACCACTCTCAATCTCCCTTAACCTCTTCAAAGGTGTGCAGATGGATCCCATCGTTGCGATCGACGTCGTCAAGCCCGAGTTTCCATCCGAGCAAGCGGCCAATGATGTACCCGAGGGCCACGAGAGCTGCAACGACAGCGATGACGAAGTAGTTTTCACATTCATGAAGGAGAGCAGAGCATTCAAAGCAAAGACAAAGTTGACGACAACTGAAGAACAGGGGAAGAAGCGAAGGGAGACAAAAAAGAAGACAACAAGGAGTGGTCGCACTGTCCGAGCAGTTAATCGTTTCTGCCCGGACAACCTGCGCAGACGAGCAAATGTCGACAAGGAGAGATGCAGTACCGATAGTACATCCTCTGCTGCATTCAGCGTCACTTCTTCGCAAACCCCACACGAAGCAACCAGGCTGAATGCTGAGCATGAAGCAACTCGCGAAGAACGAGTAAGCGGTGATCACGATAACGACGAGGACATCGTCGTGCGGGTGCGTGGAGTGCACCGCAGTTTCAAGAGGGCGAGTAGCCAAGAAATAACGAAGACCATTCATGTCCTAAGGAGAGGGCATGAAGAGCTGCTTAAGCAGGCAAAAGTCGTTGAGCTCAGTGCTCAACGCCTCGAGGCTATGCTTGCTACATCGCAGGATGAGTAGAAAGCGACGGAAAAGGAGTAATAGAAGAATACAAAGTCAAGCAGGAGAGGCATCGGCAACGAAAATCGTCTTCGAGATAGCCAGGTGCCTTTAAAGCGAAGCCATCTTGCCGACGACGAGCTGCCTTCCAAGAGAGGTGATAGCGATACTGCATCGTTGAGGACGCCCGCGTCACTAAAGCCAGGCCGTGCACCCGAGAGCGGCACAGTACAGGCGAGAATAAGCCTACCGCCCCAGCACCTACCCTCTCTATTCCTCTGTTGACTATATTGAGCATCAAATCATACTATTTGGCTCTTAAAGCTCGTCCTCTGGAGCAAGTGACTTATGACATGACAAGACATCTGTACCGCGATTAATTACACCTTCTTGGTCTTCTCCTCCGGTCGATCTACGACACTAATGCCCAGCAGACGACCCCTCGGCTTCTTCTCCTTGTCCGAGTCCGGCGCAGGCATTTTTGATTCCAGCTTGTCGGCCAGCATCAGGCCCGCAATCGACAATGCTTTGGGCGCTTCAGCCGCCGTGTCCTGAACTCAATTCCTCTGAATGAGAATGCAACTCACCCGCGAAGCCAACCCCAAAGGCGATCCGCACCCTGGGCTTGAGATTCAGCCAGCTCTGCCACACGGTCCGGTCCTTGATGTTTTCGGGCATCTGCTTCTCGGCATGTCGGCCAGCACCGCTATGAGCTTGTGGTCTCGGTCTGCCTTTTTGCAACAGCACGCTCCGCGTCCGGATGTCGACGTCTTCTCCTGCTCTCGGTGCTTGCTCGGTCCCTCGTCCCGGCGTTGGCCCTGCAGGCGGTCCGGTTGAAGCCATACGAACGAGCACTTCCCGGCTTCTCAGGAACCTCGCTGCCCCTCGTACCCCACTTGCTGTCCCCGTTATCCCCGTCATCATCGCTTCCAGCCCTGCGTGCACCCGTCCCCCATTCTGAGCAGCTTAAAATTGCACGCACGGAATTCGGAAAACAGATCAATGTCATGACAAGCTCCGTGACAGAACAGAAGCCACGCGGCGTCTTGCATAAAGCCTTTCAGAAAAAAAAAAAAGATTTGCGAAGCACGCAATCGCTGACGTGCTGTTGCGCGATGGCTGCAAATCGAAGACTTGTTTACGGTGGGGGAGGGAAGGGCACGGCGCAGGGTTGAGAGGTTAGGGGTGGAGAAATCAGATAGGTTGTCTGCAGCGACGAGCCGAACAGGAACGAACGTGGGCATGCAGTAGGTATAAGAGGTTGAAGAAAGTCAAGCCCGCCAGGGGTTTCTCTCTACGATCAACAACGACCTCCCCTGAGCCCATCATGCCTTCCTCAAACCTCGACATCCCCGCTTGGGTCCCTCCTCAGGAGACCAAGGAACAGAACATTGACTGGGCGCCCCTGCCTACGCTCGACCTGTCCAAGGTCACCGGCGAGAACTTCACGGAGGTCGACCAGGCGACAGTTGACGAAGTTGGCGAGGCCTTCAATACGTCCGGATTCATCTATGCCGAGAACCACGGTCTGAGCTACGAGGACCTGCTGAGGCAATTTGCCATCGGCCAGTACGCTTTCAACAATGTCAGCGACGAGGACAAGTCCACGTACAAGGCCAAGATCCTCGAGTCAGGAAGCTTCGTTGGCTACAAGGAAAAGGGCCACTGGAAGATTGACGGCGTGAAGGACCGCATCGAGGTGAGTGAACTCAGCTCAAGCTTCGTCCTATACAAGTGAATTGGAAGACTGAGGCACTTCCTCTCTCTTCTCTTAAGCAATTTAACCTCGGCTCCCAGTCCTTTTCGCCGGAGGCTCGACGCCGCCTGTTCCCACCATCGCTTCAAGCGCTTCTTCCTGAAATCGAAGAGTTCGCAAAGTTCAACCACCGCAACATTCTTCGCAAGATCCTTACCGTTCTTTCTCGCGTGCTCAAGCTTCCTGCTGACACGCTCTGGAAGCTTTCTGAGGACCCGGAGGTCAATGGCTTGGACCTCCTCCGGTACGCTATGTACCACACGCCCCCCAAGGACGATGACCAGGCTCTCGGAGGTGTCCGCCTCCAGGGTCACACCGACTTTAACAGTGTCTCGATCCTTTGGTCGCAACCGATCACGTCACTCGAGGTGCTGATGCCCGATGACGAGTGGCGATTGGTCAAGCACAGGTCGAATGCACTGGTGATCAACCTCGGAGATGCGATGCACTTCCTTTCGGGCGGCTACTTCAAGGCCACCATCCACCGTGTGGTTGCTCCTCCCCAGGACCAGGCTGACTACACCCGCCTCGGCATTTTCTACTTTGCCCTCTTCAACAAGGATGTCAGCCTCGAGCCGCTCCTCCAGTCAGAGGTGGTCAGGGAGGCATACAAGGGCAAGGACTTCTGGAAGGCTGCCAGGGAAAAGGGTCTCCCCATTCCCACTGCCGGACAATGGGAGGAGGAGCGTGTCAAGCGATTCGGCCAGCAACAGGCGGAAAAGACGCAAGATGGCCATGAGAAGTGAGTTTGAGCACCAAGCCTGACACCTCCTTACATGCAAGGTGTAGCACACGCTGACCACCCTCTTGCTGTCCTCGCAGGGAGAACATCGCTGGTTTCGACGTGACCCTCTACAACACAACAGAGAAGAACAAGAGCAAGCACGCTGCTCAGCTGGCCGCAGCCGCTGGCAAGCCCGTCGAGGCTGCTTAAATTGGCGCACTCGATGTTTTCGCCTAAATGCTTCGCGGAGGATCGTGGACGTCACAAATTACCCCGGCTCTTCCCCCCCTCCTCCACTTCCTCCCGCCTTCCTTTGCCTCATCTGGCTTTGTTCTCAACAACAAAAGTAACAGAACCTCAACGTTTCTGCGACCTTGTAATTTTATACATACTGTGACCCCTGCGAGAAGGAGAATTGGGAAAGCCATTCTTGACGATCACGAAGATGCGCTTTTGCCTCAGAGTCCGATCTCTTCGTTTGTTCGACTGTTTCAAGCCATCTTAATCAAGACATTTCAGTCGCTGCAATAGCTTACAGCTTAGAACAAGAGTGAAGGATTCAAGAGGGCCATTTATGCAGGAGCACATAAGCTCTTTCGAGTACAACTTCACAGGCAGCTTCTGACAAAACCATTTTTCACACTAGAACAACAGACATGGCCCCTCACTCATAGGCTTGCGAAGCGTTTTGATTCAAACTGAGGACGGAGGGTGACTTCAAGCAAGTGACATCTACATGGCCGTGGCGGCAGCCTTGGGGGCCGACGAGGAGGGCGCGCCACCGGCAGGGAGCGTAGGCAGGTTGTAGGGGTTCGCTGCAGGGATTCGCGTCAGAAAGGTTTGGTCCCACTCCACACATGTAAAGAGAGGCTCAGGACTCACAACGGCTGATGGGAACGTAGCACTTGCCCGAGATGCACTGGGCGGCAAAGTCAGGATACTGGTAGGCGAAGCAGTCTCCAGCGTCGAAGCATCTGCAGGGGCATGCCTCGTGTCAGCTTTTACGGGAAGGTTGGCCTAAATACTGTTACTGACCCAGAGCCCGTGTCATTGAATCCCGGAGGGATCGTAGGGGAGGGGGCGGCTGCCAGACGCTTCTCGACGGCGGCGGGCATGGCCGAGACCATGGCCGCAAAGACGACGGTAGCAAGGGTGAAGCGAAGAGAGACCATTTTCGAAAGGAGAGAAGGGGAAGAGTTGACGAAGAAAGCTTCGATCAGAAGAGAGGGGGCGCATGCTTCCCCTTTTATGGCTTTTCGCCGCTAACTTCCCTACATCTTCCCTGCGGCTGCAGATCTCGTGAATGGTGGGACGGTTCACACAAGTGGAAACGGAAGGGTGTCCTTTCGGCGTCGTTAGCGCCTTCCTATTCACAGAAGCCATTGATTGCTTCTTCGATTGATCTTCGCGGGGCTCCACAAAGGCTAAAATTTAGCCTTGCTAGATCAATACCGCTGCGTGAAACACACGTCTTGGCCCTCGACAGAGACCCAATCACAACAATTTGTTTCTCTCCCTCGTTGCCTTCCGATGCATCTAGAGATTCATTATACCGCATTGGGACGGGTCAAAGTAGCTCCGTCTCGGTACCAGCCGGGGTGCGCTTGACTAGGCGCCATGACTCAGCAAAACGCAACAATCTACTTGCTTCCTTAGTTACTGTGGGAGCTGCAGAGGCGTTTTGCCTCAATTTTGCCGACGAGGTGCATCAGAGTGAGGCGTGGTCCACCCCCTTTCATACGCCTTAGCAAGCACTTTGCAGACGCCGCTTCGTGTGACTTTCAGCAAAGTCAAGTTGCAGAGACTAGTCACGAATCGACTCTCCGGGCTACCACATCTAGATGCTCGCTAGTACATCTCTGGTAGACTGTGGACAGGCTTTTCACACGACGTGTGGGTTCTTTGGTACAGTACAATCTTCTTCTGCCATTGTCCTGGCTCCTCTCTAGTCAGGTCATTGTACGTTCCCAGAAAAGAAACCCTTACTTTCCACGGTCTACTGTTATTCAACGGAGACGCCCTTAGTTGAACAACCTCGGCAGTGTTTCGCCAAAGCTGCCTTACAGTCACACGCTGAGGTCTGGCTCATCATCGATTTCTCCCGCGCTCCTGTAGGCTTGAGCGACCACACCCAAGCTTGAGCGAACCTTTTCGTTGGAAAGATTGTAGCCTAGATAAATCTCACTGGAAAGGGACGAAAGAGGAGAAGCTGGCCAGCTCTTCAGAGGGGAAAGAGACAAAACGATCAACTGGGTTTCTGGGCCGAAAGAAAGTCGCGCTGTAAGCCCGTGAGGCGCCATCTAGCAGTTGTTAGGGCCAGCTTTGCCGCTGACGAAGCGGTACGAGGGCTGGGAAGCGACACCATCGTTGAGTTTGATGACCCTGCCCTTGGTCCCGACCTCGTTGGGTGGAAAAATCTGTTTGTTTGACTGGCACGGGCAGCCGCCCCTGGGCGAAACGATCAGCGAGTATGTTTTGGAGGCGAACGGATCTTGAAAGCCAGGTCTGGGGTGGAACCTGACATACTTGGCGCTGCCGGGGCTGACGCTAAAACAGCCGGGGTTCGAGACCTGGAAGTCGATTGAGCAGTCCTTGGTTCCTGCCGCGTCGGAACAGAAGGTGGCCCAGACATTAATTGCACTGACGGCTTTTGCACCAGCGAGGAAGGCGATGAGAGCAGCTGCGGTGAACTTCATTGCTTTGCTTGTCACTGTAAGGATGCAGCGTGAGGATGGTAATGGCGCTCGAGCCTTGCTCGACTTACCTAGGGGTTGGGAGGAGGGATGGGGGAAGTACTGACAAACAAAGATTTTATGAGATAACTATCGGACGGGTCATTACCCCTGCCTTATATAACTTTGCGGGGTCACCGAGAGGAGCTTGAGAGTTGCATCTTTCTTGCTGTCCTCTACCCCCCTCCGCTCAGTAGTCCTGTAGCTCGAATGTGGAACTCTCTCGACTTCGGGCACACGAAAGCAAGATGCATGCGATATACAAAAGCAGAGGGACGAGAAGACGATTCACCTGGCATCAACGAGTACGAAGTACGATCTTATTTCGATCGGTAACAATGAGCCAAACTCTATAACCATGTCACTCTGTCCTGCATTGTATCTTAAATCAATGGCACTGTACCGTCACTGGTCTGCTGCAAAATCCAACGCTGCCGGGTCAGCATTCTTTAGGAGTATACCTTCATGCCGAACAGTCAAGCAAATGATGCAGCCCTCAATCTTGCTCCCTCGTTCTTGCTCTCTCGTTCTAGAGCACTTGTAGAGACCATCACTTTTTGCCTTGGCTGTCGCTGTGCGACTCGTCTCCACACACGGTATTCCGTAAGCAAGTGGGTCCTGTGCCCACACGCCACGCATGTACTTGAGTTGGTCATCTTTGATGTTTGCATCAGGACCAGGACTGGCGAAGGGCTTGTGCCTCAGCAATAAACGTGAGCACCTTCTTTTCACTCGCCAGAGCAAGTATGTAACTTGCTAGAACGGGACTCAGTAGCGAGCGTCTCGAAACTTGCCCCTCCTCAAGGCTTCTTGTTGTTGCCTTTGGCCATCACCTATGACGTGCAACACTCGGTCTTGCTCATGGTGCAAAGAAAGACTTTACCCAATCACTGCTCTCATGTTGTCCAGTCTGATAAACTCTCCAGCAATGTACTGTACCTTCATCTGCGGCCATAGAGCCGTGAAAGCATCACATCCCGTCCGATCTGCGAAGTCAAGCACAGTATCGCCTAGTCAGAACTGCGGTGGGGGACCACGCGGGAATCCTGGGTGCTGCAGTTCCTTTTTTTTTGGTCCCATTGCTCTTTCGTCGGTCTGAGACGTCTGTGTGCAGATTCTCATATAGACGGGGAACGTCGAGGACGAAGTCGCGAGTAGCCGTCGTTGGGTGCCAAATTGCCCTAAAGTAAATTGAACGATGGTCGAACAGCAACGAGAGCTCTTAATGAGGCAAGCGACAAGACAGAGGAGGGAGTCTTGCGCCTGTACCGATCTCCCATCAATCTCACAGCATCTCACCTTCAGCGACAGGCACACAATCAGCCACGCTGCCGTCGAGGCGTTTTTGGTCATTGTGCACCTCAATATGCTCCTGCTTAATCTGCAAATGCCATCGTCTACCCTTGGCTTACATGACCCGGTCCGCCGGTCTATAGCTCTTTATTCCTCATCAGAAGGTGGGCCTCCTTCTGATTCGTCGTCTTCGTCTGCAGATAGATAGCGAAAGATAGGATCAGCTAATGCCTCTGAAGCAGGTAAATGATCAATCATGCATGCACTCACCGACGACATCAGCCTTGCTCAGCCCGCTGACGGCTTCTGCGTTTCGAAGCAGCCTCCGCGTTGTCTCGTACTCGTCAGTCTCTTGCTCGTTGTTCCTCGGCGCAGGCGGGAGCAGCTCGACTGGCTTGAGTCCTTCTGTGTTTGTCAATCTCGGATCTGAGCCAGCCTCGAGAAGCTGTTCGACTGAGAAGCCCACACCACCATGAGCCTCCATGCCGCATCGTCAGAGAGTAGTAGGGAGAAAGAGGCACTCACCACACCAATCCCTCGATTCGACCTCTTTGATCTGCACGGCTACGTGCAAAGGCCGATCGCCATCCCTAGCCCGATTGCCTTCATCTACGTCGACCTCTTCATCGAGAAGGAGCTGAAGGGCCTCGAGCGATTGCGCACGCAGGCTCGCGAGCACCACTGTGTCACCCGCGCCGTTTCGCGCATCGACGAGCGAAGGGGGCGTACTGCCATCGAGGACACTCTGGAGCAGCTCGGCGTTGTCGCTCTGGATGGCGTGGAAAAGGATCTGCAGAGGCGTAGCACCCTCGTGCGTCTCTTCTGGCTGTTCTGACATATTGCGAGAGAAGAATCGTAGCGCGTTCCTTTGGTCAAAGTGGTTTTGGTCTTGGTCGCGAGCAGTAAGCGCCCTGATTCGAGTGTTGGTTGTCAAACGAGCGATCAAAGCGCGTGGTTTGCGCTCGGACCACGAACAAATTCCATTGTCGCATTGCATTGTTCGCAGGGCTCACGAGACCACACAGACAACGATGACGAGCGCAGACCAAGCTGAATGAGCGTCTTTTGGGTTACAGGAAGCACGTCGCTGCGGCAATTGGGTCGTACTCAAGGTCTTGTACAGGCGAGATGCGGACTTGTAGGACTCAGCACGGCTGCTTTACGGGTCGATACGGGTCATCGGCCTCGATTGCTCCAGAGCTCGACATTCGCTCCCTCGCCAGTCCTATCCGCCAAGAAGCGATCGACGTCCAGAGTGAATAGAACTCGTAGCCTCCGTGTGCAGCCTAGATTCTCTCAACCGCCTCACCCAGACTCGGTGAGATCTCAACCACCTCCGCCATCCACATATCCATCTGCGCCAGCACGACCTTCCCCAGCCTCAAACTCGCCACTAGAAAGGCCGCCATCGATTCCCCTTTCTCGCCTAGCACCATCACCGTTACATGCTGCTAGGTCTCAGCCTCCTCTGCGGCCATTATCTCCCTTCTTGGACCAAGCCCGACAGACCGCTGGAGGAGACCGCTTTAGTTCAGATCACACTTGGGTCATCTTTACCTTCATCGGCCTCAATGCAGTAGTCTTCGCTGCATGGTCATATGCCGTGCATGAAGCTCGACAGCGCCAGGATATTGCACCCTATCTTTTCATGCGTCGGTGAGTTGTTTCGTTATGTCTTTCTCCAGCTTGATCTTTCAGGGAAGCAAAGGCTGACACCTCCCTCCTTCCCTCCCCTCACTAGGAATTTCACATCGGGAGAGCTCAACCTTGGCGCAGGACGATGGTGGACGCTCGTCACTTCATGTATCTCGCACGAGGATACGGCACACTTTGCCATGAACATGGTCAGCTTCTTCTTCATGGCCCCACCTGTGCTTGCCCTGGTAGGCCCCATGACATTCACGGGCCTGTACTTTGGTGCGGGCATCATCAGCAGTACCATCTCCATTGCTTGGAGAAAGTACATGAACCCTTGGATCAACCGCACGCCAAAGGACTTCGCAGGAAAGCCTCTTGTCGCAACTTCTTCGCATGGGGCAAGCGGTGAGTCGCACCATTTCCATCCCCTAGCATTCGGTCTTGCCCTTTTCTCACTGTCCTTCTTGTCCCTCTCCTTCTTGCCTTAAGGTTCGATCTATGCGGTCATGTCGGCTTTTGCCTGTCTCATGCCACGGTGTGTCTCTCGCTCTTGTTGCACAAGATAGAAGGCTCATAGTCTTTCTTCCTTTCTTCCTTCTTCTCCTTCTTCAGAACCACCTTCCTTCTCTTTTTCGTGAGTCGCTCCCGTTCAGATGATCCTTCTTCATATACGCAACTTACCTTCCTCTTACATCAAAAGGTCGTACCAATGCCTGCCTGGGTCGTGGTCCCAGGCATCTTGAGCTACGACCTCTACTCAGCCTGGTTCACGCCGGCCGGCCGTGAGGACTCCGCCGGCCACCTTGGGGGCGCCTTGGCCGGCATTCTCTTTTGGAGGTTTCGCCTTAGAGGGCTTCGCTTCAGATGAAGTGCAGTTTCGGCCCAGTAACAAGCTCTAGTGTTCCCACTTCCACCGCTCCTGCATTACTGCTCATGCTGTTTGGGTTCCCCGAGAGATGAGGAGTGATCTGATTTGCAGGGATATGGATGAGTGGTGGTGAATACGAATACAGCAGTGAGGGGGACATAAGTCTATCTAATTACAGTGCATGCGCAAGCAGAGAGTCATGGAGTCAAGCTAGCGTCCGCCAGCATCGACGACCTTCCATTCGTCGTTTTCTTTTTGCTCCGAGGTGGTGGTGGACGATGACAAGTCGACATCGGCAGCGTTCAATGCATCCTGCGCGCTGAGCTCTTCGTGCTGCTCCCGAATGACGATGGCGTCGTCGACCTTTTCGATGGGCACCACGTCACCACTCCGGACGGTGCCCTTGATGATTGCGCGGGCGAGCGGGTTGAGGAGCTTCCTCGTAATGAGCCTGTTGAGGGGTCGCGCGCCGTATTTTGGTTCGTACCCATGCTCCGCCAGCCACACCTTGGCCTCGTCCGTCACGTCGATGCGAATTCGCTGCGGGGCGAGACGCTGCGCAACCTCCTTGAGTCGGATATCGACAATGTCACGCAACGTCGATGGAGAGAGCCGGTTGAAGATGAGCTGCTCGTCGATGCGGTTGATGAGCTCTGGCGCAAGCGCCTCTTGGATTGCACGGATGACGCCGTCCTTTGCACGCTTAGTCATCTGGCCCGCTTCGTCGACTGCACCTGGCTCATAGAGGGCCTCGGCGCCCAGATTCGACGTCAAGACAATGATTGTGTTTCGGAAGTCCACCTGGCGGCCCTGCGAGTCGGCCAGCTTGCCCTCCTCGAGGATCTGGAGGAGCATCATCTGCACCGATCGTGCCGCCTTTTCGATTTCGTCAAAGAGCACAATCGAGTAGGGCCGCCGGCGGACCTGCTCGGTGAGCTGGCCCGCTTCCTCGTGGCCAACATAGCCTGGAGGCGCGCCAATGAGGCGTGCTGTGCTGTGCTGCTCCGAGTACTCAGACATGTTGAGCTGGATCAGGGCGTCTTCCGAATCGAAGAGGAACGAGGCAAGAGCCTTGCAAGTCTCTGTTTTACCCGTGCCCGTCGAGCCCGCCATGAGGAAGGAGGCAAGCGGCCGGCGGTCGTTCTGCAGACCGGCGCGTGACAGCCTCACGGCCTCGCCGATGGCCGTCAGCGCCTCATCCTGGCCGACGATTCGCTCTCGCAGGGCGTCTTCGACGTGGAGCAGACGCTCTCGCTCGCCTCGGAGGAGATTGCGCAGAGGTATGCCCGTCTGGCGAGATACGACGGCGGCAATGTCGTCGCTTGTGACGCGGTCGTGCACAAAGAGATCCTCCTCACCTTGCCGTACGCCTTCACTCTGGCTCTGTCGCAGCAGCTCCTCCTCCCGCGGCAGCATCTGCTCCAAATCGGGAATGCGCCCATACTGGATCTCGGCCACTTTTTGAAAGTCTCCTCTTCTTGTCGCCTGCTCGAGCTCAATGCGCGCGTCTTCGAGCTGCTCCTTGAGCGCTTTGAGCCTCTCCAGCCGGGCCCTCTCCTCTCGCCAGAGCGCCGTCAGCCTCTCATTCTCGATTTTGACCGCGGTGAGCTTGTTGCTGATCTCTGTGTGCCTCTCTCGCGAGGCTGCGTCCTCCTCGTGACGAAGTGACTCGAGCTCGATTTGGTAGGTGAGGATCTCGCGGTCCAGCTTCTCGATCCGCTCCGGTTTCGACTCCTGCTGGAGACGGAGCGAGCTGGCAGCTTCGTCGACGAGGTCGAGCGGTCCGTCGGGCGAGCGCCGCTCGCTGAGATAGCGGTTTGCGAGTTGAGCAGCACTGACGAGGGCCGCATCAGAGATGCCGACGCCATGGTGCACCTCGTACCGGCTGCGCAGACCTCGGAGGATACTGATTGTGTCTTCGACGCTTGGCTCCAGGACATGGACGGGCTGGAACCTTCTAGCGAGGGCTGCGTCCTTCTCGATCGTTTTGCGGTACTCGTCGAATGTCGTAGCGCCGACGATTGTCAACCCTCTGGCCAGGGCGGGCTTGAGCATGTTACCAGCATCCATGCTTCCCTCAGCTTTGCCAAGGTTGAGGAGCATGTGAAGCTCATCGATGAAGAGAACCACTTTCCCCTCTTCAGCCTCAATGTCGTTCATCAGTGCCTTGAATCGTTCTTCGAATGAGCCTCTATATGCGGCTCCGCTGATGAGTCCCGCGAGATCGAGGGAGAGAATCTTCTTTTCGCGCATGCTCTCGGGCACCTCCTTGTTGACAATTCTCTGCGCCAACCCTTCCATGATGGCCGTCTTTCCCACACCTGCCGGTCCAACAAGGGCAGGGTTCGCCTTGGTCCTTCTCGACAGGATCTGAATTGTCCGTCGGATCTCGGCGTCTCGTCCAATGACGGGGTCCAGCTTGCCTTCTCGCGCCTGCTGCGTCAGGTCTGTCGTGTACTGCGCCAGCGCGGCTCCCTTTTCCGGCTGCTGCTGACCTGGATTCATTCGAAAGCCTGGAAATCCTCCCATCCCTCCTCCTCCGCCTGGTGGGCTGCCACCACCGCCGCCGCCGCCATTGACAAAACGACGGGGAGTCGTGCTGAATTGAGCTCTGCCCGTTGGTGGCAAAGGCTTTGCTCTCGATGCTAGTGTCGTAAGGTATGCGTTGGGGCTTTTGGTCAGGTTTCCCGAAATGCTGGACCTCACCAGCATCTGTGGCGAGCACCTCGGCAGCATCGTAGGTCGTGTCTACTAGGAATCGGTGGGAAGGAAGATCGTCTTCATCATCATCAGGGCCCGAATTATAAAGCTGGATTAGAGGTCGACGCCTGCTTGCCCTCCTTCGCGTCTTTTCCAGAACTTTTTAGACTTTTGTGGAGGGCTGCTGGACACGCCTAGCAGTCTTCTGGCCAGTACGACAGGATATGGGCAGAGCAGGAAGATTTGGATTTGGATGGTCATTCCGCTTTGCACAAGGACTAGAGACGTGATGTGTCGTTGGTAAGCAACAAGGTAGAACGATTCGATACATTTCACGATGGCGTCATTATTTCTCATATCGAATGGTGTTGATGAGGGAGCCAATGGGCCCGGCATGCCAGACGGTGAAGGTATCCCCTTCCTTCATGAGCTTCTGTGGCTCCCTGAACCAGCCAATGCCCTCAGGGGTGCCCAAGAGGATCACTGAGCCTTTGGGTAGGGTCGTGCCCTGGGAGAGGTACGCGATGGTGGCGCGGGCGTCGAAGATGTGATCACTGTGCCATTCTGTCAGCAATCGAAGGTCCAGAAGAACGTTCTCAACGAGCTACACGCACCTTGTGTTGCCCTGTTGCATCACTTCTCCGTTCAATGTCCCTTTCGACTCGACGCTGAAAGGGTCAAAGCTATCGGGCGAGGCCAGGCAAGGTCCTAGAGGGCAAAAGTTGTCGATGCCCTTTCCAAAGTTCCACTGGCTCTGCTTGAACTGCTCGAGCCGGGCCGTGACATCGTTTGCCGATGTGAATCTGTGGTCGAGAACGATATCAACTTTCTATGCTGCTGCTTCTTTGGGAAGAAAGGACTCGGCGACTGACCCTAAGACATACTCCATCGCCTGCTCCCGTGGCACGTCCCGTGCGTCTCGGGAGATGACAACGGCCAGTTCAGCTTCGAAGTCAAGCTGCGGCTTCTCGGCCGCATAGACAAATTTGGGAACGTAAAGATCCCCAGGTCCACTCAGGGCGTGTGGGCCTGGCATGTAGCTTTTGTCAGCAATGCACTTCAGAAGAGGAAGGGCAGGGTCTGAGTCACCTTTCATGAACATGACGGGCACCTTGGGCAGCTCCAGGCCGGCCTCCTCGACGTGCTTCCTGAAGTTGATGCCGAGACATCGGATTGGTCCGCCGAGCTGTGATCTCGAAACGGGCGAGAGGAGGTGTCCGATGCGCTTTGTAGTTGATCGATCCACTTTGCCGTCAAAGGGAAGATCGCGGCCTGTCAGTGGAAAAACTTCGACCGGCTTGCCCTGAGAGAGCGCCAGGCCAACGTCGAGCGAGTCATCGACTGGCTGACCGTACTCTGCGTCCTCGCTACCTGGCGTGGAGGAGAATCTGACGTATCGCGTCCAGTCTCTTGCTGATGCTGCTGTTGTCATCGTCCGTGATGGTGCTGCTAGATGATTGTGAAAGAGTGACAGGCCTGCTTTCGCTCTTCCCATCGACATGGCAGTTGCGAAACGGACGGGAGACAAGCTTCCTCCACACGGTTGTCCTTACTAGCGCAACTAACCTAAACCAGCCACGCAGTTTTCGGATAATTCAAGCTTTCTCATTCAGACATTGGGCACGCATCAGCGGGCTTTCAAGGGTGGACATAAGGAGTAAAGCGGGCAATCGAAGCCTTGTCGTCGCCAAAGACTCCCGCGAGGCTCTTTTGATCCAGCCATGTGTGATCGTTCCAGTCGAAACCTGCCGAAGGGCGCCCATCATCAGCAAGGGGTAAGAAGAGAGGCGAAGGCAGTCCAGATAACAAGTACTCACCAGGCGCAACGACTTCGCTGATGAGGCACCCAACTCTCTCTGGGTCGACTTGGCCCTTTTCAACGGCCTCGAGATCCTCCTTTGGGATCTCGCTCACCTTCCACCAGTTGCCGTCGACCATGAGCTGGCGCGTCTCTCCCTTGGACACGTCTTCGCCCATGACGACCTGCTTGACCTCGGGAGCCTTGCCCGGCTTTGGACTGGCCTCGATGAGCGTGTAAATAGCTCTGCCGGAGTGATGCAAGTGCATAGTCTGATGACCGGGTCGGTCGGGAAGAAAGTCAGCGTGGGCAGCAGAAGTCGACACTTGAAGTGACAAGAGCCTCACCGGACTCTTGTTCTTATGAAGCTTGCCGAGAGCCGACGAATGCCCAACGAGGCGCTCCGGCGGCTCTTTCCCGTTGTCGGGAACATTGTGGCCTACACTGAGGAGGTAGTAGATGGTGCTCTGCACCACCCGTTCCTCCTTGTTGGATGCATACGGACTCGCAACCTTTCCTTCATCGACGTACGTCACGGCAAAGTGACCCCCCTCAGGGTGGGGTATCAGCTTGAGCGTCTCGATGATCTCGCTCGACGGTGTCGAATAGCTGTACATGGTTGTACTGAGCTTTTCTCTTCCACTTCACACAGCTCTAGCAATGGCAGAAATAGGCATGACGCATGAAAGGACAGCATTCCATTTTGATCCGCGGAGGGAAGCTTATTCCTGCCTGTCTGTCAAAAGCCACGTGTCTGGCCGCCCTTCTCCTCCTTCCCCTCCCAGCCACACCTTTCTTCCTCTTCCTACCCTCTTTCGGCCTTGAGAAACTGTGAACCCTGTTTAGGAAAGTGGCTTGCTTGACAGCTGCCTTTTGTGCTAATCGCGGCAGATAGTTGTTGCGACCTTGCGTCTTCGCGATGTGGTCTCACGATGTTGCTTGGCACGTGCGAAATGTGGGACGAAAAGCACGCCATCCCTGGCGCGGAATCACGGTTTGGACGTGGGGGATCACAACATGAGGATGCACCGAGCATGATTTTTAGCCGGACTTCCTCTTCTTTCAGCGCAATCAAGGCACTGCTAGAGGAAACTCAAGGACCTACCGGCGTAAGGGCCGCTAGCAGGAACGGTCCCTGAGTCAACTTGTGCAGGACCAAGAATTTGTTGATAAAGCCCCGTTCGCTTCCTCCCTCTTTTCCGACGACGACCTCTCCTCCTCCCCTTTCCCCTTCTTCGTCTCCCTCTCTCTCGCAACAAGATGAGTGCCGCTTCGCCTACAAAGGAGTCTATCGAGGAGGCTTCGGTTGGAGTCGACCATGAGCTTGCTTCGCCAACAAAACCGCTCCAGAGGCCACACTGGTTCCGGAGCACCTTTTTCAACATCACCATCCTGGGCTTTTGCTCCTTCCTGGCTCCGGGCATCTGGGGCGCCATGTCGGCCACGGGCGGTGGAGGCCAGCAGTCGGTCTCGCTCGTCAATGCGGCCAACAGCAGCACCTTCTGCCTCATGGTCGTCACGGGTCTTTTGACGCCCACTCTCATCCGGCTCACCAACGTCCGTATCGCGCTGTCTCTGGGAGGTGTTGGATACAGCGTTTACGCCGCTGGTCTCTACCTTCATGGAAAGAATGGCACCGAGTGGCTCGTTGTCTTTGGGGCTGTCTGCTGTGGTATCTCGGCAGGAACGTTCTGGGCCACTGAGGGGTCCATCGCCTTGGCCGTGAGTAGGCCCTTTAGGTCGCTAAGCCTGGTCTGAGGGAGAAGCTGACCCCTCGCGGATATCAGTACCCAGAGAGAGCAAAGCAAGGCTTCTACCTCTCCTACTGGCTCATGTACCGCGTCATGGGCCAGTTCTTGGGCGGCGCCATTAATCTCGGCCTGAATGCGAACAACGATCAGGCAGGAAGTCTGAGCAGCAACACCTACATTGTCTTCATTGTCCTCCAGTGCCTTGGTCCATTCGTGGCGCTCCTCATCAGCCTACCGGAGCAAGTCCAGCGCAAGGATGGCACCCCGGTGCTGCTCCAACTGCAGCCAACCGCGTGGCAAGAGATCAAGTCGATGGCAAAGATCATTGTCACACCCAACGTCCTCCTCTTGCTGCCTCTCATCTGGCAGGGCACATTCTCAGAGGCTCTGATTGGGACGTACGCCGCCAGCCACTTCACCGTCCGCTCGCGGGCGCTGGGCTCCTTCCTTTCGGCCATCGTGGCCGCCCTCTGCAACTACATCCAGGGCTTCTTCCTCGACAACCAGCGCACGACGATCAATGCGCGCGGAAAGGGCCTCTTCCTGACCATCTATGGCATGCAGATTGGCTGGTGGATCTTTGCCATCATCATTATGAATCGGTACGAGCACACGAAGCCGACGTTGGACTGGGGGCAATCGGAGTGGAACACGGGCTTTGCACTTTACATCGTAAGTCGCACCTCTTTCTCTCAAAGTCGTCTTTCTCTGCAGCTGATAACATCTCCCCTACCAACAGATGCTGCAGATTGGCTTCAATCTCATGTACGAGTGAGTGACATCCCTGGGCGCGTTTGACATCGCACCAGCTGACTAGTCCACAACAGATACACCTACTGGATCGTGGGCTCGTCGAACCAGAAGTCATCGGAAATTGTCCGACTGGCTTCGATCATCCGCTCCGTTGAAAGTGCCGGTCAGGCTGTCTCGTACGGCATCAACAGCACCACACTCCGTCTCGACGCCGTGGCAGGTATCAACTTCGGCCTGCTAGCCATCGCCCTGCCTCCTGCCTGGCTCGTTGTGCGCAAGGTGGGCATCCTCGAGGACGGCACCAAGCTCGTCAAGTTCCCTATCTATGCCGAGGACGACGAGCAGAGGGAGGAACTTGCAAAATCCGGTGTCGTGGATGCTACCGATGCAAAAGGCGCCACAGCCGCGAACCAGTAAAAAGAGTCTATTGCATAGAAGATGACAATCGTGTAACCTAGACGATGACGATTTAGATGTGAATGACGAAGCGACGATATCGAAGCGCAGGGCCCAGATTCATGTGCGGGATCTGCTATCGAAGCGCGTGTAGCGCGCGCTCTCTGGTACAGCAATGACGGAGCTCGGCTGGGGAGCTAGCCAAGGACCGCTGATTCCGATTTGTAACAGCGCAGGAACAGGCACTGTGACAGTGGAGCACCGACCATGTGAGCGGCACACGGCGGAAAAAGAGATGCCAGGCACGGGAGGGCAGGCGCAGGCGATTAATTCTATTGGCTGAAGCAGGTAGCCCCGCTCACAGCTCTGAGAAAAAAATAAAATAAAGAAGTCGACAGAGGTGTCACTATAGCTACAGGTACTTGGCAAAAAGCTGTGGCGGGCGAATGCTCGTCAGCGTTGGGCGAAGGCCAGGAAGCCGATCGGGGGCATGAGAGCAGAGCTGCGAGAATTTTTCTCGCGAGCTGAGAGCGAAAGAGGCTCATTGCGCATCGCGCAACCCGGCGACAATTCCTCTCAGACCACACTACTTACTTCTCCCGAAGCGGTTCGATACCGTTTTGTGCCATGCGGACCAATACAAAAAGCGCGAACGATACAATAATGAATAGGAAAAGTTTTTTTTCTTGCTCGCCCTCTCTCGTCGTTCCTTGCTTGGCGCTGGTGGGCATACTGGCCCTGGTATAAAGACGGCAGTTTAAGGGACAAATTGGTCGAATGAAGAAAGTATCTCCTGATCTTGTTCCCCCCATCTCAATTCTCGCTCGGTCGTTGTAACGAGCGCGACAAATAGCCCTCAGCCCACGTCTGTTCACAAAGAGACAGGGGCTCAATAGCCGGTACTCTGCAAACCGCGGGCAAGCATCGCGTCGGCTAGAAAGCGTGTTCCTCGCTCCCCCTTTAGCCTTAATAGGAATATTCGGTCCTTTCTCTTCCTTCACCCGCAAGACCACAAGTAACTCAAGATGTCTTCGCAAGTCGTCCCTGTCGACAATCAGCGGTCGAGCACTGACTCGAACCGCGACGAGAAGTCGTCCGACCACAAGAAGGCAGGCGGCCCTCAAGATGTCGAGAAGGGCAAGGACGAGCGCTTCGGCCTCGACCGCGTCTCCCTGTCCGAAGTTGGCGTGAGGGCCGAGTCGGCTGGCGTGTCAAACGTTTACGAAAGGAAGGTTTACATCCTCAACCGGATCATGAATGATGAGATCGGAATGGGAAAGGTGAGTTTACATTACGTCGGTGGCTGGGTTGGACAATAACGTTTCTGTGGGGTACCTTTACGGTTCTGTCGGTCTTCGAAATACTAATCCGAGACTCCTCCCACTCTCGTTTTGCAGTTCCAATGGCAACTGTTCGCTCTTTCTGGCTTTGGTTGGTGAGTGTGGCTCGATCGGTTCGCACACAAGAGGCCTACGATACTGATGCTTCTTTGCGCAGGTTCGTCGACAACCTCTGGCTGCAAGGTGTCGCTATTATTCTGCCACCCGTCCAGCGCGAATTCGGCATCAAGAACACGCCTTGGGCCACCTTCGCCCTTTACGTCGGCCTCATCATTGGCGCCGCCGGTTGGGGTATCTTGGCTGACATCATTGGACGTCGCCCCGCCTTCAATGCCACCCTCTTCCTCTCGGGCGTTTTCGGTATTGCCGCAGGAGGCGCGCCCAACTTCACCGGTCTGGCTGGCATGCTGGCCGCCATGGGCGTCGGTCTTGGCGGCAATCTTCCCGTTGATGGCATGCTCTTCCTCGAGTTCATCCCGGGCAACAAGCAGTACCTTCTCACGCTCCTTTCCGTCTTCTGGTCCCTCGGCCAGCTCTTTGCCTCGCTGATCGCCTGGGCCTTTATCGCCAACTTCTCCTGCTCGACGGAGCAGGACAACTCAGATCCCACAGCATCGGGCTACGGCCAGTGCACCCGGGACATCAACATGGGCTGGCGCTACACGTTCTTCCTCCTCGGCGGCGTCACCTTCCTCATGTTCTTGGCTCGTTTCGCCCTTTTCCAGCTGCCCGAATCGCCGAAATACCTCGTGGCCCAGGGTCGCGATGCAGAGGCTGTCGCGACGCTTCGTGAGATCGCAAGGCGCAATGGAAGGGAGCTCGGCGAAGACGTCATCTCCGTTAGCATTCTCCGGTCTGCCGCTGGCGAAGACGTGGGCGACATGTCTGAGGCCGACGAGGCTCCTCCGGAGGAGAAGCGCGGCATTGTTGGCCTTGTGTACACACTTATCGCCATGCCCAAGCAGCTCTTTGGTGCCGCAAAGAACTTCCGCCCGCACCACCTCAAGCCCGACTTTGGCCACATCAAGCCCCTCTTCGCCAGCAAGAAGATGGGCTACAACACTGGCGTCATCTTCATGCTCTGGGCTTTCATCGGTCTGGCTTACCCGCTCTTCAACGCTTTCCTCCCCCTCTATCTGCAGGAGAAGGGCAGTGTCGACGACTCGGGCATCAGCGTGTCTCAGACCTACTCCGAGTACGCCTACATCTCCATTTGCGGTGTGCCTGGATCGATCATTGCCGCTTGGATGGTCGAATTCCCCCGGTCGGGAAGGCGTGGTGCCATGGCCCTTGGTACACTTCTGACGGGCGTCTTCGTCTTTGCTGGCGTCGGCGCTCCCAACCGTGCAGCCTTCCTCGTCTTCAACTGCCTTGAGGCCTCGTTCCAAAACATCATGTACGGCGTCCTCTTCGCCTACACTCCCGAGGTCTTCCCTGCGCCACACCGTGGTACCGGCGACGGCATTGCCTCGTCGCTCAACCGACTCTTTGGTCTCTTTGCACCCATCATCAAGATCTTCGGAGGCAGCAACGCCAATGCGCCAATCTTTACCAGCGGCGCCCTCTTTGTCTTCTGCTCTGTCGCCATGCTGACGCTGACATACGACAGCCAGGGCCTCACTGCTATGTAAAATAAGCATTAGCTCTCTATTCTGCCTTCTATGATAGGTCTGTTGTTTTAGTGATCGTCTTGGGTCCTTTTTCTGTCAATGAAATATCCCATCGTCTCGTTTGGCATTGCGCGGCATGTCTCGCGCTGAAAGTGAGATCGGTCGTGGTGAGATCACGCGCAGGCATCTTCTCACAATGCGTGCGGACCCAATTTCGCGGGAGAGAGAGAGCATTCGACTAGATCCTCCCGGCACTGCAACGCCCCTCGCTATGCAAACACTGCCAATTGTTGAATCTGGAACTGTACTACTTTACAAGCGTCATGAGCTATCTTGGTGTTGCTGTTTCGTCCGCGTCCTGTCCGTAGTCGTCATCGCCCTCCCCGCCCACCGTCTCCACAGCCGCCTCGGTCGCCCTGCCCTTTGTCTCGATGGGCAAGTTGAGCATCAGACAGACGGAGAAGCCAAAGAGTGCAAAGCCAAGGTACAGGGGCGCATTCTCATCGACAGTGTCCATGAGCGCTCCTGCCAGGAGAGGGGCTACGATGCCGGCGAGCCTGCTGAGGGCTGATGCTGTGCCGCTGGCGGTACCTCGCAAGGCAGTGGGGAAAACTTCGGGGCTGTATGAGTAGATGACGGCGTAGGCCGTCGCAGCCGACAGGCTGATGGCGCAACTGCTCGCGATTGTCCATGTCGGCGATGACGAAGGGGGAGCAAGGGCGAATGCGAGGAGGCTCAACGCGAGGAATGAGCTGCTGAGTGCCATCGATTTGATGCGGCCAAGGAATGTTTCGATGAGGTAGGCGCCCATCAGCGACCCAGGAATCGAGGCGAGCGAGTACAGGAGAAAGTCCTCCATGACGGAGCGAATCGCGTCTTGGCGTGACTCTCCCGAGCTTGGCTGGCCGGGCTGCCCAGCGCCATCGCTTCCTCTTCCAACACGCCTCTCTAGGTATTTTGGAAGAAACACATTGACCATCGTGTAGGCCAGGGTGAATATGGTCCAGATCGACCAGACAAGGACTGTCGTCCGCTTCCATTCGGGCGTGAAGAGATCGGCGTAGCGCTGCCCGGCATCCCAGAGGCCCTTGCGCCACGATCTGGGAACGAAGCCGAGTGAGGCGGGCCAATCCATCACTCCTTCTCCCTCCGTCGCATCTCTTGAAGTATGCCTTTGACGTCTATGCGGCTCCTCGTCACCAGACGGACCTCTGATTTCATCGTCAGTGTCACCGGGTCCCTCGTGCGACGAAGGGTGCTGTGGCAAGCCCGAATAGGTTGCTGTAGATCCCGAGCGGAAGAGTGTTCTGGTCGTTCTTGATGAGGTGAGCCTCTTGAACAGCGAAGGCCTCTGCGTTTCCCTCGTCACTCCAGCGTCTTCTCCATCGGCCTGGTCCCTTACGTCGCTCAGTCTGACTCCAAGAGGCTGTCCGTTGAAGTCGGCGATCCTCTGCAGCACATGCCTGGCCTCCTCGTGCTTGCCAGCAGCAACAAGGAACTTTGCGCTCTCGAAAAGCCGAAAGAAGACGACGCGGAGGATGACAAAGGTAACGGTGAGCAGACCCAGGCTGGTGAGGAGCCAGCGCCAGCCCTTGTTGTCTTGCGGGTCGCATGCTGGATGCGACGAGGAACAGGACCTCGATGGAACGATGACGAGGCCCAAAAATGATGACACTACGCTGCCGGCGGCAAAGAATACGGAGAGAGCCGTGAGGAGGTAGTGTTTCCTCTGGGGCAGAGATTCGAGAAAGATGGTGCCGTCGGTGGGCATGCTGCCGCCCACGCCCGTGCCAAGGAGGAAGAGGCTCAAGCACAGCGTCGGAAAAGAGGGGGCAAACGACGAGAAGAGGCCAAACACGGCCGTGATGAGCAGCGTGGCGTTAAAGGCGTTCTTCCGACCAAACATATCCGAGTCTATTGCAGCAACCACACATGATTAGAACTGGCAAATTTCAAGATACGACTCGGACGAAAAGACACTCACAGCTGCCCCAAGCTACGGCACCGAGCATCATACCCGCAAATGTGCTGCTGCTCAGCAGGCCGATCCACTTGTCCGAAATTCCGAACTCATCCTGGACCCTCGGCAGGACGATCGCAACGCCCTGGAGCCACATGTTGTCGGCTGCCCACCCGCACCCACTCAGCACGAGTACCGCGTACTGGTACCGTCCCATACCGATCGCATCAATTGTCCGTTCTAGTGGCGTATTGCCCACAGCCGTCGCCCTCCACGAGTGTGTGTCGTCCATCGAAGTTGTTGTGCCCAACGAAGGCAGGCCCGACAGCGAGCTGGGCCGGCCGACCTTTGAAAGGAAACGCGGGTCCCGCTGGTGACGGCCGCCAGGCAGCGTCCTGAAGGAATACGCTCTCGCATCGTCCTTCTGCTGTGACGGCCTGGCTTCGTCGAAAGAACGGCTGGCCGGCACGACACTATCGCCCCCTATCCCGGCATACGTCTTCGGGCGCGAGATCCGGTGCTCGTTCAAAGCCCGAGCTTCCCCCTCCTTTCCCTCTATTTCTTCACCCATTATCGTCTCTGGTTCTCCAAGAGACGATTGAGCGAGCGGGTGCGCCGAATGAGAAACGTCAATCGATCGTCGAGAGGACGAAGAAGCCATTTAAGCTGGCTAATGCATCCTCCTCACGTCCTAGCCGCTACTGCCAGTGTTTAAAGTGAACCCGGAGACCAAGTAATGCGCAATTGGAGGTGGAGACAATCCATCTCGCACACGTGTTCATTCACCCGAACGCCGCGGATACCGGTAGGTCCGTTGCTCTTAGCCCCCTCTTCACCACGGAGATTGGTCAACAAGTGTCGACTGCAGCGGTCTAGGTCTTGTAGGAGAGTCGCACGCTTGGCGTTCAATGAGAGGAAATAGAAAATTGCAGCAAGCAAAGATGGGAATGGTCGTGGCCGGACATGGAAGCTCGGCGAGTCAAGCTACAGGTGCGCAACGACCTGCTGTGACCTTCTACTCGGCACCTCTGGCGCCTCGATGGCCTGGCGCTCGAGCCAATCTGCGATACGCTCAACAAGTTCACGATCCCTGGGAATCGAATGGCCTCCTTCGTGGGTCCATACTGCCTGTGCATCGACGAGCGAAGCAAAGGCTTGACAGACGACTTTGCTTCGTGGGTCAGCGACATGTAGGGATCCGAACTGGTGCAACTCACGGGGAGGTGTAATCTCGTCTCGTTTTCCGCTGAGAATCAAGGGCCTAAGCCTAGACTGGGCCGACATGGCGAGGTAGCCGGCATGCATAGCATTGGACGGGTAATACGGCGCAAATGTAAGCGAGAAGCGAAACGGCCTCCGAGCTTCTTTGCGCTTCACGTCGAAGAGGCGTTCCTGCTTCGGATCCAGTGTCCCTGCGAGAAGACCATGGCAGTAGTGCGCCAAAAGGGACCCTCCACTGTGGCCAATGACCCCGTCGAAGGGCCCGTGCTGGTCGATGTAGGCACCCAAGCAAGCTATGCTGTGTTCGTTTCCGATCCATGGTCCAGGAAAGGCCTTTGCGTCGGATGGTATCTGCCACCAGCGTGCCTGGTGTTCGTCGGGAGCCTCACTATCGAGAATTGACTCTGCGCGTCGAATCGCCTCTTCGTCGTGGCCAATCCTGTCCTGCAAAGGGACAAGGGCCTCGTCGCTCTGTTTCTTCGTCTTTCGAGCCAGCTTCGTCGGCCTCTCCACCTCGTTGAATGCCTCTGCATCGAGAGCTCGGCGGAGCGAGACGAGAGTGAGAGCGACATTGATCGGGTCCATATGCATAGAGGCCGGGGAAACAGAAGGATCATCCTTTGCCGAACTGGCCGCGGCGCCCAGACCGCCGTTGTGCGAGCCAGGCAGCATATAGGGTGCATCGGGGAAGAACCACTCAAAGCGCATATGGCCACGCCTGTGCTCGAGCGCTCCGATGTACGGCTGCATAGATCGACGCATCTTCTTCGAGTTGCTTCCGAGGTTGTGCAGGCAAAGCACCTTGACGGTCTTCTCGTTCATATCTGTCATGGCGGTGGCGGCGGCGATGGTGTTCGTTGCTCTGGGAGTTGGAGAGCCAATCGAGAGACTCTGGCCTGGTGCAACATGATCTGGACGCACAACTAAGCGACTGGTTGAGTGTTATTATCTTTGGTCAGACGCAAGCAAGTTTTCACCGGGATCAGCAGGGTATCGGCCAGATTCGAGACGGAGCAAACAGCGCAAACTCTCGCTCGGGCCAACTAACCACGCAAAATGTCATCATGAGCGTCTTTCAAATTCAGGCGCTGCGACAATTTCCTTGTCGCTGTATGTATGCTGCCACCTGTCCCCTCAAAGGCGCATTGTGCACAAGCAGCAGCCAACAGGCTAGAAGAGTCGCTATTGTTGTACAGCGCAACGTACCATCTGCTATCTCAAACAAAATCGCTGTTGCGCGGCTAGCTCCACATTGCAAGAAGAGACCCTCATCATTGCGAGCCCTCGTTGAAAGCTCCAGGCTGCAGGCACTCGGACATAGTTTTGGGTAAGAGCAAAGGCAGCGAGAGTGCTAGATATAGGGTGCCGTACCTGCGGCTGACCCTTGGCGTGGATGGTGTCGCTACAGAGACGCTGTGGGCCTCGCTCGGCAGGTAAAGCAATGAGTACGAGATTGAAGAAGGGGAACGTCGCTAGGCCCCTACGCCCATGACTCATTTTGGTTCGATATCGATGGAGATGAACTCTGTCGTGAATTTGGCATCTGTCCCCACGAACGGCTCGGACCCGGCACCGATCGTCTCCAGCAGCGCGTCCGTGGGCAACTTGCCGGCCCATACGAGGTGGAAGAGGAATTCTGCCAGGTCTCCCTTGAAGTTCCGTAACCAAGTCTTCTCGACGGGGACGAAAGAGTAGGTGTTCAAGCCCGGAGGACGACCGTGATAGAGGTAGAATTGGACGTTATGGATAAAGACTGTTTCGGGTTCTTCACCAGACGTCGATATTGGCCCGGCTTGTCCTATTTGAGCCAACCAAACCATGATCTCGTATTTCCGCCCATTGCTGTAGAGTGCGGTCATCATGTCGTATGCCACGTTGGCCACTGCGTCTCCTCTAGGTGTCTCGTAGCTCCAAGTCCACTGCGTTTCGATCGTCCCAACTTGCCCTATGTACATGGGTTTGAAGATTTTCTGAACGTTGGCGTAAGACTTGACATTGTAAGGTCTGGTAGGTTCATGTCAGTCTTCCGAACGTCATTCGAGCAGCAGGACAGCTCAGCTCACCCGTCGTACCATGTCCATTCGGAAGACCATCTGACGCCATGACGATTGATGCTCCACAGATATGTGCACTGCCGGCCTTGGCCGTAATTCATGCCCCAAAGATTGTTGTAAATCATGTAGCCAGAAGCGCCAGAATCGTCAGGACCGCCATATTTGTCCCATTGATCGCAGAGTTTTTTCAACGGCGTCGTCGACGCTTGTTTAGGACGTTTGCGATTATGTTTGTATCTGTACGCCTGGATTTTATGATCGCCCATAAAATGCGAAGGGGCAAGCTGTGATCGATCAGTCTGGATCGAGTCGGGAAACTGAATGGCCGAGATAGAGCTGAATAAGGCAAAGGCGAAAGCAAGGGAGTGGAAAAAGACGAAAGTGCGCGACATCTCGCAGGTCTTCTTGGAGTGGGGACCGGGTAGAGGACGACTGGGCCAAGGAAAAGGGACAAGTACACCCCAGTTTATATCAATACCAGAACGAGAAAAGTGAGATGTGGAGCGGGCACCAGGCAAGCGCTAGGTTGAATGGCCTTGGCAAAGGCGGACGATCCAGTCCAGCTGGCCAGCGTGCGTGTGCGCCGCATCTGCCTTTTGAGCGGCGATGGTAACAAGAGCGTACAATTCTCACGCCTGACATGTACATCTCCAGTCGGTATGTCACTTGATACTCCTTTCCTCCTTCCGGAATCAGAAAGAGGCTGCAGAGACCAATTCTCAGAAATGTCCCCGAACGTCGTAGCATAACTGCCTGTCAAGGCCGCCACATAGCCCGCCTTTGCTAACTTAACGACATTGACGAAATGCCGCACATGAAATTTACACGCTCGGGCCCCTGCACGCTTCTCCTTGGCTGGTCTCGTTTTTGACGCCTTCTTAAAACTGAGGCCGCACTAAGCCACGTCGAAGCAAGCTTGGCGGAGACGGAAATTCTAGCAATAGTTGCACCGAGAGCCATTCTCAGCAGGGGAGAGCCTTCTCTTTGCTTCTAAATTTGGTTGTGTTCCTGGCGGTGAGATTATTCGGACGCGAGCGTTTAAGCTGGCGTCACAATTTGAAGTTGCGCATTCAGGAATCGGAGAAGTGTGCCTCGACATCACCAGCCAAAAGTCGAGAGAATCCCAGGGGACGACTGACCAGGTGACGACCGAGAGGTCAGAATCAATGCGAGTACACACGCCCATGCGAGTCTTGCTCGTGAGAAAGCCAAATAAATTGCCCGGTCAGAGCGACTACAACTTCCACCAGCGCCGCCCGGCGTGTGGACTTGCGACAACGCTGTGCGTTACACTACCTATAAGAGAGTTCAAGGCATCCTGCAAAAGCACTGAACAGTATGTCCATGCCGACCTTAACATTGAAGAGGTCCACATTCGAAATCGCAGCTTGTCCAATTCGCGGTTTCTACCGTCCAGCAGGGCGAGGTAAGCTTACACATCTGCGCAATCTGGATCGCGTGTGCAAAGTGTCAGGAAATCTGAGCTGTGACATTGTTTCATGGTAGACTGTCATCAAAGGTGGTCGATTACTCGTACTACTGAGGCAGGCGATCATGACCGAGTGGGTCGGCAATCGGTCACCGTCGGCGCTATGCTCTGGTTTCCTGCTTCGAAGTACGGGCTACAGGCACTCGGACAGAGTATCGATTAGAGGAAAGTGAGGCTTAATCATAAAAAGTAGGGTAACTGCGGCGGGTGTTTGGCATGGGTGGTGTTGCCACAGAGGGCGCCGGGGTCTCGCTCGGCAGGTAGATCAAAGAGTACGAGCTTTAAGACGAGAAACGGGCCAAGGCCATGTTGTCCGTGGCTTCACTTGATGTCGATGGAGAGGGACGTTGTGACGAAGGTGCCCGATCCCTCGAACGGCTCGGTTCCGGCACCGATTGTTGCCAGCTTCGCGTCCCCTGGCAACAGATTGTGCTGTTTGAGGTACAAGAGGAACGGGAATAGGTTTCCCTGGAACTCCTGCAAATAACCGCCTTTGACGGGGACAAACGAGTAGGTGATCAAACCCTTGGGAAAACCCTCATAGAGATCGAAGTAGGTGCCACTGATCTGGACCGTTCTGAGGGGGTCACTGGTCTTTGATATTGGTCCGGCTCCTCCTATACTGGCCAACCAAATCATTATCTCGTATTTTGGACCATTGGTGCCGTAAGGTTCGGTCATCATGTCATAGGCCACGTTGGCCACCGTACCCTTTTGTAGTTTGTCGTAACGCCAAGACCAGTGCGTTGGGATTGTCCTGAGATCATTTATGAATATGGACTGGAATGGTCTCTGAACGTTGGCGTAAGACTTGACCTGGCCTGATCTAGAGCTTCCTTGTCAATTGTCCGGACGTCATTCGAGCAAACAGGCAACTCAGCTCACCCGCCATACCATGTCCATTCGCTTGACCATATGACGCCATTACGACCGACATCATACAGAGAGGTACACTGCTTGCCTTGACCTTTATCCTCGCCCCAAAGATTGTTGTAAATGTGGTATCCCTTATAGGGCAAGTCCTGGTACCGTTGGCAGAGGATTGCAACTGGCTGCCTCGATGCTCGCGAAAAGGGTTTGCGGATTGGTCTGTGTCTGTACGACTGCATCTTGCTGTCGCCCAAATAAGGCGGCGAGGCAAGCTGCGACCGATCAGTTTGGATCGAGTCGGGGGACTGAATGGCTGACAGAGGGCCGAAGAAGGCAGCGGCGAAAATAAGGGCGTGAAAGAGGACGAAAGTAGTGCGTGACATCTCGCAAGTCTTCTTGGAGTGGAAAGGCGGGTAGACGGATGGGTCAAAGAAAGAACAAAGTGCATCCCCATTTTATATCAGCACCAGTGCAGATATGTGAGATGTGGAATAGGCATCAGGCAGACGTTCGGTGGAATGGCTCTTCGCAAAGGCGGAGCGACCCAGGGCAGCGGGCCTGCTTGCGAGTGAGCCGCCTCTGCCTTTCGATTCGAACGGCGACGGTGTGCAATTCTCACGCCTGGCAGGTACGCCTCTGATTAGTAGGTCACTTTGCACCCCTTTCCTCCCTCCGAAAAAAAGAGGGTGCAGAGATAAATTCTGCAGATGGTCCCCAGACGTCGTTGCAAGAATGCTTGTCAAGACCGCACCCGTGGCCCGCCTTCCAATTTTTGTCGACGTTGACGAAATGCCGCCCATAAACTTCGCACGCTCGGGCCCCTTCGCGCTCTTGCTCGGCTGACCTTGTTTATGACACCGTATTAAAACTGAGGCCGCACTTGGCAACCACGGTGCAAGTCTGGCGGAGACAGAACAAGTTGCACCGAGAGCAATTCTCAACAGGGAAAAGAGGTCGACGACAGCCCTTTATCTGCTTCTATATTTGTTTGCGTTCCTGGCGGTGAGACTCTCCGGACGTGAGCCTGTAAGCTGGCTTTACACACTTTTGAGATTGCGCATCCGAACATCGGAGAAGTGCGCTGAGTCCTGAAAATCTCAGGTGAGACCTACAGGTGACGATGACCAAGTTAACCCGTACGTGAAAATGGTTGTGAGTCTTTCTGTGAGGAAGTCAAGCAAATGTCCCGGGCAGAGTGACTGCAGCTTCTTCAATGAGTCCGTCGCCTGGCGTGAGAAATTCGCATGACCACAGTGCCCTACCTCATAGGAAAGAGCGCACAAGGCGCGGGAGAGATTTAGTAGTTGCACTGTACTGTACTGTACGTCTAGACCGACCTTGGCAAGGAAGAAGCACACTCTCGAAATCGCGGCCTGTCTCGTTCGCGTTTGTCCGACTCTACCGTCAAGGAGGGCGAAATTAGCACCTGCCTCTGCTTAGACCAGGTCATCAAGGATCAAAGGAGGTAAATTTGGTCTTTGGCATCATCCCACGACAGATTCTGTTGGGACTGGCCGATTCTCGTCTTCCTACTCTCCCAACTGAGGCAGGCGATCATTACCGAGTAGACGGCAATCGACGGTCACGTTTGGCGCTATGCTCTGGTTTTATGCTTCGGAATACCGACCGCTAATCCGCGTCGTCCCAGAAACTACCTAGCTTAATTTGGCTTCCCCACGTCGCCGGCTGGCAACAGGAGAAGATTCATGCAAGGCAGGGCCGACCTCCCGAAGGCCTGAGCGGCTTCTTGCTGATGAATAGTTGTGCGGGACAACCACAGGAACGCCATCGCCGATATCTTGTTTGACTCCACTTCACCATGACGCAGTACAGCCTCGACAGCATCAGTGCCCTGAGGCGCTTAGGCGACAATCGCTTCCAGTCGATCAATCTGCCCTTTTGGATGGCAAACTCATCTAGCAAAATGGCGTACGGAGGCTGCGCAATGGTTCTTTCGATCAATGCCGCCGCTCAGACAGTGTCCGCCGGCCAGGACAAGCACATCTACAGCGTCTTGGGCACCTTTCTCGGCCCCACAAGGACAGACATGCCAATCGAGCTACACGTCCAAGAGGTGCGGGAGACACGGACATTTTCGACGAGGTTCGTCGTGGCCAGCCAGCAAGGGCGGTCCTGCCTCTCGGTCACCGTCGACTTTATCCAAGCACCTTCGCCTTCGGCCACGGCACTGCTGCCAGACTTCTCCCTCGAGGCGCCCCAGCTAACCCACTATTCCAAGACGCAGCCTGAGCGCGAAAGGATCTCGGGCTTGATTCAGCAAGGTCGTCTTCCAAAGGGCTTCGACAAGGTCCACTTCAAGACATTCGCACCGATGGACGGCGTCGCTCCCGACACCCGCACGGTGCCCGAGAGTGTTTTGGCGCAGACCTTGTCCGGCTATATCACCGACGTAAAGACGACGCAGGACGACTTGAAGCTCGTGGACCGCCGGTCCTACTGGTGGCAGCGCACGCCCTCTAACCTCTCCTTGGGCGCCCACGGCGAGGTCCTGTACGCACCGACAATGTCGACAGCGACGGCGATGCTCTACTGCTTCGTTCTGGACGGCGCCTCGAGCTTCGTCGCGCCCGTGCACTCGCGCGTGAGGCTAGACACCATCTCGGCGGCATCGAGCCTCGACTTTGCCTACCGGATCCACGGTGCACCTATAGAGCCGGGCAAGTGGTACGCCAAGGAGATCGCCGTCCAGGTGGGCGCGTGCGAGAGGACCTACATTGAGGCAAGGCTGTGGGAGGAAGACACAGGCCGGCTCGCTGCGACGCTCACTGAAGCGACGATCCTCCGAGCAAAGCAGCCAGCTAGACTATGACAGTTCTGGTACAACCCTCTCTCAGCTCCGCTTTCGCCCTTACTTACAAGGCTGCTCACTTAGAGTATGGGTCAGGATCCTCCTGTGCTCTGCCCGCTCTCATGGAATGTTCACACCTAGAGCCGCGAACAGTGCAAAAGGTCTACAGTTGATAGTCTGAAAGCTGAGAGGGATGTCGACTTCTCTGGAATACAATACATGATAAGGTGACGAGAGATCGTATATGAGAGAGAAAAGTGAGAAGTGCTGTTGGAAGAAAGCAAAGTACCTATTCAGAGCTCGGCATGGGTTCCCCCCGGTTGCTGCTGCTGCAGCTGCTGTTGCTCTTGCTGCCGTCGTTGCTCGTCCTCGTCATCGACTGGTCGCTGACAGACGGGGCATCGACCACTGATGGTCGTCAGCCACTGATCGACGCAGCTCCGATGCATGACGTGGCCACACGCCATGAGCCGCAAAGGCTCCGGTTCCTGCTCCTCCTGAGCAGCCTCCTCCTGCGCATCGGCTTCAGTCTTGGCAGCACGCGGAGACGATAGTTTCTTCCTTTGCGGTTGCTCGTGGGCCAGTTCGTTGGACGGGTCGACCTCCTCAAAGTCGCAGAGGCAGATCGGACAGGTCGCTCGATGTGCAGGCAGCGGATACAAGGGATACTTGAGCTTGGGTGTAGATGTCGACGCTTCGGCCAGACTGTTGGCTGACTTGTCGTCATTAGGCTTTCTCGTTCCCCTTCCGCGCGCCTCTCTCGTCCATCCAAGGAGAAGACCGAGACGCTTTCTGCCCGCAGCTTTCCCAATGATGCTATCGTCATCTTTTATCCTCGAAGACGAGTCTGATCGTGATGCGGCACTCGAGGACTGAAAGTCAACCGAGGTCCTTCTTGAGGAGGGCAACTTCGTCTGCAACGCTTCGACGGGAACGGTCTCCGTTGGACTTTGCACATCCACCTTCCTCTCGAGCTCCACTCGGCTGTCGTTTGCGTTGCTGAGGTGCAGCCCACCGTCGTCGCTGCCACTAGCTTTCTCTGCAGGAGTAAAGTAGACAAGCTTGCTCTTTTCGTCGACGAGCTTCTGCGTGACCTTGCCCGTCTCGGGATGTATGCGCCTCTGAGGAATCCGGTGACCAAGGCCAAGTGCTCGCATGATGGCGACAAAAGTCGGCAGGAAGAAGATGACCAGCTGCAGGGTGTGTGTATTTCGTCAGTCAAGGAAAACAAGTGGGTTGTCTGCTCGTGAGAAAACTCACAAAGACAAGGAGAAGAACCTCAACGATGATGGCGTAGCTGATGCTCAGCATGCTGATGCAGGTGAACCAGAGGGGACGGCTGTCGGCCGGCCTGTGTGCACATTCGATGCTGGTCCAGGTGACATAGTTTCCCACAATGAAAAGGACGACGTGGCAAAAGCCAAGGAGGTCGCCCAGCCGGCTCAGCTTGCGGTCGAGGGCGAGCGAGCCAAGGGCGCGATTCTGCTCGCGTCGCAGCTGGCCCTCAGCACCGGCACGGCGCGCTCGTGGAGTATGGTGGGGCGACAGGCCAAGGTAGAAGTCGATGGGGAGGCAGAGGGCGACGCGGACGATGTGCAGGGTGAGAAAGACAAACATGCCCTCGGGATCACACGTCTCTGGGACAGAGTACGAGTCGCCCAGGGAAGAGGGCAGGGCGAGGACAACAATGCCAGCGACAACCTGGAGAGTTCGAGGGGTGTGAGTCGCCGATTGGGATCAGGAAAAAGGGGAGTTCCAAGAAAGGAAAGAGAGTGGGTGCCTCACCTGAGCAAGACTGATGAGCAGCTTGAAGATAAAGATCCACTTCCTGCCCCTCGTCAGACTGCTGAAGCCTTTCCATGCATCTCGAATCAAGTGTCGCCTGACTGCGATAGCTTCGTTGCGGCTCGCCCCTTGGACGGGTTGCTGTACGCCAGCAGCCCCTGCTGGGGCGCTGTTGGCTGCGACCGCCGCCCGGGCGATGGCGTCCTGGTCATCGGCGTCGTGTCTGCTCGTTAAGTCCGCGAGACGAATCGAACGGAGGGGCTCCGACGAAGGACCTTCATTGTCGTCGAGAGGCCCCGAGGTAGGTCGAGGTGCTTCAGGAACAGCCAGAGGGTGACTAGCCTGATCAACTTCGGATCGCCTCGACGTCTCCCCCTCGACGGCACAAGCAGGTGGAGCAGCAGCAGCAGCAGCAGCGCTGTTGCCTACCGCGTTATCTGTCGCCACCGAGGACGGCATCGACGTAAACTGAGCCCCTACAGGCTCTCTATCATCGGTCGACCTCTGCTCATCCCTGGCGTCCATGGGTCTGTGACAACAAGCGACGAGCGAGGAGCTGGTCGCTAGCTGGCAGTGCGTGGAAGGGCAGGTTGATGAGGCTTGGGCGGTGCTCCGAAACGACACTTGCGCGGCTTGGCTTGGCTCAAAATACACGTGTTGGGAATCGGTGCCGATTAACGCGTTTCGCACCGAGATGGACGGACGCAATGAGCCGTTCTGTGCGCCAAAGAGATGACGAAGTACGCCGTCGAGATGAGTGATAAGAACTCGTAGTCTGCTGTTTTGAGAAGGCCTCTTCACACGAAGCCAAAAGAGTGTACATGGGCAGCATGCGACATTCATCAAACCGGGACAGCCTCGACGCCCCGAGGGTGGTGACCTTCTCCGTCCAACACCTGTTTTCCTTCTCGCTTCTCTCCAGTTAAAGTCCATGTATTAAATGATGAAAATTAAATTTATCTGTCCTCCTGCGCCTGTTCCTCGTCGTCGGTCAGCTCATCGTCGGGACTGATGCCCTCGTGCCTGCCGGCGAGGCCCATGCCCATCGTCTTTGCCCAATGCCAGCCGTCGGAGTAGGGCTCGATGCGCCAGGGCGCGAGGATGGAAAGATAGCCATGTCGTGATTGCGCACCAACGTTGAAGTAGAGCTCGAGGTTGTGAAGGAAGCCGACGTCGTAGACGTTTGTAAAGGCGACGTTCTTTCGTCTGCAGACTTCTCTGTAGTGGGCTGGAAAGAGGACTGAGTCAGCCGCTTGCTTGCTTGCCAAAAGAAAAAAAAAGGCTGGAATACACTCACTATTATCGCTGTTCTCTACACTCGTCTCTCCCCAGGCAATGATTAGTGCCTGCCAGGTAGACATGACGGCCAAAGCGAAGCCCATAATAGCGCACAGGGCGTAGGTGAGGAGGACAAAGACGCGGGGTGTATAGCGATACTCCCAGCGGCCAAACGAGATCGACTGCCGAACAACTGGGAATCCAGAGCAGACGACGACAAAGCAGCCGAGCGAGAGCCAGGCCATGAAGAGGAGGAAGTAACGCTCATTGCCCAAACCCACGCATTGATTAAGCCAGGGGCAGTGATGGTCCTGGAAAGATTGCATTAGATGAGTAGGTTTAGTCATCGAGATAAGTACGGGACTGAACTCACGAACTTGAGAACGCACGTCTCGCAGACGCTGCAGTGGTGCGTTCGCTCGGGCTTTGGCGGCGGGACAAGGTTATCGGCCTCGTCTCCCAGCCATGCCCGGATGTCGTCCTCTGTCTCGCCTCTGGCAGACTGCACCGTGTCCTGGTCCTGTCCCCAGCCATCCACCGGCGAGTGGTGGCCGTTCCCATTGGCACTCTTGCGTTGGTGCTGATGCGACTGCTGCTGCTCGACCTTCTTGACTGACCGCAACCGCCGCTCTACTTCTCGTAGTTCTGGCGGCAGCGATGCAAGGGCTCGCCATAGCGCCACCCTGGGGCACTTGTGGCACATTTTTGCAATCGTGAAGAGATCGTCACTCTCGGCCGCCTCGTCTGCCTCATCGTCGTCGACCACCGTGGAAACGACCCTCGCTGCGATCGTCGTCGCGGCCGGCGTTGCCCTTGGCGGGGCCAATGGAAGCGGTGGCTCATTTTGGAGACTCTTATGCTGCCTTCTCCGGAGCGCAACGACGCTCTCCCGTGCCGCTCGTCGCCGGTGCCGCTGCCACCAGTGCTCGCTGCCCGGCCCCAGCCTCCTCTCGCCCAGCTCGTCTGACAGGCCGTCCAGCACCGACCCTGGCGGCTCTCGCACGGCCATCATGTAGTGGTAGCCGATGCTGTAGACGATGAATGCGCATCCAGAAAGCGCCAGAACCCATCGAAGGGCCAGCCAGGGGTGTTGGGCCAGGGCAGGGAGGAGACCGAGGATAATGTGGATTGGCGACCGGGTCTTGACGAGCTTGGCCAGCGTCGGTGGAAAGGGCGCTAGGTACGGGAACATCGTCGAGACTGTGCTGCAGCGTCAGCTGCACTGATACTTTGCTGGTCTAGCAGCAGCACGAGCAGCACCGGTAGGGATACTCACAAAAGGTCCAGACGCCTACGCCAACGAGGAAGAGACACAGGAGCACAAAGACGGGCCCCGCAGCCCCGGTCAGCCAATCGGCGCATGCCTCGAATTTACGAAAGGAGCGATGAACGACGAGCGCCAGCGACCTCATTTTCCCGCTCCTCTCACAGCGACACGGCGACGGAGAAAGGGGGGATGGCTGCTCTCGTCCGACACGGGGATTAGACTGTGCTTGTTGGTTGGTTGAAATCTCGAGGGTCTAAATGCGGGCGCAGTAGTGCGGGCCAAAACAAAGTTGGAGCCGGGCCCGCCCACGCGTCTCAATTTCTCGTCGTCGAGCCCGATATTCACAGAAGGATGCACAGGGCACTCAATTCGCCGTCGACATTAGCCTTACCACCCATGTGTCGATCGGCCAGCAGCGATCAACAGCGACGCTGAAGCTCCACGCAACACACGCTGAGCGCATCACGGCGCACTTGTACGGGCGCCTTTACGAGCAAGCCGTCACCAGCCCCAAGAGGGCTGAGGGCGTGAAGGCTTATTGCCGCGCGCACCGCGTTACACCCATCCCATCTCATCCACACAAATGACGCCTTGAGGAAAGCTGCGACTTGCGCTTCCTCTTTCCTCTTTTCCTAGTTGCCAGCCATGGACGACTTTCCCGATGATCCGTTCTCGAAGCCTTCGTCATCTTCGTCGCCCTACCTGCATCGACCAAACGGTCTCGCGAATGGGCCCCAGGGGCAGGGAGGCGTACATCCGTCCGCGAGCAATGAATCGCTGGCAACGTGGGCCAAGACGACGCGCTTCAATGTGCTGAGCCACTTTTCTCACGTCACCTCGGCGGCGAGAAGCGGCGCTCATACGCTCCTTACGAGCCCGCTGATCAACCAAGTCACTGGAGGAGGTGGTGGAGGAGGAGGTGGTGGTGGTGCTGCTCCTCACCAGCCCGGCGCTACCTCCTCGTCCTCGGCCGCATCACTGGCCATGTCACTTCTTCAGCACGGCCCCGTGGGTCCATTGGGACCCTCAGATCCAGACTGGAAGCATTCAGACTTAGCGAAGCGAAGTGGGACGGGCGAGTACGACAGCGCGCGCGTCTACCTGGCCAAGTGGGCCAACCTGGTGGCTAGGGAAGGCGAAGCTAACCGTGTCAAGGAGCAACAAGAGCAGCAGCAGGCTGCTGCTGCGGCAAAGGCTAACGAAGAGGCAGCTGCCAATGGACGTGCCGAAGACGAGGAGGCCACGCCGCTGGGCTCATTCGAGATTCTCGATCAACACCCATGCATCGAGCGGCCCGATCCATTAAGGCAGGGAGACCGACCGATCGACGAAAAGAGCTGGAAGGGCCTTTTCGATCCAAAGGGCGAGCCTCTGGTCGGCTTCGACGAGGTTCGGCGCATGATCTACCAGTGGGGCTTTGGACAGAGAGAGGGAAAGGACGTCCGTGGCTCCAGCTGGTCCGATCAGGGGCCTCGAACAGAAGCATGGAGCTTCCTGCTCGGTGTCCAGCGGTGGGATACAAAGGTCGGACGAGAAGAGAGAAGGAAGGAGTGGGAGAGCAAGGTGGAAGAATACTGGTCTTTGAAACAGCTCTGGACTGCGAGTGCCTCGGGAGATGCTCCGCAAGAGGGACGACCAGGTGCAGAGCGAGAAGGGAAAACAGATACGCTACTTGAGCCATCATTCCTCAAGGATCAGACGCATCGCATACATGTCGACTGCCTCCGCGTCGATCGGAAACTGCCGCTCTTCCGTGAGCGAGCGAGCTCAGACGAAGATGAGCCAGCCACCAACGTTCACATCCAACGACTCCAAGAGGTGCTGATGAGCTACGTCTTCTGGGATCGATCACGGGAGCAACAGGCGGCCTCCAGAGCAAAAACGAGTGGCCACGAGGTCGACGAAGGCCACAATCAGCTTGGTGGCTACGTCCAAGGGATGAGCGATCTCGCTGCACCGCTGTATTCCGTGGCGAGTGGAGACGAGGTAAAGACTTTTTGGCTTTTTGTTGGTCTCATGGAGAGGATGGTGAGTCCATTTCATTTCCCGTTCTCACGCTGCAGCAACTGACTGATTGGTCACGGCCATGACAACGACAACGACAGCGCACCAACTTTTATTCTGATCAGAGCGGCATGAAGATGCAGCTTCTCCTCATGCAAAGACTCATTGCCGTCATGGATCCGGCCTTGTATGCGCACTTCGAACGCACCGACTCGCTCAATCTCTTCTTTTGCTTTCGGTGGCTTCTCGTCTGCTTCAAGGTGAGTCTGAACGCTTTTCCCTGCATCCGTGTCCGCCGCTTAATGTCACCGTCTCTCATGCTATCTGTAATCATAGCGCGAGTTCGGCTACCCGGACATACTCAAGCTTTGGGAGGCTATCTGGGCCGCTGACATGCCTGGTCACTTCGCTGGTGGCGACGAAGAGCTTGTCGAGGGCGAGGAGGGCTCGAGCGGCATCACGCTAAGAGAAGATGCCTCTGTTGTAGACGTCAAAAAGAGGCATTCGCGGCCTCTCCCACCACCACCGTTTGGCCTCTCGCCGCACTTTCATCTCTTTGTCGCATTGGCCATTCTCGAGCAGCACCGCGACGTGACACTCAAGTACCTCGTCAACTTCGACGAGCTGCTGCACTACATGAATGGCCTCTCGCATGAGATAGACGTCGAGGCTACTCTTGCCCGCGCCGACGTCCTCGCCCAGTCGCTCAAGGCCATCATTGTGCAAAAAGATGCAGCGGCAAAGAGGAGCGAGGCCGACGAAGACGTGCCCGCCGACGTGGCGCTGCCCGAAGTAGACGATCGCCTGAGGCTTCTCGTCGGTCTTTGAATTGCCCCTATTCCGCTCTGTGTTGCTTGTACTTTTACGCTGTCCATGATATGCAGTCGGGCTTTACGCTCCCGAACTCTCGCATGCCTTTCTCTGCGTTTCATTGTTTGTTCGAAACTTTTTTTTCCTCATTGGGGCGATCGATCGCTGCACCCAAAGGGCCTTGGCTGAAGTGCCCCTCTGGACGCGGTAATTAATTTACGCGACGACGCGACGCGACGAGAGACGCCACGAATTTCCCTCCCTTTGTCACACCACAGCATCTCCGTCCATTGTTGGCCAAGTTCCACGGTCTGATAAGGTTGGCGACCGTGTGTTTGCTGGCGAAAGCTAGACTCTACTGCAAGAAGCGGGGCCAGCGTCGCAACAAAGGGAATCGGCAGGCGGAACGTCCAAAAACAAGAAGATAAAAAAGATACCCGGACGTGTATCGGTCTCTCGCCCTCTCTCGATTGGCGATCCACCCCTCATCAACCAAAGAAACCCCTCTCGCCACTCTATTCCTCTTCGGTTCTTTTCCTTTCACTCTCCGTGCTTGCCAGCTGGGATCGTGTTTTGATTTGGATCAAGCCCGACCAAGGTGCTCGTCAACCCGAGCGTGCTTCCACGGTCCAGCACTTTGGATTTTCATTCCCCGCCTCAGCCCTAGCTCCGTGCGTGCAGCGCAAACATGGCTTCGTCACAGGAGAACGAGATGATTGCTTCTGCATCTCCCTCCTCCTCCCCAAGGAAGCTCAGCGACAGTAAGGCCGGCGTACCCCTTCGCAAGTTCGAGATCGAGAAGGTGAGTAGAGCTACAGCCGGGCCGGGGGTGCTTGACATATGCACGTCACGCCTGTCGCGCCGCGGCCATGCATGCACCATATGCTTATGTACTGACGATGAGATCACACCCTAATCACCATGGTCAAACCTTTAATTGCAGGCTGCACACGCACTTCGAGCTCGCCTTCTCATGGCCGCAAGCATCAATGCGAGGAAACAGGAGGGGCGGGCGGATGCCTCATCGTCATCATCATCATCATCATTGTCCTCATCGTCATCGTCGTCGTCATCATCAGTGATGTCGTCCATGTCAATGTCATCGACATTGTCGTCGTCATCGACTGCGTCCTCGTCTTCGTCATCTTCCTCAGCGACGCCACCATCCATGGGCGCCACAAGTCTAGAGGGCCGGACACCATCGTCTAACACGCCTGCACCCGTCGCCATCTTTGGCCTTGGACTTGGCGTTGATGCGCTCATGACCAGTGGCAATGTCGCCGACGCCACCATCGTCTCGTCGTCGCCAAGACCTGCGCTCGCTGAGGCCTTGTCGAATCGAACTAACACGGCTGTCGCCGGCAGGTGTGCCCCGAAGACACCCTCTTTGGAGCAGCAAATCGCCATGTCTCCCCCACCGCCACCTCGACCCCAACCATCGCCAAGAGCAACAGTGCCGTCATCGGTCAGCGCGCAGGGTCCAGCTGCAATGTCCTCAAAGACGAAAGAGCCCAATCTGTACGACAGCATCTTTGGTCCCGGCAGTGGACTCGATCTGGCTCAAGCGCGCAAGGCAGCGTCAAATGCCTCGCGAGCCACTGCCTCGACGTCGACAGCATCGACGACGAACCACATGCCGAGCACGCCAACGAGAGGCAACAGCAAGCCACGCTCGCCTCATGTCCACACTGGAAGCTCCGCTCGGCTGCACGCTATGGCCTCGATGCCTCAGCTTGGCTCTCCGGGTCGGTCGGGCAAGGACTCTAGGGACCCGCACAATGATCCTGTGCCCAGTCATCAACAGCGGGCGTGGGAGCACCACTCCGTCTCCTTCGCCGCGCCCATTGGCTCGCCCTCGCGGAAAAAGATGCAGGAGTCGACGCACGTCCGAGGTAGCAGTGGCACGGGCTTCTGGCCATCCAGCCCAGCCCGCAGCAGGCAGAGGAGCGCCGGTGGCTCGCTGCTCCCCAACGGTCATCCGGCCTCGTCGTTGGCCCAGGACCTCGGCATTGCTCGTCCTGCCGAGGAACTCTCTCGCCCAACGACGCCCTCTTCCGGTGCCACAAGGCCATTGACCCCTTCTTGGAGGTCGACGCGGCGCAACAATGATAGCCACTTTCGCTTCGAGAACAGCAGCAGCGAGGCGGCAGCGCATTCGCTCTTGGACCTGGCCGCATCGCCCTCGCCCTCGCCCAGTGGTCCTGCCAGCTGCGCCAGGTTCGCTGGCCACACGCCCAGTCTGCAGGGCTTTGCCAAGAAGCCGAGCAGGGCAACGGTCCAGTACAAGCTTTTCGACGATATCGATGACAAAGTTGGCGACGCGAGCATGGACACCGAGACTGGCGACCACTATGGCGCAGAAAACAGCCTGCCAAATTCGCAGTCTTCCGTCTCCTCAGATGCCTCCGAGGTCAGCGCGCTCAGCGCTCTGCAACCGGCACCGGCGCTGACTTCAGATTATCGGTCCTACGACATCAAGCGCGAAGAACAGGATGATGAAGGAGTGCGCACGCCTCTCCTCCTCAAATCACCTCCCATGACGCCGCCTAGGACCGAGAGCAAGCAAAGGGTGGTGACGGATGCGTCTCCCCTTCTCGCTCCATCGACGCCGTCGTCGTCGAAGCGAGCAAGGAATCTTGTCCTCGTCGACGAGCTCCCGGAGCCAGCTTTTCCCCGCACTCGCATGCAATCGCGAGATCAACACCTCTCCACAGCAGCCGATGAGCGTCCCACCACGCCACCGAAACAGACGCCGTCGTCGACACCCTCCACGCCCAAAGCGCCCGGGTCCAACTTCCGCTACGGTGACTTTCTCCATGTCTCGCCCAGCCCGCAGCCGAGGTCGAGGACATCGTCTGCCATGGGAGGCGCATCGGCGAGGCAGCTCGGCCTGGCTGGTGTGCAAGACACGCCAACGAGAGGCTCCAAGGCCGTCGCCAAATTTCTCGACTTTGGTCATAGTAGCCACGACGAAGATGACGAAGCTGGCGATGACCTCTTCGTCCTCGCGGCCAAGAAGCGCAGCGGAAGCCCGTCGTTGCACACAGGTGTCAAACGATCTCGTCAGGTTTCTTCGTCTATGATTTAGGATTGCCTGCCCACAGTTTGTTCCTCCTTCCTGTATGATATGGATCCGGCCCCCTGCTCCTTGTTGTTGTTGTCTACTTTTCTTCTTTGTATCTGTCTCTTGGATGCTTCTTTCCGTGCTAGCTGCTCTCCTTGCCTCAACTGTATCTGGATCTGCTCGGAATTCCACAAGTGCTTTTTGTGCCGTGACAACGCTGCTATGAAGTCGATTTTGTGTTGTTTTCCCTTCGGACACTCTTTCGACATCTGTTCTGTCACCGGTGACAACTTTGGTCGCTGCGCGCCTGTCAAGATTTTGTCCTCAGCTCCACATTGCACAGCCGTGCGCGCGCGACTTGTGAAAAATTATAAGTGGCGTATCACCCCTCTCTACGTGGAGCTTAGCTTTCTTTCGCACCACACCTACCACTCCGTTCTTCTTCACACCATGGACGGAGGCAGCACACCTGACTACTATCACACGCTCGGCGTCTCTTCGTCTGCCTCTGCCGAGGAGATTCGCCAGGCGTACAAGCGCGAGTCGCTGCGCAGCCACCCCGACCGCTTTCCCAATTCGACGGCCGAGGAGCGCCAGCGCCATACGGCACGCTTCCAGAGCCTTGCCGATGCCTGTGAGTAGACTTCGTCTCTTTGTTCCTGTGCTTGCAGCAGCGACTAACCTCGCCTCGTTGCAACCGCGCAGACTATGTGCTGTCCGACACGACGCGACGGAGCGAATACGACGCCTTCCGACGAGCCTCGGGCTTCTCCAACTCGTCGTCGTCTGTTCCCCCCGGCGGCTTCGACACGGATCCCGAAAAGGAGCAACAGGACAGCTTCCATTTCTTCCGTTCCTTCTTCAGCAATGCTCAGCACGGAGGCACGCCCTTTGGCGCCGCAGCCGGCGCCGGCAGTAGCAGCAGCAGCAGCGGCACCAGCGGTGAGCAGGGGGCTGGTGCGCAGCCGCAGGCCAACTACGTCTTTTCCGATGTCTTCGAGGAGCTCCTCCGGCCCGAGGTGCACCGTGTCGCACCCGTGTGGAAGTGGGTCGGCAGTGCGAGCGGAGCAGGCCTCGGCTTCATCCTCGCCAACATTCCTGGCGCCATTGGCGGGGCCGTGCTGGGCAATCGGCTGGGCGCGATCCGAGACGCAAAGGGCAAGAGCGTCGGCGAGGTCTTTATCAACCTGGGCTCCGACCAAAAGGCAGAGGTGCTCAAGGCGCTTGCGTCCAAGGTGCTCGGCAGTCTCGGGTAGTTGTTCATCCCATCCCCAAAAAACAATGGACGCGCTTGACGTGTCCCACCACGCTTTAGAAAGATACCAGGCTCAGTGATGCTTCCTTACAATGTCAAAGGCGGTAGGCATATTGTCTCTCGTCCAATTGCCTTCCTGTACCGCTTCATGTGACCCTCACGCAATACAATGATTTGATGCGGTCTTGTCCTACAAAGGTGACTAAACGTTGCGGCGCGACTTTCTGCGCAGGGCTGTGAAGCGAGGGTGCATCAGTATCTTGCTTACATTATCTTCCCTGGTTTCAACACTTCTAGAGTTGTTATGAATGCCTGCATCTGCCATCCTACGGTGGCTGAAGCTGATGCACATACATCGATGTCTTGCGATGATGGCTGTCTTTTCACCCACGGCAAAACTCTGCACCTTGTTCCGGTCTGCCTTTTTTTTTTTTTTTTCTGTTTTCTCCGAGGCGCACTGACCTCCTTTATGATCCTCAACGCGCGACGTCCGAAGAGAAGAAGCAATGATGGCAAGCGGCCGCAATGACCTGGACTTTTACAACGTGGGCTTTGCGGGTCTCTTCATCGGGCTGGCCGTCCTCATCTCGTGGCTGCTCAGCCTCTCGCTCGGGGTGCCGCTGATCGTGTCGTCTGTGCGATGCCTCGTCCAGCTCCAGCTCCTCCGCCTCGTCCTGGGGCCCGTCTTTGAGCAAGACGACCAGCCGGGCCTGGTGCTCCTCGCCACGACGGTGCAGCTCCTTCTCAGCGCGTGGGAGGTCTCGAACCGACGGTCGGCGCACAAGGGCACGTATGGCAGGATCTTTGTCGCGATGCTCATCACCGTCGTGCCCATTTCCATCGTCGCCAGTCGGTTCGCCATGGGCGAGGAGGTCTGGTGGAAGCCTGATCGGTGGGTGTTTCAGTCTTCATGCCCTCTTGCTACCATTCTCTTTCCTCTTGTCAAGTCTAATGTGCAAAGGCGACGACAGCTACATCCCGATGCTGGGCATGATCCTCGGCAACTCCATCTCGGCCCTCTCCATCGGCACCTCGCACGCAATCGACCTGGCCTCGACGTCGTCGTCGCGCGACAAGATCGAGGTCCTCCTCGCCCACGGCGCCACGCCCACTGAGGCCTGCCGGACCTTTTTCTCCGAGTCGCTCCGACTGGCCATGCTTCCGACGATCAACCAGATGAGCATCGTCGGCCTCATCTCGATCCCCGGTGTGAGTCTCACCTGCGCACTTTTGCCGCCTTATACGTTGGCCCCTTAATGAGGGAGCAAGCAAGCAAGCAAGCGAATGCTGACCGGAATGGAGGCGGGATATAACAGATGATGACGGGCGCCATTCTCGGCGGCGAGTCCGTCGACCAGGCTGCGCTGCTCCAGACGGTCATTCTCTTCATCATCAGCGGCGCCTCGGGCCTCTGCTCACTCGTCGCCATCTCTCTCACCTATGCCTCGCTGTTCGATGCCCACGGCCGGCTCATGCCTCAGCAGCCGGCAAGTAAGGGGAGCTGGAACGTCGTGCAGAGCTTCAAGTCATGCTGGGCAGAGAGGAAGAGAACAAGACAAAGAGGGCCAATTCATCTCGAGGCTTGAAAGAGAGCTGGGGGACTATGAATGCAATTTATCATTACCAGCACACGCTTGTCTTCCGGCATGCCAGAGGGGGTATCATGAGGGGACAATAGAGAGTGAGGAGAGCCAGAAGGCCTACCGTCCAGTGGCCCAGGCAACGCTGGCATCGATGATGCGCTTGACTTGCTCCGTCTCGTCCTTGTCTCTGGGCGCATACACTATGAGGTAGGTGGGCGGCAGCATCTTCTGTTTCTGCTCCCCGTTTGCCGCAGCGAGGTAGGACCACCGAGCGGCACTAGGTCCGCCAAAGGGCGCCAGAAGCATCTTTGGCAAGAATTGGGGTGGGAACCAGTGACCCCTATACAGCAGGCCAGCCAATCGGTGAAGCTCTGCCCAGCCTTGTTTGACGGCGACGCGGGCATCTTGCGGCGAGAGGACAATGTGCAGCGAGCCATCGTGGTGGTGAACGTGGCAGAACTCGTGCTTGTCCGCAGAACCCTCGACAATCGGCCTCCCATCAATCGTCCGGCGAGGTCCCGGCAGGCCAGAGAGGTAGAGTCGGCTGAGCGAAGCCTTCGCCGCCGCTGTGCCGTCCTCAGTGACAAAGAGGGCTGGAGAGGAGGAAGCCTCGAGCGAGGAGAGGGCCAGCGTGAAATTCTGCCGGTGACTCAGCGACTCGAGATGCTTGACAATGTCCTGTTGCAATTGTGTCGGTAGTCAGCAAATGCATCGCAACAAGATGACCGCCCATCGTTCACGCACCGCTGTCAAAGCTTCGTTCTGCTCGCCCTCGATCTGGCGGTGGGGCACGAGACCGAAGGTCGATGGCCTCTTCCCTTTGCGCTTCGGCAGATCCGCCAGTGGTCCTTTGAACGCAGTGTCGTCCGGAGGGAGGTAGTCTGGATCAGATGCCGAGGCCGTCGGCATGGCGAGGGGCCGCATGAGCGTATGGGCAAGCCAGCCCATGAAGGAGCTTGGCAGAAAGCCACCAGGACCCAGGGAGCGCCAGAGCAGATAGTCTTGCCGTGCCACGGTCATGAGGTAGCTCACGGCGAGCGAAAAGAGCGTCGCGCATGTCGCGGGCGCTCGGCGATACAGCGTCGTAAGCGCCGAAAGAGGTCTCGAGGCGTCCATGTCTCTGGTCGTCGATGATGTCGTGTGTGGAGAAGAAATTGAAAAACGCGAGCCACCCACGCAGCCTTAGCAGTCTAATGCTTCCCTAGGCTAAGTAAGCTCGCTGCCTGCAACATCCTCATACGGTGTCACATGTTACAGAATGTTTACATTTCAGGTTCTCAGTGATTCATCTGCGGTACGACGTCGTCATTCAACCCTTTGCCATGTAGACTGCCATCAAACTAAGGCTGCTCCTCTTCACACCCGTACAAGCTTTCCATCTTTTCCTTCCACCAACGGGCGACTTCCCAACGATCCTGGCAGAACTTCTCCCTGTTGAAGAGCCCTTCGCCGACGCCGTCTTCGGAGCGGAACAGTTTGCGCTCGTTCTGGTCGACGACATGCGCCCTCGTGCGACCAGCTCCCCAGCGCCGCGCTTCGAGGCAGAATTTGAGATTAGCCACAATTTCGCAGTGGTAGTCTGCAAACGGTCCCTCCTTCTCGGCGCGGACTTTGTCCTTCTTTTCTCCATCGGTGGTCTCCAATTCTTCAACCTTGGTCTGCGAGACCTTGGCAAACTCTTTCGCCTCCTCGAGTGCTGGCGCATACATATGAGTTGTCTGTCGGTTGTCTTGTCCTCTATGCTTTTATAGAACAGCTCGTACCTACCCTTGAATGTTTCTTCCGAGAAGTTACCCTTCGCAATGAGGCTCTTGACGAGCCACCGAAAGGCCTCAAGGTACTGTTGAGCGTTGTGCTGCGCAACACTCCTCCTCAAGGGAGGCGACAATGCATGCAGTGTCTCATCCATTGCCGGTCGACGACCGCGGAGCGAGTCAAGCGCCTGACGTGCGTCCTTGAGCGTCGTTGAGTACAGCCGGAGCGAGAATGCGCAGCGAGCACGGGTCAAGCGATACGCTGGTTCTTCCGAATAGGTGTAAATGCTGATTACCAGGCAAAGCAGCTTAGATTTGAGCAGAGGAAATTGGAGAACAAAAAGGGCAAGAGGACTGACCACGTCGAGAGGAGGACAAAGGCCCTCTTGTAGTCTTTGTTGTCGTCGAGAACCCTGACAGCCTAATTCCGTTGTCAGCGCCCTTGAGACAAAAGGAAGCAGGAACCTGGAAAGAACGGGGATACGGACATGTTTGTAGAGTTCGTCGAGGCGCGGTACGCACAGGGGCTTTTCCTTGGTTTCACTGGTCGCACCTGTCGCTGTCGTTGAAGGTGTGTTGCTCCACTGCCTCGACGAGGAGGATGTAAAAGAAGATCGCTCACTCATGCTGACTGCAGGAGAAGACATGTTGTCAAGCAGGGCTTAGCGGTGAAGGCGGGGCGTAAATCCCCTCGCGCGGGCGAACAAAGGGCGAGGCCTGAGCGGCGGCACCGCCCACCCTCCTGCGAGAAGCAAGATTGATGAGGGGTGGACACGAGATGAGATCTAGACACGAAACAAAAACAAGGCTCGATGTCTTGTCCATTAAACATTGAAGCGATCTCCATAACTTGCCCCTTATCATATGCTCTCTTGCCTTTATTGACAAGGCGGTGGGCCAAGTGAATTAGAACAGGGACGAGTAACTTACGACGGCTAAATGCAATTGCAGCCCTGACGTTTATGTAACAAATGTCGACTGCTGTGAGGAGAGGCTAGGTGATGATGATGATGATTATGCTGACGAAGGCATGGCAAGTGAGAGTACAGCATGTTTATTAAAGAGACTATGCAACGGCATCGTCTAGTGAAAAGAATTAAGCGATTAGTAGTTAATTAGCAGGCGTGTCTTGGTCTTGGAATTCAGCGGGGGCATGGCTCTGGCCCTGGCGAGCCTCATTGAGCTTGGACTCTTGCTCGGCCTCGTAAGCATCTCGAGCGTCCTGCTTGTCGACTCTCGCCCTGGCCTCGGCCTGCGCGATCTCGAGAGCAAATGCCGACTTCGCGCGAATCTGCGGGCCGAAGAAGTAGAGGAGTGGCGGCAGCATTGCGAGCACAAGAGCAATAAATGCCAGCGTCGACGAGGCCTGCGATTCGTATGTCAGCAAATGATGAGGGAGCTGTTGCAGAGAAGAGTAAGAGAAACGAAGCAAACGCACCCATTGATAGCCCAGATTGTGGTACATGGGTTCGCTGACAAATGTGACGCTGCCCGAGAGAATCTCGCGCAAGAGGCTCTGGGCGCCCACGGCAGAGGCAGAGTAGATCGAGTAGCTGGCGATGGTGTAGTCTGAGACACTGATGAAGATGATGTGCGATGAGATGCCAAACATGGCCGTTGCAAGGCAAGAGACAATCCACGGAATTGGAGGTCGGCTGGTCCAGGCGAACCAGCTAGAGCAGAGTATGTCAGCTTGACTCGTGAAGTGCGACGCGAAGCGAGGGCACACTTACAAGAGAGATGCAGGGAATAGTACTGCACCTGGCAGCATCCACAGGAGCCTTGCCTCTGGTGGCATTTCTCCATTGTTCTTTCGAGCTTCGCGTCTCTCGGCGGCCATTTGAACGGGGTACAAAAAGTAGGCGATGAGCACGCCAACGAGGAGGGCCAGGAAGGGGAGGTTCAGAGCCCCCTCGCTCCAGTTGTACTGCTTGTAGATGAGGGGAATGGCCTCCAGGAAGAGGTAGATGATAGCGTAGTTGAAGCTGGTGCTCACGTCAGAATGAGAAAAGTTTCGCAGTCGATGCTTTGCAGAGACTCACCCGTCAAAGAGGGCGAACCAGAGCACGATGGGCTCGCGGAAAAGCATGTAGACTGGCCGGAAGACAGTTTCTTGAACGACAGTACGGAAGCTGCGCTCTCTCATGGCCAACTCATGGTGGGAGTGCCATCGTGAGTCGCCCGTCTCCTTTCTCTTTCTCTTAGCCCGGCGTGTGAGGATGATGCCCGCTCGAGTCTCTGGGCATGTCAAAATCCAAAGCAAGAGGAAGAAGGCGGTGCCCAATCCCAGAACGCCGAAGATCTGTCAGGGCATGCCGTCAGCTTGCGGCTAGGTGACGTGGACAAGAGAGACACCCACCCAACGGTAGCCCACCGAAACGTATGTGTACCCGCCAATGATGGGACCGATGACGATGCCAAACTCGGCTGCAAAGGCAAAGGAATTGACGGCCATCCCCTGACTTTCTGGATCCCACATGTCTGAGACTATTCCAACTGCGTTGAAAGTGGTTGCGGCGAAGAAGCCAGCGAGGAATCGAAAGACAACCACCGTAGCGAAGTTGGGTGCCAGTGCACAAGGGATCTGGAAGATGCCGACCAGGAACACAGAGACGACGTGGGTCGGCCAGCGTCCATAATCCTCCGAAATGGGCGTGAGAGTGACGGCGCCGATCGCAAAACCATAGAGAAAGATGGCTTGTACGACTCTTGCCTTTGGAACAGAGACGTCCAAGTCTGCCGCAAGCGCCTCGATACCTGGGACAACTGCTGCAGAGACTGGAGAGAGGAAGAATGCGCTAAGCTGAGCTCTCTTCGGCAGACACAAAGAAGCACCGCACTCACTGACGTTTGCCCACACCTCCAAGGTAAAGGCAATGATGATAATCTGCCACTTTCTCCAAGCGGGAAACTCTCTAGGGTCTTCCGTGTCATTGTGCTGTTCACAGAGGAGTCGTCGTCTTCTGTCAGTCTCTTCGCTCTTCGCTCTTGGAGTGGCGACTACTCACGTCGAATGTGACAAGGAAAGGGTCCCTCTTCCTCATACGGCTCTCCCGTCTGGCCACATGTTCTCCGTCTGGGTACGCTGGTGTATTTCCCTCGTCCACGACGTTGTCTGTGCCGTCCATGATCGTCGTCTCACCGGTGCTCCAACGGCCGGGCGACGGGTTTCGCGACGTCGCTTTTGACATCCTGGACTGCGTCTACAATGGCTGCGGTGCTATATATAGTTGTGTTGTGAGCCATTTACGAGACCCAATGCTGAGAGCAGCTGTGCACGGCAGATGATGAGAAGACGTCACTTGCATGGGGAGAAGAGCCAAGAGAAGAAGGCGAGTCAGCACAAGATTCAATCTAGATTTCGGAAGCAAGATTTCTTCTGTTCGATGCGTTTTATTATTGTTCCGACGAACCCCGAATTCGCGTGCTTTACTAATGACGACCCAATGACGCCCTAATGACGACCCAGTGACGCCCCAATGACGACCCAATGACGACCTAATGACGCCCCAGTGACAAAGTTTAAAGTTGTTCCCATAAAGCAAGGGGGGGCGTCCAGGCATGCCAGGCATATTTTTGGACCACAAACGCGCTCGATAAAGGTCGAGACGGGCAAGCTGACTCTACAAACAAAAGATCAAGTGTAGTGTTCAGCAATGAAGGAGAATAATCGGAACCCGAACCAGGTCCAGTCCTGTTCATCACCACTCCCATCTCTAGTTCCTCCCCGGCGTGATCCCGACGCCTGCCCCGTTACCATCCCTTTCCCCTCTCTCCGCCCACACACTCATTTGCTCTCACGGTACTTTCCTTTACAATGCTTCTCGGTCTCCTTTTCCTCGTTCTCCTCGCAGTGGTTCACGCGGCGCACGCACATCCAATCGTTCGAAAGCGTGCGGCAGGCAACAATGCTACAGCCGAGCTCCTCTCAACATTACAGACAATGGGTCTGACGAAGCTGCACGATGCCTTCGTGTCTCACCCTGCCATTCTACAGACCGCGTCGGCGTCTCCAGGGCAAAAGACACTCCTGGCGCCATCAGACGCGGCGGTGCAGGCTTTCCCAAGCTGGGCCACGTCGAATGCGAATCTGTTTGAATCGACGCTGCTCATGCACTTTCTCAACGGGTCATTCGATCTCAGCCAATTGCAGGCTGGGCCCAGGCACACGGTTGGACATTCGCTGGTCACCAGTCCAGCTTATGCAAATCTTCCAGGCGGCAACGGACAGGCTGTGGCGTTGTACAGCGCTCGAGCTGGCTCAAAGAATCGCTATGTCCAGGAAGGCGTTAACAACGATATGTTTATCGATGCTTCGACAGAAGTGGGCGATTACTTCATTCAGGTAAGGTGACACCCGTCCTCTTCGTCAGCTGCTGCACTACCTGACACAGTCCTTCAGCCCATCAACCAAGGGATGACCATACCGGGCAACGCGACGTTCACCCTGGGCTTCATTGGTGGACACCAGCTGCTCTCCAAAATGCTGCTCGCAGACTCTGCACTAGCAAGCACAATCGACAACATGCGAGGCTCGACGATCTTCGCTCCGACGACTCGCGCTCTTCGCGCTTATCTAGCCACTTCTCCGTCGAACGAGTCTCTCTCGACCGTCATTAAGAACCACCTCGTGCTTAACCGTGCGGTCTACTCTCCCTTGCTCGACGGTCAAGGAAGCCTCATCAGCGCCAGTGGGCAGGACATCAGCTTTGACGCCGGGTCCAACACTATTCGGCTTGGTCAAGATTCTGCAAAGGTGACGCAGTACGATATTATGCACCGCGGAGGTGTGATCCACCTGATCGACGCTGTCTTTTCGAGCACCACCTTGGACCAGGCTAGAGCGGATCAGGCGGCGCAGTCAGCGCAGGCTTCTGCAGACCCGTACATCGCAGGACCTGTATCCGTGGAGAACGCCGCCTCGTCGCAGGGCAGTGACGTGCCAGCTGGCGGAGCGGCACGCAATTCGACGATACAGGCGATCAATGCGGGCAACTCTTCGACATCCGACAGTGGAAGTTCGTCAGGAGCGTCAAAGGGAGGTGGGACTGGGTCCTCCTCGTCTTCAGGCAAATCATCTTCGGCGGGCATGCTCGGCTTGCCCGCTTTCACCCTCTTTTCTGCCATTCTTTTGCCCTCTACCCTCCTGTCCCTTTAGAAGATCTGTATCCATCCCACGCTGTATCATATGCCGTCGCTACCGAGGAGAAGCATTGAGTCTGATATATTTTGCTCACTTGAAGACATCGACAAGAAGAGAGGATGATGTGTATGAAAGACTTTGCGAGAAGTAATGCAGAAGTCGCGGTAGTATTATAGAAAGGCTAGATGTGTGATGGTTCGCAAGGGGCCGGAAGGAGGAGCTGCAACCTACGCGGGAGCTCTCTCCGCAAGAGACTCAACAAAAGTCCACAAGATTAGAGACCATTAGCCATGATATAGCTCAGCACCTCTTCATAACCTTGGGCCGAGGTGGGGTGGGCCGAGATGCCGTGTCCGGTGTTGGGCAGCGTGGCAACGGTAAAGTTCTTTGCCTGCGGGAAGAGCATAGAAACGGACTGGATGATGGTCATGCCACCTCCGACGGGCGTATCGCAGTTCCGGTTGCAGAAGGGCAAGTCCTCCTCGCCATTGATAACGAAGACGGGCTTGTTGTAGGTCATCGAGGGCCCACTGATGGCGCTGATGGAGAAGAGGGTGCCAAGTGTGACGGGCTGGGCAGAGGAGCGCGCCAGCTTGTTGGCGCCCTGTTCGACGTACAGGGGGTCATTGAACTGCGATGAGTCGGCTTGCGACGAGGCTGTGGCGAGCCAGATCGAAGGGTCTTTCTTCAGCTGGGGGAGATCAGGGACCTCGTTGGCAATGGTGAGTGTTCCAGCGAGGAAGAAAGGGACGGTGCCGGTCGAGTTGGTCGAGAAGCCAGTCAAGACAAGGCCTTCGATAAGGTCAGGCGACTGGGCCGAGATGGCTTGCCCCTGCACGGAGCCGTAAGAGTGGCCAATCAGGGTGATCTTGGAGTGCTTGCTGCCGCCGACATTGTTGGTCTGACGCGTCTGGCGGAGGACCTCCTTGAGGATGGCCAGTTCGTGGGGCGACTGCACAACGCTAAATCCACCCTTGCTGGGCTTTGACGATTTGCCGCATCCGAGACGGTCGAAAGCAAAGACGGAGTAGCCGTGCGAAGCAGCGTGGCGAATAAACGAATAGTCCTTGTAATTGAAGTTCCAGTACGTGTGATCGAAGCCGACACCGTGGACAGCGACGATGAGGCTGCTGTTCTTCTTCGCGTGCTCCTTTGGCGTGCAGTACTGCCCAAAGATGTCGTAGGTAGCATTGACCGTCTTCTTCTGCTGCGTCATGTGCTTTTCGGTGTAGTTCGTCATGCCCGTGGAGTAGTCAAGGATCTGCTGGTTAACATACGAGGCGTTGTCGTAGTTGTCGACCACATCCTTGAAGACGATGTTCTGCGAGCTGACGGGTACCTTGAGATGAACGTCCTGGCAGTGCACATTGTTCAAGCCATATGGTCCGGCTTGCGACGAGCTGTTCGCCCGGCGGGAAATGACTGGGGACAAGCTATCAACGGCCGCAAAGGCAGGCGAGGCCAGAGCGGCGCTCGCACCCAGCGAAAATGAGGCCGCGACAATGGAGAGGAGCTGCATGGCGTTCCGTATCCTTGTCCCAATCGTAGACCGGGTCTTGAAGGTGAGTAGAGGGTGTGGTGATTGATGTCCGGTGGGGGTTCGCTCTACTCTGTATATAAAAGTTCTACCACACCAACAAGAGCTCAACCGGATGCCGAGCGGAGGGGGAAGCATTTAATTCGAGTCTCCTGATCTGCCTTGTCGTCATTGGTTTCTCCGGCCATTGGATTAGCGCTTCGAAAACGCTGCGCTAGTGCGGTAGCAGTAGTGTAATGTAGCAGTAAGATCTTCAGAATGATTTCCATCCACGCATTCGGGGAATGCAAATTGATACGCAGTCGGCTCCACTTCAAGCACAGCGTAAGAACGCGCGGTACGTAGTGCTTGTTCCCTCATCAATAGCACCCTTGCATCGATTCATGTACACTGCACGTCACTTCATTAATTTTTTCGCTCGCCTTGCGAACTATTTGCTCCAATGGCATCTTTCCAGGGCCGCCTTCGTCGGTCGGTCTCGGACCATTGTAGGAGTGATTGAGCAACTCGCCGATCACGATCTATGTGATGCCGATGGCCTCCACCATGAACCCTTCGGAGTCTCACCTCCCTTGCAAGAGTCCGTGGCTCTCCACCTTGTCCGCTGCAAGAATCCGAGGGTCTTCATCTGGTTCCGGCGGCGATTTCAGACCAAGAAGATCCTTTGATGATGAGACATCCAATTTTGCTTACCATAACGGGTGGATGGAGGAGGCCTGGACGATGGCGAAACACAGCTACTGATGTTCTGATTCGCAGGTGGAGCTCTGTACGTTCCCATGTAATCTATCTGCATTCGAAGCCAGCGCACTACACTACTGCTGCTAAGCAAGCCTGGGAAAGCAGGAGTGGAGAACTCGGTCCGAATGCAAGCGGGCACGGTCGTGAGTGCGCTCGCGCTAGAGCAATTCTGAGGGCTCTCCGTGACAAAAGCAGATTGCTCGAATCTCCACGTGGCTCGCCAGTGCGAATCCCGTCTCGCCTTCCCAAAGTTAAACTTTCGCCGACCACGGCTCGCAAAGAAGCTAGGACTTTTGACAGGCTTGCGACAGATAGTTTGTAGAGATGTCGACGACTGCTACCGCGACGGCCACGGCGAAGACGACCGACCAAGGATCGATCCAAGTCGAGGGTAGCTTGGACGCTTCGCTGGCGGGGCACGATGAGGAGCAGATCCGCCTCATGGAGGAGCGCTGCATCGTCCTCTCGCACGACGACCAGTACGTGCGCGACGGCTCCAAGAAGGAGTGCCACCTCATGACCAACATCAACAAAGGGCTCCTCCATCGCGCCTTTTCCTGCTTCCTCTTTGACCCAGAGTCCGGCAAATTGCTCCTCCAGCGTCGGGCATTGGAAAAGATTACGTTTCCTAACATGTGGACAAATACCTGCTGCAGCCACCCGCTGGCCATTAAGGGGGAACTCGAAGAGGCGGAGCAGATCGGAGCTCGAAGAGCAGCGCAGAGGAAGCTCGAGCATGAGCTTGGCATTCCCGCTGAGCAGGTGCCTCTTGACGAATTCCAATTCCTGACCAGAATTCACTATCTGGCGCCGAGCGACGGTCTGTGGGGCGAGCATGAAAGTGGGTTCCCATCGTGCCAGTGCCATGCCTGATGAATACTGATGATCAACACTCGGACCAGTCGACTACATTCTCTTCATCACAGCACCCGTTACGCTTAAGCCGAATCCGAACGAAGTGTGCGACACGCGCTGGGTCAGCCCAGAGGAGCTTAGAGAGCTGATGGAGGAGTTGGATCGTGAGTGTCGCTCCCGTTTGCATCTCTTTGCAGAGCTGACCATGCTGCGCACCAACAGCCGCTGCATTTACGCCCTGGTTCAAGCTCATCGTGGCCAAGTTCTTGTTTCCCTGGTGGAGCAAGCTGCTCGAGCGAAGGACGAGCAAGCCATCGAGCAAGACGGCGCAGAAGGTCGAGTCAAACAACGGCGTCGTCGATGCAAAAGCGCTAGCCGACCTCAAGGACGATGAAATTCACAGGATGCTGTAGCGACAGACATACCCCACGTCTTGTGTCAGATCGCACAAAAGTGTCGAGATCACGGCCCTGGAACCTGGTTGTAATTTTGGCTTCAACCTCGTACCGTCATCATACAAGGAAAAAGGAGTGCTAATGAACATGTAGTGTGGTGGTGTGTGTGTACGCGCGCAAGAGGAGAGAAAATGCATGAGAGAGGAGCAAATTAGACCTCGGTCTTGATGATCGACGACTTCTCCTGGCAGTAGATTCCGTCGAGGAACTTGCGGATATCGAATCGGCGGATGGCGGGCAGGCACGCGCCGTGCAGGTCGGCAGCCGACTGCGAGACCTCGTCAATGTCTGAGCCCTCGACGAGGACAGTGTCCTTGGCCGTCGTGTCCTCCTTGATCGTCACTCCGTTCCTCATGGCCACCTTGAACACCTGCTTGCATCCCAGCATGTTCCTGATCTCAGCCGATCGCCCGTCACCAGCAATGATGACGTTGATGGGAAAATGGGCGTAAACGGCCCTCATCTTGTACTGCCATCCAATGGTCAGGCCCTGTCAAATCATCGCATGGTCAATTACGTCCCTTTCCGAGCTCGTCGATTCAGTGAGGGAGGAGACCCACCTTGATCATGTTGCTAACGGCAGCCTTGGCAGTCCGGAGCTGAGCGACGTGCTTGCGACCTCCGTGCCAGATGGCAAACTTGACCTTGTTGCCCTTGGGCGACTTGATCACGCGCATGTCCATGTTCATGTGCTTGAGGTTCTGTTGTGAGACACGGCGTCAGCTTCATCGCTCCTTGTCTCCAGGTCTGGCATCCTGCACTAAATTCCGCCTCAGTAGACCGCCGTCCCTCCTCGAATCGTGATGACATAACCCCTCGGCAATCCTAAGTCGTATGATGCAACCGCTTCTAGACCTGCTCAAGGTTCCCCCTTCTCCCTCGGCCTGCTCCATGTCGTTGATTGCCCACCGCACGACCTCCGACGGAAGCTTACCTTGTGCAGCTCTCCGCGAGGGCCCTTGACGTGGATCTCGCGCGAGTTGATCGTGACCTCGACATCCTCAGGGATGGCGAGGTCCAGGTCCTTGTAGATTTGAAGCATCTCCGGTGGGCTGTAGAGGGGCGGCTGGTGAGTGCCTGCGCTCGTCGGTGGATGTGACAGCGACCCACCTTATGCTAGGTTGACGGAAGGGATAGGGAGGATTGATGGTGACCGACCAACCGGTCGACTTCAAACTGGCTTCTGGGCATGCGCTGCGGTTGAGCTCTCGCACGTGTCAAAACTCAGCTTATGTAAACAACACATCATTCTCGAATGCCACGTTTGCGGAAAATGGCGTCTATTTTCCGATCGCCCTTTATCGGCCAAGCGGCAAATCGCGTCGAGCCTCGCTTCAGCAATCCACCACCACCACGATCTCTTACTCTCGCACAGGTACAAGAACAGTTGAGGCATCCACAGCGCTCTCGCTTCACAAGAGCTCTCTTCTTTCCTGCTCCTTCTCTTCGGCTCTGAGTTCGAGAGTTGCAGAAGGGTAGAAGAGGCCCAATAGAAATCATAATCAAAGCAGAGAGACATCTGGTGCTGGCTCAGCGTCACATTGCTTCCGTCTTCCGGCACTGGACCTTTTCATCCTTGTTGTACTTCACTACTAGTCACCTGTTGAAGAGCTCTCTTGAGTGTTTGTGAAGCGTCGGCTACCCTACCCACCTTCGCTTCCGCACTACTGCTCGTGTCCAAGTACCTCAGGTCGACTGGCCAGCTGTTGTTTACACACTCTTGTTGTCTTTGCTCTTGGGGAAATGTACGGCAACCCACAGTATGGAGCTGGTAATCAGTACGGAGGACCACCGCCGTACCAAACTCCCCAGCAGCATCATGCGGCAGCACCGGCACCGTACTATGGCGGAGGCGCGCCGTCGACATCGGCATACCCGATGAGCGCGGCGCCGGGGCCGAATCTGGCGACAGATGCCAATGCCTTTGCCCAGATGTTCAAGTCCCACTTGGCTTCGCTTACCTTCAACTCGAAGCCAATCATTACCAATGTCACCATCATAGCACAGGAGTACGTGCAACACATGGCCGTCGTTGTCGTACAGTGCCTCGAAGAACACATCTTGAGCGTAAGTGTGAACTTGCCTCCAACTTTGACGAGGAACAAAGCTGATTTGAGTCTCGTCAAAGTGCCCTCCGCCGTACCGTTTGCCTGCCCTGTATGCTCTGGACTCAATCTGTAAGAATATCGGACCGCCATACACATCAATGCTGGCAGATCGCATCGTTCGCATCTACATGGAGACGTACCGAATTGTGGACCAAGGCACAAAGGTTCGCATGGAGGAGCTCCTTAACACCTGGCGAAATGCCGGGACCAACGGCGAACCCATCTTCGGCGGCGACGCACAGTGGAAGATCGAGACGCAGCTCTATGGGCGCCAGGGTCCACCGGTCGGCCAGCGTTCGACAGTGGAAAAGATTGACCGGTTGCTGAGTATGGGTGCCCATGACCAGATCCACAATCCGCAGGCTTTCGATGCAGGCCGCATGGACGCCCTGTCGAAGCTCAAGACGGTGGTGCAGACGGCGCCGTTGTCGCCCGAGGAGCTGACCCAGATTGACTCGGAATTGGCCTCGTTTGACGCTGAGATGCGTTCCAAGCGTCAGATCCGATCGCCGTCAGTCGCGAGCCGGTCACCAAGGCCGGTGGCTGCACCTTCGGCCCCTGCGCTTCCCCCCAATTTAGCAGGTGCACTGGCCAATCTTGCAAATTTGGGCGGCATCAAGTCTCCGCAGCTCCACTCCGCACCTCAGCAACCACATCACAGTCAGCAGCAGCCGGCTCCTGCACCGAATCAAGCAAACGATCTTATCAAGTCGCTCATGCTAGCAGGTCTGCTCAAAGCGCCTGTCCAGCAGCAGACCAGCCAGGATGACGAATATACGCGAACGATCATGTCGACCAATGTCACCCTCACGGCCGCCGAGTTATCTCGAGAACCGACAACAGGGCCGATTGAAGAGCTTTGCCAGCGCTACCTCTCGCGGCAATGTCCTCAGTGCGCCAACAGATATCCGCCAGGCGACAAGGGCCAGGCTGCCATGGATGCCCATCGCGACTGGCATTTCCGACAGAACCAGAGGGTCAAGGACAGCGCAGTGCGAGGCCAGAGCAGGAGCTGGTTTAGCAAGCTCGAACAATGGATTCGCGGAGGTTACGACGATACGCTGCTGCCATCGCGCGAGGAAGCTAATCTGCACGACGAGCAGGGCCACGCAGGGCCGAGGCTGACAGCGGCCCAGGAGGAAGAGCTCCGAGCCGCTTCATCCAAGTTTGTGGTGGCCGACGGTGATGCATCGTGTCCGATTTGCAAGGAAAAGTTCAATTCGGAGTGGAGCGAGGACGAGGAGGAATTCATCTGGAGGAACGCCATCAAGAACGGGGGAAAGTATTACCATGCCACATGCCACCTATCAGCGACAACGCTTTCCTCCAACATCGAAAGAGGAAGGCGGGCAGATACGCCGATAGAACAATCCTCAGATCCTATCATCCGGGTCAAGAAAGAAGAGGGCGACAGGAAGCGAAAGGAGAGCCCGTCTGTCGGCGAAGCACAGGAGTCACCCAATCAAAAGGTCAAGCAGGAGTCTTGAGCCAGTATCCGTCCGCCCGTCTGTCCGTCCAACCATCCATTCATCCCCTCCCTCTTACACCCATCAACCCATCAACTCATCACCCCATCAACCCATCATAACCCATTAGCAGTGTCGCAGCTCATTTATTTCATATGCAATCTTTCATACAACAAAGGCAATCTCAATAATCTCTCCAGTCGACGATCTTCCTGGTCCGCTGCATCTTGCCTTTTGACAGAGACCAACAACATCCACCACTTCCGGACGCGTCATTCGTTGGCCCGCAAAGGCTTGGCGCGAATTTGTAAGCCAGGCACTTAGAAATTCCACTAGCTAGCCTGTTTGTGGAGTACCTATTGCCCAAGGCGGTGCGCAAAACGTGCATGCGCGATTCGAGCCGTAGGCAACGGAAGGAGCAGCGCCGCTCTGGTGTCTTTCCTACGCATCCTCTTTCTCAACCACATCCACCTCTATCCAGGACCTAGACACGCATCATGACGACGCTCAATGTCAAGGTAAGTTGGAGAAACGCCCCTCTGCTTCCCTTCGTTGCGAGGCTGACTTGTCGTGCCATCAGTGTGGGCCCATGCTCAAGTACGACACATGCGAGCAAGGCGTATACCACGCCTTTGCCCTGCTCGTCACCAAGGACGAAGGCAGCGACTACTCGTCCAAGCCCACCATTCAGCTCCGTTGGGGCCCAGCACCCTCAAACAGAGGCGAGGCTGCCACTACGGGCGAGAATGGAGAAGCCCACGTCACCCCTGAGCAGGCACACAAGCAGGTCGAGTCGATCGAGCTCTACCACTACAAGGGACAAGGCGGCCCTGCCACATTTTGGCGTTTCAAGATCGAAATTCCCCTGACGGATACCGAACAGGTTGTGTCGTACAGTGTCGACGGACAGCCCCACGCAGACTCCCAGAGTGTTGCCACAAAGGAGGCAAAGGGCTTCAACTTTTTTGTCCCTTCCAAGACGCAAAACTTTCGCTGGGCCGGCCACAGCTGCAATGGCTTTTCGGCCGGCTTGGACCCAAAGGAGTGGAACGGTGCGAGTCCGCTCTGGGATGACTTGCTGTCGCACCACGCAAAGAGCCCCTTCCACGCAGTCGTTGGCGGCGGTGATCAGAGTGAGTCTATGCGTGTGGCGAGCTTGGCTTTGGCGCTCAGACCTCCTTTTGCTGACACTGCGACCCCTCAGTCTACTGTGACAAGCTCACAAACGAGCCTGAAATGAAAGAATGGGTCGAGTGTGCCGACCCAAAGAAGCGGATGCGCATGGAGCTCACCGAGTCGGTCAGCGAGTGCATGGAGCGCTACTTCTTTGAGCACTACTGCGAGTGGTTTGGCGAGGGCAGCTTCGCAAAAACGATTGCGCAGGTGCCCATGCTCAACATGCTTGACGATCACGATCTCATCGATGGATTCGGCACCTACCCCGACGACCTCATGAACGCACCCATCTTCAATCACGTTGGCCGCACAGGCTTCAAGTACTACTACCTCTTCCAGCAATTTATCAACCCCGACATTGACGGACTCTCAGACGAACCGGGCAAGCACTCGAACAAGAGCATCATCATTGGAAAGCAAGATGGCTACGTTCAGTACCCACACATGAGCTTCCTGTCCTACCTCGGTCCCAAGCAGTACCTGCTCATGGTCGACTGCCGCGCCGAACGCAAGGTCCACCAGATCTGCTCCAAAAAGTCTTACGAAAAGATCTTTGACCGGGTTCGAAAGATGCCAGAGGGAGTCGATCATCTCATCATCCTCCTCGGCGTACCGCTGGCCTACCCTCGCATGGTCTTCCTCGAGCGAACGCTGTCAAGCAGTTTCAACCCTATTATTATGCTCGCCAAAGGTCTCAGCCCCGGCTTCACAAATAAGTTCAACGGCCAAGTCGAGCTGCTGGACGACCTCAACGACCACTGGTGCGCCGGTCCTCACAAGCACGAGCGCAACTGGCTCGTCGAGCGCATCCAAGAGCTCGCTCTGGCCAAGCACGTCCGCTGCTCTTTCATCAGCGGCGACGTCCACGCGTGTGGCGTGGGTGTCTTCTTTGGCTACCACCAGCACGACCCCAAGCTCGACCCCAAGCATATGCTCGCTGTCATCACCTCTGCCATTGTCAACGCTCCTCCGCCGCCCGCAGTCATTTCTATGCTCAACAAGCTGGCAGCGAAAAAGCACCGCAGTCTGTTCAAGATTGGCACAAAGGAAACGATGGTTCCGCTCTTTGAAGAAAACCTGACGGGCAAGAAGCAGAATGACAAGTAGTGAGTCGCTTTCGAGCAAGAACCGTCATAGATGGTGGGCTGACCCGTCCCTTTGCAGCATCATGGGCGCACGTAACTGGTGCGCAGTGACGTATGACGAGTCCAGCGGCGAGCTCGAATTCGACTTGCGCATCGAAACGGAGAAGGGAAACGGCGCGAGTGGGACCAAGTCCTACCCTGTCCGAGCGCAGCCGCCGCGCTGGCAAATTGCCAAGGAGCACCACCACTTCCTTCACACGAAGGAATGGGAAAAGATCGTGGGAGGCGGAAAGTAAAAGCTGCCCATCATAGTAGCGGCACACACACTCCTTTCCGATGATTGTTCTCTAATGCCGTCGATGCGATACCCTATGCTCTCAACCAAGCTGTTGTTCTGTCTGTCTGCCTCATAGCTCTGTTGTGTTGTATGCGTCTTCTATTACTTGCTCTAGAAATGAAATTGTCTACTTCATTGACTGCTGCTCCCGCCCTGCAGGGCCTTCATGCGAGCCTCTGCTGCCCTAGCCCGCTTTTCGCGTTCGATGCGGGCCTTCATTTCTGGCGTCAATCCAGCTGCGTCATCCCTCTTCTTGATCAATGACGCTGGCGCGGCGCTGCTCCCTCCCAATCGATTTTTGACGGCACTGCTAGGCAGTGAAGCCTGCAACTGCCTCTTGCGCGCCTCTTGCTCCTTGATATTCGCCTCTTGCTCCTTTTCGTGTGCCTCTGCTTCCTTGCGCTGTTCCTCGGCCTCGCGCATTCTCGCACGTTCTTTAAGAGCGCTCTTCTTCTCGTTAGAAGCCACCATCTCGTCAGTCAAGGCGCTCGGCACGCGCGCGCCCTCCTTCCAGTCGCAAAGGTCCGGATGCGTGGCGCTCATCCTTCGGAATACGTCGCGGGCTGCTTTGGAGCTGCAGACGTCGTATGCCGTTCGTCGAGGGAATGCTCCACTGGTCTCTCCCTCGTCGAGCGCATCTTGAGAGGCATCAGACCGAGGAGGGGGAGCAATAGCGAGTGTCGGATCGGCCCGACGATCTTGCAACAGGTACGATACGATAGCTTCGTGGCCTGACTCTGCAGCGAGGTGCAGTATCGTACTGGGAACGAGCTGGCTTGAGGCAGTAGGGACTGTCGACAGGTCCACTGGCTTGTCCGATGGAGGGAGGAGGACAGACTTGGAACGGGCATCCTCGACTCGCCACCACGTCGGCAGGGCACCGTTGATGCGCTTGCGTGCGAGTACAGAAGCTTCGTCTGCGTCGTCGGGTTCTCCTCCTGCCTCGCGGCCACTCAGAAGTTCTGGCTCGTGCTTCTGCAGATGTGAAACCATCGCCTCCAGTCGCCCCTTCTTGATCATTTCCACCAGCCTTGCGAATCGCTCCCTTGCTCTTTTCTCCTCTTCGTCCAACACGGGTACCTTCGGCTTTGCCTCCTTGATCTGCGCTTGTTTGGCCTGCAGCTCTCGCCTTGCTTTTTCCTTGCGCTCCTGTCTCTCCCTTGCGCTACCCTCGAGCTGTGCCTTGTATTCAGCGTCGCGCCGCTGCATCTCCTCTTCCGTCTCATGGCGGACCTTGACCCTCGTCAGTTCAGCAAAGCATCTCAGCGTCTCGCCGACGGTCGGCTTGCGCGTCGTAGCAATCGGCAATGACTGCAACCTTCCATCCTGCCTGGGACCTTCGAGCGGGGAAGTCTGCGCACCAGGCCAGCCCCAAAGAACGCCCCTTGCGCTCCGTCCGCCTGCTCTGATCCACACCCTCTCGCTTTCCTCGATCCCCTTTCTCCACCTCGACGTCGCAAGGAGCGCCCGAACCTCTTCTCCCAAGGCCTGCTCTCCGTATCGACGAAGCTGGGCGCCTGCGCTCTTTGCAAACCTGCCCGAGGCGTCCTGCGAAGACTGTGCACCACCCTGCTTCCTTCGCGTCGTGTAGCGGTGGGACGCCTTGTGGGCCAGGACGAGCATCTGACGCTCAGTCGTCGCCTTTTTCTTCGACGTAACAGATTCGTACGGGTTCAGAGCGATGATCGAGGCGGAAAAGTGGCCGCCGCCCATCAGGATGATGGTCCACTTCTTGAGAGGTGGAAGTGTCGTCGAGGTAGAGGAGGCAACTTCTTCGCTTTCGCCTTCGCCTTCGCTCTCCTCGCTCCCACTAGACTCTTCGCCGCCCCCAAGAACACCCTTTGCGTCCAAAAAAGCTGCCCCAAGGAGGCTCGCTGCCTCATCGACGCCACTGTCTCCCTTTAGTCTCTTGACCGTCGCGCTGCCACTTTTTCTCGCCTGACCCCCAACCCAGCTGGGCAAGGCAGGCAGACGCGCAGCCTGCATCTTCTGAAGTGCCCTCACCTGCCAGCCTTGCCCGCCATGCGAGTCCTCAGCGTCGGCGAAGAGGGTCCTCAGGATGCCCAGCTGCGTCTGCTCGATGAAGCTTGGCGAATCTGGCTTGGTGACAAACCAGAGAAAAGGCTCCTTGGCCGTCAATGCCGCCCGTGCTGATCGGTAGTCGAGCAGACCATCTCCTTCTTCGTCAGACGACAGATCTACAGACTCGCTTGATCCTGACACCTTGAGCTTGGCCAGAAGCTGTCGGACGACATCGACTGGCGGTCTCGCTCGTCCATCGTCGTCCTCCGAACTTGATGCCGTCTCCTCTGAGTCGAGCTCTACAAGTGTCTAGTCAGCGTCGACAGCATTCTTCTGTCTCTCGATCGAAAGCACACACCTTCGATCTGGCTTGCAAAGTGCTCTTCATCGACGAGCTTGCCACCGCCTCTCCGAGCAAGCGCGAGGTTATCCCGGTGCCAATCCGACCTTAGATGGGCACGGAGATGCGCAGGGCTCGGCAGCGAAGGACATCCAGGGCACAATGTGCAGCCACCTGTGCTGCCATTTGTCTCTGTTGGCTGTGCTTGTGATTGCGACGCCTCAGATACAGGCACCGCGCTGGCCTTTGCCGTATCGATGATGGCGTCATAGCTCCTCGGCACGAGGCTCTTCGCGAGGCTCGGGCCGAGATCATAGGCGTACAAGGGCCGAGACAGCGCAGCGTGGTTCTGCCACGGTTTCCCCGGTGCCGACATTGCGGCCGTCCTTCTCGCTGCGCTAAGCCGAAGAAGCGTGCGTCGAAACAGCTTGCCTGATCTCACCTCGGCTTCGTTCCTGCGATCTCCTTTCTTCGGTTCTTCTGTGGAGGGACTCGGCAGCTGCTCAGCGAGAAAGAAAAAAATAAAAATAAAAATAAAGACGTGCCACGAGGTCACCTGGAGCTCTGTGCCTTGGGAACCGAATCTGAGCCGACTTGTCAAAATGCGGCTCAGACGAATGGCCGTGGGGGAACCGAATTATTAAAATCACGGCGTTGCGGCGTCAGGGATAGTCCGACAAGGCACACTACCTCTCACATTAGAGTGACCTCGGAGGTCTCGGGGGGATGGGAAGCGAACTCGTCCCGAAAGCAGCAGGGAGTCAGCACGCTAATTGGTTTCCATTCCTGTTCCTGTTGAATTTCTTCAACACTGCCTGTATTCGGGACAGATTCGCTTCCTATCTCAACTGTCTGACAGGCACGTTGTCTATGGCAGGCGCCGAGATAGGCTATGGAACCGATAATGTACCAGTCAACCGCAGGATCTCCCGATGTTATTCCAGCGGAGTCAAAATATTCGGCAGCGCACTTTCTGCCATGTCTGACAGGACAAGTGCTGGGATTCTGTGCCGTAGGAAGTGAGAAGTGAGCTAAGGGGAGAAAAGGTATAAAGGGGCACGATATCGTCGGTGTCACTGCTCTCATCCCCATCCTCAGTCAGCCCAGCTACCAAGCCCCAGACAAACAGAGCCCAAACAGACAGCAGCCAAGGAAGCACGAGGCAAAATGATCGCAGCAAACACCATCATCGATATTGTCTTTATTGCAATCTTTGCAATCATCGCTCCCTTCTCCATCTTTGGCGCCGTCAAGCACTCCAAGGGCCGCCGCGATGCTTACGTCCTTCTCAACCTCTTTGTTCTCCTCCGAATCCTCGGCGACATCCTCCTCGTCGTTGCTGCCCAAGACAACAGTGCTCCCGTCAAGACAATCACCGACCTCTTCACGGCCGGCTTCATCATGAGCAACATCGGCTACGGTTTCCTCATCAGCGCCTGCATTTCTCTCTACGTGAGTCTTCAGCTTCTTGATTCTCAAAGCTCGCGGTGGCTCGAGCTGACCTGAGCCAAACACAAAAAACAGAACAGCGCAATGGGCATTGACAAGAAGAACCAGAAGAGGGGCTTCGACCGAGCAGCGCTGCTCCAGAACCCCTCTCGCCTGCTCCACGTCATCAACCTCGTCGCCACGATTCTCCTCATTGTCGGCATGAACGACTCTAGCGAGGTGTTTGCAGCTGGCGCACTGCCGCGCAACTCGCCGGCGCGCGCCCACGCCCAGGTCGACTCTCTGGCGCAGATTGGCTACATCCTCTACCTCGTCGTCACCATCCTCTTTATCCTCCTCATCGCCTCGCACCACATCCGTGCCAACTACGGCGCACACCACCAGACGAGCGAGAGCCACACGGCGGCCAAGTGGACGCTGGCCTTTGTGTCGGTCGCCCAGATCCCGATGCTCATCCGCGTCGCCTACTCGACTTCGCTGGTCTACTCGGCCAGCTACCTCAACTACAACATCTACGAGCGCCTCGTGCTGCAGTACATCATGGAGGTCATTGCTGTCCTGATCCTCCTTGCCCTCGGCTTCACGCTCCAGTTCAAGGGCCTCCTCCCCGGAAACACTTCGTCTTCTTACGACCACCATGCGTACGACGCAGAAAAGGACTCGCAGATCCCACCTTACCAGGGCGCTCAGCAGGCCCCGATCGCTTATTAGACATTTCTCTTGTTTCGTTTCGCTTCAACACTGTATATCCTGCCCAACTTGTGATGACAATCCAGCATGCAGAATCATGAGCTTTGATAGTGATGATTAAGGATGGAGCGACTGACGGGGAAAGAGAAATTGCGAAGTACAGTGAGAAGCCGCACACCGAGCAGAGAGGTCGCTCAAGGCCAAGCTGGCTTCCACCTGGTAAGCGGCCGGGGAAGGGGGAGGAAAGGGAGGGAAGAGTGTGTGTGGACAAAAGCAAAGGGCACGGACAGGTCACTTGACACCGATCGGTGGACTCTTGCTACTGCTGCGCTTGTTCTTGTTGCGACCAAAGAGGCCTCCACCACTGGCCTTTCCCTGCGACTGCGGCGGTGACACGGCGCCATTCTCGGCCGCGACGGACCTGGAGAGAGCGGCGGCCTGCTTGGGTGTCGCATACACCACGGCCGGCTCGTCTGGTACACCACTGCCGCCTTCGACAGCGTTGTTTGTCTTGGAGTTGGAGTTGCGCCGCGACGCCGACGCAGGAATCTGCAACTCCTGGCAATTCGGCTCGGCCAAATCGCCACAGGCGACGTGCGTCTTATATGGGCAATCGTCGCAGTCCATGTATGCGCCCAAGCCAAGCCGCTTTCCGCAGACATGGCACTTGGTCAGCGCATTGGCCAGGATAATCTGTGGCGGGATGAAGCTGCCGGACCAGCTCTGGGCCATCGCAGACGTGCCATCGACAGGCTTGCGCACGCCGCTCTTGACCAGGGTGAAACGATGGTAGAGGAGCGCGGGCTCGTAAATGGAGGAAGCCACCGTCGCCATGGCCACCGAAGCGTCTGCTTGGTGGTTGTGGTTATGGTGCGACGACCGAGCCGTACGATAGGACTCCGTTGTCTGCTCAAAGTCTGGCTCCTCGGCAGCAGCAGCAGCTGTAGCAGCAGCAGCAGCACCGCCAGGTGATGAGAGCTCTTCCACGGTCCCGGCGTCGGAGGGGTGCACCTTATGGTTGGCCCCCTTGACTGTCATAGTGGACGCAGAAGTATCATCGCCGTCCTCCCTCTTACTGGCCGTCGACATCCTGCTCATCGTCTTTGCCAGGTTGCTACTACTTTCGCCTGTCGTTTTGATCTTGGAAGGCCGGATGACCGAAGTGCTGTACATGCCCTCGTCCTCGGGTGTCTTCCAGTCCGACGAGGTGCCTGGGATCGCCTTCTTCCACGAGTCTCGCACGCTGGGGATGGGGGCGTCGGCCGGCTCGTCGGACCACCACGGGTTGCCGTGGCCAGAGACCTTGATGGTGGAGCCAGCCTTGATCGTTTTCCTTGCTTCTTCGCCCGCCGTCGTGGCCGCGCCGCCGACCTTGACGTTCTCGAGGGCTTCCAGAGCCGCCTCCATCTCTTCGTCGCTGCTGCTGGTTGAGCTGCCCGAGTCTTCACGGCCGTGCGTCATCGGCTCGTCTTCCATAATCGTCGCCGAGGCATCACGCTGCCTCCGAAGATTGACCTGTCCCTCGAAGCTAGGCAAACGCGGCGGGGCCTTTGGCCTCTTTGACCGGCCGCTCTGGCCCACGACGGCGGCCAGACTAGATCCGCGGAGGCTGCCCACGTTGGTCAAGGTGCCCTTCTTGGCTTCTTTTGCCACAATGTCGGCCTCGATTGAGCGAAGACGCTGGATGACCTGGCGCATGTCCGGCCGGTTCTGCGGCTCCACCTCGCAGCAGTCGAGGCAGAGCTGAATAAAGTCGGCGGGACACCCGTGCGACGCCATCTCGCGCACCTCATCGGCCTCGAGGCCAAAGCTTGGAACGAGTCGCTTGAACGTGTTAGCATCGACGAGGCGCCTCGAGATAATCTCGCAAAAGATGACGCCGAGAGAAAAGACATCCGAGGGCAGACTAAAGTCAATTCCCATGAGGATCTCAGGCGACATGTATCCGTCGGTTCCACAGTAGCTGATCCTTCGCATCTCGTCGTCGTTTCTCGCCGCGATCCTGGCAAAGCCAAAGTCGCAGACCTTGATACGGTTGTTGGCCGTGATGAGCAGATTCTCGCCCTTGAGATCGCGGTGCATGCAGTTGCGCGCATGTAGGTAGGCCACGGCACGGGCAATGTCGGTAGCAAACGAGACCCGGAGCGGCCAGCCAAAGGCCTTGTTCTTGTCGGCAATGTAGCTGCGCAGGTTGCCGCCGACAAACTCCGAGATGATGTAGATGCGCCCCTCGGGCCCGGGGCTCTTTGTGAGACCAATATACTGGACAATGTTGGGATGTCTTGCCTCTCTATTCGAAGAGAAGGGAAGGGGGAAAGGAAGGGGAAAGGGAGGATCAGCCGTGACGCTCTAGTATCTCGTCAAGAACGAGAATGGACACCTACTTCATGAGCACACACTCGCGCTCAAAGTACTTTTCCACATCGTACGTATTGTTGGGCAGGACCTCCTTGATGGCCACCTCCGTGCCCAGGTACTCGCCACGGTAGACGACGCCGAAGCTTCCTCCGCCGATGCGGACCCACTCGCCTCCCTTTGGGCCCGTCAGGTCCTGGAAGCTGATGACGTCGAAGCGGTCCATGGGCAGGAGCAACGATGCGAGTTGAAGGTTCCTTTTCTTTTCGTCGCTGTGATAGCTGCTACCACCGCTCTAGGCTGTGGACGCCATCTTGGTCAGTGATTATATTCCGAAAAGAGTGGGCACCTCAAAGCTTGCGCCCCTCCAGGATATTTGCGCGGCAGCACGGGCACTCACGGAAAGGCGCAAAAGGCGGACACCCCTATTGCCCCTCTAATCCTCGATGGCCGCGGTTGGCTGCTCCAGAAAGTCTTCCGCCGCCGTGCGCCGTCCGAAGTGGGAGCGGCTATTTATGAAATGCTATGCTTATAAGTCTACAAATGCTGATACGAAGCTTTGTCGTCGGCAAACCTCAGGAGGGTGCCGGTTGTCGTGAGGTCGTTGTCGTAAAGTACTTCGTTAGTCGTGATGCTCGTGAGTGGGGAGTGCCCTGAAGAAGGAGGAGCGAAAAGAGGTAGGGAGAGGAGAATGGGGAGGGAACGGAAGGAAAGAGACGAGCTCAACAGGGGGTGGACAAGCAGTAATTGGTTGTGTTGTTGAAGCAGGCGAGGCGCGTGCTTGCTTCTATGGCCACATTAATCATTTGTCAATACGGGCATGACACTCATCGACGGACTCGCGCGGCCGGGCCAATCAATCTACCTGCTCTCTTTTTTTTTTTCTCACATGATCAAAGTCCAGCCCGGGCACCGGGACGATCGCCGATGATTTCACCTCTCCCTGCTCCTCTTCCAGGCTGTGTAGAAGTTGCGTCATCACCTGAGAAAAAACAAAACAGGAAGACTGGCCCGAAAAGGAGCAGCAACAGTCGAGGAGGTTGAACTTCCAACACCCACTCAGGGGTAATTTTTCCCATTTTCTCTCCACTTTTTTTTTTTTTTTGGCGTGTATGTGTGTTTCTCTTCTGGTGGGGTTCGGTCGAAACAGGGTTCGGAGCTAAGGGGTCCTTTGGGTCCTTTGTTTGGGTGCGAGACGTGACGTGCGTCACATAGGCATGCAAAGGGTAGATGAGACTAGGAAAGCGACCAAGAGGACTGCGGGACCTAGTGGGATGTGAACAATGAGAGACTGCGACGACGACGAGAGGGAGAAGAAGGGTCCCTCCTCATCGACGTCAAAGAGAACGGCGTCGATGACGTGGAGGACGACATGATTGCGCAGGATCACATCGGAATGGATCACTTGGGCTTGGAATGAGCCAGACGTGATGACGACGGAACCCTCTTGCCCCTCCCTCTCCAGATACGTGTGGTTGGAAGGCGAGAGACTGAGACGAGAGCCATTGGAGACCGACGAGGTGAAGTGCTGATTGGGAAAGACATGGTTGCGGACGATGTTCTTACGGTCAATTGGCCGGCTCGCCTCGAGCCTCTCTACGACGTCTCGTGGCATGAAGGCCTGAGAGAATATATAGTGTTAGCAACAACAGGAGTCTCTTATGCCGGTAGGAAGCATAACAGTCCGACGAACCTCATCGTTGGGTGCAAAGATGGTCATGTTGGAGAGTGTGCCGAGATCGCCAATGAATGCAGCAAACTCTTGTATGCGCAGCTGCTTTGCCATTGAGATCAGACTCTCGCGGGGCAGGGTCAGGATGCCTGCAATCGGCTGAATGGCAACCCCTTGCGCTTGCACAGCATCTCCCGCAAATGTAATTACGTCCAAGGCCTCTTGAACCGTGCGATTGGCGATAACGACTGGGGTATCGGCGACGGCCGTGTCCAAGACCTGGATCCCCTTGAGAGTCTCATTTACCGTTCCAAGCAAGATATGGTAGCGCAACGTCTCCTCGTCGACAACAGCGGCATTACGCAGAGCCTCGTCGGTGGGCACAAGCACGGTGGACCCTCGCCTGGTGCTGTTCAGCTGTATCATACGTCAGCCAAGTAATCTACAGCTTCGCCCAGGGACGGCTCAACTGACTCCTACTTACCACGCCAGGGTGCTTTCCGAGCAGACGTGCCGCGCCACCGAGGCCGGCACTCTCCAGTGCCCCCTGGAGTAGCTCGTTTTGAGAAAGAACGCTGGTGAGGAAGCCAAGAGAAGCAAGCAGGAGGAGGATTTGAGACTTCATGGCTTTTCGTAGTCAGCCAGGGACGCAAAGGGGAGAACGCTCCCCTTTTCTCTCCCCTCTGCAGTCCCAGTTGCACGCGGCCGAGTAGCATCGAGATGGATCAGCAGGACAAGGACAGATATTTTTCCATTGTTGCTAAATAAGGGCGACTCTAGGGAGTAAAGGAGGGATCACAGCTCCTTGATCTTCTTGAACAGGCTCAGGAACACGTCTGGGTCCTGCGCCCCTGGCACCTCGAACCGGTCCTGGAGCACATAGTTTGGCACGCCCGAGATGCCCTTCATGCGCTGTTGCACTGCCACGTCGTCGATGAGCGCAGCGTCCTTGCCGCTCTCGAGGTACTCCCGCACCTCCTCCTTGGTGCCCACGTCGGCCTCGACGCCAGTCTCGACGAGGACGTCGAGCTCGGTGATGTCGATCTCCTCCTCGTAGTACCGCCGCCAGAGGCCATAGAGAACCTTGTTCTGCCCCTCCTGACCGGCCCTTTGCTGGGCGAAGCGCACGAGCCGGTGTCCATTCCTGCTCGGCCCCGTCTTGCCGCCCCACTTGAACGTGAGTCCCTCCTTGGCGGCAGTGTCAATCAGCATGGCTTCGACCTGCTTGGCCCGCTCGGGCCCAAACTTGTCCGCATACACCTCCCGGCGATTGCGCGAGGCAACGGGAAAAGCGGGAGTTCCCTCGCCCGCGGGCTGCGACGGCGGCTGGAGGTAGTAGGGCACATACTCGATCGAAAATGTGTCCTGTGGATACTTGGAGCGATGCGCCTCGATGGCCTTGTTGAGCTTGACAGAGCCCAGATAGCAGAACGGCTGGAGTGAACGAAGATCAGTTCTCCCACCTCTGAAAGCAAGAATTGTGCCAAGGGAGATACTCACGCAGACGATATCGCTCACGGCTTTGATGGTGTACTGTGTCATTGTCGGTCGAGTAGCCAAGCGAACGAGGGATGGAATCATGAAAAAGCAGGATAGGCCTCCTGCTTTCGCTTTTTGTACTGTAGCTTGGTGGAGAAGAAGAGGATGCTTGCGGGCCGGAGACTGAGTCTAAACCCGCAGTGGCTTATGTCCTTATTTCCGCGTGCAGAAGTCTTCATACAGCTGTTTGATCCGACAAAAACGGCGCGCGTGCCCCATTGACGTCCCGTGGCAGACAACATCAGTGGTATTCTCCAGGCACTGCTCAGCAGCAATGCGGCCATCTGGGGCCAAAATAGAGGATATGACAAAGGTGCCAATACGTTCATTCGTGTGCAATGCAGAGCTATGCTTTAGGCGCTTTCAGCAGCGGCCTGCTCGCAAGCATCGCAACGATGCCAAGCGTACTCCCCAGTGCGGCTCCCCCTACGAGCCGCGTGCCCATCGAGAGCTGCTTTGCCGTCGATGCGTATACGGTGCCCGACGCAATAGCCCCCGCGGCGGCCCCGACCAAGCTCCAGTGGTCGGTGCTGTTCTGCGTGGCGTGGCCAAGCAGCCTCCAGGAGCGGTCCTGCCACTCGACGAGGTCCCTCCCCCACATCCGCCCCGTTACGGCCAGCGCGCCGAATCCGAGGCCGAAAATGCCTCCGCGGGCGGCCCCCGCAAGCAGGCTGGGGTAGAGTGTCGACAGTGGAGGACGCTGGTAGCCCGCCCAGGCGAGCGTGGCACCAGTGCCGAGGATGGACCACATGTTGAAGCCTCGATGAATGACATGGGTGATGAGAATCGCACGAGAGTACGGCTGCTCCTCGGCGTAGGCAGCTTGCTTGAGAACGAGATCCATCCTTGCTCTTTCTCTCTTTGTTCTTTCAGAGTAGCAATGGTGGTGCTGGGCTCAGAATTTCACGCCTGTCTGTATAGAGGAAGGGGCGGGTGTTTTCGAGGGAGTCCTTTGGCCAGTGCGCCACACCCACACCCCTCTTTATATTGATCATGCGGGTCGAACGTTCAATCTCAGCCTCCGGCAGAGGCACATAGCGACAGCCCAAGTCGTGGGAACCAAAGAGGGATTTAGTGGTGCGCGGAAGGCCACCGCCAGCCCGAGTTCCGAGGAGAAGGCCGGGCGAGACTTTTGTCTCCTCGGACCTATGTCGGTCCCTCGATTTGTCAGTAGGTCACTGCATCAGGGCAACCCCCCTGCCCTCATCCTGATTATTCACAAACGTCGGTGTCGGTGATGGTCTCGCTGTTTGTCTTTGGTGCACTGGCATTACACTGAGAGCGGCACCCGAGCAGGCGTTAGCTCCACCGCGCTCTTACCCCAGCAGGCAAAGCGTCCCTGTCTGTGCCCAGGCACACTTGATTCAGATCACGTGATGTTTCCCGATCGATTCCTCCCACCTTTCTCCAGATCCACGAGAATGAAATTTCTCGTCTTGAAAATTTAAGCCAAGGCAACTGACTACTGACAACGTCGACGACCTTCCGAGGGCCATCCATAAGGGCAGCGTGAGACAATTCTAGGCAAGCGGTAAATGGCTCCACCCCGCCGGGCCATCCCGGTGCCGGGCGAGCGACAGCGCAGCGTTGATCAGCAAACGAGCGCGAGGGGAGGCACATCGCGGGGCCGGCGTGACCAGGGACGAGAGCAGCGGAGGCCGAGCGGGGCAACGCAGCAGCCGCCATGGCGGAGCAGTCTGTGAGTGTGAACTTCTCGCGACTGCGGGGTTAAAAGACTGACGAGAGAGACGTCGCTTGGGTGTTGTCCATGCAGGGATCTGGTTTGGTCCTACTCGCGCTCCCAGGCCTTCTACGGCGAAAACATCGCAACGTCGCCTTCCTTTGCCGATCGCCGGTGGGCAGGTCCCCTGGCTGACGGCGAGTCGATCGACGACGAAGACTCAGCCAAGTCGCTCGATGAAGACGAAGAGGAGGACGAGGAATTGTTGACCGAGGACGACTTTGACTCGCTGCCAGATGACGACCCCCAATATGCCAGCCCCGCGGGGCAGCTCGACTGGCCCGAAGAGCAGCTGCCGCCCAACGCCATTGCCGCACAGAGGAGCCGGCTGGGAAGGCGAGAGAGGAGAGACAGAGAGAGGGTCGTCGACCGGAGGTTAAGGAGCCTGGCAGGTGGCGACGGGGACGTGGATGAAGAGAGGAGCCGGAGCCGAAGCCGATCGCCCAAGCGGCTGACGAGCAGCAGTGGACCGTCTCGACCGAGCTCGAGGCTGCGGCTGCCTTCGTCGCCCGTCAAGCCCGTCAAACCAGACGTCGAAGAGACGGAGACGTCGCCGCTGCTAAAGAAGGCCGCGTCCACCTCGACGATGCGCTTCAGAAGACAGGGTTATGGCTTGTCGACCTTTTGGCAGAGCTGGTTCAACACAGTCAATGCACTCATCGGCGTCGGCATCCTCGCACTCCCTCTGGCAATCAGCTATGCCGGACTCATCACAGGAACATTGCTCTTTATTGGGTGTGGACTTGTCACCAACTACACGGGCAAGGTTCTAGCGAGGATCATGCAATCGGACCCGAGCCTCAAGACGTACGCTGATATTGGCATCTGTGCATTCGGCCCCAAGGCCAGGTGGGCAGTCAGCGCCTTTTTCTGCCTCGAACTGTGGGCCGTCGCTACCGCTCTCATCATTCTCTTTGGCGACAGCGCACTCGCCCTCGCCAAGAATTTCCACGTATTGGCCAATATCTCACCTGCAGCATACAAGGCTGTCGGCGTGGCTCTGGTGCTCCCCACCGTCTTTCTTCCCTTGCGCCTGCTCTCGCCCGTCAGTGTCGTGGGCATTGTCAGTGTCACAACACTCTTCTTTGTCGTCTTTGCCGACGGCTTTATCAAGAAGGAGGCGCCGGGCAGCTTGCTGGATCCAATGCCTCTGCGGTTGGGGCCACAGTGGATGAGGCTCCCGCTGTCGTTTGGCCTCATCATGTCCGGCTTCTCGTCGCATCCCATCATCCCGTCACTATGCAAGGACATGCGCGACCCTCGTTTGTTCGACCGTATGCTCGACCTGGCCTACGTAGCAGCGACGTGCATCTACCTCTCGATGGGCATAGTTGGCTACCTCATGTTCGGCCAGGGCGTGTCCGACGAGATTACCAGGGACGTTGCCCGCACCGATGGATACCCCCGCGTCCTCAACCGTCTGGCCATCTGCCTTATCATCATTAATCCACTCAGCAAGTTTGCCCTTGCCGCTCGGCCCATCCTCACCACTGTCGAGGTGGTCTTGGGGCTCGACTCGCCCACCAAGAGAGCGCCCAAGTCGTCTCAGGTTGATGCCGTCGAGGAGGAAGTCAGCGACAGCCCGATGGCTGGCTCTGCTTTCTCGCTTCGAGCCCAGGAGTACACTTCGAGCTGGAGCCCAACGCGGAAGCGCCTTCTTACCTACTCGGTCTCGCTCGTCGTCACGCTCCTCATTGGCCTCACCGCCATTGTCTTGCCAGGCTTTGAAAAGGTCATGGCCTTCCTGGGTGCCTTTTTGGCCTGCGCTACATGCATCGTTGGCCCCCTCCTCGCGTACCTCAAGCTCTTCCACAGGGAGATGAGGCGGCGCGAAATCATTCTCCAGACTGTGCTCCTCGTCCTCGGCTTTCTCGTGGCCATCGTGGGCACTGCCTGGTCTTTCTTGGATACCAATTCGCTACTGTGATGTATGTCGCATTCTTTACTCAATTGTCCAATCAATCAACCATCATTGTTTCTTAAATTGTCACTTGCATGCACTTGCGCAGATGTTCCACCTTCACCAGTCTTCGTTCCTGTATGCCGCAAAGGCTCCTCCGCCCACCTGGATCAGCGCGAGCTTCTGCTGCTGCTCTCGAACGAGCCTCGCCCGCTCTTGCCGGCACCACCGTCTCTCCTGGTGGACCCTTTCTGAGGTGTCGTCGCCCACACGAATGTCTAGCCCCTTCACTTTGTAGTCCTTCCACATTTGCCCGTCGTCGCCCTCGCGCGGAATGACGATGACTTCTCTGAGTCGGCCCAGCTTGGATCCTGCATCCTCCCGGAGCGCCACTCTGATCCATACGCCCTGCTCGCGGCTGGGCCCAAACAGCCTCAGCCGGGTCAGGCCTGCCGAAGCGGCGCATTGATCCTCGCAGTACATCGCCCGGCTCATCAGGCGTGCATCGACCTCAAGATCGAGGTCCCGCGCCGGGTCCCGGCGTTCCAGAAAGGCAGAGAGATGGACGGACCTGAGCCGACGCAGTCCGCCAATGTAGAGGTGCCGCAGCTGGGCGCAGGCTGGGCTGGACAGGAGCTCGACGAGCGCCTGTGGCCGGACGAGGTTGATGCGGTGGAGCTCGAGCGAGTCGAGGACGATGCGATTCTTGTCGTCGTCGTCGTCATCATCCCAATTGTGCCCGCCTGGGTGTCGGCGCTGATGGCGAGCGAGGTACGAGAAGATGGCACCGTCGTTGAAGGAGCGGCAGCTCGTGAGGACCAGCCGCGTAATCTGTGAGGACCCGAGCGCAACGGCCAGGGCGAGGGCGGCTGCGTCCGCCTGGTCGGGCCCGCGACAGGAGCATGTCTGAACACCGGCTACGTCGAGGCTTCGCAGCTGGGGCAGGCGCCGTACAATGAAAGCGAGCGAGGCGGCGTCGGTGTGCTTTGAGCGCACGGTGAGGTGCTGTAGCTGGGGCGTCCATGTCACGATGCACTGGGCCAGGCTGTGGTGCAGGGGCAGCGAGGAATCGATGATGTGCAATGAGCGAAGGCGGGGACAGAGGCGAAGTACGGCACCGATGAGCCCGCCAGGGGCGCGCTGCAGCCATGGGCGGGTTGAGACGAGGTCGTCGAGCGTCGAGTCGTAGGTATGGAGCAGGGGCCCGGGCGATCGCAGCGTCAAGTCGCGCACCATGGCGCTCCGAGGCCACGGGTTTGCCTTTGCTGGTCGATCGTCATCCGTCACGCTACCGAACGAGTGCGGCAAAGGGTACCCGTGTGCACAGCACGGTGCAAGGTAGACCGGCCCATTGGACGGGGAAGTGCAGCGGTCGAGGAAGCGCACCAGCTGGCCCAAGCCATCAAGGGTGACCGTCGACGCAAGCTCACGGGAGGCTGCACGATGCAAGGTCCGGCACGAGAGGGCAAGCGCAAGTCTTGTTGGTGCGTCGACATGGGCGAGGATGGCGTCGCTTTTCAGACAGCGCCGCTGCTCAGCACATTTTGGTGGTCCGACTGCTTTTTGAGCAACTCACTGAATGTCCTGCGGCAGGTCCACGATCGACAGCGACCTCGTCATGGTTGGAGGCTGATCATTATGCGTAAAGAACGCAGCGTTCTGTCCTGATTCTTCGCGTCGAGCATGAACCTCAGCAGTCGTCGACCGGAGGTGTGTGTACCTTAGCAGTAGCGGGAAGATTTGCCACCTTATCTCATTGCAGGGCTTAATGCAGCCTGTCCCCATTTATGCGACTGCCTATAGCTCTCTTCGCTCAGCTAAAGAATGACAAAAAGCTGCAATGCTCGCCCTGCTCCCGCTTGCCAGCCATTTGTTCTCAAACTAGACAACATGACAACACGCAAAAGATGAGCGTTCCGAGTAGTGGATGCAGCAGGCGTTAGAGCCGCGCCACAAAAATAGAGCTCGCAAGCCGCTTGCTTCCCTCGTGTTACCCCGCATGGGCCAAAGTGGACTCGTCCTTTTTTTAGGATTTCGCGGGTAATAATGGTCGCTTTGGCACAGCAGTCGGCGTGGGGGTTTTCGCACGACCACCCAACAGCACGATGATCCGCTTGCGTCGCGTCGTCGCTGTTGGTGCCGGCCCAGCGCGATTTGCAGCCCTTGGTCGACGACGATGGCTTCACGGCGAGCCCGTCACGAGGAATGCTGCAGGACGGCTCCTGGCGCGCGTCTCTGGCCCCACCTCAACGGCCCTCTCCGATGAAACGCTGCCCCAGTTCTGGTCCAGGCTCGTCGGCGAGCATGGCGACCGGCGTGCACTCATCGTCAAGCACGAGCCGGGTGCGCGGGGAGAGGGAGACGGCTGCCTGCGCTGGACATTTGCGCAGATGGACGAGCACGTCCAGAGGCTCGCGCGCGGACTCAAGGAGGAGCTCGGCGTCAAACGGGGCGACCGTGTCGCCGTGCTCATGATGAACAGCTCGGCCATGGCCAGCCTGCAGGTCGCCACAGCCTTTGCGGGCGCGATCCTCGTCACCCTGAACCCCTCGTACACGTCCAAAGAGCTGCTCCGGTCCCTGCGGCACGTCGAAGCCACCCATCTCTTTGTCGTCCCGTCGCTCCGCTCGTCCGACTACCTTGCCAACCTCGTCGAGATCTTTCCCAGCCTTCTAGGGGGATCCGAGAGCGCGAACCAACAGCAGATGCACGACGAGGCCTGCCCTTCGCTCAGACGCATCGTCCTCGTCGATAATCTCACCGACAGACCGCGTGGGTGGGAGAGCGAGAGCGTGCTGGCAGTCCAGGGCAAAGGGTTCCAACATGCGCTGCAGCGCCTCAATGGGCATGCAGTCGACTATCGCGACGTTGTTTCCAAAAGTGGCAGCAGCGCTCCTGAAACGGACCACATAGGCAAGGACGATGTCATCAATCTGCAGCTCACCTCGGGTACCACTGGGGTCAGTATCCTCTCTCTTTCTCTAGGGCCGTGCAAAGGCTGACACCACTGGCACAGACACCCAAGGCGGTCGCTCTGACATCGCACAACCTCGTCAACAACGGCATCGCCCTTGGCAGGCTGATGCACCTGACGCCGACTGACCTCCTGGCCAACATCCCACCCCTGTTCCACTGTTTCGGTCTCACCCTGGGCAATCTGGCCGCCTGGTCCTGCGGCGCCGGCTTGCTGTACCCATCCGAGGGTTTCCATGCGCTGCGAGCGCTGCGTGCTGCCTCAGAGGAAGGAGCCACGGCCATTCACGGCGTTCCAGCCCACTTTATCGCCGAGCTCGATCTGCTGCGACGCATCAGGACGGCGCAGAAGCACGCTGACGACGACGAGCTGACCAAGCTCGGCGTGGCACGCAGCGAGCAATTTCACTTCCAGCTTCGTACCGGCTTCACCAGCGGCAGCACTGTGCCCATCGAGTTGATGCATTCCATCATGGACCTCCTCGGCGCAAAGGAGCAGACAGTCGTCTACGGTGCGTGGCTCCCTCTTTGCTTCTTGCTGCTCATCTTTCCTTTCCTACGCGGCTTCCTAGTTCCCTGACATGAAGTCCCTCTCTGCTTCTCTCAGGCATGACCGAGACAAGCCCCGTGTCCTTTGGAGTCGATCGGCGTGCGCCAGTGCAGCGGCGGTGCGAGACAGTGGGGAAAGTCATCGACCATGTCCACGCCAAGATTGTCTCGCCAGAGGGCGAGACGCTGCCCGTGGGCCGCGTCGGCGAGCTCTGGACGGCAGGCTACATTGTCATGAAGGGCTACTGGAACGATGAGCAAAAGACAGCCGAGGCGCTCGAAAAGGACACCGACGGTCTCGTCTGGATGAAGACGGGCGATCTGGCCGTCATGGATGAAGAGGGCTACGTCGAGATCCGAGGCAGGGTCAAGGATGTCATTATCCGAGGCGGGGAGAACCTGCACCCGCCCGTCATTGAGAAGTGGGTTCTTTGATTGACTTAAGATTGAATGGCAGCAAAATTAAACGGGTCTTGGGCTGACTCGTGGCAACATTTTTTACAGCTGCCTCGACGAATTAGACGGGGTCAATACATCGGCCGCCGTCGCCGTTCCCGATGCGAAAATGGGCGAAGTGGTCGGCTGCTTTGTAGACACCTCTTCTGCACGAGGGGACCTGACACCCCAAGCGATTCGACGCCACGTCAAGGAGCATCTTTCAGGCCAGAGCGCGCCTGAATGGGTCTGGTTCCTGGGCTCCGATGGGGTGCCCGGCAATATGCCCACCACAGCTTCCGGCAAGGTTCAAAAGGTACAGTAGCAGTGGCTTCTCCTGCGCACTGTCGCTTCTGCATTCCTCGTTCCCCCACCAACTCATCGAATCCTCATGTTCCCTTGACAGATTGTCCTGCGTGAATGGGCAAAGGACCTCGCAGAAAAGGGCATTGGACGGGCCAGGTAGCGAGAGCTTCACCGGCGTGCCAAAAACCAAAACCAAAAAGCTGTACTCTTTGGTGGCTATTTTCCGAGCCCGAGCCCGAGCCCGAGCTCGGACAGCCACGCTGTGGAGGGAAGAAAATAAAATTCTACTTCTCCCAACAATTATTGCGCCCTTTTTTGTCGTTTCGCGCTGTTGCTACAGAGCTCAACTCATCAATGTTGGGCTTCTTGCTCGGTACCCTCAGCGGGGTCGCTCCTGAGCTCGGTCCGGCTAGATAATCGAGCCGTGGGTGCGGAAGGCCAAGGTGGGGCAGGGTCGTGTGGACGCAGCCTGGCCTCTATTACTATCCCGAGGGTCATCTCCCCTGCCTGGCTTGTTAAAGCAGACAAATTTTTTCCCAGCATGCAGCCAAGCGGGCAGGCAGAGCCTGCATGACCAGACTAGCCTTGAGGGTCTTGATTGAGAGGCAAGGTTGGAGGAATGGAACCAGACATTTAAGAAGAGGGCAAACACCATTGCCACCCTCGTCGCCACCATTGTTACCGTCATTACTATTGAGAGCTGCTCATCTGACTAGACGCAAAGATGCTCCGCTATCCCCTCGACACGCCCGGCCAGTCGCTCTGGACATCGCTCAACGAGCACCCGTACCCGGCCAAGCCGGCGGGCCTTTTCCTCTCTGACGCGGCTTTCCGAGCGTCACTGCACCCCGCCACGCCCGTCCTGCTCTCGGCCGTCTACCTGCTTGCGACGACGCTTGCGAACCGCAGAAAGTCGGCGCCGCGCGACATGGTCAAGGCCTCGGCCACGCTCCAGCATGCCGTCCTGGCCCACAACATCTTCCTCTGCCTCTACTCGGCCTGGACAGCCATCCACGTCGTCTCGATTCTCGCTCCCTACTTTGCCCAGGGCGCCTCGGCCGGCGGCCTGTCGGGCTTCAAGACGGCCCTCTGCACCGTGCCCACGCACGACGCCTCGAGCACGGGCCTGCTGCGCTTCATCACGCTCTTCTACTACTCGAAATTCTACGAAGTCGTCGACTCCATCATCCTTGTCCTCAAGGGAAAGAAGGTGTCGAACCTCCAGGTGTACCACCACAGCGGCGCGATGCTCACCATGTGGGCCGGCGTCCGGTACAGCGCATCGCCCATCTGGCTCTTTGCCGCCTTTAACGGTACCATCCACGCGTGCATGTGAGTTGCGCGAACGAAAAATTTTGTAAAGAGAAAGAGAGAGCTGACGGGGCGCTGGCACGTAACAGGTACGCATGGTACGCTGCCTCGAGCCTCAAGCTGCCGATCCCCGGTGTCTTGAAGCGCGGCATGACAACGCTGCAGATTGCTCAGCTCGTCAGCGGTGGCCTCGTCGCAAGCCTTTACCTCTGGATGGCCTACGACCCCCAGGCATACCCTCGGCATGCGCTTCCCTCGCTCGGCGCACGCCTGACGCTCCCAGAGGACTACTACGGGAGCAAGAGCAACGCGACGATGGAGTCGCTTGCCTCGTCGACGGTCTACCGGCCCATCCTCACGGCCGAGGCAGTGAGGGACAAGGTGGCCTCGTCTCTCAGCGCGAGCGGAACGGCCCCCTGCGTCAGCTCGTCGGGCCAGGCATTCGCAGTTGCGCTCAACGTTGCGTACCTCGTGCCCCTCATCACCCTCTTTGTCCGTTTCTATATCCGCTCTTACCTCGCCAAGCAGAAGACGCAGTAAAAGTGTCTCTTGTCTTTACCGTGAAATGGCATCCTTTCCTCTTTCTTTTCTTCTCTCCATTTCGCGCGCACACGGGTTGGTTGAAAGAGACCGGAATATGATATGGCGGTAGTAGTGTCCTAGAGTACAGAGTTCGAGTCGAAGCGGGTACATCTTGCTGGTGCATTCACTTTGGCGCCTGCATGGCCGTGACGAGCCTGTAGTCACACCCCCGGAAAGAGAGAGACAAAGAGAGAAAGATAAGCCAGAAAGGAAAGAAAGCGAGCCATTGCAATAACGCACCAATCGAGGCCTTCCTCGAGGCCCTTTCCCTCGGTGGCCGTGCAGGCCTGTATGCTCCAGCTCCGATCCTTGAGCTTGTCCAGTCCGAGTCTTTCGCTCACTTCAGCCGCTGATGCGGCGCCGGGCAGGTCCTGCTTGTTGGCTAGGACGAGCAGCTTGGCATTGGCCAGCTCCTCTTCTGACAGCATCGACAGGAGCTCCGTCCGCGAAGTCGAGAGTCGCTCCTTGTCTGCAGAGTCGACGACATAGATGATGGCGCTTGTATCGGCGTAGTAACACCGCCAATACGGTCTGCAGGTCAGTCCATGTGAGGGACGTTCAGCGTTCCCTATCTCCGACTTGAATGACTGATGTCGCTGCCACACAACGTCCAAAAGCGCACACGTACCTGATCGAAGACTGGCCGCCCAGATCCCACACCTGGAACTTTATGTTTTTGTAGCTTAGCGACTCTACGTTGAAGCCAATGGTCGGAATCGTCGACACGACATCGCCGAGTTGGAGCTTGTAGAGGATCGTCGTCTTGCCTGCGCTGTCCAGGCCGAGCATGAGGATCCGCACCTCTTTGTTGCGCGACCAAAAGGCCAGCGACGAGAAGAGCGACGAAAAAGTGGCGCCCATCTCGTCCAGTGTCCGATCCCGCTTCCCTCGCCGCTTGTTAGTGCTTGGGCCGGTGAGCGCTGGGTGGGGAAATCCAGACGTAGGAAAGGACTGGCGTGTTGCGTATCGACAATACAGACTACTAACAAGGGGAGACTAGCCTCCACAGATCCTCGGCCGACGATGCGACCATACGCGACCAACCACACGTGTTGTTGTTGGACCAAAAAAAAAAAAAAAAAAAAAAAGACAAGGAAAATGGAAGCGCTACCCGCACGGACTTGAAGGCAATATTTCCGTCGCTTGCTCGCGAGGGCTTGTCCGACAATTCCTTCTTCGCACTCTCTCTCTCCACACAAGCGGTCAAGACAAAAGGGCCTGTTTCGTCGACCGAAGAGATATGGCAACCAAGACCTCAAGGTCAGCCCTGAATCAACTCACAAAGCTTGCCCGTACCCACCGTATCGGCAGCGGCAGCAGCAACACCAGCGGCAGCAGCATTGGTGCTCGATCTTTCGCGACAATGCAGCCGCACCAGAACCAGCTCCACACAACGACGGCGACGAGATTGGGACAGGTCGGACAGCACCTATCGTCGGCGCGTCACATGTCGGCATCAGCACCACTGCGAGCTGCAAGCGCCAGTGCGGGGGGCGCGAGCAGTGCGAACGCAGCAGCGCCGGGCAACAAGAAGAGGACCGGCGGAGGAGATGGAGGCGACGAGCCCAAGGTCCTCGTTCGCCAGGAGGGCAGCACGACGACGATTCTCCTGAACCGTCCCAAGGCGCTCAATGCTCTCGACACGGAGATGATTGAGATGCTCATCGAGGCCATCGACTCGACGCCCCAGCACACCCACATCGTCCTCCGCGGCGTGGGAAGGGCGCTCTGCTCGGGAGGCGACGTCATGGCCGTCGTCACCAACGCGGCCTCTGAAGACCCAAAGGTCCGACAAAAGGCGCTTGAATTCTTCCAGCTGGAGTTCGGTCTTAACTACAAGATTGCTACGCTGCACCAGGGCCAGCAGCCTCGTCCCTACGTCTCCGTCATGGATGGCATCACCATGGGTGGCGGCGTCGGCCTGAGCCTGCACGCGCCGATCCGGATCGCGACGGACAAGACGTTGTTCGCCATGCCCGAGACGGGTATCGGCTACTTCCCCGACGTCGGCGTCACTCGCTGCCTCAGCCGGCTTGACGGCAAGGTGGGACAGTATCTCGGCATGACCGGCGCAAGAATCATGGGCGAGGAAGCCTAGTGAGTCGACCCATGAATTGCTCTTGCTTCCTCCCATTGGACGATGTTCAACCAGAGCTGACTCGGCAATCTAGCCTCGCGGGTATCGCCACGCACTTTATCCCCTCGTCCAACATTGATACTGCGCTCCACCGGCTCACCTCGCTGCCGCCCAATGCCCCCGTCTCGCAGCTGGCCACGATCCTGGACGAGTTCAACGTGGACCCATTCAACGGCGAAACCAACGCAAAGGGCCCCGAGATCCTCTCCAAGACGGCTCTGCTCGGCGAACGACGTGTTGTGCTCGACTATGCCTTTGGCCAGCCGAGCGCAGAGGCCGTCGTGAGCGCCCTGGGCGAGCTCGCTTCCGGATCGCAGGGCACGCAAGCTGCCAAGGAGCTCAAGTCCATGCTGGGCATCGGCCAAGTAAACCAGACCATCTCGACCTTTGCTGCCCAGACGCTCGAGACGCTCAACCTCAAGTCGCCACGCTCGCTCAAAGTGGCCCTTATTGCCATCACCGAGGCGCGCCGGCTCGACCTCGACGAGCAGTTCCGCTTCGACATGCGCCTCGCCACGGCCTTTTGTGACCTGGGCATCGGCCGAGACTTCCACACGGGTGTACTGCACACCCTGACCAAAGACCCAAAGACGGGCAAGCGCAGGGAGGGCGTCGCACCCTGGGACCCACCCTCGCTGGACCGCGTCAATGACGAGAAGATCCGCACTCTCTTCTTTGGGCCTGTCGAGAAGGCAAAGGAGGCTGGCTTGCAGATGGTCGTCCCCCAGCTCCAGGGTCTCTCGCCATCTGCTTCCTCGTCGAAGGGGGCAAGGGAGCAGGATAAGCAGCGACACGACGCACTCCGAGGCCTGGGTCCCCTGAATTGGGAGAAGAACTTCAACCCCTTTGCACTTCCTAGCGAGGCAGAATGCGCCGCCCTCGTCGAAGGGTCCCACCCAGCGAGCGGCAGCACCGCTCTCGAGGCGGACGAGGTCGTGGGCACGCTCGTCAATGTCAAGGGCGGCAACAGGCCCGCTCTTGCTCTCAAGGTCCGCGATTGGCTCGAGAGGGCACACAAGAGGGCCGGCGGTAAAAGCTAGATGGGCTGTGATGAAAAATAAAGAGGCAATAGCAATGGCATTTCAGGACTCCGATCCGTCTTCCCCTCACTTGCTGTACAGAGGGCGACCGTGGATAGGACTGAAGCGAGGCGTCGTTGTGCAACGCCTGGCATGTATAGCGTGTCCCGTGCCAAGTTCCGTAACACGTGTGTATACTCGCCCTTAGAGAGAGGCAAGTCTACGGGGGCTCTGGTAGAAAGGGCACGATTAGCTGCTTAAGACGCCGACGTGCGTGCTCGTCAAGATCGGTGCACTGCGGGAAAATTTTCTTACCTCTGTACCGAGTTCAAAGGCTGAGTGAGATAGATGAAAAGCTCGTACAAGAGCCTGCCTCTGGCGTCAGAAGAGAGGAACGCAAGTGAGCAAGAGAACGCCAACATAGCGCACGAGCGAAACTCGCGTCAAGCCCTACGGGCCGCCGTAGATAATGGGAGGAGCGTGCTACGACTGCCACACATGCATTGCCTCACCGTCGAGTCTATCTTCAAACCTTTGCCTTCAACCCACAACGGCGCTTGTAAAGTGTTAGAAAGTTATCGGAATGCCTAGCTTCGGCATTTTCGGCGAGTCGGCTGTCCGCCGGGGTGTCAGGGCTGGTCAGGCCGTCAGCCTAGAGTCACGTTGCGATCTAGAATCAGCCATTGTTGTGTGGGACTCACTCCTCCTCGGTGCCCCCGCATTCGCGCAACTTCATTTGTGGGCATTGCTGGCTTCGACTAGTCAGATGAGGGTAGCTGCTTACAGACCACGGCAGTCGGGCAGTAAAACCTTCGGAGTGGCTTTCGACGAGATGTGATTGAGCACGTTGCTCCTTCCCTAGACAGTCGCCTCCAGCCTTTTCAAAAGACACAAGACACCAAAAGTTGGTCGAACCTTATCAAAGGTACTCCGACTCCAAGCAGACTTTTCTTTCTCTCAACACCAAAGCCACTGTCAACGGCCTCAGTGAGCAAGAGTAACAATGAGAATCGCTCTCCTTATCGTCCTGGCGACGAGGTAAGCAAAGAAAGCATCAGATCGGCTTAATCAAGACTGACATGAGGCTACTAGCTTCCTATTCCTGCTGACGTCGGCTGTCCCCGTTGGCCCCAGCCACGACCACCCTGGAGCTAGCTTCGACCATTCTGACACCAGCTCCGACCATTCTGACACCAGTTCCGACCATTCTGACAGTAGCTCCGGCCATTCTGACAGCAGCTTCGACCATTCTGACACCGGCTCCGACTACTATGAGACCATCCCCTATGCCTGGGACACCCGTTTGGACACGCTGAACTCCTTAAATGACGATTTGCAACAAGACTACGGCCAACTTTTCAATGATCTAAGGCGCAAGCACTACTTTGCACTTAGGATCATGTGGCACCATTTCTACGAGTATGAGGACTGCGTGAAACAGGAGGCACCTAATGAAGCAGGCGAGGAGCGCACAAAGAGCGAAAAAGCTTACCAGAAAGTAGAACGTTTCCGCAAGAAGCTTTATGCAGAAGCTAAGAGGTTGTTCGTGGAGCTCTCGCAGCAATGCAAGTCGGCGACAAGCAGTGCGGAGAGACAGAGCCTTGGGATCAGAAAGCGTATCATTGGATGGCAAGTGTTTTTCCACGAGCGCAAGGAGTATAATCCCTTCGCTTAGATTGATCAAAGTCGCGTCACACACTTGGCTACTGCCATAACACGACGATCTGCTTGTAAGCGAGTGAACATGAAGAGACCGTCCTGCTCCAATCAATAAATTGAAGCGTGTATTTCGTCTCGTTTTGGCTTTGTCCTATGCAATGAAGTCTAGAGCGAGAGAGATGAGCAGCAATTTGGTTGTTCCAAGCTCGAGATTGCAAGAGGCGTGGACCCTGAATTCGAAACTTTGCCAAGCGAAGAGAGGAAAGGGTGCGTTTCGACGGTTCACGACGCTTCTGGAGCATCCATACGAAAGCTGAAGAAGAAAGAATAAATGTGAGGTGAAGAACGCGCGCGCGCGCACAAGACAGTGGCGAGAAGACTCGTTCGCACGTAGCCCAAAAAACACAGGCGGTCTATTCAAGTCTAGCGTCGCTTGGGGCATGCAGTACTGCGCCGATGCTTTCATCGGATACACACGTCCTCACAGTGACCGAATTCTTGCCGCCACAACAAGGAGGAGTGAGGGGGCCTTGTAATTCTTTTGGTAAGAGACTGACTTCAAAAAGCAGGGTTCTCGAATTTCTTCTGCAATCGGCGCACTACCTCGGACAAATCAGGGCGCACAAAGACTTCGCAAGAGGCGTTTCAAGGTCTGTGGGTGCTCTTCGACATCGGAGTATTGCCGGAACGCTCAGAAGAGCAAGGCCTGGATGCATAGCTGAGAAAATTGAAGCACACTCTTCAGAAGATGACCTAAGTCAGCCACTTTGATCGAGCTCACATCTGTATCAGCAATAAAAAAAGGTCAAATGAGGGTCATGTCAACCACCACCATCCGCCAGGAGGAGAAGACGAAATGAGACTTCTCATCGTGACCGTTCCAATGTTGTGAGGAGCCGCCGATTGCACCCGATGGTCAGACACATTGCAGCTGATCAAGCTCTTCTCCGTAGCATGTTTCTTGTCATCTCTTATATAGTCCTAACAGTAGCCTTTCCTCCTTCGTTCGAAACGGTCGGATTACGGAGAGAAGTTCGAAAAGCTGCAAGAGCTCACAACAAGCTGCGAGAGCACATGTTCAACCTATTGGGTGCCTACCAGAAGAAGCACGGTATGCTAGATGAAAGCGCCTAAAAGCTCGCTAAGAAAGACCTGAGGAAGAAGAATTCGATTGTAGAGATAGACGCTGCTTTCAAGCAGTCAGAAGAAGGTCAAATTTCCCTCTGTGTTGAGCTCAAAAAGCTGAATGAGATAGAGGAGAGCTGGTTAAAGAGCCTGCCTGTGGCACCGGACAAGAGGAACGCAAGTGCGCCAAAAAACGCCAACATAAAGCACTCTCGTGCGCTTCACGAAACTCGAGTCAAGCCCTACGAGCCGCCGTAGATAAGGGAGCGTGCTACAACTGCCACACATGCACTGCCTCACCGTCGAGTCCTATCTTCCAATCCTTGCCCTCAACCCACAATGGTCGTTACTTCAATCGTAAAGAAAGCAAGCAAGCTTGCGTAGTGATAGGAAGATATCGGGATGCCCAGCCTCGGCATTTTCGGCGGCGAACCGGGCGTCCGCCGGAGCTGGTCTGGGCGTCAGCCCCGAGTCAATTGCGAGCTGGACTCTGTCATTGCTGTGTAAGGCTCATCCCTGCTCAGTCTCCGAATTCGCAACATCCTTTGTTGATATTGCTGATTTCGACCAATTGGACGAGGGTAGCTGCTTATCGATCACGGCGGCGATGCGGTAAACTGTCCGGAGTGTCCTCTCGAGCAAACACTTCAGGCAAAACATATCGAGCAAGACCCCGAGAGGTATTTGAGCACATTACGCCTTACCTAGACAATCGTTTCGGAAGAGATAGGGCAGCAAAAGTTGATCGACTCATATATATAGTTCTCTGACTTGAAGCAGACTTTCTTTCTCTCGACACCATCCCCACAACTGTCACCCTCCTCAATACGCAAAGAAGAGGAAATGAGGTTCGCTCTCTTTATCGTCCTGGCGATGAGGTAAGCCAAGAAAACGTCGAAGCGACATGACTGAGACTGACATGAATTTACCAGCTTGCTCTTTATGCTGACGTCGGCCGCCCCCGTTGGCTCCGGTCATTCTGGCTCAAGCTCCGGCCATTCTGGCACCAGCTCCAATGACATGGATCCGCTTCAGGCGCTCCTTAAACCTTTGCAATATGACTACGGCCAAGTCTTCAAGGACCTTAGGAGCAAGCACTACACTGCACGTTCGTCCATGTGGGGCCATTACCGCAAGTATGAGGTCTTGAAGGACACGGCATCAGCTGAAGCCGACGAGGAGCGCACGAAAGGTCAAGAGGCTTACATGGAAGGAGAAGATGCTCGCAAGGAGCTTTTTAAAGAGGCTGAGAGGTTGTGCAAGGTGATTACAGATCAACATAAAGGAGAGAACAACAGATCGGAGAGAGCGAAGATCGGACCCAAGATGAGCGAGATTGGATGGCAAGTGCATTTCTACAAAGAAGTAGAGAAAAATCCCTTCGATTCGACTCATTAAAGTCGTGCTACACTTGATAACTGCCTTGTAAGCGAGGAGACCTAAAGAGACCGTCATGTTCTAAAGAATTGAAAAGAGAGGGTAGCTTCAGACACTCGGGCCAGTCATGTGGGTGCCGAGGAAATTGTCGGGGTCAAACTTCTTCTTTGCTGCCACGAGCTGGTCATATGCGCCATAGGTTGAGATCGCGTTCTGGTCCTCGTGAGAGTCGTTGAGGAACAGCGGCAGGTCCTTGTCCCCCTGCAACTCCTCGACAAGCGTCTTGAACTTTGCCAGGGCCGCGTCGGTGCCTGGCGCTCCCAGTGTCCAGGAGAAGAGGAAGTTGAGCCAAAAGTAGGGACCATCGACGCTGGCCAGTGCGTTGCCACCTTGGGCCCTGCTCTGCTTGATAAGATCAACAGTGACGGGCTGGAAGTCGAGGGAGACGAGAGTGTAGGTGCCTTTGACCTGACTAGCGAAATCGTCAAAAGTCTTGAGAATCTCTTGCACTTTCGTAGCATTGTCCGATCGATGCGCAGCAACACGGAAACTAGCACCTCCCGTTGTGACCGCACCGACATCCTGCTGATGCGTGAGCGTCGAGTACTTTTGCTGGCTCCTCAAATCGGCGACATGCGGTATAGCAGTGAAGTCGGCGAAGGCTTTGGAGCCGTCAGGACCGTCGTAAACGTTGAAGACAATGACAATGTCGTCGAGAGCAGGGATAAAGATGCCAATCTTTTGCAAGAGGTCGGGCGTGCCCAGATGCGTCTGTGTGATGATGATGGCTGCGCGTGGATCCTTGTTGTTATTGTTAAATTGCCGGCCAAGTTCGAAGAGTTCGGCTGCGTGGCTACCATCGTAGATTATGATGCCACCCCAGAAGTTGCCGATTGGGTGAGCAGCGACGGTGTATGATGTGACAATACCAAACTGATTGCCGCCGCCCTTCAGGGCAAGGAAAAGGTCGCTGTTGACCTTTGGTGACGCCGTGACGATTGTGCCGTTGGAGAGAACAACCTCGAGGCTGCGAAAGTTGTCACATGCAAGACCATAGTGCTGGGAGAGGTGCGAAAGACCACCACCGAGCGCAAGGCCGGTGCCAATAAAAGCGAGACGCCCGCCGACGACGGTACGGTTGTATTGCTCGTAGTATTCGTACAGGTCGCCCCACTCGCTACCGGGCTGGTAGGTAGCCGTCTCGGCTGCTGCATCGAAAGACTTGCCCGTCATCTTGGTGAGATCGAGCAAAACGCCGCCATTTGTCGAGGACCAGAAGTTGTTCGTATTGTGTCCAGCAGCCTTGACGGCCATTGTCGCGTTGGACGACCGAATCGCTTTGACGGCTGCCGACACGTCTGCCGTTGAGTTGGGCTGGACGACACAGGCAGGCTTGTTGAGTGCCTGTTGCTTGTTCCAATAGTCATTGGTTGTCGAGGTATAAGCGAGGCTCAGTGGCTGCTGTACCTTGCTGGCGCCGAGCTGCTTGGAGATGGTGTCGCAGGCTGCATTCGATTGAGCGACAACGCCGGAGGCGAAAGCCAGCACCGAAAGCAGAGTCAATCCCCGCATTACGGCTAATTTGACTCTCGATGCGGTTGGGATGGGGAAGGAGACAAGTCGAAAGCAGGCGTGGAAGGAAGGGGAGAGGGGTGGGCTGACTGTACGAAGTAACTCGATCCAGGATACTAATGGGGGGAGGAGAGAAGGGGGGGGGGTGTGGTCGTTCTGACGCTCTGGAACACAGGCTTTAAAGTTTGCGACTCAAGGTGCCCTTCAGGCTCTTACCCAAAGCTGCGAGTACTCGATCTCTATCCGCGGTTACGGCTGAGACGCTTCAAGCTCAGAAGAATGATGCCTGAAAAGAGAGGGAGAGAAGCTGTGCGGATCCGACTGTGAGCATTCCCCCTCGTCTTTCCGCGGAAAGAGAGCTTGAAACATGTTTGGAAGCTAGCGGAGAAAGAAAAAGGAAACGTCGGTAGCGTCTTCGATTTGATTTGTTTCTCCCCTTGACATTTAGTCTGTCGTATTCGGATAATTGAGGGTTGAAACAGGGTTCAAGGTGGGAAGAAGAACAGTGAAAGCAGCATGAAATTGGGACTTTCACGATCTTGCTCTCATCAATGTTCGCTGGCTCGAACGACGCTCGCCCAGGAAGCTTTTCCAAATCTGGCTTTGCATCATTCGCACCGCACTTGTCGGTGTTGGACATCTCGCTTAAAAGTGTGGCTAGAGGCTAGAGGGAGAGGAAGCCATTCATTGCGACCTCGGGCAAAAACGCCTTCGCGTGCGGAGGAAGACTGGACTCATGAACGGAGAGGGGTGTGTCCGCCTGGCATGTATCTCCCCGAACCACCTCTGCTGAGAAACAGATTGTAAGAAGGAGCTCCCTAATGACCACGTCTCGGCATATTGGCTGGTGCGATGTGTCCTGCCCAGCGTCTGTGTTTCCAGCAGAGGCTGGCCCTGCTGACATTAATGACAGCCTCACGACTCTCAATGACCCGAACTTAATCATTGATGGGCGTTCCTCTTTGCGCAATTGGGCCAGCGCAATGAATTCCAGACCACAAAGCTGATAATCCCAAGCATTGCATCGAAACGAGCACTACTGGCTACCAGTGTGGCGACAAATGCTAATGTACAGTACACGGCACGATAAAGCAGAAGGACAAGCACTGTCACCTTCAAACATGTGTCCTCTGCCAATTTGCGCCTCTGCCCCTTTCGATCCCTCTACCGTCCTTCTCCTCCGAGTATTGCCTCACAGACTACACCAGCTCTTGTGATCAGTGCGTTTGAGTCGGATGTCCGCCTCTTACGTATGCGCCCTTCTCACTATGCTCAAACGTCCAGGCTAAGTTGATGAGTCGAGCGCAATCAGGGCACGGGCCCGCGCGTCTCCTAGTCTAATCTGATAGTGATCTTGTGCATGCAGGCACGGCAAGCCAAGACTAAATTTGGACTCGATGTTCTTCTTGCTCCTCTTCCCATCATAGCAACCAAGGCCGACGGTACATGGATCGCTCGCCTTTCTCCACCCCACCTTGGGGCGTGTGGACAGATGGCGAGGACGAAGAGGCGATCGAATGTCGGAGGGGTGAGGACGAGGACGACCCTTGGCGGCATCTCGAGTCGGTGGAATCGGCCGAGACGCAGGCGTTCGTGGCTGCGCAGAACGCCCGATCGAGACGGTTGCTGGACCGACACCCATGGAGGCAACGCCTGGCACAGACCGTGGACCGCTGCCTGACCTTTCGCCGCGTTTCGTGTCCGCGCCTCCAGCAGAACGGGTGCTACTACTGGCTGCACACCGGCGATCGCGAGGCGCGCGACGTCATCGTCCGCTCGAGGCAAGTCGACGAGCATTTCGGCGGGGATCCAGGCGAGGGAGGCGCCGAGCTTCTATTAGACCCTGCTTGGGCCAGTGAACAGACGTCCATCTATGCCTACAGCTTCAGCCCCTCGGGCAAGCTCTGCTGCGTCGTGCTCCAGGAGGCCGGCTCCGACTGGCTTAGCTTGAGGACGATAGACGCATCGACTGGCAAGCGGGTCGAGAAAAGCGATCCAACCTGGTCCAAGTTCACCTTTGGTGTCTCTTGGATCTCTGAGGAAGCCTACCTCTACAAGCGTGCCGTCGAAGTAGTAGGGGCCAGAGAAATGGGTGTGCCCGACCCTGCCTTTGGCCTCTTCCTCCATCGAGTAGGAAGCGACCCTGAGCTGGACGTCAATGTGCTTCCCTTTGGATCCCTCTTTACCAACAAGCCTTTAGTCTGCGAGTCACTGCCAAGCAGGCCAGGGCAGCATAGGTGGCTCTTCGTTGATATGTACAAGAGCACGAACCCAGAGTCAGAGACATTCCTTGTCGAGCTCAAGTCGGACGAGGCCGACGAAGTCAAGGACAACCTCAGCAGAAGCAGGAGGTGGCTCTCCAAAGGTTTCACCGGCCTGACTACCTGTGAGCACAGGGATCGGATCATATCAAATTAGGTTGTATACACTGACGAGGACATTGCCTAAGATATCGGCACGCTCTGCGACCGACACCTGTTCATCTCGACGGATACCAGCCACGAACGAGGCAGGGTTGTCTCATACTCGGACGAGGCCATCGGTGCAGCGCCTGTCGATGGGCTGGTACCGATGGACGAGCTGGTGGGCGAGAGCAGCGACGTGATACAGTCGGCGCACCTCGCAGGGCGCAGCAAGGTCCTAATCATCGTCTACATGCGCGACGCATGCAGCGCTCTAGCCTTCTTTGACGCACAGACGGGCCGCCGGCTGGCGGATGTGACGACCGACGTCCTTCCTGAGTCGGCAGCCATCTCGGAAGTGTCAGCGCGACCCGACTCCGACGACTTCTACCTCAAGGTCGAGACACTCATCAGCCCGCCCTATGTCGTTGTCGGCCGCGTCGTCGAGTGCGAGATGACCCTGGCCCGGCTCCTGGCCGCAGATGAGGAGGACCAGAAGCTTGTGTGCAGGCGCGAGTTCTACCAGTCGCACGACGGCGTCCGCGTGCCGCTCTTCATCTGCCATGCTAAGGATCTGCGTCTCGAGGACGGGATGAGGCGACCCACGCTGCTGCACGCCTACGGAGGCTACTCTGTCTCGCTCCAGCCGTTTTTCGATCCCTTCTTTGTCACATTCATGCGCGAACTCGGCGGCGTGTTTGCCATGGCCTGCATCCGTGGTGGCGGCGAGTATGGCCGGGCGTGGCACGAGGCGGCGCTAGGCGCTTACCGCACCGTCGCGTTTGACGACTTTGTCTCTGCCGCGCGGCACCTTCAAGAGACGCTGACCGAGCCCAGCCTTACGGCCTCCTACGGCATCTCCAACGGCGGCCTCCTCGTTTCGGCGTGCATGGTGCGCCAACCCGATGCCTTTGGCGCCGTCATCTCCGAGGTGGGCGTTCACGATCTGCTGCGCTTCCACCGTTTCACCCTGGGCCGCCTCTGGATGGGCGAATTTGGCAATCCAGACGACGCCCGGGACCGCGAGTACCTTGTCAAGCTCTCGCCCCTGCACAACGTCCAAGCAGGCGAGCGATATCCACACGTGCTCTTCACGACAGCGGACCACGACACGAGGGTGGTGCCCAGCCACTCGCTCAAGATGCTCGCCGAGCTGCAGAGCAAGCCTCACGGCAGAAGTGGTCGCGTCTTGGGTCGCATCTACGAGAATGCCGGGCATGAGGGTGGGTCATTTCGGCCACTGGGGCGTGTGGCGGACTCCACTGACACCTGCCTTTGTCTTCGTCGCCACTAGCCGAGAGCAAGGCGCGCCAGCAGAAGATAGACGAGGCCGTAGACCGACTCGTCTTCCTCCTCTGCTCCCTCTCTCGATCGCAAGAAAGAAGGGAAGAGTAGAAGCAGGAAGAGCGACGATCATGAATAGATCAGCTGGCGAAATGTAATTGAGATTCTCGAGTCTTTGATCCTCTTCTCCTTTGGGATCTCGTGCGTGTACCGCCGCTGGACGTCGCCCTGCATGACGAGCAGGCTGCCATTTGCGAGTGTCCACCGGTGCCGCTCCTTTGTCTCTTTCTCCTCCATGATCCAGCTCCGCGGCGCGCCGAGCGAGACGGTGACGATGACCTTGTTTTCGACTGATGCAGTCGTCAGCTTCTGTTAGCATTGGCGCACATTTCCAAAGGCAGAGGGGCATGGAACTCACCGTTGTCGCTGTGCTTGCCGATGTGGACGTCGCCGCTCTCGTACCGGTTGAGCATGGCATGGTTGAAGCCCACGCCCAAGTCTCGCCGCAGCTTCTTGGCAATCTCGTCGAGCAGTGGGGGGAAAGGCGCATGCATGTCGACGTCGTGGCCGCTGTACTTGAGCTTGAGGCCGGCCTTGGTGGAAAAGGCAGCAATGGCGCGCGACTGCTGGAATTCGCGTCCGTACACCTTGAGCGTCGGCCGGTACCACTGCTCGAGCGTGCACAGCTCGCGGTGCCACTTGGACGCCGTCTTTGCGTCGATCCAGTCGGGTTGGTAGTAGATGTCCGAGAGGCCCTTGACAGCGTACTTTGAGACAAAATCGGCGCGGCTCACGGGCAGCAGCAGCTCGTCTTGGTCTCCTTCTTCTTGCTTTGCTTCTTCTTCTTCTTTTTCAGCCCGCTCTCGTTTCTCCGCTCGAGCGTCCCCCGCCCCGTCGCCCCTTTTCTTCTTCTCGCTCTCCTCCATCTCACTCCCCTCTGCTTTTCGTTTAGAGCGCCTTGTGGCGAAACTCATCATCGTTGGCTGGTACATGGACGTAGTGACCCATCAGCGGTCAGGCCCTCTTCTCATTTGCTGCAGGTTCGTACGACCCTCTGTGCTTTGGTCAGCTCAAGAAGAAAGTAAGTAAAGCTCAGCTCGTGCGATCGACGGCGCCTCCACGCGCGCGTCCCTAGGCACTCGCACGGGACTCTAGCTAGCTCCACCTGCCTGCCGTAGAATTTAGTTTAATCTGAAACACCGCCTCCCCCCCTAAGAGGGCAAGATAGACTAAGAGGTTCCTGCCTGTTGGTTTTAGGGGCTTCTCCCTTTTTTTGGCGCGCAAGAGACGCGCCTCCTTCCAGCCACTACTACTACTACTGCTACTCCCGTGCCCTTGTTTTGTTTTCTGGACTCGCCTTTGCTATCTGGTCGTCGTCATTGTCCTCGCATCGTCGTGGACAACAAGAAAACCTGCACAGACGGAGGGGCGAGAAGAGGATAAGAAAAGCGCAAAAAATCGTGGACGGACCAGCGGCAGAATAGAATAAACACACAACAAAGAGACGGGAGCGATGGCGGAGGCTGGACCGAGTCGACTTCCGATGGAAGACTATAGAGAAAGCGGAAGCAAGGGGAGAAGAACGAGCAGCGCCCCACGGCGACGGCGGAGCAGGCGGCGGAGGGACCTTGCTGCCGTTGTGGTCGCCGGCCTGACGACGTTGGCCGCAAGTGTGTCGGCCCAGACAGTGACACCAAGGTGAGTGTCTCTTTCCTCTCGCCTTCCGCACTGCCACGGACAAGCTGACGGCGTTCCGTATCACGACACGGCAGATGGGGACAGGCATCGGCCCTTGTCGACGACCAGTGGCTCGTCCACGGCGGCAAGACCAATGGCGAGGGCGGCTTCACGTACACCTCGGGCCCCAACACCAACGAGCTGCTCCGTCTGAATCTCTCTTCGTCCTTCCAGGGCAGTGAGGCGCCCTGGCAGGTCGTCAACACCACCCAGGCGCTTTCCTTCCACACGCTCTCCCCACTTGGGCAGGGCAACGTGCTCGTCTTTGGCGGCGACGGCGCACCCCAGCTCGCCGTGCAGACGGGCAACGACTCGGCGTGGAAGATGGCGATGAGCGACTACTCCTGGACTGCGGCGGCAGCCGCGGGCAGCCAGCCGATGCGCCGCATCCACCACGCTGCAGAAGTCAACGCTTCCTCGGGCCAGGTCTGGGTCGTAGGAGGCGAAAAGGACGACGGGTCAGGCATCCTCATGGACGAGCTGTGGACCTTTGGAGGATCGTCCTCCTCCTCCTCCTCCTCCTTTGTGAGCCTCGAAGCGCCGCCCTCAACGGTGTGCGTTGGTCTCGTCGAGGCGACAACGACGCTGCTCAGCGACGGCACCCTCCTCGTCCTCGGCGGCATGGGTGCCGACAAGGCCCTGGCGCCCCTCGATGCGAACCTGGCCTCCTGCTCGACAAAGACGGGCCAGTGGCATACGACAAACACCTCGGGCTCTGCTGTGCCCGCGGCGAGGATGGGCCACGTCGCCGTCAGCCTGCCCGATCAGCGTGTCTTTATCCACGGTGGCTCCAACGCCGACCAGTCGCAGGCCCTCTCCGACGCATGGATCCTCGACTGGAGCCAGAACCCGCCCGTGTGGTCCGAGGTGCCGACCAGCGGCGTCTCAGCGGCGCCCTCGGCCCGTTTCGGACACGCCGCCGTCGCCTATGGCCTCGAGGTGGCCATTGCCTTTGGCTATGCCGGCAACGCGCCCGCCGACGCCGCCGTCTACACCTTTGACGCCAGCAGCATGACCAGGGACGCCGCGGGCACCTGGTCGGGCGGCCAGTGGTCCGCTTCGTATGCGCCCTCGGCTGCCTCGTCGAGCACGTCGTCTGGCAGCTCTTCGGACGGCAATGGAAATACCTCTTCTTCTTCACAGGGAGAATCGGACAAGGGCAGCAGCAGCAGCGGCAGCAGCGGCAGCAACAACGGCGATGGTGACAGAAGCGGCCAGTCAGATGGCGGCTCGTTCGGCTCGACGTCGCCCACTGCAGGCTCTGGCTCTGGCAACGACGGCGGCTCAGGCAGCTCCAGCAGCGGCAGGACCGCCGGTGCCGTGCTCGGCTCCCTCGTCGGCCTCGGTCTCGTCGCTGGGGCTGGGTATGCCTACTACCGTCGCCAGCAGCAGCGCCAGCTGTACGACTGGAGGCGCGGCGACGGCGCAGACGACCTCCTCCCCGACCGGTACGACGACCCGTACATGGCCGAAAAGGGCATCGCCATGCACTCCGTCGCCGCCGTGGCAGCGGGCGCTCGGCCGAGCGGGCCTCGCCCCATGAGCGGCGGCGGCGGTGGTGGCGGCGGCGGTGCCGGTGCTTCGCCCTGGTCGCCTGGCCACGCCAAGGAGGGATCCGGACCGCACTTTAAGCAGCGCCTCGCCATGCTCACCACGGGCCTCGGCTTCAGCGGCCAGCCGCAGCAGCAGCAGCGCTTCGACATGCTCGCCGACGAGGACGACGACTTCCGCAGCATTGCAGAGGAGGAGGAGGACGTCGGCGACTACCATGGCCGCGGCCACGCAGCAGACGCAGACGAGTACGGCGACTACGGTCACAGCCACGGCCACGGCCACGGCCACGGTTACGCGTACGGAGATGACTACGGCCGCGTGGAGCGAGACGAGTACGAGGAGTCGCCGTTTGAAGAGGACGACTACGACTCGTCGCACCGGGTCAACTCAGACAGCAGGCACGACTTGAACAGCGATTCACATTCACAGCCGCATACATCCTTTTCAGACGCCCAGCAGCAACGATCCGCGCTCATCAGGAGGAGCCCGACGTGGTGGGACCGCTTCATGAACCAGAGCTTCCTCGAGCGCAGTGCCTCGGGTCGCCTCCTTCCTGGTCCCAGGGCAGAAGAGCCGATCCGCGATCCTGCCAGGCCACCCGAGCTGTCGGTCATCCGCGAGTCGCCCCGCTCGGCCGACCCGAGCTGGGGCGAGGATCCATTTGTCGACGACGGCGAGGCGGGCCACGACTTTGGTCCCGATCGCCTCGTCGGCGAGCACGGCCGGTCGCAGTCGAGCCTCAAGACGACGACGAGCTCGGTGCTGGAGCACCGGCTGCGAAACATGGATGTGATCCAGCGCGTGCGCACCGGCAGCTCCTTTGATCAAGGCGCTCCTACTGCGTCGACGCCGACCGACGACCACTCGACGATGCCGACGTCGCACGAGTCGACGCCGGGCACTGTTGTCTGGGACGGCGGCGCCGACACGTCGCTCGACATTGGAGACCTCGACATGACGCCGATGCCCTCGCACGAGCAGACGCCCAGCCTGACGCCCTCGACGACGAAGCGCGCACGCAACAACCCAGAGATGACTGCGCCCCTCAGCCCGCCGCAGAAGCGCGCAAGGCAGCCGCCCGTCGTGGGCAGCGTCAAGGATCGCGTCAAGGCCATCGAGCGAAAGCGCACGCTCGAGGGCGAGGAGCTCTTGCCCGTCCCGCGCCTGCCCCCACTCTCGCCCTCCTCGGCCTCGCCTGCCTTGTCGGAAGAGCAGTTTGTCCCCGGCAGAGGCGGCCGGCCCATTCTGACGAAGCTCTCGCCCACCGCCGTGTCGCCCCAGCTCTCCGACTCTCCGGCACGGTACTCGCACGGCCTCGTGCCCAAGGCTCAGCTCTTTGTGGCCAACCCCGACGGCCGGAGGCGCAGCTCCTCTGGCACGTCTTAGCATTCACATTCTCTCTCTCTCTTTCTCTTGCTTTCCCTCTCCACATCATTTCATCATGTACATCTACCGCTCTTCCTCGCCCTGTTGTCCCCCCTCTCTCTCTCTTTGTAGGTCTGCATCCACCGTCATCGTCTTCCGAGGAATTGAAGCGTTGCCCCGCGCGCGCAGCGCGTGCACGCCCTATTTTGGATTCTATCGCAGCGTCTGCCGTGCGCCCCGCGCCCGCGCTTAGTCTTGATCGCCCGATGCCATTTTTTTCTTGTTTCTCTAAATTGTTTTGGCCTGTCTTTTGAAAGCTCGTTCGCTCGCTGCAGGCTTTCCCTTTTAAGGTTGGCTTCCCCGCTTCTTGTTCCCCTCACCCTTTCTCCCTCCACCCTACCCCTGCCTCCTCTATCTCTGCGAGCAAGACAATCCCCAACAGCGACAGTGAGCGACACAGCACCAGCACCATGTCCAAGGAAAAGCAAGACCAGGGCGGCAACATGCTCACGATCCTCCTCTCGCAGGCCGACGACCTCGACTTCACCGGCGGGGACAGCAACAGCGACGACAAGGCCAGCTCGCTCGTGGTGCCCGGCTTCGAGATCAGCAAGCTGTTTGCCATTATCGAATTTGCCTTTTCCCAGGGCGGCGTCGAGGGGGGTATCCTCGAGGGCATGGACATGATGAGCCGCGACGAGGCAAAGAAAGCCATCAATGGCGTCTTTCTCTATCGCGTCACGAGCGCAGAGGGTAAAAAGCAGAGTTTCCTCGTCGAGATGCGCAAAGAGGGCCGCTTCTACCTCGGTGAGACCGTCGGCGGCAAAAAAATCAAGCCAGACGTCACCGTCGAGGTCAGCGACAAGGACATGGTCAGCCTCGCCACGGGCAAGGCCAGCCCGCAGATGATGTTCATGAAGGGCCGCATCAAGGCCAGGGGAAACCTCATGCTCGGCCTCAGGTCGTAAGTGTCGTGTGCTCAGAAAAGCAAGGAGAGGAGATGGCAAAGCTGACAAAGAAGAGAATGATTATTAAAAAGACAATCAACGTTGCAGAAGGAAGTGTCCAAGATGAGCAAGCTATGAGTGAGGGGTGGCCGTAGTGAATGTATACTACTACTGCTACAGGAATTTGAGTACGCCTTGATTGATATTCGCATCGACGTGCGTCAGTGGCTCGAGCTTCCTGTCCACCTTTGAGCCCTCGCGGCGATAGAGGGTGCCCTTCTCGTGAACCTTGACGAGCGCGCGTCGCTTCCCACTCTCGCGTTTGAACTCCCGCGCAGGATCATTCGGAGGCGTGACGGAGCTCGTCTTGACACCGTCGAGCTGCCACGCGCCCTCAAAGTTGGGATGCATTGTCACGTCGACGTTGGCAGTCGCGGAATACGCGCGGCTCTGCAGTGCGACCTTGTCCTGATGCTCCTTGTAGACGAGCTTCACGGGCCCGTTGCCCGTCTTTGCACTGACAAAGACCTGATCCTCGGGCGACTGCTCGAAGCGAGCACCCGCCCTGACCTCCAGGCCGAGCTCCACCAGGCCGTTGCCCGCCTCTGCCTCGATGGACTTATTTGTCGAGAGAAGGCCCTCTCGGCCCAGGATCGGTCCGTTGCCCGTCTTGACGTACATTCTCGTCCCAAGCGCGCGAGAGCCTGGCAGGAGCTCAATCTTGCCGTTGGACGTCTCGATCCAAATGTCGTGCCAGCAGTCGACCACGGCCTTTTCCTCCAGCCTCACCAGGCCATTTCGCGCCTCCAAGTGCACCTCCTGCGCCCAGATGCGCCCACCGACGACGACCTCGCCGTTGCTGGCCGTCAGGCGGACGTTGCCGACGGCCTCCAGATCAGTCGAGGCAGCCTTGTCGACGTGACCATCTCCGGTCTGCAGGTGGAAGCGGCCAAAGGTGGGCACCTTCTTCGCCCCTTGCCGCTCTACATGCGCATCCCTCTTTCGACCCCAGAAGCCAAAGGAGGCGCCCATGTACGGCTCGACGGGCCGCGGAGCCGTGAAGGCAGCCAGGTTCATGGCACCCGTCTTGACTCGGAGTGTAGGAATGACGGCCGAGGGAGAGACATGGACGACGATGTGGAACGCGAGCGGGGGCAGCATGCCTCTCCGTCGGTAGAAGGGAAGCAGTGGAAAAGTGTAGATGCCCACGCCTTGGCTCGTCAGGCCGGCGCCCATCTTTGCCACCGTCGCGTGGTCGAGGAGGTCTTCGGCCGTCTCTTCGTACTCTGCTTCGACTTCGACCCTCACCTTTGAGGCGTCGACGTCGTCTGACAGCCTCACTTCGACCGTACCTGGCACCTTGCCCCGGCCGTCCGAAAGGCCATTTCTGTGGTATGGGTCTGCCAGGACGAAGAGGCCGTCGGACGAGTGGAAGTCTGTCGGTACGTCCAATTCAAAACGAGCGGTCGAGAGACAGACTATATGGCCCCTATGCTCCTTTGACAATTGACACCGCTTCGCCTCCCATTTGGCCAAGTCGACGATGTGGCCGTCACCGGAGATAGGCTCCGGACCACCGGAATCGAGCTGCGACGACGCTCTCGGTCAGCAGCGCGAAGTCAGGAACCAAAAACCACACTCACCATCTTGACGTTTCCCTCATAGCCGAACGGCCTCCCTGCACCAGCGACATCGTCAAAGGCTGGGCCGCTGACAATGACGAGGATCCAGAGGCCCACGAGGAACACGCCAACCTGGGCGAAGCGACTGGTGGGCCAGAAGCGACAGATGATGATCCATGCCCGTCTCGAGAAGCTCTTGAGGCCTTCGAGGAAAGAGTCGATGGGGAGCGATTGAAGCAGGCTCTTGAAGCGAGACGTGCCCGTCGCCTCGCGGTACGACGGTGGCGGTGCCGACGGCGGATATTTATTCGAGTCTTCCTCGCCCTCGTCTCCCCCTCCCTCTGCCCCAGGGGCTAGGCGGGACGTTTCGTGGGCCTCCTCCTCCTGTGCGTATTCTTCATCGATGGCAAAGCGCCGGTCGGGCTCGTCTAGTGACATGATCGCTCGTGTCGTCGTATTATTACCTCCATGCGGCCCTAGCATGGGTTAAAGATTTGGATGGGAAGGGGGCACAAATGCGAGCCTGATCGGTGCATTCGGGGCTTTAAACTTTTTCGGCCGATTCTCTCTCTCCCCTGCAGCTGCTGCTATGTACATTTTTTGCTCTTCCTTGAGAAGAAAGGAGGGAAAGTGAGCAAGCATCCCACAAGACATGGCAACGAGATGGACGTTGCTGGGCACGGTCCGCAACAGCGCTTGGCAGCGCGCCGTCTTGGGGCCCGGAAGGACGCAACAGCAGCATAGTGTGGCGCAGCCAAGAGAGTGGACGAGAGAGCCACCGTCGCGGACTCCATCAGCACGAAGGCCGAGGGGCGAGCCGGGGTGGAAGGAGCCGAGGATCTTCCAAGAGCACTCTCGCCTTCGGTCCGGCCTTGTCGTCGAAGATGTACCAGAGGTGCTGGCAGGTCTGCGGGAGCTGCTGCTGAAGAAGCCCAAGCTGTCTGTCAGCCCGGGCGAGCGCAAGGATCACGCGGCCATGGTCAAGCTGCTCAGGGCTCGTCGCGACGAGATTGACGACTGGGCCACTCTGACCACCTTTGCGGAAACAAGACTGCTCAAAAAGGACTGGTCCGCGTTTCTTGGCCTCGTTCTGCTTCATCTCAGGAGCGACAGGCACGACGATGTCCGCCTCCTCGTCCTCAAGGCGCTGGAGGATCTCCCACCTCCCAATATCCAGGGCGACCTAGTTGCGCTCTATGCGGCTGCATCGACTTTAGAAGATACAGTCGCACTGACCCGCAGGCTGCCGCCCGCCAAGGTCCACTTCAACACCGCATTTGAGGCGCAATTCGGCGGCACGGGCGCGCCGTTGACAGTCAAGCGCGCCTGGAAACTCATGTCGCGCGAGTGGGTACAGACTGATCGGCCTCTAGGAGCGCCCGACGAAGCAGTCAGCCAATGGAGCCAGGAGAAGGAGGGGCGCCATGTCCGCCATGCAATCCTAGCATGGGGGCTAGATTGTCTGGGTGAGGCGCCGCAGTTCAATTGGCTCGCTCGTCGATTCGGCACTCTCCTCTCTGCCGCGCCGGCCAGCCGAGATTTGCGATCGATTGCGATGCTCATTGAGACGGCCATCGAGGCCAAAGATAGCTGGCTTTCCGTCGTACACGACGATGACGACATGGCCAACTGGAATGCATGGACATTCGCCACGCTCTTCTCGTCGCTTCTCGCGGCAGGACAGACGACGCTGGCGGACAGGGTCTGGTCAATGTACTGCGATGTGCGAGGACCCGACCGCACAACAGACATCAGAGTCGCCAATGCGATCCTCGACGGCCATGTGACCCGAAAGGACTGGGGTGCCGTCGCAGAGACATGGAAGAGCATTGCCAACCCAGACGACTACACGTCCACGACGATGCTCGTGGCGCTGTTCCGATCTAATGACGTCGATGGGGCCATGCGACTCTTTGCGCAGAAGCGAGCCGAGAAGGCGACTCGCGTAGAGATGTGCAATGCAGTACTATTGGGTCTCTATCTTCAGAGGAGAGACGAACAGGCCAACGCGCTATTTGACGAGATGCTCCACTCCTCCGACCTTCCCAAACCCAACGTGACGACGATCAACACCATGCTCCGAGCCCATGGTCGACGCAAGGATGGTGCCCGGCTCACAGCGGCACTCCGGACTATGTCAGACCTTGGGCTGGATCCAGATGTATACACTTCGACGACGTTTCTTGACGCTCTCTTACGCATGGGACATGGACGGGAGGCACTCTCCAAGGTCGTCGAGATCATGCATCAAATGAGCGCGCGTCCCAATGCTGTGACTTTGACAGCCATGATCAAAGTGCTCGTGTCGCCCAACGAGGAGCAGGATGAACCGGCTAACCTGACGGCAGCCTTGGCTGTGCTCGAGCGCATGGAGGACACGGGCCCACGACCGAATGAAGTGACGTACACTGCGGTCATGGCATCGCTCTTCAGGCACCTGCAGGGGCACAAGGTCGAAGAGCAGGTCGATTTGGCCCTCTCGCTGCTGGACCGCATGCGCAGACTGAGGCTGGAGCCAAATAGGATCACGTACCACACAATGCTCGACGGTCTCTTCCGATCCGTCAGGCTGTGCGTCAACCAGGGGAAAGAGGCCGCGGCACAGCAGATGCTCGAGCGCGCGCTTGGCCTGATCGATGAGATGGGAAGAGAGGCAGCCGAAGCGAACCGTCCCGTCAGCCGGACATGGATCCTCGTTCTCGATGCGCTGAGCGAGCTTTCGCGCTCGCCCTCCAGGGGTGTCTCAGGCGAAGCCAGAAAGGCACGGGCACAGTTCATGGGACGAATCAAAAGCGAGCACATGCCCTCGCTGCAAGACACCAGAGTCAGGCAGCGTTGGGATCACACTCAAGACGATGTGAAGCTCCGGAGAATCATTGATTTCTAATCCTGAGCGACCTTGTCGATTGGACTCTCCTTTCGCTGCGCATAGCCGGTCCAGCTCTGCATGCGTAGTTCATTCAATGAAAAATCAGCCTGTATTCTCAAATCCTTCAATGCATGCTGAAACGCACCTCATCATAGATGCTAGCCTGGATACCCAGCTGGTGTAGACCAGCCCAGATGACGGCGGCCGTCATGCCCGAGCCGCATGTGGCCGTGACAGCCGTCTCGCCGGCGCTCGACGCCTGCCGGATCTTGTCGATCCCCTCGAGGCCACCGACGGCATCGCTGATCGTTCGCCAGAGCTCCGTCTGCTCCTTGAACGTCGTGTACCCTCCCTCGTGCTTTTGTAACAACTCCGAGAAGGGCAGTGAGAGCGACGAGGGAATGTGTCCAGAGGACAGGCCAGGCCGCGGTTCGGGCGCCGTCCCCTCGAAGCGACCAGCAGGCCGCGCGTCGAGGACCGTCTGGCCCCGGGAGCCCATTCTGGCATTGGCAATCATCTCGTCGTAGTCTCGAATGATTACTGGATGGAGAGGTGTAGGGCTGTAATTCTTCTTGGTGGGTGTAAAGCTGGGAGGGCCCTCCTCGAGGGGAAGCGAGGCGGCGATCCAGCCGGGAAGGCCGCCATCGAGAATGGAGATGTGGCGGTGGCCAAAGGCATGGAACGTGAATGCGGTCCTCGGTGAAGAGAAGACGCCGTGGGTGTCGTACACCACGACGTGTGTTTCATTGTCGATGCCCTGCGAGGCTGTGTGGCAAGGTGAGGGTTCGGGGTCATGTCAGCCGAGAGAGATAGCGAACACAAGAAAGGGGCCAACGCACACGCAGCTTCGGCAAACGCCTCAGAGGAGGGCATCATATGCTTAAGACCGAGTTGGTGCGTCTTGTCCGCCACGTCATCGACGTCCCAGAATGTCGAGCCCGGGAGCCTGGGCCCCTTTTCGAACTCCTGGCGGGCATTGCGAGCGACGCCGGGCATGAACCACGTCGCATCGAGGATCCGCGGCTTCTTCTCGCCCGCGAGCAGCGAGGAGAGAGAGGCTGGCGAAAGGACCAGTGGCGGAGCTGCGGTCGATGGCATGGTTGCGATACCTCTTCTCGCAGCGGCAGTCGATGAAAAGGTGCTCAGACCCCTCCTCGCAGTGGCCGGACCTAGTCTACCGAGCATGATGAAAGTCAGAAGGATCCCCGTGCTCCGAGTCCCGGCAACTCCGTCGTCGACCGTTGGTGCAAGTGGAGCACTCGCAAAACATTCCACGTGTTTTTGTGATTTCTGGGTTTTAGTGACGGCTCATTCTCGCTCGTCCTGGGAAGCTAGCGACTAAAGTGGAGAGAAAGAGCATCACGACCATGTCATCGACGATGCCATCCAAGAATCCCGTCGTGCTGGTGACGGGCGCCTCCAAAGGCTTGGGCCTCGAAGTAGCTCGTCTGCTCTTGGAAGGCAATGCCCGCATTCCCGCTGCCAACGTCGTGACGCTCTCCAGGACGCTGCCCGACGAGCTCCGACGACTTGGGCAGCAGGGTGGAGGACGTGAAACCAGCATCGAGTCTGTGCAAGGAGACGTGACGAGCGAGAGCGACAACGAGAAGGCTGTCGGACTCGCAATTTCCAAATGGGGTAGGCTCGATGGCGTGGTGTTGAATGCCGGTATCATCGACTTTGTCCGCATCGCAGACAAGGTGAGCGTTCCACCTTCTTCTTGATTGGGGATTGGCTGCTGAGATTGAAATCTTTGCTGTTCACAGTCGCCAAAGGACTTCATGCAGGAGCTGAATGTGAACCTCGTCTCGCTCGTGACGACGCTGCATTATGCTCTACCTCACCTGCGCAAGTCACCTACAGGCTGCGGCAGGGTCGTCTTCACGTCCAGCGGCGCTTCGACTGGAAACTACGCTGGCTGGTCGGCCTACAATGCCAGCAAGGCCGGCGCAAATGCGCTCATGAGGACGCTGGCAAATGAGGAAAAATCCATTGCGGCTTGGAGTGTTCGGCCTGGTGTTGTGGCCACCGAGGTGGGTATCTGCTTGCATGCCGACGGTGGACACTGCTCGAGCTGATATTTTTGAGCATTGCCCAGATGCAAGCGCTGCTGAGGAACTCGGGCAAGGAGTCAATGGACGAGGCCGCTTATAACAAGTTTATCACTCTACACAAGGAGGGCAAATTAGTCGATCCAGTTGAGCCGGCTCATGTCCTGGCCGCTCTGGCTGTGAGGGGCACCCGATCAGAGCCAAATGCGGCCGGCGGCGGCGAAGGCCTCGGAGCCGAGGGCGCATATGTCAATTGGGAGGACCCAGCGCTAGAAGCTTACCGAAAACAAAAGTAAACCAGTTTGGCGGAGTCAAAGTTAGAGCTGCCACATACCAAGCTCGTTGTACACAGCTGCTCAGAGAGGTAGCAAAATTGTCAAGTGCCTCATCTCATAACTGGACGTGACCCGTCGCGATCGATCGTGGAGATGTCTCCTCTCTCAGTCTAGCTCGTTATGCCCTCCTCCCACAAGTAAGTGACAAGTGAGAAGAATAAAATCCGGCCGGACTTTACGAAGAAAGACCAGCCGGGAGAGCGACATAAGCTTATGTGACATTGTAAGCTGACATGACGAAGTGAGCTAAAGTGATGAAGTGAGCACGGCAAGGTGAGCAAGCGTTACGCCGAGAAAGTTTTATGCGGCAGGATATAATTATCTTCTACAGTCACGGACGAGAGAGAGTAACAACAGAAAGTAAGAAAGCATGACATCGAAGCTTTTGTGATCACTGACACGGACAGGGATGCGCTCGGTGGGGTCAGCAGACCGAGCTTGCCCCTTTATCTTCTTAAAGAGCCCAGTAGGAATATGTAGCATTACTTTACAGCCAAAGGAGCTTTTATCAGCACCCACGAAAAAGTAAAGTCAGAATCTTCGATCAATCGCCCGAGTAAGACGAGACCGCCAGAATGAGCCGCTACGTCCAGGTCAACAGTGCTCCTAGGGGGCCTGGTGACGCTCGACCTACGGCACTCGACGTCGTGCGAGACGAAGGGCTCCAAGGCAAACTGACCGGTAGCGTCGGCGTCGTCACAGGCGCCTCTTCCGGTATGGGCCCTGAAGTTGCCAGAGCCCTGGCCGCGACGGGCATGACTGTGTTTTGCACAGCCCGAGACGTTGCAAAGGCGAACAAAGCGCTTGAGGGCATCAAGACGGAAATCGTAGAAATGGACAACGCCTCGCTCGTCTCTGTGCGCAAGGCAGCGAGCGAGATCCTGGCAAAGGCGAATGGCAAAGTCAACATCTTGATCAACAATGCTGCCATTATGGCGTGTCCATTCGCCACAACCCAAGACGGTTTTGAGTCCCAATTTGGCGTCTGCCATCTCGCCCACTTCCTCTTCTTTCAGCTTCTCAAGGACGCTCTGCTTCGGGCAGCCACATCACAGAGGGCGTCGAGGGTCGTCAGCGTGTCCTCGGTCGGTCATCGGGCAGGCCCTGTCAATTTCAACGACTACAATTACGAGAGAGACCCAAAGAGCTATAGCCCTTGGGGTGCTTATGGTTCAGCAAAGACGGCCAATATCTATTTGGCCAACGAGATCGAAAGACGGTACAGCAGCAAGCACCTTCACGCCCTCTCCCTGCATCCAGGAGGTGTGAGAACGGGGCTGCAGGCGCACATCCCTCAGGAAATCATCGACAGCTGGAAAACGGACGAGAAAATCAGCAAGAAAATGAAGAACGCAGAGCAGGGCGCTTCAGCAACGGTCATTGCGGCCTTGGCAGAGGAGCACGAGGGAAAAGGAGGATATTACCTCAACGAGGATGGTGTCAAAGCCGAGATGGCAAAAGAGGAGGACAGATTTTCAGTCAGTATTGAGCCTGGCTATGCACCTCATGCCTTTAATCCAGAAGGAGAGACACAATTGTGGCAGGATTCTCTCGCAATGGTAGGTCTTCCACAGGAGTGATATACTCTTTGCGATCTGGCCGAGATCGAGGACGATACAGAGACGAAATCCCACTTCTTTCTAGAATGTTTCGTCAGGACGCTGGTGTGATTTAGTGTATCATGTCACTTGGCGGCAAGCAAAACACGAGTGTAGCCGCGTTCGTAGCATTTGCATCCGCGTGAAGCGAAGCGAAGAAGTAGATCTGGGACATGCGAACTGAACAATGCCTATTAATGAAGTGCTGTTGGGAGATGCAAGGACGCACGGATGTACAGAAGAGATTGCGAGAAAAGTCAAGAAGAAGAAGAAGAAGAAGAAGAAAAAGGACAACGACATCTAGTCTCTTAGGCAACATTGATGGTCGAGTTGAAGTACTGGACCGTGATGCCGCCACTGGCGCCGATCTGGCCAAAGATGGCCGTAGTAAGGAGCGCCTCTCCAGACTTTGCGCTCTCGGGGATCGGGACCTCAATAGTAAAGGGCGTCCTGTAGTTGTTCTTGGGGTAGCTCGAGATGTCTTGTCGTGCGATGGCCTGCGACCCGATGGTCTTACCAACGGGCGGCGTGCGGTCCGGGGTGGTAAGGCCAAAGATGGCGTAGTCCTGCTCGTTGTTGGTCAGGGAGCCAGTGCAGTTGAAGGTAACGGCGACGCTGTCACCAGCCTTGACGGGGGTTTTGGAAGCCGACATGCTAGTGATGATGGCCGAGGCGCTGTGAGCAACCGCAAGGGTAGCGAGGGCAGCAGCAGGAATAGAGAAGCGCATCTTGGTGTGTTGTTGAAGGAGAAGGATTCTTCGTAGCTTGATGAAGAGTAGATTGGTGAACTGAAGATATCCTCGGAGCACTCTGAACACGCCGCCTTAAGTAGCTTTTCGTTGCCTCGCCATCAAACGTGCTTGTCCCAATGCCGAACCTTTCGGTGGCAAGGAGGGGGAATGGAACATCCGCCGACCACGGAACTCCGCTTCTTCGCCGTTAGATCGCGATTGCATAGAAGCGGTTTTATTTTTTTATATATAAACTCGCGAACCTGCAGGAACCGGAATCTTCAGACTATTCTCCCTGCTTTAATTTGAGAGATGATGACGAAACGACGTCTGAGCTCCGACGGGGACGGCAACAAAGCGACTTCATAGAAGCTGTATCGCTCCGTGAGGTGGGGCAGTCTGTACGGTGATGTTGTGATGTTGCTCCGCCGGTGCCGAGCAGAGATGCCGTGCCCTTGGCCTCACGGCCAGGATTCGAGAGTCCGTTGCCACATCCTGCCGCTCGTGAGCCCTTGCTGTTCGCCAGGTCGGGACCCCGAAGCTCTTCTCGTCTGGAGTAAGCTTTCGCGTCACTGCCTCGTGGAGAACGTCATTGCTTCGCCTGTCACTAAATGTCGTAAAAGCTTCTTCGTAACGACGGCGTAGTCCGCCACAGAAAAAGCCGGCACGAGCGCATTAAAGACTCTTGAGGAGAGCGTCAAACCAACCTCAAAGCCTTGACATACCATTTTTGAGCGCTCAACTCCTTCCTAGGGTGAGTCTTTAGACGTGGGCAGTGCAGAATGTCATAAGCCTGCGTGTCTTCTGCTCGTCCTTGTACTGCTATCAAAGGAGACAGCGAAGGACGGAAGATATTTAGGTCGCGGGACAGCGTGGATGCTCGGTAGATTTTCAGTTTTTCCATCTAGCGCGCGATGTCCGACGCCTTCTTTTGCGCCAAAGTGCAGCACCTTCGAGAACAAGCAGCGTCGCACCCGAATAGGGACCGTGTCTTGGAAGCCACTTGAGACATTTTCCTCCGTCTGACAGCCCCTCTCAATGAGCAGAGAGGTCGAAAAGAAGCCTATATAAAGGATGGACTCTCAGAGTCGCTTTCTCGTCCTCCTCATCACGACAAGCACATCCAGCAACGCATCTCATCAGAACCATCGCACTTCAAGATGCTCTTCAGCGCCTTCTTCCTCGGTCTCGTGGCCACCACCAGCGCCCTTCCCCTTGAGCCGCGCAGTGCACCCGCGCTCCAGTGCAGCACGGAGGTCATGCGCTCGGGCCCCCTTAATTACGGAGATCCCCAGTACGGCAGCACCCTTGGTCAGCTTGGTCTGTTCACCGTCGATGGCGAGCAGCGCGTCGTTGAGGCCTACTCGGACACGACCCCGCTCAGGGTGGCACAGATCCAGTGCAATTCCACCTACCTCAACTTCAGCAAGTCGTCCACCTTTGGAACGGACACGCCTGTCAGGCTCGTACTTGAGGATGACCACACGCAGTGCCTTGGTCTCAAGGTAGCCGACGGTCAATCGAAGACTTTCATCACGGTTCAGGATTGCGACCCGACTGACGACGAGGGTCAGGCAAAGCAGATCTGGTCGGACGCGTGGAAGTTCAACTACCTGTTGCCCATGGGCGGAAAGAAGCCTGGATACCCCTTTTCGCTTGTCCGCAACACGGCTCCCCCACCTCAGGCCATCAGCGCCATCCCGAACTGCGACGACTGCGACAACAGCGTCAGCTTCACCTTCTGAGCCTCCTTCCATGAGCGCGAACACACGCCTATCTAGCCTTGCTTCTTTTCCTTGTAGCCACATATAGATCTTTGCTGTTTTCACTACTAGACTCATCACACGAACAATCTTCTGCCCGCTTACGTCCTGGAATATATGGTTCTACTTTGTCTTTCTTTGTTCCTTTCGCGAGACCCATACAATTGGTCTGTTTAGACTGGGGATGCGCTTGCTGGCAGTCCTACGAAGTAGCCGTATAAAGAGTAATCATCATTGCACATCCAGCGATTGAGGTTGGTGGATCCTTAAAAAGACCGCGGGAGAGCGCCTGGTTGATGCCGACGACGAAGTGGGTCCAGCCCGTGTTTTTGCTGGCGTCCAGGAGCGGCACCTTGGAGTACAGCTCTGAGCTCCACGGAGAGGTGGCTGCTCCGATGCAGCGTTACCATTTCTTCCTCTCTTTCTCTCTCTCTCTCCTTCCTCAAACTCGATGAGATACGATGGGGAGTGTGAGCTAGCTCCACTTGGACTCTTCGACTCGACCGAAAAAAAAAAAAAAAAAAAAAAAAAAAAAAGCCTAATTGGGAGCAGGAAAGGCGAAGTCGAAAGAAACTAAGCGCAGTCAATCTCGCTCCAAGCTCCTATCAAGTACCGACACAGGCGACAACGACGACGATGGACAGCGCATATGACCCGACGATCAATCGGGTCGAAGAGCAGCCGCCGAAACAGGCGGACACGATGAGCATCCCGGCAGCGGACAAGGCAGCTGCAGCGCAGGAAGAGGGCGAAGGTGTTGGGCAGCAGGGTGCTGATCCTACGCTCGAGGAAGAGGTCAAGCAGCTGGTGGGAAGCGTGACGTCGTGGTGGTCCGGCTTCAGCAAAAAGGTGCGTCTTTTTCCTCTTGAAAGCTGGCGATTCATGAGAGCTGATGAGGAAGGAGAATGGCTCACAGTCTGCGGAGCAGATCAACACGGCACGGGCGCAGATCGAGAAGCAGGGTGGGCTGGTGTCGTATGCGCGAAACGAGGCGGCTAAGCTCGAGGCGCAGCTGTCCGAGGTGCAGAAACAGGCGAGGGAAAAGGCGCAGGCGACGGGCGAGGTGGATGTCGATGTGGCTGACTGGGGCATGGCTGGAGTCACCATCTCGCCGCGGGCTAGCGAGAGCGAGGGCAGGGATACGGACAAGGGAAAAGGCAAGGGCAAGGGCAAAGCGACAGAGGGCGACGAGGAGGAGGAAGACGACGAGGAGGATGCAGCAGTCAAGGGTACACAGCCGCGGAATCAGAAGAGAGCAGCCGCGACCAACGCCGACAATGACCAGGGCGGTGAGGCCATCTTTGACGCCGAGAACGACATCGATGAGGCCGGCGGAGCCAAGGGCGATGCGACAAAGGAACTGACACCCGAGGAAAAGGCCCTCGAGGCGGCGCGACAAGGCACAAAGGTGGCACTGGCCAACATGCAATCGTTCTGGGAGCGCATACAGACGAACCTCAACTCGGATCCACGGATCAAGGACATCCAGAAGTCGCTTGCCAACACGCTACAGAGTGTCTCTGCGCCCGCTTCCCAAGCGGCTGGAGAAGGGAAAAAGGGACTGCCAGAACAACAGCAACAAGGAGGCCTCGCTTCGGCAGGCGAGGCGCTGCCTGCCCTGGCGCGGACATTGCAGAGCCGTCTGCCGCACCTCGACTGGAAAGAGTCGCAGGCGCTGGCGAAGAAGTACTACGCCGAGTCGCAATCCGCGGCAAAGGACTGGACGAGGGAAATGGGCGACTTTGTGGGCGAGCTCGTCAAGATTGTCCCGCCTGAAGAGGAGAAGCCCTCGACAGGCGAGACAAAGAACAAGCAAGAAGCTGAGCCAAAGAGCGCCGCCACCGCCGCTGCTGCCGCTGCTCTCTCCGACAAGGGCAAAGGCGGGGATGACAAGAAGGCAGCAGCCGTGGACGAGAAGCTCGGAGAAGAGACCGACGATGATTTCGACTGGGACCGCGAGGCTGACCGTCTCGAGACGACCACGGGCCCACCGACAACGAGCTGGGGAGGAAGTGCCAGCGGAAGCGAGGAGCAGCTGGCCTCGGCGCACCACGGCACGGCGGCTGCCAGCAAGGAGCAACAGAGCAAAAAGGACGATGACGACGAGGACGGAGACTCGGACTGGGAGTGAGAGAGTGGTGGAAGTACCTGCTCATGATGAGAGAGAGAGAGAGGAGTGTATGCGTTCTGGAATACATTGGAGTATCATCTAGGGAATCTCTATTGCGTTGCCGTCTGTTGGGCGGGGGGAGTGTCAGTTTCCTGGCCTGGATTGAAGTGCGTGAGGTCTTAGGCAGAAGGCTCACCTTCTCTGCGCCCATAAAGTGCATTGCCGTCTCAAAGGCAAAGATGGCAGCCGCATTGGTGGGAAAGGCTCTGATGAGGCAGACGAGGAAGCCGGTATAAAAGGAGCCGATTCTTGCGACCACCGAGGCCTGGGGCCCCTTTTGGATCCAGACGCTCCGAAAGGCGTCCTTCATCGTCGGGTAGCGCGGCGCATAGAGGTTGTCGGCCATCATGCGGTTCTTGACCGTGTCAAAGGGAAAAGCGAATAGCCAAAAGACTTCTGCGCCCAGCCCACCGGCTAGGAACGTCGAGAGGGCGGGCGAGATCTCGTAGCGGGTCCCCTTGAGCTTCTCGAATGAGCGCTGCAGGACATCGTAGCTGCCAAACATGAATGCGAAGTTTGCGCGAAAGAGCAGCGTGGCCGGCAGTGCATGCCAGAGGGCCGTAATGCCGCCGTGGCGAATCGTCTGCATGGCGCAGTCAATGGGCCCCGTAAAGTGCACCTTTGCACCCTGCTGAGCCGCTGCCGCTGCCGCTGCTCCTGCTCCTGCTCCCGACACCGACGCCGAGGAGAGCCTGGGCAGGTGCAGGCCGACGCGCTGCTGCTGCATCTGCAGCCTGGCCTTGATGAGCTCGATGGGCACCATGACGAGGCTGTTGGTGAGGCCCGCGCCGAGTCCCGCGACGGCGTGGAGCGAGCTCGGGAGGCGCTTGCCCGTGCCCTCGCCGACGCCCGTCAGGCGCGAGAGGCCGAGCCGGTAGGTGTGCAGGCTGCCCATCAGCACGCTGTCGGCCACGGCCCAGCCGACGGCGGGAGGCGATGCGCCCTTGTAGAGGCCGAGGAGCGACTCGCGCCGGGCCATCTGCATGATGCAGTCCATGGGGCCCTTGTAGGTGCCCACGGGCGAGCACTGCAGCCGGACCTTGATCGTGTCAAACGGGTGGCCCACCGCCAGCTTTGTCAGCCCGCTCGCGACGCCGCCGACGAAGCCCTTGAGCGAGGCGCTGCCCTCCTTTGGCGGCGGCGCTTCAGCTGCTGCTGCTGCTTTCCCCCGCGACTGGGGCGCCATTGCCATCGGTGCCCTGACGAATTCACCGGGATTGGAACTTGAGGCTTAGACTAAGTAAGAGGAAGAAACAAAAAGTTACGACACGGGAACCCCCAAGTGGAGATAGGACCGCTGATTAATGCGACTGCACCCAGCGGCTGAGCTTTCTTTCATGCGGTAGTAAAGGAAAGGTATGCAGAAGAATCATGCTTTGGGACGGTGGAATGCTGTATTGTACAATGCTTGAGAAGGAATCTGTGTGCCCTAATCATCGCCGTGGACTGGGACTCGGCGTCCATCTCTGCCTGCGCAGCCGCTCGACGTTGACCTCTTCGCTCTTTGGTGTGCCCACGAGCCGTGTTCCCAGCGACGACAGCCCGCGCTTCGTCTGCGTGCGATCGAGGAGCGTGCGAGCAGCCGGGCTCAGGTCTGACATTTTTCGCTTGCTGCCTCGAGAGGCCGTCGTGGAAGAGGCATTTCGTGCCGTCGGAGCAGGTGAGCCCTTGCCATCGGCCAGACGGCGCGCGAGCATGTCTCGCTTCGGCGTGGGTGGGATCTTGAACCCGCCTCGTTCTTCGGTGGTCGCCGTGGCCCCACCCACCCTCCTAGGTGTCCCAACGACAGCACCCCAGGTCATGAGCTGGCGTATGCGCTCTTGGCCTAGATCTCCTGGTCTGGGCGAGGGGAGCGGCGAGACGAAATTGTAGCCTGCGACCGAGATGCTACTGCTGGCCTTTGATTCGTCGTCGCCTGCCACCGACCCAGAGGAGGATTGGGCAGGTCGAGAGGACGTCTCGCCCCAACCCTCGATGGCCGCATCGATGCGGCTGCTCCTCGGCGATTGGCTGCCTTCGCCGACCCCGCTGGGCCCGCCGTTGCCGGACTCGTCGCCCGCGTCCTTGAAGCGGGTGTTGGAGAAGTCGACGCTCGGCCGCTGGCGCTCGGCTGAGGTGAAGATGGACTGGGCGCCCTTGTCCTCTGGGCGCAGCAGGCTGCTCGAACGGCTATACAGCGTCGTGCGGTTGGCGTCTGGGGGGTAGAAGAGGGCGTTGCGGGCCTGGTGGGACCACATGTCGAGCGGCTTCGACGTCTGCGTCGCTGGGCTGATCTCGGCCTGGCCGACAACTTTGGACTGTACCAACGATGACGATGGAGAGGAGGAGCCTGGCTCCGGGTCCCTTTCTTGCCCTGTGGTGATGAGTTTCGGCACAGGCCTTGCGCCCTCGAGGAGCTTGCCTGCTGCCGTCTGTGTGCTGGCTGCGTAGCCCCTCTGGGCCTCCTCTCCGGCCTCCTTGACGGCCCGTCTGCGTCTCTCATTTGCCTTGTTCTCTGACTCGTACGCCCACTTGTACTGCTCTCTCCTTCTCCTTTCCCGTGCCTCCATGATGGACAGAAATGAAGCGTTGTCTTCAGACGTGAAGTTGGACTGAAAAGCCGAAAGGGACAGGCCCTTGATCTCGGGCCCCCGGTCTTCTTCTTCCTTGTCCTCGTCTCCATCCTCATCCTCGCCGTCTCTCGCCCGCTCGTCTCGACGAATGGGGGTGGGGTCCCACTCTCGCCTCTGCTTCGGCGTCTGCCCTTGCCATCCTCGACCGGGCGTCGCCGCCTCGTCCCACCTCGGCGTCCCAGCCTCAGCCCGTCGCTGTCCCCTCGGCGAGCGGGGCGCAGGCGTGAGCACGCCATCCCTCTCCTCGAGCTCGACAAGCCGGCGCACAGCGCGTTCGAGCCGCTCGCGGGCCGCGCCATCGTCGTCACCTGGCCCTTCGTTAGCATCATCATCGTCGTCGTCTTCTGCCGCCGCCACGGCCGCCAGCGCGTCCAGGTAGTCGTTCTCGGCCTCTAGTCTGGCCAAGCCGGGGAAAAAGTCGCGCTCGATGATGCGCGACAGCGTTGTGGTGTAGGCCTCCTCCGAGAGCACGCGCTGGCCCCTCGTCGAAGTCGACGGAAGTGGCAAAGAGGACGCAGGCACGAGCGAGCCTGAGGACGACGAGGACATGACGCTTGTTGCAAGTCAAGCAGACAACAGCTGAGGCCGCTTCAAAAATTGGGTGACGCCCAGTGGAGGTTCACGTGATCTTTCCTTGATGGCGCTCAGCAACAAACAGTGTGATGGGTGCGATTGGCCTCGAGCAAAGCAGGGGAGAAGGGAGTGGTATTGCAGTAGCAGCAGCGGTCGCACAAAAGGAAGAATTCAATATGCAATATGGAAACAGTTATTTGGCCTCTGCCAGCCTCGTCTTGATGTCTGCGTTTGCGCCCTCGAGCTTCCTGACCTTGTCCTGGGCCTCGTGCATCTTTGCCATCAGCCAGTCCAAGCGGTCCTTGATGGCCGTCGACGAGGCCTTGAGCTCTGCCAGCTCGCGCATCTCGCGCTCGCACGCCTGCACATCCGCCTCTGCCTTTTCGATGCCCGACGAGTTGGAGAGGAGCTTCTGCGTGTCGGCAAAGACGGTGTCCTCGACGAGGGCGCGCATCGCCTCATGCACCACGGGCCTGCCTGCGCGGATGGTCGAAGGCCTCGACTCGACGTGCTTGACAGACAGGAGCTCAGCCTGCTCCATGGCCTTGATGGCAGCCTCGTCGCCCTTGAAGTCGTCGTAGAGGAGCGAGTAGTAGGACACGCCCTCCTCCCTCGACGCAGCAGCGAGCTTCGAAACGAGGGCCCACGCCTGCGCGCGCGACCACGGCAGCAGCTTGGCGTCTTCCACGTCATCGCCAAAGGCATTTTTGCGCACCTCAACCACGGTCCTCGCCACGATCTCGCCCACGGCCTGCCGGATGTCCTGGCCGAGCGCCACCTTCTGCACGAGGTTCTCCAGGTCAGTCAGCCGTCCTCCCAGCACGTCGATCCATCGCTTGTCATCCTGCGTCCCTTTGGCATCGGCAGCCAGCTTGATCTTTGAAAAGACGTAGTTCCTCGCGCGCTCCTCGTCGGCATCGGCCAAGGTGACGCCCTGGAAAGGCTGGTTGGGCAGGGCCCTGCTCAGCGTCTTGCCCATCGCCACGGGATTGTCGCTGACAAAGACGACGTGGGCCGTCTGCGAGGCCGTAAGCTCAGCGGCCCAGTCGGCCAACACGGTCCAGAGCATGTCTGACTTGAGGCCCTTGTGGTGGAAGTTGTCGAGGACGACGACGGGCGCATCGTAACTCGCTTCTCCAGTGCTTTCCCCTTCTTTGCCCTCGGCCTTGGACAATGCACTCGTGGCAGGTGTCGTGGCCGTAGAAGAGGGGCTGTCCTTCTTTGCCTTTTTCGCCTCGGCCGCGCGCTGCTTCTGCTTCTTGGCCAGCGTGTCTTCCTTTACGCTGACCAGCGCGGCTGTCGTGACGTTGAGCACCTTTTTCAGCTGCTCCTCGACGGGCGTCGAGAAGCCAGCCTTGGAGCCGATGAGACCCACAGCGGCGAGGTCGATGAGATTGTTGAGTGAGTTGACCCATCCAAAGACGGGAAAGTAGCCTGTCTGACAGGCCACGGCGCCGACGAGGCTTCCCTCGCCGCCTCCCTTGGCCTGGCGAGCAATGCTCTCGCAGTCGATGGTCAGGTGCTTGATCGACGAGTTGCCAACGACGCTGCGCTCCAGCAGCATGTGCTTGCCGGAGCCCCTGGGCCCAGCGATGGTGATGAATGTAGTAGGTGCCTCCCTGAGCAGGTCTTCGATCTCCTTTGCCGCCTGTCGCCTCTCGAACCACTCCTCGTCGCCCGTAACCTCTTTGCCTCCCTCCTCCCCCTCGTTGTCGCCAGAGGAGGTAAAAGAGCGGTATGAGGCTGGAATGTACTTTGTCGTCTTTGCCCTAATCCAGGCGAGGATGGGGTAGTGCTCCCAGTCGAACATACCTTCGACGTGCGTCTTGATGAAGAATTGCCTTACCGGGTCAAAGACGGCGTAGGTCAAGGTGCCCAGGAGGAAGGCGGCAATGGGCAGGACAATGCGCGGGTGCGACGTGAGCCAGTCCCAGATCTTGTGCGAGTGCAGCGGATCCACGTAGTCGATGGTCACTGTCTGCCCCTCGGCCAGAGCGGCGCCGTAGAGACAGTTTCGCGCCGATGTCGCTGCTCGCATGCGTGCATACACGGCCGTTGCGACGCCCTTGGATGCATCGACGTCGAGCTTGAGCACACGGCCATAGGGACGGAGCTTCTCCCAGATGGCCTGCTCCGTCAGCGTCGTCTTTCCCGAAGTGAAGTTGAGCCGGATCGTCCGAGAGGGGTATCGTGCCAGATCTTCGAGCCACGGCGTGCCCTGGACGAGGTGGGCGCGCGGTGCCGTCAGCGACGAGAGGGCCGAGGGAAGCATGGCGCTGAGCGATGGCATCGAGAGGTGGAATGGCTGCAACGTCGGGGAAAGCTTCTCCTTGATGTCGTCCAGCGTCTTCTTTCCGTCATCTGCTGCGCTTGCCGTCTTGTAGGCAAACGTGACAAAGGCACCACCGTCCTTGCGGCGCTCCTCCACGCCAACGACCTGGAAGCCATGGCCGATATTGCTAGCCTCTGTCTCGATGGTGTATCTCAGCGACTCGAGCGGCTTTTCGCCCTGCAGTCTCGAGAGCAGTGCTCGTGGGTCTGCCCTGCCCGAGCGCAAGGGGAAGATGGAGTCATAGTAGAGGTGGGAGATCTGAGAGCCGGGCGGCACCTCCTTTGGATCGGCCGCAGACGGGGGTGCGCTTTCTGAGTCGGACTTGGGAAGCGTCAGCGTCGAGCCTAGTCTCGTGCCAGCGGGTCCGTCGCTGGCTAGTCGAAGCCTCCTGGCCGTGCTGATGGGGACCGTTGCCCTTGCCGCGAGCGGCAGCGGACGCGAGAGACAGCGAGCCGGGATCATCGCTCTGCTGACTGTCGATCTCAACAATCCGTCGTCAAAAGCGCGACGGGCGGGCAACAATTCTAAAGTGGAGCTTAGCTGCCAGAAAGATTGCGTCACTTGCCATGACAGGATTTTTAACCCTTTTGGCGCCTACCAACATGCTTCAACTTCGCTGACCTCCAGAGCAAGCAAATGGGAACGGTGATTTCGAGTAAGAGGTGAATGGGGCATGTTTTCAGGCTGAATACAAGTTCTGCGAGGCGATCCTGTCACCACTCGCTTCTGTGCGCCACTTGGCTCGTCCCACCATGATTTCGCTATAGTCTCTCAACAGTCTTTTGGATCACGGAGGTATCCGTTCATGGCCCCCGTGCAGTAAGCATTAAAGTGGTCCAGGCTATCCCTCTCTGTCACGCCGTTCGGTGGAACAGGTGATCTGCAGTAGTAGTAGTCGAGGTTGTAGCTGTCGTCGCCGCACGTAAAGTGGTTTGGGTCCGCAAGAATGTTGATCGGCCTCGCACTCTGGCAGCAGGAGATAGGCGCAGTTTGATTGCTCCATGGGTTGAGCCACACAAATCTTGAATAGCTGCTCACGGAGGACGATTGCTTCCTGAGCTGCACTGCACGCACGTTGGGACACTGAGACTCACTGCCACGTTATTGACTCCTTTTTGTCAACCCGACGCTCCTACAAGAAAGTCGAGTGAGCAGCTATGTTCAGCTGTGGGCCGATATGAGGCTCACTGGTTTCGGAGCAGTACACAGAGTGACGAGAGAGGCCACAAGGTACATGTGAGCGAAGAGGGCCGTTGTAAACGCTTTGCTGATTGTTGGCATGCTGACTCTCCTTGTCTTTCGTTGAGGATTTTGATGGCACGGACAGAGAGGCCGCTGCCGTTGGAGACGAAAACAGTGTCGCCGTCAAAGGTGTCTTTGAAGAAACTGAAGAAGGAGGTTACGAGTACGAGGCAGCAAGGGGCTTGCAGAAGGCGATAGAGAGCTGAACAGAACGTACTGGGACGAGAGGATTCCCCTCTTGTCTAGGGCGATCTTGGCTGTTGTCTTTCAAAGACGAATCGTACGTCTACATCTCTTCACAGCCCTCCTTCTCCGCCCTCGTCTCATTGGCTCGATCGGTAAGCTTGTGAAGCTCTGCTTGATACGCAGCACAGCCGACTCCCATTCTTGACCCTGCCGCTTCACTTGGGCTCGTCTTTTCAGAATGCCGCTGCTGGAATTCAATTCCCTTTTCGCTACTCGCTGTTTGTCTTCACCGCCAGACACATGTTTCTCAGACTTGAAAGACCGTCCATCGCCGCCGTCACCGCAACGTCGCAAGCTAATGTAATGTAATGCGACAAGGAACAGAATCGCCACAATAGGCCGCGGGAAACCGTCATAGATCACCGCGATGTCTTCCCCCTTTGATTGACACGATGCACATGACTTTGAAAGCAGCATTGGGCAGCATTGAGACCTGAAGGCTGTTCAGATGAACATGGCCAACGGTGTAGTTTCCCGCGATCTGACGGAAGGGGATCACTCGTACAGAACGGCGTCAGGATCTACGTGGCAGCGCAATCGCCACGGGCGAAGAGGCAGGAGTGAGCAGAGCGATCGTTGTGGTGTAGGCGGGGGTAGCGGACCTATACAGAGTCCTATGCAAAATGGGAGAAATGGACAGAGAGCATACTGCCAGGGCATTTCCAAGTATCCAGCAAAATTGCTCGACGATCTCTGCCAACCGCAGAATTTCTTGTGATCCCTGCCTGTGTGTAACCGATGCGAAAGCGTTGCTTCTGATAAAGTTTTTCAATTCAAGGGGTGAATCAAGCATATGGAGGGGCTAGATACAAAGCAGGAAAGGCAATTGTCACTACTCGAGTCTGCCTGTCAACTGAGCGAGTCTATGAGCTTCATCTTGCTACCGCATGCTTATCTCACACGTATGAGGATCCTGAAGCGTTCCACCGAAGTGTTTTTGGCAGTGTTCGTTGAAAACCTTCAGGCTTTCCGTCACTTTGATGTTGGCCCTGGGTGGCTTGTTACAGTAATAAGCACGGAAGTAGGGGCTTGTTGAAGCCAGTTCAGAGTCGAAATCGCTTTGGCCACACGAAAGCTTGCCTTTGTGCTCAGTAGAGGATACTGCCGAATCACTGATGCAGCAGGAAAGAGGGCCGATTTCGCCATTCAACGGGTTCTTGGCTACGAAATAGGTTGTACTGTCCATGTCATTCCAGCACGTCAATAGTCTGACCTCCATGCACGTTCGTGAGTCAGACACTTACGCTGGCCATTCCTCATAGTCGGGAGGCACGGCTACAGCTGCCTGCTTCGTTTTTGGTTGATGTTTGTGCGACTAAGAAAAGGCTGGTGAGCTATTACACTCTGATGAGAGAAGTCTGGACACTCACCAACGTCATCGCAAAGGAGAAATCAGCGAAGAAGACGAGGCAGATGCTAGCGAGGAACGCATTGATGATGAACTTCATGACTGGCTGGTCTCTTTGCTTGTGCTTGCTTGGTGGGAGCTGTGAGACTGCCGTCGTTGAAAAGATAGAAAGTAGTTGCCGCTACGAAAGACGATCGGAGGATCGAGGCTGGAATTGTTGCAAAGGAAGGACAGAGGCGAGGACGTGAAGGACGGAAAACAGCACGAGGCTGGAGGGATATAGAGTACTCGCAGCGAAGGGTAAGGAAATTAGGAGGAGGAGCGATGTGGGCGATGGGGAGGGAAGAAGCGGTGCTATTTATGTCCACAAAGGCGCGGCTGCCATACTGTACAAGAAGGCAAGTTGTGCCAGTGCGCCTCGTTACCAGATATACATCTCCGCTCTCGCCTCATTCGCTTCAACATGCCAGCTTTGAGACGTTGGGTTGTGTAGCGAGCTGCAGCTGAATCTCAATTTGAGCCTTTTTCCTTCTTCTTTCTTGTTTGTTCTGGCGTCGGCGTTGTCTGTTTATGAAGATTTGCGCTGCTATACGGCCAGCCCTTTTTCATCACCTGCGGGCTTTCTAACTTGCTTTCTCAGCAAAACTTGCGCTCCGCCTGGGGGGAAAGGCCAAAAACTGCAGCGGCTCTGTATGCATTTCTTCTCAGCACAGACGAAAGGTGGGCGGGGCGATACAACCATGCAGCGCCGCTTTAATCGCTTGGCATGCTGACTTTCTTCGTCTTTTGTTGAGGTTTCTGATGGCACGGGACAGGGAGCCCGCCGCCGTCAGAGACGAGGACAGTGTTGCCGTCGAAGGTGTATATGGAAAAGAAGAAGTAGGCAGCGAGTACTGTCACGAGATTGAAGAGGCACCAAGGGGCTTGCAGAAGGCAATGGTGAGCTGGACAGAACGTACTGGGACGAGAGGATTCCCCTATTGTCTAGGGCGATCTTGGCTGTTGTCTTTCAAATACAAATTGAACGACTACATCTCTTGAAAGCCCTTTTTCTCAGCCTTCGTCTCATTGGCTCAATTGGTCGGCGAAGCACTACTTGCATACGCAGCACAGCCGTTTTACGTCCATGACCCTGCCTGTTCTCCCGGGCTTGTCTTTCCGACTTGCCACTGCTAAATAACAGAGCCTTTCTCATTACTCGCAGTCTGTTTTGTTTTCACGGCCAGACACTCGTTTCTCAGACTTGAAAGACCGTCCATCGCCGTCGTCACCGCGATCTCTTCTCCCTTTAATTGACACGATGGACATGATTACAAATTGGGCATGGGGCAGCGCATCTCGTGCGAAGCGGTGCAAGTGAGCGCAACGATCGCTGCGGCAATCGCGGGTACAGCGGATTGCTTTGAAGTTCCGTACCAAAAGCGCAATGGACAGAGAGCAGTAAGCTTTGACTTGCAGACCTCTGTCAAGCGCAGAAAGGAGCGACAGTGATGCTACTGAAAAGTCATCTTGATTGCAAGGTAGAGGGGCTTGTACGTGTATCTGCGTTTTTTGGGTGGGTGGATGGCTAACTACAGAACACGTAAAGTTGGCTCGTCACCACTGGAGTCTGTCTCTTATTTGGTAAAAGGAAGAATCGAGGGATTCATGACGTTGTTAGCACATTTGCCGGCATCTTTGGTTACTCCTTTGAAGACGTTCGTGCAGACATCATTAAAAGACTGCAGGTCGTCCGACGCTTCGAGAGGGTACTGATGCGTACATGCGTAAGTGCCAAATTTGAGTTTGGGCGCTATGAAATGAATGCCGGCGTAGCCGCATCCGAACGTTGCTTGGACTGAAGAGGAGTAGATGGTCGATTTGCTCTTGCAGCACGAGACAGAGCTAATAATATCCAAGTTGAACGAGTTATAAAACACAAAAGGGACTTCACTGTTCATCTGTGGACGTCAATGGCATGATACGAATGTCTGTTCATGAGTGAGTTGCCCGACACCTACGCTTGTCCAGATTTTGGCTGAGGGGGTTTGTCGCCAGGAAAAAAGTTGCTGGCGGCACGTTTGGGCTGTGATAAAGCAATGATGAATCATTGCACTTTGATAAGACACGTCTGTCCACTCACCAAAGCCAAAGCGACGGAGAAGTCAGCAAAGAGGACAGCGAGGCAGATGATAGCGAGGGACGCAGTGATGATGGTCTTCATGAGGACAGGCTGGCTTCTTCGTGGTTGCTTGATCGAAGCTGTGAGACTGCCGTCGTTGAAATGATAGAAAGTGGCTGCCCCCACGAGAGGCGATCGGAAGATCGAGGCTGGAGTTGCTGTAAAGTAAGGACAGAGGCGAAGACGTGAAGGGCGAAGACCAGCACGAGAATGGAGGGATCGAAAGTACTGGCAGCAAATATCGAGGGGGTCCTAAGGACGAGGAGGGGGGACGAGCGATGTGGGTGGTGGGGAGGGAAGAAGCGGCGTTATTTATATCCTACAAAGGCGCGACTGTCACGATGTAAGAGGGCAAGTGTGCCAGTGCGCCTCGTCGCCACTGACTCATCTCCGCTCTCGCCTCATTCGCTCTACAGTCCAGCTCTGAGACGCTGAGGTGTCTAGCAAGCTGCAGCTGAATCTCAATTGAGCCTTTTTCTACTTCTTCTTACGTATTCTGGCGTCGGCGTTGTCAATTTATTAAGAGTTGCGCTGCTATACGGCAATCCCTTTTTCATCACCTGCGGGCTTTCTACCATGCTTTCTCGGCCAGACTTGTGCTCCGCCTGAGGGCGAAGGTCAATACCTGTAGCAGCTCTGTAAGCGTTTCTTCTCAGCACAGACAAAAGGTGGGCGGGGCGATACAACCACGCAGCGCCGCTTTAATCACCTTGCCTCTCAACGATCACCGCGATCTCCTCTCTCTTCCACAACGATCGCTAGAATGGATTTGAGGAGAAGCACAGTCAAGGTCCCTAGTGAAGCGAAGAAGAGATGAAGACAGATAGCATGCCGCCATCTTTTTATATATATCGAGATCTACAGCGTGAATTGCTTGACGACTTCTTCTGAGCGCAAGAACTCAATCGACTCCTGCCTATACGTGTCAGGAATGACGGTGATGCTTTTTTTCGTTGTGATCACATCGCGAACTCCGTCAGCCTCACAAATCTCTTGGCCTCAAGGCGCGGGACGGAGCAGAAAAAGAAAGAACTCACTTGTTTCCCTTCCACTGCATCAATTTCCCACCCAGCTCTGCGTATTTGGGCCAGTCGTGCTTGGTTTCGAGCTTGTTAGGGTCGAGGAATGCCGCAAAGGAGATCCACGCGCGCTTCATCTGCCTTGCCAGCTTGTCGTCGTAGCCAGGCGAGGAGCGCTGCACGGTGGGTCCAAAGAGGTAGACGAGGTCCGACCCATGCGCCACGCCTTCGGCCAGGGGATAACCGGGAATACTTCCGCTAGCGCCCTCGACGCTTAGCGGTGAATTGCGATCGTCCTGGGCAAACTTGTAGGCGTAAAGTGGCTTGTTGGGGTGGTGGCGCAGGTACGACGCGAGCAGGGACCTCCTCTGCGACTCGAAAAAGAGATCGCCCGAGAAGCTGGACACGCGCTTAAATTGGTTCGTCGTCAGGGGCGTAAACGTCCGGTTGGCTAACTGGGCACCTGTTGTGCCTGCGCTGCTCGCAGTTGGCTCGTTGAGGTATGGTGAGCCGAGCTCGGGCACGTCTGGGTAGAACTTGAGGACCTTGGCGAGGAATTCGGCCGTCGATGCGCTGGCGTTACGTAGATCGAGACTGGCTTCGCTGGCAATGAGGCCCTGGAAGATGGTGCTGTTGACGATGCTCGCAGGCGTGAAAATGGTGCCTTCGTCGAGGACGTCGCCCGAGAGCAGGGCCACGTCTGCCGTCTTTCCTGCATCGATGAGCGCCCTGGGACTGCCGTTGGCGAAGACGGCATCGCGGACGGGGGGAAAGGCGAGGCTGCCGCCCATGACGGTCTGCTGCTGCTGGTCCGCGGCCTGTGCACCCGCCATGGTGAGCGCGTCGACGTCGAGCTTGCGGAGGCAGTCGAGTGTCGTCTGCGTCGGCGTGGCACTGCAGTTGGAAAGCTTGGCCAGGGCCTGGTAGCGTGCCTCGATCTGGGGCGAAGAGGCCGCAAACGTCGGCTGGACAGCCTGCGAGCCGCTGTGAAGGATGGCGGCTCGGAACAGGCCCTCGCTGTCGCCACCTTTGTGGAGTAACTGCAGCGCGACAGAGACGGCACCGGCTGATTGGCCCCAGATGGTCACCTTGTCAGGGTCGCCACCAAAGCACTCAATGTTCTCGTGGATCCATCGCAGGGCCAGTCGCTGGTCGTGTAGGCCGGCGTTGAGGACGGCCCCTTGGTCGTCTTCAACCTCCTTGGAGGCCAGCCAGCCAAATGGTCCTAAACGATAGTTGGCCGTGACGACAATGACGGGCGCGCCTGCATGTATGCTCTCACCGACGAGTGCTGAGCCGTTGTAGCGACCCGCCGAGCCCACGAGAAAGGAGCCACCGTAGAAGTAGACCATGACGGGGAGCGGCGACACGTGCTGGTGCGCGCTGTCAGGGACGTAGATGTCAAGCGAGAGGCAGTCCTCGCTCGTGTGGTTCGTTGAGTCCAGACCCGGCGGCTGCGGACAGCTGGCGCCGTACTTGGTCGCATCAATCGTCCCCTTGCTCTTCTCGACGAGCTGCGGACGAGCAAATCGTTGAGGCTGCTTGCCAAAGGGCACACCGAGGAACACGTGCTGGCCATCATAGTCGCTCCTGCCCACGACTCGCCCCAACTTCGTCTTGACCGTTGCGCTGCTCTTGGCTGCGGTGGATGCACTCGATGCGAGCCCAACCAGCCCAAGGACGAAGGCGAGAACGACGACAAGGAGGGCTCGGACGGTGACGGCGATGAGACGCATCTTTGGTCTCTGTGGTAGACAACGGGAGGAGTGGTTCAGGGGAGAGGGATGGATGGGCGGTGGTGAAGCAGCGGCAAGAACAATATGTAGTGCCGTCGCCGCCCAGCGCGTCCGAAGGGAAAATCAGCCCAGGATCACTGCACTCCGCGTCGGTTCCCCTGCCCTCCAGATTACCTATGCCCGAACCGTCACGGTTGCGGCGGTGACTGCATATTGGATCCCCCCCTTTTTTAAAGTTACCCCACCCGGCAGCCTCCCTTTTCCCTATCCTGAACTTTCCCTCCATCTTGATTTGCTAGACGCCGCTCATCGTCATCACCGACTAATACAGTTTCATCCCTTTCTCTCTCCACTTCCACTCGGACTTCCGCGGTCTGCGAGAGGGAAAGTCCGTCTGGGAGCGGCAAACTTGAGGCTAGAAGTAGTGACAGTATCCTCCGTCACTGAGATGACGAAAGGGTTCTCCACGCGCGTTGGTCATAGATAAATTTTCCACATGGCCCCACTTGGCACTTTTCCACCCCAGGCCTTTAGCTGAACTGACTTGCATTCAACCCGGCAACGATTCGACCGATTTTAAGCTTGGTGCGCACTGCTTCCCCGCACGTAGGAAGCCAGGCTGTACGGGTTTTGGTGCAACCTTTTTTCGTGGAGATCGGGGTCCCAAATCGAGAAACAAGTGGCGCATTACGATTCTGGTTCGAGAGCAGTGGAGGTGCGAAGGTCGGAGACAGCGGTGGCTCCGGCGTGCTCTTAAAAAGCAGCCTGATAGGCAGGCAGATGAGAAGAACCGAGTGGAGTGACCGACTCTCTTGCGATCACGACACGACGACGACTATGAAGAATCACATCGACTTGCTGGGGCATGATGTGCCCGTCGACGTGGCCGCCAGCGTCCTGATTGGCCTGTCGGCTCATATTGTCCTGAACCGGTTCGAGCTGTGGCCCAAGCAGCTCTTTACCGTCTACTGGGCCTCTGTCGCCATCTACACGCGCCACCTCGTCGCAGAGCAGGGCCAGTCTCTGGCCAGCGCCATTGTCCGCACGCTGGGCTTGAGCTACATCGTCATTGCGACGCTCCTCGTCAGCGTCACTGCGCACCGACTCCTTTTCCACCGGCTCCGGCGCTTCCCGGGCCCGCTTTCGTGCAAGCTAACAAAATGGACGACGGTGTCGACGGACCTCAACGGACTGCGGTCCCGTTTCGTGGACCAGCAGCACAAGAAGTACGGCGACATCGTCCGGACTGGCCCGCGGGAGCTCTCGATCAACGATCCCTCGGTCATCTCGGCCATCGGAGGCGGCAACTCACCCTGCCAAAAGGGGCCCTGGTATGTGGGCATCCATGGCGGCAAGGGTGGGCGCAGCCACAGCCTGCACAGCACCGTAAACAAGGAGGACCACGCAGCTCGACGCCGCATCTGGGACGCAGGCTTTAGCCAAAAGGCGCTCAAGAGCTACGAGTCCGAGATCCACACCAAGACGCAGCAGCTGATCGAGGAGCTCAGCTCGCGGGCACGCAAGGGCCAAGTCCTCAACATCGACGACTGGTGCCTGTTCTTTGGCTACGACCTCATGGGCGCCGTCGGCTTTGGCACCTCGTTTGACATGCTCTCCAAGGGCGTCATTGACAAGAACGTAGAGATCCTCGAGACGTCCATGGCGCACATCATGGTCGTCAGCAACTTGCCGTATCTTTCCGAGCTGGTGCGGTACCTGCCCAACCCCATGAAGGACTTTGAGGTATGGCTCAACATGGTGCTTAAGAAGCGCATCGAGAGCGGGACAAAGGAGGACTACCCCGACGTGTTTGCCTTCCTCCTCGACGAGGACAAGCAGTCGGGCTGGAAGCACACATGGGAGGAGCTTGTCTCCGATGCCATGCTCATGGCCCTCGCCGGCGCAGAGACGAGCTCGACGGTGCTTGGTCTGTGCCTCTTCACGCTCTCACAGCATCCCGACGTGCTTCAGAAGCTGCGCGACGAGCTCGACGACGTCTTTGGAAAGGGCGTACCATGCGACGACTTTGACGACCTCAATAAAAAGTGCCCTTACCTCAATGCAGTCATCAACGAGACGATGCGCATGTACCCGCCCATTGCCAGTGGTCTCCAGAAGGAGACGCCGGCCTCTGGTCTGCAGGTGCAGGTGCAGGGCAAGCAGATTGTAATTCCGCCCCACACGGTGGTCCACACGCCCACGATGACGATGCACCGCGATCCCCGCTACTTTTCGCCCGAGCCAAACGCCTACCGACCGGAGCGGTGGCTCGACCATCACAAGAACGAGGAGCGCTTCGAGATCAAGGCTTTCAACCCCTTCTCCTTTGGGCCTACGGGATGCATCGGAAAGACGTTGGCGTACATGGAGATCCGGCTCGCGTTGGCCAACCTCGTGCAGACGTTCGACGTCAAGCCCACCAAGGAATTCAACGCAAAGGAGTTCGAGGATGGTCTCCTCGACATCTTTACGACGAAGCGGTCGAAGAAGATGCCCGTGACGCTCGAGCTCAGGCAGCAAAAGTAGCGTCTTGTGTTCGCACATCTCGGCCACGAAGACGCGGTTTTCACCTATATTGTACCACACTACATGCTGAGGTTTGTCGTTGAATGGAAGAGTTTGAAAGAAGAGAAGATTCTTCTATAGGAATGTCCGAGGCCATATGAGTAGTGTTCAAGCATGTGATAGCTCAGGAGAGGTAGATCTGAGCATTCCTGCCAGTCTCGGGAACAGCCCCGTTTCTGAGATAGGGTACGACTGAGATATTGCCAGGGAGGTCCCTGTTGAGCGGGAATGATCGTGCATCCTCATCGGCAAAGAACGTCTCCACGTCATGCCGTTTTACTGCACGGAAGAGGACAAAGTAGCCGTCGACATCGGAAACGGCCAGCTCTGGAGGCGACGTCCAGGTGATCGTCCCTCCCCGCTTGCCCGCCAGTCCCGTCACCGGTGACGGAGGCAGACCCGGGGTGACATTGATGGTGGGAGACCACCACGTTTCCTTGCCCCTCGCCGTGGCCGAGATTCGGAAAGACTGCGCAAGGATGGCTTGATTTGAGCCTCCGTCCCTGCATGCCCACACGTCGACAGGGGTGAGCGAGGGGACGAACCTGGCCGTCTCGCTGATCTGGTATGTGTTTCGCGAGTCGTCGGCTGCCCTGAGCGACACGACGGCCAGTCTGCCGTCTCGCACGCTGTATTTGGTCGGCAGACTGCTGCTGGGGCTACTCAAGGAAAGTGTCAGCGGGGAAAAAAGCGACCATGACCGCGAGACCAGGACTCACTCGGCTACGTTTGGGAACTGGGCATGAATCTGGTAGTCGTACACGTCGTCGTTGCCGGCCCGCTGGAAGCTGACCTGAAAGTCGCAGTCGCCATCTTGACAAGCTTTGATCAGTTTCGTATCGTATATGCAGCCCTCTTATGCTACTCGGCACCTACAGTTGATAGCAAAGAGATGTGTGGGCGGGTCTACGTTGGAATCGGTCCACTTTGTGCCCTCTTCAGGAAGCGTGCCACCTTCATCTCGCTCTTGAAGAGAGAGGGACGCCGCGAACAGAGAATGGAGGAAAGATGAAGCAAGAAGACCAATGGCAAAGAACGTGGAAATCGAGGACAGCATCGTGGTGTCTGTGACACCGAGAAAGCTAGGACGGCCGTCAGCGTCTTTCGGAGCAAGATTGTGTTTCTGAAGAGGGTGATTTCTTCACGAGGACTTGCGGCGGGCTTGGCATGGAGCGGCGGGGCTTTAGGAAGCACAAATGCCGCCCTCACATATGACCGATTGCAGAGACTACTTCGCAAGCAAAACAACGAGCAACAAGCAAGGGCTGTTGTTGTCTTCAATTTTCTGATTATATGCCATTGGGGGAGAAGATGTAGAGTATTGACGGGGAAAAATATTCGGCAGGAAGAAACAGCGAAGCAGAGGGAGAAAGGCGAGAGACTTCAGGTGTAAAAAAAGGGCTTGTTGGGTTTGTCGGCGTAGTTGACGTCGTAGTGTTTCTCGATGGTCTTGCAGCGCTTCTCGCCAAGGAACTCCTTGGATTCATCGCTTCGAATATCCGATGCGTCTATAGTGACCAGCGCCTCTTTACGCTGGCTGTACTTGTCGGCTGGATTGGGCCTTCCCTCAAAGCGGTCTTCGATCCACTTGACATTTTGTGCGTGACCTTTAAAGACGAGTCCGACATGGAGCGCTTTGGTGTCCTTTGCGTATTCAATTGTGGTGCCCTTCTTTGCCCACTTGGCCACCAGCGCATCGACGGTCGCAATCGGCACGACGTAGTCCTTGATGCCCTGGTAGATGTACATCGGCTTACGCGGGACCGCTCGGTTGTCCGTGTCGCACAGTGCGCCCATCTTGTTTCGGGATGTCATCTCTGTGAGTAACTTGTCATCAAGCGGGTTACCCTTTACCGTAAAAAGGGTCCCGTCATTGGAACCTTTGACCAAGCCCAGAACGTCCTTTCTGAAGTTTTCCCACATGAAGCTTTTGAAACACTGCCCCGTTGCCGTTGCGAAGATCTTCTTGCCGTCGTCTGTCGTGTTGTCATTGATCCACTTTTGCAGCTTGGGGTAGGAGTTCGCAAGTCCTTGTACGACGCCGATGATCAGTCCCGAGGCAATCGTGTCATTGACCGACAGTGCCACGGAGCGGAGGTCCACGGGCACACCGCCCATGCTCCATCCTACCACATTCTGGCTGAGCTCGGGAGCATATATGTCGAGCCTTGAGCACCCATGTCAGCTCCTTGCACTACAAAATGTGCCCAAGTAATCAACACTCACATCTGAGCAGCCCAGCCGATTGCAATTGCACCACCGCTGTAGCCCCAGCCGATGATCTTGACAGCACTCGGCTCAGCAAGCTTGAGCGTCTGGCCGAATTTAAGGACGGCCCGCATGGAATCGAGGGTGCAGTATGCGGCGTCGTAGCCGCTGCCGAAGCTGTCTCGTTGACCCTCATAATCCGGCACGCAGATGATGTAGCCACGGTCAAGGAAGCCCTCCATGAAAATCTGTTCCGAGTAGCCTGCTGTCAGGCCTGGTGTGCCCTGCCGGAGAATGTAGGAGGTGCGGCACTTGGGATTGCACGAGTCTGTCTGTCCATCGCAGTCTTGGTCATTAGCAGGAGAGAAAGAAAAAACACTTTGCTTTCCCAAGATAGACACACCTTGGGACACTGGGTCACAATCTTGTCGCCCGTCGCGTTGGGAGGCCGGATGACGGTGGCGACAAACACCTGCGATTTGCCGTGTGGCGTCGTGGAGCGCACCGCAAGCTGCCACACCTTGACTTTGTGGGCGTCAAAGTCTGGGAAATCGGCAATGCGAACTTCTCTGGATCGAATGATGGCGCCCGGTGCATACTTGTCGAGCGCCGAGGACGGGGTGTCGACGCCGTAGAAGGGGTCGTCTCTCGGCGTAGGATTGGGCTTCTTGGTCAGACCCAGGCGGTCGCGCAGCGTGTCCATCCAGCTGCGAAAGGCAGACTCCTCCTGTGAATTACCTCCTTCTTCGCCTTTATCACCGGCACCACCGGACCTCGGCTGGCTGTTACTACTGCCTCCGCAAGTGAAGCACATATCTCACGGAGTCTTGCCCGTAGTTGCAATGGTCAAAGGAAGGATGATGTTCGCAACAGCGAAGCGCAATTGTAGTTTCGACGGAGCAGCGGTCGGTTTGAGGCGCGGAGGTCCACAGGCTATCGGAGTCAAAGGAGTCGGTGAGTGATTGCCGCCGTCTTCGCCATTCCTGATTTATACCGGCCGTGAGATGCACCTTTGAGCAGCACAAGAGGGGGGGCCGATACTTTCTTAGGGGCCATCATCAACGCGCGATCCTCACTCGTCGTGACAGCATCCAAGGCAGAAGAGATTGCTCGGTGCTATCTCTGGAGAATTGCGATTTTGGACCTTCAGCAATCCCATCCGTATCAAGAATAGAGGCGGCCCTCCTCCTCTTCCCCTAAATTGCGCGCTGCCGTGCTACGCACAACCTTCATTTGCAGTTCGGGCTTTCGTATATTGAGCTTGGGCTCCCGTCACGGCTCAGAATTAGCGGTGTGTGCAAATAGTCACGGACAAGAGGCCCGTTCTCAACCAGCTGCTGCTGCTCAACAAACAAAACGAAAATAGCGGAGATTGCTGGCCCAAATCGGCAGTGCAAATGACAATGGGTATTTCTTCTAACGAGGCAAAGCATAGCAGAGTCCATCACCGTGGTTCAAACAAGCAAACATCATCCTCGCACCCGTTCCAGTCTCGCTCGGATCCCTGACGTAGTCGACGCCATTGTCGTCGCAAGCCTGCCTGAGCTCCCTCATGGATCTCTGCACCTCGCCCAAGCTTCCCACAAAGGTGCCCCAGTGGATGGCCAGGGCAAGCGTGTGCCGGTCACCCAGGATACGTGCCACGCGCACGGCATCCTGGGGGCCCATGTGGTTGGCACTCGTCAGGCCTTCGTCCATGGTTGGAATGACACCGATGAAGTCGTATGACTTGACAAAGCTGAATGTCGCACCGACGCTGATGGGGAGCAGGCACAGGTGGACGGGCGCACCCAGGTGTCTGCGAATCTGGGCAAAGGCGGGACATGGGGCGTAGCTGGTGGTGTCGTTCAGGTCGGGAGGCGAGCCATGGAACTGGTAGCCCGTGTCGCCGCCGAAAAAGACCCTCAAGGGCTCTGATCGAGCATCGAAATGGTGCTCGAGCGTCCACGACGCCCACAGCGTCGTTGAAGAGTCAAGGCCATAACGGCCTGAGCCGTGTTGGGCTGGTGTGCAAATGAGGCGAAGATGGGGCTCTTCCCTTGTGATTTCGTCGGTGGATGAGAGAGACGCAGCACCTGTCCCCGACCAGGCAAGCCAGACCTCATCCCACCAGTCGAGTTCCACGATGTTTTCGTCATCGATGCCCAGTCCAAGGCTGGCAAACCAAGCCTTGTTGCCCAGAGGGACCATGAATCGCGGCTTGTGCCCTTCCCTTTCACCCTTTTGCCACAGCTGGACGATGCTCTCGTAGTCGAGGTGGTCGTAGTGCGAGTGCGAGATGACGACGACGTCGATCCGCGGCAGGTCCTGCACCTGGCACGGCGCGGCAAAGGTGCGCTGGGGTCCAACATACTGCGTCGGCGAGCAGCGGGCCGAGAAGATGGGGTCAAAAAGGACCCGGAGCGGCTCGCTAGTACTGGCGCCATGACGAGCAATGGGGAGTTGGAGGAGAGCGGTGGCATGGCCGAGCCAGGTCACCTTGGTCGAAGAAGGCTCGGAGATGGAAAAGTCTGGAGGAACTACCTTGAGCGCGTCGTCAATCGAGTTGCGCTGCTGTTGCCTCCCCTCTTCGCCCTCTTCTTCGATGGCCAGTGCTGCCCTGTCCTCGCCGCTCTCATCCGCTGCTCCTCCCCATCGAACGCCATTCCAAACATCGCCGATGGTGGGCTTGTGCCAGCTGTCCCAGGGATTCCGAAACCCAGTCCTGACGTACCACTTGCCTTCCTCTCTGCCCGCCTCGCTACCTCCGCCATATTTCTTCAGCGTGTCGTCGCTTGGCCCGTCGGTCTCAAAGACGGACGATCGCTGCGAATCGTAGAGCTTCTCCGGCTCCTGGTTCGGGAACAGATAGGAGCTCAGTGAAGGGGCGGCCGACGGATCAGCAGCGGCGACGACGTGGTGTGCTGGCGGCCGAGTGTGATGCCGCCGATGTATGCGCTGCCGTACGGTCATGTCGCCGTCCATCGTTGTTGCTGTTCTGCCCTCTCAAAGAGGGAAGACGAGGGAAGAAAGGGGACGGATTGACGATCCGGATGGTTTTGAACGTGCCGGATCTTTATTCCCCCTCTTGGCTCTTCCTCTTTCTCAGGCGTCGCACGGGCCCATATGCGTCTTGTCGACTGAGAAAATCGCAGAGGCCAAGTGGAGCAGAGCAGTACGACTCGACTCGTCTGAGCTCTTTCCTTTTCTCCTTGCCATCAAACCCAACATGACTCGCAACGCCCTCTTGTCCGAGGTGCGCCAGCTGATCCCGCCCCTGTCATCCGAGCTCCACAAGGGCCAGGCAGGGCGAGTCGGCATCGTCGGCGGGTCCGCCGACTACACCGGCGCGCCCTACTTTGCCGCCATGTCGTCGATGCGCCTGGGCGCCGACATGTCGCACAACATCTGCGAGCCCTCGGCGGGCGACGTCATCAAGACCTACAGCCCCGATCTGATCGTGCATCGGATCCTGGGCACTGATCGTTCCCTGGGAGACATCCGCAAGGACATCGAGGGTATCGTCGACCGCCTGCATGCCCTCGCCGTCGGTCCGGGCCTAGGTCGCGACGAACACATGCAGGCGTGCGCAAAAGTCGCCATGCAGGCCGCCATCGATAAGCAAATCTACCTTATCGTCGACGCAGATGGGCTTTGGCTGCTGCAGAACGAGCCTGACGTCGTCAAGGGGTACAAGCGCTGCGTCCTGACACCAAATGTCGTCGAATTTGGCAGGCTGTGCCAAAAGCTGGTGAGTGTCCTCCACAAAATACTGAGAGTTGATCAGGCTGACGATAGAGGGAAAAATACTAGGGAATCGAGCTCAAGGGCTCGGAAAGTGACGAGAAGCAGGACGAAGCGCTGAAGCTTCTTGCTCAGCGGTTATCTGGCCCCACGATCCTCCTAAAGGGCAAGATCGATCGCATCACCGATGGACGCTCCATTCTCTACGTCTCGGAGCCAGGCGGACTCAAGCGCTGCGGGGGCCAAGGCGACATTCTCACCGGAAGCCTCTCGACTTTCCTGGCGTGGGCCTCGGTCTATCAGAGCGGTGTGGGCAGTGACACCAAGGCCGGGAAAAGAATCGACGAGGAGAGACTGCCCATGTTGGCGGCGTATGGCGCAAGCACGATCATGCGCACCGTGTCAAACATCGGCTTCAAGACGCACAAGCGCGCCCTTCTTGCCCACGACCTACTCGACCAAGTTGGGGTCGCATACGAAAAGTGGGTATCTGGCAATCTGGCTCACGACCCTTTCGCTGACCGACCTCTCCAGACATTTTGGCGAGGGGAGTGACACACATGCGGCTCTGTGAGGCAGCACTTTTGTGTGAAGAGCCCTTCCATCAGCATGTCTGTCAAAGACGGCGACTACAGGCCACGGTACTGAGATGGCACTGCTACGTGACTCATCAACACGCTGCCGTGCCAAGGCAGAGCCTTCCGAAGACTTCCGTATTGCACCTGTAGAGTAACGGAGGTGACGGAATACAGAAAGAAGCGGCCCAGACTCTCATGGCGCCGCAAGTGTGCGATGCTTCTTGGCTTGCTCGCACCGCTCCCAATCATACACTGAGATTGCGGTTTTTTTTTTTCTTCCCTCGGGTTTCGACGCATGGAATTCGCGATCCGAGCCAAGATGCGGCATGCCAATACCGCAAAACACAACTCGGCAACTGCAAGAGCCTAGCCAAGGTTCATTCGCGGTATGATCCTGCCGATACCTTTCGAAAAAGGGTGCGGTCCCCGCCAGCAGACCTCTCTTTCGTAGATAGTGCTCGTTTCTTTTGCTTTCGTTGCTCCCTTCCTCTCTTGTTCTCTTCAGACATCTTGCGCCCTGTAAAGTCCCTGTGCAAGAATGAGACCAGGCCAGACCTTCTTTCGCTTCTGCGCCATTGCTGGCCTCTGCAACTTCTACCATGCCGAGCCTCCTCAGGCTGTTGTGCAACAGCCGCTGGACCACCGCTATTCGCCCCAGCTTTTCAACGCACTCCATGCAGCGGGGCGCCTGTTCGCCTCGACGATGGACCACAACGGCCTCACCGTCTTCATGGCGAGTGTTCCAAGGGGCACGCTCTTCTACCACGGCACCAACCAGAGCGAGGCCGTCACAACCGGCATTGAGTATCTTGCCTTTGAGCCCGAACTGTCGAGGCTCTTTGCCAACGGATGCAAGAGGCCATCACTGTTCCAGGAGGCCATGCGATCCCCAGCTGAGGTGAGAAGTGGCAAGCCAAGCGATGATTTGCCCTGTCTGAGAAATCCGGGCTACTTTCACACCTACCGACCGACGCGAGACCTATCGCTACTCTATCTCGATGGGCAGGCCGCCGCCAAGACGACGGCTGGCGCAATGGACATGCAATATCGCCTCTTCGTTGGCAGCATCGACTATGAGATGGACGAATCCGAGCAGACGAGAAGGATCTGCAGAACGTTCAAGGAGCGAGGATGGGATTTGGACGGCGTCTTAAGGATGGAAATGGAGTTCGAGATCATCCTGTGCGACTTTGGTCTCATGCGGCTAGAGCATGTCGTTGAGATACCTCCTTTGCAGACGACAGCGGTCCTCTCAGACAGAAGAAAGGAAGAAGAAGCGAAGCAAATGATGGGCTTCAATCTCGTCACCTCGGCCAACGCCAGATTTAATGGCTTCGAGCGCGGCAAGCTCGACATCGACTTCGAGAACATTGTCTCTGCTTTTGCCCATGATGAGTACGACCTGTACCCCAATGGATCGGATTTGCCGAGGTTTACCGCTCCGACGGAAGGAGACGTGGAGCGCTTTAGGCAAGACATTGATGCTGCCGTGGAGAGGCGACGTTACAGAGTGGCAGAGGAAGGTGCCCTCCCGTACGTCGACTGGCAGGCCATCACCGACCGCATCGTATCGCGCTATGCTCCAAGGCTCACATACCTCTCCTCAGACGAGTTCAAGAGCAACGCGAAGCGGCTGCGGAAGCACGCTGAGCTTATCATCTCATACCTCGATCCCACGTCATCCAGAGGACACTTTATGAAGCGTTGTATGCATCAAGATATGCCGCTTCTGGCTAACTACGTTGCCGACTCAGCGGCCCCTCGTGCGATTCTCGATGTGGCGAGGCTCATCTGCGCAACGCTTCTCGATGTTGCCACTGATCAGAAGCTGTCGCTTAAGCAGATTCGTTCACGGCTGAAGACGCTCAAAAGCCGGCTTGGGTGGAGGGAATGGGACATTTGCAAGGGCTGCCAGGATGACGAGATCTGCTCCACCGTTGCCTGGCCCTTTGGTGCGAGGGGAGAGGAGAAGCGTCCAACGTGCAGAAAGGTAGCCGACATCCTTCAGAGGGGCTACTGGGACGACACGGCGCTTCCTGGGCGTAGAGGGTTCCGCGACTAGACGAATCGACAGAATGTTGCGTCAGCTGGGCGTCGCCCACAGCGGGGAATTTCCCGATGGGGTTAGCGTCAAAGAACCTCATGGTCGCCGTGCAGAAACAAGACAAAAGTTAAATGATCATTTTACATGAATTTGGTGCCTGAGGGGAGGTAGTTGAAACAAAGGGAATCGATCAAAGAGGGGCACCACTGACTGAGACCTCGCTTGCCTTCTCTTCTCTAATGCGTTTACCCCACCATCCACCACCTACTCAGCGACACCGGTAGGAAGGAGCGCAAGGGACGACCACCATGACGACGGAATCTTCTTCTGAGCTGGCTTACCTCGACAAGTCCATCGCCATTCGCCAGATTGGCGAGGATAAGTTCGAGTCCTACTTCCCCGCTGAGAAATCCGGCGCCTGGAGTCTGTACGCTTGGGGCGGCTCCGTCCTGTCCCAGTGTCTCAATGCAGCATACCATACGACACCCTCGCCCTCTTCCGGCACGTCATCTCACCTCTATTCGGTCATGGGCTTGTTTCTAGGCCCAACACTGGCCGACAAAACGGTGCAATTCGAGGTGCAACGGCTGAGGGATACAAGGACCTTTGCCACGCGTCAGGTCATCGTCTGGCAGGTCCAGGCAGAGGGCAAGGCACCCCGACGCATCCTCCAGATGACCCTCGACTTCTTCATTGGCTCGGGCATCATGGGGAAGCCACATTTGGCCTACGAGCCAGAGCCGCTGCAGCAAGGCCTCTCCCACCACTCCAAGCTCAAGCTCTGGGCCGAGCAGCTCGATGACGCGCAGAACGACAAAAATAACCCGTTCACTGTCAAGGCCAGGAAGCTGCACAGGAAGCTCTTCACCCACATCGTCGACCGCATGGAGATGAAGATCCCGCTCGAGGGCTTCGACTGGGAGCGCTTCGATGCCTACGTCCTTGGCGGCCACGAGGATCTGCCTGACATCGACGTGACCAAGAAGACGTACAACGACTGGTTCCGGCCTTGGCAGGCGCTGCGGCTGCAAAAGGACGTCGAAGATGGTTCTCTGCCAGCGCCCGCGGGCATCTTGATGCCACGGACGAGGCAGGAGGCAGAGGCGTGCGCCCTCATGCTGCGCCTCGACGACATCCTGCCTGCCGTGCCCATGATGCTGGGCGGCAAGACGTTTCTCCAGTGCTCCAACTTCACCTCGCTCGACTTTGCCCTGCGCTTCCACCACCAGGACGCCAACACTGAGGCCGGCCAGGACAACCAGTGGTTCCTGCGCCAGTCTACGTCGGCTTGGGCGCAGGACGGAAAGTCGTTCAATGAGTCCAAGTGCTGGAAAGAGGGCAGGGACGGCAAGCTGCGCCTCGTTGCCACAATGTCGCAGACGACAACTCTCGTTAGAGCAGCGAAGATGTAGATGCAAGACGAGAATCGAAAGGATCCGTTGCATGGTCATTCTGTTGCTTGGTCGCAGTTTGAAGCTGAGGAGAGAGGAGCCCCAGACTTTGAGACGTCCCGGCTGGCTGCTGCTTTGGCGATGTGTTGCTTAGAACGTACTAACTGTCTCAGCTGAAGACTGTGGAGCCAACAGAAAGAGATCAAGTCATCTTCGCGTAGTGCATCGGACCTCATTCAAGTGATGGCAACCAGATAGCTTGGGCATTTAATAAAGGCTCGAGAGATATACATCAGACACTAGAGTACAGAAATGAGAGAGAGAGAGCATGAGGAACAGAAATGGGAAGCAGAAATGGAGGGTGAAGAGAGGAACACAGAGAGAGAGAGAGACCATCTTTCTGTGCTCTACATCGACGAGGGCGGCATGCCCTCCTTTTCGCGCACTTCGACCGACGTCTCGAAGCCCTTCCAGCGCCAAGCAGGCACCTTGCGCTGGTACAGCTCGTCAATCTCGAGCGTGGTCCTGCCCTTTGTCTCTGGCAGCAGCAGCGCAGCACCGACGAGGATGCCAAGCATGCAGCCAGCAAAGATGAGGTAGGCCTTGGCGCCAAGGCCCGCGGCGTCGTCGGCCGTGATCATGGGAACGCAGAGCGTCGTAATGATGGCGGTAACCTGGCCAAAGCCAACGGCATGCGTCATTGTCGGATTGCGAAGCCGTTCCGTGGGGATCTCGGCGGGCATGAGGAGCGAAATCGAGTAGAAGGACAGGGTCCAGCAGATGTTGAAGAGGAACGAGAGGGCGGCAATGGCGACGCCGCACGCGTAGCTGTCCTTTGCGAAAAAGGCCAGGGTGCCCGCGGACACGTCGATGAGGAACAGGATGGTGAAGCCGATGAGGGCAACGGGCCGACGACCAAAGTTGTCGAGGACAAAGGGGGCGAGGAGCGTACCGACAAATTGGCAGATGTTGCCGATGAGCGAGAGCATGAATGCATTTCCTACGCCGAGCTGGACGAGGAACACGGTGGCATACGTCGTCGAGAGGATGATGCCCGAGCACTGGTTGGGGGAGAAGATGGAGCCACCGACGAGGGTGCGGAGGATGTTCTGGCGGTTGTAAATGTCAAACGGATTGGGCTTGTTGGTGGCTGCCTTGCGCTCCTCTTCGACGACGAGCAGGACGGACAGCTCCTTCTCGACGTCCTGGTCGCTGAAACCGCGGATCTTGCGCAGTGTCCTCCTAGCCTCATCGACGCGGCCCTTGGAGAGCAGCCAGGAGGGCGACTCGACGCAGAAGATGGTGGGTAGGATGAGAGCGAAGGGCAGAGCGGCCTGCACGGCGAGCGGGATGCGGTAGGCGAGCTTGTCGTCGGGGTGCGTCTGCGTCGAGGCATAGCATGCCGCCGTGGCGATGACACTGGCGGCGATGGTGGCAATGTTGGCGGCCGAGACGAAGCGGCCGCGCATCGAAGCCGGCACCAGGTCGGCGAGGTAGTTGGGCGCGATGGCGAGTGCGGCACCGTACGAGACGGCGTTCCACCATCGGCCGACGATGTAAGCGGCAAAGTTGGGTGCAAACAACTGGAGGAAGACGGCCCCGATCGACGTCGCATAGGCGCTGAGGAGGGCGTACTTGCGGCCCCACTTCGTCTGGAATGGCGAGGAGCCAAGCGCGCCGACGACGGTGCCCGTCAGGGGTACCGAAAATAGAATCGATTGGTGGGTGGCGGTGAGGACGTAGGAGTTGGTCTTTTCGTTGAGACCCTGGAAGTCGCGCACGAACGCCGTCATGGCCGAGATGGGCCCCACGAGTGCATTTTCAAAGCCCCAGTTGAGGCCGCCGAAGCCGACGGCGAGGGTGCAGAACATGAGGTAGGCATTGAGCGGCGAGCTGGGCTCGGCCGTGTGCACAGCCACGCCGTGGATGCTTCGGCCATCGTCGTCGTTGCCGTGGTCGGGGCCACCGGCCAAGGCGCTGTGCTTCTCGTCGGACGACTCGTCGCCAGCTCCGAGTATGTCGATGCCACCCACGCCGTGGGTTGTCGAGTCAGACTTTGGCATCGCCGTCGTCGTCTTCATTGTCGTTGCATTGGTTTTGGCCTTTGCGCCATGGGCGTCGTGATCCTTGATGACAGACATGTCGTCGGAGATGCTGTCGATGGCCAGTCCGCCAGACCTTGCCTTCTCGTCGAGCGAGGACGAGTCGTAGCCGGTCGGTGTCTTTGCGATATCCGTCTCAGGCGTCATTCGTCCAGACATGGTCGCACTGACGTTGTCTCGCAAGCGAGAGTGCAAGAAGGGGAGGCACGAAAGGATCGAGCCTCAAGTCGTTGAAGTCCCGCCGAACCAGACACCAGGTCTATGTTGCGCGGCGTGAGGGGGCGAAGGTGGCGAGCAAAGGAGGAGGACGAGGGCGATGGCGAGGGCGAGGGCGAGGACAGAGGCGAACACCAGGTGCAGGTGTCTCGAGGAAGGTAGGGTCGCTGGATGATGTCTGACGAGGAGAGGGAGACAGGGACAGAGAGAGCGGGGCAGCAAAGTTGGCGCCGGAGGTTGTGCCCTTTATGCCTTTTCGTTCGCCCTTCAGAATCTTCTGCTTGTCTGACCGACTAGCCTAACAGAAAGCAAAGACGAGCCGTCTCGTAGAAAAGGGGGGAGGTTAGGGAAAAAGTGAACGAGGGGGAAAAGAGACGGCCTTCGGGGCGTCTGAGCAGAGGATGACGTTGTGCGTCACCCCGTTACCACTGCCTGTTGTTGTGCGTGGGGAAGGGGAAAAGAGGGGAAAGGAGTAAGAGTGAAGCTAGGCACTTTGCCACGACATCCCACCCCCAGGTCGAGAACGGAAAAAAGGGCCCTGGTTCCTTGCTCGTTCCTTTCGCCCCAGAGTTGCCGGGCGCGCGCGTCGTTGGTAGACTACCAGACCCAGGTCCAGGTCCAAGGACAGGGCAGGTGTCGTATGCGTACGTGCGGGGGGAGGCTTTCCTCCGTATGCGCCAGTAACAATTATCGCTCGCGGCTTGCGTTGACAAGCCCCGAAGGGCACGAATGCTGTGACTGGTTTTGGCGTGCAAGCGTGCAAGATGCCGCGAAGGCAGGGGCCTGGGGCAGGGCACTACTACTCGGTCGACGGCGTCAGACAGGCTAGGTGGTACGGCAGGGGCTTAGCTCCTGCCTCCTGCCCGTGCGTGCAGCTGCAATGTCGCCTGATGCGCCTAGAGATGTAGATCAGAGCACTACTTCGTACTACTAGACACCTGAGGAGCGAGATCGTGCGTGCGAAGAGCGAGATCGTTCCCGCCACTTTTTCCATCTCCACGACTACTCAAATCTGAAATCATCTCGCCTTTTGTGTGCCGACCAGACACAGCTCAGATGCCGTGTCCATGCACACAGATTGTATATTTTTGGAGAGGCGACTTTCTCGTCGGAGTCTTTTCGGAGTCTGAGAACCGAAGCCCCGACAATGGGCCGAAGTTGCACCTCTTCCTTTCCTCCTCCTCCTCGTAAGTCGTGTCCCCGTCCCCATTCCTGTTCTCGTCCTCCGGGTTCCTAATGGACTTGGCACACTCTCTCAGTCTCTCTGAGTATCTTCCGTGCCATCATCGTGGGGGTGGGTCGGGTAGGGGAGTGAAAGCACGTCCCTTGGTCCGGCATCGCCCTGCACAATCTGATGTCACCTGGAGTAGCGAGTGCGCCTTGTCCTTGGCGAACCACACAAGCCCAGGCTTCAGGTTGCAATGGTTGGCCAAGGAAGAGTTCAAAGTGGGACTGAGGCAAAGGGCGACGACATGACGACAGCACCGAGCCAGATTCAACGGGAGGAAACCAGACGAAGAAGGCTGATGGCAGAAGGGCTTTCTCGAGGTCTGCATGTGGAGCACAATAGTCTATTGAAAACTATGAAGAGGATTCCACAGCACCCGTATTGACGCCCAGCTTCTTTGCCACGGCAGCGATGCGATTGTGCTCCTCGATGTCTCTGCGAAGGGAGGAAGGAGCAGTGTCAGCAGGGGCATGATTCCGTCTCTGGGTGATCCTCGACTGTGCAACTCACTCTTGCTCCCAGGGGCTGCAAGGTAAGAAGAAAGAAAGAAAGAGATGAAGAGTCAGCAGCCGTCTTCTGCAGCACGGGCAGCGCAATCCAGAGCGACCAATAGCGACACTCACTACTCGACCCAAATGTCGCCCGTTGTCTCGGCAGCAAAGTACCAGAGCCCCTCGACAACCTTGCCGTTGCCGTCGTTTCTCTTCTCGACGAGCTCCTCGCCGGGGCCCAGCTTCGCGGGCGCCTGTGTCTCGTTGGGCTGGGGTGCCACCGTCGCGTGGTTGCTCCAGACGATGGGCAATGTTCCCTTCTTGTTCCGGAGCTTGTTGTGGACGACAAAGATTGCGAAGCGCGTGGGGCCGACCTTGGCTCGCTGCTCGGGCGACAGCGCCTCGAGCGACTTGCGCACGTCGGACACAAGCTCATTGTATGCATATCTGATCGGCACACTCCGGTCGTCAGCAACCAGTGGGGAAGAAAGGGGATGTCCTCGCGCATGCCATGCGCTGTACTCACTGCAGCGTGGTCCTCGAGTCATCGACCTCATCCTGCATCGTCATCGCAACGAAAGTCAGCATAAGAGAACGCAGAGAGAATGTGATGAGCTTGACCACGCACGACAATGAGAATGTTCTTGCCAAGCAGCCCGCCCGTCAGGGCGTCGTCGCCCTCCCTCTTTGGCGCATCGAGCCACTGGGTCCGGACGACTTCGAGGCCGATCTTGCCCTTTGCCGTGGGTCCAGAGGTGTTGGTCTCGTCGCTTGCCAGGTCCTCGTACAGGCTCAGGCCAATGGCCTGGATAGGCACGTTGACGAGCTTGTCACCACCAACGTTGCGCTTGAGGAATGTCCGCAGAACACGCGCAGGGAAGAAGCCGCCGCCCCCGATGGCAACGATGAGATCGGGCCGAAAGGTGGCGCGGATCTGCCGAGCCGTGCTCGCAATGTGCTGGTGAATGTCCTCGTACGTGGGACGGTAGTGGTCGTCGGGCACCTCGGGATGATGCGACATGTTGGGCTTGTGGCTGGCTGGGCGGTGATAGAGACGAGATCTTCCTTCTCCCGTCGTCGATACAGGAACGGGCTATCGACTGCTTGCCTGAATGAATTTTTTTAGGCTCGCTGCACGTGCTGCGCTCTGCTGCTACAGCTTGCTGCTATTAATACCCCACTACTAGTCCACTCCACCCAGACTGGCGCTGCCATTATCTCAGCCCATCTGCACACCTTCCATCTGTGCAGAAGAAGGCCAAGGGGCCATGTCGGACGAAAACGAAAACGGGACAAAATCCTTTCGGCACTCCTTTCACCTTCCCAACTTCTTCTCGAGGGGCACCGGAGCAAGTGGGGCGCCCTATGAGCAGGTCCGCAGCACGGAAGGCGACGACGGCGACGACGATGATGACGAGGACACGGCCGAGGATGTGGATGGTGCTGCTGCTGCCTCTGCGGCAGCAGCGATAGGAGCAGCGTCGTGCGATTCGTGGCAGTCGACGAGCCCGATGCAGCGGGTGCTCTTCAAGGCCGCCTTCTGCATCTTTGGCGCATCGGTTTTGCTGCCCTTGTAAGTCGTTGCAGCACTCTCCTTTCCCTTTCTAGGCCTCTTCCTAAACTTTTTATAAAGCAACGCCGTCATCACGCCTTCCGAGTACTACCGTTCCCTCGTTGGATCCCGCTTCTCGGCATCAGTCATGAGCTGGATCATTGTCGCATACAACATTTCCAGCATTGCCTTTGGCGCACATGCGGCCGCAAGCATGGAGAGGGTGAGCATGGGACGCGCGCTCTCTGAAAATGGAGAAGAGAGAAAGTGAAAAGAAGAGACTGAATTGATTGGTCCACAGGCCTCGATCTCCCGGCGGGTGCTCTTCTCGGCCTCTTTTGTCATTGGTCTTCTCGCCGTGGCGACGGGCCTGACCAACTTCGTGCCGGCAGTCTCCCCGAGCGAGGACACCAGCAGCAGCACCGCCTTTGCCCTTTTTGTCGTCCTTTCCAGCTCCCTCGCTGGCCTCGTCTCGTATCTGCAGATGGCCGTCGTGACGCTTGCCAACGCCTGGGGCCCCACCTTCATGGGGTTGATGCTGGCTGGTCAGGGCGTCGTAGGCCTCGTGGTCAGTGCAATCCAGCTGGGCGCCGCCCTCTCGTCCTCGACCAAGTTCCCGGTGGCCCAAGCGCAGCAGCGGACTCGAGAAGCCCGGGCCGCCTCGCAGTTCTTTGGCGCCAACACGCTGCTCATGGCCCTTGCCCTGGCCACTTTTGCCTTTGTGTCTCGGACCCAGGTTTTTCGAGAGGTCGCAGCAAGACGGCAACGAGGATCAAAACCTCAACACGCCGATGATGAAAACGCTGCCGGAAGTCCAGAGGAGGAAGAGGCGCGTTCCATCTCAGGTCTTAATCGTTATCTGTCCCCGGCAACAAGGAGACAGTACGGCGAACTAAGGAGGACCCAGGCAAAAGTAATGGTCCCGTCCCTCGCCCTTGCCTATGTCTTTGTCGTGACGCTCGCCGTCTTTCCCTCCCTGACGTCTCGCGTACGACCATGGTCATTACCATCTTTGCCGCCCTCTTCCCCTGCTTCATCGCAGCAGCTTATCTTTGTCGCATGGCACTTTGTCGCCTTCAATGCCTGCGACCTCATCGGTCGCACTGTCCCATCGCTCCTCCCCACCCTCTTCGCGACGCTCTCGCAGCCATTTCTCCTAGTGCTGAGCCTCCTGCGCACGGTCCTCATCCCACTCCTTCTCGCCTGTCACATTCCAGACCCTCGCCCACACGCGCCCAACATCTCCGCGAGCAGCTTCGGCGACGCCATCTTCTTCATCCTGGTCTGCTTGCTCGGCCTCTCAAACGGACTCGTTGCAACGTCAATCTTTGTCACGGCGCCGCGTAGCGACGTGTTGAGAAGCCCTGCAGAGAAAGGCCGCGCAGCGGCCCTGCTCAGCTGGTGGCTCACTCTGGGTCTCGCCGTGGGTAGTCTGGCCAGCTTTGCTTTCTGATGACGAGCGGCTTTTCTCTGCCGCCCGATTGTGACGAGAAATAAAATGATACCCGACCAGAGAATGTGTCTTACATCTCCGTCACTGTACAGTATAGTAGTTGTTGCGACCACAGAGGCTCTGCGACTGCTAAGGACAGGACGCGGTGTGCTGTCGAAGAACAGAAGAGGTAAGGATAAGTTGAATGACGTTCCCGATGACGAGAGCTGTCAATGAATGCGCGCGGTGGACCGCATACGTAGACTTAAGGTCAGCAGCGACGCGATGAGATAAGATCATGCGCGTATGATTTAAGGTAAGCAAGCTGTCGCTTGTCTATTGCTATCGAAGAATCCTCTCTCATGTCAGCAAGGGTCTTCTTGGAGCGTATATAGTGGGGATACTCTCCTCGAGCTTCACACACATTTCATCCTATCGCATCGTACTCGCCTCCTACAACTTTCAACCCCAGCCCACCCAAATTCAAGCACAATGTCGTCGCAGGAAGAAGACCAGGTCCCCGTCGTCAGCGACGAGCAGGTCGAGGCCGAGGAGAATGCCAGCGCCGAGGACGAGCAGGCGACGCTCCCCAGCGAGGGAAAGCAGCTGGACCAGGAGGCAGGCGAGCTCGACGAGTCCAACATCATCTCCGACGAGTCTGGGCCCGCAGGCAAGAGCCTCAGGGGAAATCGTGGTGATCCCATGGCTGCCGTGAGTTATTCTCAAGTCTTTTCGTTGTATCTTCTCTTTTCTTGCAATTGGCTCACTCGTTCTCTGATGGCAGGACAAGGAGATCGACAATGTCATTGATCAACAGGAGTAAAATAGAGGCTTGGACGTTTGTTGGGGCTGCTTCTTTCTCTTTCGTGTATCAATTCTATTGATGATCGCAAATTAGGCATGGATGTGATCAAATAGTGCGGTTTCTGTCTTTGTTTCTTTTTGTCGTGCGGTGTCGGCAAATACCAGAGCTTACCGTTTCTGGCATTACGTCCTCGTCATACCGAAGCGTCGTCGGAGAGGACGGACACGCAGATCTCGGAGGAGTAGCGGTGCTTCTGACTTGTGGAGGCCGTGATGTTTTAGCGCACGACCCATTTTGCACATTCTTGGCCTTCGCGCAAGCCTCGCGAAAAGAAGGTTGCAGCGACGCAACGCACACCATCAAATGACGATCTCGCAGGCCATCCAATGGCGTCGCAATGGCGAGCGGCAGTGGGTTCGAGGTTGTACCGGCACCGAGAAGAATCTTTTCATCACCGATGAGTTCTTTCACGAGGGAAAGTGAGTGTGCCCCACCGGTCCACCTTGTCGTCCTCGCCTGCTTCCCCTTGCAACGCTGATGTGGGGTCCGAATCGATGAAGCGTCCTGGTGAACGTCTTGATCAAGACTCAAGGCGATTGGGACTTCAACTATGTGGCAGCAAGGCTCAGAAGATCGTGGATCGCGACGTACGCACGGCTCCCGAGGCTCAGCACGACAATGGTCAGGAGTGGCGCGTCGGACTTCGAGGCTCACTACGAGCAAGTCGTCGAGGTGCCAGACGTCGAAAAGTGGGCCAACGAGACGTTTCGCAGTCGTTCAGCCAACACAGCTGCAGGTATAACAGAAGAAGTCGCATGGGCATACCTTGACACGCATAGACAAGATTTCGCAATGAAAGGCATTTCGCGGGAAAAGGGCCACGTCGGGCTTGTGGACGTCATCGACTTTGGAAGCGAAACGCCGTACACGGGCCTCACATTGTGCTTCGACCACGCTCTTTTCGATGGGCCAGGAACATTCGGCGTCGTAGATAGGCTTCTTCAAAATTACGTCGAGCACGGTCAGACGGACTTGGACAAGCCGCTTGTGAAGGCAGAGCCGGACACGACGCTCCTCGCATTCCTAAATCACGAGACGCTCGATGCAGACTACAGTGAAGCAGTCGGGTCCATCATCGCAGCGTCTGAGAATGACTCGGAGGTGAGCTTAAGTACTCTTCCCCTCTCCAGCTGCTTGTGCTGAGCCCCCCTCACCATGTACCAATCCAGAGTGCCTACCCATTGGCGCCCGTCACGAGACTAAAACGCCAAGGAAGAGTGGCAGCGATCAGCCACACGTTCACCGCAGACGAGACCACAAAGCTTCTTGCAGCTGCAAAGCGGCACCAAATGTCCATTTCGATGGTCGCGTTCGCCACGCACATCGTTGCCCTCCTCAAACGCCTGCCCTTTGACAGCTCCGACAAGAAGAATGCCAGACGGACGCATATACCCATCGGCGGGCCTGTCAACGTCCGGCAGCTGTTGCCGCCTTCAAAAGGCGTGGAAAAGTCATCGGGCGCCGTGGTGGTGCTTGTGAGCCACAACATCTTGCTGGAAAGTCTGACGGAGTCGCTCCTCAGGGGAGAGGTGGAGACTGAACAGGATACCGAGGTGCTCCTCTCCCTCTCCCGAGCGCTCAAGGACGAAACAGAAAGGACAAAGGAAGGCTTTGGGCCCCGATTGGCTCTCTTTGATGCCTTTAGTCGCGAGACTACGAAGTCAGGCCAGCTGCCCCCACGTCCGCCCGGTACCATGTCCGTGAGTGCACCCGTTTCCTTCCAATGAACCTAGACGATGGTCATTTAACGAGCATGTCGGACCAGTTTGTCGTTTCTGACGGCCTCCTTGAACGCTTCCTTTCACGCACCTACGGCAAGGGAGATGACGCATTGCAAGTGGTCAATGCGAGCGTCATCGTCAACAACCAAAACCCTTTCGTGACGGGAAGAACCATGACATTCGCCGGTCGACTGACGCTGTGCTACAATTTCAATGGCGAGCTCTGGGAGAGCGGGGGCATCGAGACCAAGACGATGGCTAAAGACTGGGCCGATGTCCTGAAGAGAGTATTGGACGTGTGATGGGGTCAGGACTGGTCTCGTCCGGAATTCTCCTGTTCTCTCATCTCATCATTTCATCGCCAGCACACATGAAAGTCACCGACACTTCTTCTACTAACAAATTCTCGTCAATGCTCGAATTCATCGTCACAAACAGCGCAAATCTCTCTACAAAAGCTACATAATGACAAGAACAGCGCACAGTTCAGACTTGTACAGCAGAGGCAGACGGCATAGAATCAGGAGACCTCTTTCGTGAAGCGAGCGAGGAGCGTGGCGCCCGTCTCTTGACCGCGGAGGTTGAGCATGCGGATAAAGTGCCATCCGGTTGGGATGCTCGTCAGGCGGACAGCGGCCGTAAGGAACGCTGGGTTGCGAGCAAATGCATCTGTGGATTTTTTTTTTCCAGACTCGTCAGTCACTTCATTCGGAGCCAAGCGCAGCAGCGCAGAAGGTTGGAAAATCAGTCTCAACGCACCGTCACTCTTGATGAGGATCCGGAGGAACACGAGCTCGTTTTCCTCGTACGTCCACTTGAGCTCCTCGGGCTCCTCCCAGATTGGACTCGTCGGCGGCGGCTGCTCCCTTCCAAAGAGCTGCTTGTGCTTGTGGACGCGGTAGTGCGACGTCTTCTTCTTGTCTGGCTTGCCGTCTTTGCTGTCGGGGTGATACAGCGTGCAGGTCGCGTATGGTCTATTGAGGGGGGTAACCGCAGTCAGCCGAAGCCCAAGACAAAAAGAAAGGCGGGCTGCGACTGGTGAGACTTACTTGATATCCTTGCTACGTCCCTCTGGTACGGGCAGATCGGTGGCTCCGGCAATCTCGAGCTTGAGCGTCACATTGCCCTTTGGTGCAGGGCCCGCCTGCTGCCTCAGCTTGGGCGGCTTCCACACCCAGCCATCTGTGCCGGCAAAGAGGGCCTCATTGAGCTGCATGCTGGCATCAAACGTCTGCCAGTTGAGCGCAGCCACCTGGGCGCCGACGTTCCAGAATGGCACAGGATTGAGGTTCTTGGAGTTGATGCGCATGCCCTTTGGATAGATGCGCATCAGGTGCTTGGCATTGTGCTTGCCCACATCCTCGCCATGCTTCTCCGCGATGAGGGCCTGCACGGCACGCTCCTCCATGTTGACGAGATGGTTCTGGGGCTCCTTGAGGTCGCCCTTGAGCCATGCATCGTCCTGGGGCTTCATGCTCTGCGCATACACACCCAGCGCCGACAGTTCAGGAACAATCTTTGATGGCTTGGCCTGTCGCTTTCTCTCGCGCATGTTCTTGGTGTCTTCGTCGTCCGAGGAGTCGTCTTCAGCGGTGGCTTCGGCCGCATCCTTCTCATTCAGGCCGTAGTACTCGACCATGACGAGGATGCGGCCGGTGAGCTCCGAGAGTTTGATCTCGGTGCCGTCGGTGTGAAGATGCTCCGTGATGAGCTTGTCGCCAAATTCCTCGCGCATGATGGCAGCCAGACGTTCCTGCCCTGCCGGGATGCAGTGATTCTCAAGCGAGATGAAGATGGGCGCTGGGCCCAGCTGGTTGGGCGCTGCCTTGGCAGCAGCGAGCTCCTCCTCCATGGCGCTGTTGATTGACTGACAGACCTGACGGAAGGGGATGTGCTCGGTGAGGGTGTAGCCGTGCGTAACTGTTGCAGGCAGGAGGGCAATCAGGTCAGCTCTGATCACAGTGGCCTTTCAAAAGCTGTGCGTGCATACCTTTGGGCTCCTCCTTGTTCTTGTCATCATCCCAGGCATCAATCTCGACGCAGCGGGCGCCGGCTGAGAGGTGGTGCTTGTAGCTCATGCTGTCTGCCTTTCCATAGAGCTGTTTGGCGACGAGGTACTTTGGGAGGCGGTCCGTGGGTCAGCAGTCAGTCGCGCTGGGGTCTTTCGTCATGCTAAACTTACAGTATTGTGCGAAGAACTAATGTAGTACTCTGCCAGTGGGTGGTCACGGTCGTTGACGTAGGCCGGATGGACAATCTGGGGACGGGCGAGGATGGCCTGCACGGCGGGCGACGACTAAAGGAAAGAGAAGGGCCCAGAACAGGTCACTTTGATCATGAGTTCTTCCACATTCCCAGACACTGCCAGATTTGGTACTTCACGAGCACTCACGACCTCTTCGCTGTCGTCGCCGCCGATGTCGGCCTCCTTGATCTCGCCCACCTTTGCCAAAAAGGAGCGGAGGGCATGGCTGACGCGGAGCTTCTTGCGCGCCTCGACGTCGCCCTGTCCGCCAATGGCATGTCCACCACCAGCAATCGAGTTGGGGTCCACCTCCTGGCCCAGCTCATCGCCGCCTTCGTCGTCGGCATCTCGGAATCTGCAGGCGGGTGGGAAGATCTCAGCTTCTCCTTCTTCCTCCTTTCAAACCCCCTCGGATGTGTGTCCTGTGCGTGTCGAGTCAAAGAGCAAGCGCGCACTACTCACGGGTTGAACTTGGCAAATCTGTGTGTTGGGATCCCGGGGGCCTCCTCCTGTTCGCGTTGGCCCGACATGGCTTGGAGTCTCTTTTTGCTCGTGCTGACGACTACTATGAAGACTGATGTGTGTGTGTGTAAAGCTAGCGAGGCTCGTCGTATGTGGGAAGGCCCGGATCGCAATCTCGCAAATGTGGAGAAAAGCGCGCGCTCGGGCCTGCGCAGATAGAGATTATCATCACCGCCCCCCCGTTTGTCGATATGCCGCTAAGCGCCGAAAATCAACCGTGTTCAAACTCCTCTCTCTGTGACACTTCGTCACAACGGCGCGCGAGGGACGGACTTTTGGTTCATTCATCGTCACAATCCATGGGCGACGATCCTAGATACATTGCACTGGCTCCCTTAGAATGCTTTGTCTAGCCACAAACGTCTAATCTTAATTTTTATCCGCGTGTGAAGTAGTGAGAGAGTGAGAGAGGAGAAGAGGAGAGAGGAGAGCACAGCACCAGCTTGGGCTGAGCAGATTGTTGAGCTGGAGCAGGACTGACGGACTACACCTGAGCCACAGCGGCAACGACGCTGAGCAGCATGGCGTCCACTTCTGGGTGGGTGCGGGTGATGACGCCGTCCATGTTCTCGAGCACTTCGATGCTCGGCAGCCGCTCCCGCGTCGCTGCGCCGTACCGTGCGGACTGCGGGTACATGGCCTCTCCAATCAGGCCCGAGTAGTCGATCCAGAGCTTGGACGGGTCTCGCTGTGCATCTGCGACGCCGCCGGTCGACCGAATGAGACGGCCGGGCGAGCGTGTCGCGTCGGCTCGGAGCGCCGCGACGGCCTCGGGCGAGAGGCGGAGGAGGAGCTTGACAGACCACTGGTCGATGCCGTGCCTCGACACCTCCTTGAGGTGGTGCCGTTGCATGCCCTCGGGCGGCGGGCTGGGCAGGTCCCACTCGAGGATGTCGGCGTCAAAGGCAATGACGCTCCAGATGATGCCCGGCCGGTTGACGGTGAGCGTCACGCGTCGAGTGGCGGCCTCGACATCGATCTCGTCCTCGGTGGCACGGACCATGAAGTCGGCCTGCTGCGGGTGGCCCAGCGTCCAGGGCGACGAAACAGCGGGCTCGGCCATGGCAAACTTGTACGGCGTAATAAAGTTGGAGACGGGGTACAGGATGTCGTAGTCGGTGTTGTACTCATCCATCGCCGGGTGGCTCGGTGGCAGCGCGGGAATGCCGATGTTTGCGTGAACATCCTCAACGATTCGGCTGAGGCCGGCGACGTCGGGGTCAGCACCACCCATGTTCATCCAGAAGCTGTCGTCGGTGAGGTTCTGGACGTAATGGACAAAGACGCGCTTGGGGTGCGCTGCGTCGAATGTCGGCAGGGCTGGCGACGCATAGATGGCAATCGAAAGCGCCGAGAGAGCCAGGCCGGCCAAGATGGCCTTTTGCAGCCTTTGGGTGCCCATGCGATGGGCGAGGGGAAGCGTCACGGGGAGGCAGAGGAAGCTAAGGGCAGCGACAATCGACGAGACAATGTGGTCGGCCGGAGAGATCTCGCCGGTCCTCCCCGTGAGGGGCACAAAGAGGTCCAAGAAGGAAGCGAGGCCCTCGACGCCCACGATGGCGGGCACGATGGAGAGGACGAAGTAGGTGGCGGGATGGACACGTTTGTGCGGTTGCACCTCACCGGCATCGATGGCCGGGTATCCCACGAGGGCGAGGTCGTTGATAATAACGCTGGCAATCGATGCGGCCGAGCCAAGCGCACAGAGATAGGCCGACCCAATGCCTGCCGCATTGAGGCCGAGGAGAGACAGGGTGAAGAAGATGGAGAGGCCATCGAGGCAGGCCCGTCTGGGAGACAATCATAGAGCCATGTCAGCAACACTGCGAGAGAGCCAGCGGAAGCGGATGGCGACGGCGACGGCGACGGCGACTCACTCGAGATAAGCCCTCTTTGACTTGTCCGTGCCGAGGGAAAAGAGGAGCTGCGTCGTCAGCACGGCCGTCACGGCCGGTGGGCCAAAGAGGCCGAGCGGGAGCATCTCATGGGTGAACCAGCTGAGGCTCTTTCCCAGGAGCTGTGTCATGACAAGGGCCACGACGTTGCTGGCGACGAGGGCGGCCACCAGACTGGCGAGTGTGAAAAAGACGGCGAGAATGACGGCACGCAGCGAGCCAAACCTGAGGTCGGCGCGGACCATGGTCGAGAGGAAGAAGTTGAGCAAGCCGCAGAGGACATAGGTGATCGTCTGGAAGGCCTGCGGGCGGATGTTGAAGAAGAGGCGACCGGCGACAGAGAAGTAGATCGGCGGCTGCTTCTTGGGAAAGGCTCGGTTGACGGCCAGCTTCGATTGCGGCGACGAGGCCAGGTGCTCAACGATGGCAATGATGTCTGCGGGAACAGTCCATGTCAGCACAAGCCAAGAAGCAGTGAGGTCTTTCTACAGCATGCATATACGCACTCTCGCCAAAGTGCTGGATCATGCCCGGTTGAAAGTGCTCAATGAGGTCCTTGCGGGTGTGGTAGAGGTAGGAGTTGCCGACGACGGCCATATCGAGACCCGAGAGACCGCCGTACTGGACAAACTGCCGGAAGTCGGTGTCGGAGAGGATGAGTCCGGTCGAGAAGACGTCGTTGGCAAGCACAGTACCAAAGGGGTGGGGCACCGTAGCATAGGCATCGACAAAGGGCACGCTCGTGGCCTGGAACAGCAGTTCGGGGCCCGACACGCCGCATGCCTCGAGGTTGACGACGCCGCGGACAGAGCCCATGGTCTCGTTGTGCTGGGTAGCGTAGAGGTGCGATGCGTCCTGGAGCGACTCCTCGCCGTTGTTGAAGAGGAGAATGACCGAGTGACGGAGCCGGGGACGGGGAGGGGTCGTGAGGATTCGCAGCAGCTCGACCAGGATGGCGACGCCGACACCGTCGTCGGCCGCGCCTGGGCTGGGCAGGGTGCTGTCGAGGTGCGCATTGAGGAGCACCGCGTGCTCCTTGCCCTCCTCGGTGCCGTCCGAGATGCGGACGATGACATTGGACATGCTGTAGTACTTTTTCCACACGACCGAGGACATGAAGTCGAACCGGTGGGCACCATCGCCGATCTGAGTCCACACCTCGACCTCGGTATCGCCGCGCGTGTCAGTCGGTCGTGTGACATTGTTCCCCGGGCCCATGTCGTCGTCGAGGGTGACTGTGCGGTGCCAGCCCTCGTAGGACTTGACGATGCCCTCGAGGAGGTGCTCGGCCTCGACGTGCTCGCTGGTGCCGACGATGCGGTAGCCAATGTCCTCGCTGAGCTTGCGAATGAGGTCCAGCGCAGCCTCTTCGGAGAACTTGGCGCGAGTCGAGCCGTCTGCGGCGCTCCCATCGGCAATCGAGAGCGGCGTGGGCAGCGTGTAGTGCGTCCAGAGGATGGCCGTCATGACGAGGAGATTGAAGGCAACAAGGAGGAAGAAGTGCAGGTAGGAGAACGAGGCGCCGGCGAGGCCAGCAGCTGCGTCGCTGCTGCTCGTCGTGAAAGACACCCGCGTCGTCGTTGTCGTCGTCGTCGTTGTCGCCCCTGTCTTGGCCTTGTTCTTCGACGACGACGACGACGATGACGGAGACGTCGGCGAAGGAGCGCCAGCAGCTCCCTTTTTCTTGGGCGCCATCGTGGTCGTAAGTGTAGTCACAGCGAAGGGTTTCTCCAATGGATCGGGAGACTAAAATGTCTGCGAGTGCGCGCGAAGAAGAAGCAGCCAGCCTAGCTAGCTTGCTCGACGCACGGATCGCAAAATCCGCCCAAAAGACGCAAACAGGCCCGATTCCAAATGCAAAAAGGCGCGTACAAGCGAGAAATACCTCAGTAGTAATGGTGGTATTAGGGAGAAGGGGGGGTTCAATGAATTGCTCTATGGTGACAGTCAAGGGGACAAGCCAATGCGCCGAATTGCCCTGCCCTGGTCAAGGAACATGTACTCGCCAAATCCGCTCGGCCATTCGTGCTCAAAGTGGCTCACCAGGACCACGGCCAAGTTCTTTCTCCAGTTGGCCTCTGCACCACCCTCTTCCTGGTGGTCCTGCAGAAAGTGTCGGACGGCGTCGATCTGCGTCGAGTCCATTCCTTGGAAAGGCTCGTCCAGAATTAGAAGCCGAGGCCGCTGAATAATGGCGCGCATGAAGAGGACCACAGCCTGGCTTCCACTGGTAAGATCGATAAAGGGCCTCCTGAGCATCTCGTCACGGTCGTCTGCCGCCATCGTGGCCGGTCCCATTCGAAAAGAGATGGTACTTTTGAAGCGATCGGCAAGCGCTCGAATAGCCTCAAGCTGATCAGGTCTCCATGTGGCCCGGGCGTACGTACCTTCAAGCCCGCAGCCGATGGCATCGACAACGCGCAGGCCGCCGCTCTCGAGGCCCTTTCGAGGAAACGCAGCCAGGAGGTCGGGGCCAAAGTAGCCGATCTTGCGGGCTAAAAGCTTTGAGGCATTCTCTGCGCTCGTTCTTGTCCGGCCAAAGAGACGGAACTTGGACGGGTCGAGGGAGAACGTCATGGGATGAATGCCCATAAGGAGGGAAAGTAGCGTCGTCTTGCCAGAGCCATTGTCGCCTTGCAGAATCATGCGTGACCCCGGCCGCAATGCCAGAGAGATGTTCTGAGGGTGGCAATTGTTAGCAGTAATACCACGTTAGAATCGAAAGGAAGGGTATGACTCTCACATCGAGGACCACCTTGTCGCCGTACTGGATGCTGACATCGCGCAGCTCGATGAGGCCCTCTCCGCGGCCCGTACCTTTTCCCTCGCCGTGATTCCTCTCAATAGCCATGATTCCTGTCTCTTCGTGCTGGCCTTCACCCTCTGCCAGGGCTCGTCTTTTCTCCCATTCCTGCTTCGACCCCAGCCAGAGGTGGCCCTGGCTGTCGACGTCGATGACATCGGTGATGATGTCGGGCATCTCATCCTGCCTGCGCAGGAGCACCACGACGCGGGTACCCGATCGATGCAGATCGCCAAGTACGGCCGTCAGACGCTTCCTCGATGGCGGATCCAGGCCAGAGTAGGGCTCCGACAGCACAAGGAGGAGAGAAGACTGGGAGGAAGGCGATGAAGGAGATGCCGACTTGTCGCGGATCTGCTCCTCCTCCCCACTGATTATCTCTCTACGGCCGTGAAGTTTGACGAGCGACGAGAGGATCCTTGCCCTCCTCGTCTGGCCATTACTGAGCGACACAAGCGGCTGGTCGAGTAGCCGGACGCCGTGACCCGCACCCGGCCCGGGCCTGTCGAGCGCAAAGAGCTTGGCGTACTCCTCGATGCGATCCTTCGCCGCTCTCGCCGCCCTCCTCGTTTCCGGGGTCGCGATACCACTCGGTAGTACGTGCGGCTTTGCCTGAGATGACTCGCCTGCCGCCGGTATTTGCTCCCCTTCCTCCGCCTGCTCATCGACGAGGGGATCTTCGACGATGTTGGCGCGTGCGATGCGCCCTACGTGGAAGCCCATGACCTCCATGAGCGCCTCAAACAGCGTCGTCTGGTCCTCGCCCCGCAGCGCTCCATAGCGGGCAGTAAAATTACTAAAGTCGCTGCCGCCCGCGTGCTGCCGCACAAACGAGGCGTGCTGGATGCGCGACGGCAGCGAGCGGGAGTCGTCGACAAACGGGTGGAGGTGGCCGTGCATCCTGGGCTCAGCTCCATCGGAGGCGGCAGCGGTGGCGGCGGCCACCTGGGGCCGTGACTGGCCGAGGATATGGGAGAGCAGGACGAGCTGGAGCGCCTTGCCGGGCCCCGACGACGAGCTGGGCCCGACGAGGGCAAAGATGCGGTCGCTCGCGTCGGGAATCGTCAGCGAGAGCGTCGGTGGCGCCGCGAGGTGCTTGACGATGGCATCCTCGAGCCTGAAGAGCGGTGGCCGGCGTGCAGCCTGCACAATCCGCGATGGCCCGCTGCAGAAGCCCCGCAGCAGGCGCAGCCGCGGAGAAGGCACCATACTCTAGGCTACACCACTACTTGCTCAGAATGTGCGCTTCTCGACGATCTTCCTGACTCGGACTCTATTTCTCCCCCCGCGTCGATGCAACGTCGCCTCACGTGCGCCAATGGACATCATCGTCATTTTATTCAAGCTTTGGAGTGAGAAAAGGAAGAAGACGTTACAGGAGAGGAGTGGCATGTCGCCCAAACATAAGTGACCGCCCACGCCCAAGCGACCACTCCCGCCCTCTTGAGACCTCCCGTCGCCTTTCTTCCCCCCTCTCCCTTCCAAGCCGCAGACTTAAGCCCCCCGATGAGGGAAGACCAGGGCTGGGGCTGGAGAAGAAAAAGGGACAAGAAAGGAACAAAGAGAGAGGGCAGGAGACAGACAATAGACGGGGCGGTGTCTGAGAGGGCATTGAGTCTACCACCTGACAAAAATTGATAGCAGCTACGTGTGTGAGCATGCCAACAGAGTGTTTGGTGGGGGAGAAGGAAAATTAGGATCCCTCGTTGCAGGTCGTCAATGGTCGAAAGCGGGGCGTCAAAGCGGTCGGCATCGCTCCAAGCATGCACAGAGCACAATGTCGGGGCATCTTGTCATGTCATTGGCGGTGAGAGAGCGCCCAGCGCCTCTTTTCACAGGGTCGGTAGTCAAGAGAGGAAAAAGAGAAAATTGAGGACGATCTTTATTTTTTTTCTTCTGCTTTTCCGGCTGCTCCTCACGTGGCGCGCCGCTCGACGCTCCCTCACTGATCTTGCTTCGCCAAGCACAGAGCTTCTCGAGAAGCTACGCATGGCAACTCCTTGCTGTGGGTACCGGTGACTGACTCTGACCCTCCAGCATACCATCGAGACAAGCAGAAGGGGGTTCATTGTCGAACACTAGCGCGCTTGGGCACTGTGAGCGAAGAAGGGAAGAAGTTCTGGCAGCATCGTGTCTCGTAAAGAAATTCGTAGACATCTCGACGTGCAGGAGGATATGACCCCTCGCCTAACATTGGCGTGGGAAGATGACCCTTGGATGGTAATCCAGTTTCATGCTGCGGCTGCATAGATGGCAGAAACAAAGGCCCTGATACATTGAGAAGTCGAAAGAAAAAGTACAGAAGAAAGCAAGAGAGGAGGAAAGGTAGATACAACGGTTGGATAGAATCTATCGAGAAGAGGTAATGTCCGTGTGTGGTGCCCAATGAGACGAGGAAAAGAGCAGAGGGAAAGTAACGACCGAGAATGGCAGGAGCCTGAGCATGAATCTTGAGATGGATACATCCATATGGTGAGAGAGAGATGATAATGTTGAGTGGGACTGTGCTGGTAATGAGATGGACGCTTTCCTGTAAGCGATTTTGATTGTCCGTTACACGACGCTCGACGTCTTTGCGTGTCGTTTCCGGCCCCGTGAGAGGATCGAGTCAAGGCCGAGACTGGACCCCAAGCTGGATCGCCGTGCCGGCCCGGCCTCGCTTTGATGTCGGTTGCTCTGAGACGGGCTGCTAGGGACGGCATCTGCTGCCGCCTCGACCTTGGCCTTCTCGATGCTGCTCCGCTCCTTTTCCCACATCCGTTGCGTATGCCGCCGGAGTGCATTCGAATAGGCCAATGCCGCTTCGAGGCTTGCATCATCCATCTTGGGACGCGCTTCGCTCTCCGACGTGGGGCTCTGACTTCCACCACCCAACGAGAGCTGGCCCGACCCGCTGGGGCTCAAGGGCGACGACGTTGTGCTGCTGCTACTGTCGCTGCTGCTGCTTCCGCTGCTCGACGATAGCCTCGAAGCTGTGTCGACCGTCGTCGGAATGCGTCCGCTACTAAGTGGCGAGATGAACGCGGGCCCGCCAATGGGCACGACTGAATGCGACGGCATCGTCTTGGATCGCCTCTCTGCTCTGCTTCTGCGGTGTGGTTCGACTCAGCTGATGCGTATCGTTGTCAGGAAGAGAAAGAGGGAGTTGTGGAGATTTCTCAAGAATTCAAGTCCGTTGGAAGGTGGATCTCAAGATAAAGAAGACATACGGCACGGCAGCTTGGTGCGGGCCTAAGACACCGAATGGCATAAAGCTTCCGGGCGTCGATGAATGCTGCAATCGGCACGTCATGGCCGAAAACAATTTATTTATTTCTTCTCTTAGATTTTCGGCGCGACCAGATTTCTTTTATTTATCTCAACGCTTCTCCACACCGGATCCGGTGGTGCGTCATTGCTTCGAGCCACGTGTTTGCCCCATGGTCACGGTTCCAGCTAGTCTTCTATCCGGTCTTGGGGTATTTTACCCGTGGGAAGCATAGCGGTGGGAAAGAAAAGTAGAGGCAATATAGAGCAGATGGAGCAGTGGCGGGCCGCTTTCTGGTGGACAGAACAAGCCACGAGGAGAAGGGTAAAGCAAACAAGACTAATTGACCCGAGCAGCAGACCGCTGACAGAGGGTTTATGATGTCGGAAGGGAAAGGATTAGCCGTTATATCCGCTCGGTCCACATCGACGACTGTCTCCTTCTCTTCATCCCTGGGACCTTAAAAGGAACGACTGCCCTCTTCACAACGCACACCTATACAGCATGGCGCAACGACAGACCGCAGCTGAGGCCAACGCGACGCGGCCCGACTTCAATTCGAAGCTGGGCTTCGAGAAGTCGGCGCCCGTAGACCGCGAGTGGAAGGCGGGGCAGGGTCTCAATGCCCACAGCGCCACGGAGCGTTTCACGCCCGCGCAGACGCCCGGCTACCACGTCATTGAGATTGGCAAGACGGAAGTCAAGGCGGGCGACCTCTACAAGGTCATGTGTGGCAACATCGCGCCGCGCCCCGTCGCTCTTGTGGGCACGTACAACGAGCAGGGCTTGCCGAACCTGGCGCCCATTAGCTGGTACCAGATGGTGTCGCATGACCCGCCCATGGCCATGATCTCCTTTGGCGGGAGCGGCGCCGAGGGCAAGCTCAAGGACAGCGACCGCAACATCCGGCGCAACAAGTGCTACACCATCTCCTCGTCGTGAGTGCCCATGTGTCGCCATGTCTCTCTTCAATCCTGATCTCACAGATGGCAATACAGCTGCGAGCCCTACCTCGAAGCACTTAACTACGCTAGCATCGATGCGCCGCCCAACACGTCTGAATTTGCGTTGGCTGGCCTTACGCCTGTTCCCGGGCGCACCGTCAATGCGCCCCGGGTTGGTGTGAGTGGCTTCTGCTCCGACCCATGCTTCCTTCCTAGCGAGTACTGACAAAACACACACACACACTCTCTCTCTCTCTCTCGTCAGGAGGCGCCCTTTTCGATGGAGCTCGAAGTCGACTTTACAAAGGAGTGGAACGGCGCAGCGGGCCATCACACGACGACGATGGTCGTGGGCAAGATCAAGATGCTCCATCTCCGCAAGGACATTTTCAACCCCGACTACTCCATCGTGAGTCTTGACCCTAGCTTTCCACAACCAGTGCATGGCTGACGACAGCTGCCTCTGCCCAGGACATCTCCAAGACCATGCCTGTCTCGCGGTTCGGCGGCCTGACGTACGGCAGGACCGTCGCCGGCTACGACCTGGACCGGCCCAAGTGGTCGGACATCGAGAAGGACGCCCATGTCAAGGAAGTCCTCGCAACGGGGCCAAAGGCGCCGCCCGCCAATTTTGACAAGGACGACGTCCTCCCTCACTTTCCCCCCCGCAGCGACTCGTCGTCTTTGTGATAAGAAGAAGTGCAGTAAATAGTATTCTTTTTCTCCATTTGTCTAGCGATATTTCCACGACTCTTCGTCCCATTTCTCTACCAGCGAAGCATCGTTCTGACCCAGACTTGTCAGCGCGCGATGAACAATCGAAAGAGCGGCGTGAGAAAGGGGGCCCACCTTGTATTTGGGACCGAAGCCGGCAAAGCCATCGCGGAGCACCTGGACCTGCTGCTCGTCCTGCTGCCCGCTGCCCAGTGGCTTGATCTTGCCCGTGGCAATGGCCTCGTCGCGCGTCTCGCGATAGATGCGCGCCGCCTTGGGCCCTCTGCGAGCGACATGACGTAGGTCAGTAACGTCGTGTGAGTGAGGTTGTTGGGCACTCGGCAGAACTCACCTGGACTGAGATAGGGAGCAGTGGAAGATGACTTGACGAGCTGGTGATTAGCAAGTGTGATTGGTCAGCTCATGCGAATGAAGTCAGCGAGATGGGTGGTACGCACCGTCTCTCAGGGGACCCGTGACCAGACCCTGGACCTCGTCGTTGAAGCGCGTGCTGGGCACATGAAGCGCGCCGACGAGATTGCCGCCCTCAAAGTCGTCGTCGCGCACATCGACGACCTTGACGTCCTTTGGCCTGCTGCGCCACAGCTCTGCCAGGCTCGAGTCGCTGATGTAGCTGTAGGGCCGCGCAAAGGACATGGTGTGCAGAGAATGGTGAAGTGTCTGTCGAAGGAGCGCGATGGACATTGGACGGAGGAAGAGGTCAGTTCAGAGAGATGAAATTTCCTAGCGCGCGATGGCCTAGCTGCCTTGCCTGCCCTCCACTTTCGCGCACCTCGCACGACACACGGACTATCATAGCAACGCCCACTTCCGCTAGCCATCATACATCTGAGCGACGCACGACGGGCAGCTCGATGGCGGGAACAACAACGACGATGGCAGGGCACGTCCACGGCTACTGCGCGTGCGGCCGCCTGCGCTATACGATCGACTGCAGCAACCTCGACTCGGACCTGACGCTGTCGGCCTTCTGCCACTGCTCGCGCTGCCAACGCATCAACGGCGCCCCCTTTGTTCACTCGCTGCACCTCAAGTACCCCGCCGTCACCTGGGACCCTAAGCCAGAGAAGCAGAGCGGCGATCCTCCACGAGCCCCCGAGACGGGTTTCAGCGCGCAGGTCGAGACGTACGAGAGCCTGCCGGGGAAAAAGTGGAAGCTGCGGTGCAAGACGTGCGGCAGTCCCATGGGCACCTGGAATGGCGAGCGATCAAAGTGAGTTTTGTCGCAAGAATAGCTTGTCCCCCTCTCTCGTAGTGATCCCTGATCCATCCATGTCTGTGCCAGATGGACCATCTGGCCAAATACGATTGCGCGGAAACCAACGGAAAAGACGTCGGGTAATCTGGCCGAGGGGCCCTTTGACATACCCGCAGATATCCTGCCCCGCTTCAAAGCCAACCACCATCAGTTCTACGGGCCATGGCGGACGATGGACGTCTATGATGGCCTCGACAAGTTCGTCGGCTACAAGGACATCAGCCAAAAGGTGGACGACGAAGGCAGGGCACTCGACTCATGAAAACAGTAGAGAGCACAAATGAGAAAAGGGGGGAAGCGCCATGACAAGCGTGGAAAAGTGAACATTGTCGACGGCCGCTGTCGCATTCTAGAGAGAGAGAAGGTTCATAGATACCAAGGAGAGCCAAAATAAGATCCCACCGTGAACAGCTCTCAGTATTGTTCGAGCACAGGCCGAGCTGAGCCGACCGTGCCCGAGAGGGGGAATGGAAAGAAAAAGGAGATCGAATGGGAGTGGTTCTTGCACATCAGTGTGCCGCTATTGCGGGAGGCATGGCCCCGTGTCCAGCAGCAACATTTCCATGTGCGTGAGCGTGTTTGGCCTGTCCACGGAGATGCATGAGCTTGGAGATGAGATCCTTTTTGCCCTTCGCCTCCTTGACGTCCATGGTGGCCAGCGAGTGGAAAGCGTGCATGAGCACCTGTCGTCTCGTCATCTCAGCAAGGGATGTCCAGTGAAGCGCTTGGAAAGTGAATAGAAGGAGGCAGCTCACAATAACTCCGTAGTCGGTCTCGCTTGCGAGCTCAATATCCTTGCCCTTGCCAATCTCCATGTGCGACTTTGGCTTCGTGGAGTCTTTGCGGACCTGTGATGATTACCCTCAGCTTTTGTCTTTTGCTCTTCGTCTCAACCAAGAGAGAGACACTCTGGCACCTTTTCGACTTACCCTGACGATGAAGCAGCCGCCGGCCATCTGTCCCGTACTTTCGGGCATCAGCTCCTTGTAGGAGCCCACCTTGTAGAGGGCGCGGATATGGTACGGGCTGTCTTGCGGCTCTTTGATCGTAAGCATGATGCGCTCCATCATAGTGCTGAGGGAACATGTCTGGGGAGGGCAGCGAATATCTGTGTGAGTCAAGTTGGTCGGATAGAGAGACGAGCACTCTTGCAGCAGCCTTACATCGTTGTAAAGCTTGTTGAGCGTCGCGCCCTTGGTGAAGTTGGCGTAGAGCTGGGGTTTGACAGCGAAGCCGCTGTGGTTGGGCAGACACGGAGAGCGAGCTTCAGCTTGAGGAACAAGGCGACACTGAACAAGCAAGACGCTCACGTAAGATTCATGCCAATGCGAAGCAGCTGCTCCGTGTATGGCTCATCGAGCGTAAGGCCCTCCCACATATGGGGGTTTGGTTCTCCCTTCACCTGGCTTGGCTTGCCCCCTGCTGAAGCTGCCAAGCCTCCTTGTCCATGGAGCTGCTGCTGCTGCTGCTGCTGCATCATCTGGGGAACCTGATGCTCCATTTGAATAGCGGTGGCCATTGACGAGAGAAGCGAGAGAAGAGAAAGCACCACGGCGAGAAGGAGAAAGGGGCTGATGGTCGCGGTGTGCCGACGACTGCAAATGAATGTCTTGAGGACCATGGTCAGCTGACCTAGTGTTTCGTCCTGAAACGGAACAGAATGGAGGAAAGGAAGCAAGGAAAGAGGGATGGAGGGTGATGACGGCGGCGGCGGTGGTGGTGGTGGTAAGGGGGATGCTGCTGTCGTCCAAGCCAAGACGGCCAGCCAGCACGAGCAAAGGAGCGGAGAGTGGCGATTGGAGGCCGCGGTAGAAGAAAAAGGGAGGGGGGCCCTATAGTAGCTACTTTGCACCAATCAATTGGTTGATAGACGACGGAATCTAGTGTGCATTGGCTGCTGTCTCGATGCTCCGCTCTAAACATCGACTGGGCTGATGCGAAGGCGGAGCGGGGAGCGGCCCGTGCTGTCTCTCATTCGGAGACGAAAGCTCGAGCCATTCTGCCCGAGAGCGGCCATGGGCTAGCAGGAGCTGATTGCAAGGGAACAACAGTTCGATGGCTGTGCGTCCAAAGCTCGCTTCGTGGGCAAAAGAACACCCGGCCTTAGCTCTGTCGCCGGCAGCGGTGTCATCTCACACACCGCTCTCCGTATTCGTCAAAGCGGCCGCAGGAACTGACGTAGAAGGATTGGGCCGCCGCGACGTGGTGGTCCCTTTTCCTGTCATCTCCTCTACATCCATCTTCATTCTCCTCTTTCGGCTATCTCTACCCTCGCGGCTTTCCAATGATTATCTCCCCCCCCCCTCTTTGGGCGAAATATCAAACTGACATACGATTCCTGTAAACAAAGCATCACATGGTGTTGCCGTCCTTTGCAGCAGCCCAGGCGTCGTCAAAAGGCTTTCCCCAGCCTCCTGGTGGCTCGTCTGTCATGGCGAGATCTTGTATCTCAAGGTCGTGCTCAGAGGGAAAGGGGGGGAGCTTGCCCGGCTGAACGTTTCCACCGACGGCAATGTTCATGATGACCTGGAAGTCCCGCATTGACCGGGTGCCCGCCGGCACCGTGGCCCTCATGGTGGGGCACCCGTCGGTGAACCAGAGGAGCCGAGCACCCTCGCTGTCGCCCTCCCAGGCAAAGCCATACCAATGGCCTGGCTTGCGGTCCATGTTAGCCGTCGGGGTCTTGAGTACGCGATGCTTGTCCCAGTCTTTGCCGTCGTAGTGTCCGTTGTGAAAGCTCGTGCCGTTGTGCTCAAGAGCGTTCCATGTTTCGACAATGTCAACCTCGCCGTCGTATGGCCAACTGAAAGGCTTCTTTGGGAGGGCCCAAAAGGCCGGCCAGATCCCCGCTGTGCAAACAGGTAAGGTGAGTGGCCTGTGCAGCGAGATGAGAGGAAGAGAGTCAGGACAGGAACACTCACGTGCCAACGGAACAACGATCCTGGCGGAGACGTAGCCCCTGGGCCGCTCGAGCGTCTGCCGGCTGATCAGCCTCGCGCTCGTCACCTTGCCGTCGGGGCGGGCACAGGCGCGCACCACCAGGACGCCCTCGCCATCGCCGTCGCCATCGAGCCTTACAAAAGCATTCTCGGGCGAGTCTGTGTACTCCTGCGCCTCGTTGTTTCCCCAGCCGCCAGCTCCAAGATCATAGGTGAACAACTCGGCCAGGGGCCGAGAGAGGTCGCATCGCCAGTAGGTCGTCATGGTCCTGCTCCTGTGAAGCCAATTCAACCTTCCGTGAGCACGGACCAAGGCGAAAAAGTGGCACGTGCGCGCTTCCTTCTCAGACGTTTAGAGGACCGGGTCGCCTTGGGTGAAGGCAAGGGACTGTTTGTGCGAGGCAGAGGTGGCGAAGAAAGAGGCGACGAGGTGCAAGAGATTGTTTGAGGGGAGAAGTAGTGAGCGAGAAAGGGGTCGAGAGGAAGGGCTCAATCTGGAGAGAAGGAGCGCCCGAGCCTCTCCCGGGCGTCTAAATCGGCTGCCATCCAGCCAGAAATCTTCTTGTTTTCATGCGCTTTCATTTCTTCTATGATCTTTGACATGCAAGAGGACAATGCTGAATGCTCGCTTTGATCTAAACTGATACATGCTTCAAATAGTACTTGTCGTGGGTCTTACCTGCGTTGCGATACCTTGGCCCTTTCCTTCTATCTCCATACAGAACGTCTATTGGTCATGGGCTTCGCCCCTCTTTTTGGAACGATCTCCAGAGCCACGGCCCCTCCCACGGCCCCTGCCCCCTCTACCCCTTCCTCCCCTACCCCCACCACCCCTACCCCCACCGCCTCCGCCGCCGCGGATCCCTCCACGACTGGAGCCGTCCCTTGCGTAATGCGATTTCCACATGTTGTTCTCCACCACGGGCTTGCTCGGGTACCCCTCTGGGCTGCCTTCGGCCCGAGTCCACGGATGGTGGGCTTCCGTATGAGGCAGGCCTTCAAGCACAGGCAACCAAGCCTTGACATATTTGGCTGGTCGCTCAGAACGTCAGCAGACTTGCACTTTCGTAGCCGACGAACGCTGTATATCTCACCTTGCTGATCGTAGTCCTTTGCTTGCTTGATGGGATTGAATTGTCGAGACGCACGAGGGTCGTTTCCAACTCCGGCAACGTACTGCCAGTTTCCGTAGTTGCTCGCTGGGTCATAGTCGACGAGGAGGTGCTCGAACCATTCAGCACCCAGCCTCCAGTCGTAGTAGAGGTCCTTTGTCAGCAGCGAGGCAACATTCTGGCGGCCCCTATTTGACATGAAGCTAGAGAGTTTTCCCAAGAGTCAGCACAAGTCTTCCATGCTAATGCTTGCTTGCTTCGACACCCACCCAGTGGCAGCCAGCTCCTTCATGTTGGCGTCGATGAGGGGAACCCCCGTCTCGAAGGTAGCCCACCGGACGAAAGCATCGCCCTTGTCGTCGAAGCTCCTTGGCTGGATCCAATCGCGGGCCTTTTGGTCACTCGTCTTCTCGTCGAGCTCTCCTTCGATTCCATAGATCGTATATAGGCTTGAGCCGTACTTGAGTGAGACCAGCCGGAAGTAGTCTCTCCAGAGAAGCTCAAAGATGATCCAGTAACCGCCACCGTCGCGGCCTTTTGCGCCGTTGCTCTTGTCAAGTTGGGTGGCTCTATGCGCAATCGTTCGGGCCGAGAGCAGTCCGTGCGCGAGTGCAGAGGAGAACTGAGCGGAGACGCAGAGTAGTCAGTACAAAGAGGAACATCGTCTCCGTTGCGCCGAAAGGGATTATTCTCACCTTTGTTGAATAGTCTGCTCCGAGCATCTCATTCCTCGTGTCCTTGTAGGTAGCTGCTGGAGCCTGCTTGCCTCCGCCAAAGTAGTGCTCCAATCTAGCGAGCGCCTCGGTCTCACCACCCTTGAACGGCAACGCATTGGGAAGGTCTTGGCCTTTGAGCTGGCCCAGAACCGGCAGCGGCCCTGGCTCCTTGTCCAATGGCGCCAACAGCTGCTCGGTGAGGTTCTCTTCGCTGACATCGTCACCGACCTTGAACACGCCCGGCCCATTGTCGACCTTGGGCACCTCCACAAATGGCAGGAGCTTGTCGGGTGCTGGCTCGGGCGGCTTGAACATATCGGGTGCCTCGACACGCTTGCGAAAGTGGGTAAAGACGTCGGGGAGGTCCTTGATGTCAAAGGGAAGGTCCTTTGGGTCAATGAGGCTGCTGTTCTCCACGAGCTTCAGCGGCGTCTGGCTTGGCGCGAGGGCCTTCTTGATGCGCTTCTCTGTGTTGACCTCCTCCGTGTGAGGCTTTCCTGTCTGTCAGCTTCTTGTTCTCTTCTGGTCGCTGCGCCAAGCCTTGCAATTCTCACCTCGCCGCTCATCCAGACAGCTTCGACCTTGTCACCTTCACGCTGAAACGCTTCGACAAGCTTGGCCAAGACGACGTCAGGCTGGCCCGCCCAGATGGACAGATCAGAGCCCAGCTTCTTGAGACGAGCCTTGAGATCATAGACGGAGCGAGTCACAAAGCTGGCAAAGCAGTCCTTGTCAGCTCCGCTTCTACATCTTTCCTCAAACGCTTCTCCGCATTACAAGCTGCACCTTTCCACTCACCGTGTCCTGTGTGGCCCGCATCGCCAGAAGCCAGCAACTCTCGTCTTTGCGCCATTATGCCCGGGCCCTTTGCCCTTTGTCAGGCCCGTGATGCCCCCCACTTCGACGTACTTCTGGTCAAATACATAGACGGGGACGACGTGTGTGACATTTGGGAGCGCGCTGCTGCCTGGACGACAGGCCGAGAAGATGGCGTGGTCGTGCAAGCGCAGATCGGAGCGCAAAAGGGCAATAAGGATGCTCCTGGTCATTGTGTCTGCTTTGACGTCTGTTTGCTCATCTCTCCTCCACCATGTCCTTCTCTTCGACTTTATACAGGCATCATCTTCCTTTCCCACCCCCAGAAAGACAGGGTCGACTTGCGCGATGACGACAGTCGGCGTGATTACCTATGCACAAACCCCGATGCTTGATTTTTTTTTCCGATGGGCCTAATCGATCTCGAGCGTTGACGCGACGTAATAGTGGCAGCATATTTAGCAGCGCCGCAAATGTGCTGCATCTCATCGACACAGAAGAACACTTTTTTTTACTGAACTGAATCGCAGTAGTAGTTAATTGTTTCTCGTTCTCTCGGTGACTTGGGCTATCAAAGGAGTAGATAGGCAACGCTTTTCGTCTCATTTAGATCTTTGCCTTTCCCTTGGGCGGGTGCTCTGGGTCGGCTCGGACTCGAACGGCGACTTTGCCCCACGTCTTTCGGGCCTGCAGATCCTGAAGGGCCTCGGACAGGCTCTCAAGACCATCGTAGACTCGCTCATACACCGTCGGCTTGACTTCTCTCTTTTCGAGCATGCTCATGAGCGCCTCCCACGTCTCAGGGATCCGTTCGGGCTGACGTTATACGTATCGAGTCAGTAACCACATCTCTGAGTCTTGTCAGGACTAACTCACCTCGTTGGCAATGTATGCGCCCCAGAAGACACCAGTGATCGAGCAGTTCTGGTCGAATGGTCGTAAGGTCAGCGAAAGATATTGAGAAAGAACGTTTGTCTCCTCACCTTGAGCAGCACCATGTTGGCAGGAATCTTTTCGATGGTGCCGCCGACGAAGCCGACGACGACGATGCGCCCATTCCAGTTGATGACCTTGAGTGAGGGGTTGACCATGCCGACGGGATCGTAGACTACATCAACGCCGCCGTCGCACTGGTCCTTGACCTGCTTCTGCCAGTCCTTGTCGCGGTAGTTGACCACCACGTCAGCCCCGCCCACTGTCTTGCAGACCTTGAGCCTGTGATTGCAGAGGAATTTAAAAGTCAGAAATGGCAGAGTATTTTCGGATCAGAGACGGCTTACTTCTCGGCAGTGCCGGCGGTGGCGACGACTTTGGCGCCCATGGCCTTGGCGATCTGGATCGCACACAGCCCCACGCCGCCCGCTCCCGCGTGCACAAGCACCCATTCACCTAGGGGTAAGAAGGGAAAGCAGAGTCAGGCGCTGCAGGAGGATTGAGGCGAGGAGACGGGCACTACACTCACCCGGCTTGACATTTGCTCGGAACTTGAGTGCCGCATAGCTTGTGGGCCATGTCACAAACAGACCGGAAGCCTCCTCGAAGCTGATTCCGTCGGGAATGATCTGGAGCTGGTAGTACTCTGCCGTGACTTGTTCGGCGTACGAGCCATTCGCGGCGCCAAACACTCTCGTCTTTCCTGGGACAAAGTCGCAGCCCTCAGGGATGGGCGAGTCCTTGCTGATGATGCCTGCAATCTCGGCACCGGGCACGTAGGGGAATGGCTTCTTGACCTGGTACTTGCCCTGCACCTGAAGAATGTCGAAGAAGTTGAGCGCGGCCGAGTAGACGTCGACGAGGACCTCGGTCGAACCCTCTTCAATGACGGGCGGATCGCTTGTGACGAGCTTGGAGGGCAGGTCCTTGAGCTCGATGTCCTTGTCGATGAGGTAGCCCTTCATTCTGAATTTTGTGAAAGGGGGGAAGAGGTTCTTCGCAGAGCTGCTGTCCTCCAAGTGATGGCCTGGTGGATGGTGAAAGACGAGCTTTACTTTCTCCACAGTCTCTCTGGCTGCCTAGGCGGGACCGGGTGCCAAATCCGACCGAGAAGCGGTCGTCCGCGGATGTCGTCGCACGTGCCACTCTTTCTATTTCGAGCAAAGACATCCAATCTCATCTTCTCGTTGCCAGAGTCGTTGTCGTCGACAAGGACATGGAATGGCAGAATGACGACGATGGGGCCAAGAAGCAAGATTCGCTGCAAGACTACCTGATCCTCATCCTCACCGATTCCAATCTGCCCACAGGTGCGTCTGAAATATTTGAACGGCTCCTAATTCAGTGCCTTGCAGCTGAGTTGACGCCCACTCCCAACAATAGGCGGCTTCGTTGCATCGTCTGGGCTTGAGTCGTACTATGTCCACGGATTGCTGAGCGGGACGGGACTCCAAGGGTGTCTCGACTTTATTGAGCGGTCGCTTCAGACATACGCTCGTTCGTCCTTGCCGTTTCTTAGAGGTGCTCACGCGGCCGTCAGTGCGTACTGTCATGAGGAAAGGTCGCTCGACACGGCGTCAGCGACGACAACGAGCGTGATGCAGCGTCTTGCCGAGCTCGATGCCGGCTACCATACAATCACGCTCAATCACGTGGCACGCCGTGCGAGCATGGCGCAGGGCACCGCCCTCCTGACACTCTACACCAAGTCATTTGCTTGGGAGCTGGCCAAGCTCGACAAAGGGTCGAGCCGCGACGAGAGCAAGGCATCGCAGATCGTAAAGGCTTTCAAGAACGAGGTCAGGATTGGGAGCTCTCCGGGGCATCTTGCTGTGTGTTGGGGCGCATTTGCTGCCGCTCTCAACATCGAGCAGGAGCGCGCAACCCAGGTCCATCTCTTTCTCCAAGCGCGGGCTATCGTCTCCTCGGCCGTTCGTCTCAACATCGTCGGACCTTACCTGGCCCATAGTATCCTCGCATTCCACGTCAAGTCCCTGATCGAAGCGGCGGCACATTCCGCCGCCTCGCCTCTACAACTTGCGGCCACCCCTGCCCAAGTCGTGGCAGCAGACGATAACGTATTCGATGATGATGAGGACCAGGGCTGGGCCTGGGACTGGGACGACGAGGCTTTCTGGAAGCAAGAGTCTGGCCCAAAGACGACTTGGCCCTTGGGAGAACTGATCCAAGGCAGACACGATGCGCTACACTCGAGATTATTCAACTCATAACTGGGAACAATTATATCAATGTACAGTACAGGAAATGGCTAGAAACGAGGATCGAGCTCCATTCACACGCCCTTGTCGGCGAGGACACTATTCTTGAGATCCAGTGTGCCTTGCTTTGTCTCGAGGATGTGCTTGATCTCGACTGGCGGCTCATCGCCAAGCTTGTCCGCCCGATGCCATCGCTCGAGTCGTGTGAGCCCAAGGCACGGTCCGTACCTGTCAAGGCGGTCTCAGCCAAGGCAAAGGTCGGCTTCTTACGCACATCATACTCACGCTGGATCCAGATCAAAGACGCGCAGGATGTGGTCGATGCGATTCATGCCATCAGAGTGGACTTTGCACACCAGGTCAGCGCACATCATTAGCGAGGCCAGAGCTCCAGAGGCTCACTACTCACTCGGCTTGAGCTTGGGCATGCCCATCTTCTTCATGACATCGTCCCACAATCCATCGTAGGTCGGATCGTCTGGATCGAGCTCTTCCCGGCCATCCGCTTCGGTCAACTGCTCCTTGGTGTAAGCCGGCTTCTCCTGCTTGAGGTCGCTGGCAGACGACGACCTGCTGATCAGTGCCGACTTGCCCTTGGCATTGGTTGCCGCGGCCGCTTGCTGTGCTGCCGACGCTTTTGTCCCACCCTTTCCAAACGAGGAAAGCGTCGAGCGCTGTCGTGTTCCGGCTGTTTTTGGGCCCATGCTGTGCTCCCAGTCGCTCACCGGCTAAAGGGCTAGTCAACGAAGTCGCTGCTGAGCAGTGGAGAGTGAAGCAACACCCGATGAGCTAACGATGCACAATATTCAAAATATCCCACGTGTCTTATAAGTCTCCGTCATGTTAGACTGAAGCGCGCGTTTGGCTGACGACCTTGAAGAAGGAAATCTTTGGAGTGAATCAAGCTCTCACAATCACGCTTGGCAGGGCCAGTGATGGGTGCAAGGGCAGTGCAACGACCCGCGAAGCACTTATTTGCAAGAAAGTGAACAGAAGGCTACTGACACAGGTGGATGAAGGGAAGCGAATGCAAGTAGAAGAAGGGGACAGGCGTAATGAGCAATTAATCCTTGCACGTCTTCATGTTGTTGAAGACCTTGGGGATCGAGTCGCCGCTCTTGCCCTGAATCCAGCCGTTGAAGAACTGGTTGAGGTAGTCGAGGTTGTTTTGCGCGCAGGGGCTACCGCCATTCCGGCTAGTAGCGTCGTGGTAAGACATGCCGTCCGTCCAGCCATTGTACTGGCCGACAGCAAGCAAGACGTTGTTTTGGCTCTGGTCAAGGAGCTTCTTAAAGTACTTTGCCCCGCCGAGAGCATTCTGGGTGGCATCGTGCGGGTTGCTGATGCCCAGGCTCTGTGCTGTGCCGTCGGTGAGCTGCATCAGGCCAACCTCGCCATTCGGGCCCGTCGAGCCCTGGTTGCACGTCGACTCCTGCATGGCAAAGGCCATGAGGAACGTGGCGGGGACGCCTGTCTGCTGCGACGCGCTGTCAAAGGCGCTCTTGTACTTCTTGCAAGGGGCGAAGACGGAGCTCGAGGCGGCGGAAGACGAGTCGAGAACTTTGACTTGGCTGAGCTTGACTGCGGGCGGGTGCCAATTGCCAGATCCGCTCTTCTGAAGACCGCAGTTGAGGAAGTTAATGTTGCCGTTGGGGTACTGGGAGCTCGCGTCAGGCGCACACTGGCTTCCGGTGAATTTGGCCATGCCAATCAAGCCTTTTCCGCTGCTACTGCCAGAGCTACTGCTGCTGCTGCTGCTGCTGCTGCTGTCGCTGCCACTGTCATCGTTGCTGCTGTCGTTGCTTGTCTTGCTGCTTTTAGCACTCTTGCTGCTACTGCTGCTGTCAGAGCTTGAGCCACTGCTGGAACCGCTTCCCGAGCTGCTGCCAGAGCTGCTGCCAGAGCTGCTTCCAGAGCTGCCATTCTTGATCTTGGATGCGCTGTCCCCGGATCCGCTGCCGCTCTTGCTAGCACACCGCTTGGACCTCCTGGAGCCATGTGCGCGCTTGTGCATCGTGCTGCTGTGGTTGTTGCCGAGATGATCAACATCACGGTGAGCAAGGTGAGCGTGTGCGAACTCTTCTTCGAGCTCATTGGAAGCAACGGTGGGCGCCTTGTCCAGAATGTTGGTGTTGAGCGAGCGAGGGACATAGACGTTGCCACTTGGGCTCCTCTTGCCGACAGCTTCGAACGGGTGGGCATTCGAGAGCGTGGTGATTGACAGGAGAATTGCAGCGGAAACAATGACGTTGAGCTTCATGATGAATTGTCTTAGGCCGGGGTAGGTGGTCGTTTGTGGAAGTGTGTCAGAGCGTCAAGCCCTGTTGAGTGGTTCTTAGAGTTAAGCTTGAATCGAGAGTAGTCGAGTCTGATAAGAGAATGGGTGGAAGGATGTGCAACACAGTTGCAGAGAGCCTTCTTGCTTGAGAACGAAACGAAAACGAAAGGACAAAAGGTTGGTGACAGTGAAGAAGGGAAAAGGGGCGACGGGGATCCCCTTTTGACCAGTCTATCCAAAGAATAGCAGCTGTAGCAGCAGTAGTACTCGACTAGCAGTTCGTGCATGTGTTCCCTCGGTTCTGAGGCAAACAATGCATTATCCTGCTCTGATGCCTCTCGTCTTTGATCGCCAGAAAGAGACGCATGCGCCTTCGATGACATGGATAAAGGCACCTGGTCTGTCGACGGAGACCCCTGGCTGTGCCTTTTTCAAGAACCATGCAGGCCCATGCAGGTGTTCTATTGAATCGCAAGGGGCCACATTAATAAATCTGCCTGCGCCGAGGAAGAAAAACAAGCTCAGGCTAACAGAAAATTTCGTTATTCAAGGTCGGCGCGGTTTGCAAGCGACCATGTGATTCCATTCAGGCCTTGAACGACTCTTGAAGTCTGTCGTGGGCGTCGATTTGCCTGCGATGACGGTTAAATGCATCGAGGCAGCGACCAAAATTTCTAGGCACAGATGCGTAGGTGTTGCCTCTTATCGGAGGTCCGCGTGTTGCGCATGATGGGAGCAGAGTCGCACAATCGTTGCAAACATACTTGAGTTTGTGGCCTCGGTCGGTCTTGTCTTCACAGAAATGCGTTTTCCCCAATATGTCTCTAGCAAGCACGTAGATTTATGTCTTACAAACAGAAGTAGTATCAGATCCGGCTTACATCTCGGCCGTAGATGCCTCTCCTGATCCAGTCGGACATCAGCAGCAGTCTTGTCCTGAGGCTAACTTGCTCAGAGAGATAGAAGGATCTCCAAGCGTACATCGAGACAAGGCCGCCCACGAATGTATGCACGGGCCCGGGAATGGGCAGATCGAATGCAGCAGCATTGCCAATGTAGGCAAGTGCGCCCAAGTTGTGGTACTCGAATGGCTTGCTGACGTGGTCGTCGAGGTCGTATACGTCCGAGTCATCATGCGGGTTCATCTCCTTGCCCTCGTCTCTCCTCTTTGCCAGGTTGTTGAGCTTCTTGGCGAGGTACTTGCCCTGCTGTGAGGCGACTTGAGCCGTGGCAGGCAGGCTCGTCATCTTCTGTTGTGTCTCAAGGAGCATCTCTGCAATTTCGTTGAGACCCAATGTTCCGTTCTTGTCTCGGTCATAGCGCTCGAATAGCTCCTTGAGCTTGGTAAAGTGCTTGGATGCCAGCGGGTATTTTCGGCCAATCGATGCCGCCATGACCTGGAATTCGTCGTAGTTGAGTTGCCCATCGTCTAGAAGAGGATACTTTTCATCAGCTTCCTTCATCTTCACGTCAATTTTTCAAGGAAACGAAGCTTGGCATCACACTCACGGTCCGTATCGCTCTGGTCAACAAAGTCGTAGATGTGGTCGATGAGTCTCGTGTCGATTGTGCTTGCGTCGCCGAGCGCATACATGCTGCCCAGCGGGGCGCCCACGACACGGAGGTGCGAGTCAATCTGGAGGGCCTTGAGATGGGATTGGTTGGGGAGCAGCTGCGTGACCCTCTTCGTAAAGGGTGACATGGCAATGCCCGTCGACCAGAGGGTGAAGCCCGAGGGGACCTCCTTCTCCACCACTTTGCCCGTGGCTGGATCCTTGATCGAATAGACGACCTTGTCCGACTCGACGCGCTTGACACGCGCATTGACAATGACGTTGACGGCATCCCGGGCAAACTTACGCTCGGCATAGTCGGAGATGGCCTCGCTGTACGTGTTGAGAATGTGCTCCCTCGACTGGATCAGGTGAATATGGGCTGATGCCCTGAGAAGCTTTGGGTAGTAGTCAAGCACGTCCTCGTTGAGCATGTCGTAAATCTCGGCAGCCGTCTCGACGCCAGTGGGCCCACCACCACAGACGACAAAGCTGAGGAGCTGCTCGCGTTCCTCGGGCGTGGTTGTGGGCAGTGAGGCAATCTCGAGGTTGTCAAGAATGTGGCTTCGGATCCTTCTCGCGTCCGAGATCGTCTTGAGGTGGAAGCAATTCTCTAGGCCGGGAACGCCATGGTCGTTTGTGATGCTGCCCACGGCAACGACAATGCGGTCGTAGGGGACGTAGACGCGCTTTCCCATGTGTGTGCAGGATCCCTCCTTCGCCGAAACCGCATCTGGCTCGTGGCCATCGATGACCTCAACCTCGAGCAGGCGCTGCTGTCCGCCAGCTGCCTCAGGAAAGGTGTTGCCCATGACGATGTCGACGGCGCGGCCTTGGACATAGTGTCCCTTGACCTTGGCCAGGATCTTTCTGAGCGGCTCCACCAGCGACCGCGGCTCGACGGTGCCGACGGTGGCGCTCGGCAAGAGTGGCGTAAAGAGATAGAAGTTGTTGGGGGCAACGAGCGTCACGTCGTACTTTTCCGGGTCCAACGAGGAGAGCAGGGCCACGGCGCCCCATCCACCTCCCACGACGACGAGGCGTTCCTTCCTTTGTTGTTTGTCATCTTTATCGCGCCCTTCGATAAAGTCTGACACGATAGGCAGATTCTTCGGTCCGCCCGGTTGCGGGTGAAGAGCCAGCGGACTCGCCGGGACATTCTCGACGTGGGCATCGTGGTATGTCAGGGCGTCATGGCCAAGGATAATGGCCACAGTGGCACTGAGTCCAAAGATGATCGATCCGGTGCAGTAGGTGGTCCACTTGAGTACAGGATGCCGTTGCAGGAAGGACTTTCGAGGGGCAGCAGCAGGTGCCGGGTTCGGCGTCGCAAAGGGGGCCGATGGGCCAGTCGAACTGAGCCTGGGACGACCGACGACGAATTGGTGGATCTGCTTCTGCGGCCGGCGGGCCGTCCTGGCCGTTGTCGACAACAGCGATTGCCTCAGCATGCTCTCTTGATACCTTGCACGGACGTCTCTTCCTTTGTGTCGAGATAGATGGACGCAGGGTCAGAAGAAGAAGAATGGCGGGCCAGGCCCCGATTGGGTCTACAGTACTTGAGATCAGGACGAAATTCCAAAAAGCGCACGCACGGGCGCGAATAAAAGTTCAGGCTCGGGCGGCGTCTTCAGTCCGACTCTGGCTGGATTGATTTCCTCATCGTGCAGCAAGCAGCCAGCAGCCGCAAACCAAGTCCACTACACACATCTGAGCCACAATTTTTAGTACCGCCGCGGATGCGCGGATTTCTTCGTCCGACGACCCGTACCGTGGGTTGCAAAGTCTTCTCGCTTTGTCGAACAGGCTGGTGAGGCTGGACGTATATAGCACTCGAAATAGTCTTTTCGCGTGAATCCTGCGCCGTCATAGAACATAACTAGAAATCCACCTCACCACCATTGGAATATGACCAATGATCATAAAGAATTGCACACTATAACAAAGCTGTACTCATGATCTTTTGCACCCTTGCACAGCAATACACAAAAGAGAGAGGGTGGCACTCAGAGCTTAGACTGAGAGACGACAAGGCCGGAACCGGCCTGGAGCGACTCGACAGCCTCGTTGACCATGTTGTCAATGATCTGCTTGGCAGGCAGAATGTCGTCGAGGACGGCAGCAGCCTTGCCCAGCAAGTACCTCTCTCGCGCGCCCTCTTCGGCCGTGCCCTTCTCGTCGTCGTTCTCGAGGTCGTGGTACACCGGGATAACACCCTGGCTGGTGAGCTTCTTGATCTCGTCAGGACGGTCCTCCCAGCTCTGGATGTAGGGCGTGTTCCTGAGGCGAAGCGGCCGGCCCGTGAAGATGATGGTCCGCACGTCCGTCTCATGCGTGGAGGTGAGAACGGCCTCCTTGTGCTTCTTGGGTGCGCCCGATTCCACCGACGCCACGAAGCGGGTACCGACCCAAACGCCGTCGCTACCAAAGCACAGGGCAGCGGCCAGCGACTTGCCGCGCCAGATACCACCGGCGGCGACAGTGATGACGGGCTTTCCGGTCAGCGGGCTCTTGCTGCCCTTGCACAGGTCGACCACCCTAGGAGCGAGAACGGAGAGCGGGACATCACCGGTGTGGCCGCCTCCCTCGCCACCCTGGTAGATGATCATGTCGGCACCAGCCTTGAGAACGTTCTTGACGTGCTTGGGGTGACCAATGATGCCAGCGACGACGATCTTGTTCTTGTGCAGCTTGTCGACAACCCACTGCGGCGGCACACCGACGGCAGAGACGAACAACTTGGCATTGCTCTCGATGATGATGTCAATAAGCTCCGGAAGCTTGCCCTCGGTGTAGTCGTAGTTGGTCTTTCGAGCATTGCCGCCAACTTGGGGCAGGAGTAGGTCAACCTAGATAAGTACAATCTTGTCAGCATCGGTGAAGGACGAGAAGGTTACACCGGGCACATAGACCAAAGACTCACGCCAAAGGGGGCATTCTTGTCGTCGAGGCCAGCCTTGAGCTCATTGATCTGCTCCTTAAGGAACTCAGGAGTGTATCTGGACATTAATTTGAATCAGCGTCTCTCATCGATGGAGAGATAATTACTGAGAAAAGACTCACCCAACGCCACCAATGACACCAATTCCACCGGCATTTGTGACGGCAGCGGCGAGATCGGGTCCAGCAGCGACATTCCTGAGAGGAAAATCCATCGAAAGTCAGCTTGATGACGCTCGCATGGGAGGAGGGAGTAACATGGGGAGAGTCGACTTGAAAAGGTCTGCCAATACTCACATTCCAGCAAGCATGATGGGAGCCTTGTTGTAAAACAAAGAAAATCATCAGCCATTGGAGATATCTGTGGCAATCAATGCGCCGCAGACTCACCTTGATCCCAAACAGCTCCGTGAGGGGAGTCTTGATCTTTTGAGCAGCAGCCATTGTGAGGGTCTTTGCAGCGATAAGGTTGGAAAGGTAGCAAGACAGAGGAAAGTGTTGGTGATGGTATTGTGAGGGAGGGCGAAGAGCAGTGGGGAAAACGGTGGCTGATCCCCCCCGCTTCGGCCTCTCGGTTCGGCTCAACGACGCGGTCCGAAACCCGGTTTGCCTTGCTAAGCATAAATTTCATGTGGTAGATTTATTTGTACTGATGAGGGTCGATTTTCGGTGATCAGATTGTTCAACATGCCCCATCTTATTCAGCCATCTCAGGTGCGAACATCATCAATGCAGCAAACAGAAGAGAGGAAGCAGCGCACAAAGGGCTCTCCGCCGCTAAGCTTAGTGGCCTGGAGAACAGACAATTAGAGGGGGGACGTTGCTGGCTTGAGGCCCACGTGGTGACGGACAGTGACGCGTCACCGCGCCGCTCTGTCATCCCTTTCCTTCTCGCAAGTCGCTTTGCTAGAGCTTTAGAGCCATACGTAATTACCGTTTCCATTTGCCAGGAGACGCCGCGGTAGATGCCGCGAGGCTGGCACTGCGTTCTGTCTGTGGCTATTAGGATGGACAACAGAATGACGGGATAGGCGTCGAGTTGCTTGTTGCGACAACGGCTGTTTGACGTGACGCAACTCTGGCCATGGAGCAATCGTCTCTTCACCAGTCCGCGGGTGGGCCGCGCATGTGCAAGGAACTTAAGAATACATGTAAAGGTAGAGCAGTAGCAGCAGAGTGCTTTGAGTACTATTCGGGCAAGGCGAGAGTGTCGGTGGAAAATGCTGAAGACCCGGAGATTCGGGATGAACAAATTTCCTCTATTCCCGGCCTCGCCTATTGGCCATCTTCGTTGCTTCTACCCACTGCCGGAAGATATAAGTGGGTGGACCAGCTGGACAGATCCGCTCCATGCAAAGCTCTACTACACCATGCAGCTAGCTCCTCCCTTGCTCAGCCTCGACGGTCCATCGACGAGTCCGAAGGACTGGTCGTCGTGGCGAAAGACATCTTCCATCTGCACGCTCATCGTCATGACATTCGCCCTGACAGCCACGTCAACCTCATACTCCTCTTCTGCCCGGCACATTATGTCCGACTTGCATATGTCACAAGAGCTCTTCGTCCTTGGCATCAGCTTATTTGTCCTCGGATTTGGGGTAGGGCCTTTGATCTTCGGTCCACTAGCGCAGGCATTCGGCAAGCGTCCTGTCTATTTCTTCTCCTACGTCTTATTCACCGCCTTTTGCTTTGGCTGTTCAGAGGCCAATAACTCCGCTTCCCTTCTATGTTGCCGCTTCTTTGCTGGATCTTTCGGAAGCACGACTCTATTCTTGACCCCCGGGTCTATCAACGAGCTCGTGGAGCCACGACATCAGAACAGAGTGGCATGCTTCTATGCATTTGCAGCCTTTCTGGGGCCTTCCGTCGGAACGTGCATCTCCAGCTTTGTAGATGAGGGAACGTCATCGTGGCGTTGGAACCTTAGAGTCATGGCCATTTTCGTCGGCTTCACCACTCTTCTTTGCTTCTTCTTTGTCGAGGAAACTTCCTACCCGACATCGCTCAAAACCATTTCTTGGAGGCGCACTATCATCTCTCCGTTCGTCATCCTCTTCAAGGATCCGGTCGTCTTCTTGACAAGCTTCTACCTGGCACTCCTCTACGGCTACATGTACGCCTTTTTCGCCCTCTTTCCCCTCGTTTTCGGGGAGATCCGGCACTTTTCCCCAACGTCGCTCGGCCTCATCTACCTCAGCCTTCTCGTCGGGGGTCTCGTTGGTCTATTCGTTCAACTTTTCGTTCAGGAATACTATGTCAAGCGCAAGTACCTCGACAAGAAGCTACAGCCACCACCCGAGGCTAGGCTCGTGCAGGGTCTGTGGGCGACGTTCCTGCCCGCCTTTGGGCTCTTTATCTTTGCCTGGACTGCGCCTTTCCCTTCTGTCCACTGGATTGGCGCCAGTGTCGGCATGTTTGTCTTTCTCTTGGGAGCATACATCTCCTTCATCTGCCTCATACCTTACCTCGTCATCTACAGCGGGCCACAAGCGACGGCAGCGCTGACGGCTGTTATGGTGACGCGCGCCGCCTTTGCCACGGGCTGGCCCCTCGTCGTTCGGCAGATGTGCGACAAGATGACGGTCCAAGGCGCCAGCTCTTTCCTTGCGGGCTTGACGCTGCTCATGGTCCCGCTCATCTGGGTGCTCTACCTCAAAGGCGCACAGCTGCGCGCTAGAAAGCTGGATGAAACATCAGGTCCCAATGGCCCGCTACGCTCGGCTGTGGAGAATTCCGAAGTGGCATCTTCTGCGACGGTCAAGGAGGAAGCAGCATAATTTTCTCTTCAAACTTCCCCGAATAGCATGGCATACCTTGTGGTTCTGTGGGATGCGAGCTTCAACACCGTGATTGTTGGAAGCAAGTAGAGCTCGTGGTGCAACAGCAGGACATGCGACTTGCTTTGACACGATGAACCCAGGCCCAGTCTGCACAGTGCTTTCACTTGTGCTATGCCACGAAGAGCAGACGAAGGCCTTCTCTATCCTTATCTCCTTCTTCGGAATTGCGTCCGACTCAAGGTATAACGATGGCTCTTCGGTCGTGACCGATTGGTTCCATAGCTCTGGTCTTCGGTCAGTCGAGAGGCTTATAGTGTCGAACGGCAAAGCTAAGTGAGCATGATGATGACCGTGCATGGTGCTCGGCTTTGAGCCGAACAATTCCGGCGCTTTTTAGTCTAAAGAAGAACACACGGTCCCTCGCACGGATGTATTTATAAATTGGACCACCTCTTCTTCCAACCCCACTCCCCCTCTCACGCTCACATCAAAACCTCAGGTTCGCCTCACCATTCACGTCACATTGATCGCACAAGAAGATCTCCATCACACCTAGAATAGGAAAGCAACGCCATGACGACGACATTGGACAGCAAAAAGACTGCGCTCATTGTGCTCGACATCCAACCGACGATCATCTCGATGATCCCGGGATCGGAAGTGGTGATCCCGCACATCGTCAAGCTTGTCGATGCAGCCCGTGCAAAGGGCGTCCAGATCATTTGGGTCACTGTCGGCTTCAACGAGGAGGACTGGGCCGGTGTCAGTCCCCACAACAAGGCCTTCTCTGGCGCCAAGGCGGCCATGGGCGAGTCGCTGCCGGAGCCATTCAAGGCAGGAGGTGCCGGTGCCAGCCTGGTGCCCGAGCTCAAGGCGCAAAAGGGCGACGTTGAACTGCGCAAGAATCGCTTTGGGCCCTTCTCGTCGACGGATCTGCACGAGCAGCTGACCAAGCGCGGCATCGACAGCATCGTCGTGGCGGGTGTGAAGACGTCAGGATGCGTCCTCTCGACTGTGAGGTATGCAGCAGACCACGACTTCAAGATCGTCGTTGCTTCCGACTGCGTCAAGGACAAGGACCAGGCCATCGACGACGTTCTCATTGGGAAGGTCTTCCCCGAGCAAGCCCACGTCATTACGTCTGACGAGGTCGCCGGCCTGTTCCAGTAACACCCTTCAATGCTAGCTCTCGATATAATATTGCTGCTTCCATGCGCTCAAACAGAGTTGCTACTATTATTCCTAGCTCGAGCCATCTTCGCATTAGATCCATCGCGACGTCCGCTGCTGATCCTCTTCGTCATGCTGCTCGTGGATTCGCGGCACAGAGAGAATGACTTCTTGCGCCTCTTCTTCCTCGTCTTCGATGTTCAGATTCCTCGTATCCGGCCTCAAGATAGACCGAATAAGGATGGTATCGCCATGGTCCTCCTGGGCGCGTTTCCTTTCCTGAGCCTCATGGCCGATGCTGAGTACAGATGTGGAAGGAGGACCTTGAGACAAAGGAAACGAGGGCGAGGAGGGAGGAGGTAAAGATGGAGGAACACGAATAGTGGACCACGAGGTGGCCAAAAGGGCAAAGAGCATCGAAACCAGCACGTTCGACACCTTGCAGTTCGTCAGTGTGTCTGCTACGAGCAAATCACTCAATGGCGTGCTGATGGCCGCGATCGAAGTCGACCCCGAGCGAACCGTGACGACGGCAAAGAACGCAAGCTGGATCAGGACTGGTGGAACAAAGCTCATGAACGCAGCTTCGAGTATCATACCCAGGCTATTATGGCCACTATTCTTGGTGATGCATCGATGAAGGAAGAGGAAAGCAGCAAAGGCGCATGTGACGAGCTGGGCGCTACAGTCTATGACGAGCGGGACGAAGTAGTTTACTTGACCGAGAGCGAACGGGCGTCTGCCTTGCTGTACATTGACAGCGAAGAAGATAAAGAGAAGGACGTCTGCGAGGCGAACGGCGAGAAGGACGAGGTAGGTTGAGAGGATGATCCAGGATGTTCGATTTTGCCTGAGGGGGTACAGAACAGCGATCTTACAGAATAGGGTGCCGTCCGCAACGAGTGGCGTAGCGATGACGAGCAATTCGAATGCCAGGTCGAGCTGGGCGTATCGGACTTTCTCCTGTTGGTCGTCTGGCACATAGTAGAGCTTGATACGATGGTCGATGTGCCTGAGCTGGACGACGGAGAAAGCAATTACGAGGGTGAAGGAGAAGCAGTGAAGCCAGAAGAGCCACGAGCGACGCGAGGCTCTGGTACTAAAGAGGAGGTAGACGAGGATCACGCAACATGCAAGCGTGAGAGACGTGGCCGCCAACGAAGCTCTGTGAAACAGAGACGACATGATGATTGGTTCACCTGGCCGGATGCTGTCGGCGCTAATCTTGTCAGTACTGCTTCTGCTGCTCATCCTCTCCTTTTGTTAAGTTGTGGTTGCGTCGAGATTCGGATGGCGTGGCGGTGCTCGCGATACACTTGCATCGTTCGCACGCTCTGCGACCGACCGAGTAGCATGTAGCATGTACGCATATAGTCATCGACCGAGTCGCCCCACAGGTCCTCCCTGAGCTCGCGGCAGACGAGCACCGGGGCGCTGCGAATTTCTCTAAGATGAGGCCATGGAAACCCTCCTCTTCTCCTCTCGAAACTTCGGCGAAACAATGGAGACGATGCTCTTTCGACGTAGCCGACTTCAGTCGAGCATCAGTGGCACCTACCACGGTGAACCCTACATGCAGTCACTAAAGCGCTCCTACGAGCTCCATGGCTCGACAATGACGCTCACCGCGTTTGTCGCCCTCCTCTACCCCTTGATGACGACACACAGAAGCAGGCGTTCGTGGCTCTTTGCTGTCAATTGCCTCTCCATATCCCTTGCCCTCAGCGTCGGCTTGGTCGGCATCTTTGGCGCAGGTGCGCTCAAGGACGAGTACTTCCATCCCTCGCACCAAGCGACGGTCAAGGTAGCCAGATTGATGATGTAGGTATTGCCCCTCACGCCTCTCGTCCCCCTTTCCTTTTTGCTGAGGGTGGAACGGAGCAGTGCCTTTGATTTCGTCGTTACGCTCGCTCCCCTCGCCGCCACGGGTACACTCTACGCGTGCCTCGATATTCTCTTTCCTGCGGCCCATGGCAAGCTCAAGCGACACTCGATCCTCACCTCCTTTCTCGTCATCCTGGCACTTCGCCTTGCCAATTGTATCATCCTCGTCATCACAGGTGTCATCTACATTCTTGGCCCCGCACAACGAGGAGATGTGCCAGCCATGTTGTCCTACCATGACCACAACTGCGTCGGTATAGGGTACGTCGTCGACCCTTTCCTCGGCCTCTTAGGTGGCACACTGGCGTGGACGTTGCTCCTGAGCAAATCGCGCGCAATTTCCAGAAACGTCGCCGCTCGCATGAGCCGTGGTCCGGGTGTAAGAGCGAACCGCGAACGACTGAGGCTGTTTGTTGAGTCGACGACCATGACCTTCTTACCGCCAGTGCTCTGTCAAATTGTGATGGTCGTTTCCTACTGGTATAAGAACGTGACGGCGCAGCGAGCGGCCAACCAGGCAGCCATCTACAACGTCCATCTTAGCCTCGTCTTTTCTCTCTTGGCAAACACCTGGTCCACCCTTAGGCTACAGCAGGCTGGTGGCGCTCGGCGGCAGTCCTTGTTTCACCCTGCGACGAGGAAGCGAGTCGGCCCCGACGAGACGCTGCTCTCGACCATTCTTCGATCGGGAGGAATCTTTGATCCTCTGCCTCTGTAGCTATCTCTCATCACTCAAAGACACTGTTATGTCAGACTTCCTTTCGTGAACACAATAATATGTTTCACCGCACCTCTTCAGTGATCCTCCAAACTCTGTCCAAAACAATGAGCAGCGTGATGTTGAGGCAGTTATGGAGCAGACAAGCAGTGGGAGGTCCAATCGCTCATCCTAACAGAGTCGAGCGGGCTAGTGAAGGATTACAGAGCCAAGGATTGGGAAAGGACGGTACTTGCTCGGCTCATCGTGGGAAATAACGAGGCCTCTCTCCTATTCGGCTTACAGCGTGAGTCATTGATCACGTCGTGGCTTTAGGCTCTCTTGTCCCGATTCAGGCGTCAAAAGTTGGGGGGACACAGGGGCGCTAGGGCCTGCTCAGCTTATCAGGTCCAGCAGATCCTGCGTACGCTTGCGTAAAGCGCAGCAACGCCTCAGAAGATCCGAGTGGTGGCTTGTTCCTAGACCCCCTTAGGAGACAAGGGTCGATGCTATCCATGACGAAGGCAGGTAGGAGCCGGGGAGGCGACGTCATGCGGCCCCTCCTCGGTTCTCGGATTTTTTATTTCCCATCTACTGTTCTGGATGGTACAGTGCTTTCCCCGATCCGCATATGCGTACGCAGTCCTCGCGGTTCGCATTCTGCCCGTCTGGATAATTTCTTTTTTGATCCGTTGCAATGTGATAAAATGACAAACAGTGTCTCGGGCGCCCTCCAAAGGACGTTGGATATGGCTTCGTCGATTTGCTTGTTGCTTTTTTCAACCGTTGCCTAATTAATCTCGGGGGAAATTCACTACTACACTAGAAACCATTAAGATGCTTGCATATATTGGACTCACGTTCGCTGCGACGGCCCTCTCCCTATGTACAGAAGTACTGATCAATTCAGACGAGCGGGCGGTGGTTCTTTAGGCTGCGACCTTTGTCTAGCGATGATGATGCATTAGTTCCGAACTTTGTCAACACAGAGAGACACAGAGTAAAAGTGTGCCTAACGTATTACGTCTGGCCTTGATCCCACTTGCCTTGTTCGGCAACGCAAGTGCGTCAGACTCTCATCTTCTTCCTCTTGTCAGCACTTACCTTTTCTCTCGTCACCACCTTCCCTTTTCTTGTCCTCGTGTCTCTGTCCCCGCCTCAAAGGGTCTACCCACGCCCTATAAAGGGACCCTCGTTTGGCCAGATCCCCACGCACCGCGTCAAGACCCTAGCTTTCTCACAATGTCGACCTCTGTCCTCCTCACGCCCCGGGACGTGCTCACAAACACGGGCAACGAAGCCCTGGATCGCATTGCCAAGTATGGCCCCTACGGCTATGCGCCCAATTTGGGCGGTGCCATCTTCTTCTGCATAGTCTATGGTATCAGCGCCGTCATTCTCTGCGGCATGGCTATCCGCTACCGACGCTGGTGGATGCTGGCCACCCTGGGCTTCGGAGCCGCTCTGGAATGCGCGGGAAACGCCATTCGAATCGGCGGTCACTTCAGCCCAGACAATGTCAATGCCTACATTGCACAGCAGGTCATTCTCGTTTTGACTCCTGCCTTCTTCGCTGCCGCCCACTTCACCATTCTCTCCAAGCTGGGCGAGCTGTTTGGCGATCGATACATCAAGCCTGTCCGATCGAGCTGGATGATCCCCTTCTTTGTCGTTCTCGACGTTGCTTCGCTCGCAGTCCAAGGCGGGGGCTCGGGGCAGGCCGCCACGGCCGAGATCAATGGCGACCAGCCCTCGACGATTAACAACTATGGCTACATTGTCTCTGGCGGTCTCGGCATTCAGCTGGCCGGCTACCTTGCCTTCAATGTCGTCTTCTTCCTCTTCGTCTACCGCACTAACGCCGACCCACCCTCGCAGCACACGGAGCGAGCGTCGGCGCAGTACTGGAACGGCCGCATGAAGATCTTCCTTGCCGCCGTCTGGTGCTCTGCCCTCCTCGTCCTCCTCCGTTCCGTGTTCCGAACAGTCGAGATGAGTCTCGGCTGGATCGGGACAGTCGCCACGACTGAGTGGTTCTACCTCGTCTTCGATGCCACCTTTGTCACGCTCGCCATCCTCATCTTTGTCGCAGTGCCTCCGCCGCTCTACATGCCACGCGAGGTGCGCCAAATCGGAAAGCAGAGCGCGGCAGAAGCTGGCGCCGGCTCTGAGAAGCGGGCGGGGTCCGACATGGAAGCTGCTGCAGCATCATCAGCAGCGCCCGCTTCTTCAGAACGCCAAGACTACTCGATGGCTTCTTCGATCACGGAACATGGTGGGCAGCAGGAGCCCAAGGCCGATCTGAAGGCCTGAGTGGCGCAACGCCCTACCTTGTTCACTCCCAAGGCCTCGTTTGCTTCTCCAATCTTTCCCTTTGTGCATATTAACATATCAACATAGAAAAAGCTTCTTTAATGAGAGCTCCCCTTCAGCTGGCCGGGGCCTCTGGATCTAGTCCTTCATTCAATTGCACTGCATTACCCTTCCGTCGGTGAGATTATCTTTGAGAAGATGCATGGATCCATTACTGCAGTGCAATCGTCTAAGAGTAAGGTAGTATTGAGAGGTGTTGCTTTACGTTCTCGTGTCAGGCAGTTGTGGGGATATTAGAGTTGATGAGCTGCACAGGACCGAAGGTCAGCGCTACCGCATTTCTTTCGACTGTCTACACCGCAACGGACGACTGTTCTCACCTCTCAAAGGGCAGGCAAGCTGAGTGACATCGTCGACGACAGCCTCGTGCAGCCGTCCCCTGAACAAGTATCGAACGACGAGGTGCTTTCGCTCGCCCATGCAAGGGTCGAAGAAGCCAAGAAGCTTGCTCTGCAGCAAGATAGAGACGCCGTGAGTTGCTAGTCAATGGCTGGAAAGCACACATATTGACTCACCTTTGAGCGACCTCCCGGGATGACGAGTTGGCCTCGACTGACGAGCGTCATTAGCGGAGTCTTGACATCCCACCAAGCCACGTCCGCCTCCTGCTCGTGACCCTCGTCCTCCTCCAAAGCGCCGACGCCCTCGTCCCTTGGCTGCTGTGACGAGGGCCAAGCCGACCTGAACAACTCAGCCTCGTCCATCGGGCCCTCTGCCCGGCCCGGTACACGATCCTTCTTTCCATAATAGGCTTCGAGAATGACGAGTCCTCCCCTTCTTCTCTCTGCCTCCGCCTTCTTCCTCGCGCCCTGGCTCAGCACCATTCTCGCTTCGAGCGCGGCCCGCTTGCGCTCCTCGATCAGCTCGACGTTGTCCTTCCGCAGCTTAGCAAGCTTGTCCGCGATCCGTCGCTTCTTGGCCGGTCGCAGGTACAGGTGCTCGAGCGCCGTCAGACTGACGAGTGGAAGAATCGCGCAAGCAACAGCGAGATCCGACCTGAACTCGGGGGCGAGCTGGATGGGGACGGTGACCCTCTGGCCGAGTCGATTGGCCTTGAGACGAAGCGTCACGCCGCCCGAAGGAATCCCGCAGCTGAGGCCCATTCCCAGTCGTACGTTCTCTGTTACTCGCCGTTCCAGATTCGTGTAGGCGCTCACGCCGACGCCCGTGCCCACCGTTGCCCCGAGCCGCACCTTGGCCGCACCCAAGATGGCGGGCCTCATAGAATAGTCGGCTGACAGCCCCACGTTGTCGGCGCCCACGAGCGTCGTCAAGGTCCATCCCTTGCCATCGCCGCTCTGTGAGGTGACACCCACGCCGATGGTTGGTGTCTCGACGCGCAGGCCCGAGGACGAGCCTTTGCCCCACGGTCCGATGGTGTAGGACCCCGACTTGAGGGTGGTGAAGCCGGTGGTAGCTGACTTTGCAGACAGACGCTGGGCAAAGGTAAGGTTGAGGGCCGGAGGAGCCGCGGGTGTGGCGGCCGTGGCGACAAAGGTCAGGAAGCTGAATTCGGTGATCTCGTACTGTCCTTTGACGACAAAGATCCGTGGCTTCATCATCGTCGTTGAAATCTCGGTGCTGAAGCGATGGTTCCACTGTGTCTTGACAGTCCCGATCAGATTGCCGCCTCCCGTGCCGTTACGGCTGACCATTTGACCCTGCAGCGAGGCGCGCGAGTGCGACGTTATGGGTGTTTCCCAGCCATGCTTTCCAACGAGCTGTGTGACGCCCACCCGGCTCATTCTCTCGCTCCAGCTGACGGGTGGGATGGGGATGGAGACTTTTCCATCCTCAGGCAGCAGACCCTCCCTCCTCATGCGCTCCACCTCCATCCTAACAAACCTCATGACGTTTTCTCCCCTCGGTACCCTCGACGCTGCGCAAAAGAGGCTATTGGCGTCGACGTTGACGGCAAACTCGCCCTTGCTCCTCACGAGGTTCTCCAGGTCCTCGTCGCGCTTCTCGCGTGCCGCCCGCTCCCACTCGTCTCGCATCTCCTGAGCGCTGCGGGGCCCACCGCGCCGATTTGGGGCGACGACGGACCAGGAGTGGGCGAGACCTGCTTCGCCAAAGTGGTCATACACGGATCGCCTTTCTGGGTCGGACAGGACCTCGTACGCTCGCTGCACTGCCCGGAAGCGTGCGTCAGCCGCCGTCTTGAGCTCGGGCGTGGTGTGTTTGTCGGGATGCAGAACGACTAACAGCGACTAGTCAGCGCTGGTGCTCTCTTGCACAATTGAAAAAGAAATGAAGTATTCACCAGCCAGAGCCCTGTATGCGTCTCGAATCTCATCGTCAGTGGCATCCCGCTGCACGTTGAGCAAGGCATAGAAGCCATCGGTCTGCCCCTCTGCCTCATCGTCCACCTCTGCCTCTCGCCCTGTTCCCCCGCTGGCGTCCTGACCATCGCCACCTGCAAAGCGCAGCGGGTCCGCGTCGTCGTAATCGTCCAACGGCCTCGACCTCGGCTGGCCTCTTGACCCCGACGTGGGTGGGGGGCCTCGGGTCCGACGAGATTCCCGAAATGGCTCTCCGCCAAAGAGCGGAGCTTCCTGCAGCGGCGAGCGCTCTCGCTCCGTCCGACGCGCGGAGCCCGACGGAGTGGTGCCTGGCGTGCTCGTGCCTCTGGATGAGCTCGACGAGGAAGCGGCAGACGATGACGACGACGAGGGTGAAGACGAGGACGACGATGCGTAGTACTCTGAGGCAGATCGAGGTGCATATGGATCATCGTCGTCGACCTGTTGGCCCCCATGAGAAGGCATGGTTGGCGTTGCGAGGCCGTCGGAGATGTGCTTTCGACGCTTTCTTCGACGGGTCCTTTTCTTAGTCAAATTCGGACCAAAAGAAAGGGACCAAAAGCGCGAATGCGCGCACGCGCCCCGACTCATCCTTGAGTGCGTTTTCCGTCTCTCTCTCAACCAGCAATAAGAGTGGCTTCCGTAGAACTCTTCTAAGCAGCATGGTTCATGTCCTGACACAGATGGCGAGCGTGACTTCGATGTCCCATTGCTTGCGATCTGCGATCAACATCATATAAAAGGGTATTTGACAAATCAAGTTAGAGGTAAAGAAAATTGCGAACATTTAGGGGACAAAGAGGCGAGGACGAAAGAGGAACCCATCAGACTACGATGCACCTCTCGTTCTCGAGAGACAGGCCCAGCTCCTGCATCTCTTCTTTTCGCCTCTCGCTCTCGTTCTCGCCTTCCTTTTCGGCCACCTCTTTGGGAAACCAAGCCTTGAGAAAGTTGATCGTGGCCTGGTCCAAATTGCGGCCGTCTGCGGAGCCTACGACGCCCTTGGCACGGCATAGAGGGCAGTCCACCTTGTTCTTCTTTTGCAATTTGACCAGACAGCGAATGCAAAAGAGGTGCGTGCAGTCGAGTCGGATGGGCCGCCAGGCGACGCCGGTGCAGATGGCACACGAGTAGTCGTCGATGCTGGGCAGGATTGGCAGCAGCGTCGTGGTGAGGAGCGAGAGGAGGATGTGTGGGAGCGACTGTGAGAGAAGGGCAGTCGTCGACGTGGGCAGCAGCGCTGCCAGCGAACGATGCGTTGCCGACACGAGGGCGTGAGAGACATCGTGACCGCGTGCAGCGCTAGGAATGGCTGGGAAACCGGCCAGCGCGCGAGCCTGCTCCTGCCTAGCCATGAACTGGCCCAGATCGCTGCTGGCCGTCAGCGCTGTTCGCTTATCGTGCTTCTTGAGGATCTTGCGCGCGGCTTCGACATTGACCCGCTGGAACTTCTTGACATCGAGGAGCACGAGATTGAGACGCAAGAAGTCCTCGAGGGCCTTGATCGAACGCGGGTCCTTCATGGGCAGGTTTGGTCCTGCCGTTGTGGCTGCGACATTCGCCTTGCGCTTCGACAGCTTCAAGTGATGTCCCCCGCTCTTTGTCTCTTTCTCTTCCGAGGCAGGCGCCGATTCGGCGGTCCAGCCTCGTTTGGAGAGCTCCTCTGCGAACCGCTTGAGCCTGGCTTCGCTCTCGTCGACGCTCAGCTCGCCTCTGTCCTTTTCCCTCTCCGACTCAAAGATCTGCATCTCCACCCAGAGGCTGAAGATCTCTCGCCACACGTACATATCGTTCTTTGACGCATACGGGCTCGAGACACGGGCCACGGAGCTGCACAGGTTCTCTGTGCTGGTCACGAAATCATCCCGTTGCGTGCTCTGCAGCGTCGACAGATTGGCCAAGGCGCCCGTGAGTGTGTCGAGGAATTCGGTGTCGGCGGTGAGAGGGATGACAATCTCGCGCGAACGCATCTTCCTCTTGCTGTGCTCCAAGTCAGCGTCTTCGTCGTCGTAGTCCTCGTCATCGTCAAGGTCGGGCAAGTCCCTGCGCGGCGCAACACCTGGCGACAGCGGTACTCCGACAAGGGGAGCAGGAGGGGGGACAGGTTGCTTGATGGTCGTAAAGGACCGTGGACTCTCTGGCAGTTCAGTGATGTGAGCTGAAGCGGAAAAGTCGTCATGTTCACCCTGTGCTCGACTGTTCCCCTCCTCCTCGTCTTCCTCATCGACCTCATCGATGCCATCCTCATCGTCCGAGCACACTGGCGATTCCACAAAGAGCCGGATGCGGGGCACGGGGTGCTCCTCTGCCCCGCCGAGCTCGTACTCTGCCCTCGCCCTGCGCCCGTCTTTGCCCTTGACCCAGCCTCCACCGACGCGAGGCCGAGCTGCACCATTCTTGGGGGCCGCAAGCCCGGGTCTCTCGCGCCAAGCATGTCCGCCCCAGTCATGCACTCGATCCTCGTCGCTCGTCGACGTCGACGTCGATGCCGAATGTCGTGCAGTCTCGCTGTGCTGTCTCCTCATCTCCTCGAGGTCCTTTTTGCCAATGCCACGGTGTGTCGAGGTACCCCTTGCACTTGGTGAGCCCGCTGCGAGAGCGGCGCCAGCCTTTGGCCGGAGCACCTCGACCCCTTCTTCCTCGGCGACTTCCAGCTCTTGCCCTCGGTCGTGAGAGGCGTTGCTGCCCGACGAGGGACTCGAGCGGCCTCTGGATGCGCCCGAGGCGGACGACCGTCTGCGCTGCCCGCTTGGTCTGCGTCTGCCCCTCGCGCCACTGTCGTGATGCTGCGCATGGGCAATCGAGGCGATCCACTCGGCCGCAGGCGAGTCGGTCGATGCCTTGTGCTCCTTGAGGCTGTTCTCGCACTCCTCGCATGCCGCGCTCTCTTCCTGCTCGCTAGGAGTGTCGCTGTCGTCGTGTTGCCCCGGCGGTGTTCCGGGCGGAGAGGTCGACTTCGGCCTCTCTGCTCTCACCTCTCCATCGGGCGCCTCGGTCTCAGGCGGTTCCATGAGGTCCTTGAGCACATCGGCACCGAGGCCCAGCGACTCGAGCTCGGCAACGACACCATTGATAAGTTTCTTGAGCTGTAGTGAGGCAGAGTGAGCTCCATCGCCACCTCGAAGCCGACGGGACCACCGCGCCTACTCACATGCTTGTACTCGATTGCGCCCTCCCGCCACTCCTTGGGGAATGACGGGCTGGCCAGCGTCTCCATGTATGTCTTGCCGAACTTCATCTTGAGCGTCGCAGCAAAGTGTCGTCTGCCATGGGCGTGTCGGTCACGAGATGGTGGTATTGCGAGCAAAAGAAAGAGGAAAGGATAAGAAGGACAATTGACATCTTCAAGCTTAAAGCACGATCAAGCCACGCCCGCCCTGTTTTTGTTTCGTTTCGAAGTTCTGGTTGGCCCTAGGCCCTCGGCCCCAGACCCTGCTTTCAATAGTAAAATAAGATAATCTTCTCTCTTGTCCCACGGCCTACCTTTACAAGACATTTTCAACCTTCCCGTTCTGGCCCTCGAATCGAATCGGCTTGCCCTTTCAAGAAACATAAAAAATAAAAAAATTAAATAAAAAAGCCTTTTCCTCCGCCCACCTAGGCAAAAAGGGAACAGGCCTGGCAGTCTCGCCTGTACTGGCATCGAACGTGGCCACGAACAAACGTGCCCCTGCCATACCGATCGATAGTCGTTTCGCCCCCCTTCTCGGAAAAGTCGGATAAATCATTGGCACGGCTTGCCGCCGGGTGGTACTGCCATGGCAAGCCTGAGCTCGATGGCCATGGGGTGACGGATCGTGACAAGCGCACGCTTCTTTTCGCGCCGGAGAGATTTGCCGCACCGCCTCGCACCTCGTGCTCGCTCTCCCGACGCGTTCCAAATCTCGCTCTAAAGTTTAAGGTATCTTCTCCCCTCTTTCATCTCGTCAGAGAGCAAGGCTCCGCTCTTCGCAAATTTGAGGCCGTCGACTCCCGCAATGTCGCCGGTCACTTGGCTTCGAACGTCATACCACAAGCTCGTGGCCGTAGTCGTCGTCTTCTTCTTTACCCTCTTTGTGACGACATGGCTCAGTGTCTCGCCGGGCGCCTACGATAATGTCCGTATGCACTTTCCCGGCGCGGGAGCTGGAGGCGCGGGCTCGAGGGAAGATCTGCCACCGCTCAATGGGCCTGCAGCAGCGCCGCCTGCGGCACCGGTCCCGCCGCCCCCAGCTCCCGCACCGATTTCACCAGTGGAAAAGCTCATGGGCGTCGTGCCCAGCGAGCCTTGGCGGTCATGCAATGTGAGCACGTACGTCGTTCATCCGCCGCAGACCGACGCAGAGCTCGCAGCCAATGCGACAAGAAATGCCGACGGCAACCTATACCCGCCCAGCTATGTGCCCCAACAAGCGAATGTTGCCAAGAGGGCAAAGGCCGGCTTCATCGTCCTGGCGAGGAACCGAGAGCTCGAAGATCTCAAGGGCAGCATACGCGACGGTGAGCAACGAATCAGGATGCGCAGAGTAGCACGTCTGAGAAGCTGATTGTGTGACTTTTCCCAGTTGAATACCGATTCAATCACAAGTATGGCTATCCGTGGATCTTCCTCAACGACCAGCCCTTTTCCAAAGAGTTCAAGGCCGGCGTGCGGAAGCTTACGCGGAGTGAGGTCCGCTTCGGCCAAGTGCCCCATGAGCATTGGAGCTATCCGCCCTACGTGGACCAGGTCAAGGCTGCCAAGGCACGAAAGGAGATGGGGAAAAAGGGCATGCCGTATGGCGACTCCGAGTCTTACCGGCACATGTGTCGCTACCAATCTGGTTTCTTCTTTCGTCACCCACTCACCCTGGACCTCGACTACTACTGGCGCGTCGAGCCGGGCATCAAGCTCCATTGCGACATTGATTACGATCCTTTCCTGTTCATGCAGCTCAACAACAAGACGTACGGCTTCACGATTGCCGGCCGCGAGTTCATCGACACTGTGCCTACTCTTTGGGAGACGACGAGAGACTTCATCACCCAACATCCCTTCTATATCCCCAAGTCCAACGCCGATCACTTTCTCTTTGACACCGAGCAGCGTATTTGGAACACGTGTCACTTCTGGAGCAACTTTGAGATTGGCGACCTTCGCTTCTGGCGTTCGCAGCGGTATCTCGACTACTTCAACTATCTCGATCGCGCCGGTGGCTTCTTCTACGAGCGCTGGGGCGACGCGCCCGTCCACTCCATCGCTGCGGCCCTCTTCTTGGAGAAGGACCAGATCCACCACTTTGACGACATTGGCTATACCCACCACCCATGGACCCACTGCCCCAAGCACCAAGACTATCACAACTCGGGCCGGTGCGACTGTGACACGTCCAACACCTTTGACCGTCATGACTTCTCCTGCCTGGCCGAGTGGTACAGGGGTGCGACAGAGAAGGTTCCAACGCACGTCGTCCCTTGATAGCGCTTCGAGTCAGGACGGCAACGATCATTCTCGCATAGACGACTCGATCGGTGCCGCTATTTGTATCACACCCTCTCACGCATTGTCTTCTAACTCTTCTCGCTTGCCCGGCTTCGCTGCATCTTCATGGACTATCAATATAAATGCGGCTCTTGATCCCCTTGCCCATTAAACGTGCGTGTTCGCCCCGTTCACCGAGGTGCTGTTTCTGGTGCTACAGTCGCGAGAGAACTTTCGCGACTCTCATGCTGGGCAATAGGTTAAGGATGAGCTTTTCGCGTAAAGTCACCAGAAGTTTTCAACCAGTCAGCAAGCATTTTCGGAAACGATAGGGACGTAGATTGTAGCTTGATGTACGTTAAAGATCACCTTGTATTAATTAAGTAAGGCTCTATAGTTAAGAGGTACAATACCACCTTCGGGTTATTTTATCAAATCCCCCTGCCTTGCAGGGCAATCTGAATCTGGTGGAGGCCCGGGTTCGAGTCCCGGTGGAGCCCTGGCTCCATCCACAGCCGCCTTATTTTTTTCGGCATCTTATCGAATCTTCTCTGTTGAGGGCTTGATGTGCTCATTGAGGTTTTGAGGAGTCACAAGTGCTCCCAGTCGTCCCTTGTCAGCCTCTTGCTCTCGAACATTGTCCTTTTTAGGAATAATGAACACCATATTGGGTCTTTCACGCGGTGCGATGAAGCCCCACCCATGCACTATGGCGGCCTGAACGTCTTTCTCCGGTACCAGTCACCCTTCCTCCTCACTGTCCCGACGCCGCTCTCTTTCCCTTTCCCGCCGGTTGAAGCTGATTTGGCTAGCCTCCTGATTAATTCTTGAGTAGATTGAACTATTTCACGGAAGTGGTGGGCCCATGCACGAAAGGGGTCCGCACGTCCGAGAATCGCTCATGAGCGCCACTACTTCCTTTTGTTCTTCGGTCGCACCAAGGCCTAAGCATGCCAGATAAATCTATTGAGAAGCTCGATTTCTTGCCACACCCGTCTTTTTTTCTCCTCTTCAATTTGGCCCTGACAACATTGCCGTTGAGCCAATACCCGACGGTGGCTACTACTGCAGACCACTTCATCAGCTGCAAGTACCAGGCAATTATGGCCAACAACCAGGCGTTCTACGTAAAAACCCAGGACAAAGAAACAGTCGTATCGACATCGGGGGCTTCGCACATTCAGCACTCCCGTCAGACTCCTCTCGGCCTGGACCAAAATTGCGTGACACTCACGAAGACACGTACCTTCCTCTCTGCTCCTACGCCCCACTCTGGACAACAGTCGCAGGACCCTTCGCACCCAGCCATCGACGACGGTAGCGTTCTCCTATGGTCCGTCGAGCACTACAATAGCATAAATACCGATAAATCGCTCAAGGATCTCGGCCTCGTCCCTCCCGAAGATCGCCTCATCTCTTCAGATATTCTTTTCTCTTCGGAAGCCATCACCGGAGCGGCCAGGTCTCCTCAAATGCTCTGCTACCAGGCCCCCTCGGGGTATATGACTGACCCATCCAGCTTGGATGCCAACCATGCCCATCTCTTGCTGCAACTTATCTCTCGATTTCCGGAGGAGCCGTACGTGGAGATCCTCTGCAAGGATGACTCTGTCCACTTTTCAATTGCCGACGACTTCGATCCTGCTTTGATTCGCACGGTCGACTGGGAAGTCCTCACGGGCGACAACGGTGAGCAGCGCGGCCTTCTGCTTTTCCAACCCGCTGGTATCGACATCCCTGCCTCTAGCTGGGTCGTCTCTTTGCAAGCAATTCCTCTCACCCAGGCTCTGGACGTCGATTTCTACAACCGGATCTTGGCACGCCTCGTCACTGATCACCACTTTCGATATCGTGTCGCTGAGGGTCAGATAGAACCGTCATTTGGTCCTACCTTTTCCCACTTGCAGGAAGTCTGGATCAAAACAAGGGTCAGCACGAAATCGAAGAAATCGTACTACGGCAACGTGGTTCGAATTATCGTCCACCTTTCCGCTCACAGTGACATACCAACAGAGGGCCTCCCAGAGGGTGTAGAGAACGCGGCTGGAATCGTCCCATTTTGGCCAGGTATCATTCCAATTGCCCTTCCATATTGCCCGCGACAGTACTTTCGCCTCTCCTACCGTGGTCGATATCCGTACTGTTCGATGGGTACGTGCGCAGCCGACCCTCACTCCCAGCATCTGACTGGTTCCTGTCCCTTCATCGTCTGCTCGACTTGCCGTTCGAAAGGCCACTTCTCTAGGAATTGTCCAACGTCTCACAAAAACGACGGAGGAGTCTCGTCCCTCGCATCTCAGGCCTGTTCTGCAATTGCGCTTGCCAATCGCGCATAGTATCGAAAAGAAGCCCCTACCAGCGACAAAAGACAAAAACGATCGGCATAGCTAGATACCCGAGTGTACGCGGGTCTCTCACGAAGTCCAAAACATTTCGATGCCTATTTCGCAGCCGAATACAAGGTTGTTTTCGACACTTAATACTGTACAGTGCGAGGAGCCTGAGGGTTTTCCTGCGGTCAAATTGCAATGGTAGTGCTAGTGTACAAGCCCAAGTGGACGCAGCAACACAGCCAGTGATAGTCACGAGGACGCGACGATCTCGCTCAATGCTCTCTTGACACTTTCCTCGTCGAATCTAGGCCGAGAAGCTGACAGCGTCGAGTTCGCGCAGATGCATTGGATGCCCATCGACTGAAGCTTGCTCTCGTCGACCTTGACTGAGCCATTCTTGAAGTAGACAACGTGTGTGACAAAGTCGCGAGGTTCGTACCCTTGGTCGCGATGGCGCGGGTAGAGGAGCAGGGCGCGGTAGATTACATCTATAAAGTCGACAGCGTCCAGACCCGCTGTCTCACGGTCGTGTGTCGTGTTGAGGAGCAACACCTTGTAGCGAAGCGACGGGCTGCTCTTGATGGCCCTTGCAACGCCTCTGAGCGCAAGGCAGGGCACGAGGCTGGTCCAGAGCGACCCGCAGGAGTAGACGAGCGTGGCGGCGTCATTGGATAAGCACGAGAGGAAGGCTGGATTCGGAGCCGGGTGCACCTCGTTTCGGTATGCGTTGACGTAGAAGACCCGCTCGATGGGGGCAGAGAGTGGCGGTGTGCCATCCTCATCGGACCCACCGTCGGTCTTTGAAAAGACAATGTTTCGGAGCTGGCGAGATTCGTTTTCACTCCGCCTTCTGGGCCGCCGCTTTCCGTGCCTTCGTGATACTCTTTGCACGTAGTCATCAACATCGTCGTCGTCGTCATCGGTCCCTGCTGCCTCGCTTCGATCGTCATCTATCTCGTCCTCTTCTTCCTCGTCGTCACTCCGCTCGTCCTCATCACCGCTTGGCTCTAAGCCGTCGCCAAAGGCACCGACGGTCAGTCTGCTGCTGCCAATCGGCCTCTGCTGCTGCTGCTGGTGCCGAATGCGCTGTATCGGGTCAAAGATGACGCTCTCTGCAGGGGTGGCAGGCCCTGTATGCGATGCTGATGTTCTTCCAGAGCTCGCCGATGTCTTTGTCGCCACGGCTGGATGACTAATTTCGCACTGTCCCACAATGGTCTCGCCGTTGGCAAGTTCTGCGGCAATGGTGGCGGTGTGGTTTGTATTGATGACAGGCAAGACCCTCGCACCGCCCAGCAGAGGGCTGTGGGACTGCGTCGTGACGCTAAAGAGGAAGATGGCGCTCTGAATGCTTCGGAAGAACTTCTGGGCCGCGGCGAGGAAGAAGTTGCCTATGGACCCGCCACGGAAGTTGAAGTTGCGGTGGGCACGACGGAGAATGTCGGCTTCGAAGTGGACAAGAAAGCCTGTGTGTCATGTCATGTTATCGTCAGCCACGATGAGCAACTCAACAAGAGAAGACAAAAACCGACCTCGTATGCATTCCTTTCTCTCGGGCTCGATGCCGCGCCAGAGCTTGTGTCGACCCTCGAGGATGTCCATCCACTCCTGCTTGATGTCCCTCGAGGAGCCCGTGGAGGGAAGTCGGTAGGCCAGCAGCCTGTGTATGGCGTCGTTTGATGACGGCAAGGGTCTTGATGACAAGTCACTGCCGTGACGGTGCTGTGCCGTCGCTGTCGTCACGGGTATCAACCTCACGAGGCGCGAGCGCAGGTCGCCGATCGAAGGACCGCCAAGTACGCGAATGATCTCGGACGAGGAGCCGCCGTTGTCGCTGATAGGCATAACAAACGTGGCCTCGGGTGTCGCGCCCACGAGGTCGTTGTATCCGCTGCCACCAGAGATGACAACGACTCTGCCGAGACTACTGCTTCCGCTGCTGTTACTGATGTGGCTGCCGACGCCTGCCTCTGTCGACAAAGTAGGAGCAAAAGGTTTTTCGTCGCTCGCAAGAGGCATGACATAGGCTTCCTGTGGCGTTGTGCCCTCGAGAGACAGCTGCTCCGTCCTTGCCGCAAACGCCTCGTCTTCGACCTCGCCTTCAAACAGGCGGCTGGGTCCAGCGACGGCCCTCGCTGTGGCTGGCCCTTCGAAGTCATCCAAGGCCCCACCCGGCTCCGGCGAGGGCACCCTGATTGGCGAAGGCAGGGTGCTGTTGCTCTTGGACACAGAGGGCGTGAGCCTCGGTGTGAGCTGATTAGCCATCCTCCCCTCACTTGGACAACAGTTTGTTCATGGGAAAGCAAGGCAACACCGAAGTCCGAGAATATGTCGTTGATCAGTGCGCGCTCTAAAAAAAGTTCATTTCTCCACGCGACGAGGCCTGCAGAAGAGAAGATTTGGGGTTGGCTAAGGCTGCATGCATCAGTTTATCAGCTTCCGGCTGCACCACAAACAACGACGACGACGACGAACATAGAGAAGAAGAAGGATGGCGACTCCCACTCCCGCGCAGCTGGATGGCCTCTCGGCGCCAAACCGCGAGGCCATACTGAGGCTGGCGTCGCTGCCTGCGACGCCTCGTCTGCCCGCCGCGATGCCGACAAAGGGCCAGGCGGCCGTGGCCGTGATCCTGTTCCAGACCCGCTCCACCTCGTGCGCCGTGCCGCCGACCGACGACAGCAGCGACATGGAGCCTGAGCTGCACGTCATATGCTCGACGCGGGCCATGCATCTCTCTTCGCATCCCGGACAGGCAAGCCTGCCTGGCGGCAAGGTCGACCGGAGCGACGTCGACCCGCAGTCGGGCCAGCTCGACGTGGCCATGACGGCCATTCGCGAGACGTGCGAGGAGGTTGGGCTCGATCCGCGTGCCCAGGAAGTCGGCGACTGCGTGCACCTCTACACGGCGCGGCCCTTTCTCAGCAAGACGGCGCTCCTCGTGCATCCCGTCATCTACTTTCTCCCGCCCCGCAGCGCATACAAAACGCTGTCCAGCCTCTCGCCCTCGCCCGACGAAGTGGACCTCGTGTGGAGCTACCCGCTGCGGGCGCTGCTGTCGAGCAAAATGCCCACGACGATCCCAGCTGCAGGCTCGTCTGCGTCGGAACGGCCGCTGTTTGCGCGGCTCTCAGACCCGTCTTCAGTAGACCGGCACCGCCCGCCGCAAGAGACATTTCGCACGTACAGCGACGTGCCCTGGCTCCTCGCAGGGCACTACCGCCTGCACCGCTTCCGCTCGCCGCACCAGCTCGTCAAGGGCCTCACTGCCGATGTGCTCATCCACTGTGCCAGCCTTGCCTATGACTGTCCGCCGCGCTATGCTGCCTTTTCGCCCGACCAGGCCAGCTGGGACGACTGCGTGGCCTACCTCGTCAAGAAGCGCCTCGCCGCCATCGCCGCCGCTGCCTCGGCCACCGTCAGCCAGCAGCGGCCCACGCCAAGGTGGGGCGATGGCGAGAGCGGCGATGCGTATGGCAGCATGGAAAAATTTGCCACGGTGCAGGGCCGCGATGACGATTACTTAGGAGAAGCAGCAGCAGAGGCCGAGGCAGCGATGGACAAGGCGCGCAAGAGGGACGAGGAGCTGGTGAGGCGCAGCAAGGAAGCTCCATGGCACATTGCAAACGGGAACGGCCACTATCCTTTGACAGAGGAGCAGCAGATCCAGGCTTGAATTGAGGGCGAAGGTAAAAACAAATAGAGAGTTGGGCATGGTATAGATTCATTCACTGGCATACTCCCTTTATGTACTGTATTTCTATCTCAAGATTAAACTAGGAAATGGGAAGTCTGTCGGTTACTTTTGCCCCTGCTCTTCGCCGGCACCGCTCATCGACGTAGCCGGCGTCGTCTCGCTCGTGGCTGGCGCCGTGCTCTGCGCCGACGCATCGGGGCTCTCGGTGGCGCTGACGCTGACGCTGGCGCTCTTCTCTGCGGCATTGACGCGCTTTGCAGCCTCCACAGCATCCTCGTCTGTAATGGCCTGCCTCGCCCTCGTCTCGTGCTCCCTCGTCCCGTCCTGGGCCACACCCGTAAAGTCCTGTGTAGGAGAGTCGCGGAGACAGCTCGAAGTGAGTGATAGAGAAGAGAAAAGGAAAGACAGAGAGGCATGACACGCACGAGGACCTGAGACCAGAAGTCGTCAAACTCGAACCGGTAGTTCCAGCGGCCGCCAAACTCGGCGTCGAGCTGCTCGACACTGACATAGTCTTGCAGTCCTGGGGGGTGCCGGAGCATGACAATCTTCTTGGCCGTGACGGGGTCGAGAAAGGGTGTGATTGCGGTGAAAAAAGCCGAGATGAACCAGTTGACGTTTACGATGAGCGCCTGGCCTAGCCGTTCCACGTAGTGATTCTGAAGGATGTTGAGCACGCCGCGAGACGTCGAGAAGGAGGGCGTGTTGGCCTGCGAGGCTGAGGCGTAGTCGATGAGCAGGCAGATCTTTTCTTGGCCGGGCGGGCAAAAGTCTGCCATGGACTCCTTCTGAGGTCAGAGAGAGCTGCCAAAGATACAGGAATCGAGTGTGCCAAGACCCACCTAGCGCTCGCTCGAGGCCCCAGACAAGGTATCTGATCTGACGCGGGCTCGGCTTGGTGTTCTCGCGGCCTGGCCGAAGGTAGAGGACGGGCCTGCCCTTGTTGTCGAAGCCACTCAGGACGTGCTTGCCTGTCTCGCCCTCGATGGCCACCTCTTCCGGCTTGATGAGCTCCGGCTTGTACTCTCTGCGCCAGCGCAACGTGTCCTGAAGGCACCGCATCAGACCCTGCATTCTCTCTCTCTCTACTATCTCACTCCTGATGGAAGCTCCAACTCACGGCAACCCTGCGCTTGGCGAGAGCCTCGTCAAATTTGCATGCGACGGCGTACCTTCGAGCTGTGCTCTCGTCCTCGATCCACCTCTTCTCCCAATTTTTGTACTCATCTTCTTCCGCCAGTTCCTTGTGCAATTCCTGCAGATGAGCAGCAATGGCCTCGATTGTCTGGCGCTGGCTGGCCGAAAGCTCTGGCAGCGCGTCGGGCCTGGCGTGGGGCATTGGCCGTGTGTGGATCATCGTCGTCTTGGCCTGCGCCGCCGACGCTGCCTGTGCATCTCCACTGGCTGCCGTCGCCTGCGACGCATTGCGGCGGAGGAAACGCGACATGGTTTGCAGTGCTTGCTAACTTTATCGCACCATCTTTGGCGGTTCTGAATCTTCAATCTCTCAGGCCATTCAGTGCCCGAATTCCGGGACTGAGAAGGGGAAGAAAAAAATCAGCGCGTGCGGTCCAGTCGTCTCATCGCTCCCTCAATTTCTTCGAGCAACAGCAGCAGCAGCAGCAGCAGCAGCAGCGCGATTAGTGTGTGGACGATGGCGCTCAGACCAGTCGTCTCGTCGCTCTTTGCGAGGAGCCTCGCCAGGCCGTCGTTGATTGCTGCCGTCGCCGCTCGACATGCTTCCACGTCCGCTCCTGCACCCGCCGCGAGGCCCATTCCGCCTCCTCGAGGTGAGCACCTCTGCCCCTCTTCTATGTTGATGCGCCCGATCTTGCTGCTAACGTCCCTCACCACAGGCAACCTTGCAACGCCCGCCGACTTCCTCCAGGCGATCAGCACCCCGCGGCGAGGCGACCTGCAGCAGGCCGTCTCAGGTCTGACGGGCGAAGACTGGAACGCCCTCTTTGGCCTCGATGGAACGCAGCTCAAGAGTGCAGGTGTGACCCCAAAGCAGCGCAGGTGCGAGCTTCCCTCTTTCTATGTCCTCTTGTTGCTTGCTCTCTGAAGCTGACGGTTGCTCTCCTTCACTCTCACACAGATTCGTCCTTTGGGCCCTGGAGAAATATCGGCAGGGCCACGACCCAAGCGACTTTGTCGTGGATCAGAAGCCAAAGAAAAAGGTCCGGGGATGGGGCCCACGGGTGCAAAAGGGGATTCGGGTCAGAGGCAGGAGGCGACCGGGGGAGAAGTAAAAAGGGCGTGTATGTGAAATCCAGGGTGCAGCAATGCGCCTGTCTGTGTATAAATACAAATGGTACACCATAAAACCGATCAAGTGACTCCTAATCCATGGTGAGAGAACAGAGAAAGAAGTGTGGAGCAGAGCAGAGAAGCAAGCACATCAAGCCATCTTGTCGCCGTCGACTTGCTTTTCGTTGTCGTCAGAAGTTCGCGAGAGGGGCGAAGTGGGGGCCGAGGAGAGAAAGAGGCCCATCCGGTCTCGGAGCAGCGAGACGTAGTAGCGGTGGATGACAAAGAGAAAGTGGATGCTGTGTGTGCGAATAAGAGTGAGCTTCCCCGGAACAATTATCAGGCCAGGAAAAGGGTAAAGGGTTGCACCCACCGAAGAGCCAGATAGATGAGACTGAAGACAAGAATGAGGGGCACGACCGTCGTTGCAAAGACCTCGTCGCAGTTTTCGCTCGCAAAGACATTGTCCATGAGGGCGTCCCACCAGACGGTGCCCACGTCTGCGGTCGACGCCGACGACTGGCCACGAGAAGCACGCCGGAAGAGGTTGTCGACAAACGAGGCAGCCGTGTTGCTGGCCGAGGGCGGCGAGGGGCCGAGAGAGAGGCTGTGGGCAGCCATCCTTGAGGATGACGGCGACGACGACGAGGCAGGAGGGCCACCGCCGCGGAAGAAGGCCAGAAGCGCATGGATCTCGCCCGATGACACCTGGTCGCATGCCAGTGCGCGCACCTCGGGATAGGTGGCCAGCAGCGAGAGCGAGAGGAGCGAGAGGGCGCAAAGAAAGACGTCCAAGAAGGAAGCCAGGACAAAGATGCGCGTCGACAAGAGGTGATGCTGGAATGGAGTGGTCAAGTCAGCATAAAGCTTCATGTTGTCTTTTTCTTTTCCCTCTCCTCTCACCTTGGCGGCACCAAAGATGCCAAAAGCGCAGGCAATGGCACTCAAGGCGGCATACCCTCGCATCAGCCTTGCTAGCGTCTTGGCGGCCTCCCAGCTCCGTCGCTCCTCATCCTGGCTTTGTTCGTCTGCTGGATTGCCATTTCGGGGCGATGAGGTGGACAGCAGGTTGAACCATCGGCCGTCTTCCTGCAGCGACGACCAGTAGGAGCCTGCGGCGGCCTCGTTCGACAAAGACGACACAGATGCTAGGAGCGTCGGCGACGACGATGATGAAGTCGACGACGGTGATGATATCGAGGAGGACGTTGGTGGAGAAGAGAGCACGGGTGTCGATGGGAGGCGTTTGGGCACGTCGGGGAACGATTCTTGAAGCGACTTGAGGTGCGAGAATGTCTGGAGGTGGGCAACGAGGCCGAGTAGTGCCAGGAGCAGCGTCGCTGTCCGCGGCGAGATGAAGCCGAGGCAGCTGCCCCCTGGCCGTGATCGTGATCGGGGTGTCATGATCATCTTTTCTCTCTTTTGACCGCTGCCGCCGCCGTCGTCAAACGAAGGAGTGGATTGTCGAGGAGCGTTGATGTTGATGGCCAAGAGGAGCTTCAATCATAGCTGACATACTACTACGACTGATCCGGGCCGTCGTTGCATAGTGGACCCCTACGATCCACATAATCATTAATCGCCCGCACCTAAGCAACCTGCACGGGCGAAGCAACAGTCTGGAAATGCCGCGGAAAGCGAAAATCCGAAAGAAAGAGAAAAAAATTCAAAAAAAATAAAAGGGGGAACGTAAACACCGCTGCTCTTGGCACGGCTCGAGCGAGCCGAAGGTTGGACGCATGCATGCAAGACTCTGTCAGTTTCCCACTACTACTAGTCAGCTAGATCGACACAAGTCACACGACCCGTGCCAGGGCAAGCGCTGTCATGAACATGTCATTAAGCACACGTATCGATCAAGCTCCCTAGCTGCTGCTGCTCTTCATCATCTTGTTCTTCTTCTCCTCCGCCTCGGGCGTGTACTCTAGCGGCTGCTCGACGTCTGCCGCGGCATTCTCGCCTGAGCTCGGAGACGCGTCGCGTGAGATCGAGGCCGCAAAGGGGCTCTTCATCCTCAGCTTCTCGCCCTTAAAGTAGAGGACGAAGGTGACTGAAGGTAATGACCAAATCATCGAATCATCAGTGGATGGAGAAGAAAAGGATGAGGAGAAGCGGATGCATACTGGGAAGGAGGAGGATGGCTAGGAAAGCGAGCAGGCTTGTCGCCCATTCGTAGCCAAGCCGGTGGTACATCTGATTGGCAAAGAGGGGAAACCCTGCCCCGCAGAGGTTTCTCACGAGACCGACGCCGGCCAAAGCACTGGCGGACCAGATGCCGTAAGAGTCAACGACAAACTCGTATGTGGCGAGGATCTGGGCTACTGTCAGACTTCAACGTGCCCCTCTTCCACTCTCAACATGACTCACCAAGGTATAGAAACTCCAGCCCCACAGTACGCAGGCGAGGATACTTTGAGCAGAGTTGGGTTGCGTTTCAGCTAAGAAGAAGATGAGATCGATCATGACACTTACGGCACAATCCAATGCACACTCGGTAACGATGTCCAGGCGAACCAGAAGAGGCTGATTGGCAGAGTCACCGCAGCAATCATGGCAGTGCGAACACGGGCTTCGGGCACAACAGCATGCTGGTCTGCAGGACCCGCCACAGCGGCGACTCGTCGCTGGAAGAAGCGCTCTTGAAAGAGGATGTGGGTAAGTGGGCCAATGGATATGCCTGTTGAGTGAGAAGAGGGAGAATTAGAGGCGAGACCAAGAAGCAATGGATACAGCCTTATCACTGACCAACCACAATACCGAGAAACGCCAGACCCGTCTCTAGTGTATTGAACCTGTGCTGAGAAAAGACGAGGGAAAGCGCATCGTTGAAGAGAAAGCTGATGCCGTAGAGAAAGCCATTGTAGGCGGCGGCAAACCTGTTCGCGGGTGGACTAGGTGAGCTCTCATCTTGCTATTCGAGTAGCCGACCCTGACTGACATGACGATGGGCTCGGTGGAGAGAAAGCGAAAGGGCCTAGTCATTGTCCTTTGGAGGAGATCTCTCGCTAAATTGGACGCCGTTAGCTCCTTTCGCATCTCCTTTGGCCTCGTCTCCCCTAGTATCAAGAGCGTGGCCGACATGAGGAGCCAGAAGCCTCCTGCTATCCCGAGCAGGGCCCAAAAGACATCGCGCCAGCCTCGACTTTGAGCTATGGTGCTGAAGAGAAAATAGCCTAAAGGAGAGCCACAAGTGGCTGCCCAGAGGAACCAAGCCATCGCTTTGCCCGTGTGTCGACGCGGAAATAGGTCTGCTATGGTACCGCCCAGATTCGCTGGAGATGCAGATCAGGAGAGTCAGACTACTGTCTTCATACGCGATAGCCTAAAACGTAGTCACCAATTGTGCAGCTTGCAGTCAATCCTCCAAGGACACGAAAGACGAGGAATGCACCCAAGTTCGGCGCGAGGGCTGTTCCGAGCAACCAAGCAAGCAAGGTACCATAGGACACGATGTAGACTGGCGAGCGTCCAAAGTACTACATGGACCGTGTGGAGGTATCAGTCATAGAGAAGGCGCTGGTGAGAATGGACCCAAGGCTCACCTCTGAGAGCGGAGCCAGGAACATTGGGCCCAAGGCAAGACCTAAGACGTACAAGCTGAGGCCCAGCGTCGTCACCTCGGCGCTTGTTCCAAAGTCTTTCTGGAACTTCTTCTGGGCTGGCGAAAAGCAGGATGCGCCCCACGACACGGAGAGATCGATGAGGTAGATGGGCACTAGCAGAGCCCACTTGCGCCAAGTCGGCCAGTCGCGAGCCGATTCGTAGCGCGTCATCGTCGCCTGTCCAGTCAGAAGAAGTAAAGATGTAATGGTAGTGAAAAGCGTATCTTTCCGTCCAGGGGCCCCCTCCTGATATGAAGCAAGAATTAGCGCCAATTTCTGCACCCTGCGATCGCGAGATTAGCTGGGATGGGATTTTCCCGGCGGCACGGAACAACCCAGATCTTGCGATATTCCCGAAACAGTGGTTCGGTGACTACTTTCTTCCCCAAGGCTCGGCTTACTAAAACCTTCTGGCCAATCATCTTCTGTCTGAAGCATCATTCATCCTCAGTCTGCAGGAATGCCCGGAGTAGTTATGGATACAGCAACAGGCAGATTGGCGGAAGGATTAGAAGAGCAGATATCAGAAAGGAGAGCCCTAGATTAAATAGGATACAGAGAAGCCGTGCTCCTTGACCATGTCGTGCCAGTCGACTGAGCGGCCATCGGAGTCGGTAAGCTGCCAGAGCTTTTTTATGTAGGTCACATTGTCTTGGAGGACTCGTCTGCGACAGCCCTCGTTAGTACATACGCACCCTTGAAGGGAAACGGCAGAGAAATTCAACTCACTCTTGACCGATTGAGCCAAGGTTGAGGAGGCAGATCTCCCGATGCTCGTGCGTAATTGCGACAGTCGCCGCGAGGAACCAAACCATGGACATGTCGATTGTGTCAAGCTTGTCATCGTCCATGTATGGCGCCAGTGATGCAAGGTTGGTCGCGCTTTCCTCCGCCCGAGCCTTTGCTTGTCTGGCTGCCGGAATACCTGCGCCTCGCCAATCCCCTGTCGATTTGGGCGTATTGAACTGCATCATTTCGGATAGCTTGATAATTTGCTCAAGTGAGTGTTGAACTTTCTTTGCCATGCAGCCCAGTCGGTAGACGACCTGATAAAGGTGGATAAAAACGGCCTCGCGCCACATCTCGTGGAGCCCAAACGTTCGCAACCTCGACGTGCTAGTCTCGTCCCGCGAGACGTCGACCTGAGCTGCCTAGAAGAGAGAAATTATTCGCCTCTTTTTGCGAACCGCATAGGAGACTAAGAGTGGCTCACCAGAATATTTGTCTCTATCCACTTGGCTCTTTCCTCGAACTCGGCCGACCCTCTGACCATCTTGCCCTCTTCACAATCTGCACCCATGTCGTTGATGTACTTGAGGCAGATGAGGAGCTTGATGGAGAGGCTCGAAACATAATCGAAGTCGAAGTGAGGCGCCGTCAGGCGGTCTTGCTCCAGGAGGGGCGAAATGCGGTGATTTGGATCTGCATCAAAGACCGCAGACCTTGTGCCTCGTACGGTGCAGCCGTCAACGATGTCGGTCAACGCAAGACCTTGAATGAGGAAAGAGAGAATGGTGCCTGAGTCCTCGGTGGCGAGGAGATAGGGCACATCGATCTTGAGCTCTGCAATCTGATTCAGGATGCAAGCTTAGCTTCATCCTTGCCTTTGATAATGGGGACTTTGGAACTAAGGCTCACTAGCTTCTGAACGTCCGGCTCGAATTCACGACACTCTTTGGCGCCTTTTAAGCACATCTAGAGCCGCAATGAGAGACTACGTCAATATTCCATCTGACGCAAGTGATCACTATTCGTGACTTACTGCTGTGGCCCGTAGATCGAAAAGTGCCACAAGTCGTGCTTCAAGGTTGCTTGAAGTGCTATTGGCTCGAAATTCGCGACACGAGAACTCGTACCAGGCGTGGGCAAATTGGGAGCTGTTCCAGATCGAAGAGGCCGACTTGCCGTCCGCGGAACTGAAAGTGCTCTGCCTCTCGGCTGTTCTAGGACCAAACATTACTCGCTGCTGCGGCCGTTCTTGTTGCTGCTGCTGCTCTGCTCTATTCTCCTGTGGCGAAGGCGGCGGTGATGGTTCCTTTCTGGGTCCTTCGGGTTTCGAGGAAGGAAAGACAAATGAAGCAGGTGTCTGGCTGGACCTAGAGTCGATTCCTTGTGCCTTTTGTATCTGTCGCTGGCATAGATCGTGATACGCCAGACAGGAGGCGACCATGGCGGACTTGCACAATTTGCTTGACTTCACAATTTTCATGATGTGGTCGATGAGAGCGCCGTGACTCTCGGGGTCAGTCACATCCCCTATGCTTCGCCAGAGCTTCTCGTCTGAATCGGAGCATTAGAGGGTTTGAGGGAACCATTTTGGTGATGAGGAAGGAGAATATGTTCACTCACAAAAGCCGCTGTACTTGGTCAACATGTCGTCGAGATCTTGAGATTCCACTAATCGCCCGATGTTGCTGCTGCTCCATGGTACGGATGATTTCTCACCACCTTCCGTCAAAGCGGGACCGTCCCCCACGGTCCTCTTCCTTTTCGGCCGTTGCGGCTGTGCCGGCAATTGCCCTTCTTGTTCCTGGGTGGACTTGTAAGCTGAGTGTACCGTCTGCCCTGGCTGTTGCGAAGAGGGCTCAACGACAAAAGAGGGCGAGGGTGACAAGACGGTCCTTGAGCCTAGAATGCTCGGATCTGTCTCGGGCGAGGCCATCTGACTGTCAAGCCATTGAGAGTTGCTGCAGTCTCCATCCATGAGGAGTGGGGCGGTCAGATCCATAAAGTCATCGAAAAACTCGTCGAGCCAGGCGTTGCGAGACAAGATTTGCTCGAAAGACACGCCAGCCTGAATTGTCGGCTGCTGCCATTGAAATGGTGCTGTTTGTTGATATACAATCGGCTGTTGCGCTTGTTGGTGTTGAACTTGTTGTTGTTGTTGTTGTTGTTGCTGCTGCTGCTGCTGTTGCTGTGGCTCCTGAGACAGCATGGACTGCTGCTGATTGGAATCCGAGACCTGCTGCGGTTCCATGAACAAGGGCACTTGCGACACCTTTGATTGCTGCGGAAACGGCGGAAACGTGTAAGAGCCGCTTTGGAATGGGGCGGAGGGATGGCCCGACGTCTCCGGGCTCGAAAACATAGCAGAGGCTTGTGAGGCCAGCGGTGGCATCGATACTGACACAGATGACGAAGACGAGGACGAAGTCATGGACAGAAGAGATGAAGTAGAGCCCCGATTTGCATGCAAGCCATTGTGCCGGTGGTTGCTGCTATTGCTGCTGCTGCTATTGCCGCCCGTCTCTCGATGGAATTTGCCGGTATTTGGCAGGGCCAGAGCATGATTGGAGGTCGGAGACGGGCGATTGCATGTCTGTCTTCTCACATGACAGGCGCTGCAGCCCGTGAACCCATCTGCCCAGGTTTGAAAATCCTCTGGACACTTTTTCCTTCGTCCTCGGCAGGTCCTGGCGATGAGAAACAACGGTAAGGGCGTCATGTGGTACACTTGGCAACAGAGAGCTCTCCGGAGTAGACTCACAGACATCCTTGCTTGGACCTCTTCTCATCCACACGACGCCTTTGAGGCGGCGAAGGGGACGAAGAGCTCAGATTCATCGTCGGAGGAGGGGCAGATGATGAATTTGCAGAAGGGCGGGGCCCTCTACGCAGGAAGGAAGATGTCTGCCTTTTTCTTCGTTCCGTGGTCGGAAGCCTAGATCTCAAGCATGAAGCAACATGCCCGATGTTCGATCCCGGGCGCCGAGCTAGTCAAACACTTGCACTGAAAGGTGACAGGGCAGCACCAGCTCTCGCAGCTGGATGCAAATATTGATGTAGGCATGCACTTTTAGCGCTCCACCTCGGGTTTCCATTGCTCAAGCCACGAAAAGGGAAGACATGCATCATCTGCCATTTGATCGAAAACAAAATTTTTGGACCGCCCAGGGTGAGTCTTCTTCTTCACGTGGCTGTGCCGAATCGTCGAATCGCCGGACGTGCGAAACGCGGATGCTGAGACAGGACATTAATTGCGTCCAGCATCTCTTTACTTTTCCTACGGTCTGGAGTCTCTCCAGCCCAAGCCCCATGCAGTCTTTGACTTCTATCTCTGCCCCTTGCCCTGTAAGAGGGCGTGGACATTACATGCAGTGTGCCTTGACTATTCACATTCCTAGGCACTTTTCTTCATGCGAGACCACGCGGAAGCTTCTCTCGCGCTGTGGCGATGCCGGCGATTCACCGTCACCAACTGTCGGGTGTCAGGGGAGTATACACTGCTAGGGTGCTAGCAAACGGTGCTGTGCCATCTGTCCACTGTTGCCCCTTGATTACCGCTGTCCCGACGTACGAGAAGGTGCTTACTATCAATGACTCATGCCCTCAGAGACTGCATACAAATATGCAAGGCGTTGTCTGACTGAATGCATCTTCGAGACGTATTCAAGCTCCTCCTTGGTCCTTCTCTTCTTTTGTCCCTTCTTTGGCACCGCACAAGCACCGCCGCGCTGCAGATATTCCTTCTAGAGAAGAACATGGTAGCACTGCCTTTATGACGCATACCCTTCGGTCTGGACGAGAAGATCGTGGCAAGTATGTCTTCTCGTTCTGGTTCTTCATATATACGAGCTACGGAGGGGAGTTGGCTGACAGGATGGAAAGACTTGCCCATCACCTTGGGGCACGATGAAAGATGAGCTGCGAAGCGATGCAGATGGGCCCGCCCGACAATTTTCCCATTCGCGTGACCACAATGGCGACCAGACCGGTGTCTCTCCTTGCGTCATCCCCGCCCTCTCCTCCTCTTCCTGCTTCATCTTCTCGTATGAGTCGTCAGCCAGCGAGCGGAGGGGCTGCAAGAGCAGAAACATCAAAATCAAGGGAGGACGTACACGCGACGGGCGCAAGTAGCTCGACGCAGGTTTTAGAAGACGACATGCCCCCTTCGAGCCGCAACAGACACGGCGAGCTTTCTGGTAAAGCTCGTCCCAGAATCAGGATCACATCGCCGCTCTTTTGCTACCGCCTTGGCTCGTTGTACTACCCACGCCCACCAAAGCGAGCGGCGCAAGAAATCAGAGCCAAGAGAGTTGTCCTGGTCCACACAAATGTCTCAAAGCTCGCTCGCAGATGGGTCGCACCTTTTGTTGTCAATCTTTAGGTAAAGTCCTGTTCTGACTACGCAGAAAAGAAGAAAATGCTGTATCATACGAGACTATCTCTCACCAGCGCAATCTTAGAGTAAAGCGAAGTTTTTCTCGAATTTGCTGTTCACGTTCTCTAGAATGCGCAACACAGGAACGGTCTAGCTGTGACAGAGCAAAAAAGCGAGAGAGTCCTCAACGTCTGATGAGAACTTGATGTGCTGACCCTCATGAGTCGGCTTCAATAAATCGTTGGACCCATGAGGCAAAGTCGACGTCGGCAAATAAGGCGTCGAGGTCAGTCTGCTGAAGGTCGAGGGTGCCATCCACCTTAGGTTCATATGGCAGGACAGTGGACTCGGAAGGAGCCGATGCCCGATTGTTTTCGATCGGCTGCCTCTGCTGTTGTTGTTGTTGCTGCTGCTGCTGCTGCTGAGCCTGCTGCTGAGCCTGCTGCTGAGCCTGCTGCTGCCGTGAGATGAGCCATTCGAGATACTCGGCATGCCGATGCGCCACACCTCCCTTCCCACCGTTGTCTCGTGACGCTTCGCGAAAGACGCGAGCCGTATCAACGACGGCTTTTGTAAGGGCATCGGCTCGAACAAACGCGTGCCGGCCCGCCAGAGCGACAAGCCTGAGCGCAAGGACGGCGACGTAGGAAGCAGCAGTGAAGAGCGAGTTGTGGCTGTATCTCGCCTCTTGCTGCATCGCTGGTGAGACCACCTCAGCGAGGTAGGCCAGCACGGCATCCTGTAGGCGAGGCAGCGTAGAATTTGCCAGTGGAGCAGTGGAGGAGGAGGAAGCTTGCGGATGCTGCAAGGGCATGACGAGGATCATGACCCTGATATGTTGCTGGTAGATAGCCATCTTGGCGGACCTCTTCGCCGTCGGCTCAATGTCCCTGTGCAGAGCAGACCAAGCCTCGACGTCTGCTTCTGCCCGCTCGAGATAGTATTCGATGTTCTCGTCAGAGGTCCTGAGCCGCTCGAAGAGCTCTTGGCACCTCATAGACAGCAGTCTTAGCTGAACGTGAGCTACAACGACGCCGTCGCCCTCGATTGCATGCACGGAGCGGTGCCACTCGCGCGACTGATCGACGACACCCCGCGTCGCCAAGAAGGGCAACCTTCCCGTCTTGTTGGCAAATGATTGCTCCTGCAGCCAGAGGTTGAGCCATGTCCGCTCTCTGGTCCGATAATGGCGCGCCAGCCTCGCTTCGGCCATGCCAGCAGTCTCGTCGAGAGAGGACGAGTGTATGCGCGAGTTGAGGTCGAGCTCCGTCGCCATACGTGCGGCATGGCAGACCACGGACCAGGATCGGTCGTCAATGACGCGAGGCGTGACCGGGTAGTATGCGCCATAGATTAGAAAGGCTATTACGAGCTCAATGGTGGCGCAGTCGTAGAGCACGACGTGGGGAATGACGTGCTGGCGCAGGTGATCCTCCAAAGGCTTCGAGAGAGAATGCGTTTTTGTCTCGAAGCGGGCTGCGGCAAAGAAGATGGCCGTCGAAAGGGCATTATGCCGGCCAATGTGCTCAAAAGTGTAGATCTCCGGGTCGAGGAGCGTTGTGCGTGGGTTGAGGTTGACCATGAAAAAGGTGTGCAGCTCCCGGGCCTGCTCTTCAGTGACGAGGCCTCCTGCTATTGGGTCCAAGTGCCGCCCAACCTCGGGCCTGGAGTCGAAGACGCCATCGGAAAAGTAAGAGAGCCAGCTCGTGTCGCCGCCGTGGCCGTGGCCAGCTTCTGCGAGGAGGCGCAGCGGGTTGCTGACCGCAGGCAGGCCAAGCTCCACGCCGCTCCTCCTTGTCCTCTTTGCCTTGCTTCCATTCGTTGCGGCTTCTGCCTCTCTGCCTTCGTCGTGTTCCTGCGTTGGGGGCGGTGACGTTGACGAAGACCAGGGGCGCGAGATCGGGGCGGGCCTGATGCACATCCTCCTCATGCGCAAGCATCGCAGGCACTTGTGGTCGCCCACCTCGGTCACGCAGCGCACCTTTTGCCGACGGCACTCGCCGCATGACACGGCCTTTGACGACGGCGGCCCTCCGGCGGGCCGTGGGGAAGTCGACGGACCTGCGCCTCCCCGTCGCCGTCGTTCGTCGTCCATGACATTCCTTCTCTCCACTTTTGCCCAAGAGCTGCGAGGTGCATAAAGGCTAAAAATCTTGGTGTGCACAGTTCAGATCTCGATTGGAAAGAGGTCATCGAGCACGCGTCAGAAATGCCCGCCAGGCATCCCCAGCAGCAGACGCTCCGGCCATGATGATTAAAGGGATCACATTAGGACAAGGACAGATAGGACGGGGTAGGGGATGGTTCTAGTACAAGTCAGGGAAGTTGTCGATCCAGAAGCGGCAGACGTCCTCCTTGTTGCCCACCGCTGCCGAGGTGATCTTTGCCGAGGTCGCCTCTCTCTGCACACCGCTCGCGGCCGTCTCGTTTTTCAGATTGACTCCCCGGAACGTCCACGGAGTCAAGGTCTTGTGCTTGGAGTCGTACGACATGAGCTTCTCGTCTGACGGATTGAACTTGACACCGGCATACGACGAAGACGAGGCTGATACGTCCTTGGCAAAGAGGAAGCGCGTCGTCTGCTTGACCACCGAAGGCACCACGTCGGGCTGCGGGGGACCGTAGAAGTCGAGCAGGTCGGCGCTGCGATTGTAGAAGTAGACGAGGTCCTGCCCGTGCAGCGAGGGAAGCACCTCGATCGAGTAGCGGTAAGCCGCCTTCCCATGAGCATGAAACGCTGAAGCGAGGGCATTCGAGGCGCATTTGAAGAAGCCATCAGAGATCAGCTCTGCCACACGGCCGTCCTCGTTGTCCACACGCGGGTATAGACGCAGTAACTGCTGAACACGATGCTCTGACAGGCGAGGGAAGAGGCGTCGGACCTCCTTGTGTGTCTCAGCCGGCGTCGTCTGATTCTGGTAGAGAATGATGACACCCTCGTTGACCTGCGAGCCCACGAGGATCGCTTGACCATTGATTGCGCGCCGTCCCTCTCCCAGCGTCTTGTATGGGTTTTCGACAATTACCTTTCCATCGATGACGGGCTGCCAGGGAAAGTAGGTGTACGTCGACTTGTTTGAGAGGACGAGCGAAGCGTTGAGCATGGCGTTTGCATCGAGCTTGCGAAGACATTTAAGGCTGTTTCGGACCTTGGCGCACCCCGCCACGTCGACGAGCTCCTTGTATGTCTTGCTGCTTGTTTCTCCCTGTGCGGTTGGCTGTGGTGGAAGAAAGACACTCATGGTCCAGACTGTCTTGAAGAGGCCCTTTGCGCGGGGCGAGACGACATGCTGGAGCACACTGCCTGCGCCGGCCGACTGGCCCGAGAGAACGACATGGTCCGGGTCGCCTCCGAATTTGGCAATGTGCTTCTGGATCCAGCGAAGCGCTTCTTGCTGGTCAAGAAGCGCGCCATTGGCCACGCCGCCGAGCTTGTGGAACTCCTTGCCCTGGTTGAACCCAAAGACGCCGAGCCGGTAGTTGATCGAGACGAGGATGAAGGGCTGATCCGAGTGCTCGGCCATCAGTGTCGGATCTACTTCGTTCTTGGAGTTGAGCTGGTAGGATCCACCGTGGATGTAGACGAGGACCGGCAGGCGGGCGTGTGAATTGGATGTATTGTGAGGCGTGTAAACGTCGAGGAGGAGGCAGTCTTCGGACTGGTTCTTGCCTGCGGCGGCGGCATTCTCGGTCAGTCCTTGGAAGCACACCGTGTGTGTGTCATCGGCGTTGATGATGCCCTTCGAGGCGAGGCTGTGTGGGGGACGAGGCGCCCCGAAGCGCTCCGCTACGGCATAGTGGAGACCGTAGAAGGCCGTGTAGCCCGGTACCTTTGCTGCATCACCTTTGTACTTTGCGTAGCCGAGATCCACCACCTCCTGTGCCGACACGACGACCCCAGCCAGCGAGGCCAGCAGCAACGGGAGATGTAAGCGCATCTCGGGATTGGATCTATGAGAAGGGGGGGAAAGAATCTGCCTTTGTCGCCGGCGCGAGCGTCGCCTTTATGTGGGGTCTCCAGTGTGAGCGGTGAATAAATCAATATATGCACCTTTTTCCCGATGGTCTGTCCCCTCCAGGTTCCAACTAGCCTGCCAGGCACATCGACGAGAGAACTCACGTTCCTTAGCAAGCGACTAGCCTGCTCTGAGAATCTTTCAGGGAGGCCGTCGCAGCGAGGAGAGACGATTCGAGAAGCGAAACAGACAAGTCAGGAGGGGGTTGAGAATGAAAGTGACTACGCGGGAGGTCAAGGAGGCCGCGCTTCTTGTACTGCTGTAGGAAGCCATCTGCGATACGGACACAGAAACTCAGAGTTAGAACGGCTGAGCTCCTGAGCGGATTCGCGATCTTAGCAACTTGGATCTGAGATGAGAAAAGAAAAATAGAGCGCCGCCATTTGGCTCGAGCAATGCGCGAAAGGAAACGGGTTGGGGGTCCGCGCGCGGAGATCACCACAAGCAGGCAGGGGTCGGAGAAGCCGTGCGCGTGGGATAGAGCGTGGCCCAACCGCAGATGGCAGATGCCTTACGAGAATGACTGTCGAACTTGACCTGCGCAAATAAAAGTTCTTCCACTCATTCGCTTCGCAGTCGAAGCATTCACAAGGCGATGTGGGGTTGCGAGAGAAAGAAGGCAGCGAGCGCTTCGAAGCTTCTACGGACGCGAAAAGGGAACAGGCTAAAATATAATCTCATGCACAGCTTCGCTATAAGCTAGCTTGCCTAGCTTTCCTGGCATTGGCTTCTTTTTTCTGCACTAGCGGGAACTCCCCTCTCGTCTTGGGATCTGCGGTCCGGCGCACACTCCGAGGTGGCTGGAGAGAGACGCTCATAGTGGGGTTTTAGCGGGGCGTTGTTCGTTCAGTACTGGAGCCTGCAAATGGCTCAACTCTGATCTCAGCTCTCTTCTGTCCCTCCATCATCGCTCGACAATCAATGGGGTCCCATAAGTGCAATAGGTGTTCCTGAACGGAAGCATGCGTGGTTGAGATCATTACAAATGGCCTTGCTCTAATTTCTCTTCGTGGCAAAGGTAAGCAATCTACTTGAGGCCGACGGCCTTGATGGGGTCAATCTTGATCCTGCCCGGATGATCCGGTGGTGCGTCGAGAGGCACGACGATGTCCTTCCAGATCTCTCGCAACTCGACCAAGTCCCGAATCGTCGCATGGCCGACCTGCTCCTTGCCCTGCTGAGCAGAAGCCAGCTGCTCGTCAAGGTTCTTCTCCTTCTCTTCCTCATCATCAAACCAGCCTCGATCGTAGGTAGCACCGACGAAACCGACACGGTAGACGAGCCCTTCCGAGGTGCCAACCACGAGGTTCTCATGATCGATCACTAAGCTCATTGGGTTTCTCGTCGGAATCGCCAATTCCTTTGCTTGGGCCTGCCATGCACCCCCGATCGGCACCACCTCGCTCTCGCTCTCGCTCTCTCTGCCCGCTGCCTCCCGTGCAGCCTCGTCCGTCGAATCCCCTACGTCCTCTTTCTCCCGTGGCTCATCCGGGAGGGTGCTGGTATAGAGCCTCCGATTGGCGCCTGCTCGGCTGCTGAACCGGCTCGCACTGACGATGCGCCGCTTGGCCGGGTCCACTGCACCCGTCGCGCCATCGGGCATTGCAAATATGTCGATCACGACTGGGGCCACGCCAAGGTTGGGTGCAATGCGCGTTGGCCGGTGTTTCTGGTCAGACATTGTTGTTATTGTTGTGGTCGTCGATACAGGCGAGAGGGCTGATGGTGGTGGACTCTTGCTGGACGAGAGCGTCGGCGTCAAGGGAGCCATCGAGGCCGCTGAGGACGATGGGGTGAGCGACTTGGGTGGAGTAGGCCACGGTTGCGGCGTCACGGGCGTGTAGCTGTGCCTCTTGTTCCCAAGGGGCGTCGACGCCGTCCGTGTGACACCATTGCTCGTGGTCTTTCCTCTGGACGACGAGGACAGCGAAGGTGAAGCAGCGCCGCTCACCGCCCGTCGTGCGTCAGACTTCGACGAGGTCAAAGGCGTGGTCGTTGAAGAATCCTTGCTCGAGGACAGATTGCTCACGACACTGCTCGCAGTCGAGTCTGTCCGTTGTCTCATCGTCGTTGGTGACTTTGTCGAGGCCGTAGAGCTCGTCGACGTCTTGCGGACTCGGCTTGGCGTTGGTGTTGTTGTTGCTGCTCTGCCTGGCGAGAGATCAAGAGGCTCGATTTGAACGGGCACGACGTGCTCCTGCCACTTGAGATGCACGACTAGGTTGGCCGTGGCAAGCGTGATGGTGTTCTTATGAGCGGCAAACCAGGACAGCACATTGCTGCCATTGGCATCGCCCTTGCCGAGCCCAGCGAGCTTGGGCGACAGCTTGGCCAAATCGTACTGTCCAATCAGCTCCTTCTTTCTGATCGAAAAGGTCCTGATGATACCGTCGATTGTCACGGCCACAATCTTGTCGCCGTCGACAATGGAGACGCCTAGCGACACGTTGCTCTGCTGCCCAAAGCGAACAATCTTTGTGCCCTTCTTCCAGTCCCACACCACCACTGCCTTGTCCTGGCCCACGGAGACGAGAAAGGTGTCGTTCATTGCGACGTGTCGAATGCCGCGGTTGTGGCCAGAAAGGGTATGCAGTAGGCTCCAATTCTTCATGTCCCACACCATGATGCGGCCCGTGTCGTAGAGACCGGCAGCGAGGATACCCTCTGCATCGAGGAAGTCGAGGCAGGAGATGGCCTTGGCTGGTACAACCTTTTTGCACTCGCCCGTCATGAGGTCCCACACGCGCAGGGTCTCGTCGTAGCTGCCCGTGACGAGGGTGCGCCGCCCGCGAAGCTTCATAGCCGTGACACTGTGCCGCGTCGCACGTCAGCAGGAATGCTTACTAGTGTCAATGGGAGCCATCGACCACTCACAAGCCAGTGTGGCCCGTAAAGAAAGTAATGGACTGGCCAATGCCCTTTGCCCAATTTCGCTCGCGAAAGTAGAGGCCCTTGACAAGCGTTTCCCACTCTGATGGCTCCTTTGGCGGGCTCACCGGCACCGGATCGCCTTCCGTCAGGGCGAGGGCGTGGGACCGCCAGAGCTCGGGCTGGGAGCTGATGGCCAGCCACTTCTTTGACACCTGTCGGCATCGCACGAGCTGCATGTGCTTCTCAGTCAGCTACTCGGAAGGTGAATCTAGGCGCAAGTGAAATAAAAATGCAGCGACTCACCTCCTTGACCTCGAGCTTCTCAAAGATCTTGATGCAGATGCTCTCGGGCAGCCCACTGACGACGTCTCTCGTGAGACGGAGGTGTTTCTCGAGGGTGCGTGTCATGCTCGCAATGTCGCCAGGCAAGCATGCATCGAGGATGATGTGCAGCAGTCTGATGCGCATCGCCGAGGGCAGCGTCCTGAAGTGCGCCTTGAAGGCCTCTTCATCGAGGCCGTCCTTGTCGTTCTGGGCAAAGAGAATAGCGGAATCCAGTGCCGCCTGGTGTCCTTGTGCAACACTGTCAGAACCACCATTCGCAGTCCCGTTCGGTGCAGCAGCAGCAGCAGCCACGGTCTGCTGTTCTTCTTCGTCAAAGAGCACACACGAGCCCCAGCCTAGGTCCCTCGCCGCACTGATGTTGAGTCTGGAGTCGTCGACAAAATAAATTCTAGCCGGATCGTGCATGCCAACAACATCCAGGGCAGCCTCGTAGTAGTGCCGCTCGGGCTTGCAGGCAAAGTTGCGGTCGGCATAATCGCAGTAGATGATGCCCTCGATGAAGTCGTCGAGCCCGAGCAAGCGGAGGCAGCGGACGGCATGCGTCTTGTAGGCATTGGTCAGCGCCCACACGCGCACCTTGGTCCGGTCCAGGTCCGCCAGCAGCCTCTGCACACCCGCGTCGGGCCGCAGGACATCCTCGAGCGGGAGCGTTGCATCGCACTTTGCGTCATAGTCGAGCGCATCGATCTTGTGGTGCTTGACTAGGCCCCGGATCGCCAGGCCATAGCTGCGGTAGTACTGGCTGTGGAGCCGCTCGGCCTCTTCCTCGTCGAGGCCCAGCCCGATGATGTAGGCGCGGATACGCTGCGTCATGAGCTCGGCGATGCGCGTCGACTTGCGGTAGAGGGTGTTGTCGATGTCGAGAAAGACGATGGCGCGCTCGTCGTTTGGCTGCACGTTCAGCGCTCCCTCTTTGAGGGCCAGCACGCCGATCCGCTTCCTTCCTCGCTCATCTCCATCCTCTTCATCTCCCTCTTGCTCCTCTTGCTCCTCTTGCTCCCCTTCTCCACCTCCCGCTTTCTTTTGCCCATCTTTTCTGTCATCATCAGGCACAGCTGCCTCGCCGCTGCTAACCCTTGTCCTCCCTGGCGAAGCAGCCGACAGCGGTGCGCCATTTCTAGCCGCGCCCGTCGTTGTCGTCGCCGTCGCCTTCTTGGCCGGCGAAGTGGACGCGCCAGCACCCGCGGCCCTCGCTGCAGCAGCAGCGCCCGACGTTCTCGGCCGCGTCGGCGTTGCCTTGTCAGGAGGAGCAGCTCGACGCATTCTTCCTTGCTTGTCCTGCCGAAAAACCACACTCTCTCTTCTTACCAGCGCATCAGAGCCCTAATCCGAGTCAGAGAGAGAAGTAATCGACGACGAATCTTCCCTGTTTTAGACTACCACTTGCATTTTGGGCCGACGAAGGCGCGCTTAGGCTACTTTAGAACTCCTTTTCCCCCCGCACGGACATCAGAAATCGGCAGACTGAGGAGTGTATCGAATGTTCATTTTCACTGCGTCCCAAAAAGAAAAGCCAAGAATGAGACAAGAACAAGGCCAGGCCACCGAGGGCAGAGCAGCATGTGAGAAGGGGTATGAGAAGAAGAGTAGGAGACTATCTAGGAGATGTGGGCTGAGAGCCGTACGGGGCGGCCGCCTTTGGATCCTGGGCTTCCTGCCACGCCCTCGCCTGTGCTTGGGCCTGTTGGATGCGCGAGATGGCATTGATGAGCGAGGGCGTCGCTGCCACCTGTCGCTGGCCCGCAGCACCTGTCGGTGCCGCTGCTGCAGGAGACGCAGACGCAGGCGAGGAGGGCGCCGAGTCGCGGTAGACATCGAGGGGCTTGTGGACATCGCTGCTGTTCGGAGCGCCAGCATCGGAGCCCCTGGCAGTGGTGCCACTGAGGTTGCTGCCGCTCCCCTTGCTCCCTGCACCGTCGCTTGCCTCGCTGCGGTAGCTCGGAAGCGGCGTCGACGAGAGCAGCGGCGGTCTGGGGAGCGGCGGAAGCTGGTATCCTCCGTAGTTCTCCGTGGCCGACGTCGTGTGCTTCTTGCTCAAGGGACTCAGCAGATCCTTGCTCTCGTCGTCATCGTGCTTCTCGTCGACGTCATCGACATCAGTCGCATCGGAATCATCGTCTGAATCGCTCTGGCCCTGATCGCGCCCACTCAGGGCCTCGAACCGGGCTGGGTCTCTGGCCGTCGTCGTCCGCGTCGATGCGCGCCTGCCCTTGCGTCGGCTTCCTGAACGGTTGCGCGAGCGCTGCTGCAGCGGGCTGGCCTCGCGGTCGTCGCCCGTCAGGTTGCCGTAGCTGGCCGGCTTCGAGGGCGAGGCACTGTCGAAGAAGTCGCACATGCGCTGCCACGCGCTGGGCGCCGGCTCAAAGAGGCCCGCACGGGGCGCGTTGCTCATGTCAGCGCCCGTGACGTTGCCGTTGCCGTTGGCCTTCTCGAAGCGCTCCGTGTAGGAGCCCAGGTACTGGTTCCACTCCGACTCGGCATCCTCGCCCGCGTGCTTGTGGAGCAGCATCTCAAAGAGGAAGCCCACGACGGCACCGAGAACGGCACCTGCGATGTAGCCCTTGAATGCGCTGGTGCCCCAGGCCGACGTGGCAATGTCCATCGACGAGGTCTTGTCCTTGGCAAAGAGCACCACCCACAGGTCCAGCCAGTTGTCCGACGAGTCGCGGGGAGGAGCAAAGAGGGCGACGCCGTTGAGGAAGGTGACGACACCCACGAGCGAGGTGCAGCCATTGAGAACGAGCTTCTGCACCGCGTTGGGTCGTGGCAGGATGAGGGGCGCCGTGAGGAGCGTGGAGAAGACGGCGAGGAGAATGACTCGGATGAGGATGGTGCGAATGCCAAAGACGGCCGTCAGGATGATCGTCAACGAGGTACCGCCCAAGACACCGGCCATAGCCCTCGATGCAAAGCGGAGGTGGCCGCCGACGACGGCACCGAGAAGGCCGGGGGCGAGCCAGACGGCAAAGAGGGCGCCAGCCGAGGGAGGCTTCTTGTCGTCGTCGGCGCATACAGCGTTGTTGATGACGACGGCGAGGTACGAGAAGAAGAGGAAGCCGATCAGGAGGCCCCCGACGCCGCCATTGAGAATCGCTCGCCCTCCCCGCTTCCGGCCCTTGATACCGGGCAAGGCTTCTGCGATGGCCGATGAGGATTGCTTCTTGGGCCTCGTGCCCAGCTTGTTGAGCCAGAAGAGCGAGGCGAGACCAAAGAAGAGGAGCACGAGGCCGACGACCATCCAGACGATGCCGTAGAGCACCTTTGCCCATCCCATCGCATGCAGCTGGTCGGCCCAGGAGAAGCCGGTGTTCTCGGCGATGAAGACGAGCGGCGTCGACTGGTCCTGCTGCGCGCTTGACGACGACGACGACGACGACTGCTTGGCCGCGGCCATGTTACGGATCGCAGCCTCGGCGTCAAAGTCCTTGGGGACGCCCTCTGGATGGTACTTGACATAGTCTGCAAACGCCTTGCTCAGCGCCTCGCTCGAGAAGCCATTGTACGTCTTGTCCTTGTCATCGAGGGCCTCGAGCTCCTTGTTGACGGCCAAGAACTGCGGCTTGGCCGTCTGTCCAACGCTCGAGGGTGGGTAAAGCCATTTGTCCGACGTTGTGTTCATCTTTTCGTAGCTTGTCAGGGCAGACGAAAGCCTGTCAGTGCCCTGTTGCCGAGCGTCTTCGGCGGTCGTCATGCTGCGAGGAAGCCCAACCTACCCTGTCCGTGTGGAGGAACAGCAGTGACCCTATTCAAATCGCCTCGCCGAGCTTCTTTCGTTTTGTCGATGCGGTCGTTCGTGAGTACTCGTGTCGTAGCAGATCGTCGTAACAGATCGTCAAGGTCGTAAAAGAAAAACCGAGAGAAAGGCCTTGACAGGGGCCGAAAAAGAAGAGGCAGACAATGGCGAGAACGTCTCGTACGAGCCTCCGTCTTGCTTGCTACCTGGGACTTTTAGCCAAAATAGGGGCAACGCGCCAAGGTCACGTGTGTTTATCTGTCTCTGGCTGGATCAGTCTTGTTTACTTTCGGCCGAGAAAATTTCCTCCCAAGAAACACAAAAAGCAACCGCCGTCGACAATTTTCTTCTTCTCTTTGTGCGGCAACGGCTGCGTAATCCGTGTTGCTCCCGGTGTCTTGCCGTCGTTGGGGTCTTCTGCCGAGAGGCGATGGCAACGGCGACGGCTGCAAGTGACTCTATTGGTGAGCGTCATACGTCATAGCCCAGAGGCAGCGACGCCAGGGGGGATCGCCATCCCCTCGTGCTTTCTAGCCCGCGCGGACGTCTTAGCACCCTTGTCTGCGCCTTTGTCCTTTGGAGACGTGGATGGGTCGGTGGTCCGTACATCTCTTCTGTTTTTCGAACCTCTCGAAATAAAATACTTGATCGTCGTCTGCCTTGACTGCACTCTCTCTCTCTAACATGCCCTGGGGCCTTCCCTGCCTGCCTGATTAGTGAAGCGCCGACTCGGACTGGATCGGACGCAAGGTTAGCGCCACGCGAGATAAAGGTGCCGTGCAATCAAGCCCAAGCCCTTGACCCCGGACCGACACCGATAGATAGTTCAGCCGTTGGGTTCTTCTTGAGTCAGACTGGGCCATTTTCCTTTCTCTCTACGGCTCTGTCTCCTTCGCTTCCCTTCCCCTTCCCCTTCTCTCCGCCCTCCTCCTTGCCCCGCTCCTGCCCCGCGCCTCCGACAGAATGGCCTCCACCACTGAGACGGCGTCCAAGCCAAAGCGTGAGTCGATGAGTCTCCCCTCGAGCAGAAGCAGGAGCTAGGAGAGCTGACGAAGATAGAGACGGCCGCCCCAACAGCGCTGCCATTCTATGCGCAATTCACCGCGGGCGCCATTGCAGGCGTGTCGGAGCTGCTGCTCCTCTACCCGCTGGACACTGTCAAGACCCGGCTGATGCTTCAGACCAAGGTCGAGGTGCCCGGTGCGGAGCGGTACAATGGCATGGTCGACGCCTTTCGCAAGATTGTTGCCAGCGAGGGGTGAGTGTGCTTAGCCAGTGCCTAAGAGTTCACGCCGCTGGTTGCTGACCTTGGACGACTTGAAACTACGCCTCCCCCTCTTGCAGAGCAGGACGGCTATACAGAGGCCTGATCCCGCCCCTGATGCTCGAAGCGCCAAAGAGGGCCGTCAAGTTTGCCGCAAATGACTTTTGGGGAAAGACGTACCGGAACGCGACGGGGAGCGAAAAGATGACGCAGGGCCTCAGTGTGCTGACTGGCTGCAGCGCTGGTGCGACCGAGTCGATTGTCGTCGTTCCCTTTGAGCTCGTCAAGATCCGGCTGCAGGTGTGTTCCTGCACTTGTGCCAGTTGAGTGCGCCTTTACTCATGCTTTCTCTGCTCTCTCTCTCTTCTTCTTTTCAGGACCGGGCGCAGGCGCACCTGTACAAGGGCCCCATGGACGTCGTGCAAAAGATTGTCGCAAAGGACGGCCTGCTGGGCCTGTACGCTGGGCTCGAGAGCACATTCTGGCGGCACGTCCTCTGGAACGGCGGCTACTTTGGCTGCATCTTCCAAGTCCGTGCGCTGATGCCCAAGGCCGAGAACAAGGGCCAGGAGCTCCGCAACAACTTCATCTCGGGTATGATTGGTGGCTTTGTCGGCACGGCCCTCAACACGCCCGCCGACGTGTTCAAGAGCCGGGTGCAGAACACGACGTATGCGCCGGGGCAGAAGAAGCCCTGGACGCTGCCGGGTATCATCCAGATCGGCCGCCAGGAGGGCTTTGCGGGTCTATACAAGGGCTTCACGCCAAAGGTGCTCCGGCTGGCCCCTGGTGGCGGTGTGCTCCTCCTCGTCGTCGAGGTCGTCTTGGACCAGTTCCGCAAGGTGCTCGGCCCGCCCTACCTTTGAGCGAGCCTTCTTTCCCTCGTCAACCCCCATCAATTCTTGTTCTTTCTTTCTCGTACGAGCCTTTCCTATCCAACAAGGTGTTCATTAGCCGGACGAAACGTGTATTCCAATCTCCAAAAAACCAAGCAAGACATAGACATTGATTTCGCTTTGCATGCTCTACGGATTCTGTTGCACCACCACTGTCCCATCCCACAAGTCTGACATGTTGTCTGATCTTTTTCCTCTTCTTGTCTCTGCTTGAAGAGACTCGAGCTATGAATGCTATGTATGCAAAAATGGTGCTCTTCATTGCAAATGGGCATTTTATGCACCGAGATCCCAGATCTGGACATCGGTCGGCGCAATCGTCTCTGGCGTGTCCTGCTGGCCCACGACGAGCTTTGCCCTCGCCTCCGACGAGAAGAGGCCGTCTCGCAAGTGGGGCCACTGGCCCAGGTCCACCGCGGCGCGGTCGTCGTAGTTGAACGCAAAGAGGGCGCGCTCGCCGTGCCTGGCCAGGCGCAGGTGGGCGCCCAGGTCGTGCGACGCATCGGGCAGCTGGTCCAGCGCATTGCGCACGCCGAGTTGGGCCAGCGTCTTGGCAAAAAAGGGCAACAGCACGTCGGCGGTGGCGTAGAAGCCAATGTAGGTCGTCAGCTGCGTTGGCTCACTCTTGTTCGATGCAGAGGTAGAGCTACTGCTGCTACTGCTGCGCGGGACAGGGCGGCGGTGCTGGCACAGCACAGAGGCGCCCTTGCGGTGGTGGCCGCCGAGCGTCATCGAGAGGGCGTCTGCTCCCTCGGCGTCGTTGACAGCCTCGTGGCCATCGCGGGCGCACTCGAGCCACTCGACCCACGTCCGAATGGGGTAGTCCTTGCCGTCAAAGACGACAAACTCGTCATCGAGGTCCTTGCGAATCGACTCGACTCGGGTCACACGCATGGGCAGGCGATCCGCGAACGACGGCTGCTCCTTGCTGGCCTCTGTGGTAGAGTTCGAGGCAGAGAACGCGCCGCTGGGCGTAGAGGAGGGCGGCAGATCGAGCGGGACCGAGAGCGTGTCGACCTTGGAAGCGAATCGGGGCCCGACGACGACGTCGCCCGGAAAGCGGTCCAGGCGCGCCTCAAAGTCCTTGGAGAGCTTGACCATTGTGGGCACGACCAGGAGCCGGTACCTCGCCAGCTCCTCGTCCGACGTCGCGGGTCCAATAACATCAACATCAACAGCCAGGCGGCGGAAGGCGGCGTGCCACTCGGAGAGGAGCTCAGCGTACTGGAAGCCATAGTCCTTGAACTTGGAAATGTCAAAGTCACCGCCCTGCGGGTTGGCCTCGAGCGCCCACACGGACGGGTAGTCCATGACGATGGCCACCTTTGGCCGCCGCGTCTCGTTGCCGGCCGCTGTCCAGTGGAGATCTTCGTCCAGAAGCCCAGCGTCACGTAGCACAGCAACATCGTCGACGGCCGCCTGCTGCTCGACAAAGGCAGCATCGGGCGAGTTGTCGGGGCGAAACATGCCGGCATGCATCTGCTCCTGGCCAAACGGCACCTGGCGCCAGCGAAAGATGTTGTTGAGGCTGCTGCCCTGGGAGAGCATGTCGTGCAGCCAGAGGCGGACCATGCCTGGCGCCGGCGACGGGTTGTTTGTCGCCCAGTTGACGGGCCCCGGCTGCTGCTCCATGACGCCCCAGGGGCCGCGGGCCTTGTTGTGTGCGGCTCCCGCTACTCCCCGGTAGAGGGCGTGCTGGAGTGCCTGCGCATCTGGCCGACCCGTCCGAGCGTAGCGGATCTTGTCGGCGTCGGTGACCCAGTCGAGCACCTCGCAGTTACCAAGCGGGTACGAGTCCCAGGTGGCGACATCGAGCCGGGCGCGCCGAGCGAGCTCGTGGTGGTCAAAGGAGAACTCAAACGGCATCAGGTTCGTCGTGATGGGCTTGTCCGAGTGCTTGCGGATCGTCTCGGCCTGCATGACTGCATAGTCGATGAGCTGGTCCGAAGAGAAATGGTAGAAGTCGAGGCGGAGGGCCGGGCTCGACTCAGTCTGCTCCAGCGTGGGCAGCTCAATGTCGTCGAAGCTGTCGTACTGGCTGCTCCAAAACACGCGGCCCTGCGCGGCGTTGAGCGCCGCGATGCTGCCGCCGTAGCGGTGCTTCAGCCAGCGGCGGAAGGCGTTGCGCGCATGCACATCGTACGACCGCGTGTCCTCGTGGTTCCCAAACTCGTTGTCGAGGTGCCAGAGGGCGACGGCGTCGTGCTGGCCGTAGCGCTGGGCCATGGCATCGACGAAGCGCTTGCTCAGTTTCCGGAAGTCGGGCGACGAGAAGGAGTAGTGCCTACGCGAGCCAAAGCGCCGCTGGCGGAGGTGGTCGTCAGTGGCGAGGATGTCATAGTCCCGGACGACCCAGACTTGTTTCAGAAAGTCAGCAACGGAGTGGGGCATCCTTGGGAGAGGTGGGTTCTGCAGCAGCATTGGACTCACTCGGCGGCGCGGCCGTGGGCGTGGCCAGAATGACTTTAAGGCCGTGGGCACCCAGCACATCGATGCTCTTGTCGAGCAGGCTCCAGTCGTAGTGTCCGTCGCGCGGCTCGAGCAGCGCCCAGTCAAATTCGGAGATGCGTACATGCGAGATCGAGGCATTGGCCATGCGCTGCGCGTCGCCCTCCCACATCGACTCGGGCCATTGTGAGCTGCAAGAGGGGCAGACGTCAGCAGATGATACCAGGGAGAGCCAGTTCTTGAGCTGCAACAACCCACGGGTAGTAGTCGACGGCAAACTTGATCGTGCTCGGCCAGGCAGCGCCCTTGTTGTGCTCCTGGGGCAGCACCTGCTGTCGCGCATGGCCCAGGGCGGCTGTCACCGCAACGGCACCCGTCAGCAGCAGTGTCCGCGTCCTCATTTCGTCTCAAAGCGATGTGATGATGGTGGTGAAGGAAGCACACGTGCTCTCTCTCCTTTCCCCCCCTCACTCATCCACTATCGATGTGGGGGGTGCGCCATGCACCTTGTGCAGCGCCAAGCGACTAAGAGGTGGTGTATTTCCCCATATATCTCCCAGTGGGGGCCGCTCCACACCGACGTCTGAGTGAGGGTACAATAATTGACGAACCCACGCTCATCCGTCTTCTGCACCGGGGGAATGCACATCCTGCAAATCCTCGCCGTCTCCTGCGAGAAGACTATGAGAAGAAGCCTGTCAAGTGGAGAGAGCGCGACTAGCGCAGTTGCGGCGGCGATTCGAATCTCGAACGGGAAACTAATAAAAATAAAAATAAAAATAAAAAAGTAGAAATGTAGAGAAGAAAGCGCTGAGACCATGACGGCGACGGGGTCAGACATCGACGAAGCAGCAGAGCGGCTGGCACGGGAGTCGCGCTCCCTCTTGGGCCTTCCCGAGGGCAGCAGCAGTGCCGGATGGCCACCGCGGAGGGCAGGCCCACCGTCTGCACTTGAGTTCTGCCAGGCTGTTGTCCGTCACACGCCCGTCGTTATGCAGGCCTGCCTCGACGATCGGCCACGCGCGCCCCTGCAGCGCTGGAGGGACAAGGCGTACCTGGCGAGCTTGATGGGCGAGCGCAGGATCAAGGTTGCCCTGACGCCAGACGGGCGGGCTGACGATGTGCATCGTCTCGAGGGGGGCAAGCTCGTATTTGCGCTTCCCCATGAGGAAGAGATGTGAGTTTGTATTAACACTCCTGCTCAATTGGCCGCTCGCCTCTGACCCTGCTCAGGACCTTCCAAGCGCTCTTTGATGCGCTCGAGAGGCAGAGGTCGGGCACTTCAGGAGCCGGCATCGCCTACCTGCAGAGCCAGGACTCGAACCTGACCGACAAGGAGGCTGGCCTCGCGCCGCTTCTGGCCGATCTCGAGCACGGCGACGAGCGACGCACGGACTTGCCATGGGCCACCGAGGCCCTGGGGAGAAGACCCGATGCGACTAATCTGTGGATCGGGACAGAGCAGAGCGTCACGTCAATGCATCGGTGAGTGACTGTATAGTAGACGCTATAAAATGAGTCGCTGATGTGAATTTCGTTCAAAGAGACCACTACGAGAATCTGTTCACAGTCATCCAGGGAACAAAGATCTTTACGCTATACCCGCCTTGCGAGGCACACTTTCTCTGCGAAGGTGAGTCTGTCCGCTCGCAGAGTCTGCCCGCTCGCAGAGTCTGCCCGCTCGCAGCGCACAGAGGAATGCAATTCTGACGCGCGAGCATAGACGAAGCGTATCCTGTCTATCGGTGCACGCCAGACCTCGGCTCGCTGGAGCCCACAGACCTGCCGCCGACGCCGTGGATCCCCATCGATCCCACTGAGCCTGCTTCTTCGACGCGCAACAGACCGTTTAGCCAACGTTTCTCGAGGGCGCTTCCGCCGCTCACGGTGGAGGTCCACGAGGGCGAAACGCTGTACCTGCCCGCTGGCTGGTTCCACCATGTTGCGCAGCGGGCCAATGCAGACTCGGGTCTGTGCGTGTGTGTCAATTGGTGGTACGAGTCAGAGACGGCTTTTAGGTGAGAGGGATGAGATAATGGCAAGCAGGAGGCAGTAAGTAAGCCGTGCTGACTCGTGCTGCAACAGCGACCGCTGGGCCCTCGAGGAGTTTGTCAAGGAAGTAGGCCAGCTGACCGCTCGCAAGCCGCAATGAAATTGTTGTGCTACAGTGATCGCTTGACTCTGCAAGTTGCAGGCTGAGAAACTGGCAAGCTCGCTCACGGGCCATTCCCTGCTCCACTCGGGGTGAGGCCGACGGAGATACTGGCTTTACTTCTAAAAGAGGCAGGCAGGCGCGTGCGTGCGCGAGACTCGGCCTTTTGTCCGTCTTTCGTGCCTGTTAACCCAGAGTGACTGCCAAATCTTCCCGATATCCTCCCCCCTCTTTCCCTCCCCACAACTACAAAGGCAACGAGGATCAAAGAGATGGTTGTGCCCACGATGCTCGTGCCTGCCTCGCGGGCTGTCCTCGCCTCCAGAGCAGCCGGCACCCGCGCTGCGCTGCGCTTGGCAGCGGCGGCTCCGGCCCCGGCTTCAGCTCCCCGGGTGGCCCCAATTGCAGCATGTGTCCCCCAAGCGATGAAGCTGTTCCACACCGTCTCGCCGCGGCAGAGCAATGCACGCACGGGCCTGTACGACTTCCACGTCGCAAACGGCGGCAAGATGGTCTCGTTTGGCGGCTACGACATGCCGCTGAGCTACGGCGACGTGGGCCAAGTGGCGAGCCACCACCATGTGCGCAACGAGTGCGGCCTCTTTGACGTCGGACACATGGTCCAGCATCGGTGCGTGTGTCCTTACCTGCTCGCTCTTCCTATGAGAAGACTGTGTACTGATGGGAAGAGAGGGTGTGACGCAGGTTCAAGGGCCCCGGCAGCCTCGCTTTTCTCGAGTCGCTCGTGCCCACCTCGCTCGCGCCGCTCGGACCTTACTCGTCGTCGCTCTCGGTCCTCCTCAACGACGAAGGCGGCATCCTCGACGATCTCATCATCTCCAAGCAGGCAGACGAGGCCGAGTGGTACGTCGTCACGAATGCCGGACGGCGCACCGAGGACCTGGCCCACCTCGCGGCCAAGCTCAAGGCGTGGAGGGGCGAGGCCGTCGACCATGAGATCCTCGATGGGTGGGGCCTCGTCGCACTCCAGGGTGCGTTGCCCACATCTAGCTCGAAACTTTCTCTCTCCATGCTCATCTGGCTCGCTTGAAACAGGACCAAAGGCGGCCCAGGTGCTGGAGAAGCACACGAGCGCAGACCTCAAGGCGCTGACGTTTGGCAAGAGCGTCGTCGCCGATGTCGACGGCGTCCAGTGCCACATTGCCCGCGGCGGCTACACGGGCGAAGACGGCTTCGAGGTGAGTCGCTGTAAGGGGAAGGGGAACGACGAAGAAGAAGAGGAGGAGGAGGAGGAGGAGGAGGAAGAAAAGAAAAGGAAGAGATAGCTGACGTGGACCTCGGGCCAGATCTCGATCCCGCCAGCGTCGACGGAAATGGTGACGGCTGCACTCGTCGCGACGGAGCCCGTGCAGCTGGCCGGCCTCGCCGCGCGTGACAGCCTGCGCCTCGAGGCAGGCATGTGCCTCTACGGCCACGACCTCGACGAGAGCATCTCGCCCATCGAGGCCGGCCTCGCCTGGGTCGTGTCCAAGGACCGCCGTGCGCGCGCCGACTTCCCTGGCGCCCAGCGTATTCTTGACGAGCTCAAGCAGGGCCCGCCCCGCCGTCGCGTCGGCCTCGTGATTGAAAAGGCACCCGCGCGCGAGGGCGCAGAGGTCGTCTCGGCCTCGCAGGCCGAACCAGAGACGCTGGGCGTCGTCACGAGCGGCATTCCCTCGCCCACGCTGGGCCAGAACATTGCCATGGCCTACGTCAAGAACGGCCACCACAAAAAGGGGACAGAGGTCATGGTCCAGGTCCGGAAACAGCTCAGACAGGCAAAAGTCACGGGCATGCCATTTGTGCCGAGCAAGTTCTACAGAGGGTGAACTGGAGTTGCAATCAGATTTCAGAGAGACTCTAGGTCAGATGCATGATTTGTTGTGAAGATGCCATCCTCATTTGTGAAGTTGGCGAAGGCACAGAATGTGTTTGGTCACTTCAATTGAGCGCGCCGAGGAGAATCGCTTCGACTGTTGAGCCCTTTGCCAAGCTCCTCGGTGAGCCCTCGCTGGCCGCTGGCACGCACACGAGTCCGTTTGCGCTCGCCATTGAATGCATGCCGCTTGTTGCCAGTACTCAGCCTCAGGACGATCAAGCTTACAGAGGACCCTAGTGACTCACCTGCTCCGCTGACTTCCTGTGCTCGACGCCAGGAGCTTTCCCCCCGGTCCGACGGTGATGATGACACGGTGGAATTCGGGCCGCGGGTCGAGACGCATCTCGTTCTGGATCTCGACCGTGACTCTCGCGAGACTGGAGTCGCCATGGAGACCCGAAAGCCTTCTCAGCGCGGGCATGACAAAGACGTAAAAGCATACGAGCGCCGAGGCGGGATTCCCTGGCAGCGCAAACAGGACACGATCTGTCTGGCCATGCCCCGAGGCCGTCGCAAATGTCGTGGGCTGCCAGCAAAGCAGAATGGGCGAGGAGGGGCTCAGCCAGAGGAGCCAAGGGACACTCACCTTGCCCGGCTTCATGGCCACGCGACCAAAGTGCACTTTCCCGCCCGAGATGTGCCGCTCGATCAGAGGCTTTAGCAGGTCGCTCTCGCCCATCGACGTGCCGCCTGTGCTAATGATGACATCGGCCTGCTCTAGACCTCGGTTCAGAGCACCCAGGGTCGCGTCCATGCTATCGAACAGAGAGTGATCAGCGACCTTACAGTTGTGAAGGACACTGTCAGCACACCCACTTGTCACGAACAATGCCCAGGTCGACGACATCGTAACCGGCACCTTTCAGGGCAGAGCTCAGACTGGGCCGGTTCGCATCAAAGACACGGAAGCCCCAGGCGTCCTCTTCGCTCTGCGAGACCTTGGTCGTGTCGTACAGCTCATTGCCGGTCGAGAGAAGCGCCACCGTTGGCCTGGGATACACTTTGACCTGTAGCAGGGATTTGAAGTCAGCGGAGGTTGCAAGTCCCTCTGCGCCCTTTTTCGGTTTACCTCGGTGTACCCCAGAAACGCCAAGGTGCCGACCTCGCCCCCGATCTCGGTGAGACGCAGACCCGCTGAAAGCACAGCCTGGTCCTTCTTGACATCACTGCCGCTTCTTCGGACATTCTCCCCCGAGTCGACCTGAGCGAGAATGTCGATTGTGCGCTCCTCCCCCGCCTCGTCTGCCTCCAACAAGCGCGTGTCTTCGACCATGACGACGGCGTCTGTGCCTCGCGGCAGGGCCTGACCTGTGTTGATGCGAAAGACTTCACCTGCCTTCAAACCATCCTCGAGCGCAACGCTGGTCCGCACCGCATAAGTCCCTGCTGGTGTCTGAGATGCATTGACGGCATACCCGTCGACATTCGTCGTTGGCCCTGGCGGGAGATCACGCTTGGCCACGACATCTTGTGCCAAGACATATCCGACAAGCTTGTCATTTACTGCCATGACGACTGGCTCTTTTCGTCGGCCGTCCGGCGTGTGCTTGTCGATGAGAGAAAGGGCTTCCGCCATGGAGATGATGGGGTAAGGACTGGTCCGGTGTCGCGACGAGGCCCCCTGCCCAGGATCGTGGGTCTTGTAGCCCGCATCGCCAGGCTGTGCCGTCCTTGGCTTCGGTGCTTGATGAGCATGGACCCCGCTACCGTGACTGTGGTGTTGATGGTGATGATGATGATGGTGATGATGGTGTTGTTTGTGTTGGTGGTGGTGGTGGGGCTGATGATGGTTGTGCGTGTGGGAGCTGCCTGTGTCTGTTTCGGTGCCCTTGATGGCCGAGGAAGTTTGTCGTATCCCCAGCGAACCTTGCATGGCCGCATGTTGCGCCTCTCCGCTGCCGCCCCGGAGAAGCTCGAGGGCATGGCGGAGGACGCCTTGCCGATCGAGACTGCCCAAGAGCACTTCGCAGCATTCTTGCACAGCTTTGGAGCTCCCAGGAAGCGCCACCAGAAGCGCACCGCCCGCCACACCTTCCAAAATTGAAGCCTTTGTGACCGAAGAAGAGTTCGTCCTACGCAACCTGACACCGGTAATGAGGCGCGACAGAGCGGCCATGGGCGTCTTGGTGAGCGAATGGCTATTGAGGGCAACTGTCAGCCCGCTCGTCTGCCTGTCAATGAGCGGCTCAAACGCCTTTGCAGGATGCATTCAGCCAAAACCGTCAGAGCAAAGGGGTCATCAACGATGCGATGGCTATTCACCTCTGGAGTTACATCTCGCGCCCCGAAGCCGGTGCCACCTGTGGACACAACTGCATCGACTGCATCGTCGGACTCCACATCGACCCAGCCTCGAACAATGGCCTGGATAGCCTCAACGTTATCCGCCACGATCGCCTTTTGCGTCACTCGGAATGCGCCCGATGGATCCGCCTCGAACGCTTGGCTTAGGATAGGTCCGGATCTGTCTGTCGCTGCATCTCTGGCCGAGGTGTCCGAGACTGTGAAGCAGCATCCCACGTCAGCCGTCTTCCTCCACTCTTGGAAAGGTTGGTGGGAATCTCGAGCACATCTCTCACTTGTCAATATTCCAATCCGCAGGACGGAGCTCATCCTCGACGATGGATTCCCAGATGGGCGAGAGTCCAGAAGCGCGCCCAAGAGAGCAGGGGAATTGAGTCACTGAGTGGAGCGGAGGCCGTGGATTCATGGCGTTCAGCATTGCTGGATCACGTGCCCGTGGCCCGAAAAGTGGCCCGAGCGATGTCTATCGCCTCTCGGTACAGACGGGACAAACGCCGCTACGACCACAAGCTCGACGAGACGGCTAGTCGCAATGGCCTGCTTTGAAGTCGGTCTGCTGCTTCCAGCTCTTCAAAACTCTCATCTCGTGTACTGTCAGAGCGTGCACCCTGAAATGACAATTGATCGCGGGCTCGATCCTTCTACCAGTCTTGCCGGTCCCGTAGTATCACCACGGGCGAAGAACTGCGTGAGCCTCACCTGTTTTCTGATTAGCAACTGTTGCGACGGGCGAGTTCAGGGACAAATTGCAGCCATGTGCCCCCTCATGTATTCTCCTAAGCCTGTCATTGAGGCTGACAGGTCACTAGCCCCTGCTTTGCTACCTATGGGAATTCCTGCGTCGTGAAAAGTGATGCATTCAACAATACGACGCTTGCCCGAAGACTCTATCCTCCGCCAAGCGGCTAACGATATCTTTCTCATCCTCCTCCTCGACCCTTACCTTATAGATCCGCATCCAGGCTTCTCATGCGACGGCCAACCAAGTTGTAGATCAGGATCCGCTTGCGCGCATTTGAGCTTATGTCGCCTCGGACCCACATCTGGAAGGAACAACTTTGCCGCTGCTCAGGCTGATCCGCTAACGAGTCCTTGGGAAAAGGAGTTGCAGCCAGAGCCGAAATCTTGCCTTGGCGTAGGCCTTTGTTCTTGGTGCTCTCCTTGGAATTAGTGCCTAAATGGGCCTTTCCCGCTGAGTCTGAACGTAGTCGGCTCAGAAGTATGTGTGATTAACGCCCGAGAAGCAGAAGATCAAGGCATCAAGGGCAAAAGAGCAGAGCGGAGAGCAAAAGTAAAGAAGCTTGGTGCCACAGATGGAAACTCTTTGAAAAGGCCGGCAGAAGCGAAACCATGACAGAGTAAAAGAACTAGAGGAATTTTTTCCCTCCTTCTTCGTGTGAAACACAGAGGTTCCATTAGGAGGCGCGCTAAAAAATTCCCTTTTACTCTTGTCCCCCATCTGGGGGCTGCAACGCGGTGTCAGAAAGGAAGCTAAGTTGGCGGGGACAAGCAGAAAACCCGACGAAAAAATCAATTTGTTTGTTCGAAGACCCGAGACGAACTCAAGGTGCATTCGCACCAGCCTGTCCTGCTCTTCAGGGCCAAGTGCATTCATTCATTACAGTAGTCACTTGCGATCAGTGGGGAAAGTAGTGGGTGGGAAAGGCAGAGTAGGTATCAGATCAGTGGCAAAGTGCGTCAAACAAAGCTGTGTTCATAGATGATGCAGAGGCGGCATCGGCTGCAGTTGGAATTGGGATGGACCGTAACTTGTTCATAAGGAGAAGGGATGATCCGTTTCAAGATCGTCCTCCATCGACCCTCCCACCCTACCACACACGTTTGGCAGACATGACGACTTGGTCGGAATCTACGACGCCCATGGCCAGCTGGTCGCGCGCAACGGCGCCACGTCAGACATATACACCGGGTGACCAAACACCAGTTGGAGTCTCTGAAGACGGCAGGACCACCGAGAAGAAGGGCGAAGATACCGACAGTGTAGACCAGGACGATTCATTGGCTGGCCAGACGCCCGCTCTCTCATCCAGTGTCTCTTTCCAGAAGGAGAAACAAAGAGAAGAGAACGAGAAATGCGAGCAAGCAACCGCGGTTCAAGCTACCATGCCAGGCACTGCCGTCGCCACACAGGCAGCCGCGGCAGCAGCAGCAGAGGGAACAGGATTTGCGGAGCAGGAGAAGCAACTGTCTGGACCAGAGAAGAAGGGAATACGGTTCTGGCTGATCATTGCCTCACTCATGGTGGTCGCTCTGCTTCCGGCCATCGACATGACAATCATCTCGACAGCCTTGCCGACAATCACACAGGATCTCCCTACCTCTTCGGTCTCGCCCATCTGGGTCACATCGGCGTTCCTCTTGACCACGACGACCTTTCAGCCTGTGATGGGCGCATTGGCGGATGTCTTTGGCCGCCGTGCGGCTCTCGTCGTCGCTGTTGTCCTTTTCCTAGCCGGTTCGGTCATCGCAGCTGTATGCCAGTCGATGCTTGTTCTGGTCATCGGCAGAGCCATCCAGGGAATTGGCGGAGGTGGCATCACGGCTCTTGGCGAGATTATTATCTCCGACATTACGACGCTCCTCGAAAGGGGCATGTACATGGGCTTCCTCTCGCTCATCTTCGCCCTTGCCAGCTTCATCGCACCTGTGCTGGGTGGCGCTTTCAGCCAGTCGAACTGGCGTTGGATCTTCTGGCTCAACTTGGTGAGCACCGCAGATCTCTCATGTTCGTTGTCATGCGGCTGACATTCATCTGCCTATAGCCCATCGCAGGAGTGGCTTTAATTCTCATCATCGTCACCATGTCCAAGCTCCAACGCCCCGCCGTGCATTGGAAGCAGCGAATGCATCGTATGGATTTGCCCGCCAATCTCCTGCTGCTTGCCAGCTGCATCGCCGTGCTCATTGGTGTCACCGACGGTGGTCTCACCCATCCGTGGTCGTCGTACAAAATCATCGTGCCTCTGGTTCTGGGTGTCGCCGGACTGGCGGCCTTCTTCGTCATCGAGTTCACCAAGAACCCACTGGCAAAGGACCCTGTACTTCCTCTCCGCCTTTTCAAGCACCCCACGGCCCTCGCATCGCTCCTTTTCACCTTCTTCCACGGCGTTGTCGTCTACGGCGAAGTCTACATTCTGCCGCTCTATTTCCAAGCCATCAAGGATGCCTCGCCCATCCATTCCGCCGTTGACGTGTTCCCTGCCACGGTCCCTGGCCCTGTGGCTGCCATTGTGGCAGGCATCATCATGTCAATGACGGGCAAGTACCGATTCCAAATCATCTTTTCCTGGCTCGTCACCACCTTGGGCTGCGGTCTCTTGATCCTCTTGGATGTCGACACGCCCAAGTGGAAGTGGGTCATCTTCCAGCTGCTTCCCGGCTTTGGCATCGGTTCTCTCTTCAGCCTGACGCTACCGCCAATCCAAGCGACAAACAGCCCAAAGGATCTGGCCTACGTCACGGCTGCCTACGCCTTCATGCGCAGCTTTGGCTCCGTCTGGGGCATCGCAATGGGTACCGACATCTTCGTTGGCCGATCCAACATCCTCCTCGAGCGCATCGATGAGGCTGCCGGTGGCGTGCTTACGAGCAAATTCGGCCTGACGGGGAAAACTGCGCTCGGTCTCGCCCCAGAGATTCACAAGATTCTCCCGCCCGAGCTTCTGGGCCCTGTTCGAGGGGCGTACATGTCGGCACTGCGGAGCGCTTTCATCGCCTTTGTCCCCCTGGCAGGCGCCGGCTTGCTTCTGAGCCTCGTCATCAAGGATATCCCGCTACCGAATTACAATCTCAGCGACCACGGCCTCATGCGCACTGAATCAGCCCGTTCGTCCCGAACCGCCGTGGACGCAAACGAGCGAGCATGAGCTCGTTCTGAGCTATCAACACTCTTTTGCCTCGTTCTTTCCTTGTTCATAGTAGTACACTGTCATTGCTCTCACTCTCGCTCTCTTGCATCGTCCAAATACTGTAACATCTCAACACGGCCATCCTGCCACTCTTCTCAGGAATTAATGACCCCACTTGGGGTCTCTCTTTCTCTCCATATCGCGGATAAAGTGCACTCGCACCTCTGCTATCAAAGTCTCGTGCGCGTCAATTTTCCCGCGTTGCTCTCTATTTCACTTGCCATCTTCGGCATCCACCTTCGGCACACCGTGGGCGCTCCGCGGGGCAGATCGGGTCTTTCGGACAGAGCCAAGCCCACAAGACGAGGATGAGGGTCCATTCCTGCAGTGGCTGTGACGATTCCACGTGTGGCTGCCAAAGAATCTCTGCTCTGGTGCCTCAGGGGCGAACCATGTGGAAGAGGAACAGGTGACGTGACGGTGCAGTAGTAGTAGTACCCTTGAAATGGATGAGGAAAAAAAATAAAGATTTTGGCGCTTGGCCGTCTACCTCTGTTCCTTAGCCCAGCCACTGCTATTGCTTGCGGGGCTGATGGCCTGATCTCTCTCGGAGCGAGCTTACGTTAAATACTGAGCTGTATATTAGCTGCCGACAATCTCCGTCTCGCACCCTCTTCCCGTCTAACGTACCCCATCCAGCCTTTCGCACAGACTTACCCACCCTCAACCATGAACAGCAACGGACACGACGACATGGAGGCGCAAGATAACGGTTACCCGCCCGCCTTTGACAGCAAGCGACCCGAGGGTAGTCAGAGCTCAAAGGTGCCCACCATGGTGGCGCCTGCCAAGATTCCCCAGACCAACCAGGAGGGCATCATCACGGTGCAGCCACTGAGGAGGAGCGACATGCAGCCTTCCTACGCCCAGGACCTGGGTCTGACCGAAGTCAAGGTGGGTGGAGGGGTAATGTAACCAGGATGGTAAAAGTCTGCTCACGCAACGAGACCTTTTATTCCCGCAGCACGGCTTCTACGGCTCGCTCATCAACTGCCTCGGTGACACTGCCGGTGCCCTTGGCCAGTTCCCATGCTGCCCCTGCCCCAACCCATTCAAGCAGGTCAGGCAAGGAAGCGTCGGACTCGTGAGCCGGGTGAGTTTTTCAGAGTGGCTTCCACTTTTTCGCCTGCTTCTCCCCGTACTGACAGCTGTGAAAACCACAGTTCGGCCAGTTCTACAAGAGCGTCGACCCCGGCCTGGTCAAGATTAACCCATGCAGCGAGTCGCTGCGCATCGTCGATGTCAAGATCCAGCTCATCACCGTGCCGCAGCAGCGCGTCACGACGCGAGACAATGTCAGCATCGAGCTTGACAGCGTCATTTACTGGCACGTCTCGAACCCATACCGGGCTGCGTACGGCATCCAGGACATCCACCGCTCCCTCGTCGAGCGCGCTCAGACGACGCTGAGGGACGTCGTGGGCAGCCGCACCATCCAGTCGGTCATTTCCGACCGCACCGAAGTGGCGCACCAGGTCGAAGAGATACTCGAGACTGTCGCTAGCAAGGTGCGTTGCCCTCTTGCTCATCCTCAGAAACATAAACCTTGCTGACAGTGTGATATAGTGGGGTGTCGTCGTTGAGAGCATACTCATCAAGGACATCATGTTCTCGCGCGAGCTCCAGGAGTCGCTCTCGTCGGCCGCGACGCAGCGCCGAATCGGAGAGAGCAAGGTCATTGCCGCAAAGGCCGAGGTCGACGCCGCCAAGCTCATGCGCCAGGCTGCCGACATTCTCTCGGTGAGTTCTCTATTTCTCCTCCTCCTGTTGCCAATCCTCGAGGCTCATCGCGCGTGATCTGTACAGAGCCCCGCTGCGATGCAGATCCGCCAGCTCGAGTCGCTCCAGGCAATGGCAAAGTCGGCGGGAAGCAAGGTCATCTTCGTGCCCATGAACCTCAACGACGTCAAGAGCTCCGTCCTCGCCGATGGCACAGGCGTCTTCCACCCCGACCCTCATGGTGTGGGCCCTTCGGTGCCGAACCCAGTCTACCAGGAGGACCCGACCAAGGACGTGGCGCGCCTGTCGCAGCTGGCTAACATGTAGTTGCAGACTCTCGCTCTCTGATTTCCGTGCGTGTCTCTATACTGTACATAGTGCTGATGATGGCTTGCTTCGCTGTTTGATACCTCATTCACTGTGTCGAAATGATTCCCAATTCCCATTGCTCGGCGCCTGATGTCTACTACTGCAAGAGCAACAGAGAAAAGGGAAAAATAAATTACGGTCGTAAGCCGGAAATTCCGAGCGGCCGACGGCCCTCTTTTTTTTATTACCGTGCGCTAAACAGATCATTCTCAGCACGCCACAAGGGAATGTCGAGCAAAATTTCCGGGTGATCCATTCGGAGCTTTGAGTTGTCGATTTGACGGTACGGATGACGAAGTAGCTCAAGATGTGGCCGTCGTCTTACGGCAATACAGGTCGTGGTGACGGACGTGACGACGGCGATAAGCTTAGGAGCATCGAGGGATAGGGTACATAAAGGGTGGACGTCCGACAAGATTCTGAGGCTCCCCTCATTCACAACAGCAAGAATATTCGACATCACAATGGTCTCTTTCACGCCCACCGACCGAGTCCTCGTCACGGGTGCCAATGGTCAGTAGCCTATTTGCCTACCAGAGTTTTCCTTTCTGTTGGTGACATGGATCTGATAGTTTTCGTACGACCTCAAAGGCTACCTCGGCTCGACGATTGTCAAGCAGCTGCTGAGCCGCGGCGTCCATACGCGAGCTTCGGTGCGCTCTTCAGCTTCCGCTGAAGGGCTCAAAGCCGCTTTCCCCGACCATCCCTTGCTGGAAATCGTCTTTGTGCCAAGCCTGACAGAGGAAGGCGCCTTTGTTTCTGCGCTCAAAGGTACGCCTCACCTCTCACTCACATCAATCCCTAGCTATATGCTCACAAAAGACCTCTACCTTGCGCAGACGTGACATACGCCATTCACACGGCCTCGCCACTGACCGATCACTACACTGGCAATGCGGACCGGGATCTCTTTCAGCCAGCACTCAAGGGCACGACGACGATTCTGAAGGACGGTCTTTCGAGTCCCACGCTCAAGAAGGTCGTCGTCACAAGCAGCATCGCAGCGCTGCGCAACGAGGGCGAGCGAGTCTGGACAGAAGAGACGTGGAACCCTGTGACGCGCGAAGTGGCCCTGGAGCTCGAGCGCAATGCGAGCGGCGACCCCGCCACACCGTTGCGGATCTATGGTGCTTCCAAGACATTTGCCGAAAAGGCCGCGTGGGATTGGTACGGGGCTGCCAAGCCGTCGTTTGCGCTCACGACGGTGCTTCCAAACTTTCTCGTGGGCGAGGCTGCGCTCCGCGAGGACAGCATCAAGAGTCCCACCGCCCAGCTGCTCTGGGATGCCCTAGTCAGCAAGGGAAGAGCACCGTCGATGAGCGGCCGCTCTGGCTATGTCGACGTCCGTGACGTGGCCAAAATTCACATTGATGCGCTGCTCGAGCAGACCACCGATTCCAAGCGGCTCTTGGCCGTCGGCGACGCGGCGACCAACTTCGAGGTGAAAAAGGTCGCACACAACCTCAGGCCAAATCTGTTTGGCAGCGTCGAGGGAGAAGATCCCGAGGCGCAAGAGAAGAAGAGTTGGCCGCAGGTGGAGAAGAATCAATTTGCCAAGGACCGCATCAGGCCGTTCGAGGAGATCTTGGCCGAATTCATCGACTATGTAACGGAGAACAAGCTGGCGGCTCTTTAGACGCTGCAACATTCCTCTATAGCTTTCGCTCTATTTTTGCTAGGATCTGATTCAATGCTCATACTCTGCTCTGAAGAGAGGATTAAAGCCACATTTGGACAACTACCTCGAAAGGTGGCTTTTTTCGACGAGCAGAGGTAACAACTTCCCCTCCCGCGCTCGGGTCTCTGTCGCCGAAACGAGAAGAGTGCTGACAGACGCCAAGTCGCGTCGAGCTTGAAAACGGCTCTTTTCCAGCCGAGAGCCGAAGGCTAAAATTGGATTTTCAGCTTCCCCACGATCTGCCTGTCTGTCTGTCGTCGTCTCCCTCTCTCTTCTCAATCTCGCATCAGTCGACAAGCAAAAGATGGCCACCAAGGAAGAGTACCAGAAGACGCTGGAGCGCATCAAGGTCATTCAGGGGCACCTGGAGAAGGCGACTCGGGGCGGTCGGCTGGCCGGCAAGGTGTGCATCGTGACGGGCGCGGGCAGTCTCAATGGCATTGGGTGAGTCTCTCTTCTCTCTTCTCTCTTGTATCTGTCGAAGCTTTGACTAGACTGACACGCCCTTCTGGCTCTCGGCACCCGCAGACGAGCATCGGCAGTGCAATTTGCGCACGAGGGAGCCAAGCACCTGTACCTGCTCGACTTCAACGGCGACAACTTCCCTGCCCTCGTCGAGCTGCTCAAGAAGCGCTACCCAGACGTGGGCGTGACGACAAAGGAGTGTGATGCAGCCGACGAGGAGGCCATCAAGGGTGTCATCGAGCAGAGCCTCAAGGAGCACGGCAGACTCGACGTCTTTTTCGCAAACGCCGCCATCGCCACGGGCGCGCCGCTCACGAGCACCGACCGCGAGGACCTCGAAGAGACGCTGAGGGTCAATGTGCAGAGGTGGGTATGATGCGAATGAATGGCGCTGAAGGCTGCTGAACGAGCGCATTCACATCCATCGAAAACAGCTGCTTCCTGGCACTCAAACATGGGTCCGAGGCGATGAAGGTGACGTCCAAGGACAAGCCACGATCGGGCGGCAGCATCGTCATGACAGCCTCGGTCGCCGGCCTGCGCAGCGGCGCTGGCTCCGTCGACTACAGCGCAAGCAAGGCGGCCGTCATCTCGCTGGCCGCCACGGGCGCATGGCAGCTGGCCAAGACGGACATCCGCGTCAATGCCATCTGCCCGGGCCTCATCGAGACGGGCATGACGCAGATCACGTTTGAGCAGGCCCGCTCGAGGGGCTCCGAGGGCAAGATTGGCCAGCTCAACCCCACGGGCCGGTACGGTGTCAGCCAGGAGATTGCCCACGCCGTCACCTTCCTCGCGTCCGACGAGGCCACATACGTCAATGGCATTGCCATGCCCGTCGACGGCGGTCTCGCGGCCAGCCACCCCGTCGTGCCTGGCAGGTTCCACTAGCAATGTCACCTTCATTCTCGTCCACTTTCTGTCCCTTTGATTGTGTTAGAACTTGATGTTGATTTCCAGCCCCATCTTGTCTGATCTTCGCCTTCTGTCCACCAATTTCTGTTTGATTCTCATCTTCGACGCGTCTTTCTTTTTCTCGTCTCTACTATTCCCATCACCGCCGACTCGACGACTTGACCAGACGAATATCCTCGAGCAACCCGGAAGGAGCGATAAGAGCAAAATCAAGCAGTGCACTGAGCCAGGGAGCATCCAGATAGACACAGCACGAAGCAGCCATGGCGCCGCTTGCTGGCTCGCTCGAGGAGGCGCGCGAGCGGTACGAGTCGACCAAAAAGGCGCTGCGAGCCGGCATCACAAAGAAGCGCAACATCGACCGCACCCTGACGGACCTCGAGTCGCAAATCTTTCTCTTTGAGGGCTCCTACCTCGCCTCGACGTCTGCCTCGGGCGGCAACATTGTCAAGGGCTTTGACTCGTACCTCAAGGCGACGGGCGCTGGCTCGTCATCGGCCGCGGCCGCGGCGGCGCTCAGCGCCGATGGTGCCGATGTCGCGATTGAGGACCGGACGTTCAGCCTGAGCAGCGCCACGTACCAGCGCAGCCTGGAGCTCAAGGCCAACGAAGCCGCGTCTGGCGGACACGGGAACGACCGCGAGGATAGCCCGGCGGTGGCGCAGGGCAGCCAGGGCCAGAGCCAGAGCCAAGGCGGAGGAGGGGCAGACGACAAGAAGGACGGCTTGTCAAAGAAGGAGCGCAAGGAAAAGAAGCGCAAGGAGAGAGAGGCTCAGGCACTCGCGCTACAGTCGCAGTCGCAACAGGGCCAGTCACAGTCGCACAGCCAGGGAGGAGCGCCGCCGAGCAAGAAGAAGAAGCGCGACGAGGGCGATTAGAGGGAAAGCATCAGTCATTCCAAGCTCGTGTCTTGTATGGTATATCTTGTACAACTAGTAGTGATTCTCCCCCCGTTCAAAGCATCCCATCTTTTACATTGAAGTGCATGTCTACAGAGTGTGGAGAAAGAGAGGGCCAAGAAGGAATCACTTTGGTGTGGGCGTGCCGGACCAGCGGACGTAGGCGGCCTTGAGGTCATCGCGCCAGACGGCGGCGACGAGGCAGAGGCCAAGGAAAAGAGCGTCGACGATGAGGAGCGTCGAGGGCTTGTAGGCGGCAAGCTTGCTTGTCAGCGTCGCCTGGCCCGCCGAGTCGCCGCCTATCTTGAACCCGGGAATCGAAGGGTGGCCGGCGGGGGGCGTGCCCGTGAAGCCGAGAGGGCACTTTGCTTCCGACATGAATCCTATACCGAGCGAGCGATGGTCAGCAAAGAAGAAAACTCACTCTGGGCCTGACGGATCTCACCTGCGTTCGACGGTATCTGCTCCCTATCGCTGTGGGTGCGAGCAGCAGCAACCAGGATGGCGCCACCTGCGTCTAAAAACGGCCAAGTGAAGCCACGTGAGTTTGCACCAGAATTTGCATCAAATCGGGCGAGTGGAGGAAAGGCTTCCTCTGCAGATCTGCGGTTTTTTGAGGGGAAAGATCTTGTTCTTCTCGGCAAGAAGACCATCATAAACATCGAAGAGATGACGCAGGCCGGCCCCTTCTTTGTCGGCGTGGACGTGTGAGTCTTTCTCGATGGTGTGCGAATAGGTCAGGCGCATGCTGACCGTGTGACCTTCCTCGCAGTGGCACAGGGAGTGCGCGAGCGGCGCTGGTCGACGAGACGGGCAGCATCCTCTCCGAGTCGACGCACGCCACGACGACGTTCCGCAGCGACGCCGACGCCCGCATCTTTGAGCAGTCGACGGACCAGATCTGGTCGTGCATCTCGTCTGCTGTCCGCGAGGTGACAAAAAATGTCGATGCGAGCCAAGTGAACGGCATCGGCTTTGATGCGACATGCTCCCTGGCTGTGACGGACCAAGAGGGACGGCCCATCGAGGTGACGCCCGATGGCGGCTTTGGCGTGGGCAAGGAGAGGAATGTGATCCTGTGGGCGGACCACCGTGCTGAGCAGGAGGCCAAGGAGATCAATCAGACGGGCAGCATGGTGCTCAACTACGTAGGCAAGACAATGTCGGTGAGTCCGCTCCTCTCTCCTTTCGCATTGCACTTTCCCGTCTCATCGCTGAAGAAATCTTGCAGCTCGAGATGGAGATCCCAAAGGTGCTCTGGCTCAAGCGCCACATGCCTGCCTCAACATTTGCCTCGTGCATGTTCTTCGACCTGCCCGACTACCTCACCTTCCGCGCGACGGGCAACAAGGCGCGGTCCAACTGCAGCCTCGTCTGCAAGTGCTCCTACGTGCCGCCGGGCGTCGATGGCTCCGAGCTCGGGTGGCAGCCCGACTTTTTCAAGAAGATTGGGCTCGAGGACATGGTCGCAAACGACTTTGAGCAGCTCGGTGGCATCCCCGGTCGCAACGGCATCGTCCTGACGGCGGGCCAGCCCGTGGGCACGGGCCTCTCTGCTCAGGCGGCAAAGGACCTGGGACTTGCCCAAGGCACGCCCGTGGGATCTGGCCTCATCGATGCTTACGCCGGCTGGGTCGGCACCGTCGCTGCACCATCGACCAACGGACCGGCATCCAAGGAGACCGACCTACTGGCCTCGCAGCACAGGCTCGCCGCCATCGCCGGGACGAGCACGTGCCACTGCGTGCAGAGCCCCGAGGGCATCCTCGTCGATGGCGTCTGGGGCCCCTACAAGCATGCCGTCTTTCCCGGCCTCTGGATGAACGAGGGTGGCCAGAGCTCGACGGGCCAGCTCATCGATTTCATCATCGACACTCACCCGGCCTCTGCCAAACTCACTGCCCTGGCAAAGGAGCGAGACCAGTCCGTCTTTGTCGTCCTCGAGTCCATCCTCCGCGAGGAAGCGACTCGGATGGGCGCACCCACGCTCTCCCACCTCACCAAGCACCTCACCATCTACCCGGATCTGCACGGCAACCGAAGCCCGTTGGCCGACAGCACGATGCGAGGCCTCTTCTCTGGTCTCAAGCTCGACCGCGGCCTCGTGGACCTGGCGACGAGATACTATGCGACGCTAGAGGCCATTGCGCTGCAGACGCGCCAGATCGTCGAGGCAATGAACCAAAAGGGCCACAAGATCGAGGCTCTGTACATGTCGGGCGGCCACGTCAAGAACCGGACATTCATGCAGCTCATGGCCGACACGCTCAAGATGCCCGTGCAGCTGCCCTTTAGCCACTCGGCGTCCGTCGTCGCCGGCAGCGCCATCCTGGCCCGGTACGCCCACGACGTGCAGCAGACGCTTGCGGGCTCGACGCTGGCGACGCAGCGTGCCGCCGAGGAGGCCAGCTACGCCCACCGGGACCATCTCTGGGAGCTCATGGTGAAAATGACAAAGCCGGGCACCTTTGTCTTTCCCGAGCAAAAGGATAACATCGACCGGCTGCTCGATGCAAAGTACAAGGTCTTTTTGGAGGCCATTGACACTCAGAGACGATGGCGCGCCATCGTCGACGAGGCCGTGTGAGGTGCAAGGAAGAGCACATCCATTGTTACATATAGATCAGATCTCAAAAGAATGGGGGAAACGCAATAGAAGTAGTAGTAGTAGCATTTGCAGATGGGAATGATAGAGCGTGGTGTGAGTCACGCATCGCATCTGTACAGTACAGTAAGTACAGTACAGTACGTACATGCTGCTTGAATGCGCAGCAAAGCTTTCATGCAGGACCTGAGCTTTCTTCCGAATTTTTGATAGCGCGCCTCAGCACCTCCCCCGCGCTTGCTTCTCCCTGTACAACGACAATGACAAGGACGATTGCTGCGACACCGCGCTTCAGCCTCGTGCTCCCGAGCGAGGGGCTAGCGGAGAAGTTGACGAGCGTCATCAATGTAGCCTACGCCAGGACGGAAGACGACTTTTGGAAGACAAACGCGGTGCGGACGAGCGTGCCAGAGGTCACGCAGCTCGTTGCCGCCCAGCGCTTCTACAAGCTCACGGCGCCCGACGACGGCGATGCGCTCGTGGGCTGCATTACGCTGACCAGAGTCAGCCCGGGAAAGGTCGAGTTTGGCATGCTGGCCATCGCCCAAGCGGCCCTCGGGCGCGGGTATGGGAATCTCATCATGCGAGAAGCCGAGCGCGAGGCACGCGACAAGTGGCAGGCCAGCGAGGCACAGCTCTCCCTCCTCATTCCCGTCGACCGGGCGCGGAAGCACACGTTCAAGGCGACGCTCAAGAGCTGGTACGAGCGCATGGGTTATGTCAATCGCAAGACACTGACGCTGGAGGAGACTGTCCCCCACCTGTGTGCCATCGTTGCGATGGAGATGGAGATGCTCATCTTTGACAAGGCGCTAGTCCCTCCTCAGCAGGGCTCAGACTAGAAGAAGTAGATAGATATAGTTGTAGTTGTAGTTGTAGTAGTAGACAAGTTGGACCGTTTCTTCATCCCCTCGCTACGTGGCTCGGCATGTTGGTGGCCATGACGGTGATGTTGAGCACATTGGCCTCGAGCGGCATCTCGGCCACGTGCACCACCTGCCGCGCAGCGTGCTCGACGTCCATCCGTGGCTCTGCCCTGACGCTGCCGTCGGCCTGCATCGCACCGGCGCCCATGCCCTCGGTCATGGCCGAGACTGCGTTGCCAATGTCGAGCTGTGTGACGGCGATGTCTTGTTCCACAACGCCGGTCAGCCTCCTTCCCCCTTTTGGCTTCCTGTCAGATGCGATTTGCTACTCACTGTACTTTCGTCCGTCCAGCGCCAGGGACTTTGTGAGACCGCTAATTGCGTGCTTGGTTGCCGTATCTGTTCGGGTTCCTGCAGGTCAGAACACTGTCAAGAGAAAGAAGAAGTGTTACGATTGTACTCACAGGCGCTCGAATTGGGCCTGGGTGCATGTGCACTGATGCTGCCGTTCAGCACGATCCTCCCACCCATCGCATGGGTGCCGTCCATATGGCGGAAGGCCTCGCGCGCACAGAGCCATGCGCCGGTGAGATTGACATTGACGACGCTGGTCCAGTCGGCGAGGCTGAGCTGCTGCAGAGGCACATTGGGCCCACTCATGCCCGCATTGATAAAGATGAGGTCGACGGCGCCCGAGCACCGCTGCCGCGCGACGTCGAACATGGCTTCCACGTCCTTTTCGACCGTCATGTCGCCCTGGAATGTCTCAATCTTGTTCTTTGCGGTCCCAGTAGCTGTGCTTGCGAGCTGGGCTGTGATGTACCGCTGCGCCTCGGCGAGCTTGTCGCCGTTGCGAGCAGAGATGACGACGTTCCAGCCTGCACGGGCCAGGCACAGCGCTGTCGCCCGGCCGATGCCCTGGGAGCCGCCGGTGACGATGGCGGTCTTGTTCTCGCTGGGGGGATACTGCCGAGGCGGCTGGGTCATGCTTGCCATCTTTCGTGCGCGATCTCGCTTAGGGGCGAAGTGGGCGCGGTGGGAAGGGAAAGCGGTCAGGAGTAGGAGAGGGGCGGACCCAGCGCGTTGGGTTTTTGGTAAGAGAAGAACCAATCTTCCTTTTCAGAGAGCGCACGGACCGGTGGAGCAAGATGTCGACGTGGGGGGAACCAAAAAATAAAGTCGATGCAAGAAGAGAGAAGAGAGAGAGCAAGCCTCAATTTCTTCTTTTTCGTGAGCCAGCTCGTTGCAAGATAGCGACAAGCATGCAAGAAGACACCGTGCCTAAATTTGTCAGCTTCGATCCCGCCTTCGACGAGGCCATTGGTGAGCTTTCTAGTATCCTTGCATGACTTCAAGGTGACTGACGAGTCTGGAATAACAAGGCCCATCTGCCTCGGTCCGTCTCCTGCACCGGGATCCCCAGGGCCGTCCGCTGTTTCATGAGGCAGGCGTCCATCTCGCCACAGACCACTGCGTCTATCTTACCTCGAACCGCATGCCCAGCAAGTCGTATTCGCAGAAGATCAATGTAGTCCGTATCGACCTCAACACATTGGATGCCAAGGGCATCGAGTCGGCCTTGACAGTCGTCGACGAAGCTGATATGCCGCGGAGTCTTGCTATGCCCAACGGGGGCACTCCCTACTTTGACGGCAAGGTGCTCTTCTGCGAGCAGGGTAGACACGGCGAGAGTGCCGAGGGCAATGGCAGCGTCGAGTCCGCCCTCGTCTCGCTCTCCCACAAAGATATGCGAACAAATGTGGAGCTCGACAGCTTCCAAGGAAAGCCCTTTTCGAGCCTCAATGACGTCGTCGTTCACGAGCAGAGCGGTGCTGTGTTCTTCACAGATCCAGACTATGGCGTCGAGCAGAACTTCAAAAAGGATGATAAAGAGTATGCGCCCAATGGCCTCTACGTCTGGCAGCCTCTTACAGGCAAAGTCGAGCTGCTTGACGATCGCTACTGCAAGCGTGAGTCTGCCTTCTTTTTACACTCTTTTCATCGGAGCTCAAGGCTGCCTCTGTTCTCTGCTCTACTGTTCGATTGCAAAACCAGCCAACGGGGTGACTTTCGTGCCTGACAAGACGCAGCCTGGCAAGGGGACGCTCATCACTACCGAGACGTCGCAGTTCCGCTTCCAGAGAGACGCCAGCGCTGCGATGGGCAGCCGCTTTTACGAGGACCGTGAGAAAGGGGGAGCTTGTTTATTTGCCTATCCAATTGAGCCCAGCAGCGAGGGCCGGGGAGGACTTCCACAAGTGGGGGAGCGACGCCTCTTTGCCAAGTCTCGGTCCGGCATCCCCGACGGCGTGCACCCGGACGACCTTGGCAATGTGTGAGTCGCCGGGTCCCTTTACTGACTACGACCGCACTGACGTCAAAGCCGCAGCTGGGCGGGTCACGGCGACGGTGTACACGTTTATGGGTCCGACGGTCGCCTGATTGGAAAGGTGCTCCTGGAAAAAGGCGTAGCAAATCTCTGTTGGGCCGGACCGGGCCCTGAAAAGGGCACATTCCGACTCCTGCTCTTTGCTGAAGAGGAGCTGTACGAGGCCACTGTTGCCGTCAATGGCCGCGATTGAGTAATAAGATGATACTTCCTCCTCGCTACCCCCACGCTTGTTGTATTTCTCTGCTTGATTGTCGTGCTTATTGCACAGGGGCCGCGCCGCCTCAAATACTTGCTCGCCCGTCCGCTTCCTTGGTTCTGAGAAGTACAGACGCCGTAGGTCCACCTTGGATCCCCCCACATCTGTGCATATATCTTTGATTTTGTGCTGCAGCCGCGGCTCGCTACTCTGCATCCTCTCTCCCTCTCCTTCGCATCACCTTCTCTGCCAAAAATACCGTTCCTCGTCCATTTACGACAAGACACGCCATGGCCACTTCTAACACAAGAGTAGACGGCGGACCTTTTGACTTTGACTTGGGTCTACGTGGCCGCTGGTTGCTCTCTGCAATCACCGTCTGCTGTGCCTCAGGCTTCCTCCTTGTAGGTGAGTGAGAATAAGAATTACGAACCTTGATCGTTGCTGAAAGTAAGGGAGACCATTTCCCCAGGCTACGACAATGGAGTCATGGGCGGTCTTGTTGAGACGCCTGCCTTTCGGGAGACTTTCAACGAGCCCAACGCCTCGACAATCGGCAACATCGTGAGCCTATACGAAATCGGGTGCTTCTTCGGCGCCATCTCTACCTTTATCACGGGAGAGCGATTTGGCCGACGCAAGACTATTCTGATCGGCAGCGCGCTGATGCTCTTCGGCGCAATCGTTCAGGCTGCCTCTCACACAGTCGGCGTCATGATTCTTGGCCGGCTGATCAGTGGCTTGGGCATGGGTGCCATCAATGCCACCGTGCCCGTGCTACAAGCCGAGATGTCACCTGCATGGAATAGGGGTGCCTTCGTCGCTCTTGACCTGACGGTTCTCAACATCGGCATCGTCCTCAGCTATTGGGTCGACTACGGTTTCAACTTTGGCTCGTCCCCCGCGAACAAGGATAGGATGGGCACCGCGGTCTGGAGAGTTCCCATCGCTCTCCAGTGCGTCTTCATCGTCGTCGTTGCCGTGTCGGCATTCGTTATTCCCGAGACGCCGCGCTGGCTTGCCGCAAAGGGACGAAAGCACGATGCCATTTCCGTCCTCGTACGGCTCCGGGCACGAACAGCGAATGGCGACTTTATAGGGGTACAAGATGACTTCAACGCCATCGAGGAGGCCGTCGCCCAAGAGCGCGCGACCGCGAACAGGGGCTGGCTTTCTCTCGTGAAACCGTACGGAGATTCATGGCGCGACGATTCCATGCAGACCCGGAAGAGGCTCCTCCTCGCCTGCTTTATCCAAGCAGCTCAACAGCTTGGCGGCATCAATGCGTGAGTGGTTTGCTGCCTTCCCTTCCGTTTCTCTCCCTCTTGCTGACACCTAGTCATCATCCCCCTCAGCCTCATCTACTACAGCTCCACTCTCTTTACTCGCTCGATCGGTATGGCCAAAAAAGAGGCAGCACTGATGAGTGGGGGTCTCAACATGTGCCTTATTCTCGGCAGCACGCTCTCTATCTTTGCCATCGACCGCATCGGTCGGCGGCGGTTGCTGCTGCCCTGCATTGCGGGCATGTCTCTCGTCATGATCATCCAGTCGATAGTTATCAAGAAGATCGGAGACGATGCCAGTGCGTCAAAAGTCTACGGCCGGGTAGCCTCGTCGATGCTGTTCCTCTTCGCACTATTTTTCAGCCTGGGCTTCCAGGCTACCGTCTGGCTCATCCCCTCGGAGATCCTGCCCCTCACGATCCGGACCAAGGGTGCGTGTGGTGTTATATTTCTCCAACTTTTCAGGCCTCCTTCCTCACTCGAATGATGACTCTCCCAGGATCTGCTCTGTCTACCGCAAGCAACTGGATTTGCAACTTTGCCATCGTCAAGCTAACCCGTAAGTAGGCCACCTTCCCTTTGTGCGTCGCACAAGCTCTCAAGCTGATCATGTCACCCTCGACTGCCCAGCCTCCGCAATCGAAAACATCGGCTGGAGAACGTATGTGATCTTCGCGATCCTGAATGCCGCCTGGCTGCCCGTGATATACTTTTTCCTGCCCGAGACGATGGGCAAGACACTCGAGGAAGTCGACCTCCTCTTTCTAAGGCGGGCCTGGGAAACCCAAACGATTCGCTGGAACGCACATGATGGTGAGGCTTATGCGGGGAACTCGACGAGCGAAGTGGTAAAAGACATCAAAAGGGAAGATCAAGATGGCGCCTACAAGGGCGTAGGAGCTAGTCCCATCCTTCTCAAGACGTTGAGCGCCTGAAGTCGTGCCTCTCTGTGCCCAGACTAATATAACTAGATACGAGATGTCGTTTGTGGGATTCAAGCTGCTTACATTACGAATCGAATTGAAAGGTTGGGGATGTCCACCATTAATTCCAGCCAAGACTAGGAGAGAAGAGGAAACTCGAGCGCTCTTGATCACGCATTACCAGCGCTTGTAGGGCAGGAACTGCAGTGAACAGGAGAAGATGACTGTCAGTCTTATGCGAACGACAGGGGGCGCAGAGGCAAGGCTCACCTTTCCGTTGAAGGTGATCTTGACGCGGTCTCCCTTGGGGTCGGGCACCTTTTCCACGTCGCCCTGTAGCACAAAACGAGAACAAAAGGTGCTCATGTGATCAGCACCAGACAATCTCTGCGAGATGGAACCGCGAGAACAACCCACGTAGAAGTCAATGGCGCTCATGATGCCATCGCCAAACTTTTCGTGGATGATGGCCTTGAGCGGGTGGGCGTAGACGAGGAGCGCCTCGTAGAGCCTGTACACGACGGGGTCTGCGTGCGGTCGCGAGTCAGAAACAGTGTTGATTGCAAATGAGAAGAGGGGGGATGCGCGAGCAAGTGGGAAACAACTCACCCTTGGGGGGCCACTCTCCGACGCCGCGGTTGGGGTAAAAGTGCTCGCCGAGGTTCGTCTCGAGCTCTTCCCTGGGCACATCGAGGGCCTTGCTGAGCTTGTCGAGGTCGTCCTTGTCCGGCTTGGCCTGGCCGTAGAAGATGGCGGCCGTGTACCACTCGTTTCGGCCAATGGCGCTGGCAATCTGCTCAAACGAGAGCTTCTTCGTGACCTTGGACTGGTACAGCGCCGTAAAGATCGGGGGCAGGTCCGAGAGGACGGTGGGGAGACCCTGCGCAGTTACAGTCGAGGAGGACGAGGAGGACATGGTGCGTCGATTCAGGCAGTGCGAGGAGGAAGACTTGGTGGTGATGGTGGTTGTGACGAGGGTGCGAGGGAGAAGGGGAAGGGCCCTTCTCGTGAGCAAAGCCCGAGAACGCAAGAGGCTAGCAGCAGTGCTTGACATTTGGCCTGATCTTCTGTGGGGGCAGCAGCCACTCTTGGCACAATGAATTGGGAAGATAAGACTGGGCTGGAAGAAGGGCCCTTCTCGCTGATCAGTTGACTTGGCTTTTACTGCAGGTGGAGGGATGGGGCCAATAGAAACCTACCTCATTGGTCCGCGCCATTTAGGCTTATCGGCCTTTATCCTCGTCGCCTTGATCAAACGCCGAGAGGCGAGCCTGCCTCCCTTCCTCCTCCTATCTCGACTCAGTCATCTGAGAATGCCAAGCATGAAGCTCGTACGAGTCTGCCATGGCCACGTTGTCCACAGACAAGCTCTCACGCCGTATCTCGAGCATTTGTCCCAGCTCAGAGATGCAGCGCTGCAAAGCCGCAAAATCTCATTGGTTCGAGGGTAAGAGCGACGGTCACTATCCGTCTTCTATATGTTCTCATAGTTATCGGAAGCGACACGGGGTTCTCTATTCCATCAGATCAGCTAGATACTGGCCTCGTCATGCCCCTTCGCGCATGAGCCTGCACTGATGGAAGGACGGTACGCGCCGCTTCTAAATCCGCGAGCGACGACCGCTTGGGCCGCTCGGGCCTCCACCTTCTTTTGACATTGCTTCCTCCCGCTAAATCCTTTCCTTGCGAGAGCGGGGACGAGGGACAACCTGCGTTGATCGTCCCCCTTCCACACAATTTTGCGCACTTGAAGAAACAGCCATTCAGCTGTCTTTTCATCCCCCGAGACACACCCACACAAGCGATGAGTGCGACGGCGGCCATTCGGACGCGGCTGACGAGCGTCATCGACACGCTCACGACGCCCGTCGTGCTGGGCCCCATGGCCAATGTGGCCGGCGGCAGCCTGGCGGGGCGCGTGTCCAAAGCCGGCGGGCTCGGCTTCATCGGCGCCGGCACCTTTGACGCGGCCACGCTGCAGGCCGAGATCGAGACGGCACACCAGATCCTGGGCATCGACAAGCCGCCCAGAGGCACGGGCAACCGCGTGCACCTGGGCATCGGCTTCCTCGTCTGGCGCCTGTCGAACCTGAACAAGGGCCCACCCCCTTCGCTAGGTGCGTCGGACCTCGACGCCTCGAGCCCGGCGCTGCACCTCATCGATGCGGCGCTGCGGAGCAAGCCGCGCGCCATCTGGCTCGCCTTTGGCGACGAGGCCGACATGGTCGGCTGGTCCAGCATCGTACGTGATCGCGAGGCGGCCCTCAACGGGGCAGGCAAGGCCGCGTGGGGCAAGGAGCTCAAGCTGTTTGTTGGCGTGGGCAACGAGGCCCAGGCCAAGGCCGCCGTCGAGGACTGCGGCGCAGACGTCATCGTCGTGCAAGGTGAGTCGAGTCGAGTCGAATCTGCCCTGATTAACTTTCCCGCTGACTGTAGCAATTCTTTCAGGCAACGAGGCGGGCGGCCACGGTCTGGCTGCGTCGCCGCCGCTCTCGGTCGCGCTGTCGCAGATTGGGTCACGCATGGGCGACTGGAAACCATCGAATCCCTCTGGGATCACACCGCCGGTCCTGGCCGCCGGCGGGCTCATGACTGGCGCCCACCTCGCCTCTGCCTTGGCCCAGGGCGCGGCGGGGGGCGTGTTTGGCACGCGCTTCCTCCTGACGCCCGAGGCGGTGTACAGCGATGCGCAGAAGCAGGTGCTGCTCGATGCCGGTGGCGACTCGACGCTGCGCTCCATGGCCTTTGATGACGCCCGCAACACCCTCGGCTGGCCAGAGGGCGTCGATGGACGGGGCATCTACAGCGACACGGTCCGCGACTTTGAGGCAGCGGCCGATGTCCCGGGGGGCACGAGCGCCGAGGCGCGGCAGGCGCGCTACAAGCAGGCCGAGGCGGACAAGGACCCAAAGAGGATCGTGACCTGGGCGGGCACGGGCATCGGGCTGGGCACCAGAATCATGCCGGCCGAGGACATTGTCCGCGAGGTCTCGCGCGACGCCGCCGACTCCATCAAGCGCATCTCGAGCTACGTGTAGGCGCTGCAATGTATGCCGTGCTTGCCCCCGGACTACATGTGACTGCAAGCTGAGATCTTAGACTTTGCTGCATATATCATTGCGATTGCTGCAGTACGTTTACTACTAGCTATGACTGCCACTACATGCGCTTGCACCCAGGGCGATGCACCCTGCTGACCCTTGGGAGAAGAAGAAGTTGCAATGAATTTCCCCCCTCCACCTCTGGCGAAGAACTGCATTGCCTGCGTCTTTAGTCTAAATTTTCCGCTCCTGGCCCCTCACACACCAATCATGCTCCAACGCATCCTCTCCTTTCTGGCTTCGCTGCTGGGCTATGTGTTTGGCAACCTGAGCAGCCTCGTGACGGCGACGCACGAGTCGACGCCGACGCACACGGTGCTGCTGCACACGAGCCCTGTCGTGCGCTACCGCGGGCCGCAGACGTACCTGCCCATCAGCGTGGTGGCGCACAATGTCGATGAGCGCGACCTGCGTGTCAACACGTCTGCCGTCGTCGAGGGCATCCGCATCACCCTCGTCCGCCGCGGCTGGCGTGCAGGCCTGTTTGGATGGACGGCCGCGCGCTACCTGGGCGTGCGCACGGACAGTGGGGTCGAGGTGACGCCGGCGTCGGTCAAGCGCTGGGACGTGGCCCACGACGGCGCGGCGCAGGCCGACTCGCTCGACGACTACGACTCGCACAAGCTCGACGACGAGGACGACCCGGCGCCGCTCGAGCTGCCGACGCCGACGCTGTCGTCGAAGCGCCAGACGTCGTTTGACAAGCAGCTCAAGCACCTCGCCATGGCGCACGGGGTGCCGCCCGGCCACGTGGTGAGCACCCACCTGGTGCGCCTGCCCGTCTCGAGCGGCGACGGCTACTTTCGCCTGTGCCTCCAGGTGCCTGATTCTGCTGCTGGTGGAAAGCGACGGACAACTTCAGTCACCGCATACTCGCCCACCTTTCGCCTGTTCTCGCTCTCGCTCTCGTCGGCCTGCCCGCGCGGCTCGTCGGTGCTGCCGCCGACGATTGTGCCGGAGCTGCTGCTGCGGACGCTGAGCACTGCGCTGCTGGGCTCCCTCTTTGCGCTCTCGCCGCTGGCCCTGCTCGCCGACAAGGTGCTGCCCTCGTCGGTGGGCCGCTGGCTGCTCCGGCGCCTCTACCGCGCCCTGGGCGGCGACGAGAAGCGGGCCCAGGCGATGCAGCGCTGGAACGCGGGCCAGCGCTGGGAGCAGCTCAAGCGCCTCGTCGACTCGGGCGTGCCCTGGAGCGGCGCGGGCATCCGCACCGCGTGGGAGATTGAGCGCGACGAGAAGCGCCAGCGCGGCGGCGTGTCCTTTGTGCGGTAGTCCTTCCTTCCCTCTCTTTCCTTCTCCGTCTCGGACGCGTCGGTCGCATGTCTGTCTGTCTGTCTGTCTGTCTGTGTGGAGGATGCAATGGAATCAAAAAATAAGAACAGAATACACCACGAAGAAGACAGTCAGTGCCTCGCAGGGGAGCCAGCCTGTGGACTGGGTAAAAGATGAGAGTCGGGCTCCTGGCCGCGGGCTCCAATGCGGGTGGCCAGCTCGGCATCGGTACGCGCGACGACGCCCATACGCTCCAGCCGTGCCGCTTTGCCGCCACGCCGGGGAAGAAGAGGGAGGCGGCGGCGGCGGCGGCGGCGAGTGGCAGCAGAAGCAGCAGTGGCCAAGACGACGAGGGAGAGGGCACCGGTCGGGTCTTGGATCTGTCCAGCGGGGCAAACCACACGGTCTGCATCATCGAGAGCAGCAGCAGCAGCGAGAGGACAAAGCGCCAGCTTTGGGCGTGTGGGTCCGACGACGCTGGCCAGCTGGGCGGTCTCCTCGCTGCAGGGGCCGATCCCACGCAGTTTCAGCCGCTCACTCTGCCCCAAGGCGATCATAGTAAAGGTAACGGCGACGGCGACGGCGGCGGTGACAATGCGGTGGAGCAGTGGGCGAAGATGGTGCGGTGCGGCTGGGAGTGCACATTCATCGTGCTGGGCAGCGCAACGACGGGCGACTCCCTCGTCGTCCTGGGCCGCAACAACGACTTTGGCGTGCTGGGCACGGCCGCGCCGGGGTCGTCGTTGTCCTCGAGCACATCTCAAGCACGCATCGATCTCGGCCCGGCGATTGGGCATCGTGGAGCCGTGCACGTCTCGGCAATGGCGGTGGGGCTGCAGCACTGCCTCGTCGTGTGCTCGTTGGCAAGCGAGAATAGCACGGGACAGGAGCACGCCCTCGTTGGATGGGGCATGCGGCGTCACGGACAGCTCGGGCCGCGCGCGGCTCTGGAGAGCAGGGAGTCGAAGGTGGCTTGGACGGCGCCCACGTGCTTGGCCAGGTGGTCTTCCCCGTCATCCTCCAAGAAAGTGGACGAGGAAGAGGGCGCACCCATGCTGGCCGCTGGCAGTCGGCACTCGGTCCTCGCCGTCCCGAGCGACTGGACAGAGCAGTCTCCGAGCCTGAGGCTGTCAGACTCCACTACCACAACTACACCCCTGGTCGAGCGTGTCGTGGGCACCAGCAAAGTATATGCATTCGGAGATAATTCCAAGGGTCAGCTCGACATCTTCCGATCGCACTCCCTCGACGTCGATCTCAACATCGCCGCGTCCCTCGTCGGCCTGCACTGCACGTGGTTCGGCACCTTCTGCCACATCCGGCAACGGCAGCACGACGGGGACGTCGCCACCTCCATCGTGGCCTCTGGCAAAAACACGAGTGGCCAGCTCGGCAGGGGGCTCGATCAAGATGGCGGTGGCGACGCCGATGGCAGACAGCAACAGGTGCGCCTGCCCCAGGGTGTCCAGCTCGAGACAATGGCATGTGGCAGCGAGCACTGCCTGGCCATCTGCAGCAGCAACGGCAGAGAGCAGGACGAGTCGACGGTCTTGGGCTGGGGCTGGAACGAGCACGGGAACCTGGCACAGGCCAACCAGGACGACTGCCCCACGCCCGTACCCATACACCCCGATCCACCAAACGAGAAACAGCACAGACCAATCGGCATCTGGGCTGGCTGTGCGACGACGTTTGTCGAGACTGGACAGGAGCAAAAGGAGGAGTGGAGCCGGTAAAGATATCAGATTAGTTGGTAGCTTGCTTCTTTGAGAAGCGTCTCAGTATGCATGTGTAGCGTCTAGTACAGTACATGACAGGTCTTGGCCAGCATTTCTATCGGTTGCTGCATCAAACCCCCATCTAGTAGTGATTGAGTGTCCGTTCGAGTCTTCTATGCGAGCCCGGCAGCCTGGAAGGCCTGGTCGAGATCAGCAATGAGGTCCTCGACATCCTCGAGGCCAATCGAGACACGGATGAGGTTGTGGCCGATGCCGAGCTTGTCCCTGTCCTCCTGCGAGACGGCGGCGTGCGTCATTTTGCTCGGGAGCTCAATCAGGCTCTCGACGCCGCCGAGCGACTCGGCAAGGGTAAAGATGCGGAGCTGCTCGAGGATCTTGTTGGCTGGTGCGTCATCCTTGGGGTCGCTCTTGAGCCGGAAGGTGACCATACCGCCGTAGGCGAATCCGCTGCTGGACGGGTCCTCGCGCGGCCTTGCGCGCTCCGCGACCTGGCGCTGAGCAAGGGCAAAGGACGGGTGCGAGGGCAGGCCGGGGTAGATGACTGTCTCGATGGCCGGGTGGCGCGCGAGGTGGTTGGCAATCGTAAGGGCAGACTGGCCGTGGGCGCGCATGCGGAGCGAAAGCGTCTTGAGACCCCTCAGGGCGAGCCACGAATCAAAGGCAGAGGGGACGGCGCCGATGCTGTTCTGCAGGAACTTGAGCTTCTCGTGCCACGCCGAGCTGTTGGTCACGAGGGCGCCCATGACGACGTCGCTGTGGCCGTTGATGTATTTTGTGATCGAGTGGGCGACAATGTCGGCACCCAGGCTCAGCGGTGTCTGGAACCAGGGCGAGAGGAAGGTGGAGTCGACGACGATCGTCACGTTTGGGTTGATCGACTTTGCGATGCGAGCCACGAGGGGAATGTCGATCAGGCGCAGCGTTGGGTTGGTTGGTGTCTCGACCCAGACGAGCTGTTTTCAAACAAGAGCGGCGTGGACTGGTCAGCCTATATGCTCGCAGAGCAAGAAAATAGGAAGAAGAAACCCACCTTGGTATCCTTTGTGATGGCCGCGCGGAGGTTGGCCTCGACCACCTCGGCGTCGACGCCCATCTCGACAAACGTCGTCTCGATGCCCTGGGCGGTGCTGGCGACCTTGGTAAAGTAGCGGTAGCTGCCCCCGTAGACGTCATTGACCGAGACGATGTGGCTCCTCGGCGGGAGAGCGCTGAGAATCGTCGAGGTGACTGCGCTGCCCGACGAAAACGCCAGTCCGTAGCGGCCGCCCTCGAGCGAGGCGAGGGCGCGCTCAAACGAGTCCCGGTTCGGGTTGCCCGAGCGCGAGTACTCGTAGTCCTTGAAGCCACCGACGCCCTTTTGTGCGTACGTGGTGCTCAGGCTGATGGCCGGAATGACGGCGCCCGTGTCCTCGGACGGCTCCGAGCCGACGTGGATGGCCCTGGTGGAGAAGCCGAGCGACGAGACGGGCGCATGCCTTCCCGCGGCCAGCGCTCCGTTGCTGTCGCCCTTGACTGCGTTTGGTGCCGGCGTCATTGTGTCTCTGGTCTCTTCTCGGCGGCCGCGGTTTCTGGTCGGAAATGGCAGGCGCTGCTTGTGCTTGTGCTGGATGTAGCAGCTGCTGGTGGTGGTCAGATCAGTGGCGGCAAAACAGTATCTTCTGCGCCCGTCGTTTTATAGATTCCCCGTTGCTGACCTCTTTCGATGATTTACGGCCGGTCGCGTCTGGAGAGGAAAAAATTCAAAAGAACATCAGAAAAAATAAAGCAGGAAAGACCGAAACAAGTGGCCGGAGATGGCTCCGTGGCATCAGTTCGATCTCAAATGACGTGACGAGGGGGCGTTCCAACGGACTTTGGCAAGGACATACTCTTAACATTAAAAAAGTGTTGTTGTGGAGATTGCACATTGCTACTACTACACTACACTACGGACGACAGCGACGGCGATTTCAGTCAAGTCCGTTGAAGAACCGGACTTCGGCCAGGAGCACGGCAACGCCCGCTGCTGTGCACGGGACTATGACGACGCCACACCACAGCGCAAACTGCGTCGCAGTCACGACGACGCCTCGCCGGCGCAGGCCGTCGCGCCACAGCAACCCCGCCAGGCTCGCAGCAAAGGTGCCGCCAAGAGCGCCGACATTGGAGCCAAAGGCCACCGAATAGAAGGCCATCTTTGTCAATAGCATGCCTTCGGCGTCCGGTGGCAGCGCAGCTTTGAATGCGGGAGACTGAATGACCTTTGTCAGGATGATTGTCGCTCCGATGTTTGTGCCGCCGAGCTGGGAGTGGGTTTGGAGGCAGGTCAGCAGTGCCGTGCTTGCCACCAGAAGATCGGAAGTGACTCACGTTGCAAAGAACGACGCCCAGGGTGGCAATGAAGAAGGCGCAAGCGGCCTGGCCGCGGGCGCAGACATCCCCGATGCCCTTGGCCATGATCTCGATGAAACCGACGTGGGCCAGTGACTGGACGAGGATGAACATGCCAAAGGCAAAGGGCAGCAGTGGAAAGGGCAGCCTCGTCGCCACATACGTGACGGTGGGGAAGACGTCTGCCAGCCCGGCTGCCTTGTCGATGGTTCTGCCCAGCATCGTCCGATGCACTTCTTCAGAGCGAGGTTCCTTGGCCTCGGCGGCGTCGTCGACGTTTGACCCCTGCCTTTGCAGTGTTGGATCATCAGCACCTTGCTGCCCGCGTTGCACTTCATCCCCTCTTCTCTCGCTGCTCCTGCTCCGCCGCTCGGCTTTCCGGTGGCTTCTCCATGTCCACCAGTCCGTGCTCACGTCCCTTATGAGACAGACCACGGCGCCTGGCACTGCAATCATGTACACTTTGACGCCTCCAAAGACGCTTGTGACAATCAGCGTGATCAGCGTGGCGGCCATGATGATGCTTCCAAAGATGGCCCCGCTACGGTCTACCAGCGCAGCACGCGCATCCACGTCGGGACGGATCATGGTCCGTGGTATGTAGACGGTTGGGGCGACTTTGCCTTCCTTGGTCTCTGTGCTCGCTACTGGTGCTGTGGTCGACATCTCGTGCTCCTCTGCTGCTGCTGGTGTCGAAGAGGTCCCTGGTGTGTTCGAGGAATGGCGAAGACGGAGAGCTGAGACAGACGATGATGCACGAGATCGAGCCCAGCTCGTGGCGCGGCTCCATCTCTGCGCGAATGGTCCCCTCTCTTTTGCCTTTGCTTGCGATGCTGCTGGGCGATCCCGGAAGAACAAGAGGAGAACCAAGAGGCCGGCCAGCGCAGACGCCATCGAGGGAAGCATCATATATGCAGTGTAGGTGGGAAAGGAGATGCTGAAACCAGTTGCGATGACGAGATTGGTTGGGTTCGACGACACCAGCACCGCCGACGAGATGTTGGCCGCGACAAACTGGGCCCATATCCAGGCTGAGGGCGGCGAGATGCCAGCGACACGGGTGAGGTAGACGACAAAGGCGGTGCCGCTCAGGATGACGGGGTCGTTGCCCACCAGGACGCCGGCGAACCAGAAGAAGAGGTAGAGGACGAGATAGAGCCTCAGGCCACTCGTGCCAGCCTTGAGGCAGACCTGGAAGGCCAGATAGCGGAGAAGGCCCGTCGCATCGAGGCTGATGGCGATGTAGGCCAGGCTGATGAAGAGCGCCAGCACGTCGTAGGGCTCCACGCCCTCCTCGCCCACGATGCCCGTACGAACCTGCTCTCCACCGATCGTCTTGGTCGCCAGGAGGAAGAGAATGCCGATTGCGGGCGTCCATACGTGGTTCAGGACAATGCAGGGGCGACGATAAAAGACGACATCGTCGTCTTCGGAGTTGCCACGGCCGAACAACCTGCCCACGCACTTCTGGGCCCAGGATCCAACAACGCGAGGCAGGGGGATCTTTAGCGGCTGAATGCAGATGAGCGCCACGACTGCAAATACGACGATGGCAAAGATGCCATGGCCGTCTAGCGAGGCATTCGTCGACTCGCTCCCGCCAGCGTCCACCGCCATGCCACCGTTGTCGGTAGCAAGTACCTGAAGGAACATCTTCCTTTAATACCCAGGCACGTTCAGCCTCCACTCACGCCAAGAACACGTGAATGCGAACGCCACGCCAAGCCACAGTGGATGACAGCCAAGATTAACGCTCGTAGCATGCTGTTGCCTCGACCGTGAGGTCCCTGTCTGATTCTGTCACTCACTCAGAGAAAGATTGGCTCGTTGTCTAGACTTTCTTGGCCACGTTCGCCAGAGGCGGAATGCGATGGTACAGGAAGGAGGTGTGATGGCGCGTAGTATACACCCGCTTGCTCTCGGTTTTTAGCAAATTCTCGGATCGTGCCTCGCCTTGCCCGTCGATAATCGGCTCTCTCAAGCTGTCTCAATGGCTTGGAATCGAAGAACTTGGTCAACAAGTATTCCGTAGCATGCACGACCGTATTCGTCCTCAAAAAGAGTCATGATGAAGGCAGCCGCTTGTCAAGTTGGCCCTCCCGCCCCGCTACGGAGTTCTCAGCCACGCAATCATTTCTTCTTCCGACCCACCGCCCTCTTCAACATCCAACATGCACAGCAGAAGCAATGAAAGTGATCGGGCAAACTTTGGAGCGCTCTTGTCTTTCTCGCAGCCGTCACAATCCGCCGCTGATCCCTTTTTACCTCTGCTGCTGTCCCACTTCCTTCATCCTGATCCACTCCAAAAGCCAACGCGAGAGAGGTGAATGCCTTCCTTTGCTTCTTTCGAAGGCAGAGCGACTGCTCATAGAGATAGACTCGTAGAAGCAACGCTGCAAAAGCAAAACATCGGTCGGCAGAATGGCTTCCGGCGAATTTGGCGACCGAGAATGGGCAATCCTCAATGCAGCCTCGCACAAGATTGTGCAGAGTAATGTGAGCTGAAGGAGCCGGCGCTTCATGGCCAGCCCCCTTAGCTCCATCTGATTGCCCTGCCTTCTTTTTCTCGCTGCCTCCCCCACTACTCTCGCCCAGGCCAAGCTGCTGTATGAAATGACGCCCGAACTCAAAAAGTGGCACGCAAAGGGACGTCTCCTCGACAAGGTGAGACAGAGTGATTTTTTTTCCTTGCAGACCATCTCCAGGCGCTAAGGACTTCTGCCTCTACGGTTACACATTCCTGTTCTCGAATCAGCTGAAGATACTGATGCGCAGTGGCCGCGGTGGCGAAGAGGCAGCCTCGATTGTCAAGAAGGCGGCTGGCAGCGGGCCTTCCAAGGCCACACAGCCCAAGGTCAAAGACAAAGCCAAAAATGCCTCTCCGAAAAAGACGAAGCTGGAGAGCGAGTACGAGGATGACAGTGGAAGTCTGTCTGACGACGAAGAAGAGAAGACGACAAAGATGCCAGCCAAGCGCAGCTCCGACAATATCAAGAAGACCAAGGAAGCGGTCGGCAATGTGAAGCAAATGCAGGAGAGGAAGGAAGAAAAGGACCTCCTCGCTCGCCAGACTAGCAAGTCCGCAATCGGCAAACGTGGGACGGTCCCAAAGGTCGCGATGCGAGAGAGTATGAACGAAGAAGACGCTAGCTCACCCGCCACTTCGCCCGATAAGAGGAAGAGGATGGCCAGTTCAAAGGGCCATGACGGAGACCTTGGCCAGGACGACACAAGCGAGAAAGCAGAGACAACCCTGCCGCCTCTGGAAACCCCCCTCAAGAAGACTTCCTTGCCAGGCGAAGGCGCCATGCCAACGACCGAGACGAGTGTCGGACAAAAGACCGATGTAGCCGGGCCAGCTACCGACGGTGTGGTCCCGAGTCCTGCAGCAGCAGCGAAAAGCAGGCGGGTCGAGGACGAGTGTCATGAAGTCGGAGCCGAAGACTGTTCGGGAGGAAAGCGCAACGCACCTGCATCTTTCGAAGGACAGCCAGATGCAAAGAAGAGCAAGACCGATGCTTGAAAAGTAGTGCTTCTCAGAAAATGTGCCCGCACATTACGTGTCTTCTTAGTGAAGCATTCAAAGTAATGAAAGAGAGGTGACTTGATCAGGGTCAAGACTCGTGTGAGCATCGTACCCAGTCGAGTCAGATGTAGATTGACAGTCACTACTAGACAGCCATATCCACGGAGCGATGTGCCACGGAACGAGTCATGGCGCATCGATAAGCCCTTCCGACGCGTCTGTAGTGCGAAACGCAGGCTCAGCTTTATCCAAAGCTAGCCGGGGGCTGGCGTGCCTGCATTGCAGCAGGACCGATTCGATCTTATTGTTTTTTTTTTTTTTTTTTTTTTTTTTTTTTTTTTTTTTTTTTTTTTTTTTGTTTAGTTTCCTGTTCTTCTCTCTTGGACTGAGACTGAGCGTCAGGAGGCGACGACCAGGACACCCAAACACGGTGAGGGCCAAGTCGATGTCTCCCTCGTCGCTGTTGCCTCTACCACCACAACAGACGAAAGCTGCACATGTCGACGCTCACATCGACGCTCATAGGCGGCATACAGGGATGTGCCTGGCTGATCTCAGCGGGCCTGCTCGCCCATGACCACTACCGGCAGTCGCGACCTGTGCGCCTCGATGCGGCCGCCGACAAGCTGCTCAAGACGGAGCGCGAGGCCATCGCTGCCGCTGAGCGAACCGATGGCCGGACCACCAAGAAGTACGAGGCTGACTTCAGACGGCGGCTACGATTCTCAAGGTCAGCCATCGTCTCGCTCTCGGTCCTCGTCGTGGCCCTGTGCGTGGCCAGGATCGCCTTTGACGTGGCCTGGTCTGCAGAGGGCGTGTGGCGAGTGCTGACCCGGCACGCCGAGATATGGCCGATTGCAACGAGGGCGCTCATCTGGACCAATGCCCTCTACCTGGCCTATGCATGTATCCAGGGCCACCTGCAGCAGCAACAGCGCCAGCAACAACAACAACAACAACAACAACAACATTGGCACTACGTCCTGCATCTCGCTAGCCTCATCTCGCTCGCATTTACCTGCGATGTCGTCCTCGCTGTGCTTCCCAAGGAGGGCGAGACACTGGCGCTGCTGGCCTCTCAGATCCTCGACGTCGTTCTGTCCTTTGTCGCCGTCCTGGTCACCATCAACATTCCCAGCGGGCCCCGCCGTGTCGTCTCGCGACCAGGCGCACAGGCCGCCGACGAGACCGACGACCGGCTCGTGGCCGCCCTCGGGCCAAACGGCGCCACATTGCTGTCCAGCATCTGGTTCACTGGCGCCGTGCCCATCGTCATGCGGGCCTACCGCAAGGGCTACCTCGATGGGACCGATGCGCCTCCACTCGGCTCCGTCATGGGCGCACAGGTCCTCTACCTCCGCTTCCGCATCGCCTACGAAAAGTCGATGAACAAGGTCAAGCTAGCAGCCACGCCGGAGCCACCGCGGGCACGACCCACAAAGGACGGCAGCAACAAGAAGAAAAAGGACAGCACATGGCAGACGATCAAGGGCAGCTGGCCCCTGGCACGCGCCGTCCTGAGCGCAAACAAGGGCCTCATCATCTACCTCGAGATCCTCAGCGCCATCAGCGGCGTCTCGTTCTATGCGCCCTCGCTCGTCACCTTTCTCGTCGTCTCCTTTCTCGAGGAGCAGGAGCAGCAAGTGGCCGAGGGAAAGGCGCCCATGTCCGGCCTCATGCGTCTTCGCCACGGCCTGCCCTACTGCGTCCTCCTGGCCTCGGCCATGCTCTTTACCAGTCTCGTCATGGGCCAGGTCATGTCCGTCGGGCTGGCCTGGCTGCGCACGAGGATCCGGCTGCAGCTCCAGAGCGTCATCTTTGCAAAGGCGCTCCGAAGAAAGGATGCCGGGAGCGCAAATGCGCCGGGCGAAGAGGGAGACACGGACGAGGACAAGAAGAGCCCCCTTGCGAAGGGGGCCGACGAAGACAAGAAAGAAGAAGAGGAGGACGACGAGGACGACACGTCGTTTGTCAGCAAGACGCAAGTCGTCAACCTCGCCTCGGTTGACACGGAGCGGGCCTCACAGCTCTTCTATCTCGTCACCTTTGCCATGGCACCCATCGAGCTCATCACTGGCGGGACCTTTGTGATCAAGCTGCTGGGATGGGGCGCGCTGCTGGGCTTTGCCGTGTCGCTCCTGATCCAGCCCCTCATCTTCCTCGTCGGCAAGGCCATGGTCCGCTTCGAGGCGCAGCAGCAGGCTGTACGGGACCGCAAAGTGACGCTGCTCAACGAGATCTTTGCTGCGATCCGCATGGTCAAGTTCAACGCGTGGGAGCACAAGATGTCCGACCGGCTGCTCGATGTGAGGGAGAAGGAGCTCAAGTGCGAGGCAAAGATCTTTGTCGCCGACGTCATCACCGACTTCTTCTTCGCGTCGAGTCCCACTGTCGTCATTCTCGTCTCGTACGCCTGGTACACCATTGTCCAGGGAAAGACGCTGACGCCCAGTGTCGCCTTTACATCATTGGCGGTGCTCGAGGAGATGAGGTTCAGCCTCACGCAGATCCCAGAGGCACTGGCAGAGTGTGCCCAATCGCTCGTCTCCGTCCAGCGCATCCAGCAGTACCTTCAAAGCGACGAAGTGGACGTTGTTCCGCCTTCTGCTTCATCTCCAGCGTCGTCTTCTGCTGCAACAGCTGTCCACGAGCAAGTTTCGCCCAAGCTTCCCTCGAATGGCCTCGGCAAGCAACCCGATCACGACCAGGATGAGGTAGCGCTGCGCCACGCAACAGTCGCATGGCCTGTGCTCTCACAACCGGGAGAGAATGCCTCTGGAGCAGGCAGTGTCCCTGTCGACGACGTAGAGGCTGGGCCAGCGGCGACGAGCATGCCTCCGAGCCGAGCCGAGCCTGCCTTCCAGCTCCTCGACTTCGACGTCACGTTTGAAAGGGGTCAACTCAACGTCATCGTCGGCAAGCTTGGCTCGGGAAAGACGCTGCTGCTTCGAGCCCTGTTGGGTGAGGCAGACATCGTCTCGGGGCAGGCCATCTGTCCACGATCGAGGCCCGATGCCATTGATGATTCGCTCTTGTCCAGGAACGAGGGCCAGGGGGGCTTGTTCACGAATCAGGGCTGGATTAGGAGGGACCAGACGGCATTTGTGCCGCAGACGGCATTCCTGACGAACGCATCGCTGCGAGACAACGTCCTCTTCGGCTTGCCGCTGTGGGAGCAGAGGTACAGGCAGACAATTACTGCCTGTGGCCTCGACCCGGATGTGGCCCTGCTGGAGGATGGGGACGAGACGGAGATTGGCGAGAGCGGCATTGGCCTCAGCGGTGGGCAGAAGACGAGAGTCAGCTTGGCGAGGGCGGTGTACAGCCGAGGCGCGACGCTGATCCTCGACGATGTTCTGTCGGCCGTCGATGCGCACACCGCCTCGCACATCTACAACGAGCTGTTCCGGGGCCCACTGTGCGAGAATCGAACGGTGGTTCTCGTCTCGCACCAGGTCCAGCTCGTCGCACCCGGCGCGGCACGCATCGTTATGGTCGACGAAGGAACCAAGCGCTTCGACGGCGACCCAATGGCGTTTATGAAGTCAGACTTGTACCACGGCTTGCTCGAGGAGCAGGAGGAAGAGGCCGACGAGAAGACGCATGGAGCAAAGGGTGACAGCAGCGAGGGTCCGAGCGAGCCACCGAGTGGATCCGCGACGCCTTCGACTGCGTCTCCGAAATTGAATGGAAAGAAGGAGCTGGAGCCGGAGACGTTGGAAGCTGCAGTGGCGGACGCCAATGGCGACACAGCAACCTTGCCGAAAAAGACGCCGCGAAAGCTCGTCGAAGAGGAAAAGAGGGCCAAGGGAGGTGTTCTCCTCTCCATCTACAAGACCTACCTCGAAGCGGCCGGCGGCATGCCGTATTTTGTCGTTCTGGTCGTTTCCTTTTGCGTAGCAGAGTCCTTCATGGTCGTCGTCTCGCGCTGGCTGCAGTACTGGTCCTCGGACGCGACGAGGGCTGAGGGGCCCCAGCATTCCAACGAGTGGTGGATCTCGCGCTGGGCCATCCTCTGGGTCATCCAGCTGACTCTCCTCTCGTTCAAGACGGGCTTCCTCTACTACGGATCACTATCAGCCTCGCGGAAACTCTTCTCCGTCATGCTCACCAGCGTGCTCAGAGCTCCGCTCCGCTTTCACGACACTGTCTCGCGTGGCCGGCTCTTGAACCGCTTTGGCCAGGACTTTGAAGAGGTCGACTCCAACATTGCCCCCGCACTTGAGCGCTTTGGCGACCAATTCCTCACCGTCGTCGTCAACGTCGTTGCCGTCACCTCGGGAGGCGGTGCCAAGTTTCTCATCGTCTTTGCCGCCCTGATGCCACTATATGTCGCCGTGGGGCAGGCGTACATGCTCGCTGTGCGCGACCTTAAGCGGCTCCTCTCGACGACAAAGTCGCCTATCCTCGGCCTCTTCTCCGACGTGGTCACAGGCGTGTCAGTCATCCGGTCTTTTGGCGCGTCGCACTTCTTCTTCAAGACGCTCCTCGATCGCCTCGATGACAACGCCACATTCAGCTTTTGGACAAACGAGCTGCGCTGGTGGTACGAGCAGATGTTCAACACGATCTCCTTTGGCCTCATTCTCTCGGCCGCCATCTTCATCCTTCTCAACCCCAACGTTGGCGCAGCACAGGCCGGCTTCGTCTTCAGCTTCCTCATCAACACGCACATCTTCCTCCTCTTTCTCCTGCAGAGCTACACCGACACGGAGCAGAGGCTCATCTCCGTCGAGCGCGTCGTCGAGTACAGCCAGCTCGAGGGCGAAGCAAAGGAGATCATCGAACCGAGACCCTCTGCCGACTGGCCATCGCAGGGCCAGATCGTTGTTCAGGATCTGCGAGTGCGCTATGCGCCCGAATTGCCCGACGTCATCAAGGGCGTGTCCTTTTCCATCCCTCCCGGATCAAAAGTGGGCATCGTCGGACCGACGGGTTGCGGCAAGTCGACGATGGCTTCCTCGTTCTTCCGCTTCGTCGAGGCAAGCGGCGGGAGCATCTCTGTCGATGGCGTCGACATTGCCAGCGTGGGTCTGCATGATCTCCGCTCGAGGCTGCAGATTGTACCGCAAGACCCCATCATTCTCTCGGGACCTCTGCGGGCCACGATTGACGTCTTTGGAGAATATTCGGACGAGGCCATCTTTGAGGCGCTGAGAGCTGTGCGCTTGCTCGACGATGGGGGCAGTCACACACCGTCACGGGCTCCAACGCCTGGGCTCACTGTGCCTGGACTAGCCGATGCATCACACAAGCCGACGCTGAGTGTGAGCGGAACAGCGACGCCTCGAAGCACGGGACAGGGAGGCAACCGGAACGAGTTCCGAGACCTGAGCTACACCATCACCGAGGGCGGCTCCAACCTGTCCAACGGCGAAAAGCAGCTCTTGTGCCTGGCTCGTGCTATTCTGCGCAGGTCAAAGCTCATCATCTTTGATGAAGCCACGAGCTCGGTCGACTATGCCACCGACGAGCTCATCACGGCCACGATTCGGCGGTCATTTGAGCAGTCGACCATCCTGACCATCGCCCATCGCCTGCGTACCATCATCGACTTTGACCTCGTCATTGTCATGGACAAAGGCCAGGTCGTCGAGTTCGATGCGCCCGCCAAGCTGCTCGATGACGAGACGAGTCGCTTCTTCAAGCTTTGCAGGGCTTCGGGCAGAAGAGAATTGGCACACCTTAAAAAGCTTGCAAAGAGATAACGAGCTTTCAGAACACCGCTGTAGACTATTGTTAGATGAAGGACATGAAACAAATGCTGCGATCTCTTGAATCGCTTTTTCGGATTACTGTCTTCCGAGGAGAGGAGAGGCACTTCTGACGAACCCGTCTGCTGGTAGGCCCCTCTGATGATTGCGAGACGTCAACACACGTGGCCGGCGTGCTTGAGCTTCTCGCTCCACTTGAATTTTTTGGAAGTCTTCTCGCGCGACATCGGCACCATCGTCATCATCATCTTCAACACGAGTAAACATGCCGGTGAGAAATCAGGCGCATGCCCTCTCTATGTCCTTATGCTGAAGCGACCTTCTGTGCATGGGCTCCACCTTGCAGAAACTAGCGTTGCAGATCCGCGCACAGCTCGAAAACGTCACGGAGCTCCAGCCGGCGTCGGCGTCGGACCACATGCTCATGGTCCGCGTCAAGTGCACGTCGTGCCAGGAGGAGCACCCCAAGGACGTGGGCATCGCGCCCAATGAGGAGGCTGAGGTGCAAAAGGGGCGAAGCACTGCGAATTTAGTCATGAACTGCTCGGTGCGTCTCATCTTAAATCGGCTCCTCCTCTCCTCCCGCAACGAGCGAGTAATGCTGACCTGTAAGAGGTCCGAATGTAGCTGTGCAAGAGGGAAATGACTGCGAGTGAGTATATCAGACTGCGTCAGGAGTCTTTAGTAGGCTAATGGCTAGAGGGACTTTGTCAGAATTTGAAGAGCCAACAGCGAAAGCGCCGCTCTGGAGACCGTATTCGCCGTCGGAGGGCGCCGTTTTCTCGACCCTGTGCGTCGTTGAGGCTCGAGGCCTCGACTTTGTCGGCTTCATTCCTGTGGTGAGCCTCACACAAGCTTGGAAGAGATGCAAGAGAAGAGACTCGCTGACTGGCGAGTGACAATCGACAGGGCACATGGAAGTGCAAGTCTACCGAGTCCGATACAGTCTTTGATAGCGTCGAATTCGAAGATGGCGCGTGGACAGACTATGATGAGAAGGTCAGTGGCAGGGAGGTACACAAGGACAAAGCTGAATTGACTGCTGATGCGGTGGAGCGCAGGGAGGTGCATCGGTCTCGATTATGGAGCTCGAGAGTCAATGGGTTAGAGCGTGAAATACATCAAATTGGACCCAGTCCCCTAGCTCTTTTTTGATGGAGTCAGCCTCTACCGAAGAGGAGGCTGAGGAACATGTCCTCGCCAGAGGATCGGTCAAGAAGGTGGCTGTGCTCGCTTTGTGCAATCAAAAGAGTCTGAAATCGGGGCGTGGGCGTTTCACCGGCCTACTTCACGGGCGTTTGCCTCATTGAACGCCCCTTGAGCCCACTTGGATATGCTCGAAACGCTGGTCGAATGAAAGGCTCTTGTTTAGGCAGGATCGTCTCTTCTTTCCTCACGATCCATTGTCAAACACCATGCAGCCATTGCCACTCCTCTTTTTGCTCCTTCTGACCTGGACCTTGGCATCATGTAGGACGGTGTCATTTCCGCGCGGGCGCGGTATGATGCCCAGTCACGCCTCGTCGTGCGATACAGCCCTTTACCAGAGCATAGCGTACTACAATGCAGCTTCGTGAGTTGTGCCATCTGCAATGGACAAAGTAGGAAGGAGGACTCAAAAGTGAGTACGTCCTCACCAGAAAATGTGACAATCTCACCGAAAATACTCCAATTGGAGAGGACGGCAAGCTCCTGTGGCAGACGGGCAATGGGGCCGACATTCAGCGAGTCCTTCTATCCTACAGTCCATCACTCAACAGTCTTGTACTCACCCACCAAGGAACAAATCGCTCTTCTTCGTCGTCTATCTTTCACGACCTCCAGCTGCACCGGACCGACCCGGACCCCACGCGGCTGGGCTTCCTAGGTAATGGCGTCGGTGTCCACGTTGGCTTTCAAAAGGCCTGGCTCGATACGACAGATGAGGTGATGCAGACGCTAAAGCAATTTATGGGAGGGCAGAGCAGGTACAAAGGGGCAAACCTCATTGTCACAGGAAACAGCCTGGGAGCAGCAATTGCCCTCTTGCAGGCGGCAAGAATCACGCATGAGCTCGGTCATGAGGTCATGACAATACTTTGTGAGTTGATGCATGTTGTTCTGGCGAACCACGGCAATCGTGACTAATGATGGTTCGCGGCCGTGTGGGTCCTCTCAGACGGTCTACCTCGGGTTGGCAACCAAGCAGTTGAGTGTTTCCGCGATGAGGGTGTTGGGTCATTGTCTGACGATCACATTTCTCCCCTAGTTTGCAAATGCAATCGACCAGCTACTACCTCACCAACGTCACATCGTCCATGACAAAGATCCGATAACACACGTCCCTTCACCCAAGTTTGGCTACGTTCACCCGTCTGGAGAAGTGTGGACCAAAGACATAGAGGACAGACAAGAGGAGCTCAGACCTGCCGAAGACTGCCCGGGGCAGGAGAATGAGCAGTGCAGCAAGTCGGTCCCCTTTTACGACTATTTCAACGATTACATCGATCATAAGGGCCCCTACGTTGGCGTCGTGCTTAGGTGCCAAATAACCGTTCCAAACCATCGGCATGCAGTGACAGTCGGCCAAGGCTGCTCGCGTAGTTCGCTCATGAGTATGTTGAAGCCCAATCATTCGCATCCAGGTCAACATCATGCTGCTGCTGCTGCTAAGAAGGCAATCGCTGGTCATGGATACGCGAAGCACCGGCCTCAACTCGTACACGTGCAATAGATGTCGAAGTCACTGTATTGATAGCTTGTATCGGCTATGTTTGGCTTCAGACTTTGAATGATGGAGACTTGAGTGGGGATTGAACAAGGCTCTTCTGGCACTGTCCTGAGAAGGGATCTCAGAAGGAGTAAATAGAAGTGAAGAACACCGCATCTTACCTTCGATTGCATCTGTTGGAAAGTATCAAACGTCTTTGACCTGTCCGATTGCCTTAGCATTGGTAAAGTGTCGGCGACTGCGAAAATTTGCAATCCTCGCTCGACGCTGCCCACGTTTGCTCATTGACGGGCCACAACAAGCTCACTTGTCTGCCCTCCGCGATGCGAAAGCAGTTGTAGCTGATGTCGAGCAGGCCAATGATTCATCAGTGCATGTTTCCTTTCGCCCAGTCGTGAAATCAACTGCGCTGCATACTCACGTTCGACTTTTCCAACCGCCATCGCCAAAGTCGATAGTGACATTGACTTTAGCAAATTCCGTCCGGAAGTTGATGTTGAGGCCTCCAAAGTAGCACGCTGCAGCCTTGACGGAGAATCCTAGCTCATCGAACTTTTTAATGTCCTTGTCCTTCCACATCGTGCTTGTGGCTGTCGTCAGAAAGGTCTTCAAGGCCTTTTAGCAGGTGGGTACCATGAAAAGATGCGTCAGATGGCAAGGGCAACTCCTTTAAAGAATGACAGATATTTTTTACTCACTCCATCCTCTGTGGTCTGCGTATTAGCGGCCGCGACGCCAGCAGCCACGGCTGTCGAGATGATGCCGCTGAAAATTTGCGAGATTCCCCCCTCAGGGACAGCGGTAAGCGTCAGACCGTTGGCAGGGGCGACCGACATTGTCATTATGGTGAGGACCGAGACAAAGGTGATGAGCGCAAAGAAACGCATCGTATGGATGAATCGAAGATGGAAAAGGGAGATGGGTGAAAGGGAAGACTGAGATAGATCGATGTGGGAAGAAAGTTCGCCTATGACGCTCTCTTCTTGTACACTGAGACAGTGTCTCCCCTTCACCAGACCGATGATGACCAAGCAAGACAAAGCCGCATCTTTGCACACTGCCACGGGTCACCGTCTCCATGTAACTCCCCTTCATCAACGACAACGCCGCTTTCTGTGCTCAGAATCACCCTCTCGTCACGCTGTTCCGTCGACGTCTTGTCACGAGCAGATTGGTGGCCCCTCCAAGCACGGAAGCTTCACCCCGTCCGAGCCGGACGACACATTGGCATTTGTCAGCGAGGCAATGTTCCTGGCGTAGGAGATCCTTGTAAGGTTACCACTGTGGCTGTTGAACCTCAATGAAGGCACGGCATAGTGTCCGCCGCGGTCGGAGCTCTCGCATGCACCGATAACGCTTTCCTCCTGTCCATCGTATTCCGCTCCGACAAAGTCTCCGCACCATTTACTGCGGGCCAAGCACTGCTCGTGGGAGAGTCAACATTATGGTTCTCTCCAAGTGCAGTCAGCCTTATTCCAGAGGCAGACCGAAAGGGGCTTGGCAAGAGCTGCTAGATGCGATTTCACAGACTTGGACAATAGCAAGCGTTGATAGCCCACAGGCATCCGGATATTTCCAAATCGATCAAATCGAAGCACAAACGTCACACGAGTCAATGTGTGTGTGTTAGGTCATCTTGGCCGTCAATGATATTGCTTCACTTTGACAACAGCCACGGCAGGACAGCATCGAGCCAGGCCTTTGGCTGATCGCACATGGGCAGATGACCAGCATTGGGAATCTCTGCAAATGTGGTGCCGGCATCTGTCGACAGCTTCTTAAGCGTCTCAGGGAGCTTGCCATCGGCTGAGCCAGCGACAAGGAGCGTAGGCATCTTCTTGAGTTGGTCGACGAGGCCCTGAGCAAGCAAATCGTAGCCTTGAAGTGCTCTCGCGCCCTTCTCAAAGCCCTCCACGCTCGTGGACATGATCATCGCATGCGTTCTGCGGCGCACCTCGTCCGTGGCAGCCGAGCCAGGCCCGTACCACCTGGGCACCGTCGCCTCGGCCAGGGCCTCCATTCCCTTTGCGTGGGCTAGGGCGATGCGCTCGTCCCAGGCTGCGCGATTCGCTTCGGGCGAAGCGGCCTGGGTGTCACAAGCCACGATGCGTGCCGCCCGATGGGAGTGCCGCACGGCAAAGGCCAGCGCGGTGGCGCCTCCCTGACTGACGCCCACGACGGCGTGGGCCTTGTCAATACCGAGGCCATCGAGGACGGCTGCCACGTCGTCGGCCAGCGCATCGACGGTGCATGGCTGCGGAGGGACGCTGCTGTTGCCATGGCCACGTTGGTCGTAGGTGACGAGGTTGAAGTGGCCGGACAAGGCGGGCACGACCTGGTCCCACATCGTCAGGTTGGTCATGAGCGAGTTGACGAGGACGAGCCAGGGAGCCTGCATGCTGTGGAAGTGCACCCTCGTGGATAGGTTGACGCCCTGTCCAGCCTGGACGAGTCCTCGGTTGCTGGCTCCGTCGGCACTGTGTGGGTAGGCAGCAGCACGGGGCGTGGCTTCCTCCTCGGCCAGGCCTGGAACTGGGCAGGGCTGGTCCGCGCGCTCGTCAATGTCGAGAGCCACAAGGAACCGGCTGACCATGTTGTACGTCGCACAGGTCGCCACAGCCTCGGTCATCTTGCGGTTCGTTGCCTCGCCTTCACTGTCGCCGCCTTGTGCCAGGGCAGCACGCAGCTCGCTGAATGTTGTCTCGGGCACCTGGACCGTCGTCGTCATGGCGTCAGCAAGGCGCAGCGCAGCGGCTTGCAGCTCCGACAGCTGGCCTGGCCCAGCCGAGGTCAGCGAAGCAGTCGGTGCTTGGACGTCACCGATGCGCGTCAGCTGCTCGCGCGTGACGCCGGCCGACGTGGCGACATGCTCGTGGTGGATCCACTCAAACGCTGCCCGATTGCGTGCGGCCACACGAAGGATCTGCCACACATTCCGTCAGCAAAGGAGCGTGCTTGTGCTTGAATGAAGAAGCTCTTTCATGATAGAGAGAAGACCGCTCACCATGATCTCCCTCAGGTCATCCTGGAGCGTGCTGCCAGTGCGAATGGCGCCCAGAAGCTTGGACCAGCCCTCGGCGACGGGGGGCGCATTGAGGAGGGAGCGGTCCAACGGCGTCAGACCACGGGTGCCACGCCGAGCACGGATAGCATCGGCGATGGGCCCCGGCGTATCTTTGGGTACATAGGGGACGCGCACCATGGCTCGAGTGAGAGATGGCGCTTCGTGAAGAGTGAGTTGTTGGTCTAGCTGAGACACGAAGGACGTCGAGCAGAGTGGAGAGAAAAAAACAGGCGCCGATTTCTTCTCCGATCGGAATTAGTGCGTCCGCCACGTCGAGAAGAATGCGTCGACGAGGAAGCCAGGCTTCAGCACAATAGCCTTGGACAGACCGTTGACTAGATGTGAAAAGACTATCACCACGCAGACAGGAAGAAGAGCGAAGGATGCCTTAAGTGTCTAATTATTTACGATGTATTGTTCGTGGACAGGAGAGACACATGCAGCAGTAATAATCTACCGTGGTGAAAGCTCAATCGTCGGTGTAGTCCATTCCATTTCTTCTTGTTCGTGATCAGTCGGCCGGTAGGAGCGTCTATAGCTTCGTGACATAGTCGATCGGGTACCCCAGTGCGTTGCACTGCTCGCCTCTCTGATCGAGCTCGACCATGCCGGGCTCCGGGCCCAAGCTCCACAGCCCCGCTCCTCCGCCGCTGCCGTCAGTGGCAGAGATCTGCTGCCATTGTTTTCCGCTCAATAGGCTCTGGGTCGTCGTATAACCTCGAGTTTGGAGGTAGGCGGCCGATGGGTTCGGGTCGCCCGTCCGCGCAAACGATGTCCAGTGGTCCATGAGGAGGTTCACATAGGGAATGTCGTACTCGTCTCGCGGGGCCAGCCTGAAGGCGTAACCTGGCGTTCCGAATACAGGCAGGAGATCGCCCGAGTGGCAGCTAATAAGGAGACATTGCATGAAGATGAGCATAAGCGTCTGGGGCTACTTCGAACGACTGCAACACTCACAGATAGTAGGGCTGGCCGGCCGATTTCTGCTGGCAGATGGCGAAGGGGTCGTAGTTGGGAATCTGGATCGACCGTTGGTTCTGGTAGTAGCCCCAGAGACCGGCAGACAAGGCGCCCGACTGTGCCGCTGCGTAGAGCGTTGCCTCCTGCCCACAACGAGCAATTGAGGTGATATCCGTCACCACGCTGACCGTGGTATTCTGCACGCCGCCAGGCCCATTCGCCGGGAAGAGGTCGGGCTTCGATTCAATTGTGGTACGATTGCCATCAGAGACGCCTGCACTCTTGAGACCGGCATCCAGGTTCGTCTCTGAGGCGCTAGGAATGCCGCTTCCGAGGCTCCCCAGTTCGTCACGCATAAAGCCTTGGAGGAGAGGCACGCCGGTTTGGACAAATCCTTTACCGAAGTTCAGTCGCCGCTGGGTGATGAGATGATTATCGACGAGAAGCGCGCTCGCCTTGGGAGAGGCGTTTAGGAAATTGCCCGTGGGGACGGCCCTGAGACACTCCAACAAGTTTTCGGTTGTCTCTTTGGTCGAGCAGCCCAGGGCGGTGATGGCTTTGCTTGAGCTGCCACTGTCGGCCAGCGAGTCTTTGACCGTCTGCAACGCATTCGCGTTGTCCGACGGCCGGCCCGACTGGACTATGGCACGGTGGAAGAGGCCCTGGGCAGCAAGGCTGCCCATCAAGGCGCTGACGAGCTGCGCGCCTGCGCTCTGCCCAAAGACCGTCACCGCGCTTGGGTCACCTCCAAAGTAGTGAATGTTCTCCTTGACCCACTGCAGCGCGGTAATGACGTCTCCGAAGCCATAGTTGGCATGTTCGCCGTCCGTGTCAATGGCGAGAAAGCCCAGCGTGCCCAAGCGGTAATTTGGAGTGACGACGACGACGTCTCCCCGGCTGGCGAGGCTGCCGCCATCGAAGGTCTGGTCGAGGCCCGAGCCGGAGCTGAAGCCGCCTCCGTGAAGCCAGAGCATGACGGGCCTGGATGCAGTCTGTCCACCATCCTTGGTCGTCTGAGCGGCGCCAGAGAGGGCGGGCGTAAAGACATTCAGGACAAGGCACTGCTCCGTGTAGGCGTAGTCGGTACCTGCGCCCTGAGGGCACTGGCCCGAGCGATTACCGTCGGTGGCATTGACGAGATCTGTCGCAGTGAGCACCTTGGACTGCTCAAAACGCGGCGTATTTGTCGCATACGGCACGTTCTGGAACCTGAACGAAAGAGCATCGCGAAAGCCGAGCCAGTGGCCCGTCTGGACACGCCAGAGGGCACTGAAGTCTGTCTCGTTTGCGTAGTGTCGCGGCGCGCTCTGGGTGCACAGCACCGGGAGCGTTTGATCGGCTGCCTTGGACGACACAGTCGTCTGGCTCTGCTTGCCGCCAATGATCAGGGCGGCATGCGACGACCCGTCCTGGTCCTGGTCCGCCCTCGAAGACACCATTGCCCTTGTTGTCCCTCGTTGCACTCGCGGCACAGCCGGCGCACTCCTACCAGCGAGCGCCGCATCAGAGCTTGTGCTTGAGTCGATCCAAAAAGCCTGACCTTCGGCGTACTGGCCTTTCAGGACAAGGTAGGCTAGCTGCTGCTCGAGGCCTGAGTCGATTTGCGCGCCTGGCACATAGAGTTTCTCGTTGAGCGCGCCGCAAGCCTTTTCTGCGTCGGACGCTGAGACAGGCATTGTAGCAAGCAGGTAGCCAGGCTGTCTGCGACTATCGTCCACCTCCCGCACCCAGTCGCCATCGTTCTGGTAAAGGAGCTGGAGCGAGGCCGCACGCGCCGAAGCACAGAACAACACCGTAATGGCGATGGAGAAGGCCGACAGAAGCATCGGTGGAGTTGCCCACATCGTGCTCGCTGTACACGCCTGGAGGTGTGGTGGTGCTCGTAAAGAGAGGGGGGATCAGGGGTCATCCGTCCATCATTTGAAAGGAAAAGGGAGCGTTCCCCGCACTCAAAACAGGCACCCCACGGCAATCCAAGCAACACTAGACTAGCCCTCATTTAGCGTCGCCGAATCGAACGCGGAAAAGGGCCTACGCGTCAAGAGGTAGAATCAGAACATTATTAGGTGAGTCAGCGTAGATCTGAGCACACCCGCCGCTTCCTGCGGTCCCGGCTTGTTAGCTCCTTGGCAGTCAAGGTGACACACGCGCCTCTTCGGTGATGCTCTAGCTATATATATAGATGTTCATTCGAGGTTCAATCACGGTGCGAGCCGGTCGATGGACCACTTGTCGCTCCTTGCGTCCTGCTCTGACTCAATGCTCCGCGTGTATCTTAAAAACCAGCCTCTCCCAATCAGCTTCCAGCTCACTCTCAGATCATTCACTGCCTTGCTCTCATCTCACCTGAATCGATCATGAAGCCGATTCTGCCTGCCCATCCAGAACTCGACTTCGTCCGGCACGAGCCTGTACCCTCCCCAGAAGTCGGGCACAGGCACCTGGCGGTCGCCCACTGCCTTCTCGGCCTCGGGCCCGTCGAGCCCTGCCGCTCCCTTGGCATCGTACTTGTCCTCTACGTCCCTCACGGCGCGTTCGAGCACCTCGCGTGACGCCAGTACCTGGCTCTGCGGGCTCGCGTGCGCCCCAATGCGGCTGCCCAGCGGGCGTCCGTCGTAGTAGCGCTGCGACTCGTCCTTTGTGATGCGCTCGACCTTGCCGCAGACTCGCACGGACCGGTGCAGGTCGTGCCAGTAGAATGTGAGGGCCGCAAACGGGTTGGCGTCCATCTCGCGTCCCTTCCTCGACGTGTAGTTGCTAAAAAAGACAAAGCCGCCGTCGTCGACTTGCTTCAGCAGCACGATGCGCGACGATGGCCGCGGCGGCGGGCCCAGCGTGGTCGTCGTCAGCGTCATGGCGCCCGGCTCCTCGATTGACGGGTGCGCCTGTGCATCCTTGAACCAGGCAGTGAACTGCGAGATGGGATCCGAAGAGAGTGACTCAAAGGCGAGGCCGTCCGTCTTGTACTGCATGTGCGTCTTGACTTCCGCTACGACGCTACCGCCACCGCCACCGCCAGCGCTGCTGCTGCCGCCACCGCCCGCCGAATGGTCCGTCATGAGCCTTCTTTGCAGAAAGAGACACCGCTGCTGCCGAGGGAAAGTAGAAAGAGCCAGACGAAGTCCTCCTGCTCTTGTCGTCGTGAGCATTACACGATGATGGACAGGGCGAGGTTGGCGGCGCCTATTCTTCGGCCGACTGGTAAGAAGAAAGTCTGTCGGCTTTTCCTCCACTTCCTGTTGCATGATCTTAAAGACGGAAACTGAACACGGATGATGAAAGCCGCATCGTGCAGCTCAATTCGAAGATCAGCTAGTCGACGCAGGGGCAATCAAGTGCTGTGTGTCGCTCTTGTGTGAGCAGCGAGTGTTTCTGTCCCGCGTTGGCGCAGAAGAAGTCTCGGTTGGTGCTAGAAAGCGGCTCCGTGAGGCCAATGATTCATTGATGCTGAGATCGGTAGCAGGTAGCAGGTACATGGAGCAAGATGCAATGAAGAAGAGATCGAGAACAAGTTGTGTATGTGCGAGTCATTGAAGCTAACCGTCCTTCCTATACCGTCACAGCGCCACTGCCGATGCCCAAGCCGGCCTGAGCACGAATAGTCTCGCGCGTCTTTTGCAGCGCCTTTCCCAGTTCGTTTCTGCCGACGGCAATTCCTCCGTTGCCACTGGCATTGCCCCAGAAGGCGTCGGTAGGGCTCGCCTCGACGAGCTCGGCGTCGCCCGTCATGAGGAGCTGGCGCCGGAGTGCAGAGTGCTGGCTGAACTTGAGCAGGAGCACCTCACGCATCGCGGCCACGTTGAGCCCCTTGCCGATCCACCCTCGCTTCACGTCAGAGATGTTCTTGCGTGCTTCTCGAATAGCGTCGACGGGTGTTGAGGCTTTGCGCACTTTGGCTGCAATGTCGGGCCGCTGGGGCAGGAATTTGAGCGACTGAAACAGGTGCTCTGTTCAAGACATTTCGTTAAGCCTATAGTCTCGCAAGTACAGGCATACTCTGAAGCATCACTGACCTGCTGTGGGGTATCTGATGCCATCGAGATAGACGGCATGGTCGGAGGAGTTGCTCAGCCAGAAGTACGCCTGGTCGCGTCTGTAGAAGTGGATGCGGTCCACAGTCACTTGGTCCTGGTCGTCGTTCTCTTCTGTCCCATGCGCTGCTGCAGCGGTGATCTCGTCTTGGTCCGACGAAGGACCAGGAGCAGGCCCGTCCTCCTGCAGAGACGACTGCTTGGACCCTCGTCTCGCTGGCGCTTCCAATGACCCAGCGGGCGACGAGCTCTTCTCGTTCCTCGCTGGTAGCCCCTCACCGACCGCAAGCTGATCGACGTCATCCTCTGACCCCGTGTCTGGCTGTTCCCGCTGTTTTCTCGATCTCTTTGCGCCAATACGCTTGATGCCGCTGCCCCCGAACAAGGAACTCCATCGCGACCGTTCTCTTGTCGGGTCGGCCCCAACGGCTGCCGTCTCCATAGAAGCTGCCGCCGCCATTTTCCTTATCAAGCTCGAAGCAAGTCGGACGTGCAGCGTTATGCGAGGTCAGAAGAAGCTGGAGAAAGTGGCGGCAACGTGCAAGGAGAAAGGAACAATGAGGATGGAAAGGAAGGAGCAAGAAGGTTGACGAGGAGGAAAGCTGGGTTGCTATCCCTTCCCACAGTCAAGCTTGGCACTTTCAAGGAAATGAGACAAAATCTTCCACCTAGCGCCCGATCAGGCACCGAAATAACCACATCCTCTTGCTCTTTCGTGCTGCACAGTACATCAGTACTGCCCAATTCGCCTTTTTTTCCTCCCGTGAACCCGTCTTCGTCACGGCCGGTTAGTCGGAAATGCCATTCAGTGGAGCGATGGCGTGCGCGCCAAAATCTAAAGGGGCAAGTGGAGCCGCGGCCTCTTCTTCTTTGCAATGCACATTCGACGCGCGCCTGACAGGCTTCGCTACCTGCAGCAGTAGCAGCAAAAGCTAGGGTACGTAGCGCCGAGCTGACCTGACTTCTTACGGGGCAAGGCACAGACTTTGCAGAATGACTAGCTTAGTCGTAGTAGTCTGTTGCAATCAATCCGAGCTTGAACCCTGGCCCTCGACGCTGCGCCTTTGCCCTGATTGAGAAGGTTGCGTGGGCGTTGAAATTCACGCGTGCAAGCGGCGCTTTTCAACCTCAGCAAAGAGGACAGTGGAACAGATGCATCAAGTGCTGCGTTCATATTAGAAATCACAAGTCTTCAACATTGCTTCAAGACATGGATGGAGATGATTGAAGCAGTCGAATGACAAGAGACCCTGGAAGACGAGGGACGATTAGATAAATGAATGGCCTGTCGCGAGTCGCGTCGCACCCATCACGTGTCGTAGTGTTGGATTGTCTTGTCTGCACATCTCTGTGCGCCCGAGCGTTGGAGCACCCAGCAAAAGAGGCGACTCCTCCCCCAGGCAAGCGTGCACGAAAGCGCAAGCTACCGCCATGCCGCTGCATCTCCAGCACCACAAGTCCTATCACCCGTACAACCGCGAAAACATTGAGCGGGTACGGCGCGATGAGGAGCTTGCCAAGGCGCAGGAGCAGGAGGCTGAGCAGCAGTCCCTGGTCGCCGACTCCGAGGCGAGAATTGAGCTGCTGAGGCAGAAAAGAGCCGAAGCGGCGGCTGGAGGCGATCGCGACGGACGGCTCAAGGCTGCTGAACGGGAGCTCGACGGCAAGGCTGGCTCTTTGGAGAAATTTGACGAGGCGCAGAGAGCAAAGATCGGCGCACAGGACGTCGATTCCGCAAAGAGAACCCATTCCGGCCACATCAACTTTTGGGCCGACTTGGAGCAGGTGAGCCCGCCTCATCCTCCATGGTTGGGTGTACAGCATACTGACGGGTTTTTATTCCCCAGAAGACCTCGAGCTCTTCCTCTCCCTCTGTCTCAACTGGCAAGCGATCAAGAGACCGGGTCGAGAGCGAGGCAGATGCACGCCGCAGAAAGCTCGAAGAACAGGGGGCCTGGTTCCTGGGCAAACCCGCCAAAGACATGCAGCCTTGGTACACAAGCGAAGACCTGAAGAGCGGGCAGGAGCGCAAGAAGACGGAGGAGCAGCGGCTCGAAGAGGCCTACAAGGACGGCGTTCGCAAGTCGAGCGCAGATCCTCTCAAGCAAATGCCACAACCAGCCAAGGGTTCCTCTTTTAGCCACCTGTCTGGGACATCGCCATCGCCCTCGACCTCCAAGAGCCCCGGCTCCACGAGTATGGACGATCTACGCGCACAGGCTGCAGCTCGAGAGGCTGCCGAGAGAGCCAAGGCCGATGCGCTCATCGCTCAACGACAAAAGGCTGCTGGCTTCCGAATTGAAGAGACGCCGGTCAGAACGGCCGAAGGGTACAGCGACCAATTCAACCGCGAGGACGTCAGGGCAGCCAAGGAAGCGAGCAGGCATCGGCAAGAGAGACACTGGCGTGAGGAAGAGGCCCAGGCGAGGAAGGATTTTCAAAGTCGCCCGGAGCTAACCGACCCGGGCGGCGACAAGGTGACATTGTGGGATGGCCAAGGGGACCAAGTGATCAAGGTGAAAGAAGAGGAGGGAGGGATGGAGGAGTCCGGCATGAGGGGCACAGACGAAGGAGACATGATGACGATGACAATCGCAAAGAAAGAAGAGGCGAGTGGGGCGGAAGACACCTTACTAGCAGAAGTGCCAGACGATGAGGAGAGCGTGGAGGCGGGCAACGATGACAGCTTTGGAAGCTCAGAGCAGCAGGATGGACGCCGTCGTCCCCGCGAAAGCATGTATCCTGCGATTCTCGGAGAGATGATCGCAACAGTGCTTGAGCACGAGGACCACCTCTTTGCAAAATCGGAACATCGACTTCTGCGATCCTACTTCGATCTCGATTGTGAGTTCGTGTATAGCGATCGCTCTTGCTCGTCTGACTTACCTGTCCCTTTGTCCTGCACAGACGAGTCACGACACCTGCTTGCCCGATTGATACAGCGTAGGCCCAGCTGGCACAGGATTGACAAGCTGCGCTACAACTTCGACGTCAAGGATGTCGAAACAGCTGTCAACAACTTGTGCAGCCTGCCTCTGCCTGCACCGGAGAAAGAGGAGGTAGAGCAAGACGAAGGGGACGTGCCGCGGCGCTTCTGCTTGGGCACTGACGACATGTGCGGGGGCGAAGAGGAGGCGTTGGGACTGCTCAGCCTCGACGAACTCAAGAGCCTGGCAAAAAACATGAACAGGCTCAAGGGTAGTGCAACGACGACAAAGGCGTCTCTCATTGCTAGCCTGCTCGTCACAAAAGGTCAAGGCACACTCTTTGGCTTTGCAAACAAGTCGAAGGTCAACGTAGGCAGCGTAAAAAAGGGAGATGATACACCAAGAAAAGACCCTAAACAGCCGACGCTCTTTGCCACTGGGAGTCGAAAGAAACAGCAGGAGCAACAGGAACAAAGCCAGAGCGCCGTTCTTCGACAGCAGCTCGCCGTCATCATCGGGGGATGTGTCAAGCTGTGTCCCAACGCTAAGCGCCTCATTGACCGTGTGGCGCTCGTCTACTACCGTGGAATGCATCTCGGTGGCTCTGCCCTAACGACGGCGGTCCTCTCTCGAAGTCGAAGACGCAACTTTCCCGCCTACGAGTGGGTCCGATCCAAGGATCTCTTCGTCAGCAGAAAGCACCTCGTCGCCTACGAAGGAGCGCTGGCCATCGAAACGCAAATGGACGAGCTCATCGAATGGGACGGGAGCAAGGACGGCTTCTCCAGGGCGCTAAAGCTCTTTGAGGGCTGCTACGGCCAATGGCAAGAGGCCGTTGCCGAGGTCCTTGCATCGAAGCCACAGGGGATCGATCGGATGACATACCACCGAATGCGCTTTCATCCAGGCTGGCCTTTGACCAGAATTGTCTACAAAGGCGCCTCGGTCATGGGCCGCTTCAAGCTGTATGCGCGCGAGAAGGAGGTGCTTACGGCCCTCTTGGACCAGCGCGTATTTCGACGAGGAAGGCGAGGCGACTGGTATGATCGCCTGGCCCTTGTTCTAGCCCACTATCCTAGCCACGACGACGCTCGAAAGGCGAGGCGAGAGGCCCTCGCCGTTGCCGTGGCGGGCATCGAGGATGCCGATACGCATCTCATCTACCACGATACGCTCCAGAAGCGCATCGTTCGCCTCGAGAATCAGCTCAAGCTGCCGTTCAGCGAGAAGCACGACTTTTCCTACGCCAAACTCAAGCGGTGCGAGGAGAAGCACTTCAAGGGCACCAGACTCGACGTGATGATGCCTGAGAAGATGAAGACGGGCATCTTTGGCGTAGAGGTTCCCGTTTTGCCCTCCTGGGGAAAGGCAAAGCGACCTAGTATCGATGGCAAGAGAAGTGCTTCCGACTCCTCGTCGACCTCGTCGACCTCTTCTGCATCTGATGGACAGGCGCGCTCGGCGTCTCCTGCAGCCGTGGGATTCAGGGAACGTGCGCCGTTGCGCAAAGTCGTCAAGGTGGAGAAGAGGGGCGACTCTGAGGAGCAAGTGCAAATCGAAAGGCGTGAGGTCAAGGCGGACATGCACAGTGTCTGGCGGGGCCTTGATGGGCAGCCGTGCCGCGTCGAAATGCTTGTGCTGCAGGAGTACATGCATCTCGGCTACAAAGGATTTCACTGCGAGGGGGGAGTCCTGACCATGCTCTTTACTCTTGTCATGTGGGACGTCGTCTTTGCTCCCCTCGAGGGCGCTTTCGAAACACCCTACCAGCGTCAGCCACTAGACCTCGACGAGGACTCGTTTGCCATTGCCCGCGCGCCCTTGATCAGGGACCGTCTTGCCCACATCGAAGAGACTGGCGGCTTGGACAAGATTGCAGAGGCCGACGATCGAGAGAGGTCAAACAAGACATGGGCCATGGCCTGCCGTTGGGACAGCTTCAGCAAGGAAGACCTCCTCGAGATTGCAGAGTGCATGGGCGGCAGGGCGCTCTCGGTCGTGTGCCAGACGCTCGCCGAAGAATGGGGTCACTGCACCTCAGGTCTGCCCGATCTCGTCGTGTGGCGCTACGAAGACAAGAAGGTCAGATTCTGCGAGGTCAAGGGGCCCGGAGATCGCCTCAGCGACAAGCAGAAAGTTTGGATCGATATTCTCTCAAGAGCTGGCTGTCAGGTCGAGGTGAGCCTCGTGTCGGCACACTAGCAAGCGGACATCCATGCGCAGCGCCCAAGATCATGCAGCAGCATCGGTGAGGCTCAACTCATCACAATTGTAACTTTTCACCCACATTGTTGTTCACATTGCACGTCATGTATTTGTAAGCCAGCCACTAGACTCATTCTGCATCCTTCTTCAGCATGGGAACTCTGTCTCCCAAAAAGTTGAACCTTTGCTCCGCCTGAACGATCTCTGTCCTGATTTGCTTCTCTTTCTTGAGCCTCGCAGCCTCGTTCAGCTCCTTCCATCGAGAAGCGGCCTTTGAACGACGATGTGCCCCCAGGCCCAATTCAGAAGGCCCGATCGATGGATCCTCTTGGAAGCTCTTGCGAATCATTTCTGAGCGGAGATTTAAGGCTTGAGCCTTTCGGTGGTGTTCGGTTGCTTCTTTCAGCATGAAACTTCTTCTCCTCTGGTACTTTGGCAGCCTTTTTTCGTGTAGCGTCTTCAGGTCGCGCACGCAACTGTTCATCCGCTTTCCCCTCCCAGGGCCCAAATCACTTCCTTCTCGAGCCAGAGCGATTGTGCTGAGATATGGCTCTGTGTCGATGCGTCTCTGGTAGTCCTCAGCAGTCTTCTTTAATTGCGCGGACATCACAAGTTTCTGGCGTATGCGCCAAGAACAGTCTTCATGGTGTTTTGCGGCCTTTAAGAGCGTGTGCTTACGGCGAAGCGACAATATCATGTTCGACAACTTTCGCGATATTTTCGAGGGCACCACTTTCGCTTCTGTCGGGGACGGAGACCCGCATTGAGCTCGAGTCCTTTCGTTATCAGCCTGGAGCATGTCTTGTAATCGGCGAATATGGGCTTCTTTCTTTTCGATGTACGACCCGATATCCGACGAGACGAGCTCGGCGTAGTTAGGGACAAAGTCTGGTTGGTCTACTCCTTGGGCTTCTCCGGGAGTAGCAGCAGCAGTCATAGCTGGGTTGTTGCTGCTGCTCGAAGCCGCTGTATGGGAGTCGGGTGTATTCGCACGAGGCTGGTGCCGCCGAGTCAGGAGAGGAGCAACATCAGGTTGACGCAGTCGCAAGACATCATGATCAGTAGCGGGGTCGAGCGCTGTGACACCTTCGCTCAGGGCTCTATTCTCGTTCTCTTCAATTTGAGAAGTCGCAAGACATGGTCTGAGAAGAAGGGCGAGGGATAAGAGGACCAGCGATTGCGAGGCACTAGGTCGCATCTCAAACGCTTCCTGAAGGGAGAGTGATTGGGTCGAGGGTGTGAGGTCAAATTCGATAAGACGGCGCTTATCGCTCGAACGTGCTCCAGCCCTTGAGGTATTCGGACAGGAAAAAGAGGGCGAAGAGCAACTTGAGAGCTGATGGAGGCGTGGCGAGTAAGTGTTGCGAAAAGACAGGCAAGATTTTAGTCTGGCGTCAGCGGAGTGAGCTTCGAAAGCCCCGAGTCATGCCAAGCCGAGAAGAACAACACCTCGCACAGAGACCGAGCAGAAACGACACAGCCGAGCTTCCACCACACTGCCAGGATTCCTGCAGAGAGCCTCATTGTACAGTACACCGACTCTCTTCCGAACAGTGCCGGCGAACGAGCAGCGACCGAGCACTTGCACAAACAGGTAGTCTTATCGTGCCTAAGCACAATGTTTCAGACTTGAGGAAGACGTAAAAGCTTTCTCATTGCTGGGGAGTCCCAAAGCCATATATACGACCCTTTTTTGTGTGCAGCCTTCAGTTCCTTACCACAACAAGGCACCCTCAGACAAGAAAATCAATCATTCAACTGATCCGTCCGCCACTGTACAAACTTCTCGTTACAAGAAGACCGTTCTCGCCGTCGACATGAAGACACTTTACCTGATGAAGTGCATCCTGCTCTGTGCCTTGATCTCGCTCTGCGCAGCAATGGATCAGTAAGTGCAGCACATATTTTCTGCAAGCGAGAGCGCCAATTTATACCATTCTCTGTCGTCGTTTAGGCCCGGTCAAAGCACTAAGCAGACGTGAGTGCACAAAGGCTGATTTGCGCACATGTGTCGACTTAAATTGTCATGTGCTGTCCTGTAGAGAAGTCTTAGGAAAGCGCGGGTATGTCTAGATGATCAGTGCTTGCCAACGAAGGCTTATTCACACACTCTTGCGCATCTTGTCAGTGGTCCTCAACGCGGGTGAGAGTTTCAAGGACGTTCTTGCGTACTGACGCCTCTGCTCACATGCTCTTCTCTTGTCCCTCAGCACAAAGCAAAGTTTGTTGGAGTGAGTGTAGCATCGGGCAGAGGCCCGTCCATATCCAATTGACCAACACAAATCGTTCCATCTTCTCAAAGGTTGATGACGTCGGACGACCAGCCAACTACCGTTGAAAAGGGTTCTGCCAGCAGCAATATACCCGATCACTTCACTGACCGCAGTAATGAGGACAAAAAGAGCAACCAAGGCGCCAATGTCCAGGACAGTCCGCCATTCCAGAAGCAATTCTCTGGATTAAGGGCAATCGTAGATAGCCAGCATCAAAAGCCGTCTCCAAGGTGGTCCCGTTGTTTCAAGTGTCTGCACCCCAAAGCGGACTGAAGAATGCAACTTGAAGCATTCATAGATTCCTTAAGACACAGGGTAGAGCACTTAACAGTTGGGTATCATGAGAGCTTAGGAGGGGAAAGAGGGGAAGGGGAAGAGGGGGAGGAGGGGGCGCGGGGGGGCGTGCAAGTTATGTGGTCGGGCGTGATTGGATCCGTGTAACTCGCTCAGTGAGAAATGTAGCGACTTCCTCAGCCCGACTTAATCCAGAAAACTCGTTTTGTGTGCCTATCCGTCCCGATGATTGCCGAAAATTACAGACCATAGCTGACCACATTTCGAGCACTTCCTCGGACGAGTGACTGGGTCAAGTATAAGAGGCCACACTCCGCAAGACGACCCTCATCGCATGAAGCTACGACGCCACATGAGTAGATTGGACAAGCAGGGAAGTGCGAAAAACAAGGTGAAAGTACGTGGGGGCTTGACAAGTAAGGATTGAGGAAGGGCGTGACGGGCAAAATTTGGTCTGGCCTCGGTAGAGTGAGCTTAGAATGCCCCGTATCATGCGAAAAGCCTCCGACACTTAGCACTCGACTTCAAACAAAGACCGAGCAAAGGAGACAAAAAAAGCCGAGCGTAACCCACTCCGCAAGGATGCCCGCAGAGCGACTCCTTGTACGTCGACTTGCCCCGAAGAGTGCCGCGAACGAGCCTTGACCGAGAATCTGCACAAACCAATAATCCTGCAGTGCATAAGCCCCAAGCTGATTCAACCTCGATAGAAAAAGGAAAGAACAAAAGTTGCTGTTGTTGGAGAGCCCCAGAGCTATATAAACGACCCTTCTTGGTGCGCAACTTTTGCTCTCTACCACAAAACGGCACCCTCAGACAAGAGGTACTCTCCTTCGGCTGACCTTCTTCCGACTCTGCTAATTCATTCGAAATCGAGCCGATCGTCGCAACATGAAGACATCCTGTCTGATAAAGTGCATTCTGCTCTGCTTTTTGATCTCATCCTGTTCAGCAATGGAAAAGTAAGTGCAGCATATATCCTTGCACGCAAAAGTGCCCACTCATTCTTTTGTCCGTTGTCATTTTGGACCAGAGAGAGCACATGGGACGCGACGTGAGTGCAAAAGGATTGTTATGTCGAGAAAGGTGCCTGCTCATGCTGCCGTCTTTAGGGAGATCAAGGAGTGGGGAGGGTAAGTCTAGACAATAACACTTTTCCCAGCACATGCTCATTCACAAGGCTACCACTGTCGTCAGACCAGCTCGGGATGACCCTAAGCAAGTGTAGAAAGGTCGACCTAGTTCACCAAATTGGTTGCTAATTATTGCTTCCATTTAGGGCTCCTCCTTCTCGCGGGTCTCCGTGAGTTTTTGAAGAACGATTGAACATTCTTGCCCATCGGTTCTTGCTCACACACTCTTTTCGGATTTCTCAGCGCCATCAAGAAAGATTTCTCATCGCTGTCAGTGCATCGAATCGCAGTGACTATCTTTCGCGTTATATTGACTACCACGTTTTCTTCCGTCTTCCGCCAGCTTGCAGACGGGCGGCCACCAGCTAAGGACCGCTGAACCAGGTTCAACCAGCAGTACTACCCATCACTTGACGGAGGACATTTTTGAAGAAGAAGAGGAGCAACCAAGGAAGAACCTCAGTGCACGCATCACCGACTCTCTCAAAAACTTGTCAGAGGCTAAGACAGATTCAGAGGGACTGATACCGCTGCAGATCCAGGATCCTCCTACGCCACAGCCCAAGAAGGCGGGGAACTCCGACTTTATCACCGAGACCCTATCCATCCTCCCCAAGGCCGTCGAGACTCATTCGTTGCTTCAGTTGTCTACATCCTAAGACTGACTGAGGAATGCTGTGTGATGCATCGCATAGATTTATGAAAGACACAGGGCAAATCACTAAAGCTGTTGAATAGTCCGAGCGCTTGAAAAAAAAAAAAAGTAAGGGGGGGGGGGGGGGGGGGGGGGGGGGCGACGAGCAAGCAGTGCTGTCTAGTGCGACCGAAGACGAGACCAGAATACCTATGCGAGAATCACATTAGTTTACTCAGTGAGAGATGCAGTTGGAGAAGCAGTGTCGCAGGCGTAAGAAAAAAATCGAGGGTATGGCAAAGGCCCTCGGAATCAGGCGCTTGGCAAATTCCAGACCAGTCGTGAACTGTTGTCAGGAGCTAAGAGCGACTTACACAGTCCGAAGTTCTCCAGAATAATGTTTGGTGCGCCTTACCTGTGCCGAAAATGCCGAGAAAAGTACAGTACAGCACCATAGTTGAACACACCTTGAACACCTCTTCGGGGTGCGCGACTGGGTCAAGGATGCGAGGTCACATCCCGTAAGACGACTCCTATCACTCGTGGCTACGCCACTACTTGAGACAATGGGACAAGGTGAGAATGATAGAAGCTATTCTGAGAGCAGCCCATCTCCCCATGTTGGGCGTGATGCATGAGGATTCTGAGTTAATCTATTGGGCAATAAATTTCTGGCGTCAGTGGGCTGAGGCCAGAGTGGCCCGCGTCATGTCAAAAGCCCCTGAAAGCAATAACTTCATACAGACATCGAGCAGAAGAGAAGAATTTGAGCTTGGTTCTATAGGTTGGCGTTCCATGTAGGGCGTCCTATACTTCTAAGTCGCCCCGTTGAGTTGTTTATAAACGAGCCCTGACCGAGTACTAAAAGAGACTAATGCCCCTACCAAGTCTACGCCCAAGTTTCCACCTTCCTTCAACAAATGACTGCCTCGTCGATGTTGGCAATATCTGAGCGTATATAAAGGAACTCTTCTGATGTGTAGCCTTCGATTCACCACGCAAAGAAGGCGCCTTCAGACGAAGACCTTTTTTTTCTCAAGTTGCATGTCCCGGTGCTTTGCAAGGTTTCGAACACTAACCCTTTGTCTTTCTTCGCTGCCAGTATGAAGACAACGTACCTGATAAGCAGCATTGCGCTCTGTGCTTTGATTTCACTCTGTTCAGCAATGAATCAGTAAGTCCAACACAACATTCTTGCCCAACAAAGTGTCGACTCACGACTTCCCTTGTCATCAAGGCCCAATCAAGACACTGAGCAAGAGTACGTGCCCAAAGAACGCCTCTGCCAATAGGTCCTACTGAAAACAGTCTCTGCTGTCCTGAAGACATGTAATAGCGCGACACAGGTACGTCTCCAACGATTTGAGCCCGTCCAGAACGTTACAGTACCTACTCGGTCATCTTGGTCTCTTTATTCTGTACAGACGCGCTCGGGACGAGGTTCAGTCGATGTGAATTGTGCAAAGCCGCAATGCTCATCCAAATGCCTTCTGACCTGCTCTTTTGCTTCTTTTCCAGCTTCGAAGAGGCTATATACCGGTGGGTGTCTCGGGAGTAGCATCGCCCCCGAAGCAGCGGCTCACACGTTCCTCTACGGTCTTTAAGCGGGAGAGTGCAAGAGGCTCAGTGAGAAATTGGAACTGTTTCTACGAAGTGATGAGCGTGCTCACGTACGCCTCTGCGGTCTTCCAGGGATAATAAACGGATTCTGGAATGGTAAGCTTACAAATAGTGCCTCTGAAGTCGAGGCAATCATCACATATGAAGTTCACAATCTCAGGGTGAAGACGCTAGAAGTCCCGAGCTCCGCCGCCATCGAGCAAGGCCCTTCCAGCTCTGTACCTTACCACACGATGGACTTTCACGCTGAGGGAGAAGAGAAACTTCCTGCGGGGCAAGCAGAGGAAGGTGGCCCTTCCCCTCGCCTTTCGCCAAAATTTCCGCAGCACAATTCGGCGTCCTTTTCGCTTCCCAGTCGGCCAGAGACTCCGTCAAGGGACACACCGATCAACTCGCCGGGCACTTTGCGACCCTCTCCGCCACACACCACGACAAGAGTTTCGTCACCTTATTCGGCGGGCCCCTTCCCACCCCCTACGCCCACATTGCCACGACCGAGACGAGTCCGTTGCTTCAGCTGTCTGCATCCCAAGACTGACTGAAGAGTCCAGCATGATGCATCGAGTAGATCTTTGGATGACGAAAAGTATAGCCAGAACTGTTGGGCAGTATGAGAGCTCGATGGGGCGCAATAACCTAGTGGTATGGTCTGGCGCGATTGGAGCCGAATCAAAACATTAGAATTTCGCTCCGTGAGATGATGAGATGGGAGACCAGTGTCGTGGGCATTATTAGACTCAAAGCGAAACAAGTTCATGGCAACAGCCATTCGAAGGAAGCTCTCGCAAATTCCAAAACAAGTGTTACCTGTCATCATGAGCTAAGAGTGTGTCCACAACACGTATCCATCCAGAGCACAGCTGTGAACACCCCAATGTCCCGGAGAATGCCGAAAAAGGGAGCTTTGGCCGAGCACACACATTACTCGTTAGCTCTGCCGTCCCTAAGCCCCAGGCCTCAACTTTGTTCGAGGGGCGAAAATCTTGCAGACCTGAATGTAATTATAGCTCCCATACGATTCTGGTCCCACCAATTTCCCTCTAAGAGAGGAAGTCATCCTCGGTAGGGCAACCTCATTCGTTCGTTAAAGAGACACGACACCGTGTGCCACCGGCCCGACAGTCAGGGATCTCTTCCACCTCGATCATGAAGATATCCTACTTAGCCAAGTACGTTCTGCTCTGGTTAGTGGTCTTGCAATATTCGGCAGCTATGAAAACGTAAGTGACGTACAGTACTGTACAACAATTTTCTGATGTCTTCGCGCAACGGAGTGCATTTTCACATCGTTTCTTGGTCTTTCTCTAGGACGCTTGCGCTCTTCAAGAAGTCTGAGCCCATTGATGAATTCGAAAAAGGCAAATTAAAGTGAGGGTAGAAGATCTTCAGATGCGCTCATCATTTGGCCTGCTCACCTGCTGTTCTTCGAAAAGAGTTGATAAAAGAAAGAAGCGCCGGTGAGTACATACTGTACATTGATCTCGTTCTTGCCCTACGCGGTGCCTGATGACAGTTGTCTTTGTGGTCTTTGAAGTCCCAAAGAATACGTAAAGCAGTGGTAAGTGCAGAAAGACAGTCCCTTTCCATCAATCGTTCTTCATTCACTGACTTGGGGCTCTGGTAACTTTTAGGGCTGGGCAAGCAGTAGAACAAACGTTTGAGAGTAGAACAATCGGGCAAGGCTCGCCTAGTGGTGTGAACCTCGACCTGAATGACCTTGCTTTGGCGGAAGAACAGAATCCCTCGGAGAGGCAAGACGTGGAGCCAGCCAATCCTTCGGCTTCTCCGTCAAACTTTCCGCAAACCGATTCGATCGATTCACCACCACTCTCTCCAACACGCTCTCCGCCGCGACCATTTGGGTGCTTAAGTTGCCTGCGACGCAAGACCAACTAAGGATCATCGCGGGATTCTTGAGAGGACGCCGATTGTTACAGACAAGAAGCACAAGACAAAGAAGTGTTGGCTGAGTGTCTGAGGCATCCTTCTTTCCCGCTGTGTGCATCTTTATGGTTCGAGAACTTCAAATTGAGATGACCGAGAAGTCATACGCTCTGTTCGGTCTGGATCAATGCTACTAATAAGTCATAGCACTTGTGAAGCCTGGAGGCACAGCACGCAGATCTGACCATGAGAGGGCGCCTTTGAGCAGGCAATTGGCTGAAAAGGCTTGCATACCATTTGCGCATCGCATCGGGTTCAGGTATTCCAGCCCTGACACTGCTCGTTCTGGTTTGGGTGTTTCACAGTGAGAGCTGATTGAGCTTTGGAGTCTCGTCAGGAAGTGTGAGTGGGTCGCCCAACGCCCTGGAAGTGGCGCTTGATACGCCCTCGCCCCTCGATCTACTCTAAGGCGCGCAACTTCGAGGTGGTGCCCCGGCGAACGAAGTGAAGGAGGGCAGGCTCAAAACGATATAAAGACGGTGCGCAGTGGTTTTCTTCCTGGCTTCCATGTTAGCAATGAAGCTGAGCGACATAGAGAGTTGTATGCTGCTCTGCCTTCTCTTCGCCCACTGCACATTCGTGTCTGGAACACATAGGTGAGTGGCGAGCCCGACCGCGATGAAGCTCGAAGGCAATGCTGATCTGGCCGCTAGGCGTCTACATTTCGTACCTTCATCTATCTACATGGAGCCCTGTGCCAGCGAGTACCTGATTCAGGCGTACTTTCTTCACGAGCGTGGCGTTGCCATGCCTAACATCATCAACCTAGACATCATCGAGGAAGCTTTAAACTTTTACGGCTCACATAAAGACAAGGAAGCGGTCGACGTACTCGAAAAGTGGTACGAAGAAGCCAAACGCCAGCACGAGCGCACTTATCCTTGGGACAAAGACCGCGTTATTCCAAAGCGAGTGCGTGGCCACAGGCGCACCAACAACATTGCAAATAGCCCTCATCTCGACGAATTTTTCGAAGACTTTGGCTCCGAGGCTACTTGTAGTGCATACCCACCAGAGCCTCCCAGCTCGCCAGTCTCCCCATCCTCTTCATCGACCTCGATCATTGATGCTTCCTCCGTACAAGACTGGCTTCCACAGCAACCTTACTGTCAGAAATGTCGACGAAAGCTTAGAAAATGCAAATGTCACCCCAATCCGCTCGCCCGCCTGCCTGGCAATGCAGTGTAAAACAAACAGAACTTTCACGAACGAATGTTGCAGTGAAAAAAGAAGAGATAACCCATGCTCGAGACCCGTCTGACTAGCCCTTGCCGTGCCTTCTAGGCTGGCGTTTGCCTTTTTGTGCTTTTTTTGCAGGCGCCCTGACCTTAGCCTAAGATACCCTGGAAGTGAAAGCCCCGTTTTCCACCAAAACATACGCATGTCATCAGCTCTGCCCTTACGAGTGCGAACTCGCAAAATTCTCGGAGCGGCCTCGGTTCGTGGAGCTTCGAAGGAGTTGCCAAGCAGCCTAAGTGAGGCCTGCAAGGCCCCGAAGGCAGCCAGTCTCGGCAAGATATCCAATGAGAGTCCATAGCCATTCACACGCCTTCAGGGCGGCTCGCAGTCTTGGAACGTCCAGGTAACGCCCCGTCGAAATATGTTCTCCCAAGAAGAGGAGGCCTTCGGTACGCCTTCAACGAAAACTCGTGTCTCTGGTACGCGCTTTTGCTGCTCGTGACTGCACAAGCGTTCAGGTGGTTCCCTCTCAGGGCGCGACGTCCGAAGAGAGCAAAGTTCTGCATGCTGTCCAATAGGAACCCGTATCCCAGTAAACTCCCTCTGGCGGCTCGTCAACTTGATGTATCCAAGTGACAATATACTGAGGAGCGACGCCCCAGAGCAGGAGAGTCCGGCAAGCCTTTCAATGAGAGCTCCTATCTTTGGAACGCCCCCAGGCGGCTCGAGGCTGCAGAAGATTTCGGGCTATGCTTTTTCAGTGAGGCAGGAAAGGTGTAGCAGGCAGGGGATGAAGCTATATAAAGCCGTTCCGCAACCCGCTACATTCCTTGCTCTTCTTCACCACCAGAAACCAAAAATCTTTCTTTACCAGTATGAAGGCCACTCACGTAGCAAGCTGGATCTTGCTCTGCCTTCTCTTCGTTTTCTGCCCGGCCGTGTCCGGGATGAACGAACGAGAAGAAATTGCGTGAGTATATGTCTGTTCCTCCGTCCAAAAGCACAGATATTGAACGTTTCTTCGCCAGTCGTGCTCGCGGTCGACGAGAAGAAAACGAGCCTGAAATGATGCCTCCAAGGACCGCTGAGGAATACGTGTCGCAACAATTTCGCCTCCGCAACACGGAAGCCTACAGCCGCAGTCCTGCAGCCATCAAGAAGGTTGTAGACCACGCTAAGATTACCCAAAAACTCGCTTGGATCTCAGATCTTACAGATTTACTGGTTGTTGCCACAAAGGAGAGCCAAGACGCGAGGTCCTTGCTCGATGACTACTTCAAGAAAACCCAACGACCTGGCCAAGATTCGCCTGCGGATTCAGATGGTGTAGCTACTGTCGATAGAGCTCTTCAGTACTATTTGGACATAAAGTACCCGGAAGCTGTCACCACCCTGGTAAACTATCGCAAGACAAAATTCCCAGGTGCACCACCACTCCCACAGGAAGTGGTTCAAGCTCTTTCCAGACCAATCTCACCAACACCCCACGAAGGCAGCACCTCTCAAGCCAACTCCCGAAGGCGTGACTGACCGATCGGGACCCTTACTCTGGCTCCTGTTCCTCGTCATTGTAGTTTTTTGTAGCCGTCGTGCCAGCCGCGCTGCAGCCCCAAGCTTCGTGGCTCTCCCTGAAAAGTGCCCTGACTGCCAAAGTAGTCTCAAAATGTTGAAGCCCCCTTCATTCCTCTGAAAAAGACAAGTCCGTTTCAAGGCTCAATACTTGCTCTGTCTTGACCTTGTCGTGCGATCGAAGCTTGTGCTGTATTCTTGTGCTTTCTTTGCAGGCGTCTCCACTCCGGTGTAAAGAAAAGAGAAGCTGGAAGAAGATGAAAAGCCCCGACTTTCCAAAAAAATAAAAAATAGAAAATAAAAATAAAAATCTATGCCATCAGCACTGGTACTGCCCCTTGCGAGTGCAAGGTCATGAACTTCTCGGCGCGGCTCGGTCCGTTGAGCTTCGGAGGCGTTACCCACCAGCCCTAGTGAGCACGGAAAAGCCCCACACATAGACAGCCAGTCCTGGCAAGCTGTCCAATGAGAGTCCAGTGCCCCTCACACGCCTTCAGGGCGGCTCGCAGTCTCGAAATGTCCTGATGACGCCCCGTCAAAAAACGACCTCCCAGGAGAGGAGACCTTCGGTGCGCCCTCCAGTCAAAATCCGTATCTCTGGTACGCCCTTTGGCTCCTCGAGACTGCAAAGCATCCAAGGAGTGCCATGCCAGTGTGCGACGTCCCGGATGCTGCAGCCTTCGGCACACCATCCAATGAGAGCCCACAGTCCGTTAGTAGCTCCTGGGCGCCTCAACGCCTCGAGACGCCAAGGTGATGTCCCATCAAAGTGCGACGCCCCAGAGAAGGAGAAAATCGGCATGCCCTCCAATGAGGGTCCATTCCTCTGATATGCCCTCTGGCGGCTCTATGCTGCAAGAGCTCTCATGCAATGCACTGTCAGTGAGCCAAACGGGGCGAGGAGGAGGGAGGGGGGGGGGGGGTCGAAGCTATATAAAGTGTTGTACAATCTACTTTCCTTCTCTTTCTCCCCACCACCCACTACCACAACGTTCTCTCTACCAGTATGAAGCCGACTAACGTAGCAAGCTGGATCTTGCTCTGCTTCCTCTTCATTTCCTGCCCGGCCGTGTCCGGTATGCATCCAGGGTGAGTCATCGTTCGTCCCCAACCAAGCTTCAAGGATTGCTTACCTGGCTGCCAGTCGTTATGTTCCTCCTCACGAGTCAGCGAATCCTGATGGTGTACGTCGAGAAGACAACGCCGAGCTTCTCATACAGCATTACCTTAGTCTTCATGGCGGACAACACGGATTCCAGCCCTCGTACAGCGACCCCACTGTCCTACATGCAGCTCGAGCCTTTTATTCAAGCATCGGCCGCGAGGAAGCCGCCGAACGTATAGATGATTTCGAGCGTTTGCACCGAGCGCAGCGAGAGGCCGAAGCTCGGGCAGCAAGAGTCGACGCTGCGGCGCGAGCATCAGAAGCCCATGCGCTTCGTGAGGCAACTCAGATTCACTATCGCTTTGGTCGCACGCGTCAACGGGCACAAGCGACCCAGCACCCCTCTGAACCGATCTCTCCACCACCCTCCTCGCCAACCGAGGCTTCTCCGGCCAGCTCGCCAGAGCGAGACTGACAGACCGAGACCCTTACGTTGGCACCTCTTCCTCGTCGTCACAGTCTTTGTCGTCGCTGTCGTGCCAGCTGCCTCGTTCCCAGGTCTCGTGGCTCTCTGGGGAAAATGCCCTGCCTTACAAAGTAGTCTCTAGATGTTCAAGCCCCCTATCCCTTTCCTTCTCTCACAAAAAAGAGTCCGAAGACGAGTGTGTTTCCCGATCTCACCATGCCAAAATGCAAATGACCTCAGCCTCCCTCCTCCGTACGCAAGCCCTCGGGCGTCTGACCGAGGTATCGAGAGTAATCGTTCAGGTATCAGATAAACATTCACACACCCCATCTTGCCTCGCCGCCGATTTTTGCCAGGCCGTACAGGCTCGACACTGTGCCTGTGACGGCCTCGAGCCTCTCGTGGTCCCGCGCAGGAGCTAGCACCTCGGCGAGGCAGAAGACGGCCTCTGCGCGAAGGGCCGTCTGCTCCCACCCAATGTGGCGCATGCGCTTCCTCGTCAAAAAGGCCTCGCGCTCGGCCCGGCGCAGCTCCTCGACTGCCACCTTCGTCGTCGTCGTCGAAGAGGCTGCCTCCGCTGCCGACGTCGATGTTGTTGTTGCCTTGGACAGTGACTGCTTCCTCTGGCGAGGAGAGGAGGAAGGGGAGACGGCCTTGCTGCTGCTGTTGCCCAGCGCATCTTCCACCTCGATGCTCCTCCCTGATAGCAGCGCGCTGTGCCCTGCTTCCTCGGCCTCCTCGTCTTCGTACTCGAGGTTGTCCGTCGCTTCCAGCAGTGCGAGATGGGCGACGCGGACGCGTGCTCGCTGCTCTTTGCGGAGGAGGTGTATATGCGCCAGGCTCAGGAGGAGCGACAGCAGGCCGAAGCTGTGGAATGGGACGAGTATGAGAAGGGATCAGAACAGCAAAGGAAGAAGGTAGGTCACCACACTCACAAGACACCTATTCTCTCCAAGCCTCTCCGCTGCCGTGTCGAAGCGACCTTGCCGCCGGCGACCCTCCAGAGGATGCTGGAGCCGCCCAGGAACGCAGCCACGTCGCATGCTTCGCCGAGCAGGGCCAGATACTCGCCACCAGCCTCGAGCCGCCGTCGCCACTTTTGCTTCCAGCTCGATACGCCCTCGGCCTGGTCCTTTTCCGCTTCGTCCTCTTCGTCTTCTTCTTCCTCCCTTTCCTTCTCCTCTGCTTCCTTGTCGCTCTTGGGTGTCACCTGGCCCGATGGCAGTGCCTCATTCATGGCCTGCACTACCTCCGAGAGCCAGCGGCCAAGGAGCAAGAGCCGGCGCAAGTTGGCGATGGACTCCGAGGCGAGATGTATGCGCCGGAGTGTCAAGCGTCGCGTCGCGCGTGGAAAGGCAAATACAAGAACGAGGGGCGAAAAGTACGAGACGCGGTGCGGCGGGGCGGTGAGGAGCGAGTGGACGAGGAGCGAGGTGGACTGGAGCAGCTGCAACCCACGGTCGCGGCCCTCCCAGTGCGAGAGGACCTGCCAGGCGGCGGCGCGTCGGCGTCGGAGCATCTCCTCGGCGCGCCCGGCCGGCCGCCGGCTGCTGCTGCTGCTGCCCAGCTTCTCGTCGGCATCAAGGCCCGGTGGCGGCCGCTGCGGGACGTACGTCGTGACTGACGTCTTTCTTGAGTTGTCCGGCCGCCGCACTGGCCCTGCTGGCCCGGCGCCCTCGTTGCTCATCGTCGTTCTCCGGCTTCTCGTTCTCTGTGGCCGGTGTGCATGCGCGCGTGTGAGACGGATGAGCGCGCGCGCATGGGCCAACCGACATTCGGGGGCAAAACTCAAATTGACCCAGAACTTGCCGCTATTTTTATTCGTGTGTCTTGGCAGTCCTCGCCTCCTTTTCTTCGATGAAGACGGCCAGATCAGCGAGCTCTCGCGGCCAGCTCTGCGCTACTAATCAGATGGCTCCCCCGTCCATTGCGCGGCATGGCCCCGGCGCATCGACGGCGTGGTACCGCGGCCGGGCGTTTACGCGGCTGCTCCTCGGCGGCGTCCTGTGTCTGCTCGCCCTCGTCTACCTCTCGGCGTCGTCGTCGTCGGCCGCCAGCCGGTTCCGCCAAGCCTCGAGGCCCTACTACCGACCATGGTCCAGCGGCAGCCACGTCCGTACGCCCAAGCCCAAGGCGGCGTTTGTCGTCCTGGTGCGCGAGCACGAGCTGCACGATGTGCTCCTCACCCTCAAGGAGATCCAGGTCGCCTTCAACGACGACGTGGGCACCGGCTACGACTTTGTGAGTCTTGTCTGAACTCTTTCAATCTGCATTGCCGCCAACTGACCATGTTTTTCTCTCTTTCGAAAGGTCTTCCTGTCCGAGACGAAGTTCACCGACTACTTCAAATCGCGCGTAGAGACGTTCCTGGCCCACCGTCCGACGAAGCCACGCGTCCGCTGGGGCTTCGTCGAAGACAAGGACTGGAAGATGCCCGAGCACATCGACTACTACCGCGCGCAGGCGGCCATGGAAGTCATGGGCAAGAGCAACCTCATTCCCTACGGCGGGAGCCAGACCTACCGCCAGATGTGTCGGTGGGTTCCTGCGTCTCTTCTTCACTTGCATTCAAAGACACCGCCAGGCTGACTGCGAAAGAGGACAGCTACATGTCCTACCCCATCTTTGAGCACCCGCTCGTGATGGAGTACGACTACTACTGGCGCCTCGAGCCGCACACGCGGCACTTTTGCGACCTCACCTCGGCCTACGAGGACGGCCAGTGGGTCGAGCGCGATCCGTTCCGCTACATGCGCGGTGCGTGGCTCATCCTAGACTGCTGTCCTGCTGATTGGGAGCTGACTCTCACGCCTTGGTGCGCACGTCTCGCCCGCAGACAACGGGAAAAAGTACGCATGGGTGCTCTCGCTGCTCGAGTACAAGACGACGGTGCGAACACTGATGGTCCACGTCCACCGTGAGTGCTCCACGCACACCCTCGACGGCGCCAGTTCTCGTGCTGACGCTAGCCTTTTCTTACTTGCCCACTTGGTTGCTTCATACAGGATGGAGAGACGCGAACAGACACCTGATCCCAGAGCAAAGCTCCTTTGATTTCATCTCCGACGACGGCAAGGCGTACAACCTGTGCCACTTCTGGTCCAGTGGGTGTCAGTTGAGACATTGTGCAGCACAGGAGACTGACTTGCCGGTTTGTGTCTTGCCAGACTTTGAGATTGCCGACCTGTCCTTCTACCGGTCCGAGGCCTACCGCTCCTTCTTCCACTCCCTCGACCGCGCCGGCGGCTTCTTCTACGAGCGTTGGGGCGACGCGCCGGTGCACACGATCGGCGCCGCGATGCTGCTGCGGCCCGACGAGATCTGGAAGGTCGACTATGCCGGCTACACCCACCCGCCCTACATGACGTGCCCGCGCGACGCCAAGCTTGCCAGCCGGTGCGCGTGCGACCCCCAGGCCTCGTTTGAGTACGACCGGTCCAACTGCGAGGCCAAGTGGGACAAGATCCAGGGCAGGAACACGACGGAAATCATCCTCGACATCAATCGGCAGCGCGGCGTGCCTGAGCAGAACTGGACTAAAGAAAACCCCGTCAGGGTGCTGCCGCCGCAGCGGCTGATCAAACCGCCGTCGCAAGCGTAGGCATGACACTGACACACTCTCGTCGAGGAGGTGTGGATGTGGAGAGAGACTAATCCATAATGAAGCAGTACTATTGGGACAAAAGCGCAATGACAATCTAATAGAGAAATGAGAGCGACGAGTGAGCTCAGACGTTGCCTGTGGGAATCCTAAACATCTGCTCGGCGAGGCTTCTGAGCTCTTTTGAGGCCTCGTCGTCGCCCGGGTGCGTGCGGAGGGCCTCGAGGATGGTGTCGTACTGCGCCTCGCTGACGTTGCCCCGCGCATACAGGTCGATGCCTGCGTCGGTGAACCAGGTGGCGGTAAAGTAGGTGACGATCCAGACGGGCTCGCTCGACTGCTCCTGTGCCTGCTCGTCCAGGAAATTGTCGCTGAATGCGAGAACCTGCCAGCGTGAGGTAAAGGGCTTGAGGAGCCAGTAGCCGCGCCAGAAGAACGAGGCGCTTGATGGAGGTGGTAATGAAACAAGAGTCAGCCCGTGTCTCTCTCGCTCAGGCTAATCATACTGACTGGTTGGCGCCCGAAGTGTCGAGGCGGTTGCGGCCGCGGATCATGCTCTGCACCTCGCGGCGCGCCCCCTTGCCCGGCAGGTGCGTGCCCGCCTCGTCGAGCTGCTCGTACCAGATCTCGTCGGAAAAGTCGAGCTGGCCCGCCTCGGCGTCGGCGCGCGGCAGCGTGTGGGGCGTGTAGCGACACAGGACGTCGCTTCGGTTCTTCCAGAGCGCCAGACTGGAGCCGATGATGGTCCAGTCACCCATGAGCGTGTCGTAGGGAAACTTGCCTGCGGCGAGGTATGCCGACTTGTCGCTCGTCTCATTGGCCGCCGAGGACGTCGAGAGTTCGGCCGGCGGCGTGTTCTTGGAGAAGATGGAGAAGCCTCGTGTGGTTGCCATCTTGCCTTGTAGCAGCTAATCGTCGTGGTCAGGAGTGAGTGCTCCATGCCTATCGGGAGGCGCTGATTTTAAGCTCATGGAGAATGGCCTGATCTGAGCGAGGCAGGCGGCCCGAACGCACGCACGCAAGCGCACACCACTACTGCTTCTAATTATTGCACTGATTGAATTTTATTCTTCTTTTTGTTGCAAGCTTGGCAAAGAGGGGGAAAGAAGCAGGGCAAGAGATCACGCCTGCTTGAACTTGTTGAACTCAAAGAGGCCCTCGCGGTCCTTGACGTTGAGCTTGAGCTCGGCGAGGATCTTGCTGCCAGACTCGAGACCGGCGTGCATCGTCTGGCCAGCCTGGACGGAGCCGACGCCCTTGGGCGTGCCGGTGAGGAGCAGGTCGCCCGCCTGGAGCGTCATGATCGACGACACATGCTCGATCAGCTGGGGGATCGGGAAGATCATGTCCTCGGTGTTGCCGTCCTGGCGAGTCTGGTCGTTGACCTGGGAGGAAGAGAAAAGCACAATCTCGTCAGCGTAGGAGACGGGCAAGGAAGAAAGGGCAGCCTGTCATTGCGTTTCCCCTTACCTTGAGCCACAGCCGCACGTTCTGCGCATCGGCCACCTTGGACTTCTCAATGAAGCTGCTGACGGGGTTGAAGGTGTCGAAGCCCTTTGCGGCGGACCAGGGCAGGCCCTTGCGCTTGGCCTTGTCCTGCATGTTGCGCGCCGTCATGTCAATCGCCAGCGCTGTAACACGGCGCACGTCAGCGTCTGACTCTTTGGAGAAGGAGACAAGAAAGAGACCCACCATAACCGCCAATGTGGTCTTCGGCATCAGCCGCACGAATGTCGCGGCCGTCCTTGCCGATGACGACCCCCAGCTCGACTGCGTGCGCGACAGGTCAGTGTCCGAGCTGAGGTCTGAACTGCGCGAGGTAAAGACACACACCTTCATAGTGGCAGTCGACGCCCTTGGGCACCTCGACGGTATCGCCATCGCCAATGTAGCTGCTCGTCGGCTTGAGGAAGAAGAAGGGCTCCGTGGGCACGGCGTTGTTAAGCTCCTTTGCGTGGTCGGCGAAGTTGCGCCCGATGCTAGCGTCGCAAGATGGGCGTCAGTCAGCCTCCATCCTTCCCCCTTCCGACGCCGTTTGTAGGAAGCATGCGGCACTCACGCGACGATCTTGCGCCCTGTTGTGCGAAACGAGGATGCCATGTCTTCTCTACCTCTTTTTCCCCCGCGTACAACAGGTGTAAATTGAGTCTAGAGAGAAGAGAGTCACACTTTTTCTTTCCTTTTCCGGTCCCGGTGTGTGTGTCGGCCTCGGCGGGTCTGTCTCTGTATGCAGCGTGCGCACGCACTATTTCTAATTTTCCACCCCCAGCCGGCCGGCGCGCGCGGGTTGCGGCGCGTCTCTGCCACTTTTTGCATCCGTCAGACCAACAAAGTCGCAGCGACGAGCAGCAGGTCATCTCCCCCCTTTTCTTTCTCTCCACATCCACGCCATCACAATGTCATCCGCAAGAGGGCCTTCCAGCGGCAACGGCAGCAGCAGCAGCAGCAGCAGCAAACTCGACGACTCGGAGCCGAGATCGACATATGTCAACGTGCAGAAGCAGCTCAAGTACCTCTTCTTTGGTGGCCTCGGCCTTTGGTACTGGCAGGTCGATGTCCATCTCCGGGACGCGCTCGAGGCGCCTGGATGGGGCCGGTGAGTCAATGCAACCGAATCCTGCGTATGAATGAAAGGAACTGACAATCCAAAACAGGCATCTGGCCGTGCTCTCGCTCGCGCTCGTGGGCACCACCATTGCCCTCTTCGGCTACTTGATGCTCCTCCCTGCACGAGGAAGGGAGGTTGACGTGAGTCTGTCTTGTCCTAACCACTGAATGCATCTTCAGAAACGCTGACCAGTGCACGCGGAGCAGTTCATCGAATGGAACCGCGACGAGCGGCTGCGAAAGGTGATCCCGATCCTGACTGCATGCATCGTCGGCGGCTTCGTCACCCTCGTCATCACCCTGAGCCCGCTGTGCGCGTGAGTAGCGTGACTCTTACTTCTCTTCTGCTAGGACTACAAGCACTAACGATCAGCGCAGTCCCTCGCCCCCCTCGCCTGCGCTCTCGCAGCGGCTGCTCGAGGCCACGCAGGCCGCCGGTGGCAACCTGCAAAAGGCCTCATCGGGCATCCAGCTCCTCCTCACCGACGCCGCCCGCTCCCTGGGCCTGGCCTCATCGAGCCAAGCCTCGTCGTCGGGCAGCCTCGACGTCGACGTCAAGTCGCTTCTGCGCACCCTGCGCCTGCCCGACGGCGACGCCCTCGCCGGCCGCCTTGGTGTCTCGCCAGACCGGACAAAGACGCTGCTCAGCACCCTCGACCGCTACCAGGCCCGCGCCCAGGCGTGGAAGGAGGGCAACCTCAGCGTGCTCGGCTGGACGGGCGCCGTCATTGGCAGCGGCTCCACCTTTGTCACCGTCTTTGGCGCCATGGGCCTCCTCGGCCTCTTTGCGCCCCGCCCTGCCGCCAAGGCGAAGCGCCACTCGCTTTGATCCCTTCTCCTTTCCTCTCTCTCTCTGTCTCTCCCTTCTCTGCTTGTACCCATACCACTCCGCTCCTCTCCATCCTCAAGGACAGCTTCTTTGTGTCCGCTGAGCCTTCCGAATCCTGGTCTTGCTAATTGACGATGTCTTTTGTCTGCGTTCACCACCTTTCTCTGCACCACTCTCTCCAACGAGCTGCTGAGAGACTCTCTGCCTGACACTCTGCTGCTGTGTCTCTGATGGCGGATCATTGTATTAATCGCTGCTAAGCCTATGATACTCTGCGCCCGTCCGCCAGTCTTGCCAATGGGGACGCACCCTCGCTCTTCGCCCTTTTCTCTTCCTTCCTTTAGTTGCTCACGAAGCCACACGAAAACTCAACCCTTGTCTTTTCCTCCCTTTTTCTCACTTCAGAGAGGCAGGTGACACACAAGACTGGCACCGAGCCAGCCTGCCTCAAATGACCTTCTTCTGGCCATTCATGTTGCCCTGCTCCAGCTCCTTTCTCGTCTTTGCCTTGGACGGCGCGAGATAGGCGCGAATAAAGAAGCGCGCAAACAGGACAAGCAGCGGCTGTTCAAATTTCACATTCTACCAGTCAGCAGAGGCATGTAGAGAGAGAGGAGGAGGAGGAGAGGGAGCGGGACTCACAATCATGTAGAGGGTGTTGGCGTGCAGGGCCAGCGCAGCGCCCTGGCGGTCGAGGCAGACGGACGCGTCGGACGTCGCGAGGCGGGCGCGCGCATACGTCGAGAGCAGCATCTCGTTTGGCACTGCGTCGGCGGCGGCGACAGCAGCGGCAGCCTTTCGGCCAAAGAGGCGTGCAGCCAGCGTCCATGGTTTTGAGGCTGCCGAGGCATTGGCGAGAGAGGTGGAAGAAGCAGAGGCGAAGAGCGACGCGGGGAGCAGCGTCGAGGTGGGCGTGCGTGCAAAGGCTGCGGCGAGCCGGATGGGGTCGAGGAGCAGGAAAAAGTAGACGTTGGTGAGGAGAGTGCCCGAGGCAATCTGGGCAATCTGCAGCGTCGTCAGGTTGCGCTTGAGCGCCTTGGGAAATGGCCAACGCATGGCCGAGCAGAGGTAGTAGGCGTACATGGCCGTGTGGACGGCCGAGTTGAAGACGCAAAACACCCAGACGGGCGTCGACTGGAACCGGTAGGCGACCCACATGGCGAGGAGTGCACCCGCATGGTGGTAGCTCTGCAGGTTTCCAATTGCCCGGCCCTTGAGATAGAGTACGAGCGAGTCGATGACCTCGTAGTACTTTGAGAGGTAGAAGAGGTAGGCCCACCGGCCCAGGTATGCGTGGTTCGTCGGCATCGCGCACAGGGCCAGCTTCACTCCCTCGTGGCCCGCCGCGGCGTAGCCCTGCCAAAAGAGATCGGCCACGACGGGGGCCATGAGGAGAAAGGTGGCCAGGCTGTACGCGCACAAAAGGGCATTGTGCAGCACGATGAAAGCGCGAAGCAGCGTGGACCACGCGCCCTTGCCCCGTGTCCAGTCGCGCGGGGCCTTGTCATCGCGCAGCAGCGCATTGGCGCTCTTTGCGATGAGGTAGTAGGCCAGCGAGAAACTCAGGGGCCATGCGACGCCCAACGACGCCTCGTAAAAGGGGCGCGGAAAGACGGCCTGAAGCAGCGGCGAGGAGTGGGCAAAGGGATAGGCCGGCAGCGGCGTCCGTTGCACCACTTGCAGGTAGCTCCCGCCCAAGGCGTCGTCCAGCGGATACCTCATTCTGGCCTCTAGTCCAGCCTCGGACTTGAGGGGGGGATTGGGGATGGTGGTTTATTCTTTCAGCAGCCCGGACGGTTCCATTTGCATCACCATAAGCTTGCTGCAGGAAATTAGCTGATGGATTGAAATTGCTCGGACATGTTTGCCCGGTTCCCGAGGACCCTCCACTCGACGGCTCAAATGGGCCCACTAGTGCCGCCGAGCTACCGATGGTCTTTGGAAGTCACCAGACTTGGCCTCGGCGCTTTTGCCGTGTGTGATGCACTCGCCTTTGGCGTCGGGCTTCAACAAGAGCGAGGGGCAGAGCGAAATTTGAGACGAGGCTGTACTTAGAGACCGGAAAGATTGGATGCTTTGGCGCCCCGCTGATAAGCCGGCAAGGGCAGACGGCCAGGAAGATGGGCCAAAGCGCACACTTGCTCTGACGACGACGACGTCGGTCATTGCCGGTCCCTGCCTGTCCTGGGCATGAACTACCATCACCTGTCGACGTTGCCGTCTCCACGAAAGCGCCGTCGGGGTTTCTTTGGACCCTTTGGCTGAAGCCCCCGCGTCGAAGAAGTTCCTGGAGCCAGTAAAAAGAAGGCTTCGGTCGGGTTTCTCTATTTTCCCCCGCGTAGCGTTTGGGCAGGTTTCGCAGCAGAGATACGGCAATCTCTCTTCTTCTCAGCCGCTTTCCTCCTTGATCACCACAACCACCGCTACGCCGTACGGGAGAGAGACACAAAGAAGCCATGTCGATGACATACGATGCCAACGCGCCGGCTATTGAGCCGAGGCCAAACCCGCCGCTGTCGGACAGCATCATGGAGATGTTCTCGCTCAAGGGCCGCGTCGCCATCGTCTGCGGCAGCGCCTCGGGCATTGGCCTGGCCGTGTGCGAGGCCTTTGCAGAGGCTGGCGCCGACGTGGCCATGTGGTACAACTCTAACGACGCCGCCATTGCGCGCGCCGCCGAACTGGCCAAGCGCTACGGCGTGCGTGCAAAGGCCTACAAGGTCGGCGTCACTGCGTATGAGCCGGTGCACAAGGCTGTGGCCGACGTCGTGGCTGACTTTGGCAAGCTCGACATCTTCGTCGCCAATGCTGGTGCAGGCATGCCCGGCGGCATCCTCGAGCAGTCCGTCGACGACTGGCACAAGATCGTCAACATCAACTGTGGGTAGAGGGCAGCTGATGTTTGAAAGAGAAAAGACTGACATCCCTTCTGCAGACCACGGCGTCTTCTACTGCGCAAAGGCGGCCGGCGAGGTGTTCAAGAAGCAAGGCAAGGGCAACCTGATCATCACGTCGAGCATGAGCGCCCACATCGTGAACGTGCCTGTGGACCAGTGAGTCACCCTCTCTCCTCCTGTCAAACAGACTCGCTCACTCGCGTCGAACGGTGCGTGTGATTGCAATTTGCAGACCATGCTACAACAGCACAAAGGCTGCCGTCACGCACCTGGGCAAGTCGCTCGCGCGCGAGTGGCGCGAATTTGCCCGTGTCAACATCGTCTCGCCTGGTTTTGTCAAGACGGACATGGGTGCTGCACCCCAGGTCCTCTCTGAGGCCTATCGCATGAGCGTCATGGGGAGGCAGGCCGACCCGAGGGAGCTCAAGGGCGCCTATCTCTACCTTGCCTCCGATGCGTCGACATGTGAGTGTTGTTCTCCTTTGCGCGCTCTCGTGAGTGAGCACATTGACTGATTTGCCTGCTTTGATTCTTCCTTGCCCTCAACAGACGCGACGGGCACGGACCTGATCATCGACGGAGGCTACTCTCTCCCTTAGCTTCCTTGCCCGCACCTTAAGCACCACGCTTATTCACTGCACTGCGATGCTCTCCATATAGATGCTGAGAACGTGAAACGAAGCCGATAGCAAATCTTATTACAAATTGTCTTGGCCTGCGTCGCTTGTGCTGCTCGCTTTTAGGCCCGCTTCTAAAGAGACTGCTAAGCTCCGAAAGCAGCGGAAGTATCCAATGTCTGTAGCGCTGCATCGGACTGGGTCTACTGGCCAGCTCTCCGAAGTGTCTCTGGCTCATTTATCTGGTTCCGTACCACGCTGCGCTGCATGCGTCGAATCGGGGTCTAAGAAAATTAATACTAGCGTTGCTTCCGGTTAATTGCACATTTCTAGTTTTTCTTTTCAGGTTGCAGTCCCCAGATAGCGCAACTCTTGCGACGATGGTTATCTGCGCAACCCGCCATGTACGGTACAGTCTCACACCCTACAGCTACAGCTGGAATAGGGCAGGAATTTGAAGACGGACTGAGACTGCAAACGCATGGTCGCATCATTGAGTCGTGTTCCTGCCTCTTCACCTCATCAATACCCTTTGTTAGACCTCTCTCTCGACCATTGCATCCCTTTCCTAACAGCTGCACCATACTCCCTGCCACATTCAGCGAAATCGGCCACAAAGTGTGTAGCAAGAACATGACTCGACCGGGCTCTCGCTTACGGCCCCACGCCACCGTGCTCGTCACTGGCGCCTCGGGCTTCATTGGCTCAGCCGTGACCGAGGAGCTGTTCCGGAAGGGCTTTGGGGTCGTCGCGACTGGACGCGAGCTGGTCAAGTTTGAGGAGCTGCGCGAGAAGTTTGGGCCCTCGCAGAGGTACACCGTCGTCGAAGTCCGGGACATGGAAGCTGACGATGCCTTTCGAGAGGCCATTCAAGGTTGGTTCTTTCTTCCCCTCTCGCTAAGGAAAGAAGGCTGCTGCTGAATGAACGATGGGACAGGCTGCTCGGCTGTGATCCACTGCGCGCATGACCTCTCGTGGAGCCGGGGCGTGGAAGAGACTGTCGAAGGAAGCAAGCGCGCGCTCTACAACCTGCTCGAAGAGGCGAGGAGGGCAGGCACAGTACGCGCCTTTGCGTATACATCGTCGAGGCATGCCTGGTTCAAAGCGCATGGCGACATGAAGGCGGAGCAGTATGTGGGCCCCGACGAGATGATTCATGATGCCTATGAGCGCGCTCTGGCGATGCCACAGGGTGATCACGACACGTACTACATGACCTGTGGGTGTGCTCGTCGCCAGCTTCTCATTTGACTCTGGAGGCTGACTTGAGTGGGAATGTCAAGACTCGGCAGCGAAGGTCGAGTGCGAGAAGCTGGCTCTTCAGTACGCCAAGGACCACAAGGTGAGGGCTCTCCCAAAGTCGTGCTTCCCTTCAAGCAACCTAATTCAAGTCACGCACAGCCGGGCTTTGTGGTCAACACACTGGCGCCCGACTTCACCATCGGCGCACCGTCAAACCCTCGCAGCCTGCGCTACTCTTCGCACAGCGTCCTGCGCGGCTTTGTCGAGTGCGATGGCGATCCCAGCTTCCTGCACGCCTTTACCAGCCCCGCGACATTTTGGGTCGCCATTGCCGACATTGCCGCCGTGCTCGTCGCCCTCGTGACGGACCCAGAGGTGTCGGGCGTGCGCATCCTGGGCGCCACGGGCCTGTTCTGCGGCGAAGACTTTCTGGACATTGCGAGGAGGTTCGATGGGAGGGATGTCCATGATAAGTCTCGCTCCACGCTGCAGAGGAACGAGGGCCTGCGGGCGCCAGAGGCCATCGAGGCCTTCAAAGCGCTCGTGCGAAAGCACTGCCAGAGAGAGCCAATCGACCTCAAGACATGTGTGCTCGAAAACATCAGACATCAACACAGTCTCGTCTACCCGTGACCCTTTTCTCCTTATTCTTCTTCTGTATAGTAGTAGTAGTAGAATCGCAATGGGCTTTCTGTGGACAGAGTGATGCTGGTAGTAGACCAACTAAGAAGGACTCGGGGTCCGCGGAATAAAATACGCGCGCGTCTTCTTTGATGAGCTAAATTGGCAAGCCTCTTTTCCCTTGTCTCTGTATCTCTCCGCACATCCAGGTATCTCTCCGCTATCAACCAAGCATTCCACAAAAGGAGACGATGTCGAAGCTTTCACCGATAACGTTTTCGAAGGAGGAGTTTGTAAAGGAGCTGGAGGGGCTCGCAAAAGCAGGAAAGGCGGCAGCGACGACATCGAGGGAGGTGGCTGAGATTCTGGACCAGAGCGATGCGCTTCGGACGCTGAGAGACGAGTACAACGTGCCGACGCTGGCTGACGTCGGTGCATCGGTGGCAAATGGATCAGGGCCTGGTGAGCTTCTTCGTTTCGATCTGCTCTAAAAGAGGCCCCCCACGCTGACACTCATGAGGCTCCCCTGCCAGACACGAAGGCGCTGTACCTCTGCGGCAACTCGCTGGGGCTCTTGTCAAAGACGTCGAGAAAGTACGTCGAGGAGGAAATCGATGCTTGGTCCAGAAAGGCCGTCTTGGGTCACTGGGACCACCCGTATGGCCGGCCATGGACGCGGTGCGAGGAGCGAGCCACGAGGCTGATGGCTGATGTCGTTGGTGCGTTATGTTCTCGAACTTGAGATCGGTTGAGGGAAAGAAGCTGACGAAGAGCACCACGGCAGGCGCCAAGCCGAGCGAGGTCGTCGTCATGTCGTCGCTCAGCTCCAATCTCCACACTATGCTCACTACGTTCTACAAGCCGGAAAAGGGCAAGCGGCACAAGATCCTCTACGAGGCCCGCGCTTTTCCTTCGGACCAGTACGCGTTGGCGAGCGCCGTCGCCCTCGCTGGCCTCGATCCCCGCGAGAGCCTGCTGGCCATCGAGCCGCGGGAGGGCGAGACGACGCTGCGGACAGACGACATCCTAGCCACACTCGAACGGGAAAAAGAGACAGCGCATACAATCATGCTCGGTGGCATCCAGTACCTCTCTGGACAGCTGTTCGATGTGCCGGCCGTGACGAAGCGGACTCGAGAGCTGGGCGTCGTCGTTGGCTGGGATTTCGCCCACGCGTTCGCCAATGTGCCTCTGGCCTTGCATGACTGGGACGTCGACTTTGCCGTCTGGTGCACCTACAAGTACGGATGCGCAGGCCCCGGTGCCATCGCCGGTGCCTTTGTCCACGAGCGATGGGGCTCGATTGGCATGCGGACGAGCATCGGCCGAGACGCAAAGGCCAAGCCCAACGCCAAGGGCGTCGACGGCCTTGTCCGACCGGCTGGCTGGTGGGGCCACGTCAAGTCGACGCGCTTCACGATGCCCGACTCGTTCGAGGCCATCACCGGCGCCGGCGGCTTCCAGCTCTCGAACCCGCCGCTGTTCGAGATGGCTTGCCTGCTCGGCTCGCTCGAGACGCTGTCCCGCGCGCCTGCGCTCCTTGCCGCCGACGGCAAGGCGGCCGCCGCTGCCGCTGAGGATGTCGGCTCCGAGTCGTACGGCCACGCCGTCGAGGCGAGCAGCGGTCCCGTGGGCTTCGGCCACATCATGCCTGCGCTACGCCAAAAGAGCCTCCGCCTCACCGCCTACCTCGAGCATCTCCTCCTCCAGCCCGGCTTCCTGCCGAGCAGCGCGCACGTGAGCATCGTCACGCCCGCCGACCCGCTCCAGCGCGGCTCTCAGCTCTCGATCCGCATCCCAGATGCACCAAAGCAGGAGCAGCAGGCTCCCAACGGCGGCGAGGGTCAGACAAACAAGGACCATGTGCCGCCGCCCATCTCGGCGACGACGCTCGTGGCGCGGGTGCACAAGCGCGCCGAGAAGCAGCGCGGCCTCGTCGCAGACATTCGTAACCCAGACATGCTCCGGCTGGCGCCCCTGGCGCAATTCAGCACCTTTACCGACGTCTTTGACGCCGCATCGGCCCTCAAGGAGGCCCTGGAGCAGGAGCTTTAGTCAGACACACACACACACATACTTAAAATGAGATCAGAGCTGCAATCAATGTGACTATTTTTGCCATTCACGAGCCCTTCCACAGCTCCACCTCGACCCAGTTTGAGTAGTTTTCCATCGGGCCCAGCACGGTGTCGTGGCCCTGGAGCGCATCGATGAGCTCCTTGTGCAAAAAGGTGGCGTGGGGCATGCCAAATTCGAGAAAGGCGGCGCTCCTCTCGGCGTTGCCCTCTTCGTCGGCGCCGGCGCCCGTGCTGCCCGTCTCCTCTGCCGAGCTAGTTGCTGCTGCTGCTGCTGCTGAATGGAGCGTCTTTCGGCGGCCACCGCTCTGCGAGGCAGGTGCAGGCGACGGCGGCTGGCCGTTTGCGCTGTAGAACTGCACGCCGGCTTGGTTGGTGCGAAAGACGAGCGAGAGGTGCGTGTCGGGCGCATGGAGGATGCAGCGTGTGAGGTCGGGGCCTTGGGTGTTCGTCATCATCGATGGATGTGCGCCGGGAGGTGGCGGCGTGAACGTGGGGAAGCCCCAGACGTAGAAATGGTCAAAGCCACCGTCGGGCATCCTGGCCCCCACGCGTCGGCCCAGCCCGTGCTCGCCTGCCTCTGCCAGGTCGTGTGCGTCTCCCGCGGCGATGTCCGCCAGCTTGCCCGTGGGCAGCCCGCGTCCGTCGGTCTCGAGACGCCGGATCCCAGGGCTGTCCTCACCAGGGTACGCAATGAGCCGGATCGTGTGGTCGTCGATCTTGTTGCTCTTGTCCTGCTTCTGCTTTGACGAAGCACTCAGGTTGAAGCCCCAGTGCTGGGTGAGGTTGACGGGCGTCGCCTTGCAGTCGTCGAGGATGTGTGCGCGGTACTCGACGCGGAGCGTGCCGGCGCTCCGCCCGAGCTTGCCGCCAATGTCGTCGCCGCCGGCCAGCTGCGGCGGCATGCCCCGGACAACGAGGGCGAGGCGCGCCTCGATGCGGAGCGCGCCCGGGAAGCCGTTGGACCCCGCGGGCGAGGTGACGGCAAAGATGGCCGACGACGAGCCGGGCGTCGAGGGCGACTCGGAGCCAAAGAGGCGTGACGACGACGAGGGCACGCGCGACCAGACCAGGCGGTCCAGCGGGCCGGCCTGCGGTGGCACGGTCCCCACGGGGATCGAGGGCAGTGCGTCGGCGCTCTCGGGCCCGCCGTGGTGGCAGATACCGTCGCCTCCTGTTGTCACATTAGGCATCGCAAGCATGTCAGATCTCATATCCACCAACCGGCTCTTGTGCACCCACCCCATTCTGGCAAGCTGATGGTTCCACGTCCACCAGGGAGCTCGCTCTCGCCCTTTGGAAGTCGGTTGGCGTACCGGCCCACGACAGGCCCAAAGAAGCAGCGGCCCTGGGTGTGGTGGTCCTTGGGCTCCTCGGGGCCCGTGATGACATCGTGCGTCTCGGCCGTCGACGGGTCCGTAAAGAGGATGCGGTGGATCGTCAGGCCATAGGGGAGCACATGGACAGAGAGCGGGAGGCGCGGGTGGTGCAGCACCGTCGGCGCAAAGGGGTCGATCAGCGTCATTCTCGTCCGTCGACTCGGGCGGCCAGGAAGGCGTGGAGGATAGATCGTCACAAAAGTTTAAATTTAGAGCGAAGCTCTGAAGCAACGGTTCGCCGATGTTCGATGTGCTCATTCTCTCGTGTTAGAATGGAGCTTCAAGGTTTCGATACATTTGCTGCAGCTCTCTTCGGTCCGAGGCCGCCCGTCTCAGAGCAACAGAGACTGAAAGCATGCCCGTGCTGCTGCCGTCGAAGCAACAAGCAGGAACGATGGCGAGCCCAGCGTGCGAGTCACGTGCGCGACCAGGGCGCTGCACCAGGCCATTGCGGTGAGTGTCTTTTACGCTGGCTGGGTCTGTAGACCGTATCAGAGGCTTACGACTGAGGTTTCACCGTCTTGGTATGAAAAGGAAGAAATTCGGAAAGTCATTTGCATTGCAGAAGAGGAACGAGTAAAAGAGGAGAGAGCAAACAGGAGGAGTCCGTGGGCTTGGCTTGGCTTGACGACACCTCACTCGGACTTGGACGAGGCGCTGTTCTGCACGGCCTGGACGACGTTGGACTGGGTCGCGTAGAAGCCCTCGGCGTCACCCGAGGCCAACGAAGAAGCTCCCTCAGGCAGGGCCCCATGGCCGACGCGGGCAAGAGTGTCCCTGCGCGATTCCCACTCGCGACGGCGGAGCGTCGTCTCCTCCTCGCTGCCGCGCCACAGGGCACGCTCGAGCACGTGTCGGACAAAGGCGCGGGCGACGCCATAGGTGTGCTCCGAGGCCAGTGCCACGAGAAGGGCAGCAATGAGGGCGCCCGAGGTGCCCGATGTGGGCAGGAACGAGGGCAGGAAGTTGGAGAAGCTGAGCGGGGAGCGGGGCGTGTGCGCAGGGTCGTGTGGGTAGACGATGCTGTCGACGAGCTTGCCGGGCGTGGTGGTGCCGTTGCGGAACTGGGCGGGCGACGGGTGCAGATGGGTGCGCATCGTCGTCTCGTATGGCGATGCGCCCGGCGCGCCCGAGGGCTGGAAGAGAAAAACGAGGGCCGAGTTGGACATGGCGGCCAGCCAGGCAATGAAACCCAGCACCTCGAGCCAGGGGCCAATGCTCTCGGCGCGGACGGGCACCGGCCGGCGTGCATTGATGCTGATCTTGAGCGCGTCGGAGCGCAGCTCAAAGAAGTTGTTGATGAAGCCCATGACGGGCGCGAGGGGCCAGATGACGGACCAGAGGACAATGTAGCCAAACTGCGTCGCCATCTCGGCATAGTCGCCAAACGTGTCGTACGGCGGCAGCTCCAGCTCGTCCTGGACCCGGTCGAGGAACTTGTCCTCTGTCGAGTCCCCGCCCTTTGCCTTTTCATTCGCACTCTTCTTCTTGGGAGACGACCTGGACTCGCGGAACTCGTTGACCTTGCGCAGGATGAAGGGCAGGCCCACCTCGGTAAAGGCATTGATGACCTGGCTCGTCGTCAGGACAGCAAACAGCTGGGCGTGCATGCGGCTCGGGTTGATGTCAAAGTGGACGCCGCCGTCGCTGCGGAGCTCAATGTCGCCGCGCTTGGCAGCCTCGGCGATGCTCTGGGAAAAGAAGCCGCGGCTGACAATGTAGTCCATGATCGACTGGCCAAAGGGAATGTAGACAAAGGCAGACAGCGTCAGGGCGCCGTAGGCCGTCACAGCCTGGAGGGCAAACATCTTGAGCGTCAGCGACGATTCGTGCGTCCGCTCGCTGTAGTGGTTCTGTAGGTCATTCTTCTTGTCAGCGTTCCATGCAAGAGAGTGGAGGAAGGAGTGAGACTCGACGTACCTCCCAGCTGGTGAGGGCAGACGCAGTTGCCTGCCAAGCGGCCATGATCTGAGGAACGCAGACGACAAAGAGGGCCGTGGGAATCATTGGAACCATCGACTTGCCTGGCCCGTCCTGCAGGGGCTTGTGAGCAACAGAAGCGGCCACGAGGAAGAAGAGCTAGGAAGATAGGACTCACATAGAGCTTGGTGACAAAGACCTCGGTGGCAAACATCGTCGTCATTGTCGCGCCCAGGACGGCGGCAAAGAAGAGCATGACGGGCACGCTCGTGACGATGCGAAGCTCCCTCCTCCACCACTCAAACACCTCATCGTCCTCGCCCGTGACGGGGTCTCGTCGCACAGAGACAGGCTTGAAGCTCTTGCGGCGATCGTCGACTTGGCCTACGCCGAGGGTGCCCCACCGCACGGCGAGCTTGCGCTCGCGCATCCGCCACAGCTCGACAAAGACGCAGGACCAGGCGACGAGGAGGAGCGAGTAGATGGGATGGAACGGCGCACCGGCAAACCAGAAGGCCAGGCCGATGGCGGCAATCGAAGAGAGCGACTGGAAGTAGAAGTTGAGGAAGCCAAAGTAGAGGGCGATGTGCTCGCCAAAGTGCGACCTGACAGCGTCGAGTCTGCAATGAGAAAGAAATGCATATTTGAGCAATGACATTCTCACTACTGTCTTTCCTCTGTATGGAAACACTCACTCTCGGACGCTGATGTTGATCATCGAAGACGTGTTGGACCACCGCTTGAGCCAGTCCTGGTTGTACTGGGGATCGTGCAGCGGCGTCATGTCGACGACATGGGGAAACTCGTCGGAGCCAACAATAACGCCGGCGCCAGGCACGCCCGACGTCACCTTCGGTGAGCGCGTGATGAGCTCGTACACATGGCGCACCCTTGCATATTTCCTTCGTCAGCTCTCGATTATCGACAGCTGTGCAAAAGGCGAGAGCCAATCCGTCTCGGACACTCACCTTTCGGCAGAAGAGAATGTCTGTGCTTGAGCTTTTGCGGCACCCGAGCCAAGCGACGAGGTGCGCGAAAGGCTACTTGTCGACGGCTCAAATGCAGTCTTGACTCCATGGAGGTAGTCGCCCAAGCTTCGATGAGCAAGTCACAGCAAATTCAGCATTCCTTCCTCATGTCCTCGAAAAAGAGAGAAAACATACCTCTCTGCTCTGCCGATCTTGACCAATACATCGTTGGACGCCTTGACGAAGACGAGCACCTCGCCGGTCCCCTGCTTGCCCTCGCGGCTCGTCACGGCGAGGCCCGTGGCGGAGAGCCGCTTGACGAGAAAGTTGAACTCCTTGTCGATCTTCGACGCCTCGTCCTGAGGCAGCTTGGCCTTGGGCGAAAGGTACTTTTTGGGCACAGCCTGAAAGACGATTACGAAATCGACGGTAGGGTCGCCGTTGTCCTTTGTAGGCGGTGCCGGCGGCAGGGCGTCGGAGCCCAGCGCGGGTGCGGCCTTGCTCGTCGACATTGTTTGCGCTGCTTTGCTGTTACTGCTACTGCTACTACTACTATCCTGGGCAATGACCCTGTTCATACCGCTGTGCGGATCTTGGTGGAGAACGAAGAAGCAAGCGAGCGAGCGAGGCTTGCCCTTCGTCTTCGCGCCTTCGTTTCGCGTCCGTGCATATCAACCAACTTCCCATGCCAGTGACGTCGTTTATCAAGCCACGTGCGACGTGTCACTGGTCACAACTCACGTCTCTAGGAACGACAATTTTTATTATGATTGGACGCAAAAGGCAAGCAGGTAATTACATTGATGGCTGTATTCATTTCATCGTCTACTTCTCGTTGAGGGCCTTGAGCATAGCATCGCGCAGCACCTTGTCATCGCCCTCCCAGGCCTTTCCGTATCCATTCGCAGCGGCGCGCTTCATCGTCTTTGACGTGACCTGGTTGTCCGTGTGGCCGAGCTGTGTGCGAAAATACGTTGCATGAGCATGATGACGGTGAAGAAGAGAGAGAGAGAGAGACAGATGGAAGAGGAGAAAGTGGGAGCAGGCAGACTCACAATCTGGAAGCCACGCTTGACCCAGAAGGGAAGGCCTCGCATTGCGGGCAGGATCCTCAGGGCTTCGGGCATGACCATGTCCTGGCTCAGGCCGCTCTCGAAAGCGCCGACGATGGCGCGGCCCACTTGGATGGGCATCAGGTTGGGCGTGAGGAACGGCATGTTGTGGTCCTCCATGCCGTCGGCCAAGGGCGTGTAGACCTTCGTGGGGCAGCAGACGGATGTGCGCACTTTTCGGGCGTGGTAGCTGGTGAGATTGTAACAGTGTCAGTGGGGCTCTTGCCACGAAAAATCCCGTTGCAGCACTCACCGAGCGTTGAGCTCGCCACGAAGGACCTCTTGGAAGGCCAGCGCGCCACACTTGGTCATGGCGTACTCGGACAACTGAGGCAACGACACTAATCACGGAAACCTCCGTTAGCTTCTTTCCCTTTCCGTCAATCACCATACGTGCCGACTTACTGTAGGCAGCTGCGCTAGCAACGCTGAGAATGTGTCCGTGGTTCTGCTTGATCATGTGCGGGAGGAACTCCTGGACGGTGATCCAGTGGGATAGCGTGTTGATTTTCCAGATTCTCTCGGCACCCGCGAGCGTCGTCTCGAGGATGAGGTTGCCCGAGGCGATTCCGGCGCAGTTCATCAGAATCGTGGGCTCGCCGTGCTTGGCGCGAATCTGGTCGGCAGCTGCCTTGACCTGCTCGGGCTTTGTCACATCCGTCTTGATATACAGGATCTCGGGCGCACCGGGGGGCGCAGGAGCGTAGAGGGGAGGGCCCATGTCGAGCACGGCAACCTTTGCTCGCCGCTCGTGCGACAGGATCTCGACGGTGGCCTTGCCGATGCCTGAGGCACCTCCCGTAATGACGACGACCTCCTTCTTCCAGTCGGGCCGGTCGGGCCGCCACTCGCCGTGGTTGCGCGTGTACCTCGTCAGGGCATTGCTGATGGACTTGACGGCGACGAGGATAAAGAGACGTCCGAGCCACTTGAGCGGCTTCGACGTCTCTGCAGAGAAGAGCAGGCCCTTGACGTGCTGCCAGTCGGTCAAGGGCGGGTACAAGCTCGGATTGTGCGCAGAGCGCCGGTCCAGAGCGTAGCCCAGGAGGGGAATGGCAATGAGAGCGAGCGGATGCAAGGCCGTCTTGTTGAGGAACTTGTAGCAGAGGTCCCAGGTAAAGGGCTCGCGGTACTTCAAGTCCGGTTTGCTCGGTTGTTGCGACGCCATAGTGGTGGTGGTAGTTGGGGAAAGACAAGGGTGCGGAAAGGCGAGGAATTAAGAGTGTACCCCTCTTTTACAACACGAAGCGTGCCTTCACTTTCGAGAGTCTGGAAAAGACGTACCGAGCTCCAAAAGCGGTGTGCGTCTTCGCTTCTCCACACTAGTCGCGTTGGTCCCTTCGCAAAAAAAAATCTGTGAAAGAGCGACTTGCGAAGGATCTGCATGCGAATTCAATGCACTACACTCTAACTGAGCATTGCTTTTGTGAAAAGTGCTCGCCCGTACTATTAGGGAGGTGTTTTATTCTTTGAGTCGCTCATTCTTCATTGCTCCTGACCCTTTGAAAAATCCACCTGAAGCTGGCGGGCCAATTACGAAAGCTCTTTCGGAAATCGATCAAGACACTCGGAGATTTTACACGCCGTGTTCGGCCAATCCTCCGTGTCTCTCGCACCCTCCGGCGCCGAGGCATTGAAAATTGCACCAAAGACATGCTGCATAAACCAGCTTCTCGCACCTTGTTCTGAGGCGCATGTCTATCTGAGGCTTTCTGTAGGGATTCACGTCGGAGCAGCGAATGGCGGACAGATCTGACACGAAATACACGTGGACGGTCCCCGTCGCCCAGCAAATGGGCGCTGCTGAGATACGGCGTCAATTCGCCAAATTTGCCGGCGTTGTGTTGCATTGTGAAGACGCCCTTGCGGAGATCCAACTTTGCGGTACGAGAAAGAGGATGAACACCAGCATTAGCAACGGAAGCATCTATGACCAAAGACGGGGTGCTTGAGTCACTTCATTGTCGACGGTGAGGCGAAGACTTGAGGAAAGGAAGTGGGCATGAGAGCTTCCTATACGCACAAATTTCAGTCACAGTGGCTCGCCCTGTTCTAGAGAACGCCCTTCGATTCTCGCTATGTCTGACGAGTGGGTTTGCGCAAGGCGTAATGGCGTCAAGTCGACATATCATGTGCCTGGCACGCCCAAGTATTGGTCCAGCCGCATCGCACCATATATCATCCATTGCCCAGTCATTTTTGAGCGACCCTCCCATCTCTCTTCCCATTACCTTTGTCTCTCTATTCGTGGTCTGGCACCACCTCATCGTGTCTCCGTTGACGATAAGTTTAGTTGTCCCTTCTCCCTCTCCTCCCTGAACAGCAAGTCTGTTCTCCTCTTCCCACACAGGCATGACGGTGGCCGGTGACGACCATACCTTTTCCCCAAGCGGTGGTACCATTGCTGACCATAGCCGCTCGGCCGGGCCGAGCAGCGAGGCATATGATTTCCGGACACCGCATCGACACCACCATCACCACCACCACCACCGCCATCATCACCACCATGGCCACCACAGAGACCTCGCTCATCGACAAGGCAGTCGCAACTTTCTCGATGAAGCAGCAGAGCGAGGCAGAAGAGAGATGGACATCCTCTCACCACAGACAGCCAACCCATCTCTGCCAGCTCCAGCTCCAGCTGTGAGGGCAGGCGGTGGCGCAGGCGGGCTGCAGGTGCCAGAGCAGTCGTATCTGCGGTCCAACACGCTCAACTCGGACACGTCAACAGCACGGTACGGTACGCCTGCACCCGCATATTCCTCCATCACTCCCTCGAGAAGAGATACGCCCGACGGGTCGTCGATCTCAAGACCGTCGATGTCCAAGAGCCCCACCTTTCCGCTCACTGCGAGGGATGGTCTCTTTCCTCGGGGTGTGTCGCTGGAACCCTCGTCTCGTTCTCGCAGCCCTGGTGTGCCTTACCTTTCCTCCTCTGCTGCGGGAGACCACAGCTCTCAGCTCCACAATCCTTCTCCCCACGTACACTGGCAGCAGCACAACCGCTCCAACACGTCGAGCATCGAATTGCCGCCGCCCGCTGCCGTGCAGTCGAGCGGTGACCGACAAGAGCCACGACGACAACCATCTATCCCAACGCGCTCACCAATGCGCGAACATCACCAACACCGACGTACGCAAGAGACTCGCGAGTCATGGATGCCACACGGCCTGTCTGTTCGAGACTCGCAACGATTTAGCAGTATGGTCGAAGACTGCTTCGCGCCCTCTGCACGCTTCAAGGAGACGTTTGACGCTGCCTCGTCCAATGCCGTGCGTCAGTCTGCCGCCAGTGGCGATTTGAGGCGGCGAAGAAAACCGACGTTTGTCGAAAGCGTCATGGGCACTGAGTATCTGCTGCCGCAAGATCTCGTCGCAAACGAGGGCGCCGTCGTCGACGGTGGCTTCTATTCGATGGCACCAGGCATGTACGAGAGAGGAAGCGTCCTTGTCGATGGGCCGAGAAGGCCAAGCCGCTTCAGCACATCAACAGACTCGTCAATCGGAAGTAGACGGAGCAGCGTGCAGTCGTTTGTGTCAAGCTTGTTTGGTCGGCCCCCACAGCACCAGCAACAACACCACCAGCAACGCCAAGACAGCGAAGACTATCTCGATGAGAAAACCTTCCCATTTGGAGGTCAGAAGCCGACGACAAAGACGTTGCACGAACGTCGTTTGAGCGCTGGCGGTAATGTTCGCCCACCAAGACTCGATCTGTCCAAGGGTGGTTCAAATCAGCAGCAATCACCGCGATCTTCGCACCGAAGCGCATTCAAGCACACCCCGAAGCCCTCTCGGCTACGTCAAGAGTTCACGAGCATCAACATGAGCCCTGAAGCCATGGCGATGCCCTCAGACACACCCGGTTGGGACGACGTCAACCTCAAAAGCAGCCGTGACGACGCCAAGAATTCAAACGCGCCGCACATGGGCAAAAATGAGCGACTGGCCTCGGCCTTGGGCGTCGTTGATGTCGGTGACCATCATGACGGCTCGCATCGACGGCCAGACTCGCTCGAGTCAAAAGCTAGCTATGACTCAATGGAGAAGAGTGAGAGGGACAGTACTGCCTCGTCGATGCGCTACACCTCGCACAGCAGCTCCACAGGCCCCCACGGGCCGCATCACACAATGAGCCAGGCGGACGTCATTGCCATCTGCTTGATGCAGGGCATGGTGCCACCTGGCCTTCCCTCGGACCCTGACCTCGTCACCTGGTCCTCGCCCCAATCACCAACCAACCCGAGAAACTGGTCACCATTCCACAAGTGGTATGCCTGCGTCCTCGTCTCTTTGGCTACATTTCTGGCAAACGCAGGGACGAATATGTTGGCCCCGTCGCTCGGTCTCATTTCACAGACATGGTCCGAGGTGTACAACCCCGTCAAGAGAGGCCTGCTCATCGGGTGTTATGTCTTTGCGTTTACGTTTGCACCCATTCTGTTCGGTCCCATGAGCGAGATTCTCGGTCGTAAACCCGTCATTCTCTTGGGTGCCCTTTTCTTCCTAAGTGAGTCTTCCTTTCTGGCAAATTTCGCCTGCAACGCTCTCACGCTGACAGGCCTGGCCAGTCTTTAACCTTTGTAGCGCCTTTGTGCCGAATCCATACGTCATGATGGTCTTCCGCTTCTTTGCTGGCCTAGGTGGGTTCAAAACGTGTTCTAAGGTCCGGAGAGAATGGACTGATCGAATATTTAACAGGAGCGAGCGCCCCCATGGCCATCGGCGGCTCGATCCTCACCGACATTTTCCCGCCTGAAGAGCGGGGTGCAGCCATGACCGTCTTTGCACTCGCTCCACAGCTTGGGCCTGTACTGGGACCAGTGATGGCAGGTGGGTGATCAGATACCTTTGGAAATGGACTCCTAACCACCAGCTCACGAGATGTTCTGCACTATACGCAACAGGCTGGACAGTGCAGGAGATCCGCAATTGGCGCTACATCTACTACATCTCTTCAATCGCCATTGCCGCCGTCGGTCTGCCTTGTCTTTTCATGAAGGAGTCGTACACGCCCAGGATCCTTGCAAAGCGTGCCAAGAAGCTGCGCAGGGAGACAGGAAACAGCCGGCTCAAGACAATCTTTGAGCGAAGGCGCGAGACCGTGGGCCAGATTTTCTCGAGAGGCGCCATCAGGCCAATGGTGCTCTTTTCCGTCGAGCCAATCATCATGATGCTGACGGCTTACATCTCCCTGTTAGTTGGAACGTAGCCGATCCTTTATTCCACCAAGTGCTAACCGCTCACCTTGACGAGCAGCATCTATGGCATCATCCACCTCCTAACGGCCACTTTCCCCGCCGTGTTCGGTACGATCTACAGCGAGCGTCCAGGCTGGGCGTCGATGCACTTTATCTGCATCGGCATCGACACAATCTCGGGTGGCATTGTCGGCGGCCTCCTCGTCGAGCACTTCTACAAGGTGCTCTCGATGCGCAACGGCGGCATCGCCAAGCCCGAGTACCGCATCTATGCCTTTCTCTTCATTGTCTGGATCCCACCCGTGGGCCTGTCGCTCTTTGGCTGGTGCACCTTCTACGGCGTTGTAAGTTACCGCCCCGGCCGATTCTTCTGCACATTCAGATTACTTGCTGACGTTCTTGGGGATGGGGGATAAGCACTGGATCTTCGCGGACCTTGGCATCGTCCTGTTCGCCTTTGGCATCTCGGCCGCCGTCGTCGCCATGCAGACATACCTCGTCGACTGCTATGCGCTGCTGGCAGGCAGTGCCCTGACGAGCGCTATCGTCTGCCGGAGCATTGTGGGCACAGGCGCCACCATCGGGGCCGAGGACCTGCTCCTGCACGCCGGCCTGGGCTGGAGCAACTTTGCTCTGTCGCTCGCGTGCATCCTCATCGGCGTCCCTGTCGCCTACATTCTCTACTACCGCGGTGCAGCACTGCGCGAGCGGAGCAGACACGCGACGCACAAGCGATGATCAGATCCATCTCACGGTAGTACTGTACTTAGTAGTCCTACTTGACAGCAAGCCCTGCCGCAAAGTAAAGTTACTTGCTCGTCAGGTACTGTACTGTACTATGCCCCGCATGCTAGTCTCAAAGTGCATGGGGTGCCGCGGCCAGAGTCACACGTCGTCAGCGAGACTGGATTGTATGACTTTGACAACAAAATTGAACGCAGCGTTGAGAGCGTATCGTCTAGATGGGTACAGATGAGGAGGAGAAGAGGAGAAAAAGCCGGCGCGAGCGTACGTGTACAGAAGGTGACTTGTTTGAGAGAACCCGAGAGATATAAGAGAACCCTCTCGTCGGTCCACCTTCTCGTTCTTCTTGGGTGATGTGTCTTGGAAAGCTTGGCTTCAAAGGGGGAGGGAGGGGAAAAAGGGGGGAAGGTGGGCAGCGACCCGGTGTTGAAAGGGTCGGATATTTAGAAGAAAAAAAAAGAGAGGAGAAAGAAACGGCGGGTCCTGGTGCCAGGAGCAGCACGACCTCAACAATCAAGCGTGGGCCTCGCCCTCGTTTCCTTCGAGAAGCCAGGGCTTGGTGATGTAGTTGCGCAGGCTGTCGGGCAGGACGACGACGACGTTCTTGCCGGCCTGGGAGCCGAAGCGGTCCCATCCCTCGCCGCCCTGCTGGAGGAAGCGCATGGCACCGGCGACGGCGCTGCCGCTCGATCCACCGCAGAGGAGGCCTTCCTGGCGGATCAGGCGTCGGGCATAGTCAAACGACTCTTCGTCGCGCGTCTTGAGCCAGTGCGAAACTTGGTTCTTGTCGAGCGAGGCCGGGTCAAAGTCGTAGCCGATGCCCTCGATCTTGTATGCGCTGCTCTCGCCCTCGGACAGCTCGTTGAGCGAGGCTGGCATGGCGAGCGTCGACCCAACGGGATCGACGCCGAGGACAAAGAGATCAGGGTTGTGGTCCTGCTCGCGGAGACGCTTGGCAATGCCGCTGATGGTGCCGCCCGTGCCCACACCGGCAACGAGGACATCGACGAGGCCCGAAGGCGTCGTGTCGGCAGGCGAGGTATCGACGATATTGAGCCTGGACACGCCCTCTTCGACGCGCATGGCCCGGTGCGGTGGCGAGGCATCGGGCGTGAGCACGGCGGCGCCCTTGTCGACGGCACCACCCGAGGCGGCCGTGGCGACGACATCGTCGATGATCTCCTGGGCCGTCACGCGGTGGGCCAAGGGGTTGTGCGGGTTGTTGTACTGGTCGAGGATGTGGGCATCGGGCGTCTCGCGGGCGAGGCGACGGGCGACCATGATGTTGGACCGGGGGTCGTCCCAGGCGGCCTCGGTGGGCGTGCGGACGACCTCGGCACCGAGCGCCTTGAGCGTCGTCACCTTTTCCGCCGACATCTTCTCGGGGAGGACAATGATGCAGCGGTAGCCCTTGATGGCGCAGGCCAGCGCCAGGCCAACGCCCGTGTTGCCCGACGTGGGCTCGACGATGACCGACTTGCCAGGCGTCAGGAGGCCGCGCGACTCGGCATCGGTGAGCATGGCCAGTGCGATGCGGTCCTTGACAGAGCCACCGGCATTGAAGTACTCGCACTTGACCACTGGTGGCAAAAGAAAGAAAAGAGATAGAGCATTTAGTGCCGTGCCTGTATCGATAAGACAGCGCAGAACTCACAGACGTTGCACTTGATGCCGTGGCTCTGGGGGATGCGGTTGAGACGGATAAGGGGCGTGTTGCCCACAGCGCCCAGCGCATTCGGCAGGATGCCAGCCCCGGCATGCGACCGCTTGGCAGCGGGGAAGGAAGAGGAAGCGGGGGTGGTAGAAGACATGGCGATGAAGCTGAGGGATTCCAAGAGGGGGTAAAGAGAAGAGTGCGAGAGGGATTGATCGACGCGGGTTAGGCCACGAAGAGGAAACAGCAAGAGCTGTGTGCTGGGGGTGAAGGGGGAAGGGGGGGGGATGAGGGGTTTGCACGGGTTGGACCGAGCAGCGGAGGTGATCGCCCTGTTGGAGGACGGTGGAGTAGGCAAAGACGACTAGCTGAGCAGCGTCTGCCTGGGGAGGGGTCTAATTAAGGATCAAAGGACGACGTCAAGTGCCGTCCGTCGATGGCAGGTGGGCACTAGGTTAATAGCGAGGCGAGGCGAGGCAAGGCGGCCCTCGAGTGAGTCGTCGATCAAGTCGTCGTGGTAAAAATGAGAGAAGGGCAGAAGGGGAAATAATCGAAACAATGAATCAAATGGGCGCGCGTCCGTCAAAGAATGCATGTCGCAAGATTCGACCCAAGCACGAAAGAGGCAGGGGGAAATATAAACTTTTGTTTTCTATTTTTTCTCCCTCCCTTCTGCCACGGCTCAACGTCCGTCTCCGCCGAGCATGGGCGTGCAGGTGGCGTGCAGGTTGAGCAATCACACGATGAGGCAGCAAAACGCCGATTTCTTGGGCAAATATGATCTTCTATACAGCTAATGAGATGGAGAGACCGGCACAGCATCCTCCAGTGGGCGAGAGAGAGCGAGATGAGAACAGAGAGAGATAAAAAGTCCGTGTGTTGATAGTAATCGCGTCAGATCAGAAGTCATCCAGGGCATGCAACCAGCGCCGCCCAAGGCCTGAGGCCACCTGGAGCAGATCGCCACCTCCGATCTGCTGCAGCACCGACGCATCGATGGGACAGGGGAAGCTGATGTCATGGGCAAAGTTGATGGGAATCGGCACGCTGAGGATCGTCAACGAGGCATCGATGTTCAGGGTGAGCTGAGGGGGAGGTGCGACTGTCAGCAAGGCCGAATTGCGAGAGAGAACTGGAACCTGACAATGCACTCACATCGAGGTCCTGGTTGCCTACACACTTTGTCGCAAGGTCCTTCAGAATCTCTTTGCTCGAGTCTTTGGACGGATCGTAGCGAATTTGGTAGGGGAAATGCTAAGAGCCCAAAGGTCTCTGTTAGTCCCCTCATGGATCCGAAACAAATCAAGAACGTCTGCCAGACTCACCACCGTCGTGTTCTGGTGGGCCTCGATCTTCTGGTTTGTGATTTCTCCCCGTCCAATGTCCTGGCTCTTGTCCGCCGACTCGTAAATCTTGGCCGTCAGGTGGCCCAGCTTGGCCGAAATCGAGTTGGGGTTCGACACGATGAAGTCTACAGAGCCATTGATCGACAGCGTCGTGCCCGTGACGGCGACCGAGTCCGCGGTGGGCGTCACAACATTCTTGATGCCGACGTTGAGCGGCCGAGCAAAGATGACGACGAGGCAGACGATGCTGATGATGACAATGGCCGTGTGCACCAGAACGCAGCAGAGCGACCGGAGGATCTTGACGGGCGTGCTCCTGGCCGCCATGACCCGCTTGTCCTCTGGCCTCCAGATGCTGTTGCCCGCATACGGCACTCCGTAGCTCTCCTTGGCGTACGGATCGTTGTTGCCCAGATTGCTCGCCAGCATCGGTGGCGGCTGCGACCCCAGCTCGTCCCTCGATGCGTACTTCTCATCCTCGATCACGGGGCTCCTGTCTGCGTCCACCGTCGAGGCGTCACGCCGAGCAGCATCTCGCGCGACCATGCTTGGCTCGTATTCGTAGCTCGGCCCATCGTGCGCAGGCTCGCTGTGAAAGTACGCAGCACTCGTCCCGCCATATGGGTTCGCCTGCGCCGACTGCTGCGCATAATGGTTGCCTGCAAATGGATACGACATCTTTCAATCACGGCGCGTGCGTCGTTGGTGGTTGGTGTCCAAGAGGAGGTTGACGTTGCCGGTCCTCCACTGCAGCTGTCCGCCGCCGAGCGTTTTGCATAAGGGCGCGCAGGCTGTGCCCTTTCGGTGATTTAAAAAAGCAACATGACGCTTTTTTTTGGTTTCTTTCCTTCGACTTGGCCCTTTCAATGTGTTTGTAGACTTTCGACCGAGCATTTTGTGACGCACGTGCGCGCCGAGGTCGGGCCTCTTCTTTTTATGGTGACGGCAATGGCACAGTCATCAGAATGTTGACGTTGATCAACCTGCAGAGAGAAAGTGAGATGTTCTGAGCAAGCCGAAGGCAACATCGAGCAGAGGCCGTGCATGCCAACGGGTCAATTGCACCCAGATCTCGCAAACCCGGCCTACTCTTTGAGTGAGCGCTGTGCCTGAGAGCCTTATTATTAGGCCCTGCCTGTTCTGGCGGCGTCTAAACGACTCCAAGAGCTCCCAGACCTCTTTCATGAGATTGACCGATACTATCTGCCTACTATCCTTGGAGAAGAATGTGCTTCTGAGCAAGCTCGGTGAAGGGTGTCGTCGGGTGATTTGACCGCGCAGGTTGCGGCTCGAGGTCCGAATCTCGAAGCCTCAATTTTTTGAGTTTTAGAAGCCCGCCAGGGCCAGACGGAAATGACTCGAGGGCTTCCTGTGTATAAAAGTGGGGAGGACAAGGAAAAGTAAGAGACACCAGGAAGACAAGAGCAAGAACCAGGAAGAGAGAGGAAAGAGAGCAATGGAGACGGAAAGGATTCAGCTCGAGGAGGTGGGCGATGCAGTGCAGAGGCGGAGCGATATGCCTTCGTCGCAGGCGGCTTCGCGGCGGCCATCTACGAGCATTGCTGATGGCATTGGAGAAGAGGGCGTCAGCCGACGCACTTCTATCGAGGCAGGACAGGACGAAGGAAGTATGAGTGGCCAGGCACTCCTGCCACCCGTCGATCGAGGTGTCGATGCGTGGAAATTTGTCATCTCCAGCCTGTGCCTCGAGCTCATGGTCTGGGGCATGACGTCTGCCTTTGGCATCTTTCAAAACTACTACGAATCGCACCCGCCCTTCAATCGCTACTCGTCGGTCCAGATCTCAGCCATTGGCACGCTCTGCTCAGGCTTTCTCATCGCAGAAGGCCTCTTCGTCATTGGCTTCTACCGCTCTTATCCCGACTGGATCAAGCCGCTCATGTGGGTCTCGTTTGGCATGGCCACCCTCGCTCTCGTCCTGGCCAGCTTTGCCGAGAGTCTGGGCGTGCTCATCGTGACCCAGGGCTGCCTGTTTGGCATCTTTGGTGGCCTCCTCTACTATCCCACCATCGTTTGGCTTCCCGAGTGGTTCGTCGAGCGCAGAGGCCTGGCCGCGGGCATCATCTTTGGCGGCAACGGTGCAGGTGGGGCCATCTTTCCGCTTCTGCTCACCAAGCTGCTCGAGAGCGTCGGTTTTCGGTGGACGCTGCGCATCTTTGCAGCCCTCTTCTTCTGCGTCGCTGCACCCGCCATTTACTTTTGCCGACCGCGCATCCGACCCGTCGTGGCGAGGCCGAGGAGCGTGACGTGGATACCGCCGCTGGGCTTCACGAAGCGGCCTCTTTTCTGGCTCGATGTGAGTTGTTTCTCGCTTCTCTGTCCTCTGGAACGTACGACTGACCATGAGTCGCAATCCAGTTCCTTGTCAGCCTGCTGCAGCTTCTCGGCTTTTATGCCGTCAACGTCTATCTGCCGTGAGTACGCACTTGCAGCGAGAGACGTGGATCTCGTTCTAAGTCTCTTCTCCCATATGCACTGCAGGACGTACGCGCGCTCCATCGGCCTCACCTCCTCGCAGGGTACCTACGCGCTCATGGCCTTCAACTCGTCGTCGACGGTTGGCAAGATCCTGACGGGCTGGGCCGTCGACCGGGTGCCCTACCTGATGCTCCTGTGCGTCTTTGGTGCTGCGGGCTCGCTGGCCGCTTTTGTCATGTGGGGCTTTGCCGGCTCGCACCTGGCGCCCTTTGTCCTCTTTGTCCTCGTCTTTGGCGCCGTGGCTGGATCTGTGACGCCGACGTGGCCGGCGGCCTGCGTGCAGATCTCGGGCCGCCAGCGGCGGTACGACGTCAGCGTCATTTTCATGTCGCTGGGCGAGAGCATGGCTCTGGCGTCTGTTGCTGGGCCCCTCATCGCAGGTAGCCTCGTCGACAAGCTCGGCCTCAAGGAGCAGGCGCCCTGGGGAAAGTTTGGCTATGCAGCTCCGACGATCTTTGTCGGCGTCAGCATGGCCCTCAGCTCCATCCTTGCCGTTGGCACAGGTCTGGCGAGACCAAAGATGGAGTAGTAGCGATTCGTGATTTTCATGTCAGACATTTGTAGACTAGACCAAATTAGATTAACATGAGCAAGCATAGATAGGTCGCAGCAGTAGTGGTATACACTTCAACGCATCGCCAGAGCCGGACTAAGGAGTGGGGATATCCATCACTTTAAGCGGCCAGGAGCGACTCGATCTTGGGCGCAATCGAGGCTGGCTTCGTCGTGGGCGAGTACCGCTCGACGACCTTTCCCTGCTTGTCGACGAGAAACTTGGTAAAGTTCCCTGATAACAGCGGCGATGTCGCACGTCAGTCTCTGCAGCGGTGGCAAAGAGGGTCCCAAATCTGCATCTCAACTCACACTTGATGCCCGAAGTGCCGAGGAGGCCCGACTTTTGCGCCTTGAGGAACTTGAAGACCTCGTTTGCCTTGTCGCCGTTGACGTCCGACTTTGCCATCATTTCAAAGGAGACGCCGTAGTTGCGCTGGCAAAAGGCGCCGATGCCTTCGTCGTTTTCGGGGTCCTGGCTTGCAAACTGGTTGCAGGGGACTGGTGTGGATAATTTTTGGGTGAGCAAACGCCTACATTGTGGCAGGACAGAGAGATTGTACTCACAGCCGAGGATGACGAGGCCCTGGTCGCGGTACTTCTTGTTGAGCTGCTCAAGCTCCTCGACTGGTGCAAGGACATTGTCAGCTTCCTTGCCTTTTGCACGGGCAGAACAGAAGCGAGTCACACTCACACTGAGGAGTGAAGCCGCACTTGGAAGCAGTGTTGACCTGCCGGAGATAGGGCACACGTCAGACAATGCCGGTCAGACCGCCGGCGACACGGCTGGACTCACAATGAGGACGACCTTGCCCTTGAGCTGGTCAAAGGTGAGGGCATCGCCCTTGGGCTTCTCCGCCTTGAGGTCGTAGAACTCAACCATGTTGATAAGCTGTCTGTAACGGGGAGAAGGGGGAAAGAGTGGCTGAAGGTGGTGGTGGTGACGAGTCTTTAGCGCAGTGGCCTGATCCTCGTCGTGCGAAATTCTCACCGGGGTTCGGTCATTGCCGCGTAGCCGCGCCACGCATTCTCTCGCGTTCTCTTTTTCTCTCCTTAACTTTTTATTCCCTTTCCCTTTCAATCCTCCCTCTTCTGACACCTCCACCTCGACGATTTCGTGCTGCTGCCTGCCACGGATATTTTATTTTTTACTTTCATTTTTATCTTTTCTTTGGGTCACGGCGCATCAATTTTTAGCCTCTGGTCAGACGAGCCCTGCACAACGCTCCGTTCCGGTCCTGACCCGTGGTGCAATCCCGGACCGCTTCACGTGTGGAGAAAGTAGCAGTGGTCCGTTCGCTGCTTAGGACCGGCGGCCTCTTCTTGTCCATCAACAACACGAACCCTTCGCACAGCCATGGTGTCCCCAGCGATCTCTGCCTTTGTCGGCCGTTTCTACGAGCTGTCCGACGACGGCAGCAAGCACAGCGAGTACGCCGATCAGTTCTCCTACCCGTCTGCCTCCTCGTCGAGCCCGGGCACGGCCTTCTTCTTCCAGATCGGACCCATGGCGCCGGCGAGCACGCGCGAGGGCGTGCTGGCATGGCGGAACAAGGCCTGGGAGTCCGTCGCTCGCCGCAAGCACACGATTCACGACGTGTATGTGCTCCCCGCGGGCAAGGGCGACATGGACGCAAAGGCAAAGGACGGCAGCGTGCCCGGAGAACTCATGCTCTACGGCCGCGTCGACTATGAGAAAAAGGACGGGTCGAAGGCGGCGGCCACATGGGGCGGCAGGATGGTGTTTGACACGGACCTGTACGCGAGCAGTGGCGAGCTCAAGATGACCCACTACCGTGTATGGATTGTGAGTGGAAAGAGGCCACATCTTTCCTCGATCTGCACCTGCTCAATCGCAGAGTCCTGCACAGACTCCCGACGCCTGAGTTCACACAGACAGCCATACATACCCTATTGCAGAATGCTACTGCTAGGATGCAGGGAGGGGGACGTAATCAAATGTGCAAGGGCAAATGGGTCCATTCTCTGGCAGATGCAGATGCTACCGTCCCTTCCCAATGAGGCTGAGAAACTCCTGTCTCGTCTTTGCCCGATCCCTAAAGACGCCCAGCATGCAGCTCGTCACCGTCGTGGCCCCGGGCTTCTGGATGCCGCGCATGGCCATGCACATGTGCTCTGCCTCGACGACGACACCGACGCCCTGCGGTGCAATGGCCTCGTCGAGGGCCAGGGCGACCTGCTTGGTGAGGCGCTCCTGCACCTGCAGCCGGCGCGCAAACGTCTCAGCGATCCGTGCCAGCTTCGAGAGGCCCAGGACTAGCCGGTTGGGCAGGTAGCCGATGTGAATCTGGCGTGAAAGCATCGCTCAGTCTTTGCTTGAGCATGGCTCATAGAAGGGGAACTCACCTTTCCGCGAAAGGGCACGAGGTGGTGCTCGCACAGACTGGAGATCTCAATGTCGCGCACAATGACCATCTCCTCGTGGTCCTCGTCAAAGACGGCATTGGAGATGACGTCTGACAGCGGGCCGCATCAGCTGACCTTCCCCTTGACAATGAAAACAAGTCTGAACTCACCGCTGAGGCGCTCCTCGTAGCCCCTCGTCATCCAGAGCAGAGCCTTGGCGTACCGCTCTGGCGTCCTCTTGAGCCCCTCGCGCTCCGGGTCCTCTCCGAGGCACTCGAGAATCGTCTTGACTGCTGCGCTGAGCTTCGCCGATGTCTGCGCTGCCTCGAGCGGCGTGGAGTTGAGCCGCGTCAACGTCGACTTGGCCGGCCAGCCCAGGCCGTCCTTGTCCATCACCGGCGTCCTCACTCCGCTCGTCGACCGGCTCAAGTTGTTGAGGCCCCGCCGCCGCCTTTCCTCCGTCTCGTCATCTCCATGGCCCCTGTCCAGGTCTTTGACCTTGTTCACGAGCGAGAGCCGCCGCTCGAGGGCGACCTCGAAGTTGTCCGCCTTGGAGTCTTGCGTCAGGACGCCGTCGTTTGGGGCCGGCAGCCGCCGTGCACTCTGCGTCGTTGATGCATCCGTTCTTGGCCCCGCTCCCGTCGCTGCTGTCGCTGTCTCTGCTGCTACTGTCGCCCGCCGCGGCCCCTTGGCATACTCGAGCATCTCTTCGGTGCTTGGGCCCGGGTCCCGTCCACAGTCGAGCGTCGCTGTGTTTGCGTCAGAGCTCGATGCATGCGCTGTCCCACCACTGAGCTGGCCGTTCAGTGACGGATCCTCGAGCTTGGCGACGTCGAGGGCTGACGAAAAAAACGAATTGAAGAAGTCGCGCCCGGACGAGTCGGCCATGTTCTGCAGTCTGTATGCGTCCCTTGCTGGGACCGAGGTACGAGCAGGAAGAGTAAGTTGAAACCTTGAGTCCAAACCAGGAAAAAAAAAACTGGACTCTCTTTCCTACTCTGTCTCTGCTTATGTAATCTAGCCATCCTTCAACGCCTCGGAAGAGTGCCGAGACAGCGGCTCGCGAGCACAGCGAGGCTGGCGGAGGTAACCGCGTGATCAGATTACGTCGGAGTCGGTTTAAGACTAGCCTTCGTAAGGTGTGGTCGGGAGAGAGCAGAATGGGCGGAATTGAGCAGTCTGTGCGACGCTTAGACTAAGAGATCTATCAAGAGACGCGCCTTTCCTTCCCTCTCTTTCCTTCTCCACCTGAGATACGCTCGTGCGAGATGGAAGAGGCACTGGCGTCGATGGTCGACCATGTCGCTGCTCGTCTTGCCGCAAAGGAGCATGAAGTAGGCGGAGGGCGCCTGCTTGTGGGCATCTGTGGCATTCCGGGCTCCGGCAAGTCCAGCGTTGCGCGCAAGCTCATCGAGGGTGTCGATGGGGGTCGCTCCTCCGTCGTGGTCGGCATGGATGGTTGGCACCTTACGCGCGAGGCCCTGAGCCAGATGGACGATCCGAAAGAGGCGTTTGCCAAGCGTGGTGCGCCGTGGACATTCGATGCAGAGGTATGCTGACATTCGTGCTTAGTCGCGCAAATTGCAGCTGACGCAGCAAACCTCTCTCTTCTCCAAGGCCTATGCCGCCTTTGTCGACCGTGTCCGGAATAGCGACAATAGAGAGACGCTAGAGGCGCCGTCCTTCTCGCATGCCGTCAAGGACCCAGTCCCTGGAGACACCAAGGTGGAGCCCCATCACCGGCTCGTCGTCTTCGAAGGTCTCTACTGCAACGTCGACGAGGGCGCATGGCGGTCCGCAGCGGAGAAGCTCGATGAGCGATGGCTGGTCAGCGTCGACGAGTCAGAAGCCAAGAGGCGCCTTGTAGAGCGGCACGTCTTGACTGGCGTGGCAAAGGACCATGAGGAGGCAATCTGGCGGGGTGAGTCGACTCCTAACTTTTGTACCACGTCAGCTGGCTGAAGGCTGCTCTTCTCCTACTCAGCTAATAACAACGACTTGCCCAACGGAAGATACCTCCTAGAGCACCTCCTCGAGCCTGTCCGTAGAATACCAAGTATCAATGATGACGCCTGGGCCGGAGAAGGCTGATGGCACGATAGTTCACAAAATGTGTGGGTATATATACAATCGTTGAGCTGAGATTTCTTTAGAACAGACGGAATGTCCCAGAGGTCTACGGAGTTTGACTTGAACCTCTTACCATTTCTTGGTTCTCTATCAAATGTGCTACGCACTCATGAGTTCGAATCTCATTTTCGTCGTCAATTTTTCGGACGCGAAAATGCGATTCTTTTCTCTTTTTTCTTTTTCTTTTTGTCGGTAGCCATGGTCATTGCAGGAAGAACAGAATAGGTGTCATTAGTATTAAAAGGGTAGGGGACGTAGAAAAGAATGGCGGGCCAGGAATAGGGTTCTGAATGGGAGCTATCTCATCGCCGCCAGGTTCTTCTTCAGAACCTTGCCCGCGTCGCTGCGAGGAGATGAATGTCAATCCTGAGAGGCTCGTGAGGACAGGAACAAAATCCAGAGCGGACTCACCTCTTAGGAAGTGCATTGATCCATGTCAGTCCTTGGACCTTCTTGTAATTTGCCACCTGAGCGTTGACCTTCTTCAGCACAGTGCTAGCCCTTTTCTCCTCATCCCCTTCCTCCTCGACTGCGCGCGGATGTGCCACAGCAAACGCCCACACCTTTTCCTCCTCCGATCCAGCATCTCGTACGCCAGTGACAGCTACATCCTGAATCCACTCGTCCTTGTAGAAGAGGCCCTCGAGCTCGGCTGGCGAGACTTGGAAGCCCTTTGACTTGATGACATCCTTGAGCCGGTCGGTGATTTTGATGAAGCCCTTTTCGTCGATCAAGGCCACATCGCCAGTCCGCAGCCACGTCGAGCCGCCCACCTGGGCAAATGCCTGCTTGTTGGCCTCTTCGTTGTGCAGGTAGCCGGCCATCATTTGCGGGCCGCGAAGCAGCAACTCGCCCGCTTCGCCTACTTTAAGCTCTGCAATACTCTCCAAGAAATGAGCATTCGTTCTTTTGGCAAGTCCGAGGAAGAAAGCGAGCTCTTCTCACCCTTTCCGTTTGGATCCAGAATCATGGCCTCGGTGCTCGGTGCAAGCCGCCCAACGCTGTCGATCCTCTCCTTGAGATTGCTGACTGTCTGAATGGAGATGATTGGGCTCATCTCTGTCATGCCGTAGCCGTCTGTGCACCTAATGCCGAGCCGCTTGGCCACACCAAAGGCAATCTCGGTCGGTAGGCTGGCAGCGCCCGAAGCGACACGCCAAAGGCTGCTCAGGTCGTAGTTGTCGATGCTGGGATGCTTTGCGAGAGCCAAGAGGATCGGGGGCACCACAAAGGAAAAGGTGACTCCGTGCTTGGAGATGGAGCGAAGGAATGTGTCCAGATGGAAGCGCGGGAGGATGATGCGCGGGGTGCACTTCACAGGAGTGGTAAGTTCAAGTGTCAAAAAGAGATGAGAGCATAGGTCTGTTGACTCACAGTGTGCAAGGCAACCAGATTGACGACGAGGCCGTAGCAGTGGAATTGGGGCAACACGTCAATGTGGAACTCATCTTCTGCTGATCGCTTGTAGAGACTGTCCGTCTGGTCATCATCCTTGGAGGCAGGGTTGAGCTTCTTGATGCCATCGACGAGCTTGTTGATGCTCTCTTTAACCGGACCTGTACCTTGTCCACTGGAGTGAGATTCTCTCTTCTTCTTGACGAATTCCTCGTAGCCGTCCGGCAGCACATCGCGGCCGGCACCCTTGGGCTCTGCCGTGTCGTACCATCCCGTCTTCCCGTCTGGGGCGTATTCGCGGCCCTGCTCCAGTGGCTCGTTGACCCGATCGTGCAAGAGGAACGTGGATTGGATCACGTTGGACACGAGATTGCGATGCGTCAAATTGACAGCCTTGGGAAGACCCGAAGTGCCCGAGCTGAAGCAGTAGATGGCCGTATCGCTGCCCTTGAGTTCGCTTGCCCGTTCGTCCACCTGCTTGATGAGCGCTTCGTCTACCTTGTATCCACGGTAGATCGTCTCCCAGCTGTCATCACCTGCCCCTTCCTCAAAGACCATGACTCTGAGTGGTCCTTCAATTTTCGGAAACTTCTTTACGTCATCGTCGTCCTCTTCCTGCGCTAGCCTAGCCCCTTCCTTTGCGACATCGAACGCAGTTTCCGCCTTGGTATCTATCTGGCCCGTTGCAGCCGAGAAAGGAGCAGCATTGGATGCCAGGACGCAGCGCGCGCTCGTCATTCGCAGCTGGTGCGCCAGCTCCTTTGCCTTGTACGATGGATTGCATAGCGCGGCGACACCGCCGGCGAGCTGAATACCCAGGACGTTGGCCGTGTAGTCGTGCTGGTTCAATGAAAAGAAGGCGACAACATCACCCTTCTTGAAGGGCTTCTCTGGAGAGAGGCGACCGTCAATCAGACCTTTGGCGACGGCATAGGCACGATCGCGGACATCGCCAAGGCTCATTGGCTTTGCCTGGGGCCGATTCGACGAGAAGACGGAGCCAGCGGGCGGCGGATAGAAGAGGGGCTCAGCGGTGCGCCGGCCATGGTCCTTTGTCGACAGGAGCAGGCGCGCCAACGTCGTGTCCGGCGGCGGCAGGTGCAGAACCGGATGCTTGGAGGCGATCGGCATCTTGAGGACGGCGAGCTGATTCTGTCTCTCTCTCTTTCTTTGCGCTGATGAGGATGTGGTTGGGAATCAATCAAGCCCAAAAGATTGGCCTGGTCAAATCCCTCTCTTCTTACTAGCCTCTCTGGACGATTAATTTGTGCGGCAACGGCCATGCAGGTAGACGTGCTTCTTTTTCCTTTTTGTCCAGATCCGGCCCGTGCGGGGACGGGTTCACGTCGCGCTGCTGAAAAATCGCCCGCCCGACCGGAAAGATGGCTTCACCTCTCCGAGCCGAAACAAGCGCAGCAAAGTCGCACCGAAGGGAGAGGAGCATTTGTGTGAAAAAGTTGTTGTCACAAGCACTAGCAGCAGCAGCGGCAACAGACAGTGAAGATATGGGTTGGTGTCTCCTCGCTCCCTCTCATTTGCGTGCTCTGAGCTCCCGCTTGGACGCTACATCCACCGAGCTTTGGCTCGCCATTAGTCATGTGACTGACTTCCTCGGCGCTGATTCAGCCCGGCCTTGCCTTGCTAATGATCTACAAGGGGGCTCTGGAGGGCAAATGACAAAGGACAGCACTGGACCGAGCACCATGCGCTGAATCCTTGAAGTACACAGATGTCTAAATCCGATCTCGCAATTGCTTAACGTCATCATCGGTGGAGGTGGTTTCTCGAGACTGCGCTGCGCTGAGTGACTCTCATCTCCACTTTCCTCTCGGCTGCGACCGGCCTCCCTGCCATCACTCTTGGAGGAAGAAAGCTTGTCTAGTTGTTGCAGGAAATGTTCGCAACTCACTGGACCCGTCCATCTTTCGGTTCCCGGCCCGCAGTAGAAGAAAAGAAAAGCAGGTCATCTGTCCGATTGCAGAATTCGATGGCGAGCTCACCCGATCGCACCCCCCCACCCCCCTTACCCGCACACGCGCGTACCTGCTACGGCCGAAGAGAAATTTTCCTCTTTTGTAGGGTAAACACATCGAGGAATTTATTTATTGGGTGTGGCTTATGAGTCTCGATCGAGGGGCATTCAAACTCACGAACACCACCTTGCCAGCACCTGCCTGCCGCCGTCATCCGTCATGTCCTCGCCGCCGCGCAGCGCATCGGGCTCCGGCCCCTCTGCGTCGTCATCGCCGTCGAGCAGCGGGCTCCGTGATGGCTTTTCGCTCGACACGACGAAAGTGAGCGGGCGGGCGCATACGACGCCACAGCGGCTCCTCCGCTTCCACCTCGCACACGACGATGCGGGCGACAGCTACCACGAGATTCCGCCGAACCACTTTCTGGCGCAGCAGAGGCAGCATGCGGCTGCTGGGCCGAGCGGGCACAGCAAGACGCCCTCGTGGGCCGGTGCAGGCACAGGCACGGGCAGTGGAAGCGCGAGCTCGCGGACACCGACGCGCATACAGAGGTCTCCCTCGTGCGATGGCACCGCCCAGGAGCTGGCCTCGTCGCCCTCGTTGGAGCGCGACCTGGCTGGCGGTCTCGGTGCGATGGCTGCCAACCTTTCATCTTCTGCTGCTGCTGGTACTGCAGTCGCACCGATGGTGGTGGGCGGGCAGCGGGCGACGAGCATGCCCGACACGTCGACGCTGGCTGCCGCCGATTTCGACATCGACGTTCGCTCGGGCTTCCTGCCGCCCGAGGAGCCCGTCCGCCGGCTCGACGGCATCGAGGGCGAGCTGTGGGAAGCGGCGCTGGAGCGGGCCATGGCGATTCCGCTGCGAAAGAGCGGCGGGGGCGCCGCCGTGGCCAGCGCGGACAAGCGCGCTGCGAGGCAGTGGCGTCGCTCGGTTCGCGACATGCTCGTCCTGCACCCTTCGCCGCAGCTGAGGGATGACGTGCGCTATGCGCGGCGTGGCCATGTCGTCCTCTCCTTTCTCGCCCACTTCTACATCCACTCGCAGCCGGACCCCCTCCCGAGGCACGACGCTTCTTCCACTGCTGCCAAGTCATGGCAGGCCTGGCTCAAGCGGCCCTCGTCGACTCCGCAGTCGGACGATGCCAACGGCGACAACGATGACGGCGACGACGACAACGATGCCCAGGACGAGCGCGACGAGTCGGCAGGCCGGTACCTGGCGCGCGTGCCAGCATCGCTCGCCGTGCCCTGGATCGCCCTCTCGGAGCAGCTCGACATCCCTCCCGTGCTCACGTACGCCGACACGGTGCTCTGGAACTGGCACCTCAAGGAGCCCAGCGCGGGCTTCCACGCCGACAATGTCGCCATCACGACGACATTCACCGGCACCGTGTCGGAGTCGCACTTCTTCCTCACCTCGCTCCTCATCGAGCTCCGGGGTGTCGAAGCACTCACGCTCATGCGCCGCAGTCTCGACGAGGCCTTCGTCGCCGACGGCGTCGCCCGCCGCCGCGTCGCCCACTACCTCCGCCGGCTCGCCAAGGTCGTCGGCGTGCTCACGGACCTGCTGTCGCAGGTGCGCACCGGCTGCGACCCCCGCGTCTTTTACTGGGGCATCCGGCCCTGGTTCAACGGCGGCGACAGCGCGCCGGCCAATGCGCGCGGCGACAAGGGCTGGCACTTTGAGGGCGTCGATGCGGATTCCAACGGCGAGGACGACGACGACGAGCGGCGGCTGTTTACCGGTCCCTCGGCGGGCCAGAGCTCGCTGATCCATGCCATCGACGTCTTTCTCGACGTGGACCACACGCGGCGCAAGCCTCGCGTCAGCCGCAGGGGCCTCGTCCCGGTCGCCGATGCAGTGGGCAACGCCACTACTGCTGCTGCTCCAGGACAGCGCGCACAGACGGACGATGCGACGTTCATGGAGCGCATGCAGCTCTATATGCCCGGCCACCACCGCCGGTTCCTCACCCACCTGCGCGACCTCAGCTTCGACGAGGTCGAGGACCGCCCGCGGCCGTCGGCCAGCGAGGAGAGCCAGGGTCGACGCCGGGGCAAGGGCAAAGGAAAGGCCAGAGAAATGGACATGGATGCTGATGGGGAGGGAGACAATGGAATGAAGGATGAAGACGGAGACGAGGCGATGGGAGAGGCAGGAGAAGACGAGGAGATGAGAGAGGCAGCAGAGGAGGAAGAGGAAGAGGAAGAGGAAGAGGAGCCGGCCCCATCGCACCCCATCCGCTCCCTCGCCATGGCCGATCGCGACCACCACGGCCGGCCCCTGGCGGCTGACGACAGGCTCCGGGCGTCGTACGACACAGCGCTGCGTGCGCTCAAGAGCCTGCGCGACGAGCACATGCGCATCGCCACCCTCTACATTGTCAGCCAGGCCCGGAGCCCCCCACCGAGCGAGTATGCGCTGCTGAGTGACCTCATGACGCAGAAGAAGCCGCCGTCAGAGCAGGTTGGCGGGAACCAGGACGGCGGAGGCGGCGGCGGCCAGAAGGGCACCGGCGGCACCGACCTTGTCTCCTTTTTGAAGCAGTGCCGGACAAACACCATCGAGGCGCTCCTCGGCGAGCAGGCGTAGCCTCATCAAGAACAGTACTACTCTGGGAGTCTGTATGCTACGTAGATATACCCATGCATATTAGCAATAATGCCACTTCTCCCTCTGCAAGTCGCCCTGAGCAAACCCGTCCAGGCACATTGTTATGATTTTACCGCAAATTCCGTCAGCAGGGCGCGCGTCGGAGCTATCTTTATCTCCCTTCCCCACTCGCTCCCTGCACTACTCTGTCCTTCCTTTTCCTTTCTCAGCCCCGCGACGGCGAGTGAGAAAAAAGAAATACAAAAGAATGGCGCAGGCGGGCGTTCAGGTCGAGCGGCACCTGTCGTGCCCCTCGTGCAAGCGCCGCAAGATCAAGTGCGACCGCAAGCACCCGTGCAGCCAATGCGTCGTGGTGGGTAGCTGCAGCTTCAGCCCGCTTTTCTTCTTGCCACAACTAGCTCGTGCTGACCGGTCTCGTTTTGTGTTTTTTTTTTTTTTACTTTTCTTGCAGCGCGGCGAGGAGGCGCAATGCCAGGAGCTTGTCCGGTACAATGCGCTCTCGCTGGCCTCGCCGCTCGACTCGCTCGCGGCCGCCGCGACGGCCTCGTCGTCCTCGAAGCGCGCTTCGACGGGGCCGACGGGGCCAACGACGGAGGACCGAAATGCCGCGTCTTCCTCGACGGGCACGGATGCGGGTGCGTCGATGTCGCCGTCGTCTACGAGGCTGCTGGATCGGATGCTGCAGCTCGAGGCCCGTGTCTCGCGGCTCGAGGGGGGCGGGGCGGGGCCCTCGTCGAGCAGCGCCGACGGTCCAAAGGTTCCGCATAGCAAGGGGCTGGCCGCTCAGGCAGAGGAGGGCGAGCGGCACGATCCAGAGGCGTATTTGATGGTCGAGGTGGGTGCTTTCACCTTCTTCTGTAGAATCCTTCGAGGTGAGGCAGCTGACGGAGACTTGTGCCTCTCGCAGGACGTCGCCATGGGTGGACGACGCGAGAAGCGGGCCAGGCTGGCGATGGACGCCTTTCCCTCTTCGACGTCGTCGTCGTTGCGCTCTTCGCCTGTGCCTCGCCCCCTGCCGCATAACCACACGGTCAAGACACCCACGCTGGCACCCACGCCGACAGCGGCGAGCACGGCCACATTGACAAGGACCAAGCTGGCGCGTGATCGCAAGCGCGCAAGGAAGGGCACAGGGGCAAGCAAGAAGCCGAGAAAGGTCGACGACATTGATCGCATTCTAGCACTGATGCCCGATGCGGCCACGACGAGGATCTTGATTGACTTCTACGTGAGTGTGTGGCGTGAGATGACGTCTGTGTCCTTTTATATGCCAACTGATTGTGCCACGTACTGCACAGTTCCAGGACCTTGATTGGATCTTGAAGATTCTCGACGAGGAGACATATCGAGCAGAGGTGCGTGGGATGCGCGAACGCATGCCTGTTCGCGAAGAGCCATGCTGATTGAAGATGACATGCCAGATCGAGGCCTTCCTCGAAGGGCACCGGCCAGCGTCGACCCTGGATGCCGGACTGCTGGCGTGCCACCTCGTCATTCTTTGCCTGGGTTTCCACCTATGCTCGCGCGAGAAGCTCGTTGCGCTAGGCTACACGGCTCCCATGGCGACTCAGCAGGCCGCAACGCTGTTCGAGGCCAGCCGGCATGTCCTGCTCCACGAATGCCGCTTCCTTAGCGGCGGGCCAGCGCGCGTGGACGACGTGGCGTGCGTCGCCATCATGTCTCTCTACCAGTACGACGAGGTCGGCGAGGGCCAGGGCGATGCCGCATGGGTGCTCCTCGGTGCAGCCATCAAGAATGCCCAGATCCTCGGCCTGGCAGACGTCGACGGCAAGGGCAAGGGCGCAGCAAAGCCCATTGCGCATCCTTACCGGCAGCGCGCCAGGAGGCTCTGGTGGTTCCTCGTCTGGCTCGACTGGTCTCACGCCACCGGTCATGGATCCAAGTGTGAGTGTGCAGCGAGATCGACACGCGCTGCGACTCTGCTAATCATTCACGGCTTCTTTAGATGCATGTCACCCGGAACAAATGTCAACGAACTATCCCATCGACACAATGTCTCTCAATGGCGAAGACGACGTCGCGCCGCCAAACCTCTACACGCCCAATGGCTTCTCCATCCAGCGCATCCGCCTCGTCGAGCTGTATCGCGAGGCAGTCGACCTGCACAACAAGCAAGGAGGCACACTGAGCCTCGAGTCGACATGGGCGTGAGTATTTTCTCTCCAAGACATCTGCGAGCCCTGTCCTGCGAGCCCTGTCGCTGAACCAGACATGACAGCCTCGATGAAAAGCTGAAGAATATTGTCAAGACAATGCCGTCGCACTTTATGGCGCCTCAAAATGGCAACTTCATCTCGCGGCAGCACGCCTTTGAGTCATTCATGCTTCGACTTAATGTACAGAACCGCTTCCTGCGTCTCCACCGGCCTTTCCAGCTCGTGGGCAGCGGCAAGACAAAGGGCCAAGGAGGCGAGCTGACGCCCTCGCAGCGTCGGTGCTACGAGTCTGCGTCGGCCATCGTCGACCTCCTCCAGGAAGCGTCCGAGTCGCAGGTGGCAAGCCTGCTCAGGATGTGGATCGTCAGCCTCTATGCGCTGGGCGCCGCTCTCTCGCTCTTTGTCGCCCTCTGCCAACGCGACTCGATGGAGACGAGACAGCGGCTTGAGGTGCTGCTGAACCTCTTTGAGGCCAACAAGGAGGGCAGCCAGACGTGCAACAACGCATACAGGCTTCTCAGAGCGCTGAGGGCAGTCGAACTGAGCCACAGGAGGGTCAACAAGGCAGACGAGATCTTTGGCAAGGTTGTTGCCAGGTTCCTGAAAGAGGGCGAGGAGAGTCGTGACGAGGAGAGCGAGGACGACGATGACGAAAACGACGACGAGGGAGCACACGAGGATGGTGCAGGAGCACACAACGGAGCAGAAGCATTCGCAGGAGCAGAGGAGGGCAAACCGGACCATCAACAGCTGCATCAGCATCTCTTGTCGCCGCATAACCAGCACCCATATTCGTTCTCCAGTCCCCACCACCAGCTTCAGCAGCACCAGGACTTTGCGCCTATCCACGTGCCCGATGTCTTTTCACTCGACTTCGATGCGCTCCAGTCAATGGGTCTCGTCGTTGGGGATGGGCAGATGACTAGTGATTTTGATCTGGACTCGTGGAGACTGAGTCTCTAGAGGCATAGTATTTGTTATCGGAAAGCGCTCGCGCGCCGACTGGTGTGGGCACGGACATGGTCCGGATGCCGCGCAAACGGACCGAGCGCTGTGCCCGTGTATCTTTTTTAATTTCCCAACCCCGCGTTTTCTTTCTTTTTGGCTATCGATAACAGCAATGGCGATGGGTCTGCCGCCGTCCTGGGGCCACCGCAGATTGAATAAGAATGGGAGTATCCCACCTTTGTGTTCTACCTTCCCCCTTCCTTGTGACCCCCTTCTCAACCCATACATCGCATTCCCCCGTCCTCACAGAAGACATCATGCGCGTCGTCATTGTTGGTTGCGGCTTCTCTGGCATCACCACGGCCAAGACGCTCCTCGAGCTGGGCCACGAGGTCGTCATCTTCGAAAAGTGCCCCGACGTCGGCGGAGTATGGTCCAAGACACGGCGCTACCCCGGCTTGGCCACTCAGAACACCAAGGACACCTACTGCCTTTCGGACCTGCCCATGCCGTCGCACTACCCGGCATGGCCCGCTGGGGAGCAGGTGCAGGCCTATCTCGAGGCATACGTTGCCAAGCACGACCTCCAAAAAGTCATCAAGACTTCGAACGAGGTTGTTGAGATGGTTCGATCAGACGAGGCCAACTGGCTCGTCAAGACGAGCGACGGCCAGACGACAAAGGCCGACCACGTCGTCGTGTGCAACGGCATCTTCAGCGAAGGCTACGTGCCAGACTACCCCGGAAAGGCGGAATTCGAAGCCGAGGGAGGTCAAGTGCTGCACACGAGCCAGGTCAATGCGGATCTCAGCCGGCTGGCGGGTAAGAAGGTGGCCGTTGTCGGTTACGGAAAGAGCTCGTGCGACGTCGCATTCGCCATCAGCAAAGTCGCGTCATCAACCACTGTCATCGCTAGGAGACTCATCTGGAAGCTTCCTCGCAAGATTCGTGGATTGACCTACAAGTTCTTGCTCTTGACTAGGCTCGGAGAGGCCCTCTTCGAATACATCAAGCCCTCATCTTCTGTCGAGCGGTTCTTGCACGGTGCTGGAAAGGGCTTGAGGAACTCGGTCGTCGATACGCTTGAGTGGGTCGTCAAGGGCCAGCTCAAGCTCGAAAGGCTTGGACTGGTGCCCGAGGGCTCCTTCGAAACCATTGCTCGTTCCACCATCTCGCTTAGCACCGAAGGTTTCTACGATGCCGTGCAGCGCGGCCAGATCGCTGTCAAGCGTGACAGCAAGATCGACAAGCTCGTCGCGGGCAAGGGTGTTCTCCTCGACGACGGCTCCCTCGTCGAGGCCGATGTCGTCATTTGTGGCACAGGTTTCCGACAGGACCCACCGCCGTTTCTGCCAGAGAAGATCAGGAACACGTTGACGGACGAGGCGGGAAATTGGCTCCTCTACCGACACATCAAGCCCATCTTTGTTGACGACGTCACTTTCAACGGCTTTAACTCGTCGCTCTTCTGCCCGACATCGAGTGAGGCGGGCGCGCTGTGGATCGCTGCGTACCTCGCGCGGGGTAATTCCATGCTGCCCGAGACGAGGGAAGAGCAAATGCGTGAGACGCGCGAGAAGCTCGACTGGCTCGAGGAGCGATCCAAGGGCAAACACGCCCACGGCACCAACCTTGTTCCCTTCAGCTTGCATTCGATTGACGACACGCTGCAAGACGTTGGTGTTGACCTGTCCAGGTGGCAGAGATTCAAGCAGTGGCTGCTGCCGGTCGACCCTACAGCATACAAAGGTCTTGTTGGACAATTGCGAAAGAAGCTCGACCAGGAGGGGAGCCTGGCGAACTGATGATACCATTATCTTTCCCTTGTTCTCTCCATTCGACATGATTTTTGTTTGCTGTTCTTCATAAAATATTCTGCTTGCCTTCTTTGCTTGTCATGAATACAAGATATTCTCATAAGAGTCGCACCGCTGATCCTGAACGTCAAGAGGGCAAGTCTTCGTCGTCCTGGTCACATCTTCAGAAATTTGCCACATCTTCAGGACTTTTTTGAGAGGAAAGAACGACTTTTGAGGGAGAAGGATTGATTGTGACACGGCCGGTCATAAATAAAAAAGGACAGGAGGAAAGATGTGATATCAAGACGCTTGAGCGAGCTTCGCAACTTCGTCGTCGACATGCTTGTGCATGTCGTAATTGTTCATCTCGTCTACCGTCAGCTTGTCCGACTTCGCCGCCAGGGCTGCCTCTGGTGCGCTCAGGCTCGTAAAGCCGATTCGCTCGTTGAGGTTCTCGAGCGCACGCTTGCTGGCCTCCTGCACCCGAGTCGCCCGAGGGTGGCGGATCTTCTCGTACATGCGCAACCCCGCTTCCACGTCGGAGGTAAAGCGTCCACCGTACTTTTTGGAGAAGACAAGGCCGAGAGCGGCAGCGTCTTCAACAGCTTGACAAGCACTACAAAAGTTCTGGTCGTCAGCAAAGACGTCTCGAGAACGAGAAAGCATTTTGGGGTCCGTGGCTCACCCTTGAGACTGATGAGGCATCATTGGGTGGGCCGAGTCGCCCACGAGGGCTGCGCGACCCTTGACAATATACTTGTAAGGCTGGTGAATGTAGAGCCTCCAGGGCTTTCGCTCGACAGACTCTTTGATCAGGGCCACGCAGCGCGGGTCAAGCTCCGAGTACTGGCCTGCCAGCACATCCCTCAGATCGGCTTCGGCAAAGACGAATCCTTCCTCGTGGTGGTTGGTCATCTCCGTTGGCATGAAGAGGTAGAAAGAGATAAGCGAATAGCCGGCCATGGGACTATCAGATGCATCGATTTGTCAGCGACCTTGATGACAGAGTCTCACGGGCTCAAGAGCTCTACGTACCTCATGACGACCTTGTAGTACTGGCTCAGGTTGTTCTTTGGGTAGCCACCCCAGAATTGAATGGCCGGGTCTGCGGCCCAGTCGAGGCCGAGTGCCTCTACCTTTTCCTTTGAGACATTGACGCGGTAGCACGTTTGCGGTGCCGATTTCTTCTCTGCAACGATGCCAATGGCTTCTCTCACTTTGCTCCTGATGCCGTCGGCTCCGAGGACGAGATCTGCCTTGACCTTTTCCCCGTTTTCGAAAGTCACCACGCCCGCTTCGTGATCGACGTGGGTGGCGATGTGGTCCGTGACAACTTGGACAGGCGTGCCCTCGCCCTCCTTTGCCACGGCCGCGTCGTGGGTGATTTGCAGCTGGTCTCTACGATGGAACATGTAGTACGGCGTACCCCACTCCTTTGCATAGCCTGACAGGTCGTAGTCATTCCGGACTTCGCCCGTGTGCCAGTCACGCATGAGGAGGTGTTGCAGATCGACTGGTCTACCTGCCTGGACGTCGACGCCCCACTCATGGAGCCATCGGTTGCCGTTGGCGGCGCATGACAGGCTGGCACCGACTTCGACGTCGAAGTCTCGCCTCTCGTAGACGGAGCAGATGTGACCGGCTCGGCGCAAGGCAACAGCGGCCGACATGCCGCCGATGCCACCGCCAATGATGGCGACCTTGAGCGGCCGGAATTCGCGAGTGTCAACTTTTTCGGGCATGGTGTGGTGCTCAAAGCTGGGTAGGAAGGGTGCTTTGGGTAAGGAGGGGCTCATATCTGCTTCACATTGTCGTCTGCCCTTTTATCAGCAATAGGCTTAGCCCTAGATGGCAGTTGTTTTCGCACGCCAGCCACGTCCAAAATAAAAAAAAAGGTGAGGAATTACACCCGGACATTCTCCGGACCCCGCGAGGCCGGACCGCGTCCACGGACGTAAAGATAAAGGGGAAACGGTGTTGTGTCCTCATTCGAATTGTCCTTGTTGAATTACTTCATCGTTGTCTTTCCTATTGCTCTACTTCTCTCCACTTGCCATGTCTTCACTCATTCCCCACGGGCGACTCTCGGCTTCAGCCCGTGAGCATCGCTGGCCGGACTAAGGTCGGCGCCGCAGTGCGCTTCTAACGTTGGCTGGCGTGTACGGTCCCTTCCAACTTCTCTATAGACCTGAAGGCAACCTTGCTCTCTGAAGAGCTCACAACTGCCAAGCCCAGTCAGGCAGTGTTCTTTGCCGGGTGTCGATTCTCCCTTTTGAGCTTTGTCTGCCATGGTGGACTGCTGCCTGCCAACATGAAAAGCTCCGTACGATGGCGGTTCCAAGGCATGAAGCAGTCGCCCGCGCCTGTCTGTCATCTCACGCTCTTATGTCTGCCTTTTTTTCGGCTACAGCGGGGCGTCTTGTAACCGTGGCGTCCTTTGTTGACCTGTGGCTCGGCATGGGGTAACACCTCCGCCAGCTCTTCCTTCAAGTGGCAGCCTTATTCGAAAGCACTCAGCAAAGTGCTAGTTTTAGGGGCAAAGGAGGTGCAGCATCGTCCCCAGAAAACACCCATACCCAGAGGCAATTTCCCCTTCACCGACGGCGGATCAATAATACGCTTCGATTCACACAGAGTTTATGCTCATGATCTCGCCGAGCAATAATGTGAGTAGACGAGGAGACGAGGAAAAGATTGTCTCACAGACTAAGGCTCTGGGTCTGTACGGGATTCGCTCCTCGCAGGAGGGCTGCGAATTACTTTCCCTCTTGCCCAAATCAGACGATATTTCCGAAGGGTCCACCCTGCTGTTCCTACGTCGAAGCACGATCTTGATGATGATCGTGTTCGCCGCTGCGCTTGGCAATGTTGTTGTGCGACTGATGGGTGTGTCCATCGAGACGAAGAGAAAAATCGAAAGCTGGTCCTTACGCGTAATTTTTATTTTTCAGACATAGCACTGTCAATGTGCTGCACAAGTAACACCTGATGGTGGGTGATGTTCTACCCGTGAGCAGGCCTGACCGATGGAAGGGTATAAGGGGTCTCACCCTCACCTTCTGATCGGAGGCTCTTGTCCGTCTCGTCCCTCAACAACAACCTCGCCAAGCACCGACTCTCGTTTTCCAACAACACCACACTCTCTTCGTCTCCAGCCCGTTCGACATGGTCTCTGCCAAGTACGTTTTCTCTCTCGCCGCCCTCGCGCTCGCAGCCACGGCGGCACCCGTCCCAAAGATGCAGCCTGAGGCCGCCTCGCTCGAAAAGCGATCCTACACTGGCCGCGCGACCTTCTACGCTGCTGGCCTCGGGAATTGCGGCTGGCACAACTCCGGATCGGACATGATTGTCGCCCTTAATACGTGGGTGCCTCCCTGTCCAAGGCAACCTGTGAACTCTGCTGACAAGGTAGCTTTGTGACTTTCCTGCAGCGCACAATACGGGTCAACAAACCAGAAGTCGTCTCACTGCGGCCAAAAGGTGCGCATCCACCACGACGGCAAAACGCAGACGGCCACCGTGGCCGACTCGTGCCCAACGTGCCCGATGGGCGCCCTCGACATGAGCAAGGCTCTCTTTGGCGCCCTGACCAACGGCAACTTTGATCTGGGAGAGTTCCAGATGACTTGGGAGTTCATCTGATCCTCCATCCACCCCTTCTCGCTTCGCTGCCGCCCCTTGCCGGTCCGCCTCCCGCCTCGCTTTCCGTTGTCTTCCTCCCCGGTTGGAGTACCTCTCTTGTCTAGCACAAGAAGGCTGGTCCTCGTCCCTTTCTCTCGTCCTTCCCTCTAGCGTCTCTTGTCTATTGCCACGGGTTCCCTCTCCGCTATACACCGTACGACCTTACCTTACCTTACCTTCCCATACCTAATCCGCCTAACGTCTAATTACGCACCGACACCATCTCATCTCCCATTACTCTTTCTCCAAGTAATCCGCGCGATCGTCAACGCCGCTAGTCTGTGGCCGGGGCATTGCTGCGAAGGGCTTTTGTCCCAACGTCAACCTTGTATTTGGATTCCTCATCACGCAAAGCATCACACACGCCCCCGCCCCCCCTTTTGCTCTGAGTCTGTCTTTTGTGTTGAGTCTGTTTGTCAAGCGCCCATCACGGTTGCGTTGCCTAGGGGCGTGTTTTGAATCAGGCCGCGTCCGATTGGCCAGCCGCACTCGGCTTTCTATAACCGGACTCGCCGAATTTGGCCAAGCTGCGCGTGCGCGCCCAGGTATCTCGCGATCTCCACTGACGCTTGCTGACTGAGACCACACGAGCGATCCGCGCCCTGTGCAACACAACCTACCACTGCTCCATCACCACAAATTATAAACGACCAAGATGTCCAAGACGTTTGAGGCTGACGAGGTCAAGAAGCACACCAGCGGTGAGTCTCTCTCCAATCAAGCCCGCCTGCTCCACCTATGTGTCCTCGTTGAAAGGCCAGGGGTGGTGGAGTTTACCCCGCGCGATCTATAGTCGCGCGCCCCAATGCCTTCAGAGTCGACGGAACTTCTCTTCTGACTGTTAGACCCATCCTTCTCTGCAGAGCAATCGGCCTGGGTCGTCGTCGATGGCGGCGTGTACGACGTGACCTCGTTCCTCGACGACGTGAGTTGCATCTCCTCTCCCCCCTGACTCGTTTCTCCCAAAGTGGCTGGCTGACTCCTCCGTCGTCGACGTTGTCTCTCACCCCCACAGCACCCGGGAGGCAAGAAGATTCTGCTGCGCAACTGCGGAAAGGACTCGTCGGAGGCCTTCTGGACCTACCACTCGGAGAAGGTGCTCGCCAAGACAGCGGCCAAGATGAAGATTGGAGACCGTGAGTCTGAGCCTTCCTCCCTTTCCCATTGCTCTTCAACAGGACCCGATCCTGACGGTCGTGGATCTGCTCCGTTTCTCTGTACAGTCAGCCCGAACGCGAAGCTCTAGAGGGTCAGCGAATAGAGATCGACTGTATCCTCTCCTCCTTTTGTCTTTTCCGATCCGCGAGCAATCCACAGTGCCCCACTGTTTACTCTTTTGTCGCCTGTGAGATTCTTCTTCTACTTCGCCTTGTCTCTCTTCTCTTTCCCGAGCTGTACACGTATTCGGACCCGCTTTCCACATTCGCTGCGTCGCGATGCCACTGTACGCATGGGGAGGAGGAACGCGAAAGTGAGGGCTTTGCCTTGGACTCGCCCTGGCCACAGCTTAAGACGAAGGGAAAGAGAGAGCTGCGAGAGCACGCACCTCATCTTGTGCCTGCTGTCTACTACCTGATTGCATATGCCACATTCGGCATGTCTCCGAGAATTCGGGTTGTCATAGGTTCACCTCAAGGCAGCCATCTTGTACGCCTCAGGGTTCAGTCAGGCTAGCGCGCTGTCTGAAAGCAGCTGTCGACCAGCGACGGAATATCATCACACCTTGTTCGTCACTACTTGTTACTTGTGCATATCTCTCTTTTCCTCTTTGGGCATCGATAAAGAACAAGAAGAGAAGCGGGGAGTAGAATGCGTCTCTCCCAAAGCAAGCAAAAAATAATAAAAGAGGTATAAGTGAGCGTGGGTAGGAGTTGACTACGGCGACAGCTTGGGATGCTCAAGACTAACTAGACGAGACCTGTACGTGAGAGAGAGAGAGAGAGGCAAGAAAAGGGGGAAACAATACTGAAAGGAAGGCGAAGGGAGGAAAAGGAGAGGGAGAGGCGAGCGCTAGAGGACGGCGGCGCCACCAAGTGCAGCAGCGGCGACGAGGCCAAGGGCCAGGCCGAGTCCCTGGGGCACGGGCCCGTAGCTCCACGCGGCGCCGTCGCCTGCGGCCGTCGACTGGGCCATGACGGAGGCGGCCGTGTTGAGACTGACGGACGACTTTGTCGCCGAGTCTTGCTGGTTTGCCAGCTTGGGCACGGCCGTGTCGATGCTGTCCGAGTAGTAGGCCGGCGTCGACGCGCCCGCGGCAGCAGCGTACGAGGCAGGAGTGATGACAAACGACGTCGTCTGGGCGAGGGCCGAGTCAAAGGCGTGCGAGGAGCTGCGGGCGAGCGAGACGACGTCAAAGGTGCCTGCGGCGTTGGTGGTCCCGCCCGGGTTCTGGATATTGGGGTTGAAAGCCGTCGAGGTGACGGACGTCTGAGGCGCGGGGAAGGCGACGGGCGTGACAAAGGCCTTGTTGCCCGCGTCGTTGTTATCCTGCCCCCGCGCCATGGCGACAAAGGCGGCGGCGGAGCCCACGAGTAGTGCGAGCCGCATCTTGTTCAGGATTTTGTTTTAGCCGGGAACGGGGGGAGCGGGAACCAAAGCGAGCGTGAAATTGGGCGGCAGTGATGGAAGTTGTAGAGTCAACGCTGGGACGCTTAGGGAGTGAGACGACAAGTGGCGGAAAGGGTGAGCAAAGGGGGTTTGGAAGAAGGGAGCGGAGAGTGTAAGCAACCGGGTTGCGGATGCGATGGCGATGGGAGATGGATGGCCTGTCCCTGTGCAGATGCAGAGAGGGCCTGCTGAAAAATTGCGGGGCCTCCTCTTCTGTCTGTCTCCAAGAGGAAACAAACGGGTGGGCATTTCAACTTGATTGCAATTTAAATGACGTTTTTCCCTGGATTGCTTCTTTTTTCATCTCATCAGTTTGATCTCCGGCTTTTGTCTCGTTCATATTACACGGCGACAGCTGCTGCTGCTTCTATTGACTGCTAGTACACTACTACTACTCTTTTGCATCGACAATGACAATTACTATGTATAATACAGGCTGGAGATCTGTCACATCTGCCAAGGATGGGTGGATTACTAGGCCGTCTGCTGCTGCTGCGACGAAGAGGACTGGGCGGCGATCCACTCGCGCACGGCTGCCCTCTCGCAAAAGTCGGCCAGGCCGCCCCACTCGTCCCTCACTGCTGCCGCGAGGCCGGAGCGGGCATCGTAGAGGCGGAGGACGTGGGCGCAGACGATGCGGAGCTCCTCGCGCGTCACGTCAAACAGCTCCCACCACGGCTTGGGCTCGAGGGGCAGCACCGCGGGCTGGGGCTTCATGGTGTGCATGACAAGGTAGATGGAGGCCGCAGCGAGGACATGGGGCGCAAAGAGGGCGTAGACGGGCGTCTGGAGGCTGTGGACGAATAAAAGAGAGAGAGAATGTTGTGTGTGTGAGCAAGGCGCGAAGGAAGACAGCAAGCTAGGCGCCTCTCTGCACGCACGCATCGTTGAGAATGCCCCACGCGCGCTGGGCCACGCCCGGGTGTCGCTCGGCATCAGCGAGGCCCAGCGTCTGTAGGTAGTTGACCATCGTGGCATAGGGCAGGTTGACCTGGACCTGGAAGCCGAGGCGCTTGAGGATCTGCATCTCGGCAATCACGAGGGCGTCCTTGTAGTCGTAGAACGACGACGAAAAGTACTGCTCCGGCTCGTAGTGGAATGGCGGGACAGGGCTGGAGCTGCTGCTGCTGCTGCTGCTCATCTTGGACGACTGGCGAGGCAGCTGCTTGGCTCGAGGGCTGGGATTGTGCTTGGAAAAGTGCAAGCCGCGCTGGATGAGAAAGTCGTAGACGTTGATGAGGTCGCGCAGCCGCACCGGCGACTCCTCGAGCTTCGACGAGAGAAAGAGGGCGCCCATGCCGATGTCCTGGAGTCAGGGGAGTGAGCCACTTTTTTTTCTTCCTAGCACAGCAGGTCAAAGCTAGAACGCACCTTGATGGAGAAGCTCTTCATCGACGAGACGTACCAGAAGCGCTGGAAGAGGACCTGAGCCGTGGCCATGGTCACCTGTGGCCTGGGGGGGCGCGGAGGAGAACACCGTCAGTCTTGTCCAAATGACACATGCAGAGTAAACATCAACTCACAGGGACAGGAGGATGCCGGCCTGCTGGATGAGCTGACAGCCATAGACGCGCAGCTCATCCTCAAACTCGGCGGGGATGCCATCGCGCCTCGAGGGTGTCTCGCGGACCTGCGCCTCGCTCGCCAGCGTGTTGAGCAGCTGCGGCATGGCGCTTCTCCCCGTCCTGCATGTGCCCCTCTCAGGCTCGAGTCGGCCGGTCGCGTTTGATGTGTGTGTGAGATGAGCGGCGACTCGATGGGGCGAGGAATACTTCTAAAGAAAATATGAATAAAAATAAAAAAGTTCACAGGCGCAGAGGGAGAAAGAGAGAGAGAGAGACAAAGGCAAAGAGCTCGATTTGTGATCTGTGCGTAAGTTAAACCCTCTTTTGCTCACGTAGCGAAACAGGCGATTGTCAGGTGCACCTCATCGTCGACATCTTGCGATTTCACGCAGGCCGAGTGTCGCAAGATCAGCAAGGCGCGTCGGACAATCGAGACCGAGACCGAGACCGAGACCGAAAAGCGAGGGCAATCGTCGTTGGAGCCCCTCAGCTGGAGCGTGCTGGGCTGAGAGCTCTCAAAAGTGTTGGGCAGTCGTCGCGCGAGACAAAGCGCCGCGCCGCGCCCGCGCCCGCTCCGTGCCCTTCATTTCCCGCGCTCGACTCTTTTGATTGGCTGCCTGCTCCAGTCTGCCCAGAATGTCGTCGCAGTCGCCGCGGCTGCCGCTCCTGTCGACCCAGCAGCCACGACGGTCGTCTGGCTCGCGAGAACGGGCGTCACCGACGAGCATCAACAGCGCCGGCACCACCAGCACGACGTCGGCCAGCGGAGGAGACGCCCTCTTCTTCCACGCAGGGCCCAGCAGCAGCAGCAGCAGCAGCAGAAGCAACAGCGGTGCGCTCACAGCGGAGCCGGGCACGATGGACACAGCGTCGAGCCAGGTCAGAGGCGGCAGTGGCCGCCACGCGCCGATACGACACACGCAGCAGCGTCGGCGCCAGAGCACCAACACGCACATCTCGGGCATGGCTACGCCCGAGATTGGCGACGAGAACAAGGGCATGTTCCATAGGGGCGAGTACTACAGCCATGATGATGGCGCCGACGGGGACGATGGCTATGACAACAAGCAGAGGGGCCGCAACGAAGGAGGCAAACGGGGTGACAATGGCGAGCGCGGGGGCGCAGATGACGACGACGGCGACGACGACGACGACGATGACGACGACCTCGTGGCGATCGAGGGCCACGACGGTGCCCGCTCGGCCCGTGACAACGATGGCGACGACGACGGTGACGACAATGGGTATCGACCAGTGCGTGGGATGACGGGTTCGGCGACAGACTACACGTCACACGCAGCGCAGAGACGAGCATTCTGGAGCAAGGCCGTCGTCAACCTGTCGCTGATTGGGTCCTGGTGTGAGTGTCTGTCTCTTCTTCTTTCTCGTCTACATGCACTGACAGTAGAGGGTACACACGACCAGACTGCTTCTCGACACTGATGAACCTGTACAACAGCTGGCTCTTCTCCAAGAAGCACTACCACTTCTCCTACCCGCTCTTTGTCACCTCGATCCACATGGTCGTCCAGTTTGGCCTCTCGAGCGCCATTATGTTCTTCTTTGCCAGCAACCCGCGCATCGTTCCCCGACGACGCAACGGCAAGCACGCACGCCCAGATGGCCGCGACTGGCTCTCAAAGGTCGTCCCCTGTGCCCTCGCCACGGCCCTCGACATTGGTCTGTCGAACCTGAGCCTCAAGACAATCACCCTGACCTTCTACAGTGAGTGGGATGGATTCCCCTTTAGCGGAGGTGCTTGACTGAGTGGAGTCCGCTTCTACCACAGCAATGTGCAAGTCGAGCAACCTGGCCTTTGTCCTCTTCTTTGCCTTCCTCTTTGGCCTCGAGAAGCTGCGCCTCTCGCTGATCGGCATCATCGCCCTCATCACCGTCGGCGTCATCATGATGGTCGCCGCCGAGACTCAGTTTGTGCTCGAGGGCGCCGTCGAGGTCCTCACCGCCTCGGCCATGGGCGGCCTCCGCTGGGCACTGACCCAGCTGCTGCTCGACCGCGAGAACATCGGCATGAACAACCCGATTGCGACAATCTTTTGGCTCTCGCCCGTCATGGCCATTGCCATGTTCTGCGTCAGCCTCATCGTCGAGGACTGGCCCACGATGGTCAACGGGCCCTTCTTTGACGGCGTCTCGCGCTCCCTCAAGACGGTCCTCCTCATGGTCGTGCCTGGCTTCATTGCCTTTTGCATGAACCTCAGCGAGTTTGCGTGAGTAGTGCCTCCCGCCCCAACCCGTTTTCCCTTTCTTCTTCAGATGGAATCAAGCTGATCCCCAGTTGGCCCGCGTCTGTCTCCTGCGTCCCACAACAGCCTCATCCAGCGGACGTCGGTCGTGACGCTGTCCGTCGCCGGCATCTTCAAAGAGGTCCTCACCATCTTTGTCTCGAGCACCATCTTTGGCGACGAGCTGACGGCCATCAACGTCACGGGCCTCTGTGTCGCCCTGACGGGCATCGGGCTCTACAACTGGCTCAAATACCGCATCCTCACTGGTCGCATCCATGACGGCAGCCCTGGCGGCCTCGCAACGATGACGGCGGCGGACCGGGGCGCCGGCTACACCCACCTCGCAGGCGAGCCCTCGTCGTCGTCAGTCGCTGCCGCTGCGACATCGTTCTTCAAGGGCCGCCGGCGAGGGAGAGAGCCGGGGCAGAGAGCGGGCGACGAGAATGGCGAAGAGAATGACGTGCTGTTCGACGACGAGCAGCAGGCCGGGTCCGGCGCACCGAGCAGCCTGGCGATGAGCGAGCGCGACGAGGCGTCGTCGACGAGGAACACGAGCCCCGCCACGCGGTCCCACAGCCACCATCACCCGCTGTCCGAGGCAGAGCGGCAGAGGCTGGCCAAGCGCGAGGAGGAGGCCGACCTCTTTGGCTGGGAGCACAGCGGGACAACGACGACGGGCAACGGCTATGTCGAGGGCAGCGACACAGAGTAGCCAGTTCTTGCTTCATCTCTGTGTCTCTCTTTACTCTAATCCGATGCTCGAACAGAAAAATAGAATTGTTTTGCTCGTTGTCTTTCACTACTACTACTGCTACAATCGGCTGGAGGACTTGCGGCGCTCTGCGTCCCACAGGCCGCCGCGCGCGACGGTGGCCTGCTTGACGAAGCCTTGCTGCTCCTCGTTGGCGCTGGCCTTGTCTGCCTTTCCGCGAGGTGAAAAAGCCAGCCGGAGATGGTTGACAAAGACCTGTGCATCAGTCACGCAGGATCAGTCACACCGCATACTGCTAGAGGTTCTCTGCGTGTCAGCATGCTCACCTCTGGTTCTTCGAGCGCGGCAAAATGGCCACCGCGCGTTGCGCGAGAGTAGAAGGTGAGGTCGCCCGTCCTCCTCGCAGCGCCCTCGCTCGTGTTTGCAATCTGTCACACGTCGTCAGCCCTGTGGGTTTTTGCATTGAGCAGCATGGGACGGTCGAACTGACCTCAAAGGGAAAGTCGGTGTAGCCAAAGGGCACACGGAGGTAGTTTTGCGACGCCGTGTGCAGCTCGAGCAGGTTGCGGTTGTTGTGGTACGGCAAAAAGGACGTCGCGATGGATCTAACCCAGGGGGGAATTCTGTCAATCTCTGATGATCTGGCGAGACAATGCAATGCGAAGGCAGGCAGCTATACTCACTGGGTGAACCAGTAGAGGGAGCAGACGCTGAGCATGCTCTCCTCGCTCAGCGTCGGCGTGCGGCCCAGCGTGGGGCCGTAGAAATAGCCAAGCCAGGCGAGCAGGCCCACGGCCGAGTCCGACACGGCCGCGCCCAGCTGCGAGGGGCTGATCTGCTGGATCCAGTAGTAGGCCATGTTTTCGGAAAAGTTCTTCATCTTGAGCAGCGACTTGCGCGCCTCGTTGGGCAGCCATGCGATGAGGCTTGTCGTGAGCCACTCGGGCATGAGTGCCGCGAGCGTCGCTGCGCCCCAAGGCGGAGAGGGGCAGAAGTTCAGGTGGACCGCTGAGGGGGTGCGTGAGCCTGTGATGGCGTATTCATTCGGACACAGTGCGAAACTCACCTCGGCAGCCTGTACCGTCGGCGCGTGCAAACTTGACGCCGAGTAGCCGCGCGTGGATGCTGCCAGTGTTAGGGGTAAAGTCAGAGAGTGTATGCAGCCTGAGTCAGCAGAGGAAGACGCACCTGCCCCAGTCGCCCCCCTGGGCAGCATAGCTCTTGTAGCCGAGCACATCGACCATGAGCGAGTCGAGGATCTTGCAGTAGCCCTCGACGTCGCCCGTGCCTGCCTTTCTCGTTGGCGGGCCCTTTGACCAGAGGAAGCCCGGCAGCGAGGGTGCGACGACGTGGAACGCTGGTGCGCTACTGTCCTCTGGCTCGGCAAGGCGATCGAGGACGTGTCCAAACTCGAAGGCGTTTCCGGGCCAGCCATGAATGAGCATCAGCGGGATCGCATCGGGCCGCGACGAGGGCCGGTGGATGAAGTGCAGGGGCGTGCACCAGTCAATATCGACGAGGTACTGCGGCTGGGCATTCAGCCGGGCCTGCAGGGCATCAAAGTCAAACGACGTCGTCCACATGTCGCGGTACTTTTGCAGAAAGGCAGGCGTGGGGAACAGGCCACGGTCCTGGCGGAAGTTATCCTCGGGCAGGATCGAAGTCGGGGACAGGCGGGCATCGCGAAGACGCGAACGGAGCGAGGCGATCTCGTCGGGGGTGAAGTCGACGCGGAACGGCCGCACAGCGCCATTGCTTGCCGTTCTGGAGTCCGATGAGGAGGCCATCGTCGTCGTCTCTGTTGTGAATGAGATTTGAGTAAGAGGAGCGAGAGGGACCTAGCTGAGCGCTTCACCGGCGCCATTTATTGCCGGAGATCCGCAAAAGGGCCGTGCGAGTGAGATTTTGAGCTTTGTCGCGACCTTTCCGTCTCCTAGTAGTAGTTGCAATGCAGAGGTTTTTGACCGCAAGGGGCCCAGTTGTGGTACACTCATTTCTCTAGCAAGCAATACAGAGCACTAATCTTGCTTTGCCTTCAAAATGCTAACAAGCCTGATCAGAGACGTCAGACTCGGGTGTCGCTATGCAGTGTGGATCGCTGTCTGATTCGGGTTCACGCAGCCAGGTTAACCCCGATTTGCCAAGTGTATGCTCTCTCTCTTCGAGGACGCAATCGCCACCTGCCTCCCTGACAAAGAGGTGCTGTGAAAAGAGGAAGAAGAGAGTCAGCACCCGGACGCCAAAAGGTGCACAATGCTGATAGCTCGGCCCTGGTACCGCGGGGCGCCGCGGTGTATTTACGGGAAATCCGAGAGAGACGGAAATTCGGAAAGATGCAGCCCCGTCCATGCACTGGTACCGGTGTTGTGCTATGCAACACAACTCTCCTTCACCTGCGCAGGCAGAAAGATACTTATAAAAGGGACGACAGCAAGGTGGATCAAGCAGCTCATCAAAAAGGCAAACATTGTGAACATCCACCTCCTCCTTCCCCAACTAAAATGAGCGCAATTCAGAAAATCTTCGTCGTCGGCGGCACTGGCGCGCAGGGGATGCCCGTCGTGCGCGGTCTCGTGGACAAGTATCGCTGCCGAATCCTCACGCGCGACGTCTCGTCGCCGCGCGCGCTTGAGCTCAAGGCGCTTGGTCCCAACATCGAGCTCTTCCAGGGCGTCTTTACCGACACGGCAGTCCTGAGGCAGGGCATGAAGGACTGCGACGGTGTCTTTTTCAACCTCGACGGCTTCAACACGGGCGAAAAGGCAGAGACCTTCTGGGCGATTCGAAGCTACGAGCTGGCCAGGGAGCAGGGTGTCCGTTTCTTCGTGTACGGCAACCTAGATTACGGGTACAAGAAGGGAGGCTACGATCCAAAGTACCGATGCGGGCACTACGACGGCAAGGGAAGAATCGGCGAGTGGGTCCTTGCCCAGTCCAAGGGCAGCCCGATGGGCGCAGCCGTGTTCACCACGGGTCCCTACATGGACATGACGGTCGCATATGGCACGCCCATGATGCCCAGCATCGTCGACGGCACCGCGACCTGGGCCGTTCCGCTGGGAAAGGGTGCTGTCCCCCACGTCTGCCTCGAAGACTGCGGTCCATACGTGCGATGGCTCTTTGACCACTTTGACGGCGAAGCAAATGGGATGGACCTCGAGGTGGCCATTGACCACATCGCCTACGAGGACCTGGCCAGCGCATTCAGCGCCGTCACAGGCAAGCCTGCGCGCTACGTCGATGTGACGCTGGACGAATACTGGGAAAAGGGTCCCATGTCCAAGGCGGCCACAAACGCCACTGGCTACACCGTCGATCCAGATGACGCCGCAGCCATGACGATGCGCGACAACTTCACGGGCTTCTGGAACCTCTGGAAGAACTCTGGTGGAAATGCGGGCGTGATCCGGCGCGACTATGCCCTGCTCGACCGAATCCATCCCACTCGCATCAAGTCGGCCCACGAGTGGTTCAAGAAGCAGGACGAAGTGGCCCGCAAGAAGGGCTCGAGCCTGTGGCAGATGGCCGAGAACACCAAGCCCATTCTCAAGATCCATGAAGACTTTGCGTCTGGCAAGATCACCCATCGTTCTCGGGTGTAGTCTGTCTGGCCTCCTCTCCTGCACAGCACTGCATACCGTCTACTTGTTTATTCACTAGCCCCATTACTGATTAGGATGTCTCTACGTACCACTTTGTAAAGCTTCCAGCCTCTTTATTTGTGAAGTATCCTTGTTGCTTTCCTTCAATCGACCAAACTTCTGAGCTGACATTGACACCTGCCATGTATTTGTCAAATAAAGAAGATATGGGAAAGGTGAATCTCATCGTGCTCGCGACTGATGCTCGAGGCATCTACATTGTGCGTGTGGTCAAGGGAGCTAACAGCCTCCGCCCACCCCGCATTGGACCTCGCATTTGGGCGTTGTGTCCGTGCAGCCCGGTCCGGCGTACCTCGTGACGTCGTGGCAGAGGAGACCGTTGTCGTCCGTGATTGTGCCGTACTCGGTCTCGGTCGTGCAGCAGTCTGGGCCGTCCATGGCCCTCTGCCATTCGGCATCGCTGCCCTCGTCTAGGCCGCATACCTGGGGGACGAGCTCGGCGGTGGTACTGTGGGGAGATTCGAGAGATTGGGAAGGATGGCACAGTTTGCCCTCGGGATACTTGCATGGGTTCTTTGAAGATTTGGACCTGTAGACACGGCAGCCGTGGGGCGACTTGGCGCCTAGCTCGTAGCAGCACATTTGGTATTTTCCCGTCTGTGCGTTGGGGCACTCGAGAGCGTAGAATATAGGCTGCGAGTACCTGGGCCTGGCGAAGTAGAATAAAGGTGTTGGTTCAGGTATTTGTGAGCTGATGACTTTGAGAAACGAGCGAGCGACACTCACAGCAGGGTGGCCGCAACAGCCGCGCTGATTACGAGACTGGCCGTCGCAAGACTGGCGAGGATGCATTGCTTGAAGAGCATTTTCGTGGTCTTGTTCTGGAAGAGCAGATGTGGTGTGCTCTGCTTGGTGGGTGACAAGAAAAGACGGCTGCTTCTCGGCAAACTCAAGAAGGGGGAAGACGACAGAGGCAACGGTTCGTCGTTACACAAGAGAAACGCATCCCACCTCAGGTCCGCCTTGTTTCTAGACAATGGGAAAGTCCGCTCTTCGCCCTCCGACGATTTCAGCACAGAATTCACACGGTAATGAGCTGAGCGCGGCGACGCCTGAACCCCGCATCCTTCAGCGGAGTCCACTTCGGGCGGGCCGAGGGCATCAAGGAAGGCTGTGAGCCTTGCCGCTCAGGTCACCTCACTCTCATTTCTTTGTTAACACCGCTTGGGCGTGTCCCGCATCCACTAGGATGAGATTGAGGTGGTGCGCAGGCATGATTGATTGTGTCCTTGCCCCCGCTGTGATGACAATTATACAAGTGCCTTCCTGGCGAGACCAGAGCGAGACACAACAACGAGGCTGAAGCAGAGACGAAGAAGGAACGCGTCGGCTGAATTTGTCACACTCGCCGGCTAATTGGCTCGCGCGCACGTTTGCTCCACCTCTCGAGTAGTTCGTTGCTGCTTCTTGCAGCAGCGAACGCCTGGCTCGTCTGTCAATGTAAGAAGAGGTCCACCAACCAGGGCGAGGAGAGAATGACATGCCGGTGGCGCGATTCGTGCGGCACTCGCCCTCGTACCTCTACCTGAAGCTCTACTCGCTCTCGCTCCTCGTCACCCTCTTTGCCAGTGCCCCCGTCTCTGCGCGTTTGGCGGCCGCGTCGGCGGCGACGAGGAGCGACCATGTGCGGTGGATCGAGCGCGTGCGGGCGGTGGCCGAGGAGGGCGTGCGCAAGCGGAGTGCCGAGCTGCGGCGCCTCGCCGGTCTCTCGCCGGTGGCCCCCACTACTGCCGCCGAGACCGATGAGAGCAAGGGAAAGGCCGAGACTGGACTCTCACCCAGGAGTGTGGGAGTGGGAGGAGGACGAGGAGTACGGCGACAGCAGGGACACCCGTTTCCCTTTGCACTCAAGACACTGGCGACCGATGCCGACACGCGCTTCCCGCAGGTGGCGCTCACGTCGGTCGGCTCGCGCGTGGCAAGGGTGCTTCGTCGCTGGGGCCGGCGCGTCAAGGACATGAGCGAGGTCCGGGGCTCCGTGAGGCGCGATGCCGAGGACATCCAGCGCTTCCCCGAGCTGGCCCTGCAGGCCCATGTCCGGCGCTCGGCCCAGGCCCACGAGCTCGAGACGCGGTTTGTCGAGGCACGCAAGCGCCACGCCGCCGACCACGGTCACCTGGCTGCCTTTCTCGCCGAATCGCTTTCTACCAATACGCCCATCGAGGCGGCCGATGTGCCGACGGTGGCTGTCGGTGGCTCTGGTGGTGGCTACCGTGCCACATTTGGCTTTGCTGCCGCACTGGCCGGGCTCAAGCGCGCCGGCGCATGGGACCTCGTCACCTGGCTCGGCGGCGTCAGCGGCTCCTGCTGGACCATCGCCGGTCTCTACACCATCGCGGGCCTCTCGCCTGCCCGGCTGCTGGCCCACTACCGCGCCGTGGCACGCGAGGGCCACCACCCGATGAGCAGGCAGGCCCTCGACACTGTCGCACGCTCCCGCCGCGGCGTCTACTTTCTCCTCGCCCCGCTGCTCGCAAAGGCAAACAGCGGCGTCGTCGGCGTCGGCATCATGGACCTCTATGCGACCATGACGACGTGCTACCAGCTGCTGAGCCGCTCGCCACACGCGCGCCCGCGCCTCGCCAGGTCTACCTTTCAGTTCTCCCGCGTCTGGCAGCGCCACAGCCTCGCTGCTGGACACGCGCCCCTGCCCGTCTTCTCGGCCGTCCGGGTGATGCATGCATCGCCATCTTCAAGCGACTCACGGAAGACCAACGACGCGAAGCACATGGCGACCGACGAGCAAGACAAGGAGACGGCGGGCATGCCCACGGCCGACATTGCCGGCCTCACGCGGGGCCGGCTCAACTACCAGTGGTGGGAGGCCACGCCCCTCGAGGTTGGCTCCAGCGATGCCCGCGCATGGATCCCCACCTGGGCCTATGGCCGGTCGTGAGTTTCACTGACCCCCTCTTTTTCTTCCCGCCTCAGAGCAACGCTGATCTAACTGAGCATCTGTATCGTGTATGCCAGCTTCGTGTCGGGCAAGTCGGTCTCGACGGCACCCGAGATCTCCCTCGCCCTGCTGCTGGGCCAGGCCACGAGTGCGCCCGCCGGCCCGCTCACGGGCTACATTTCGGCGCTCCTCGCCACGTTGCCCCGCGGCACCATCATGTCGACGCTCCTCGCGCGCCTCAACGACTTTGTCATGCACCGCCGCTGGGAGAAGCGCTGGGGCAACCCGATCCGCGGCGCAGACGAGCCCAACCCGCTGTACGGCATCGGCGACGACGGCACTTGGGAGCCAAAGGGCCGCATCAAGCTCATGGACGGCGGTCTGAGCAACAATCTGCCCAATCGTGAGTCCGTGCTTCCGCTGATGCCTTGTGCTTGTTTCTACACTCGCTAACGAAAGCCTACATGCTAGACATCTTCACCACTGCAGCCAGGCAGGCCGATGTCATTGTCTCCTTTGACCAGTCATCGGACGTCCAGACGGGCGCCTCGCTCCTTCGCCTCGCCGACTTTGCACGTGAGCGCCGCCTGCTCCTCGTCCCCGACGGCGACACCTCGCCGCCGCCGCCATCACCGCCGCCGCCCACCCGCGACAGCGACGCAACGCCCACGGCGGACGAGATACGGCAGCGCTTCAAAGGGAAGTACGCCCTCATCTTCCGAGGCTGGAAGGTCAAAGACGACCAGTCAGCGGGTGTCGCTTCCCCCACTGCCAAGCCTGCCGTCACGGGCGACCCTGACGTCTACCTCGTCTACTGCCCCCTGCTGCCGCACCCGTGCCAGCCCGACTTTGACCCCGTGACGGCCCCCTTCAGCACCTCGTACAACCTCGTGTGGACCAGCGAGCAGGTCGACACGATTGCAAAGACGGCGCAGGCCAACGTGCAGGACTATGTCGTTCCTGCGCTCAAGCAGGTGCTCCTCGAAGCCTACCAAGCCAATAGAAGACGGCGCCTCCGCCAGCAAGTGTAACAGTACAGCATCACTGCTTCTCCCGTTAGAGCAACATTAGAGACTAGAAGGCTGCAATGAATGCATGAATATGCCTTGCCTAACTGGCCCTTCTCCTTCCTATAGTCGACAGGACTGTAAATCAGGGCTATGATATGGTTCTAGAGCGCCATTCCGCCTACAAGTCCATCCTTGTTGCGATCGCTATGCAGTGAGGCTGGCACCGGCCCTGCGACGAGGAAATGTGGTGTGCGCGTGGAGCCCTTTTTTTTTCTACTTCGCACGAGCCATTTGCCTGCCTGCCTAGGCGCGCCTTGCTCACGACCGCCCATCATCGCCATCGAGGCGAGCGAATCGGAAATGGCCGATGCAGACGACGTGGCAGCCGCCGAGATCTCGCAGCGGTTCCTGTCGAGGCCCACCGCCAAGGACAGGATCCTGCTTGACGTGGTGAGCTGCAGAAAATGACAAGCGAACCAGCAAGGGAAAGCTAGTGACTGACGGCAATGGCTGCGCCCAGTATGAGACGCCCGATACGCGCTTCCAGCCCGTGTGCGAGCATCTGACCCTCGACGAGTGCGCAGCGGCCAGGCCAGGCGAGACAGAGACCTGCGAGATGATCCACTTTGAAGTTATCCAACACCCGCACACGGAGCCGTCCATGGGTCACTGCAGGTGGGTCCCCATTTCCCTCTCTCCGTTGTACTCTCCCTTGCTGAGTCTGTCGCCGCCGCGGTGCCCACAGCTTCCTCAACACCTGCCACAAGGGCAGCAAGTGCAAATTCATGCACTTTCGCCCCGTCCGCCACCCGCGCGCCAAGCCATTCGAATGGAAGACCATCTACGCCGACGACCCTTTCCCCAAGCGCACCCGGGGTCCGGGCATTAGCAGCGGCGGCGGTGGCAGCAGCAACCAGCAGCCGCAGCAGCAGCAGCAGCACGTCGAGAGCATCCTCGGCGACTCGCAGCTGCAGCTCGAGGGCGACGAGCGGCTCTACGTCGAGGCCCTCGTCCGGCACCCTGCGCGGTCCCTCTTCAACCGCGGCCTCAGAGCCTGGACGCGTGGCGCCGGGGAGGCCACGGGCGAGCTGCCTCGGCCACAGGCGATCAAGGCCGACCTGTCGCGCTTCGACCTCTCCATGCTTGGAAAATTCGACGTCGTCATGGCCGATCCTCCCTGGGACATCCACATGAGGTGCGTTGTCCTTCTCTGCAGCGTCTTCACTGCGCTGTATGCTGATGTTAATGCCCGCGTTCCCGTCCTCTCCCTCTCGCAGCCTGCCCTTTGGAACGGTGCCCGATGCGATGGTGCGCGCGCTGCCGATCCCCCAGCTGCAGGACGAGGGCCTCCTGTTCCTCTGGGTCACTGGACGCGCGCTGGAGCTCGGCAGGGAGCTTCTTGCCCAGTGGGGCTACACACGTGTCGACGAGATCGTCTGGGTCAAGCTCGGCCAGACGCAGAGGCTCATCCGCACTGGCATGACTGGCCACTGGCTAAACCACACCAAGGTGTGTTGCTCACTTCGTGCAGTTCGTCTTTCTCCTTCGGCTGACTCGATCGTGACACCCTGCCTTCACAGGAGCACTGCCTCGTGGGTGCAAAGACCAAGTCGGACAGCGTCGCAAAGGAGCAGCTCGTCTCGCCGCTCCAGCACCTCGCCACGACGTACGCGGGCTCGCACGCCGCCGGGACGCCCGCTCCCGTCCCAGCCTGGATCCACCGGGGCATGGACTCGGACGTCGTCGTGACCGAGGTCCGCGACACATCCTGGAAGCCAGACGAGCTCTACTCGATCATCGAGCGCCTGTGCCCGCTCGGACGCAAGGTCGAGCTCTTCGGCAGGCAGCACAACACCCGTCCCGGCTGGACCACGATTGGTGACCAGCTCAAGGCCGACGTCATCCACGACGCCGAGCTCCAGCGCAAGCTGGACCGATGGAGGCGCGCCAGCTGACGTTGCTACTACCACTGTATATCACACACACACTGAAAACACACTGTAATATATCGTCATCAAGACTTGGATTGACACCTCGTTCGAACTGAATAAAGAGAATACAAGGAGGGGGACCGGGGCACAGCCGTTTGCCGCTGCTCGTTGCCATGATACATTAAGGAGGAAGAAAGAAAGAAAGAAAGACGAAAGCCGGAAGCGAAAGAGACGGGTCGTTAAGGGAAGAAGACCGGCTTCCTGCTGTGGGATTTTTTTTTCTTGGTTTTTCTTGGGTTCTGCTTGTTCTTGCCGCAATGAGATCGAGTGGGGAGGGATTGAAGAAGGGGATGCCGAGGCTCCTCTTGCTCTGCTGTGCCATCGTAGTCGCTGACCAGCTTGGCGATGCGTCTAGGTCTGCATCTCCTCGAGTGAATAGACCTGGGGATCCGATGAAGTCGTCTCCATGGGCTTGTGAGGTAGACCGCCTTTGTTGATGCGATGCCTGATAGAGCCATGCGGTAGTCGACTCGATGAGTGAGGTCTGTGACCGTGACTGTGGCCACCGTAGCCACCGCCACCGTAATTACCGCTGCCACCGCCGCCACTGCCGCCACTGCCGCTGCCACCACCCTCACCACCTCTGCCGCCCCTATTGCCTTTTTGTCCACCGGTACACACAGGCACGCCGTTTTGGATTCTTGCCCTAGGCGGGAAACTATCATCTGAAGGGTTTCCGTCTTTGTCGTAGACCACGCGTTTGTCTAGTTCTGGATTGGGGCAGATACTGGGGAGAGTCGAGTCGCTGTACGACGACCATTGCTGGTACGTTGGGTTCTCGCAATGATCCGTGGCCCTCAATCGTACGGCTGTATGGTGCAACGAATTGAGTCAATGTAGGTCGAAGTTTACCATATGAAGATCAAGAAACGGTTCTCACGGCGATACAATTGGTGACGGTATTTGTCCTTTCGAGACCTGACATAGCCGGTGTAGTTGCTCTTCCTTCCTCCTTGGTCGCTCAACTGCGGAACAGAGAAAAATGAGTAATACTGCTGAGAGAATGGCCGAAGACAGAGTGGAAATGAGGCTTACATAGGCGCTTCCAGGCTGGTAGTAGGTCGACGCATACTGTAGGAGGGTGCTATCTTTCTCAGCTGACAGAGGCAAGTGAATGGTTGAGGAATAACTCACACAGTTGCCAAGGTTTTCGGGGCAGAGAATAGGTGGCACCGAAAACGGTTTGCAGTTCTCCCAGATCTGAGGCCTGCCAACAAATCGATGGATCAACAAGGGTGAAGCATGCGTTCAAGAAGAAGCGGTACTCACGGCGGTGTATCCCAGAAGAAAATGGCAAAGGAAGAAAGACAATCCTCGTCGTCCGACTCGACTTTCACAAAGTCGTCAGCGGTGTATGGTAGGTAGGTGCCTACGGCGCTCCCATATGGATACCCTTCGTCGTAGAATTTGTCGATATTGACGATGAAGGAAGCCACGGCTGAGCGGGAAAAAGGTGAGAATCGGCTCGAAGGCTTGCTACGGGACTATCAGACAAGCTTACTTTGGGGCTTGTCACCACTTCGTTTGTTCTCGAACGCTTCGCCCATCTGAATGTTATCGTTCTCGTTTCCGTGGTTTCCCATCTGTATGAGATAAGAATTTGTGGGGAAGCAGCCGTAGAAAGCGTATGTAGCTGGATCCGGCCTACCACCGTTGCCGTAGTCTGGATTTTTCGTGAAGCCTCCATGACTGTGGGCTCTTTCTCTTTCAGGTTTGTGTGTTCCGGAGCCATGCCCGAGGCTGTGCTTGTCGGACAAGGAGGTGGGAAGATAGCCGTGTTCCGTTGGAGCACCGTAAGTAGACGCCAGGCTGGTGTCAGGGCGGTGGCGTTGGCGGTAGCCTTGCATCCCTTGCAACTGCTCGTGGTTCCCCAAGCCGTCAGTGGTCTTGAGTGAGTCGAGCGAGTTGGGACCGTAACGCGTTCGTTGAGTGGGTTGCGCTGTCTCGCCCACCTGCAAGGGATTACGTCGAGTCTCCTCGCCTTCGAACTGTGAATGCCGGCGAGGCGATTCGTTTCCAAGCTGTGTGGTCTCGAGCTGTGTGGGCTCGAGCTGTGTGTGTTCGAGCTGTGTGGGCCCGTAAAGCTGGCGGTATCGGCGTTGCAGCTCCGTTGCAGTGACTGTGGATAAGGTCGACAAAAGATAAAGGCCCACGGTGATGGTGAAAAGGAGGGCGAGCTTGACCATCTTGGCCCAGGCTGTCAAAGTGGGCGAAGGCGGTTGTCGGCAGCAGGAATGGGTGCTTTGGCGAGAGGAACGAGGTGGGGAAAAAGACGATCAGGTGGCGGCAGGAGGATCAGGGGGAGCAGGCAGGAAAGAGAAGGAAAGGAGGAAAGGGGGAAGGGGGAGAGGGAGGGGGGAAAGGCGATGAGGTGTAGTGAGAGGGTGAGGAGAGACATAGAGCGGCCAAGAGGTGCCTTTGTTATAGACGAGTCTAGACGCCGAGCCGCCATTGGAGTCTCGCCGAAAGTCAGTAAGACGGGGGCCCATCGACTGGCCAGATCGCAAGTCTTTCCGACGGGGAGGGACCACCAAGGAGGAAAAGGCGGGCAGAAGCGTGAGATGAGATAAGGCAAGGACAGTACAACTGTGTGATGAGAAAGCCTGCCTCTCTCGCTGTCAAATAGGAACAGTTCCTAGACTTGCGCGGACGGAGCATCAAAGAGGAGCTCAAGCCACGGCGCAAGCCAAGACAGCTGGATATGATGACAGGAATTAATCTCCGCTACTACACCCACACGCTCATTCTCGCTGCTCCTGACGACCCTCGTTCTCCTCCGCTCTTTTGCTTCTCATTGGAGTTGTCCGTAGAAGACTGTATAAGCAGGTAATCATTCACCCCTTCTATCCTTATGAACCTCTTTCTTTCGCTTTTCTTTTGCAGTGGGTATGGAGAATGGTGGGCGGAGAAACAGTCTTAATCACAGCGACGCTCGAGAAAGCCGCGTGTTTGCTGGCTGCGATGAGAATGGCGCTCAAAATAAACGGCTCGTGTGAATGAAACAATTATGTTATAGCGGCGCTCCGCCCTGTGTGGCCGGGGATCTCATCGAAGCTCCGCCGGGGTCACTAACAGAGAGCAGAGGACGGCCTCTGGGATGGGAAAAGGGGGCCCCTCTGCGCAAGTTCGGCCTTTGGATACCAGCAGAAATGCGCCCTCAACGGACATCTGGCTTGGCATTTCCATGACTCAACGACCACAACCACCACCAAAGAGGTGAGAAAAACCGAAGAAGAAAAAGAAAAAGAAAAAAAAAAAAAGGGCGCCTCAATTATGGGGATCGAGCCAAGAGGGCGTAGCTTGTGGCGCCCATGCAAACATGAACGCGCCCCACCTGGGCGGCGAGCGAGCATCGACGCCATCGCTGCCCTGCCACTGAGCCGGCCTGCAGGCCTGTGGCGCCTCTCTTGACCCTCCTCGTCCCCTCCCACTCCTCACCGCTGTTCGCTTCACCGTTCTCTTTCTCTTCTTCTCTGTCCCATTGCGTCTCTGTAGCTGGTTCTATAGACGCGCAACGCGGCTTGATGTTGTGTCCTACTTCTCACGCCTCGAATTTTCGTCGTTCCTACCTCTGCATCACCGCCCTCGATGCGCTCTTCTCCCTTGCGAGCGGCGGTGTGGCGATGTGCATTGCCATCCAGCTCGCATGCAAGCACGACGATGCCCTTTTTCGTCTCTCGCACTCCTATCCGGTTCTCCAGCGGCTCATTGGATTCTTATACGGCAGCCTGCTCACCGGCAAGGCATGCCTAATGCTCGTCTGTCTGAGCCTCGTCCTGCGCTACGACGGCGACATTGTCACCGCCGCTGCTGCCGCCGACGTCCGTCCCGAGCGGGCCTCGCTGGGTCCAGACGGTGCCGCACGCTCGGCATTCAACAAGCGCCAGGCCGTCGTCCGCTTTCTGACACGCGCGTGCGGCGCGTCGCCCGTCGTCGAGCTCGCCCTTGGCATTGGCATCATCACCTTTTGGTTCAGCAGTGATCAATTTGTGCGTTGCCCTTTCCTCTTTTCTCTGCTTCCTCATCTCTCTGACGCATATTGCGACCTCTCCCTCTTCTTTCTTTCCACTTTTCTCTTTATTTGCCACAGCCAAAAGTGGCGCTGCCCACGGCAAAGGAACGCGCGCACGCGCACCGTGGCGACCAGCTCTTTGCCGGCTTCATCGTCTGCTGGATCTGCTGCGTGCTCACTTCGCTGGCATTCTTCTTTGTCGCCTCGTGGCACCACTCGCGCGTCGACTGGCAGATCCAGATGCTGCTGGCCGAGGAGCAGCTGGCGGCTGTCAAGCGCGCGCCCACGGTGCGCCTCGAGTCGCGCACGGGCTGTCCGACCGGCCGGTCCGGCGACAGACCGAAGCAGCAGCAGCAACAGCAGCAGCAGCGCCGTCGCGGCCGTCGCGAGCGAGGAGAAGAAGAACAAGAGCAACATGAGCAGGGCAATCCGACCGCTTTTCTCGCCCATCGCGCGCACGGATCGAGCTCGCCGTCGCTGTCGCCGCGCCTGACGAATCGACTGAGCACGCTGGCCGAGCAGACGGAGCCGGCCTCGTCGCCCGTGCTGGCCGCCTGCGTGACAGTCGCGCCCGCTTCCGCGACGGAATCGTCGCTCTCGCCGGCATCGTCGACCAAGAGCCACTTTTCCATGGGGCTCGGGCCTGGTGGCGTTCTTTTCGAGGCCTCGCTCCTGGCGCAGCGCGCCGCTTTTGAGGAGATGAAGCGCCACCGTGGCGACGGTGCCGGAGGGGGAGGAGGAGACGGCGGCGACAATGACGACAATGACGGAGACGAGGTCTCGCGCGGACAAAAGGAGCTTCGACGGCTCACGTTTGCCGCCTTCTCGTGGGCGGGCAAGCAGCTCGGCGAGGGGAGCAGCAACCCACACAGCAGCGACCATATGGCCGCTCATGTCGGTACCGGCGGCGGCGGCGGCACCAGCGAAGGCAAGATGGAGGAAGGACGCAGTGACTTGAAACAACAGCAGCAGCAGCAGCATCACGAAACGATGAAAGAAAAGGTACGTAGGCACGTCAGCGTCTCACCTCACCTGCTCGTCCATCGCAGTGCTCCACACAAGGGCCCAGAAGAGCGTGTCAAGTCACCAAAAGTTGAAGAAGAGCCCAAGCTCGAGGTGGAGAGGACGGAAAGGGAAAAGGACAAGCTCAGAGTCTCGCCATCGTACGTCGATCGCGACAAGCGCAAGGACTCGACGCCCATCTCGTCGGCCGTCTCGTGGGACGGGAGCTTGTGCACCGACGAGGCCGGCTACGAACGCATACAATCAGCACTGGGTCGGGAAGGCGTCGAAGGAAAGGGAGGCGGCGGCGGAGGAGGCGAGGGAGAGAAGGTCGGAGAGCGCACAGACGAGGGCGACGACTTTGCCACGGTCCCCGAGACGTTTGACGTGCAGTTTGACGTGCGGACGGTGCATGTTGGCGAGTCGCACGATGCCGAGATCTCGATGGGCCAGCCGGGGACGGAGCTGTGCGACGTCGATGGGTCGGACATTGCCACGGTTGTTGTGCTTGACCAGGCGCGACGAGTGGCGAGCCACGTTGTCGATGATGATGACGACGACGACGACGGCGACGGCAATACCACCAACGGCCAGAGAGGCGACCGCGCCGTGCTCCATTCTCGTGTACCCAATAATGACAGCCAAAAGGCCATGACGAGCCCACTGCTGACGCCCCTGCGAGCCGGACCCGGACCGGTCGCAGAGAGGAGCGTGTCCAACTACCCCTTTCCCAGCACGCCGTCGCCAGGACCATCGATGGCGCCGCAGCTTCAGCAGCAGCAGCAGCAGCAGCGAGGCCAGCTGCTGGAGCTGCCAGTCCCCTCGACAGACAACTCCGTCGACTCTGACCAGCGGCATCGGCAAGAAGCGCGCGAGCATGCCGAAAACGTGCTCATCAACGCCCAGGCGAGGGCGCCCGCTTCGCCGTGGACGTTCGGGCAGCCAAACACAAGCACGTAGGCACGTAACTAGCTGACCGGAATGTTTTGTTTCCCCGAACGTGTGAACAAGTACAGTAGAGCACATGTGTCTGTCTGTCTGTAGGATGACAAGAGCAAAGGATAGAGGAAGAGGAAGAGGAAGCGAGAGAGAGAAGAATAGCAGATGATAGAATACAGGGTACAAGATGTCAAGAGGGGAGCGGCGACAGTGTCCGTGAGCAGCGACCGGCTGGGCGACGAGCGGGTGCTCGTCACCGGTAGAGGGGCGGCAGCTGCGGCGGGCCCTCGGGGCTGCGCTGGTTGTTGAGCTGGTACTGGATCGCCGAGTAGGGATCCTGGACCTGCGCCGTGCTGTGGTTGGGCTGCGAGTAGGCGCCGTAGTCGTACGACATGCGCGGCTGCTGGCCTGCGCGGTCGGCGAACGGGTCCTGGTGCTGGGCCCCGTAGCCGCCGCCGCCACCGCCACCGCCGCCAGCATAGGCATCCATGTGGTCGTCGTGGTAGCCCCCTCCTCGGCCGCCGCCGCCGCCATAGCCGTGCCTGCCGTCGTCGTAGGGCGCACCCATGCCGTACTGGCCGTCGCCACCGTCGCCGTAGCGTCCGCCATAGCCGGCGTCGTCGGCTGGGCCACCGACGAGACCAGCAGCCTCCTCGTCTGCGTCGTCTGCAATCGGCTCAAATGCGCTGTCGTCTGCGGGGTGGACAAAGGGCGGAATGCGCGGGCCATTCTTGCGGCCCAGGCGCCAGGCCCGGAGGAAGAGGAGCGCCGTCGCGAGTGTCGTGACTGGGGAGTAGACATTCAGCAGGCGGGCGATGGGTGGAGAGAGGCAGCAAGGAAAGGGCACACTCACTCCAGAGGAACCAGCAAAAGGCAGCAGCGACCTTTTTCGAGGTGCAAAAGGTGGGCAGCGCCTTCTTGAAGTCGTCCTCCTTGCCCTTGGACGACTTTGCGTGCGGGTCGTTGTCTGCATTCTTGCAGCCGGCCGAGGTGTATGCCGAGATGGTCTCGGTGACGCTGCGGGTGGGCGGGGATGAGAGATGGAGCAAGAGCGAGCAAGAGAGAGAGAAGAAGGGACACCCACCTGACAATGATCCAGAAGCCAAAGGAGAGGCCGTTGAGGATGATGCCCACGCGGGGCGTCTCGATCAGGCGCGTGGCCTTGGCCAGCGAGTCCTGCATGGCGGGCGGCAAAAAGGGGATGCCGAGGAGGAGGCCGCCAAAGACGAGGGTGAGGACGGCCATGACGAGGAGGAAGCCCGTGAGGCCCGACAGACTGCCGATCCACTTGCTCTGGAACGAGGCCAGGACGATGGCAATGATGAGGAGGATGAAGGCAAAGGTGACCTGGAGCGCCCGTGCGATGACGAGGAACTGGTCGAAGCGGTCCTGTGTGCAGGGGAGAGCCTTGTCAGCGACCAGCCTGTACGTGTCTCAGTGCACCAGCGCTCTCACCTCGGTCCAGGCTGCGAGCACGCCTCCTCCAAAAGAGCCCACGGGCATCGACATGGGGCGTGCACCGGCGGCCATGCCCGGCGTGTTTCCAATGCCGCCGCCAAAGCGCCCCTTGGGCTCGCCTCCCCCTCCTCCTCCTCCCCGCGGCGGCCCGCCGGACCCCGTGACCTTTTCCAGTATGTTTTTCCAATGCAGCGCCTCCATGCTGTCAGTCGTGAAAAAAGGGAAGCAAGCAAGGATGGAAACGCGCGACCAGTGATGGCGGTGTTGGTGTTATTTTCTACAGCCCTGGCGCCCCCTCGCCGTTTCAAAAGTCGCCCTGGGCGGCGACGGCGCGCGCTGCGCTGCACTAAAGGGGCTCCAAAAATATCCTCACGTGGACGCGTCCAGGTCGACAAAAGACGGCGCACGGACTGACTGCTTTGCCAGAAGATGATTTGCGCCTTCGCTGCCCTTCGCAGGGCCGGGCTTGGCTGGTGCAGCACCATCAGCCTGAGCGCTGTATGTTATGGCCAACGAGAGTCCTGCTCGGTGGTGTCAGGGGCAGCCGCCACTCTCATCTCGGGCGTTGTTTCGTTTCAGGGTCGTGGTCGGACTGCAATGACAACGAGCAAGGACGGCGTGGGCGTGGTCTGCTCGCCCAACGAGGTCGATTTCGAGCCCAGCCTCCCTATGATGAAGTCGAGCCAGCCCAGTAGGCCATTCGTGCCTTGCGCTCTCGAAAGCCCGTGCTGGATCTCGCGCGTGGTATTGTGTGGCGCGATATCCCCTCACCCGGCCGAGAGGCGGTGTCGCCCTGGAGAGACTGACCCGAGACGGCCATCCGCGACATCCTGGGGGGTGGGGGTGGGGTAAACAAAGATTTGCTTTGCTTGACTTGTTTGCAACACGCGACGCTTGTCTCGTCACAGAGGCCTAATTATGAAGAATGAATTAGTCCAGACTGGGAAAAATAGCGCCAAAGTCAAATGAAGGCCGGCTATTCCGACCGTCGGAGCCCTCGTTCTTCGCCCCCAGAGAGGAAAGGAAAGGGAAGGGAAGATAGAGGCGAAACAAAGCTTGGACTGCATCTACCAACCCCGCACCGTCGGAAGTCCCTTGCACCACCGCCTCCTCGACGACGACGACGACGACGAATACGACCATGTCTGCCGCTGCCGCCTCCCCCGAGCTGGTGCCCTGCATCGTCGACAACAAGCCGTTTGCCACGCCGTCGAGCTTCCCGCTCGTGGACCCGCAGGACCGCAAGACGATTCTGCACAACGTCGCCACGCTGCCCGCGACGTCTGTCGGCGATGTCGTGGCCTCGTCGCGGCGCGCATTCGAGGCGTGGCGCGACACACCGCTCAAGGAGCGCCGCAAGCTGCTGCACAAGGCGGCTGCCCTGTTTGAGGAGCGCATCCCCGAGCTGATCCAGATCGAGGCGAGCGAGACGACGGCCAGCGCGGGTTTCGCTGCCTTTGACGTCGGCTACCTCGCGGCCGATGCGATCAACGAGACGCCCAACAGCATGGCGGCTGCCCTGCGTGGGGAGATGGCGCCCGCCGACGCGAGCGGCAAGCGCATGCTCGTCACGCGCGAGCCCCTCGGCTGCGTGCTCTCGATTGTGCCCTGGAATGCACCCAGCACGCTGTGCATGCGCGCCATCGTCAACCCGCTCGCTGCGGGCAACGTCGTCGTGCTCAAGACGTCGGAGCACAGCCCCAAGATCCACTCGGCCATTGCCCGCGTCTTCATCGACGCCGGCCTGCCTGCCGGTGTGCTCAACGTCATCCACGTGTCGCCCCAGGACGCGCCGGCGGTGACCAAGGCGCTCATCGAGGAGGAGTTTGTGCGCAAGGTCAACTTCACGGGTTCCACGCGCATCGGCCGCATCATCGCCCGCCTCTGTGCCGAAAACCTCAAGCCGGTCGTGCTCGAGCTCGGCGGCAAGGCGCCCGTCATTGTCACGCAGGAGGCCGACATCGCCGTCGCGGCCAACAACGTCGTGTGGGTGTTTGGCTCTTTGCTTCCTCCCTGAGCTTGCCATGCTGACCCGCGCCTTCCTGACCACAGCTTCGGCAGCCTCATCAACCAGGGCCAGGTGTGCATGTCGACGGCCAACGTCATCGTCCACAAGTCCGTCCGTGCCGAGTTTGAGGCTGCCGTCCAGGCCATCTTTGCTAGCCAGGGCGCCCTGCTGACGGCGTCGGCCAAGCGCAACTCGGCCGGTGCGCCCGACGCAAAGGACCACCGTCTCCGTGCCCTCTTTACCACTTCCTCTGCCGACCGGGTCAAGGCGCTGTACGACGACGCCATCTCGGGTGGTGCCCAGATCGTCGCTGGCCAGCCAGGCTTCGACCTGGATCTCGGCGTGGTGCAGCCCGTGCTGCTGCGCGGCAGCGAAAAGATGAAAATCTTCCGCGAGGAGGCCTTTGCGCCCCTCGTCGGCCTTTTCGAGTACGAGACCGACGACGAGGCGATCCGCATGGCCAATGCGCCGGGCGCCGGCCTCTCGTCGAGCATCTTTTGCGGCGACGAGACAAAGGCGTGGAAGCTGGCCCGGCGCATCGAGAGCGGCGCCGTGCACATCAATGCGCCCAGGTGGGTGTCTCCTCCTCTCCTTCCCCTTCTTCATCTTTCTCTTTCTCTCTTTCCTGCCCCTTGTGCCACTCTTCCATGCTCATCGCTCTCTCACACCTGCACACAGCGTCCACGACGACCACTTTGTCCCCCACGGCGGCTTCAAGACGTCTGGCTACGGCCGCTTCAACGGCGTCGACGGCGTGCGCGAGTTCACGCTCCAGAAGACCGTCACCTTCAGCCCGGGCACCCAGGTGCGTCTCTCTTCCTCTTCATTTTCACTGCCCTGCGCTGATCTCTCTTCCTGCAGATACCCTTCTTCATCATGTGAGGTGGTAATCGCCCTTTCTTGCCTGTGCCACACAACCTGCCCGGCTGCTCTCAATGCGTATGTATCTATCCACCACTGGCCTTTTTATCTATCCACTGGCCTTTCTACCTATCCACTGGCTTTCCTATCTATCCACTGGCTTTCCTTGCCGGGTGCTGTGCCAGTTGTGCACCCACGCCAAAATGCCAAGAATTTTTGTGGCCAGGGCTAACGCACGGTCGCGTCAGCCCTTTCCTTGCCTCGTTGGCCCGTTGCTCCCTTCTGATTTTCGCTCTTTCTTGCGCGGCCTTGGTGGGTAGAGTCACTTGTCACTCTGGCGAGGCAGAAGGAGATGGCTACGCATCGATGAGCGTCCATCTGTGCTGTTGGAGAGGCCACAATAATGAAGACGATAGAGGAGCGAGCGACCTTCCCGCCCGTCCATTGTGGCTTGCTTCTCCCTCAACAGGCAGCTCCACTTCCGATTTCATCTCAGCTCTCCTCAGGCACGTTCAGCCAATTCAAAAGGGGGCGCGCGCGCGTGCTGCAAATTGCAAATCGGCCACAAAATAAAAAATCCCAAATAAAATTTCCTCGCTGAAATTGTGTTTTTTCAAGCTCCTCTGAATGTGTGTGAGATCTCACCTTCTCCCTCCCTATCTGCTACGACGACGACGACCGCAACGACGACGACGGGAGCATAGGGATGAGCGACTCTTCAGCTGGACAACCTTAGTCTTTCTTTCTCCTTCTTTTTCTCCTACTCTTTCTCTCCTCCTTTGCCACAGTGGCCCCTGGAGCCTGTCGCCTGCCGCCTGCCGCCTTGCGCCCACACAGGTGTCCCACCAGAGGCGCGCGCGCGTGCGAGAAACGACGCCCAACGAGGCCCGCCCAGCCCGCTCGCCCTCGCGTCCTCGTCTGGCGTCGCCTCTTCCCTCGTTCTCAACCTCACTCGAGCGTAGGCTTTTTGCACAACGAGGGACAGGCACGGGCGGCGGCGGCGTGCAGCAGCAAAGACAAGGGAACACGATTTCACACAGCGTCGTCGCACACGCCCGCAGGCGCTCGTCCACATCGCCGTCGCTGCTGCTGCTGCTGCTGCTGCTGCTGCTGCCTGACGTCTCGCTGGATAAAAGGAACAGTAAAGGCTGACACAAGAGCCCCCCAAAGGAAGGGACCATTGGAGCAGGCGGTCGCTTGGAAGACGAGGACGAGGCGCGCATACAGAGGCACCTGCGATCTGTTGACTCAGGCGCACGCATACACGACCTGCCCAGTGAAGCCAGCGCAGCCAGCGAAACCCGCCCACCATGTCCGACGTCGAGCCGGGCAGCTTCCACCCGTTTGAGGTGTCGGCCACCCACATCATCTATGTCGGCCTGGGTGTGTTTGTGGCCCTGTTTGGCATGTTCAGTCTCTTTATCAAGGAGAAGCTCTACCTCGGCGAGGCGCCCATCGCCGCCATCTTTGGCATCATCGTCGGCCCCGTCGCTCTCAACCTGTTTGACCCCAGCAACTGGGGCGGCCACAAGACGGACACGCCCGGCGGGCACATCACCAACGAGATCACCCTCGAGGTCATGCGTGTCACCATTGCCCTCTCCGTCTTTGCCGTCGGTGTCGAGCTGCCGAAAAAGTACCTGCTGCGCCACTGGCGCTCGATTGCGCTTCTGCTGGGCCCCGTCATGGTCTGGGGCTGGCTCGTCACGGCGGCCTTTATGTATGCGCTCGTGCCCGGGCTCGACTTTCTCAACTGCCTCGTCGTCGCCTCCTGCGTCACCCCCACCGACCCCATCCTTGCCCAGGCCGTCGTCGGTGGGCCCTGGGCCGAGAAGCACGTGCCGGCGCATCTGCGACACATGCTCATGTGCGAGTCCGGCTGCAACGACGGCGCCGCCTTTCCCTTTCTCTACCTCGCCCTCTTCCTGACGACGAATCGCGACAACCACGGCAAGGCGATTGCCGAGTGGTTCTACGACGCATGGGCCTACCAGATCATCTTTGGCACACTCCTGGGCGCCCTGATTGGCTGGGCTGCGCGCAAGCTCATGCGCTTCTCGGAGCGCCACAAGCTCGTCGACCGCGAGTCCTTTGTGGCCCAGTACGTGAGCCTGGCCGTGGCGAGCATGGGCGTCAATGTGCTGCTGGGGAGCGACGATCTGCTGGCTGCCTTTGCCTGTGGCACTGCCTTTGCCTGGGACGGGTGGTTCACCAAGCAGACGGAAGACTCCAACTTCAGTTCGATCGTCGACTTGCTCTTCAACGTCGCCACTTTTATTTACATTGGCGCCCTCATGCCCTTTCACGACTTTGTCGGCGGCAGCGACGCCGAGCGCAACACCCTCAGCCTCTGGCGCCTCTTTGTGCTCGCTATATGCGTCCTCCTCACCAAGCGCCTCCCCATCGTCGTCGCCCTCTGGCGCTGGATCCCCGACATCAAGACGTTCCGCGAGGCCGTGTTTGCGGGCCACTTTGGGCCCATTGGCGTTGGTGCTATTTTCATCGCCACGCTCGCACGCACCCTCCTGCCCGAGGAGGTCGCCAGCCCGCCCGAGACGACCAACGACTACCTGGCGCTGACGGTGCAGCCAATCATCTTTTTCTTTGTCCTCTGCTCCATCATCATCCACGGCCTCACCATTCCCTTTTTCGCATTCAGCCGGCGCGCGACGACGATGACGCGCACGTGGAGCCGGCACCCCAGCCTGGCGCCCAGCGAGGAGCCCGGCTGGTTGAGCCGGATCCGCCGCACGCGTACGGGCGAAAAGGGCGGCGATGGTGGCCTCGAGGCCGAGGAGGGCAACATGACAGAGATTGAGCGCGTGCTCAATGCCCAGCTCGGCATCATTGGCCGCGGCGCCATTGGCGGCGACGCCGAGAAGGAGCTCCGGCGCGAGGGCACCAGCGACGACTCGGAGACGGCGCGCGCCGACGCCGATGCCGACGACTCGTCGGGCAGTGGTGGGAACCTCGCTGGACGAGCGCGCCTGACGAATGCGCGCACGACAAAGGGCCTCAATGCCGTCGATGGCTTTGACGACGACGAGGATGTAGCGCGCAACAGCGACTGCGAGGAGGACCACCGCGACATGCTCGAGGACCCGACGGGCGAGTGGGGCGGCGAGGACACCGTCGAGATGCGGCGGTACCGCGCCAAGCAGGCCGAGCGCCGCGAGCGCCAGTACGTCCAGCTGCGCGCGGCCCAGCAGGGCGAGGACGAGCGGCGGTCGCGGGCGCACGATTGGCGGCAGGGCGACGCCGAGGATGCCGATCTTGGGCTGGGCCTGGGCCATCGTCACCATCACCACGACCGTGACCGTGACCGTGATCGTGGAGACGACGGCGGCGACGACGACGAGGAAAGGGGACCCATGGACCGCGACCTGAACCGGGGCGACGTGACAAAGGATGCAGGCGTGAGGAGGGAAGAGAGGGCAGAGGCAGAGACAGATGCAGCGGCAAAGGAAGAGGAAGAAGAGGAGCGCAGGGACCGCGAGGGCAGGGCGCGCTACGGCTGCGCGACCGAGGAGACGAGCGAGGAGCGCGACGAGCGCAGGCAGGACGCCGAGCACGCCGCCATCCTGCGCGACCAGCAGCGCGACCGCACCTACCCGGTCACGCGTTCCTGGGTCGAGGGCAGCAAGCTCGTCATCGAGTACCAGAAGCACAAGTCGAGCGAGGCCGAGTGCCACGTGATCCCGCTCACCGACGACGACCGCGAGTCGGTGTCCAGTGCCGAGTCGCCCGCGCATGCATGGGCGCAGCACCACTCCAAGGCCATCGAGCACCACCTCGGTCTCTCGGACGTGTACGAGTGGCACCCCACCGAGGCCGCCAAGCACCTCGTCCACAACAGCATCCCCTCGCTCTACTCGGAGCACCTCGACCGCAAGCGCAAGGCCCTCAACGCCAAGCGCCGCGGCTCCCTCGGCGGGCGCGACGAGACGGCCGTCGAGCGCAACGCACGGGCCGACATGCTGTACGGCGCCATGGAGTGGGCCTCGCAGCACCGCGAGCCTGCCAGCGCGAGTGGTGGCAGGAGCGCCGACGCAGCCAGCTCGAGTGGGGGAGCCAGCCGGCCGACATCGATGCTGCACGACGGGAGCAGCGTCTCGCGCCGGTCTACCTCGTCGGCCACCCACTTTGCGCTGCCCGACTCGGCGGCCGAGGGGCGGCGGCGCAAAGTGGCGCCCAAGAAGAAGCCCCCCGCGCACGTGCAGCCGTCGGACACGGAGTCGGACGACGCCGAGATCACCGGCTGGCTCTCGCCGAGCAAGCCGGGCGTGACGCGCAAGGTCAAGAAGCCCGCCAAGCGCGTCTCGTCGTCGCCCTCGCCCTCGTCGTCGCCCACGCGGCGCGACTCGTCGCCCTCCACGGGCCCAGCTGCCGCCGCCAAGTCAAAGGTGTACGTCTGCAAGCCGTCGGCGACGGATGCGCGGCGCATGTCGATGCGCAAAAAGATCCTCGCCGGCCAACTCTCGCTCAAGGGCCGGCCCGGCAGCATGCAGCCCCATGCCGATCAGGACGACGAGGTGATGGCGACATCGCCGCTCGAGTACGACGCCGACGGGCCCGCGTCGTCGTCGTCGGCTGCGTCGTCGTCGGTTGCTGGTGGTGGTGCCACTGGCAGCGCGAGCCGCAGCCACTTCTTCCCGCGGTCGGCCAGTGCGGGTGGGCTCGGCGAGTCGTCGCCCTCGTCGCCGTCTTTCTTCTTTGGACGGCAGCAGCAGCAGCAGCAGCCGATGCACCGCGACAGGAGCGGCGCCTCGCTCGCCATCCCGCGTACTCGAACCCTGGGTGTCGGTGAGGACGGCGGCGGCAGCGGTGGTGGGGCGGGCCGCGACGGCAGGAGGGACCACAGCCGGGCAAGCTCCGTGCAGTGGCTCGACATCCCCGAGGGCTCCCACGAGCACCAGCAGCGGCCCTCGCGGCCCGGCAGTGGCCACAACAACCACCACCACCACCACCTCGCTATTCCCTCGTTCTTTGGCGGCGGCACATCCACGCCCCGCGGCGGCGGCGGCGGCGGCGGCGCCAGTCGGCCCACGTCGCGGTCTGGGTCGCCGTCGAGAAGTCCTACAGCCACATTTGCCAATCTGCCCGGCGACGAGGCGTCTGGTTCTGGTTCTGGGTCTGGGTCTGGGTCTGGGTCAGCACCAGGGCCAGGAGCAGGCCTGGCCGCCCCTGGATCCGTGTCCAAGAGCCGGTCCAATGCCTCGCTGCGGCCGCCGCCTCAGTCGTCCGACAACGGCCTGCAGTTCCAGCGCTACGACTCTGTCGGCGGCCTGAGCAACAGCGGCGGTGGGGCCGACGAGCCGGCGAGCGCGAGCAACAGCAAGCGGCGCGGCCGCATCGCCGCCCTGATCCAGAACCTCACCACGCCGTCGTCGAGCCGGTCGCAGGGCCAGCAGCAGTCGTACGAGGCGCGCGGCGACGAGACGCCAATGCGGCAGCAGCAGCAGCAAGAGACGAGCTTCGGCTCCAGCGGCGGCATCCTCACGAGCAACCCGCCCTCGAGGAGCGGCACCGCCACCGACGAGGCGACGGGCACAGCGGGTGCGACGGCCCTGCGCGGACACGGCCACGACGACGAGGAGGTCCTCGACGACAGTGGCCCGGCATTTGGCAACACCGTCACTTTTGCCTGAAGACAGTAATTTCTCTCTCTATAATTCTTAGACTGAACGCTGGTTGTGTGCAATGGAATTGAAGTTCCCATTGAGAGAGAGGTGTGCCCATCGATCGCACTGGGGAAAAGCAATACTATACATTTGATTAAACTGCGCCTACTCTCGCTTGCGGTCCACCTCATCGTCGAGCGCATACGGCCTCCAGCGCACGCGGACGGCGTCGCCAACCGTCAACGTGCCGTAGCGCTGCTCGTGCCCCTGTCCATCAAGCGCATCGTCGACCGCAGCCATGGCCTCGGGCACGGCATACATGCCAAAGCACGGCCCGGCCTTTTTCGCCTCGGAGCGGCGGTAGCGTGTCTCGCGGAGCATCGCCAGCGGCACGTTCTTGTCCTGCTTTGCGCTGAGGGTGGATGAAAGGAGAGCGATGAGGCATGGGAAATGGAACAAAGAGGAGAGGGGGATACACTCACGTCACGGGGTCGACGGTCGTCAGCCGGCACCGTTTGCACCTCGCGACGAGATGGAGGCATGCGCTGATGTTGCTGATGCTGTCACTGCCCTCCTGCTCGTGCTCGGACGCTGAAGCAGGGCCGATCCAGATGGTCTCCCACGAGTCCTCGCTGAAGGGCGGGAAGCCACGCGTGCCGGGCCTGCTGCGGAGGACGACGTTGGGCCGAAAGGCTGTCATCTTGAGCGAGACGTCGTCGGCCTCGTCGTTTGAAGCCGTGCGCCAGTGGGCGCGGTCGAGGGAGCGCAGCTTCGTCTCGTCGAGCACCGCCGTCTGGATCTGGCCCTGGACCGCAGCCAGGCTCTCGACGGTTGATACCAGCAGCGGGTACTCGTCCTGGAACTCGATGCGCGTGGGCCCGCCCAGCGCTGCTCGCCGTGCCTCGGGCCACGCTGCGCTCGACGCCGGCGGCTTCCAGATGGGAAACGGCGCGCGTGGGCCCCGCGCCGCGTCGTCGAACTGGAGCAGCACGGCCTCGTACCCGAGGAACTGGATTGTGTGTGAGTTGACCATCCCAATTCCATAGCAGACGAATCCTGCTCACCTCGGACAGCCACTGGCTGGGGCTGCCGCTGTAGGGCCCCGCGTAGCGCGCATCCATCTCGACGATACGTCCGTCGGCCACGTCGCCCCACATCTCAACGTCGCACACGGCCTGCCAGCGGTCGAGCATCGCGCGCGTCGGCCGCAGCGGCACCTCGATGGCGCACCGTGCTGCATCCTGCTGCGGGGCACGGTCGCTGATCGAGAGCCGGAGCACAGCGCGGCCGTCTTCTTCCTCAACAATCTCGGGCCGGACGAGCGTCAGGCGTGGCTCCTCGCGCAGGCTCTGCTTCTCCCACTTGACGGTCTCGCCTTCGCCTTTTGTTCCTTCATTAGCGCTTCCTTGCCCTTCGGACACAGACCGCCGCGTGGGCCGCACGACCATCCAGCGCCGGTCGTACTGGAAGCCCTTGCGGTCGAGGCGCATCGCGCGCCCGCGCTCGCCGACGACGCAGCCCGCACACGACTTGATCGGATACACGACGAGGCGGTCCACCTCGGCGACCGTCTCCTCGTGCGCGCCCGCCGTCTCGTCGTCGTCATGCAGGCGCCCACCAGCGTGAGATGCATGCTGCTGCTGCCGTGTCTTGGTGGAGTGGCGCCGGTGGATGAAGTGCGAGTAGGCGGACACGGCGAGGAGCACGGCGAGCACGAGGAGCTGCACGCCGAGCTGCCGCTGTGCGCTGGGGTCCGTCAGGTACCGCTGCGGGTCCCGCAGCAAGCCTCCGTTTGCCATGGCGATGTCCTCAAGTCACAGGCACGGGTGGAGTCAAGGCAGCGAGGACTGTGAGAAGAGAGACCGTTATCGCTTGCTCTCTTTACTTTTTTTAGACTTTCTTGGACTGAAAGGCATATAAAACCGTCTGAAAATAAGGCGCGTCTTTCGGACCCCTCAGCCCAGCGGCGGACGTCGGGGCTCGGAGCAGCTCCGATGAAGCACAGGAGGCAGGCCGTGTATGCAGTGATTCTATTGCTTATTGTTGGCAACTAATTACTTTTGGAGGAGGATGAGAGGAGCTCACTAGCTCGCATGGCTGTGCTTGCCCGGCTGCAGGCTCACACGCCACGCGGCCGAGGGCAGCGCCTGGAGCCGGCGCGCCGTGGGCATGATGTAGGCAAGCAGGACAACGACGCCGACGGCAACGCAGAGCGTGCTCGTCAGGTAGTAGCCGTCCGTCTCAATGTGGCAGCGGCCGCCAAACTTGGATGTGAGCTTGTTGCAGGCAGTCCTTCCCTCGTCGGACGTGCACTCGCTGCCGAGCGTGCCCAGCGCGCTCGTCTGCTTCAGGGCCAGGTTGCCGGTAAAGGGTGTGACCTCGCACGAAGAGACGGTAAACAGGTCGACGGCCTTGAGCACCAGCGGCCGGGGCCATGTGCCGCCGAGGTTGGAGACAGTATTAAGAAGCGTCATGTATGTGCCCCCGATGAGCGGGTCGGCAATCTGGGTGTGGAAGGCACTGATGCCGACAAACTGCACCGTGCTCGCAAAGCTGCCCGTGACGGTGACGAAGACGATGAGGAGAAAGTAGGCGGTGCTGAGCTCGGGCTTGCCCCCGGGCACGAGTGGGGCAGGGAAACCCCAGACGATGGCCATGCTCGCGACGGCAAAGCCGAGCCGGGCCACGTAGCCCAGGAGCCAGGGCCGGAGCGCATTGTCGCCCTTGGACCAGCGCGCAGCCAGGTAGCCGAGGACGAGCTGGAAGGGAAAGTCGATGAGGACCGTCAGCGCCAGGTCCTCCTTCCCAAAACCCTTTTCGACGAGCTTGAGGCCCGTGACGGCATCGTTGGCCTGGAAGCCAATCTTGGCGATGAGATGGACGAGGATGAATGCCTGGACGTCTGTGTGCAAGTCATTCGTGTGAGCAAGAGATGTAGTCAGAAAGCAAGGAGGGAAACCCACGCTTGAGCTTGCAGATGCGGATCATGACGTCGTACACGCCGCGCAGGTCCATCTCGGGCTTGTCGTCCGCCTCGGCGTCCTCGGTCTTGAAGAAGAGGAGCCAGGTAGTAACGGCGAGAAAGGCGACGGCCGAGAGCTGGAGGTAGGCGTTGAGCGAGAGCACAGGGTAGTCGAGCGGGGTGCTGCGGAGGTACTTGTTGCAGAAGTCGACGGAGTTGAATGCGAGGAAGACGGTGAAGCTCATAAAGTAGCCCGTGTTGAGGCCGACGGTCTGCGCCGTGCTTGCGTAGCTCAGGTTCTCCTGCGAGAGGAGCGTGAGTGCCCAGCCGTCGACGGCAATGTCCTGCGTGGCGGCAAAGAGGACGAGGGAGAAGAAGAGGCCGGTGATCAGGTAGACGTTTGGCCGCTCCACGAGCAGCAGCCGGTCTACGTTCTGGCCGAGGATCCAGAGGACGACGCCGACGATGGCCTGAATGGGCACGATCCACGACTTGCGCCGTCCCAGGCTGAGCTTGATGTTGAGAAAGGGGACGCGGCTGCATGAAGAACGTGTCAGTGAGAGCATTGTAGGCAGGCATAGACGAGGCCAGCAGCGGCACACTCACAGCTCATTGACAAAGCAGCTGTCGACGACGGGGCTCCAAAGCAGCTTGAGGCTGTAGGGGTACGTGGCGAGCATAAAGACGCCAATGTCGCTGTACGAGAGCCGCGCCTTGAGCAGGAACGGCATCGTGCCAAACGCCAGGCCGACGGGGATGCCCTGGAGAAAGTCTGTGCCGAGGGTCGTGTTAGCTTGCGGTCACTCTCGCCTCGCCTCGCCTCGCCCAACCCCGCATACTCACACAGAACGACAAGGAGCGCAATGGCCCTCACGTCGCTCGGACTCAGCTCCGGCGTCTTTTGGCCGTCGACGCCCTTTGCAGCCTCGATGGCCTCGGACCCGTGCAGGCCCCGCTTGGCGGCCTCGTCGCCATCGACGCCGCCGCCGCTGCCAGGCATGTATGCGGCCGCATCGTGCCCCTGCAGCGCGGTGCTGCCGTTGCGCTGCTTGAGACCGCTCCCGTCTCGATCAGGGCTTGGACTCATCCTGATGTTGACTTGCGCGGGCCTGGAGGACATGCGCCGGTGCTGGACTGCTCTGTCAACACTTGCGGCGCAAGAAGGAAAAGACGAGTGGCGAGATGAGGCGGACGTCGACGTGGAAGAAAGACCGCCTGCCTGCGCTGCCCGCCCGACGCGCGCCCAGAAAGAATACTCTTCTCTCCCAGGGCCCGGATTTAAAATCTAGAAGGACGCCCGCCCTTCTCGCACCTGGAAAATTTAGGCTTAGCTTTCCACGTGGAGGGAGTGTCAGTGTGTGTTTTTCCATCGCAGAAAAAGTAAGAGGTCCCAAGTAACTCCACCACGGAAGAGTGCTGCCAAGAGGAGAGGAGAGGGCAGGGATGCCAAAGATTCGCACCTCGCGGACCAAGCCGCCGCCCGAGGGCTTCGAGGAGATTGAGGGCATCCTCGACGACTATGCGCGGGCGATGCGCGATGCAGAAAACGAGAGCCACGAGGGAAAGCGCGTCAAGGAGTCGCTCTGGCCCATCATGCGCATCGCCCACACCCGCTCCCGCTACATCTACGACCTCTACTACAAGCGCGAGGCCATCTCCAAGGAGCTCTACGACTGGCTCCTCAAGCAGGGCTATGCCGACGCCAACTTGATCGCCAAGTGGAAGCGGCAGGGGTACGAGAAGCTGTGCTGCGTGCGATGCATCCAGTCGAGGGTGCGTTTCCCGCCTTGCTTCTTTTCTTTTGTTTCTTGCACTTGCTGACCCTATTGCACCCCTCGTGTACACAGGACATGAACTACTCGGGGAGCGCGTGCATCTGCCGTGTGCCAAAGAGCCAGGTCAAGGGGAACCAGGTCGTCGAGTGCGTCCATTGCGGCTGCCGGGGGTGCAGCTCGGCGGATTGAAGGCTGCAGTTCCGATTAGAGAGCACCAGTACTACCACCACCATCATCCACCACTGCCACCGCCAGTTTCACAACCACCAGCAGCAGCTTCGGCCTAATAGCATGTACCATAGCCAACCATCATTGTGAGCGACTTTGATTCCACTCGGACGTAGATCTTCTTGTCGTGGCTCCTTCGCGTGCATCCACATCTCAAGGTGGTGAGTCCGCATCAGAATGTTATGAGAGAACATTGTTGCGTTGTGAAACACATCTTGAGTCTGATTGGGTCGATGATGACGGTGGACTTGGAGCAAGTGGTCCACAGACAAGCACCAATTTCCGCCGCTCTGGCCAAGTTAAGACCCTGTGTGAAGACTGCAGATGGCACCAGTATTAGAGTCTTGGTGGAGTGTACAGTACACTCTCAGTCTTTGCTGTCAGGCGCAGGCAGCGAGGATAGCAATGAGACGGAGTGCAGATCATCTACTAATAAGCGCTGAGTGGTGGGTGATTTTCCAGCTAGCAAGCAAGAAAGAACAGCGGGAAGGTAGGCTCCGGCGACATGCTCGGTCGCACGAACAGTGGAAGGTGAACCTGCATAGCCCTGGCGACGCCCCCACGGCTCGAAGAAGCACGGCGAAATCACGGCAAAGGGCCCTCGTCGGCTAGGGCACAACGACCGTCGTGCACGTGACTCTACACTCGGGCCGATGGTAGCTCCATCATAGTATTGCGGGGGAGGAAGCTCGATCTATCTGCCGAAGACACGAGATGCCGCCAGAGGGGAAGAGGGGAAGAGCACTCGAGCGCACGCAGGCTATACAAATTGCGGGGGGGCTAGAGAAAAGAGGGGGAACAATTATTTTCCCCGAAATCCAAAACGATGAGCCGCGTGTGGGCGGCCCAGGCCGTCGCAGTGGCAACACGCGCCTGCTAAACGTTCTGCCCGGCTTTCCCTGGGGGGGGCGCGACCCAAAGGGGCAGAGAGCATCGACGACCTTAGGGCAGGAGACAGAGCGAAGGGGCTGGTGTGCCTGGTTGGCTATAAGAGGCCGTCTTGCTTCCTCACCCCTCCATCGCTCGCCCCCACCCTTCTTCCCCACCTCACGAACATTCTCCCCAGCAGCCACCAAGCATGTCGCCGCCCCCGCACCCGACTGCGCAGGACATTGCGCGCGCACCGCGCCGCCACCGCCTGTTTGGCTACCCGATCTCGCACAGCGCCTCGCCTGCGTTCCAGAACACGATTCTTCAGCACGGCATCAGCAGCAGCAGTGGCAGTGGCAGTGGCAGTGGCAGCAGCAGTAGCAGTGCTCCTGCGGCGCCGACGTACTCGCTGTGCGAGACAAAGTCGGTCGACGAGGCCCACTTCTACCAGCTCGTCCGGCACGACGACCGGTTTGGTGGCGCAGGCGTCACGATGCCCCTCAAGGTCTCGGTTACTGCCCGGCTCGGCAGCGACGAGGGCGCAGTGCTGGACGAGCTCGACGACGTGGGAAGCGCCACCCAGACGGTCAACACCATCGTCGTCCTGCCCTCGCTCGCCGGTGAGACGGCCGTCGACAAGCGCCGCATGGTGGGCACCAACACCGACTACCTGGGCATCCGCCACGCCATTCTGCGCGACGTGGCCAAGCAGGCGGGACACGCCGATGCTGCGCACTTCTACAACCGTGGCCCCTCCGTTGTCGCCCGCTTCCCCCTCGCGAGCAACGGTAAACCCCACTCGGCGTTCATCATCGGCAGCGGCGGCACCTGCCGCTCGGCCGTCTACGCGCTCCATAACCTCGGCCTCTCGCCGCTTTACCTCATCAACCGCGACGCCGGCGAGACGCAGGACGTCGTCGACCACTTCCGCGCCAAGCAGTCGGGCATCGACCTGCGCCCGCTCCGCTCCGTCGAGGCCTTCGACGAGGAGCAGGCCAAGCGGCAGCGCGGCGAGGTCGGGCCCGTCGCCGCCGCCGTGGGTGCCATCCCGGCCATGGACCCCGTCACGGCCGAGGAGAAGATGGTGTACACGCTCGCCCACCGCTTCCTCGACGAGCGCTACGAGGCTGACGCAGCCGTGAATGCAGCGTCGACGAGCACAAACGAGTCTGGCAGCGATGCCTCAACGCTCCTCCTGCCCCTCCTGCCCCGGCGGCCGTTCCTCGACATGTGCTACAAGCCGCGTCTGACGCCGCTGCTCGCCTACGCGGGCCGCGACCAGGCCGGCGCCACGTGGTCGCCCATCGGCGGCGTCGAGGCCATGGTCGAGCAGGGCCTGGCCCAGGCGCGCATGTGGGCTGCCAGCGCCTGCATCCTCGACGGTCGTCTGCCGAGCGACGACCCGCTGAGCTACGCGACGCGCGCCGGCGACGACGGCCCGCTGGGTGCCGCGTGCGAGGACGAGGCGCGGCGGCTGGTCGAGACCATGTCCGACGTCGTCGTGCCCGCTGCTGCCGCCGCTGCTGCTGCGAATGCGCCTGGCCCCTCGACGACGGTGGCCGCCGCGACTGCTGCAGCTGCCGCCGCGACGACGGGCGTGGCGCCGCACCGTGCGCCCCAGGGCGTGCACTAGTTTTCTTCTCTTCTTCTCTTTTCCGTCTCATTTGCATTTATTACAAACGGCACCTTTCTCAATGGCCCTCTCTCAAGGCATCGCTCTCAGTCTCAAATGCCCTCCTCATACTGCCTCTCTCTTTTTTCTTCTCTCACGGCACTCGTCTCGCGCTGCACACTCATGACCCTTGTAAAATGGCATATAGCATCTACTTTCTGCTTGTGTGAATTGTGCGCGTCTCTATCTCATCATCTCATTCTCTATATGCGCGTGGTGAATGGAAAGCCGGATCTAGGGACAGCAGTAGCCGCCGTCGACGATGAGGTCGGTGCCCGTCGTGAACCGGCTGGCGTCCGAGGCCAGGTAGACGGCGGCGCCCTTGAGATCGTCTGGCTCGCCCATGCGGCCCATGGGCGTCTTTGCCTCCCACGCCTCGCGCAGCTTCTTGCCCTCGGACGACGTCTCGGTCATGACGCGCGTCAGGCTCGTGAGCATGTAGCCGGGCGAGAGGCTGTTGACGCGCACGCCCCGCGTCGCCCACTCGACGGCCAGGCACGACGCCAGGTGCTTGACGGCGGCCTTGCTGGCGTTGTACGGCGCCTGGGGCTGCGGCAGGTTGACGATGCTGCCACTCATGCTCGCGACGAGAATGATGGAGCCCTGGTTGCCGTCGGCAAACATGTGCTTGGCCGCCTCGCGCGCCACGTACATGGACCCGTTGAGGTTGATGTCGTACAGCCACTTCATCCGCGCCGTCGAGTACGTCTCGGCGGGGAAGTTTTCGACGACGCCGGCGCTGTTGACGCACACGTCGATGCGGCCAAAGCGCTTGTGGACGTCGTCCATGGCCGCAGCGACAGAGGCCTCGTCGGCGACATCGCACTGGACACCGACAATGTCGAGCTCGGCGCCGCCGCCGCCGCCGTACGCGTCCTCGAACCAGCGCTGGGCCTCGTCGGCAGCGGCCGTGGCCTTTTCGGCCGAGAGATCGAGGATGGCGAGCTTGCTGGCGCCGCTCTCGATGAACGCGCGCGCCATGACGTTGCCCAGGCCCATGGCGGCGCCCGTGACGACGCAGACCTTGTCGTCCATGGAGAAGCTGGCGAGGGTGCGCTTCTGGCGCGGCGCCGTGGCGCGGTGGTCCTCGTCCGACTCGTCGCGCTGACGCTCAATGTCCTCGGCACGGAACGTCGTCTTGTCCGTCGTCGATGGCGTGTCCTTGCGCGCGGGCGCCGACGTGGAAAAGGGCGCGGCGGCAGCGTGGCAGAGCGTCACCTTGGACGTCGTCGCCTCGAGGCTGCGGCCACTGCTGCTGCTGCTGCTGCTGCTGTTGCCGCTGCTCGAGCACGCCATGCCCACGCTCGGCCGGGCAATCGAGTAGGGCGCGGCGCCCCGGCTGACGGAGCACAAGCCGCGAATAAAGGAGCGCGAGACGGCCATGGCTGTTGTTGCTTTTGTGCGTTTGGTGGAGTGGTTGGTGTTTGATGGAGAGAGATAGGTGGGCCAGCAGCAGTCAAAAGTTTCTTCCCATCTCGGCAACTTTCTTTTTCCCCTTCCAGATGCGACGCATCAGTGTAAAATCCAAAAAACCCAGCGCGTTTCCAGAAACTGGAGTTAAGGGTGCGCGCTGGCCAGCGAGCAGCTCGGTGTCTTGGTGTCTTTGGCATTGACGTCAGTCGTCTCATGCGCAACCCTGCAGTGCCTTTGCAGGCAGAGAAGAGGGAAGCTGAGGAGAATTGCCGGCGGAAAGGAAAGAAAGAGAAGAAGCTGAGGAAGAACGCTGGCTGAAAGGGGACTAGAGCGTGGAAAGACGGCAAGAGGGGGACGGACGGGCAAAGTGTCAGCCGCAAAAGCCATCCTTGAAACGCCGATGTCAGATAGATTAAGGAAGGCCAGCCACATAGACAGTCGTGCGAGCAGGCCTCGAGAAGAGAGGACAAAAGACGGAATGAATGAGTCGAGAGGCCTGGACATGGGCACCGGGTGGCCGTCGCGACGCGCGCCACCCTCTGCCCAAAAATCATCCAGCTTCGGCCGGCCGGGCCATTAAGTGATGGAACTCAAACACTAGGCAGGAACGGGAAGGACGTGAGGCACAATCGAGATTGCCTTCCCCACCCCCGCCATCCTCCTTCTCTTCCCTTCGAACAATCGCAAGCACTTGCCTCGCCCTCGCCCAGGAGAGATGAAAATTCAGCCACCATCGATGATATGAGCCATGGCTTAGACGGGCTGCGGTGCCGCGGCCGAACCGACCTGCTGGAATGAAAGCAAAGAGGGGCCAGGCACGCGTCCCACGCGGAAAATGGATAGCTCCAGGCCAGAGATAGACAGAGAGATCCATCTCACTTTCGCTGTCGCGCGCTTCACTCTCCCACCTCACCCACATCTCTCTTTTTTTCCAACTAAACAACAGCGAATCACGAACTCCACGACATGGCCCCCACCGCGACGTCTGCTGCTCAGCTCGGCGACGGAGGCGCCAATGGCGCAGCACCAGCTGCTACCAAGACCAAGACAGTCGCGGCCGCGGCGACATCTGCAGCATCGACGGTGAATGCGGTGCTGAGCACCGGCAACGCCCTCGCTCGGGGTGCCGTCGCCGCGGGCACAGACGCCGTCACCGCACCTGCACTGAGCAGCCGCGAGACGATGGCGCTGGAGAGCGCACACGGCGCGCACAACTACCACCCGCTGCCCGTCGTCTTTGAGCGCGCGGCGGGCGCCCACGTCTGGGACCCCGAGGGGCGGTGCTACATCGACTTCCTCTCGGCCTACAGCGCCGTGAACCAAGGCCACTGCCACCCCAAGATTGTCGCTGCTCTCGTGGCGCAGGCGTCGAAGCTGACGCTGTCGTCGCGCGCCTTTTACAACTCGTCGTTTGGGCCGTTTGCCAAGAAGGTCACTGAGCTCTTTGGCTACGACATGGTGCTGCCCATGAACACGGGCGCCGAGGCCGTCGAGACGGCTCTCAAGCTCGCCCGCAAGTGGGGCTACACCAAGAAGGGCATCCCCGACGGCAAGGCGCGCATCCTCAGCGTCGCCGGCAACTTCCACGGCCGCACCCTCGGCATTGTCTCGATGAGCACCGACCCCGAGAGCCGGCTCGGCTTTGGCCCCTTTCTCGACGGTGTTGGTCCCGGTGTCGATGGGCTCGCCATCCGCTACGGCCACGCAGAGGACCTCGAGGCGGTGCTGGCCAAGCACGGCAACGAGGTGGCCGCCTTTCTCGTGGAGCCCATCCAGGGCGAGGCAGGCATCGTCGTGCCCCCGGCCGGCTACCTGACGCGCGTGCGTGAGCTGTGCACCAAGCACAACGTGCTCCTCATCTGCGACGAGATCCAGACCGGCCTCGCACGCACGGGCAAGATGCTTGCCTGCCAGCACGACGGCGACGCCATCCGGCCCGACATGGTCACCCTCGGCAAGGCCCTCAGCGGCGGCGTCTACCCCGTCAGCTGCGTCCTCGCCGACGCCGACGTCATGCTCACCATCAAGCCCGGCGAGCACGGCTCCACGTACGGCGGCAACCCGCTCGGGTGCGCCGTCGCCTCGGCTGCCCTCGATGTCCTCGTCGACGAGGGCCTGTGCGAGCGCGCCGACCGGCTCGGCGCCAAGTTCCGTGCCGATCTCGAGGCACTCAAGGCCGAGTCGCCCCTGCTCACCGAGGTGCGCGGCCGGGGCCTGCTCAACGCGATTGTTATCGACGAGACGCGCAGCACGCGTGGCCGCGGCGCATGGCAGCTCTGCCTGCTCCTCAAGGCGCGCGGCCTCCTCGCCAAGCCCACGCACGTCAACATCATCCGCCTCGCCCCGCCGCTCGTCATCGACGAGGCCGACCTCGACCGCGGCGTCGACATCATCCGCCAGTGCCTCGCCGACCTGGACCGCCTCGACGCCATCCCCGGCGAGGAGGGCGACGAGCACGCCGTCGTGCCCCCGACGACCGAGACTTGATTCCTACAACTTCCCAACTCAACCCGCAACGAGCCACGCCAAGCAAAGTCTGACATGTATACCAACTGCAGTGTCCGTCTCCCCTAGGTTCTTCTTCACAGGAAACCAAAGGGGAGAGGGGGCTGCCTGCAGGAAAAGAGGCCACGGCCCTCAGCCGACCTCTTTTCACCGTCATTTCTTTATTCTCTCCGCCTCGCATACAGCCAGCCAGCCAGCAACCATCTTGTACTTGTATACATAAACTGCACTTTGGGCACAGACGACCACGGCCTTTAGCCGATCGTCTCTGCCACCCCAGCCTCATCTGTACTCGTTGTCTCCCCACCATGCTCCCCCTAATGCCCCATTATGTCTACAATGTGAACGCGTGGAGAGTGATGCCAATGTGCACGCCAAGAGTGATGAGGCAATCGAGTGGTATTGGACAGAGAAGGAGAATGATATGCTGGAGCAGGTGTATTGTGTCACTAGAGCAGGCTGTGCGGTGTGCGTGCAAATGAATGGGATGCTAGGGTAGGCTGCGCGGTGCGCGCGTCTAGAGCAGGCTGTACGGCGCAAACTTCCAGATGTGGGATCGCTGCCAGTACCAGAAGGGCAGCAGGGTGTAGCGGATGAAGAGGGGCAGGCCGAGGAAGTTTTTGTGTTCTGTGCGAGAAACACAGTCAGTTCTGGCCACCTTCTTGATCAAGTCTTGTCGGTGAAAGATTACTCACCTCCCGGCGGCGTGTGGATGGCGAGAAAGGGCAGGTCGACAGCGGGGTTGCCGATGCTGTCGGCCTCCTTCTTGGCCGTCGTGTAGATGTAGGTGATGTCCTGGGCGTTGATGTGCGCTCGCAGGTTGCTGGGGTTCAGCAGCTTCTGCACCTCGTCGTCGAGGTGCTCAAACAGGTCCTTGTCGATGGCCTCAAACAGGCTCACGAGGCGCGCAGACGAGTACGTCGACGGGTCGGCGCGCCACTCGGCCAGCGCCGCCTCCATGGCGTCGATGTGCCGGTGGATGGCCTGGTGCTGCTCGATCTCGTTCTGCATCAAGAATCCCACTCAGTTCCATGGCTGAATAGAGCACGGGGCAGTACTGAGATGGGAACGCACCTCGACGAAGCAGCCCTTGTCCTTGAGGCGCGGAAAGATGGCCTTTTCCTCAATGTCGTGATGGTGGCCCAGCAGCTCGACCCACGCCCCGACGTAACCAAGCCAAGCGGCCAAATCGCGCCGCAGCTCAGCCTCGTCGCGCTCGCGCGCCACCTTGAGAATCTGCCCGTGGGCCGTCCGGATCGCAGTGTGGATCTGGTCCATGCCGTACTGCAGGTTCTCGTACGGGTCCGCCTTTGGTGCCATTGCGCCGGTCTACTCCTTGCTCGTCTCCGCTCGGCTCTCGATTGTGATTTGGATCTGGGTCGCGCTCGTACGGTATCTCGCTCGCACGTTATCTCGCTCGCACGGTATCAGCACGTCTGCGTCGTGGGGCGTTCTGTGTCGCAAGAGGGTGAAGGAAGTGGGCCAGCACTTGCAAATGCGCTTTCCTTTATAGGCTGGCGCCAATGCGAGAACCGCATCGTGAAATTGGCTTGCATGAAACATGACGTGTGCACGGTCCAGGTGCACTGCCCGAAAAAACCGTTCCTGGATTCGCCAACTTAGTCTAAATTCGGGCGTGACAGTCGTCTGCAGATAGGCAACGAACACCGCGCACGGCTTTCCCGACAAGAGGCGTGCAGTCAATTCGAGGTTCTTGCTCGCTCGCATCTCGCTTCAGCACAAGTGCGGCGTGACGACGCTGGTGTTGGCCGCAGACTATCGCGGCAGAGCCTGGCCGCGGCCGTTTCGCATGAGTATCTGAGCTCCGAGGACGGAGAGAGGCGGGCGCCGTGTGGAGGAGTCAGGCGTTCAGAGTGGCATCAACATCATGTGTGTATTTCTCATTCGATTCGCATCGGCTTCTCGGCGTCATACAACAGTGAAGGAGGAGACTAGCATTAAGTTGCGTTTAATGGTGGCTTGACGACGATGGTTCACTCCTCCACACATCCCTGCACTGCGGGGGAATCGTGACAGATCGAGGCGTGAGATTTTCGGGCAAATGTGCAGGCGGCCGAGCACCCTCCCAGATTCTCCACTCTCCCTCCCTCGCCAGTCTTTTCATCTTTTTCTTGAGGAGATCTGACGCGCTTGCGATGAGCTCAGAGCGTTGCCTCCAAAGGCCCTTTAGTGTCTCCCAGTGCGCCTTGCCTTCCTCGATCGATAGACTGGGAGGCTCACGATAATGATGGAAGATCTCTTTCGAAAGATTGTTGAATTGCTGCCTTTGTTTCTCGTCCTCGTCGCTGAAGACTTGACGTTCACCAATCGTGACGTTGTCCAGGGACGTGACTTTGTAAAAGTAGTCGTGGAAGAAGGAATGTCCTCCACTGCTGCTGCTGCTGCTGCCGCCGACGTTGCCGCCATCGCTCTGCTGGATAGCCTCTCCACGGTCGTCTTCTCCACTGGGACAAGCACCGGAGAGGTACATCGAGGAAGATTCGGCCACAAAAATTGCGACGATAAAGGCCAGGACAACCGGGAAGCGCGCGAGAATTTTCATACTGAAGGTGGTGTTGGTGGTGGTGTTGGGAAGGAAAAAGAGACGTCACCCTCGCCAAAGCATCACGGCATTATTCCAGCGGAGACATGCTGCCTCTTGGCTCGAACGCACGAGAGCGAGCAAGTGGAGACCGAACGGGGCGTAATCGTCAGCCCGGCAACACGGGCAGCGTCGGTCATGGGAGGCATCGCCTGTGCAAGTGTATCCGCCTTCCGGGCCTTCGGGGCGACACGAATCAACTGAGTCAGCCACGAGAAAGATTTGTCGTGAGAAAACATCTCAACAAGATGCTGTCAACAAAAACACTGCAAAAGACTACTTGTCTTTCACCTTTATCGGCAGATCGAGATATGCCACACCAGGCCTCACGGTAGCGACCGTTTTACCAATTCCACCCTCTTTGCAGCTAGTGGCGCGAAAATCGGTAGCACTGCTCTACATGATTTATTTTCGTACGGCACCATCGGAGTCTTCAGTACAATTTGGAATCGACTCAAATATGTGAGCTGCCCCTACAGCGACCGCGGCACTCTGTTAAGACTGGAAAAAGGAGGTGAGGGGAATAGGGACTTTGTGGATAACCTTGAGAAGATCTTGACAGCCTTCGACTTCATTGATGACGGCACGGCAACGGATGCCTCGCTAGGTGGGAAATCGTTAGGATCTTGAGGTGGCACCCCTCCCTTCCAAAGTTCCCATTCTCCTTTCTCTTTTGCCAGTGCCTCCATCTTTTCCTTTAGTCGCGGCGACGCTTGCTCGATGAGGACTGCACGCAGCTCCCAGAGCTTCGTGAAGTCGTCGTACCATGAGGTTGCCACGGGCGGGGGCTCGGTATAAAGCAAAAAGATGCCTGCCATGACTTTGTTGAATAGACCCACAATTGTTTTGTCTTTCTTCCTCCTCTTGAGGGGTTCGCCAAGTGCGAGAGAATCGACGCTGGCAGCCAAATCGTGAATAGGATTTCCGCCCTGGCTGCGACTGCCGCTGCCGTCATGGAGACGCAAAAACTGTCCACGACTCTCGTTTCCGCTAGGACGTTCTCCAGTTCCAGGGATTGGCTGCGAGAGCGACGTGGCCATAAAAGCAACGATAAGAATGGCCAAGACCAGAAGGAGTCGACCGAGGGCTTTCATGCTGGTGATGGGGGTCATAAGAAAGTGTACATCATGATCATGAGCAGCCTGCTTTATATAGACTTTAATATAACACGCCCCCCCCCCCCCACTTCCCCCTCTCGGAACCGAGAGAGGGCGAGCAGCTCTGGGCTAAACGGGGCGCGAGCGCTAACATGACATTGGCCCTCTGCAATGACTTGCTCAGCTTGTGCGCTTTTTCGCTCATTTTGGCGGCAGATGGCAATGACACTGTCGGATGGGCACGGTGGGTAAAGCGCACAGGAAGGATAAGAAACAGCGTGAACGACAACATTCCGAAGAGCGGTTCAGTGTTAACACCTGTCGCTAGTCGTGTATTTCTGCCGTCTGGCTGTCAGTCCAAGGCATGCTTCGCGGGAGGAAGGGCATGTTATGTAGGCTAGGCCCGGCCTGCATTGCCTTACTCGAAAGCGCGTGCTTGCGTGCAAGGCTGTCGTCCGGGGGCTGTAGTGCTCGGCGGTAAATAAGAGATGACGTAAAGACATACAGTACAGTACAGTACATTGCCTGCTCTGTGTGTACAGTTGCGCATTCATACCCTCGACCTCTGACAACATTGCCCCCGAGAAAGAAAGAGGAAAGAGCGCGAAGAGAAGGCACCGGTGCCGTCTTGGAAAAAGCCTCGACAACACCATCAACAACAACACGTGTTACTCTATCCCCTCTTTGCAGAACGTCTGACGAATAAAGCGGTCTGCTGCGCCGGCCCCTACGGCAGCGGTCGCACTGCATACTCCTCTCTGGCTGCAAGTGGTGGCGGCACCGACACGGAGCCTCTTTACATTTTTATTAGCAAGAGTGAAATCCTCTGACACATTTGGTGAGCTGCCACGTCTGTGACAGCGTTACTAGACAAATGAGGAGAAGAACAGATTGCTATCATGATGGCCTGTCTCCGCCTTGTCCGGGGGGTGATCAGGGATGGAGACATCGCGAGCTGGCAAGTCGAAAGGAGAGTCCGGTAGCTTCCCAGTCTCCCAAAATTCCCACTCATCGTTATTGCGCGCCAATTTCCTTATCTGCTCGCGAAGATGCGGCAACGCTTGTCGGATGAGGTCTGCGCGTCTCTTCCAGAGGCTCTCGAGATGATTGCCCGACCAGGGCCTCGGTGGCGGAGGCTGGCGATAGTAGTCATGAATGTCGCTCAAGACTCTGTTTATTTCTTCCCTCTGCATTTTGTAGTCTCGCATGTAGTAAGCGTGGTCACTCGTGGAAGATACATCCATACCAACCGAACGGTCGCTACTTTCGCCCGTGCTGCTACCACTGCTGCCGCCATCCAGACGCATGGACTTTTCCCAGCCGGAAATTCCACTTGGACTTGCTACGGGTGAGGGCATCGAGGAGGAGGTGTCTACGAAGACCGCGATGAACAGAGACAAGACGACGAAAAAGGGAAAGAAATCCTTCATGCTGGTCGTGGTGGCGTGAAGAAAGAAAAGTATTTCTCCGATTTCAAGCAATACGACTCCATAACTCTCTAGACCTGCTGCCTCTCTGCAGAGACTTAAGGGGACGAACAGGACAGGGCTGAGCGGGGCACAATCACCAACACGGCGGTGTGGGCACTGCCAACGCGCTTTCATGCCCCTTTTGGGGTGACATCAAACACAAAGGTCACACAGCCGGTCACATGAGCCGACAGAGACACTGTCAACAACAACACATCAACACGTACAGTAATGATGTATCCACTCACTCTTTGCAGATAGTCTGGCGAAATAAATGGTCTGCTCCGCCTGTCCGTATGGCAGCGACCGCACCATCCATTCTTCTCTCGCTGCAACAGATGGCGGCACCGATGCAGAAGCTATATACTTTGCTCATATCGTTGAGACCTCGAATACATTCAATGAACTGCAACGCCCTTAACAATCTATCAACAATAGACAAGTCGGGGAGGAAACACTATTTTGTAACTTCATGAGGTGATGGCGAAGATGGCCCCTCTCCGGCTTGTCCGATGAGGGCTCAGGAATGGAGACGTCGCGAGCCGGGAAATCAATAGGAGGGACCGGTAGCACCCCGGTCTCTCAGAAGTCACATCCCTCTTTTCCTTTCTTTCGCGCCACGTCCTTCACCTCCTCTCGGATTTCTGTCTTGATGAGATCTGCACATCTCCTCCAGAGGCTCTCGAGATAGTTGCGAGGCGAGATTTTCGGTGGCGGAGGCCGGTCATGGGAGTCGAAGATGTCTTCGAAGATGTCTCGTGAGACTCTTGTGACGAACATTCGGTCTTCGTCTGACACGGATCGGGAATTTTTAAGGATTTAGGCACATACTTGAAATCTTCACTTTCTTCGTTCTCAAATGGCTCCCCACTCTTCCACTGTTCCCACTCTTCCTCGTCCCTCGCCAGCCTGTTCATTTTTTTGCGAAGTTCCGACGACGCATCACGGATCGATTCTCCAAGTAACTCCCATTGATAAAAGTACTCGTCGACGATCCCTTTCGTCACTTTAGAAAAGTCTTTACTTTGATAAAGCGACTTGTAGAAAGCACGAATCTGGAGTACTGCGTCGTTGAACTTTTCTCTTTGCTGCTCGTTTTTCTTGGAGCAGACGCAAGGCTCGGAAGCCGTGACAGGCCCGGATAGGTCGCTAAGATAGTCAGTACCCTCGCCCTCGCTATTGCTGATGTGGCTGATGCCGCCGCCGCCGCCGCTGCTGCTGCTGCTGCTGATGCCGCTGTTGTTCCTGCTGATGCCGCTATCGCTGCTGCTTCTACTGATGCTGCTTCTACTACTGCCGATGCCGCTGTTGCTCCTGCTGCCGCTTCTCTTGTGGGTACGCACGTGCTTAGCAGCGAAGTGCTGAGTAGAATCGAGTTTTCCATGGTGAGTGTGGCTAACGTGCTCGTCCGAAGTGTGGCTGGTAACACTGCTGACGCGTGGAGGGAAACGCTCTGGAACAGTGTTGTGAGTAGACTTGAGCTCTCTAACCCAAGAGCTGCCAACATCCTCGTCCGAGTCATCACTGCTGCCGCTGTCGTCTCCCGGATACAAGTACCATCCAAGACCGTCGTTTCCAGTAGGACGTCTTCCACCTCCAGGGATTGGCTGCGAGTCGAGTTTTCCCCGGTGAGTGTGACTATTGTACTCGTCCGAGGGGCGGCTGCTACCACCGCTGACGCCTGGACGGAAACGTTCTGTGACAGTGTTGTAAGCAGACTTGAGCTCTCCAACCCAAGAGCGGCCAACATGCTCGTCCGAGTCATCGCTGCGGCCGCTGCCGTCTCCCAGGTACGTATATCCTCCAAGACGGTCGTTTCCATTAGGATGTTTTCCACCTCCAGGGATTGGCTGCGAGAGTGATTTGGCCACAAAGGCAGCGATAAGAATGGCCAGGACCAAAAGAAATCGAAAGTAGGCTTTCATGCGGGTGATGGGTTAAAGAGGAGAATGTGCATCCCGAGCAGCCTGCCTTATATAGACTAAGAAAGACCTGCTGTATCTCAGTTCAGACCTACAAGGGTGAGTAGCTCTATGCTAAGGGGCCGACTGCCAACAACGCAACACTGGTCCTCTGCTATGAGTTCCCTAGCCTGTGCTTGGGCACGCACATTTCGGGGAGACATCGCATGCGTAGTGGCATTGTCGGTCAAACATGTTGGATAAAGAGCAGGCACAGGAATGACAAAGAAATTCATCAACAACAACATTGCGAAAAGTGATGCAGTGTTTGGCAATTGTGAGTAAGGGTATACCTGTGCCATCAGGCTGTCCGGCCAAAGTCTTCCTCTAGGAGAGACGGGCGTGTGATGTATGCCAATTCTCGCCTATGTGTCAGGATTCGGGGCATCCTGGACGCCCCGGCGCCCTTCTTATTCTCATGCTCCCTTTATCCATAGCCTATTTATTTTTTCTAGACTCTTTTTTTACTTCACAAGCCCTGTCTATTCCCAGGCCATGTCTACAGTATCGGACGTCCGAAGCACGCAATCCAGAGCGCTGCGCAGCGCAGCAGGCTCCTAGACGCACTCCAAGCAGGCTCTCCAGCGCGCTCTCAAATACCGTTGCAAAGAAAATGCAGGCGTCGCAGAGCGACGCCTGGTCATTATAACAAGCACTCTTCCATGCGCTCTTTCTCCTTCCTCTTCGTCGCAGAATACATTCCGATAGCCCCTGTTCGCTCAGATATGCGTAACGCCTGATACTGAAGCATGGGCTGGCGTGCAAGGGCGACGTCCGAGGGCTAAAGTCGTCGGCGGTAGATAGAATTGACATTATGACATACATTCCTGCGAGGTGACATCAAACAAAAAGGCCACACAGCCCTTTACATGAAACGACAGAGACACTGTCAACAATAGGAGATCAACATGTGGGCTGCTCAGCTCTTTGCAAAATGACCGAAGGCAGTCACTTGGAGTTAGGGCAGTGGGAACGAGGAAAGCGTGTCTTTGCTTCTAATGGTGAATTTGCGACGAGCTTCCGGTTTCCTCACAAGGTTCGGGAATGCTGACCTCTCTAGGTTCGACTTTGAAATGTCCCTTTTCTTCGAGTTCCTCAGGTTCGTGTCCACTCTTCCACTGCTTCCACTCTTCTTCGTCCTTCGCCAACTTCCTCATCTCCCTCCTGACTCGCGGTGTCGCCTTAAAAACTTGTGTCGCAAGTGATTCCCAGAGGATTCTGTATCGATCACCAGCATATTCATTTGGCTTCGAGCATTCCCAACGATAGAGAACCTCAAAATAGTGAATGAGGCCAACCATTGTCTTGTTGAATTTTTTTCTTTGCTTCTCCTCTTTCTCGGTGAAGGGGCGAGGCTTGAAAAAGGGCAGAGACTTGATCTTGTCAGTCAGGTAGGGGACGATGCCCTTGCCCTTGTTGCTACCGCTGCTGCTGCCGGTGCAGTCGTGCGGATGCGCGTCTTCTGCTAAAAGGTGGGAAGTAAATTCAAGCTCTCCGACCCAAGGATCGCCGATGTGCTCGTCGGTATTGTCGCTGCTGTCGCTGCCGTCATCCAAAGCCACATAAAGTCCGTGAGCGTCGTGTCCAAGACCGTCGTGTCCAAAATCTTCGTAACGATAAGCGCCATCTCCAAACCCGACATCTCCGCTACCGCCTTCTCCATGAGGGCATTTTCCATTTCCCGGGAGTGGCTTCGAGAGTGATTTGTCCACAAAAACAGCGATGAGAATGACTGTGATTACTAGGAGTCGACCGTGGGCTTTCATGCTGATGATGGAGGCTTGAAGAATATGTGCACCCCGAAAAGCCTGGCTTACATCAATTAAAAAAGGTCTGCTGTCTTTCGTCTACTATATACGAGGACGAACTGCTCTTGAATTAGCGGGGCGTGACCGTTCAACAATGCAACATTGGCACTCTGTCTTGACTTGTCTAGTCTGTGAGCGGATACGCCCATTTTCGGGGCGACATTGCATGACTAAAGGCATCGTCGGATGATCACGGAGGGTTAAAGGACACATGAACGGCAAGGAATACCATCATCATAAATAATAACATGAAGAGTGATGCAGCGTGTTGGCGTATGTGAGTAAGCGTACACTTCTGCCTTCGCACTGTCAGGCCAAAGCCTGCTTCGAGGGGAATTCGGCGCGTGATGTAGTCCAGACCTCGCCTGGGTACAGTCTGATGCTACAGCGTGGGCGGGCGTGCAAGGCTGATTGATGTCCGAGGGCTGAGGTGTTATGCTAAATTTTTTGGAAGGTCGTGACTTCGTTCTCTGCCAAGCTTCACAGGTGCCTCCGTACCCTCAGCTTCTGACAACATTGCCCCGTCGAGCAACAAAAAGGGAGAAGGAAGAAGGAGGTGTAGTGGGGAGGTCACGTGACTATATCCAAATGACGACGATCGCCGCTAAGCAATTTACACGTCCCCTGCGATCGCGACGGACAAAATCCACGGTGGAGCCCCTCTTCTTCGCCGTATCACCGCCCGAGCGCCTGACTAAGTGGAAAAGGACGTTCAGAGAGTAAAAAGGGAGAAAGAGTCTATCCGAGTAGTGTTTGTTTTCCCTTATTTCGGGAAAGGATCGACAATTTGGTCAGCAGAAAGAACGATCAAAGTGCGACGGCCACGCAGGAGCACCAATTCCGCAAGTCGATTTCAAAAGAACAACACCATCACCATTGGGAAGCGCCACGACCGCATCACCATTTGTGCGAATTGTCGAGACGCGAGTCCCCCGCGATGACGTTACAGCCTGGCTCCACACGCAGGGATGACACATCCGCGCCGTCGACGCCGACGAAGCTCGCTGCGTCCATGTCAAAGACGCCCTCCTCTTCTTCCTCGACGGGACCGCGGACACCGACGAGCCAGCACAGCATCGGGGCCGCCTGGCGAGACTTTGGTGGAGTTCCACCGGCACCGAAGGCACCTTCACGGCGGCTCGTTCTCAGCTCCAGTGGTCGACGGGGAAGACGGGCGCGACAGGAGCAGCAAGACGACGACGACGACGACGACGACGACGACGACGACGTGGATGACGATGACGGCAGTCCGACGCCGAGGGCTGCCCGCCGGCTGACGTTTGGCAGGCAGGACGCTGATCTCGTCAAGGGACCAAGAAGGCAGAGGCAGGTCGACGAGGATGCACCCCTCCTTCGCCTTGACCTGGATGGCAGCAGCTCGACGCCTCCGTCGCCGCGAATCGAGCCGGCCTGGCTTCTGCCCGCCTTTGGCCAGACGGGGAGCGGCGACACATCGAGGACCTTGACGCCGCCGCCGCCGCCGCTTGACGCTGCACAACTGCCGGATTTTCAGCAACGCGGGGATGGTCCAGACCGAGGCCGAGGTCGAGGTCAGAAGAGGCGCCGAGTAAAGACGGGCGACGCTGCAGTCGAGGAGAGGAGTGTTCGACCACGGGCGACGAGGGCCGACACCGCCAACACGATGACGGCAACGGCAATCCCGCTCGTGGTGCAGCGAAGCCTGGACCTGACTGGGTGCCAGAGTAGGGCGAGAAGGAGCCTGCGGCGGAGCATGTCGCTCAGGGACGCCTCTTGCTCAGCAACAGCAGCAGCAGCAGCAGCAGCAGCAGCAGCATCCGCATTGGCCCCCGCAATGACTCGTTCCCAATCGGCCACGCTCGCCATCCGGGTCACTGATCAGCGCAGCCGGTCGCTCTCCACGTCTACGCTGTGTGGGGCTCGTTCGCTGTACGCTGCTGCTCCGCAGTCGGCGCCTCTCTCGCCTCTGGTCAGACCATCCTCGTCGTCCTCTCCGTCGCCCATGGACCGCCACCGCGACTACTTTGGCCCTGGCCCCTGGTGGGCCTCGTCGCCAGGCCATGCACCAAGCTCGCCGCGCGTGTGCTGAGGCCATCTGTATCTTTCTTGCTCATGTTATCATCATCATCATCATCGTCACTGCCATCACTGCTGCGAATTGCCATGCTTCTGAATTACACAAGCTGCCTTGCCTCGGACAAGCAGAGTGGGGCCCCCCCAAAAAAAGAACACGGGATTGGTTCCAGGCGATGAATCCAAAATGAGAAATCTCCGTCGCGCCCTCCACCGATTGACGAGACGCATTCATTCTTCTTATTCTCTCCACCAGATCCGATCGGCAGCTTGACTGGGTGCTGCTGCCAAGTATCGCAAGGGAAGATGAGCCGTCCAGAGACATCGCCGCTTCTCGGCCACCGCTCCTCGCCGAGCCGCTTGGCCGTCTGGAAGGAACGGTGAGTGTTCACTAAGAATCGACTTGAGAATGACTGGCTGTGATACTGACGGATCCCGTGGGGCAACTTTGTAATTAAGTCTGTCAGAGGAGGTCGATGTTGACGACTGCGGGTCCGCGCTCACGGCTCAGTGCGTCATTGCGGGCGCCGCTGATGCCGCCGCGTATGGCCAGACGGGCACCTGGGTCGCCTTCATGGTGCGTCGTGCCCCTCTTCTCCCCTTCGCACATGCTTTGTCATCGACCTGACGAGACCTGCTCCAGACGGGCAACCTGACGCAACTGACCATGTCCGCCACGACGATTGGCATGACGAGGCCGAGCCCAGAGTCGAGCGTGAACCGGCTGATGCTCTCGGGCTCGTCGGTGCTGGGCTTCATCGTCGGCGCCTTTGTTGCGATGCACCTCGACCGGCGCTTCGGCTCCCGCTCGCGCGGCAAGCTCGCATCGATGGCCGTCGCCAGGGCCGCCGTCTGCTTCGTCGTCGCCGCCTGGGTCGCCTGGGAAGCGCGGAGGGGCCATGGTTGGGATGGCTGGATCGGCGCTGGCGCGCTAGCACTGGTGCGTGTCGCGCTCCTTCATCTCTCTAGCAGCTGCGATTGATGAACGCATGCTGACTCCTGTCACTCCAGCTCGCCATCAATATGGGCAGCATGGCCGTCAATGCGCAAAAGGTGGGCAATGGCCCCTATGCCACCACGGTCGTCTTTACAGGTTAGTCAGATGTGCGATTCGTGCATGGATGTCATTGAGCTGACTGAACCTGGGACTTGCAAACAAAGCCACGCTTGCCCAGCTCTTCTCCGATCCACTGCTGCCGTTTGCCGTCTCGTCTGCCTCGCTCAAGCGGGCCAAGTCCATCTTTGGTCTCATTCTCGGTGCAGCCCTCTCGCAGGCCATCATGATTCTCACCCCTAGACTGACGGAGACGCGCGAGGAGACGAGGCTGCTCAAGGAGGCCTCCTCGTACGGCTCCGCCTACGCCCTCATCTTTGTGGGCATCGTCGAAGTCGTCGCTGTCGGCCTCTGGCTCCGGGTCAAGCCTGCTGCTGCTGCGGCAACGGGACGATAGCTACGGAAGCCCTTTCACACAGAGTGTAATGAAGATGTAATCATTTGCCATATACATGCACTTGTCTAGTCATGGCAAGCAAGCGGAACAAGAGAGTGTGTCACTCCTGCGCATCAGTTGTCGAGGCCGGGGCAGTTCTCCGAGTAGGGCGAGTTGGACGTGAGCTTCTCGTCGACAATCTCGTAGATGTAGTCGAAGTGATCGCTGGGGTAGTTGATCTTGTCGCCCAGCGCCTTTGCAATGTCGTCGAGGGCGTCGTGCTCCCAGCAGATGAGTACGTTGCCCGAGTTGCTGTCTGCGTAGTCGTCGACGGCGTCCTTTGCGCAGTCGGGGTCGTCGCGGTCGCAGTGGTGGTCGATCGTCAGGCCCAGGTCGCCCGCCAGGGGCGCCACGGTGTCGTAGGGCCTCTCGCGGGAGCCGTCGGACTTGTAGTCCTGCGTGAGGATCTTGCCGATGTTGTAGCCCGACGAGGCGCCAAAGACGTTGCGCAGGCACTGGGCACGCTGCATGCCCGCCGAGCTCAGCCCAACTGCGTGCGCGTGCACCGGGTGTGGTCAGCTTGAGATTGGAGAGGAGATACGCTCCAACAACAACGCACCTTGGTCGTCGTCCGACGGCTTCTCTCCATGCCGGATCCTGCGCAAGAAAGTCAAGTCAGCTCAAGGCAGGCTTACGATGAGATGGGCACTGACAGGAAGATCTTGTTGTCAAAGGCCAGAGCCGTCTGGACGGCGGCGAGCACAGTGAGGGCGAGGGCAAGGCTGAGTCGGGCCATGGTGGGGTTCTTGCAAAGAGTCGTGGAGGAGATCCGCGGCAGGAAGCTCGAACGGACCCCTCCTCCTTCAAAGAGATTCTTCTCCCTCCTATGGAAACTCTTTCCCGCTTCAGGAACGCAATCCCTTTAGCCGTATATGGATGAATCTCGGGAGGAGAGAGGCAGACCACCGTCATGATTAAGGTTCGTCTTCTTGTTCTTGTTGGCGGAGAGAAGCTGGCGCTAGCGGCCGACGGCTCGCTATTTATTACTTGACAGGCCTGGCCAGGCCAACCAGGGAAAGGCATTTCTCAACGTGCCCACCTTCTTTTTCTCAACTCGGAAATTGTTCGCTTTCAATTTTTGTCGCTACTGCTGCTACTACTACTACTACTACTTAGACTAATCACAAAGGCAGGCTAGGGTAAAAGGAACAGAGATCATGTTGCTCGCCAGGAACAAGGAAGAACGGGGACAAGGTGGGAGGATCCTACGGAGTGAAAGTAGTGTCAATGGGCGAATCTTTGGAGAAGTTGATGGCAAGCTGGTAATGATGTTTAGCCAGAAGCTTGAGTCCTCTTACGACGATGACCTCGCCGTCGAAAGCCCTGATCAAGATATCCATTTCGTCGATTCGAACGCCGTGAAGATTAGGAAGAAAGTGGTTGTATGTCTCGTCCATGTCTGCCCGAAGCCACTTCTCCGTGCCGACTGTTCGGGGCGTCAACATTGGCTTCGGCGTCTGGCTCGAGGGCATTGGACTCACCCCGCCTGAAGTATGCGGCCATGACGGGCTTGAAGCTGTTGCGGATCTGAAAGGGGACATACCAGGGGTTGAGGCTTTCGTGCAGGCGTACAACAAGACCGCCTGTGAAAATGACACTGCAGTTGACAAAGCGCCATTTTCGCGGCCTCTTTTGCGATGTTCCCCCACGCATCAGTGCACGAAACGTCTCTTCGTACAAGTCCAAACTGTGTGAGACAGAACACTGGGGATTAGTTCTTTAATGGCAAATCTCTCTTCGTATGAGCGCCACTTACCCTTTGCCGCACTCTGGACATCTGTTGCGGACGTGGATATAGCCCTCTTGGTGGTCTCCCTGCAAGTGGATGCAGGTGCCGCAGCCCCTGCTTCCGGCCCACCTGGATTCGCCAATGGCGGCCATGAACTGGTGTGGGAGTGGTTGCCAGTCTTGATAGTGGCACGCCTCCTGGGCTCTTGGGTCTCCGCCGTACGATGTGATTGGCCCAGTCTGAACGTCGACAAAGTTGAGATCTATTGAGGCAGACTCGGCCGGCGCATGGCGTATTGCAGGCACCTTTGTGATGAGTATATTGTCTTTGGCGGTGGTATAGGCAAATTGGCCTTGATTGCGACCATGGTCGACGCAGGGCCTTTCCGGGGAGCATTGCGGGATTATAGGCGTCATTCCATCTTGGGAGAGCGGGTTTCGAGCCAGGGATGACTTATGACCGTGTAGGCGCGAGGGCCGGTGCTTCTGCCTCTGCGCCAGCGAAACGTCAAAGCCTTCGTTAAGGCCAAATCTGGGTTCCAGCTCGCGCTTCCCAAGCTCGGTGCTCGAGTCGGTCGACGCAATGGCGCGAGCAAGGGAAGACGAGAGGGCTAGCAAGAAGATGACGAAGCGCATGTCGGTACTGTGTGTTGGCGAAATGGAAGAGAGACACCAGGGGGCGGCCTTTAAGTACTCTAGTGTGCAGTACGTAGCCCGGTCCCTCCTTTTCCCCCCTCCCTTCCGCTCTCTCCCACCGGCGTTTATTCCGCCCAGACTTGTCCAGCGGAGCCATTCTCCTCCCGAGGGAGCTTTTTCTCACGGTTCCAGCGGCAGTACACTTCGTTCCTGTGATGTCGGGCGAGTTGGACCCCGAAATAAAGAACAGGCTGGTGGCCTTTTTTCTCGAATCAGGAGGCGCCCGAAAAAGAAAAGAAAGAAGCTCCGCCCAACAGTTTTCCGGCTTCTCTGGCAGCCGCGGAAGTAGATACGGCAGTGCCCAATCGGACACAGCAGTGCTCAGGAGGCACAGATAAGCCGCAGAAGCGAGGGCAGGTCGGGCACGACTGGGTCTCAAGATCAAACGAAGCATGGGTATAGAATAGTTATCGGTTAGGGTGGGCATCTAAATCTTTCCCACGTCCTTTAACAGCTGTTCACCATCGACGAGGATGCAAGGCCCACCGAGAATGATCCGATTCTTGTAGCAGTCGTCGAGCTCGTCGACCCACGCCTTGACTTCGTCGTCCTCGGCGCCCGGTTGCAGCCAGACGGCCGCAATGCCCAATTCGAGGATGGCCGCCTTGACGATTTGCAGGGTGACGCGGGGCGGCGTGATGATGCTCATGCTCGTCGACGTTGGATCGGGAATGTCATATACGCTCGCCACCGTCTGCAGCTCCTCGACTGACGACTCCCGAGGGTGGATTGGGATCGCATCAAAGCCGTGCTCCTTGTACCAGCACGTCACCTGCAAGAGCATAGTAACGAATAAGCATCGCCTTCTCGCACGACTGTTCTTACGGGGACAGGACACGCATGGTAGGCTTCGCGTGGCCATTCGTAGAAGGTGAAGCCGCCTCCTTGCGACACGCTCACCTTGTTGCCGATCTTGTCGTGGTCCTTGCTATAATCTCATCGTCAGTGTTGATTGGGGCACGGAAATGTGAACAATTGGAAGGAACCCACGAGGCGCCTACGATGGCGAAGTGGTCGGACTTGAAGAACACCTCCTTGGCAGCGTCCACGGACATGACGGCCAGGCCAGCAGTATGTTGGAGGAAGCGAATTAGAGGGAAAGGAAGAGACGACAGTGACGTAAAGAACAGAGCACCAGGACGTGAGACTGTGCTTTGGAACGGGAAGAGGAAGCTACCGGAAGTCTGAGGGTTGCCTTAAGAGACAAAAGAGGCCCTTTGTCTGCACCTCTTTTCCTCGCATGAAGCGACGCTTCATCTCTTCTATCTGCTTTACATGTGAATAAATGACAACAAGGGGCCCAAGCGCTTTTCCCACCGACTGGTGTGGTGAGGGGCCCGAGCACATTGAAGACTAGAGTGTGATTTGTCTAGACTGATCGATCTCGCGACCGCGATAGAGGACCGAGAGTGGCCATCGCCTCTGGCCGCTGCAATTGACAAGCGACACAGGCCGCGCTGTGCATGGCTTGATGGAGTAAATGAAGTCAATGAATCGTGTCATCGGTCCTGTCCAAAGCTGCATGCCGTAGCTCTCGCTCGCTAGCTCTCGACTGCAAGCGCCGCCGAGCAGCCGAACGGCGACATTTTTGTCTAGTCTCAAAGGGAAAAAAAGAGGAAATATCCCGACGCGCGACATTCCTAATCTTTGGCACTGTTTTTGCTCCCTGTGAGGCGGGGGGGTCTCTTGCCTCTCTGTCATGGCCACCAGTGGGGCCGAGGAGGGAGCAGGCAGGACAGGCAAGGGCGAAGGCGAGGGCGAGGGTGCGAACGAGGACACGGACTCAAGAATTGCAAAGCTGCTGGCGTGGGCGCGCGCAAGGCACCTGTGGATCCACGATGGCATAGCGATCCGACGAGCTCAGGAGGGCGACGAGGACGAGAGCACGGGCTTTGGTGTCTTTGTCCGGCCAGGCCACACGATCGAGGAGCGGCAAGTGTGTGAGTGCGGTGGTATGCAACGAAACAGTCTGCTGAGCTGATGGGAGGCAGTGCACAGTGACGCTTGTGCCAAAGAGCGCGATCCTGTCGGCGAGGACGACGACGCTTGCGCCCCACCTGCCACCGGCTATCCTCTTCCACCCGGACTCGTCGTCGGGCCTGCTGCTGTCGCTCATCGTCCTGCATGAGCTCCTCGTTGGTGCTCAGGGGCCCTGGTGGGGCTTCATCCAGTCGTTTCCCCGCCTCCGGGGTGGAGACAACAGCGGCAGAGACGGCCATCGGTGGGGCATCCCGCTGCCGCTGGCGTGGGCGCGCGAGAGCAGCCAGTGGGCCTGGCTGCGGGGCACCGAAGCCGGCCGTATCGTCGAGAGGGCAGAGAGAGACCCCGCAAGACTGATCGAGGGCCTAGGCATAAGCCTGCCCCGCCTCGAGGCCTACTTCCACCGCACTGTGCTGCCGCTCCTCGCGCCGCTGCACCCGGGTGTGCGCATCGGCCTCGACGACTTTGTCGGCGCACACTCGCTCGTCAGCAGCCGCTCCTTTGTCGTCGATATGTACCACAACACGGCCCTGGTGCCGCTGTCGGACATGTTCAACCACGCCGAGCAGGCCAACATCCACTTTGAGGCCGACGACGACGTGTGCGACGAGTGCGGCGCCCTGGGTGCCTGTCCGCACTGCGACGACCCCCTCACGGCCGCCGACTACGGCCGGGCGTCGGCGATGCTCCCGGCCGAGTCTGGGCCCAACTCGGTGGGCTGGCAGCCACCCATCGACGCGCTCCGGGGCGTCGACACGGTCGACATGGTCGCCCAGTCGCACGTTGGGCCTGCCGACGAGGCCTTCAACTCGTACGGGATGCTGAGCAACGCCGCGTTGCTCACCACGTATGGCTTCTGCCTCGAGGACGAGACGGCGTTTGAGCGGTATGGGTGGGAGTGGCGTGATGCACACGAGCGGGCCGAGCTTGTCGATGCGCTTGGCCTGCCTGGTGGCTCGACTGTGCAGGATAGGAAGGCAGTGAAGAGATCGCACATTCCTACCGCACGCGAGGACGAGCAGGGCAGCAGCAAGCGTGCACGAGGAGCGGCAAGCCACGACGGAGAGGAGACGAACAGAGTCGAAGAGAAGGAGAGGAGTGAGACGGGCAAGAGAGACACCAATGGTACCGACGAGGGGAGAAGAGGGGCAAGAGAAGAAGGCAAACAGGAAGCTGTGGAGGACTTTGGGGCGAGGAAGGAGTGGGCGATGCTGTGCGCCCAGTACGCCGACCGGCCCCTATCGATGTTTGCCGAGCTATACCAGGACCCAGTACAGGTCCTCGTCGCCGCGCAGACGGCTGAGGGAGATGACGTCCCCCTGCTGAGGCTCCCCCACCCGTCTCCCTTTGCCCTCCTGGCCAGCGAGCCCGTCGCCTTGCCTGCCACTGAGCAGTCGCCCGACCATGGCAGCGTCCTCACAGAGGAGCTCCTGGCTGCGCCGGGCACGTTCGACGGCTGCAAGGACGCCACGCAGCCCCTCTTCATCGACGAGACCGGCCGCGTGAGTCTAGGCCTCTGGCGCGCGGCGCTTCTGTCTGTCTGCCTCTCGGCGTCGCTCTCCTCGGCGAGTCAGCACGGCATCAGGCAGCTCGTTGCGCGCATCGAGTCCACCTGCGACGAGACCAGCGACGAGCCCCGGCGGGCGGCAGAGGACGACGCGCGGCTCTTTCGCAAAGCACTCGACAGGCTCAGCGCCCTCGTGAGCCACCGCAGAGCACGCATGCACATCTGCGCCAACCAGGAAGAGGCACTCGACATCATCGAGGTGTGTTTCTGTTTCAGAACATGACGATGGGGAAAGACAAGCTGACTTGATGGCACTATTCAGCAGGAAAAGGGGAGCGAGCTGAGGAGCGCGGCGCTGCATGCCTTTCAGGAGTTCAAGGCCCTGGGTGCCTGCCTCGATCGTATCAGGGACCTGACAGACATGGCCGGCCAGACGACTTCACAATAGATGCTTAAAAATGTAGTACCACTCTTTATATCATATGGACCAAGATGAACAATCAGGTTTCACCCGTGGATCTGTCATGAATCAACAAGGAAATATGGGAGAAGCTAGTGCGCGCGAGACGGCGGGGTCGAATCGCCGCCGCCGTCGCCGTCGTCAGCGCCGGTATGCTCGACGGTGCTCTCTGGCTGGTCCGACGATCGCAGGCTGCCAATCGAGTCCGAGAGGTCCTGCTGAGCAGCGAGGGCGGCCGTCATGGATCGGTTGGTGGCGGGCTGCTGCTGCTGCTGCTTTGTGCCGCCCGACGTCTTGCGTGCGCTCGACTGGGGCGAGATCCACTGGCCGCCAATGAGGTGTCCACCGGCGGCCTGCGACTTGAAGCGGCTGCCCCTGCTGCTCGAGGCGCCGCCCTCGCCCGCGGGCGTCTGGCTCCTCGAGGGTATGGCGCTGCTGGCGATGGGCGGCGTCATGGCGCCCGACGTCGATGACGAGGCAGCAGCAGCAGCAGCAGCAGCAGTCGTCTGCTGGCGACCGCGCAGCAGGCCCTCGCTGGCAATCGTCGTCTTCTGCACGCCCGACGAGGGGTCCTGTGTCCGGATGACGACGGGCCGGTTCGCAGGCGACTTGAGGGCCGCGCCAGGCGCACCAGCGGGCGAGGGCGGGCGCGAGTGGGCCGGCGTGACGCCCGCCGACGAGTACGACGAGCCAGGCGCAGTGGGTGGCACGCTCGACGAGCGCGGAGGCCTGCTGCGGGCCGCCGTGGCGCCAAAGTAGTCGAGCGGCAGTGGGGGAGCGGCCGCGTCGGTGGCGATGGGGACGGGGCTCGCGACGAGCGGCGACGCAGGCGCGACGTCCGTCTCGGTGCGCCGCCTGCTCACGCCTGCACCCAGCTGGGGCTCGCTGTCCGAGGCCTGCCGCTGGCTGTTCTGGTGGCTGCGTCCCTGGCCCTGTCCGTGGCCCTGGCTGTGATTGGGATCCTTTGCCGAGCGGCGGCGCGTGATGCCGAGGCGGTTGAGCACGGTGGGCTTGCTCGTTGTGGTAGTCGTCGTCGTTGCCGTCGCAGCAGCCGCCGTCGCAGCATCGTCTGCTGCGGCCCCGTGGGAGGCGCCCAACGCAGGCGCAGGGAGCGCAAGTGTATGCGTGTCCTTGGCCACGACGGCCGGCGCGCCGTTGTCGCCATCGCCAGCAGCGGCCGCGGCGGCGCCAACACCACCGTCGTCTGCGCCCGGCTGCACGGCCTTGTCGCCGTGGTTGCGAATGGCAGCAATGTGCTCGGGGCTCGGGGGCGGGTTGAGGGTGCGAAAGTCCTGCTCCTCGTTGCCGCGGTCGTCGTACTCGTCGAGAATCTCTTCGCCGAGGAGCTCTTCAAGCACGTCTTCGAGCGTGATGATGCCCAGCGGCCAGCCGTGGTGGTCCTCTGCGCTGGCCGACATGCGCGAGTTGATGGGCGTGAGCTGGGGCATGGCCGAGAGAGGGGGAGCAGCAGCCGCAGCAGCGGCGGCATTGGCCTTTTCGTCGGTGATGGTCGCGTCCGAGGGAACCGACTGCTCGCGCAGTGCCTCGCCGCCGTCCTTGCCGAGGCCCAGGCGGCGCGACCAGATGCTGCGACGAGACTTGTGGGCCCTCGTCGGGCTGCCGTCCTTGCCTGTCGTCGCCGTCGCCGCCGTCGAGTCGCTGCCGGAGCCGGCCGAGGACGAGTTGGAGCGGCCAAAGTACGTCTGCTTCTCCTCGTCAATGTTGCCCAGACCATCGACGCGCGGCGCAGCGCTGGCGCCCGGCGGCGGCGGAGGAGCTGCTGCTGCTGCTGCGGCCTGGCCGGGGGGACCCTGGGAGGAGCGGTAGAGGTTCGAGTGGGAGCCCAGGTCGGCGATGCTGTCGTTGAGCATGGTCCGGTTGCGCGGGCGGGCCGAGACGATGGCCATGTGGCTGCGGCCCTCCTGGAAGGCGTTGAGCACGTTGAGCAGCGGCTCGTCGCCAGGCACGGTGGGCAGGGCGTTGATGACCATCGATGAGACGGGGATCGCATCCTCGGGGTCGAGAAGCACGCACGACTTGACGAGGAGCGTGCCGATGATCTTCTTGCGCTTCACCGTCTTGACCTCGTCATCGCCTGGCTCGCCGTCGCCCGTTGTCGCTCCTGCTCCTGCTCCTGCTGCTGGGGGTGCCAGCGTAGACGAGTCCGTGTCGGCAGAGGCCTTCTTTGCAAAGGAGCCCAGCAGCGGGCCGAGCTTCTTCTTTGTCGGCGTCGCACCCCCGCTGCGCGTGTTCTGCAACGCGGCGACGGGCACGTCAAACTCCTGGTAGATGGGGATGCGCGAGTGGCCGCTGCGCACGACCTTTTCCAGCGTGGGATAGTCGAGCGTGGCGGTAAAGGGGAGCATAAAGACCGAGTCGATGGGCGTCATGGCCTGGCGCACCACCTTTTCCTGCAAGTCGAGGGCGCCGCCGACGATCATGACCGTGTCGCCCTTGAGATCGCCGCCGCGGCCGCCCGAGGCAGCGTGGATGGCGACGAGCTCCTTGAGCTCGGCACGGCGGTAGACGATGCCGTGGTGCGGGCCGAGGACCCAGTGGAGGATGCGCGAGACGGGAAAGGCGACGGGCCAGAGGACGAGGATGACGATGCGGGTGGGAAAGGCCATGTAGGCGCCAATGACGAGGCCGTAGCGCGAGCACGTCGACTGGGGGATAAGCTCGGCAAAGATGACGATGAGCACAATCGAGGCGGCGACGGAGCCGATCGGGTTGCTGATCAGCGGGTCAAAGATGATCGGCAGCGTCTCGTTGGTGATCATATTGGCGATGAGGAGCGTCGTCAGGAGCAGGTGGCCGTCCTTGCGGATGGGGATGATCTTGCGCGCCCGCGCCCGCTGCACCTCGGTGCCCGTCGTCGAAAGGACGTGAAGCTGGGTCTCGTCGAGGGACATGTAACCGAGCGTAAGGCCGGCAAAGATGCCCGAGAGAACGACGAGGACGGGGACGAGGATGCCAAAGGCGATGCGCTCGCCTTCCGCCATAGGTTTGGACTCACATTCAGCTCGCTTGTATAGCTGACCACGCTTTCCAAAGCGATGCAATTGCCCAGTGATGGAAGAAGATGTGTCTGCAGCAGCGACGCGGAAGCGGTTCAGGGCGGTGCCTTGCGCCAGATCTTGCGCGGCCTCGGCCGTGGCGAGTCCCTCGTCATTGTTGTCGACGACGTAGTGTGCTCGATACTGTTGCAACTTGACTTGATCGGGGTGAGTGGTTGAGGCGACGGCAGCTGCCGCATGCCCGGGTGGCGACTGTGGGAGGACATGGCCAGCAACGAGGCCGAGGAGAGAGAGGAGGAAAAGGGAGACGAGAATCGGACGGCTGGGGCGTCGAGACGGGCCAGACGAGCCTAGGGTTGCGCTGGGACGACGGCGGGGACGGCGATGACGTGGAGCGGGGCGATGACGTGGACCATGGAGCAGCGATGAGGCACCTAAATCGGGAGGATCGACCATCAATGAGAGAGGCAGTAGAGTGCGCTGAAGCGAGGGATCTTGGCGGTGCGAGAGGGGTGGAGAGGGAAGAAGCGGACCAGATCCAGCGGCGAGGTGGAGTAGTTGTGATTGTGCTGAACGAGAGAGGGGAACCCTTCTATATTTATCAAATACTCGACGAGCGAGATTGCGGGAGCAGCAGGTTGCCAAGCCCTCCCTCCTAACCTCGTGCGAAAATAAGTCGTTGAAGACGCGCAGGCAGCCAGGCTGTGTCCTCGGCCCTTGTGCCCCGGTCGCGCGATGTGCACCGCTTGCGTGTTTGAAAATTGGCCGGGCTTCCAATTTGGTCCAAAGTGGCCAAAATTGGGTCATGTCCTTGGCCTTTCTGTCATGCAGGCGGCAGGGCCCGACGTTTCGTGCGGCTCGGGCGGAAACTGAGCGGCCGAGTCTGCGCAGGAGATAATCCGGCGAGAAGAACGAGCTGCGCGATAAGGCAAGAGAGACAGGCAGGGGAAGGACAAGATAGAAGAATAAAGGTGGCTAGATAAGGCAGAAGGCAAAAGGCAAAAGGCAAAAGGCATAAGAAGAAGAGGAGAAGAGGTTCCTGACGACGATCAGGCACGCAAGGGACAACCCACGATGAAGTTCTTTCTGGCTCTCGGTCTCTTCTTCCTGTCGGCGCTCGCCCTCGCCCAGCCCCATGTCATTGCGGGTGGCAGCAGTGACGGGCAGCAGGCCGTGGCGCGCTCGTCGCGCACCGTCAAGCCGCGGCTGCTGCTCATCACCATGTTCACGCTCGAGCGCAACGTCTGGCTGTCGCGCTGGCCCGGCCTGCTCGCCCACAACATCACCATCCCTGGCCTCTCGCCCCTGTTCCCGCATGTCCACTGCGAGAGCTCGGGCCGCGTGTGCCTCATCACGACGGGCGAGGGCCAGATCAATGCGGCATCGACGATGACGTCGCTCTTCTTCACCTCGTCGCACTACGGCCTCGACCTCCGCTCGTCCTACCTCTTTGTCACGGGCATCGCCGGCGTCGATCCGCGCCATGCCACGCTAGGCTCGGCTGCCTTTGCGCGCTACGCCGTCCAGGTCGAGCAGCAGTACGCCCTGTCGCAGAACGAGGTGCCAGACAACTTCACCTCCGACGTCTGGTCCTACGGCACCACGCAGCCCGGCGAGTTCCCCACCGAGGTCTACGGCACCGAGGTGTACAGCCTCAACCATCCGCTGGCCCACGCCGCCTACGCGCTGGCGTCGAAGCAGACGCTCAACGACTCGTCGACGGCCAAGGCCTACCGCGCCCAGTTCACGGCCGCCAACGACACCAAGCTTGGCGCAGAGGGCCCCAAGGCACTGCTGGGCGACGTGGCCACGTCGGACCTCTACTTCGCCGGCCGGCGGTACAGCGACGACTTTGCCCTCACGACGGCCACGCTCACCAACGGCTCGGCCACCATGGTCATGTCGGCGCAGGAGGACAATGCGACGCTCGAGGCACTCCTGCGCGCCCACCGTGCCGGCCTGGCCGACTACGCCCGCGCCCTCGTCCTGCGCACCGCCAGCGACATCCTCTTTGCGCCCCCTAACCTGTCCGAGTACGCGGGCTTCGAGGCCACCCAGGGCGGGCTCCAGCCCTCGCTCGACAACATCTACATTGCTGCCAAGCCGTTTGTCGACAGCCTGCTCGACGACGGCCAGTGGCGCGCCAAGTGGGCCAAGGGCATCACCCCGCAGCGCCGCGGCCTGGGCGACATCTACGGTACGCTCTGATTCAACCACATTCCATTCCATTACTATTACTCAAACGAGATAGAGACAAAAAGAATTCTTTCATAGACGTTGACACAAATGATTAAAGGGGCCGATTAAATCATCACTACTTGAGCTTGTCGTGCACGGCGGGCGAGCCCCAGACGTCGGCCTCGACGCGCTGCTTGGTCGCCTTGTCGGCGACGAAGCCGTAGTAGGCGGACCGTGCGAGCGTGTCGGGGATGGGCCAGAACATGCCCACGCGCCGCTGGTACTGGCGGTATTCGGGGTACTTTTCCGCAGACACTTCTTCAGAAAAGAGGGCCGAGGGCAGGAAGAGGCTGTTCATCAGCAGCGGCGAGGCAATGGCGGCGTTGACGAGGTACTCGAACGCAGGCCGGGCCACGTGGTGCGACGAGGGGTAGAAGGTCAGGGGCACAAAGAGCCACAGGATCCACCACGTCGTCTGCTCGCACGCAAAGTTGGGGTGCCGGCTCCAGGCCCAGAGGCCCTTGGTGACAAAGCCGCGCTTGGCGTCCGAGGGCGTGTAGCGGCTGCTGCGGGCCTCGCTCACCGTGAGGGGCTTGCCCGTGATGTCGTTGCCCCGCTTGAAGTTCTGGTACTCCTGCTGCTGGTGGTCCGCGATGAACTGCACGACGAGGTTGACGACGAGCAGCGCTGCAATCGCGTAGTCGCCCGCCACCAGGTGCGAGGCCGGACGCGGTGGGGGCGCCGACTTGTACTTTGCACTGGCCGACTGGAGAATCACGTACTGGGGCAGCGCCGTGCACGCCAGCAGGATGTTCTGGGCAATGGCAATGAACGTGAGGGTGAAGATCTCCCAGACGGGCCTCGACATGCGCGCGCGAAGCAACGGCCATCGGTAGTCCTCCTCGCCGCTGTGGCTTGCGATCAGTATCTGTGTTGAGAGCGAAAAAAGGAGAGGATACAGGACTCACGCCTTGAACATGCCTCGACGGACGGCATTGTACGTCAGACGCGCGCTCCACAGCAGCTGAAGGGCCAGCATAAGCGCCAGACGCGGCTCCACGAGATCGGCCCAGCTCTGCGTGACCGAGCGTGTGGCGCCAAAGAAGCCGCTCAGCTTCGGCGGGTCGATCTGGTAGGCGACGTACTTTTGCAGAGCAAAATGTGCGCCGTAGATGACGGGCAAGAACGTCCAGAGGCCGTCGACCTGCGAGGCATTGCCCGTAATCTGCTGCATGACGTAGACGTAGATGGTGAAGAAGCCGCAGATGGCGATTGCGCTGTGCAGGGAGTCAGCCTTGCTGTAGAAGGCGACATGGTTGCGGTAGTCGAGCAGGCTGGTCGCCGAGGGGAAGAAGCTCTTGTACGTGGGCCAGAAGGCCTTCAGCGCTGGGATCAGGTTCTGCGACGCATCCAGCGCCGGGTGTGGCAGCGCGCTTGGCATTGTGTCTTTCGCGGATGGGCTGCTGGTGGATGGATGTAAGAAGAATGGCGAGAAGATCAGCTCATGTGTGGATGCGACGGATGGAGGTGGAGAAGACGCGTCTTACTTAGTCAGCTGTCAAGTCTGTCATCGAGCAGTTAGTGCGCACGACCCTTCTGAATTTGCTCAAAGGAGTTGCGGAATTGCACGCTCCCACGGTACAAAGATGAAGAGGCCAGTGCTCTCCGATTGCAAGCTACCATCACGAATTTCTCTGACGGTCTGTGCTCTCATTGTTTCATGACTTTAATAAGACCTCAGGGACAGCCGGCATCGCACGAGAGCCGATGCAGGCGTGCACGCTCCTCGATCCCTACCCAATGCAGTCGTATTTGTGCATGGTCCTTTCCCGGTTGGGTGTGCTCTTATTTGCTTGCTCACCGCGGAGTAGAAGATGATGTCGCAGGCTAATCAATAAGTCCCGCCTATATATCATTCGCCATAGTCTGCACGAAGTCCAGGGGGTCATTGCTCCCGCTCGCACAGCTCTTAAAGATCCCTTACAAAGAGTCTGCTTGCGCCAATCGGCCAGCTGCCCCCGATGCTGTCACCACGCTCATCGCCTGCCGGAGCAAGTGCCATGCCACTCCTTTCCCAGCCGTGGGCGAGCCCAGAAGGCTCATCGAGTCGCCTGGTGGGCGCCGCCTGGGACTTGCCAGCGGGCGTGGCAGAGTCGGCTGCTCGCGCAGTCTCATTCGTAGGCCCCCTATCTCTCGGTGCAATTGCTTGGGAGTTTGTCTGCATCGACATTGCGGCATTCCTTTCGATCACACTCTTTCCCCGTCGTCTCTGGAGCCGCAGCCAGACTCAATCTTCGCCCAGACTCTTTTATGCGACGGCTGCCTTCGGTTGCATTGCTAGAGCAGCGGCCTTGGCTTGCATCAGCATCTATCTCGCTTACACCCATGGGGACCGCCAAGTAGACTGCCAGACATGGGCGCACGCTGTTGCTGCCACCGCTGCCGTAGTGAGTAGTGGCATCGACCAGGCAGGGAAAGACAGCTGACAGTCCGTCTGCAGACCTTCATTGCGTCAACTGCAGCCGTTTGTCTGCATGTCGCCGCAAGAATCAGAGCGCACACGATCCTCCGCTTGTTTCTCCTCTTTGCATGGTTATCCCACTTGGGCTCTGCACTCGCTTCCATCTCGACTTGGCAGGGAGGACTACGACCAAATAGCTTCACCTGCTATATCCGCATCGAGCGCTGGTTTGGTGTCTTCTAGTTGAGTGCTCCATCAAGAGTTTTTTCAACTTTTCTCATTCTGACAAGGGTCTTGTCACAGCATCGTGCCTCTCATCTGGACCATTCTCATTCCCCTAGTCCTGCTATCTCTTGGACGGGTGCAAAACACTGCAGTCGACAATTTGACGGAACAGGGCCGTTCCTTTCGCGCACGCTTGAGCTCGATGAGAAGGCGTCGTTTCCTTACAAACCGAACGTTGGAAGAAGCTGATCTGCCCTCGACCAAAGCTCAGTTCGAGCCGCCAAGACAGTCGCCGTCGTCAGAGGAAGAGAGCGAACTGGCCATTGCCCTACATGCCCATCTCGGCTGGTGGTTCACCTTCCTCTGCGTCCTTCTCGCAGGCACCGTCCTGGCCTTTCTCGAGTCTTCAGCTATTCTGAAATTGTGAGTGACTTCACATCCTGGGCCCAATTCTCCTCTGAATGCTGACTTTTTCAAACAGCGTCTATCTTCCGGTCTCTGTTGCTCTCTGGTGGGTATTCTGCTTCTAACATTCCTACCTTACTCGCGTCTGACCCTTGTACTACAGCCCTTTGATCTGCAGGAAACTCTGGAGCAAAGACGATGCGAACGTCTTGTCGACGGGCGAGTCGAAAAGGAGTCCAGTGAACTCGATCAATGACGGACGAGAACCGCGACGGGGCGTGATGCTTCAAGAGGCCTGTGACCAACTGCAATGGTGGACTGCTTCGTCGCCACCACCTACGCAGTGGATCAGCGGCGGTGGTGTAGCAGGCCGCGAAGGTGTTGGTCCCAGCTCGAGACCCCACACAGCCTCTTCTGGGGCCACAGGTACGGCAGCTTCGAACAATTCGACTCGAGGAAAGAAACTGGTACACCATCTCAGCGGGAAGAGTTTGCGCAACCAGGTGATGCGCATCGTCGCAGACAACGCCGCCACGGGCGAGCACCTGCATGCCCCTGTGGCAGTATGCTCGCCGACGTCTTCCTCGGGAAGACGGACGAGCACATCGTCGGGCATGGCCAAGGCAGGATCTGCAAAGTACAAGCATCGAGTGTCGCCCATGGCCAGCTCAATCGCGACGACATACTCGACGACGGGGACAGGCAGTCCGCAGGGGGAGGACCGCGTCATGCAGGACATCACCAACGTCTCCACCGGCAGCCTTTTCTACCCCTACACTTCGGTTGAAAAACCGAAGTCGCCGCTCAGGGCCAGCACATTTGGAGACGATGCACAGCAGCTGCCGAGCTCGACACAGACCCAGTATGTCGTCGGTGGGCTAGGCCCTTCGCCACGCGGCGCCCGTAGCAAGAGTGCGAGAAAAGGCCTGCAGCAGCACAAGAGGAGCAACTCCGAAGGCGATCCGCTGCCCTTGCCTCTTGAAAACAGCATCAGGACAGACTCGAGCGGATTGGCAGTGCGTAGCGATGTGGTTCTGACGCCGCACACGGAGCTGAGCGAGCCGTCGCTGTCCGACTCGGCCAGCAGAAGCAGCAACAGCCCACTGGCGCGCGTGGCGACCGGTGCCCGTCGTGACGAGACCGTGGTCAGAAAGACCAGTGTCGATGAGATCAACGTGCTGCTCGACGCCATCGAGGATGCCATTGGAGAAGGCACAACTTCCAGCAAAACAACAAGCCAAGAGCAGCACCTCGATCGCAGCGAGGCACACATGGACGACGAGCTGAGCGATGACGAAGACGATTCGGGCCTGAAGATCCTGCGCCAGGCCAAGGAAGGCGCCTCGATCAACCTGTCCCACGAGGCAGAACCGAGCAGCGAGGAAGAGCTGCGGCCATCGTGGGCACAAGACGATAAGCGCAAGGGTGAGTTTCCCTTCTCTACAGACGCGTTCTTCTCGGTCTGACGTGGCTCCGCATCGGCGACGACAACGAGCAGCAAAGGAAAAAGAGCACAATGAAGCGCTCAAAACCGGCATCGAAGCAGTCGACACCGACGTGCTGCACGAGTTCATCGACGCGCGCGGCTTCCCACAGTCCAAGAGCAGCGACACGGGAGTGCCACGCAGCAGCGACGAGCTTTTCGCAAAGAAGCTGGCCATATTGTCAGAGCACATCGATGAGACGCAACACCACAGACGTGGCTCGAACGCCCATACCGAGGCGTCTTTTGGCTTGGGCGACATCGCCGACAACCCGCGGCTGAAGACGGTCCTTGCGATGGGGTCCCAACCGCGGCAGAATCCATTCAAGAGTCCAGCATCACCTTATGTCCGCAGGAAGTCGAGCAACGGCGTCTCGTCACGAACGTCCGAGGGCTCCAGTGGAGCAATATCCAGCCCCAACTCGCTCTCAAAGTCTAGCTCCTCTTCTTTGGGCAAGCGAAGGGAAGGTCTGGGAAGCCAAGGGAAGCGCGAGAAGCTACTGCTGCGGAGTCGCTCCAACTCCAAGACGACCATCGCCAGCACCTCTACCAGTTCCACTTCGGGCGCGTCGGCGCCCTCAGAGACCATCGGCTCAGTCGTGGGACTCGGAGAGCGTGGTGGCTACACCCGCTCTCCCCATCCTCTCGATGTCGAGCAGGATCTGCAGGCTGGTGAGGAAGCGGACGAAGTGGTGTCGGGCGAAGAGGAGCTTTCCAAGGTCATGGGTGATGCGGGGAACGAAAGTGAGTCAAAGAAGAAGACACAGTCTGAGCCAAGCGATGAGGCCGAGATCACGGCCAAGTCAAAGAGCAGGAACGAGCGAGGCAGCCGAGGCTCGTACTCTTCTAGCAGGAGCATGGCACCGAAGCACAGTGGCAGCAGCTCCAAAATGTCCGCGGGCGTCAAGCAGGGAGAAGGGCAGGCAAGCAAGCAGAACAAGCAGCAGACGCAGTGCTCAAGCACCAGCTGCGACACAAACGATACCTTTGGAGGGCGGCTCTGAGTGCAGCGCCATCATCACATACACCAGAGCTGTCAGACTCATACGGACAGACTCGTTTGGACAGAATACAGAAAGTAGAGCCTTTTGATTGAGAAGTTGCGATTTCCGAGTGCCGAGGTGGAGCGACGATTCTGTGACTCAACAATATACCATCACTCTTTATTTTAGAGTTTGTGACTGACTGCGAGAGGGTGTGAGAGCGATGAGCGCGGCAAAGCGGCATATCGTCGTCGTGGGCGGCGGCGTCATTGGCCTGAGCACGGCCATTGCGCTGCTGGACCACCTCTCGTCGCGCTATGACGTGACTGTCGTGGCCGAGGACCTCCCTGACCATCCCTCGACGACGTCGCCGTCGCCGTCGCCGTCGAAGCCGCCGGCGTCGTACGCGAGCGCATGGGCGGGCGCCCACCACGTCTCGGACGCAAAGACAGAAGAAGAGCTTGCACGGGACCAGGTCACGTTTGACGTCCTGAAGCGACTCCATGCCGCGCGGCCTCCGGGCTTCGACGAGGCGGGCGAGCCGATCGTGTGGAACCACCAGGTCGAGTACTTTGAGCAGGACCGCATCAACCGGGCCGCTGTCGAGTGGTACCCCGACTATCGCGAGCTGGATCCGTCGATGCTTCCCCCCGGAGCGTGCTTCGGATGCAGCTTCTCGACGTGCACCATCGTCGTGCCCCTCTACCTGCCCTTTCTCTTCCGCCTCTTTCTCGCGCGCGGTGGCCGCGCACTCCACGCGCGCGTCACGAGCCTCGAGCAGGCCCTGTCGCTCGCCGAGTCGCGCACGGCCGACTTCATCTGCAATGACACTACTGCGTCGTTTGCAGCCCCATCGGCGCTCGTCGTGTCGCCCGGTCTGGGTGCGCGTGCCCTCGCCGACGACGAGGCGGTGCATCCCGTGCGCGGCCAGACGCTCCTCGTGCGTGCGCCCTGGTGCACTCTGTCTGAGCGCGACACCGTGCCCAACGCAGACCTGCCGCGCACCGCGGCCGTCTCGCCGTGGCCGGGGCTGAGCCGGTGCAACGAGGAAGGGTTCCGCGATGTGTACGTGATCCCACGCGGCGGTGCCGATGGCCACTTCATCGTCGGCGGCACCCGCCTCCCCCACGACTGGTCCGACGAGCCGCGCGAGGCAACGACGCGCGACATTCTCGCCCAGGCGCTGCGCTACATGCCTGCGCTGGCCAACCCGCACCGGAGCTTGACGGCGGGCGCGGGCGAGGCCCAGCCCGACGATGTCGACGTCGTCGCCGTCAACGTCGGCTTCCGGCCGGCACGCAGCGGCGGCGTGCGCCTCGAGCGCGGCCCCTCCCTCGGCCAGGCACAAGTCGTGTACAACTACGGCTTTGGGGGTGTCGGCTACCAGGCCTCGTGGGGCGCCGCGCTGCAGTGCCGGGACCTCATCGACGACGCCCTGGGCCAGGCCCGCGCACCCCGAGGCAGCACACTAGCAAGCCTCGATGGGCGGTGCCAGCTCTGACAGCGACGAGATCCCCACCGACCTGGGCTCGCGCATGGAGAAGAGGCAGGGCAGCTGGGCAGAAAGAGGAAAAAGAGTAGAAATAGGAATGCAGTGACCAATGTATGCTAGAGTACACGAGAAATAGGAAGCTTCACATCGCTGTGCTGCCTGTCCACGCCATCGAACTGCCCGTCCACGCCATCGAGCTGCCCGTCCACTCCATTCTGCCGCCCGTCCGACCCATTCGCCCTCGCTCGGCCATGCAGCAGGTCGCGCGAGCTCGTCGCCCAGCGCTGCACGACGCGCGGCGTGACTCTCCGCTCGCGCACCGACGCCGCCAGCAGTGCGCTCCCACCTGCGCTCCCACCTGCACTCCCACTTGCACTCCCGTCTGCTCGTCCATTTGCTCGTCCGTTTTCCTGGCCAATTGCCCGTCCGTTTGCCATCCCATTTGCCATGCCAGTTACCCGCGCATGCTGGCCGTGGCCCCCGACGCGCGCCGTACTCTGGTCGAGGCGCTCGTAAAAGAGCAAAAACGGGTTCTGGCGAAAGACGTCGCTGGGCGCACAGGGCTGCACGTCGGCGTCGGAGATGCGGCTCCACTCGTCGCGGTTCGCTGCCAGAGCATCGCCGTCGTCGTCGAGTTCCAGCTCCGAGTCTGGGCTTACTGACGACGACGACGGGGAAGGAGACCGCCGCCGGAAGCTGACGTAGTGGCCCGACGAGTGGCCGCCGTAGTGGACGACAATGGCACAGAGCCGGTAGAGCGTCTGTGGCGGCGGCGGCGACGGCAATGACGACGACGACGAAGAGGAGAAGGGTTGTCCATCGGGGCCGGGCGTGCCGGAGCGCGAGATGGGCTGGTCGGCGCGCACGTCGAGCTCGCCGGCGGTGGTGATGGGCGCGACGTCGAGCCACTCGGAAAAGACGACGGTGGCGTTGTTCTTGCTGGCCCCAAACGCACCCGCAGCATAGCTGGACCGGTTGAGGTGGATGACAAGCAACGGGGGCGGGCGCGCGAGCATGACGTGCTTGGTCGCCAGCTGGCTCATGACGCGCTCCATGCGCACGTCGGCCAGCAGGCCCGAGCCCTCGACGTCGTCCTCGCCCAGGTTGGCCTGCAGTGCGCTGCGCAGCCGCTCCTCGCGCTGCGTGGCCTCCTTGAGCTTGCGCTTCCGTGCCTTGTCGCCCTTGTTTTTGCTCCTGTTGTAGTCTTTGTCTTTTTGTTTTTCCCTGCTTGATGAATGCGCGGCTTGAGACAGACGCGCGACATCGGCCGTGGCACGGGCCAGGGTGGCGACGAGGCTGCAGCGGTGGCAGATCCAGTCGACGCGTTCGAGGCGGGCCCAGTTGGCCAGGCACGTCTCGAGGCGGACGACGGCGCCGGCGCGCGCAGGCACCGCCAGGCTGAGCTCGTCGGACGCATAGTGGCGCACGGCCTCGACGTAGCCGCAGTCCATGCACGCCGTGCGCTGTGCCACCAGGCCGCGGAACGGGCTCTGTGCGTCGGCGCCGATGCCGTGCGGTGACGATGACGATGGCAAGGAGGACGGCGCGATGGCAGCCGCACCCAGGCCCACGGTGACGGCACGGATCGTGGCATCGCGCTCGGCCAGCACAGCGGCACGCTCGTCGTCCAACGCACTCGAGACAAGCACCAGAAGCTCGTGGGCGTCCTGCTGCTGGTGGGCCTGGAGGAAGGAGCGGGCATTGGAGCGGGGCAGTCGTGCGAGGGCGTCGGTGAGCGCGGTGGGCACAAAGGCGCGCTGCCGCTTCTGGCGCCGGTTGAGCTGCTGCACAACATCATGCAGGCCGTCGGTCACGGGCGTCGGCACGTCCCACTCCTCGGCCAGGGCCTCGACGGCGACGAGGTAGCGCTCGAGCCGGCCCACGGCTGCGAGGCTCTGGAGCGTGCTGTTGAGGAAGCAGCTGTTGCCCGTGTTGTACAGGCCGGGGTACTGCCCGCCCTGTTCCTGTGTCTGTTGCTGCTGCTGCTGCTCTCCCTTCAAAGCAGCCCGGCTGGGCCGCTTGTTGCCAAATACACTACCGTAGCTACTGCTGCTTCCGCTGTCGGCCGAGGAGGAGCGCTCCGTACGGGCAGCAAGGAGCGAGGCCAGGTCCCTGCCCAGGCCCACGGGCACGGCCATTGTCGCCAAGAGGGCGTCTGTGCAGACGGAAGCACAAGCAGCCGCCTCAAAGTGGGCCGCAGTGACGATGCGCGCAAGGGGCTCGGGCAGCCAGTCGTCGTACGACAGCACTCCACCAACGTCGGGCTGGGGCGTGACACGGTGCAAGAGCGGCGGCAGGAGCACGAGGAGAAGCAGCAGGCCAGCAGCAGCGAGCGCAAAGAGGCACACGAGCAGCGAGGCGGCCTGGGCAGCGAGCGTCTGCGTGTAGGGAAGCAGGCCAAAGAGGCGGTAGCGCTGCTGTTCGTCGCAGTCGACGACGACAAAGTTGCTGCCCGTCACGGCGTACGTGCGCGTCTGTGCAGCAGCGGCAGCAACAGCACAGCCCACGACGAGGAAGGCGACGAGGAGGGGGACGACGGGGCGACGACTCGACCGCTTGTCCATGGCGCTCACTCCGACATGGCCAGCATCGTATCGACGGCGACGAGAGCGCGAGAGGGCCTTGGATGTAAGAGAGCGACGGAGCGATGAGAAGACGGAAAAAATAGAAAGAAAAAAAAAAAAAGAAATCCAAATAGCACGCCCGCACCTCGCTGAGTGGAGGGAGGGCCACGCCATCATTCGTCACCCGAGAGAGGGCAATTTAGAGTGCGCAATTACAGCAGATTACAGTATTTACTCGGCTAGTGATACATGGCTGATGACGCCGCTGCCCAGGCACTCGTCGCCGTCGTACAGCGCGCACGTCTGCCCCTGTGCCACGCCCACGACGGGCTCGTCGAACGCGACCTCGACCGCAGGCTGCGCGTCGTCGTCGTCGTCGCCGGGCGTGCTGGGCGGCAGACGCGCCACGGTGCAGGCCACAGCCGCCTGCCGGTGCCGGATCTGGGCCAGCAGCCGCGGCCGCTGCTGTCCGTCCGACCCTCTGAGCGATTCAACAAGACTTCCCCGGGCGCTGATGGGCAGGAAGGCGTCGATGTGCAGCGAGCGGCAGCGCAGCAGCGGGTGGTCTGCACCGGGCACGACGACAATCTCGTTGGTCTCGGGCTTCTTCTTGGCCACGAACCAGCGTGTCGACGCCCCGCCAATGCGTGCACCCTGCCCCACGGTCAGCGTGTGCAGGCCCTCGTGCCGGCCGACGGTGCGACCATCCAGGCTGACAATGTTGCCCGGCCGCGCGTCGATGTAGCTCGCAAGGAAGCGGGCGTGTCCTCGCGTGCCCCGCTCGCCGACAAAGCACAGGCCCATGCTCTCCTCGCTCGCCGCCGTGGGCAGGCCGACGTGTGCCGCAATCGACCGCACCTCCGCCTTGGTCAGGTTGGCCAGCGGGAAGTGCGCTCGGCCGAGCTTGTCGGCGGCGACGGCGCTGAGAAAGTACGACTGATCCTTGGTCGCATCACTGGCGCGGTGCAGGCTGCCCAGCACGGTGCTGTCTCCGGTGCCGCGGTGGTAGGCCAGCCGGGCATAGTGGCCCGTAACGAGCCATCGTCGGGGTCCCGGGCTCGCACTCGGGCTTGCATTCGATGTGAGAGACGGGAAAGACTCGGCCAGGCCCGCACGCAGCAGCAGCTCCCCGAACTTGATCTCGCGGTTGCACGCCACGTCCGGGTTCGGCGTCGTGCCCCGCTGCCAGTCGTCGAGCGCGGGCGCAAAGACCTGGTTCCAGTACTCCGTCGAGAGGTCCATCTGTTTGATACTCTCGTCTCAGTGTGTCCGTCCTCTTCATAGTCACTCTGCCACCACTCACCAGCTCGGCCTTGAGGCCCAGCACTCTGGCTGTGCGCTCGACGAGGCGCCAGTCGCGCAGCCAGGTGCAGCCCGTGCTGCCGCCCGCGCCGGGCTCAAAGGTCTGCGCCTCGTCGAGGCTGTTCCAGTTGCGCATAAAGATGGTCCGCACCGGCTTCAGCCCGCCCCGCTCGATGGCGAGAAAGGCAGCCACAGACGAGTCGACGCCGCCAGAGAGCGTGAGCACCGCTGAGTAGATAGAGTCAGTCTACAGTGGCTCGAAGATAGACTCCATCAGCACACACCTTCATCGCCCGGCTGCGGTCCGAGGCGGTCGACGGGGTAGCGGTCGAGCAGCCGGCCCACCTCGGCGCTGGTCGTGCTGATCGAGCGGCGTCCACATGTCAGCAGCGGCCTGGCCACCCGTAGCATCTGTCGCCCTTGTTCACCACCTCCCACAAGCTCGGCACGATCAGCTGCAAGACACGGCTAGGAAGGAAGATTGCAAGATGCAGGACCCCAACTGCGACGGCAAAATTATAAAATTCAAGGCGCCCACAGGACGATTATGTAATCACAACACCATGATCCATCTCCTCCCCTTAGTCGACTGAATCCTCAGAAGATTGTTCCGTCGCTGTCGATGTTCTGGTGATGACGAAGCTCGTCAGTGTGCATGTATGAAGACTTCGATGCAAAGAGCGCACTCACGATGGGCGGGCCACCGGTCTCTGGGCGCTTCTCCCGCGCAATCTCGCGGCCGCCCTTCCATGTCCTGCATGGATCCATGTCGTTGAGTTAGTCAGTCGGTCAGTCGGTAAGGAGATCGGCAGCCACTCACGCAGCTTCGAGGACCTGCTTGAGGTTGAGGTCCTCGTCCGCCAGGCCCATGCTCTTGCGCAATGCGGCGGCGATGCGGTCGAGCAGGATGACGGTGCATGCGCGCCACTCGACGACGGCCGGGTGCGACGGCGTGAGGGTGGGCAATGCGCTGACAGGCGCCGACGAGGCGGCCTGCACGCTCGGCTTGGGCACGAGGACACCCGTGTCGATGAGGAGGCCGCCATTGCGGTACTCGGGCAGGCCCGTCTGGTGCTCGCCGCCGACAAACTTCCAGCCGAGCGTCTGCTCCATGGGCTCCATGATCGAGTAGCAGAGCCACTGGGTGAGCTTGTGGAAGGGCACGAGGGCCTCCTGTCCCTGGAAGCCGCCGTGCTTCTCCAGGGCCTCGCACTTCCACACGTCGCCCATGACGACGCCGTCGAGCACGGTGCGGCCCTCGGTGGGCCAGACGGGCGCGAGCCCCTCGATGAGCGCCTTCCACAGGACGGGGACCTGGACCTGGACTTGCCCCGTTGCATTCTTTTGCGTGCTGGCATGGCCCAGGAGGTAGTCGACGAGAAAGCCAGGCCGCTTGGCGGGGCCCGGGATACCGGCTTGGGGCCCGGCAAAGTAGCCGTGCGCGTCTGTGCTCACGACGTTGCCCAGGCGCGCGAGGAGCCCGGCGCGGCCCTCGAGGCCGTCCATGGGATTCGAGGCCGGGTCCACCTGGAGCGAGATGCTGAGCAGCTCGGGCGTGAGTCTCGCGAGCGCTTGTGCTAGTGCAGAGTATCTTTCAGCGACGCGGGCGCAAAACAACCGAAGAGACAGGCTCACCCTCGCACTTTTCCCGCACGCCATCGCCGCCCTCCTCTTCGTTGCGCGCAAACACGCCGTTCTCAAACATGTCGAGCGATGCCACGGCGAGGCCCTCGCTGCGGGCGATGCGCAGGCCCGTCTTGAGCTCCTCGTACACCCACCTGGGCCCTGCGCCGGCGTCGAGGAGCACGCTGACGACGAAGAGATCGACGAGCCTGCGTGCGGCCTCGATTGGCGGCACACTGGGCGTCTGGGCGTGGAACTGGGCGAGGAGCGTGGTGACGCGGGGCAGGCCCATGGCGTCAAAGTGGCGCCATCGGCCATGGGGAGGAATCGAGGCTACGTTGCGCCCAAAGTCGCGCTTGTGGGGAGCCGGTCGTCTGTCAGTCTGCTGATCGAAAAAGGGAAAGAGGAGAAGATGGCCCACCTCGATGATCTTTTGGCAGTAGGCCACCGCCTGCGCCTCGTTGTCCGCGACGTAGTCAAAGTAGTCGAGCTGGCCTTGCTGCGCGAGGGTAAACACCCTGGCGCATCGCTCCCGGATCGCCGGCAGCGAGCGGAGGTGCTCGACCTCGGCCTGGGTGCGTGCATGTGCGGGTCACAGAGTCAGCATGTAGTAGCACACAGGCACCCGCACATCGACCCGCGCTCACCGAGGATGACGACGACGAGGAAGAGGACATTGGTTGGGGTCCGGGAGATAGGGCGCTGCAGCGCCAGCGCTCGCTTTTATTACGCGCATCTTCTGGCTGCGCTGCCACTTGGCCCGTGCGTATGCGTATCGCTCGCTCCTCGCGCCGAGTCCTCCGTTCCTTGGGCGGAAGGGAAGCAAAGTAGTGAAGCTGCGCCCGCCGCCTTCATTACTGGGGCCGCCGAGCCAAGCCTGAGTGCGACACGTTGCCTGCTGTGTACTCGAAGGCAATGTGGTCTCAGGGCGGGCGTCTGTCCACCATAGTGACGGGGAGTGGCGCCTCTGTTCCACCAATGCACAAATCCATCGTGTGTGGCCATCGTGTGTCCAGATGATGTCAAACCGTGAGATTGGGGGTCTCTGTGAGTTGAAATGCGCAAACTCGAGCAGCTTGTTTTGCAAGGCACAGGCGAAGGTGCTCAGCCTGATAAATTGAGCTGGATGGCAGACGCACCCTCATGTGAACTCGTAGTGAGAAGGCGCCGAAGTCGAATCAACACGGAGCTGGGAGCGAGCATTAGACTGAGCCCCGCCCCTCGAAGTGTGTGCTTCACCGGTTGCGAATGAAAGGCGCACTCGACCGCGGCGCGCGGTCCGAGGGCTGCACTGTTATTGCGCGACTCTCTCGTCTTATGGGGCAGAGGGTCTCTCCCACAGAGAGAGGCGGCCAATACTGGCAAAAAGGGCTATAAAGGCGGGTCTTCTGCCTCATCCACCACCACTCTCCCGCCCCCTTCCTCCTCAACAGCAGCTCCTCGCTGCTCACGAATGCGTGCGAGCCGATTCGACAACCAGCAAGGTCCTCGCACCGATAGCGTCCAGTTTGCAAAGTGACATAGCGCAACCGTCGCGCCGCGCTCGCGTCTGAGACATGGCCGTGCGCACCAGTGGCCTCTATTCGCCGGCCACCGTGGTCGTCGCCGAAGAAGACAGCCTCGTGTGCGCTCAGGAGGGCCTTTCCAAAGAAGCCAGCAGTGCTACGCTGGGCAGCTCGTCAATTGGTGTCGTCCACTTTTGCGCCAGGTCGACAGTGCTTGACCTGCACAGGGAGCTGCAGGGCCTCGAGAGCCTGGCACCGTGCGAGGCGACGGACAGCTTCTTCTGCAGGCTCGTCGACTTTGTCATCAGCCCGATTCACGGCGACATCTCTCCGCAGGACCTTTTCAGGGCGCTGGAGAGCGACGAGAGGATTGCAGCGATCAAGCACCACTTTGTCCGGGCCTGCTCCCTGGGCGAGGGAGAGCTCGAGTCGGTGGGTCGAGGCCAGCTTCTTTTAAGCTTCCGGCAGCTGCTGACTCACTCGGCGGCGTGCATAGCATTGGGCACGCCGCATCATAGATGGCAAGACCAGCATAGATCAGTTTCCCTACTACCAGAACTACATCGACCTGTGAGTCACGGCCCGTCTGCTTGCGACAAGTGGCTGCTGCTCACTGGCGGCGTGGGACAAGGACGCGGCTCGAGTACCACCTGCTTGTGGGCCAGGGCGCGGACCCCAGGCACATTCTGTTTCTTGGCTCAGGTGCCCTGCCCCTGAGTGGGTTGATGTGGGTGAAGAACCACCTCTGCCCGCGCTGGACCATGGCCTCCGACTGGTCCGTCACCAACGTCGATGTCCTGCCCTCTGCCAGCTTCTCGGCTGCGGCTGTGTCTCGCATCGCGCTTCAGGACACCGATCCGAGCCTGCAGCGCTTTCACTTTGTGACGACCGATGCGCACCACCTTGACGCTGGGCTGGTGTACAGCCACGACGTCATCTACCTCGCCGCGCTGGTGGTGAGTATCGTACGCTCTCACTCTATCTTCTCCTCTTCATTTGACATCTTGTTCTCTAGGGCTGCGACATGAAGACCAAGGCCAGTGTCCTCCGGTCTGTCATTGCCAAGATGAAACCGGGTGCTCGCCTGATGATCCGGTGAGTTCTGTTGCTCGCTTGACCTTATTCTGCAGTCTGACCAGCAGCATTTCCCGCCAGATCCGCCGATGGCATGCGCCAGCTTCTGTATCCTGCCGTGTTAGTCTGTTTCCTGCTTCGAGACAGCTGCCACGCCGCTGACTAGTGCACCTCTCCAGCGACGAGGCAGCCCTGCTCTGCGCTGCCGAGGGCAAGCTGGTCCTCGAGGCGACGTGCCATCCCCGCAACCACGTCGTCAACAGCGTCGTCGTCGCCCGCCGAGTCTAAAAGGGCAGGCAATTCTAACCTTATCTTGTGATTTACCTTCTTCCTATCCGCCGTATGCAAGGAAAGCGACTAGCTCGTCCATTCTTCTCCGGCGAAATTTACGTGCGCTTGTGTGTGTGTGTGTGTGTGCCTGCGCTACTGCTGCCGAAAGGGGGTTAAAGAGGAAATGGACAGAGGCCACCATCGGCCTCTCGACCACGATGATGATGAAGCGCGCCTTCATCATCGCCGTCGTCGTCTGGGCCTGCGTGCTCTTCACGCTCGTCGACGCTGCTGGGTGTTTCTACGAGTGAGCTCTCTCTTGCTTGGCCAGTGCAAGAATCCTGGGCCGCTAGCTGACCGCGCAACGCCTCCAAAGCGACCAAGTCTGCTGCAAGTGCCCATCAGCGAAGAAGAAGGGCAAGAGGACTGTGTTCCGATGCGCAGACAACGGCGTCTGTCCGTCCAAGTGCAAAGCCGTCAACGATGACCGGTGCCACGGTGAGTGCTACACAAGAGGACTCGGGAGCACACGACCTGAACAGAGACACAATACAGGTACGCCGAGGACTGTGACAACCACAAAGAAGCACAATCACAAGGAAACGACCAAGCAGCAGCAACAGCAGCAGCAGACTAGCTCGCCTGCACAGCCAGAGCCGAGCAGCCACCAATGGCTTCCCGATCCTCTGCCTGACTTCTTCTAGACTACAAAAGACGGACATTGCAATGCATGCTATTCATCTTCTCTATATGCGCTACGAGGGAGAGGGCCGCTGGAGGCCGACGCCGCGGGCCCAGAAGCTGGCGGCGAGGGCGACGACGGCGAGGCCAGTCGAGACGACGAGGGCAAGCCTAATGCCGTCTGCATAGGCGTGCTGCACCGGCGTCCTCACATCGAGGGGCAGGTCCCTGATGGCGTCGGTCGAGTGTCTGATGCGCTCGATGATCTAGATTTCATATACTCTCATCAGCCCTCTGACCAGTAGAGTTGGGCAAAACGGGCGAACTGACCTCGGCCTTGTTGGGCACATGCTTGAGCAGGACGGGCAGCTTGACGACGAGATAGTTTTGGAGAATCGCAGACGACAGCGCCACACCCGCCACGTTGCCCAGGTTCCTCGTCAGATACACCGTCGACGTCGCCACGGCCTGGTCTGTTTTTTGAATAAGAAAGTCAGTCGTGGGCTGAGAGGGGGACAGCACAGGCACGCACCCGCATGGGGAAAGGCGGCGATGAGCGTAAAGAGGCTGCTGGGATTGATAAGGCCCTGGCCGATTTGGACGGGGATGAGGTGGAAGAAGTAGTAGAGCTCCGAGGGATGGCCGTCGACGGGGAACGAGAGAGGCAGGATGGAGCCCAGCACAAGAACGAGGCAGCCGGTGCGGACGAGGAGGTTGAGCTTGCCGTAAGTGGACATGACGTAGCCCGCGACGAATGCGCCGATGGGAAAGCCAAGCGCAGGCAGGAACAGGCGCGCGCCCACGACGTCGAGGGCCTCCAGACGCGCACCCACAAAGAAGAGGGGCACCATGAACAGGAAGCTGTACACGGCCATGCCCGAGAAGAAGTTTGTGGCGACGTTGGACAGCGCCATGCGGCCCGTGAGCATGCGCGTGGGCAGGATTGGCGCCGGGGCGCGTGACTCGACGCGGAAGAAGAGGGCAAAGAGACCAAGCGCCGATAGCAGGATGGCCACCGACGCCGGCGAGGACCACGCAATCTCGTTGCCGCCCATGCTCAGGCCGAGCAGCAGTGTCGACACGGCCAGCACGAGCGTTGCCGCGCCGAGGCCGTCGACCTTTGGCGGCGGCGGCGGCGGCTGCGCTTGGTCCAGTGAGTCGCCTGGAGGCAACGGGGTCACATTCTCAACGAGGACGTAGCCCCCGATGACGGCGGCTAGTGAGAGGGGTACCTGGAGCAGGAAGACGGCGCGCCAGCCGACGCTATAGGCGAGGACACCGCCGAGAGAGGCGCCCGACGCCGAGCCAAGGCCATACATGAGGTTGTTGGCAGCCTGGTAGAGGCCGCGCCGCTCGAAAGGCACCTTGTCCGACAGCACAACGGTGGCCATTGTCATGAGACCGCCGCCTCCGAGGCCAGCAATGGCGCGCGACACAAAGAGGGTGGTCATGCTCGTCGACAGGCCACAAAGGAGGCTGCCGAGGGAAAAGACGATGGTGCCAAAGAGAAAGGCAGCGCGGCGCCCATAGATGTCCGACAGGCGGCCATAGAGTGCCTGGAAGGAGACGGCGGTGACGAGGTAGCTGGTCGAGACCCAGACGGCATTGTTGGCCTGGCCAAAGTCCGAGGCGATGCGCGCATAGAGGGAGGCGGCCACCGTTGAGTCGAACCCGGTCAGAAAGACGTTGATCCAGGTGACGGACTGGAGGAAGCGCAGTCGCGTCGTCGGCTTCCACTCATCGCTCCCGCCCAGCAGGGGCGTGCCTTCCGAAGCGGACGCCATTTGGTGTTCAGGAACACGATGAATTGACGTCCCTTTCAGACATTCGATCCGATCAATCAATCACGCCAGACGAGCTTAAAATTGGGCAAGCGGAGCTTCCGAGTCACAAATTCATCTCTCAAGTGATCCAAGCTACCGACTACCAGGCAGTGTGCTTGAATGGGAGAAGCGTGTCAGCACGTGTTGCGAGAGGGCAGCGCAGAGAGCTACAGACTCACGCCGCCGTCAATCCGGACGTCAGTGCCCGTGATGAAGCTGGCAGCCTCGCTGAGCAGAAACACAGCGGGGCCCTTGAGCTCAGAGGGCATGCCGATGCGCCGGAGCGGGTTGTCGTCCTCCCACCGCTCCAGCAGCTTGGGCTTGTCGGCCAGCAGCATGTTGGTCATGGCCGTGCGAATGTAGCCGGGGCTGATGGTGTTGACGCGGATGCCGAACTTGCCCCACTCGACGGCCACTGACCGGCACATCTGGTGGCACGCTGCCTTGGACGAGTTGTACGCCGTGCAGGTGAGGCCCTGTTGTTGGACAAGACTATGATTAGTTGGGGAAGAAGATCGGGCCGCAAAGATGCTTCAACACACCCGGTTGGTGATGAAGCCGCTGATGCTGGCAATCAGGACAATGGAGCCACCGAGGCCCGAGTCGCGCATCAGCCGCGCAGCCGCCTGGGCAGGGATCATGGTGCCATCGACGTTGATGCGCATCACGCGCGAAAAGGCCTCCATGTCGTAGTCGATGGCCTCCTGCTCGTGCTGCGTCGCTGCCGCCGAGACAAAGCCACGCACGGGTCGTCTGCTCTGCGCAGCAATGGCTCGGAAGCAGTCGGACACGCCCGCGGCGTCAGTCACGTCGAGGCGACGGTACGCCACCACGGCGCCGAGCTTCTTGGCCTTGGCCTCGAGGGCCTGCCACTCCTGCTGCGAGGGCGACGGGAGAATGTCGCAGCAGTACACATCTCCGCCCGACTCGACGACGGCGGCGGCAATGGTGAGACCGAGACCCCTGGCGCCGCCGGTGACTTGGTCCACTCGTCAGCTAGACCGTTGAATGCTTCGCAGAGGATGAAGGCGGCCCACTCACTGATGACAGCACCTGACGACAGGTCAAACAGCTGCCCAATCTCGGGCTCTGTCTTGATCGACGACGCCACCTCGACGGCCGGTGGCGTCTGGGTCCCATCGTAGGGCCCAACGTTGGCCGACTGGGGGACGCGCACAGCCGTGTCTGACATATCTGGCATTTTCTTTTCTATACTCTGTGTTCTTTGCTCTCTGCTTTTTGCTCGCTGCTCGTCTGTCCGTCTTGCTGATGGAAGGGCACTTAGGGTCTGTATCATGGAGGGTGTCCTGCCCTCTTTTCCTTCGGAAAAAGGTCACCCCCAACGAGGACCCTTTTCCAGCCACGGCTGGTGCCATTTTCTGACTGTGTTGGTCTGCCCTTTTTCCGAAGCCTCTTTTTCCGAGGCGTGTGTGTCGCGCGTGGAACGAGCAGCAAGCTCATATGAACACTACTCGTGAACGGTACTTTTTGACTGAGAAGTTTCATGGGGAGAAGGACGGACCAAGCTCCTAGGATCAGGTAGGGTCCGAGCATTGGTCGGCTGAGGGTCCAGGAGATTCCCGCTTTCGTGGATGGAAAGCAGGGAGCTCACACTGGTGTACAACGCTCTCTCACTCAATCACAAGATCAGCCTGGTAATTCCCTTCGAGACAGTCGTGACAAAAGACAATCGTGACAGGTGAAAGAACCCCGAACCGCTCGCAGCGTCTTCCATCACTTGCTAGCAGCGGCGCCCCCGCCGAACCAGCTGAACCAGCCCTTGGCTCGCTTTTGCTCCCGCTCCTTCTGCGCCTCGACGCGCAGCCGGACCTCCTCCTCGAGCTCGCGCCGGACTTCCTCCTCGAGCTGCTTCTGTTCGCGTCCATCGAGGTACTGCCAGGCGAGGTGCAGGGCAAAGTAGGCGGCCGAGCCATAGGCCAGCACGCGCAGAAACGGGGGCAGGATGTCGCGGTAAAAGTAGCCGTGCCGGCGTCGATCGTTGCGCTCGGCCGTGTCCGATGTGGCTGGGCGCTGTGCTGTCGCTGCAGCTGGTGCTGCCGCCGCCGCCGCTTGCCCTTGAGCCTGGGCTTGAGCTTGAGCTTGAGCTTGTGTCTGTGCTGGTGAAGGGGCTGCAGAGGGAGACGGCGGGCTGGTGTTCGTCGAGCTTTGTCTTTGCGACATGTGAAGCACCGAAGAAGACGATCGTGAGACGAGCCCCTGCCACGGGGTAAGGCGGGCCTGCGAAGCGAGGCGGACCGAAGAGACCAGACGGCGCGACATGGTGTCGGCGTTGGAGGGGGAGTGGTGTTTTGAGCCTGGGCAATCAATCACCAACTCGCTGAGGACGACAATCTGATGCGGGCCCAGGTAGACGGCTTACATAAGCGCGTCTCCACTTGTGTTTTCCCTCTGCAAGAAGAAGCGCGCTCGTTCAGTCATTCGTCAGCAAGATAGAAGAAAGAGCAGCATGATCCGGAGCGCATACCTCAGAACAGGGTTAGGGCGTGGGGTGGCACCCAGTGCCACGACTCAGCTGCCACTGCGCGCCTTTTCGTGCTCAGCACTGCGTCGCGCGCCCTCGCCGATCCAGCACCCAACGCACCCGCACCCGCTCTTCCTGCACCCGATCTCGTCCAACATCTATGCCGTATCGCTGCTCTCGGCAGCGCCCAGCTCACCGACAGCTGCCTCAGTCGTGGCGACTTTCCAGTCGCGCTCGGCGGGCACCGATGCGGACCTGTTCGACGAGGCGCAGTCGAATCCGGACCGGGTGTCGGCCAACAAGGCCTTTCTGACGCTCCTCCACGCAACGCTCAAGGACGTCTGCGTGCCCCAGGATGGCCTGATGCAGTACGAGGCTGCACTGCGCAAGAGTGGCTGGATACATGCTAGTGGTGCGTCTCTCTCCACACCTCTTTGACCTCACTGCAGCCTCGCTGACGTTTTCCGATTCCAGACCCGAGACACCCACTCATGCCTGGGCGGATCCCGACGCCGGAAAACATCTTTGCTGTGAGATTTCTTTCTCGCTCATCGTGCGATTTCTCAAACTGATCTTCCCTTTTTCACACACAGACAGTGGCCTTTACCGAGGGCGAGCTGCGGCCGGAGTCGTACGAGGCAAACGACACCTACCGCATCGTCACGGCCGAGGAGGGCTTCATGCAGCTGCGCCCGCACTGGCACGACTTTGTGTGCAAGGCCTGCGAGGCCGTTAATTGAGCAGAGCAGAGCCTTTGTTTGAGTCTGGGCCTGAGATAATGTGTACACCAATGTCCATTTGAATTACGATAGTGAGACGAGAGTGAGACGCAAAAGAGAGGGAAAAAGGGGCAAATTATACAGGAGGGGGAGAAAGACTACTACTGCGCATAGTAGCTGGCCGACTGCTGGTTCTTGTGGTGGCCATAGTAGCCGCCCTGCGGCTGGCCGTACGTCTCGTAGGCCTGGGGCTGGGTCGAGCCGCGCCGGCCGTAGTAGGCCTGATGGTCGTCCCTCGACTCGTCGCCGCCGTAGTAGGCCTGATCAGCACCTCCCCTCGTCGCATCGCCGTAGTAGTACGCCTGTCCGCCCCTCGTCTCGTCGCCATAGCGATAGGCAGCATAGCTGTCGTCGGCGCCGCGGCCGCCGACCCCGCCACCACCGATGCGCGCGTGCTCCGAATCGTCGGACGACGCACCGCCACCCTGGCCGAGGCCACCGGCGCCCCTCGTGGCAGGCACGCTCTGTGGCTCCCAGACGGCCGACTCGCGCGTGGCCAGTGGGATCTCGTCACCAGGCCCGGAGTAGCTTTTGAACTCTTGCGCGGCCCGACGCATCTCCTTGCCGTAAGCGCGCTGCAGGACGCACATGTAGAGCTGTATCGAGTCTTGGAGATCAGCAGCAGCAGTAAGACATGAGCAAGAGATGAGAACGCACCTGCATGAGGCCAATGACGAGCAGCAGGATGCCCATGGCGCCCACCTGGACCCAGATGAAGACGTTGCAGATCGTCCGGCCGACGTCACTGAGCTCGGTGATGGTGTTGCCGTCGGGGGAGCTGCCGTAGGCGGCGTCGCAGCTGTCGAGGGCCACGCTGTGTCGTGCAGCGGCCACGGCGAAGAAGGCCGTGGTGACGACAATGGTGACGAGCGTGAGCAGGAAGTTGATGCGAATGTAGCTGCGGTAGAGCCCGGTGCGCTCGCGACGAATGGCGACGACGCCGACAATCTGCCAGAGGAGCACGGCGAGGGCGAGGACGAGGACGATGAACTTTGGCCAGCCGGCAGGCAGGGAGCCCGTGGCAGCGACGATGCTCGGCGGCGCAACGGAGAGAATGAGGGTGCAGAAGGCCACAATGGCAAACTGCGCACAGATGGTGTAGGAGCCTACATTGATGAGCGGAATGGCCTGTTTGGAGGAGAAAAGGATGAGCTATCAGAGGGTGCAGTCGTTGCAAGAAGCGCATCGAACACTCACGCAGCAGCAAAACTCGATGCGGCTGGAGCGACCCATCTTTGCACGGTGTTCACGGGTCTCTTTCTTCCTCTTAGAGTGACCGGCCTGCGGGTTTTCCTATGCGAAGAAGAAGCGTACCCTAGTCGTAAATCAGATGGTGGTGCTTTGAAAGGAGTGGAGCTGTACGGCCGGCGTACTGTGTGCGACCAAACCAAAAAACCTCTGGGCGCGCTGAGGCGGTGCGCGGTGTCTTTTTATAAATCTAGGAAATTGAAACCTGTTGATGCACTTTCTCACTGTATAGATTTGGAAACCACGAGGCCGGTGACGCGCGAGCGGGCATCAGACGGCCGCCGTCACGTAGATGCACAAGTTTATGGCAGAAGACATTCAAGCAGCGGCAGAGGGTAATTGTGACAGAGAATTAAGATCTATTGAAGAACCATGTAGCTACGCCTGCTGCCGCGCCAGCACATCCTCGTGCTTCGGGATGCTCTCCATGGCCCCCTGCTTCTCCACGGCCATCGCTGCGGCGATGACGGCCCACTCGAGAATCTGCCGTGCGCCCTGCTCGTCGACGTCGGCCGAGGCGGACCGCGTCATCATGGCTGCGACGACATTTCCGGCAAAGGTATCACCTGCGCCTGTGGTGTCGACGACCTGTCGCGGCTTCGCGGGCGGCACCTCGAACCGCGTCCGTGCCTGGTTTGAGGACGCGGAGGAGGAGCAACGGACCCGCGCAGAGACGCCCTGGGCGCCCTTTGTCATGATGAGCCAGCGCGAGTCGATGAGGGGCTCGAGTGCGTCGAGGACATTTCCTGGCTCTCCGCTTGACGAGGACGAGAGCGCAGCGACGAGGTCCCTTGCCTCGCCCTCGTTGACGATGAGCACGTCGACATCGCTCCACGCAAACGCCGTCAATTCCTCCCTCGTCGGCATCGGCGACGGATTGAAGATCGTCGTTGTCCCCGCACGCCTGGCGTGTGCGAGGAAGCGCTGCGTCGTCGGCAGAGGGATCTCGTTCTGCACGATGAGGTGTGTCGGCGGCCGCGGCGCCTTGGCAAAGACACGCGCGGGGTCGTCGGCCTCTTCATCGGCGTGGAAATTGGCTCCCTTCAGTAGCACGCTGTCGAGAATCTCACAGGGTCAGCTAGCCCCAAACCAGCTTGTTCAGAGTGGACGGGTGAACACAACACCCACATGCTGTTCTCGCCATCCTCGGCAATCTGGATGAACGCCCGGCCCGTGGGGACGCCCTCGAGCCTGCTCACAGCTGACACATCGACGTTCCGCTTCTCGAGCTCGTCGCAGGGCCAGGGCGCATCGAGGCCCACAGCACCGCTCATGACGACAGCCTGGCCTGCCAGGCCAACAGCCGCACTGACGTTGGCGCCCTTGCCGCCGGGCCGCGACTGCAGCGACGACGACGAGATCGTCTCGCCGGGACGCACAATGTGCGGCACGCCAAACGTCTCGTCGATGTTGATGCTCGACCGCACGAGGCAGAGTGGAGCAGGCATGGTTCGTCGTCGTTGTCGTTGTTGATCAAGAGGCGATTCCGCACGATCTCTCACGATTTCCTCTTTCGACTTGCGAAGATTCAGGCCAAGATTCCGGGCACAAAAAAAGAAAAAGAAAAAGTCGGACCGCGGGTGGAGGTAGACAGACAGAGAGACGGCCGAAGATCCGATCGCACGCGTCGTTGCAATAGCCAAAGCTCTCTCTATACAATACAGGACAGACAGAGCATAGCACCTCTCTTCTAGACAGTGGATCACACCTTGTAGCCGGCCTTGGCCAGGACATCGTGCCTTGCCCACGTCGCAAAGTCCTTGTACACCTTTTTGGCGTTGGGCAGACTGGCAGCCAGGCAGAAAAAGTCGTGGGGCTCCAGCGGCTGTTTTCAGGCATGGCAGGCATGTGAGCAAAGTGTGCCTGTGCTTTTGCAGCAACAAGTGTGTATTCGCTCACCGTGACGTGGTAACGGGTGATGAGGCCGGCCTGCTTGCACTTGGCCGCGAAGCGCTTGCCCTCTTCGACGAGGACCTCGAGCTGGCCATTGGCAATGTATGTCGGCGGCATCTGGGCCACCTCCTCGACTGGGCGAAGGAGCGGGCTGATCCAGGGGTCGTCGAGCTGCATGCCCGTGCGCCGCGAGGGCCCAAACTGCATCTCCTTGACGCCCCAGTCGCCGTAGGTGCGCGGCACAATGTCGTACTTGAGGTTCGTCTCGCGCTCCGGCATCATGTCGTTTGTGGCCACCAGCCAGGGCGAGAGGAGGAGCATGGCGGCAAAGTCGGGCTCGCCGCGCTGGCGCTGCGCCTGGTGCGACGGGATCTTGGCGCCCTCGAGGCGGAGGAAGCGCTCGATCTGCAGGGCCAGGTGGGAGCCGTTGGAGTCGCCGGCGACGATGATCTGGTCGCCGCGGAAGCCGAGGTCGCGCGTCAGGTGCACGTATGCGGACACGCACTGGATCAGGGGCACAGGGAAACGGCCAAAGGGTGCAAGGTGGTAGTCGACGGAGAAGACGGGGAAGCCCGATGTCTGGGCCAGGTTCCGGGCCAGCGTCAGGCCCATGAACATATCGCCGGCAGAGAAGGTGACGCCGGCGCCGCCGTCTGTAGGAAAGGAGTCAGCCCATTTTCACAGATTCGACAATACAGAATAGCTGCATAGACAACCCACGGAAGAAGAGAATGACCTGGCGGTCCTGGCCTTTTTCGCGGTGCGGCAGGGGCGCGTGCTCCTTTGGCCCGCCGGGCATGAACCAAAAGGCACGCGTGCGGATCTTTGCCTCGCCCGGCCGCACGAGCGGTGCGCCGCGGTAGTTGTCGCTGTCCGTGACCTGGCCTTGGCCGTCGCGGCCGGTGGGGTTGATGCTGAGGATGCCGCGGAAGTACTCGAGCGGGGGAGCGCCGAACCAGACACGGTCGCCCCGCTTCTTTTCGTCGTGCTGCGGCAGCATGGCAGCCTTGAGCGCGGTGCGCGGGTGCGCCACACGCCCACCAGGACCCGTGTAGTTGAGCAGCGAGAGCAGGCCACCGATGAGGCCGGGCGTCTCGCGCCAGCCACCCTCGCGCGGGGCCACGGGCTGGAACTTGGTGATGACAAAGAGCTCCATGGCCAGGCGCGTGTACAGGACCGAGAGCGTCTGCTTGGCCGTCCAGCCGCGGGCCGGCCGCAGGAAGGGCACGAGGGCCCGGACGAGGGCATAGGGCAGGTATGCGAGCGATGTGGGCACCAGGACGATATGGAGGAGGAGCTGTTTGTCACTTCAGCTTCTCTTTCTTCTCCTCACTCTAGAGTGACCGTGACGGCATATCTCACCATGCGCAGGATCGGCACGAGCTTGCGGACGCGCGGCGGCTTGGCGAGCTGCACGGCCCGCTGGATCTGCAGTGCCGACGGGTCTGTCATCTTGCTTTGTCTTGTTCTTCGGAGTGAGTTCGAGTAGTGAAGGCGTCTTTCCCCGGATTCGACTTGGCCGCTTGGTGTTGCGCGCGCGCGTCTGTGAAAGAACGAAGGCGCGGACGGCCACGTGGCAAGTTTTCCCGGGAGCGAGAGAGGGTGAGAAGACAAAAAAAGTCTCGACCCTCGTGTAAATCTCATCAGGAACCGAGAGAAAACGAAAAACCTCTGCAGCTCGACCCTTTGCTGCTCGACCCTTTTGCAGCAACACCACCATCACCATGTCGGACTCGTCGCCCAAGCTTGCGCCCTCGCAGGGCAACGCACTCGTCTACTCGACGCTCGTCGCCTTTGCTGCGGTAGGCTTCTACGCCGGATACCGCGTCAAGACCAAGGTCGACTTTCTCAGCGGCATCAAGACGCAGAGCGGTGGGTGGTGACTCTACTGCACTCGGGACACGCTCACTCACAGCTAGATAACCGAGCAGCATTCCCCCTGGCGCTCAACTGGATTGCATCAAGTTAGTCGAGTGTGGAGTCACTCATCGCCTCGCACCAAGCCAGATCTTCTCTAGGAACTCGATTAGATGACACAGCCATGGTAACGTACCCAGTCTATTCCCTTCTCTAGCTCCCCCCTTTCCAGAGTGGACTGGTGCCCTTGCCGGCACCGCTCCCTCGCAAGGCAAAAGCTACGGGTGCTCTTCGTCCGGTCCACCTCTGGTGGACTGGGCAGGGCTGAGAATATACCGTTACGTTGCCCCCGCTGGGCGCTGTGCCTCCTCTCTTGGAGCGCACGACCCGGCGGGGATGCTCATCGGATCCAGATAATGCTGGCGTCGAGAAGCTCCTGCCTTTTTTCCCCTCCCTGCAGCTGGTCGAGGCGTGTGTCCTTAACCCTACTTGAGCTCCCTCGATCAGCTGGCAGGGGGTGGGAAACAAGCCCCTGCCCCAACCTACTAACAGCCGATCCACTCACACTCGACCAACCTCCTCCCACAGACATGTCGTCGTCGCTCCTGTTTGCCTACCCGCAGATGGGCGTCATTCCCGACGCGGGCCTCCTGGGCCTGTTTGCCTATGCCTTTGCCACGACGGCGCCCATCTTTTGCTTTGCCTTTCTGGGCGTCTACATCCGTCGCACCTGCCCCGACGGCTTCACCATGGCCGAGTACGTCCGTCGTCGCTTTGGCTGGCCCGTCGGCGTGCTGCTCGCTGTCATTGTAGGTATTCTTCTGACACGTGGGCTAAGGACATAGCCTGAGAAGGAGCCGGAATGCTGAAGTCTCGCTTCCACAGTTCGTCGCATTCATGCTCTGCTTCATGATCACCGAGCTCAACACCTATGGCTCCGTCGTGAACACGCTGGGCGGCGTCAACCCCACCGTGGCCGCCGTCGTGATTGCCGTCATCACGTTCCTCTACACGGCCTACGGCGGCTTCCGCGCCTCGCTCTACACCGACAATGTCAACGCCATCGTCATCGTCATCTTTGTCATCATCGCCGGCGTCGCCGTTGGCACGCAGATCGACATCACCCAGGCCCGCATCGACGAGTCGGGCATCCTCGTCCCGCACGCCCTCGGCGGCCAGCTCTGGTACATCCTCACCGTCGCCATTGTCTTTTCCCAGATGTTCAACCAGGGCTTCTGGCAGCGCGCCTTTGCGTCCAAGAACGACCGCACGCTCTACACCTCGGTGCTCCTCGCCGCAGTGCCCCTCTTTGCCATTGTCTTTCTCGTCGGCATGACGGGGCCCCTCGCACAGTGGGCCGGCCTCTTTGACGGCGTCACGTCCGAAGACGACGGCAGCCTCACCTTCTTCTACATCATCGCCACCCTTCCCGCCTGGGTCTCGGGCATCGTCATTGTACTCGCTGGCCTGCTCAGCAGCTCGGCCTACGACACGCTGCAGAGCGCCCAGATCTCGACGATTTACAACGACGTCTTCCTGGGCCGCGTCAACGTCTGGTTCTGCCGCGTCGCCCTTTTTGCCATCAACGTCCCCGCAGTCGTCCTCGCCGTGCGCAACATCGACATTCTCCAGGTCTTTCTCGTCGCCGACCTGGGCGCCGCTGCCGTGCTACCCGCGCCCCTCCTCGGTCTGATCCCCGCCCTGCACTTTCTCAACGGCGCCGACGCCTTTGTCGGCGCCTGCGGTGGCTACCTCACCACGTTCCTCTTTGGCCTTGCCTACTACCACGGCGACGTACACGCCGCCGGCAACCTCCTCGGCCTCTCCCAGGGCCTGTACATTGGCGGCGACGACTACTCTGTCCTGGGCGCCTTCTTTGCCGCGCCCCTCGGCTCCATTGGCTGGACGCTGGCCTCGGCGGGTGTGCGCATCGGCAGCCAGTGGCTCCTCTGCAAGGCCCGCGGCGAGTCGTTTGAGCTGACGAGGCGCAGCTGGGACACGCGCGAGTACGCGCTGCCCGAGGACCGTCCTGCGGCCTTTGCTGGCCTGCACGGCTCGGGCAACCCCGAGGACGGCCACAGGGAGGAGCACAAGGACGACTCCGTCGAAGACGACACCAGCAAGTAGTCGTAAAAAATAGTCTTTGGTCTAGAATTTGTTTGAATTATGCATGATCAGCAAGCAATGAGAAGAGGCAGTACGAGTTTGTCAATCTGCGACGACTGGGGATGGATGGATGGATGGCCAGGGCGAGAAGTTTTTAGACTTTTTTCTGCCGCTTCATAAAAATCTGAAAAAAATCTCTAGAGTCCACCGTCGCATTCTCGGTCTTTCAAGAGACCACTCACTCATCTGAAGATGCCGCCAAAGGCCAAGAGGCGGCGCGCGCGCAAGGCCCGGACGGCCGCCGTTGTCTCTGACTCGTCGTCTTCTGACTCGGACTCGTCTTCTTCGTCGTCGTCGTCTAGCTCAGCTGTGAGCGGCGGCGTATCAGAGGCCAAGGTCAAGGCGGTACGTGCAGCTTCCGCGGCCTCGTCATCGGCCTCGTCATCGTCGTCGAGCAGCGAAGAAGAGGAAGAGGAGTTTGAAGGAGAAGAGCAGGTACGACGCAAGCGGATGAGGCGGGGTCAGCCGTCGCCGATGCCGAGTCTGTCCGAGGAGCGCTTCTGGTCCGACAACGATGACGATGACGAAGAGGGGAGATGGAGGAGGAGTCGAGGGCCGATGCGCAGGGAGCGCCTGCCGTTTGACTCGCACGCCCTCCGGCTGCTGGAAGCGTCCAGGGCGAAGCGACGGGGCGTCGAGGCGACACTGGCACAGAAAGAAAAGGAGGAGCAGGAGCAGGAGCGGCGGCGGCAGCCGGGCAAGCAGGAGCAGGAGGAGGCGTTTGAGTCCATGTACATGCGCGCAGTCGTGGGCGAGTACGCAGAGGAGCTGGATGCGATCCGGAGAAAGGAGCCCGGGCTGGGCGACGCCGACGACGGCGGGCGGATGGGCCTCCTCATCGACGCCCTCAAGGCTGGCAGCGAGCTCTTTTCGCGCAGCGACCCCGACGAGGTGGCGCTCGTCATGGGTGACCGCTTGTAGCAGTAGTAGCCAATTGATCATAACCGGACTGTCTCTTTACAATATCTGTGCATTTTTCTCTCGAAAGCCACTACCTAGAAGAAGGGTGACTGGGCCGACTAGCAGTGGCGCTTGATAAAGGCATACATGTTCTCGAGCTTCTCCTGGGGCTCGCGGTCAAACAGATGGTCCTTGCCCTCCTCGATGTCGATCTCGACGGGCAGCCCCTTTTGCTCCATGGCCTTGGCCACGTCGGTCGCCTGGCGCGGCGGCACCTTGTCGTCGATGCTGCCGTGGACCATGTAGGTGGGGGGCAGGGTGATGTCGCCCCGTGCCACGGCTTGCGCGACGGAGAAGCTCGAGGGGCTGATGCCGGTTCCCTCGAGGAGGAGCGAGGGGAGCAGTGCCCTGCAGAGTTCAGAATCAAGTCAGCACGCGAGGGGGTCAGTACCTGCGACAGCGCAAGCACCCACTCCTGGATCATGTAGTGGTAGAAGAGGGACCGGGGCGAGTCGAGGGCCGACGAGGCGGCGACGGGTGCGTTCGCATCGAGGTAAGCGCCCAGCTCGCTGGGGCCATCGATGATGCGGCCCTTCATGTACGTGACGGGGTGCTGTTTGGTCGTCCAGAAGCTGTCGTCGAGGTCCGAGATGGGGTAGAGGCCAATGACGCCCTGTGGCCGCGGCTGGGGCGGTGGCAGGCCGCACGCTGCAAAGCCGAGCCCAGAGCCAGCAAGGAGGGCGAGCCAGCCGCCGGCAGAGCTGCCGCTCACAAAGACGCGCGAGGCATCGGCGCGGCCCTGCGTGGCCTCGCGAAAGGCGGCCGTCTGGAGCCAGGCCACGGCGTCGCCCACGTCGGACAGGATCTTGGGCAGCCGCGCCTGGGGCGCCAGCCGGTAGTCGGCCGACACGACGCAGAGGCCGTGCTTCTCGGGCGCCTCGACGAGGTGCGGGGCGGTGCCTGTATTACAAGTCAGTCCGAGACAAAAAGGCTGCGGGCAAGAGAGGAGACAAGACACGCACCCTTTCGCGTGCCCTGCAGCAGGCCGCCGCCGTGCCACCAGAGGAGCACGGGTGCGGGCGACTCCTTGGTCGCGCCGGGCGGAAGGAGGACGTCGGCCTTGATGTCGAGCCCGTCGGCCTGCTTGAGGGTGCACTCGAGGAGCTGCGGAGCCATTGTGGTGTTGCTGTCGTCGTCGTCGTCGTCGTCGTCGTGGGGAAAGCCGATCAGTTGTTCTGGCTAAGACTTAGGTTGTTCCGGGCCGGATCCCAGGCCGGACATTGTCCGAGATAAAATAAAAAGTAGAATAGATAGCGCGCGAGAGACTCATCGCGATCTGAATCAAGCACTCCTGTCTACAGCAACTATCCTCGCAATTACAATAATACAGCTTCTTCTCAGGAGTGCTTCTCCTCGCCCTCGTCAAAGGCACGCTCGAGGATGGAGTTGATGACGTCGGGCAGCTGCACCGGCATCGCATGGCCTGCATCGGGCACCTGCACCAGCCGTGCACGCTTCATGTGCTTGGCCAGGTGGTGCGAGTTGAGCGGGTTCACGAGATTGTCCTGGTCGCCCGTCACAATCGTCACCACCGGCACGGCCGCGTCAATGGCCCGCAGCTGCGCAGGGCTGACACGGTGGGTGATGACAGCCCGCACCTGTGCCAGCGCGCCAAAGATGGTCTGGCGGCGCGTGAAGCCAAAGCGGTAGGCAAACATTGCCTGCATGTTCTCGCGGTTCGTCTTGCCGTTGCGCGTGTCCTTCTCGTCGAGCCACTTGGGTGGGAAGAGGAGCTCCATGACGGCATTGACCCGGTAGGCGTCCGAGTCAAAGCCCATCGTCCGGCCGGCAATGAGCCGGGCAATCGTCGAGACGCCGGTCCAGGGCGGCAGCGACGTCGAGAGGTGCTTCTCGCCATTGCCCCGGCCCGACGTCGTGCTGAGGAGGGTGAGCGAGGCGATGCGCTCGGGCACCACCTTGGCCATCTCGAGCGAGATCATGCCGCCCATGCTCACGCCGACGAGGTGCAGCTTGCCTGTCCAGCCGAGCGCATCGGCGAGCTCGAGGATGTCGAGGGCCATCTCGGATGTGCTACGCTGCCGTCAGCTTCGTCGCCCATTTGTGAGCGGGAGAGATGAAGTGAAGCACACTCACCGGTAGTTGGCTGCCGGCGTCTCTGAGTTGCCGTAGCCGCGATTGTCGAGGACGAGGCAGGAGTAGCGCGGGTCCTTTGCGAGGTGTTCGACCTGGTTCAGCCAGCCAAAGCAGCTGTTGTTGAGGCCCATGATAAAGACGACCTTGCGTGGGCCCGTGCCATGGACCTCGTAGTACACGTCAAAGCCGCGCCACGGCTGCCCCTCGTCGTCGGTCGTGCGCGGCGGCCGGGCACCCTTTGCGCGCGCATCGTCGGAGGGCATCTTGTTCTTGCCCGGAGGCACCCTGTCGCGTGCGACGGTGCAGTAGCCCTTTTTGGAGCATGTTGATGGGTCAAACGCCGAGGGAATGTAGCCCTCGGGCGACGCCTCGGCTGCCTTTCGCGCCTCAGCCATCGACGACGACGTCGCGCCCGTGTACACGGCGCCAAGGGGGAGGCCAGTCTCTGCCATTTTGTGCTCTCTAATGGTCGGTGCTGATGGAGGTGTGGCAACAGCACCCCTTCCCCGGGCTGCAGGGGTCTAATCTGCCTCTCCACAAATAGAAAAGCCCGACCGATCAGCAAGCGGAAAAAATGCACCGAGGAAATGCGGGATCGCGTTGAAAGCAAGCACGCCACGTGGACCTCATTCCAGTACCTCCTGCTCACAATGGCTAGCTAGTACGTCCTGGCTATCAGCTCCTTGTTCTTGGAACCACCTGTCCCTCAGTTCGAGGCATCGAGGTTCTGTCACGCATCGCCTAGTCTGGTTTCAAAGCCATCTCTGTCAACCAGAATAAGTTATTTAAAGCCATGTGGAAAGTGCACATTTGCCCGTTGAAATAGATCCCGGCGATGTCGCGCGCATGCGGTGACTGATACTCTGCGCAAGATCAGGAACCACCATGCGACTCACAAGGACACGCGCTGACGATCAGAGAGCTAGTTGCTCAAGTACAGTGCTAGTTCTGCATTGGTCGAGGAACAGCATCAGCCGGCGGCTGCTCGGCATCGGGCGATTGGCTGGCCCGCCCAGAAGGGAAGGTCGACGTCGGAGAATTTTCGACGAGGCCCATTGGACGTGTTTGAGGGCGACGTCATCCGCGATGATGTTCCCCGCGATTCTACCGTCGCCCACCCAGACAAACGTGCTTGTGCATGTCTCTGAACAGGAGCTTCTGTAATAAAACCTCCGCGGGCGCCTAGCCTGACCCCCGTCTACCCCTGCTCTTCCCTGCTCGTCCGCGACATTCTTTGCGTCGCCCCTTCTCTTTCTTTCCTTCTCGAACCTCGCTTCTCACTTCACGGGCTGGGCCCTCTTAGTTTTACACCTTCCTTCACCCCGAACAGGCACCGGCTGCCTTGCTCTTTCCGAAAAGGTGAGTGTGACGGTCACAAACGCCGGTCGGGGCAGTGTCATTTGGATGCCGGCCATGCCTGCCGAGAAGACGCGCGGCTCCACAAAAACCAGGAGCAAATGTGGCTTTTTCGACCCGCCGATGACCAGGAAATCAAATCAGAAATTCCAAAAAAAAAGAAGGCCCGGGTTCGACGTTTGCGTCACTCAATAACCCACTCAGGGTGGCTTCCGCTCGACGGCATCTTCGGCTCCTCCACTCCTCTTTCCGGCTTCCCGATGATCCTTCGCTGATCTTGCCTCTCTCTCTCTTCTTTTCCAATTCAGACGACGGTGCAGTCGGCACAGCACACAGCCCCGATCAGGTCATTCAGCGCAGCACGCCTGGCTTTATAAAGGACGGCGTCTGCACAGCTCTCGAAGTTCGGAAGACGACAAGAACACGATGAAGCCTGTCCTGCTCCTCGAAGCACTGGTGGCGGCGGCGACTGTTGCCACCGCTGCGCCCATGTCCAAGGGCAAAGCGAGCCCGCGCGACTTTCCCCTCGCTCGGCGCACAGACCGCTCGACGCTGTACGGCGACGACCTGGCCGCCTGGGCCAATGCCCACCGTGCACACCTCCGCAACAAGTACAAGTCCAAGCTCAAGAGCTCGACGAGCAAGCAGCAAGCGGCGAAGCGGGACGCAGAGAAGCGCGACACGGCAGGCGCCGCCACGCTGGTCAACTACCAGCACGACAGCACGTTCTACGCCGCCGTCGCCATCGGCACGCCCTCCCAGTCCGTCAACCTCGTCCTGGACACGGGCAGCTCCGACATCTGGCTCGGCCCGTCCAAGTTTGACTCTTCGTCCTCGTCGACGTTCACCAACTCTTCGACGCCATTCGAGATCCAGTATGGCTCTGGCTCCGTTCAGGGCACCCTGGCCACCGACACATTCACCCTGGCCGGGCACACTGTCGACAAGCAGACGTTTGCCGTCGCCACGGCCGCCACTCCGGGCTTGCTCGACGACACCGTGGGCGGCATCATGGGCCTCGGCTTCGAGGCGCTCTCGACGAGCCAGTCCACGCCGTTCTGGCAGGGCGCTGCGTTGGACACGAATGAGTTTGCCTTCTACCTCGCTGCCGTCGAGTCGCTCCAGCAGCTGCCTGGCTCTGGCTCCGAGACGTACGGCGGCATCTTCACCCTCGGTGGCACCAACACGTCGCTCTACCAGGGCGACATCAACTGGTCTGACGTCATCGACGATGCCTACTGGCTCATCACTCTTGGCGGCATCACCGTCGGCGGCAACACCATTGATCTGGAGAGCACAAGCAAGACGGCCGTCGACACAGGCACGACCCTCATAGGCTGCCCCACCGCCGTCGCCGAGGCCATCTACGCGGGCATCCCCGGCTCCTCGGCCATCTCGTCGATGGACGGCTACTACCAGTTCCCCTGCGACACGTCGGTGAATGCGACGATGCACTTTGGCAACCAGCAGTACACGTTTACCTCGTACGACTTTGTCGGCCAGGCTCTCGACTCGGCGGGCGAGAACTGCATGGGCGTCTTTTTCAGCCTCGGCAGCGACGCCAACGACGAGCTGCAGTACATTCTCGGCGATGCCTTCCTCAAGCAGGTCTACACCATCTTTTCCAACACGGCCAGCACAGCCCAGGTCGGCTTTGCCAGCCTCGCCGATGGCCTCTCGAGCCACACGACGTCGACGACGGTGGACCAGGTGCAAACGGCATCGACGTCGGCCGCGGCGCCCTCGCTGCTCGTGCGCACGGCCGCCCTGCTCGTGCCCGTCGTCCTTGCGTCTTCGTTCCTGCTCGCCTGAGTTTTGCCCTTCTCGCCCTGTCTTCGTTGCCTCGTCATTGGTTTGTCCGCCTGTCTGCCTGTAATCTCTCTCTCTCTGCATGTACCCTCTAACTGTCATTTTGTCTGCTCGTCTGCTCATACAAGCTTCCATTCGCAAAACATCCATCCATCGATCAATCAATCAATCAATCAATCAATTTCATCTTCTCATCATCGCGCAATTGATCCGCTCATCGTCGCGCTTTCGCTGTGCTACTGCTTGGTGACGTGGAACTGGCCCTCGTCGAGGTTGTTCAGCCGGTCCTCCTCCTGGTCGATGGAATAGGTGGCCACGCGGAAGACGACGCCGGCGATAAACGCAATGACGGCAAACGTCGTGTACATCCACACCAGCCGCGGGTCCTGGACGAGGGGCAAAAAGGCCTGCTGTAGCGCCGAGCCGAGGGCCGAGGTGAAGAGAAAGGCGCCCATGACGAGCGAGCGCATGTTCTTGGGTGCCTGTGTGGTAGAGCGATTTCGTGCATCAGGCTGAGTCCAATGGAGCAATGGACAGAATAGAGACTCACCTTGGTGAAGGCGTACTCGAGGCCCGTGACCGAGGCAAAGATCTCCGAGATGCCAATGAGGACATAGGGCCCCGTCTGCACCCACACCGACAGCGGCGCCGGGTCGTCGCACTCGGACGCCCGGTCGAGGCATGGCGACTGGCGGTAGATGTAGTGCTGTACGACGGCGCTCCAGACCATAGCCGCCGAGGCGCACATGAAACCGGCAAAGATGCGCTTGAGAGCGGTGAAGTTGATGCCCAGGCGACGCAGACCCGGGTAGACGAGAAACTCAAACACGGGGACAAAGATGATGATCGACAGCGGGTCCAGGTTCGACACGATCTCGTTGGGCACGCCGTTGCGCGTGAGCGACTTTGCCTGCGAGATGAGGTTGCTCGAGATCTGGTTGTAACAGATCCAGTAGAAGCTGCAAGCAAGGCGTGTCAGTATCGCATCGCACAGTGCCATGGGAGAGAAAAGGACACACGCACGGAAAGAGGGCAAAGATGTAGCAGGCCTTGAAGCCGCGGCGGATCTCGTCGACCCAGGCGTCGTCAAAGGTCATCCAGCGGGGCCGCAGATCGGGCTCGATGTTGCTCGGCTTGGCGCTGTCCCAGAAGCTGTGCTGCGGCGACCGGTGGGTGAGTGCATAGCGCCAGACGCGCATGGACGTGCCCAGCACCGAGCCCGACGGCGGCGTCTTCTTGTACAGATGCCGGCCAAAGTGGAGGATGGGGATGCAGATGAGAAAGACGACGGTGGGCAGGGTAAAGGCGAGGTAGAAGCCCTCGTACTTTTCGGCAAACGTCATGCTAACCTGACCGCCAATGGCACCGATGTTGATCATGAGGTAGAAGAAGTTGAAGAGCCGGGCTGACGTGATGGTCGGGTCGACGATCACCCGCTCGCCCTTATTGGTCGTGGCGATGCGCTGCTTCTGGCTGCCGACCTGCTCGGCCATCAGCGGGCTCACCGTGGACTTGAACATGCCCGTGCCCAGGCCCATGACGATGATGGCGACGGCAAACGCGGCCATTGACCCATTGGGATTCTTGATCACGGGCGGGATGGCGCAGATGACGAGGATGATGTGGCCCACAATGGCAATGTACACGGCTAGCTTGATGGTCCTGAACCGGCCCAGGTAGGCGTCGGCGAGGTAGCCACCGAGGAGGGGCATGCAGTAGACCCAGAACTGGTTGAACGTCGTCAGGCCTGTTGCGGCTGTCTGTCCACGGCCGAGGGCGCCCGGTGTGCCCTCCGACGAGGGATCGGCGCCCGTGGTCGAGCCAATCGGCAGCGGGTTCTCGATGAAGTTCTGAAAGACCTGGACGGTGCCGTAGTAGGAGAAGCGCTCCGATAGCTCACACACGGCGATGAGGAACGAGGCCCAGGGAATCGCTGCCGGCACACGCCGCAGCGTCCTTCGGTCCTCGTCTGTCACTTCGTCTTCATCGTGCAGCGCGTCGGGGGCCTGCTCCTCGAGCTTCTCCGTGACGTCTTCTCCCTTTTCGCCCTTGACAGGCAGCATCTCGTGTCGCTTCGTACCGGCTTCGTCGCTCTGCGCAAAGCCGTAGCCGGCGTCGGTGGCCTCGAGGGCGCCTGTGTCGCCCGTCAGTCAGTCTCGCGTCTCTTGTGCGACGAGGAAGGCAGATCAGCAGACTCACTCATCGATGTCTCAAAGTCAGGCGTGAATGCCGCACAGAAAAGGATGGCGGTGGCGAGAGACAAGATAGCTGGACGCGGGGGGGAGGAGCAAGGGCGACAAAAGGAGTGGGGCAGGACCCGATGAGACTATATGCAGCTCATATGGCGAGATAAGGAGTAGAGGCGGTCGCGCGGCGTCCGCACGACCGAGCCTACCGTGCCGCCCACTGTGGCCGCGGGGCGACGAGGCTATCTAATCACGACATTGAGCAAGCTCTTTCTCTGTTCCTTTGCTGCCATCGCCACCACCGCCGTGTGCCCTTCCGGCGATAGCACACCCAGACTTGCGCACTAACGACGTTGAGAAGACATGGGTCACTGCACCGTTAATTGAATGTTGCGCTCTCGCACTTGAAGCTATCTATTTCCGGTTAAATTTCTTGGATTTTTCCAGACATAAGAAGCAAGCAAGCGCTTACGCTCATCCAGTGCGCGCGCTGTCGCGCTTGGCACCCATCCATGGAGCAACTCACGACTGAGAGCAATTCTTGCTTTTAGATGTCGCCAAGACAGACAAAGGACTACTACCGCTGCCACTCTATCTCGTCGAGTTGTTAAAAAAGCGGCGCAAAGGCCGTCTTTCAGCTTCGATGGAGGCCATTCGAAAGCGGGCCCGCGGCCGTGTGCTGGTCTTCCCGCACCGCGTGCGGGTGTCGCCCTAGCTGCCCGCTCTCTTCAATGCCACTGCAGAGGAGTTGGAGTTGATAGCGTGTGCCTGGGCAAGACAGCCGTGCGAGCTGGGACCTGAGAGCGTCTCACAAATATTCTCCCACAGTCGGCCCGAGATAATAAGGTAGAAGCCCAGACCAATGACACGCGTGGCCTGCCTGACCTGTATGCGAGGAAGAGCGTCCCCTTCCCCATGCAAGCAGCTCGATAGGATGCCCAGGTCGATTCGACGCTCATCGGCGCCGCCGACACCGACCACGACCCACGTGGGCAAGCCCGACGACCCCTGAAGCCAGGGATGGATGGCGGAGCGCGCGGAGCACTGGGGAGATCACGTGCGCGTACCTCGCGGCCTCGCCTTATTTTTTTTTTTAAGGTTGCAGGCGCCGGTCTCAGCCCCCAGCAACGACGATGTCCTGGAACCCGTTCAAGAGCAACGATGCGCCGCAGACGGGGGGGATGGGGTCGTGGATGAACATCGAGGGCGGGGCCATGCGGGCAGCGGCGACGGGCGAGCTGACGGGCGAGCCGAGCGCGTTTGAGAAGATGGGCTTCGAGCTGACGCGGCAGCAGCGCATCATTGGCTTCGCGGGGTGGTGAGTGGGCTGGGGCGACAGTCTTTTACGCGCGCTTCGGTGCCAAGGCGCCTGGCCTAGCGGGGACGCTGACGTGTTCTTTCCAGCCTCGTCTTTGGTTTCGCCCTCTCCATCATCGGCTCGATCATGCTCTTCTTTGGCAACACGACTCTCTTTGCCATCCTCTACTCGATCGGCGTCATTGTCAGCCTCGTGGGCACGGGCTTCCTCATTGGCTTTGCGCGCCAGCTCCGGTCCATGTTTGACCCCGTGCGGCTGTGGGCGACCGTGGTGATGCTCCTCGCCTTTGTCATGGTCTGGTGGGTGTTTTCTCAGCTCATCGCCTTGCATGCTTGCTTGCGACTTTGCCTTCTGACACGTTGATCTACAGGGTGTCTGCCTTTGCCATTGGCGTCCCATTTCTGCCCCTCATCTTCGTCGTCATTCTCTTCCTCGCCTACATCTGGTACACCCTCTCGTATATTCCGGTGAGCTGTGGCGTGCAGATCTTCCCTCTCGCTCCTGCTCCTGCTGCTGACAGATGCCCCGTGACAGTACGCGAGGAGCATGGTCAAATCGATCTTCTCGAAGTTCATGTGAAATACATTCTTCGAAACCTGGACTATTGCATGCACGACCGAGAATGCGCCTACTGCCTTCGGAGAGCCTCTCGACCAGCCTGGAGAATGGCATGGAGGAGACGGGCGGCTGAATCTGCCACGTACAGCGCCGTCGCGGGACGTCGGGCTTAGGCTCCCTGCAGAACGCCCGAGATGACGCCGCTGATGCAGTGCGACAGCTTCAGCCAGTGCATGCGCTCTTCCAACTGGCCCTACGCAAGCTCAACTTGGTCTCTTTGCTGTTATGGCACGCCGTGTACGGGTCGCCAGAGCTGCCATTGTTGATGGAAGATGCCGCGCAGCAGGGGCGCACAGCATGACTGGAAATCTGTGGCGCAATGAGTGGATTGGCGGTGCTAAGAGGTCACGAGCTTTAAAAGTCTGGGCAAAGAGGCCTGTTGGCAGAAACCAGCGAAGAGGAGAGAGTAAAAGACTGGGCTCTTGGCTCTTCAAAAGTGGGAATCGCGCCGAGCGACCAGGATAGTCGATCGCCCTCTGAGCACTTGGTTCACGGCCCTCAGTGCATTCATGTGATAAGCAGACCTTGGCACATTCATGAGTCAAATCCCCATCACTACGGCTGTCAAGCTCCAACCGGGCGACGGGGTGCGAAGAAGCGACGGCGCCAGGCCACGTGGCGCGTTTTCAGATTTCAAATTGGGGAGCACGGCAGGCATGCGTCCACGTTGAGAGCTCAAAACTGTGCGAAAGAGCTTATCGACCATCATTTCTTCGCGTTCGACACCGCCGATCTTTCCCCCACGCTCGCCCCATCTTTCCCCCCTTTCTTTCCCTTTTCTTCCTCCCTCTTCTCCCTCTCCCCCTTCTCCCTCTCCTTCCCTCCGTTCCCCTCTCCGTGCTCTTGGTGCGTCAATGACGGTGCTCGACACCAGCCTGGACGCTGCCGCGCTCTTTGTGCGGCAGGCGAGGGCGACGCCCGAGGCCGTCGCGCTCGAGGACCAGCACCAGTCGCTGACCTATGCCCAGCTTGAGTCCGAGACGGGCCGGCTGGCGAACCGGCTGGCGCGGCGGCCGCACTCGGTCGGCCGCGATGTCCTGGTGGGCGTGCTGATGGGCCGGTGTGCTGAAAACGTCATTGCATCACTGGCCGCGCTGCGTGCTGGCGGCGCCTTTCTCGTCCTCGAGCTTGCCTACCCCAACAACCTGCTCGCCGACGTCATCAAAGACGCCAAGCCGGCCGTGATTGTGACGCTGGCGGCCCATGCCCACCGCGTCAAGGGCAGCGGCGTGCCCGTCATCATTCTCGACAGCGACGAGGAGAAGGCCGAGCGAGCAAAAGAGCAGCTACAAGAAGAGAAAGTAGAGGAGGACGATAACACCCCCCCGAGGCCCGCCGACGACGACGTGGACCGGCTGGCGTTTGTGTGCTACTCGTCGGGCACCACGGGCCGGCCCAAGGGCATCTCGAACCCGCACCGGGCGGCGGTGGGCTCGTACAGCCGGCGCTTTGGCGTCTCGAGCCTGGGCCCCGGCGATCGCGTGGCTTGTAACGTCTTTTTCGTCTGGGAGATGCTCCGGCCGCTGCTGCGGGGCGCGACGACGGTGGCCGTGCCCGACGTCGTCAGCTACGACCCCGAGGCCCTCGTCACTTTCCTCTCGGAGCGCGCCATCACCGACACGCTCATGACGTCGACGCTCCTCGACATTGTCCTCGCGCGCCACGACGCCGACGTGGGCAGCCTGGCCAAGCGCCTCGGCAGCCTGCGCTCCCTCTGGCTCAACGGCGAGGTCGTCACGGCTGACCTGTGCCGCAAGGCGCGCGCGGCACTGCCCAGCCACACGCGCCTGCTCAACGTCTACAGCACCAGCGAGACGCACGAGGTCGCCGCTGGTGAGCTCTATGTGGGCGACGGCATGGCCACGGACATCTGCCCCGTGGGTGCGCCCCTGCTCGACGGCGACGAGGTCCTGATTCTTGATGGCGACACCCCCGTCGAAGCCGGCGAGGTGGGCGAGCTCTGCGTCGGCGGGCCCCTGCTTGCACGTGGCTATCTCAACCTGCCCGAGGTGACGGCCAAGGCCTTCTTCCTGGGCCCTGGCGGGCAGCGCATGTACCGCACTGGCGATGCTGCGCGACGCCTGTCCGACGGCCGCCTCGAGATCACCGGGCGCATCGGAGGCATGATCAAGACGCGCGGCTACACCGTCCAGCCGGGCGCCGTCGAGGCGGCCATCATGCGCCATCTCTCGGTGCGCTCCTGCGTCGTCGTCGGCCACGGCGAGGGGCTCGAGAAGCGCATCGTCGCCTACGTCGTGCGCGACGTCGTCATCAGCGACGTCAACCGGCCCCCGCTCGTCATCCGGCCCACGGGCCACAGCCCCGAGGCACGCCGCGCCCTGTCGGCCCACCTGGCCCACTACATGATCCCCTCGGTCTGGATCGAGCTCGACGCCCTGCCGACGCACGACGTCTCGGGCAAGATCGACGTGCGTGCGCTGCCCACGCCTGCACCCACGCGGCCTGCCTCGCCGACAGCCGCTTCGTCGCCACGCGGCGGCGGCGGCGGCGCCGGCCTCGGCACCCAGCCCGTCGACCGCCGCACCATCGCCGACGCCTGGGCCGCCTCGCTCGGCCTGCCCCTCGACCAGGTCGACACCGCCGAGGACCACAGCTTCTTTGACCTCGGCGGCCACTCGCTCTCCCTCGCCGATCTCGCCGGCCGGCTCTCGAAGCTCTTTGGCTTCTCGGTGCCCCTCGCGCCCCTGGCCGCCCAGCCGTCGCTCGAGGGCCATCTGGCGGTGGCCCTGGCGGCGCGCGACGGCCACGTGGCAGGCCTCCAGGCGGACCTGCCTGCGATGCTGCGCGCCGACTGCGTGCTGCCCGACGACGTCGTGTCTCCAGCAGCACGGCCACGCCGGCCCACGCGGCTGCTGGGCGACGCCAAGACTGTCGTCCTCACCGGCGCCACGGGCTACCTGGGCGCGTTTCTGCTGCGCGCCCTCCACGAGCGCAGCACGGCGACCATCGTCTGCCTCATTCGCTTTGCCAAGGTGGCCGACGACTGCCGGCCCGCGGGCATCGCTCGCATCCGCGCCAACCTCGTCGACCTCGGCCTGTGGCACGATGGCCTCCTCGACCGCCTCGAGGTGGTGCCCGCGAACCTGTCGGCGCCCCTCCTGGGCCTCTCCCAGGCCGAGTTCGACGACCTGGGCCACCGCGCCGACGTCATCGTCCACGGTGCCGCGACGGTGAACCTGGTGTACCCCTATGCGGCGCTGCGCGACACCAACGTTGGCGGCACGCGCGAGATGCTCCGCCTCGCCAGCGTCGGCGGCGCCACCTTCCACCACGTGTCCAGCAACGGCGCCCTGCCCGGCCAGGCGGCTGCCCCTGCTGCGACTGCCAAATCGAATGGCGCCGCTGCCGATGCCACCGCCGCCGATGCCACCGCCGCCGCGACCACCGCCTGGGCCGAGGACGCGCGCATCAGCGTCGACGACGCCGCCACGGGCCTCGCCGACGGCTACGGCCAGACAAAGTGGGTCGCCGAGCAGCTCGTCGCCGAGGCCCGGGCCCGGGGCATGCCTGCCACCGTGTACCGGCTCGGCACCCTGAGTGGCTCGAGCCGCACGGGTGCCGCCAATGCCTACGACATGCTCAACGCCCTCGTCGTCGAGTCGCTGCGCATGGGCTGCGCCCCCGTCATTGAGAGCTGGCGCGTCGAGATGACGCCCGTCGACCACGTGGCCGAGGCCATCGCCGCCCTGGCCGACGTCGACGACCAGCAGCACGACGCCCTGCCAGTCTACCATCTCGTCGACAGCGACCCCGTGCCCGCAGCGGCGCTCTTTGACCGCCTGGCCCGGCTCGGCTATGCGACGAAGCGGGCGCCCTGGGACGCATGGGTGGTGCAGTGGCGCGAGCGCACCTCGACGCGCTCCCCGCTCGCCAGCGCCGCCAAGCAGCCCTTCACCGTCGACATTCTCCGCGGCGGCCTGCCCACCGTCGACGCCCTCACTGCCGTCGCCCTGCTCGACGATGCCGCGACGCAGGCCCGGCTCGAGCAGCACGGCCTCGCGCGGCCCAAGCTCGACGACGCCCTCTGGCAGACGTATCTGCGCCACTTTTACGCACGTGGCTGGCTCTCCAGCCCGCCGCGGCGGCGCGCGGGCGACGCAGCAGCACGCGGAGGCCTCGCAGCAGCAGCGCCCGTGGCCAGCACCAGCACCATCAGGGGCGGCCGCCTCGCTGGCCGCGTCGCCGTCGTCACGGGCGCCTCGTCGGGCATTGGCGAGGCCGTGGCCGTGGCACTGGCGCGCGAGGGCGCCAAGGTGGCCATTGCTGCGCGCCGAAAAGACGCCCTCGAGGGGGTGCGTTCGCGCATGCCGGCCAGCCCCGACGCCGTCCTCGTCCAGCCGACAGACGTCACCGACGCAGGCCAGGTCGCTGCGCTCATGGACGCCACCGCGAAGCAGCTGGGCCCCGTCGACATCCTCGTCAGCTGCGCCGGCGTCATGTACTTTACCATGATGGCCAACGTCAAGGCCGACGAGTGGGACCGCACCGTCGACGTCAACTGCAAGGGCCTGCTCCACTGCCTCGCCAGCACCGTGCCCGCCATGCTCGCGCGCGGCGCCGGCCACATTGTCGCCATCTCGTCCGACGCCGGCCGCAAGGTGTTTCCCGGCCTCGGCGTCTACTCGGCCAGCAAGTTCTTTGTCGAGGCCACGCTCCAGTCGCTCCGCCTCGAGACGGCCGGCTCGGGCCTGCGCGTGACGTCGGTCCAGCCGGGCAACGTCGCCACCGAGCTCCTGTCCATGTCGACGGACGCCGAGGCGATTGAAAAGTACGGCCAGCCCTCGGGCGCCAAGGTGCTCGACCCCAGCGACGTCGCCTCGGCCATCGTCTATGCCCTGGGCCAGCCTGCGCACGTGGCCGTCAACGAGGTCCTGATTGAGCCGCGCGACGAGCCCATCTAGAGGCTCTTATTTATTTCACGGACTGTTTGTACATAATCGCATTGTCATTGCGCACTTGAGAAGAAACTAGAGCTACTTGAAGAAAGGCGGGTGGGCCTAGAAGGACGGGCGTTTAAAGAAAGAGGGAGTGAATGTGGCGGGAAGAAGGAACGTGTGACAACCGCTAAGTGGCGGGTCGCCTGGCCGAAAAGGCGGCAAAGGTGTTGCAGGTGTCGTCGGCGTCCCACTGCGCTCGCACACGGTCCATGAGTTCGATGTAGTCCTGCCGGCTGGCGATGGCGCCGCTCTGGACCGCCGCCTCTTGCAGGCCCAACAGCCCCCGGAAGAAGTTCTCGCCCGCCTCGTGGCCGTCCTCGCGCCGTCTGCTCATGGGAATCTCCACGGTGGTGACGGCGACGTCGACAAAGCCGGCCTCGGCGAGCCAGTCGCCGAGCCGCGCCAGAATATCGAAGACGAGGCCGCGCTTGGCAAACGTCTGGCGGAGCACGCGCATGAGGACGTCACCGGGCGAGCCTGCGGGGTACGGGTGCGCAAAGTGGCCCGTCTCGATGAGCTCGACGCAGCCCGTGTCTGGCTGGAGCACGCGCAAGAGCTGGCCCAGGCACGTCTTCCACTGCGCGCCGCTGAGCCCGGCGACGAGGAGGCGCTGGTGCACGAGCGAGAAGCGGCCGGTCCACTCGGCAGGCAGGTTGAGGATGTCGGCCACCTGCAGGGTGGCGAGGCGGCGCGGCGAGGCGCTTGGAAATTGTCGGTCGCTGAGATCGACGCCAATGAGATGGCCTGGCGCAACGCCCCCCTCGGCGAGCCTGCGCTCGAGATCGCTCAGCCAGATGCCTGGGTATTCTCTTCAGCTCAATCCAGCTCGATGAAAAGAAGGCAGATGCTGCACACTCACCGTTGCCCGTGCCCGAGTCGAGCACGTCGGCGCCTTGCAGTGCCTGCAGCGATGGAGGGCCCGACCAGAGCTTCCCGCCAAAGGCCCGGACAACGACACGGTGCTGCAGGCTCAGGCGCTGCGTCTCGTCTGCATCGGCCGGAAGCAGGTACTGCTCGACGTTGTGAAAGTGTCGGGAGGATGTCATGCCGTCCCTCGACGAGGGAAGAAAGGAGCGCAAGTCAGGGAGAGCGCATTGTTGCACTAGCATGAATTCTTCCAGAGCGCTTTTCATGCACGGACCGCACTAATGGGCCACTAAACTAAACTGAGCTCTCGCCTGTGAATCCGGCGCGTTCTGCAGGCCTACACATCAGCCTCGTTCTGTGGCGTCGACGTACAGCCGCGGAGCCATGTTGCAAGTCTCGTGCATTCGCAGCATGTTCCTAACCCTAAATCAAAAGTCTGCGTATATGAGCAGTCCAGCAAGCGCGGCAATGAGTGCTCCGGGAATAGCATGAAGCCGTCCGAGGTCCTTGGCACCGCTTCTCGAGAGGTAGACTCCGTCCGTGCCGGCAACGAGGATGCCAATGGTACATAGGATGGTAGCCATTTCTGTCCATTTCCCTTGGTACGCGAAGATCAGAAGGACGACTCCCGTGGCAAGCTGCCGGATTCCCATGAGCGATATATAATCTCTTGCGACGCTGTATTGGTCATTGCGTATTGTCGCTGTGCTGGACCGGACCGCTTTGTTGTTGTCGACAATGGGCGAAGCCAATGGCATTCCGAAAAACCTCGAGAATCCAACAGGATCCACAAGAGCATGTATCCCGGTACCGATGGCAGATACCGCGAAAATGACACTGACGCCCTTGAAAAGCGGCAGAAGCGTACGCTCCATGGTTGTTGCTGAGAAATTAAAGAGTCAAACACAGATGACAAACGCATGTCGGCGGGCCATCTCCTTCATTAGTCATCCCCACGTGACAACGAAGCTGAGATCGACAAGTGGGACCAGGAAAGACGGCTTTCTTAGTCCAGGACGCTTGCGCCGGTGTTCTACATTGTCCAAAGAAGACTTCATGCGTGTAGATCCAGTTTTTGGTCCAAAATGGAGAGAAAAGGGGAATCTACACTCGAGCAAAGGATAGGGTACGCGCGTAGAGTCAGATCCAAAGTAGCCGAAAATTCACTCGGCATCAGCAGCGGTAAAGACAGACGTGGGCCCCCTTTTGAAACAAAGAGCTTCAGCTCGGTCGAGAGAGAATCTTCGAGGCGAGGCACATACCTGTACGTCATGCCCTCGTGCTCAAACAGAACGTGGGCTGCCAGCTCGGTGCCATGGAGCTTCATGGCCAGGTGGACGGGTACGCGATAGTACGGCTGGCCAGCAGGCGACGAGTGAAGGACCAGCAGACTGCGAAAAGGCTCCATGTCGACCCTGAACTTGCACAGTTCCTCGCTGGAAGTGAGAAAAAGTCTGTCAATCTTGCACATGGCGCTAGCTAGAGGATGCATGAACTCACAACTCGCCCAGATCGATGAATTCGGGCTCGCTTTCCTCGACACCGCGGTATACGTAGAGGCTGATGTCTTTGTGAAGGGGCATGTTTGCGTGCCAGGAAAAGGTGAACTTCTCCAGGTGCTCTTCTTGCTCTGACCCGGACTGGTCCTTCTTGATCACGGCACCAAAAGACGAGGGCAGTCGCAGCTTTCCGTCGTTGCCGGTGATGAGCATCGCCTTTCTTGCCTCGTGGACAGGGTCGCCTTCGCGATAGAAGGTCGAACAGCGAATGCCGTAGGTCTGCCTAGCCACGCGAGTATTGACGACACCATCAATGAGCCAGGCCACGCCGCCGTTGGCAACGGCCTTTGCAGTGGCTTCGTCGGGCTTGCACAGTCTGACACGTGAGCCGAGGCGTGCTTGCACTTCTTTGCGCAAAAAGGCACTCTCAGAGAAGCCACCGACCATGGCAACGGGCACGGTCTGTTGTCCGCGTCCTTGAACGCGTGCAGCGATGCTCTGCTCCATGGCACGAATGCTTGGCTCAAACAGCTGGGCAATCTCCTCGCCAGTAAAAACGAGCTTGCCGGACTGGATGCCCAGCTCCTGTCGCGTGACACTCGAGCTGGTGATGGCCAGGTACTGTTCTTGCGTCTTGTCGGAAAAGGCCTCCTTGATCGAAGCACAGAAGCGCTGCTGGAAGTCGTCGAGGTCTGCCTCGTTGTTCCACTCGGTGTTGCGCAGGCGTTCCGAGATGAGATCGCGCGCCCGTCGGTCTACCGTCGTCGAGCCTGCCAACAGACCTGCGAGAAGTGATAAGCAATCATTCCTCCTTACAGCCTTGATACCACGGCCCCACCCACAGTCGCTTGCAGAGGTTTCAGAAATGACGAGGTTAGGGGTCATCGAGGTGACCTGGTAGGTGCTGATGTCGATAGTTCCTCCGCCCGCATCGCATACAATGAGCTGCTGCCCCTCTCTCTGCAACGGGAACAGATGTGAGTCTCCTCCTCTATGAGGCGCATATGAAACGGAAAATTCCCAGGACTCACACAAAGCCACTCGTGTGCGGCAGGACTCTGAGCACAGTAATTGATGCTGGCCTCGGCTTCGGTGACAAACGAGACCGTATCCGCACGCTCGGGAGCGACGAGACCAGCCTGGATGCAAGCGTTGCGAAGTACCTGCTGCTGTGCCACCTCCCAGCCGTTGGGCACCGTTATGACATACCTGATTGACTCGGCCAGCGATGCCAAGATCTCGGAACCATTGGAATGACGCGTGACAATGTACTTGCCGACGCAGGAGACCATGTAGGCCAAAAACTGGGCAGCAATCGTCTCGGCGGTTACACCAAAGGGCAGTGGGTCGAGATCTGGAGCAGGAGCGTCTGGATCGATGATAAGCTCGAGATTGGCGGGCTTGAGGTAGAGCTTCCACCAGCGGGCGCTCGCTCCGCCTTCGACGAGAATCTTCTGCGCCGCCGCCCCGTCGACGGCCTCGGCTCCATACAGCGCCGGTTGGCCGTCTGCGTTGTAGAGAACCACGCTCGGCACCTTGCTGCCCGAGGTCGTCTGACCTGGGAAGCTCTTGACATCACAGATGTTGGGCTTCTTGCCGGGCGTCAGAATGCAGTAGGAAGCGCCGCTGTATGTCGTGCCTTTGATAGGACATGTGAGGAAATGTCATATCCATGTACCATTGTGCTGACTCACCGAGATCGATGGCGATGATGAGACCAGGCTCACCACGGTAGGGCAGCCACTCTTTACCCGCTCTTCGTGGAGGCACCTTGCTCTCCTTGTAGATGTCGTCGTTGACTTGCGAAGGCATCGTGGCCGCCGGTCCCATCACAGAAGCACGCTGAGCGTGCTGCGACCTCCCAAAGGACATGATGGCGGTATTGCAACATTCACGATGCTTGTAGCTGAAGCTCTCCTTATCACCACTCTTTGTGTCGGAGTTTGGAAATTTACCATTGCCCCGGGGGCAGTGAGGCGACCGTCGCCTCACCATAACGCAAAGTTGTGGCTTCAGCACTTCGCGATTGAGTGCACCCAGAAAACAGAAAAACACTTGCGCTAGACAGGGTTCTGGACTTGTAAGCGAGCAATGCGGCTATGCTCGATTCTAGACTCAGAAGAACATATGACAAACTGACGCTTGCGGCAAATGCGGCTCCAGTTTGAGAGACTGCGAGGCAACGAGAATACAGAGAAATAGGGAGCTCCACTTCGACTTCAAGGTGATAATAGTCATCCAGACCATAGAGCAGTAAGAAGAGACATTGCGGAAGCATGGGTCAACATTGATGATGATGATGATGACCAGCAAGTGAACACTGGAAGGATGTATGGTAAGGACTATGAAGAACATGATCTGACCGTAGGCTGGAGCTGAAACAGGAACAAGCTCGACGTAAAAGAAGAGAAATGAGAGAAATGACTCTGGTGGGAATCGCTCCTCATAGGAGAACAGCGGCAGCACCCAGTGCGATCGCACCGAGAGAGAAGACCTGGAGAGCGTAGTCAGAAGCAGCTCCGCTGGTCTTTTTTGCTCCACCGGCGTTGGTATTTGCGGCATGGGACGCGGCAGCCGTGTTCGAAGCAGCACGGTTGGCGGTGGAAGTACCCGCACCACTGGTGAAGGTGAGGGGTGGCGTCGAAGAAGCCCCGCCGCTTCCGCTGTCAGGGATCTGCGAGAGGTCGCAACTGCTTCCAGTCATATCTTGTGAGGCTAGACAGTTAGCTGCCTGGGTTTGAAAACCGTTCACGTAGAGCGTGCAGGCGAAGTCGAGGACATTGTCCATGTTTTGTGACTCGAAGTAACCGTAGGAGTCGGTTATAAGGCAATCGTCGATGAGGACGCAGTTGGTGAAGGCCACGAAGTTATTGGGACAGAAGCAAGAGAGGAGCTGGTCGTTGGTCACGTCTGGGGACAAGCAGGCAAGCAAGCTGCCTGAAGCCTGCATACAGTCAGTGTTCTCGCATGTGTCGCGCACTTTAAGCGGGTTCGTCCAGAGCGGGTTGGGCGACGGCGAGGCCCGCACGAGGCTTGCCGAGAAGAGAAAGATGGCACAGAGATAGAGCTGCTCGACGTTAGACCTTGTCGTTAGACCTTGTCGTTGAAGCAAAAAAGAAAGACTAGCTTACCTGAAGCAAGAACATTCCTGATACCGTATGCCTTCTTTAATGTGGTGAGTGTGGACTGGGATGGCTTGCTAACGTCAGTGGTCACGCTGCCTTTTATGTTCTTTGAGGCATTGCCCCGTCGACGGCAGGTCGCTGCGAAGCCTAATTGTCTCGGAGAGAGCGGTCTGGGCTGTGTCAACCATCTCTTTGATGGTCTGTGCTGCGTTGAATATCCTCTTGATTGTCTAGAATCGTCGTGAAAGACCCGCTTCGGGAAGCGAGTTTTCTACTTCATCAGACAATTTAGCCAGGCTGTGCATAGCGCGGTGACACGACGTCGCGTTACCATGACCGGACTTTCTGGGTCATACTCCCGCTCTTCTGGGTTCCTAGATGAGGTTGCTAGCAAGTCATGTCATGTGGTGCGTATGATTTTGCGAGGAATTGCGAAAAAGATCGTGCAGCAGTAATTGATAAAATTTATGAAGAGAAGAAAAATAATGAACAACACAAATCAGCGTTCATCGCTCTGCCTCTACATCGCTTTCTAGAGAGTACGGCGGAGGAGCGGCGCCGTCCAATTTACTGCATCGCCATTGGTCGGGCTGTGCCACTGTCTCGTCTAAACCCAAGTACGACAAGTTCGCGGTGACAGTTGTGACTTCATTATGCTGTGCTGGCAACTGAGTGGAGCTGGTCTCGCTCGTGACGAGTCCAATGATGTTAGGGCAGGTTTCTTTCTCCACCCTGGCCTGTATCGAGGGCCTTACAGACATGCTCTCTGGATCCGTGTCGCTGTTTCTGAAGTCGCTGACTTCCGCGTGTATGCTTTCACCCGAGACCTGACCCTGAAAAGCCAATTGCGACGGAAGCTCGAGACTCGAGACACTCTGGAGATCGGTTTCCGGCAGCACCGCACCAGAGACGGATGGGGTTCGCATCTCTTCGCGCATCGCAAGACTCTCGGTAGCTACTGCTCGAGGAACGTTGCGTCCCCCGCTTGGAGCAGCTTTGCGTGTGAAGAGCTCCAGGTCGTCGAGGTAGACGGTTTGCGCCTCTCCGCTGTGTGCGATGGCCTGGTGGTCCCACATCCATCTTGCCTTCAGCTCTGTATCAGAGATATCCAGGTGTATGTCGAAGCGGACCTGTCTGAATCGGCGTCCGCTCTCGAGCTTCTGGATTGGCAACGCGTTCTTGAGCCTGTCAAGATTGACCTCGAGTGTGCAGAGGACCGCGAATCCGTCGTTTTCTTCATCCACAAACTCTGGGGGTGTATCGTCGCCGCGGTAGATGATGAGGTCAAATGAACCCGTGAGCTTCTCATCGAGCGCCTTTGTCATGCTGAAGCTCTGCTTGACTGTGTCTGCAGCTTTGACTTCCTGACCTTTAGCGTAGAGTGGATGGAAAGCGTCTGGGATGCGCACCTCGCCGTCTGCCGAGACGATTCTTGTTTTCAAACGATCGATGTGTGACTGCTTTCTCGCATCGAGCGTCACGGCACAGCGTACACCGTACCAGAGCTTGGCGACTCGGGCCGTAACAACACCGTCGATGGCCCAAGCCACAGCGCCGCTCGCCACCGCCTTGGCAGTGGCATTGTCTGGCTTGGCGAGTGCCACACCGGGCCCGAGAGCTTTGGCAACACTCTCTCGGAGATACACGCTCTCTGAAAAGCCGCCGACGAGGGCGACGCGCTTGGCCATGCCGGGCGCATAGTCTGCAAAGATGGTGCGCAAGCCATTGACGGTGGCGCTTATGGATCTGGAGAAGAGTGAGGCTACCTCATGGCCCTGCAGCACGAGCATGCCCTTGATGAGGCCGATGGACTCGTCATTGTCGACGCTTGTGCCAATCTTTATGACGCAGGGATTGCGATCGTTTGAAAATGTGTGCTTGACTGTGCGAATGAAGTCGTGCATGATCGTCTCGAGGTCTTCGTCGTTGTCCCACCGAGTGCCTGCGAGTTTAGACCTGATGAGTGCGATGGCTTGGTTGTCGACGGTGATGGAGCCTTCGAGGAAGCATTGGGGGACGCACACCTCTTTGACACTCAAGTGTGGCTCGGTTGTCTCTATCGCATAGGCGGTCATGTCGATGGTGCCTCCGCCTGCATCGACAATGGCCACGGAAGAGCCCGCTTGCGTCCACGAGGACATGGCGCTGCTCATGAGGGCGTACGTCAAGCTGGCTTCCGCCTCGGACAAGAATCTGACCATGGTCGCCGCTCGAGTGGCGTCGGGGACAACACCGGCTCGCACTGTGGCGCGGCGCATGGCGGCTTGCTGTGCCCCAGCCCAGCTGTTTGGATGGGTCAGGACTAGGAGTCGGTTTCCCTTCGTCTTCGCTACCAGCTGTTCTCCGCCTTGGTGGTGCGCGATGATGAACTTCTCGACCCAGTCCATCATCCATGCTAAATAGTCGGTGAAAACATCTTCTGCGCTCTTGCCTGGCGGAATAAACATGGGGGTGCGTCCTTCGTCTTCGTTTTCGTCATCCTGGTCGTCGTCCTGTTGGTCGGGCAGCCCCTCGTCCAGGTCGGCGCACAGGGCCAACTTCCACCAAGACGCCTCTTTGGCCCCCATAGCATACGCAGCGTGCCTCATGCGCTCCGTCTTCGTCTCGCTTCCCACAGCCAACACCCTTCCGTCGGGGGCATACATGACCGTTGATGGCGTCTTGTGACTGCCGCCATGTTCCTGTCCAGGATAGCTGCCAACATCTACAATCTGTGGCTTCTCGCCAGGTGTCAAAATCGAGTAGGCTGCCCCTCTTGATGCAGGTGTGGTTAGACTTGACTTCTTCAGGCACGCTGTGCATACGCTTGCACTCACGAGAATGTGGTTCCGATGTCGATGGCCACGACGAGACGGACTGTTGAGCCCGTGTAGGACTGCCACTTCTTGTTGCCGCTTCGGAGGCCCATCGCAACGGAGTGCAGTGCTAAACAACCAGAAGCAAAATCTTGTCTTCTTGTACTTGTATCTCTGAGAAATCGGGTTGGGTGAGGCGACAAAATCCCCCAGCCTCCTCTCTTGGTAAGGCGACAGACAGTCCAGACCTATCCAGTGTCCGCTTTCCTTTCAAGGCCCGCATTGTGCACAGCCCGGCCTATCGCACGTAGAAAAAAAATGATGAGAGAGAAGATGACGATGCCATTCCTAAAGCCAGGTTTCCAGGGACAGAACCAATGTATGAAAGATGGGACAACAAAAGAAGACTTCAGCGGCGCGACATGGGCTCGGGAAGAGGTGTGGTTCCACCCATGGAAGGTGTGGCGGCAGAGACGGAAGGAGGCGTCGATAAGTTCATCATCAATGGATTATTGGATCTGACAGGGCCCAGAGAGGGTGAGATGGGCGCCATTCGAGGGCTCAGAGGCGGCGACCGAAGGCTGGGGGATGCAGTCGATGTAGGACGCGAGTGGCCCTGTGAAGGGTAAGCGGGATAATCCTTTTCGACTTCGCTGAACATGTCCGACTGTGCACCACTGTGATGTAGGGTGGGAACAGAGGAGATAGTGTCTCGCTTGTCGACCATAGAGAACTTGGAAGATGTATCAGTAGAAGGGGTTTGGTTCGAAGGTGGCGGAGGCTGGACTTGTCGCTCATACTGCGGATGTGCCTCCTCTTCCTGAACTCGTCGCTTGGCTCGGCGCCTTTTCATGAGGATGAAAAGAACGCAGATCGAAAGTAGTGCCACACCACCTACGATGCCTCCCACGATGGCGGGAATGGGCGCGCTCTTCTTCTTGCAGATGTTGGGCTTCGTCACGTAGGCTGTCTCTCCAGAGATTGGGATGCCCGATGCATCTGTCAGGGAGACCTGAAGAGTCGGGTATACTGTTCTCAGTACTCTGCTGGTCCAACTTGATGCAATGTACTCACGCCAATGTTCCACGACGACCCCTCGCTTAAGTTATTAGAGCCGTTGAGGTATGTTGTGAATCCAAAGGAGTAGTCATAGAGGTTGATGTCGCCAGTTGATGAAATGGTCAACGGAGGAGAGGTAACAATGACGTTGCTAGTGGCAGCTGCAATTATCAGAAACGTTAGTTGGCCCGAGTGCGTGTGCATTGACTGATTTCTCTCACCATCATCGATCTCAAAGACAGCAAAGTCGGCCACAAGGGATTCTGCTTGAGTCACTGACACCGACCATGATACCTTGGTGCAGTCGTAAGAGTTCAGCAGAAAGATGAGGGCAGAGCATTGCTGAACCGCGAACAAAGCTGAGAGCAGCGAGAGAGTGAGCGGTCTGGAGTGTGAGAACATGTCGATATCGTGGGACAGTGGTGGGGGTGGAAACTGCGCACAGAAGGGAGGGCCAACTTTAAGAGGAACACACGGACACCCAGAATTGCAATTAAAATTGTCTAGTGTTGGCGGGGTATGAAGCGTCGCCTCACCAGTCGAGAGTCGAGACTGGCTCCGCGTCACGGTAGCGCAATATGCTCAAAGATATGATCCTGGGGGTGCTCCAGCCCGATTTTTCCATGAAAGCATTCGTGGCACTGCTCCCCTGTGAGATAAGCGATGGGCCTCGCCCTTTTGTTCTGCAATGCTGTCCTCTCACCAGGTCAAAATAGGGACACACAGTGCACCGCCGACGGGAACCCGCTACATCCTTGCAGCAACCGTCGCAGTAAACCTGCTCGTGCTGTACCAGGTTGTAGTGGAAGAACACAAGTTCGCTAGTCAGTTGCCCAGGAACAAGCTGTGTAAAAGCGTGTTGAGCGGCGTGCTTTTGAGCTTCTGGGTTGGAGTCGTGGCACTCTTGGCACTGTTCGGTGCGGATTAGTCAAGTGCTTCTCAGAGCAAAGCTTGTGTAGCCCACCAGATCAAAGTCTTCGCATTCCGTGCAGGCGTAGCGGGTTCCAAGGATCGCAGAGCAGCACTCGTCGCAGAAGATGCCGAGATGGAGGAGAGCGAGGTCTTCCGCTTCTTGCTGCCGTGCGAGCGCATGTTTCTTTTCATTGAGACGCTGGAATTGACAGGCGTTGCACTATTGTACGAAAATTAAACAAGGTACCGGTGCGCGGGCACAGAGGCTGCTCACCTGTCTTGGCATGTTCTTGTCCATCACGGTTGAAAATGACTGCTGGCAATCGCTGCAACGAGCTCGCACTGTGATTCCACTACTCGCTGGCGCCGCCTTTTTTGAGCCATTGGACGGTGACGACCTGGGCCAGTCCATGGACGACTCGGCTAGGACCTGGGTGCCTTGAGCAGCGAGGATGCCCGCCGAGACAACGACACCTGTCGCTACGCTCTCAACGAGGGCTTCGAGAACGACGCCCGCTCCTCGCGTAAGCGTCTCGGCTGCCATGTCACTCGGGACTGCGACTGCGGTATTGAAACCACTTTGAACTGTATCGCTGACGCCCTGCAGAGAGGATTAGATGGTTATGAGGATCCTGACGTGAAGACATCTCACCTGACTGGCGTTGGCGAGCGCATCCGAGGTAGCGCTCTGGAACAGCGCAGAGGCAATGCTGTCGATGGCCTCGCCCAGAGCAATCGAGAGGGATGCGCAGAAGGCGGTCTGAGCCATTTCAGCCTTTGTCATCGCCCTCGGCTTGAGACCGCGTCTGTAGATCTCCTTGACGATAATGTCGTGCTTATAGCTGGCCTGGACGGCCTGAAAGGCCTGCCAGCTCAATTGAAGCACGGCCGCTGGTACGGTGAAGCCCGAAGAACCAAGAGCGGCAGCAACGTGTGCACCGATGTAGAAGCCCGTGGAGACGCTCATCTGGTACAGATGCCTGCAGAGCTTTACTTCCTTGTCTATGAGAACTTTGTCCGTCATTGTCTTTGCCTTTCGTCCGTACTTGGCCTTCCAAGCTTTTGTGAAGGGGATACGGCCTTTCTGGACACAGTGAGCTGTGGGTACCTTCTTGTTTGCTTTGCTCTCCCTTACCTTTAGACTTCGCCATCTTTTCGGACACTGCCGCTGGGAGTTGATGGGCGTATGGAAAGAGTTCTAATCGTAGGAGACGAGACGACTAGCTGACATATCTTATGACAGAAGAGTGACAGAATGATCGGACTTTGGAGATTCCTGGGTGTATGGCGCGCCATCTTTTCCGGTCGGACAGGAGCGCTGCCCCGGCCCTCCTGCTCTTGTACGCATCCCGTTTGTCGCCATACCAAAAACGAGTGTGCTGGACTGTCAGACATAGAGGCCTCGAACTGAACTTTGTTTAGCTATAAAGGGGGAGTATCACAGATTTCGACCCGGAAGTTGCAGCTTCAAGGCCGCGAACTCTCAGAATTGTGACCATCCGAGCTGTCAGCACAACGAAGATGAACATCAGAAGTAGTGGTGATGGCAAGACCCTTCCCGAATCAGCTGCCTCGAACACGTCTGCTACAGCACTTCCACCTGCACACAGCAGCAATGCGGGCGCCATCGCCGGTTCCGTCGTTGGAGGCCTTGTTGCTGGGCTCCTCGTCGGCGCGTTGATTGCCTTTCTCCTTCTCCGCCACCGATTCCACCGTCAATTGGAGTCTCTGCACCAGGGTTGGTATGCGGACAAGGTTAATCAGGAACAGGAGGTGGTCCAACCTGCCACTCTCATGTATACCGACCCGAGCCAGAGCAAGCAGCTCCAAGATGCCAAGGCTCGTATCAAGGCGCTGGAACGGGAACGTAACGCTGCCAGTGCCTTTGGAGATACACTCGATGCAAGGTCCGAACAAGAGCTCCTCTCGGCGCCTGCTTTCGGCCTCGACGTGTACAACGAGATCGTCAACCAGGTAGCCATGTCGCTCGCCGTCAACTCATCGGGACACGGCACACCAGGATGCGGCAGCCTGCCTCGCGGGCTGGGCGAGTGCATCGAGCTGCTCAGAGCGAGGGGCTCCCACACAGCACGGGACAATTTCGAGGCGAGTGCTTCTCCAAAGTGAATGGAATGACCCCAGTGCTAAGACGACTCTTCCCTTAGAATACGGCGCGTCATATCGTCAACAGCATCATTTATGAGACGGTCTGCAAGCCCTTCTGCTTTGGGGTTCCTGAGGAGCCATTCAATGAGCTGTCGGACCAGATCACCAATAGCTTCGACCAGGCTATGGCAGCCCGCTGGCGCTCCATGACCCATACCGCACTCCGCAACTCGGCCCCAGCCCTGAAGTCAATCGCCACAGTCCACCAGACGCTCACTACCACGCTCGGCGATGCGCTTCTGTGGACTGGAATGGAGACAGACGCCAAGACCGCCCTGGAAGTAGTGTCGAAGGCCAGTGCACGTCTGCAGGATGCGCTTCAGATGATGGTGCAGCTCATGACAGTCATCGCCGAGGAAATGGCAACGGCAAACTACTACATCGAAATCTTCAGCCCTGTCAGCGGCAGTCTCTCCCCTACCCTTGGCCTGTCTGCCAGTGTGGGAAGCACTGGCACAGCTCGTGTTGTTCGTGCTGCTTCGTTGTAGCTTTGTTCTCCGCTTTTGTGGCCCGCTTTCTTTTGGAAATCCAAATCTGGACTTGCCTGTGTCTTTTCCTTCCTTCTACTCCCCGACCCATCTTGCAGTGGCGGTGTTCTCTTGACCTCTGATCACTGACACTGCAAGCAAGGCTGAAATGAAAGATGTGCTCTCCTCGCCAACTGTGGGTGAGTGCGAGAGCGGAAGAGGAAGGACAGCCTCTCAATCACGCAATGCTCAACGCATATACAAGCTCGAATCCACCTGTGCACTTTCTCGGAATCCCTTGGATCTAGAAATGCACAGCACGCACAGCCAGTGTGGCGCTGGCAGCGCAGTCGCTCACTGTAGAAGCGCACGTCCCCCTTAGGTTGTCTCTCGATAACGAAAGGCGGGGCAGCACAGGAGTGAACCGGTTTGCCCTTGCGACCTAGCTCCCGTCCCGATTTGTGTCTTGCTCTGTTCCTGAACAAATTAGGCGCGCAAGCCCTCCCAAATTTGAAAAGTTCAGCCTCCGCTGACAGATGCGCGGGCGGTACAATTAGTACTGACTTTTTCAGCATTTCTATTTCCGCGGGACTGAAAGAGGCAGAGGGCCTTTCGATGGTACAGAGTTGGGGTGGAGAGACCAGAAAATTGCAGGCGAGGAGGCTGTGAGAGATCAACACTTTAAAAGACGTAGCTTTTCGAGGTGGACATGTAGATCGTATCAAGGGGCCCCTCCCCATCTATCGTCTACTATCACGATGGAGGACAGCGGCCAGCTCGGCCGCCACACCTGGCACGCTGGCCGATTCCGACGTGGCGCAATATTCTCTGAGGACAACAGCGACGATGTCCAGGTCGGCTCATCTCGCTTTGACGCTGCAATGGAAGCACCATTTGAACATTGGTCAAGCGCGATCGATCTGAGAGGCGGACTAGGCCCGGACGATCCTTTTGAAATGAGTAACAAGGTTCTGAGCACCTCTGCACCGACGTCTTCGGCGCTGATGCCATCGACTGGCCGAAGCTCAGAATCGTTGTCGTCCTCATCCAGCGATATCGTCGGTGCGACACAGACTGCCACGACAAGCAAGACGTCTACTCGAGCCTGCACTCCGAGGCGAAGAAAGCAGGAACAAGAGAAGAGCCAACGCTACAACGCTCGAGTTCAGAAGCAGCGGAAAATCATCGCAGGGTTGTTTGAAGAGCTGCAAACGACGCTTAGCAGGGCGCTTGACAGCTCCGAAGTGCAGCACTCCCTCTTTGCTCTCGAGCTCAAGCAAGCGCTCGCCCATCGTCGCCCCGCTCCTACGATCGACAGCTCAGCCAAGGGCACACCGAGGACAGACAATGAGCGGAAGCGAACAAATAAGCTCGTTCATCGGTGCAATGAGCTCGAGAAGCTCGAATGCGTCTCACTTCTTGCGGGTGCTCTGCTGTCGCGATGTGACGACGCGAGCAGGATCTTCGAGTGCCAGGTTGACGCCAACAATCTGGCAGAGGAAATGGTGCGTTGGTCACTAGTCGAAGTCTTCCGATCTTGGAACAAGGAATGGCTCGATCTCGAGGCCATGATCGAGAGAACCAGGGGAGAGGTCATGTACATCAAGGGCGATCCGCTTCTCAGGCTCCTCCAATGCCCGGTGCCCCGATAGCGCCGACGAACTTCCCTCTTTTTCACTCCCTCGTCTCCACAGCAATCGAACATGTGTATACCCACATTGAATGCACTCATTTCTGGCCATTGCTTTGAGACTTTCTTTCCTGTCGTTTCACATTTCGGAGGGGCACACGGATCCTGTAGCCATCCAATCACAAGACCGGATTTGTAATCCACTCTTTCCTCCGGGTCCGAGATAGCAAGAGCTGTCGCAGTTCAGCGCTGGCCTCGAAATTTAGCTCCGGACATTCAACAGTACGCCCCGGCGGTTGTATGCGAAGTAGAAACGCAGATGAGGTCTTTAAAAATTTCAAGCCATAAAAGGGTGAATCCCGATAATGATATAAAAATAAAAGGCTTTCGACTCTGCCTCAAGTGCTTAATTAGGCACTGTGGCTGAAAAGCGGGTTGTTGGGCAGAGGAGCAGCGGCCTGGGGTGCCATGTAGGGAGCTGCAGAAGGCTGGGGAGGGACGAAGCCAAGTGAGGCACCTGGCGACAGGCCGCTGTACTTGGGCTCCAGCCCAGGGCTGGCAGCGTAGCCAGTCATGGGGAGCGTGTGGGTGGGCAGTTGCTGATTGGAGTCGGCAGGTGTGTTCGAGATCTTGAGGAGAAGGATACCAGCGGCGACTGCAGAAGATGACGAGCTCGGGTAAGCAGGCTTGCGAAAGGCATCAAGTTGACCTGCTCACTCACCCAGGAGGCTACCCGACACAAGCGACAACACACCTCCTCCGACGACGGTTGTGTAAAACCTACGACAGGGCAGCCTCATTCTGATTAGTGACTTGTCGGGCGTCTTTGCATAGAGATCGACTCACGTTGCAGCAACGCCGATTCCTGCGATTCCGACGATGAGCTGGAGGACAGCCAGGACGGTGAGAGCGATACCGTGGGCCCTGTTGGGCCTGGCCTGCAAGTCGGAGGGGCATCGCGCGAACTTGGCAAATTGGACCGTAATGATAGTACAGTAGATTGCTGGGACAATCACAAAGATTAGATTGACGGCGCAGACTGCGACGGCAGCCGTTGCGCTACCCGAGAAGTCGAGGGTGTCGTAGAAGCCGTCGTAGTAGTCGTAGTAGTTCTCGTAAGGATTCGCCAAAAGATTTGCGGACAGGCCAATGTCGGCAAGTTGGACAACAAAGTTGATCCAGAGAAAGACGGTGGCGCCAATCAGCACGCCTTTGGTTTTGGGAATGAGCATATCAACGTTTGTCGACATCTTCCGATAGTTGAGAGGAGAGTGGTGTGAGGTCGTGATGGCAAGCGCGGAGAAAGTGGGCGACCCCTCTTTATCTGTTGTTTGCGTCTGGATGCTCGCGAGCTTGAGGCAGTGTAGAGCGGGTCATGAAGTCGGTTGAACAGCTAGATGTATTGGTGAGGCGACCGGGATACACCCAGAAAAGCTCAAGGGCGATCTTTTCTCACAGCCTGGCCCTCGTTGTCGGAGATTGAGCGTGGTGCTTTTCAGGAGATTCCAGGCTTAGGATAAGGTGATGCGCTTTCAGGGCAGGCCAGATTGATTTGCAGCGGTTTCACACTGCCACGAAAGCAGTAGAACCTTGTGCTTTTGCCCCATCTCCCGGAGCGTTCCTGGAGAAAAGGTTGCTAGCCCCTAGCTTCCGAGACTGTGTGTGCAGTACAAAGCTTTAATCGTGTTATCAGGCAGTGCTGAAGGCTATTCGAAGTCTGTCCAAGCCAGATCCATTTTTGTACTGTGCTGTCAGAGCTCCTACATAAACCCCTTGTGATCCAACGTGGCCACCTGGGTTCCGCAAGAGGTCTAGGCACAAATGGTTTCGTTGGTGAGGCGACGCGCGGGGAGCGCGCAGATCCCTACAACTTTACCTCTAAGCTAAAAAAGTAAGTTCCTTTGGCCGCCGATATATAGTGTGCCATCCTCTGCACACACACCTTGCAGGGCCAAGAGCGTGGAGACACAGCATGAGCACACCGACACCGATGAGCATGGGCGGCTGGGTCGTCGTCGGAGCAGCGCAGCCGCCTAAGCACGCCCAAGCGTCGTCCAAGCAGCAGCTACAGCAACAGCAACAAGCGGAAGCTATTGTCCAAGCTTGGCAGCAGCAGCAGCACCACCAACAACAGCAACAACAACAGCAGCAGCAGCAGCAGCAGCAAATGTTGGCGGAGAAGCAGCAGCAACAGTATCTGCTCGCCCAGCACCAACAACAACAACAGCAGTATGCTCACGCGGCACAGCTTCAGGCGTATCAGGAGCCGCAGAAGATGGCCACGCCCCAGCCAATGGGCCTGGCCGCAAACAAAGCCGTGCTGCCCTCTCCCCCACCCCAGTATTCGCCTACCGCAGCCCAGCTTTCCGTCATCACAGCCGACGACATCTTTCTTTCAATGCGCCAATTTGTGCGGGTAGACGTGGGCTCGCCGGTCAGCATGCTGCCCGGTCTCGAGGAGCGGGGCCTGAGCGTGTCTGACTTTCAGATCATCGTGGCGCGCGTAAAGCATATCAAGTCGAAGAGCGACACCAACAAGGTGCTTCTCATTGTCGGAGTCGGCTGGTTGTGGCAGCACCTGCACATTCTCGGCAACATCCATCTCCGGGATCAGCTCAAGCCTGTCTTGGTCGAGTACAACAAGGCCCTTGCAGCAAAGGGCGCCCTTGTTCGGGTCCTCTGGTGCGAGGGTTGTCTCCGCTTCTATTACGCATAGCGTTCGCACCTAAATCCACTAGCACTATACCCCTCTAATGTCTGGAACAGTCCCGTTGAAAGAGAAGCCGACGAGACATTGACACAAGCGGCATTTCCCGATGCTAGTTCCACGCCGTGCAAAACACCTGGCCAGCTTAGAGTGGGGCACTCTGTACCCTTCTTAGGCATCGTTTTCGGCCCTTGCACACGCCGTCGCTGCGTCGATGCAGCCAGGGTGAGAACAAGGGGCCGTGGACGCAACCGCAGTGGGCGCGATATTAGGCCTCAGCTTGCCTCGGAGAGACACCTGTACGAAGGGCGTTTTACACGCTTCCGAGCCGCTCGAGTGGTGCTTCTCGGTGCAGTGCTACTGTGCAACGTCTTGCTCTGTGGAGGTGGATGATTAGGGCCGTCCGACTGTGGTCCGAGAGATTGCGGAATGGCCGCAAACTCGAGCTGAACGCACGACGACAGAGCAGGAAGCACCTCGCCGCGAGCCAAATAGGCGCGGACTAGGTCTAAGCGCACGGGATTGTCATCTCATTGCAGCGCATGGGCCATCATCTCCTTCTCGCGTGACCAGAGTGGGCCGGAGCGGTTTTTTCAAATGTCCAGGGTGGTCCGAGACGGAACGAAGCTTCCCTGTTGAATTTCTCACGTCGGAATGGAGACGCCGACTTTTAATCTTCCATCTCCGCGGACACGAAGCGTCCTCCTTGCACGGCACCATTGTGCGACGGTCCTCTTGTTGCAAGGGACAAGGCTAGGGAGAGGGGGGCTGGTGGCAACTACGTCTCTCGAACAGGAGTGTGGGTTGCTCGCGGGTCTCCTCCACTGGTGGATCTCCCATTCACCGATGCTCGTCATGCTCTGCGATACGAGCTTGGAAAGCCACGCGACGACTGTGCTTGCATCCGAAGCGGAGTACCATCTGAAATTTTAGTCTAAGCGCGGAAAGGACGAGGCAGCCTATTCTTTTCCGGTCATTTTGATTAAGTCTTTCCTCGGTAACTTGAAAAGCTCTGCTATGATGCCAGACTTGGCACACGTCATGAGCGAAGCCACACCTTGACGTCGGCTCTGGTACGCGTCTCAAATTCGAGGAGGGATCATCCGCTCTTCTTCCACCCGGACCAAAATTACCGCAATCGAAACTCCGCAGGAATGCATCTCTGGAACGACGATGTCTTGTGTCATGGCCATGAGTAATTCTGTCTGCGAGCAGACCTGGCGGACCAGATGCTCCGAAGATGAGAAAGAGGGGGAATCACACATAAAACGCCGGCTGCTGCCTCGCTGGACGCACACATTTCTGTAGCAGCCGCCTCTTTCCTCAGCCAACCTTGACTACAGGGCTCCGCCCTTCTGTCTGCTTCCCTGGTACTCTAAATCTAAGCCCAGGACATAGCGGCGGCTGGACTTGCACAAGATGACCGCCGAGCAAAGCCCTCCTCTGGCAGATGCCTTTGCGCATGCAAGCGGTGAAGAAACGCCCGTCGAGTCCTACCCCGGCTCCCCCGAAGAAGACGCCGGGGCAGATTCGCCAAATGGAGCCGCACACAACGGCGTAGATGTGGCCACGGGCGAAGCCGAATTCAACAATCTCCGCAGACAGCTGAGCAAAGAGTCAAAGGCGTGAGTGACCCTGAGCAGACCGAGGAAGGCTTCCTGCCACTGACGTTGTTGCGCCCCCTCCAGCGCCCGCGCGGGAGAAAAGGATCTGGAAGCAGCAGACGAGGACGATGACGACTTTGACCTGCTGGAGTACCTCACGTCGACGCAGAGCGAGGCAAGCAAGGCGGGCATCAAGCGCAAGAACATCGGCGTCACCTGGACCCAGCTCGAGGTCGAGGGAGCGGCCTCGATGTCGCTGGGCGTCCGGACGTTCCCCGACGTGCTTCTCCAGACCTTTATCTGGGCCCCCAGCGTGCTCGCACGCCTCGTTGGCATCAAGGCCTTCAGCTCGGGCAAGCGAAAGCTGCTCCAAAGCTTCAATGGCAGCATCCGACCAGGCGAAATGTGCCTCGTGATTGGCCGTCCGGGCTCGGGCTGCTCGACGTTTCTCAAGACGATTGCCAACCAGCGCAGCGGCTTCATGGGTGTCAATGGCGACGTCAAGTACGGCGGCCTCGAGGCCTCTCTCTTCAAGAAGCGCTACCGTGGCGAGATTGCCTACTGCGAGGAGGACGACATGCACCATCCGACGCTGACGGTCGAGCAGACGCTCATGGCTGCGCTCCGACTCAAGACGCCAGGAAAGAAGCTGCCCGGCGAGACCGACGAGGGCTTCCGCGAGCGCGTCCTGACAATGATGCTCAAGATGCTCAACATCGAGCACACCAGAAACACCCTCGTGGGCAACGCATTCGTCCGCGGCGTGTCTGGCGGCGAGCGCAAGCGCGTCAGCATTGCAGAGACGATGACGACACGTGCGTGCGTGCTCAGCTGGGACAACAGCTCCCGCGGTCTGGATGCCTCGACGGCGCTCGACTATGCAAAGGCCATGCGCCTCCTGACCAACATCTCGGGTCTCAGCACCTTCATCTCCCTCTACCAGGCGGGCGAGGGCATCTGGGAGCAGTTTGACAAGGTCCTCGTCATTGACAGCGGCCGCTGCGTCTACTTTGGCCCGCGCGACCAGGCAAGAGCCCACTTCATCTCGCTTGGCTTCGCTGACTTGCCCCGCCAAACATCGGCCGACTACTGCACCGGCTGCACCGACCAGTACGAGCGCCGGTTCCAGGACGGCCGTGACGAGACCAACGTCCCCTCGACGCCCGAGCAGCTCGAAGAGGCGTACATCAAGAGCGACATTGGGCAAAATGAGATTCGCAAGCGCGACGAGTACGTCCAGGAGCTGCAGAGGGACAGCAGGGCACAGGAGTTCCGGGAAGCTGTGGCCGAAGACAAGCACCGCGGCGTCAGCAAAAAGTCCAACTACACCGTCTCGTTCCCCAAGCAGGTCTACGCCCTCTGGCTGCGCCAGATCCAGATGCTCCTCGGCGACAAGCTCGACATTGCCGTGTCCTACTTTACCGCCATTGCCATCGCCCTCATCGTCGGCTCGCTCTTCTATCAGCTGCCCGTCACGGCCGACGGCGCCTTTACCCGTGGTGGTGTGCTCTTCATTGCCCTTCTCTTCAACTCGCTCACCGCCTTCAGCGAGCTGCCCACCCAGATGGGCGGCCGTCCCATCCTCCACCGCCAGCAGGGCTTCTGCTTCTACCGACCCAGCGCGCTCACCCTCGCCCAGCTGCTCGCTGATCTGCCCATCGGCGTGCCCCGTCTGTTCTGCTTCACCATCATCATCTACTTCATGGCCGGACTCACGTACACGGCCGGTGCCTTCTTTACCGCCTTTATCAACATCCTCGTGAGCTACTACGCGTTCCGAGCGCTGTTTGCGCTGTTTGGTACCGTGTGCCGGAGCTACGATGTGGCTGCCCGTCTGGGCGCCGTCATCATCATGGCCCTCGTCCTCTTTGCGGGCTACGTCATGCCTCGCGACGCCATGCCTCGTTGGCTGTTCTGGATCAGCTACATGAACCCGTAGGTGGCAAACATCTTCTTGGCGGTCTGCAATTGCGCTGATGATGTGTCCCTTTCTTCCCCTGCCACAGAGTCTATTACGGCTTCGAGGCGCTCATGCTCAACGAGTTCAAGCACCTCGAGCTGGCCTGCGTCGGCACGTACATCACACCCCGTGGGGCCACCTACCCCGACTCCGTTGGCCCCAACCAGGTCTGCACACTGGCGGGCGCCGTGCCAGGCGCTCAGTTCGTCGACGGTCTCGCCTATCTCCAGGCCTCGTTTGGCTTCCAGTCGTGGCACCTCTGGCTCAACTTTGGCGTGCAGGTCATCTTCCTCATCGGTTTCACCGCAGTCACCTGCGCCGCCATCGAGACGTTCCAGCTCGGTGCCTTTTCGTCGGCGTTCATCATCAAGAAGAAGCCAAACAAGGAAGAGTCAGAGCTGGACAGCAAGCTGCAGGACCGTCTGCAAGGCACCACTGAAAAGACAGAGAGCGCACTCGAGGTCTATGGACGCTCATTCACCTGGAGCAAGCTCAACTACACTGTCCCGGTCAAGGGCGGCGAGCGGCGACTGCTGCACGACGTCTACGGCTACGTCAAGCCCGGCGAGCTCACTGCGCTCATGGGCTCCTCGGGCGCAGGAAAGACGACGCTGCTGGACGTCTTGGCCGACCGCAAGAGCACGGGCAGGATCGAAGGCGACCGTCTCGTCGAGGGACAGCCCGTGGGCATCGACTTCCAGCGCGGCTGTGGCTATGCGGAGCAGCAGGACATCCACGAGCACACGACCACGGTCCGCGAGGCGCTTCGCTTCAGTGCCTACCTCCGCCAGCCGTTCCACGTGAGCAAGGAGGAGAAGGACGCCTACGTCGAGGAGATCATCGAGCTCCTCGAGATGCAAGACCTTTCCAACGCGCAGATCGGCCACCCCACCTTTGGTCTTGGTGTCGCCGATCGCAAGCGGGTGACCATCGCCGTCGAGCTCGCCGCCAAGCCAGACCAGCTCCTCTTTCTCGACGAGCCCACTTCGGGTCTCGACGGCCAGGGCGCATACACCATCGTCCGTCTGCTCAAGAAGCTCGCCGCCGCCGGCCAGACGATCCTGTGCACGATCCACCAGCCCAACTCGCTCCTCTTTGAGCAGTTTGACCGCCTTCTCCTGCTCGAGCGTGGCGGCGAGACGGTGTACTTTGGGCCCGTAGGAAAGGACAGCTGCCATCTCGTCGAGTACTTTCGCGAGAACGGAGCGGCATGCCCAGAGTCAGTCAACCCGGCCGAGTTCATGCTCGACGCGGTGGGTGCTGGCTCGCAAAAGAGGATCGGCCCGCGCGACTGGAAGGACATCTACCTCGACAGCGACCTTTTCAAGAGGAACCTGGCCGAGATCGACGCCATCAACGCGGCCGGAAGCTCCGATGCGGACCGGCCCGCTGCCAAGGAGTACTCGACACCATTCCTCTACCAGCTCAAGGTGGTCCTCAAGCGCACGCTGACCAGCAGCTGGCGCCAGCCCGACTACCAGTTCACACGCCTCTTCCAGCATGCTGCCATCGCGCTCCTTACCAGTCTCTTGTTCCTCCAGCTGGGCAACAGTGCGGCGACGCTCCAGTTCCGCGTGTTTGGCATCTTTATTGCCACCGTCATCCCCGCCATCATCCTCGCCCAGATCGAGCCGTTCTACATCATGGCACGCGGCACCTTTATCCGCGAGAACACGTCCAAGATGTACCGGCCCGAGGTGTTTGCGCTGACGCAGATCATCTCGGAGCTGCCGTACGCCGTCGTATGCGCCATCACCTACTTCCTCCTCTTCTACTACCCCATCGGCTTCAACTATGCCTCGGACCGCGCAGGCTACTTCTTTGCCATGTTCCTCGTCACCGAGATCTTTGCCATCTCGCTTGGACAAGCCATTGCCGCCCTCAATCCGTCCATTTACCTGGCCTCGGTGTGGAATCCTTTCTTGATCCTGAGTAAGTGGTGGCGGTGAAACTAGCAACACCAATTTCTTCAGAAGCTGACTCCTCTGCCACAGTCTTTTCCCTCTTCTGCGGCGTCACCATCCCGCGGCCCAACATGACGTACTTTTGGCGCCAGTGGCTTCCCTGGATCGACCCGCTCTTCTACCTTGTCGGCGGCCTCATTACCAACGAGCTCCACGGCCTCGAAGTCCGCTGCGATCCCTCGGAGCTGGCTCGCTTCACACCTCCCGAGGGGCAGAGCTGTGCGCAGTACGCAGCCTCGTTCCTCAGTGACAGCGGCGGCTATCTCGACACCAGTGTCAACGGCAGCGAGTGCGGCTACTGCCAGTACAGCGTCGGCGATGACTTCTACGCCAGCCTGGACCTCAGCTTCAGCACGCGCGGCAGGGACATTGGTGTCCTGATTGCCTTTTGTGCCTTCAACGTCGTCGCAACGCTCGCTGCGGCCCGCTTCATGAAGTTTGCCAACCGCTGATGAACCCTTGCCAACCGCTGATGTCCCCCTTTCGTGCCTTTAGAGTTTCTCAGACCCTGTTCTCGCGCCTTGACACAGTCCCGTACTCTGAACTCAATTGTAAATGTCAACCAATAACCACAATAGATGAAACATTAGTCAAAACAGCTGCGTCTCTATTACTTGATCCAGTCAAATGAGTCCTTGAGGAAGAGGTTGGCGCGCAGGTCACCCGATCTGGCGTGGCCCTCGAAGTTCTCGGCGCGTGCTGCCCGGCCACACAGCCTGCCCAGCTGGCCGCTGGCCTCGTCCCGCACCACCTCCTGGTACGTGACGGTCCGGAGGTACTTGCCGACCCAGAGGCCGCCCGTGTAGCGCGACGCCTTGCGCGTCGGCAGCACGTGGTTGGTGCCAATCACCTTGTCGCCGTACGACACGCAGGTGCGCTCGCCGAGGAAGAGGGCGCCGTAGTTGCGCATCTTGTCCAGCGCCTCGCGCGGCCGCTTGGTGAGGATCTGCACGTGCTCGGACGCATACTCGTCGGCCAGGGTGTAGGCCTCGTCGAGGTCATCGACGACAACGACGGTGCCCCAGTCCCTCCACGCGACGCTGGCGACGGCAGCCGTCGACAGGCCGCCGGCGAGGAGCTCCTCGACCTTGGCCATCGACTCCTTGGCGACGCGTTCGGAAGTCGTGATGAGAACGGCAGGCGTGTCGGGCCCGTGCTCGGCCTGCGAGATGAGGTCGGTGGCGACCGTCAGCGGCCGCGCGCTGTCGTCGGCCACGATGAGCACCTCGGTGGGGCCGGCAAACAGGTCGATGCCCACCTGGCCGTAGAGCTGCCGCTTGGCCTCGGCCACAAAGGCGTTGCCGGGTCCTGCGAGGAAGTCGACCTTGTCGATTGTCTCGGTGCCCACGGCCATGGCCGCGACGGCCTGCACGCCGCCCAGCACAAAGATCTGGTCGGCGCCTGCCATGTGCATCGCTGCGACGGTGGCGTTGGGAATCTTGCCCTCGATGGGCGGCGTGCAGCCAATGACGTTGGGCACACCGGCAATCTTGGCCGTGAGGATGGTCATGTGCGCCGACGCCAGCAGCGGGTAGCGGCCACCGGGGATGTAGCAGCCGACGGAGTTGATCGGCACGTTCTTTTGCCCCAGCAGCACCCCGGGCTCCGTCTCGATCTCAAAGTCTGTCAGGGACGCGCGCTGGCACTTGGCAAACTTGGCCACGTTGCGCTGCACCTGCTCAATGTCGCGGATCGTCTGTGCTGGACACGCCGCGATCGCAGCGTTGATCTCGGCCTCGGACAGCTTGAACGACGCCGGCGACCATTTGTCAAACTTTTCCGAGTACTTGCGCACCGCCGCGTCCTGGTTGGTGCGAATGTCTTGGATCACGCTGCTGACGACGGCGACGACCTGCGGCGAGGAGGAGCCCACCTCTAGGCCGGCATCGACGTCGATTTGCTTCTTGAGATACCTCTTCACCATCTTGGGCTTTTTTCTTGTTTTTTTCTGCTCGTCTGGCTCGTCTTGGATGGGGACTGACGACGGCCTCAACAAGGCCCGTTTTATGAGGATGGCGGAGAGGCACAAAGGTGTGGGGAGAGCTTCGAGAGTGGGTGTGGAGCCGGAACCTATCCCCCCACAGTGGCCCGCGCCCAATGTCCGCGCTCTGCGCGCTTGTTTTACCGTGTGCGACGAGGCGAGCCCAGGCCCTGCCGCGCCGTCTTGCGCACGTCTGACAGATGGCCCCCTGACCACGCGACGAAAAGTAGAGCCTCGACGACGCTTGGATTTGATCGAGCATAGGGGACAGGGAGTGGAGTCACGCCACGACGTCAAGAGGGGCTGCAAATCGCGTTCAGAGAATGGATAAATTACGCTCTTGTAGAATGGACAATCGATCATGACAAGTAAAACTGGCTACAGGGCTTGCTCAGGTCTGCAGTACGCTACGGCCAAATAGATAGAGATGCTTGAGGCTTTGGAACCCCACGTAGCCCACGCCGCTCACGAGCAGCAGCGCGGTCGGGAAGGCGGTGATCTTGAATCCGGTTGGGAAGAACTCCATGTGGTCGGCCTTTCCTCTCTTCATTGGCACCAGCGCGGCCGCTATCGCAGCGCTGCCCTGTGATCTCTTGATAGCCCTGAGAGACCGCACTGGTCGGGCGACAACGGACCTGGGTCTGCTGAAGAGGCTGGGCGACCAGATGGGGTCCAGTACGAATCCGCCGTCGTCTCGGCCCTTTGCCGCTGCCTCGCTGAAGCTGACACCAGCTTGAGCGGGCAAGTTGGTCACAAGGAGGTCCAGAGGGATGCAGTTGATCGTCAGGAGCTGACAAGGAGCATACGTGGCAAGGTAGGCGCCGTGTGCCTCGTCTGCAAATACGTAGGCTTTGCCCGTCGGTCTGGTCCATCGAGTCAATGTCGCGCCACAGCCACGAGAAGCTCTGGACTCACCGACGTTCGAGCTCCCGCATCAGGTGCTCTGTGCTTGTGTATGGCGACACGGTCAGGGGGGACGACAAGAGGCCCTGAAAGACTGCTGAGATCTCCTCTGATACGAGGACGCGATGCACGGAAGGCGACGCTCGGGTAGACATGCCGTGTGCCTCCTCGATGGCTTGGGCCGCCTTTTTCAGATTCTCTAGTAAGCGCGTGGGAGAATCTTGTCGGTAGGACACGTTCCGGTAGAGGCGCTCGTCGACCAAGGTCTTGTCTACCACGACGACATCCTCGGACGACTCCTTGGGCCGGAGATCGATCACTTCGTCGCAGCTGTTCGACAACTCGGCAGCTTCGCCCGGCGATTCGACCTCCTGCACCACGTACGCATCGCGATCCAGCGCCGTTTTGAAGATGTCCTTGAGGAGCGCGGCAAGCGGGCCCCGCTGGAGAAAGAGCACAGCGGGGCAGCCTGCTGCGATGGCCCCAGCCAGGGGGCCGAAGAGAGCATCGACGGGCTTGGATGCCACGTCCAGCGCCACGATGCCCACCAGGCCCTTGGGGACCTGAAGCGTGTGGGTGAGCGCATTCTTTCGGTTCTTTTGCAGCGTCCGCTGATGTTTGAGGCTCTCTTTCTGATCGAGCCTGCTTGCAAGGATCCGCATGGACCGGAGCGTAGCAGCCATCGAGACCCGCAGCACGTCGGTGGCATCGCCCAGCTTGGGAGATTGGCGCGCGACGGCGGCCAGGATTTCCTCGCTGCGTGTCTGCACCGCGTCGTGGAGCGCCTTGAGCTGGACGTGCCTCGTGCGCACATTCTCGAGACGGCCATCGACGGCCACGCTCTTTGCGTTGAGGATCTGGGCTTTGGTCATGGCTGTTGCTTTGGGGGTGAGGGTCAACCGGCACACACCGTTGCCCTATATATCCTGTGGCGCGGGACGGGGGGCTTCCCCGCGTGTGGAGCCGCGTGGGGCCGCGTTCCCACCTCGTTTCTTGCCCTTATTAGTTCCGTGCCCTTACCAGCACTTTTCTTTTTCTCCAGTTCTCACAACTCACAAACGCAGCAGAGATGGCCATCGAGGCTGTGAGAAGGGCGCACCTGCCATGCAAGATCGTGCCGGGTGGCAATGCAATTCGCAAGGTGCAGCGCGATGGCGACATGCTCATCGAGATCAACTGCGACATCCCACTCAAGAATGGCGTTGATGTCTTGCGCTGTAACGTCTACCGACCGCTGCCCGAAGCCAGTGGAGATGCCAAGCTGCCTGCCATCATGACCGCTGGCCCCTATGGCAAGGACATTCCCTACTCCGTCTTCCATGCAAACTCGTATGCAGAGCTGCCCGAGGAGCAAAAGAGCAAGTGGAGCGCCTGGGAGGTTCCCGAGCCGACGTTCTGGACGAAGCTGGGCTATGCTGTTGTCAGAGTCGACGAGCAGGGCAGTGGCCAATCGTGAGTTCCGCTTTCTTATCTTGGCGAGAGACAGGCGCTCACAATGCGTGGCCACCACAGGCCCGGATTCATGGACACGATGTCGGACCAGACGTCGTCCAACTTTGCCGAGGCGATTGAATGGGTGTCGGAGCAGCCGTGGTGCAGCGGCCGCGTGGGGCTGCTCGGCATCTCCTACTATGCCGGCTCGCAATGGAGAGTAGCTGCGCGGCGGCCCAAGGGCCTTGCCTGCGTTATTCCCTGGGAGGGCATGCACGACTACTACCGCGACCGCGTCCGCCCCGGCGGCATCCTTTCCAACGGCTTTATCAACTTCTGGCAGAACCGGCAGATCAACACGAACCAGTTTGGCGTGCCCGAGCGGTCGGGCGACAAGCGCGACGCCAACCTTCCAGGAATGTCGCCCAGGCCGGCCAACGAGGAGGGCACGCTGAGCGAGGAGCAGCTGCGCGAGAACAGGACCGACCAGACCGTTGACACGCTCCGCAACAAGTTCATGGACGATCCTTACTTTGCGTCACGCGAGTACCGCCTGTCAGACATTGAGGTGCCGATGCTGAGCGTGGCCAACTGGGGCGGCATCTGCCTCCACCTGCGAGGCAACGTCCTCGGCTACCTTGGCGCCGCCTCGCCGCTCAAGTGGCTCTACTTTATCACCGGCCGCCACGATCTGCCCTTCTACCTGCCCGAGTGGACAGCGCTCCAAAAGTCCTTTTTCGACGCCTTTCTCAAGGACGAGGACGACCGCAACTGGAAGGGTGGGCCAAACGCCGCCAACGGCGTCCCCGCGATCACCTACTGCAACCGCAAGGGCAATCCGGGCTTCAACAAGACGTCGGCCGAGCGCACCTACGGCTTCAAGCAGGCCAGCGTGTGGCCGCTGCCCAACACGTCGTACGAGACGCTGCATCTGTCGCCTAAGGGCCTTTTGGAGGCGCAGGACCAGACCGTCGAAGGGCAGGTCCGATGGTCTGGCCTCACGGGCGAGTCGGTCCGCTTCGCCACCCAGCCCTTTGCGGAAGAGAGGGAGGTGACAGGACACCCGGTGCTCCACGTGACGCTGTCTGTCGCAGGCGACCAGGAGGCAAACATCCCCAACGACCTGGACCTCTTTGTCACGCTCCGCCACATCGACCCGCAAGGCCAGGAGGTCATGTACACGGGCACCGCAGGCGATCCCGTCCCCCTCACCAAGGGATGGCTGCGCCTGTCCATGCGCAAGCTCGCCGACGACAGCCTCCCGTACTTGCCCAAGCGCAACTATCTCTCGTCCGAGGTGCAGCCGGTCAAGGCGGGAGAGCGGTACACGGCCACCGTCGAGCTGTGGCCGACGAATGTGACGGTGGAAAAGGGCGGCAAGCTGGTGCTCGAGGTGGGGCCAAAGGACCAGCAGGGCTGCGGCATCTTTGTTCACAACCACCCCGAGGATCGGCCCAAGGACGTGTTTGCAGGCGTCAATGTTCTCCATACTGGCCCCGGTCTCAGCGACCTTGTGCTCCCCTTTGTCAATTAGTGTGCTTCTTCTGCCCTGCCAATCGAGTCCGTCAGTGTGTTTTTCCTCCCCACAAGGGGCAGTTCGGGTGTGACTCGAGTTTGGATGCGCGCTTTGAACCACACGTTCGGCCCCGCAAGTTCTCCTCACCTCTAGACCCGAAGCTAAATACACTTTTCTTGTGTACACAGACACTGACACCACATCGCAACGCAACAATGTCCGCGCCCGTCGTCCTCATCACTGGCTGCAGCGGCAATGGCATCGGCTATCACCTGGGACTGGCCTTCCAAAGGGCGGGCTGCCGCGTCTTTGTGTCGGTGAGTGGCGCGAGTGAGCGACGGCAGGGAAGAACCTGACGAGTGCGCACAGGCTCGCAACATGGACAAGCTTGAAAAGAGCGGCTTCCCATCGGGCGTGAGACTCGTGAAGCTGGACGTCGTCGACTCGGCCTCTGTACAGAGTGCCGTCGCGCAGGTCGAGGAGGAGGCCGGGCACATTGACATCTTGGTCAACAATGCCGGTCAGGGCTGCGTCGGACCGCTGGCCGAGGTGGAGATGAGCCGGGCGAAGCAGACATTCGACACAAATGTCTTTGGGCTGCTCAACGTCACCCAGGCCGTATCCAAGGGCATGATTGCGCGTCGCAAGGGCAAGAGTAGGTGTAGTGCATCTGCTTGCTCGGTGCGGTAGCTGACACTGCGCGTCCAGTCATCAACATCAGCTCCATCGTCAGCTTCGTGCCCACGCCTTGGGCCGGCAGTGAGTCGCACACGTGCCTCTACGCTCTGTACCGTGCTCTGATCCGGCTTTACAGTCTATTGTGCGACCAAGGCAGCCGTCACCAGCCTGAGCGACGTGCTGAGAATGGAGCTGCGGGGCTTTGGGATCGACGTCGTCTGCGTCTTTCCTGGCGCGATCCAGAGTAGCATCGGCCTTGCCAACGCGTCCAGCTTCCGTCTGGACCCTGCGTCGGCGTACTCGCCCCTGGCCGACAAGATTGCAGCGCGCGGCAGCTGGTCGCAACGTGAGTCTGTGACAAGCGTCTCCAGTGTGACAAAAGAAGCTGACGGTCTCATTCAGATCCACGATCGACGCCGGCCTCTGATCTGGCTCAGCAGATCGTTCAGGCGGCACTTCAGACGCCCTCGACGGGCTACCTTACCGCTGGCTACCGTTCCACCCGGGCTTGGCTGAGCTACTATCTCCCACACTGGGCCAAAGACTACTTCTGGGGCAGGCAGTTTGGCATCGAGCAGGTTGGCAAGCCATGAGAATGAAGATGTAGTCACGTTGTGAACAATGGACAGGATATGACAATGATTTACCACGTCCCTCCAAGCTTGAACAGGAACGCGCGGTCGGTGAACCTTCCGATGGTGGAGCGCCAAGCGACGTTTGCCCACTGTAGTCTGTTGTGTCAGCTGGGGCTTGCTTGAAGTTTTCTAAAACGATCGTGCCTCACATTCTGGATCATCACACCTGACAACATAAAGATGAGAAAGGTCCGCTCGACTCCATTGGCTCCCCTACAGCAGGCTGAGTCAGCAGTCGTCCATCACTAGGCTACCTCGTGCGCACTCACAAGGGCCGGATACTGAAGTCGACGTTGCGGTTCAGAGGGCGGAAAGGCGGGTTGCCACGAAGCACCTGGTTCCAGGAGTCGGGCTGCGCGTCGTTTTGCACCTCGGGAAACGCTACAGACTCTTCTACGGACACGCTCTCGATGTCTCTGTTTGGCCTTGAAGCCGGCGGGCACGAGGTGCAGTGCACGTCTGAGGCGGTCGTCACGGCGGGCGAGGCAAGCGTGCGTCCCTGCGTCTGAAACGGCTCCTGAGTCGCAGCAGTGGTGCTAGGAGGATGCAGCTGCACAACAGTGGCGGACATGGCTTTCGTGTCTGCTCGTTGGGAGGAGAAGGGGTGGTCGTTATTGCTTGCATGGCCTTGCTGTCGCTCTTGCGTTAATAATATCGCTGTCCCCGCCCCCACAGTGTGCCGAAAAAAATATTACACGCGGACAAGCCTCTCCAGCTAAAAGCAGGCGCGACCGCCATTCTCTCTCAGACCAACCACACACCTACATCGCAGCAAAGAATGGAAAAGCAACCACAAGGAGGCATCCGAAGGGTGACAACCACCCAAGACAAGGCGGGGCTCGCTATTGTCGAGCACGACGACGAGTGCGAGCTGCTCGACGTCACGCCCGAGCACGCCACATTCGCTGTGAGTGACGGCACTGACAGCGGTCGGTCAGCTTGCTCACAATGATTCTTCTCAGGTCGTCTGGAGCTCGGACAAGTCGCCAGCAGACAACGCAGACCCCCGTGACGGCGCAAAGCAGCCCGTCTGGTCTGGTCAGCTGCACAACCCTGAGGGCTCGGTCCTGCGCTTCGTCGACTTTCCCCCGCACTGCAAGTCGCCGATGCACAAGACCCAGTCGCTCGACTACGGCATCGTCATGTGGGGCGAGATCGAATTGCACCTCGACGGTGGCGAGAAGCGGACGCTCAAGCAGAGCGAAGTCATCGTCCAGCGCGGCACCAACCACCTGTGGGCCAACACGACTGACAAGTGGACGCGGGTTGCCTTTGTCCTGCTGGGCGCCAAGTAGCCGTCTCTCCTGTAGAATAAATTGGGCCAATATGGAATATTTTTTCTAAACTATACTTACAAAGCTAAAGTGATCATCGGGTCTCTCGCCGAACGTGGGGGTGGGGCTCGAATTATATATGGAGATGAGAGACTTTGTAGACGAGAGACGAGAGACGAACGAACGACACAAGCTAAGCTAAGCTCACAAGACATGTTTGAGAAGACTGGAAAGTACCACCGTGTGCCAGTCGGCTTCGGACCGGCGCCCTCGCCGCGCCAGGATCCAAAGGGAGAGAGGTTCGACTGGTCGCAAGCCAAGACGACGACCGTGGGCGTCGTGGTCGAGGCAAGCGTGGCCTCGATCCAAGCCCTTCTACCCGAGGGGTACGAGGCGACTGCGTCCAGCAATGGCAAGGGCACTGTCCTTTTCGAGGTCATGGAGCTTCGCAACCTGCCCTGGCTTGCCGGTAGGGGCTACAACACCTGGGGAATCTATCTGAATGACGTCGTCTGCCACCGCGTCAGCCCGCCCGTCAAGGCCAGCTACATGAGCGTGCTCTTCGAAAGCTTTACCGATCCCATTACCACCGGCCGGGAGGAGCTGGGCTTCTGCAAGCTCTGGGCCGAGCTGCCCGACGGAGAGGTGCGAGAAAAGGGACGGACTCACACGGCCTCCTGGCTTGGCTTCGAGTTCCTGAGGCTCGAGCTGGACGGCCTCAAGGAGCACGACCCTGCCACTGCGCCTGGCAGGAAGCCCGAAAGCCGCATCTTCACGCACCCCACAAAGGATGGCATCCTGCACCACCGCTACGTGCCCAGCGTTGGCGAGCCCGGCAAGCACGACGCTTCGTATGCCACCTTTTGCCCACCACCTCCTGGGGAAGCGCCCGTCAGCTACTATGCTGCCCCTTATGCTTCCCCAGACCCATGCAAGCCGAAGGAGCCCACGACGTTCGCCGACGGAAAAGGCGCCAAGCTCGAGATCAAGAAGGGCACCTTTGAGCAGCTCCCGACGCTCCACAACGTCGTCGATGGCCTGGCAGCCCTGCAGCTGGGCAATGTCCTCGAAGTGGCCGTGCAAAAATTCAACGGCGCGAGCGATCTCAAGAGTAACCACAGGATTGAAAAGTAGTAGTACCTTTTTCTTCTGATGTGACCAGCCAAGGAGCAGAATGGAAATCATCTTCATTCATTCAAACATTTGAGAACGGAAGGTCGTCACAGTTACAGATAGTGAAGGGTCAGGCAGGAGGAGGCGCGATGCCGATCTTCTTGTGCTCGGGCACCTCGGTGACGCGGGGCTCATATGGCCAGTAGCCGAGCTGATACTGGGTGTTGCGCATGTTGAGTAGCCTGTTCCGACAGCGTCAGTCTGTGTTTCTCGGCAAGCAGGAGACAGCGACTCACTCCCAGCACTCTGCACCGGGGAAGTTGGGCTTGCCCTCGTCCTCCGGCGCGCCAGCAGCACCGGCAGCAAAGATGGCGGGCATGAAGTGGTCGTCGGTGGCCTGTTTGGTGGGTCAGTACCATGATCACATCGACAAAGTCAAGCAGATCAACGAACATGTGCGTCTCGGAACTGTGGGTGCATCATCAGCCGTGTCACGGCCCGGCGAAGGCCCGGGCCGCTGTTGTACTGGACGGCGTCGGAAAAGGCCTGGCCAAAGTCGAGTGCCCACTGCTCGGGCTGGCGCTCCTGGGCAAAGTTGTCGCGGTGGAAGACGGCCTGGGAAAAGGAGTTGCGGTAGAGATTGTGCACGGCACCACCCGAGCCGATGAGGAGGCAGCGCTGACGGCGGAGATGGCGGAGGGCAACGCCGATCTGCAGATGCTGGTGCGGATCAAAGTGCACGTTGGAGCTGATGATGACGAGTGGAAGGCTCTTTCCCCGTGGGAACATCCACTTGACTGTGGGGGAGGGTTTAGCATGCGACGGTCCACCACAAGGCAGGCCTGCAGGATGCTCACGGATCAGAAACGTATCGTGGATGATCTCAAACTTGGGACAGGGCCGTGCATCGATGCCAGCGTCCTCGAGCTCGCGCAAGACGTGCTGTGCAAAGTCAACATCGTAATTGGGGTCGAAGTTGATGTATTTCTTCGGGTCGACCCTGTTGTGTCACAGCGCGTGTGAGTTTTCGAAAATTGGGCACGGCACAAGGCGGGATGCTCACCATGCAACGGGCTGTTTCGACGGCTTTGGGTTGGTGGCGACCTCGAAATGATCCCCCTCAACGTGCCAGTGCGCACCCTGCCGCAGGCGTCAGCGAACGACTCGTCGAGCTTCCTGACATGGCAGCTACATACCATCATCACGATCCTCTCGACGCCCTGCTCGATGGCCAGGCGGCCCACCTGCTCCCAGTACGCAGCTGGCGCCGATGGCTCTCCGAGCATCATGGTGCTCCCATGGGAGAAGAAGAAGGCGGGGAACTCGACGGCAGCGTCTGCATCAGAGGAAGGCATCGTGTCTTGTTTCGGTCGTGTGTAGAGGAGGGAAAGCAGGCGCGGTGCTTTATTATGCATGGCAGCCCTCGCCCACCCGCCACAACCACCCGAGCGCGTCGAACCCCACCACTCGGCTACCCCATCCACGAATAATTCGCATATATTTGGGCGCTGTCGAAGCCTTCATTGCGGTACAACTTCACGTCTCATCAACATGACGCTCGATATCATTGTAGTGGGCGCCGGCATTGCTGGACTGGCCGCCGCCAGAGCGCTCAGGGAGCAGCACAATGTCACGGTGGGTGGAGCTTGTGGACCGCTCTTGAGCATCAAGCTGAACGACTCCACAGATCTTGGAGCAGACGAGGATGAAGTCAGAGACGGGCGCGGCCATCCAGTATGTCTTGCCTGCCCGACAATTGTTAACTACTGCGACTGACTTCTTCTGTGCAGTCTGGGCCCCAATGCAGCTCGTCTTGTCTTGGGATGGGGATGCCAGCTCGACGAGAGCCCGCACTTGAACATGGTGAGTTTGGAGCCGCAGAATCGAGAAAGGAGTGGGAGCTGACGGGCGCTCGCAGCTCCGAGAGGCCGATCATCTCGGCGTGATCCACAGCAAGCGGCCAATCGACGCGCAGGCAGACTTTGGCGCTCCCTGGCTCCTGAATGTGAGTGGACGGGCCTGGGCGACGTAGAGGCAAAGGTCAGCGGCTGACGGCTCCGTTTTAGCACCGCGTCACGCTTCACAAGGAACTCCTCCGGCTAGCCACGACTGAATGCGAGGGCCTTCCAGGCCGGCCAGCCAAGCTCATGACGGGCGCACGCGTGGCCCAGGTGGTAAGTGTAGTGTGCCTGCCAAACCTGCCTGAAGAGACCGACTGACGGCCGCCTCGATGATGCAGGACACCGAAAAGGCCACCGTACAGCTCGAGTCTGGCGAGGTGCTGCATGCCGACGTAGTCATTGGCGCCGACGGCATCAAGTCCGAGGTGCGAAAGGCCATCGTGGGCGACTGCTTCCTTGCCAAGCCCAGCGGCCACTCGGCCTACCGCTGCCTCATTCCCGCAGAGAAGATTGCGGCCGACGACGAGCTCGCGTATCTCCTCTCGCCCACTGGTCTTTCCATCTTCTTGGGCAAGGACAGGAAGCTGGTCGTGTACACTTGCACTTTTGAGGGCAGGCGCTATCTCAACGTCGTGGCTGCCATCCCTGACAAAGACCTGGGCGAGGAGTCACAGGAGAGCTGGTACGCGCCTGGGAAAGTCGAGGACCTCGTGGCCGCCTATGCCAACTTTGCACCCCATCTGCAGCGCATGCTCTCCTACACGCAGGAGTGCGGCCTCTGGCAGCTCCGGGACCAGGACCCGCTGCCAGCATGGACCAAGGGCAAGGCGATTATCATTGGGGATGCCGCGCACCCCATGCTGCCCCACCTGGGCCAGGGCGGGTCGCAAGCCATTGAGGATGCCGACGCGCTTGGCTTCTGCTTTGACGGGCACGGTCCCAGCGACGACATCGAGGCGGCACTCGCACGCACCTTCAAGCTGCGGTACGAGCGCGCCACCGTGTGCCAGGAAAAGAGCCGGGAGCAGGCGCTGGGCAAGCGTCAGGAAGGCGGCGTCTCGGTGCCCGTGCTCGATCCCATGCAATTCTCGCAGTACATCTTTACCTACCAGGGCGCCTCCTGGTGGGCGAAAAAGGTAGAGGGTGAGGCGGCAGCCGAGGCGGACGCGGCTGAGCCTGGGCCTCCTGCTGCTCTTGGCCGAGCCGTGAATGCACACCCTCTATCCGCTGCTACTACTGCCACTATTCTTTGATTTTCTCTGTTTTGTAATGGGCGCAAGCCACTCTTTCTTTTCTCAAACTCGGATCTGGTAGCCTCAGTCATCAATCAATTCTTGCTCTTTTATTTTATTTTCCCTTTTTTTTGCCGGTCCACTCCAACCCGAACCCCTCCTCAACGACCCGAACCAACGGCCGTCGTTGCCATGGAGCCGCCCGAGCAGACGCCAAAGAAGCGGTTTGCGTGTCCCAAGTGCAGCCGGCTCTTTTCGAGGCAGGAGCACGTCGCCCGCCACTTTGCCTCGCACAGCAATGAGACATCGTTTGTCTGCCCCAAGTGCTCGCGCTCCTTTGGCCGGAGGGACGCGCTGAAGCGGCACCAGTCGGTCCACCAGCCCCGCAGAGCACCGCTCCCGCGCGAGCTCGACGATGTGGCCGCCGATGCCCGACGGCGAGCAGCACTCTCGCGGACTAAGCGGGCGTGCTTGCGCTGTGCCAGGGCCAAGCTCAAGTGCGATGGCAACGAGCCATGCTCGCGGTGCAGGGAGCGCGACGGCGAGGCGGTCGCCTGCCGCTACTCATCCGAGCCCAACGTCGAGACCGGCGACGAGAGTCAGCACAAGAGCGCAGACAGCCTCGATCATCCATGGGGAGATGTCACACCGTCGCAGAGCATCGACGTCGGAGAGCACCGGGCGGATGGCTCGCTGCTTGAGCCAACCAGCGATGCGTTCGACTGGCCTGCCGAGATGACGGACAGGGACGACGGCGAAATGTCGATTGATCCGGTGCTGATGGGGCTTGCGACACCTTCCGGGACGACCAGCAGCTCCTATTTTGACGAAAGCAGCGAGCAGCAGCCGCAGCAACAACAACAACAACAACAGCGACAACAGCAGCAGCAGATGGCCCTCGTGACGGACTGCAACACCGACAACCTCGTCACCGAGTACGGTTCGGTCTTTGACTGGATCTCGGGCGGCTCGGGCTCGAGCCCGTACGATGCGCTTCCTTGGAGCGCCTGGCTCGATGCTGCCGCCGTCGCCGCGTCTCCATACCCTCCTTCGGGCGCTGGCGCCAAGGTGACGTTTGCAGACGTGGCACCGGAGCAGCACCGCAACTCGCTCGACGTGCTCAGCTCGGCAGCGCTGCGGGAGGAGCAGGGCCGCATCGAGACGAGGACGATGGAGCCCGTCGACGTGCGACAGCCGTCTCGGCGCAATTCCATGTCGTCGCAGCGATGGCCCAACTCGTGGCACCCCGAGGCCGCCGACATGGGCCTTCCAGCCCAGAGCGTTGTGGAAAACGTCGGCGAAGAGGTGGATCTGCTCGAGAACACATACCAGGTCGATGGCTTTGACGACGAGGCGAGGAACAGGCTGCTGCAGATGTGCTACCTGACCGACATGTCCAGCCAGGAGATGCGCCGCGCCCACAAGATACTGTCGTCGGTCACCAACGAGACGTTCAACGTCATGGTCCAGCTCTTTTTCGAAAAGTTTGAAAATGCCTTTGTACACCGGGCCACCTTCAAGGCAAGCCAGTGCAACGTCCTGCTGCTGGGGGCCATCTGCAGCATCGGGACCATGTACTCTTCGCTGCCCAAGGCCCACATCCTCGGCAGCATCCTCGTCGACCTCGTCCACCGGGCCATCATGGCCACGACATCTAAAGACAACCTGCATGCGCGCTCGCTCAGCAGCATCCAGGCTCTTGTTCTTGTTTGCATCTACCTGGCCCGCTCCAGCAATCGGCGGCACCTCGAGCATGCCGAGGCCTGCCGCAGCGCTGTTATCACCATGGTGCGGCGATGCCGCCTCCTCGACGACGTCGCCAGCCCCGTTGCGCCCGAAGCGGCCGAGCCGGCGCACTGGCACGACTGGCTGAGCTGGGAGACAGGCCGGCGCGTCGGCTGGGCCGTCTTTGTGGCCGACATGGCCCTCTGCACCAGCTGGAAGCTGGCCCCCTGCTTTTCTCTTGATGAGCTCAAGGCACAGCTGCCGGGCGACGAGGCGTCGTGGGATGCACCCGACAGCGAGGCCTGGGCGAGGAGCTACCGTCAGGCGTGCGAGGCACCCCTGCTCTCGCGCTACCACGAGGCACTGCAGCAGTCGATCATCGGACAGCGGATCCGAGAAGAGGCCAACGTGTTTCAGTCCAGCGTCGTCGCCTACTCGCTCTCGCTCATGTCCATGTCCCTGACAGCCATGCAGGAGAGCTGCCTCTCGGCGCAGGCCATGCCGCTCTGTGCACACTTTCGCGCGCGGCTCCGCGAAGCAGTCGACGGCACCCCGGCTCCGACGTCGCCCACCTTTGAGTTCATCACCCGCTTCACGCTCCTCCGCATGGCCGTCAGTTTCCACGACCTTCAGGCCATGGGTTCCCGCAAGGGCCGGGCCGAGGCCAAGCGAGCCATGGACAGGGTCCACTCGGGCTTTGACAACGACCCGCAGGCCGCCCTCGAGCTGGCTGCCGACGCCGGCAGGATCCTCTACCTATTCAAGAGCGGGGCCATTGTTGCCACGTGCGACGTCAATGCCTTTTACTACGCCGCTGTGAGCCTGCTGGCCTTTTCCACGCACTGGCGCAGGATCGCACCGCCGCCCTCGTCGCGCGAGCCGCGCATCGTGCGACTCGACGGCCGGGAGCTGGTGAAACCGGGGCCAAGCGCCCGGCTGGTCCTCGCTGGCGTAGGCGAGCTCCACGAACCGGCGGCGCCCACCAAGATTGTGCAATCAGCCGCCCGCTTTCTCTTCAGCGTCCCATCCAACGCGCCGTCCCACCACGCCGCCCAGACCCTGGGCTCTGTTCTCAGTGGCATTTCGGCGTAGTCTTGTATCATATATCTCTTCTCCAGTGTAGTGTGACCGCTCTTCTAATCCGTCTGATGAAAGCACATTGAATTGCAAAGGATCTAATCAACAAGCTCCCAGGGATTGCGATTCCAGCGGGAGCCATGCAACGCCTCGCCGTCGTACCCGGCAAATGTCCGTTTGGGGTCCCACTGCGTGCGCAGCTCGCAGAATCGCGCCCAGTTCTGCTCCGACATGAACCGCACCGGCCGCTTGACCAGGTCCGAGTCGCCGAGATAGATGCCTGCAGAGCCGCCTTGCTCGGGCCGCAGGGCGTCAATGTGCGTCCACACCTTGTCCTGGTATGCCTGGCAAACGGCATCAAAGGCGTCTGTGTCAGGCGGTGCGATGGTGTAGAGGGAGAGGGTGTGTGGGGTCTGGATCGAGAAGCACATGTCGTCGGGCAGCGCGCGCAGGGGCGCCATGCTAAAGTGCAGCGCAAACGACTGCGGCGTGGCCAGGTCGACAAACGCAGCCTTCATGGACTGGGCCACCTTGTCCAGCGGCCCGTCGAGCCACGCGTTCTGGACAAAGTAGCGGCCGATGGGATTGTCGTCAGCCTGCCGCTGGTACTCCTCGGTAAACGTAGACGGCTGGCAGAAGGCGGCGACGTGCGCCTTGTCGAGGCTGGGCACACCCTTGGCGAAGATGGTCAGCGCCTCCTTTGCCTCGGCCTCGTCCTCGGTGAAGCACAGCGCCCGGACCACCAGCACCGGCCGGGGCGGGTTGAGATGGGGCATGACACGCTCGCTGCGAAAGCCCAGCATGACGAGCTCGCAGTCCGAGGGCACGCCCGGGCACGTCTCCAGGTACCACTTGGCCACCTCGTCGTAGTGCGCCACTGTGTCGTAGATGTACGTTGAGCCGTACATGCCGACGACTTTCTTCAGCTTGAGCGTGAAGCTGACGACGACGCCAAAGAAGCCGGGCCCCGAGCCTCTTGCTGCCCATAACAGGTCTGCATTCTCGCGCCTGGATGCCGTCACCAGCTCGCCAGCAGCAGTCACCACCTCCATCGACTCAATCTGCTCCGCAGACCAGCCCCAGGTCCGCGCACACCATCCCTGGCCGCCCTGCAGAAGAAAGCCGCCGACGCCGACATCAGGCTGCTCTATGGCGTCAGTGAATGGCTGTGCGCGTGCATTCATGAATAAACTCACACAGTGTCCGCCATTGAACATGAGCCCGAGCGGGCCGAGCGCCTCGTTGAGCATCTTGCCCGTGGTCGACGGGCTCACTGTCGCTGTCATGTTCTCGGCGTCGATCTCCAGCCTCTTCAGTTCCGACAGGTCGATCAGGATGCTGTCCTGCCGGAGCGACCAGGCCGCCCACTGCGCAGAGTTCAAGTCAGCGCGCAAGAATGAGCGACTCTGCATCTGCTCTACCTACACTGTGCCCGCCCGATCTGATGGTGACCTGTGCGCCCTTGCCCTTGGCGTACAGCACCGCGCTCACGACTGACGCTTCCGGGGTAAGTGTGGATCCTCGAATTGCTTCTTTTCTCTCCACTCACCATCGTCGGGCGAGGCGGCAAAGATGATGTCGCTGGGGTACTTTTCCGGCCTGCGTCGGTTGAAGATGCGGTCCAGGCGCGCTCCCTCGTACCCCTTGTGCGATCGACTGTACTGCGTCCCAATCATGTCGTTGTCGTTTGCCATTCTTCGTCGACACGTCTTCATCTAGATATACGCCCCCCCTCACTCGGGCTACCTACCCCACATCGGCCCCGCAATATATTTGAGAGAACGTGGCTTGCCGATAGAAAGTCTAGCCCCGGCCTGCTGCCGAGGTCTCAGATCTGCGGTGGGGCAGTGCTGCCCTTCCCTGGCCCCCTTTCTTTGCAGAGGCTGACTTGCGAGTCACGCCAATCTGGCCGGGGCAAGGGCGTCGTGCACTTTGCAAACATTGCCTCTCTCGGTAGCAGTCAGAGTCGTACACAATGATTGAAGCTCTCTCTCTCGGTAGCAATCAGAGTCATGCACACTGATTGAAGCACTCTCTCTCGGTAGCAATCAGAGCATTACACGTTGACTGTGTGAAGACGAGTGACCAAATGACATTGCAAGCGTTTCCAATTTTCCCCTGACAGCAATAGCGACAAAGACAATCCCCTCGAACAGTACGAAAACTATACAGCAAGCATAACTAGTCCTCCTCGACAAGGACAGCATCGTCCCTGTCCTCGTGCCAGGCGAGGTACTTGAGTGCCCGCCATTCGAGCGACGCCAGACGGATGCGCTTGCCAAAGAAGTAAAAGACAAAGACGAAGAGCCAGATGATCGAGGCAATGGCGGCCATCTCGCCGTAGGCGTTCTGGTAGCCCTGGCTGGCGACCCAGGGGTTCGTGTAGAAGGAAAGCAGGAAACCGATGGCGGCCTTGTAGCCCAGGATGGCCGTGACCACCTCGCTCGAGATGGGCTTGTAGCAGTCGATGGCGTAGACGAGGGCGACGTTGGTTCCGCTGACGATGGAGAAGTTGAGCAGGCCGAGTCCGATCGTGGGCACGATCCAGTGCCAGTGGTTCTGAATGCCCGCGCCAAACAGCGCCAGCGCCAGCGGGCTGGTGATGATGGCCTGCGAAAGGGCAGGGAGACGCATCTCGGGCTCGCGAAGGCCCTTGTTCTTCTTGGTCGACCGCTTGCTGATCCAGTCGGACAGCTGGCCGCCGAATGCGATGCCCACGACGCTGCCAATGAGGCCCGCGACGAAGCAGAGGCCGACGTTGGCGGGGCCGAAGCCGTAGCCAGCGTTGTAGGCGATGGCGACGTTGGTCGTGACAGCCACCAGGAAGCCGATGGTGCCGGCGAAGCAGAAGGCAGCCCAGAGAACAGCTGGGTAGGCAATGACGAGGAAGGGACGGATGAGGAGCTTGACGAAGCTCTCCTCGGTGTACGTCTGACCGCTGAACAGCGCCAGTGTCTTCCAGTAGCTCTTCTTACGGCTCTGGTCCACCTCGGGGCGGTCCTCCAGGTGGACGGGTGCGAGCGGGGGGCGGCGGTAGGATGTCTCGGGGCAGCAGAAGACTGTTGAGAGAGTTAAGTGTCTGGTCTGAGCGTCAGATGGGGTGGAGTAAGACTCACCGACAAGAATGGTGAGAGCTCCAATGAGTGCACTCGAGACCCAGTAGACTGGACGAACGAAGGATCAGTATGACGATCATCTACACCTTGACCATGGAGAGACCCACTGTAGCGCCACGTCAGATCACGGGTGATGAAGCCGTCGATGATCATGCCGAATGCCACGCCGACGGACAGGAAGGCGTTGTAGCTGGCGTGTGAGATTGTGTCAGTCTCGAGAACAGCGTGGCGCAGACCTGCCGCCGAGACTCACGCAGCCATGGGTGTGCTCCGCTCGTGGACGAACCAGATGTCGCCGATGGTGAGGGGGCCCAGCATCTCACCGGCTCCCGACGCGGCACCGAGCTTTGGGACTTGTCAGCGGCATTTCCTTCTCCCTACAGGGCTGGCTGAAGCCGACTCACAATGCACCGCAGCACAAGCTGAGAGCTCCAGGTCTTGCATGCGCCCGATCCCAGCGCAACAGCGAGGTAGATGACGTACGAGAGCACGTAGACGGGACGCTTGCCGTACTTTGTCACGAGTGGCGACCACAGGAACATCGAGAGGCCCTGGAGCAGGGCTGCGCACGAGTAGAGGTAGGCCGTCTTTGGCGGGGCGGTACCGAAGCTGTCAAAGACAAGCAGGTCAGCCCAGGAGCACGAACACACCGCAAAGGAGGACAACGCACTCCTTGGACGTCTCGAGAATGGCGATACTCGGCCCGGCGGCGGTCAGGTTGCTCATAAAGGCGGCGGCGCAGACGATGCACGTCAGGAACCACTTGAACGACCGCGACCAGTTGCTGTGGGAACAGTCAGTCAGTCTAGCCGATCTGGCATACAAGAGAAGGCATTACACACAGTGGGTCATTTCTGCACGAATAAACAATGTCAGCGCTGACTATAGATGCATCGCCACGGCGCCCACTCACGGGTCATCGGTCGGGGTGGGGAGCAGGATCGTGTTTCCGTTATCGGCGTAGTTCTGCACTGTGCCCGCGCGGGAGCCGAGGTTGGTGATGCGCGTCAGCGTGACGCTCAGACCGTCCTTGGACACATCGGTGTCGCGAAGGTAGCGCGGCGTCTGGTGTGCATGCGTGACCGACTTTTCCACGTCCGTGTCGCTCTTGTAGGCCAGTGTTGACGTCATGTTTATGCTTTGCGTCGGATGGGGATGAGGAGGGGGAAAGGGCGCTGGGGTGCCTTGCGGGGTACCTTTATGTCTTTTCGACGCCCATTGCGGAGCCCCGGATCTCGGTGTGGTGGGAGATGACAAGGGGAGAAAAAAGTCCGCAGCCGCTCATGCTCAATTGTGGGGAAACTCAATTGTGAGGGGGTCGGGTGGTGGGGGCGGGAGACACACACACACACACTGACCCGATGCAGTTTAAATAAATTTCCTCAAGCATGCTAATCAAGTAGTACACGGCGTGAACAGCTGCGCGACGCTTCCCAGGCACACACTCGGCACTCACAATGTTGCGGGGAACGAGCTCGATCCAGTTGCCGTCCGGGTCTGCGATGTAAGCCACTTTGGAGAGAATCTTGTGACAGCTGGCATCCACACTAGGTGTGCCTGCAGGAAGGCCCAGCTTGGTCTCGTCCTGCACCGGGCCCGGTTCCTTGATGATTGTAGAGCCAAACTCCCTGGCCTTGCGAGCAATGTCACTGACCGAGTCGACAGTGCTGTGGGCCTGGCTTGTAAGCAGATTGGCGACACAGGGCCGCCTGGAGATACGCACATGCCAATGTGGAAGAAGCCGACCCTGGGGGGTGGCGTCACCGCTCCCGCGTCTGGCTGGGCATCGTGCATCCACAGGAGCTCCAGCAGGCCAGCAGAGCCCTGCATGCCCTTGAGAAAGTCCTCCTGGCTCGTGGCTGCTTTTCGGTGGCCCAGAAAAAAGACAGTCTGTGGGCCGATGCTGGGTGGGGAGTTTTCAGCGGCACCGTCGAGCCAGCCACGTATGCAACTCACTTCCACGAAAAGAGACTCGAGAAGCCAAGAACACTCTTGTAGAAGTCGAGCGAGCGCTTGGGCTCGCTGATGTTGAGGCAGACGTGGTTCAGCAGTGCCGACTGCAGGTTCTCATCTTCGACGGGGCCGTCCCTGGCCGCGGTTCAGAGTCAGAGTCAGTCTGTGTCTCCAGTGACGATCGCGCTCACAGACCTACCCCGACGCATACCTCTCGCCCGGCTTCAAGGTCTCGTAGCTCATGCTCATCGTTGCTCACGAAGAAGATCCATGCAATTGCCATTCTTTTAAACAGAACCCCGCTGGCGGTAGTGCAATCTCCGTAACATAAAGCGCGACACCAAGCTAATAAAGCGCGACACCCGAGTGTGGGGGTGTCGGATCACCTGCCGAGCGCGGCACAGCCGCCGTCCACGTCCAGCGTCATGCCAGAACAGAACGAAGACATGTCGGAGGCGAGGTAGAGGATGCCATCGACGCACTCTTGGGGTGAGCCCCAGCGCTGCATGGGCACGCGCTTGATCAGCTCGTCGTCGACCTCCTTGGCCGTGGCGACGTGTCCCGGCGTCTTGATGAGGCCGGGCACTGTTGTAGCATCAGCATGCGGTCCGAGAAGGATGCGCGAGAGGCACTCACAGATCGCATTGACCCTGATTCCTTCGTGTGCGTGTTCCAGAGCTGCTGCTTTCGTCATGCCGCTGCGACGCCACGTGTGTCAGTAGAGGTCTCGTTCTGATCACGCCGGCGCGGACTCACATGACGGCGTGCTTGGCTGCACAGTACGGTCCAAACTGAGCGAGGGAGTCAGAGAGCAGCACGGGGAAGGACAACGAGACGATACCCACCTTTTTGACACCCTCCACGCCTGCCCTCGAAGAGATGTTGACGATTGCTCCGCGGCGCTCGGGCCTGCCGCCTCGGCCGGGCTTGAGAGGCTGGTTGACCATGGCCGAGAGCTGCGCCTTCATGCATCTGTTGCAAATCTCAGGTTTCAGCAGGCATTTCTTACAGCCTTCTTTGTGTCACTCACAGAAAGACGCCTCTCGCGTCGATGTCGTTGATCAGATCATAGTCGTTCATGTCCATGTCCTGCCACGGCTTGGTGAGACTGGTGCGCCGCGAGAGGGAGCAGCGTTACTCACCTTGATCAGACGCAGATTCTTGCCCACGACGACGCCCGCAGCGTTCAATGCCACATCCAGCCTGCCGAATCGCTCGATGCACTCGGCGATCTGGGGCATGTTCAGCGCTGGCGCTCACCCACACCCGACCCAGCCGACTCACCCCCTTCTCGATCTCCTCCTGCTTGCTGACATCGACGGCGATGGCGATGGCGGCGTCCATCCTGGTCCTGTTGAGTGCAGCAGCTACCTATATGGTTGTCAGCTCTGTCTCAGGAGCCCCGGTCCAGTAGACTTACCTCTTGCGCAGCCTGGACGTTGCGGTCCGTCACTGCCACCCGGGCCCCAAGCGCGACAAAGTGCTCTGCGCACGCCTTGCCGATCCCAGAAGCGCCTCCAGCTGTCCCATCAAGTCAGATTGACCCACTGACTGGCCTGCTCGACGACTCACTGATGAAGACGACGTCTCCTTCAAATCCCAGCGGTGATTGACTCATGGTGTTGTGTTTGAGAAGTTGGTTTCGCAAACACCCGATTGTGGGGGAGGAGGTGAGCGCATAATTTCACGTGACTCCAGCGACTCGTCGACTGATCTTTGCAGTCGTCTCGCTGAAACAGCACGGTAGCTCCACGATGGGACATGGCTCTCCATCGAGGGGCCGCTGTCACCCATGCAGACACACATGAGCCTGAGTGTGCCGCGAGACCGCTGCAGCGTGGCTTGCCGCCCCAATTTATTGTTCATCGACCGCATTTCAGTTTGAGGATAGAGCACGAAGTGCAAACGACAAAAGTTCTACCAAGGCTATTGCAGTACGATTCTTTCTTTGCGCAGCATCTTTACAGCTCTTGTTTGGGGACCATTCGCCATTGTTGGCTCTGTTCAACCTTTCTGCGAGCAGGAAAGCTCAGAGATGAACGTCGCTTCATCAAGGCGCTTGTACAGCAACGAAAAAGGGAGAGCATAATCAAGCATTCTGTGTCGTCTTGGTTAAACGGACTGTGCTCGTCTTTGGCTGAATGCAAGGTTTTCGAGGCGGCCAGCCAGGATCGCTCTCCAAGCTTCCCCCTGCTGATGCAACGGTGACCCAATAGTTTGGTCGTTGTGAAGATAATGTCCACGTGCTGCGCTGCAAATACATCTCGGACCCACGCTAGCCATAAGAAAACGTGGGACCAGCTCCGTGACACCCGGCATTTGCTCTGATCTCCGTCGCACGGCTACTGACAACCAGCCATGAACAAGCTCGAGTCTTTGTTCTGGTATCGCCCACCTCCTCCCCCCGCCTGCCAGTTAAAGACACCAGAGGATGTCGAGAAACGTGGGCACATCCTTGCTGAACTAGATCAGGCAATCAAGTTGCGCGACAAAATCCCTGCAAAAGTCGAGATCAACGGTTGGGATGAGCCACTTATTCGAGACCGCATATACGAGCTTGTCTTCCATCGTGGCGCAATTGTGATGCATCCGCCTGCAGACGAAAAGTGCGCGCGTCCATTTCAAGAAGTCATTTTTTCGCGCGGAGTCGGGCCTGTGGCCTGGTACAAGCGGCGTAAGATCACTGCAGGCTCCGACATCAAGCGAGAAAATATGAGCGGCGTCACTGTGAGGCTCAAGAGCACCTCGGAGCGCGATGCGATTCGCGCAAGGGCGCGGCAGCGCGGCTACAGATTCTCTCTCATTGTCTTTCTCGCACTCGTAGCGGCTGTCGCAGTTGGCATCAACGAGGCTGACAGAGTGCCGCCCACCGCAGCGGATCCTCGGTAGCTTTACTTTTCGTCACACGCGATCGTGCATGCCTGAAGCTATCGTTCGGTAAGCCTCTTCTTTCGGCCAGCGGCGCTCGCACTTCCTTATCGAAGATGATCAGTCTTGCAGGGCTACTGAGTGGCTTCGCATCTGTGCGCGACTGCGATACGGTCCTAATCAGTCCCTGGCGCTCATCAGGTAGCGCGGCCATAGCAGCAGTGAGTTGGGCACAGAAGTCAGGTACAAACTCGGGACGGCCATCGGAGAGTCATCTGACGCGTTTTAGGACTGGCCCGGTGCCAAATTCAGTTCGCCCCTAGCTCAATTCGGCGGAGCGCCCGCCGCCCGGGGAATATTTCCCGTATCCCACTCGGACTATCGTCCCTGTATCACGACACCATGGACGACCTGCCTCGAAATCGCTTTGATCCCATCTTTCCGGTCACCGATATCGGACGCACCACTCAGCACTACACAGCTCTCGGTTTCCAGGTCTTAGCCCATGACGATACATATGCTTTCGCCGTTTGGCCAGGTGTGGGCTGCATTCACCTATCGCGCGTGGAGTCCCCAAACGACTACGACGGAAAGGTCATGGCAGCGGCAACCTACTTGCACGTAGACGATGCAGCGGCCCTCGCACGCAGCTGGAAGCAGGCGTGCCCTGGCGCCGACACTCGGGACCCCGTCGACACGGACTACGGGCTGCATGAGGGCGCCCATCTCGATCTGGATAACAATCTCGTCAGATTCGGATCGCCGATGGCAACCAAGCCATAGCAGACCTGGCAAGCGTCTCTTCTTGAACGTCGCCTCATTACGATGAGCAGAGAAGGCTCGCTCAAGCTTCAGTATCCTCGGCACAGCCTACTGAGAGAAAATAGGCACGTGAGCGTCTGTCTTGTGCGAAGGGTTGTTGTGGCCCGACTCAGTGCTCCGCAAGCTTCTGTTGATGTTGCGTTCCAGAACGGGAAACAAGATTCCAATAGAAGCCCCACAATTCTCTTTTCTCTGCCGAGGATGATGTATGTGCACGTCAGAGATCGCCGAAGAATAAGGTAGATTCCCGGTGAGGCACGCCAAACCTTCCCCACTAGCCTTTGTGCTCGAGGGCGCGCTGGAGCCTACTTCGTTGTGCAGCGCCCGCTTGCGTCATTCGGACGTTCGGCGCGGCGAGTAAGGCCCGAGAAACAGTGCCTAATAAAAGTGTCTGAGGGGTGACGAGCGAAGTAAAAATGGGCGAAGGATAACATGGAACAGCGCGGCACTGGACGCGCCGCCCCGGCGCTCTGAGAATCCTACATAAACAGCAGAGCCTGCCCGCGCTTTCTCCCTAGTATCATTGCAAGCTGGACGGCCTATTCACCTCACCCGTATGCTCGTCTCCTCATTTTTCAAGCTGGCAGGGAAAAATGCCGCGTTAGCAGCCACTGCATTTCACCTGACTGCTGCTGTGCTTCAGGGTCGCGCTCTGGACACGGCGGCCATCGCCCAGCAGCGGTATGGCAACGACTCAGCATGGTATCACGACCGGATCCCCTTTTTCGACTCGAGCGATGACGTTCTCAACAAGGTCTACTACTACCGTTGGAACATCTTCCGAGCCCATCAACGCGACTTGGGTGACCGTGGCTACATATCCACCGAGTTTCTGGATGACGTTAGCTGGCAGCAGCAGCCCTACGCTAGCCTCAACGACGCCACCGGTTTTCATCTAGGCGAAGGGCGGTGGTGCCGAGACAGACGCTTCAAGGAAGACTATCTGGACTTTATGTTTGCGAGGGGCGGCAATGACCGACACTTCAGCGACTACATGGCGCATGCCAGCTACCAGACCTACCTCGTCGACGGTGACCAACGGTCGGCTACGAGTCACATTGAGTCAATGAAGAACATATATGGATCGCAGTGGGATGACCATCTGGATGCGACAAAGGGGCTGTACTGGATCGTTCCCCTGGACGATGCGACAGAGTACACCATCGCCTCTATTGATGCGTCCGGAGGCCTGGATGGCTTTACGGGGGGTGCCGCGTTCAGGCCATCAATCAACGCCTACATGTTCGCCAACTTCAAAGCTATCGCGGCTATCGCCCAGCTGGCCGGCCAGGAGCAAACGGTGGTGGATTCTTACAGTGCCAGGGCATCGAATATCAAGAAACGCATGCAAGCCGACTTGTGGAACGTCACGCTGGGCCATTTCATTGATCGTTTTCAAGTAAGCAACAAGTACGTGCAGTACTACGAGCCGATTCGAGGACGCGAGCTGGTGGGCATGGTGCCTTGGCTTTTTGACCTTCCTGACGACAAAGCCGACTATGCGAGCGCCTGGAAACATGTCTTTGATACGGAAGAGTTGATGGGCAAATTTGGGCTTCGAACGAATGAACCTACGTACGAATACTACATGCGGCAGTATCGCTACGAGGGTAGTCGGCGCGAATGCCAATGGAACGGGCCGAGCTGGCCGTTTCAGACGACACAGACTTTGCTCGGGCTCGCCAATCTATTGGACCACTACAAGGAGACCGGCTCGATGACCCGCGCCAACTTCCACAGCTTACTGTCCTCCTACGTGGACCAGCATATAGATTCCGCGACGGGCGAGATGAAACTGCAGGAGGATTACGACCCGGACCGCGGTGGCGCCATTGTGGGGCTTGCGCGAAGCCCTCACTACTTTCACTCAGGTTTCGTCGACATTGTAATTTCAGGTCTGGCCGGCATCCGACCTCGCTCCGACGATGTGCTGGAGGTGAACCCGATGATGGACGAGTCCAGGTTGGGGTGGTTCCGGCTGGAGAAAGTGCCCTACCACGGACGCAACGTGGCCATTCAATGGGACCGAGACGGCCGCCATTTCGGGCAGGGAGCCGGCTTGAGGGTAGAAGACGACGACTCCAAGACGGTTCTAAAATCTTCTCCAAGGCTGCAGCGAATCACGGTGCCTTTCGCTCGCAAAGCCGTGGCGGCCATTGAGAGGCCTATCGCGAAATCGGTGCAGCTGCAGCAAAACACCAAGTATCCACGTGGCGTCACGAGCACCGTCAATGATGATCCGTCCAAGGTGCACGATGCTATCGATGGACGGGTGTGGTTCTGGAACGCACTGCCAAACGGATGGGAGTCTGTCAAAGGGGTTAGTGCAGAGCAGTGGTACGCCATCGAGTTTGCAAACGACACCGAGACAAGCCGCGCCGAGCTGGCCTTTTACCAGGACGGCACAGACTTTGCAGTACCCCAGTCCTACCGTCTCCAAACCAGCTCAGGTGATGGAAAATGGATTGATATTGCGAACGCACGTCAGGACCAGCCGCTGGCAAATGGTATCACCAATGTCGTCTACCGTTCCACCCTGGCAAAGCTATTCAGAGTGTTGTTCAAGCCGTCGTCGTCAGGCAAGCAGGTGCGCATCGTCGAGTTCAAGCTGTTCTAGACTTGATCATTCTGCACGATGCGATTCACTCTCGAGCCATTGCTGCTTTCTCCTCAATAAATGCTCTTTCGTCTCACAGACTTGCTCTCCTTGAATGCTGGACGTTCTGCCCTTCTCACTGCCCGACGAGCGTGGTCACAGCACGATTTCGGCAACAGTACTCATCTTCTCGCGGGCAAATGCCTACATTTAAGAGCTCGAAAGCGGCATCTCGTGTTATACTGCTGGGAAATAAAAAGGGCCTCGAGCTCTTTGATAAACTCTCAAGAAAGTCGGGTCAAAATACCAGGGGTGCAGAACTTGAATGTAAGTAGGCCCATCTCCTCCCAGATCCGACGTGCCTCAGCGCTAGATTCTGTGAAATGAGCCCAGGAGTCAAAGTGCTGCGGAGTGACGGTGTCTGCGTCGAGTTTGTGAGCTAGCAAGCTGGCATCCCGAGCTCCCATTGTTACCTGGAGAAGTCCTTCAGGACCAGGCACGTGTGCGTTGCCCAGGCTGACGAGCATGATGGAGATGTGCCATTTCTCCTTGATCTTGAGCAATTCTTCGGTGAGCACTGTGTCACCGGTAAAATAGACCGCATTCGGCAAGTCACCAGTCCGAGCCAGGCTCTCGCACTCGATGACAAATCCTAAGCATTGGCCACCGCGAACGTGCTTTGCCGGTATGGCGGTGATCGTGAATCGCTGTCCAGCCAGAATGACCGACGTACTCTCCCATTCGCCCTTCCCGTGCACTCCAGGTCGCGGAGAGAGATTCCTTTGTCCGTCGACGGTCGTATAGACATGACGACCATCCAACAACATCCGTCCCGAGTGGTCCAAGTTGTCCGGATGGTCCTCATGACTAAGTAAGACGGCGTCAAAGGGAGGCAGATCGGAAGGCGAAAGCGCTGGGCCAAGAATGCTCTTGTTTGACACATCCGGCGTGACTGCATACTCCGTCCCGACTTCATCGAAGACTGGATCGGTGAGGAAGCGTGCTCCGTTGATCTCGATGAGAGACGTGGCTGTTCAGACGATGGTGATGGAAACTTTCCCCTCGATCGACATGATGGTGAACAAAGCGACGCTGACGACGTGTACGCGAGCTTGGCTCTCACACACCGCCTTTCATCAATTTTTGGCCAGCTAAGAGTCACTGCAGTAGGCTACTTTATGTGCACCCGTGCGTCGGTGGGCTATCCAGTGTCCTGGACGGGTGTTATGCACCTCAGCGCTGATGATTATGAGCCTGAGCACGTGTTTCAAAAGCAGGTTGACAGCCTATCTAGACCACCAGCCGTCTCGTGTCTGTGAGGGCGCGACGCTGCTTAGCCGGGAAGCACGGATCTAGGTCATGCTTGCGAAGGGAAAGCAGGACGAGCAGGAAGACAGGGATTGCGATGCCGGAATCAAATCCAGACACGTGTCCATCCGATTAGGTTGATGAGTTTATCACGTGCCTATGCAAATATCGTTCGAGCCCACATCTTGAACCGATCGCTTGCCGGGACGAAACCGCTTGTGTCCACCAACCGACATGACGTACGACGACGCGAGTGCCTCAATCATCATAGGCAGCAATCGAGGCGAGGTTTTCCACGCCTTCTGGCTTAGCGCTATCACATGTCTCGCTCTCGCCATGGGCTTTACAGCCAAAGCCAGCGAGCGTGGACGCCTCCGCTTCTCTCTTCTCTACTTATCGATATGCGTGACCTTGGCCTACTCTGCGGTCTGGATGGCCTCCTTGTCTCTCATGGTATCGCGAGAGGCCAAAAATATGCCGAGAAAGGGCAGTTGGGATCTCTGTACGTACTCACAACCGTTCTAGTGGCCCATGCTGACGGCCAAAATCCCCAGTGTCTGGTGTTGCGGGCGTTTTCGAGCAGTTAGCTCCACTTGTGTGTCAGCTTGCTGCCTTGGAAAAGGTCATTACCCTCTACTATTCCACGACCACCAACATCATCCGGCTTGCATCGATATTCCTTCCCGTCGGCGTTTTGGTACTCGGCCGGGTCGCTCTGGTTATCTACCTGATGTGGTGGAACCTGGTGCCTGTCAAAGGGGATCTGTCGCGGGGCGCCACAATTTATCTGGTCTCATACGTGCTTCAGATCGTTTACTGCGTCTCTGTCTCAACACTCCTGCTCATCAAAGCACGGACGCACCTCGGACACGCGGCAAGGCAATCTCCACTCCTCGGCCAAAGGCTCAAGGCTTTCACTGAAGGCGTCCTGATGACTCTTCTCATCCCCGTCATTCCTCAAATTCTGTGCGCCATCAGTGTCGAGCATTCCTTCGAGGACCAGAGCACCTCGGCGTATCTCTTCATTGCGAATTACGCCAGCGCTTTCAACGTCTATCTCAGCACTCTTTTTGCCGTCATGAGCACAAGCTGGTCCACCATTCGAAGCAAAGTCAGCATTCCGCCTACGGACCAAGGGTCATCTTTGGGTGAAGAAGCGCTAGCGATAATTGACAAAGATGCCGAGCCGGTAGATCGCAGACCAGAGATAAAGGGAGTCGTTGTTCCTCAGCGATCTGAGCACTACGGCCAAGTCAGCGAACCGGTCGAGGTGTTGCAGACAAGGGTGATGGATAGGCAGAGTCTCGCCGGTTCTCCATTGGTGTCGAGGAATTACCTCAGGTAGCTTGAATGGATGCAATGAGAGTTGGTGGAAGGCAGGATCAGGTGTGAAGGGAATCCGTTTCCGACATCTGCGCTTTTAATTACAGCACCTTGATCTCCGCATAGGTGGCCTCCGTCGAACAAAGGCTCCTTGAAGCTCGTACATGGTCTTTCTTCCTTCTGCCCAAGATAAGCATAGTACAAATCGGGCAGCCGTGATCATGGTCGGGTCGAATTACCTGGCATCCACTCGCACCTCATTTGCGATGGTTCTGCACCGTGACCTCTAAGTGATCGGTAGCCGTACTGTAAAGGTGGTGAGTAGCGCACGGTGATCACTAGAGATTGGTTCGTGATTAGATTCTGGTCTCTTTCACATCGACCTCGACATTCCACATACGGGGTCTGCATGCTGGACAACTCCGAGAGGAACCGGTCGTTGCCCATCACATCTGAGTCTCAAGCCCGCGTAACGAGTCCGAACATGTCAGGACAGGCCAAGACAATAGCAGACGGAAAGAAAGACGGACAGTGAGTCTGGCGCAGATATGACTTCTCGCAGGCAAATGGGGCCCAGCGTACCCATCACTTGAAGGTCTTTATATAAGCGACCACTTCTTATCTACAGACCCCTTGGCGTTCCAAACTAGGTGGAAATCTATCTTCTCGGTCTCTGGCTTACTCCATTGCTCAAGACTTCCTCCGTGGACTGCTCCTTGATTGACGAAGCCGATCTTTTTGGCCACGGCCGCGCTTCTCCAGTTTTCTCTTGCTACCGCGGCCCAAATGCCGCGCTTAATTGTTGCGACGTAGTCATTGCACCAAAATCGTAAGAGCTCTTTGGCCATTTCGGTTGCATAGCCTCGCCCTGAAAAGTGTGTGACGGTTGCCCACGCTAGATCGGGCGGGATGAGGTTGTCTCGATGCAAAATTGAAACGAAGCCAACATTCTTGTCCGTGTCTCTCTCGTAGCCGAGATAGACGAGAATGTGGCTGGGTCTCCTCCGTGCCGCAGTGTAGTCTGGGCCCAGTCGTTGCCCTTCGAGAAGCTTCTCAACATCTCTGGCAGTGCGCAATCCGCGGTCACCAACTGCCGAGACGATAGAGGGGTCGTTGTATACGCCAAGGTAATCGTGCACCAAGCGAGCATCCGATGATTCAAATAGACGCAGTATGAGACGTTCTGTGCCGAGACTTTGAGGGAAGTTGCTTTCAGAACCAACCATATTCTCGACCCGATTGTCTGAATTGGGGTGGGTGCCTTTTGTTCTGAACAGCAGGTGACGGCCCCCTATGGCCTTACCGCTTGTTTTTCAGCATGAGTGAGATTGGAGAGAAGCGACAAGCACTTGCTGCGCTTCATTATGAGTCATATCTGCTCTTTTGGAACACGCTAGTGGTGATATTGTAGCGAGATGTTCAAAAGAGGGTCGATTCATTTCCGATCTAAATAGATCGGCCGCGCAAACCACCATCGGAACTTGCCTCTCATCGGGAAAGAAAATTCGGCTATAGGCCACGGAAAGGGCATCCTGTGCCGAACACGAATGGAATAAAACAAGTTGCGGAATACAGGACGTGGGACCCGACATGACGATGTCCTTGAGAGATAAATCCTGCGAGTTGGCGAGAATGCGCTGGGCGTCTTCTTTTTTCATTCGCGTCAGATCGGCATGCGAGGCGTCGTAGCGATAGGCCAAGGGCCTGTTGCAGGCGAGGTTAATGACGAGTGTGGTTACGCCAAAGAGGACGATATGGTAGATTAGTCAGGGGAAAACTGAGCGGACAAATACCACCCAGGGTACTTTGATGCCAGACGTGAAGAAGAAGGCGAGAAGGAGGGAACGACGTTGAACGCCTTCGCCACCTTGGACGTAGCGGGGGAACCCGGAGGCATGCTCGACCGTCCCTGAACATCGTACAGGTGTAGCGCCGTCAAACGCTTAACGACTTGCGGGCGTTGCGCGGTAAGAAGATGAGCGGAATCAGGCAGAGAATAGATGGCGCCGCCGACGCGAGTGCTGTCGTGCTCTCCAACTATCCTGTATCGTGGGTTAGAGATGTGTATGATGTGGGTTTGCAGTTAGATGATCGGTACGGGCTGGCGGCAAGCAAGTGGAGCCTGACGACCGCGTGCACCGTCACCAATAGCAATGCAGGCCAGTGTCAGTTCCTCACAGCAGCAAACTTCACCGGTTTGGTTAAAGCCTAGTCACATCACATTACAAACTCCCAAAATTCATGCGACTAGCGACTGCAGCAGAGAAGGTTACGTTCTCTCGTCTGTCACCTTGACAATGACTTTTCCCAGCACACGGCCATTGATGAGGTGCTCGTACGCCTTGGGCGTCTCGTCGAAGCTAAAAGTGGAGTCGGTGCATGGCTTGATCTGACCAGCCTCGACGTATCGGCAAAGGTGCGGCATCTGATCCATGTCCTTGCCAACTGCGACAAACTTCCGTGGGGTGCCGCCGAGTTGTACTGGGAGCAGCATAGTTGCGATAACATCCTTGAAGAAATTCAAGGCCGAGCGAGCGAGATTCGAGTGATCCAGCGAGGAGAAACCAGCGTTGAAATAGCTGCCCTGCTCCTTCAGAAAGCCAGGACAGGCTCGGTAGGTGGCAAAGGAGCCAACGCAGTCGAGAATGACATCGAATGGCGCCGACGCATACTTTTCCTCTAATCTTTTCTCCATTTCATCCTTGTAGTCGACAAAGGCGTGGGCGCCGCACTTCTTGGTTGCTCCTGCCTTATCTTTGGAGCAGCTGACCACAATGTGCGATGCCTGCTCTGCCACGCACATCTGGATGAGCAGCAGGCCGACTGAGGTGGTCCCGCCGAGGATAAGCACTCGGTCGTTTGGCCTAACGTGCAATGCTAGAGAGCGTGCAGTCAGACCAACTGTGCAGAGCCCAGCTGCATCCACGCATGACATGCCCTCAGGCACAGGCGCCACGTTTGTGGCTTTGGCGATGAGGTAGGTAGCCAGTGTGCCTCGCCCATCTCGGAAGGTTTCGTCGACAGGAAGGACGCCATACACCTTCAAGCCCTTGACAAGCCATGCTGGCTCCTTGGCGTCACGATGCTCTCTGCCGATGAAATCAACGACCTCGCCGGCAAAGTCGGTCCCCGCGGTGTGTGGCAGCTTCTTGATTAATCCAGGCACCGCTGCCGCAATCTTCCAGTCGAATGGGTTGAGCGCAGCGGCATGGACCCTGACGAGCACCTCACCAGCTTGAAGTGAAGGCAGCTCCACCTCCCTCTTTTCCAGTGTCGTGAGGAGTGAGCCCCTCCGGCTGTATTGCCAAGAGGTTGCGGTCGTCGTTGTTTCCATTGCTGATGATCATTATGCGGCCGACACATTATCTCATTTTGCTTCTGGATCGATGGATAACAAAAGCATTTCTATGAGCGACACGTGGGAAGAAGGTTGCCCACCCTAGATCGGGCAGGATGACGCTCTTCCATCTCTAAGCCACGTGGTTTCCAATGACTCTTCAGATCTTCACCAAATCGCTATGGCAGTGTAAGTCCTTGACTGTAATGCACAGCGACTCTTTGCTCCTGGCTTGCATCGGACCGTCGTCGGTATGTGGATAGCACTATGGATTTCCACTTCGCGAGCGCAAACATCACTTGCAATAATCCTGATTGCTAGCATTATTTGGTCGGCTTATGGATGTTGGCTAAAGGTTTTTGTCCCAGCAGCCCTCATTTGAGCACGGTCAGTGTCCCACGACTTGTAAAACAGATCGGCGGCTCCACAGAAGCCACCGCTTTCGCGCACCACTACGCTTGCATGTCAGCCATCTCGATTGCGATGAGGTTTGTTACTAATCTGGGCGCGGTCTAGAATTTCCAGGAAGAAAAGGGGCGCGGGTCATCATTTAGGCGTCAGCAACTGAGTGTTCCGCGAAGAGTCTCCACGCTTGTCCTGCTCTTCTCCAGCTTTCGAAGCTGAGCTCATCTGCAGCGCCTTGCTCAGAGTCCGTGCTCTTGCGAGACAGTAGCCCAGGTCCTGTTCCTGCAGTCAATGTTAGCTGTCGGCCGCGGCAGCAAAGGATAAGATGTCTACATGCGGGTCCTTCGAGCAAGCACGCTCTGTTGCTCACATCGGCGAAAGGCTGGAACACGACCAAAGTTCCCACGACGGGTCCCGCCGTGTCGCTCATAGATCCGCTCCGTCGACCCAAAGAATACAATCACCCACACGAACAACACAAGTATTGCCCCGCAGCGTTGTATAGCAAGCCACATACGCCAGTAAGCCACCACAACGGACGCAGACCGCTCCGCACCTTTTCGGTTCTGGTCCATCCTAGGAACGGTGCGGGAAAATCGAAGAAGCAAAATAGTATGTAGTCCTTTCATCGGGAGGCTGCTATTAAATCTGCAGGCTCTTCTAATTGTGCATTCTCCCGAGCCGAGGCCTACGATTTAAGACAGAGGCCTGCAGACGCGTCTTCGGAAGCGGACAGCCATTATCATTGGCTTGACGGTGGGTCCATCTCATGGCGGTCGTCGGACCCATGAGCAGGAGCGCTTTGCGACCGCTATTAGACCGCTATGAGAGGGGATACATAAGCAGAGGCTGTTCATTGTGGGTGAGTTGCTCCTCCAGCAGCTCGACTTCCCAACATGCACACCTTTCGACTCCTTTTTTCTCTCCTGGCAGTGCTCAGCTTACAAGGGGGTTCCACCTGACCCTAACCTTGGCCCGATTAGGGCCAAGGGAGATAGGGGCAGGGCAACCATTCCTATGGGTAAAGGGGGCCTCCGGGCCCATTTCTGGGAAGTTTCAGACAGAATCACTTAGTAGAATTTTGTGTAACAGCACTTTCAAAGTTATTATTGGCTATATCTTCAACACCGTGATGGCCCTGTGTGGCCCTTTCACACTGGAGGTGCATAGAGGTCTAAAGAGGATGTGTACAAAGTCTGGCGAGGCTAGAACCAGTAATATTTGAGTTATGACAGAGGTTAGGGGTTAGGGGTTAGGGTTACTACGGACTGCCCAGACAAAGCAACCGGGGTTAGGTAACGAGACATATATCATTGGAAAGGGTGGAATGGTTAGGGTTAGGGTTAGGGTTAGGGTTAGGGTTAGGGTTAGGGTTAGGGTTAGGGTTAGGGTTAGGGTTAGGGTTAGGGTTAGGGTTAGGGTTA